TTTCTCTCTTTTCTCTCTTTTCTCTCTTTTCTCTCTTTTCTCTCTTTTCTCTCTTTTCTCTCTTTTCTCTCTTTTCTCTCTTTTCTCTCTTTTCTCTCTTTTCTTGCTGTTCTAGCTCACCAAGACTGTCTGCATGACAAGTTGGTAGCAACAAACTCCGAGATCCACGCCTCCGAGCCCGCCACCTATCTCTGTACATCGTGGCATCGAGCCTGGGATACTGAGAATCTCATCTCCTCGTTGATCTTTGGTCGACAGCCCGAAGATCACCCCTGGCCCTCTTGAGATCAGCTCTCGGAGATAAGCCGTCGGACACGAAGACGTGAGTCGACTTATCAAAAAATCAACACCAAAAATATCACACAAAAACAAATTAGCAATAGTCGTGAGTTGCTTCATTCTACCTCCGTCTCATCGCTGGTGTCGCCCCATCAATGCCACGGAAAAGAGAAGAAGAAAAAACTTCTCGAATAGACCGAGAACCTACAGAACCGTTTAGGGCGTGGCATTCAAAGACTGATATATCGTCGTAACGAGGACGCTAAAAGCTAGTCATCTATCTCGGGACCTTCCGCAGATACTGAGGCTTACGGTAGTGTGCCCACTGGAAGCTTCCAACCAAGACTTCCCATGGAAAATCTCAACCTTGAAAGGCTTTAGGAGCCAAAGGCAGATACGGAGGATTATTCGGTGAGGAGAACTCGGAACTGCAATAACGCATCCAGCACTTGACGCAGACTCCGCTTTTCCAACGAGTCCGTGAAACGCAGGGAGAGATTGTGTCCAGCAACTCCTCTCCTTTCTTGCTGTTCTACCTCACCAGGACTGTCTACATGACAACAGGATTACCGGCAGCGTAGCCCTAGATTTTATGATATTCCAAGGCCTCTACAACCACATCGGTCAACCAACTACACCCCTCTGGAAGCAGGGTCCGCTCACTGGAGATGGGGGCAGCAGCAGAGGAGGAAAAATTGACGTTACGGGACCCGAGAGCCCTGCTATTAAAATTAAAACCTCACCCTTTCGAAATACTTTTCACCAAGCACAAGTTTTCGCTTCACTGATCAAAACTTTTGCCTCACCCTTGCGAAATATTTTCACCAACCACAACTTTTCCTCTTTCACTGATGAAAACTTTTCCCCACGAACTCTTTCTTCAACCTTCTCTCATCCCACTCATCCATTCATATCAGCTCTCACCAGAATAACCATCTCTGAGTACCCATCATCATATGCTCTACGTTGTGGACGCTATTCACAATCATCATGGGGTCGACCGTTTCCTCGGACGAGGAATGGTTCGAAGCCCCAAGTGAGCCCATCATTGACGAGATCAACTTTGAGCCAGACCACAAATTGGGAGAAAACGAGCATAGACGTATGACTTTCGGAGACGTTTTTGGAACCGTGTCTATCTCCTCTGAGGTGGCATACAAATGCCAAATCATGGATGAGAAGGGTGCGTTGTTGTACAAGGGAAGCTACGCGCGTCTCGCTTTCTTGGTATCCGACCATATCAGTGCTTTGACTATAGTCCTTGGCCATACCGACACATTGCGCAAGGATCCGACCAACTTCAAGGCTATTCTTCGTTTCGCAGCCCATGCCGTTGACAAGATGACTATTGCCGATGTCACGGACAAATCCAAAGGCCATTGTAGTCACGTCAGAGATCGGTGTTTCCAAGCCAACCTGAAATACTTTCGTCAAAATATATGCTCGGAACTGGTCTTTATTCCATCCCCACATCCGTATGTGGGTGAGATTGCAGAACACATGATGCGTTCGGACAGCATCGCCATCCATATCTGCGGATCAGACTTTACCTTGTCGAATATGTCTAGTCTCAACGACGCATTCGCTGAAGAGGCCCGCTTGAACCCACTCAGCAAATGGACCCCGAAAAATGCATCAGCTTTCGTCGTGGAGACTGGAAAATTTCTACCGGCAGTGGAACGTCCTGACGTCGTTGATTACGAAGCCAAGAATACCTTCTACAACTTTTATGAATACATCATTGTTCAAACTATAGCTGCCATGGAAGAAGCCGAAACTACTCAAGACACTTTCAAGGAATTTGAGCAGAGACGTCATAATGCATACTTTTGTACTATGTACGGAGGTGGCAGCCGTATCTTCCTGGTGTTGATCGATGTACCTGTCAGCGACAAGATACGCCTCAAGCCTGGTGATGCCATGGAGATCTGGAAATGCGAAGATGAAGTTCGCGATGAGAGTATGATTCCTGCTCACGCCGTCGTCACCGAGCCACTCCCTGGACTACCAAGTTGTTTCCTTTCTCTCGCAATGTCTCGCCACTGGGACAAAACTTCAAAGACTTACAAAGGATGGCAGGAACTGGAACCGGCAAATGAGTCTGATGTCACCCTTGAACGTATCGAACCAGTCGCGCTCAAGGACCAGGACGACCTGATGCGGAACATTAAACTACTCAGACAGCGTGGTCCAACTGAGGTTCAGATCAGAATACCAATGAACACTAAGGCTCAAGAGAACCGTATCACCGGGATGAAGAAGCTGATCGAGACCCTTCAGGAGAAAGATGAGGTGTTCACTGACCTGAAGAATCTGATTCTCGGAAATGATATCCGTTTGATTCGTTGCTACGATATATACGAAACAATCCGGGATGTCATTGACCCTGAACAAGTCATGAAGCAGTTGAACGAGGATCAGAAAGCTGCCGTTACTCTTGCCCGACAGGCGCCGGCGGGGGTTGTTATCGTTCATGGCCCAGCTGGAACGGGTAAGACTTACCTGGCGGGAGAAATGGGTCGCCCTTTCATCATGGCAAACAAAGAGACATGTCACATCCTAGCCACGTCTAGTACAAACGCATCGACTGATGCTCTAGCAGCCCGTTTTCATGGCATTGTCTGTGAGACCGGTGTGGAGGGTCAGTACGTTGTACGCGTTCACTCAACCACAACCGAGAGAGATATCGCGTATCAGCGAGCCCGCCTGGAGCGTGGTAAACCTGATGATGCAAAATCGAAACCTATCCAAGAGAAGGACGAGGAGCAAGACGACAAGGCGTTTGATGTTTTGAATTCGTGCAACTTCGCTATGATGGTGTCTAGAACTTACAAACGCCAAAATACGCACTACGCTGAACTCATCCCGGATGATCGTGTTACTAGGACATCAATGTCACTATCCGTCGGGACGAGGATTATGCAACTCATCGGCGAGATTCCGGCCGAAATTGGGGATCCTATGCCAAAACCTCAAGAGTTCTGTCATCTCAAGCAGTTGTATGCACTGTACGCTGGAAAGATACTGGCCGATTCCGTTTTGAAAGAGCTCAGAGAGAGGCTTAAGGATGCGCAGAAATATATCATGGAGAATGCCGTTGCAGTTATCACGACCCCTGCTTTGAGCGTGCAACATGCTGTCCATCCCGACATTGCTCCGAACATTGGTGTCGTCATGATCGATGAAGCTTCGAAGATCCATGAAATCGACACCGCAGCCATGATGGGTATCTATGGAGGTGCAGATGGTTGGGTTCTCGTCGGCGATCCCTGCCAGCTCAAGCCTGTTGCCATGCACCGTACTAGGTTTTCTCAGCAGTACGAAAAGTCTTTCCATGAGCGTTGTATCGCAAATGGTACTCCCAAAGTACTACTTCAAACACAATTCCGCATGGCCCCTAATATCGCAGCTCCCCTGAACGCCGTCGCTTACGGAAATCGCCTAATCAACCATGAGAGCGTCACACGAGCCCATCGTCCTGTTCTCGCGGAAATTGAGGACTACAACAAGGAAAAATTCGGCATGGCAAAGTATGCTCTCATGTACGACGTTCGCAACACGAAAACACAAATCGACCCCGGTTCTGGTTCAAAGTACAACGAGGTCATGGCTTGTTTGTGTGTAAATCTCGCGGTTGGGTATTTATCCGCATTCCCAAAGCTTAGCGTTGCTGTTATCTGTTTCTACAGTGCTCAGCGTCGCCTGTACCTGGCCATGAAGGACAAGATGGTCATCAAGAACAAAGACTTTGAACGCCTACACATCATCACAGCAGACGCATGTCAAGGCCTTGAGTTCGATGTCTCGATTATAGATGTCACGGTCAGCAGCAACTCCGCAGGTTTCCTCAAATTGATGAATCGGCTTGTCGTCGCCATCAGCCGCGCCCGTCTGAGCAGCAACCTCGTTGTCGATAAAGAGGCGGTCTACGACGCACGTTGCGACACCTTGACAAAGGTCTGCCATGAGTATCTGAGGTTGGGAATGGCCGTCAAAGTCACTAAGGATCAACATGCACACATGCGTACTTCCGAATTCTACCACGCCGGCATGGTCGACTTCTAATGGCGGCATCTCAGTGGACATGTTTGGTGCGACCAACGGATGGAAGGACTCGAAGGACTCGAAGGATTCAAACGCGAACGATGCTGGAACTTGGGAAGATGGTGTGGTCGCAGAAGAAGGAATGGAGAATGCAAACGATCAAACTCAACAATGGTGAAACGGCGCAGGAATTGAACGTGCGAGGCATGCTCTCTTACACAATTGCTATCAGACACCAAAAGCTCATGCAACCAGAGAACCTGAAGACTGGATGATGAACAACAGCATGAGGATGACCATACTGGAAAGCATAAGGGCTTTTGATAATGGACATCGAGACGACGGTCAAGAGGTTTCCACCAACAGAAATGATCTTGGCGACAATCAAGTGGTTTGTACTCTCATACTTGACTTGTACAGTCGTCCATAGCTTGATAAAAAATGATAAAGGCATTTGCCACCAAACGCTTTATGTGATGGGTTTCCCTCGGGGAAACAGCCTCCATGCCCTATCTAAAGGGACTTGGGCCAATAATTCAGCCTGCTTTCGAATAAAGGCGAATTGGAGAGAGAGAGAGAGAGAGAGAGAGAGAGAGAGAGAGAGAGAGAGAGAGAGAGAGAGAGAGAGAGAGAGCCCTCTGCCTCCAGCTATGGATGAGTGTAGGGTGGCCAGTCCTGCTGGCTCCTGCCACAGGACGAGGAACGGCCTAACATCTGCCTCCCATTGTGACTCGTCATTAGACCTCGTCGTCGATCATTGCGATACGACAACTTGGTCGCAACAAATGTGAAATCCACTCCACAAAGACCATTACCTTGTATTGCACGGGTTTCTCTCTGATTCGCCCAGAAGGACTGTTTTCCCGGGAGGGTCGCCGTGACCGTGAACCCGAGCCGGTAAGTCAAACCACACTTCACCCCTGGCAAATATTACACCTTGAGAACAAGACATACCTTTTATGAGGAACTGCGAGCCGCTAGTAAAGCCTTTGAGCAAAAAGATCCCCAGTCCTAGCTTTCCCCGACTTCGCGAAGGGATTCATTATATTCGTGGATGGAAGTAAGAAAAGACGTTTCGGTGTTGCAACACACCAATTGGATGAAAAGTTGGATGAAAAGGGAAAGGAAATGCCTGTTTTATTCATACCAAAGGTTCTAATATCTGCCGAAAAGAATGACTTCCCGACGGAGTTGGAGACTGCGGCGCTCATTAAGGCCCTACAGCGACTACCACAATAGATCACGGAGACCTGACAATTGTGTATGACCTCCAGGCACATGTCTCCTTTTTAATATCATGGATCCCAAATCTATCTCTCACTTCTCATCCCTCACCTCTCATTCCTCACTTCTCATCCCTCACCTCGTATTCCTCATCACTCTTTACTCCTCAATCCATAGTCTATCTGTTCTCTTGATCTCATCGAGACCATGCCACGCTTTCTTACTAGTCATCGACGGCTATCTTGAACCCAACTGTACCTACATGATCTATGATCTCGTTCTTGATCTAACAACAGAAATCACCACCACCATCACTAGCAAGCCACTCTCTTCCTCAGATCCTCTCACTCAGAACTACTCCACCGATCTTCCTATCTCTACCAACTAGTGTCCATGTTCAAGCCTCTGCGCCACTGCGAAGCCTTGATCTGAAATCTCATGTCTTACTGAAGACTTACACTTTTGAGATGGATCTAGACGTGGATAAAGAGAAACCTATTTTTCTCCAGAGTAAGGCACGCCTTGCACAACACCTAGGCTTTTCAAGTGAAGCAGCTTTCGATGAGTGGCACAAAGGAAAACTTTATCACAGAGCCTGGGAGAAATTCTACCAGGGACTCATCCAACCAATTCGCGAAGAAGCCAAACGTACCGGGGCTAAAATTCCTCGCGGTTTTGGTCTTACCACAGTCGAAATTGCTGAGAGAGATGGTGAGATGTCAGGCAGAGCACGATATTCTGATTATGATCCAGATTTCTCTAGCTTCAATCGACTGAATTGGTATGCTTGGCTCCTTCATAGACTCCGAGTTGACAACTCTGTTAAATTCGATGGGATCTTCTACAACAAAATCGGTATGAGGGACCATGCAAAGAACTGCCTGCTATGGTCTGTCATCCGATTCGATGTGTGGCAGTCATCCGAATCTCGAGGTCGAGGACCCAATATTGAGCACCCTGCACCCGCACCACCTGAGATGCCGCCAAAGAAGCGAACAACGCTGTCCAAGCCCAATCCCACTGCTCAAGGTCTTAATTTCAAGGACATCCTCAGCGATGACGCTGAGGAGGAGGACCCGGAAGTGACAGAGGACGAGGACGAGGCCGATACGCTATTACCACTCAACACTAATGCGGTCGTCCACGCAGAGGAGCAAGAGGACCCGGAAGCGATGGAGTACGAGATCGATACGCTCTTACCACTCAACACTAATGTGGGCGTCCACCCAGAGGAGGAAGAGGACCCGGAAGCGATGGAGTACGAGATCGATACGCTCTTACCACTCAACACTAATGTGGCCGTCCACGCAGAGGAGCAAGAGCTCATAAATCAAACAATTACAACCCCTGCCGCCTTGTCGATCTCGGAAATGACCGCTACATCAACCACGGAACAGATGACAACAGCTATGGATATCATGAGACTAGAAGCACCATAATCATCCGGGATGAATATCATTCAGCAACTTGGGTCGTATAGTCTCGGCTCTCTATTCGAATGGGAGAGGGACAACGACGACGACCAAGATGCCGAATGATGTCGTCCAATATCAGCCGACTTTTCTTACACAATTGGTATTGGACACCATAAGCTCATGCAACCAGAGGATCCGAAGATCAGAAAGATTGAAGGAGGAGCAGCAGCATGACGACGTTCATACCGAAAACATACATGAATGAGGGCTTTTGATGATGGACATCGAGACGACGGTCGAGAGCTTTCCACCAACAGAATGAGTTTAGCAACAATTAATTGGTTTGCACCCTCATATTTGATTTTACAGTCGTCCATAGCTCAATAAAAATAATAAAGGCATTTGCCACCAAACGCTTTTCGGGATATATGATCATACAGATAGCTTGAAATATGGAGCCAGAATGACAGGCTGAGTAAAAATGATACAGCAGCTCTTGGTGGGTCATGGCTGATGGAGGGAGCGTCGCGCCATTCTTTCCTATTGCTCGATGCTCATGACAACTCGAACCGCACTCACCAAAAACCACCATCATCACTATCACCTCATTGTAACCTTTACTACATCAATTCAACTTCAATCGCCATCCCTGTGTATGCGTCAGTACATCATCCGACCGCCGTGATGGCGCCTCGCCGCCGAATCATGCCGGGTAGCATGATAAGTTGATTGGGAGAGGTAGATGGTACATCGTTGCACAGAGAGGTCATCGAGATCAGGGATGACGACGACAATGTCGCTCAGACAGGACATGCGACATCTCGACCCTACAAGCGCCGCTCCTCGAGGTCACGCTCTGCTTACCCCATTCGTGATGAAGTTGATGACGACCTTGACGTGTAGACTCTGAAACAACAGGGGAAGGAGAGAAAGGAGGGTTAGTCGCAATGACTAGGATTTGTCTAGCTACAATAGCTGAGTTGTCTGTCTAATCACAGGAATTGGTGTTGGTTGAGTTGCTTGCAGAGAAGAGAAAAGACATGAGGCTGTCCCAGTCTCGTTTCTCACCATGTCGTATGGTCTTTCCAATCTGGCTCATACTTCTTTTTGACTTTCTGTTGTTGTCCTTGTTCACCTTGATCACCATCATGATCTTGTTCACCTTGATCACCTTGGTCACCTTGATATGATACTGCTTCAACCAGGCCCTCTCCTTCGAAGTTTGTCATGTTGCTGTGGAAGAATTTCGATTCCCGCATCTCTGCCAGCGCGGTACCATCATCCTTGACTTTGACGAGCGCTCCAAGTTCCAAATACGCAGTGCAGACTCGCTTGAGGTTATTGGACCTGGAAAAGTAGACGGCGTTCCTGTCGAACACTAGGCTGGAACTGTACTTTGCCCGACTGATTGCCACCACCAAACGATGCATGTCATCGAGGAATCCCGCGGTCTTGCCGATAATGGCGTCAATGATACAGACATCGAACTCTAAACCTTGCACGGAGTCAGCTTTCACAACATGTAGACGACTGAAACAGTCATCTGCAGCTGCCATTGCATCCTTGATAGCGAGATAGAGGGTGTTCTGTGCCTTGTAGAAACAGATAATGGCCACAGTGAAGGTAGGAAACTCTTTGATGTACCGAGCGGCGAGGTTCATGCTGAAACACTGAGATACGACATTGTAACGAGAACGAGTACGTGGAGCGGTCATAGTTTCGGTACCCCAGATATCGAAAGCCATGCAATACTTCGCAACGTTGAAGTCCTTCTTGTTGAATTGTTCAATTTTCTCGAGTATAGGCTGACGAGGTACGTCCACCGAATAATGGTCCCTGAGTCTTTTTTGGTATCCTGCCTTGTTCAGTGGCAGTGATATTAAAGGGGACATCCGATATTGCTCATCTAGAAAAGCTGATGGTGTTCCGTTACCGATAAGTCGTGCTTGCATAGACAGCTTCATCTGGTTACTGAAAGTGTGATCGTGCATCACCGGTGGCTGTAACTGATACGGGTCGCCGATCAACACGCGTCCTGCTGCCTCGTAGTAAATGCCCATCATCGCAATAGCATCTGCCTCCAGAATTCGCGAAGCTTCGTCAATGATGAACATCTTGACATCATTACGGATTGGGGCGTACACGTTTGGGGTGACGCTCAAGGATGGTGTAGTAGTGATGACGATAGCGTTTTGCAAGACATGCTCTCTGGCTTCCTTGAGGTATTGTTTGAACTTTTCCATCTCAGATTCATCCAGTTCTTCCTTGTTCATCAACTGAAGGTACAGCTCCTTCAGCTCCGCAAACTTGTCTAGCTCAGGCTTCGGGTCGCCGACCTTACGCACAGGAATTTCTCCAATAAGCTGCATGATACGAGTACCTAGTGAGAGGCCCATTGACTTTTCCGTGACCCGATGGTCCGGTACCAAGTCTGCAAAGTAGGTATGCTGATGCTTGTATGTCTTTCGAATTGCCATAGCGAACTTACATGATGCAAGAGTCTCCATCACGTCGTCCTTAAGGTCTTGTACAAGTTTTGGCTTCGCATCTTCTAGGGCACCTCGAGCCAGGCGAGCTTTCTGTCGAGCGATATTATCTTCGGCGGCGGTGGAGTGCACTCGAACGCTGTATTGTCCTAGAATGCCCTCTTTCTCAATGATTCCCTGGAATCGCACTGCAAGTGCATCAGTGGAGGCGTTGGATGCAGATGTAGCCAAAATCTTGAAGTTCATCTTGTTTGCTTTGATAATGGGGCGTCCCATCTCTCCACACAGATGAGTTTTTCCGGTTCCGGGGGGTCCATGTACATTGACCATACCAGCCGGAGCTGCGCGTGCAATGGCGGCTGCTGCCTTCTGTTGCTCATTGAGATCACGCATAACTTGGTCTGGGTAGGGAATGATATCCAGAATACCGGCGTAAATGTCGTGATAGGCGATCTGTGCGGTGTCGTTGCCCACTAAAAGATGCTTCAGACCGTCGGCATTCACACCGGCCTTGCGATTGTGCTTGACGAGTTCCATCAGGCCCCTAACACGATGTTTATGCTGGTTGTCATCAAGTGGGATGCGAATACCAACCTCAGTGGCGCCGACATCTCTCATCTTTGAAAGGTTACCAATGAGACTGTCCTGGTTCTCGATCTTGATGACCTTAAGACCATCAAGACCTTCGAATTTCTTGGCTTCCTTGTTCCAGTGACGAGAGACTGTCAGTGGGAGGAAACATCCTGGGAGGCCGGGGATGGGTTCTGAGACAATCGCAGTAAAAAGGTTGAATGCATCGTCGTCGTCGTCACCAGGTTTTGCTTTTCCTTTGTTTTTATTTTTCTTCAAGAAAACTTTGACTTTGTCTCCGGCGTTCAAGCGGATGCTCTCGTGGATTGGCATGGTTAGGAGAACGAGGTAAACCCGATCAGCTCCTCCAATGATTTCAGCAAAGTACGCGTCGAAGCTGTATGACTCGCAGTCAGTGGCGCGCTTAGCTGCTTGCTCTTGTTCCTCCAAGGGACCGATTGCATTGACGATGACGTATTCATCATATGTGAAAAACGAAAACTTGGCTTGGTAGTCATTAATGACGGGCCGTTTTTCCTTGGGTTGGAATTGGACGCGCTCATTCAGAAACATGGACGAACCGTTAGAGATCCATTCGGCAAGTGGGTTCTTTTGAGCTTCCTCTTGGAAGCGTTCTGCCAATGCTCCGACATTTGCCATTGCGAATTCAGATCCACAGATGTGTAGCTTGACTGTGTCCTCTTTCCGCATGTAATACGCAAGTGCAGCCACCGGCTCCGGCGGTGAAGGGACGAAGACTCGCTCGGATGCGACATTGTCCAAATTGTATGTGAGAACAATATCGTAGCATCTGTCTCTTGGATGCGTGCGATGTTCAGTTTGGTCATGGCAAGCACTGATTGGCATGCGCACGACTGCGTTGACCGGAAAGCGAAGAATTGAACGGAACTTAGTGTGATCTTGTTGTTGGTCATCTCGCGGTCCGAGTAGAATGTCAATCGAGCTGATGTGATTCGTGACTGAGAACAAGATCTTGCAATATCCCCCATTGTAGAGAGATTCGTCGTTCTTGTCCTTGATGGCACAACGATAAGACAGATCCGCGGGCCTCGGAGTCACCGTATACCCATCAGTGAAGTAGATGCGCTTGACATCCGCATGATTCAACACTTCGGTCGGTTTCAGATCACTGTCTTCCACTTCTGCTCGCTCTTGTAGTGCGTTCGTTGCTTCATCGACGACTTCCTCCTTGGTTTTCTCGTTGTCATTTCCGAAGATCTTGACTTTTCCACCCTTGGCAACACGGGGCTTAGGATTCGTTGCCGAAGCTTTGAGGTAACCTCTGTTTGTCACATCACCCTGAAGTCTGTTCTTTTTCTCTGGAGCGAAGACCTCGATGCCCTTACGAGCTTCGGTGTCTGCCGCGATGATTGGGATTGGAGTATCGTCGTCCATGACAGTATGTCGACGATCTCAGACGGGATAAGGTGGTCAGACCGTGGGAGGTAGGGAGGGCGTCAGCACGCCGATCGCGGTTTTGAAATGAGGGTTGGCGGGATGAACGGTGCCAACAAAGGAAAAAGGGCGAGGTGGTGGAAAAGAAAGAAAGAAAGATTGATGGAGAAGAAAGGATATATCACCAAAGGAGAAGTGGTGAAAAGTTTTTTCTGCCCAGCTCTGCGCGTGCAGCTGGGAAGAGTTTTCTGCCAGACTTGCGTTCACAGCTGATCTGGAAATGATGTTGATGAAGAAAAGTCGTTAATTGTTGGTTTGATTAGCAGGGCTCCAGTCCCGCCTCGAATGGGCCTCAAAGGGTTGTCCACCGGATCTCGTTTATCGGATACGAGCAAACTTGCAAATCGATGTGTATGTTGTCAAATCGATGCAGGATAGTTGATAGAGTTGCGGTCGGTTACAGTGTGCTTAAAGCGGATTCCAAGTAGACACATGAGGCATACGACAGGTGTGAAGAAGTGTAATTTTAACTTGCCGGCTCGATTTGTCGGTCTCGGCGACCCTTCTCGGGGAAAACAGTCCTTCCGAGGGGTCAGATCGACTCTAGTAGGTGAGACTAGGGCCTAGGAAAGAGAAGGGAGGGGGAGCAGCGGAAGCGACTTCGATCTATCTCCTGACTTAATGTCTGGATGATGGAGATCTGTGGTGGTGTTTGTGGATCGTAGTCAAAAGAAAAAGGAACTCGTACAATGCGGGTTGAGGGCTCAGCGGAGTGAAGCTCATCCTTGTTGCTACCAGATGGTCCATCATTGTTGAGGAGGAGAAAAAAGGAGTTGATGTCGCAGTGTCTTCAATGAGTAGCTAAAGTAGCCATGAAAACTGTGTTCTGGTTTAAAAAAAATTGGTGTGGTTGAATTTTCGAGTCAGGTCACGTCTTCGCACCTGACGGCTGATCTCGCAGAAGCTTATCCCACGAGGGCCGGTGGAGGTTCCTTTGAGGTGGCGGTCAAAGGTGTGTAGGTGTGAGGAGGATGGTTTCTCGACGTCACAGGCTCAATGCCGTGTTCTGTAGAGGTGATCGGATTGTAGGAATTGTTGGGTGAGATCAGGAACTCGTGTAATACGGTGTCCTAGGGCTCACCACGGGAGGTCGAGTGATCTTGCTGTTTGTTGCTACCAACGTGTCATGTAGACAGTCTTGGTGAGCTAGAACAGCAAGAAAAGAGAGAAAAGAGAGAAAAGAGAGAAAAGAGAGAAAAGAGAGAAAAGAGAGAAAAGAGAGAAAAGAGAGAAAAGAGAGAAAAGAGAGAAAAGAGAGACAAGAGAGACAAGAGAGAAATGAGTGTCTAGTAGTCACAATGACTGAGGTTTTGGCTAGCTACGATAGCTATCGTAGCTATCGTAGCTAGCCAAAGGACTTTGTTGGTGTTGAGTTGTTTGCAAGAGAGAAGAGAGAGAGAGAGGAGGAGTAGAAGGACCCTCACGTCACGTGCCTACCACATGACACCTCACTATCAAAGGCCAGAGTATCTTTACCTCGACTCTTGTATTCTTCCTCGTCTGCTCCTCCCACCATTCATTGTATTTAGGGGCATGATCCATGATTTTCAGTCCTTTGAATGAGAAGTCCGTAGAGTTCAGCGGGTTTATTAAAGATTAGTTCCTCGTCGCCGGGCCACTAGATCATTGTCTGCTATTTGCCGCCCAAAGATTTTAAGTGGCCGCCCGCTAATATGGCTCCACAATCGGCTTATAAGTCGATCAAATACTCTGCGGCAGTCTTAGGCGCGGAGGGCATCTTCCGAGGCTAGGTCCTTAAGAATGTTCTTGACTCAGGAGGCGTCCTTACGCTGGCCAATTGTTTCCGGTCTGGGTTGGTGCTTCTCAACGACCTAGAATTCACACATGCCGGCTCACTATGCTGGGACTATATATATTAGATAATAGTATGCTAAGACGGAAGCCCGGGAAGCGAAAACTCTAACAGCTAAGTATGTAGAAATTTGTCGCAGACTTCTTGTTAATAACGGGCATTCATGTCATGGACCAAGATGTCCCTACCATCAAGCGGGCTTTGAGCAACGTCGGCGGCGGCGGCGGCGGCGGCGGAACGTTAAACGGAAAGCTCGCAGTCATTATTGCTTCCAAGCGTCAACGTGGAACGGGAAGCTCACAGTCATTTATTGCTTCCAAGCGTCACTACATCCGATGTTTCCTAACGTCGCTAAAAGACGCGATCATAAGCTGACCAGATTGCCTGTTTCGGGGCTCAGACTCGTTTTGCGCAAATTCTCTGAAATGTTTGATTGGCCTGCTGAAAACGGCCATCAACGTTGCCTTTAGGCAAGGGCGGAAATCGCAGACTGAGGACCTGAGCCAACCTCTTGATTAACAGTCAGACAGCTATCGGTTGTAACCCCGAAGATGATTCGAAGCAGGTAGATGCGAGTGAGCAGGTCTTGTGTGTAGAGATGCTAAGATGGCTAAGGTACTGGACAACTTTAGAACTCTCTTTTGACGTTCTCGGGAAGGGACAAATACGATAGTTGTAGATTAAATGGCTATCGTGATCAAGTGGAAGGCGATCACCAGGAAATCCCCGTCGATGCATTGGGGAACCTTCTGCAATGTCCAGACCAGTGCCAGTGTTTCCAGCTCCGTTGGCCAATAAATATTCTCGGCTAAGTTCAACGCTCGGGATCAGATGTGCCTATAGTATGTAGCCAGGCATATTTTGAGACTGGCTAGGCTTAGGCTGAGATCTTGATGACATTGAAGCCGAGAATTGTAGCTGAAATAGCCAGTAAAGTGACAGAGTCTTGAGTTGCTTGTTCTATCTAAAGATATCCTCATCTCAGCTCATGAGGTGACTTGACGTTCGCGCGGTGGAATTGTACTCCGCGGGATGTTATAGGGCAGAGTTTAGGGCATTGCGCGTGCAGATTTCCAATATATTTGAGAAGGCGCAGTGGAGGGGAGGAGACACGCGCTTGCCTTGCCCGCAAACTCCAATTCTATCAACTCCAACCTGCGCCTCTCAATATTACTCGATCCTCACTTGATCGACTTGATGTTTCTACCCTCCGCACAACAGATTACACCTTGGTCTACTACCACATAAGAGATCACGTTGGCCCACCTCTCCTAGCACCTCTCCTAGGTACTATATCGAGTCTTTGACGGTTATTCAACTGGTTCTTTAGCCATCATGTCCCTCACCACCGTTGATCGGCTGGACAAGCCTAGCTCATACTTCACAGCCAGAGTAAGGCTTCGGTCTCGTTTGGTTTGCTCCTGCGACAAGCACTGACTTCCATTAGAAACAGCGTCGATATCAAGGGCGACAAGATGATGGTGCAGGCGCCGAGAACAAAGAAGAGGAGGACCCATTGAAAGATGCCACTACCCTTTACGTGGGCAACCTGTCATTCTACACAACAGAAGAACAGATTCATGAGCTGTTCTCAAAGTAAGGTCTACTCCACCTTTTCTACAACATCCAGTGTCGCATTGACATGACTGACCATGCGCAGGTGCGGTGAAATCAAACGCCTTGTCATGGGCCTAGATCGGTTCCAAAAGACTCCATGTGGGTTCTGTTTTGTCGAATATTACACCCACCAAGAAGCCCTGGACTGCATGAAGTATATTGGCGGGACGAAACTCGACGAACGTGTCATTCGCACCGATTTGGACTCTGGCTTTGTCGAAGGCAGACAGTACGGTCGAGGCAAATCCGGAGGTCAGGTCAGAGACGAGTACCGAGATGAATTTGATCCTGGCCGCGGTGGTTATGGTCGAGCCATTGATGCAGAACGGAGAAAGGAAGAGGAGGAATACGGGACCGGTCGATAGGAAGCACGTGTTTCTATGTCTATCACGCCTGAAGTCACTATCTATCTGAGTATGCTGCATCAACGCTATTGACGGGGACAATGCCATCGCGACCTGGATCCTAAAACAAACCCTCATCATACAGCCATTCGATCAGTCGACTCGACCACTCGGTTCAACCACCAGACATGGATCCTCGCATCGGCGGTCAATTCGGGGTGGAAGCTGGTGCCAAATACATTTCCCTGTTGGACTGCGATGATATCACCAACCTCGTCACCAGCACTGACCTCCTCCCCGCCTGTCGATGCCTTTCTGACCCGACCGGGCAACTTGCCCATGATCTCGACAGTAGAACTCATGGCCAACCGGGCGCGGTCATCCTTTGCCGACTTTGAAGGTGCCACCACCGTCTCAGCGACCTGTTGTTCGTCCTTTTGGATTCCATCCACATTTGGCAGGATTTTTTCCACCACCGGCGCTCGGATGAAGATGCCTTGAAATGGCGCCGGGGATGATGATGAACCATTAGTTTGATTCGCGGCCTCGTTTAAGAAAGGAAGATCCAAGTCTGCTTGGAAACTCTCGACCTGTCGACCAAAATGATTACGATTGACTCGCACATCAAGTCCACCAATGAGTTCCTGACCTCCCTTTTTGGTCGCGTTTGCTGCCTCGGCAAGGAGAATGAGACCTGCACATGTACCCCAGGTCGGTTTTCGATGGACTCTTGATTTAATTAGTTAGTGGTTGGTCGCAAAGCAACAGGGAGAACGACGGGACATACTTGACAAATTCTCTAAGTGGTTCCAATAAACCAGATTGCGCAGCCACCAAAGACATGGTCGTGCTCTCGCCACCGGGAATAATCAAAGCATCACATTTTGATAATTGAGCCACATTTCGAACTTGAATTAAATCAAAGTGTAATTCATCTTGTGATGTTGAATCTGATTGTGACTGTAATTGTGTCGCCGCTCGTCTAAGGAGATTTAAATGTTCGAGAAATGCTCCCTGCAAGGCGAGCACGCCGACGGTGATGGTGGTGGGATTGGGCATTGTGCATTGATAGAAGACCCAGGAAAATGGTGCTGCGTCGATTGCGATTGCTGTGAAATGTGAAAGTGTTTCGATGGACCGCGATAACAACGACTAACCAGTCCAGTCCAGTCCAGTCCAGTCCAGCCCCAGACGCAACAGAAATGTAATCAACTGACAATATCACCGTCCCCAAGACAACACAACACAAGATAAGATGAGCCGAGTACGGAGTACTAATAAGGTACTTAGATGTGGAAGAATGGATGGATGTTACGATAACCGCTTCGTGCTTCGTACCAGTCAGTTTGAGTCACAAAGTCACATAATTTTATTTTTTTGCTTGGTCATGACATGACGCCTGAGGGCCCCGACGCACGCCCGCCGCCCGCCCGCCTGTTATCCCGCCGCTCGCCGTGGATTTCCGCTCCGGTCAAACACACAGACTTGAGACATGACATGGATTGGACACTCGTACTGTCCTTAACTAACGACCTTATGCATATGTTATTTGTCGGTCCCTTTGATCCTCACGTCCTATGGCTAGACTTGGCTTGAAGAGTATTATTATACAATGATAACTTTAATAGTACCTAGTCATTAGTCCTCAGCGTATCTTACTGGAAGATCCCAGAGCAATATGAGTCACGTGATGTTGATTTCCTCTGACAATGCATCTCTTCGCCCTTCCATGTCAAGGACGGACCGGGAACCAAATCGGGCAACTTAAATTACAACGACAACGACAATGGTAGTGATGGATGTGATTGAAAGAGTGATAGTAGAAAAGAAATGCGTCGGCGATACCCTCTTCGAGAACCCACATTCAACTTCAACCTTATGAGCAAAGCAATATATTCCACAAGACACAGAAAGGTCTGCATCAGCTCCAATAGATATTTATAAACTTCAACAATTACTTGAAAGGATGACAGCCATTGTCAAGAATAGGAAACTGTCGGCTTTGGCTTCAGTTTAACCAAGTCTCTTCAAATGTAACGTCGCAATTGCTTCAAGAAGCGGGCTTTTGCAGCATGTCTCGCTCAAATGCTGGAATCAAAAAGCACTTTGGCCCCCATCGAGGTCTTTGCATTCGTAGATGTGAGGTTTCAGTGGTGTCCATCTTGGTCTCTGGCAATGAGCCCTCCTCCACACTCTTAAATCTCCTTCACCTTGCAATATTCATTCCAGACATTCACAATGATTTGTCCAGGGATCAAATGTGCAATCTGATGAAACATATTATGACTTGAATGTCAGATAGTCGGCAGCCTGTTGCCAATGTTAGCTTCGTTCACACTCCCCAGAACTTCGAGACTGACCTTGTCAATATTATAATCAAACCTCTCCAATGCAGAGAGGCTTTCCTCTCGAGTCCAACCCATAGCTGTCAACCTCTTCAAAATCGGGTCGTCATGTTCCGTTCCAGTGCTGAGAGCCCGGCCTGCCTGTGGACGATCCAGCTTCGTGTTGTTTGCAGGAGGTGGCGACGCTGCTGGTGGAGATGTATTCGGAGCTCCAGTCGTTGCTGCAGAGACGGCTACATTGGGCGCTGGACCTGATGTGGAGGAAGGCCCAGGAGAGATGACGTTGGGAAGTCCGTCTGTTGGGGCGACATTGTCCGCTTTAGAATCTAGGGGTGCGAAAAGCGAATCCCAATCGTGTGATGCCGAGGGTTGGGTGGTACCAGAGGCAGCAGCCGTGCCGTTTGTCACGGAACTGTATACTGTATTCGCGGCTTGCGGCTGGGATGGAGAGTCAAACGTGGGATCAAAGTCTGCCGTGTTCTGTTTCGGCGAAAAGAGGTCTTCGTCCGACTCGTCGTCGTCATCAGCCACAGGTGCCGCTCCTACCTCAGCAAAGGCAGAATCAAAGTCAAAAGGTGCGGCTTTTGTGGGAGGAGGCACGGAAGCGCTGGACTCCGATGGTTTTCGCGCATGAGCCTCGGGACCGTAGGATGGCGACGTGGTACCAGCGAGAGCATCCTCGGCTCCGTCATGAGGAGAGGTAGGGTCTTCTCTCTCGGGAAGTAGACCCTGGAACTCTCGTGGAAAATGAGAAGGATTCTCTTCTGGAACAGCCTCGCCATAGGTTGGGGGGGATTTCTGTTGGTCAATCCCCGGTAAAGAACTCGCGGCAGAGGCTGTGCTGTCCAGAGGAGGTCGAAGGGCAGCTACAGCAGCTGGGGCTTCAGGCTGCTTGCCAGCATCCTTCGACACTCCTGCCGTATCTTTCGGAGGCGATCGGGTGTTGAAGTCATCGTCAAACTTCATATGCTCGTCACTGTAGTCGCTGTCGCTTTCGTCGTCGTCACCTCCAAATTCTTGTATGTCGGGGAACTCTTTGTTCGCGGCGCTAGTTGTGCCATTTGCAACTGCGGGCTTGTTGAAACCAGCGAATGCTGAATCAAAATCAGCTGCTTGCTGGGATGCGGAGCGTTGGTGAGCTGGGCCACCAAAGACGTCATCAAAAGTCGATTCGGGATCTTTTCCCTTCCCCTCCGCTTTGACGTCGCCATTACTTGCTAGAGCGGCAGCTCCGGCGGCGGCGGCAACCGTTGCAAGTCCTGCGCCCGCCGCGATTGCACCTGTCGAGCCAGCAGTTGCTGGTGTCTCAGATCGTGACCCCTCAGGAAACGCTCCCGGGATGCCAGACAACGAAGCAGATGGGTTGCCAAAAGCGTTCTCGACAGATTCTTTGGGTGTTGATGCTTGAGGAAGACTTCGTTTCACAGATTCTTGCTCCTCGTCTGGCGCTGCGGCTGTCGAGAAAGGATCGTCACCAAATTCTCGTTGAGTGTGGGGACTAGATGTCCCAGTGGTTGGAGTTAGAGCACGCGGTGTGTCTGCAGGGCTCAGTCTGCTCACAGGCTGTGCCACCCTGACCGAAGAGCTGATGGAATCCTCTCGTCCTAAAGGCTGGCGGAAGGGAAGGGCAGCAGATGTGATTTGTTTTGACTGAGGTGGGGGAGGAGGTTCCACCACTCCGGTTGGTGTCGATGAAGAAGGTGAAGGCACCGAAGGGATCTCAGGCGCTTCACCTGGTGGGGAAGACTGACTTGAGAATGACACGGGAGGGGCTGCACCAGCCCCAGCTGCAAAAGATGGGCCAAAGATACTATCAAAGGTGGTCTGGTTATCTCGAGGCTCTGGGCTTCCGATAGGGGGCGAGAATGACGTCTCTGTTGTCCGCCGGAAGAAAGGGTTTGAGGTTGTGGATGGAGCCGGGCTTGCAACCGGAGACGGGTCCTTGACGGTCGGGACCGGAACGTTTTGCGCTTCTTCCAACTCCCTTTTGCTGTCCTCGAGCTCGCGCGCAGACTCCTCGGCTTCTCTCAGTGCGTCCTCAACCTGCTGGTGAGCAGCTGCTATTTCCGCTCGGATGCGATCTCGCTCCGCCTCATTGGTAGCCAATTGTTTTCGATTGATGGCAACTAGTCCTTTTTGTTGTCTGGCGTCCGACTTCAACTTCTCTAGTTGCGGTTTGAGCTGCTCACTTTCCTGGTTCGAGAGTCGGATCCGCTCTTTCAATGAAGCATTCTCTCGTTGATCGGCTTCCAATGCGGCGCGGACTTGTTGATGTTGAGCTACCAAGTCTTGGCGAGTGCTTTCAACCATAGCAATTTCTTGCTGAAGCCGCGTAGTATCATTTTTGGAGGCCGACAATTGTTCTTGTAATGTCTTGACCTCCTTGACCTCTTTCTCATACAAAGCTCGCAGCTGGGCTAGACGGCCCTCAAAGGCTCGCTTCTGAGAGGAGGTGTTTGACAAGTCCTGGCTGGTCCGCTTCCGTGTGCCGTGCAGCTCAGTCATCTGTTTGGAGAGGGTGCTGACCTGATTCGACAGGTTTCCTAGCTCACTGGTTTCGCTTGTCAGTTTTGAGCTCACTTCTGGGTCAGCATCGCCGAGCAAGTCGTCAGTAGGAGGAGGTGAGCGTGTCTGGTTTGGAGCAGGAGAGCCTGTAGACTGCGGAATGATGCTCTGGCCAAATGAACTGGTTGGGATGAAAGGCTTGAAATTAGTCGACGTCGTCTGTGGGGAGATGGTCGTGGGTAGGGATGGCGGGTTCGCAAATGGGCCAGCATCAGTGCCACCAGTGGATTGCGCAACCTGCTGGGGTGCAGCAGTAGGAGGAGGTCCAAAGGCGTCCAGACCAAAGAGGTCATCAGCCGCTGAGCGTGGCTTGGTGACGGTCGCATTCTCAAACGCGGGGGCAGTCGGTTGAGGTGGAGGGATGGTATGCTTCCGCATGCTGGGAGGGATCAGCGCCGGGGGCAATGTGCTGGGAAGCACTCCTCGACCGTCTCTGGTGCCTCTTTGCTGTCGAATAAGGTACATGGCAACGGCAAATTCGTCTTTGCTGAGCTGTCCCTCGGAATTGATATCTGCAAGATCCCAGATTTGTGCCAGAACTTCCTCAGGCAGTCTCGCATTGCCGAAAAATTCGACAGCTTGGTCGCCGGTGATGAAGCCTCGTCCACTTCGATCGACGGTGGCAAAGATAGAATCGAAACGAGCTTTGTCGGCCGGGGAGACGAGCCAGGCTTCTCCAGTTGACTGATTTGACAGCGGAGTCGCAATTGGTTGTCGGGTAATAGGACTCTGAGGTCGTTGATGAAAGCTTCCGGAGAATTGGGGAGGGATATTTGGGATGGCACTAGATCCTGGGCGGGAGCCGCTGCCTGCTCGGACAGGAACTCGTCGCTGGGCAGCTTCATACAAGCCCGGGGGGAGAGTGTTGGGTATAGCGCGGAGCTGGCCTGACTTGTGAGAGGCAAGAAGATGCATCGCTATGACGAACTCGGTCATGTCCAGGGCACCCCGACCTTGGGTGTCGGAGAGGGCCCAGATCTTACCCAAAACATCATTGGGTAGACCGGCTCGTTCAAAGATTTGTTTTGCGAGAAGGCCAGATAGGAAGCCATTCTCTGCACCCGACTTTTCGAAGAGAGAGGAATAAGTTGCGACCTTGTCTGGTGTCAGGGCTGGGACACGGATGGGAGCGCCTCCAGGTACTGAAGGGCTCGCGGGTGGACCGGTCGCTTGAGGAGGTAATGACACGGGGGTTGATTGTGCTGGAGTGGGAGCTGAGATGGTGTCGAATCGAGGTAAGGGAGCGGCTACTACAAGTCAGCGATGATATAGGAGATGTATGGTGGTTGTTACGTTGTGTTGCCAAAGCGGCCGTTGGAGTACCACCGGCTTGTGCATGGCCAATGAGTCGCAAAACGACTCCAAAGCCTGCTGGGGTAAGAAAGCCTCGATTCTCGACATCAGCAATCTGCCAAATCTGGAGACGAGTTAGAAGGTATGGTAGAGACGGACTGAGCGAGCAAGACAGACCTGTCCAAGCACGTCCGGTTGTAGCTTTGTACGTTCAAAGAACTTGACGGCAACATCGCCCGAGACTGCTCCAAAGCCGTCCGGATCGGCCTCTTTCAGTAGTTGGCCATAGACTCGCTTCTCCTCGGGGCTCAGGTTCAGGTTAGGATGGCCTGGGAAGTGGCGGATTAGCTTGAGTTGTGAGGAGCAACGACGGGGGAGTGATGACATACCCGAGCCTGAAGAGCCCATGGTCTCCGTCATGGTTACGGAGGGTTTGGTTGCAGACGAAGCTGTTGTAGAATTTGAGGGATGGAAGGCAGCGCAGTTGTCAAAATGACATGGAGAGCAACGGCGGCAGTCACCTTTCGCGTGGGAGGGAAAGAGTGGACGAGGAAGGCGCGACCGCGGACGCCGAGGGATGGAAGGAAGGTGAGTGGAGGAAGGAAGTCGGTAGGATGATAATTAGACTTAAGACGAGGAATAGCCAAAAGAGTGAGAAGAGGCTGGCAAATAGATTGATTCCAGGTACCACGAGATGACAAAGTTCAGATCGCAGGCGGACGTGGAAACGAGAGGGATTGAGTTGTACGAGTTGGTTGGTTGCGATGACGAATGCGGACGAACCATGAACCGATGGAGAAGAGATTCGAAGACAGGTCCAGAAGCTGTTGGATGATGTAGGGAGGGAGCTCGGTGGGTGGCCGACTTGGGTACGGGTGGTCGGGGGGCGCTAAGCTCTTCTTCCTTAGGCTTCTCCGGCAGGCTCTTGGAGAGTGTATAGGAAGTACGAGGGGCCTGGCTGGGGAAGTCTAACCATGCAGGTGCCCACTACCGCCTTTGCCGTTGTGCGCTAAGTAGTCTGGAGGTGCCCCAGCTCGCCTACTCCGTGGGTGCTAGCCCAAGTCTTGGCACCTGACTACAACTGTCAGGTGGAATGGCTTCACTGGAGCAATGCTTTAGAGGCTCTTATGCATGACTGAATGACCTTTCGCTTGAGCCTCATCTGCAGACTTTGCTTCCTCGAGAGAATGTACGCTTGAGCAATTTGATGAATTACACGATAAACAATCCTGGCTCCGATGCACCTTGCGATGGCTCTTCCAACCCTGAGAGCCGTCTATCACAACCGATCAACAGACTGTGCCAGACGACAGTCACTACTTGTGCTCAGTGTTCAATCTCGGAGCCATCGCCTTCCTCGAGAGAATCGCTAGCCACCTCCTCGTAGTCACGCTCCAACGCAGCAAGATCTTCACGTGCTTCTGAGAATTCTCCTTCTTCCATACCTTCACCCACGTACCAGTGGACAAAGGCACGCTTTGAGTACATGAGATCAAACTTGTGAGATAGAGCAGACCAAGCTTCAGCAATTGCTGTGGTGTTGGAGAGCATGCACCTGTTCATGTTAGCTCGGCTTCACACTCTGGTCATGGTTGTCACTTACACGGCACGGTTGACTTTGGAGAGGTCTCCATTTGGCACCATCTGAGGGGGTTGGTAGCAGATACCAATCTTGAATCCGGTAGGGCACCAATCCACGAATTGAATAGTGCGTTTGGTCTTGAGTGTTGCAACTGCGCCGTGGACATCGTGTGGCACGACATCACCTCGGTACAGCAGGCAAGTGGCCATATATTTGCCATTGCGAGGGTCACACTTGACCATCTGGTTGTTAGGTTCAAAGCAGGCCATAGAGATCTCGTGGACTGAGTTGGCTTCATGCTGCGACTTTGCTGCTGAGATGATCGGAGCATAGGCGACCAGGGGGAAATGGATTCGGGGGTATGGGACGAGATTGGTCTGGAATTCTGCCAGGTCGACGTTGAGCGAGCCATCGAATCGGAGCGAGGCAGTAATGGATGAAACGACTTTATTCACGTTAGCAACTTCTGCCTTATCCGCGTGGTCTGTGTTGGCCTACCTTGAGCAATCAGTCGGTTCAGGTTCTCGTAGTTGGGTCGTTCGATTCCTAGGTTGCGGCGACAGATGTCATAGATGGCCTCATTGTCGACCATGAAACTGCAGTCAGAATGCTCCAAGGTGGTGTGGGTGGTCAAGATCGAATTGTAGGGCTCAACAACTGAGGTGGCATTCTGAGGGGCCGGGTAGACGACAAATTCGAGCTTGCACTTTTTGCCGTAGTCGACGGAGAGGCGCTCCATGACCAAGGCCCCGAATCCGGAACCAGTGCCGCCACCGAACGAGTGGAAAACCAGGAAACCCTGGAGACCACTGCAGTTGTCGGCCACACGACGCACCTTATCAAGGACTTGATCGATGAGCTCCTTACCAACGGTGTAGTGACCGCGGGCATAGTTGTTGGAAGCATCCTCTTTTCCGGTGATCATTTGTTCCGGGTGGAACAAGGAACGATAGGTACCAGTGCGGACTTCATCAACGACGTTGGGTTCCAAGTCGGCGTAGATGGTGCGAGGGACGTATTTGCCATTGCCTGCGGAGCCCGGTCAGCACATATTTGTCTGTCTATCTGTCTGTCTTTTGGATAACGGCCATCATCGTACCAGTCTCGGAGAAAAAGGTGCTGAATCCCTGGTCAGGGTCGGCGGCTTTGCGCTCTTCTGTGAGGAATCCATCAGGCTTAAGAAAGAATTAGTTGTGCGTCTTGTCAGTGGGGGTTTGGCTGCGGGTACCTGAATGCCATGTTCCAGACAGTAAAGCTGCGCGGTTGGAGTCAGAGAAAGTGGTGTCAGGTGAGGACGGGATACTGCATACCTCCCAGCAGGAGTTGGCAATCTGACAGCCAGCCTGGCCAACTAGTGTCGACAGTCAGTATGAGGTTGTTGGCATTTTTGTTCAACAGGGAGACCAGGGGATGGGGATGTGCAAGACAGGGGCAGACGCGTGTTGGACATACTGTTCAAACTGATGACTTCTCTCATGGTGATGACGGCTAATGTGTGTATGTGAGAAATGAAGGTTTGATGGATGAGAAAGGTCAATTGGAGACGATGGATCCCAATGATTTGGACCAGTGCACGGCGAGGTTCAATAGAGGGTCTGTCCAAGGGGGTGGTGGTGATTGTTGGTGTTGTTGATTGTGGGGTGGGCAAGTCACTGGCTCACGACTTGAGACTGGCGTTGATTGGCGCTGCAGTCCCAGTCCAGTTTTGGCCTCCGTCGCGCCTTCCCGGGTGGCCGTGTGTTTTTCTCACCGCCTAATCGCCTACACTAGCGCGAGCACTTACTCCATTTTGGGTTAGTCTATCCTACGGTAGAACTCTGTCACGTTGATCCGTTCCGGAAGCCCCTCATCCCCTCTGGAAAGGAACAACATTGACACGAATGCACGTGATATTCAATAGATGGCTTGGCATGACGCTTCAGTCATTCTATAGAGCGGGACAGGCTGCTATTCTCCATCTGTTCACATCTACAGACTATCAACCATCCCTCGACTGATTGCATTTCGCATCAGACAAGATGTGGATCCTGCAGTTCCTGTTGGGCCTGGTCCTGACTTCTCTCCTCGTGCACGTCGATGCCAATACGGAAAAAGTGGTCTTTGTGGCTCCGGCAGCTGAGCCATTGCCCTCTGATGCCAGTATTGACAACTTGTTATTGACATCCTTCTCCGAGCCTTTCCCCAGCGCCCGAACATATATCAATGCAAGCTTCCCAACCAAAGACTCGGAGAAGGGGACTGTAACTTGGTTCTTGTTGGAGCAACTACAGCCAGGCAGACGGTACGAAGTCCGTATCTGTTGGCTTGCAACCGTGAGTCTGTTCCGCTGGTGACTTTGATTCTGGCTGACATAATCCAGCAACCCACTTCATTTTGGCTCTACACCCACTCCATTGATCATGTCTTTGGAGATGCAGATCTCATCACATCTCTGAGCGGATACGCCTACGCCCGTCACGACCATCTGAGCTCCGAAGATATCATCTCGTTGCAGGCGCGTAAGCCTCCCAAATCGACGGCTGCTTCCACGACGACTCTCTTCCTTCAGGTTTTCGCCATGGCCGACTATTACAGTCTTGACACTGATTTGATGGAGCACGTCCCCCCGGTCGCGGTTGATGTCATTCTTGACCCTTTTATTCTCAACGTCCTTCCAAGATCGCTTCTGCCGACTGGGCTGTACCTGGTATTGATTGTAATTGGAGCCTGGTTGCTCTCTGGTTGGGTGTCCAAGAAACTCACGGCTCGTTCGCCAGATGGAGATGTTGTTTTTGATTCCAAGAAACCACTGTAAGCCTTTCAAGTCCCGAGCATGGCAAATGGGTCTGCGGTCTGATCAAACTCAGTCATGATTGAGAACAGAGGAAACTCCTCGGCATAGGATGGAAGGCTAGGGATTCCTGATCCGTCGGGGGAGAGATAATCATTGTCAGGCAGCTGTCCGAACTCGGGCTGAGGTAGGCCTGGTAGTGGGCCCGAGCCATTCGGATCATCTCCCGTGTACGCCAGTGCGCCAGAAGTGGTCAGGACGGGGCCCCGACCATCAGCCTCCATCTCGAATCGTAACTGCCAGGGTGGCTGCGTATCCATTGCGTCGATGGCGTCAAAATTAAAGGGAACATTGTTGACGGCGGGATCGTCCATCAACGGTTGGCTAGGGGTCTGGTCACCCGTGCTCGGCGCAGATCGGCGGGTGTTGTCCTTATTGATGGGGTCTCCAAAGATGTTATGGATGTCTTGCCTCCGCCTCTGCATTTGTATCTGGTCGCGCTTTTTGATGTGCTCGATGGCGGCGAGCCGCAAATACAATGTGATGGTGTACAGGCGACGGGCAGAAACATCGTCCTTGGCCATAATGGTCAAGATGGCCTCGGCTTGGCTGATGCTGCTCAACAAGGGAAAGGATTTGTCAAAGTTTCCAAAGATGGCGAATCCAATGACTATGCCTGAAATGAAGACACTGTTGGTGATCATGAACAACCGTCGAGGAATGCCTGGGGTGTGGACCAGGTCGGTGGCAATCTCAATGCTTCTGAGAGCGGCATCGATGCAGGCCTCGCTGAGGGTCATGGTCACATTGCTGCCGGCACCGTCGACCTCTTCGTCGCGATTTTTGATTTTGGACGAGACCTTGTAAATCAAAAAGGGTCTCGTGAGCAGGATGATGGACCAGTAGTAGATGCCCTTGAGATGAGCAATGCCGATGGATTGTCGCAGGGTGGGTGAGGTAGAACCAGGCTTTTGATCGAGACTGTCCGCTTGCAAGCCCGTGGGCAACGACATGGTCCAGTCTCGATACTGCCTCGAGATGCTTTCGACCAATTGTACAGAGACTTCACGGCGACAATAGACCTCGTTCAGGATCCTCTCGAATATGAAACAAATTCTCAATGTAGCCGAGGTATTTCTGCCGTTCATTTGAATGTCCTCGTAGTCGCGGGTGGAGCGATTCCACGACACGCTTCCACCGTCAACTTCCGAGGTCGACGGTGGACGGCCGAGAGAGCCACTCATGTAGAGGTCGAGCACGCGGAGACTTCTCCAGACGCGTTCACGTGCGGTCCGTTCGCGGGGCTCAAAGAGACTGGAGATATCGATTCGATGGAGGCCCAGGGCATAGGCGGCGCGAACGGCAATACCCAACAACATAAAGGCACCGTTGCGCCGAGTGGCGGAGAGCATATAAAAGGTGATGAGGGCATATGCCTGAACGGTCAGGACGCTAGGATCTTCGAGAAAGCGGGAAACACCAATTTCGCGACCGCGACTGAAGTAGAACTCGGCGGTATCGAGGTCGGCGGGACTGCGAGCCAGGGCGCCAATTGCCAATACTAGGTAGTAGATGGAGGAGTTCAGGTCGGTCTCGGAATTGGCATCTGTGGTCCAGGTGCAGAGATGATCGGTGATGTCGTCGGGGTCAAAGAGGTCGATGACACCACTGGAGGCCAGCAAGTAATGCTTGATCAGATCCTGTGCCTCTGCCAGACTGGGCTTGGGATGCTTCGCTTGTTGAGGCGTGGGAGCTTTGTGAGGTGGGATTACCTCGACCATGGCATGGCGCAAGGGGTCGGAAGTGAGTTGACATTCTCCAATATCGACTTTGACGAGGCGGCGGATGTTCTGGACAAAGGCCAAATTGCTCGAGTCGCCGACAAAGATGAACTTGCCGCGACCATCTCGCAATAACCTGGCCAGCTTAGGGACGGGGGCGCGTGAGATGAGGGCATCCGGATCGCGGTCGTACTGAGGTGACTTGGGAGCACTCCTTGAACCAGACAGGGTCAACAAGGACTCGATGGCGATTTCGGCATCGTTTGATTCGTTGAGGGCATCGCGAAGAGTCATTGACTGCGCTGGCGAGGGGGCTTCGGGCTCTGCACTATTGTCTTGGGGTTGGCGACTGGCGGTGGAAGTGGAAGTGGAAGCCCGTTTGGCTAGGCCATCGGAAAAGACACATTCAGGCTCACGACCACGACGTTTACATAGTAGACAAGGATGTTGGCCGTCGCATTTCTCCTTGCGGCGTTTGCAGGTGTCGCAGGCACGCGAGACTCTCTTTCGGTCCTCGTCCTTGACGCGGGGGCGAGGCATGTCTCTCACCGGGTGCGGGTCATACAGACGAATTTCCGGGGTCAGAGGATTGTATCAAGATTGTTGTGGCCCCAGGATGTCGTTGCCGAACCCGGCGGTGGAGGAAGTGACGGAGGTCTGACGAAACAGGTGGGAAATCGGATATAGCACCTTAGAAGGAAGAAATCTGGAGATGGACAAGGACAAAACTGAGTGTGACCCGGAAGAGGGCGTGCGACGGGGGGCCGAGGGTCTAGGAAAGTTGGGGGAGTGAGGGAGCCAGGAACTATGCAGGAATCATCTCTTGTCATCCTCGCACAAATACTCGACACCTGAGTGGTTGTGGTGGCGGCATAGGCTAGGGCCGAAGGGGCACATGTCCTGCCCAGATTTTCACCAGGAAGAGACGAGTTGTGGGGGGACACTGGGGACAAGGAGGACGACGAAGAGAGTCTGAGGACGAGGGGGGGCGTAGCGTAGCGGGGTAAAGGTGTCAGGGTGTCAGGGTGTCAGGGTTGAGGGTGTGAGGGCGTTCAGGGTGGAAGGATTTGCGTGGGTTTGACACTCAGGCACGCGAGGCACTCCACAAAAAAGAGAAAAGACAGACGAGAGGAGATGAAGAGAAGGACAGCAGAAGAAAGACGCTCTGGGCCATCTTCTCCAGGGCAATTGGGTGCTGCTCCTGCCACAACCCACAGCCAAACCTTGAAGAGGCACGAGGCACTTGGCAAGGCTGGTGGTTGGCCCAGATTGGAATTGAAGATCCACTCAAAAGAGGGCTTCCCAAGCATTTGGTCCAATCATAAACGCTATATATCCGGAGGTCACCGTTATTGGAGAATGGAAAGCCGCTAGTCTAAATGCGGCGAGGTGGTCCCCATCCGAAAGTATGGAGAAGTCATGCGCGAAGGAGCAAACCAGAATAATGCAAGTGACAATGGGGGCATACACTCCTGCTTCTTGCCATTATGAATTATGCCAACACGTTCACAGCACCTTCCCGGTCTGAATCGAGACAAGACGCGTTCCTTCCATATATTGCAAATATACTTGCGGCAAGAACGTGACGAACGGCTTTCCATTCTTCAAAATCCCAAACTCCAAAGAATGTGCGCAGTTTCATGAGTTCACCGCCCACACAGAGAGAACATCTCCCTCAATAATCATGCTATGATATGGCATTTCTCTAGAACCCTCTGCCGGATCCCTGCGTCGCCAAACCGTCCCCAGACTCGCCTTGGGCATCCTGTGGCGCCAGATTTACATCATACTTGAGCTCCAGCTGGGCCTGCTCATCGCCTTTCCGGGGAACAAACTCTACCAGTAACGAGTCCTTGACTGCAAACACTGAGTCGTCATCTAAGTACTTGCTGGCCTTGTCGAATATCTGTGTCGTGATGGGCTTGTATCCTTCCAGCAGAACCTATAACGCCACGCAGGTAAGTCAGGGTGTGGTGGGCAGAAAATACAACATGAGCACCACTTACAATTAGATGAATATGCGCTGGCCGATATGGGTGGCGATCCAACAACTGCAAGAGCTTGCCCGCAGGCCCATCGAACGGGATTGGATAAGGAGTTGGCCGCAGGCAATAAAATGCATATTCCCCATTAGCATCCGTCACAAATTTGCCTCGCAGGTTGCAATCGATCTGATCGGGATCTTGTTGTTCATAAAGACCTAGTGATGCTCAGTCAGACTTTGATTCTCTTCATGAGCTGGCCAGCTCATCTGTTTCACTGCCGTTGATCTCTTACCGTTGGTGGAAGCCTCCCACACGTCAATTGTTGCATTAGCCAGAGGCTTCTTGGTCTTTGCGTCCACCACTTGACCATACATGTACACCACCTCGGCATCTTTGGGGGTATTGAACGAAATGGTTGCACCCTTTTCTCGAATAGGATGGTCATGTCTAAAGAAAGGGCCGAGGATTGCGCTCTGGGTGGCCAAATCTGACGCCTCGGATGCTTTCTTGTATGTGATCTCGTCGACAAGTCTAGAATGCAGAGATCAGCCACATGCCCACATGCTATACTCTTGGAAAACACTGTAGAACATACGATTCCAGTCCGACAACATCACACACTAATTGCCCCTCGTTTCGTTTATCGTTGCTCATCTGCCCAGCCCAGTTAATCAAAGCGACACCTTCTGTCCACTCGTCGACGGTCAACTCGACTTCTCGCGCAAAGTCGTGTAAATGTCTGGTCAAGCTGGTCATGACTTCTCGCATGCGAGGACTGGTTTTGGGGCCCATGGCATCAATAACTTTCTGGGTAAAGGTAGGGTCGAATCGATGGGCGGCGGCGCCGTTGACACCTTTAGTGCCGTTGGTAGCCATGGTGTAGGTTGGCACGAAGAAATAGGAACGGAATCGGAAAGGTGACTTTTATATTCCCAAGAGATTCTGATATATCGATCTTTTTACCCCACGTTTGACAAAGTCGTAAAACAACAGAACATTCAACAGCACGCACCAAGAACAATGAAAGAAAGAAACATCCCAAATCGCAGTCGCATGCCATGCTGTTTATGTAGACCCAGAGTGGTCCAACGGCGGCAGTACGTACCAGGATGGGGACCCCGCTTCCCGAAAGCCAAACCCTCAGCCTGCCGACTCCATCATGTGCTTATTTCCAGACATTGCCATTCGTGTACGACGTTGTATTGGCGTCAGTCCCAATCCCGAATACCTTTTTAGTTTCTAGTTACTTGAAATATACTCCTACTGGGGTTATCTCTCCTTGTCTATGTAGGAGGCCTTGGACGCCTCAGAATAGGCCTTCAGTCGATCGCTGACCGAAACGTCACGAGGGGCGAATTGGCCCCTCGGCCTCCAGTATTCGTATGTGCTTATAGTCTTGGATACCAACTTTTCCGCGTGTCATTCCAAACCCTGCATCGGATCCCGATACCAGGTGGACGAGCCAAGCCAAACTGAGTTTAGCTTTGGCATAGCATCGGATGCCTGTCATGGTTTATGGTCACCGTCGGGTTGGTTCCAAAGACACGAACGTGACGAAATACATATCTCCTGCCTCCTGTACGTAGGTACCTGACCTGGTGGGTAGGTAAGGTAAGTTGTCTGGTACTGCTGCATGTAATGTAATACTGCACTGTCACAATGATAATGTCAGGCCTTATATGAACAGATACTTAGGTATGTACTGTATCATTGACTTAATACTGAACGGCCGCGCCAGGTCTGGTATAACCACCAGTTATTACCTACCAGTTTGCTCCTAAATATACAAAGTACCTGTCTGCTCTCCCGTCACTTGATCAAAATACCAACCAATTCAACCACTGAAAATACCCTCACATTCAATTTCTTGACATTTACACTCACTGTCCACGAATTAATCTATCTTTCGTCCTACCGTCCACTTCAAAACAACCTCCTCAACGCAAACTCCCCGAGATACTCTCCTCAACTCTTTTCATCCCGACATCAAGTCCTCATCACATCCCGAACCATCGGAACTGATGTGGGTAATCCGAGAGGAGATGGACGGTGGATATCCGGGAGAATGCTTGGCAGGCCGGAAGATATCACGTGGCCTTCGCTTGGAATAGAATCCCATGCATTGTTCAAGAATCTCATGAGTGTTCTACTTATGTATATCTCGTTCAGAAAATCTACAGGATGAAAGAAATGCTCTGATTATAATCAGATCGATACCAATGTCACATTTCATGAGAATACAGGTACGAGTATTACAAGCATTCATGATACAAAGGCAGACCACCTGAAGGAGGTCCATATCCGACACTCACTCAAAACGCGGGCCGCGCTCGCCTCGTCTTTGAAAATGACCAATCCAATCGAGTCCGTCGCATCGACACTTTACATCCAATGTTGATTTCCAGGCGACGCAAGTACACTACTCGGCTTATGTACGTTGTCTTGAGGCATACCACAGATGGGGCAAGGAGGCTTCCATCAACATCGACCGTCGCAAATTCCAACATGGACATAGACAGCTCGCCGTCGGATGATGTCTTGGTCCGTCAAGATCAGTCACTCAACTGATATTGACATCATCCATCTACATGTCATTTATTCCTGACTGACTGGCCGACTGACTGATCGTCTTTGACTCGCAGTGCATTTCCACGCAATTAATTGTACGCTGTCCAAATCCTCAATTCGATACTATTCAAAGACCACGAATCGTTAGTCTTGACAATATAAATCACGGCTTGCCAGATAAGTAAAGGACAAAAATGCAAAAACACCAATACCAGACTGGGACTTGATACTTACTCCGTGTGAGCTTCCACATAATCCCACCCGTGATTGCCGCCGCCGCCATCACAACCAAGAGGATCGTCATTACCATCCATATACGTCGACGGTATCGAATATACCACTTTCGCCACGGTGAGGATTCAATACCTTGCTCAACGTCCGAACCAGTTGCGATTTGATCATGATTATGAGGATGATCAACGTTCTTATCATTGCGACCGGGTGAGACGATCATATGTGCTGAGTTTTTGACACTGCCACCATGAATTTCCAAAGATGCTTTCTCTTTTCCTTCTCCATCTTCAGGTGCCCATGATGAAATATGTTTATCTTCAGGATAATAATGGTGTTGGTAGGTCCAGGTTTGGGATGTATCACTGACATTATCATCATCCTTTTCATATTCTTGGAATGTATACCTTTCGGTGATGTATGATTCTTCAGATGCAATATCAGACTGTGAATCTGGGACCGAGCTTTGAAGCCGCAGGCCATCGCCGTGTCTGATATGTGTGTCTTGAATAGATTTCTCCTCGCCATACCACGCCCGCAGTCGTCTATCGGTCTTGGTCTCTGGGTGGAGGTATGGATGTAATGCGGCAAATACATCTTCGCTGAAGGAAATGGCATGGTCTCTTGTCATTGTCATCGGCATCGGCATAGGCGTTGGAGAAGGTGACGGTACAAGATGGGTCGCGCTAGACACTATTGCTCTCGTTTGAGCTTTCTCTGGTTTTGCTACCTCAGTCGCCAGCGAGAGAATGACTTTTGGACGGAGATTGTGTAATGATGTTTTCGGTCTGGGCGGTCGTATTGGAATGTATTTATCCTCTTGTCTGGTTTGAGTGGTGACTGCAGGTGGTTTTGTATCTTGTCGCGGTGAGATATGAGAACTGATATCCTTCTCTTCAGAACCTCCGTCCTTTTGCGATCTATTTCCTTCCCTCCTTTCATTCATGTGCAACAGGTTTCGAAGATGAATAAACTTCATACTTGCTGCTGCTGCTGCTGCTGCTGCTGCTGATGAGGAGCATAAAGGCTTGATTGTCGAGACACAAGTTCCCATCCACGACGATGGGATCTACCCTTCTCTTCCCGGTCGAGTCACTTGATTGACTTCGTTGACTTCAGCACCAAAACCTCTCACTCCATGCTATCGCACTCAATCTACAAAAAATCCTTTCCCTCCCTTTCACTAACACCAAAGCAATCTATCTTGTCAGGATCTCTGTGTCGCATAGTCATGTCGCGTCGCTTAGGGCAAATGTACTACCAACCATCCACCGATACGTCCTCATCCAAATCCAATCAATTAGTTAGTCAGTACGACACCATCAGTTTCAATCTCCCTGCTCTCTCCCAACAACTTTTCCAACCTGGCTATCTTGCACCCGATCGCCGTGTGGACTTTCAACGTGAATATCAAATGTAACGAATTCGATTGGAATACTATGTCACACCGTCTAGATGCAGTACAACGTGGGGGCATAGAATCGGAAAGTCAATTGGAAGTGAGTGTTTCTGGGCAGATAGTAACATGACATGCATGTTTTAATGGTGGGTATCACGGACCCCTTTGATCATAGACATTATATTGTAATGTGTGCGGCTGTGCAGCCCATGATGTTGATGGCCGTCAAGAATCACGAATCACGAATCACACTCGCTCAACAGTCTCGTGTCACTGATACACTGACACGGCCGGACTTGGACCTGTATTTGAAATTATGTGTCTGTTCACTGCTGACCCTCACTCTGCTCAGAGTCGCGTATGCATGGAACTATTATCTGTTTTGGCAAAGATCTTGATATTTCAACGTCTAGGACGTTTATGCACGCTATACTCCAACTCCATTCTTGACCTTTCTAACATCATCGAGACACCGTTCCGTTCGTCTTGCTTTTCTTCTTGCTCTTGGACTTGGTCTTCTCTGTGGGATCAGTATCCTTGGACCCTTGAACGCCATTTGCTTCTGTCTTGGTCTTTGACCGGTCTTTTCCCACAGCTCTTGGATCGAGGCCATGCGATTTCCTCCATTTCTTCTCCGCTCTCGCGATAATTTCCTGGTCTCCCTCATCGTCAAACCCACCAAAATCGTCATCTGCTTCTGCTTCTCCAGAGCTAGCCCCATTGGTCGACGCCTTTTGCTCACTGACGCGGACTGTGGTCTCTGCCTCACCCTCGGCCGTTCCATTCGATTGGCCGGTCGCCTTGGGCAAGGGCCCTGTCTTCTTCAACTTACACACGAAGAACCCATCCACATTTTCCCTGTGCGGGAAATATCGACGGGTCAGGTTCATCCTGTCGTCAAACTTTTTGTTCATGTAGCTTCGGAACCCTTCAGTGCCAAAGCTGCCCAAGCCCGTGTCTACAATCCTGACATTCGGCCGCTTGCGCAAGACATATTGGACAACTCCTTCGTTCTCTTCCACTGTGACAGAGCAGGTCGAGTAGACAATGTAACCGCCCGTCTTGCTATTGTGATCTGTCGAGTCGATTGCCGCCAGGAGAAGTTGCTTTTGCATGTGTGGGAGTGCTAGGAAATCTCGTTCATTCTTGCTCGTCTTGACACTAGGATCTTTCCCTATGACTCCCGTTCCAGAGCAAGGGGCGTCCAGAAGGATGCGGTCGAAACCTCCCAGGATCTTGGGGAAAGCCTTTTGTGCATCATAATGGCACACGATGGTGTTTTTGCAACCCATTCGGTGAATATTACCGATCAAACCCTTGGCTCTCTGTCGGTTGGCATCGTTGGCAAAGACAGAGCCCGTATTCCGCATAAGTGCCGCGATGTATGTAGTTTTGCCACCGGGCGCAGCGGCCATATCGAGGACCCGCTCATTGGGTTGGGGTGCCAGAGCCATGACGGGGAGGAAAGACGAGGCTGCCTGTAAGATATAGTGGCCGGCAAGGTACTCTGGGGTTGCACCCAAGGGGACTGGGGCCTCGAAAACCTGAAGACCAACTTTGGACCATTTGCCAACTGGTTCAAGCACCACTCCACGGTTGATGAGGGCTTGGGCCAGGCTGCGACGGTTGGTGCGAAGGGTATTGGTACGCAGAACCACAGGACGAGGGGTTTCGTTGGCTTCAAAGAACGCAAATGCTTCTGAGGGAGTGAAGAGGTTGAAGAGCTTTTCAGCCAGATAAGGCGTATAGCCGTAGTAGGTGCAAATGTCGGCGAGCAACTGGGTAGTATAGTCGGTGCGTGACTTGGTCTTGTCGGCCAGGTTCGAGAAATCTCCAAGAATGCGGATTGTTTCGGTCATGCGGCTTCTTACAACCGCGAGGTCTGGAGCGAGACCTTGCGCAGCCACCGAGTCGAGAACTCCTTGGTCTTGAGCGATGTTGGTTTGGAGCGCATCGTCCTCCAACTCTTGCTGCGCCTCAGCATCAACTTGTGCCTGTTGAGCGTCTAGTCTTTTGGACAATCCTTCGATGTTGGCGGCGGTGAGTTTGGCTTCGGCATCTGAGTCGTCGTCATCAGAGAACATGCGACGTGGTTGATCGTCGGGGTCCGAGTCAAAGACAGAATCCGAGTCTGATAATTCATCTGCATCGTCCAAATCGGGTATATCATCGTCATCTTCTAGCTCCGACAGAGAAGCATCAGCGAGTGGAATGCCGGCTTCGTCACTGTCGTCCTCATCTGCCGCAATAAAACCTGGGGGCGGCACTGTGATTTGGGCATCCTTATTGACCAGCCTTCTCTTTTCTTTTCCCCCGGCCTTGACTGGCTTGAGGTCTTGCCTTGATGCTCGATCAAGATTGACAAGCTTCTTGGGAGACTGTTCGGAGTCTGCAGACTTTCTCCGCTTCTTCGATGTAGGCTCTCTGGAGGTGTCCTGCGGCGACTTGCGCTTTTTATCGAGTCCAAGATCTTTCAGGGTAGGAGGAGGACCCTGTTTCTTCATCCGTCGTCCAGGACCCATGGCTGCGAATCGTATGACGGCGGGCAGCGGTGAGAGTGTGGGTGGGAGAGATCAAAGGTCTTGCAGAGGGCACTGGAGGAAGAATCACGACCCAAAAATTTCCTGGCTCCCACTTTTTTTGCGGGGACTGCGCTTGCCGTTTCTTTCGGGCGCCACATTCAAGTGGCGGTGTGGCTAAATAACATGACAGTTTATTCAGGCAGGTTAGGCGAATATCAATTCATGGATAGATTCAACACCACATTCGAGGTCACCGTGATACTGTCTCTATCTTCGATATCCATGCCAATATGCGTCATTATGAGGGTCCGCATAACTCAGTATGCGGCCTTGACATGTACCAGCGCGCAGCACCATACGGCACGGCCTGTAGATACACTAAATCGAGGCTCAAGAGCTAGCTAAAGTACATGGAGCAAGTAATACTCGACTACGCGACAGTGCGATGCCCCTAAATGATGGATAATTTTGGTGACACCACGCCTAAGAATGCGATTCAGCGCTGATACTGCTCAAATCCACACATGCGCCCCCAATGATGGGGTATATGGCTTCGTTGGTGTCCTGTGTGTCTGGCGGCTGTCGTCATTTACTGCCTCTGGAGTGCTATCCAACCGGGGCGCTTGATCGACTGTTTTCGGTCTTTGCGCTCATGATCCATTCAAACCGCCTAGGAAAGGTGCCGGAGAGTTGGCTCCCGACGATTTCTTCTTGAGTGTCAGAGGGAATTGGTAGTCATCTGGTTCTTCCTCCTCACTGGTAGACAGGTGATTAGCGGGGCCTTGCAAATGATCAACATTCAACTTACGGCAATCTCCAGGCAATGTAGTCTTCGGTGCTCAAACCTTCTTTGCCTTCTTGGAGTGATGCAAAATCACCCGGGGTCATCATGCCCGATCGGTCGCGTGGCGATCCAGGAACCGACAATGGTCGCGAGATCTTTTGCTCGGTTCCACCGATGATGTCGTCAAACTCGTCCGCATCCGTGAACGAGGTCGGGTAGGCCCTTCTCAAGGCTAGTTGCCGAGCCTTGACATATTCCATTCCCATTCTCTTCCAGTCGAGGAGGTCGCTCAGACGCTCAGTCCGATTCCTCTGGTTGATCCGCTGTCGTCGGCTCTTGTTGGCGAACTCAAACATGTAATCCGTGAGCTGATTGACCGAATCGTCGACGCCCTTGTTACGGCGGTCAACAATGTAGATACCATAGTCGGAAGAGTTTTCGATCAATTCTTCCATGTAGCATCCAAAGCCAGACAAGTTGGTCGTGATGGAAGGAACACCCATGACCGTGCACTCGGCCGGTGTGTAGCCCCAGGGCTCATAGTAGGATGCAAACACTCCCAGATGTGTACCTCGGACAAAGTCATCGTAATCGAGGGAGAGCACGGGATTGGCCGAATTCAGGAACTCGGGGTGGAACACGACTTTGACTCGATCTGATGACTGATTGAACATTTGCACCCGTCGCAGCTGGTTCAAAACTGGGTCTTCGGAGTCGTTGACCATGTTGTGGGTGACAATGGGCGGCAGGGAGTTTCTCTTCATGGCGAACAGCCGTCGACGGAGCAGGACCCGGTCGGCTGGGGTGATCAGCTCTTTTTCATCAGGCAGCGGGTCCCCATCTTTCCAATGCACCGATCGCTCAAAGAGTCGTCGGCCAATGCCGCGTTCGATGTTGGCCACGGTGTCGGCTAGAGACTTGGTGACTGCCTGTCCCTTGAGAGAGTCAACCGAGAGCGAAGTAGTCTGAGCGGGCATGATCATGAAGGCGACGACGGTCGTCTTGGAGCCCGATGTCTTGAGGCGATGGTTCAGCCGTGCCAGAGATTCGATGAACATGTCGACACCTTTATTTCGATACTCATACCGACCTGCGGTGAAATAGTAGAGAGTGTTCTCGAGGTCAAAATCGAGGTGGCCGTAGAAATGGCCGCGAACGAATTCGTGGATCTTCTCCTTTTGCACTGAATGGAGATTCTGGAACTCGTGGACGGCGGAAAATTTCTTGACGTTCAGACCATTGGGCAGGACACCGTCAGGCTTGCGTTTGAGGAGATGCTCGCTTTCGAATGCGGTGATGTGGGAAACGGTTGTGAAGACATCGGCCGAATGTGTGGCTGCTCTTTCAATGCAGTATCGGTGGTAGATACCACGTTTGCCGGCCTCGGCGTCGACGTCAAAATACTGCAGATTGTTGTAGAAATCGACCGACCCTGCGCAGAGGTAACGTCCGAGGAGGGTGGCATGTGTGGTGAAGATGGTGGTAACATCCATCTGTCGCTTCTTGGTCAAGGGGAGGGCTACGCCGGCAAGCCATTCGTGGAAGTGAGCAATAACTGCGCGATTGGTCTCTCGGGAGATGTACTGAGATGGGGTCAGCTGGTTGTACGGACGAAATTCTCTCTGGTGCACCTACCTCGCCCAGAAACCATGCGACGAGATAGCCAAAGACAATAGCTTCATTGGTTTCTGAATCGCTGGACGGCGAGGGGATGCCCGCCGCAGCCCAGAGATCACCTTTCCACTCGTCGAGCCAGCGATAGCCGGTTCCGGTATTGATGAGAAGAACTCTGGGAGCGCCCTCAATCAGCCATCGTCCATACATGAGCTCAATGCCACGCTCTTGCATCGAGGAGATTGTGTCGCGCAGTGGACCGGAGGCAGGTTCGAGGACCTCGACCTCGACCGCGGCCTACTGGTGTCAGTGTGAACACTCCAGGAAGGGGGAAGGGCGTCTTTTTACCGAGTTCTTATTGAGAGGCCCAATGAGGGTATATCGATCGCCATATTCAGCAGTGGTGACGGGGGCTTTGGACTTGAGGACGGAGTAGATACCACCGACTGAAGAGAATTAGCATTGGTGCAGGCGGGGAAATACGATGGCAGGACGCGGGAGTGGGCGTGGACATACCTCGATTAGCAACCTCGGTGGCTATCTCGAACAACAAGTGATTCTTGATATCACGTTTGCTTGATTCTCCGTTCATTTTGGGCGTCTATGCAGGTCGACAGAAGGGAAGAGATTGAAAGGGAACTGGAGTTGGAAAGAGTTATGGACCGTCGAAACAGCATGGAGACTTTGTCAAGCTTACCCCACAGCAGCGGAGAGAGCTTCCTGCACTCCTACGTCAGGGAGCTTTGGAGAAGTGGGATCTGGGCGGAGGTGATGGTGCGGATTTGTGGCTGTGGAGGATAATTATGACGGGCGATCCCACGACTGGAAGAGGAGGTGGAAAAGAATGATTGCTCAGTCGCCAATCTGTAACCAAGGCCCTCGAGTGAAGCGAACGAGTAGTTGTAGAAAAGGGAGGTCGAGAAGAGGAAATTGCTGGATCAAGATCGAGTGGGTTTGAATCCGCAACAATTGAGGCAGGCTGGGCCGATGATGAAGACGCTAAGCGCTACCGACAAGGTTGACCAAGGTATGGAGTACGAAGGCGTTAGAGTTGGGACTTTGAGGACTGGGGACAGGATTTATTAGAGGCTAAATGGGGAGAAATGGGGAGGGATGTGGAAAGTGGACTTCAGAACAGAGGCGTTGAACCGAGCCAAGTATGTAGAAAGAATTCAACAGATGGGGTTGGGTGACAGAATGTAACAAAAGCCGCACAGGATGGCAATGGGGCGACTTGAGACTTGGGATTTGGGAAGCGAGGAGCTTAGAATCAGATTATTACCAGATACATCGACGACGGGGAGTGATGGCGATGAAGTGAAGTTCGAGTGAATGAGAGTAGAGGGTCTGAGGATGTAGTGCAAATCAGTGCTACGCAGGCCCACCTCAGAAGAGAAAAGACCATTATGGATTGGAATCATGGCTTCGATGACCCATGATAGCCATGTTGTTGATCGACCTCCGATCAACCCAGCACAGAATGCCACCAAAAACCCGCCCGTTAAAAACCCAAGCTCCGTAGTTCCGTAGTCGAGTGGGAGTAACAATGGCACAATGGATACTGAATACGCGTGCCATGGCAAGACAGGCCCAATTAGTTGAGGCAAAGATGCACTGCTGGGGAACTGTCCACTCGTAAGCGTCAATCTAGGGCTTGTGCCCTGTCAGTTACAGGCATCATAGGCTGGTTGGGGTTGGGCGGTCCGGGCCCACAACAACTGAACTCAAGTCTTAAAGCTGTCCCCCAGCAATAACAATTATGAAACCTGCCAGTCTGCAACGAGGAATTCAATCCCACACTTCTGGGACACGAGATGCTCTTGTCGGCCTGTCAAAACCCTCCATGCCTCGTATGCATGGCCCGTGGCACAAAGTCCGGAGATGATTGACTTGGAGATGTCTGTTGATTTTCGACTGGTGTCATTCCGAGAGTGATTGTCGTCTAGTCGAAGAAATGCAGCAATGCATCCATGGTCTGATCGATCCACAAACGTCGTCATCGCATGTGCTGGGAATGCCATGATGAGCTAGTGTGCTCCTTAGCCTCCGTAGGCATAGGGTAGTCCTATCTACGGCCGCCTCACACGTCGCACAAATTGGTAAAGTCGCCGTTATTGTTATTATCCAAATTACTTTTTCAGAAGAACACGACGATGCATGGCATGTGCCCATTCAGTTACGAGGACTCGCCTGTTGTGGCCTAACCTCAAATGGAAGTCAGACGCTCCTCGGGGCTTAATATTTTGGGATCAGGCCTAGAAACCAGGCCTAAATCGAATCTGGCGCCTAGACGGACTCCACGGTGGATGCTGGTGGGTGCCATCCGCACTGGTCTCTCAACAAGAGTTTTTTGAGTTGTCCCACCCCTTTATCAAAGTGCCTCAAGTGCCTCAAGTACCTCATGAGGAGCATTTCATAGCCTCGAATTACGATCACCTTGCTGCACCACACTCTTCTGCTTTGCGGCAAATATAAAATGGATCACAACAGAGTCGCTCAACTGACAAGACTAGGTTCGTCGCACGTGACCTTTTGGTTCATCCTCATTCATCAATAGGTAGGTATTTACCCCCAAGAGCGTGGACTCCATTGACAGCTCCAGTCTATGACTGCCTGGTCTATTTGTTTCGCTTGTAAATCTTAGCCAGGAAAACCTCAAATACCCCCTTCCTCAAACCCTGACTCTCGTCGACTGCAGCAATCAACTCCCGCAATTGAGCAACTCGCGACTCCTCATAGTCCTGGTATCTCTTCTCCAACTGCAATTCGTTATACAACTCCTTGACTCGAGCCTCCTTCTCGTCGTCCTTCTGGCCGTAGTTATCATCAAGAAGTTTTCTTTGCTCCGGTGTGGTGATCAACAGCGCTTGGTTGATGAGCCAACCACACTTGTTGTCCTTGATGTCGGTGCCAATCTTGCCAATGAACGCCGGGTCCCCAAAGGCATCCAGATAGTCGTCTTGGATCTGGAAATATTCTCCGAGTGGAATCAGGATGTTTTCTGACTGCTTCAGGTTCTCGGGAGTGGCCAACTGGAGATAGTGTAGGGCAAGGGCGACAGGTAGGTAGAAGGAGTAGTAGGCCGTTTTGTAGATGACGATAAATGTGTACTTGTTCATGCTAAAGTTGTTCAGATCCACATTGTCCTCGGGCGCAGTGATCAAGTCACACAGCTGTCCCATCTCAGTTTGCCATGTCACCTCTTGAAATAGCTCCACCAGGTCAATATATGCTGGGTGCGATCGAAAGCGTTTGCGCAGGATTTGGTAGATGGAGGCTTCGAACATAAAGGCGTCGTTGATGGCCACCATACCCACGCCTGGTTGACGATACCAACAAGGTTCGCCCCGGCGTGTGATACTGGCGTCCATGATGTCGTCGGACACGAGGAAGAATGCTTGGAGCAGCTCGGTGAGCCATCCTAGAGTGGCAAGGTCTTTGAACTCTTCTGGCGAGAGAGGACGTTGAAGCAGTTGCGACGCCGTGTCGGGAACAGAGATACCTCGATTCAGTTTGCCACCAGGTGTGTTGGCGTTGAGGGACTGCGACCTTTGTCAGTTCTAATCCGAGCTTCTGTACCCACGACCACTCACCTTCTCGAACCACTGCAAGGCATTCTCGGGCAAATTATACTTCTTTGCCTCGGCCAACAAGTCTTCAACGAGAGAAGGAAAGACCTTCTCAAAGTCTCCGCGTACAGTCTTGGTAGCCATGGTGCGCAAACGGTGCTTGCAAGTGCTTTGGACGAATGTCACTTGTTGTCTTGACCAAACCGGCACTAGAATTTGTTGACCGACAATTGAAAATCCAGGGGAGATTTGGAGAAGTTGAATATCGAATGAGGGGCAGAAATGCAGGGATGCAACTGGTCGGACATCGTTTGCCCGGGTGGTGCAATTTTGTTCCTGAGCCGCAAGGGGCTGTTTCTGCCTGCGCCCTGCCCAGAGAATCGAGAAATACAGAGGTACTCAGGCACATTGAGGTCACTACCACTTCCTAATAGAGGGGCTCAGGAACCCTTGGACTCGACTCCCCACACCTGTAGGCTGTCCCCTCGCCCCCGGACCCATACTTCTATCACAATCCTTGACGCTCCAGCCAGGCATTACTCACACCTTTTGCCTCTAAGTGATACGTCATGTCTGCCTGCAATTCCGATTCACATGCACTACATTTCTATCTGCCTTGAACGTGGCAATTAATCGCATCAACCTCTCCGACCCCTACGTGAGACGCTTCGCCCTCAGCGCAAGCCACAGTCGCAATAGTCATGTCCACGCGACCTACTACCCCGCCTCTTCCTGCCTCCAACCCTCAAGCACAATCACCTCTAACGCCCGAACAAGTAAGACGGATAGAGATCAATCGCTTGAAGGCCAAAGCGCTGCGAGAGCAGCGCGAGTCAGAGGCAGCGAGCAATGCGTCTCTCCAGAGATCAGACTCTACGCCATCGACAGCCGGTCAGAAGAGATCCTTTGCTACATATTCCCAAGTTCCTGCGAGTAGTCGAGATGCTCGAAATGAGGCAAACCCAGAGCGACCTCTGGATGCAATCCAGCCGTCGCGCAACTTTGCCAAATATGTCGAGTACGATTTCAGCAAGATGACGGACACAAAGGGTGGGTTTCTGACAGCAGATGATGATCCTCACAACAAAGCCCTTCATACCCCCGAGCAGGAACAGAAGCCGTCTCATATGACTCAAAAGGAGTGGGAGAGACAGCAGCTACTACGATCCCTGCGAAATCAAAGGGCAGGCCCTTTTGAACCTGGAATCAGTGCCGGTGCGGACGAAGCCACAAGGCCTTGTCGTGAATGTGGTACTCGAGAGGTTGATTGGAAATGGCTCGAAGTCTTTGACATTTCCGTCTGCAGCGCTTGCAAGGACAAATACCCAGACAAATATAGCCTGCTCACCAAGACAGAAGCCAGGGAAGACTACCTACTGACAGATCCGGAGCTGAAGGACGAAAATTTATTGCCTCATCTCGAGAGACCAAATCCTCACAAGTCATCCTGGCACAATATGTTTTTGTATCTTCGGTGTCAGGTGGAAGAGTATGCCTTTTCAGACAAGAGATGGGGATCTGCCGAGGCGTTGGATGCCGAATTTGCTCGACGTGAAGTGGAAAAGAAACGACGAAAAGAAAACAAGTTCAAGACCAAGCTGGCAGATCTCAAGAAACGTACGCGGGTCGAGGCGCATCAACGAAGTCGTAAAGGCGGAGGAGGGAATTTTGGGGACGACCTGGGTGATGGGCAGCATGAGCATGATTTTGGCCGCCCGATTGACAATCCCGAGACTGGAATACCGGTCAAAAAGTGTACGATATGCGGCATAGAGATTGAAGAGCTTGACCTATGAATGTCATCGTGTGACACAACACACGTGTGCTGGCTCTGTACCATTCACAACCTGGTTGTTTTGTTTCCTATTATTGGGTGTGACTCGGATACCCCGCGTGAAGCATGCACCTTCTGGAAGTGGCCCTGGTGGGTAGGAATAAGTCATCGCTAGGCGCCTCGAGCTTGTTGCTTAGGCGGTCTCGGGCCTGATTATTCGCTGGTCCTCCACGCCCCCTCTCGCCTGCACATGGACTTTTGGGCATCAGCAACATCCACTTTTGACAATGATGCACCATGCATATCAAAGCCACCATTCGTACTACTGAAGTTGGGCGTAGTTATGACTCCCACTGACAGCCCACCACTGTACCACCACCACTCGACCTGATCTCGAGACATGTTTGAGTGACGGGAGAAACGTGGTCATCACCAACACTCCTGCACACTTCCCTTTTGCATCTGACATGAAATGCTCGGGGTCAAACTCTTCAACTGGCCCCGAGCCAGATTAACATTAGGTCCGCACCTTACACATGCGCCTGGCCGCCGCTGGTTGTCCAAAGCCACCTCCTCCAACCCAGCCAGAGGACCACCCATATGGAGGCCAACATCGGTCCTTGACGAGTAACTCTCCCCTACTCTTAGATGGAGTGGGTTGCCTTTGCTAACATGTCTCATCAGTTGGGTCGATCGACCAGTTCGTCCCATCAGTTTACGACAACTCTTCTTCTTTGGGCGCACCTTAACAGAGAGTCGCTTGCTCAGTTCAGCCAACTATGTCCGCACCGAGCTGCCTACACGGTATGTCTGGCTCTGTCGACGGCTGTTTTCATGACGACCACTGACTGTTGCAGGCTGGCGCACCGGCTTCGAGAGATGCAACGGCTGCCCTACGTTGTCGTCACCAACCCTAACCTCTCCATGGTCTACGAGCTCTACTACAAATCATTTGAAAGCTTCCGCCGCTTCCCAGTCATAAGAACAGTGGAGGAGAATGATGCCTTCTGCAAGGTGATTGGGGATAATCTAAAAGAACATCTATCTGTCATACCCAACCTGGTCGTGGGCGTTCTCGAGTGTCAGGACCTTGTGTCACCAGACACCATGGACAACTTTGTTCAGGCCATGTTGAGAGCTCGCATTTCAAGGCGGGTCATTGCTGAACAACATCTCGCTCTCACTGAGACCTATAACTCACCATGGCATGTGGCTCAACCGAGCTCAGAGAACGAATTCGTTGGCGAGGTGCTCCTCAGGTGCAACGCCAAAGACGTTATCGAGAGATGCGGTCGACTCACACAGGATATGTGTCGAAGCCCTGATGGCTCCGGCCCACAGGTACCAGAAATCAAGATCCTCGGCCACACGACAGCCACATTTCCATACGTGCTCAGCCATCTCGAATACATCATTGGAGAGTTGTTGCGGAATTCTCTACAGGCGGTCATGCATCGATTTAGTGATCCCCAACAGACACCTCCACCGGTAGAGGTCTTGATCTGTGAAGCACCACAGAACGTGGTGATCCGCATCTCCGACCAGGGTGGAGGTATCCCACGCGACATCATTCCGTTTCTGTGGTCTTTTAATAAAGGGCCTAGAAGTGCCTCAAGACTACAGAATTTCAAGGATGTGCCAACCTTGGCAGCGACCATGCAGGAAATTCGACTCCCCTCGAGCGAGAGGGTGAGCACAAAGTTTCGGGACTCGTCTCTCAGTAGTCTCACTTCCAGACCACCCGATTTCCGACTAGGAATGGGATTGCCCATGAGCCGTGTCTATGCCGAGTACTGGGCTGGTGGGCTGGAGCTACACAGTCTAGAAGGGTACGGCGTGGACGCCTTCTTGCAGATTTCCAAGCTGGGAAACCAGAACGAACAATTGACGTCGCGAGCGAGTATGGATGCAGTTTAGAGCATTAATGTCGACTCGGAGGTCATTTCATTCAACTAGCAAAACATGTACAAGGTCGTCGCTATAGACCTGTGGAACTGACAACATGGGATATGAACCATTTCAATGGAACAGTTCAAGACGTCTCTGTGCAATGACTAACCAGTCAGAAACAGGTTTTCAAGATTTGAGAGTATGTATATGGTCACCAGAGCGGTTTCGAGAACGGTCAGACATTGCCTTTAACCTCATACCCTGCCAGCAAGCATCTTGCATTGCAAGAAGCATAGACACAAGCGTCGCGCGGCTGGGTTTTCGGTTTACCAGAGGTGATATTCTCATCAGACGTTCGGGGGACAAAGTCAAGGGCAAGAAGACAAGGAGGCAAGATGGACACACATTTTAAAGAATGACTCTCTCTGGAGGTGGATGTGGATGATAGAATGGGCGAGTTTTCACGTCATGTTCCGTCAATCAGGTCATCACCGCATCATGGCAGCCATGGGGCCCTCGTGATGATGGTTTTAGATGCGGATTGTGTAATGACACATTGGTCTCGACACACTCATCGGAGTCGCCAGCTTCACGGTGACGAGGATTGCAGCTGATGATGATTTGAGTTGGTGGTCTAGAGGAGAGAAAAGAAAGGATTGAAGTGTGAGAGTGCGAAGGAAAAAGATGTTGTCCAGGGAGGGGCCAGGCCTATTTGGGATTAGCTTAATACGGCGACTCTTTTTGTCGCGTGCTGCAATTCCAAGGGCAGGCGTGGCAGGCATGGCAGGGCAAATCTGCTCTGCAGTAGTAGTACGGTGTAACTTTTAATGCGTCCAGCATTAAATAATTGTTAGCGAGCCTGAGGTGCCCAGGTGTGAGGGCCCTCGGGCCATTTGACACTACTGGTGATAGGCTAGACTCGCTTGAGAGCCAGGGACCACCAAGCCCCCAGTGGCCCCTTGGACCTCTGGCAGAGGGGCATTCAGGCCTAAATCTTACCTAATTGGTGGGGAGAGCACTCAAATTCTAGGGGTGCAGTGGCCTTGCGTGTCCTGCTGCAAGGGCCGAGGCGGGCCCAAGCCTCCCCTACAAAAAAGAGCAGTGGAGGTGACGTGAAACTGCCAGTGATAGCCCAGTTAGAGCCTAGCAGGCCAGTTAGAGAGCCTATTGTGCCCAGTCATAGCTAGCAAACAATGCTAGAAGCTCCATTAACGACCGATACGTTGGTGCCGTGTGTCCGTCCGTGCATTTGTCGAGTTGCTAGAGGCGTGCGCCATGCACCACAGAGGACTCTGCAATTCTGTGTTTCCGACTCCACTCCAAGTACAGTAGACTCCATCGTAACCCACTGCGGCCACTGCTGCCACTGCTACTACTACTTACTGCAAAAGACTAACTACACCTTTCTCTATCCTATTCGCATTCAACTTTGATAACTGTACCATCACTTGACTATCAAAAAGCTCGCACACCAGATTTCATTGTAACACGAAAAGTACCTTCTTCCCCACCAACATCCAACATCCAAACATCCTCGCCTCCTCATTTCATCAAGGTCACACCCCCACATCTCGACTTTCATCACCGCCCTCCCCCCCGACCTGTGTACCAAAATTGCGCATCCTTGCTACAATAGTCCTCCTCTCGATCTCTTCATCTTGAACCTCGCTCCTCAGCTCCTCTTGCTCGTGGTCGGCCGAACTCGCGGGCGAACTTTCTCTGGGGTTTGGCCTGTTCCTTACTCCGTCCGATCTTTTCCCTTTTTGTGCGGACTGCTGTCTTGATGGAAAAATCCGGGCAAAACTTGTGGACCAGACGCTCCAAGTGCGTGTATATGCCTGTCTTCGTTGACCCAAAAAAGATTATTGACTGACCACGCGGCAGTACTGGCAAGCTTTCTTTGTCTATGCGGGACGCAGACAACAAAGACGCCGCAAAGACGGAATCTCCACGATCATACAATAATAGACGCCTAGGTGACACTTCCTCACACGGCAGGAACAACTTCAATTTCCCCTCCCCCTCCGCAACCAAGTCGCCATCCGCAGCCAGTGCCTCTTCTGCCTTCAACTTGGGTAGTGGTGCCTTTGCGTCCTTTGGTTCCGCCGCCAAAACCCCCAAAACCCCCGGCACCGGCGCTGGGTTCGACTTTTCCGGCCGCGACAAGAGAGACAAGGAGGCCGAGACGGGGGGAGAAGCCGCCCCCGCGGACAAAAGTGCAGATAAGGCTCCTTCATCCAAGGCGGTCGCAGAGCATCCTTTGCGGTATACTTGGAACGTCTACTATCGACCCCCGAACCTCAAGTTCACCGACTACGAAAAGTCGATACTGCAAATTGCCGCCATCAGTACGGCGGAGAGCTTCTGGACGATATACAGTCACCTCAAGCCGCCGTCGTTTCTGCCGACCATCTCCGACTATCACATTTTCAAGGAGGGCATCCGGCCTGTGTGGGAAGACGATGCCAACAAGAAAGGCGGCAAGTGGATTGTGCGGTTGAAGAAGGGAGTGGCAGATCGGTACTGGGAGAGTCTCGTGTTGGCCATCATCGGAGACCAATTCCTGGAAGCCAGCGATGAGGTTTGCGGAGCGGTCTTGAGTGTCAGAAAGGAGGAAGACATCCTCAGCGTGTGGACCAAGAACGACGGCGGTCGCAATGTTAAGATCAGGTATGTATGAAATGATCCAGTGGTGAGTCTGTCCTGCTAAAGACTCGAACAGAGATACAATCAAGCGAGAGCTCGCATTCCCTGCCGACACCAGCATCACGTGGAAGAGTCACGATGAGAGTATTGCTCAACGATCGCAGCTGGATGAATCACGACAGCAAAAGGGTACGGGCACGTCAGGGGGGACCGAGCGACGGCGATTTACGCTACACGATGAAGCGGACAAGAACAAAGTCAAGCAATCACCCTCATAGAAGGAGAGAATTCGGGCTTTTGGGCCAGGATTAAAGGCCCCAAGGACTCGGCCTAGTACTTGAGCAGAGGGAAAGACGACCCCAAGCAGGGAATGGCTGAGCCATGTCTTGCCCACAACGAGGACCAAGGTCGACGACCGAATTGTCCTCAAGTCCGAGATGCTTTTGCCCGTGTTTGATTTTCAAAACATGGCGTGCAAGTTTTGTTGCCGTGATGAGGGTACGGTTTGGACGTGTTGTGCGAGCTGCCTGCGAGTTGAATTGCGACCGACCTGGCGTGGATTAGCAACCTGTCTGCCTTAGTCAGCATTGATCTCTGCGTTGGCATTGATTGTACTTGTACTATGGAATGAAGATAACCACTGACCAGGGCATCTGGTGTTGGTATCCATCGAATCATCTCAACACATTTCGTCTGGATAGTGACTGCGCGGCCCTACGGAATCTCACTATGGTGTGCGTCATAGTGTAGCATGACGATGCATATCCACACCAAATCAATCTCATTGCATTAAATGTAAGATGTTTCTGGTGAGTGATCAAAAGTCACTGAAGAAGGTGCGATGTACCTACTTTTGGTTTGTGCTTTCCCTCTTTGGAATCTCAGAGCCTGGTTGGATGCAGTAGCGACCATCGCCCATACAAGGCCTGCATTTCTATTAGTTGTGTCTCATTAGCACCTGCCCCGAGAGTATCAGAGACCTGTTTAGTCCTGTGCTGCTTGCAAAATGTCACACGATGGAGAATAATTTGAATCAGCTGGCCTATCCTTAGTGACACTATGTGATATCCAAGCTGAAAATGAAGCTATGATTTAATGTAGATGTAAACTATCCTAGGTACCTCCTCGATACATGTACTCCTATGTCTGATTGATGCATGGTTGTTGTATACTTCGTGTACCCTGGACTGTGGGGAAGCAGCCACGCCATCCTAACCCAAATGGAAGGAGCCATGCTGCACCTGCAGGCCCCGTGACCTCCGTGACTGCCGATTTGTCACTTTCCGTCCCCCTCGCCTGCGCCTGCGCCTGTGCAACCCGCAATAAGCGAGAAATACGCACATCCACGATTCCATTGATAGAGCCTCGTCCCTCAATCCTCAGTCTTCTTCACTCTGCCATCGCGACATCCCACTACTCTCACTACTCTCACTACACTCAACATCCACTCCCCGGACAACATGAATCCCCTTGGTTGTCAATGAAGAACTCCTGGTTCAAAACTGTCAACGACCATTACCAGAACGCCATCTCCATCCTCACTGGTAAACCCACATCTTCACAACCCGCCTCTCCAGACGACGACAACGCCCACCGCCGCCGCCGCCACCAACACCACCACTCTCCACCTCACTCCCACCTCAATGCCTCTAGATCTGCGCTCCTCTGGGCTGCCATGCCCTCCTCTACCCTGCCTACCAGCCGGTACCTGACCAGACGTGTGACCAGTTTCATCGACAATCATGACAGTTCAGAGCGTGACCCTATCGCGGTATGTGAGAACATTTATACCACACCCGCGGCTTTTTTACTCCACACCCACCCTCAGCCGCACAATCGTATCTATTCTTTTGTGGTTCTACCCTTTCTGCACCCGACTGACTCTTTCTCACAGCTGGACAGCGATGAAGACCCAAGTCAGTCTCCTCCACGGTCCCGCCCAACTGGACTCTCCACAGACAAGATGTATGTTGTCCTACTATTACTACCTACCATACCTCCCCGCGAGTGATTCTAGCCCTGGCTCATACTAATTGTTTCAAGATCACGACCTCCCCCGTCCAAACGACCAGAGAGGTCATTGAGGCGTAGCAGCGAAACCCGAGGAGAATCTAGGCTGTTAGGTGGCTACAGGTACCTTCCACTGCTGTCGAAGACAAAGCTTCTTTGGCGAACGACTGCTAACATTCATCTTAGTCGTCGCGGGCCTGACCCCAACGCCTTTGTGATTGCAGATCCCATGAAGAAACAATCCTTCACAGTATGTTTCCTTCAATCCTTGTATGTCCACATTCTAACCACCCGCGGTAGTCCCATTGGGGCATCCGTCCTTTTAACAACTTGGATGCCCCGCGAAATGCTCCTCGGTCCGCCCGAATATTTGAAAGAACACTAGGGCAACGAGAAGGTCAAAAATCTCCTGGCAGCAGTACGAATGTGGGCCAACCAACATTTCCAATCTTGCACAGGTCAGCTCCTCAAGCGCATCCTCAAGCTCACCATCCATACTTGGACCTTCCTTCGCAACAAGAAAAACACGATCTTCCAAATAAGCGACGAAAATTAGATCACCCTAACGAAAAAGGCTCCACCTCTGCATCCCCAATCGCTTTGGACGAGGCCAACTTGGAAGATTCTTCAGATGAGCTCCACGTCTCACCTATCCAACCCAAGTCTAACACTCATGCACCGCCAGAATCCACAAGTCGAGAGGTAACGACGAATTCTCACAATGCTTCCAGACCTCTCGAATTACCCTCTCCAGTGACAGAACGCGAAGGCGACTTCACCAAAGGAGCCGCGAAACGACGCAAGGCTACTGGTGATGCTATTCTGGAAACTTCCTCACCTGACTCAACATCAGTCCTGTCTGCGAAACCACCACCGATCTCAAATCAGCATTTTCTCAAACATCCCCTCTTTTCACAGACAACCCTAGCTACACCAGAACCAACAACTCAGAACAATAGAAGCAATCGACATAATTCTGCATCTGATCGGCCTATCCACTCATTGGGGAACCGAGATTTGACTTCCCTTATCGTTGAAGTTCCAACAAACAGAAGATCATCCAAATTCAGCGACGGCTTCATGGGAACGCGACGTAATCTGTCAGCACAGTCGCTTCAATTCGAACTCGAAGAGACTGTTTATCCAGGCTTACCTTCTTCCGACATTTTTACTGTTGAAATTGAGCCCGACGAAAGGCAGTTTTTTCTCAACACCCAAGACCCTCGGCTTGGCGATGATCCTGTCGCTGGACCATTCTACTTCCGCAAGCTCGCACAAATCCGCAGAGGGCCTTGCCCTATCGTGTCGTTTATCTTTTCACGCACCCAAAAACATAGGGGCTCCGCTCACGAATTGCACTTGAGATTTCTCTCCGAAAAATCTGCTCGCGACTTCCTCACTACGCTGCTCGAGTTGGAGGTGCGCGCCAGTGTAATTGACAAAGAAACGTAAGGCTAACAAAACCCATCGGTGAGGACTACGCTAACAACAAACAGTGAGTGGTTAGAAAACTCGTTTCAGAGGGCCAAATCTGCTGTCATGGAGATCAATGGGCGACCACTTAATCCTGATGAGCTCGAGGCTGAAGATCGCGCTGCGCAGACGGAAACCCCTCAAGCTACTAGGATCATTGCGCGTGAGAAGCGACCACGGATCGTCGACAGACTTGATGCGCCCGCACCGCAGCCGAAACGTCTCAAGACTACCCCACCAAAAGACAATATCGAAGTGAGCACTTCCAAATCCCAAAACATTAGCGAAGTTGATCCGCGAGACAAGATCACTCAAGATGCCCGAGTCGAAAGAGTGCAGCGAAGGACGACTCGAGCTCAAGATCTAAGAGAAGGCTCCTCTCGCGCAAGCCCCACTCCCAGCAATGGAACCCTCCTCCCATATTCGAAAACGGGCAAGCTGGGTAAGCCTTGGGCCAGGGACCTTGTCTATCCCAAACCAGGAAAACGTTCAGCTACTGTCCCCTTTGAAGATCTCAGTCGGCTGAACGATGACGAATTCCTCAACGACAATCTGATCATGTTCTTTCTCCAATACCTTGAGACCCATATGGAGCGGCATAACTCGGAACTTCACAAGCGGACCTACTTTTTCAACACGTATTTTTTTGAGAGACTTACCAAAGGCACTAGTCATCGTCAAGTCAACTACGAGTCAGTCAGCCGTTGGACCAAGGCTATCGACCTGTTCAACCGTGACTTCGTTGTGGTCCCCGTCAACGAGAATCTACACTGGTATCTGGCTATCATCTGTAATCTGCCACAGCTTCGCAGCCCGCAGCCAGAGGTCGAATCTGAAGAGTCGCCCGTTATCCTCATTGAAGATGCAGCAGCGGATCAACCAGAATCGACCGAGACCGAGACTGGTCGGCCTCCTGAGGTGAAGTCTGACCTGAGCCCTGAGATTCAAGAACAGCTTGCACACCGCGAGAGCGAAGCACGACAATCTTTGGCAGAGCTAACGATCCGCGATCAGACGCCCGCCACGACTGAAGTTCCGGAGCCTGCAATCAAGGCGGGGACCGGACGGAAAGCCAAACAACAAACACGACGCTCTCTTCCCAAGTACGACGCCGATCAGCCCATCATTATCACCCTCGACTCCCTTGGTCAGGGCCGATATACCACATGTCATGCACTGAAGCAGTACATTGTGGCTGAAGGCAAGAATAAACGTAATCTCGAGATCGATAGTACCGCCATCCGAGGAATGACGGCAAAGGAGATTCCAACACAGAACAACTTTAGTGATTGCGGCCTGTATCTATGCATGTACCTGGAGCAATTTGTTGCCGATCCACACAACTTTATTTCCCGGATCTTGCAGCGAAATGAAGATGCTCAACAATGGCCCAAGCAAATCCGTAGTGGATCGCTGAGATCCCGGCTACGAGAGCTGATTTTGGAGGTGCATCGACAACAGGAAAACGAGGAGTCAGAGTATGAAATTCCAAAGGTCGGCGACATCATGATTGAGCGGCAGGCGGCCTCGGATCCGACTGCAAAGCCATATTCCAAGAGTGAGGTTCAGATCGCAAAGGAAAGATTTGATCGCATCGTAGATGATCTCGATGAAGAAGGTAGTGTTCCTGCCGTCCAAGCACGCGGTGTCTTGGGGAAGCAAGTGAATCCCTCATCCCCTAAAGAAATCATATTCGATCCGCAAGACACGGAGAGACATGGGCTCAGTGACACCAAGTCACCGCAGCCATCACAACATGCGGCAATTATGGAGCATTCAGACCCAGACAAGTCGGCAGCTAGACGCAACCCCTTCAAAGTGGAAGACGCTATGACAGGGAACAAGGCAGCAATCCTCCATTCCCACCGACAGCAGCCTAAACGACGGCCGGTCCATGAAATTGACCCATCGGCTCGAGAGATTCACACGATAGGAACACGGTCAGGAAAATTGACTCATGATTCCCCGTCCGAATTGGTGGCTCACCTTCGAAGCAGCAATCGACATGAAAACCGCACACGCAAGCGAAATCCATTAGAAGAAGAAGAAGCGACCAAGTCTGCAGGGCGATCAGCCGGGCTTTTGGTTGGCATTGAAAGCTATGCGGAGGAAAGGGGACTACTGGACTCAGAGGTCATAAATCAGAGCCCTGAAGACACAGCCCATGTACCTATTCGGAGATGCAGGAAGAAGACACCAATTTGGGACGACGAACCACGAAGCTTTGAGCAGGAAGTTGGCGACAGTCAAGAAGAAGCCGGCGGTCCAACTGAATCGGTACGTGATTCGGGCCGACGGACTTTGCACTTTACACGGAAAAAGGCCCCAGTGGATCACCCTTTTGGAAGTCAACGCCGTGCACCAAGACAGATTGAGGTCATTGTAGACTCGCAGGAGACAAGTTCCGACAACGAGGACAACGAGATGCTATTGAAATGAGCGGGCTGGAGTGTAACAGGACAAAGACATCAAGAGCGGAGTTTTGGTTGAAACATTACGAGGGCTGTTTCTCTGTACGCGCGTCAGTCGCAGTTGATTGCTGGACGGGCCTTGAGCGTAGATGAATTCAAGACGACATCAGATCCTTTTGGACTCTTTCATGAGGTATGAAAGGCAAGCAAAAGGTGACTCTCATGGAGGGTGCTTGGTCGTTGAGATGTAGAACTATAGAACTTGAAAAGACAAATGCATCATGATATCCATGTAAATGAGGGGAAACGGATCAAGGCATCTTTGTAACCCAACCCGGCGGACCTCGGAACTATCGACGGATTGGATCATTTCCAACTTGACTTCTCCAACGTGAAAATAGATCAAAGACGGAGGATTTCTTGAAAGCTGGAGGTCTTATTGACACTCTATCATCCAACTGTTGTAGTCTCGCTATCTTTGTAAGTACTACTCACTATTTTCTATACGACCCGAGCACCACCACCACCACCACCAAATATCCATCTCATCTCATCTCTACTCCCCTCTACTTGGCATCCATGGAGTATCCATTCCCCAAGCCACCACGCGACCTGACCGGCAAAGTCGCCATCATCACCGGCGCTGGCGCCCACGGCGACGGGATCGGCAACGGCCGCGCCGCAGCAATCCTCCTCGCCGAAGACGGCTGCCACGTGGTATGCGTGGATCTCGACGAGAAACTGGCGCAACGAACCGTTGAAATGATCACGTCAGACCCCGGCGACACATTCAGCACTCAAACCCTCCGGGGCCAAGCCATCGCCATCTCCGGCGACGTCAGCAACGAAAGCGACTGTGCACGAATCGTGCAAACCACGCTTGACCGCTTCGGGCGCGTGGACATTTTATTCAACAGCGTCGGCATCGGTGGGGCCAAAGGCACGGCCATCGACGTCGACATGGTCGAATGGGCCAAAGGAATGGAAATCAACGTGGCGAGTATGGTGATGATGGCCAAATACGCCATTCCCGCCATGAAGCAAAACGACCTCGATCAAGCGCTCGCGGATGGATGGGGTTGTCGCGGAAGTATCGTCAACATGGGTTCCGTGGCGGGGATTCGAGGCGGGACGCCCACGTTGCTTTATCCGACTTCGAAAGGTGCAGTGGTGAATCTGACGAGAGCCATGGCGACGCATCATGCTCCGGATGGGATTAGAGTTAATTGTATTTGTCCCGGCATGGTATATACGCCGATGATGTATGCAGGAGGGAAGATGTCGGATGCGGGTAGGGAATCTAGGAAGAATAGGAGTTTGCTGAAGACGGAGGGGAATGGTTGGGATGTAGGTATGTCGGTGAGGTTTTTGGCCGGGCCGCAGGCAAGGTGGATTACAGGCACGATTTTGACGGTTGATGCTGGTGTTACGGCAGCGGTGGGGACGGATTTGCCCAGGGATGCGACGGTGGCGGCGAAATGAAATGGAATAGGGTAGATGATGGGATATGATATGATATGATATGATATGGTGGGATGGTGGGATGGAATGGGTTGGTATATATCATATATTGTATATATATGGCAGACAAGGATCCATAGGTACTAGTACTTATTGTATAGTACTCCGTACATATCTAACCATGTATATTCAACTGTCAGAGCCAAATTACGTGCATGGCTGAACCTAAGTCTCGTATTATTCCTGATAATCCGTTTCATCCATGAATCTATTGTCTCTATCAAGCAATCATACAAATTCCTCAACCTCAACCTCAACCTCAACCTCAACGCCCTGCTCCATCAAACAAGAACATTGTCTCGTCCATGTCGATCATAATATCCAAATTACACCTCCTATCGACAGATCATAATGAGCCATACTGACTTCATCATACTTCTTTTCGACGTCGTTGATGTGATCGTCCAATTTCCCTTTTCCTCTCCTTCTTCCGGTCCCCTTTTCTCTTCTTTGCCATTGCTGCTCTCTCAGGCTCTGCCACCCTTTCAATCCGACGCTTACTTCTTCGCTCCTCCCGTCGTAGGCGCATGATTTTGCTCACGTCCGTTAGAAGTTGTACGTATTCTGCATCGCCGATCTTGCGCTGTACTTCCTCCATAGCATTCTGAGCAAGCTCCACAAATTCTATATACTTGTTAGAAAATGTCGGGTCGCCAGATCTTGGTGCGATCGTGTTGGTATCAGTGACATGTTGAAGCGGTAGTAGTATTGCTCGGATTGCGTCCTGATGGGCACTGTCTCTCGATAGACTGGGAAGAGCTGCGGTAAACAATTGTAGTGCTGATAGCTTGGGGTGCAATGCTCCGGATGTCAGTGAAGACATCTCCACCCGCAGAATGCGTGCGATTTGATCCAATAGATATTGAATGGCCTTGATCGTTTTCATTTTCTTGGGCAGTTCTTCATCGGTGCTTTCTCCATCGGATTCGTCTATCGCTCCGATATCAACGCGGTCGGTCACCTCCATGCTTAAACCATTGGTGTCCAAACACTTTGCCATGAAGAGGAGATTTTGAACAGTCTGCATGCCCAGTTCTTGATTACCGTCCAGCCGCCTCAGAACACGAACACTGCGTTTCAAAACCGTCAGGAACTCGACAGGGTTGAGTCTGAGACCATGTGAGCAAATCAGAGGGATCGTCTGCTGGGCGGTCTCGCCACAATCTTGGAAAAATATCTGGACTAATTCGGCTGTCGTGCTTTGAATCCAAGAGTTCGAATGGCTCAGCAAAGACCACACTGGGGACCATAACTTAGTCTGCTTCTGCTGCAAGACTAGCTCAGGATGTGTTTTGGCTAGTTTGGACAACAGAAGTAAAGCGTGGAACTGCAGCTCCCAATCTTCGTCCTCGTCAATCTCCTGCACCTGCAACAATCTGGCGATGTTGTCTCTCAGGTGAGTCAAGTTGCTTCCCCCGACTTTGACCTCGGAGTCTAGTAAGATCCCATAGGCTTGCATGCTGATCTTCTGCAACTCCACGTTCTGGTCTTGTTCAATCCAGGCTTGCATGGGCTCCAGAAATTCGTTGAGATGCTTCGTATCCGCCAAGCGGAAGAGCTGACGTAGAAGCACACCTGCTAGTTCGCGACAGCCCTTATTGTCATCGTTTGCCATGCGCAACAAGATCGGCAGGAAGAGGGATGATGCAAGTTCCTCACCAGCATCACCTTTGAGTTTCAGAACTAAAGTGTTCATCGCTTCCATCACTGACTGTCGGCCTTCGGGATGCTGGTAATCGAGGTTCTTCAACAGAAACTTCTGTTGCTTCGCCCATCTGGTGCTGCTCTGTGGGTATTCGAGAAGGAAGTGCACATAGACACCACGGGCAACATCGCGAGCACTACGCGCATGATTCGTAACCATCATCATTCCAATTTTGTCCACCAGGTCATAAAGCTGCGCTGACTGCATCTTTCGCGACATGACTGCTCGAATGAAATTAAACGTTACCCCTTGTCGATCAGGTTCCTCGATGTCAGGCGCGATCCGGTGAAGAATTGTGGCAATGTCAACCTCTCGAATCGGAATGGTTTTTCGTTCTCGCAGTAACGATGATATGAGTTTCAATGCAGCCTGTGCTGCTTCTTCATTTGTGTTCGTCGAGTTCTTGACCATCTTGACGGCTTCCATGAGATATAGAGGGGCATTTTGATCCAGCTCCGGCATTTTCAGTCTCATGATAGCAGACAACAAGCGGAGAGCAGATATTTTAACGTCTTCTTGAGCTTCTATGAGTGCATCACCAATGATTGGTAAAAAGCCGTGGACATTCTCGCTTGTGCAAAGCTCATCGTGCTTCTGCAAGGTCGATCTCACCAGGTCTAGTGCAAACTTTGCAAGCTTGAATAGTAATGGTGATGTTCGTGGGCCCGCTGTTTTGCTCGGGTCGGTTGGCTGCAGCAGAAATCGTTGTCGATTGATTTCGTCCGCTGTCAGTGTTCGGGCTGGGATGGCAGCTTTCTGGGTGTAGAATGACTGGATCAATTGGTAGGCAAAAACCAAGAGATCTCTATCTTTCGCTCCAGGGTTCTGTGAAACTCCGAGACCAAGCCTTCGCAGAAGTTCGTCCACTTGTCTGACTTGCTTTGTCGTCAAAGACCCCGACAAAATAGTCTGCAAGGGTGTGACGAGCCTCGAAAGTGCAGAGACGCTTGTAGATCGGGCGAGTAGCTCCATTGAATCATAGCTTTTGTTCTTCTTGACTTCCTTCATACTGCTGATGTAGTCTTGATTCTCCTTCTCCTGTCCAGTGGCACCAAAGGTATCATCAATAACGACAGACAATAAATCTTCGACACAATAGTCCAGAGATCCAAATTCGACTGTCGGCGTCAGCTCAACTAGGATCGTATGTACCGTGAAGGAGAGGACATGCAACTGATATCCGCGCGTCAATGCCGTTCGCAATTCCTTGATGACGAATTGTACACTGGACGGGCCCAAGAGGACAACAATTTGTGCCAAGGCATTGCGCGCAACATCGCGTGATTCTTGAGTACGGCTTCTGAGGATGTTTGCAATGTCGAGCACCACAGGAGCCGCGGCAAGTGCCACTTCTGCGGCAGGGAGCATCTTGATCAGCTTCACATTTGTGACCGCTATCGGTATACGGAAGCTGATCTCTGTTTCATCTTTGTAGTGGATAAGCTCGGCCAACTTTGGGATGAAATGCACCCTTAATTCGTTTTCCAATGTAGCCTTGCTGGAAATCGACATAGCTAGGGACGGTATGCGACTGACTTCTGACTGTGGCGCTGTTGTTGGTGTCAGACTGGCACTGAGGAGCGCATCAGCTGCGTGACCTAAAAGCTTGACCGAATTCTTTTGGGTTTCCCCAGGGTTGGCCAGATCGCTTCTGTATCTGCGAAACAGCGCTCTGAATTGTTTCCAATCAGTCCATTGCAGCAACAGCCCCATGGCAGCGATTGATTGGCCCTTGACGCCTTGCAGGGATTCATCCCCGGTCGAATCATAAACAAACTTTTCCAACAGTGGAATGAAGAACTCTGCAATGTTCTTTGGACTGACCTGGCCTTTTTCGACCTCCGTGATGAGTCGCCTTATCGCCCGAACACGCCGATGTTGTTGAATGTGGAGGACATTAGAGAAGAACGAGGCCTCCTCATCATTACCCACCAGAAGCACAACCATGTCTGCAAGGTCTGGGTCATCACTGAGATGTTGAACAAGCAACCCAAAAAGGGAGACAAAGTCGGCTCTGACGTGCTCCGAATCTTCCTTTGCGCCTTTTCTGACAGCGGGCAATACAGTAGACCTGATCACCTTTTTAAGATCATCATGTCCTGAGGCGCAGCCTTTGATGATAATTGTCCGCAAACATGAGAGGGCATTCGAACGAATTGAAAAATCCTCTACTCCGCGGATGAAGAAGAGAAGATTGCAGACAATGGGTAGCCAGAATATTCCTTGTGAGCCTTCGACTGGCATTGTGCTGATTAAGTTGAATGCCGAGAGTCTTTTCTCATAATCGTACTCTCCCAAGCGTTGGGAGGAAACGGAGTTCATGTCATAACAGAGTTGAACCACTTGAGAAAGGCTCTCCCGGCCTTGGGATAGTGTTTGAAGCATTTCACAAAGAATTTGGCGATTCACATCATCTTTGAAATAGTTGAACATTGCAGATGCCAAACACCACAACGATTCATGGGACGGCCCCTTCGCCAAAACTTCGTCGGTTCTGAGCAGGCTTGTTATTCCAAGAAGCAGCTTGCTCTTCATTTGGGGCGGAAATTTGTACGCTGGGCTTTCAAGGAGAACTTGTAGTAGGGTGATCATTTTCTCTTTAGCTTCAGTCGACAACGGGAACGCCGTCATGCTCGGGAGGATCGAAATGATGGCATTAAGGATATCTCGTGGAGGGGCTTGTTCGATGAGTGATGTCAAAGCCGAGAACAGAGCGTTGGCTTCTGCCTGCACCTGATCCATGGCATCGGGTTGACCAGGATACAGATCTGCCGCCAGAGATATCCAGGGCAGAACAATATCCTCTAGGATAAAAAGCTTGACATCTTTTTGAGCAGAAGGTGTAGTAAGACACTGCCATAGTGCACTTGGTAGTCGGGAGTCTTGTCCGCGAAGGTGTCCAACAAGTCGAGGCGAGCGTGCCCACGCAGCGAACAGGCGCAAGAGCCCCGAGATGCCCTGGCTCGTCTCCGAAGCAAACGATTCGATTCGAGGATTTATTAACTTCTTGAACAAGAGAGCTATATAAGGAGGCCAGTCAATTTCGGGACAATGATCAGATAGGAGAACAAGGCACTGGACTCCCGTGCGTCTGATGCTTCGGGTTAATGCCGACGTAGTGACACTGGAATTCTGGAATGCTTCAGAGTTGAGAGACGAATTCGCGACACAAAGGACGACAGCGTCAATGACCTTTTGTCCGAAACCTGAGAATTTGCTCTTCATGGACTCAAGAATAGTCAAAAGTAGACGAAGAAAGCCGTATTGTTGATCTTCGGGGATAGAGAGCTGGTTCAGAAACGTTTCGTCATCCGTTGAGTCTGCTAGATGCACATCTTTGAGCCTCGCAAGTGTGATATCAAGGAATGATCCTATTTCACTGTCGCTCATGCGGAACAGGCTCCTCAATATGGACTTACGACGGGCTTCTTGCGAACCTGTAGAGCCGACTCGGCCAACGAGTGAACCAAATATCAACCTCAGTGCGACCGGCAAGACATTCGCTCGATGGTCAGGCTTAATTGGTGACTGGTCCTCGTCTAGGCTCAAAAGGACGCCCAAATCTGCTGGGGTTTTCTTGTCTTCTGCGATATCGAGAAGGACATCTTCATACGCCATCAAGACGGGATCCTTCCACTTCAGGACCGCTTGCAGCGCTGATTTTCTGATATCAGCATTGCCATTGCCAAGAAGCTCTGTGATCTTTTCGAGGACTTCGCTGGATCTGAAGAGAACCCGTGGGTTGTTGAATTTTGCGAAGAGCGAGACAAATTGCCTACGATCTGGCAAGGACCATTCGTGATCATCAACTTCTGGACTCATAGTATGGGATGAGGTAGAGGCGTCCGAGTTGTGAGTTTGTTGCAATTGTGCACGGTTCATAGGAGCAGCCAGGAAGATTGGAACCAGTAGTCGTGAGCGTCGCTCGACAGAAGCCGGAATAGAATTCAAAATCTGAAGTCCTAAAGCGCGAGCGTTCTGTGGTAGCGTGGAAGACACGAGTTGATGTGCATCGTCGATCATTGCTGCGAAGCTCTTTCTTGGATCCACATATTCACCGGAGATCTTCATAACGACGTTCTCCACCAGGTTCAGCTTCGTGCATTCGAATTGAGTTGGCCGGGACGTCGGTGAGTCGTGGTGATTCTCGGCAACCTGAGGGACATTTGGAGTCTGCAACCACTGCAATGCAATGTTCAGAACAAATTCTTCGGTGCTCGAATCCTCTGCCAGGATCGCTAGTGCTTCGCAAACGTCCTTTCTCAGCGCATCATGAAATGTTCCCAACAGGCCAAGGCAAAACGATGGTATCATATCTCGAAGAGATGGGAAAGGCAGTAAGGTGCTGTGTTGTTTCGGCAAGCGCCTTAGCAGCATTGAGAGCTTTCGAGCCTCCGATGGTGTATACGGAGTAGTGATGATGTCTAGCATCAGAGTGGCCGCACTGGATTCTGCTTCGTTTGCAGAGACTTCGCATATCATTTTGAGGGATTCGACTTTCAATGGAATCGAGGACGTGAGGAGATTCTGCATGAGACAATGTAGGACATTGAGCAGTTGTGGTTGATCCTTTTGATCCTTGGACAGGGGAGATTGCTTCAAGAGTCTATTACATAGACTCAAGAATAAGGGTGATCGAAGGTATGCAGGAGTGGTGGTTAAAAGTTGTGGCAGCAGGTTGTACTTCTCTTTCTCTTCTTCATCCAAGGCAGTAACATAGGATTGAAGACCCCAGCCAAGGATGAGACGGCGTTTTCGTTCTGTATCCGGCGCATGATCCGCTAAGGCGATTGAAAGGATGTTATGTAGGCTCCTTAGAAGACGACTCCTGCTTTTTGTATCTTGACCGAATCGAGCTGTCTCGATCAAGTGTAGATGGCCTGCAAGGTCTTCAAGGGGTTGTGGTGTGTCGAGTGCTTTCAGAGCTTCGAGATGATCTAGTACCGCGTCCTGCAATCCCGAGGGACAATTGATGACCTTATTTGAGACAGCTGCATCACTGGAGAATACCTGAGCATTCAACCGCTCCAAAGTGTAGAACAAGCTTTGCTGCTCATCCGACCACCTTGAAATGATGAATTGCTGAAGGCGAGGAAGAACTAGGCTTCGAAAGCGTTCTTCGCCGAGTTCAGCACAAATGGTGCAAAAGGCAAAGAAGGAAACTGGCCATGAGCTTGAGGTCAAGAGGTCAAGGATTTTCTTTGTCCAAGGCAGCAATTGATCCATAGGTGCGTTTTGAATGACTTCTGCGGTGACCTGCAAAATGAGTCGCTGTAACTGATCATCCAATCCAAATTGTTCAGAAGCGATCGTGGCATTTGACAAAACTAGATCGATGACGTCTGTCCAGTCTGATATTCTGGTGCCACTCCTGGTACCAACCAAGACATGTAGTAATGTCAATGTCCATGCACAATGGAAGCGATCGGAAGGTTTAGATTGACGCCGGAGATGAGTAAGAGCGGTTTTGAAAACTGGTTGAAAACTGGTAGCGTTGGTCTGGTGAGTCAAAGCGACAAGTACGCCGATGGTGATTGACTGGACGGCTGGATCTTGCAAAAAAAGGTCGGTCGTGGCCAAAAGGCAGTCAACAAGACTATCGGCGCTAGTATGAAGCTGGCCCTCTAGGCCTGTGCAAGTCTCGACAAACAGAGTCATGATTCCCAGGTGCAGCTGGGGAAGACCAGTAGTTTGTGTCTCTGCAACCTGGTCCAAAAGATATCTGACGGCGATGCGCAAGGAAGGCTTGTTCTTGCGATGCAGGGAAGCAGCTTTCCTCAATAAGAATGCCAATGATTCCGCGCTGAATCGAACCAGGTAGTCCTTTTTCGCCGAGAGGAATGGGATCATGATTTCAAGGAGAGGTCGCATATCATGGACCAACAGCCTCGATAGATATTTGAACATCCATGCAAGGCACGTGAAGCACCACTCGATGATGTCGGGATCCACATGAGACACTGCCACTTTTGCCACAACCTGGACAGTTCTGGCAAAGTACTTCTCATATTTCTGTCCGAGATCATGGGCCAAATGCGCCAGAAGACTGAGCAGAGGCTCCAAAGCCAAGGCATCTTGTTTTTCAATATGTTGGACCAATAGGTCGAAAATGGTATCGGCGTGATGGAGCAATTGAGGCAGATTTTCGCACAGAGGGTTGACCTTGTTTGAAAAGGTGGTGAAGGTTTGGGTAAGATTCAATTCGGCCCATTGATCGAGGGACTCGCGGAAGAAACTGTGGGAAAGAGACGTAGCATGATTGTCAATCTTGTTATTTTCGACAATATGCACAGGGTCTATCTTCAATCTAGAAACCCGCTTGGTGAAAGACTCATATCGGTGGTTTTTGGTTGTTGGGGTGGGTTTGGACTTTTTGGATGGGTGCATCATGGTGTTTGTGCCGGGGGATATGGGAGCCATAGGTGCGCAGTCACCGCTGGGTCGAGGGCGATATCATGTTGAACCCATGTGGTTCAACAACAGCGACAAGAACCAGGTCTGGTGTTGGTGGTAGTGGTTGACTGACTGCGCAACCAAAAGATTTGCTGTTCGACTTGACTTTAGATGAAGCGCCTGCCAGAAAAATTGTTTGGAGGGCCGCAAGTTTCCCCGCATGCATTAATGAGAAGTCTGACAGTCTATCAAAAGTGTGAGAATCGGCGACAAATAGCATATCAGTAGGTTTGGCCTTTTCGTCTGTCAGAATAATTACTTCTTATGGCAAGGCGTGGTCTACTGTGAAGTGAAAAGTTGAAACATGTGAATTTGTAGGGTGAAGCAAATGATCATTATCACGTTCTCTCTTGACGAAATCCTCACATGTTGAATTCGAGACCAGATTGAGTCAACCCAGAACAATCGTGAATTCAAGACCAGAACACTTCGCTAATGGGTATTTAAATAAAACGCTCCTCCTGCCCTTCTTCTTCTTCTTCCTCTCCTCCTGCGATTTCAACATTATGCCTTTCGTCCTCAAACCTTTCCCTACACCTCTTTGCGATTCTTATATCAAAAATTAATCTACACTCAGTCGCGACTCAATCACAATGGGAATTGCTAAAATGTGAGTCTCCATCTCTATGCCCCCGCCTCTCTCTTACAACAGTGTCTGAGCGGCGAGCGTGGTGACTTCTGTCAGTTTGGTCTAACAAATCTCCAGCTTAGTTGTCGGCGCCATTCAAGGCAAGCTGAAAAAGGCCTTTGAGAAGATCAGTAAACTCCAGGCCAAACAAAACTTTGACCTCGCGCTCATCATCGGCGATGTCTTTGGATCTACAAGTGATAATGATGCCACTGCAGACCTGAGTGCCTTGCTAGGTGGTCAGATCAATATACCATTAGCAACCTACTACACTACTGGCAGCTCGCCCTTCCCAGATCCTGTCCAGCAGAAGCTCGAGGCCGATGAAGACGTTTGCCCCAACTTGTTCTTTCTCGGACGCAAAGGCACATTTACTACGACTGAAGGTGTCAAGATTGTCAATCTAGGTGGCAACTTGATCCAAAACGAAGCACAAACTGCAGAGGCGATCGGCAAGTGTGACTCGCGATATCTTGACAATGATGCGCGTGGCCTTCATGGCGCTAATTCAGCTCACATTCTCCTTACCAATGAATGGCCAAAGAACATCAATCACGGCTCTCAGATCAGACTCCCAGAGGAGTTAAAGTCACAGTCCAGTTCGCAATCAGTTTCTAATCTTTGTGAAGCACTCAAGCCCTGGTACCACTTCTCCAGCTCGCCAGAATCATTGTGGGAACGTGAGCCGTTTGAGCATGTGCTGGAGTACCATTCACTTGATCAACCATCAGTGACCAGGTTCAAAAGCCTGCCAAGCGTTGCCAGTCCAACCAAGGAATGGATGACGGCATTTTCTCTGGATACCTCGAGACCTCCTTCCACCGTCGGGCCACCAACCAAATCACCATTTCAAGCAAGCTCGCCCTCGCGCAAAAGGCCGGCTGATGAGGGCAACTATCAGCGATATGATCGAGGTGGCCGTCATCAAGGTCGTCATAACAAGCGGGCGCGAGGCAATCGCTTCGATAGCAGTGACTGCTTCATGTGCCTGAACAAGAGTGACTTCAAAACTCACATGGTTGTGTCCATTGGGGAGGAGAGTATGGTCACGACACAGCGAGGACCCTTGTCCACCATGTCCACCTTTCCTCAACTCTCGTCATCTGGACACGCAATGATCATCCCACACTACCACGCTGCCGATGAGCTCGCACATGGCAAGAGGTCTGTTGAAGAAGTAGCAAATGAGTTCAAAGAGATGAACAAGTTCCGTATGGCGCTCAGCAAAATGGTCGGAAGTAAGAGTCAAGGTCAGCTTGGCACTGTTTGCTGGGAGGTTCGTCGCAACGGCATCCGCCATCACCACTGGTCATTGATTGCATGTCATGCCGACAAGATCAAGAACGGACTTGTGGAAGCCGCATTTAAGGTTGCGCGGGAGCAACATGGGTATCCTGCTTTGGAAAACTGCGACCCCGAGAGCCAGCTTCCCTCGGACTCCGATTACTTCAGAGTGTGGACATGGGTGTCTAATCCCGTCGAAATGGCAGATCAGACCAACGGGGATGCCACTGATGATCAGAATGTAGGAACGAGCACGTCAATGTTCTTTCCACTATCAGAAGATCTGAAGTTCAATATCTGGTTCGGAAGAGAGGTCATGGCTGGTCTGCTGAAGCTGGAAGATCGTGTGAATTGGATGCACGCATTGCTCCGGAAAGACGGGAGCGAGCAGACTGCAGAGGAAGAAGATGCCGAAGGATTGAAGAGAGACTTTGAGGATTTTGATTTTGCTATGAAATAGGCTGCGAGGGAGAAGAAGCCTGATGAGCATTGCTAACGGTCGATGGATCAGATCATCGAGTAAGTAATTAATTGGGCGTCAGGACCGTGGTAATTAAATCTCATTTGATTGCTTCCATCTCTCGCACCACATTTTGTGAATACGGAGTAGGCTGAGAGAGCATTGACCAGGCTTCAGAAGAACTCTGGAAGACGGATGTTTGGGGTTGCACCAAAGTCATGACCGAGGTCAGTCAGTGGACGCGTGGATGCAGGAACCATATTTAGTGATGGAGCCCAGCGTGGGCACTTTTCAAGATTTAATTCATAGGGCTCTCCACTTGAAGGTGGCTTGCTTGAAGCGAGCGGCAACTTGCAATCTTCTGGGCCATCGATCTATCCTAGACTAGATACATTAGCCACACAAGCCAAAATAGGTAGTCATTAAGTAATGAGAGCAAAAGCGTGGATTGGCTCTAGTGTCACCACACGGCCATAAACGAGAGACACGGTGTGGTGAGTTTGTGGCGGACTGTCGAGGTAATCAGCCAGCCATAGAGATGGGTATGGTGGATGATATGGGGAACTACATAGTCGTCATGGATCTGATGGTCGACAAGATGATGCATCCACGCACAGCATTTACCAATCATATGATGGTGGGCTCGTCAAGGCATGAATGGCTTCAAGACAGGCGGTAGATGGATTCATGGAGTTTCAATGGAATCCATACTTCGTACACGTATGGAGTACTCGCGCGAGCCCCTGGAAAGTGTCGATAAATCAAGCAAAAGCTTAATCAACTTGGCATCTTATACTTGAGAATCATTGGCTAAATATATTCGACCCACCTTCCTCCTACGGTGGACCCTGAGACAGTACGGAGTAGCTCTTTCCTTCCTTCATGCAGGGGTGCCTTTGATTCATCTTCTCCGACTTCATCTTGTGATCGACGAAACCATCAGGATACTATCATTACTATAACTCGTCCCCCGATGTCATCAAGGCTTCAAACTCGCACTCAATTATACAAGGCTGCAATCTGATTATCCAGCTTCATCTGGAACCAACCACAAGCCAGTCCAATATGTCTTTACCTGCAATCAGGTCTAGACGTGGCCAGAATCATCCACTCGTTCCAGCAGCCTCGATGATGCACGAACCAGGCCAATTTCTTTTGACTTGGATCTCGATCAATGGCCACTCACGTGCCACCCTGAACATACTTACAGTCGTCTTCTTCTCAAGCTTTGCTTCCCCACCTGTCAGTCACACAGCGCCCCTGTCTTTGCGACTCTACTCCGTATTCCTTCAAAGCCACGTTCTAAAAACATGCACAAATCACCGACAAGCTTTATTTGAAGAAGCCTTTCCCAGGATAATGCTCGCAATCCCCACAATGCCCCATCAATTGGCACACCATGATGTGGTCAAGCTCGCCACTAATCTCACAAGCTTTCTTCATCCCGAGCCGCGTTTCCGCATCGCTTCCTCGCTCCGCATCCGACTGGCTTTCCCAACGCATGTCCTCTAAATGTCGCCCTCAGCTCACCCATGGTTGGCTCATGCACACGAACTGACTTGAGCTCGTGGATGGCTAAAACTTGAAGGTTCATGCACTTCAGAATCGTGACACTGTCTTGGACCCATCAAGCATCATGCTTGATTTCCCGCCAGGGGCTTGACTTTTTTGTCCTCCACCTACAGGTGAGTCGAGCAACTGGTACTGATCTCGTTAGACATTATTAAAAACACAGGTGATGCCCTCGAGCGAAACATTCATCGACGCAAACTCTTCTTTGATATTCACCGGTGCTTGTGTCGTGGATTTGCTTTCGAGGGTACTTGCCCTCTGCCACTCCTTTCCAGTCTCTCATTACGTTGTTTGGGGTTGGCAACTGAAACTGTCCCCGCCATTCCTTTGCTCATTTCAATAAGAGCTTTTGTTACCGTAATTTATCTGCGGTCAGTCAGCATGAAGTTTTCCAAGCCTTCTGGTTTGGTGGCTCTCGGTTTGGCTGGAGGTGTTCTGGCAGATGGTGGCCAGGCTCGGACCTTGACCGGAGCCATCACCACCCTTGATGGCGATGCATGGGCTTCTGCTCCTGCCGGCCCTACAGCTCCTATCACTGTGACTAACACTGTGACCAACACCGCCACCGTCACCATCACCGACACCAGCACCGTCATGTCGACCACAACCACCACTGAGACTCTGACTAAGGAAGCCACCACCATTTACCGCTCAACCGTTCTGGTTGCCCCAGGTTTCTGCACTTCCACTATTGTCAATGTCGACCCTGCCACTGGCGGCCAACCATGGCCTCCCCCGGGCCCTGCTTCGACTGGCGTTCATCCAGCTGGCAACAGCGCCCCTCCTCCTGCCCATGCTGCCCCCACAGCATCATGGGGCCCGGCTCCTCCGGCTCCTGCTGCATCGACTGCAACAGACACCCGAAGTGGCAAGCCCCCAGGTCCGGCCCCGTCACAAGGATCACCCGCAGACGTCACCAGCACTCTCACAATTGGAAAAGCTTCTACCATGACTCTTGTCGACCCCTCTGCCCCGACAGGAGATGCCAATTGGATAGACTGGGCTAACGATGTCAGTACCATCGGTACCGACGGGGATGTCTGGGTTTGGACCGGCGCGGGGCCAGTGGCTACTCAAAGTGGTCCTGCACCAACTTACACTGGCATTCCTCCTGGCAGCGGCGGAGGAAATGGATCGCTCCCAACCCCAGGATCTTCCTTTTCCAATGTCACCGCACCATACGAAGCCCTTCCTGAGGGGTGGTGTAACACCGCAGGAGATAGAAGCAAGTGGTGTGATGGCCAAACCATCAATTCTGATGCTTATACTGCAGGCTATAAGAGCGGAAAAACATGCACCTATGACTTCACCATCACGAACACGACAATGGACTTCGACGGTTCTGGCCCCAAGCTCGCTCTCGCAATTAATGGGCAGGTTCCAGGACCCACCATTGAATGTAATTGGGGCGACATCCTCCAAGTTACCGTACACAACGAGATGCAGGACAACTCCACAACTATCCACTGGCACGGAATTACCCAGAAGGGTACTAATGATCAGGATGGTGTCCCCGGCGTTACCGAATGTGCTATTGCTCCTGGCTCCTCCCGCACATACACCATGTGGCTGGAGCAGTACGGCACTGGTTGGTATCATTCTCACGCCATTGCTCAATATGGCGAAGGCATCCGTGGCCCCATGATCATCCATGGACCTGCCACCGCCAACTATGACTTCGACATGGGTACAGTGATGATTGATGACACCTTCCCCGTCAATGCTCAACAACAAAATGAACGCATTTCCCACTTTGGCCCCTCTGGGTAAGTCAAGTTAACCATTCCCGATCCATCTGTCTCGTTTTGAGTGCCCTAATGAGAACCTGTACTGATCTATTGCCCACGTAGCACCGTCAACTACCTCCTAAATGGTCACAACACCATGGCCAACCTTTCTTCTGGTCAGCACACTCTGTGGTCCGTGACTCCAGGCAAGAAACATCTCTTCCGCTTGATCAACTCAGCCTCACAAAACATGTACTCGGTCCACTTTGACAACCACCAGATTACTGTTATTTCCATTGACTATGTTCCCATCGTGCCGTACACTACCGAATGGCTCAACATCGGTATTGGTCAACGATATACTGTCATCGTTGAAATGAACCAGCCTGTGGGAGGCTATTTCCTACGTGCAGTAACCCAAACCGGCTGCCCCTCTGGTTGCCAGAATACCGGTTTGGGTACTGCCAACGGCATCTTCCTATATAAGGGTGCCCAACCATACTTGCCGACCACTACTGTCAATAAGACCCTTGCTGATTTCAATTTTTGCCTCGACGAGCCTCTTGCATCCTTGGTCCCGTTCCACCAGAAGGCTGCTGGTACCAAGGACCAGTTCTCCGCGACTGCATCCACATTGCCTGCTGGCAACGTTGCTCAAGTGGCGACCAGCGACGATGGCACCGTGTTCCGCTGGTTTTTGAACAACGGCGCCATCGATGTCAACTACACTCAACCTACCCTCCAGACTATTGCTCAAGGCGGTAACAGCAGTCTCATCTCCAACCCCATCACATTGAGTACCGCCAATCAGTGGGTCTATTTCATCATCCAGAACCAGTTCTTTGCATCCCACCCAATGCATTTGCATGGCCACGATATGAGTGTTCTGGGTCAGGGCACCGTTGCATGGGATCCTTCCTTGATCCCGACTCTCAACTTTGACAACCCTACCCGTCGGGATACCGTCATGCTTGCTGGCTCTGCTGGTCCTGGCTCCCCTCCAGGATATACCGTCATAGGCTTCCAAACCGACAACCCAGGTGCCTGGCTAATGCATTGCCATATTCTGTGGCATGCAGATGGTGGACTTGCTCTCCAGTGGGTGGAAAGACCCACAGATATTCCCGCCTATGCGAACAACCAGCCCTTCAAAGACGAGTGCTCCAGCCTTAGTGCCTGGCAAAATGCAGGGCCTGGCCGCGTTCATGGTTCTGGCAGCTCGGGCTTGAAGAGGCGCACGTATCCGGATGAGGGTCGTTTCGGAGATGTCGTTCGTCGCTTCGAGTCATCTGGCAAGCATTTTCTTGATAGCAATGTGAGACGTGGTCTGGGGGATGGCTATAAGCCACGACACATGCGCAAGTAGAGCCGCAGTCCTCATCAAGGCACTGCTCTTATGGACCTTTATCTTACTTCTATTGGCAAGCATCACATGGGCGCCGAGAACTTCGGGGTCAGGGGTTTTGGGTTGCGGTTTCACTGGGTGTAGGATGATTGTATATTCCAATTTAGGGACCCCTTGTATGGTCCTTGAATTGATTACACTTGGATTTTTGATTTCATTTCGACTGATAGATCGGCCCACGTCAGGAAGGTTGGTCAGTCTTGCTACAATGTGACCTTGGAGATCCTCGATAGATATCGAACAAATATATGGTTCGGGGAGACTTTACTCAGCACCATATTAAGATCGTCTAATCATGGAAGTGGATCGCTAATCGCTCATCGTGCAATATCATAGTTCCACATCTCGGCTAGATTCCGTGTAATCCAACAAACATCATGAGATTCATGTCCTCTATTGAATGATGAACCTGATGCCTGCAATAGAATTCAAAGGTCGGGGTGGGGTGGATGACCACGTGATATCGCGTCCCACTCTTGGCACGGCGCGTCTTCCCCAACGCGTCCCTCCCCCACATTCTTAATCAATGATCACATCGCCTGCGAACCATACAAAGTAACAATTTGCGTTGTCTCTTTGCCTTGCTTCCAGTATGCATGGTCTTCAATATGCCTTGGGCAATCACCAGTTCTAAGAGGAAGAAAGATACAACTACTCCGGTTTCTCGCAAGCGCCATCGTCCTTCATCGACACGCACCTCTTTCAACTCCCTGTCCCGAAGTCAAGGGACCTTGACGCAGGCACGATGGATGACACCCGCTGCTCCCAGTTTTCTCGACGACGAACCGTTCCTCGAGCCCAGTCGCCCACGTACCCTCCCCCCAACAGCCAGATCTCGTTCCCTTAAGAAACGCGACTCCACCTTGACCCAGATGGATTTCTTCAGTTCGATGCCACAGCACCAAGAAGACATGGATGATGGCCTGCTTTCAGAGACTGAGAACGCTCCTGTAGAGCATACTGGTCATTCTGCACAGGTCGATGGGAACTACAGCAGTCCTCGGAAACCGCGGAAACCTAAACATTCTTTGACATCGTCACATCAGAAGAACCGCGGCTCGGTCAGGTTTGAGAGCGAACAGAACAATCCAAGCAGCCGACGAAATTCAGGTCACCTTCCAGACGTCGAAGCTGGGTCAAACTCAAGAAGAGTCTCCAGTCGAGTGGCGCGGAACCAGACAATCTTGTCCGATCCCCAGGAAAACTTGGCCTTTTTCGAGGAAGCACTGGAAACCCCACCCAAACAAGGAGATTCACATCGCAATTCTCGTCCAGTCCTTGAGATTCGAGACTCATTGGAGGACGAAGACGATGTAAGTTTATTGCCACCCGAAGAGGAAGAAGCTCCACCTATACGTACACCAACTGCAATGCGAACAATCGTGCTATCCAGCCAATCCCCAGAGAGTTTGCCGCCGTCAGTACGGACAGTAAATCGTGTGGGAAGCTCGAATCAAGCCAACCGGAGCCCTCTTGCGGAAAGGTCAAGAAATCTATCACCCAAGACTCCTTCTAAGTCTTTTGCAAGGAAACATTCCGCGGTACCGGAAACGAAAATAGTCACTCTAAAGTTGCCAAAACGAAAGCCACAGCCATCTCGTGTTGAAGATTCGCAAAAGAATCTTTGGTCATTGCCGTCGTCGTCTCCAGAGCAGACAAGACATAGCAATACGACCGCACTTTCTCAGCCTCCTCGTCCTTTGGGTAATCTTCCAGAGATACCGGATTCGAGCCAAGCCGATATTCTCACATGGACCCCCCCGGCTTCGAATGTAGAGGCAAGCTTACCTAGCATTCGCGATATATTTGGTTTGAACGCCTCTTTGACTAGTCAGCACACTCCGATTGAGCTTGTCCTGAATCATGGCTCGCCGCACTCAATTACCCAGGATGATGATGAAGTGATCCAAGGCTCGCAAGATGAATGGATTGGCTCACCAATAGAGGCACAAGAGAACGAGCCATCCTACAGAAGCCCTCCACCTCTCAAAGAAACACCCGCCACCTCACGCAGGGTGCAGCGACCTTCAAAAGAAGTCTTGGTCAGGGATTTGGAAGCCAACAATGAACCCACATGTGAAGCCGAGTTGAGACATGAAAGAACCACTGAGGTACAGGGTGGATTTGCAATCCCCCAGCCACGGCTTGTTGAGAAAGCCACATCTATTGATGCTGATGCAGCAAATAATCAGGATAGAAGCCTTGATGATTTCGCACTGCCTCCACCACCGTCGATGCATCGAAGAAATACTCAGACAACAACGACCCGAATTCCCCTGAACGACGTATCTAGCGTTGAGACGTCATCGCAATCATTACCTTCGGCAGCCAACATTACCCAAAGAAGTATTTATCCGGCAACAATGCCTCACCCTTCACAAATATCCACACAAGATGCCACTCAAGGAGTGTTTGGACTTTCATCGTGTCCACGCCCGACACAGTACACTCAACATGGCGAAGGCATCAGCCACAGTCTGACATTAATTGATAAGATCACAATCAAGGACTCGAGTTCATGTCAAGTGTCGATGAGCCAGATCCCTGAGCAACCAGCATCTCAGAGCCAAGCTGCCGTCGATCTCGGGCTAGATGAGGTCTTCAATAGTGAAGATGAAGGTGATCTTGACTTGGATCCACCGACGACTCCAGCACCACCACGACATTCACCTTGTCAGGATTTGAGCGATGTGCAAATTGAACAAACTCCAACCAAGGAACAAGACCTGGTCAAGAACCCACCAACCGAGAATGGGAATGATATCGACATCGATATCGACATCGACGAGCTAGGAAGAGATTGCCCATCCGTCGAGCGACCTGAACCAGGACAACTGATCCGATCAAGTCAAATCTCGCTTTCACCCATCTTATCCTCACAACCATCACCACCGAAGAAGAAATATCCTCCATTGAAGGGGTTCGACAACGACACACAATCCAACTTCACTCAGAACGGCCACGTCACAGCAGCATATATCCATCGTCAGCGCGAGGCAGGAGTTCTGCCGGATTGGTACACGCCGGCGCCGTACAAGGTCCCGGGGTATACGCGGATGAAGTAGAGGATTCTGTCTATGTTGTTTAGAATCTCGATGGGTTGGGGGGAGGGCTTGCTTGCCCACGTGGGAGATTCTGGGGGAGGAGAGTAGCTAGAAAGGCTACTGCGTGGAATGATTGTGAGATACAAAAGGCGAAGCCCGGAGTAGTAAAATGATAGCGAACATTGTTCAGATAGACATGATGTAATGACACATAACTATATCTTTATTGTTATCCCTATCATTCATGAGGGATTTGTGGATAATCAAATCTATCCCATAATAAGTACCTAACCCAGCGTTTTAATGCTCACATATAGAGCCCACATATCGCATGACATGATCATCAACTTCGGAACAACCTTAAAGCCACCTCCTCTGACCCATGGTCTAATCCATTTCCATCCCCATCACTATCCTCTCCATCCTCATCCTCATTCTCATCCAAAACTGCCGTCCTGCCCAACAAACTCGCAAAAAACTCGGTCGCCGCACCATCTTCCCACGAAGTCCGGTCCTCTGGAGCCATGAAATTCTGTAATTTCTCATGCACGGTATACCGAATCTTACGACCTTTGGATGCTTTCGTATCGACTTTTTTGTTGCGTGATCCAGACGCGTGCAGTTTGATCGGTAGGTATGAGTCGACGGACATGGCGAGTGATTGGTCTGAGTTGGACTTGGATGCGATGAGGTCGCGGAGAAGACTTTGATAGAATGGACTGTCGTCGTAGAGTGCGTTATTGGCGGTAGAGGTTGAGATGAGGTTGGCGGATGTGGTGGTTAGGTAGGTGGTCAAGACGTCGGTGAGACGGGATTGGGGTTGTGACTGGCGGCCGAGGAGCTTGGATCGAGCGCTTGCGTCGATGGCGGGTTGGGTTCTCGCGTGCCATTTGTCGAGGGCGGCGCGGTCGTAGGAATGAGATTGTGTGTCGAGGGAGCACAGTTCTTGCCAGATGGATGATGAGCTGGTTGATGGGGATATAGGGGATGGTCGTTTGCGTTTGAGGGATTTGGTGCCGTCTTCTTTCGATGTAGAGGGTCGTGATGATATGAGTTCATAACGGATGGTGTTGATGGTCGACCAGAGTTTCAGAGCCGCGTCTTCGGCTTGTCGAGCGGCAGATGCGACTTGTTCATCGGAAAGAGTGGATTTGGACAGGTCGTTTGCAGCGGTTAAGCCTTTTTGAAGCTTGATTCTCGCGTCCAGGATCCGATCAAATGCCTGCTGTTGTTTTATGACGGCCTGCCCTTTCTTTGCATCAGCGGTAGCACCGGCTGATAATGCTGATGCTAAGTTTGCTGAAGATGTGGAAAGTAGTGCTGCTTTTCGCAGTTCTTCGCGTTCGGAATTGCGGGCAGGTCTGGTTGATTTTGGTGGTGGAGAAGAAGAATTAGAGGAAGCAAGAGATTCCTCATCGTCGTCTTCGCTATCTTCGGCGTCTAGCATGTCAAGGTCGGAGCCGTCCATTTCGCTGTCGATGCTGGCACTGTCACTGCCTTCATCTTCGCTTGAGACCTGGCTTGATTCCTGCCTTGATTCCTCTTGGCTGCTGGTGGGCTCTTTTCGATTTTTTTTGCTTCCCCGAAAGACGAAGTTCTTGAACTTTTCTTCATCACTTTCACCCAATGCCTCGTCGCTGTCAATCTCGTCGTTTTCATCCAATTCTCCCTCATCGTCTAGGTCAAGGGCTGACGCCGATGACGAGTCTTCTGATCCGCTCACACTGCCACCTCTTTTTGCAAAAGGATCATCGTCATCGCCTTCGTCGGCCGGAGCGAATGGATCATCCTCGTCCTCGTTCGCATCACCATCGCTGCCCTGGTCTTCTAACGCCTTGCGACTGATGGCAACTCCACCGTATTTCGCTGCATCGAGGGCAGTTTTCTCGGACTGGCGTAGTGTACTTTTTCCAACTGTCTCATAGTGTTCACGACCGCCTATGGGAGTGGGTTCGTTGTCGCCATCGGATTGTTCTTCGTCAGAATTGTCAAAGGCATCGTCTTCAGGATCATAGTCTGCAAGCAAGTTAGAAAACTAGTTATTGTAGAAAGATTTGTGAAGACTAACCTTTTGCTTTCTTCCTCTCTAATGCTCGAGCCGTCTCGCTCAGCCTGGTGACCTTGGCCATTGTGGTTGTGGGACGAGGAATGTAGAATAATGGTTTGAATTGTTTGTCGCCCTTCGAAATAATTTTATGAAGATTTCGCCGCAAGTTGCCGTTTTGCATGCGCAGGCAAGTCTAGCCGCGGCTGCAGGGAGCCAGAGGCGTCGTATGCCAAGGAGGGCCGTGCAAGTGATGGTCTAGGCGCCACAAATAATCAGGTACATATTTTACACTATCCTCCTTCAGTCCCAAAATTACCCGTCAGGCTGGATAGTTCAGTGGTAGAATTCTTGCTTTGGGCATACAATTCTGAATGTAAGAGGTCCTGGGGTAAGTCTTAATCTGAAGTCCCACACATCAGCACTCTCTAACCTGGCACAGTTCAAGTCCCAGTTCAGCCCGTCTTTTTGCTCTTTTTTTGGCAGACATCCCCAGGTATATCTTTTGAGTTTTATTCTGTAAAGCAAAGCATTTCGCTCACCAGCAGAGAGCATTGTGAGTGATGTGCCGAGTATTAGTTTTTCCCTTCTCCTACACGGCCGAGCCTGATATTCTTCTCACTTGGCGAGTTACCTGGCTGCAGAGACTCACCCAATTGAAACCCTATGTCTAAGTTGGTTTTCTTCGATTCTGTCCTCCACATAATAAATAAACATGGTTTATCCACATCTATATCTCAAAAATAGTACTGGGCGATTATGGAATTGTGATTAGAGAAATTTGTATTTGAAAAGGATGAGGAACTCGATCTCATCTATGGAGTTGTCGGCTATGGTCCGTGTTCAAGCCATTTCTATGGTGGACGATAATTCCGTGGCTTTCGGTAGAGCCACACTGCGACAATGCTTCGAGGTACGGAGTACTGGAAACTTCAATGAAATGACTGTCTGCTCCTTCCACAGAACATGGTCAAATAGTGCTCTTTGCTCATTTTCACTCAAGAGGAGTGGCCTGGTGGGGGTGTTTGAACTTTGGATCATCATCGCCGCCCAAGAGACCGTGCTTCGGTCGATCTGATGCCGGCATAGGATGTTCGTAATCTGGGGCGACTGGGTCATCACCAAGTGCGAGTACTACACTGTGTGGCTGTCCTGGGAGATCTTGCCAACCTTTGTACGGTGGAATTGTTGGATCATCGCCAAAGGCTATAATACCTTTGTACTGGTCTGGAATCTGTTTCATGCTCGCACCCTCAATATCGCCGAGCACAGCCTCGTAGGACACGTTGATTTTGATCTTAACCGGCTCTGGCAGCTCTTCCATGTCTGAATATGCGAGGCCATAGACACGTCGACGGTTCTGGCGAACAATATGTGACTTGGATTCTTTCATGCTTGTTTCGAAGTCGTCATCATACCAGCCATCAGCACGTTTTTCGTCGTCGTGCTGTTGAAGTTGTTGTCGATCTGCCTCTTCTTGAACATCATTGGAAGGAGGGCCACTGGTACGAATGTGTTCGGTAAGCTTGTTGATGTTGGTGTATGTTGCAGAGCATCCTGCATATGGACAGTGGAATTTTCCGTCCGCCGAATTGTCTTGATTCCACTTCAACTTCTTCATAACCTCGCCATGTTTACTGTGTTCTCGACCAAGTTGGTGGTTCAGCAGCTTGGCCTTGGATGTCCAAATCTTTTCCTGATGGTTCGATTAGCTAACACATGTGCGGAGCCGGAGATGATAACTCACTTTGAACTCGTCGCCGACATAAGGACTGGCGGCACAAAGCTCGCAGATCAATTCTTGGCTGGGATCACGTTCCACAAACCTATCCTGTCCAAGGGATGCCATGAAAACCTCGACGGCTGTAGCAAATGCTTCAGGTGTCTCGTCAACGACATCGCCATACTGATCTTGTCCATCAACATCCACTGGAATCCCAGCTTCTCCTTGATCTGCTGCACCAAAATCATCTTCAGCGTCGTGGAGGTCATCAGCAGTGAGATCTTGATCTTGCAACAACTCATTGAATTCAGGATCATCTGTTGCCATGGATGGTCCACGAGGGGTTCCAAGCGTTGCTGGACCAGCACCATGGCCTATTTCTCGTCCAGGAGGCTGTCCCGCCGGCCGTGCTCCAGGGTCCCTAGCTGCACCTTGCGTTGTAGATCCATGAGCGGCCACAATAGCGCTTGCACTGGTCTCGGGCTGCATTCCAACTCCGACGGATACCACTCCACCTCGCATAGCTACCCTGGTCCTCTCACGAATCAGTTGAGCGAGACCAGTAGGATCTGCGACCGTCTCTTTACGTCGCTCAAACTCTTCCACAGTCATGGTGGCGTCGTGATCCTTCTTTTGCTGGTCATGGAGAATTTTGGACGCAAGCTTGATGGCCCGACGCTTGATGTTGTTGATCACTCGAACATTATTCTCCTCGACTGCCTTCTCATACTCTTCGTTTCCTTCGAGAATCTCTTGGACACGCCTGGCTAGATATGCGCCCTTGACTCGCTTGTTGTCAATCATACGCATGAGAATCTCCGAAGAATCTTCATCAAGAGTGGCTGCAGCCAGATTGGTGTCTCCCCTCATGGCTAACTCGAAAACAGGAGTGTCGAAAAGCCCTTGGTCGTAATACTTTTCGAGAGTCGTACTTCTGGTGTCGTGACCCATCATTGCCTTTGCTTTCTCAGAGCCTTGCGTACGACTCCACTGAGAGCCAGCCTTGCGGCGCCAAGCGTACATGGTAATGTTGCTCGGATAGCCAGCTTGCATTGCGTGTTGCTGAAGATACTGACTCATGCTATCCGCACCCAAAGCTTCCTCTGTGATGGACAAGCCTCGCGGGCCGCCAGCTCGACAGACTGGTTTCGGCAGCATCTCGTCCTTGATTGAGATGAATCGCTCACGTCCAGAAAGTAGCGACTCAAGGGTCGAATGGTCTTTGAGTCCATTCCGTCGAAGCAGGATAACGAGGATGCGATGAGGAATAGACATTGGAAGCAGATCGGTCGTTGTCGCGCCGTTGACAGCGAACTTCAATCCTGTTTCGATCTCAAGGCTGTCGCGATTGCCTTTAAGAAACCGGAAATTGATTCTTGCATGAAATTCTCCAGGATCCCTGCCGCGGAGGATCTCCACATCTCCGAAGGAGAGAAATTGGTCCTTGTGATGCCTCGACCAACCAATTGATCCCGGTCGTATACCGCAAACGCAACCCAAGCACCACGCCAAGTGATGGCTTTCTGTGACAGGTAGATATGGTGATTGGAGGGTATCAAAATCAATGAGTTGTGCGAGTTCCAGACGGCCAAAGTAAGACTTCACACTGCGCTGCCGATTGAGACCTAGCTCTCGACCAATACGCTGCAAAGTTTCATTCGAGGCATTGATCAGTTGCCAGCGGTAAGGGGCTCGTTCACCCATCTGACGCAAGATCCAAAAGAGCATGCTTTCTCGACATTGAAGCAGACTCTGGTATCGAGGACGCTGATCAACGGTGCCACGGGGCTTCATGAGTCGAACTTCGGCGCGGAGGTACCTAGAATATATATTTTAGTGTTGTAATTGTCTTGTCGTTTGGGAGGTTGGCTCACAATCTCAAATTTTTGATGACATCTTCTTTGGTGGCATCCGTTACTTCTCGTGCAATAACATCATCATCAGACAGTGCACCATAGAGTGTATCCCTATCCATCGACAGCGTTAGAACAGGCAAAATGTCAGAGTTGAATGGGATATTGCGAGAAAAAAGAGCAATCTTCTCTCATGGAGACTTACCGAAAGTTCTTGATTCGCATGACCTTGACAAATCGCTTCAAATGGCGATCTTGCCGGGACTGAAGGCTGGCACTGGAGGAACGAAAGCCTTCATCTGCTTCAACATCGCCAAAAATCTCTTCGAAATCACGTAAGGCGAATTCATCGTTGGGATCATTGTCGAGACGATTGAGGAGATCTGAAAGCGAAATGTCGGTGCCGGAAGCCAGTGGCCTAAGCCGCACTTGCCCCTTTGGTGGCATCTTGAAGTAAGAGCAAGTCTATCAACGTCGAGGTAGTGATAGAGCGGGTAACAGAGAGAATAAGTGAGAAATTGTGGCACTGTGGAGGTTGAAGAGGACAGCAGAGTCTTTTGATCTGAACGCGCCGCAGCCTGGAATTTCCCACAAAATATGGCGGACAATATCATAAATTTTCTCTCAAATTCTCGAGTAGGTGTGGTCGAAAAGAGAAGATGATCGAGCTAGGCAACGACGGGATCGAGGAAAAGCGGAGGATTCTGCCTCACCAGCCCCAGTGTCTGGCAGAATTAGAAGCTTTTGGAGGATTTTTGTGGCCAAGATGTAAACACAGAGGCACAATCTTTTTCTTTCTCACTCACTCATTCCTTGCTTCTCACCCACCGAGCTTCGTGGGCTTCCTTCGCTTCCAAACACCTTGCTCCACGGTGCTTTTATCAAATACATAGCTGTATCACAAGGGGTGCTGTTTGTCTCAAAATGTCCACTTCGCCTACAGCTCGTCGTCGCTCTGGCGCTGGAGTCGATGAGAATTTGCCGGGTAAGTCATTCTCAGGAAGGTCTGCAACTGCCGATGTGTGACATTGGCGATTGAAAGATGCCGTGCAATGTTGAAGTTGACTGACAATGAAAAGATCCCGAAGTCGACATCACCAAGACTGCATACTTTGTTCGCCCAGTCATCTCTGGTGGTCCCCATATTGACGCTTTGTTTCACAACCAGGCGACCATGATGAAGATGATTCAGGTGAGTGCATTTCTGCATGAATCTTGTGTTCTACCGATTCACGAAGAGACGCTGACCCACTCTGGTGTAGGATCTTCGATTCATGCAAGCACAAACATTGACGAGCTCCACTTCTGGCCAGCGAGATAATAGTAGAGTGGAGCAGGCTCGAGACTGGGATCAAGCTGTGGGTTGTGTGCTTTTACCGTCGTTTCTGCCACTGACATCGTCCAGGTATCGACCATCATGGCAAGCAAAGAAATGTCAGACACCATGACCGGATTGGCAATGCGCTGGGTTTCCCTCAATCAGACCAACAAGATGGCCAAGACTCGAGGCAACCGACAACTTCCCACATTGGCCAATGCCACCTTTGCCTTTTTCAAAGAAGCATTTGCTGAAGAGTGGGCTAGAGATGCTGGTGATGACGCCGATGTCGAGAATGCCACCGATGGAGAGTTGGTCCAGCTGCTCAAAACCATGGAAGAGAAGGACAGTCTAAAACAAGAGCTTCATCTGGCATTGGCAAAGCGTGTGACTATGACTGCCAGCTCATCCCCCGAGCGTACCCGCAATGATGGTGATGGTGAGGGTGAAGGTGAGGCTGGCGCTGCAGGTCCTTCCGGCCGTGCTAGCGAGAATGAGGTATCGATCCGAGGTCGTACAGCGTCTGCAGGAGCCCGAGGACGATCCCGTGGCAGTTCTTCCAGACGTGGAGGTAGAGGCGCTGGTAGTTTGGCACGGCCTACTGCTGCAGGCGAAGCTTCTGGTTCCACAAGTGCTCCTGCTGATGACCATGCGGAAGATGCTGAACCTGACAATGGCGGATCAGCCTCGATCAACGAGCCTGTTGCAGGGCAAGCTTCTCGAAAGCGACGTCGTGTGGTGAATGATGATGATGACGACGACTATGACGATGTGGAATGAACGGTATGAGAGCTCATGGCTTGAACTGGGCCGGGTGTATGATGTTGATTGCAGCCATTAACCAAGTCCACCATCATGATTGAAATGGCAATTGGGATAGCATCATCTTGCATAACAGGGCATCAACTGCTTTCTCTATTCCAAGAGACTAGACAGAATTCAACTACCATAGATTCGTTCTCATAGCACTTGCCATATCCGGTGTTGGTGGTGTTCCGTCCTTGGGAATGTTTTGCCATCGTCGCTAGGTGTCGGAGCATAAATATTGATTCATGTTAGAAGTAAAAGGTATGGAAGAGATGGACATGTTTGGGTAGCAAAGACTGTAATGAAAATAGCATACTGCCATGGAAAGCGATTGACAAGCCATCCATATGTATGCGGGAGCTGCATGATAGAGAATGGAATGCATCTTCCTGCCTGATGTGACCAGGTTCCAGTCCCACCCACGTGACCCTCGCTGTCCACGTGACCATAAATACTTGGAGAATATACTCCGACTAAATCCTGGCTCCGAACCTGGGGCGAGGTCCTGGGTTCAAGTCCCAGTTCAGCCCTTTTTTTGCTGCGCGTGACGGAGCAGAGCTTCTCTTTTTGCTCATTCTTGTTGCATTATGTGCTCTGATCATGTTTGATATAGTTTTTGCGTCGAGTTGTTGAAGGAAACTGATTATTTGCAGAAATTTTGGCGGTACGTGCGGGCGGAGTTTTCGTGAGGGGAAACCTTAAACACGGCGTCACGTGCCCACGCTCCAGGGTTTACGTCATCCTCACCCCCAGACGCGAACACGAAAGATGTGAAATAGGTTCCCATGGCCCTCTGTTATCATCAATTTGCCATAAGGTTGCGACTCTTGCTTGTTGGTACAATTCATCGATGATCACACCGGCCTCTCATCAACATAGCATGATGGGCATTGCCCGCGCTATGAATGACCGAATCCAACTTAATCACCTGATCAATGCCTCCTCGGAAGAGAGCCTCAAATTCCCGCACCCCTACACGTCCAACTCGTCGCTCTGCGCGTCAACGAGCAACAGTCGACAATGATGTCGCAAGCATCTACGGAGATATGCTCGCCGAAGCGGTGGCAGAGGAACGGGCTCACCCTCCCACCCCAAGGTCTTCGAAGCGACGCAAGTTGAGTGAGGAGCCAGCTGGGGATATTCAACTGGATGTCGAACTGTTTGGTTCATCACAATTCGAGCCATTAATAGACTTGGATAATGGTGCGCCAATCACTGGCGAACCAGCAGAAGCACCAAGACCGCAACAAGTCGTCTACGATGATTTTGAAGAATCAGACGAATCAGACGTTGAGTTCGAGGAAGTCGACCTGGAGCCCTCCCTACACAACCAAGACGACTCTCAAACCACAGACCAAACACCGCTCCAACTAGACCTGTCAACCAAACCTGCAGACTCCTCCAGACATGGCGTCCAACGGCGAAAACCGGTGGGTCCAGCAGAGCGTAAGCGAAGGCTAGAAGTCCACAAGGCTCATCTCATATGCCTTCTGGCACATCTCAGCGCTCGCAACCGGTGGTGTGAGAGTGATGCTGTACAGAGTATCTTGAAACCACTGATTCCTCGGAAACTCGTCTCGCTGTTTCACGTTGACGAATCGAAGCCGCAGTTTCAAAGATCCCACTCCTTTAACAAAGGCCTAGAAGAGATTTGCTTGCTCTGGAGGACATCATGGACCATCTCTGCCCGAGGTATGTGCAGGGCCCATTGGAAAGAAGATGTAGATGCACTCAAAGAAAGTGAAAATGCCGAAGACTTGATCGATTTTGACGATTTCAAATCTGCCGCCCATTCCAAGACGGGATCCCGGGATTTGGGGGCTCAGCTTCTCTGTGCTTTACTTCGATCTATCGCAGTGGACGCCCGACTCGTCTGCTCACTGCAAGTATTACCCTTTTCCGGCGTTGCTAAAGGTCAGACACCCGAGAAGCCAAAACCGAAGTATCACTTTGCGCCAACTCAAAACTACGACTCCGCCTTCAGTCGACCACAAAGGCCAGCGCCTTCTAAGAAAAGAATCATTGAATCTCCCTTTCCAATTTTTTGGGTGGAAGTATTTTCGCCTTCGACTTCGAACTGGATCCCAATCGATCCGCTCGTTCGAAATACCATCAACAAACCTAAGACTGGGTTTGAACCACCGGCGTCCGATGGCCTCAATTCCATGACTTATGTCATTGCTTTTGAAGACGACGGCTCTGCCAAAGACGTGACAAGACGTTATACCCAATGGTTTAATGCAAAAACACGCAAACAACGAGTTGAATCCACGAAAAATGGACAAACATGGTGGAACCAGACCATGACGGTCTTTGAAAAAACATTCAGCGAAGCACGCGATGATATAGAAGATGCAGAATTGACAAAACGAGCCGAGAATGAAGCCATGCCTCGAAACGTCCAGGATTTTAAGGACCATCCTGTTTTCGTTTTGGAGCGGCACCTCCGCATGAATGAAGTGATTCATCCCAAACACGAAGTCGGGAAAGTAACTGCTGGTGTGTCCAAGAATGCCAAATTGGAGAGCGTTTTCCGACGTCGGGACGTTCATCTCTGTCGTAGTGCAGATGCATGGTATCGTCGTGGAAAGGACGTCAAGGAAGGAGAACAACCACTCAAGCGAGTTCTGAGCAAACGAAAAAGAGATGCAAACGCAACACAACAGCAGCAGCAGAATAGCTTCGACGACGATGAAGGTGATCCTGACTCAGAAGGCACGGCACTTTACGCCGAATATCAGACTAGCACCTACGTGCCACCTCCTGTTGTGGACGGCACCATCCCTCGCAATGCATATGGCAACCTGGATGTCTATGTCCCCAGCATGATTCCCGCAGGCGGAGTCCACATCCGACATCCACTTGCCATGGAGGCCGCCAAAGTGCTAGGCATTAACTTTGCAGAAGCCGTCACCGGGTTCGAATTCAAAGGTCGACAAGGTACAGCGGTGATTGACGGTGTTGTCGTCAGCGCCGATATGTGTGACGCTATGATCAACGTGATTGAGGGGCTGGAGTCGCAAGCAACCGAAGAATCCGAGCAGGCACGAACTCAAATCGTCCTGGCAACATGGAAGAGATGGTTGACTGCATTGCGAGTCAGAGATAAAGTACAGCGTGAATATGGAGATCGAGAAGGAACACCAGATATCAATAAGGGCATTCAGAAGGAAGATCAACAGAACGAGGACAATAACACTTATTCTAATGGCGACGCTAGCACCAGCGACAGCGACTATGATGATGGAGGTGGTTTTGTGACCGAGGACGCTGAGCCCGCCGAACGGCACGAAGAACCTCGCGTCGGACTCACCACTGCTCCAAATCTGAAAGCCTTGCCTGACATCCTCCCCCCAGAAATTGTGCATCGTGAGATTATTGTGGTACGGTCGCCTCACAAAGTTTCTCCTCCAACGCCACTTGCGATCTCTACAACCTCGAAACTAAAAACTAAGACCACCATGCTAGATTCATCATCCATGGGTGATGATTACAATGGTGATGGTGGAGGTGGCTTTTTACTCGAAGACGGGGATGAGGAAGCAGAGCCTGGCCGTCCACAATCACAGTTGATGAACCAGCCGCCGAAGGAACCAATGTCCAAAACTACAAAAGCGACAACTGAAATGGATACAGAGGAAGAAGGGGGAGGATTCGTTGTCGAAGACGATGGAAAAGCTGAAGCTGAAGCTGAAGCAGGAGTAGAATTCCTACTAGATTCCCATCCCATCAATCTTGAAGCTAACGACGAAGAAGCTGGCGGATTCATTGTAGAGGACAACGAGACTGAGGCCACAGAGAGCGTTACAGCTACAAAGACAGAGCAACCGGAGCAACAGTCGCCAGTCCAGTCGCCAGTTGTCAAAGACAAGAACAAGGACAAGGACAAGCTCAAGATCGAGGAAGAACCTGGACCACCACGACCAGCAACAAAACTCTCCTCACCACCTCAAAGTCAAAGTGCCTCTCCAGGATCCCCAAACTCACTCCTCTCACACGATCCTGACGAAGACGATGCTGAACCTGAGTGGTTGTTGAATAGTTTGGGAGAATTAGAGTGAATTAAGTATGATATGATATATACGAAATTATATAATATTACTACTTCAACTCGACAGAAAACTTTCAATTTAAGAGAGGTACTTTAGCCTTAGCCTTCTGCTTACGAGGAACAAGGAGATAGATATCTGCATGGCGATTACACAGCACAGCGCACAGCGATTCTGTCTGTTTATACTAAGTACTATCCACATACGACACGACTGGTTCTGCTTGCTTCTTGTTTCATGTATGTATATATGTATGTATGCTTGCTTGCTTGCTTACACGCCTGCTTGTACGCTTGCAGAGGTTTGACTAACAACAGTACTACCAGTACTACCAGTACTAATAGTAAGTAGTGAGAACAGAATAAAACAAGCTATAAAGGAGGAGGGAGGAATGAAAAAGGGAGAGAGACCCGGTTTGTCTAACCAGGTCGAACACACATCTCTCTGTCGTAGTTAGAGGATGTTGTCAGTCCAGGAAATGGACGACAAAAGTCGAAGAGACAAAATCTCCGCCAGAGTCCAGTAGACACACAGTCGAATAGATGAAAATGGTTGGTATGTTCCTCGTTCCCGATTCTGGTTTCTGCTTCTCGCCGTATTGTTCATGGTGGCGGTACACCATAGACTGACCTAACCTTCGCTGGTCTTCCTCCCTGGTTGTTCCTATTAATCCGTATCCGTTCCACCGGAGAGAACATGACCATTGAAAACTCCCCCGAGTATCGCCAATATTACCTCCATTGTCTGACCAAAAAGGTCGACATCTCGCCGTAAGTTCGTCCTTCACCATGACAAATCAGAGCCCTTTAGCTGTCAAGTCAACCTCAGCGCTGTTGCCCGAGTCGACTACTAGTCTTCCTCCACTTGGACAGCATCAATTGTTTCTGTACGGTCGGCGACCTTGCTTAAAAGCCGAGCCATCTTCTGGTTATCTAGGAGCATGTCATTATCAAGCTCTTGGATTTGCCTCACTTGTTCTTGAATCCCAGCTAGTTGCCCTTGAACGTTGGCTCTGGTTTTGTTTGGGGTGTTCTCATCTGAAACTTCTTCTTCTCCTCCGCCTCTAAGGCCTGTAGAGGTGGTGGAGTCCTCGCTGGGTGTCGTCCATCGACTAGCTTCGAGGCCTTTCTTCGCACTGGTAGGAGTGGGTGAGAGAGGGTTCATTGATTTGCGTCGGGGACTTCGACTTTTCCGAGGAGACTTGGGGCTGGCAAGAGAAATGGCTTCTGCCTGGCGCTTATACTCTTCAGCTTCTTTTGCTGCCGAGTCTGCCATTCCTCGTTGAGTCTCAATCTCAAGTACAGCGCCATCCAGCTCGCCTTGAAGTACGGCAATTTGCTTCATGGCCTCATCAAGCTCGGTTCTCAGAGTGTCCACCTGACTGGGATCGGTTCCATTCTGTGCCATTTGTTTTGCCTCATTCAATTCAAGCAGGAGTTTCTCAGACTTGGCATCGTAGTCGGCCTTGACGTCGCGAAGTGATTGATCTTGTTGCTTTTGTAGCTCTTCCAAGGCTTGTTGAGCCTCAACGTACTTCTGTTTCAACACTTCGAATTCGGCAGGATCTGTTCGCAATTCTGAAGCAGCATGGGCAGCCTTCACTTGTTCCCTAAGGGAGTCAAGTTCCAAAGCATGCTCTTTGGTGAAGGCACTCATTGCTGTTGCATGGCTCTCCTCGATGGTATTCGCCTTTTCCAGAGCTTCTGCGAGCTGCAGCTTGACGGTTTCAATTTCAGACTTGTCCGAGGTCTCAAGTGCATCTTTGGCCTGCAGCAGTTCTGTCTTCAATTGGGCAAGGGTAGCCTCATGCTCTGATTGGGCGTTCGCAAGTGCCTCCTCGTGCTCCTTGGTTTGCTGTGTAAGGCGGGCCTTCGCTTCCGCATTCGAATCTTCTAGCTGATCGACCTGGGATTTCCACTGGCTTTCAAGGGTCTTCATGACTTCGTCGAGCTGGTTACCATGCTCCTCCTTGGTCCGTTGTTCAAGTTCTGCCAATTGTGATTGGTGCTTTTCTTCAAGCGCCTTCAGAGCTTCTTCATGCTGCTGTGCTAGTTGGCTCGTGGCGGTCACATGTTGCTCTTCGAGAGTGGATTGAAGTTGAGACAGGGCCTCCTCGTGGCTTGATCGTAACGCCTCAAGTTCGGATTTCGAACTCTCCTCGAAGCTTTTCTGAGCAGCTGCCAGTGCCTGTTCATGCTGTGATTGCAGATCCCAGACCTGGGAGGACTTTTCTGCCAGTTTCAAGACCGACATCGATAGATCGCTGTCAAGCTTTTCAATTCTGGCCTCAAATTCGGCGATTTTCTCTTGCCCTTCGTTTTCCACATCCTGTAGGATTCCCTTCAAGGTTTGTAGCTGGAAGCGTGTGCTCTCCATATCGGATTGGAGAGACTGGTTTTGCGACTCGAGCACCTTTTTCTCCTCTGCGAGACTGGAACGTAGATCATCCAGTGCTTGCTGATGCAACGCATTTGATTTCTCTTCGACTTCTTCGATTGCTTTCGCGTGACTGGACTTTAGCGATTGGATGGCAGCGTCGTGACGGGCAGCAGCTTCTTCCTCAACCTTTCGGAGCGCAGCCCTCTCTGCTTCAAGAGTCTCTTTTGTGATCGTGAGCTCTGATTCGAGCGTCCTCAAGATCTCGACATGGGATGCCTTCAGGGCAGAGATCGCTGACTCGTGATCCAGGGCTACTTGACGCTTGTCGTCTTCTGAGGTTTGGAGATAAGTCGCACCTTGAGAGCTGACATCATTGAGCTGCGCTTCAAGGTCTCGTACTCGTTTAACGTGCGCAACTTCTGCATCCTCCAGCTCTTTTTGGTGTGTCTGAGCTGCTTCGTCTCTCGCACGCTTCAACTCCTCAATATGGCCAGCATCTAGAGCATCGAGATCTTTCAGCGTTGACTGAACTTGTTGCTCTAGACTCTTGATCTCTGAGTTGTGCTTTTCTTTCAACAAGCCAAGTTCGTCTGTCGACGATTGTAACTTCTGGTTCAACTTCTGCAGCTGATCGGCATGATCCGCTTTTAGCGTGGCAATCTCGTCTTTGCTGATGGAAGCTCGGGATTCATTCTCCTCGAGGATTGAATTATACTTGGTGGAAAGGTCCTCAAATTTGGCGTTGCCTTGCTCAAGCTGGGCCTGTAGGCTCTGAAGAGCGGCTTGGTGTTGCTCCTCGGCTATCTTGGCTGATTCCTGTGCTTCCACAAGTTGGGCTTGGGCTGCTTTGATCTGATCTTTGTCTGATGCCTTTGAAGAATCAAGTTCCTCCATGACAGCCTTCATGTTCGCTTGGGCTTTTTCTGCTGCCTCTTTGAGTTCATCGCTGTGCTTGACGGATGCGTCTTCTAGCTCTAGCTGAGCCGCTCTGACTTGCTTCTCAAGGGAAGCTAGGTTCTCGCTGTGCGCTTCCTCAGCCGCAGCAAGCGCAGCTTTAGCCGACTCGGCTTCGTCAAGCTGTCGCAGCTTTAGGTCAGCAAGGTCGGCCTCAAGCTGAACTATCGTAGCGGCCTGGGCATCACTCTCCTCTTTCTTGGACTGCTGGAAGGCGGAGATCTGGCTCTTCAAGGATTCTATCACTTGGGCTTGACGGGAAACTTCACCGTTGATCTTAACATGTTCTTCATCTTGTTTTGCAATCTCAGAGGTCTTGGTATCGAGTTCAGCGGCTCTGGCGTTGAGCTCAGCGATCTTTGAAGAGAGTTCTGTCTCCGCGGTTTCTTTCTCGCGTTTCAGCAGTTCCAACTCTTCTTGATGTCGTGCTTCTAGGGCGCTGATCCTCGCTTCGGCATCTTCTTGTATTTTTGCGATTTTGGATTTGGCATTGTCCTTGGCTGCCAGATGCCGTGTTTGTGCAGCCTCCAACTTTTGCTGAGCATCCGCCAGCTCTTGGGCATGATCTGGAGAAGAGCTGGGGGAAGGGGCTGCCTTGCTCAATGTCTGGGCCTCGAGGTCTAGCCGGAGTTTTTCAATCTCGGCCGTCTGCTCTGCTTGCTGTTTCGCACTGGTAGACCGAGCTTCCTCCAATTCTTTCTTAAGAAGTTCCATTGCTTTCCTCTCCTCGTCCAGCTCACGTGACAGTTGATTCTTGACATCGTCGAGCTGGGAAGCCTGAGTAGCGCTCAAGCTTTCCACTTCTTTCTGATGATCATCAGATAGTTGATTGTATTTTTGCTTGTGGAGAGCATTTAGTTCTTCAATCTGACTGGCGTGTTCTTTTCCGACAGCCTCTGCAGCTTCTTCTGCTTGCAGGTCCTTAACCGCAATACTCTCGATTTTGGCCTTGAGAGCATCCAGCTCAGATTGCAAAGCATCGACTTCGGTCTGGGAAGCTTTGAGTTGAGCCTTTAAATCGACGGTTGAATCAGTGCCATCTTCGGCTTGCTCTGATATTGTTTCGGCTGCTGAGGACCTGGCACCATCAAGCTCGCCTTCTGTGGGTAGACGACCATTCTCTCTCTCGAACTGTCTGACCTTTGTGAGGTCTGCTTTCAGTTTGGCTATCGAGGCTGCGGCATTGTCGTTGAGCAATTGTTGTTCTTGGTCGTCAGATCCATCTGAAGCCATAGCTTGCAACAACATAGTATTGACCAACTCAAACTCTCTGATCTGCTGCTCAATGAGAACTGACCGTGTGGACTTCCTGGAGCCCAGGGCCGGGCGGCTGGCCTGTGGTGTCTCTCCAGATGATTTATTGTCGACATCTGATTCGACATTCTCTTTGTTATCGCCAGAGTCTTCCACATCGGCCTTGACATGTGGCGAAGCAGGAATTGTGCTCAACCGTTTCTTATCAAGCAGACTGCTTGTAGCGGCGCCGGCGCCGGCATTTCGGGAAGTGGAAGAGACGAGGGGTCTTGCACGTGAAGTGGTGGTCGTGCGGCTTGTGAGTGGAGTGGAGGGGGATTTCTTTACAGCCGGAGGGCTTGAAATACTAGTGCGAGTGGGCTGAGTTGAGGTGCGGCGAGCGGAAGTGGCCGTGACTGTCTTCGCTGTGCCATGGACGCTGCGGTCGGTGGAGGTACCAGCCAGGGACATCCTCTTAGGCCTGGCGGAGATGCCATCTTTGACCTTCTCATCGCCCGAAGGCTTCTCGTCGACAGAGCTTGCAGACTGCTTTTTCTGGTGAGACGAGGCAGCAGCGGTAGAAGTACTACTTGGTGGTCTTCGAACAGCGCTGGTGACCGAGGGCCGCGCAGGAGGCTTGCTAAGGGAACTGCCTGTGGTCGGTCTCGAAGAGGACGTGGTGCCAATAGTGGAAGTCCGAGTGCCAGTTGACAGCCTTGGGGCGGCAGGTTTAGTCAAGGATCGGGTAGGAGGATGGACGGATTTTGTTTTATCGTCGCTGGTGGGCCGCAGCGAGGTGGTTGTCTTGTCCATCACGAGGTAGTCGCTGTGTTAGAAGATGACAGAAATCAAGACAAAAACAAAGAAGAACTACAAGACACAAACCATGCACAGCAGTAATAAAAGTGAGGCGTAGCAGTGATAGGTGGCTCCATGGATTGGGTTGAATTTGATGTCAATTGATACGTGGAATGCAAGGGGATGAATTTCAGGATCAATCAATCCACGTGTTTGGACCCGTGACTGGCGACTGGCGTCGGGCGTCTGGCGTGACGCGTCTGCCGGACCAATGGGAGCTTGAGGAGGAGCGGGCGGAAGCGGAAAATACTAGGGTGAAACTTGTAGACCTGCAAGCGCTATCACATTTCTTGGCATTATCATTTCCACTTTTATCTGAAGGATCAAAGACGCAAGGTCAGTATCTCCATCTGTTTCTCAAACATCCTCAACGTCATCATGCATTCTCAACTCCCGATATCAACATTTTACCATGTCCCTTGCTGCTTGCACCAGTCATCTTCCCGCTCAATCATCCAAATTAATCACTTCAGGAGTGAATGTCAGATATTGAGACATGACCACAGAATCTTGTGTGCTTGTTTTACCTGCAACGCCTGCTTCAGCTGAAGTCGTTCCCTTTCCACGTTCGCCACCTGCTGTTTCTTGCCCTTGACCTTGCTCTGGTCTCTGGTCGATAGGTACGTTGTTGGGACTGGCCCTTCCCTCGTGGCTAGGCTCAAGCTCAGATACACGGGAAGAAGCCCAGGAAATGTCTTCAATCCCTGGACCTGAGATGGTACTTGGGATAGGGTAAAGTGGCATATTGAGCATATCCAGATACGACATGGCATTTGGGTCGAGCACATAACTGCTGCTTGTGTACGGTGGCATTGCCGGTGTTGCGAAGTAATCAGCCACTGGTCGCATGGGATATCGCATTGGAGGACACATATTCATGTCTGCGCTCGCAGCAGCATCAAAGTGAGTCGGTGGATGGAATGGACCCTGCAAATGACCATACCCCATCATTTGAGAGCTGGCAGGAGCTGGAATGGCATTATGAATGTACGGAGAAACCATGTTGTTCATAGTGGTTGGCCACGGCTCGTGAGAAGCGTCCTCGTCATTGCTTGCTGCATTCAAGTCCATGTTTTTGAAAGTGACTTGGTCGTACAATGGTCCTTTCATCTGGTTTCCTGTAAAATGGGCAGACCCTTCTTTCGCTGTTCCGACATCGATTTCATGCTTGACAATTGGATGTGGCGAGGCTGAGGGCTGAAAGGTAATGATAGTATCGTCAAGTTCTTGCTTGACATGGATACCGGTAGAGTGGGATGCCGCGGCTGTGACGCTTCGTCGAGGTTCCTGCTTAACAATGATGCTGGACTGATGTGGTTCAGGCTTGGGCTGCTTGGGACTGGCCGCGACGGGATTTTGACTGACGCCAGCCTCGTGCTTGATACTCGTGGCTTGCTTGGCAGAATGCAAAAGAGCATGCCCATCGTCCTCGATTTTGGCTCTCTTGGATCTGTACACCGTGGGACCAGTTGACATGGTTCCGGCTGCCAAATCCTTGTCTTTGGATAGCCGTTCTTCCTCTTCAGCAAGTAGCTGACGCTTGCCAGCTGTCTTATCTTTGCTCGCTGTTTTGGTGTCCGCTGTCTTTTTGGGTTTGATAACTTTTGGTGGTGGTGGAATACCCTCAAGTTGTGATTTCATTCGACTGTACCGCATCCTCGCAGCATGTCCATTGGAAATACCGATCTGATCGGCAACTGCTTGCCAGTCGATCGGCTTCAGATCAAGTTGTTTCAGGATGCTGTACAAGAAGACAGGAGTCAGGGGATCGCTGGCGTGATTCTTGCCACGACGGAGCGCAGCCATGGCGTTAGTTCTAATGAGAGACTTGTGATGGTGGTGTTGGATAATGCCTTGAGCAGGTTGAAGATTTCAGTGAGGAAAGGAATGATATGTAGAAGTTCAGCGACGGTGAAATACCGTTCAAGCCAATATGGCAATTATCAAATCGCCACGAATTGAGCCTCTGACCTTTGCACAAAAGAACTTGCGGTGTTTGCTCCATTGTTGTGGTTTGACCTCCGGGTCTCTTCTTTCTTTGATGCAAGTATGCCTTTCCAAGACATTGTCTTATTTAGCAGCAAAGGCTGGGCAGAAGAAAATTGCTTTGTTCCTTGAATCAAAGCTTGCTGTCAACTGCAATAGCCCCAGACATGGCATACTCCTGCTCTTCCGGCAGAGACCCAAGCAAGACATGCTCGCGGCCCCCCCTGGACGTCCACCATGTGACACAAACAGCCGCACGATCCACGTCCATCTCACCGTTGCTGAGCGCTTCCCACAGCCTTTGTTGGCATTGTTGCTTTGGCCCCGGGCTTTGGATGCGATGCAAAAGATCTGCGGTGAGCGGCAGCCATTCTTCCAAGAGCGGGATGGGAAGAAAGCTCAAACAATCAATGATGCAAAGAAGCAGGACTGCTTTCTCAGAAAGGGGCTGTGTTTCTTCCACTGGGATGTTTGGGTCTGGTGGAAGAAACTCCTCTGAGGCATGTTCAACGCGCTCACGGAGCAAGTCCAGAATGATAGCCTGCATGAGGGGCATTGCTAATGCCACAGAAGACGGAGGCGCAGCTATACGCACGATGGATTTGATGGCGAGCCTGAACTGCCGGGAATTGAGTGGCCTGGGGAAGCTCTGAAGTAATGTCTGAACATAGAATGGGACATTCCGCGTGGCAACCTCGGTGTTCTGCGGGGCTGCAAAGATGGCCAGCATTACACTGTGAGCAGCTTCATATATCTCTCCTAATCGAGAATCGTCTTGCGGATTCACATATGGTGCAGCAGCATTGAAAAGTAGGCCTTGATTGATGCGAGGTGGGATGGCCAGGGTGAAATGTTCAGCAGTGTTGAGGAAGAACAGATCCAACAGGCGGTCCAAAGGATGTGCAGGGATCTCGCCGATCTCAACAGGACGAGTTGCTTCCAGAAAGTGTACTGACTGTGCTTGGTACTGACTCAAAATGTCAATGGCAGTAAAGTTGACGAATGTGTACTGAGACGACGACGTCAATCCAAAGCGGTGGGCGATGAAATAAGTGTCCCGCAGAATGTGCAAACTCTGCATGGCCAGTGCTGGTGCATTATTGTTCGAAGCCAAAAGATTATCGCATAGGAGTCGGCCCAAAACAGAACGAAGAGCAATGACGGCGGCAAACATTGTATCTCGAAGCATTTGCAGGAGAGATGGAAGAGTCTTGCCCAGGGTTTCTTGATCCAAGAACTGTACTTCCTCACCAGGTTCAATCTCGGAGAGTTTATTCTGTCTCCACGAGGTGACAACGTTCTTGGAGAACTCTGCGATTCTGTTGGTGGTATAGATGATCAAATTGCGATCATGCACGTGGTCGATAGCATGTGCCAGGAGACGGGACAACGCTCCCAGTCCAGTCACGAGTGGCCGGGACTTGATCTCGGTGATCTTCTTGAATGAGGGAGAGGCGGCAGACCAATTGAATGTGTTCTCGGAAGATTGACGAACATCGCGATCCACGCTTGCGAGCCAATAGCCGTGCTCCAGACCTTCGTGAGAGAACAGAGCGGTATCGACCAGAGTCGGCAGCAGAAAGTTATATTGGATCTGTGACTGATGGGTTTCTGAGAGAACTGGGAAGGTGTGATTTAGGACAAAGACAATTACGAATTCGGAATTGGCTTCGGTATCTTTCTGCTGGAGAGCGAGATTCGAAGATATCACCAGGGCAGCCTCCAGCTTTTGACGCAGATCCCAGGAGAGGTCCTCAAACTGTCGTGAATGAAACGCCAGCAGCAGAGCACCAATCATCAAGGAGTGTCGCCATCGAGGCGAGGTATCATCGGCTCCTTTTACAACGGCTTTGACCCATTGAGAGATGGACAGATCGCTATGAGAGGGCGGAACGGCGGGGTTTAGGGCAGTCTGTGGTGGGTTTTGCTTGTCCTCGATCAGGCGCAAGACGGCGGTGTAGAAAAGACTGAAGACGCGACGTGATGCTGATAGCTCAACGGGTCTGGGATAGAGAGCATCGTTGGAGAGGACTTGAGAGGCCAAAAGTGTTACATTGAGAGGGTTGGAGAGTTTGGACAAGAGGTTCGTCGCGACCGGGAGCAGCCTGTACGATGTGAGCGGCGGGGCACAGTGAAGGTTAGGTGACCACTATATCATACCTGAAGGCTTCTTCGGGGTGCTCTGATGTCTGTAAAGACCTCAGGAGGGTCGCAAGCGACCTATCCATGGCCAAAGCAAACCCCGTGTATATGATCAAAGGCAACGATGAATGATTTTGGAATTGAAGGGAGGATGAGGAAAGACTGAGCCGAGGTTGAGCGGAGAAAATAGACGGTCAGACAAGGATCCACAGGTGGGATTCGGCGAATAGCCGCCGTCTGACGTAACTGCGCTTCCGTGTCTCTATACTCGCAGGAAACGGCACTATCAAACCCTAGTCACGTGACTCTGGTCAGTATCACAAAAGCACATTTCTCGTTCAGAGGTGAATTTGGACAGCTGAATGGCAGTGTAGGACGGTGAGTACTTCTAAGTTGTATCGTGATACTGTCTGAGAAGAACAGGTCATGTGCATGTCATAGTGCATATACGGTATCCGAACTTTCTGGTGCAACACCGTCCCTCAATGGTTGCAGTAGGAGACGTGGCACTGAAGGGTGCCTTTGCGTACAGGAGCGGTGTCCATGGGCAGTAGCGAAGATCGGGACCTCGTTATCTGCGTTTTTAGTGTTTGGGCGACTTGAGGAAGCGGTGGTGGGCTCAATGCCTTCGGACGAACCCAACGTGCCCTGCTTCTTTATGGCTGACTAATTTCTACCCCAAATGCTTTTGGTCGATCCCTTACAGGATATGGTGCGCTATGAGGGAATGAAGCCACGTAAACGATCCCATTGTTTTCCTCGGCCGGGTCGGATACTGGCCAGAATGGCATACATGCCTCCACTTTTGAAAGCCCGACGTAGATTCACAAATCTATATCAGGCCGGGCTGCTTCTCAAAATGCATACTACCAGTACTCATTCAGAGTAGCAAAGACATCATTTCAGACAACTCAGATTCGAAGCCATGTCCACCCAAACAGTATATCGATTTGCCTCGCGAGGAAGCTTGGATGGACTGCAATCAAGTCAAGAGCCCATACCAAGTGCTGGGAAATATGAGGTCCTTGTTAAAGTCCGCAGCGTGGCTCTAAACTTCCGAGACATTGCTATTGCTAAAGACATATTTCCCCTTCCGGTCAAGGAAGATCTCATACCATGCTCAGACATGGCTGGAGAGGTCGTTCAGGTTGGAGATCAAGTTCGAGACTTTTCTGTCGGTGACCGTGTTGTCGCGCCAGTCAGCCTGATCGTGCTATATGGTCCTGTGACAGATGAGGACAACAGTCTCGGTGGCTCGGTGGATGGTGTTTTACGCCAGTATCTGGTGCTTCCTGCGCATGCCACTGTGAAGTTGCCCCGGTCCTCCCACTCGTTTTCAGACTGGGCAGCCACTGTCACCACAGCATACACTGTGTGGAATGCTTTCTATGGTGGTGTTCCGTTGAAACCTGGCCAAACAGTCCTTCTTCTTGGTAGGTCCCCAACCAACGTCAGATGGTGATAGACACTGATGATCGCAACAGGAACCGGCGGTGTCTCTCTCACAGGTCTCATCTTCGCAAAAGCCGCGGGCGCAACCACCATTATAACTTCATCAAGTGATGAAAAACTTGAAGATATCAAGAAGAAATATGGTGTCCATCACACTATCAATTATAAAAAGCACCCCAACTGGGCTTCAGAGGTGAAGAGAATCACTAGTGGCCAGGGGGTTGATGCTGTTCTTGAGGTCGGTGGAGTTGGCACAATCGAGCAGAGTCTTGACTCGGTGGCATGGGGTGGGACAATCTCTTTGATCGGATTTCTAAGTGCATTGGCTGAAGAAAAGATGCCGAATGTGACTTTCCAGACACTGGCCAAAGGTGCCATTCTTCGAGGCATTCTGGCAGGGTCGAAGCAACAACTCGAAGAAGCCGTCAAGTTTATTGGAACGCAGAATCTGCCGGTGGCAGTAGACCGCGTCTTCCCTTTCACGAGGGAAGGCGTTGTTGAGGCCTATGAGTATGTCGCCTCGGGCAAGCATATTGGTAAAGTATGCATCAACCTGGACTGAGGTTGGCAAGCTGGGCAAATCTCTTTTGGATAACGTCATCGATTTCATAAACATGAGCTCCAGCGAAGATTCGAGTCCATAGTTGCGCGACTGAGTTTCTTAGTTGCTCAAGTTGAGAATGATCGTCTTCGATTTGGATCAAGCTCCGTGCGAGGGAAGTCTCATCGACAATGTCAGTAACTATACTCAAAACCCACCTCTCGCCGTCGTTTAGTGCAGCCATGCCGTCCTTCTGGACCAACGTTGTCAGTGAACGTAACCAGCCATCAAGGAGCAAAGCACATTCGAGACTACTTAGCGAATGTTCGATGCTCCAGAATGGTATGTAGGTGCGAGCAATGAGTTCGACTCCCAGCCGGACGGGGATGCTGAGAGCATGCGCAGCGTGAAGAACCGCCCGTGTCAGACATGGTGACCTCTTAAGACCCCAATCTTTAGGTCTCTCAAGACGTTGAGCTTTGGAGAAGAACTCTCGACGAGGCCTGAAATCAGGTAGCAGGCGCATGTAAGCAATTCGAAAGATGGACGCTCCTTTCAGAGCCAATGGGCCTTGGTTTGACAAAGGGTCCAGCGTGGACTCTGAATTGCGTTCCCAGGACAACTGCCAGCTTCTGAGCGCATCCTCGAAGCACCTTATCCTCTCTGGTCTCAATAATCCGGCTTCTTGCTCGTATTCCAAGTAAATTTGCTGTAGAATGCCATGAATAAGCACATAGTCGCCAAATGAAGACACATTCTGGTTATGTTTGACACCATCATATAGTGAATCCAGCAATTCCAAAAACGAAAGACCGTCGGGACAAAAGGACTCTTGCCATTGAGTTTCATTGGTTGCCTTCCAGCAGGCTGCTGTACCAGGCACAAATAGACCGACTTCATGATTCAATATTGACGGATTAGTGTCGTATGCGACACTCTGCAGATTCAGTACCACATAAGCAGCAAATAGGGTCCGTCGTCTTTCTTCGATTGCAATCCAGGCAGCCCAGCTGACATCGCCCGGCATTCGATCAGGTTCTGAAATGGCACCTCGTCTGACTATTCTTGCCAACTGATTGCCCATAGACAACGCTTCGGGCAGGTACTTGGCGCCGGTCCATGATGCAAAGTTTACCAGGAGAACATGAGACTGGATTGTATCAAGGTCGTCTTTGGTAGATAGACTTGAATGAGATGACTCGGAAAGCAGCTCTCCCGATATTTCAAGGTTGTCACGGATCGTCCTTTCATTCACCAAGGCCTTGGCCATATCAAACAGTGCAAAGGCTTGAGCATGTTCGAATCTGAAGAGCGCGCCGACTGTGACTGCTGCTAGGATAAGTCCAATATCTCTGTCATGGATTGAAAAGCTGGAAGGGTGGATAAAAGGAAGCTGGTCCTGGCCACAACGAAAGAAACTTTCCAAGTTACGACTGCAGATGTTCCTAGATGGTAGTGAGGAACCTGGTGGCAGAATGCTGGCACGAGCCTGCAGAGCAAGATACAACATTTCATACTGCGACTGAGTAATCTCCCACGGGGTAGTGCTGCCAGTGTGGACCGTTTCAGGCAAGTGTTCATCTCGAGCCTCGGCTTCAACAAGATCATCTTCAGCGGCGGGGAGCCTCGAACTGAATCGCAAAAAGCTGCTATTTGCGGGGACATGGACATCTTCAAACCCGCCAGACTGGAGAAAATCCAGGTCAAAAACTTCGGCTGGGAGAATATGCTGAGCAGAAATGCTCGAGTCCCAAGAGAAGTCTGGATGGGTTGGGAGACACTCATCCACCTGTCCGATATATGTCACTTGTTCGGAGTCTGAGTTTAAAGGAGATATGGGAAGATATCCGGTGTGTGACAAAGTGACGTGACGTTTCAACAAGTCTCTGCAATGGGGTGTTACTCGCAACTTCGGGAAATCTTGGGTTGGGAAACACTGACTGTCTAGTGTAGCCTTGGCCACAATGGCAGCGAAACGGTCGTTCATCTGTATCTACTGACAGTCAATTCATGGGGGTTTCAGTGAGTTTGACTCTTGGGTCTTACGGGTGCGCTCATGTCTTGACAAATGTTCTTGTCGTTTGAATTGTTTCCCACAATGCCGACATGGCGTAACGGCAACCTTAGGTCTTCCTCGAGCCATCGGATATGGACAAAGGCCATGCGGGGTTAAGATCTGGGACTCTTAGAACGAGATTATCAAACTTGAGGTGAGACTAGACATGTGTGTCTGATAGAAGGATGACTGAACCCCTCAGATCCGGCTCTACCCTGACGACAAGAACATTGATTGGCATGGTGCGTAATCATCCCGTGATCCTATTCGTCGACCGCGCCGGAGAAGATCCCGCGGCTCAACCACCTCTACTTGGATGCAATAGACCTCCGAATGGATACATCGACTATGGTGAGCCGTTCAGTCAGCAAGCCGTCTATTTCCTCGAATGAAGACTCCGAAATGCCTTAGAGAGGTGTCGGTGGTCGCTTTAAGTATCAGTTATGTCCTCTGGCTCTCTCTGCTTGACGTTCCAGAAGCGTATTCCACCATACCAGATCAGGTAATATCATCGTGAAGAGGGAATCCAGGTGCTCAAGCTGGTCACAAAGGTGAACGATGGACTTGGACGTTGGATTTATAGGTAATTGGTCATATCACTTCCACTCGACTCGGCCACTGACGGTCAAGGGGTGGGAAACATGGGCTTCCATATGGCTGCGAATGTGCGCAAGAAGATGCCGTCATCAGCAACACTGTATGTCTTCGATGTCAATACCGAGGCCTGCAGGCGCTTCCAGACCAATTTTGGGAGTCACGGGCCGATTGAGATTGCCAACACAGCCAAAGATTTGGCTAGTCAATCTTCTACAGTGATATCGATGGTGCCAATGGATGCACACGCGCGAGCAGTATATCTCGACCCAGAAAATGGAGTCATTGCAGCTTCGAAGGATCCTAACCGTCTTTTGTTGGAATGCAGCACCATAAATGTAACCACCACTCAGGACATTGGCCAGAAGATATTCAATGCCAGGGTTGGAACCTATGTCGACACGCCAGTCTCTGGTGGAGTTCGCGGCGCAGAGGCTGGCACATTGTCATTCTTTTTAGGATATAAAGGTACTGATAATGGCGACCACTTTGGCAGACGGATTCTGTCAGTGGTTGAGTGGATGGGAGCAGCAGACAAAATCAACTTCTGTGGCGATCTCGGATTGGGTTTGGTGTGCAAGATCACGAACAACTATATCGGTCTCACAAACATTGTTATCGCCGCTGAAGGTCTAGCTTTTGGGTTAAGGCATGGCGTCAACAAGGGAATCCTGTATAAATGCATTAAGGCTTCTAGCGGTGACTCCTGGGCATTGACCTTTTCTAACCCAGTTCCCGGGATCGTACCTGAAAGTGCTTCAAGCAACGGCTTCAAGGCTGGCTTTACCTCGCGACTTTGTGCAAAAGATCTTGGCCTGGCACTTCAAGCAGCTCGAGAGGTGGGTATTCGACCAAAGATGGGCGAGATATCTTTGAAGTATTACGAAGAAGCAGACAAGGCTCCAAGTACAACTGTGAGTCTTCCCCGTTTTGGAATCCGATTTTGTCACTCCTGTGCTAACGAATTTTGTCCAGGGACTGGACGGTTCTTCCGTGTGGCTACATATAAACGATGAAGCAGCAGACTTTGTCCGCCTGGAATAGGGCGAAAAGTAAATCCGTGGACTGTAACTGTCATTCATTTGTCTCTAGATATATTGACTCGAGGAAATGACCTCGTTTAGTACACCATTAGAACTCTATACCAGTCACGATGAAGCTGACCAAGTCTAAAGTTCCAATTGATCGTGATTATCAATCTTTCGCAGCATATTCCGCGTCAGTGACTGGATCATACCAATCGTGAGCCCCGAATGAGATAGCCTCATGAGACATGAATGTTCCTTCGTCCGCCCCATGCCAATGAATACAGCCGGGAGGAGACCATATGATATCTCCAACAACGATTCGCATAGGTTTTCCACCCTGATCACATATCCATCCCGAGCCTGCGGTGACTTTCAGTATTTGACCACCTTCGTGTTTGTGCCAGTTTGTGCGCGCGCAGGGCTCGAAGTTGACAGTGGAGATGACGATGCTGTCGCTCATCAGAGCAGGATTTAGCCAGACCTGTCCACCTGCGAAAACGCCCATCTGCTTTGGCCCGTTGATTGACTGAAGGGGGCTTCTTCCAATCGACACCACAGTCGATTTTGGTGGAACCTCTTTGGTATTTCTCGTTTTCGTTACGACAGACATTTTGGTGGGTTAGAGAGCTATGAAGAATGTCGAGGCTGATAGGGGAGCAAAAGAATGCGATAAAAGTTTGGGGTTCGCTGTATTGCACTGGTATCTTATACCCTTGCTGTACTCAGCTCAGCATGACTTGTTGATATCAGGGGTCTAAAGTATAGATGTAGTTCAAACGTAAGGCTTCCAAGATGCAATAGTCCGCGGCTTTGGTTGTCGACAGTGGGTACAGCTAGCTAGGTCGGCTGTTGTCTAACCAAAAAGACATCCCTCCTCTGTTACCTCACCGTGGACCGCGGCCGGAGGAAAGTATGGGCTGAAGCCGTGATCGTGGAGTCACAAGAGAGAGATGATCAAATCAACAAAGCGGAGACAGTGAGTACGGATCTTTGTTGCCGCATTCTAGCAAATGTCCACAGAGTCCTTTCTGTATTGGCTGCTCTACATCGACTGTGGCGATTCCCGTCCCTTTTGCCGGACTACATATATTACAAGTACCTTTTTCATACCATTGCATTTGTTCGTCCTCATCCGTTGCTCAGGCTAGTGCTCGAGCAGTTTGACGTGGGCGGTAAGATATTTTCCGTTCACACCGAAAACAAGACACAGGAGACCCCTTTCTATGAACTCAGTCAGAACGTAAATTGGTCCAGGTGAGGTTATCGTGGTGCTCAGAAATGGTGTTGGGGAAGTCTGGCCAAACAAAATCTGTCCCCAGAAATCCCATCAAGCCGTCCGGCAGTGGCTGCTCCCATGTGGACGGAGAGAACAAGGCGTCCGTGTTGTTGAACACAAGCCGTGGATCATCGAATGTCGGCGGCGCACTAGGCGCTGCAGATACATCTGGGATCTCTTCGTCCAGGAGCTCGGTCATACTACATTCTCTAACTTCTGTTGCCAATGATGGATTTCGACTGCTGGTAAGCTGGCTGGTGTCGTTTGGGTCACCGTGGGATAGAATCACACTCGCTCCCTGGATGGAATTGGGATTCAGGTTGCCTTTGATAGTGGAGCCGTCTGCGGGCTGCCCGCGCCGTTGATGCTCAAGTCGGTAAATAATGTAGCTGATGACCTCAAGAGCCCATTGACCACCCACTTGTTGCTCGGAGAAAGCGTGAAAGATTGCCTTGCATTGTTCTAACCTTTGACTCGCTTCAGATCGAATCGTTTCTTCCTTGGACAGCATATCAAAGATTTGACTAATGCTCGCAAGAATCAAGCACGTAATGCAGGTTGCTGCAAGTGACTTGACCATATCTTCTTGGTAGAAGTCCATTGCAATCTGGATGATTTGGCGTGCAGCAAATCTGACCATGGTTCTTGCGGGATCTGGAGATGGTGTTGCTGAAGAATCACAGCCATCATCCATTCGGTTCATAGAAAGCATCTGTGGCCGATGCAAAACCATCACTGTCGCATAGTACATCATGGACAGAAGGCCCTTATGCACCACTTCAACACTCTCAGGGCCAGTCATATTTGATGGTATGCTCGAGACGTGCCAGAGTTCATCTGGAATGGTTTGCCGCCACGAATCAAGGTGTTTCTGGAACAAAGCAAGCTGCTCTGTCACTGGAGATTTCCGGTTGATGTTAATGCTGTCCTTTCCCTGCAATTGCTGGCTCGAGTAGAGTACCGAAGATTTTCCACAGCTAGATTCAGGATACGCTGCCTTGCATACCTTGCCGAATATGTGTACCAGTTTTGTATATAGCACACAAATTTGGGCCACAGTTTGCTGATGTTGGAGAGTCTGAGGAATGGTTCCGAGAACTACAGCTGGCGCCTTTGCGGATTCGAGATCGGTGACCTCTAGCATATCAACATTGTAATCAAGGTCTGCTATCCGTGGACACCTGCTGAGAGAAAATGAGCAGATAACATCCCGGGTAGCAAGACTCCACCACAGTCGTCGACGAAGTCGATTCATAGCTGCTTTGGTCTGATTTGATTGCGAAGAGGTCTGATGCAATCCAATGACTCGCGACAAGGACAATGCTACCCCTATCCAATGCCAGCCGTCCTTGTTCTCATTTGGCCCTTCGAACCAAAAGGTCCAGAGTATGAAGACCTGGATAAGACATTCCCTGTCATTCTCATAGTCGGCGTCGTAGAGAAGACGCATCTTGCGATGTATCGACTTTCGAAAAGCATTGCGCGAAAGGAATCCAGACTTTCGGACTAGCCTCACGTCAATCCATGTGCCGCCGACAAAAATGAAGGCATATAAGAGCAGTAGGCTCAGCTTTTCATTGTTCGAAGCTGTGCCTGCGATAATGGAAGATATTCTGGCAGGTTCCACGATCGGGTACATTGGCTGAACGTGCTGGAAGTAGCTTGCTAAACAGGCATCACGTATGTCGCGATCCGGAAGATTAAGGACTCCTTTTGTCCGAAGATATTCGACATCCTCAGAGTCTATGGTGGTAGGAAAGGGTTTGATGTATGCAGGCAAGTCTACTACCGAAGCACTGTGATGTACTGACCCCGTCCTGGGGACCGAGCGTTTGGATAGGCCGAACGAATCTGAAGGCGAGGAGGCGCTTGGTTTGTGAATATTTGATGTCCAGATCTGAGGGTCTTTCAAGTCGTCAATATGGAGGAAACACCACCAATGTCAGTGTACCGTGGACTTACCAGGTAAGGATTGAAGTTCAGTCTCAATGCTCGGAGATGACACTGATGCCAATGACTGTGGGAAGTGCTCTGCTTGGTCCTGACTGGGCGGAGGAGCCGCCACGCCTGCGCTGATGTTGTTGTTCCCAGATCCACTGTCTTGGTTCGGTGGTTTCGGTGCCAGGGTCGTACTTTTCAGAGGTTTGCTGGACCTTGCAGAATATCAGATATTTCCAAAGTTGAAGCATCAGCACAGTCTCCTTACTTTTTAAACCTTCTGGGTGCTAGGACGCAAGGAACATCATCGAAAGTGCAATTCGAGCAGGAGAGACCACCGCGTGCGTCGCAGCGGACCTTTTTGGTTCGACAAACTTCACAAGCTGCGCGTGCTCTTCTGCTTCGCTTTTGCGCCATGTTGGAGATTGCTTCTCCTGGCTCGGAGATTATTTGTGTTGTCGCCTCCATATTGAAGACCTGTTCCCAGGCACCTTTTACAACTCATCAAGCAGTGACCAAGATACATAGAAGAAGAAAAGGCAATATCCGAGGATGAAAGTGAAGTGTCTGTCCTGTGAATGGAGACGGACGGCATTCGCTACCTATCCAACGATGGGTCCTCGATTTTTTACCCCAATCGTCTCCACATGAGAATGAGCGAAGTAGAATTACTACCCCAATACCAATGTCTACCCAGTAAACCTGGAGCGAGCTCACCAGCATGCGGAGGGAGGGTGACGCCCCCCTGTGCTCACCCTCAGCTCACCCTGACAGGAGCGAACCCAGGCTGAGAATCACCATCTGCCACCTGTGTGGGGCCCCGCCCAAACGCTCGTAGCGGCGGAGTACAGGTGTAATCGTTGCCGACGAGTGCCTACGCAGGTTCGCTATGCGTTGGTGACCGCGGATGTGTCTCTCGATGTGAGCCATCCGACCAGGCTGGTCGTTTCCGGAGAAGCTAATAACTAATCGCAGTTCTCAAAGCAGCGCCGTACGTCCACCCCTTTGGTGCTAAGTAGTCATGCCACACCATTACAGGAAAATCAGACTATAGCACTGTGATTCATAAGAGACTTGGCTATTCGTAAAGGCTCGGTGCCTGAGATTCACACAGGTAGGTAAAGTATAGGGAACTGGGATATTGCGTAGTAAGATTCTGTCTGGGTTAGACAACACGAGAGAAAGATCCTAAACTGTACCGACACTAATACCCCGATTGAGTCTTCAGTTTGACTAATCTATGATGAAAATATGCTTGGGAGTCATGAGTGCTAGTTGCGAGGCGTGCTTTGACGGTCCGAAGAAAATCGATAAGTCTGTGCTCCAGCTTTTTGACGAACTTATTCTTCAGGCCTGGTCCGCTTATGTAGCCGCGGCAGGACAATGGGAAGGTATTCTGACCCTCACCTGGATTTTATGTGCTATCAGAACCTCTCAGCAGCAGTCATCTCTAAACTCGCAATACAGTAATCCTTCCCTCAGTCAAACAGCAACCGTCATGGATATGAGTATGGATGGATTCCCGCCGTCAACGGTTTGGTATATTGCAAGCCAACCAGCGCCCAAAGGCATGGCAATGCAGATTGGTGACTTACGGACAACGGTATTGGACACGTATGGCGCCGCCGTAGATCAAGCCTTCTATGGCACCCAGGCGAAACATATGTAATGATCCAGGCTTCACGAAACACCAGGCTGAGAAGTCATTTGATCTGATCCAGGTAGAATAAACGTCGTCTTTGTCGCGCTTACACCTGAATCTCAAGTTAACAGAGCGTTTCTAAACCGAATGGAACTCCACGATGAAGCGTAGATTGTTCTGTGGCATTTCGTAGATTTGTGCACCCCTTCAAGACCAGAAATCCTCCGAAGAGCCACTCCCAGGACAACAGCATTGGAAGCCATGAGGTTCTTCCGAGCCACATGTTGCGACGGCGTCCTTCTCTCAGCTGAGGGAATCGTTGAAAGCGCGCGCATTCCAGGGTAGAGGCTGTAGATATGGTAGTGGGTGCATCCTTGCACTGATAATGATCCTCACTGTCGCGCGAGACCTACATGCATGAGGCCACTGTCTTGCGAGTCCTTCATCTCTTTGAAGTAAAACTCCATAGTGTCAAAGAAATAGATCTCGGAGATATCATGAGCTGCTGCTGAGTTCGTAGACGGAGTATCCTACCTCAGGTACTCATGCTGAAAGCTTTCGATCACGCGGTGATTGAGTTGCTCCTCCTGCCTTTCGCACAAGTCATCATGGTTCTTTTCCCAAAGACAAGACACTCGTGGTAGGCAGGAGCGATAGAGTTGAGAGATGCGTCCCCTTATCTCCTCAGTCACTGCTCTGTTGCTCCTTCTTCAGCAAGATGCTGTTCTTTCCTCATCATCATGCTTGGAAATGGAAGCCATCACTCACCTGCCCTCTTGTGATCCTGCCGTAGAACCAAGTCTGCCTGCTCTTTTGTCTTCTGATATCTCCAGTCTCTCTCTCTTCTTCTTCCATCTCTTCGTGCACCAATTCTCCCAGGAAATCCAAAGACCCTTTGCATCGGTGTCTCTTGTTCCATGTTTTGTCTGCTTCCCCCTTTCTTCACCGTGCTACTCCATCAAACCAGTGTCCATGCTACCTCCTCGTTCTCGGCTTATGCTTCGTCATACACTAGCACGAACGTTCAAGCACCCAAGGTAGGTCAGCATCGCTAGCCAGAATTGCAGTCCTTACGTCAGTTGGTTCTTTAGCTAACAGCTCCCAGCCTCACTTTCCCCAAGAGATGCCACGAGTCCGTCAGCCCCTATCGTCTCTCTGCAGATCACCAGCAGTATTTGAAGTCAGAAATACCAATTGGCATAGGTGCCGCTCAGGAATTAGGTTCATCATTCTTCAAGGGAACAATTCTCGGTGGGTTCGATTCCCACCAGCCGATGAAGACTACATCGAAGGATATCGGAGCCGGGGGGCAATGAAGAAGACAAGTTATATAGTCGGAGGCTGACCCATTTTTTTCTGCTAGATTTCTCCCCTCGATGTCAGAAATACCAATCGGCATCGGTGCCGCTCAGGAATTAGGTTCATCATTCTTCAAGGGAACAATTCTCGGTGGGTTCGATTCCCACCAGCCGATGAAGACTATGTCGAAGGATTATGGAGCCGGGGGGCAATGAATCGAAGGATGATAATTGTCGAAAGTTCTGGATGCGTGACCTTTTATAGCGTAGGTTCGTACAAGAGCTCTCGGGCCTTTTACTTTGGCAAATGAGTCATTCTTTCATATGGGGTAGTAGTCCTGCAGGTATCATGGGAATGCCGAGCCCCAAAGTCGTAGCATATACTCCGCAACGAGGAGTGGGACTTAGATTTGTTTGGCTCACCTAGAAAGACAACGTGATAGAATTTGATCCGGTGTCACTTGAGTTTGTGAAAATGTTGGTTCAAATGCAGAAAAGTCTCGTTTGAGGACGGACTTGTCACGGAGTAGGCTCCTTGACATTTCTTGATTCGACAACCGACCCACCATGCAATTCTTCAGCCGCAATACCATGGTCATCGCGTCAAACATGCGATAGTATGTTGGCAATCTTGCCTATTAAACCATCGGGAAGGAAGTAAATCCTGGTTTGAGCAAAAGGGAGAGTGATGAGTCAGTAAGTGAACGCGTGTCCAGCAGGCTGATCCAAAATCTCTAAGTGAGTCAGTCACCTAGAGTTCGGCATGCACGGTTGATGCCTGGTGTGGGAGGCTGAGGACTTGTAACCCTCCGGAGTTTTTAAAGTTTTCAAACCCCGAATTGATCGTGCTCAAGGTAGAGTTCCGAGGCTTTGTATCCAGTTGAGCCCGTCCCTTTGCGCAGCCTCGACGAGGGGCCGATGAAGGAGTCGAAAGTCGTATGTCAAGAGGCCTTCAGAGAAGAGGATAGTAAGCAGGATGTGGAGAGGTGATGGAGGCGAGTGGGGAGCGGAGTTCGGTATGGATAAAAGCGGCGTGCTTGTAACTGTAGGATGAGAAGCACGTGAGCTTCAGCCTTCAGGCACTTTTTAAGACAGTTTGAAAAAGTCTGGAGAAGAGGACATGGCGCATTCCCCGCCGAGTGATCCCCGCCGAGGCGCTCCTCGGCTTTTGACAGACTTGTGCTTGATGACAGCCTAGAAGACATGGTCCCTAATTCCGGCCCGCGGGGAAAACTGCGACAGGAAGTGAGTTCGCTTTGTCAACATCACTGGCGCCCTGCATATTGTCGTGAGTACGTATAAAAGGAATTCAGAAGACATCATTTCCGTTAGAGTACGTCTCTACAGGCTGATGTTGCAACCGTAATCGGTAAAGATGCCTTCGGACACCCAGAACACTCTATACCAGGCCAAATCAATCAGCCCTCTGAGCATTCCTCCAGGAGCTACGGTCAAAGTTCAAATCATCGACACTACGTCTAGAATCCATGCACCCGTTGGGAGATTCATGACCCCAGCCATCAAAGGACATGAATCTCTTAACGCACCTGCCTTCAGTTTTCTTGTGGAGCATCCCAAGCTTAATCGTAAAATCGTCTTTGACTTGGGTCTCCGGAAAGATTGGCAAAATTTACCTCCAGTGATAGTCAACCAGTTAACACCGCCGGATTGGGTCTGTGCCGTTGAAAAGAATGTCGCTGAGATTCTCCAAGAAAATGGAATCAATGTGGCAGGGGGAGAGATCGAGGCTGTGATTTGGAGTCACTGGCATTTTGACCACACCGGCGACGTGACCACATTTCCCAGCAGCACAACGTTGATTGCGGGTGCAGGAGTAAAAGAATCTCTCCTTCCAGGTTATCCCACAAACCCTGAATCACCCCTATCAGACAGTGACTTTGTGGGACGCGAATATAAAGAGATTGATTTCCTCAAAGAGCCTACAGTGAAGCTGGGTAACTTCCAGGGTATCGACTTTTTCAAGGATGGCTCCTTCTTTCTTGTCGACTCGCCTGGCCACGCTATCGGCCACATGTGTGGGCTTGCTAGGGTAACCTCGACTCAAGAGGGAGATGCTGAAGATACTTTTATCTTTATGGGTGCAGATACTGCCCATCACTCGGCTGCAATTCGTCCGAATGTGTATCTCCCTCTTCCTAAAGCCATAGATCCTTCTCCCTTGGCTAAGAGGTACCCTTCTTCGTGCCCTGGTCACATTTTCGAAAAGTTTCATCCGAAGAAGAAAGGCAACGAGCCATACTATGAGCTGAATGACCAGACTCCTCATGACAAGAAACATGCAGTCCATTCGCTAGAGCTAATGAGACAGTACGATGCGATGGAAAATGTCTTTGTCGTCATCGCGCACGATGATACTTTACTAGATCCTGAAGTCGGTATCGAATGGTTTCCACGCGGCAGCCTCAGGACGTGGAAAGAGAAAGGGTATGTCAATAGACTTCGATGGGCGTTTCTGAAGGATTTTGAAGGAGCACTTGATTCCGGATCAGAAGAGAAGTGATATTGGGTTCTGTCCCAAGTGACATGTCATATGATTCTGGAAGTCCTCTGAATGATCATCGAAATTTCTTTTATCTTTTCGGACCGAGTTTCTTCGAGACTGAAGATAGACACCTGCCAATGTTTGCTCCAATCATGGGCTGACTTCAGTGACTGCAAAAGATCTGAACTCTCGAACCGCGGCGAGGCGGTGAGGCTGAATGGCTTTGATATAGACCCCATCCTCGAGAATCAACCGAAATGATGCAAAATTCTTGAATCTGACCATCACAATAAAGTCCCATGCCTCTCCCTCATGGTCGCCTGCCATCAAGTTTGTATGAGCCTGACCGAGGAACAGGACCTCGGCTGATGCGACGCCCAGTTCTGCCGCTCGCTTTCCAAACTTCTCTCTGTAGATAGTATATGCTTCTACCCCTGAGATGGTGCTGGAGCTCTCCCGCTCGAAATCCGGCTGATATGAAGCGATTGGCTTAAAATTCATCATGTTCAACATCACATAAGGCTTGTCTGCTGGTATGCGAGTAGAAGCCACCTCGAGGTCGCCGAGATAGCCATCGCGACTCGTTCCCATGCTGGTAGTTCACTTCAACAGACCACCCTGCTGCTGAGACTTGAGTACTGATTCGATAATGAGCTGCGAGCTTGCACATATGGAGAGGATTACTGGGTGAAGACTTGACAGCTCCTTGCATGATAATATGTGAGCCATGGCGTTCTGGAAGAATCGGCGGTCATGATTGGACCAATCGTTACGCCGTGGGAGTTCAAGATCCCGTCTGGGCTGAGCAGGCCGCGGCGATTTGAGCCCTTCAGCTTTCACCACCTGAGGAGCCGTAGCCGGGTCCTATAACATAGCTACAATCATACATGGCGGGGAGTGCATCGCAACTACCCCAAGCATTCTACCTCCCTGATGGGAACAATCTTCAATCGTGACTGTTGGACAAATCCGGCAATTTTCAAATTCCATGTACCCGACTTTTGAGACTCCCCGGAGCGCGGGTTGGTGGAAGTGTGTCTCATTCGCCTTCGCTACCGAAGACTCCGACCTCGAAACCCTTTCGACCCATGGGATTGCAAAATTTCTCGACAGCCTGGATAGCACTCGGCTAGCAAGTCTTGTTTCCAAGTACTTGAAGCATTGAAAACAACAATTCATTACTGTTATGCCCCAGGATCTTGTGTTCTTCACACTGCCACTGTTCGTCTTCCATTCATCCAACTCTCACGATTTCTGTCGATTTCTTCAAATCTTCCAACACGAACCACCATCACAATGTCTGATTTGGCAGCTTCCACCGAGAAAACACGCGCACTCGCCAACAAGTTTGTAGAATATGTCACTACAACACAATTCGAGGAGGCATATCGTCTTCTCAACCAGGATGGACAGTTCATCTTAACAGGGCAGACTCCAGCCTCGGGAGTTTACAAAGGATTGGATGACATCTTCGCTCGCCTGGCACCTGCTCTTTCAGGCTACACAGAGCGCCCGACCATCCGTGTTTCGGACGTGCTCGTCGATGGTACTCAGGCATTTGTGAGGGCCAGTGGAGAGGGCAAAGCAACTTATGGGGAGTACAAACAGCCATATTATGGATATTATCTACGCCGTGACGGGGAGGGATTGAGTGAAATCATCGAGTTCTTTGATCCTTTGCAGATCGAGATTGCCTTTTTCAATAAGAAGCTGGTGGATGCTTAAGGGCGTGGTGGTGATGTATTGGGACTGTTCTTAGCCATAGATATGTATGGAACATGTTCAAAGTGTGTTGAGAGAGAGTTGAATTGGGCATGAAAATCGACCACTACCGCATCGAACTAGAATCTCCGTTCGTTCTATTAGACCAATCGGTAGGTATTTACTGAATACTGTTGATTGCAGTATCGGGCAATGATGAGCTTTTCCAAATATATGATAAAGTACAAACTTGAACTATTGATTCACAGAAGGACGGTATCTCCATGTCCCTCGCTGTGAATCTTACAACATCTTCTACCTTCAAATCCCCTCTAGCAGCCAGCCACTTCAGGGCTTCGAAGAATCCTTGCTTTTCCGCAGCATGAATATTTAATTCACCGTTTTGACCTTCTCGTTGTAATCCAATGAGGCCTCATGCACCGATAGAGCCTTTTCATCCTGAGTGTGCTGCTCCACGCGCTCAACCTCATCACCAAACAGTGCAGCGATTTCTTCCAAGGGCATTTGCTTAGTATTAGGCCAAAAAATCAGAATCATGATTGCCATAGCTGTGCCAGGAATGATGAAGCAGAGGTAAAATTTCCAACCGATATTGGCGAATGCTGTGGGTGCAACCTGGAGCCACATGATGTTGATGGCACAGAGAGCTGCTATACCGATGCCGACGCCCTTCGCTCGCAGATGCATGGGGAAGATTTCGCCCAAGTACACAAATTGAACTCCTTGGAGGGTAGCCTCGAAATAAAGGATATAGATCTATACGAGGAATGTTAGGAACAGATTTGAACTCGAGAAAGGTACTGAGCGGTAGGAATGAAACAAAGAACTTACGTAGAACATGGCTACTGCTGCCTTTAGCGCAGCCGTGTTGGGATTTTCCAGTGCCTCGGGGTTTGGAGCGTAAGTAGCCACAAGCGCAGCCTCTATAGCCAGCATGGTGACAGTGCCGATGATCCCAACGGCGAAGAGTTTTGGACGTGAAATCATGTCAACGATAAACAGTGATATCAGACCTCCAGCAAGCCCGGTCAGGATCCAACCGGCCTGATAGATCAGCTGTTTATTGGTGTCGAATCCAAGTGTCGAGTAAATGATAGGTCCGTAGTTGACGATGACGAGAGGCCCAGTCATTTGAGTTGAGATGGTGGTGAGCATAGCAAGAATGGCTCGCTTTCTGTAGCTTGGTTTCCTGAGAATAGACATATAGGAGCTCTCGAGATGTCGGTCATGCTCAAGCTGGAGATGAATCTGCAGAAACTCATCGGCGGCTTCTTCGGGAACACAGAGGCGGTTGAGAGCTTGTTTGGCATCCTCGTCTCTGCCTTCCTTCACGAGCCATCTCGGGCTCTCCGGTAGCCAGGAGAGAAAGCTCAGAAGAACCAACGGAGGCAATGCTGCTATAGCCAGAGGTGCTCGCCACTGACTGCTATCGAGGTCACCAGGGTGAAGCTGTGCGAAGCCGTATCCAATCCAAGCAGCCATGGCCCCTCCGATGAGAATAGATGCCCCATTGACATTGACAAATGAACCTCGAACCTTTGGAGGCACGATTTCGCTTATCCACAAAGTGACGGCGCTGACGATCATACAGGCGCCAGCTCCAGTAAGGAATCGCCCGGCAATGAACATGCCGATATGAACGCTCCCTGCGAGGATTGCTGCGGAGACGACGAGCATAGCTGCCGGGACTGCCAGACCGACTCGACGCCCCCAACGATCGGCAAAGAAGGAGATGAAGAAGGTTCCGATGAAGCCACCCAATTGAAAGAGCGATCCTGTCAACCCAATCAGGTCGTTGGCATCATCCCTCTGATCGAGACCCATATAATGAATGAATGAGGGTTGTGCGAGAGTATTCGAAATGACCATTGCATTGTAGCCATAACACACAGAGCCAAGCCCACCCAGCGCGGTGAACAGCATGTTCATCGGCCGAAACTTATACTTTGCGACGAGAGACATGGTGAAAGGAGTACAAATTCCAACAGATATGATAGGGATGTGATATCCTGGGAGCAGCAAAACTGATCAAGATGTTTGCGAAGAGTTGAGCCAGCGGATGACTATGATCGTGCGACCTGGCAGGTCTTATATACGTCTTAGCTAGACCTCTACAATTTTCTATTAGAAACAGGAGTTTCTCTACTCACATACGAGTCTTGACAGGCGTGACGACCTAGTACAAGTTGATTGGGGAAATATCCCCACATCCCACAAAGGAGCGCGCCCATGACCAATGCTTCAATTTCCGGGGATGTCGTAAAATGAAGACTCTCCGCATTTACTGCCTCCGCAAAAGAGTATACACATATGTAACAAAGCCCCGGTTCGGGAATTCAAGCCGTAGGTTGGCGACTCCTTGTAGTCTCTCCGCGGCACACCGGTACCTTCAGCCAATAGATTTTGGTCTTTGCATTATGGCTGGATAACCAACATAGATGCGTCTGAGTTAGTGAATGCTGATGAAGAGGAATCTGAATCAATGTTCCCCCACATTCCCTCGGAGTAGACTTCACCATATACGATGAAAGAACTGGTTCTGGAATGAAATATGGTGAGCAGGCTGAAAGTGGTTACACAGTGCAACGGCAAAAGTAGATTAATTGACAGGGACGCTGCTTCATCTCAAAGAGGATAATTAATAGCTAAACCAAGTTAATAAGAAAACTTAGGTGCGAGCCAGTCACGAATAATCACGTGGAAATAGCAGGAACTGAAGTACCAGATGTGAGCTTGCTCAAGCAACTGGTCTCGAGGTGGCTGAATCTTCTTTTGATTTTGTCATGATTCTGGAAGATATGACACCTGTCCTTGCATCTCGAGGCGCCCAAGTATTTTGTTCGAATAACCAAGTTATTCCAACAAGACATGGACAACAAGGCCAGAAAGGAGTTGTGTGAAGTGAAATGTTTGTGGCTAGTAACATGCTAAATCCTTAGTGGAAACACTTGTCGGCCTTTAGCGTCTTAGTCCCAAGGGTCAGTGGCGCCTGCCAGCCACCAGCCACCACTGAAAATGTTGACGCTAAACTGTTTTGGGCGTTTCCATCACCTGTTCCTTGACCAACCTCCTCGAGTCGTCACCCAATCCCACACATGAACGAGTCAATTCACTGTTTGCAACAAGACAAATGACTCTATTCTAATCATACGTGTCTCAGTGACTCCATTGATCCTCATGCCTGGCACTGCCGGAACCATGGATATCTCGCCACGCGCTGACGTTGACTTGTTTACCAGCCTCTCGGTTCCTGGCACTTTTTGGTACTTGTACTCATGATCGAAACCTTCCTCTCATGAACAGAGCCCATCCCTTCAACTCACACTGCTGAACTTGACTCATCTCTATCATCATAGCAGCGGCCCATCGCTGCTCATAGTTGCTTTGCTGCTTGTTGTTCCTTGCACTTGTTGTTTTGCATTGTTGAGGGCGTTTGTTTTTGTCGTCTTGCCAATATGTTTTCCACCCTGAGCATTTCCCCGTCTATGCTTTCGATTTCAGCCTTGACCTTGACCTCACTGTTGGTACCTAGTGCAGCACAGACATTCACCGAGTGTAATCCACTCACTCAAGGTCAGTGCTCTATCCCCACTGAGTGATGTATGGGTCAGGAAGAATACTAACATTGCTCAGGTGGATGTCCTCCGGACCCTGCATTGGGTCGAAGTGTCTCTGTCGACTTCACGTCTGGTCCCTCGAGTGAATTCTCTGCTGTTGGCAGCACCTCATACACCTCCGATGGGGCCGCCTTCACCGTCGCTCGGTCTGGCGACTCACCGTCCATCACGTCAGAGTGGTATATCATGTTCGGGCATGTGGACTTTGTGGTCAAGGCCGCTCCAGGCACCGGCATAGTCAGCGCTGCCATTCTGCAATCTGATTGCTTGGATGAGATCGATTGGGAATGGCTTGGAGGAGACAATTCTCAGGCCCAGAGCAATTATTTTGGCAAAGGCATCACGACGACAGGATACAACCGAGGAGCATTCCATGGGGCTTCCAACAACCACGACCAATTTCACACTTACAGCATTGACTGGACAGCAGAGCAGATTGTGTGGAGTATCGACGGCACAACTGTGAGAGCCATGAGTCAGGCCCAAGCCGAACCAGGGCAATATCCTCAGACCCCCATGTATGTCAAAATGGGCGCATGGGCAGGCGGAGACCCGGCCAACGCTCCGGGCACCATCGAATGGGCAGGAGGCTACACCGACTATTCTCAAGGCCCCTTCACCATGTATGTGAAGAGCGTCCAAGTCACGGACTATTCGACTGGTTCAGAGTATACGTACTCTGGTAGCAGTGGTACATGGCAATCGATTCAATCCAACGGTGGCTCTATCAACCCTGAAGGCAAGGGCACGCCAGTCTCTCCGGACTCGGCACCTGCTGTCACCTCAGTGGTTCCTGATAATGGTGCACCACTGGGTTTTGGTAACAACGCCAACCGCGAATCCATTGCCGCAACTCGGACCGGCTATCCTTGGACTGGAACTGCCACGGCGTCGATAGCAACTGCGGTAAGCTCTTCGAATCTTGGGCTTTCGGGTTAGTTTTTCTCCTTGGCCCAGCTCAGCAAATGGACATTGGCTAATTTTTCTCTCTAGAGCACTCACCAAACCTCGGACTCCTCCTGGCCATCTGCTCCAGCTTCGGACTCGCCTTCATCTCCTATAGTGTACACTTCATGGGATGATCAAGGATTCTTGACCATCGTTACGACGGATGCCTCCTGGCTGACCGCGGCAAGAAGTTACGATGAACAAGGCTTTTTAATCACCCCATCTGCTCCAACAATTGATACAGGACTACCCGTGCCAACTACCGGTCCAATCACCACCAATTCAGAACCAGATCCTGCGAGCACCGCGGGTGCGGTTACTGCAGCCCCAACTACGACCTTTGAGACGGCGCCAAACGAGGAAAGCCAAGTCCCAAGCAATGAAATCATCACGGCTGATGCAACGACTACGGCCATCCCTTCAGCAGATGGCACAAGAGTGGCTGAAGGTGACTCTGATGTCAGCACTGCTGATTCAACACCTGTGACAAGTACTACAACCGGCTCTGAGAGTGTTCCCTCTAGCAGTAGTGAATCGAGCTTATCAACTGCGACGCAGACTACAGGCACAGATGCTCAGACCTCAGCAACACCGTCATCTGACTCCAGCAATTCACCCAGTGCCACTGCGACAAGTGCTTCAGAGGTTTCTGCTACATCGACATCATTATCGTCAACAAAAGAATCAATAACTAGGTCCAACAGTCCGACGTCGACCAGAGAAAACACAACACTAGCGACATCGACAGAAAGCGGGGCGTCAACGACGAGTGCAAGCGGCACCCCACCTGCACCCAATGGCGTGGGTAGACAAGGTGGGATGCAACCACTCGGTGCATTATTACTTGGGATTGTGGTCCTTGTCCTTATCTGAGGCTTTATTTATTGACTTTTGTCGATGGGTGGGGCATGGGCCAGGGCATGAGTTCATTTGTCAGCCCACTCCCCTGACTTGGATCGACTGGCGTTTGGTCAAGAAATTCTGGAACATGGAAGAATAGGATAGGATGGCGAGGCTGCGGACAAAAGGCAAAGGCATGGACGGCAGATGATGTTTTATGACAACACCAACAGATGATACCCAGATAGACAGCGGCACGAGCCGTGGTTTGGAAATTCGAACGGCGAACGGCATTGGAGACGAGCCGTGATAGACGAATTAAATGAATAATAATAATTTAAGCATTGGTCACCAGGATAGTATTCTTCAAGCAGTGCATACTGCCGTGGTCACACGAGCATCTGGCTGATGCTGACGGCAAAGAGTTGCAGCAGCAGGTGGAACGACTAAACGATTTCTGTACAGTGATCAGTCTCTAGATCAGTCGAAGATGTGTAGAATAGGGATAGGGAAATCTGTCAGGGTGAGACCACCACGGTACAGGCCCTGGACACTGTGGAAATGAACAGGATATCAAGACCCTTTTGGGCAAATAACGGCATTGATGCTGCCTGAAGCAATTATTTAAAGTTGTTCTGATAGGAGCGCAAACGTGGAAGATGTGCCTACAAGTGTTGAGGATACAATTTAAGTCTAGGCGGCTACATCGGATCAATGGTGGGTGGGACAATGCCCGGAGAATAGAGGCCGGGACGCCGTTAGGGCCAAGATAACCATTAATATCTAATCTCTAATAGGCTTAATCACGGCCGAGGGGCCTGCACACACTATTTAAGGGGAGGCGAGGGGTTCTGGCGGCCATCTGAGGGGCTGTTGAGGCAACAATTTTTTCGCAGTTTGAGAAGAACGAGGGGCAATGAGTTGGAGAGTCAAAGGGGGGCGAGGGGGCGAGGGGGTTTAATAAGCCTCAGTGAAGAGTGGCCCTCGGCCCATTATAATGGATCATGGGCGGCATAAGGTACTCCGTAGGTACCTTGGGCTCCAGTAGTGGCCCCCCTCGGGCCCTCTGACGACAAGGCCCACAAAGAGTCAGTGAGCCAGGTCGGACCACGTCATGGCCGTCATGGCCCGGACTGACTCATAGGCGATAGGTAGGCCGAGGGGCCCGAGGGGACTAGTAAATACTCGTAAATTAGGTTAGGTATGCACGGGCATAGGCTCGTCCGCCGCCCTAGATGCGGTGCGAGAAAAAATACGCACACCCATGTCGCCATCCACCCTCCATCATCCAATCCACAATCCACAATCAACACGCACACATCGAATCAGATCCACCTCAAAGAACTCGGAATCTCACACGGACAGATTCCATGCACTCTGACTTCAATCCACAATTACCAACTGAGTTTGCCTCCAAAATGCCCAAGGACCACTTTCGCTTCCTGTTCGTAGGTATGTAACCGCCATCACCAAGTCTTCTCATTTGTGTACCGTCAACTTCTCATTCCTGTTGACCTTTGACCTTTTGGCCTGGCTTTACTTTCGCCTCAAGTTCTGCCTATTGCGCCTCTTCTTTTCTTTTCCTTTACCAGCCTTGATCCCCTCTTGAGAAACCCTCTATTTCTCTCTTTCTGTCTCTCTCTATCACGCCAACGTCGACCCTTCTTTCCACCTCTCAACCCTCCTCCCACCCTCCTCCTCCTCCTCACCCTCCCCGACCGCCAACATGGCAACCGTCGACACAATCACCGATGTGACCCAGACTCACCCTTACACATGCAACTCGTGTGCTGTCGCCTTCCGAAACAGTGACGCACAGCGGACACACATGAGAAGCGACTGGCATCGGTACAACCTCAAACGGCGACTTGCAGAACTGCCCGCAGTTTCTTCTCAAGACTACAATGAAAAAGTCCTGGCTGCCCAGGCGACAAATCACGCTGCTGCTGCACACGCCTCCTTTGCAAAGTCATGTACGACATGTCAGAAAACATACTACAGCGAGAATGCATATCAGAATCATATCGCCAGCAAGGCACACAAGCTAAGAGAATTCAACGGTGGGAGAGGTTCAAGAGCAGATACCAACTCAGTTGTTGGCTCTACCCTCTCCACCGTCGCATCCGAGACGCCAGATCCAGAGGCTGAAGCCGAGTTCGAAAAGGTGGTTGCGGGAATCAAGGATGCTTCAATCCACGAGGCGTCTCCCGTGTCTAGAAGACCATCCGCTCCTCCACCAGACGCCGACCCTCGACAAGACCACCCCATTTCTCCAGAAAAGCCAATTACCTCCATTCCAATCTCCCAATGTCTTTTCTGCAACTACGACTCCCCCACCTGGAAACTCAATATGGGCCATATGACCAAGATCCATGGCCTATTTGTCCCCGAGCAGACCTATCTTGTCGATCCTGAGGGCCTCTTGAAGTACATGCAGGCCAAGGTTTTTGAGAATTTCGAGTGTCTATGGTGTCACAAACTTCGAGGCAGCGCAGAAGGCGTCCAAACCCACATGAGGGACAAGGGCCACTGCAAGATTGCCTTTGAAAAGGAGGAGGAGATGGTCGAGTTCGGACAGTTCTACGACTTTTCCAGCACTTACTCTGACGCCGAGGAAGACGACTCTGAGGATGAGGACAAGCCTCCGACTAGAAATGGAGGTGTCAAACTATCCAGCTCTGAAGGCGCAGAAGAAGACGGTTGGGAGACAGATTCGTCTTTTTCCTCACTGGATACAGAAGAACTGGCATCAGTACCAATCGACGACCGCTCGACTTCCTATTCACGCCTACACCTACACCGACACCATTCCCATTCCGATCCACGCCCCCACAAAACTCACGATGGTTTCCACTCGCACGCCCATCATCACAACCATGCCGTCTTTTATGACGAACATGAAATGTACCTTCCCAGTGGTCGTATCGCGGGACATCGCAACCTAAGGACATATTACCGCCAGAACCTTCACTCATACCCCACGGCAGCCGAACGCATGGCTCGCGCACAGCGGCTGATCGAAGAAGCCGGATCCGACGCCGAGATGGAAGACGTAGACCCAGACGAGCCAGTGCGCCTTCCTCCCGCCACGCCTCCCAAGAACAGTCTAATGCGCCGAGGCGAAGCTGGCATGTTGGGTGTCACCGCCCAACAGCGGAAAGACGTCAGGAACGAGGAAATAAAGAGTCGCCGTCGAGAATTACGGTCCCAGAATCGATATCAAGCCAGATTGGAGAAGCAGAACAATCACCAGAAACATTTCCGAGTAAGTTTTATTCCTGCCGTACACGTCCATGATAAGGTCCAGACACTAATCATTGATTTTCATTACAGGATCCACTGCTTCAGTGAAGAGAACTCGGATCGGATCAGAGCCCTTTGGTTTTGCAAATCCATTCCCTCTCACAGACCCCGACCAGGATCGACAACGGCACCGTCTCATTCATCAACTTAGCCATGTCTCATTTCACATCCATGCATTCTCAGTATATTGATTGGATGAGCATGCATGCATATTTATTGCTATAGAGAAATAGAGCCTTGAGTTGATGAGTTCATTTCGTGTGAGCGATCGGTCTGTTGTGACTCATGAGTGATACGAAACACTGGATCAACTCAGCCATGTTCTGGCTGCAAGTGCAACGGAACGGAGGCTGGATTCCTCCACTATTGATGAAGCATTACTTTCTGGTCCAGGGAGAAAATGAGAAATGAGAAGCCACCTTGAAGATGGCATTGAGAATAGGGTATGGGGAATAGGGAATTAACATCATTCCTCGTATATAGGAACAACGCTTTTTGCGTCTATTACGTGTCTCCTTTTCTCTATTTCCCTACGTTTTCGTTCCCAGCACCGTGATAATATCCTTCCACATCCCCTCTCCTCTCCTCTCCTCCCCTTCCCTCCCCTCCCCTCCCCTCTACTCATCAAATAAATCCATCTCATCTCATCCCATCCCATCCCATCCAACCCAACCCACCACCTCTCATCGTTGACAAGTAAGTACCCTAAAGTTCGCATTCATATTGCCCTTCTTCCATTTCCCCACCATCCACTTAGACCCCAACCTCCATCTCCATCTCCACACGACACTCCACCCACCAAAAACAAGACACAAGCCTGTAAAAACAATCAACGCACCATATTCCGTGGCATAACCACCACGACTACCAATTCCACTCGTACTGCTCTTCAACAACGGCACACCCACCAACCCACCCATCACATACCCCACACCTCTCGCCCCATTCAACAATCCATACACCACACCTGGATCCACGGCCTCATTCCGGTCCGCTGCCTCGCGCTCCATCTGTTTAATCACGGCCCCCCACGTCGCGCTGTACGCGCTGGCGAAGAAGCCGAAAATCAAACTGAACACCAACAGTAACGGCATGCTACTACTCGCAGAGGATGTGGAGGATGCAGGGGCCAGACCCCAGAGGAGGAAGACGGCGAGGCCGGATGATGCGGACGAGATGAATGTGACGGTGCTGGCGGAGCAGGGGAGGTAGGGGTTGTCGCTGAGGTAGCCGAAGAAAGAGGAGGAGACGATTCCAGGAATACTGAAGAGTGTGAGCATCAGAGTGGCCATGGTGCGGGAGAGATGGGTGGTGGAATGCGCGTAGAGAGGGAGATAGGTTTGAGGAATTCCATAGCCGGAGGATTGGACTAGTGTGGCGACACTGTAGATGTAGATGGTGCGATGGTGGAGGAAGGACCAGGCTGTGCGACGGGGATGGTGGGGTTGTGATGGATGGGTGGTGGTAGAGAGGTGGGAGAGCGGGAAGAGGAAGAGGAATAGTGACAAGAGACTGCTGAGGGTGACGATTCCGGTCCAGATCTGCATTGTGATACGCAGACCGTATTGGTCGAGTAAGGTTTGGAGAAGAAATGGACAGGCAGATCCGACGATGTTTTTCGATGATAGCACTACTCCATATGCCACCGCGCGATGATTGCTGGTGAATGTCTCGCCGAGATAGAGGGTTGTAGGACTGTATAATAAGGCTGAGCCGAATGCGGCCAGAACTCCTTGGGTGAGGATGAGTTGCCAGACTTTGTTACTGTATGAGGACAGTAAGAAGCTTAGTGCTGTGAGAACCACGCCTATTATTGCAATTGAATAGCGGAGACGGGCGTGGCGAGTACTCAGTGCTGAGAAGAGGATGGGCATGGACAGGTAGATGACTCCATTGGAGGTTGTTCCGATGACACCTGTACCGCCATTCGAGCCGGATAGTGGCCATGAGTTGGAATAGTATTCCTGAAAGATGCCATAACTCATTGAGAAACCTGGTTCAGGTCAGTACCTAGTACCTCAGTCTATGTGGGGGAGAGAATGGAATGAATCGCGAGAAACAGGAGCATACCCCAAATCGGTAACTGTAACAAACAGGATCCAGTAAGGACACAAGCTTTTCTTTTATATGAATCATCCTGAAAGCGAGGAGGTGATCCTTCTGATAACATGACTTGATCGATTTCTACTTCTGTCCTACCTGTTTGAGGAGAGTCCACAGATTGGAGCTGATGGCTTTCGTGACGAGACATGGTGGTTCATGGAGATGAGGAGGTGTCAATGAAAAGAAATCAAAATATAATAAGATCATATAGACAAGTCATATAGACATGTGAGTCACGCCAAAAAAACCAGGGCAAAGTTTAGTATTTGAGAGTTTGGAGGGGTTGTTGATGATCGCGGGCTTCGTGCCGATAGCGCCGAGGGTCATCTGGAGATTGCGTCACGTTGGATGTGGGTTGACGACAAGGGTCTGAGTGAGTTGAGCTAATTACATCAAGTTTCATCTATCATTAGACAGACTTTATGAGTAGATGAGCCATTTCTTGAGGTCTTGAGGTAAGTGGATGAAGCAACAGATATAGATGGGCGTTGAAGAAGAGATGATGTTATATACTAAGTTATGTCGGAGGTCGGAGGAGGTGGATCTGCCCAGTCATAATCCCACTAATCCTAAAAAGGTCATCCAGTCTTGGCATTTACAGCTTGCTCTCATTTCCCATCGCCGCGACCTCTCTCGGATGCTAGCAGCAACAATTTCTCGCAGCACTTCTCCGAATTCAACGGTACAACAACTAATTCCCCATCACCCTCTCTTCCCCCCGAACATTTCCAATGGCGAAGAAACGTACGTCAAAATCCCTCAAACTCCCCATTCAAAGCTAACACCACACCCCAGAAAAATCCCGTACCATCGCTGTGCGTCTGCTCAGCATGGCCATGACTGGCTACTACCGAACCTTGATCCGTCCACGAACTTCCCGACCTTTGAGTATGTTGAAGTACGATCCGGTGGTTAAGAGACAGGTATTGTTCTTGGAGCAGAAGCGTGGTGGTCGGTAAAAGAGAAAAGGTGTCACACAGTCAGTACCTGTCAATTGGTACAAATATTTCCTCGGTCATGGTCGTGATCACGACTAGACTGAACGGCAGGTCGGTGGGAAAGAAGAAACGAGGTCAACGGAAAGCCTGTCCATGTTAGGAGACAAATGGAAGATCTCGTCGGGCACCCTTACCATTAATCATATTTAAAGACAATGAATGAGACGACGGACGGACAGACTGGCCTTCTCCAACAAGGCAGGCGCAATACAGCACTACTACCAGCTGAGATGGCAGGCGCGATGATACTCAATACTGTCCCAATAAAAAGGACATGATTCTCTCGCTGATCATCATCATCACCATCATCATCCTGCTGCTCCTGCGTCAAGGCCTCGAACAACATCATCAACCACATACAACATCATTTACAAACACACACTTACCCGACCATTTATCACCCATCAACATCTCTTCTGCACTAAGGACCACCATTTTCCTCTTTCCCTGCCACCCAATATCTCAACTCTCAAAACAACAGCCGATTCTGGCTCGACAACATCCCGTTTCCAGACCACAACCAACCATTCAACCACTCACCCATCCATTCACCCATCCATTCACCCATCCATTCACCCACCTCCCACCTCCCGCCGCCAAAGTCCACAACCACAGAAATGTCTACCTCAACGCGTGGACCATACTCAAAGGTCAACTATTTAATGACACGGCGCGGCTATCACGACTTCCTCGTCTTCTTCCTTCCACTCCTAGCCATCGCTGCTACCTTCGGCTGTCCTCTGAATATTGTTCAGCATGCGATTGCTATGTCTTATACCATGGTTTATGCTTGTTGGGTGGTTCATTTCACGCTTGAATACCTTCCTACCTTTCTCAGACATTGGGTGAGAAGATGAGAAGGATGGTTGTTCGTATGAGGTGTGAGAGAGTGACGAGGTTTATCAACTGGTTGTGGAGTTGATTGGTTTGGGACATTAGGAGTTGCACAGAGAAGATGACGAGTCTCAATCAAGGGGCGTGCAATACCTCAACATTATTTTCGCTTGGGCCGCCTCATCCGCCTCAAACTTGACGGCAAGATCCAGGCCAAGATACAGTGATCATCGAGTCTTTATACTAATAGTGTACGATATCTCCGATGATAGATAGAAATAATTTCACCACGGATACATTCACCATGTCCTGCTTCACCTTTTAGAATCTTTTCAAACCTTCCACAAACATCATACTCGTTGTACCATATCACCTGAATGTGATGTCTCCCATGCACTTCTTCACCCCAGATGGCAATATACTCTTGAATAGTTCTCTTGTCTGTTACACTTAATTGTGTCTGCTGCACATTCCCTGGGAGCACTCATCAACATCTCATGTAGCTGCAGAAAATCTGGCCGAGTACTTGTCCTGGCGCGACCCTTTCTTCGCAGCTCTGGCTCCTTTTGGATTTCTGTCCGGAGCAGGCGCATTGGTGCCAACAATACTGCTTCTGCGAAACGTGAGAATAGTCCTTTTGGGGCTCTTCTTGCTGGTTTTCACATCGACTTGAACATTACTAGCACCATTGCCTTTCCCATTCGCCGATGTTCTCTTGACACGTTTGGTTGGTTGGTCTGGTGTGACAGTGGCCTCTTGATGATCTCCTTGTCGTTTCACCGCAGAATTAGGTTGATGACGTTCACGTGGCCGCGATGGAGTAGACACTCGGTCGACTTCAAAATCAAACCCTTCCTCAGACCCCGCCATCTTATCTTTTCTCGCTAAATGTGAGCTGCGGAGTCGTCTCGGAGAGGTCTTCTTCACCTTTTCTCGACTTCTGGCATCGCCTATTGCCGAGTCAGGGAGGTAGTATGAATTGCTCTGGTTCAAACGTGATTTGCTCGTGGTATCAGATTGTGTGCCGTGATCCAAAAGCATCTGATCAATCGAACCATATGAGCTCGAAGCCGGTCGCTGTTTGAGACCTTGACTGTCCACAGGGGCCGAGGTCGGATTCGTGGGATGCGTGTCAGGTGCTACTGGTGTTGCTTCGGTCAAAGGAGTAGTCATGTTCAAGATAGCGTCCAGGAGTTCGTCATCGATTTCTGTCAAAGGGGACACTCCTCCGTTGGCAGTCAGCTCAAGCGAGGGCGCAGTCTTCTGTTTGGGGTAGGACTCTGGTGGCATCTCCTTGAAAATCTCTTGAGACTCCAGCTGCGTCTCTGTGATGATGCTGAATGTGCTCTGAGGCTCTCGCAAATCTGCCTGACTTTGGTCCGGAAACGTATCGTTGATCAGGCCTGTGGCTTGGATAGGGTCTTCATCTTCGTGTAAAAAAGCGTTTACTCGTTGTATGTGTTTCGGGCCAAAGCTGTAACTAGAACGATCTGCTGCTCTCTTGAGTGGAATTGTGGGATGGGCTGTTGGGACGATCTCAGTGGCTCCAACGGAGGCAGCTTGATATTCTTGACTTCGAATCTGACTTTGTAAGAGCGCGATCTGGTGATTCTTCCGATCAGCCTCCTCCTTCAACTGTGAAAGTTGCATTTGCATGGTAGGCCACTCTGCTACCTCCCTTTTGAGTTTTTCAATTGTTACGTCTCTTGCGTTGATGGCTTCTGTAAGTTCTTCGCTCTGGCGGCCTAGTTCACGAGCAACCTTCAATTCATCAATGAGTGCAGACTCTGCAGCTCTTAAACGGCTGTTATTGTGCTCAAGCTCGGCCACTTTTTCGAGTGTTTCCCGAGATTCACATAACATTTGCTCGAGCTGACAGATCTCTGCTTCCTTTAAACCCACTTCAAGTTGTAGATCTTGCTTGGCCTGACTGTCTACCTTTAGATCCTCAATCACACTGTGAAGTGCCTCTGCTTCGCTAAGTTGTTTCTGCAGAGCTGTCACTTGCGAGTTCAGATCTTGTACTTCTAAGGTCAGTGTCTTTGCAAGTTTTTCCTGCCTTGCGGCATGCTCTTTGGACGAGCGTTCTTCAAGACGTATTGCACTGATGGTGGAATTGGCTGCGTCGAGGTCATGCTGTATCTTGGACAAGGAATTCAATTGAGCCTCTGCGGTGTGTACTCTAGCCTCGCTCTCAACAAGTCGAGTTTTCGTCGCTTCGCACACCTGTCGAGAGCTTGTCAAGTCGGATTCGAAAGTCCTCGCCTTTGTCTCCCAGATGTCCTTCTGTGACTTCAGTAGCTGAAGTTGAGCGGCGGACTGTTCATTCTTATCAACACCTTGTTTGAGTGCCTCTTGAAGCTCATCACACTACAGGAGACTTTAGTTGCTTTTCGCCTTCACATAGAAGATGGCCCATACCTTTGTCAGAGCATCAGTTCGGCTCACTTTCATGGCATGGAGTTCATTTTGTGCCTTTTCAACTTCCTGCCTAGCACCCTTTTCGGCTGTCATTGCAACATTGAGTTGCATCTCAAGGGATTTGATCCTTGCGCAGTCAATTTCCTTTCGAGATTCGAAGGCTATCGCGTCTGAATTGACCTTCTGAAGCTCTTGTTGGCACGTTTCGAGTTGCTCCGTAAGATTCTTCAGCTGCTCTTGAGTGCGATCAGTAGCCAGCCGTTTGATGCTTCTTTTGTTGCCTATGGTTTGAGTCAGGACCTGTTTCAGAATATCAATGCTTGTAGTTGCTTCTGATGCTTGTTGCTTTAGGTGATTATCGACATCTGCTGCATGACATTGTTGGGCAGAAGTGAGACGAGAGGAAGTGGCATCCAAACTCTGCTCCAAGGAATCGAAGCGTGAATGCAACGCTGCAGATAGAATCAGTGGACTGTCTTCAACTGACTTGATCAGATCCACGAGCTGGTCTTGGAGGTGTGACAGATCTGACTTTGATGCTAGTTCCTGGGTGAGAGATGCTTCACACCGTGCGAGAGAGTTCATGAGTTTGACGTGTTCTGTTTTTGAGGAATGACAGCTATCTTTGAGCATTGTTACAGCCTCAGAGATCATTTTTAGATGACCACTGACCCGCTGATTGTCTTGTTGGTATCGATTATCATAGGAGCGCTTGTGTCGTTCCATCTGAGAGATGTATCCCTCGAGTTTCTCGCTTCTCGCTTGCTCTCTCCGAAGTTGTTCAGTCTTGGCCATGATAAGACCTTCATTTTTCCACGATTGCTCTAGAGATTCTTGTGCTAAAGTCTTGATGTCGACGATCGATGACCGGAGGCCCGTCATCTGACAGGATGCATGCTCCTGGGAATGTTGCAATTGCTTGATATCGGTCTTCAGGGTATCCTTGTCCTGTGATATCTCGGCGATCGAACGGTTCAGATGGTTGGATTGTGTTTGAAGAGCTAGACAGTCGGCGTTGGCTTCGATTGCCCATTTTTTGAGCTTGTAGTACTTTTGCTTAAAGCACTCAAGATGCTCGCTGATGGTTTTTTGTTTCTCATCAGATGCTATGTATGCTTGGGAAGCTTGATGAAGTTCGGTCTGTAGCTCCTTGTTTTCTGCGTGTAAGACAGCATAACTTTCCTGCAGTTCTAAAAATGTTGTGTTCTTCTGGTGGTTTTCTCTGGCACGAGCCATGAGAAGGTAGAGTAAGTCTTCCTCAGACGGCGGTGGTGCACACGCAAAAGCTCCTGTGTTTGTATGAGAAGGCTGGGTCTTCGGAAAACGCTGCTGTCTTGATCGTTTCGACACTCGCGAATCACAAACCGCTCGCCCACGAGAAGTCCCGGACACTGTTCTTGGAGTATAGATTTGAGGAGCATCTGCTGCCTCGGAAGCCCTCCTGGATATGTCTTTGAAGATTGTAGGCTTGTCGGCCATGGGAGAAGATCTTGGTTCAGCATCGGCACTCACCGTGCTGAACGCATCAGCCGTCATGGGAGGGAGACCTCCGGGGCGTTCAAGAGCCGGTTGTTGAATGGTTTCATCGACTGTGTATTCTTTGTCGGATGAGCAATGCTCAGATATTGCGGGTGTTGGTCTTGACAGATTCGAGGGACAAAAGCTTGCTCCCAGGACTCGAGGATGATGACTCGTGTCTTGTAGATTGGGTTCTCCAAGGGTGAGAGTATGTTCTTCGGTTGTCACGGGCTGGACATGTTCCGCACTGTGAGGGTTTAGTGTTTAGGGCCAATCCTTGAAGTGAGGGAGACTCACGGGACGTGAGCAGGGATGTAGCCTGCATTGGCATTGTTGCCTTCCGGCTGCTTGTCATCCACAATGGACGGTCTATCAGTGTGTGTGCGTTGGTGGGCATAACTTGTTGGCTTTGGGGCTTGCCTCGGCAGAAATGCAAATTCCAGGAAACCAATACCAGAATCATGGTTCGTAGGCCGAGAGATATGCATGGTATTCTGTAGTAGAGACGGTTCTGTGACACTGGTGCTAAAAGTCTTGGAAAGAAGTGACTTTGCCATAGGCGTCTCCTGAAGTGCGTCCGAACCATCTTCTACTTCTTCTGCATTGGCGTGGTGATTCAGCTCTTGCTTCTCATTCCCTTCGAAGAGCTGAAAATTGGTAGGACTAGTAGTGTCTTGAAGTAATGCAGGCTCATCGATGCCGGTACCAGGTAGTTCGTTGGGGCCATCTGGTGAATGAGGCGAGGTAGGAGGTTTGGGTATATTGGTCATCATGGCTGAATGCATCACAAACGGCACGATCTCGGCCTCAAATGTGGTTCCAGGGACAAAAGAGAGATCACAACCCAACTCTGTATAACAGCATTCGAGACTTTTGCTTATGCCAGGGCCACGACTGGAATATGAAGTGACTGTAGAGAACAAAAGAACAGAAAAAAGAGGTGAAGCTGCATCTGGAAAGTCGAAAACTAGGAAGGGATTGTGAGGGAAGGAAGAGCTCTTGCCATCACCATCGTTCCTACCCATCTTCATCATCTAGACACGTGACTGTGTGGTATAGATCAGAGATCTAGAGTGAGCTCTTCCAGATACGACGATATTCAGGTGTCCGTCCAGGAGTATCTCGCTGAGCAATAGCAGTCTTGAAGCCTTTCGTGGCGGCCGTTTGCTGAAAGGCAACACCTTCTGGTGAGTTTCTCGTCAAGCCATCAAAGATAGTAGCCAGCTGTTGACTCCGCTCCACTGATCCTTCGATGATACTGTTGATGACTCTTTTCTGCATCCACAGCTGATTTACTGGGACAGTTTTGATACGATTGACTAGCAATTGGACAGTGTGTTCAAGTTGATCTGCGGGGACAGCTTTCAAAACCAAACCCATCCTTTCGGCCTCTTTGCCTGTGATCAGATCTCCAGTGAATAGCATTCTCTTTGCCTTTTCAGGACCTAGACGATACGTCCACATGGCGGTGGATGGGCATCCCCATACTCGGGTAGGAGTATATCCAATACGGGCATCGTCAGCCATGACGACTAGATCGCAACAGAGGGCAATGTCACTTCCTCCAGCGACGGCTGCACCGTGAACTTGTGCAATTGTGGGTTTGTGGCTTCGGAAGAGCTCGGCGAAACACTCGGTGTACTCTTTCATCAATTGGTAGTCGATGAATGGATCGTAACCCTGGCTCACATCCTGACTGCCACCAGTCACTCCTCGCTCAGCTGCCTCAGCGCTGACTTCTAGGTCATAGCCACCACAAAACCCTTTTCCATTTCCTTTGATGACGATACAGTGGATCTTGTTGTCTGAATTTGCGAGCCTGACGGCGGCGCGAATCTCGACTGGAAGTTTAGGTACGATGGCATTGAACCGTTGGGGTCGATTTAGCGTTATGGTGGCAACCTTGCCATCTTCAGAAACCTCGTAGATGATGCAAGTGAATGACGGTGACGACATGGTATAATAATGGATTCAATGGGTGAATATAGGGACGATACTATGACTTTGCGAGACTCGGATGAATGAATAGATCGTTTATATTTCGGGGTAAATCAGGTACTTAGTAGGTACTTACCTCGGCACACAAGGCTCTCGGTATGTTGGATACACCTTACATCCAAGGATAGACAACTCAAGTTCATACAACCCACAAAACAACCATGCAGGTCTTGCAAACTCTTTTACGAAGACGATCATATTGAGTAGTCCAGTTAAGATATCTAGTTCCCTCAAATAATTGCCACGCCCATAATTCAACTCCTCCCATTGTTAGTGGAGTAGATGGACCCACACTTCTTCACATACAAGTAAATAATCATACAATTCCCATCACACGTCCAGTTCAGTACTTGCATTCATACATACCATTCCCAATCCTATTTCTACCGACCAAACACTTTCTTCCACATAGGTGTCTTGGGACTGTCCGACCGAACAGTCGAGGAAGGAATCGTGACGTTGGGAGGTTTGGGCTTTGACTTGGACTTGGACTTGGACGGCACTGTACCGTCGTCTCCACCAGACAAATCCATCGTGGAAGAAACAGTCGTGACGGTAGTGGTACTGCTGCCACTGCCACCACTAATACCATGTAAGCCAGCCCGCGAAACACCGGTCTGACCTTTTCCTTTGATATTTGATTCCTCGACCTTGACGCCACCTACTATTCCCAGACCCTTTTCCACATCCCTCTGGGTCTGGAGTTCTCGATTCGCTCTCTTCAACTTCTTCTCCGTCTGGTCATCGTGTAACTTTTTCTCGACAGGTGAAAATGTCATTTTCTTGGGAGTCAGCGGGGTGGCCACGGCTTTGACCGCGTTGGTGACTTTTCGCGCTGATCGACGAATGCCTTCTCGGACTTTCCACTGTCGTTTCTTGGCGAGGAAGAATAGTATCGTCATGGTTGCTGTAAAGAACATCTCGAGTCAGCCTTGGAGTGTCCAAATGTGGGTCTTGATAGACAAAGGGAGGCAAGAGCAAAATAATATCAAGGTAGAGCACTTACTTCCTAGCACCACCACTAAACTGACCACAACAGCAATGGCGATGACGGCGCCATGTGAAAGGTGGGCGGATCCTGTGTCAGGGCCCGAGGCCGCTGCCTCCGCTTGTTCATCTGAATCGGCACCAAGACTCCCCGGCTGAATTCCTTCGGCTGTGCCACCGTCACCGGACTGTGCGAGAACATGTGTTGACTTGAAGTATGTAAGACATAGGAAGAGGAATAGAGATGGGGCCATGAAGAGCGGCCGGGGTGATGGACCGGCCATGGTAGCCGTGATTAAGTGATAGGTGGAACGTGTGACAAGAAAGATTGCGGAACAAGAGACTCAATATGGCGAATGGGTTGATGAGCAGAAGATCAGAGTCTTTACTCACGATGGCAGAGACAGACAATCGTGGTAACGGACGGTGTAGATATATTCGAAGGAGCAACAAGGACGACGAGGACAATATGTAAAAGAACACACTTATCACCCCTCAAGACTTGACGCTTACCTTAAGATGATTCTTGCACTGCGCACGGCGTCTGCATGATCATCATCTCCATGACTTGTGGTGGCTGACCTCTCAGAATGCTGGTCCAACCTTTGTCAAACACCGCCACCTAGCAACTGGCCCACGAAGCACTGCCCTGCACGACGGTCAGGACCGCAGCAGTAGACCGGACAGCTGGGCTAACAATTCCCAACAACGAATTGTGACAAAGGTTGATGAGAGGGTGCAAGAAAGGTGAAACGAGTGAAGAACAAGTGAAACACGTTGTGATATAACATAAGCGCCGAGGGGGGGACCAATCACAGTGCGCCATCCACATTCAGGCTGGAATCATGAATATTGGCGTCCTTCCAATGGCGCCAACGACATCTCGGCTGGTCGGCGCTATGACGGCACGGAGGGGAAAGATTCCAACCAGACACGCTCATACTTCTGAAGGTTCTGGAATTGCTGTCCCCAAGCACAGGCTCAGAGTCTGTCGTTCATCTATCTCTAACATAACAAGGATATCGGCAAGGACACCGCCTCAATATTCTGAATACTCGACATTCATGAGTCCTAACACAATGTCCCATCAAGTGATAATAGCTTCGCTCGTTGCAATGTTACAATGTCTCCCATCCCCCGGCGTTGACCTCGCTTTCTAGCTTTCGGGCAATTGTACTCCACACACTTCCATTCGTCATCAGCCATGTGTCTCTCAACAACTTGTCGTATCTCTTTTGATTCAAAATCAGCTGATGCTTAGATCGAAGCCCTGAATCCGTTTCTCCATGCTTGGTCAAGTACGGTGCCGGAAAGAACGAGCCATGACTCAAGGACAGAGCACTCGATGTCAGCGGCCGCAGTCCACGGCTTGCTCTCTCACGATCATTGTCCACAGCTCTGGGGTCTTTAACCACGTGCAACAGTGCCACGTTGCACTTGCGGATGAACAGAAACATTCCAATTGGACTTGAGCATTTCTGAAGATGCGCATTACAACCTCCTCGGAATTCCTTAGTTAGGCAGCACACTGTCTGCGAGCAGAATATCTCCCCACAGAACAGGCACAGAGCCGGATCGGTAACTTCCTTGCCAGTTGTTGGACATTTCCATTTGTGAGATTCTTCCATGAGTACATCAAAAAACTTCGGAAGTCCAATCAACTCCAGAGGCGCAGGGTGTAACAGTCGAATGCCAAGTGTTGATCGAATTTGGGCATTCATGTGTAGAATCTTCGCGTAGTTGCATGCATCAGTGATCCAGCTTGTCGCGTACATCTTCAACTCATGGTGACCAGAATACTCGTCAAAAACACCCAACATGGCTCCAAGGTCGGGGAGTTGGAAGAAATGTGTCAAACGATCAAGCTCCGGCAACCCAGCCTCGGATCCCGTTGTAATGGGAAAATCTATCCCGTGAGCGACATGGAATAGAATGGCCGATTTTCGCAAAAACGCCAGCGCGTATGCCTTACACATCTTGTACAGACTCATTGCAGCACGAGGCGACATCTGATCTGAGAACAGTCGAACACGGAATGCCCAGTCTGACGACTCGGCACCTGAATCCTGCAATAACTTTCCCAGCCAATTGACAAGACTTTGAGTAGCTCGGGCATCGTTAATTGCATCACCGACAAGGACCGACTCTGCTTGATCATGCAATGCGCTAGCTTTGATCAAAGCCGCAGGGTTAAGTGTGTATGCGAGAACTACTCGAAGTAGCTCCGCCGTTAAGCATAGTTGCAAAACGTGCCGTAGCTCCAATTTGCGAATCGGGCACAACACCATCGTCATTTGTACAAGAAACTGAAATCCGTCAACAATGAGCAATGGTGGCGCAGCTTCGTCCTCCTGGAAATGAGCTTGCGCTTTACCAGCGAGTTGTAGGTCGGTTCTCTCACACAGCTTTCTGAAATGCAATTCAACTGCCGGAGCACGCTCAGTCAATGGGCCGACCGCTGCGTAGGCCCTCAATGTCGATGACAGAATTTGAAGATGACTTAAAGTCTGTTGAGGCACGCTGGTCAATAACGACGTCCCAAAGTCGGCCTCTCTACCACGGTGTCCAATCTCCACCGACGCTATAGTGTTCCCGAGTGTTTCCACCAGGAGATGGTATTGGTTCAGCGGATGCTGGTAGGAGGTCTCGCTTGAGTGTTTCTCCCGGGTTGTGCGCGAAACCACAGTGAATGACTCTCGTAGTCGAGTGTAGATATTAGCAAGTTCCTTGAAAGCCCCTAGCTCGGGACCATTCCAGGAAGAGCTCGTTGGGCTTATCACCAGTTCTCCAGCTTGCCAACGAGCAATGGCAGGTGAGAGTGAGGTATTGGAAAACGAGGTCAACGTTCGGCGGTACATCAGTGATGCCGAATGCTGGAACTGGTGTTCGTGGCTTGGACTGGATGACGGAATAAACTGGGAGAAATCTCCAACCATGAAGGACTCAAAGTCTTGAGACACTGACAAAGGTCCAGGATAAGCTTGCTGCGTATGTTTCCACAGGATGGGCAAGAATGTGTTGGCCAACGCTTTGCATAGAGGGCAGACAAACTCTTTCATTACAATCCGTTCTGGGTGATTTCGGGCCACTTGTTGAGTGTGTCTCCTAGCGACTGATTGGAAATAGTTCTCAAAACAGCTGAAATGCATAATGTGACCACAGCTTGTCGACACGGTGCCGTTCATTGTATGTCCGTGTGGCCATCCCTTTCCAAGACCTTGATAGTCTACCGTCTCCTCCTTTCCATTCGTCGTCAGGCGCTTGATCTTGACATGGTTGGCTCCCGAAACGCCGAATGGTCGCATATGTTCAATTGACCGATCCATGTGCTCGGGCATGTTGAAGAGTTCTCCCACAAAGTCCTCATCGGCCAGGTTTGTTTGTCGAAGGACATGAGCATCGGTGACCATAGAAAATGTGCCATATAGCCGTGAATCTGTTGTATCTTCTCTGCACTGTATACACAGGCCCGAAGGATATTTCCAATGCCGAGCCTCGGTCGATCGTGGTAATTCATCGTCAGGCGAGTCCAGTTCTTCATCGCCCCAGTCTATCACGCCTTGTTTATCCATAAAACTTTGCTGTTGTTGTTGGAATTGTGCCATCACTCTCGCCTTTCTCTCGAGTGCTTGCTTCTTCTTCGCCTCGATCTCACTTTCCACATTGGCCGGAGAGGCAGTATCAAACCGACCAGCAGGGGCTGAAAAGCTCTTGGTGGCCTCTAGAAATTCGTGTGGCAATTTCTGGTTGAACAATCTCAGGATGTGCCGCACTTTGCTTCTGCAAGAGCTGAAATGGTCAGCCTGCCAGATATCATGCAAAAGCCCGATAGTCGTGGTTTTGGAGCCACTTGGGCCATCGAGGGTCATGGACAACGCGTTGCGCACAAAAGACTGCTGGTCTTCAGAAATTGCAGGCCTGGCACAGTCTTCCAATGTTGCGATGAGCACCAATTGCAGAAGAATGTGAAGATATGCCTCGACACGGGTCGTCTGGACACCGTTCTTCGATTTGTAGCCCACTGCAACGTAGAAGAGCGTTTTGTGGACGATAGTAGCGAACAACGGGGTATGAACAATCGCGCAGAGATCACGATAACCTTCGCACTGGATAGGGCGTAATTTTGGTTCCAGAACGATGTCCTCGGGCGACTTCTTGAGTTTCTTTGCCATCCATTCTTTGTAGATGTTTTCCGCCTCATCTCGTTGGTTCTTTGTGAAATGAGAATTGTAGGGATCGAGCTCTTGCAGATACTCTTCCTTCAATTCGAAAAGTCCAGAGTCGTGCAGTCCTTCTGGAGCACGGTACCTCGTCATTTCGTCAAGTACATCTTGCAAGTGCTCGTGATCCTGTGCACGCTCAGTCAGGCGAGCGCACAAATCTGAAAACGATAGTGCTTTGAAACACAGAGTGTGTGCAATGTCCTTTCGTACAGCCAGCAACTGGGACTCGACATCTTCGCGATCCGAGACGAGTGCGTCTCGATCAGACAATAAATTGATCAACAAGTAGATAAAATCTTCGGCTAGATCAATCATTTGGTGATCCTCACATATGTCCAATGATGTGAAATTATTTGAGTACCATCCAGTAAGACCGAAACGATCGACAATTGATGCGAGGACGCGGGCTGGGTCACACGTCACAAGCGCGACTTGTAAAAGGAACAGATCACGGTGGTGACCGACATCTCGGTGCGCCACACTCTTGTACTGGACCATTTGGTGCCGCAAGCTCATGCCATTTCGAACCCATAGATTTGCTCTCATCTGAGCAAGCCAGGCACATACGCGAAGAGGGTAGTCGAATGTGGCGAGAAGGGCATCATCGACGTCTTGTAGAACGTTTTTAAGCGCGGTATCACGGAAAGGTACGGGGTTCTCATGGAGGTGAGTAATGACCGACTTGGCTGCTTCTCTCAGCGCAGTGACAGATCCCGGTGCGTCCTTACCGCATTCGAGAAGCCACGACAGTGTATAGTGGAGAGGGTGATGGAAACTGAGCGAACCAGTCTCTACTGCAAATTTGACGACAGAAAAGGTCTCGGAAGCCACGCCTCCAAATGGTCCGACCTGGTGGAACTGAATCGCCTCTTTGATCTCGGCTGAACTGAACCTGCCCCTCTCGAGGCCGATAGAATTTATTATTGCAACTCCCGCCGCGTGAGTAATCGCCTCACAAGTCGCTTCGATAGCTGCGGCGTCACTTGACTTAGACACATGGTAAGCCTCGGCGTACTGTCGGCATAGTTTGTTGATATCTCGAGTCAGAAGGGATGCACTAATCCAAGCGTCGGTTTCATATTCGACGTGATCTCCGACCGCACGAACGTTGGGACAAATGCCTTGAGACAGTTTTGCGAGGTCAAGATATTGAAAGAGGTATTGTGGCTCGGTGCGCACTTTGGACTGCACAAACGACGAACCCAAAAAATAGCGGAGGTCAGAGAAAAAGTGATACAAGCGGCGATTGGCAACAGAGCCTGCGTCGAAGCCGAGTGTAGCTGCTGGATTGAGATCCTTCGGGAATCCAACTTGGCGAGTAGTGAGAAATGTGTATAGTATGGCCATAAGGTTTGTTAGGAAGTTCCCGCGTTCAATGACCTCTTCGGTAATGGATGGTGTGGTTAGTAGCTGCAGGGATAGATTGATGATGGAATGGTCTGGTTCTCGGTCTGCCACCAGATACAGTTGGGCGAGGGTTGTGTACAGTCCGGAAAAGCGGAGACCGAGGATGCGTTTGAACTGGGGAATGTTGACCAAGGTGCCGATGAATAAATCTCGAATGCTAGTTCTCGCAAGTTTCCACAAGCGCAGGTCGAACAGAATCATGGAATCTACTCGGATGTTTTTGGTCAGGTCCTCGAAGACAGGTAGATCGGACTTGTGAGATTCTTGGGTAGGAGGTAGAACGAGCCAGTGGTTGGGGGCGCTGAGATGAGCGTCTGAGACACGCGAAGATGCGAGAGGTGTTCTGGGGATGGTGCGGTAGTTGGCATTGCCGTCAGGACCCAAGTTCTGGGGAGCGGCTGCGGGAGAGGGGAGAATTGGTGGTGGTGGCGGTGGTAAAGGAGAGGGTCGGTCTGTATCCATTCTCTCAGCGACGTCAAGAAATTCGGCATCACCGTCATTGTCTCCATCACCATCCGTGTCCATTTCTTCTGCATCATCCGTGGCATCGGTATCACCGGGCTGATCAGCTAGGGCATGAACCGAATCGGCAACCTCAAAGACGGCAGCTCGAAGAATAAAGTCATTCATTTCTTGATCAGGCTCATCGTCGCCATTGTCGTCGTCATCTTCTTCATCTTCTTCTTCGTTTATATCAAGCACAACCGAGTCGTTATCTGGGTCACTTGGTCCGTCCTCTTCCAGAGCTTCGGCGGCAATGGCTCTCTGCATGGCAAACTGGATAGGATCGAAAAACCTCAAACGATGTCTTCGTCGAAACTCGCGATCATCCTCATCGCCGTGATCATCCAGCTCTTCTCTCCCTACCTGGGCGTTCCAGGCCTTGCTGCCAACTTTCCACAGCTGAAGCATTTCTTCACAGATGGTGCGTCGTAAAATGTGACTATCGTTTGCCACCGTGCAGGAAGCAATATCTGCAAGCCAATCAATAATGGTGCCACACATCTGTTCTCGGAATGTATCTCTCGAGGATCGAATGGTGACTGTGATCTTGATTTCCTCGATGATCTTGGCCATTTGAGTCAACTCCTCCAGGTTACGGGAATGTCGAATCACTGAGCGACCGACCTCGTGTGCTTCTTCGGCTTTGGCCAGGCCAAATCTTTCCCGCTCACGGCATGCTCTGGACACCTGGGACTGGACTTCGCGAACTGTGTGCTTTTCATCGTTCCAGATGGTCAGGCAGAACTCGGGATTGGTCTCAATCTCGTCGCCTGAGATGTATTGCTCGGGACTTAAGCGACTCCTAATCTCATCCTGGGTGACGGAGTCTACGGTTTTGGGCATGCGCAGATTTTCCGGGGAACAAGAAATAACATCGCAAAAGTAGTCTAGCACGGTGGCTATCGTTGTCCGTATGCTTGTTTGGAGATCTTGGGGGACGAGAGTAGCGGGGGATTGGTCTGTCTCCACGGGCTCCATTGCGGTGTGAATGGCACACTTGACAGGTCGCTTCCAGGCTTCATCGTCGCCACAGTCACAGCAGCCACTGTTGCCTGCACTGATGCCAATGGTGTATTGATGGCCTTCGTGGTCACTAGAGACGAAGCAGCGGGAACAAAGAACGGCAGTCGTGTCGTCAGTGCATGTGCTGCAGTGATAACTTGCTTCGCCCATCTTGAAGATATGCCCACAGGGGTGGCCCCTAGCAGCTGCGGTGTATTCTGCATTCTCTTGAGAACCCTGAGCATCTTGCAATTTGTGTGACTCTGGAAGACCATTGGGAAAGAGGGCATCGAAGTAATCGGGGCGATCGTTGGTCAGAGCCCAGAAAAGGTCGCTCAGGAGAGCATGTTTGGCAGTTTCGGAATAATGGTAGCCGAACTTGCTAGGAAGATCACACAGAGCCTGGCGTAGTTGACGCTCTAGGCTCGATAGTGTCGCAGTCATGACAAGAAGGGATGAGGGACCAATGGGTTCCGCATCTGGACGTCTTGCGGAGGCGCTAGGTTTGGGTCGGGGTCTTGAGGTGAATGTTTTGGTGGGTTTGGGGTTGAATTTGAGGCTTATCGACGGGTTGTGTTATTACAAAGACTGATCAGGAGAATGTAAGGATAACAAGTTGCGTTGGTTGACTGGCTGGTGGGAGGAAAGGCAGCGGCGATGGCGAGGGGGTAAATTCGACTGCTTGGGCAGGTTGCTTTGTGAGCCAGCCAAATATATGCAATCGTGGGATAGACAAGATATCAAATGAGATGAGTTGGCCCTTGGATACCAGGGACAAGCAGTGAATTTGTATGGGTGAGGGAGTATTGTTTGTCTCAATTAGAGTCACTGGGTGAGAGTTGAGTTGTCAATGTCAATACCCTGTCGTGCCTGCCATATAAAAATACCATGTGACGTTGCCGCTTGCCTGCAGATCCACATTTGTTGTTCCACTTGCTGCAGGTTCCAGCATCAACGATCAACACGCCTGACATTCCGAACACAAGCACACCTCTCTCTAATCCATATTGGACTGTTGATACTATGCAAGGCTGTTCTGTCTCTACGACTACATGTTTGCGAGGAACAAGGCCTCAATACCCACTCCGATGCGAAGACAGAATAAATGACAACCAGATAACTCAGGGTCACAAAGCAGCGCATGACGTGCAGATGAAACGTTGGGATTCGACAAGGCTTATACCGGAGCGATTCAGCCGATCGACTGCCCTAGGCAATAACTTCTGTGCCATCTTTGAGAGCTCCACCTTGCGAGAGGGTTGACGCTCTAGCAATCCGAGTAGCGCCAACTTGACCAGCAGAGTCTGGGGGCGTCCGAGGAGCTGATTTGTCGCAAATTTGTCGCAGGGGTTTCGAACAGTTGCTTGTGCAAAAACCACAATTCCACCTCGGATGACTTGTTCATGTGTCAGGGCAGCTGTTCGATTCACGACCAAAGGGCCCGCAGGGTAATTCGACGTTGTAGGAAATTGCTTTGATTTTGGTGCATCGTACTTATATACAGCGCGAATGGAATCTCTTGCCATAGAACGACGATCCGCGACTCCGTCCAATTGATTCTATGCTCTTCGTTGCCATGTCTCTTCGTCGGCCAAGCTGTTGGGCTTCTTATTCTTCATCTTCGGCAACGGTCATATATTTGTGCTTGATATCTTTCCATTGCCGCTGTGTGCTTCGTTAGAGATTGATTCCATTTTTGGCCTTTGGGGATGCAGAGTGAACATACCCCTTTGTTCCAGCTGTCCCACAGAGCATCTGTAGTTGTGTCGAAGGCCCTGAGCAAAGTTAGCGCGCCTCATCCTGCAACCCTCGTTCTAGCAATTACTGACATCTCGAATGCGAAAGCACCAGCGAAGACTGTCGTCAGGAAGACGGCGTTTTTTCGAAAGATTCCACTGGGTCAAATCAGTACAAGGTCAGGTGCAGGGTTCGTAGGAGGTTCACTTGAAAAAGCCGCTGGCAATGCGCGCCTGCGTTCATACGTCAGTAATGCACTTGAATACCCAAGATGTCTAGATCACATACTCCGACCGCCATTTTGGCAATATATGTTGCTGTCGACTGGGGTGTAGTGAGGTTGTTGTGAGGAAGCAGAAGAGAGAGTCAAGAGGTGGGATTGAATTAGCTGCTCGTCGATTGGAGCATCTGGACATTCAAGACTGACTGCGGAAACTGGAGCTGGAAGCTTGTGCCAAGACTGCGCTTCGTCCCAAAAAAGAGATGGACCACTACAGCGGTCCATTATCAAGCTAGGGGTGATCATATAGCTCTACTGCTGCAGTTTATTTCAGATATTCGCCTTGTGCAGCAGGTGAAGTCCTTCTCCAAGTAATAACCAAGCCGAGTCATCGTTTATCCTGTCAGAACTCGCCAGTCGTTCCGTGCCACCGACGGATCCGTCAAGGCGACGGTTCGTCTTCCGGCCACAACTCTGAATCACCTCTGCCGTGTCTCTACCGACTCAGAGTTGTCCTCAAGCCGACGATGTCTAACCCAAGCAAGGCTGGCATCCGGACCGCAGCAAATGGAGCCTCGTACATTCCTGCCTCGACGCGTGCTGATGGGTCTACCCGAAAAGAGATACGAGTGAGGCCAGGATACCGGCCTCCAGAAGACGTGGAGACCTACAAGAACCGCAGCGCAGAAGCATGGAAGAACAGAGGTAGTGGCGGTGTACCCGGTGCAGACCCTCCACCAGCTGCCAGCACCGACGGTGGAGCGAACAAAAGTAAGAATGCCAAACGCAGGGAGGCTGCTCGGAAAAAGACCTCGGCCGAAACCGATGAAGGCGACTTGGCTTCTGCCTTGCACAATTCGTCTCTATCCGACGGTGACAAGCAAAGCAAGGACGTGCAAGATCCATCAAAAGTCCAGGTAGCGCCCGATGCGCAAACTCAAGGATCCGATGCAGAGGCAGAGACACAAAAGAAGATCCGAAACCAGTTGAAAAAGTTAAAGGCTGTTAGCGAGCTGAAGACAAAGAAGGCTGCAGGGGAAAAGCTCTCCCCAGATCAATTAGTCAAGATTGGCAAGGAATCTGAGCTGCTACATGATCTGAAGAAGCTGGGCTATACTGGGCCAGAGGTGTGACATCGCCAGGACGAAGGAACAAGCAGGCTCCGAATGTCTGCTGAACACCCAGCATCCAATGGAACAAGCGCCGAATAGGCTTCTGAGAGAGGCGGGACATGCCCATCTGAAGATCCGAGTCACCCCCATGGTAACAAGGAACACCGAGGAGGACGAGACAACGCACAACTCGACCGCTGTTCATCAAAACATCTGGCTCCTTGTGCTTTCGGCGACCCAAACATCATCAGAAGATGGCTCAGATTCTACCCGCCTTATTATTTCTCCAGGCACAAGTGGTGGAGTTGACGACTCCTGGGCAACCATCGTCACGAAGTCGATATGCGTCACGTGCAAGTAATACCAGGATCATGCCATTGCGCGTGGGAGTCGTCAAAGTTGCGCAGCAGAATAGACGCAAGATGAGACTCGGGATTTGGATAGAACCAAGATCCGGTGCCTTCAAGCCCAAGGTAGATTTATGTATACTTGTCTAAGGATTATTTTCCTCCAAGCCCTACAAGCCCATCCCACAAGTGATCTGAGAGAGTAGCGACGAGGCTGAGGCTCAGCCTTGTGCACCAGGTGGATCCCAAGTTCGGCAATATATCCGACATGAGCATCACCATTTCCCGAGAGGAACCTCCAAAACTTTCCCAAATGTGTTTCTGAGACACGAGCACTTTGATGAAGTTGCTCCTAGACTTCCCATGATCGAATGAACTCCTTCGTCTCTCGTCCCATCCCTCTCTGTCATCCTTCAGTCTTCCATACCGCGCCTGCCTCCCTCTCAGGCGTTCCGTGCTTGGGGCAATGCTGCTGGCAGGCCCGTTTGGCCGACCTAATAATGCTCCGAGCCGTAGCATAATTCGCTGCGCCCGACCTCTTTTGTCACAGCCCTGGACGCCACATAGCCGATCCTTTTGCTATTCCCATACCCTCGGTTCCCTCAAGACCGTCCCTAAACCTCGTCCATCCCCGAATCCTCTGGCCAAAGATGTGGCTGTCATAGGTGGAGGAATCACGGGCCTCACAACTGCATACTACATTTCTCTCTATATTCCTCATGCCAAGATCACAATCTACGACAAATCTGACAAGCTTGGAGGATGGATGTCTTCAGAGAAGCTTGCGGTGAAAGATGGCCATGTCCTCTTCGAGTGGGGTCCGAGGACTCTGCGACCCGATCTGGGTGGCTCAGGAGCAGCAACCGCGAACCTGGTATGTACCCACATGGCTTGCCGGGAGCCTTGCTCTGCGGAGAATCTGTGATAGCATTGCTTACCCCAGAAGATTGCCAGTCTTGGTTTGTACAATGAGATAGTGCCAACCCCCAAAACCAGCCCTGCTGCAACCAATAGATACATCTACTATCCCGACCATCTGGTTCGCATGCCCGGCCCAGCGACTGGTCCCATGTCGTACCTCTCAAATATCGTCACTCTGTTGACTGAGCCGATTTTTCAAGGAGCTATAGGATCAATGCTGGCTGAGCCTTTTGTCCAAGATCGATCCAAGGCCTTGAGGGATGAATCCGTCGGCCATTTCCTAGAGCGAAGATTTGGCAAGACCATCACTCACAACCTAGCGTCCGCTTTCTTCCACGGGATCTATGCTGGTAATCTGTATAAACTCAGTGTGGAGACTCTCCTTCCACGTTTATGGGCGATTGAGGGCGGAGAAGCAAATGAATCCATGGGCGTTCTGCTCCGGATGGTGGATATGACGCTCAAAGGGCAGAAACTCGTCAACCTTAGCGATGTCGCCTTCCGGGAGTTCAATAGCAGTCTTCATCTGGCAGAAGGCTTAAACTTGATCAAGCACGGGGAGACGATGACACGCATTCAGAACGAGAGTGTTTACACCTTGGCGAACGGGCTTGGCTCTCTCGCCGCACAGCTGAAGAAAGTCCTAGGTCAGAATCCCAATGTCACAATTCGCGCCGGATGTCCGATTGAATCGGCCGTCTTCGACAAGGCAAGTAAGACCATCACTCTCCGCGGCGGCAATGGGAACGAAACGTCATCTACTCACGATTACGTTATCTCGACGTTGGGGCCTGCACCTCTCCATAACTTTCTCGAATCATCTGCAACGTTGAGACAGGCATCAATTTCCCCGAGTGTCACAGCCAGTTGCACGCATGTCAACCGGGCTGTGACTGTGATGGTAGTTAATCTCTATTATAAAGAGCCAGACATCATTCCATCACAATACTCTGGGTTTGGCTATCTTATACCCAGCTCAGTTCCTGTGGATCAGAATCCCGAACGCGCACTCGGTGTCATCTTTGGCTCGGAGAGCTCGGGTCAACGCGGACCCGACAATGTTCTCAAGGTCGAGGTACCACGCTCTATCATACGAGAGCACATCAAGCGGGTCGAACGCTCTCTGTCAGATCTTGAAGCCACCCAAAGTGACTATAAAGAAGAGCCTAGGCGGCAGCTCAAGTCAATGCTTAGCACACTCAAAGAGAAAGAAAAAATCGAGTTCCCGAATGACAGTGATGAGACGACTGAGATGGTGACTCTCCTAGGTCAGGACACTGCACCGGGGACGAAGTTGACCGTCATGATCGGCGGGCACTGGTGGGACGGGTGGCAAGAAACGGATTACCCTTCAGAATCCGAAGCCGTTGAAATGGCCAAGTCCTTGTTGGCACGACACCTGAACATCATGACTGAGCCAGAAGTCGCAAAGGCCCGCCTCGCCCGCAATTGCATTCCGCAGTACCCTGTGGGATACCGTCAGGACATGGCAAACATTCACCGCGGCCTGATGAGCGAGTATCAAGGTCGGCTCAAGGTCGCGGGTCCGTGGTGGCAAGGCGCCGTCGGTGTCAATGATTGCATCCGCAAAGCCAAGGAGATCGCCCGGGACATCCGCGAACAGTGGGACGAGCATTCCGGCCTCGAGCGATATCAGAAGCCCCAAGAGTGGGTTGTCATCGATCCTTCAGACCCCGACCCCGTTCAGTAGTTCGGCACTAGCATCGAACACAGATGGACTTCTTCCATATATCAATCAAGACGGCGTGTGTCTAGAGCACTGAATTTTGAGAAGAATGTGATCAAGTAGACCAGCACCGGTGAGCTCCAGTGGCTGAGCAGCAGCCCCTTCTACTCCTTCTACTCCTTCTACTCCTACATGGTTTGCTCAGGCAATCCTCGAGGATCTCTCTCTCTAAAAATACCCGCCTCCATCTCAAAGCAACATTCTCTGGGTCCTGACTTTAAGGTCATGCCGCTGGAGTGTTCCGGGTCAGGTCCTCGAGCTTGTGTCCTCCCTCCCCAGTTTCGGCTCCAGCTTCAACTCCAGCTTCCACTTGAGCCTCAGCTTCTCGTAGCCGATCGCGACTGTCAATTCCTCTTTGCTCAACAAATGTAGTCGTTGGTACCCACTTGGTAGAACGGCGGGGAATTGTGTTCTCCAGCATCATGTCAATTTGCTCCAATGTCAAGCCCTGTGTCTCGGGAACAAGGACATAGGTGTACACGTATGCACACCCAGACAAGCAACCCCAGAGAAAGTACATACGGGACCCATACCTGGCATCATCTGCCGAGGAAATGTATGGCAAGAGGATCCAGGTGACACTATTCCAGAGCCAGTAAGAGGCTGTGGATAGTCCAATGGCTCGAGACCTGATAGTTGGAGGGAAGATTTCCCCGACCAGAGTCTAGCTGGTGGGACCCCAGGTGAGCGAGAATGTGGCCAGCCCAGCGCAAGCTAAGCCTACCTCTGTGATCAGGGCGAGGCCCATTCGACCGTCAGCAACACCCATGCATGCAATTATGACATGACAGAAAAGCATGAGAGCAGAGCCCCACAACAAGGCATTACGGCGACCGACAACCTCGAGGACCACGAAAGAGAATGGGAGACAAACCACGCAGATCAGAGTGGGAATCAACGAGATGATGAAAGGGTCAGAGATTGTGTCGATGGCTTTGATGATAACGGTGACAAAGTTGAGCAAAGCGTTGGAACCAGACAGCTGTTGCATCATCATGAGAGAGACTCCAAGAATAGTTCGACGGAGGTTGGAGTTGTAGCGTTGTGCCCAGAGTGGCCCATGAAAACAGTTTGCCCAGTCGGTCAGGTACCGACCCTGTGGAAGTAGCCGGACATGATGCTCGTCATGAGCTATCATCTCGTCCAGCTCCGGCGGCATTTGATCCATATCAGCCAGACTCTGAGGCTGACCTCGAAGATGTGCAAGGGCTCGCTTCGCTTTGGTCAAATTCCCGCATTTGACAAGATATCTTGGAGATTCCGGTAACCACCAGAAGAGCCCGAGTAGGCTCGCCCAGAGAATTTGGATGGCAGTGGTGATTCGAAAGGAAGTATCCGCGCTATAGCTCTGGGTTTTATAGCTCACGCAGAGCGCGACGAGAAGGCCAACGGCAGTTCCCGAGTTGTAGAAGGTCATAGCCACAGCACGAAAGTGAGGAGGACTGATCTCGCAGATATAGGTCATCATGGTGGCGGAAACAAGCCCAAGACCGATGCCACTGATGCAGCGTGCGGCTACAGTGGTCGTGTATTCAGGGACAGCAGTTTGGAGGATTGCACCGAAGGAACACAATTGTGAACCAAGGATGATGGTGGGCCGGCGACCAAGCCTGTCAGAGAGATCCCCAGATGCAACTCGAGCTGAGGTCAGTATGGCATGTTGGATATTGCAGAAGAGGTACCTTACCTGAACCAAGGATGGCGCCTATCCCCAGCACAAAGATGATGACAGCTTGCCGTTGAGTCCAGTTCACTGTGAAAGGGTCCAGGCCCAAGGAGCCCTTGCCATAAGCAGCATTATACCCTATGAAAATGCCTGAAAGGCACGTCAGTGTAGAGATGAAGATGGATTTGAAAGTCAACCCAAACTCCATGGGTTGGACGATTACGGGTCCACTCGGTGTCGTCTGGTTGTCTGCCGTTAGAGTCGACATTACGATGCAGTAGATGAAGATGAAGAAGGTCCAACTGAAACTTCGTAGTGGATAATCTGGGAATTGCATAAGGTGAATGCAGATTTACCTATACTCAGAATGCGTTTTGAGCAATGCTGATGGTGAGCAAAAAGGTTGTACAATGGAGAGATGGAGAGATGAAGAGATGAAGAGATGAAGAGATGAAGAGATGAAGAGAGAGCGGGAGTGGGAGACGCAGAGGAAGAGAGATGGTTTCCTGAGGGAAGAGAGGAAAGTGCAATGGAGATGTTGAGGGGGAAGGTGGCATTCTGTGAGAAGTGGAAGGCACGGAGCTGCATCAGATGAGGCAGGAGCTCTCCTCTCCATTTCCATCGATTGAAACTGCGATTGTCAAGGTCTGCTAGAGATATGGAAGAAGTGTCACAGGCAGGGCTAGCACGCACAGAGCCACATCAAAGGAGAGCCGAATCAACATGCGTGGAAGAGAATGTGCAAGTCATGGATCCATGCCAGGTTGGCCAAAGGCTTAAGCTGCCTCACTCACTCACTCACAATTCATAGTGCCCATCCAAGACGCCTCACCTTCCTACGTCCTCGAGGGTTACTTCAGTCATTCTTTGTGGAATCTACATGGAGTCTCCACAACAGTCTAAAAGAAGGCATCGAAGACATGGCGTGCAAGTAGTAGAGACCTGGTGTGGGAATAATGTATATAGACAATGCACAACGTTAATTAAAGGTTGGGAATATCAAGTGCAAGACTCTAAATATGAGGAAGGAAGCACCATTTTTTGACAGTTGCTCTTTCTGCGCGGGGAAAATGTTGCTTTTCGCACTAGTCCTCATTTGGCCACAACTCCATATCGATAAGAATCCCAGACTTTTTTTCTCGGTCGCAGTGAGACCCTGCTTCAGAAACTGATCTTTTTGATTCTCTCTCGTTTTCCATTTGAGCACCACCTTGATGGTAACCCCACAACTAGCTGTCATGGCATGCTGAGGCTATCCTTGACACATCTATCACTGCGCGCGTCGTCCTAGGCAAACAGCCGTGATAATTTACGGTACACAACTTCAATGCCTACCATGACTTCCACGATGACTTCCACCACGCAAACCAGTACCAAATGGTCGGTAGAATACGACACAGTTCGCCGTCAAAAACTCTTCAAGAATACCCCAAAAGATCGAAGTGCTTTTCCAGCCCTCAAAGCCGCCGTGAAACCGCACATCGAATCGTTCAATGCTCTTTTCGACCAGAATCTCATTGACCACGCTTTGAAAGATATTGGCACCTACACGACAACCGATGGCAGTCCACGAGATACAACTAGAGCCGGCCACCGAAACAAGCTCGATCTCAAAGTCACAGAAATCTTACTCGAAAAGCCAGTCCTACCCTCTTCCAACAAATACAGCGTTCACAACCGAAACATCTACCCCTCCGAATGTCGAGAACGCCATTCCACATATCGAGGCAAACTAAGAGCAAGATTACAATACAGAATCAATAATGGAGAATGGAAAGAATCCATCCGGGAGCTCGGACAGATGCCCATCATGCTTCGATCCAGCAAGTGCCATCTCGAGAAATCCTCTCCCGCAGACATGGTCCGACACAAGGAAGAAGCCGAAGAACTGGGGGGTTATTTCATCGTCAACGGTAATGAGAAACTCATCCGCATGTTAATCGTCTCTCGGAGAAACTATCCCATGGCCATTGCACGCAACACCTTCACCGGGAGAGGTCCCACTTTCTCAAAGTACGGCATGCAGATTCGATGCGTCAGACCGGATCAGACATCGCAAACCAACGTCCTTCACTACCTCACTGATGGAAATGTGACGTTCCGCTTTTCCTGGCGCAAGAACGAATATCTGGTCCCCGTCGTCATGATACTCAAGGCCCTAATCGAGACCAACGATAAGGAGATTGCCGAAGGCATCATTGGAGTCTCAGCAACTTCTTCTGCACCAAGTTCTTTCGTGGCCGACCGAACCGAGCTTCTTCTCCGCACATACAAAGCCTACAACCTGAAAACACGATCCCAGACTTTGGCATACTTGGGAGAGAAATTCCGTCCCGTCCTGCTCTGTCCGATGACAATGACGGATGAGCAAGTCGGCGAGGAATTCTTGAGGAGAATCGTGTTACCTCATCTCGGGAACTACGACGTGACTCCAGCTCAGAACAACGACAAATTCCAGCTGATCCTCTTCATGATCCGAAAACTATACTCCCTCGCAGCTGGCGATTGCACCTTGGACAATCCTGACGCAGTGTCAAATCAAGAAGTCCTACTCGGCGGGTTTCTGTATGGAATGCTCCTCAAAGAAAACATATATGAATGGCTCGTGTCCATCGGCGCCGCCGCCAGAGACTATCTGAGGATGAAAGGAGGCGGACAATTTTCCGATCCCAGCTTCGAAACCGACTTTCTCACCAGGATTGTTCGCCGCACCAACGAGAACATCGCCGGAAAATTGGAATATTTCCTATCCACCGGAAATCTAGTCAGTCAGACTGGTCTCGATTTATCCCAGGTTTCAGGTTTCACCATTGTGGCCGAAAAGATCAATTTCTACCGATTCATCAGCCATTTCCGGTGTATCCATAGAGGTTCATTCTTTGCACAACTGAAAACAACGACGGTGAGAAAACTATTACCCGAAAGTTGGGGTTTCCTCTGTCCCGTCCACACGCCCGATGGATCGCCTTGCGGTCTGTTGAATCACCTGGCACATCAATGTCAGATCCAAATCAAGAAAATCGACACCAGAGGTCTGGAAAAGGCCATTCTGGAACTAGGACTCTCCCCCGTGCCTTCCATGGAGCTCGAACAGAGTCTCTCATTACAACTCGACGGCCGAATTCTCGGCTACTGTTCAGTGCAGCGAGCCCGAGAAATCGCACAGTTGTTGAGACACTGGAAAGTCCGAGGCGAGAAACAGATCCCCGTGGAACTTGAAATCGGGATGATTCCCACCTCCAACGGCGGTCTCTACCCGGGTCTCTATCTCTTCACCGACCCGTCTCGAATGCTTCGACCGGTCAAGTACATTCCCGAGGATAAACTCGATTATGTGGGTCCGTTTGAACAACAATACATGAATGTGGCGTGTGTGGAAGCAGACATCATCCCCAATTTGACGACTCACATCGAATACAAGCCCACGAATATCTTGTCCATCTTGGCCAACATGACGCCGTTCTCGGATTTCAATCAATCGCCAAGAAACATGTATCAGTGTCAGATGAGTAAACAGGCCATGGGAACCCCGTCGTCGAACATGATGTGTCGAACCGACAATAAAGCATATCTCTTGCAGACGGGCCAGACACCCGTGGTGCGTCCGCCTCTGTACAATGAATATGGGCTGGATAACTTTCCTAACGGTATGAATGCCGTGGTGGCGGTTATTTCGTATACTGGTTACGACATGGACGACGCCATGATCATCAACAAGTCTTCTCACGAACGTGGTTTTGGCGACGGTGTCATCTACAAGACAAAGGTGTACGAATTGAGCGAGAGATCGAGGTCTAGCAGATCCAAGACGGAAATTAAATCGCTGTTTGGCTTTGCTGAGGGCGATCCAAACATCCCTGCTGACACCCTCAAGACCCTCGACAGTGATGGTCTTCCAGCCGTGGGTGCCAAGGTCGGCGAAGGTTCGGTGGTTTTGGCTCACCACAGTGTCATGTTTGACCCATCTGAAGGCAAGTTGAAGAATCTGGATGGGAAGACGAGTTATTTCAAATACAAGGACACGGAAGAAGCGTATATTGACCAGATTCGGTTGATCGGCTCCGAATCTGGCGATCAACCATGTCAGGCTGTCAGTATCAAGTATCGAATCCCCCGACGACCGATCATTGGTGACAAATTCTCGTCACGACACGGGCAGAAAGGTGTTTGTTCGATGCTTTGGCCAAGTGAGAGCATGCCGTTCAGCGAGACAGGGATCCAACCAGACGTCATCATCAATCCACACGCCTTCCCTTCGCGTATGACGATCGGTATGTTCGTGGAGTCGTTAGCGGGTAAATCGGGCGCTCTCCACGGTCTGGCTCAGGATTGCACGCCATTCTCCTTTGATGAGACCAACACGGCGGGCGATTTCTTCGGCGAGCAGCTACGCCAAGCTGGTTACAACTTTTACGGCAACGAGCCCATGTACAGCGGCATCACGGGGCAACCGTTTGCAGCCGACATCTATCTCGGCGTCGTGTACTACCAGAGACTAAGACACATGGTGAGCGACAAGTTCCAAGTACGAACGACTGGTCCGGTCAACAACTTGCACGGCCAACCCATCAAGGGTCGAAGCAAGGGTGGTGGTATCCGTGTCGGTGAGATGGAGCGCGACTCCCTCATTGCTCACGGATGTGCGTATCTCCTGCAGGACCGTCTCATGGACTGCAGTGACAAACAGCGAGCTTGGGTGTGTCGCTCGTGCGGCAGCTTCTTGAGCACCATGATGGTTCCGAATCAATTCACTGCCGGTAAGCGAGGTGGACGAGTCGAGCCCAGCGGCATGGTGCGTTGCCGAGCGTGTGCGCGACCTGCACAGTTTGAAGACAGCAAGATGGTTGTGTGGGAGGACGGCTCCGGCCGAAAATACGTCGGAGGCGATAACACCACCATCGTCAATGTGCCTGGTGTGCTAAGATATCTTGACGTCGAACTGGCGGCCATGGGGGTGCGGACGACATTCCAGATCGAAGCGTAATGATGCGGGCTGGTGTACACAAGAAAAGAGATAGTAAAATGATGATCAAAGACCAAATCGCTTCCTTTTACTTTTCACATGGTGACCACTTCATCCGCCACTCGGCTCCGGCGGGTCCTACTGACCTTTTTCGAACTGTGTCTTTGTTCCGGATCTGGAGTGATCATTCCCAACCTGACAGCCCAATCATCCCTCCCCAGTTCAACGATGAGCTCATTCGCAAGATCTAATCTCCGTTGATACTTCTTGACCGCTACCGGCACGAGTCTACGACCGTGCATGATGGCATCTGTGGTACGGTAGTTAGACCAGGCGAGGGCCGCATGACCCAGTAGGGCCGCGAGCACGAGGACGTACTGGGCGGCGGTGTCGGTAGCGTTAGCCATAACCACGACGGCGAAATAGACAAACAAACTAGCCAACCAATCGCTGACATCGAGCCAGAGCGGACCGTCCGCATCGTCCTGCAGCCAGGTGCCTGAGGTGACAGCCTTCAGATCATCCACCAGACCGCGCATTCTGACCCACCTGTCTCTCGAGAGAAGCACAAGCAGATCGCCCATGACGCCCGGCTCGGCCGCACCATGCCAGGTAGGAACCATTCTCGCACGGAGGACCATGATGGTGAGGAAGCGCGATACCAGTAGAATCACCATAGCCGCCAGCACGAACACGTCCCAGGATTCCGCCAGCAGCACCTGGTATCCGACGGCGGCCGCCGCTGGGATATAAGCCGCTACCCTTGGTACTCCAGAAGGAGGGCCAGGTTGACCAGCAGAAGCAGCGCCGTCGCTACTCACCACATCGACCGTCACACAACACCCAGGGCGACCAATGCGCTGCAAGAACATGACGGTAGCCTGGTTCTCGACGCGAAAGACATATCCTGTTGTCATCGCCGCCACGGCTGGGTACTCGGCGGCATTTAGGTCCGTGACCTGTAGTCGAGTCTGCATCCCCAAGCTTAGGAGAAACACCTCCATGTACCCTGGCCGGCCGCGCAAGGCTGCACGGGTGTACAGTGGGGGAACGGTCGATGACGGTGTTGCCAGCAGCAGCATCGGCAGCAGTGGAAGAGACATGGGCAGAGTCATGGGATCGAGGACGTGAATATAAACGAATGAATTGATGACTGGTGTGTAGATGTAAAGATAGAGAAAAGTGGTGAGGGAAGCAAGGCTGTGGTATATGCGAGTAGGTGTGAAAGGTGGATTGCTCCTGCCGCGACTCCACAACAACACCCTTTGCTCTTGCACCAAAAGATGTTTGAATATCAAAATCTGCCACAGCGTGGGCAGAGGATATAATTACAAGAGAATATAACAAGTAAATAGTTCTAGTAAAGGTTTGTATGATCGTATGCTACTAAGTAAGGTGTAAAGAGAGTGATATGGAGTTACACCTGAGGGGCTCCACAACAGCTCCAGGCCCACCACCACGAGGCTGACGCATCTCGCCCGCTGCCGCCATCCGCCCGTGCCACCCGAGATCTAAACGTCTCGAAAATAGTCTTTCCCCAGTACATTTACAATTGCGCACTGTATCTGGACGAAAAACTTCCTAGATGAAATCTCGTTCAGCATTCTAGACGTCAAGCCGTTGACGATGTATCCATATGTGAGTGGATGGTGCAATGCTTTCGTATAGTCTCAGAGGTACAGACGAGAGAAATCTAATCTTTCGCTAAAGAACAGGAGCTAACATATCGGTATCCTCCATCAATCCTCCATCCTCTATCCCTATCATATTTCTTTCCTCATTTCCATTGTGGACAAGAAGTTTGCTGACACGTGATCTAACAAACCGCCACCTGCAGTTCCCGGAGACTGTCAGGTACCTGCCACATTGCCTGATAGCCTGATAGGCTGCCGAAGCGCCCTGCGGCTGAAATCTGGCGAAGTACGCGAGATCATCATTTCTAACCATGCGACAGCCTCACCATCTATCTACGAATGTGCCAGCATAGTAATCGTTGTCATCGATAACAAGCACCGCGGTTGCTGCTACCGACTGCTGACTGTTCGCCCTTCGTTTCTTGTATTCCTCTCCTGATATACTCGAAGTCACATTGACAAACAGTGCAATCTCTCAGCCATCCCGTCCTTTCAGCATACCAATTGTCCAAAGCCTCAAGCATTTCATCCTCCAAGTTTTTCCAAACACCATCACCTCTATAACACCTTAATCCTCATCTCCTCCATGTTGGCATATAATGAAAGATGGAAAATAATTAGTCACCGAGAGTGGCAGTGCTCCGAATGCTCCGAATGGAACAGTATCACCTATAATTCGACTGAATGCTCAACTCCTTTGTGCAATGGTTATCGTCGCAATGCCAAAAAAGTCCGAACCCTCGGTCCGCCCCCAAGGATGACTCTTGACAGGCATGCCACTAGCGACCACCCAAAAGCACCGGCGTCTATACTGGCTAGCACCTCTAAATATAGAATTCTTGAGAGCGCCTTGACAGAGGTGTCGAACGAAGGGGTAACGGGTCATACGGCCTCAAATCTCTCGATGGCCGAGTCAGTGACGGCGGCGCAATCTCTCGGCACCGATGCAAAGATGGCTCTGACTAATTTGTTCGCCACTTTACTAACGAGAGAGCTGCTATCTTGCGCAGTGGATCCTGATGTCGATATAGGGTCGTTGTTAGAAACTATGCCCACCTTACTAAGGAATTTCTCGGCCGATTTAAGGGTCGAGCAGACTCAGTCCGACGCCTTCTTTCGGCGGTCAACGGCTGCTTTTGTGCGCCTAAATCGATTGTAAGTCTACAGTGTCCCTCCAGTCGGGCTTCTTTGAGAGGGTCCGATGACTTCCTCAGCTGACAGGTCGTGTTAAGCCAGATTAGCCGCAAATTTGCAGATAGTTTTCAAGCTCGTATGGACCTGGCGATAGCTGAGACAACCAGAAGCAATCAGGACGACAAACCGACTATCCCGGAGAAGATCAAATTACCTTCGAACTATGATCCTAGCGGGGAGTCTGAATCTGACTGCGCGCTGGATGTCGATAACAACGTCGATAGCTATGTCGAAACCCACCCAGATGAGGCTCGCAGACATGTCGAAGAGAGCACCTCATTTCGACTAATGGTGGAGAAGGCCAAAGCCGTATTTAAGCTGACGAGTTCGTCGCGGACTACGATGAAGGACGTTCGCCTGCAGGTTGACAAGGCGCTCAGAGCACCTACAGGCAGGCTATCATCCTCTCGCATAAACATCGAATGTCATATCTCTTGGGACCCGGCTCAGTTCCTGATAGATCAGTTTGATAATCCAACGGAGGCCAGTCTTTGCGACGTCATGACCATAACTTCATCAAACGAAGAATTTCAAGCCGCGACATGCTTGGAATACGTCCGCCAGGTATGGCCTATCACCGGAGAGGAGCTGCTCCTGTCATTGCAGGACTATGTCCACAATCAATTACTTCAAATGCCCAGGTCTATTCCGCCCTTGTCAGGTGAGGCCCATTTCTATTGCTAATCGTCATTGCTCTCTCCTAATATCATCAAACGGGTCGGACCATGCGGACGTGCTTTCTAACATGACATAGTGAAACTCTCCAATGGTACTCATGTCAAGATTGTCCTCTGCAAAGGCCGCCTCTTCGCCGAATGCGATGGACTCGGCCATGCTGTTGCAGAAGTAATTGAAGAGCTTGCATGGCTTGGAGCTGCCTGTCGTGAACATTCTGTAGCAGATCAGCTTGGCATGTGTTTCATTGATGTCCAATATCTGAGTTCCGTTGAGCCACATATTGCAGTCACATACAGCCTCAAGGACTTGAAGCCAGCCACAGGTCATGCAACTGACTCGTCTTGCTGGCACGCATTATTTCGAAATTCGGTGGTTGTTCAGGGATACCCGATAAAACGTCGAACCCAGAACCAACAGGGCCTCGAAATGCCGATGGAGTTGATGCTTGGGCTTGGGCTTACAGACACCGTCACCGTGTACAACCGTGGCCTTGTCATCGATGGCTTGCAATCCATGTTTGTGCCGGTTGGGAGGACGAAAGACTCAATTCAATGGCACTACATACATAGCGAGCTGGACGAGTGCATAATGTATAGTCGGGCTGATGAGGTTTGTCCAGACAGGCTTCGTGAAGATCGCCTAGACGAATCGGCCCTTGGGATCGGTCGTAACTTTGTGGGATGGACAACCAAAGCCGAGCTTCTATTTGGTAATCTCGATGGCTGTTCCTAAGTCATATGTGATGCTAATAATTCTGGTGTACTAGGAAGCGACAAGATCAATTACAAAAACATCCGACCCTCACACCTCGACCGCTGTGGACCGGGATATGCTTTGGAAAAGGCCTCCATCACCGCTGGAAAATTTCTGATGCTTGGAGTTACAATTGTCCCGGGCCAGAAGGACAAAGCGTCACACCATGATCTGAGCAGCTCATACAAGCTGATGATTGGCTGTGCGGCTCGGAGAAACGTGATCTTATACGACGCACAAGATCAACTAGGTTGGCTGACAGACGCTGCAAGCGCACTACTTCACCTATCTCGTGCCCAGCTCTCACTCGACATCCTGGAGGGAGTCGAGCTGCAACAGTACCGTTCGCCAGATCCCTCGTTCATCGGAAATGCCTGTATAAAGGCCCTACTGGACAACACTAATCGCACGCTGGAGATTGACCGACAGTATATCGGAACAACCGAAGAACGAATACTTGTCAACGGAAAGTGGGAGACCAAAACCGTGGTGCGATACCGAACGATATACTTCGAAGATATGGTCAAAGACAACTGGAAGATTCTCAACCAGATCTTCTCCTACTCCGATTCGCATACTGGGATCGAGCTCCCCACATCAATACGAAAGCATATCGAGGGGTTTGACTTCGATGACATCGTGCACTCTGCCCAACAAATGTTTCCACTTGCCACACCTTTAGACCGGCAGCGAGGTGCTTGGCTCGACTTCGCCAGAAAGATCAATGCAATCACCTTGTTCGGGACTGGCTTTGGAGATCTCATCATTCCTGCTGCTGGTAGCAATAAGCTTTGTGATTACTGGAGTCTCGTGCCTAAGAGCCTCGACTACCTCGTTGTCAGCGTTGCTCATCTGGAGCGGCTAAGAAATGCTCAATCCACCAGTCAAGAATGCCATTCTGAGAATATCGAGCTGGGCAAAGGCATCTACTGGCATCGCGGAGATCGACTCTTCGAGCACTGCGATGGATGCACAACCTCCCAGCCGTGTGACCGGGCACAAAAGGTAAATGCACGGATACCTGGACGTGAAGGTTGTATGGGTTTCCCAACAGACAACCCGGCCGGCGCAGTAATTTTTGGACATATGGCGCACAAGCGTCTTTGGAGTAGCAAAGACGAGTTACATGCCAGGCCAACCCCCCAGTCACGATCGCATTTCGAACAGACTGATGTCGCTTTCTCAGACAGTGGCATCGGCGCCAGCATAGCAGATGCGTCGTCTTTCACAGACCCGCGATTTCACGACTCCGAGACTGTCGCTGTGCCAGCATCTTGGGGCCGAATGATACACCAGAGCAATAGCAGAGATGAACAGCCTGAGTCTGGACGAACCGTGGATCATAAGGACTCTCAAATGCACAGCCAGACTGGCCGGCTTTTAATCCTGTGCAAAACAGGCTTTAGAAGACGCCTTTCACGGCCGAATCGTTGACGTCGAGGCAGTGTCATTCCTAGGCCATGGACAATCACTATTTTCGATGATTGAATTGGCACTGCTCAAGCCTACTGTACAAGTTGGTGTTACTTTGATGAAGGAGAATGTGATGGTGTCAGGTGAGACGCGTTATCTACGATTGATGAAGTTGCGAGAGATACGCCACGTGGCCGTAGCAATGTAATCCATCGAACTGTGGCTATATTTTAACATCCTACGGAGTATGCGGTGTACACATACCTACATATACACACATATGTACATATCTAAGTGGGCGGTTTTGGCCGGGTCACGCGGCATGCCTACCAACGATCAAGAGATCCAGAGATGAAACAAAGCAAAAGTCCTCATTTCTGTATATTCCGGCTAAAAGGACAAGGAAAGATATCTCTACCCTTCATCACCATGCGTATCCTTTGTCTCATCACCATCACTGTCTTCACCATCAATTTCCACTCTGGCCAAATCATCCTTCGGATCATGCTGCCCCGAGCCAGGTTTAATGGGAATTTTCGTCGCCTCGATCCCACCACTGGTGACAAACAAGAATGTTTCACATGGGAAATTGTCCACATGATTGAAGAAATTCCCAAACACATTCTCCTTCTCCTCGTCACGGTACATGCGCTCGTAGATCTGTTCCTGTTTGAACTTGTCCATTTCATCCTTGTATTTGTCGAATCCAATAGGATCACGATTCAGTTCGTTCTGCGCACGTTTATTGTAGCTATCAAAGACGGGTCGTTCGAGAAGAAGACCCAGACTAGGTGCTTTAGGAATCGATAGGGTGTCGTGACCAAGACTTTCAGTAAGGCGTTTCGGATCACATCCGCATCGTACGATCAATGCGACCATGCCGACCATTTTGCGGATCTGGTGCATCATGAATGATTGCCCGTGGACTTTCATGCTGACCCATTCGGTGCCGTTGATGAGAATGGGGGTTTTGTTGAGGTTGAAGGATTTGATTACTCGTTTGGCAGAGGGATCTCGTGCTGATTTCTGGATGGTGAAATTGTGGAAGTTGCGTGTTCCGAGGAAGAGGTTGAGGGTTTCTTGGATTCGGTTTAGTCGTTGCTCCGGGATGCGGTATGCTCGTTTGGCGGTGATATACGCCTGCCGGAGTCGTTTGCTGGCTTCGCTGATGAGAAGAGATCGCGCGTGGGATTCGGGGTCTTTGCTCGTGTCGGATTCAGCATTTGATGGACCGGCATGCGATTGAGGTTGAGAGGATTCTTGACCCAGGTCTTTGTTCGCCTTGGCAACGACATCTTCGGCTTCATTTTCATCGACTCCATTGGGTTTGCCTTGGTCTGTTTCTTCGCCCTTCAAATACAGGGCCTTTTTTAAGATGCCTCTGATATCCTCGTCATACTCGTCTAGGATCGGCTTGATAATCTCCTGATCGACCTTCTCCCAATATCCTTGCACCTCTGCCTGTCTTTCTCGGTATGCCTCTAGATCGTTCTTCTTTTCTGCCCACTCCTCGAGTCTTTTGCCGAGGAAACTGCTGGGATGAGGAGGTAAGAAGCTATGCGTGGGGATAAGATATTCGTAGATTCGAGAATCAACGGTTTGGTATGCACTGAAGCTATTGTTGGTTCTCTCATAACCCCAGACTCGAATTTGAGGAACTAAAGCGTCGTTGATCTTCTTGACCACGTCTTCGTCTTCGACGATGAGCTTGAGGGAGATGACGTTGCCGGCAGCGTGAACGCCTTTATCAGTTCGGGCACATCGGACGAAGGAAGATTTCTTAGGGTCGTCGGCATTGTTCTTGGAAATGGCACCAGCCTCAACAAATGCTTTGAACAGGTCGCCTTCGATGGTTTTGTGGTCGTGAGTGCTGCGTCAGGGTTAGGACGAGACCAAAGCAGATGGTGTTGGGTGTCTTACAATTGCATGCCACGATATCCTGTCCCGGCGTATCCGATCATGACAGCAACTTTCTTCTTCGGTCGGCGTTCTTCGCTGGCCAGGACATCGTCGCTAAACTTTGTCGCATAGATGGGTAGTTCAGTCTCGCCCTTGTCGACTCTCTGCCTCTTAGACGCTTGTTCCATGTCATTGCGCTGCCTCTTGTCTACTTTGGTCTTACTTAGCGGGTCAGTCCTGCCCGGCCTTTAAGCGGATAGTCAAGGTGACTTACGCCCATTCTTTCCTCCCCATATCACGCTTCTTGCCTGGACGATCCCCTCGACCGTTTCGGTTGTTTCCTTTTTGAAACGGTTTTGTATCTGACTTCTGAGAGTGAGGTCCACTTCCTCCCTGGTCAGAGGTCTCGGTTGGGGTGGTTTGGGGAAGAGAAGAGCTGGCGACAGACGGCCTTTCTTGGTCCATCTTGTATGTTGACGCTGTAGAACGGGGGGTTTCAGGCAAGTTTGGAGGATACAACGGTGGTTCATGGGCCAAAGACTGGGAGTCTCCGTGTGAATGCCTGGTTGGTAAGGGTCAGGTTGTGTGTGAGACTTTTTAATGCTGTGTCTACACTCAAATTGACGAGTCCTTGGATTTTCCAATTCTCCAACTCTCGAGGTTGATTTTGGAGGAAGTATGATCCCCCGCAAGACTTGGCGACATTTGAAGCAGATGTGCTCCGTAGTATATAGACAACGGTGAAACTCAAGGCTATCCGTGGTACTCCGTATGCACGTATCTTAGTGAGTGGAGAGTGGACCAAAGAGAAACTTTGCTATCTTCAGTGTACACTAGCGCAGAGCTACGCTATATACAAGAAGCTTAGCATCACGTGAGGTCACGTCGAGCTCGGCGTTTCTTGCGGCGACCTTATCTCGGGCATTGACAATTGTGTCGTTAGCGCTACTCATCATCAAGGTTCAGTATATCATGCTTTCTCGAGTGACTTGGGTTCCCGACGAGTTCGATGGTGCTGTTGGCTGGTTGCTTCAGCCAGAGGACTCAGCAAGTGGACTGCCTGAGACCGCCTGAGACGCGCTTCAAGTGTCCATACTCCCGTATCTGGCTTCGCGGATTCTCCAATTTGACTCAAGCACGGCGCCAGACTGAGGTTCCTTCGTCAGATCCTCGCATGGATGGCCGATCTACTTGCCTGGTGGCACTTCAATGGACTATAGCCTTGGAGAGTCATCAGATCGACTCGGTCCCTAAGTTTTCTTTCAGTACTGGCTTTGTACTGAGGACGCGTCCTGGGTCTGCCACATCGCACAAGGAGGAACGAATGGCGAGGTAATCACGTGCAGCGGACCTTATCGCACACCTCATGACAGTCTCCATCGGCCAACTACCCATCTAAGGTAGGTAGAAATCCACGGACCGCTCCACCGCTCTGATATCCAAACCTTGGTACAACCTTGTCTGTTCACGTGCACAAGGCGAAGACACCCCTCGAGTCAGGCTGAATAGCACACATCTCGCTCCGATCAGGCCGCTCAGAATCTCCCGTCTCTAGCGAGCACGCTATTGACACTCGAGTGGCTCTCTCCGGACGGCGCCATGCCGTCTCCTAATGCCCTCTCATACGGGGATGACTCGACCAGACTTGTCTCTTTATACGTCTTGGATGGAGCCAAGCAATGCCGGACGAGGTGCGATGGGCTCTCTGATCTTGTCCTCGACAACTGGGACGGTGCTTCGGCGTAACCAGAATGGGGCTGGAACTCTACTCTGGAGTGACAGGTGGCCGCCTCTCCACTCTCTCCACACCCCCTTCATCGTCTATGGCTCCGCGGTTTGGACGGACCAAAGACTTCAGGCACCCTGCTAGCTTCGGTCGTGAACTTCTTCTCTGACTACCTTGTCTTCACCACCACCTTAGACGTCTTTCCACCAGACCTTCGGACTCCGCGACCATGAGAGGCGGCATCAGACGGACACGTACGGGGTGTGCGAGGTGCAAAGAGAGGAAAGTAGGGACACCCTTCCCCCGATCTCGCTGGCTCTTCTGCTGATCTACCGCCCTCAGCTCAAATGTGACGAGACCCGTCCAGGCTGCATGCGGTGCGAAAAGAGGAACTTCGTCTGCCCGGGCTATGGGGCAAACAGCGTCAACAGTGAGATTCTCACTTACGACGATTTCAACCTGGTGGGCAGAGGGTTAACCGAGGCTTCGACGAGCTTTTCTGACGCCACGGGCTCGGGGCCGTGGTCGAACGCAGGCTTTGGAAAGATGTCCCCACGGTCGCCCTCGCCCTCTCTCGAGGACTACAACGCCAGCGACATGATAACCAGCGCGGATCGTGCTCTGTTTGCTTTCATGACCCTGTCGCCACTTCAACAAGACTCGTCGAATTCATGGCCGGCCACGAGCTATCCGCACCTCCTGAGTGAGCCCCTCCCTACGACCTGCAGCGACTCCATCGCCCATTACAGTCCCGAGCTCGCCACCAGCAACCCCGAGCAGAGCTTAGTGACATACCAACCGGGAAGCCGGGTTGACACAACCCTCGAAGGCGTGTCTAACACGTCGCGAAAGGAGAACGACGGCCAGCAGCGAAACGTCCATAACACGCCCCAAGTCTGCACCAGAATCACCAACAACTATAGCTCCATGCTGGCCGAATTCTACTTCAAGGAGGTCGCTGGGCTCTTTTCATGCTACGACAGCCAGTTGAACCCCTTTCGGACCACGGTGTCGAAACTCTGGCAGTCGTCCACTCCGGTCTTCTACGTGGTCCAGAGTATGGCAGCGGCCTGCCTGTCGGACGTGTTCCCTAAGCTGCACGCCACCGGCGCCCTAATGCGTGATCGGGCGGCGGCCTGTGTCGAAGCTGACATCCGAGACTCCAAGATCGATACGGGCACCTTGCTGACCCTGATCATGCTAGGCTTGTCCGCCAGCTGGCATCGGGCCGGGGACCTGGGCCAGGAGGAGTTCAAACACGCCCACACCATCCTGACAGAGATCAAGTCGGGCAAGAACGCCTCGATTCTCGAGCACGGCAACACGCGTAACCTACAGTTCTTCCAGGAGGCCATGATCTATTGGGAAATGCTGCTCTCGTACGTGAGCGACGTGTCGACTTCGGCACCGCCGTCGACGGACCCGGTGCATGGCCCCGCGCCGCCCAGCCGCACGGAGGGCAGCGACCCCCCGGAGCCTAACTTCCCTCATCCCTGGACGGGGGTCGGGCGAGAAGTACAGACCCTGGTGTTCGAGGTCGGGCGTCTGGTGAGGCGGGAACGCCATCGCATCCGCAACCGGCCGTATTTTACGTCGCTGGCTGATATTAATAATGGCCGCAAGGCCGTGGAGACCGCCCAGGCGTTGGCGGACCGTCTATGGAATCTCACACTACCGACCGAGGAAACCGTCATCTCTCCAGGGGACGCGCAGACGCCGGTGCAGCACCTACTAACCATCGCTGAGGCATACCGGCTGGCAGGCCTCCTACAGCTATACCGGGTGTTCCCCGACCTCCTGGCTGGGCATAAAGAGGACCTAGAGCAAGACGAGGGCGAGCCTGGGTCGGCGTGGAACATGTCGGAGGAGTTTATCCATAAGAACTTTACTAGCATCGCCCTGGAGATCGTGGACCTGCTAAGGACAATCCCTACTGAATCCCGCACCCGCTGCGTCCAACCGTTTCTGCTGGTGGCCGCGGCGGGAGAACTCCGCGCCGTATCGTGTTCACCGGTCGCGACCCCAACCAGCAGCAGCGGTGGACACGGGGACAAGCCTGACGAGATGATATCGGCCATCCGGGTGTTTGAGGCGCGCAAGTTTATCACGCGCCGGCTGTCCACCTTTGAGCATGTACTGCCAGCCAAGCCCATCCGACAAATGATGGAGATCGTCAACCATACGTGGAGCCAGCTCGATGTAGGATTGGCCAATGTCTACTGGATGGATGTCATGATTGAGAAGGGTTGGGAGACCACTATGGGTTGACTATTGTTACTGTAGAATGGCTAGAGCCCGACTCGCTCATCCGGGGGGTCGAGGACTCGGAAGTAGCAGCATTACCTATAATCCGATACGCCCCTCCACATGGGTGCCCACTGCTCGCTCCTGCTCCATGCTCAACCAGCGGGCCTTTATCTATGAGTCCTCGAAGAATCGTAATCCAGCATGGTGCTGGGATAGAGCCTCGGACAGGGAAGGCTCCAAACCTTACAAAGGACAATGTGGACCAATAAGGGGGAATATCCAAGTCAACACTAAGCCCGCTAATCAAATGGCCGTTGGGCGTAAGGCTTAAAATCAATCCGCAAATCCGAGCTCCTTGGCGCTAAGGTGTATATGTTCATCTTATCGGGGCAGAGCCGAGCAAAGCTCGCATAGATAAGGCAATGGTCTTTTTGAGGGTGTTGCCTTGATTCGTCCGGGGGTTTAGCATGGGACCTTGTCCGGTTCATACAGGCCGCATTCGCCTTCGAGGATGGGGTGAAGATCTGTCTTCTCACCTATCATAGTCTGGACCTAGTCTGCCAATCCGAGGGCCCTTGTGGAGATACCCTTTATTCAGAGACGGGAGAGAAGAGCGGGTGCTTATCACATGTCACTTGGGGCCAGCAAAAGGCCATGTTGTCTCAAGCGCCGCCTCGTCCTCCTCCCCTCAAGAGATACCGTCGGCGGCACATTGAACTGTAAATGCTATAGACTCTGAAACAGACTTGCGGCGTGTCTGCACCGCCGTGATGGCCGAGGGGCCTCGTATCAGCCTCGTATCGAGCATCCGTGGAATAATATTCCGTTAGTCAAGGCCCGCATACCGACCATTGGATGGATAGAGAATTTAGTGGGCCGAGGGGCCACGACCACCGGCTGACCCTCCCTACACCCCCTGAATACTCCATACTCCATTTGAGAGTCAATGAGTAGAAATCGAACTTGACTAGGGTATCCCATTTATCTCGCTGCTTCAAGAAGACTATCTACAGCTACTGAAACGTGTATACCTATGGCTTATCGCTTCAATCATGCTGACAGGCCCGCTTTTTACTCGTTTACTCTCAAATAGTGTGCGGAGTATACGGAATACTATCATCAAGCTACTAGAGTCAAGACATGTTTCGTACAGTAGTCACTGCTCCAATAGTCATGATTCGTGAGTCTCCACCCTCCCACTCCTTCCGGTCACTCTCCAGACGCCGTCGACAAGTATCTTTTGCCCCTCCTCTTGAAGGTTTCAACCAGCCTTTGCCCGGCCAGTCCTATGTCGACCGTGGGATGCCTACTTTTTCCCTATTCAACGTAAGGACCACGGTGTGAATGACCAAGAAGTCGACCCTATCTCCCATGCCCATGGTGCCGCCGCCGTCATCCCCTCATCAGGCGTCCATGCATGAACGCGCACAGGTACCAACAGGACGGATGAAGGAACCATGGGTCACCCCCCCCCTCCTCTCAAGTGCATATCCTGTCTACAGTGCCATCTCCCCTAGTCAGGAGCCAACCAACGTGAAGATAGGCTCGGGTGTCTTGATAGCACCTTGGCGGCGCGCGGAATGCCGCAGGACCCACATGTCATAGGCTTAATCTACTCCGTATGGATGAGTGGTGGTGAGGGGGTGGGGGTGGGAGGGCATACGCTCTCTATGGACAAAAGGGACGATTCATTCATTGATTGGCATTTCCTACGGATATATAAATATGACTATGGAAAAAAGGCTTGGTTGACTAGCCTGGTCGGCCCTGGAAGTGCTTGAGCTCGTCGCTGGCATAGTCGTAGACCTCTTTGCCCTCGAAGAAGGTCTTGAGCACGATGGTGGTGCTGATGTCCTCGGCCTTTTCCAGGTCGCGGTCGAGGATGATGAAGTTGGCCTGCTTGCCAGGGGTGATGCTGCCTTCGCGGGTCTCGCGGCCAGTGGCTTTGGCGCCGTCCATCGTCATGATGCGTAGGATCTCTTCCTTAGTCATCTCCCAGCCCTTGCGGCCCTCGAGCAGGGCCTGCAGGCCGGGGAAGATGTTAGGGGTCTCAGGGGCAAAGACCCAGTCGCTGCCGATGGTGAGCAGGGCCCCCGCGTCTCTCAGGCCCGTGAACGGGTAGACCGACATCGGGTTATGCTCAGGCTGGTAGTCAGCCTCGTGCCAGATGGCCGGGCTCATCTCCGCCGTCACATTGAGCTTCTTATACCGGGCAAAGTCGTCGGCGTGGACATCCATATTATGTGCTAGCTCGTGCCGGGGCCCGTCTGGTCGCCGCGCCCGCATCTCCTCGAAGCAGTCGAGGGCGAACCGCGCGGACCCTTGGCCGCACACGTGTACCTTGCACGTGCGGCCTTCCTTGTCGAATCGCTCAATGGCATCGGCAAAGATGGCTGGGGGCACGAGGATCTTCTTATACTCTGGCTTGCCGGCGTCGTCGAGCGGGCAGTGGGTGAGATGGGGCTCCCACGGCACGCCGTCGAGCCAGAACTTGATGAACATAGGGTTGAAGTGTTTGGTCTGGTAGCGGTACGCCCGGTTAATGCTATTGATCAGCGTCTCCGGCAGCTCCTGGCTGAAGGCGGCGCCCCAGAAGACAACGTGGGCGTCGAGGTTGATGGTCATGAGGCCTAGCTCGTCCACCTTCTTGGCCGCCTCCAGGTATACGGCGTTGGCCGAGGCCTCCTGCACCGCGGTGAAGCCGAAGCGGTTGGCCATCTTGACCCCGTACGTCAGGGCCTCGACGTGCGACTCGGGCGTGCCCTTGGGGATTGACGACCACATGCGCTTGGCCGCGCCCTCGATCAGCTCGCCCGTGATGGTGCCGTCCTCCCGTCGGACATAGTACCCGTCCCACGGGTCCTCGGGGTTCTCCTCGTACCCGGCCGCCTTGAGCGCGGCCGTGTTCGCAAAGATATTATGGGTGGTGTACTCGCGGATCACCACGGGCTGGTCGCCAAACGCGTCGTCGAGGAACTGGCGGTCCGGCTTCTTATTCTTGAAGTTACGCCAGTGGTAGAAGTTGCCGATCAGCCAGTTGCCCACTGTCTCGAGATGCTGGCAGGACGAGGCGTACGACCGCAGTTTACTGACGGTCTCCTCGGGACCAGACTCGAGGCCCAGCTTGGCCTCGAAGAGCTTCTCCTGCGAGGCGACCAGCAAATGACAGTGGGCGTCGTGCATCCCCGGCATCACGAACTGGCCCTTCAAGTCAACCAGCGTGGCCCCCGTCTGCTTAGCTAGCTCCAGCAGCTCGCCTGTCGAGCCGACGGCGCCAAAGTTACCGTCGGCCTCGACCACGAACCCGCCCGCCTTTGGCAGGGCCGCGTCGACCGTGTAGACGTTGCCGTTGACGTAGATAGTTGCCATGGTGTTGCTAAACTTGCGTCGCGTTCTTGTTGAGGGGAGCGTGCGCGTGGCGAGTAGAGCAACCACCGGCCACCGCGCCCGTCTTATAACCCTGGTTCATCCCGTTTCCCCATGTCGGTTCGCAGGATGATAGCGGGACCAATGCCCGGATCGAACGTTCAAGCGTGTGCGCGTCTGTGCTCCGTAATGGGTCTACCCTGAGGGGTTCCTTATCAAGGTTCCTGTATATGTCACCACGCGCATTTCGGAAAGATATGGCCCTGACTACTTAGGCGTGCCAGGGCTGCTAGGCGGGTAGGAAGACCGACGGTGCGACAAGTGGAGTCGAGGATAAACTTTCGGTTAAGCTAGCGGCCAAACTTAAATGCGACATATAGGGCGGGAAGACCAGCCGATCCGTCGACTGATCTATTATACTAACCCACGGCCCAGCAGAGGCTTGGTTGACCCTCGCTTACGCTACGCAGTTATCTAAACGAAGCTAATTCCGAGGCACGGCGGGCCTGATAGCAGAGATAGAGGTCCGACCAGAGTTGGCAGGCTGCTGATCTCGCATCATGGATCGAGCCATCGGATGGGTCGAGCGACGGTCCAGCAATGTCGAGACAAGACCGAAAGGCATCCATCCATCCACATCGACAAGCAGCTCCTCACTATCTGATATCAACGGCTGGTAGGCTCGCACGAGTGAACTGACGGAAGAATGCGAGCTTCACTATAAAGCAGAGACCGCGTCTTCTCCAGAGACTTGATAGTTGAAGTTCCCATCGACCATCCCTCGCCTGTTACATTGCTTTGGTCCTGGTCTTAGTTCTCTTCATCCCGAATTATTAGTCTTACGCTCCCAGTGTCCTCACCACCATGGCAACGCACCACCTACACACCGAGGTTGTGCCCGGCACCGTCCACTTGGTGGATTTGGCGGGCACCCTCCGCGTCAAGCATCAGGAGGGCGGCGATAAGGAGATTGTGTTGCTACCCCAGCCCACGGCAGAGTACGACGACCCGCTCAACTGGAGCCGCCGGCGGAAGCTGCTGTCGGTCATCGTCGGCCTCATCGCCGTCTTCTCGGCCGACATCATGACCACCTTGCTGTCGGCGGCACTGCTGGATATTGAGAGCGAGACGGGCATCCCGCTGGCCACGCTTAACCAGGGCGTCGGCGTCCAGTATCTGCTATTTGGCTGGAGTTGTCTATTCTGGCAACCCCTAGGGCTCACTATCGGCCGCCGGCCTACCCTACTAATAGGCGCGCTCGGTATGCTAGCCTGCTCCGTCTGGACCTCGTATGTGCGCTCGTCGGGCGAGTGGTACGCCAACCGCTTTCTAATCGGCTTCTTCTACGGCCCAATCGAGACGATGATCGAGGTCTGTATTTCCGACGTCTTCTTCGCCCACGACCGCGGCTTCTGGATCGGCATGTACTGCTGGATCCTATTCGGCATCCCCTTCCTTGGCGCCGTGCCCGCCGGCTTCATCGCTGAGAACCTAGGCTGGCAGTGGATCCAGTTCATCGCCTCTATAATCGCCGCCGGCTGTATCCTGATCATGTTCTTCCTCATGGAAGAGACCATGTTCTACCGCCCCCCGGCCCAGGAGGAGGCTATGGACGTTGACCTGGCCGAGAGCACTACTGACAAGGACTCAAGCGAGGGCCCCGTCGACGAGAAGCAAGTCGCCGCGCCTAGTACCCAGCCCGCCGTCGTCGAGGTCGGCCAGATCGTGACCAAGAAGACGTACCTACAGAAGCTCAAGTTGTGGGGGTCTCGCCGCCCGGGCCAGCCTAATCACTTCTTCCGGTCTATGTGGATGCCCTTCAACCTATTACGCTACCCTATCATCGCCTTCTCCGGCGTCCTGGTCGGCTCCGTGCTATCGTGGTTCAACGTGGTCAATGCTACTGCCGCCCTGGTGCTGGCGTCACCCCCGTATAACTTCCCTACCAACATGATCGGCGTCATGTTTATTGCCCCCTTTATCGGCTGCACTATCGGCTGCGTCTTCGCCGGTATCTCGGCGAACCGCTTCGCCGTGTGGATGTCGCGCCGTAAGGGCGGCATCTTCGAGCCTGAGTACCGCCTATGGATGGCCGTGGTGCCCTTCCTGCTCCACCCAGCGGGGTGTATCTTATTCGGCGTGGGCGCGAGCCACGGCGTCCACTGGATGGGCATTGCCTTTGGTCTAGCCTTCATCGTCGGCACATTCCCTATCGGCAGCGCTATCGCCATCAACTATATTATCGACTCCTACCGCGAGATCTCGGGCGACGGCCTGGTAACTATGATCTGCATCCGCAACGCCATGGGTTTCGGCTTCAGCTACGCGGTGACCCCGTGGATCACCGCCTCGGGCGTGCAAAACACCTACATCGCAGTCGGCTTCATCGGCATGTTCTTCTGGGGTCTGTGCTTCCTCTTTGTGCTGGTGGGCAAGGGCACCCGCAGGGCCTCTGCTAAATCTTTCTGGGCCTTGGTCGAGAAGCACGGCTTGACTGCTCACTAGAACAAGCGTCTCCTATAAGTTCAAATTTCAGACTTCAATCGGTCCCCAGAGGAGGTGGAGAGGAAGGTGGGTGTGGGGTGCGCGTGTGAAAACATGGTGGGCGGAACTATCCGTCGAGGGGAAATGGAGGTTTAGTCTACCAGAGATGGATGTTAATTGGTTGATGGAATGTGAACGGAAGTAGATAGGGATAGTTAATTCAAGTAGGAGAGAGCCTGTGGGCCCTCTCGACTGAATTCCTATGAAGCATGGTCTGCATTTCCTAAATCTGGACTATAAAGGAGACTCACCAAGCAAATCTGCCTCGAAAGACGAGCAAGGTGGGCCGACGCGGAGCCAAAATAACCCCAAGGCCAGGTCTTAACTTGGGAAATCGTGTACCAGAGTTGCATACAGACCCCCCCTCCCCCAAGTGGTGAGGTGCACACATTCGTTTCCGGCAGCTACGCGGCTGAGCATACATCAAACTGCACCTGATTTCAATGCTGAATGCAATTGAGGTGGTTGACCACTCGTCTTTCGATTGTTCATTCTTTTGTCAAACCTGAAATCATCCACCAACATAGTCATGGTAAGTCATATCAAGGCCACAGCTGTGAACAGTATCAGAATGAGAACAGCGATGCTGAACAGTCAGCAGGCGCCAGAGAAGGTGACCCAATCACCGGTCTTATTTTTTCCATCGGCAGTTTCTACTGCCATTACAATCTCGATGGCTCTGAGGACTGTCGTGAGTAGCGAGAAGATGGTAATTAATGGCGCCAGAAACCGTCCCAGATATGTTCCGAATTGTGCATGAATATGACGGTATGTCATCATGTGCATGAACAATCTTGCTAAGAGGCTTAAAGCCGTCAGGGGTAATTCGCTAAATCTGTATCGTGGACTGTAACGTCATCGCCAACTTGACAAAATGGCTCCAGAAAGTCCACGAATCGCTTTAAAGTTATGGAGCCCTGCGCATGTCCCTCAGGGATAAGTTCCAGATCCGAGCTCGACGCCTCCTGAAAATCGATTTCACCAATATGTACGCAGAAATACAACACAGGCTCGCCAGACACTACGGTCGGCATGGTGCTCCAGCAAGTTCCAAAAAGCGTGCCTCTAAACACTGCAGGATCGCTGCAAAAAAGACTAGAATCTCATGGCTATTAACGAGTAGACTTGAGATCAGCGGTATAGGAACAGAAGGATGATACCTCAGCCGTTCAGCATCCTTTCTTCTCCCCTTTCCATCGTCTCTGAACAATGATCTCTTCCGTAGAGAACGGCCTGTCCTCATTTGCTCTGTAAGGAATGGCCAATATGGATTTTGGCGATGTCGACCAGCTCCCTTAGGATCAGTTGGGCTTCAGCAGGTTCGGCGAGGCCGATCATTGGCGAAAAATAGTCATGTGTGACGTAGCTTCAGACCAAGAAGAATCATATGCGGTGTTCTCTTAAGAGCACCCACATGGAAGTGGATTCAATGATACTAGAGAGACTTCACAAAGGTTACAGAACCAGAACAGAGCACAACCACAACTTCAAAGCGGCCGCAAATTCAGCATCGGAGTCGATTTTGGAACCACAACTTCTACCATCGCCTTTGTGCGTATCGGCCCAGGCGAGCAAGAAGATCTCATGACTCGTCAAAGAATCCAATGTGTCAATCACTACCCTGACATGCCACTTGGATGCCGCGCATCCGCCTCTGAGCACAACATAGTGGTGCCCACAGAGCTGTGGTACCAGACAAGGGGTCGTATCGCAATTGTAGACGACGAGGTTCTCACAAAGATAAGGAGGAAACGGAGTTCAGTCGCAATGACTTCAGTTGTAGCTGTAGTAGCTAAAGGGTTCTGACTGTCTGAATTGCTCGTTCTATCTAAAGGAGGAGGAGGAGGAGGAGGAGTAGATTACATGTTGCATCTTCCTAATTAGTCACGATACCCACGTGACATAGCCAATGTCACGTGATATGACACACAGCCAGCCCTCGAACAACGGACCCAAGTAGCAGGAAACATGTTCGATTCGCATCTGGATGAAGGATATGACTCGAGTTCAGTTCCTCGCTCTACTCTGAGCTCGCTTATGATACAGTCTCGATAAATAGATATCTATTGTAGTCTCTCCTCCTTAAGTCAGGTTTCTTCTGAAGCCGACTTTCGCAGGTGGCCTGGAGACGATGAAGACACCTTCCACCATGAAGACCGTGTTCTTCTATTGTACGACCCATCAACCGCGGAAGAGTAGGCACTGCATTTACAATCGTCCTGTACCCCTCGTTGATCTAAGTAACTGCGTTATTCCAGCTCGATTTCGGTCATATGCAGTCCTTTGAATGCCTATCATTAGACTGCAGAGGAGAAAGATCTGATACACCCGAGAACTATCGTCTCATCAAGACTGAAGATCCATAGCTAGACAAGCTCGCTCATGTCGGTCCTCCAATTGTCGAATCGATGGGCGATCTTTGCAAGTTCTTCCGCGTCACGACTTACGATTGCTCTGATGAATGGATCGTCTTCCACCGCGGTGTTCGGATCTTGATCGGAACATCGCAGCTTGTTGGTTGTCGAGATTGGATTGGTGACGGTGGAAAACGCCTTCCTCCGAGCGTCCGACCAGATCTGTAGCGTGGAAAGAGGCTTCCCTTTGTTAATGATGAGTTCCAGCGCATCGGCGAGCGACTCCGCATCTAAAAGTCCAGTGGTCAAGCCGAGACCTCCCCAGGGCTATCAAACAGGGTTCAGTATGGAGATCATGGACCTAATGAAGGGAAGGCAGGAAAGAGGTCGCCTCGACCGGTCTGAACTCACCGAGTTGAGATGGGCGGCATCTCCTGCCAGACAAACTCTTCCTTGGTTCATGGTCGATGCCAACCTCTGGTGAATTCTGTATGGTTGCTGTCGGAGCACCTTGTAGACCAGGGGCCTTGGGCCGGGAACGATGATATCAAACTTTTTTTTGACGTTTTCCTCAAAAACTTCTGGCTCGCATTCGCTCTCTGACATGGGAAATGTGACTCTGTACGGTGTTGGTCCGTCAGGGTTTGGGTAAGAGAGCGGACAGAAGAAGCACCAATTCTTCGGCGCAATAATATAGTTGATGCCCGTTCTAGGCGGTGTCTGGAGGTTTAATTCGACGTCACTTGAAATTATGATTTCTGGCCAGGTGAAGCCTTCCAACTGTATGCCCAAACTTTTTCTGGTTGTCGACTTACCTCCGTCCGCGCCTACCGCGAACAGAGCGGTAAATCGCTTTTCGTCACCATCGTCATTGGTCGCAACCACCGTAACTCCGTTTTCGTCTTGCGTGAGTTTCGATAAGCCATAGCCGTAGTGGATTTCTGCCAATCCGGACTCTTGAATTCGGGGCAGGATAATGTCCTTGAAGTGGTGTTGACCCATGATAGTCATCCCCCAGCCGGGTTTGCCTTCTTCGTATGGCGAGCCGTCGGCGAGATTCCAAAATGCTATTTCATCACCCCAAGCTTTAGAGCCGTCGGCTTGATCGACAGCCAACTTCCTCCATCCTAGCCCTGCGAACGTCGGACCCCGGGATTTGACTTGTTCCCATATTCCTGCCCTTTCCAACGCAAACATGCTGGCGCCAAAGTATCCCAATGCTCGGGGAGCGGGTGGCGGATCTGTGTCCTTCTCTAAAACAATGACAGAAATTCCTAGCTGTGTTAGGCGCAGTGCAAGGAACAAACCAACTGGTCCTCCACCGACAACGATGACCTTTCCAACAACCATGGTTGACAGGCACAAGATTGAGGTGCTGGCCGTGGACAACTTCTGACGGTGGCTAGTGCAGACAAAAGAAGAATGTTCCGGATGGGTGACCTGGTGACTGAAAGATGCAACAAGTAGAGGCGTTGTTTATTCATTTTCGGTCTAGCATAATCGTTCTCTTATGGACCATGCTGGTTTTCCGGGTGTTCTTCCCACTTCTCCGTACCATAAGGGCGTCATGCCGTGCGTGCGGAGAACTGTCACAAGTCGGCACGGATGGATAGGATGTGTGACGGCCAAGAAGACAAGCCACAAATTACCCCACAATGTCCGTGCCGAGGGCTCCACACGCGAAATGAGAGAGTAATCCTCAAACACAGAATAATGAGCTACATTGCACATGGGTTGGGACGTGCTTCCGCAATAAAAGTATGAAAGATGAAAGCTATAGGAAAAGGCAATTCTTGGCGAATGCCTGCCCGTGGTGGTACGTTTTGTCTTTAGGGCGAGTAGTCAGAGGCGGGTAACAGCAATCTAAGACGCGGGCTTCTGTCGTAACGTGGAACGTTACAAAGAGATAATCTATCATGATGCGATAGCTAAGGACTCAAAGGATCGAACTCTGCTAGGAAGAGTTTATCTTTACTGGATTTATCCATATTAACCCTAACCCTGAGAAAAAGGAAGGTTCAGTCAGTTTAGGAGCGACAGACTCAGCTGCACCATGAAGGAAATGGAGTATCTCCCATAACTGTATTTGTTCTCTGTGTTTGTCATGTGATGTACACGTGACTAGGATACTGGCAGCAGGAGGTCCTCCACCGTTCATATCCTCTTCTTTCTCCTCTTGGTCTCTCTTTCTCTTTGGCAAGCAACCCAAATCGAAGACAACAAGTCCCACACAGCTATTGTAGCTAGTCAATCCCATTCATTGAGACTGCATACTCCTTATTTTCTGTCTTTCCTGCTAGTTTGAGCCCTCCGGAATGTTTGTGTGACAATGCGTCCGTATCCTCTCAAATGTCAAAGATGAGGTGAAATGAGTTGCTTGGGCTTCCTCGATGCTATGGAGGAAGCCCATCTATCTATAGTCAAACGTATGACTCTACAGTGTACAGGAGGCTGGGAGATGATACCAACCCTTGTACAAAGGTGTTGGCGATTGACATCAAAAGGTGTAAATGCAGTCAAGAAGTACTACGCATCGATCGCATCAGAAACTCTTTTCAAGTGCTCTTTTCTAAAAGAGGAATCTTGTTCTTCATAAAAACAAAAAGGCGGGAGCAGAATTCTGCTCAAAATCGTCTAAACTCCTTCTCACGCACCCAAGAACGATTCTCGTAGAATTCGAGTTTTTGGCGCATCTCTACTTGGTGTTTCCTTCCAAAAAACAGACGCGGGAGTGATCGACACAACTGCGACACTGTTGTCGAAAAATTTGCCCCGATTGAACCTTTCACTCCTTTATATCTCATGATCACCGCGGCGACGATGACGAATTGCGTCCGCCGCTTCCCCATCGTAGAGGTCCTCGACGGCTTCTGCGGGGGCATCAATATGCATGTTGAACTCTGTTTTGGGATCCACCAAGAACGTCGCGACTGTATATTGCTTCATCATCAGCATCGCCCTAGGTATGAAGCAATTGAAGCAGATTGTGAGAAGCTTCTGAAGGACTGGTCATCACTTACGGATTGTAGCAACGAGAGAGAAAACACCTGCGGTGATCCAGACAAACCGGAACGCGTCATTGTAGGCCTCGAACATGGCCCTAGTTCCCGCAACGACGATCTCGTCAGTGACACCGGGGACATTTTCAGGGGTGATATCGACGTGAGCGACCATGTCCGCAATCAACCTAGGTACAGAGCTCTCGGGCAGACCAAGCGGGATGACGGCGTTGGCTACGTTGGGTGCAAGATGGTCTGCGAGCCTCGAGCTGAAGATTGCACTGTAGATGGGGAGGCCAATCACGCCAGCAATGGAACGCATGCTGATCATCAAACCAGATGTCATGGAGCTTGGCTTCGTGTCAGATACAATGCGTACATACCATAAGAAACCGAGGACTCACATGAGTTCAGCTGGTGTGCTGAGCTGAGCAACCGTAACCACCGCGCAAAGACATAGACCTAGACCGAAACCTACAAAGACAGAGTAACCCCAGGTTCGCGTATTCGTGGTTGGGTCGCAAGTAGCCATGCAGACTCAAACGAGCCGGTCAGCCGAACGCAGCCTGTGTAAGGACGCGGGCAATTTAGACTCACCGTTGAATACAACGAATGCCCCAAGCCCGATGACTGTAGGCCACCGCACCTTTTTATACTTGGAGCAAAACCAGCCACCAACGGCTGCTGTAATGGCGTAGACAATGAAGGCAATCCCGTACCGCACTCCAACCAGCAAGGCGTCAGTCTCCCAGAAGAAGCTAACCTGGAAAGCATAGTAGTTGTTCGCCGTCTGCATGAATGTCAATTTCGCTCACCCCAACGAGCAGAATATTGGTGAAAACTTACGAAGAAAATAAGGCCCTCTCCAAAAATGCAAAACAACGCAATTGGAAAGTTGCGACCTTGCCTAGGAGCGCTTTCAGATGCCTGGCGCCGGCGGAAAAACCGGGAAGGGTACTTACGAGAACAACCCATGATGAAACATGCCCTCCTTTGTGACCTTCCATTCATAGAAACCCAGTGCGACCAGCACTAAGAAGCCAATGATAAAAGGAGCGAGGACGTTGACCGATGTCCAAGGAACTTCAAGTCTCAAATCAGTGTCTATCCTAAGTCAAGCCACTACAAGAGGCCTCACAAGGGTTGTTTCCATATATCAGACCAACCGAGAACAGGACGAGTCCAATTGCTAAGAGGGAGTAACCTATCCAATCCATCTGGCAAGATTAGCGGCATGTCTCAGTCACCCAAGCATGACTAACTCACCCGGAAAATCTTTTCTTGAAAACTCAATGCTGTCTGCAACTCTCTGAGAGGGGGGTTATAGCAAAAATAGCTAATGATCAGGGCAACGGCGTATATTGCTGCTGTCATATACCAATACTGTACGACCAGAAAAGTGAATATGTCAGACTTTCGCTGGATCACGGAGCAAGCCTGACTGCTTACATTTCTGAAACCTGCGCTATGACCGTTGCGAGTAAGAGCGCCACCCACGAGGAGTCCGATGAGGCCACCGACTGCTGCGGCCTAGAAAGGCAGCATTAACGTTTGTTTGTATGAACATGTATCGGGGACTGGTGTTTGTACGTACCACGTTGCAAGCACCCTGAGCTATTGGCCTGTGTCGTCGTGGCAAGACCTCGGACGCGATAGCGTGGAGAAGCGGCTGAGCACCATAGGATATACCCACGACGCATGAACCTCCAATCGCCATACCGATCGAGGTCGCTCGGCCGATTATGATGCTACCAACCACTCCAAATGCAGTAAGGACGAGAAGAAACCACCGGCGACCCCAGTAGTCGGCAGCCTGGCAGACAGGAGGACTCAAGAGCGAGGTAAAGATGGCAACACAGTTGACGAGCCAGGTGGTCTGGCTATAACCACCAATTTCAGCTGCAATATCGCGTGCGAGCTATAATGAGGCGTTAGCGATGATTTGCGGGCCCAATCGTTTTGATGATAACTTCACATACCGCTCCCAAGCCGACAATGTTGATCAGTTGAGACACATAGATCATAAACACTGCAAAAACAACCAGGAACGTTTTCGCGTGTAGATGAGCGGCGGGCTCCTCTCCGTAAGGGATAGTTTCAAGTTGAGCAACAGGTTGTGCATCAGTTTTGCTTCCTGTGATATTCTCGTGTTGCTGCGTCATATGGCTCTCTTTGCCCACCGCCATTGTTATTCCGTCGTTGTGAAACAGTGTTCGAAAGTTGTGCGAGTGAGGGAATGTGGAGCTCCAGTCTTCACACCACGAAAGAAGATTCGCCTGTAAACAGTTCCACGTTATTTCTTCTTAATATAGCTGAAGATGCTGAGGTTCGAACCATCCATGCGTCAGTCTGTGATGTTGTTACTCAACCGAGATCCATGGCATACAATCATCTTCCCCACAAGAACCGTACAACAACGATCAATATTTGTGGAAAATTATTATACACCTCTCCGGGTCAAGTGTAAGTCTGGGGCAATATTGACAGACGGTGACCAAAGACGGTTCTTCCACTCGGAGGAGAGCTGATTGGCTCACTCAAGGTTTCTGTGGGCTTACCTCCGTCCAACTGCTCTCCGCCAAAGTTCTTAAGTCATGCGGAGGACAGACAGGGCTTCTGGGCTAAGGATTCTTCTTCTCAAGACTCTCTCGCTTCAGCTCGAATAGACTTTCCGAGTAATCTTACCCCACGTCTGCCGACATTAGGGATCGGAAAGAGCGGGGTAAGTGAGATCTTCACTTCTCCCACTCTTTTTTTGCGCTCATAGATTCGGAACTCGATGGGATATGCCGTGGGTTGTCCGGGCGCTTCAGAAGTCGGTAGAGAAAAATTGTCCGATGTTGGTTTGATCACGCGATTCCAGGGACAGAGTTGAACGGCAAGATTTGTAGTCTTATAATGGCAGAGAATTTGCCGACCGCTCTCACTAATAGTCTTGCCGAGGTCTGACGCCCCGTAACCGTACTCTGTAAAGAGAATACGCAAAGACCCCGAGTGGCCCCTTGAGCTCGCCGTTGTGGGTCCGTCTTCTCGTGGATTTGAGACTGGGGATCGAAACACGCTGACGGGGGTGAGAAGGCGCATCTCTCCAAGTTGACTCAGTCTTTGCCGTCAATTCACCAGGCACCAGCTGCAGCTCGAACTATCAAGACACACGCTCTCCAACACTTCATTGAGTCTCTCCTTGTTTGGGAATACAAGTCAACCTCGAAATGCCTTTCGCTCCGCTACGTCAATGTGGGATCTGCTTGCAGCGATTCTCGCGAAATGAGCATCTCCAACGCCATTTATTGACTCGTGAGTTACACTAGGAGCTTCAAAGTCAGTGACTGACGGGTAATTCAGATTCAGCTCATGCCCACAGACCCTTCAGCTGCCCAGTCTGTTCGGAGACATTTTCAAGAAGGTCCGTTTAATCCAATTCACTTTCGCTATATCATTGTGCTAATTTTGAGAAATCCATAGCGATGTACTCAAACGGCATGAGATGACCCAACATCCACATTTGAACGACCAAGACGCTTCCAGGTCAGGCACAAGCGAACGAAAGAGTCGCGCTACCATTGCGTGCGACCTCTGCGCCAAAGGCAAGATCAGATGCGATGGATTATCTCCATGCGGTCGGTGTAAGGCTCGCAACTTGAATTGTACACTTCAACGCCCACACAGCGTGCTGAAGAGGCGACCCATGATGTCGCTCTCGAATCGTGACGCTTCATCCACACGTGGAGATAGTGCCAACAGACACGAAGCTCATAATGACCACCCTCCCTTAATGCAAGCCCCCTCGCTATCGGTCAGTTAATCCATATTTGATAATATAGTGAAGCTAAAAGCTTTCATTGGGCATAAGGCTAACTCTGAATCCGCTAAATCGCAGGACGGGCACGAAATGCCAGGTTTAGAAGGGCAAAGGGAAGTAATGGTGTCTACCGACGCTCACGACATCATCCGCGAAATGGGGTCGACACGACCAACACCCGGTCAAAGTCGCCTGGAGCCCCAACAGGGGCCCTATAATATTCAGAACCGTGATCATGGACCCTCGTCACTTGATCTACCCACAGGATCCATGGACCTTTCTCAAACCGACCTCTCGTCGATTTTCAATGGCATGACGCCTTCTGCAGGTTTTGATTTTCCAACCGATTTGTGGTTCCAGGGTTCCAGCCCATTGTCGTGGAATGTGCTGGCGATGGAACTCAGTCCTGAGACGGAGAGGTCGAAAGTCGGACCCACTACAGTGTACGGTGCCAGCCCTTATGCGAGTTGCCCGCTTTTTCATGATTTGGACGATGGAAAGAATTCGTCAGCGAAGTCCATGTTGCCAACATGCAACTTCTTGCAGGACAGTTGCAGCTGGACACAGATCCAAGAGGCGTCCGTAAGACGATCAAAGAATGACATTCGCTCGGTCCCAGCAATCAATCATCAAGTCAGGGACGCCCTCGTCGCCATGACTCATATCACCCTATTTAAGACGCTAGAGACTGCCAGCGTCAGGACTGTTCCAATGACCTTTCCTCCGCTGGAGACTATGCAGTGTCTTTTCAAGTCATGTTGGACCGGGTTTGCCCGACTTTATCCGGTAATCCATCCCAAGACATTCGATACAGTCGCAGAAAGAGGACGTACAGGTGTGACTTTCCCAATCTTCTTACAGAATGTCATGATCCTTGGTGCCTTGCTCCTTCCCGTAAAAGAAGGTCAGGCATTTGCGAACGACCTTGGGTATCTCGTTCGACAAACGATGCATGAAACCATGACGCAGGATGTTTTGACCACCGATGATGTCTGGATGTTGAGCTCGATGATCATTGTCACCGTTGCCGGTGCATGGTCAGGAAATAAGGTGCACGTAGAACTTGCAGAGGCGTATCGTGGCATTTATACTGTGGTAAGTCGAGGAAGTCCACGGATATAAACAATTGGCAAAAGTTGACCCATAGAGCAGATGTTCAATCGACGAGGCTATCTGAAACCTCAACTAGACCAAGGTGACAGTAATGACGATGGAGATTCATGGCTGAAATGGATCAATCGTGAGCGCAAACGAAGGCAAGTCCCAACACAGTTGTAGACAACAACGGCTGACTCATCGAGACTTAGGCTTTGCTACATTTGGTATATCGTTGAGCAAGAACTGAGTTTCTTCGACTGCATTATCTCACATATCTCCTACACGGTTATGCGCAGTCCGATGCCCTGTCCGGACGATGAATTCTTCAGTGAGACGGAAGCAGAATGGCTTGCAGCACGGCAAACTCGGTTGAAACATGAGACGGAATCCAACACAATCCGACCCCCATCCCTCGCAGCTTTGTACTGGCTCTTTGTCCGCGATGACTTCCTCCATCTGGATGTGGAAATCACACCTCTCCAGCTACGACTACTGCAGTGTGCTATTCAGGAACAAATTCTTCAACACTCTCAATCAGTCCGATTTATGAATGTGGATAAGGCCTACCCAAATCTGCCCTCAGGTGCGTCGACTGTTTCGCGGTCGACAGCTTGCGCGCAGCTCCGGCTCGAGGAGATTCATAGCCTCCTGGTCCGGTGGTTCATTTTGAGCAAGAGGATCCAAGTATCCGTCTTCTCCTCCGAAATCTCGGTGGCCTGTCATTTGATGCACCATTTGATCAGCATGGAGCTCTATATCTGCTTCGAGGACGTACAATGTCTCGCAGGAAAAGACGGCTTAGAAGTCGGACAGGTCTTGGTCCCTCAATTCGTTCGCTGGGCAAAGTCGCCTTCCTGCCTTAAAGCGATTTCGCACGCCGGCGAAGTCATCAAAATCTTGCAGTCGTCGATGATAGGAGAACACAATAACCAACTCCGGCCACTCTGGTGGCCAGTGGCATTGACAAGGGCTACTCTAGTGCTGTGGAGCTACGGGATATCGGACCATATTGCGACTCGCCATGACGTAGCGACTGAAGGGTCGGCAGTTGAATCTCTACGTCTCATATCTGTGAACGACGTGAACGAACAGTCGGGACCATATGGCAAGGTCGTCCAAATTGGAGAAGGACAACCTTGTCTGTCTAACGCCTCTGGACTGATGATTCCCATCAACCATGTGTCAAAGATGCTTGATGTGGCCCTCGAGATATTGGAGGACGCTAAGCCAGAGAGCACGCCGTTATCCGAAAGCATACTACGATTCATCCAAGAGATTCAACGTTGCGGGATCCCATACTGAGCCGTTGTACGCGGATTCAGATCTTATTCATTCAGCTATAAAAGTATATGGCTGAAACGAAGCAAAGACTGACGTGCCACCTGTGGTATAGTCTCTGTCGTCAACTAAACCAGAGCTGCAATTATTCCCATCCTGTCTACTGGTATGGACCGTTACCATGAATTTGGGTTTCCCTGAGCTGGCTTCTTGTGGAAACTGCCGTACTGTTTCATGTACCAGCCGTGAGGCACACCATCATCAATCACAATTGCTCGATGCTGCAGTTTCCAAGTCCCATCGGGTTGCGCCGTGAAGGTGTCTTTCCAGCAACCCCAGTGATCCGGGGCTGCTGAGTCTGTGTGGGCGATGAAATTTGTTTCTACCTTTGCCTCGGTGGCACTCAAAAACTTAATGTCGGCAGTCGTAACATGGTGCCGGATGTATTTGGCCTCCTCGCCCTGGAGGACTTCAGAAAGACGTGTCGTAGGAACTTCGTTGCCATTTGGCAACCGGTAGATGGCGTCAGGTGCAAAGCAATCCTCCGCGATTTTGTTGAAGTCGGCTAGGTCTCTTGCTAGAATACCGTACCGATCAAGGACAGCTCTGATTTCGGAACGAGCAATCGCTCTTTGCTGTGGGTCGAGAGGAGGTGTACTCATCTTTGCGAAGGATTGTCTTATCTCGGGAAGATCACAATAATGTAATATTTTCAGTAGAGTCAGTGTAAGTAGAGTCTCAAATGTCACCAGATAGGACCTTGCTGCCGTTTTCAAGAAAAAAAGAAGCAGAATGGATTCGGGCAAAATACGGGCAGTTTGCCCAATGCACAGAGTCGGAACTTCATCGGGACGGGACCGCGTGGAGAGCTAGTCTCCGATGCCATTTGGCATCCTAGCCTTCGGGACGGAGATTACAGAGTACTATCTAAGCTCATGAGATACCATGAATACAGCACCCATACCCAGGTACTTAGTCCTGGCCCCAGTTCGTCCCAGTGGCCCGCTTTCAAGATTCAAGGTTTCTCGGCTCGAAGAAATCCCTGGGAAAATAAACCTTGGCTCACCTGGACCGTACGCTCGAGTAACGCATCTGGTATAGCATATCACACGCACATTCCAGGCGAGAGTGAATTGTGCTGACTCCAGGTGACTGTGTGTTTACTAAGACAGAAAACCATCTAACCACCATCAGCTGCCCAAATGTCAGCCTCGGCACCATTCAACTATCCGAAGGATCACGTCAAGATCGAATTTCCTTCCACCATCCCGAACTTCATCGATAATGAACTTCTCAGCTCCCAGGCTTCGTCTTGGAGCGATGTCCTAGATCCGGCCACAAATAATCTCGTCGCACGTGTACCCCAGAGCACAGATGAAGAGCTTCGTGCGGCAGTCGTGAGTGCTCAGCGAGCCTTTCCGCGATGGTCCCGAACAAGCGTTATCGCACGTCAGCAGCTGCTTTTCCAGTTCGCTGCCACTATCAGGCGGAATTGGGATAGACTTGCAGAGACAATCACTCTCGAGCAGGGAAAGACTTTCGCAGACGCAAAGGGTGATGTATATCGAGGACTGCAGGTTGTGGAGGTGAGTGAATCTCAATACTTACATTCGTAAAGATGCATATGGCTGATTTGGTTACCGATAGACGGCCTGTGGCATCACATCACAAGTATCTGGGCAGGTTCTGGAAGTTGCGCGCGACATGGAGACCCGTCAGTACTATGAACCCCTGGGCGTAGTAGCCGCGATCTGTCCTTCCAATTTCCCAGCAATGATCCCGCTTTGGTCCATTCCAATCGCTGTCGTGACAGGAAACTGCATCATCATCAAACCCTCTGAAAGAGTGCCTGGTGCTGCAATCATTCTCGCGTATCTGGCCAAGGAAGCTGGGTTTCCCCCCGGTGTCATAAATGTCATCAATGGCACCGCAAGAGCCGTGGAATTTTTGCTAGACGATCCTTCCATCAAGGCAATCAGTTTTGTGGGGAGCAACCAGGTGGGAGAGTATATCTATTCTCGCGGATCGGCCAATGGGAAGAGGGTTCAAGCAAATCTTGGAGCTAAGAACCATGCTGTCATCATGCCAGATGCGAATAAGAACAGCACCATCAATTCAATCATCGCAGCCGCGTTTGGGGCCGCTGGCCAACGCTGCATGGCCCTAAGCGTGGTTGTCTTCGTGGGCGAAACAAGAGAATGGTTGTCGGAGATCGTTGCGAGGGCCAGAAAACTCAAGGTTACGGGAGGCTTCGAGCCAGGTGCTGACGTAGGGCCCGTGATCAGCGTCCAGAGCAAACACAGGATTGAAGGACTCATCCAGAGTGCGCAGGAAGAGGGTGCCACGGTCTTGCTCGATGGGACAGGCTATCAGCCCGAGAAGTACCCTAACGGCTATTTTGTATGTGCAATTCGTATATCGGCACCTCTCCGATAGCGTGTCTCCTTCGGTCCCGTCTTTTCGCTAATCGTCTTTCTAGGTCGCACCAACCATCATCACTAACGTTGAAACTCGAATGAAGTGCTATAAGGAAGAAATCTTCGGCCCCGTTCTACTCAGTATATTTGCCAACACCCTCGACGAAGCTATCGCCATTGTGAACGCAAACGAGTACGGTAATGGAGCATCGCTGTTCACAACCTCAGGACCAAACGCCACTCGGTTCCAGAAGAATGTGCAAGCAGGCCAACAGGGTATCAATGTCCCCATCCCGGTACCGCTTCCAATGTTCAGTTTCACGGGGAACAAGAAGAGCATTGCAGGAGGTGGCGGAAGGTATTTCTACGGCAGATCCGCTATTGATTTCTACACGCAGCAGAAGACGGTGACTTCTCTTTGGAGAGCAGAAGACGCTACTAGTGACAGTGCGGTGAAGACTGAAATGCCCACGCATTTATAACAGCTGCATGTATAGACGGTTTTGTCAAATACTTAAGGAGGCGAGGCTTTTCCAGCGTCATAGACCTTCCCGCCCGAGCTGATTCGGGATGCGACATGTCATTGTTTTCTTGTAAGACATAAGAATACATCAAAATTACAGAAAATAGACGGTAGACGGTAGACAAACTTTGTCACCACTGAGATAAAGTACTAGTAATCTACGCTTCGACGCTGATATTGAGGATTGGTTCAGGCCATGGTAGCGATCCCCTGTGGGATAACCCATCATGCTCAAAGACCCTCACCCTCTCCGTTAGGTAGGACCAATGAGAGAAACGGACACTACCAATGTCTCAGCTACGGACCGGGTTTGTAAGTATTGTCTCCGCCTCGTTCATCCGCTGCGCATGGGTGGGGCCGGGTTGACAGACCAAGCTTGTGCTGGATTCTCGGATATAGAGGATCTCAGCCGGCGGAGTAGATTATGTGGGTAGCAGCTGGGTTACCGCCGCCCATGACTCCCGACAGTCAAATTGCATTGACACATTTGTGTAGCTACATGTAGCAACAGAATCTGGTTCTTGATGAACTCGTTCGCATCTCTATTTTCTTCGGTCTACCTGGCCGTGACCGTATCACGACCACCCACCTCTTGATTCAAATCACACCTGGTGCCTTGAAAATACTTGCAAGATGTCGACCCTACGTCACAAGACATTAGGCGAAATAAAAGGAAAGGTTAACAATGGCGTTGCACAGTATTTTGGTCTCAAATACGCCTCGCTGAAGCACAGGTTCGGGCCGCCTGAGCTTTTCGACGACGGGGGACAACAAGGCGTTATTGATGCCACCACCTTAGGGTATTTCAGATCCTCCTGCTCGATTCAAGCGATTCTAGCGATTTCTGACAGACTGGATGCGTGATACAGACCGGCAGTAATTGGGATCCCAAATGGCGCCGAAGCAGAATTTGGCTTGATCCAACAGAGTCTTCCGGTTCCCGACTTCCCGCCACAATCCGATATTGATGGCCTCAACTTGACCGTCACTGTGCCAGAGGGCTACACCAATCGCAAACTCCCCGTTTTCGTGTTCATTCATGGAGGCGCGCTTTCCATGGGATCAAGCTGCTGGCCTCAATATGATCATGCCGCCTTTGTTCGCCGATCCGTTGAGCTTGGGAGACCGGTCATCGGCGTTAATTTCAAGTACGACTCGCCGAGCGGTCCCGAGGTTGTTGGTGTACTGACGGATTTCATAGCTATCGAACAGGAATATTTGGGTTCCTGACGTCTGAAGAACTGAGAAGGGCAGGATTCAAGGCAAACAATGGATTACGAGACCAAAAGGTCGCCTTTCAATGGGTCAAGAAGCATATTTCGGGTTTCAATGGTGACCCAGAAAACATTACAGCTGTTGGACAGAGCGCTGGAGGCGGTGAGTAATCCCTTTCTCTAGAAGATGAGATCTACAGGGCGTCCTTACTGATCTTGAACTCCAGTCTCTGCGACTTTGCAATTCCAGTCTCCAGAGCCTCTTTTCAAACGACTGGTTGATCTGGCAGGGACATTCCTACTGCTCAGGCCATTGCCGACCTCCGTACACGAGCTATTCTATCAGCAATTTGTTGAAATCCACGGCCTGGCTGATGTTACTGGGGAAGAGAGAATTCATGCCATTGAGAAGATTGACAGTCACGAACTCCTTCTCAAGGTGCCACCTTCATTGCCATCGCTTCCAACACTGGACTTCGACTTCATCAATGCAGCACCAACGTTTGAAAGCGTCGAGCAATGGCACACCAAAGGAGACTCATTTCTTCACGGTCTCAAGTGGACTGAGGAGCTGTTGGTGGGTGATAATCAACTGGATGTAAGCTTTCCCTCCCCTCTTAAATGCCAGCTGCGCCTTCTAAAGCCTTTCTGATCACAGGGCAACATCTACCAATTGGCGTTGGCTCATCGGAAAGCGGGAATTGGTAAGCAACTTGAAGAATCCTTGAAGCGAAGTATTCCTGGTCATGAAAAAGCAATTGATGCTTTGCTGGAGGAGTATGGCATTTCTTCGGCCAACAACGACGAAGACCAGTATCTGAAAGTCCTGGAATTTGCAAACGACATCGCTTTCTACCTTCCTGAGGAGACTCTGGCCAAGAATTTCCCCGGCACGACCTACGTCTATCATCTGAATGTGCCTAATCCTTGGGATGGGCCATTCAAAGGGCATGCCACTCACATTTTCGACGTTGCGCTGTTATTCAGGAACTTCGAACACCATCTGGATGCGACCACGAAGGCTGCCGGTGAAGCATTCGGTGACAGCATCATCAAGTTCATCAACGGTGAAAGTCCGTGGAAAGCAACCACTCGCGAGGACCCAGTCGCTATGGTGTACAATTACGGAGACCAAGGCAAACTCATGGCGGATGAACCTGACAAAGTCGGGAGACGATCGTCGATCTTCAAGTTCAAGGAAAGTATCGGATACGATGTGCTCCATGAGGCTTTTATCGCCTTCCTGGGTGATAAATGAGATGGTGATGCATGGAGCAGTAATCCACATATTCTGCAGAAGCCAAAAAGACCCCATAGAGCGAGAGCCAAATAGAAAGATTGTAAGACACGTGTGTTGTACTAGCCACTGCTCTCACGTGAAAGCCTAACAGCCTTGGCTACCCCTTTTCATAGTCCGAGTCCTGCCTGCGCCTGAGGCACCCTCCTGACTACCCAAGAACTCTTTGGTCCACTGTCGATTCTCTACAATATCTACGGAGTAAGTTTACTTTTCGCCAGGACAGGATCTCCACACTGCACAATTCTCAAATGACTTCGCTATATATATCTCACCCCTAGTTACTTCGATGTGGGAAGAGAGGGGTGAATAGCCTGTCGCTTCTCAACTCTGTCAGTCCTAATTTTAACTTACTTACACATGTCTACTGCATAACACACCTGTCCTTCTAAGGCCTCTGTACCGGACAGACGCAAGGTGGACGTGGACCTGTGATGATTTGATCAAGTTCTTGAACAGCCACGACTCTGACTGATCTTGATACCATCAGCTAGTCTATGGAGGATCTCGAGATTGCATCTAGACACCTAATCGCTTCACAGGTAAAGTCTGGATTGGTCTGTCTGTTTGTGATGGCATTGATGAAATGGAAAGCCCGGAGGACCATCAGCGATCTATAAACTACATTGACGATTTGGAGGTTGTCGACAAAATAAAACTCTGCGTTGCCAGTAGAGGCGAAACTCCTCGGTCGCCGTTATTCGTTAATCGACCTCCACTTAGGCTGCAAGATGTCAACAGAGATGATATACTACAATACGTCCGGAACAGGCCCAAAAGAGTTAGTCCCGAGATCACAGTTCTCAAGTTCCGTCCTGTCGTTACTATACTAGGTACCTATGTATGGGAGTGGGGCTGACGCCGACTCTCCTATACAGAGCCTGGATTACTGATGGTGTGATAGATATCTAGTTACAATATAGTGCTGTGACGCAATCTTAAATCACTAAACCTCGCATGGTCTCGTTATAGGGTTTGACTATGAAATGTACTACCGCTTAAAATTATTTCTATCTCTATGTTAGTATATTTCTAGCTTGTACTTGCTAAGCTGGCGTCAATCCCACTCACATCTACGAGTATACGTCGTAAATATAGTCCTCGTATACAGCAACGAATCCCTTCTTAGTTCGTCCATGCCCCACAAGACTTGGCGACACTTGATGCAGAAATACTCCGTAGTATGTAGATAACGGTGAAACCCGAGGCTGGACCAGCAAAGGGGCACGTGGGGGTCGTCTTCCTCCTGTACACATTCAATGCCGTAAATATCTACCTTAATGAAGTATCACCTATTATTGGTGGAGTCGATGCACTTATTTCCGCAGAAGCCACAGTTCCATTAATTGTATCCATGAGTGAGAATTCGGTTAGAGCCCCATACTGCATATCTCGCAACAGTCGACTGGGCGCCTCTGGCTAATTTAATTCCCCGGGCATGGTGTGATCGGCTTTCCTAAACAATATAACGAAGCGAACGGATGCGCAATCATTGCATTTGACTAATTGCCTTGAACCTGCATGTGGCTGTTTATGATCTTCATCTTCATTGGGATTACTTCCACCGGAAACACTAGCATCCTTTACACTCAAACTTCAACAGTATATGGCATTGGTTGACTATTGTCTAGTCTCGTCATACCACGTTATGATCCCACCTCCGTAGTTCGCTTCTGGGTATAGTACAGAGAATTAAGACAAATTGCTGGGGAGGGGTTGGTCAATATCGAATGCTACGGAGAGGAGTGGAGGCTGAGCTGTCATGTTCAACCGACACCCTACCTGTGTCCGTACTTGTCAACCAACAAGAGCCCTTTGGGAATGAGTGCGGAGCACTCGGTGTGCAAGAATTGTGTCATCCAGAGTCCCTCGGGGGTTTCATCATGGATGGTCCATATGGTTGTCAGAGCAAGTTGTAGGAGTGATCTCTGACTGGCCAGGTAATCAGGTCTACGCGCCATAAAGTACAAGAGGCAGCGCATGACTTCCCAAGCTGCTAGGATTTCGGCAGCTTTGAATTGCTCTTTGGTATATGTCCAGAGGTCGTCAGGAGAGACGGGCTCTTGTGACAGATCGTGGTCAAAGGTCTGCTGCATGGCGTCAGAAGTACATTCGGGTGTGAGGGAGGCAAGGACTCGGAGGATGTAGACCAAGACAGAACTGTGAAACATCAACGCCGGGGCGGCAGAATCATCCAAGAACTCGAAAAGGGTAAGTGAGGAGGGTAGATCGTGAAGCCAGCTCGGTCCTGGATGCTGTCGAAAGGAAGCTGCCGAGGTCACCAAATAGGTATTGCGGATGTCACATGCCCATCGTCTTCTCCATAGATCGAGAGATGAAAGGCAAGCCAACGCTCGAAGCTTGATGTCATCACTTCTTTGTTGCTGCAAGTGATTGTCGCGCTGAGTGTCGGTGAAGAGAGCATTACGCTCGGCCATGAGAACGGTGCAGTCGGCCAAGAATTCCATGAGTTGTTGCTCAATTATCTCGGACTCATCCTTGCATTCTGCTCTGTAGAATGTCTTCCATTCGGGTTTGGCGAGGATCGAGGGACTTCCGGTGCGAAGCGATGCAAAAAGAATCATGTGTCGGATGCTCTTGTAGATTCGAAGCGAGTGCGGTGAATGGTACAGCCCAGGCCCGCGCAGCTCAAGGAGTCGTTCTAACCCTAGCATGTGTTGCAGATAATGTTTAGCGCCAGTAGGTGCGAGACACTCCATCAATGTCAAAGTGACAACGGAAACGATGACTTCGTCTCGTGTACAGGATCCGGGTTCAGATAGATCCTGATTAAGTTGCTCTAACGCCTTCCCGTACATTGTGTAGCCCCAGGCAGCGATGTCGCTGTGCTTATTCTGAGTGCCAAAGAAGATCAGGACAAAAGTCAGAGCAGTCTTCTGGAACAGACGCCCACTGGACGGGGATGTGGATAATGCGTCCAGATCGCCGAGGCTGACGTCCTGCATTGCCAGGTTGAAAAGACCGCGGGTGGACAAGTGTTTCTGGGTATAGCAGATGTACGTGCCCACGTCAGTCATCTTTGGGGTTAGAGACTGATAAACTTGAACATGGTCGTCGACCCTTTTCTGGGGTGGGCGGGCAGGCTTTGTCGTCGAGGATTGTTTCCGCCTAGAGGTCACAATCTTGCCGACGACAAAATTGAAGTCTCTAGGCCCATCACATGCTAAGTCCAGTTTCTGACACCGCATACAGATGGGACGATGCTGATCTTGACAAACAAGTCAGTCATATATCCTGAGTGGGGTTGGGAGGAGACGGACCGCATTTAACCCGCCTCCTGCGGCAAGTCGAGCATCCCTTGGATCTCACGGCGACGTTGGCCATGGTCTATACGGCTTCATTTGCGAGCCAAGATATCCGCCTAGAGGAAGACAGCCCGTTTGTCGAAGGGAGCATGATAAACCTGGCTCTGTGGTTGGGTGTGTGGGTGTGTGGGTGTGTGGGTGCTTACGAATGGGAAAAAAAAGGCACACAGGCACGAAGTTCAACGCACCGGAGAAGTTGGGCGCCTGAGTGAGTGCTTAGTCAGGCAGGCACCAACCGCAGCCTGGCTGTGCGCCAAGCTTTACGCCACAAACGGCGCCGCAGCGACAATGTAGCGTCTGTTCGCTCGGCTGCCTGCGACGAACCAACCAGGCGTATCGTGTATCTCCCTTCGCACGGTCAAGCTTTTCCTCATGCGGCCAAAAAAGCGAGGGCGAAGTTTCCTATCCACCTGGCCCTATCTCCACATATCAGGGTTGTGGCCACACTTGGATTTGCGACGGCCATGTTTCCTGAAAGAATGGAAGCTAGGTAAGTCGTGGGAAAGTGCCTCATTACTCTTTTGAAGGCGGGTGATGTCGTTGAAGTGGCTAATTTGACGAGGCACGAGGATGCCCATGGGCATATAAGGACAGCCCTTCCACATCCACGAGCGAGCCATGCCACCTTCATCAACTGTCAATTCAACAAGCACAGAAAGTTCCTTGTGACACTGTACAATTCGCCAAAGGCACCAAGCCTGATCCCACGACGCTCAAACATAAGAACATCACCCTCACCATACCACGCATACCTTTCTACTACCACTCCCTCCTTCTCCTCGTATAGCCATGGCTGCGATGGTTAGCCGCCTGTATTCGGCCATGTACCCCCCAACAGTACCCAAGGATGATCATCCGATCAGGTTCGGTATTCTAGGAGCCGCCAATATTGCGTAAGTCTTTTCTTTGTTTTGTTGAAGGAGGCTCGAGGCTGATGTGTTCTTTAGACCACTGGGGCTCATCGGGCCGTCGAAATCGCATCCAGAGGTTGTCATCCAGGCTGTTGCTGCTCGTGACCGTCAGAAGGCCGAAGCATTCGCCAAAGCCAACGGCATTCCCGAGGTCAAGGGCTCATACCAGGGTTGGTCCATGATTCAGCAGTCGATAGGAACCATGCTAATTCCAACTTCGAAAAGAGTTGCTTGACGACCCCAACATCGATGCCATCTATATCCCTCTTCCCAACTCATTCCACTTTGAGTGGGCTGTTCGCTCCATACGTGCAGGCAAACATGTTCTCCTCGAAAAACCGGCTGTTTCCAACTCCATTGAGGCCGAGGCTCTCTTCAGATTGCCCGAACTGTCCCAGCCCAACGCTCCGGTCCTGCTCGAAGCTCTCCATGCCCGTTTCTACCCCTCATGGCGGCTTTTCCAGTCCTTGGTCAGCCCTGCCGACATTGAGCATGTCCAGACCAAGACGATGATCCCGTGGTGGGGCACAACCAAGGGCGATATCCACTTTAACTACAACCTGTCGGGTGGAACCATGATGGCCATGGGCACATATAACTTTGCCATGATCCGTGGCTTGTTCGCTGCTGAGCCAGTCGAGTGTCTGGAGTGCGAAACCCACGTCTATGCCGAGGAAGCCCACAAGAACTGCGACATCGACTTCAAGGCCAAGTTCCGCTTCCCCAACGGTGGTATTGCCGAAGCAGAGAGCACTTTGCATGGTCCTACCATCTGGCGTCCTTCACATGCCACAGTCACTCAAAGAGAAGTCCCAGTCAAGGACACATCTCTCCCTGAGGACCAAACCAAGACGGTGAAGCGTGAACTGACCTTACAAGGGCTACTCTTTGGAATTGTGTGGCACCGTATTGATATCAAGGACACATACACTATTCGCCACAAAGACAAGGTACTCAAGACCTGGACCGAAACTGAGTCGCGCAAGGCCTACTCCTTCGAAGACGCTGGCGGTGAGTTTGCAGATTTTCCCGGCGAGGTGTACTGGATGTCATTTCGGCATATGCTCGAGCAATTCGTCAACAAGGTCAAAGGCCGTCCGACTCAAACGTGGATCAGCACCGAGGATTCCATCAGCCAAATGAAGATGCTCGATATGGCTTACGAGAAGAGCGGCCTCGGTACACGACCTACCAGTGCATATGTCAACGAGATTGCCAAGCCATAAAGCTGGTCGAGATGATACTCAGTCGCCTCCAGCACTGTACAGCACTTGAGATTGGACCGCAACTTATGTTGCGGATTTGTTGGAGGACCGCAGATTCTATCTACTTTGAGTATGAGATTCCCTGTGTCGGGTGGAATTATTTTCCAGAGGAACTTGTTTTTGATTGCATGAGTGGTTAGTAAGTCGGAGGAACAATAATTTGAGGGCCTAGATACCCAACGCGTTTGACGATAATGAAAATGAAGACTCCCAGCAAATGATAACTCCCATCAAATTACAAAACTTCCTTCTGTCTCCGCGTGATCTGAACGTCCTAAACGGAAGATACTTGGCGCACGTCATTTTCTACGGGGTACCTGCATTAGGAGAGGAATTCTCCAGTTGCTCTTTCCCTGACATTATTGGACGTTGCCGAGTTCGCAGGCGGGCATCAATTTCCCCTTTCCACCTTCAAAGACCCTCACATCCTCACATACTCACATCCTCACAAACTCACATCCTCACAAAAAACATCCAAAACACTCCGATATCCCGTTCTTGGGTCCTGGCCAAGCCTCATCCACGGTAAGCTTGACTGTCCCAGTTGCCTGGGCATGAGTTCTGTCTAAACTACATGCGTATAGGTAATCCACCCCTCTGACCCCTACAAATTTGTTCTTCATGACGATCATGCCCCGCAAATCGGGACTGATAGACGCTCTGACCACCTGACACCAGCTGCGCAAAGATCCTAGATGCGGCTTTCAGCGTTTCACCATTCTTCGCCTGCCCGCCCCCAATCCTACAGAGACCACTGGATGATCCCGCCTCTACTCTCTGAGTCCCTATACGGAGTAGTGAGAAAGTCTTTCGATATGGACTAATTAATGTCTTTGCCACCATCATGCTCACCCACTTTCGACCATGATCTACAGACAAGCCCATCCCTCCAGTGGAACTGTTCCCTCTACAGTGGATCCCTACTGAAGCTAAGATTCACCTCCTCGGAGGAATAGACACCAAACCTCAAGCCGCCAACCTCTAGGCACACTCCGCATATGACAGCCGTCTCAAAAAGGAGAACGAAGGATGCACTGCACCACGACGTCCCTTGGTAGCAATCGCATAGGATGGCGACGTCGATAAAGTCGAGCTGTTAAAACCCTCTCGCCATCATACATACTCCCTTTTGCAGGTCTCTGCAATGGGATGCTTCCTTCGTCAATGCACAAAAGTTGAAACCTAACCATATTAGGGTATAACACAGTCGAAATGACCTATGGCCAAGATACTGCTGAAACCCCTCCATCCACCTATCCTATGATGATCTGTATCACTCCATCTGAGAGATCTCCTTTCGACATCGCACAGACCAGATCGTCCATCCATTCAAGCTTTAGATCGACAGGGGAGTACCCCAAGTCCGGAGAATTCTGATCGAGACGCACGGATGATCTACCAATGGGTTCCGTTCCCATCAAGCTGTCATTTCGCTTGGTGGCCAAGCACTATCCAAGAATGATGCTCATTCACTGAGTATACTTCCAGGGTAGGCAATCCCCTTACCACTCGTGCCGCTATCAGCACCCAAGGCTCGCCGTATACTGCATTGCATGCTTGATTAGCTCCACCACCTTTCCGCGACAACTGACCAAAACAATCTAGTAAGGTTCAGAGTCGTCATTCGGCATCCACAGTGTCGCTATCAAATATGAGGTCTTCCGAAATCACCGCTCAAGACCAAAGCTTGGCTTCTGTCTCATCATTCACCTTGGATGATGCCAACATGATGTCTGTGAGGGCCGTCGATGTGTGATCAACATCAAGGTTGCCTCTTCGGCCTCGACGATCTCTGGCTGGTTGAAGCATCGCACGGTTGTGATGAAGATCGTATGATCAAATGCAGTATCACAACCAGCTGACACTCAACCTGTATGCCGATCCTCCAAATTCAGGATGAACGTCTCTGTCAGTTCGCCGACAAGTTTGCTCGAGGAGTCCAATGTACCCTGGACTTGTACAGAGACAACCTCCTTTGAACCAGACCGTGAACTTGAGTCGCAAGCCTACTTAAACCACACTCTCACCTCATCCAATTCCCTTTTTTTTTACAATTCTCAACTCACTAGTCAGTCATTCTTTTACCATTCTCACTACATTGCTAGATCTTGCTCAACCTTGACATTCTTCTAAAGCCAACTATCACTCTTGACACTTGCTTCCCAAGACAACCATCATCATGCGTACCTCAACCATTGTCGCCACCATTTTCCTCTCGGCTTCTGCCTTGGCCATTCCCCTCCAGAGTGAGTATCTTGAGTCCAATGTACATATCCAAACACCAGAAGTCCTCTAACCCGGTCACAGACTCTGGCGCCCAAGACAGCGCCCCTCAACTCGCCGCCAGGGATGCCGACCTGACCCACATCTCCCGACGACGGGGTCTTCTCGACACTATCTTGGGAACGCTGACCGGATCAAGCGGTGATGCCACCACTGCTCTTGGCGACCTTCTTCCCGCCGTCATCACCACCGTCACCAACCTTGATTCAGCGGTCAACGGTATCCTAGGGGGCTTGACCAGTGATGTGGACGGAACTCTGTCTTTCCTCTCGTCCGAGCTCAAGATCACCACCGACAAGGTCAATGCCATCATCGCTGATCTCGATGTCGACGGCACTCTCGACCGTGTTACCGACCAACTGACCGGCACCGTCGACTCGGTTCAGAAACTGCTCAAGGACGTCGAAGCCCTGGCCGCCACCGTCGATGTCGGCGACTTGCTCACCGAGGTCCAGTCACTCTTGGATCTCGTCACTGGCCTTCTGGGAGGCTTGAAGAAGAACTAGATTGGATCTTGTCATGACCCCTGCGGCTCTGCTTCTTCAGGCTAGGGCAAAAGATGAAGGGAAAGGATGACATGATATCCATCTCGGTCCTATTGGTTATCGGTTCATGACCTTGGAAACTACAATCGAGTATCTACCGCTCTGGTATCGTCAAAGACACTGTCGTTCCTGTATCTATAATAGTATGTAATGAGCATTGTTGAGCACCGTCATTGATCCCCGAGTACTGTAATCTGATTGTGACCTGTGACCTGTGACTCGTGCCTTTTTGTGTTTTGCTTGTGAAATTGGAGCCTCTCGAGACGGTGACACTGTGTTTTACACTTCCGTCAATAGATTTAGCTGATGATCGCATCATTGATCGATTAGATTGATGGATCCATTGATCGATCAATTAATCAATTAATCAATTAGCTTTGGCACTGTGCGTTTGTTTATCTGTCGGTATACACAACACAACATAACACAACTAAAGGTATTCTAACAATTCCTCTGGCCAAAGCAAGCAAGCAGCTCTTCAATAGCGACCTAGCTAACTAAGTCAGTACACTTCCTCCATTTTTGATGGATTGATCGGGCCGGGCTCATGGCTCATTTTCGCAAGAATCGACAGTCTGCTTTTCGGTCGCGGGGCAGGCACACGCGCGCTCTGAGTTCGCAAATCTCTCACATACTCGTACATAAAACCGTAAGAATAAGAATCTTCTTCCCCGATCCTTGACTCTGTGACAGCTCAAGAAAGGGGTGAATGGGTGGGTGGGTGGATGCATCATCGTGTCGCGTAATGTCGCGTCTCTCCCTGTAATGATCGTCCTGTTCCTTTGCTCATCTCATGACTCGACAGGCCAAAAAATCAACGAATCAATCACCCGTCCCGGACGCCAGGATACATGCTCATATGTGCAATGGGCATTTGTCGCCCCCGATGAATACTTCTTCATATGATCTTCCAATATGCATCCATCCACCCCGCCAATCCAATAATGATAGGTGCCAAATCCCACAGAACTGCAACAATCATCACTTCGTCTCCTTCTATGACACTGTGGTCGAAGGACCTGTCTCTTGTTGGTTCAGAATATGCCAACCGAATTCGTCCATCACGGTCAAGGCTCCCTTGCGGTACAATCCTGGAATGTCGGGGAAGATCTGTTCAGTAGAATTCTTGATAGATTCGCTGATTCCTCTCTCTTTGATCCATGCGATCATGGCCAGAAGCTGGTCAGTCCAATGTGTCATGCGATAATCATCGGTATTGGTGTCCACTTCGGCGCTGGCAAAGAACCATTCGTATCCATAGTCTTGGTGAAATTGGGCGGATTTCTTCTCCAGACAAGGTTGAAGTAATTCGAGTACCGAGGCGGCACTCTGGCGAAAGCCGGCGACGCTGCAGCTCTGAACGAATTCCAGGAGGACTATCGTGACAAGGGAATATGTGTGGATGTCGAGAGGATTGTAGACCGCTTGGGATGGGCCTTTGTTGAACTCAATCACAAGATGGTCAGCCATCGTGATCGCTGCATTGAGAATAACCGGGACCATTAACCCTGACAAGTCGCGTGCGAAAATGAGGTGGATGAAACGTTCGAAATAGCTGACAATGGGGCTCTCTTTCTTTAGTGAGCGGAAAGGAAACCTCGCCATGGGGAGATGCGTGTATAGCGACAAATGGCGGGCGTTTGAGGTCTGCTGTAACCCGACAGGGAATTCCAGAATAGCAAGGACACCTTGGAGCAAGTTAGCACCGCTGAAGAGATACGAAGCTTCATCAGACGCTAGACGCGTATGAATTCGTTCGACCAACGGCGGTTGGCCTGGCTGACTGAAATTGCTCGTGCCGTGACTGAGTGTGTCCAACTTGGAGGACAAGATGGTGAAGTTTAGGGGGCCTTGAAGAACTTGTTCTACATGTTCCTTATCGCTGGTGGACAAAGGTGCAGGCACTTCGGCAGTCTGTAGATGCTGAAAAATACGCAAGGATGCAGCGATGAGCTGCGACGTAGCAGGAGTAGATTTGTTTGGCTTCATGTCATTCTCTGCCAATAGAATCGTCAAGCAAAGGGTCCAGCCTAGCACCAGGTTGTCACTGCTGGAGCGTGAGCCGAGGCCTTGGGTTGATGTACCCAGGAGATATTCGCAGAGCCGATTCATATTCTCAAAGACTGAGCTCTTGAGAACTTTCCGGTCCTTGGTCACAGCTGGGTCAATTTGGCTGTTTTGCGCTTGGTCATGGACTCCGTTCGTGACGGATGTTGGTCTCATTGAAGGGAGCAGCTCGAGCACAGTGCCAAAGGCGTGGGCAACACGGGGGGTAACATCTGCGACGATGCGAAGGACGGTGTCTGGTTCGGGCAGAATGCCCACGAGAGGGTGGAATTGATCGTAGTAGGTGGTGAGGAGGGATTGGCCCATGGCGAAGGGTTGCTGGTCCTCGTCTGCCTGGTCGGTTTTCTGATGTTTAGCGGGACGAGAACGGTCGAGTTGAGAAGAAAAAAGTGCTGCGATCTTTGTCGTGTCTTGTTCTGGTGGTGATGTAGAGGGGATGGTTTGATCGGGCGCAATAGCAAGACTGCCACTATCACGCGATCTCAGAGCAGCAAGATCGTGCTGGTCAGAACCCCAACCTCCGGTGCTTGGAATTCGATCTCGTTGGAATTCCGCCGGCGCAAAAGGTGCTGGTGCAGAAGTGAAAGAAAACCGAGGTCGGCTGTTGGATGATTCGTTTGGGGAGAAGGCTAATTGATCAAAGCTTTGAGGGCCAGTACCCATATCGTAGGACTGACGAAGTGCGGCAGCTTGGATCTGTTCCACGCTCTGAACGCGATCGGCAAGATCTTTAATGTAGCTGGTGATTCAGTCAGCACAGTAAGCTGCAGGCAAACAGTCTGCAAGTCACAGCGCAGAAGCGCAAACAGACGCGGATGAGAAAGATCTTACCCTTTTGATGGGCCACGCTTCATGGGCTTCCTCTCAAAGCCACAGAGAAGGCCAGCCTTTTCACAATTTGCGCATGTTCGCGGAGTGCCGTCGCTATCAGTAGGAGCATCACAACGAATCTACCGAGATCAGTATCAGGTATGGCAAGATGAGATTATGTAGATGTAATCAAGCGCACCTTTTTTCTGCGACATTCATCGCAAGCCCGTGAAACCTTAGAACGCTTCCTCTTATCGCCAGTCTGAGGGGTCTGCGTGAGGTCTGCAGATTCATCAATGCTGGAATGTGGAACCGGCGCGCTGAAGGATTGTGAATTGGGTGTCTGTGGCGGAGGGGCCATCGCAGGGTCGGTTGGAATGACATGGCTTGCGCCATTTGTAGGAATCGCAGGATACTCAGGCTGAGTGGGACTAGGGGACTGCTTAGAGGAAGCGGCTTCATGAAGTTGTTGTGCATAGGAGGCGGGCAATGAATAATTGGAGCTCATGTTTAGCTCCGAATCTGTCGGTACAGGATACTGAGACTGAGGGAACTGTGAGGGCGAAGGGGCGTAATAACTCGAAGCCGGAGGGTCACCAGGCTGGTCGCGAGAGCCTGAATTGCGATCCATCTTTGAGCGAAATGGATAGGATGATGTTGTGGCCAAAGCCGTGGTTCCGGGGAGAGACAGGTGTTGTCGTCGATGAGGTCGGGCTTAGAGCGACTGCCACCCACGGTCTGAATGCGGAGGAGGGCCAAGGTTGGTTTGGTGTGGGAAGCAACGACTGAGGGAGACAACAAGATTAACTTAGTGGATGATTGAGTTAGACGGGTGAGCCGCAGTCAAATGGCCTCGATCATTGGCTACTAAATGACCAATGTTGAGGGCGACGTGGGTTGGCGATAAGTCTAGCCCAATTAGTTGGGTGACAGGGTGGTTAATTGACAGGGAAATCAGAGAGGGAGAAGCAGTTGAGGCAGACGCATTAGAGGCCTGTGAGGCCCAAGGACAGCAAGAGTTATCTCCTAATGTGATTCCTAGGCAGATTCGACAGATGAGCGTGACCAGTGAGAAGCTGAAGAGTCATCCTAGCAAAACCTGCCAAACCTCGGCAAACCTTCCGATCAAATTCCTATGGGTTCGAGATTCACGTGATTTCACATAAATGGTAGTGGCAATGAGAGTCAAAATATACCTACTTCTCCTTGCCTGTGTTCACAGTTTGTAAAGAGCATCAGGTCCAGAATGCTTACCGGGTAGGACACCAGAAAACAGATCAAACGTGCAGTGCTACCCACACCGTTCACGTGTCCTTCAAAGCGAAGGCTTTGTTGAGAGGAGGAGTTGGTCCAAGGGAGGTATCATTGTCACTGGCGCACAAGCTATGGACTTTGCTCATGTCCTACAAACCATCACATCACCCTCTGGCTCATAAAGATGCATATAAACAGTCAAGCACTCAATTGTCATTTATCATGTCTACAGACAAAGACCAAGGAGTCCAAGTCACGTGCGGTCCAGTTCAATGAAAATCACGGGAACTGAGAATAATGTAGATGGATACATAACATATACCCCCGTCTTGGGATGCCACTGTTCTATGCATCCATTCCCTAGGTGCATGGAACTGGGTGCTTTCACGGGGCTCGAGGTCCGTCCCCACGTGTTGGCATTGCTACCTCAGTGTTAGTAAGTGCGTATTATTACTATCCCTGGATTGGTTCTAGTGGTGAAGCTCGCTCCTTGACGTATTGCCAAATTATCGGCTACAATTGGATGCAGGCATCGGGTGGGGGAACGGATCCAGCCTGTGTCATGTGTGATGCAAGAAAAGCAATTCGCAATCGGAGATTCGGAGGGTGAGATTTTCCCGCATCACCGCTCATCGTCGCCCGAGTTTCTCCTTCTCTCACGCAACGCGTTTTTTATTTGGGACGCGACTGGATTGGCACTCCACTACTATCTTTAAGCGATGAGAGATGTCGTCAAGTAAATTTGACTGGAACGTTTGATGGGACAACTTTGCCAGAGGGACAATGTCCATCTTGCAAACAGCAATTGATTGAGAGTTGCAATCAGTCTGCAATCAAATACGTCAAAGGTTGATGATTGTCAAAGATAAGCGAGCAATGAAAGTACTATGGTTGTCGTGGGAGTGGTGGTGATACTTTGTGGCATCACTCAGCAAACGCTAAGCAACAGAACCGTTAGATGCGGTGGCACATCGGCACCTGTTGTACTGTACCCCAAGTCTTTCAGATTAATGATGGATGGATGACCTGCCTGTTATCGTAGTCGGTTGATAGCCTAGTCTTTTCCAGTACTAAGTACGAGTGTCTAGATGAGGGTGCGACCAGAACTTCCGAGAATATTGTGGACATCAGAGAATCCCCGAATGTACTCATCCTCGGTACAGTACTTTCTACGGCAGTAGTAGTGTGCTGTTAAAAGCATCATATTGTGTAAAAACAGACAACTCAAATGCTAAACTGCGAGTAACCGAGAGCATGGCAGGGCAGGGCATGGCGAGTCATGGCCAGTGGATGGCCTCTCCATTCTCCACTGGTGCGAGGCAAGATCTGGCACGCCAAAACCCACCCCAAGCAATAGTCAGTCTGGCGCATGCTCCATCAGAAATCCAAAACAGTCACAATCAATCAATTGGAGAATTGGTCAAAGCCAAAAGGAAACTGAGGACCACAAGGCACTCCCAGTTGTCATCTCGATATACGTACTCGTCCTTGTCGTGCTTGTCCTGAGATCGTGTCCCAACGGCCTAAACGTTCATATCCGAACCATTAATATGTACTACCAGACTAAGTTACTCGTATTTTTATCTCCTGCATCGACGCCTCAAAAATTGGTCTAGAATCTAGACAGGATCTAATTACGACCGTTTTAGTCAATAAGCACCTGGTAAGAGTTTAACGCCTACCGAAAGCCCGATAGGCGTCCCTCTCTCCAGACTACTTAGATTCCTGGTCGTCCGGGCTTTGCTTTTCGCGCTCGACACCACAACCTGTAACCGTAGAAGAGGGGAACCTGGGGGCAATGTCGCGGGGACACCGGTTTGTGGTGTGATATTTGCATCAAAGATCCTCGTTTCCATGAGTCCGAGTCACCGCGATTTTCATGTCACGATGATCAGTACCTAGTAGTGCCTCGGAGTACGCATACGCGAGTACAATTAAAAGGATGCGAATGTTGCAGTAGGACTTGGTGCTTTGTTACTAGTTGTCAAGCCAAGGCGTTTTGACCATATAAAATTGAACCTCACAAATGGATTGCTGCTATCAGACGAACCACCCCCTGGTCCCCCACCCTCCATCATGCCAATCTATAAACTACTATGTACTATATGTACAGTCCAAAGTCAACGGTGGGTTCACTGGGATGTATTGGCGTTCCTACGACTTCGATGATCGTCTAGGATCAATGACACAAAATGATGAAATCAGAGGCCACTGTGGCGTCCGAGGTGGATGCACTTTTTCCCGGTTTTTGATTCTGCAGCGAATAATGCCATGCATTGCCATGGCCACGCCATGAACTTGCCGCGGTCAAATGATAATCCCCGCCCGTGGGTTGCACTGGTACTGACACTTGTTACTGGCGTGATTGATGAGTCGTAGACTCTGGACTCGTGACTGGTTCTCCTCGGCTCGGACAATGCTCCTGCAACTCTGACTTTTAGAGTGTCAATAAACTGTAGGCGTTCGTATACGATAATGCGGGAAGACAGAAAGAAAGAATTAGGGTAGATAGATACGTCGGCACGAGACGAGGTTTGATCATGATTGACTTGCCGTCCAAAATCTTGCGATAATCCCACACACGTTGTTTTTTCTAATTCCGCACCATCTTCCTGTCCCCCTTCTTTGCGGCGTGGTTACGCAACAAATGGCGTGTTGAAGCGATTGGTCCTGGCATGACTCTACTTACATCCTCGACCAGGATGCCCAGCTTGATAATCCGCAAACTTCATTGTGGTGGTTGCATGTCACGTCTTCTTTATGTCCTGCAATGTTCCCGTCTTCTGGTTGGTTCGGCTTGTCATGTCGACAATCGACTTCTTTGATGTTTGATGCATCTCTACCACGCTGTCCAGCGCTCTAAGTTTCTTTTTGCTCTACGACATCCGAATACGCCTGGAGATGCCCCTGCCCTGGCCCAAACGGTGATGCTCCGTGCGGCATATTTCTTTGTCCCCCCTCCCCCCCTCCAGCCGCCGCGTCCGGTTGGCTCGGCGTGGGCGGAGCCTACGGTAATTTCACGGCTGACACAATAATGTCTCAGTCACACACGTAGGTTGGAGTTTGGGGTCGGGGGCTATCCCTTCCTCCCTCCAACGCGCCCGCGTCAATGTCCATGTCCATGTCCATGTTGGCGGCGCAAACCCTTACTGTACTTCTACGATTATGAGAGACTTCGGGGGCGAGGGGTCAAGTGCTAGAGGCCGCCCAAACCCTGCACCAGCGTCTACCCCGACCTAGTGTGCCTACTTCTTAGGGTGGTTTGACTCTTAGAAGTCTTATGTTATCGAAAATCAAGTTGGAATCGCTTCCACTTCCCGCCCAAAACTCCGCAGCGGGGGCATCCGCGGCGCATCGGCGCGTATCCTGGTTGGACAGTGACCACGGGACTGCTGATGATCTGTCCAACACAGTCGCTGCAGACGCCACAGATGCACTCGGTGCATGCAAATGCATTTCTGAGCAGCCAGGGTCTACCACATGATGCGCAGTAGATCTCCAAAACTTCCGATTTGCTGCCAAACGAGGACGACTGTGAATGTCGATAAGGGTGTGCGTGAGGTTGGAGCGGACTCGTGTTGTCGTTGGACGATGCGGACGTGGGTAAGCCTGAACCTGAAATGTGGAAATTCTGCCCAGATCCCGCGCTCTCAAGCGACTCGACCGAGGGAAAAGGTTCGGGGTCGCTTGGATCTAGGGGATGGGAGTGAGCATCCGGCGGCGGTGGTGTCAGGGCACGCTGCAGCGGAGAGGCATTATACTGCCCGGTGTGGTGCTGAAGGTGGGAGCCAAGTGGCCGGAAGCCTGGAGGTAGGGACGAGCGCTTGTGAGCCCCTCCCCCAGGCCCAGGGCCATCCGCCGCGGACAGTCTACGGCTGGTGGGATGCGTGCTGTGGTGGGTGGTGGTCGCGGCAGAATCAGACGCGCCGTGGCCAGCATCCAGCATCGAGGGCGGAAAGTTTGGCGATTGTGCCATCTGTGGTCCAACGCCAAGGGCGTGTTAGCAAGGTTGATTATTGAGGGTCTAACGCAAAATGACAAAAATTGAGGAGGTTGGTGTACACATTAATTAGACTGGAGGGTGCATAAACTTTTTCTGGTGACAGACCCTGGCCTGTGGCCGCCCCCAGACACTCGAAAGCTCGACGGGTTATGTGGTCTGACCTGAGCGAAAAAATAAAAAAATAGTGGCTTGTTCGCAAGCCCGCCGGTCAAGCAAAAAATCGTCTCCAGTCAATTCCCCAGGGCCGTCGCCGCGTTTGTGTGTCTCGGTCCCGGTCCTGGTCCTGAAAATGGCTCCTGACTCAGAGAAACCAATGATCTTGATTCGACCGGGGCCAGCACACGCGCACGCGGCGTCGTCCCCCAAAAACCGACTTTACCGAGGAGACTCTTTTTCCTCTGGCCCGGAAGGCTTGTTTCTTGGCCCTCTTTCTTTTCTTGTTCGCCGCCAGGGACACCGGGACATAACCGTAGTCGTCGTCTTCGGATTTGTTAACAGTAGTAGGAGTGACAGTAAAATAGTACAAGACAGCATGCCCTCTGGGGTGGCTTTCCTCTTTCGTGGGGGGGTATATCTACAGAATCTCGATCTCTTGGCAGCAGCAAGTAAACAGAGGACAATCGAAAAATGTCGTCTGACTTACGGGAGTGAGATCACGATCATCATCAGCGTCTGTTGCGCTGGTCGCAGCCTCGATCAGATCTTCCCATCTCTTTCCTTGCACCCACGCTGCCGTGGGTGGTTCGGCTGACATGGCTTTGCGCCCTTCGACGCTCAGCCGTCGGGTGAATTCTTTGGCCGAAAACTCCCTTGACTTTCCGCGTTCGTGCTTGCCCTTGCGCGCGTTTTGCCCCATAGAGCTTTTAGGCCCTCGCTGGAGTTTGTCGCGCCGTTGGATGGGCGGTAACGACGAATATCGGCTACCCGGGGATTGTAGAATTGACGGCAACAACTCTCGTGTCCGCGGGCCTGGGAAGGGAGCCAGCGTGTCCTCGTGGAACGCCGCACGAAGGGACGGCAACTCGAGACCACCTTCTCGTTTATAGTCTGACTCTGGGAACACATCCTGGGATGTGAATGAGTAGGGTCCCCAAAAGGCACAGCCAATCATTCGCCGGCGACACTTACAAAATCAGAGTCCCAAGGGTGCATGGGTGTTAGGGCAACATTGGTGTTGGCACTGCCAGGAAGTTGCAAAGGGAGTGTGGGTGCTGCGGTAAGGGCAGACGTGACCGTGGGGTAAGGAGCATGGTCACTGGCATCGGCTGCGAGATCTTAGTCCAAGGTCACTTGACTCAACCGTGGCACACATAACATACATTTCCTTGTAGGGGCTGTCGCAGTGGTAGGCTGCGGTGGTGGTCGTTGTGAGGGTGGAGTCGTGATCATTAATTGGAAACTTTCCTCGGTCGCCGGCAACTTTGGGATGTAGAAGTCGGGGTGTGCGCGTCGAATATGTTCTTGCATAGACCGGTACCGTTTCTCCTGTTGAGTTGAGGTCAGCCGCTGTGTCATGCATGGATACCAACGCGCAGTGTAGCGTGGTGGGAGTGGGATTGGATGGGAGGCGGCGGTCGTACCCCAATGCACCTTTTCCGACATTGTGAACCATCTTGGTTTGTGAGAGGACACACTACCTCATTTTCTGCGTCTGTTGACACGAGAAAAGAGCTGGTGAGAGCAGGCTTGGGCGGCATGGCCTACTGCGCTGAAAACGCAGGAGGGTATTAGGAGGGAGTGACAAAAGTTGACGGCATCGATCGGACAGTCCGCACAGGCTTGGCTTGGTTGAGTGCAGAGAAAGGAAAAACCCGGGAGGTGACGCGGGTCCCTTTCACATGATTCAACCGCCGCTGTGTAGTGTTGAGGCTCAACTTCGACGTGTGTTTGAAGCAATTCAACACAGATGAACGGCGGCAGCGATAGAGGGGGTGAGAGGAGATGTTGAGAGGGTGGTTGGAGAGGGAGTGTGGGTTGGTGATGGTGGTGAATGTGGTGGTGTGTATGAATGATGAGTGTGTCTTTGGCCCTGGACCCGAAAAGAGAGAAAGTGCTTCGCTCACCAAAGCCGAGAGTTGCCAGTCGCCAGTCCAGTGGGCATCGCCAGTAGTGGACATGTGTCGGGCATCGGGCGTGAGGGACATTCTGAGGGGCACGGGCAAGGAACGGCGACCATAACGGGTCCTATTGCCTCAAGCCTCAGGCACGATTAGGTGGACGACCCACCCGACGCAATTGAGATGCAAGCTCTGGCAGGGGGGTAGAGCTCCAGCACCCGGGGCTTGCATCTAGCTGCTCTAGCTTAAACTCATCGCTCCAGAGCTGCCCGCTTGTTGCCACAGATTGGCATCGTGATTACTGGGCAAGGAGCTATTTGCTCCCAAACTTCCCAAGCCGCCAACCTTGTTCGACCTTCCCCATCGGCTTGCTTGATCGACATTTGAGGCCAGCATTTTGTAGTGATGCCACGATGGCTCACAATCATGAGGCATAGCGTGGCAAGATGCGATCAACGATGTGATGCAGCTTGGAAGCTCTCATCTATTGTTACGCCTCCAGACTAAGTTAGCGGCACCGCACCACACCCGAAACGCCAACACCACACAGGCCAGTGCCAAAGCCAGCACCCAGCACCCAGCTCCAGCTATCGCTTTCTCCTCAATTCAAGCCGTTTGTCCATGCATCCCAGCTTCTGTCTACGATGCCCGATTCACTGGCATCTCACTGGCTACAGTCCTCAGAGCTCTCTCGATGCCCTCCAATCATTTTATCACGCCTATGCATCGCTTGCTCATCCTACCCCACCTCACATCATCGAACATGCTTGGTCGACAGGTCATCCCACCTGATTCCTCCTCCAAACCTCGAGCAGTGTTGCAGCTCGAATTACATGTGCTTCCATGACAGCTGTCCAGTAGCTGTTTTGACTTTGACTTATTTGCCTTCCCCAGCTCGCTTGAAGCTGCTGCATCACCAACCGAGCTTCACCAGAGCTCTTGGGACGACCCACACAAGCTGTCACTGACATGTCCCATCGAGAATCCTCTGTGTCATCAGCTATTGACAGCTAGCCATATCAGCAGGAGGAATCACAACAAACCGCCTGCGGAGCGGAGCTAGCGGCTATGCATAGTCCAATGCAAGAGCACCAGAAAACACACTCATCATTCAGGATGCACTGTGATGTAATAATCACTGCATCCACCAGGTCTCGTTGACCAGATACCCTCTTTTGCGGGCACCTCTCACCGATCTGTTGATCCAACGGGCAGGACAGCTCGACGTTCCACCACATCCACGTTACTTAAAAAGAGTAGTGGGAGTACAAGACTACACGTGGACTGGGCCCTAATGGTAGGGAAATCATCTCCACGTCCAGTATAAAGCAGTGATGCCGGAGATGTCTCAAGCCTCGGCAGCACACGATTGTTTCCACGACTTGTTCTAACCACCAATCATGTTCCCATGAGTCAGCAATGCAACTCTTTTATCGAACACGGTATGACAATTTTAAAACTCCAAATTGATGTGATAGCGCGGACCAAAAACTCGTATCGACAAAATTATTTGCTTTGGAGTGCCTTGGAGATGCCTAGCACGGAGGTCACTGGATGATCCTCACCGCAACAATTTATATTACTGAAGTCTTGGCCGGCACGGTCAACTTGACGCTTCCCATCAGCATTACCGCAACCAGAGTGGGCGACCGCACCAGGGACTCGGCATTAGAATCCTTTGATGTATTTATGTGCTTGAGTCACTGCTGTGACCTCAAATCTCATTCCCACCTCGACATGCCCTTCGTTCCTGGGACAAGAAAGCATTCCAAAACAGGGTTTCCATTTGATGCCTTCGTCGACCCTGCGATAACTGACTAAAAGATCCCATGGCTGCTTGGGGTTCTTTTCCGCCGTCTCCGGGTCGACGTTGGGAACCTGACAACGAGCGCATCTGGCAACCACGTCGATGTCAATGGCGTTGCGGTTACCACCCATCATAGAGGTAAGATAGGACGAATCTCCATTGATGCGGACAGTCTTCCATTCATCCTCGGACCACGGCGCGTCTCCTTTGATGACGATGTTTGGCCGGAATCGCTCAATGGTGATTGCCTTGTGGCCACCCTGTTCCAGACGAGAATTCAATTCTTCCAGTGAGCTTTCTGTGCCGATCAAGACTGGAAGGACGTCGGGGAAGTTGACGCTCTCGGTCCGACCTAAATGTTCGCTATCCCCGTTTCCCCGAATGATCCTTGGGGTAGGACCTTTCATGACCAGGCTCACATCCTCGCCGAAAAACTCTGAGAATATTGACTTGATTTTAGGATCTTTATACTCGTACGCATCGGTGATGTATTCCCATACGTCGACATTGACAAGGTCGGCATGTTCTTCAAGCCAACCGCGCGATGGAAAGAGAGGGACACGGATTTGCTTGTCTTGATCCTTACGAATTGTGACCACAAGCTCACCAGCGGATTCATCGACTGCCGTGTTGATCAAAGTCATTTGCTCTTTCGAGCGTATTGTCACAAATTTCTTCGACGAGTCCACGAACTGGAAATATGCGAGATCAGTGTCAGAGCCTCGATCGTGTCCGGTGAGTTGCCAGACAAGTCTGAGATGACTTACCATCCATCGTCGGTCAAGTTCCAAGCCTTGCCGTGTCAACTTTGCGGATTTAACAGATATTCCTCGACATGATTTGATGGGATAAATGCGAAGGTCTGTGATTTCAGACACGGTGTGCGTCATTTTTTACCGCGGCGATGCGATATGGAAGCGTATGGAATATTATATGGTCTGCTCAATGAACTCTTTGGGCAAACAGTGGTATCGAGGAAATTGTGATATCAACTCGATTATAGTATGGTGATGTCGATGAAGCTGCCAATCAATGTTTATTTTCATCAAATACGCTAAGAGTTCAGCGACCAAATGGATCTATGATGTCTTTTATTACAGTCGGCGATAGAGACCAGACGTATCAAGGGCGGTAAGCAGTGGTAGGGATCAATGCTTCAATGTTACAGCATGAAACCGTGCGTCGAGGATATGAATATCGAGGCAATACTTGGTGACATGTTGGAGGGGCGGGAGGGGGCGGATTTTAAGGACTGAGGACGTCACGGGAATTTGCCCTTTTTAGCGGGCATTATCACCACGTGATCTGCATCCTTGCGCCGCCTGATGGACGAATCCGCAAAATGGCAAGAGTTTTGATCGGTAAAGGAGATTCCTTCCACAAGTGGATGTCGCCGCCCAGTCATCTGTTCGCCTTGGTCGCTGTCTGACAAAGTTGAGAGAACCTAGGATCACGATTAGCGGGTGGCCCAATTGGATCCATTCCTACACTGTCTCCTTCCAATAAGTTATGATTGCTGACTTAAAATGCCTTTCATCAACCATCTCCCTGCTGGCTTGCATAGTAATCGAGTTTCGAGGACACAAGACACTTGGTTGGTATATCACGTGCATTCAAGGTAGTACCTACCTGCAGACGCACGCTGCTGATTACGCCATAACGAAACACAGCCAGTGAGCAATCAATGCTACGTTCCAAAGGTACCTAAGTACTTGTTGATCTTGATCATCCCTCGGAACATTTCTGCCTGAAATAAGGCCAATCACTGTGGGGTTCTTGATTTCGATTTTCAAGGCGAAAAGATCTGCCTCGTATTCAATGACACTTCTAACGTCGTTCGTGACTTCAAACCTCAAAGATTCAGGAATTGCCGTCGTGCAGCTCGCGGATCGTAGAATTCGGAATGGCGACCGAAACTCGGGTGCAAACACCTGCTTACACTAAACTAGAACTCCGCACAGCATATGGCCCAGTCTACCGCGAGGTATCGACGAATCCTCCGCGAGAAGCTCGAGCGGATGAAATCCCAGTAATCGACATCAGTGGCATTTATGGCGATCTGGAGGCTCGTAAAGAGCTTGCCTCACGGGTGAAACATGCGGCTGAGAGTACAGGATTTTTCTACATTAAGGGCCACGGCATTCCAGAGTCAGCCATCCAAGGAGCCAGAAAGGCGTCGAGAGACTTCTTCAAGCAGTCTGAGGAGAAGAAGCTGCTGGTGAGCAAGGATAAAGGGAAGTGGTATAATGGATATACTGGAAATCAGACGGCAATGGCCAGTCCGACCGAAGGATGTACGGAACTCTCTTGACGATGGCATGGACATGGGAACTGCTGACAATGGCCTCTACTAGTGGATTACCGGGAATCCTTTGCCTGGCGATATGAGCCTCAATACGACCCTGACCCCAAAGATCCTTCCGCCGTGCCAGCAGAGGTCAAGCCTTGGATCCGCGGTGAGAACTACGTCTGGGAGGGCACCGATCATATCCCAGGGTTCAAAGAAGGCTGCATCACGTACTGGCAAGAATGTCTGAAGCTCGCAAGGAGACTGGTGAGGATCTTCGCCTTGTGCCTGGATCTGCCTGAGGATTATTTTGATTCGGTCACGACATATCCGGGAAGCGATGGCGTCTTCAACTATTACCCCGCCATGTCTGAGGAGGAGGCTAAGGCTAGTCGAGATATTGGATTAGGCTCACATACTGATCTGCAGTGTTTCACGCTGTTATGGCAGGATATGATCGGAGGGCTACAGGTATTGAACAACGGTGGACAGTGGATCAAGGCCAGCCCCATTGAGGGCACTTTTGTCGTCAATATTGGGGATTACTTGATGCGTTTGACGAATGATCGGATGAAGTCGACTGTTCACCGTGTCTATAACCGATCCACTGTGGACAGGTATGTCCGTTCTTTCACCACGAGGCTCGCTCTTGCGGGCTGAATGACGTGGTCTTGGTTGACAATTTTGCACAGATACTCGATGCCTTTCTTTTTCGGCTTCAACTTCAACGAGACTTGTGGTGTTCTTCCGTCTTGCGTCGACAATGATCACCCGGCTAAATACGAACCTATATCTTGTGGCGATTGGACACAGTTGAGGTTCGAACAAACTGATGTGCAGCCCAAAGTGGCAGTGCAATGACACGAACGAGGATGCGAGTCCGCTGAGACCGGCTCCCTGGTCGTATAGCTTAATTGGATGTCTATTCGAGACATGCAGTTATATATGCATGGAATATCGCTCAACTGAGCTTTTCAAACGATCCATCTATTTCCCCGCCCATTCAGGAATCTTTGAATTTTGTTCGCCGACGTCCAAAGCAACTAAGAACCGGCTCACCAAATTATAACTTGCAACCGTAGCCGTAAGCTCGACGATTTCCTGCTCGGAAAACCCTGCAGCCTTGACCTCATCGAAGAGACTCTGTGGGACTTTGACTTCTCTTGTCATAGCATCAGCAAATCGTAGGACTGCCCACTGGCGATCATCAAGAGCCCCCTTTGACTTGGGATGTAGCTGCTGAACAACGCCCAACTTCTCCTGTGTGAAACCAGGGGCTTTGAGAAGAATGGGGCCGTGTGCGTTCACCTCAAACCAGGCTTCATTGATCAAAGCAGGTCGGTAAATGGCAATCTCGCGAATATCTTCTGGGAGAGAGTTCTTTGTGCGGACTGCGCCCAAGAGGGCATTGAACCCTATCCAGTAAAGGTAGTTAGAGTCTCGAGATCTCAGGATATAGCATGCGGATATTATACCTACCATCTGCAATCTTGGGAGCGTGGAGTAAAGTCAAATCCAAAGAAATCAGACCCATGGCGCCTCGACGAGCTTTGACTCGTTCCAAGACCTGTTGGTCCTCTTCTGATAGATTGGCGGGAGGGTTGGAGGTGTAGTTGAGACGCATGATGGAGGTAGTCCAACGGGAATTCTTCGCGTAGGAACGGGAGGGTGTTGTTACAGAGGTTGCGCGGTAGGTTTTTGATCACCTTGGGCTAGAATGCATCAATAGTAAACTCACAGAGATTGTAATGAGGAAGATCATTTGTTTTAATCTTCGAGATGCGCTGCATTGAATTTACCGATGTCGGGTAACTTGTGGGGTAATCTTTGGATTTCAGGTGCGGGGGAGATGCGGAATAAACATGTTTTCCAATTTGTGAGATGGCGGAACGAGTGGAGATTTGTAGATGCCGTGGGCCGACTGTTGAGGTATGGCGCAAGAGTCCAGTGAGGGGTCTGTAAGCATCGTGGGAATCTATTTCCCAAAGGTTTGTGGTGGAAATTGAAGTTCCGTTCCTGTGCCAGTCGATGATAGAGGCCCATGCTGGCAGAGGGATAGCTGGGAGGAGTGGAAAGGTGGTATAGCTTTCCAACCTCGATCAAAATGGTATGACATTGACATCTACCACACACACATATTGTACATATTTGACCCTGTCGAGACTAGGAACCCAGACTGCACGAATACATATGTACCTACCTACCTAGGCTTGCTCGGTGTGGCAGTGTTTCAGGACTGGAATCTCAGTGCATGATCAATTGCTGAAACCAGGTATCGGAGTTGGTGGAGGCCATAGGGGCCATTTTGAGGGTGGTCTACAAGGCATTCCAGTGGCCGAGGGGCCTATAGCCTTGAAGTTGTGGCTCCCATGTCACCCGAAACCCATGGCCCACCCCCGGACATGCCCGGAAGAGGCGCTTAGGCTTATCCTACTTAAGCCTGGCGTATGCTTATCTTATCATTCATCATTTTCGCTGGATCTGGCGTGCAGTTCACTTCTGCATGTAACTCGCGAAGTACCAGTCTTGTCCTCGGCGTTGCCCTCTGCTCTTCGTCGTTGACTCGCTGACTCGTTGATCAACCTGGGTTGATACCTGCCAACAAAATTCCCAAGTCAACAGCTTGGTACAGGCACAGCAGCCAAGTCTACAAGCAAGCCCAAGTAGCTCCAGGATCAAGGCTTCAACACCCCAGCAAGTCGCAAATCCAGGCCATGGAGCTTGGAGGTTATCTTATTGGATAGCTCAACAGCTTGCCATGACCAACAACATGAACCGTTGAATCACAAACTTCCGCCAGCGCCGACGAATTCAACCTAGTCAAGTGCTACTGCTTAGTCCTTGTGACTGATCTTCCCTTCGTGCCCATCAGAGACGCATCACGAGACACCTTGATTTCTGATTTTCTCTCCGTTCAACCGTTTTCCATCCCATCCACATCGTGCCATATCACTTCTTGGATCAGGCACGGTCACGCAGCCTCCCTTCTACTTCCGTTTGCGTCACTTCACTATCTTCTCACTCTGACCAGAACTTCCCAATCATCCGGCTGTTTCCTATCATCATTCACGCCCCTCCACTCCGTGAGTGAGTCACTCAAATCCCCCTGCCAAACCACTTCGGTTCTACTTAAGGCCGTTCCTTCCCCAGACCGCATTTCAATCACGCACATGCCTGGAATTCGTATGTCCTTTCTTCCTTCCATCTTCTTCCACCCGTTTCTTCCCTATCAACGAGAAGAAACCTCTCAATCCTCTACTTAGGTAGTCACACAGCCACATCCACATCTCCTGTGCGACTCATCCTTCTCTCCAAGAACCTACTCTAACAAACCCTTACACATCAAGCCCCAGACGCAATGGACAAACTCAAGGCTTTCTTGAAAAAGAAGAAGGAGAAGTTCCTCTCACCTACAAAGACTGAGACGAATGGCACTACACCAAAGCCCACACCAACCGAGACTGCTCCAACGACTGAACCAGCCGCTGCACCAGCAGGTGAGTCTTTTGATATTGATGGCGAAAAACGGTCAACTAACCATGTCATAGTCGCCCCTCCAGAGGACAAGGTCGCTGACCCAGCCCCTGTGCCGGCACCAGCCACTGAACCCACAAAGTAGTTCATGGCCTCTTCCCTACCACCGTCACCGGTATCCTCATCATCATCAACGACATGGAGCTCACCAATCTCGGCGACGAATCTTCCACTCCAACTCTGGTTGCGCGACCATCGTCCAGCGTCTAATCACACTTATACCCCTTTGGCGCCTGGCAGCGGATTGTTTCAGCACGATACCCATCCTGTTTTTAGCAGCACATCATGCGATAATCAATGATTGGCCTACCCACAATCACAGTCACCTTCCTTCTACAGCCATATGATACCCACTGCGCACTTTCAGTACCAGACATTAACGTGGCATCACGTATGCCACTCTCTCAAGCGATACCCAACGTCGACGCCAGACGCCCCAGATAGTCAGCGCTCTTCTTTCGATAGCATCACAAATGCAATTGATCACAACCCTCAAGAACCATTTTTTGTCTCTTCTTTGATATTGTATTGCGTGTGATGTCAAAGTCGACACCAGGTCGTTCATACCAAAATTACACGTAGAATCTTCTCTTGACATCCATGACTACATTCCTCGCGTCAAACCCCTTCCCAAACACCATGCATTTCCGAATTTCCATGTAGTACAGTTCCTGTTTCCCTGTTTCATCTCGTGCTGAGAGGCACAGCGCCATGGCCTAGACTATGTCCAACGATACATTCTCGACCTGTGTGATGCACGAGATTTGCTTTCGTCCATCTGAAACATTCATCCTCTCTCCAAAACTGCTTCTGTTTTGGGTTATTTCGAGAGCCGGCCGGGTGCATTGTTGCTGTTCTCGCCTGCAGATGAAACCAAACCTCAATCCCAAACTACTGATGACATTTTCAAGGCCAATTGACATCGAGTTTGACCAGTACGCCCGACTCTTTGATTCTGCTACTTCCTGTGCCATTCAGCCCGCGAAAAGAACTGTGGCTCCTCAATGATTGTGCGTCCTTCGAAGTCGGTCGAGAGACAGGATAGATTCGGATCGATCTTTTAGACTTGTCGCCGGGGATCAGAGATAAAAGAATGTCATGATGACTTGTGCCGTTGAGTGACACACCATTTTCAGCGTGACCGTTGATTTGGGAAGTCGACATGGACAGATGATGATGGCCATGGGGAAAGATCTCGATGATTTTACTGCGCACCAAGATGATATGTCAGTCTCTCTCACATACGCGCTTTCTTGATGGAAGGGATTTCATTTTTCGGTCCACACGTACTCGGTCGCTGAATTTGTGATCTTATCTAGTCCTTCTTGTTCCCGCTGCACTTCCTCCGGGCTCAGGATGTTTTGCGACAAGACATTCCCTGCGCTCCATGTCCCATATCCGTGGCCGTTACTTCCGAAATCGTCGTAGAGGAGGCGTACACGGTCGTGCTATGGAAGACGGACATTAGCGCACTGCGAGAACCAACAGGGTTCAAATTGGTGTATGTTGTCTGTCGCCTTACCTCGTCTTCATCGTTCCTTCCCAAGCCCAAACAAGAGAGACAAGTGCCCATGGTGGTTGCGGAGCGCTGCTTGATAGCACCAGGCCCCGGACATGAGATCCTGTGGCTCTGAAAGATCCGTCTCTTATCTGCTCATCCACAGTGACATGGTAGTAGGTGAACTGCGGAAACACAACCCACCATGGACGTAAGGGCACTGATGATGATGGCGCGAGCTCATTTAGACACGGCAGATCAAACACCCGCCAAGCCTTGGAATGACAGAATGACAGAATGGCCGCGTTCTTGTTTTTCCGGCCCGAGGCACAACTCTCTCCATGTCTATCCATTTTTAGACTCGCGATATTCGAGATCGGAGTCTTCGCCCATGAACTCAGGGAGGCCAGCCCAGCTGACTCCTGCCCAGTTGCCTGGCTCCTGCCTAGTTGTCATTGTCGATGTGTGTCGTGGAAGGAACGGCCCAACTTCTTTCGTTCCGTGTTTTGCCGCTCAACTGCTAATTAATCGTTCCAGTCAAGGCAACCTTGACTTTCACTACCTAGGTAGGTTTCAACACCTGTTGTGGAAGACTACCGCCAAAATGGGTGACCCTTCGTCCGCCGAGATGGTTAAAGAGCTGCATAGAGACCTAGTGGGTAAATACAAGAAACACGCAGCCGTGGTCGAGCAATACTGGCGAAGCTTCGATCAGAACCAACGAACACAATGCATCAAAGCTGGCGCAGCTGGAGGCGTTGTTATTAAGGATCCTCTGGATCGATCTATGGGAAATGTGTACAAAATTCTTCCCGAAATCAACCTGCGCGATATCACGAATCCTGAGTCCAATTTTCTCTTGGACCTCCTCAAACATCGTGCCACGAGTACCCTGCTTGATCAATACATGACTGGCCTCAATGACGGCCCTGGTGATCATGCCTTCATAAAACAAATGATGGATACCAGGAATCTCCACCTGGTCAATCCTGACAAGAACGGACTCACCCTTTTCCTGGAAGAAGACCGGTACGGTGAGACATTCACAATTACTGGCGACGTATCCCAAGTCAGGGCTGGGCTTGCTCCTGCTATTAACGCAAATCTATGTGTTTCTCAAGAGCTGGGCGAACTGATTTTGCAAAGACAACTCTATATGCACCAAACTCTTAATATTGTCATCGAGGACATCCTGGACATCGGTTCGAAAACGCGGGATCGGAAAAGGCCCTCGAAGAAATCAGATAAAGTCGCAGCGGCCACCCTTTCAAAACTCCGTATTCAAGAACCAGCAAAGAGTCTTTCGTTACCTGATCTTGTTGATAGTGCTGCAGACCAGAAGGCGACCCTTGAAGAGTATTTGAGTTTACTCTCCACAGAGCCTGTCGTACTTACTCACGCTATCAACTTATGCTTCTTCAGTCGTCCTGAGTTGCTTCCCGATGAGAAAGGTAGGGTTTTGCCAGTACATACTGATAAGTATATCAGTGGTATGGTGTTGGAAGCAGTCTACAACGCTATCAAAGCAGCTGCTATCTGGAACTATATTCACAGGCTCCTTGTCCTCTTAGCGTCCCAGCCCGCAGCCGATAAAATTTGCAGAGGCATAGTTCTACAAGAAATCTCCAATGTCTGTCACCTGGAATATAGCCGCACCCGAGCTCTCTTCAAACGCAACGTTCAAACAGCCTCTGGTGTCAAGTGGTCCAAGCGGATATCTAACGTATACGACAAAGCGGGCAACGCGAAGGTGACCATGAACGTTGACCCTGAAATCTTGACACGGACTGATCCGCAGCTCCACTATATGCTTCGTCTTTGTCAGTCCGAGACCAATGTTTTAAGGGCTGCTGACTGGCTAAAGAAGTTAAGCAACCTCCATGAGGCTCACCCATCGGAACGGGTAAAGCTGGAAGAGAGGGAAGCGGACTCGCTCGGCGACTTAGCCATCATAACATCTTTTATACAAGACCTATCACGAGCGATATCCATACCCTCACTGGCTCACAAGAAAAATCAGATCTTTATAACCCGCTCGCAAGAGCTCGACGCGGAAATGAATACACTTAAGTCAAAGATTGACCTACGAGACTTCGTGGTCCCCATCGATAACCTTCTCGAGCCCGAGGTTGCATCAAAGTCACTTATTTTCCTGGATCAATTCGTCGTCCAAAATGCTGGCACAAAGATGGGATTTCTTTATCAGGATCTGATTGAGGATTGCTTTGTCGAGATCGAGAGGCAATTCCAAATAGTAAAGATACAAACGAAGCAGCAAGAATCGGTCAAGGTAGCACGCATTTCGTCGCCAGTGCCAGATTCACAAGAGAAGCGTGTCGAGCAGCGCAAGCAGAAAGAGAAGACCAGACCTTCTCATTCATCTGTCTTCGAAATTGTCGCACCCCCGGACGAGGAAGAATCCCTTGAGCAAGAGCAACCCACAATCATCAAAGTTCGAGCATCTACAGCTGATGTCTTTTCCAAATTGTTTGCCAAGGCAGAGTCTCGTGGTAGCGTGAGCTGGATGGCATTCGCATCGGCCATGACCGACTTGGGGTTCTCCGTGCAGCCTAAGGCCGGCTCAGTATACACATTCTTTCCTCCGGAGAGCATGCACGCCAGTAAGTCCTTGACACTCCACCGGCCGCACAAATCAGAGATTGAGGGTCATCGCGCCATTGCGTACGCGAAACGCTTACGAAGAGTGTACGGATGGAATCAAAAGACGTTTGAAGTACAGGAGTGAAAAAGGGGGGGGGGAGGGGGGGGGTGCGGCGCTCTCGAAACGATCAGCCTTCAGAAGATTTGTGTTGTTGTATTGCCAACGGAATTCCATGCCGACATCAGCTATAGCAGCAGCAATAAAGTCTATCTAACGATGTAGAGCGAGGGACACCGGCAATGTAAGAGGCGCCAACCATGGCTGAAGTTCCACAATAGTTGGGAGACACTAAGGGTTCACGGAGAACCAGCTGAGCATATCCACCGCAAGATGAACACTTAGTACCTGCTTAAATCATCGAACACGACTTCAAAGTTGATAGTTAGGCCTACTTCGAGGAGTGAGGTAGATCACAGACTATTTTTCGAATGAGGACTATTTCTAGCCCCTAGTGATGGTTGTATAGGTTCCTATACGGAGTGCAAGATGATCAATAAGGAGTGAGGGGGCCGAGGACTTGTCACATGACCGGGATGAACCATCTTGGCAAAGAGGGAAGAAGCCCTCTAAAAGCGGCGGCGTGGACCGCCAAATTCGGCGGGAAATTTCCTTGCAACCTTCGTGTCCTGTAAAGTAGATACTTTTGAACAACATCTCACGCAGCAGTCGACGATAATACCACATCTATCGGTAAATTCAGCTGGCTTGAAGCTTGGTAATCTCCCTCATGAGCCACGTGTGGCAAGACATCTCATTTCAGCGGCATGAACACCAAATTCCTCAGCTAGGTGAAACCCGTTCTCCAGGTGGCTATAACCATCCGACGTGACTCCTTGACATCCCCTTCTTGGATGAGAGGCTTCTTTGAGTCATGCCTCGAGCAACTCTCAGTGTTTCATCCTTTTGACATGATTGGCAAGGTCTGCGTCTTATCCTTTTGTTGTGCAATCAAATACAGGACCAGAAACTCTCAGGGACGGCTACTGTTTTACGCCACGGCGAGAAACACCATCCATTCTCCCAACCAACTTCCAATCAACGTTGATAGCGCATTGGAGATCGGTATTGTTGATTTGAACAATGGAATTCACAATTGCCCACATTCAAACATGATTCTGGGCTATTGTTTCGAATTGTCGAAGCCCTTGCGTCGGACTTCCGCCAACAAGCGGGTCTTGCTCACAAGGCTGGAGCCCCCTGGTTCACATGCAAAGGATGCCCGAGACAATATCTCCTTCCATGTGCCGAAAAGCCTTGATTTGAGTCGAGAAAATAAACGGACATTCTTTTGAACACCTCTGATATCATATTTATATTTTGCTCGCGCTACCAACCTTCGTTCACATCTTCAAGCCAGTCCATTCTTTTCTTGCTTCAGTCGCTCGTTCTGACCCGTCACTCGTTTGTCCACTTCACATTCGCTTCTGCAATCATGCATTCAACATTCGTTTCACCACCTCTTATCCTTTCTTTGGGCTTGCTAACCGTGGCATCTGCCCAACAGCCAGGATTTGGCGGTGGTTATGGCGGAGTTTGGGGGGACTGGTTCCATAATGGAGGACCGCGGATTCCTGCTACCAAGCCCTGGACCACGCTTGCTTCGACCACCAGTGTCAGCACAGGGTTGGCTTCTTCTTCAACTTCGTCGTCCACTGAGGCCGAGGAGTCTCCCACCACTACATCCTTGGCTGAGACGACGACCAGCATCTCCACCATTTCTTCAACAACTCCTGTGATCGTTCTGCCAAGTCTGACCACTTCTATACCTGGTATTGGTACCACCTCCACTTCCAAATCGACTTCCCAGTCAAGATGGATCGAACTCTCACCCGAGTTTCTGACCGGCTCAGCAAGCCATCCCCACTGGGTTGACTGGGTTCCAACCACCTCTGCCGGGAGCACCACCAAGTCTACAACTGTTTTTTCTGACGTTCCTACAACATCCCCAAGCGAGTCACCAACGCCAGTGACAACCTCTAGCTCAAGCGTGTCCGACTCTACAACTGAGCTAACAAGCACTTCCTCTCCCGAGGTTTCCGCAACCTTCTCCACCGAGGTCTCATCAGTGTCTAGCTCTACCTCTACACACCACTTTTGGGGAGACTGGACTACCACAACATCAGCCGAAGGCGTTCCTGAGTCTACCACTGTCTCAACAACCATTGTCTCCATCACACTCCCTGTCGAGTCAACTCCCACCACTGTATCCACCCCAAGCTCGAGCTCAACACATCATTTCTGGGGCGACTGGACCACCACGACTTCTGTGGAGGTCTCACCAGAATTCACAACCGAGTCCATATCCACCTCGAGTTCGGTGTCCGATCTTGTGTCTCCGACCCCGGTTTTATCGACGACGACCTCGCTTGATATCCCCATCGAACCGAGGACCGAGTCGTCAGCGTCCTTCACCGGCGGTCTTACGTCCTCACACCATCATTGGGACGACTGGGTCACGACCAGTTCTATCTCAGCTTCCACAACTACAACTTCGGTGGAGGTTTCACCCGAGTTTACATCTAGTGTATCTTCCGATTCCTCTTCTTCGCAGGAAAGTACCACCAGTAGCCACCATTTCTGGGGAGATTGGACCCTGAGCACAACCTCGTCAAGCCCGACACCAGTGACAACCGAGGATGAAACTTCCACCACCACATTAGCAACATTGTTTACGACAACCTCAGAGTCCTCCACCGCCCCACCTCGATGGGATTCAAGTTCTCGCTCCAGGAGCTGGAGTAAGAGCTTTAGCCATTCTTTTTCCAAGACGACAAAGACTGTCCCAGAAAGTACAACTACCACTGGTGTTTCATCTACCACCTCATCCACAAGCATTCAAGTTGAACCAACCCAGCCAACCTCGACAAGCGGCACTACCACTGTCAGTTCAACTGCATCCACTACTTCTCACGTAACTGCTTCTTACACGACCGACAGCACCACAACGACCTCTGCTGCCACCACCTCAACCAGCGCTAGTACCACTAGCAGTTCTTGTGCTCCCACCACCGTCACCCTTAGTGCAACCTGCCCCGCCGCGGAGACGGAAACGGAGACGGCAACCGTCACAATCAGTGGCAGCGCCAGCTGCCCGACCTTCCCTAGCGGACATGGCGGACATGGCGGGCCGGGTGGGCCGATCATTGCCACTTCCACCGTTATTGTCACCGAGACCGGATCGACAGTCACAATTGATGGACCTACCGTCACGATCCCTGCAACGACCATCACCCTCCCTCCGCAGATCGTCACTAGTATATCTACCGTTTGGCACACTCAAAGCAAGACTAAGATCGGCACGGAATACTCCTTCGTCACCAGGACCGCCACCGTCGCACCGTGGGGTCGAGGCCGCTATCACTGGGGTTGGTAGGTAGATGAACAGTTGAAGTGGAGGTTGGGAGTTAGACAAGGCTACCTAGGGAGGAGCACTTTCGGGATTTTGGTTAGATGAATGGCTTGCGGCGAAGGGGAGGCTGTGGGGAACAGTATAAAAAAGCACGACTATCCCGCAGGGCTGTGTTTGTGGGACTCTGGATTTCTTTTTCACTTCTGTTCTAAATAATGCCCCCCTTATCTTTGAGTCCTTCTTGTGTTTTGATGACGGCCAGACGATGATGGGTTGACCAGGTCTATTTCCAGTACTAGAAGCTTTTCTTACAACTTTGTCTCTTGCGCGCTCCTCCTACTATGCCACACCTGCACGTCTTTATCTTTCGTGTAGTCCGCGGGGAAGTAATGAGGTCCCAGTGTCTTTTTAACCACTTTGCCTGTGCCACTCTTAGGTAACTCGCTGTCGATGACACGAAGAAGAGTGGGCATTTTGTACCCCGCCAGACGGCTACGCACATCTGCGCGTAAGTCATCAAGGTCGAGATGCCGTGGATTCCGTTTGTGTTTCTTGTAGAACTCCTGTGCTACAGGATCATCACGGAGAGACAGTACTGCGCCTACGCGCTGTCCGTATTCATCGTCGGGGACTCCCACTACCATGACTTCGGCGATGTATGGCAACGCGAGGATCTCTCTTTCAATATCCAAGGCGGAGATCTTGTACCCGCCGGATTTGATGATGTCGACCGAGGCACGACCTACTATGAAGTAGTATTTCCCTTCTCGGCGAGCAACATCTCCAGACCGGAAGTACCCATCGGCATCGTGTGCATTAGCTGTCGCTTCGGGGTCGTGTAGATACTTTGAAAACATGTTGAATGATCGAGCAAGAACTTCTCCTTCATCTCCTTCGGAGAGCTTGACGTCGACACCGAGAGTTAGTTCTCCAACAGACCCATCTGGTATCTCCTCGGTTGGATTAGGCGACATGTTGAATGCAACTCCCAACTCAGTCGATCCGTACCGTTGGACGATCCGTCGACCCATCAACTTGGCCCAGAAGTCGTTGATTGGTTTTGGTAATGCTGACGTCCCACAAAGACATACCTTGAACGCCGCAGCCGCTGCTTCATACTCTTGAGCTTGTGGTTTAGGTAGTTTGGTGATATGCTCTAAGTAATATCTCATCATTCTCATGTAAATGGTCGGAACACCGGTAAAATGGGTAAGTCCACCACGTCTCCAACGATCCCAAGTCCATTTTGGATCGAAACTTCCAGACTTGAATTCAATGCAGGCTCCGGTTTGGATGTAAGGGAAGAATGAAACCCATATTCCTGTCGCGTGATGGACAGGCAGAAGATGAAGTAAGACGTCCGTCTCTCGTAGTCCAATCTGCTGTGCGAAGCATAAGGAGCTGTCAGTCACTGCGGCTCTTCTCAAAACTGCTCCTTTGGGTGGACCTGTGGTTCCAGATGTGAAGATAACAATGCCGGGAGCATTGGGGTCTTGATAGCGATTCGAGGTGATCTTGATGTCGGCCAGAGGTATCTGAGGTTCCGATTCGAACGCTTTGATTGGTATACATACGAAGTCTGGGTTGGTCGTATCTCGAATCTCTCGCTCCAGAGCAGAACCCAAGTCCAAGGCTTGACTTGCAGTCACAACTGCGATTGATCTTGCTTTATTGACATAGTACGTGGCTTCCTTGACAGGTTGAGCACTGCTGAATGGACTTGCTGCTGCACCAAGAGCCAAAATGGCTAAAACTCCAACCGTGAATTCGTAACCTCCCGGTGCAAGTAGACTGATGTAGACCTCTCTTCCATTCTGGAGATCGTCGAGAGTCTGGGAAGTGAAAGTCCGGCGAAAGACAGATCGAAGTCTCAAAATATCGACCAGTAACTCTGCAGCAGTCTTCTCAATTCCAGCATTGACATCCCGTATTGCTGGTCTTTGGTTGGGTTGATGAGCGAGTGTTAGTAGACGTGTGAACAATGGATCAGCTGGGAGGATATGGTCTCCCACATGGCTGGGCACGAAATCCGTGCGGTCAAAAGGTGCTTGAGGCTTCATCTCTGTAGGTCAAAGACAGTCTTGTGATACCATCTCACAGTCATTCTAGAAGGAGGATCATGCCACTCTCTGAAGAGCCTCGGGGCGACAATTTACCTCTCCAACTACCTAGGCAAGTTGACAATATGGTCGGCGTTTACTGTATTCTGCTTAGGCCAGTGATGTCAACGTGTCGCAATGAAACGATGTTGTTTCCATCCAATCACGGCGGTTGGACAAAGTTTAAAAAAGCCTCGGCATTTAGAGGCGGAGATTGTGGTGTCCTGCCGCTTTAATTAGAGATACCAACCATCTATTTGAGCCTTGTCCTAACCGATGGTCATTACGAACTCGCACTATACTTTTCAAAGTGTTTCGCTTTGAGAGGATAGATATTTTAGCCAATAATCCACGAGCATGTGGTTTTAGGATCCAATCGTCGAGATCGAGACAACTTTCATAGAAGCCAATCTCTCACATCCTGTGCCCTTCGTACAAGATGGTCATTTGGTACTAGTGCCTTAGCGCCTGCGCTTCATTGATGACTTGTCTGGAATCGACACCGATTCATTCGTGCTGTGTGAAATTGGGATAGTGCCGTTCATGCTGTCCGGATTTAGCATCTAGCTGTGTATGTTTGTCTAGAGGTGGTTCTCCGTGGTTCACAATACCTATTATTGAGGTATGTCGTTGCTTTGTCAAGAGGCTTTGCCTGTCGACTTTCCATCCATCTTTCCAGCTTCTCGAACTTGAAGACCCATTGATTAGGAGTAGAAAAGTGCAAGACTCCTTGAATACTCATAAGTTGTTGAAGCGCTTGCTGGTCGTGTTCAAGCCTCCGGAGAACTGAATCGCTGAAGTCATTTGACTTGCGAACGATTGCAGCCGCTTCGAAGTTTGGAGGATACGCACCCGCACATCCACAGTCGATAAGGTATAGCTGCCCATGAGGATCTAGAATGAGATTTCGAGGTGCAATATCTTGATGAGTCATGACAAAACTTGAGAACTTGAAAGGAGGAGTATCAGTCGGTGCAGTCCTGGTCCTTTTTGCTATCTCAAGGTTGCAGTTACAATATTGTTCAAAATCTGAAGCACCTGTGAATAGTCCAGATCCCTAAACCGAGAACCGTTTTCCGAGGCTAGGTCCGCCGCCAATTAGGCCAGGCAGAGGCATCTGAATGGACTGCAATTCTTGTATTATATCCACAACTTGACCAATAACGTTTTCACGTTCGTTGGTCGAGAGTGTCTCCCAGCAATACGAAAGACAAGTACCCTCGATATAATCCATAACAATATATCCGGTCTGGTCGTAGATATCACCATCCTGTATACAGTGCATGAACGGTGAACCCGAGGAAGACGGATTGATGTTCTTTGAGAAACCAAGTTCATAGATTCAGCCTCAGACGGAAGGGTCAACATCGACTTTTTGATCACAAGCTTTCGTGAGATCCGAGCCACTCGTGCCCCACTAAGAGAATGAAGTGATGGAGCGGTGTCAGCAATAGCAGCCAAGTCTGATTCGGACATTTTCGCTATATCACACTCCTCTAATGGGAAAGTTGTGTTTGGATCAAGGGCAGAGGGCTAGATCTGGCGTTACTATCATGGCATAAACACCATACATCGCTATTTGGCTGAAATAGGCTTTCGACCTGGTTATCGGCCATGGTGAGAAGAGCGTAGATCAACCACTGATACAACTTGTCAACTTCTCAACTTCTCTACAATTTCGTCTTGAGGATGAGTTTCGGTTGGACAACGGACAGCGGTGGCGGCGCTCGTCAGACCATAGCAATAAGATTGGCCCGAGGGCCGAGGGGCCGTTTCCCGTAATAGCTAGAGTTGCTTTTCTGGTCAAACAGCGGGATTTTCTCGAGCCGAGGACTCGCTCGGAGTTTTGCCAGTGAGTTGTTTTGTTATGCGGGGAAGGACCATCCAGTGACACCCCCAAGTGGTCGCTCCTTCCGTGAATCATTTAGATATCTGAGACTTGCAGTTTGTTGCTCTTTCCTATCGAGGTCCGCTTCATTCTCAACTTCACCGCCTCACCTAACGTACTCTTTTTATTCTCTTAATTCACAGTCAGGCATAATGGCTGACTTCACGGACAAGCTCCGTCCTGCCGAGCCTCAGGGCCCAAGCATATTGGCTCAAGAAAGAGCCGGATCCCATGTGAACAAAGATGCTTTGGCCAAGCACCTACTGTCAAGGAATGACTTTTACAACAGACAGAAGCGAATTCTGGCCATATTGGAACCCATCCCAATCTTCTGCAAGAGAAACCAGTTGAATATGGCCAGACCAGACAGATATCACCTTGGCTTAGCCAGGGCGAAGATGCTGAGGAGGCTATCACTCAAGCATGGCTGGGACCGCGACGACTACATCATGGCAGACTATCTGATGGATGAAATGGGTCCTTATGCTCTACAAGCCACCATGTTTGCGACATCAATCCGAGAACAGTGCAACGACGAGCAGAAGGCTTATTGGCTTCCCAAGGTTGAAAATTGGGAGATTATTGGTTGTTACGGCCAAACCGAACTTGGACATGGAAGCAATGTCCGAGGGATTGAGTGTGAGGCAAGGTGGGATCCCAAGACCAAGGATTTCATCATCCACAGTCCCACTATCACCGCAAGTAAGTGGTGGAATGGTGCTCTTGGGAGGACAGCGAACCACGCAATTGTAGTGGCTCAGTTGTTGTTGCCAGACTCTAAGACCGGCAAATATAAATCTCACGGACCGCACCAATTCATCGTGCAAATCAGGGACATGAAGACGAACAAACCTTTGGAAGGAATCGTCATTGGAGACATTGGACCCAAGTATGGCTACCCAGGGATGGACAACGGCTATATGCTCTTCGACCACTACAGAGTGCCACATGCGGCCCTCCTTTCTCGGTACTCTGGAGTGGACTCTGAGAGTGGTGCCTATATGAAGCCAGAAAATCCAGCCTTGGTTTATGGCTCTTTGACCTTTGTCCGCGCACAGATTATCATGCATGCACGACTCGTGCTCGCGAGAGCTGTCACCGTGGCGGTACGATACTTGTCCATTCGACGTCAGTTTGCAGACAGGGATTCCAAAGATCCCCAAGCTCCAGAGCAAGCCGTTCTGAACTATCCAACTGTACAGATTCGGATTCTGCCTCTCCTTGCGACCACATTTGCTCTACATTATACTGGAGAGGCCATGTATAAACTATACTATGGCACCCGTGCAGAAATTGAGAACAGTGGAGATTTCTCGAGGTTGGCTGAGATGCACGCTGCGTCATCCGGGCTCAAATCTCTCTGTACCACACTGGCAGCCGACGGAATTGAGACCTGCCGTCGAGCCATGGGTGGGCATGGCTTTGGTGGGGGTAGTGGCATGATAGCACTCAACAATGAATACCTCTCAAAGCCGACTGTTGAAGGCGACAATTGGATGATAACTCAGCAGACTGCGGCATATCTCATCAAGCGCATGGAACAGGTGGTCAAAAATCCGAAAGCCCAGACCAAGGACTCAGTCGATGCACAGTTTCGAAACTATGTTGAGAGCCGTGACGCCCAACACAACTTCCGTATCGATGAGGACAAAGAGCTTGTCACGGCATTCAAGCACCGGGCGTCTTACTTTACGTACCAGCTCTACCAAAAACGCGTGGTCCAGAAGACTCCTTGGACCAGTCTGATGCTTTTCCTACATCGGCTTAGTCGCGCCCATTCAGAGAGTCTTCTAGTCTCAAGCTTTTACGAGGCTGTCTTTGAATCGACACCAGACCCGCCTGTCGATAGTGCTACACTGGACGTTCTCAGAGATCTGTATCGGCTTTTCGCCCTTTACACCCTGGACAATGCATCCTCTGAATTCCTTATTTCCAAGGCGTTGACGGTGGACCGTCTCCAGTGGCTGACGCCCAGGATCCAGGACCTGATGACCAACATTCGCCCCCATGCAGTTCGATTGGTGGATTCGTGGTCAATCCCCGACTACGTGCTGGAGAGCGCTCTGGGAAGTTATGACGGCGACGTCTACAACCGACTGTTCCACAAAGCCCACAGAGAAAATCCCCTGAATCTGCAGACTTTCAATCCAGACTGGAAGAGTGAGGAAATCGTCATGGGTGAAGGAGAGGAAAATGCTCGCAATCGCTTGGAGAAACTGGCATTAGGCGTGGGTGGCCACGAGCAGTCTGCGGCTACAAGGTCAAAATTGTAAATCGAGTTTATGAGTGCCAAAGGAGGCCATAGGACGATTTTGTAGATAGATAAGGTACATTTAAAATCAGCGAATTCCATTAATTTAGGTCAGATCTTGGCCTTAGGGGCAGTTCCAACTCTTTTACGATGGACATAACTAATGGCCTTGAATTTATCTAGAGCTTCGCCCCAGAGTTCTGATCTCAGCAGTCCATAGACACCCATTGAAGCACGAGGTGCGACGGACTTTGCAAATTCAATCGCTCGCTCTCTCATCTTCTCGGGCTCGACAATCTCATCAACAATTCCGTCCTTGAGGGCTTGAGCACCTGTCCACTTGTGTGCTTCGAGCAGCATTTTTCGCGCGATTTGAGGTTGGAGCTTCAACCGTGGCAGAGCGCCGATACCGTCAAAGTGAAGGCCCAGGTTGACTGGTGGCATGCTGATGAAGCCGCGCTTGCTGTTCATGATCCTATAGTCGCATGACAAGCTGAAAGGACATGCTCCACCAAAAGTGTGTCCTGTGATCAAAGCAATGGTTGGATAGGGATAGTCGACGAGCGTGGCGAGTAGCGGGTAGAAACCATCAGCGTTGGCGTAGATGTTGTTGTCTGACTCGTCGAGCTCCAAGCCTGTGCACCAGAATTTGTCCGAGAAGCTCGAGATGATGACCGCTCCTGGGCTGTCTGGCTTCATGAGTTTGACCTCGATGTATCTCAGTGCTGCAATGATGGTTTGTGCAAAGGCAACATTGAGACGGTTCTCAGGTGGCTTGTTAAGGACGATAACATGAACTCCTGGTGCTGACGCTGGCGACTCGATCGTCAAATTCGGAAAATCGGGCACACTGGTAGCCATGATGAGAACAGGCGTAACCTGTTAATGTCCTGGTGGATATGTGAGGCAGATGGTGTATCTAGAGCGTTGTAGAAGAGAGCGAAAGAACTAGGGTGAAAGTCAGAGGTGGCGTCGATGTCGTTGACAGCGTTGGCACAGACTATTCATGTCCGGCTCCGTTGATGAATTCTCTTGCCGCGACCTCGGCGATCAGACGGTGGGTCTAACAGGTGATGCTTGATGCTTGATGCTTTCTCATTTCATCCTCCTCGACCGACTCATTAGATTCATGGTGCGGGGAAATTGAGGAGGTTGAAACCGAGATGCCGATACAGATGACGCTTTGTGGCTCTTTCCCCCCAAGTCGGCGATTTCCTTTTTCAGATGGTTGGCGCTTTGCCTCGGCGGGGGTCGGTCAAGGATTAACGTTAATCCTACCGCCTGATCTAGAGCCAAAGCGGAATGGCATGTCTTGGCACGAGGCTTTGTATCAACTTACCCCTAATCATCTGGAAGGGCAGGCACGTTCAACGGTTGTCGCGCTGCTCCTGCCATCCTGACATACTCTGAGGGTCGTTGAAAGAAAAAGAAAAAGAAAAACGTGGCATCATCTGCAATATATGAGAAACGTCAACCAACACCTTAACTTAACAACATCATCATCCCTGCGTTACCACGGGGCCAAAACAACGACCAGCAACCGCCGCACAGACCGCCTTGTCCAGGTATGCTCAGCGGCTTGCAGTCGCTCAGCTTCAACTCAACGCTACAACATTAACCTCCACGCTCATGCAAGTCTGGCGCCTACTGCTATTGTCACCCTTCTTCCGCAAGAGCTCGTCATTTCTTACCCATGGAAAATGCATCATTACGCCCACAGCGCCCCTCGACCTTTTGGTCCTGCATCGTCTCTGATATCGTCCCCCCAGCTCTGCCCCTGCATCTGACAGAACCACCGTCCTGGCACTAGCTATCGTCCTACCACAACTTGACCCCAACTCATCAAGTTCTTGATGGGCTCACAGAGAAATTTCTTCTCCTGCATCTCACTTCTCCCTGCCGACCGCTTGCAGTGCTCGTGCCCTTTCAAGCACCATCACCCTGCGGCATGTTCCTGTGGAGTAAGGCAGACGAAGACAAGGTGATTGTCTAGCCAGACCTACTCGGCCAAGACCTCTCGGTATCGGCCGTTGAGTTGGACGGACTGTAGGAGCTTCGAGACTGATCTCTGACATAGCCGCTGAGAGATCTGTGGCAGCTGCTACTTGGTGATCCCATGTATGAGTTGGCGCTCGAGGGTTCACCTCCTGGTGTCCTAGTGGCGATTGGCCCTCCTCTTCTCTCCCAGTTGTTCTTCGCTATGACAGATAGCCGCTGATTTTCCAGACTGTTAATCTTGCTCTGCAGTATTTCGACCTCAATCTGTGCTTTGTGGATGCTAGCCATCAACTTGCTCCCTTCCCGGGTCCATCTCTCGATATTGGCCTTTTCCCTATGCAATTTTCTTTTCTTTACCGCAATCTCCTGGCAGATCTTGCAATCTTCGTCCAAGTTGAGCACACTTTCTTCATGAAGGAACCTGAGGCCGCATTGTTCCCCCCTGCGGTGTTCTCGAGGACATTGAAGTTTCATGTTACCCCATCTCCAGTCCCCACACAGAAAATTCGTCCTGGCGAAGTAGCACATCTCAGCCAGTGAGGGTCGCTTTCCTTCAATATGCTGCTGGCAACAACTCAAACCTGTCCCACTGGGGTCTGGGTCCGCGTCTCGTTTCTGTGTACTCGAGTCTTGACTCGATGGCTGTCAGCTAAAGTTGTTACCCTCGCCCGGTCAGCCTTGATGGGGTGAGACAGACCACCGGAGCCACCTGAAATTGTTCGATCTAGGCCTCTTGAGAGGTCTCTTGTCCGAGTCTACCTATTCGAAACCTTGTTCTCTGACCGACTGCTTATCATGTCCAAGCCAAATGCACAAACTCCTTTCCGGACGATTTCGGCGTCAGCAAAGAGAACTTGTCTACCGGCTTTCCGATGGCCGCTCACAGACGATGTTTGGAAAGATGTCCACAGGTCCGAGAGGGTTACCGGAGTCTCCTTTTGAATGTTCGACTGTGGCAACCAATCCTGCCTGGGCCAAATCCCGTACCAGGGCCATCGTCACTAAGTCGAGCTATTTTGTAACGTGGTCAAGTTCGTCTGCCAATCAACATTCGCCTAGAACAGCATTACCATCAAAGAGGCCTTTGCCTGCAATACGATCGTCATCTTTGCCGGATTTTATGCACGAAATCACCTTTACTCCATCTGACTCTTCGCTAGCAAACTTGCCCCAAAGGTTTTCCAGCGCTGTCAGGAGATACACGTCTTGACCTCAATTTCCCTTCCCGCGCACGCGATCAACGGAGTATGCACATCCCCCGAAGCGATCCCCCTTACTGGATGAACGATACCGTCTATCTTATGATCCCCTGGGGTTGAAGCGAATCACGACATTTCTGAAACGTGGGAGCAGGTGAGTCGTTAGATATGACCCGCAAATGCGAAATGGCCAGAGGCATTGACAGATTTTAAAACCACCAAGAACAATTGTGCCGGCCAGGGCTAACACAGGACGTGCATCACCGATATGCACCGCAACGCCCACTTTTGATCAGCTAGGCCACCGATGCCGAGACTCGCCGCTGATCCCTCAAATCTCAAACGACTGCGAACACCCTTTGTGGTGAAACCCTGTTCCTAAGCAAATATGCGGCCTGTTTCCATGCCTGCATGACCTTGTGGTTGCATGAGAGCCTCATGCTATCAACAATAAACACACAAGCACCAGGCACGAAGAGCAGAGTACGACTGTTCTCCAACCTCCTGAAGACTGTGCCAAGTGCGAGACCACCATCCTCGAATGTGCTAGCCATGATCCCGACTCCAAGATGTTGTGCCCCGGCAACGGTGGTTGTGAGCGAGTGCAGATTTTGCTGGCAGCCGTCTAGCGACCCTATGACTGATCAGCCATGCATCACGGAATTGTGAATGCCTGCTCATCTAGGTCTCTATCTGTCATGTACCGGCTCAGCACTAGACGTGGCCGATCAGGATTTGGCAACACTCAGAATGACCCATCGAGATTTCGGCTCACGAGGCTTTTCCTGCTACACAAACTGTTGGCGCGACATTGCCAGCGCTCTCCCCTGCTCCCGTCGAGCCAATGTGCCACCCAAGCTAGCAGTTGACCCACACCATCTCAAGCGGGTTCCACCAGGACCACCTACCAACACATCACTGACGACAACCATGTCCCGACCAGTACAATATTCACCATGCCGTGCTCAAGACTGATCCTTAACCAACGAACATCCCCACTCTATGCGATCCCGAGCGCACGCCTCGCGCAAGGAGTGAGCTGTACCGTTCAGATTGGACAACTCAGAGCTGTCAGCCAGAACCTTGTTGACAGAGGACACTCTCTGCAGACACCAGACGCACAGCTCAGAGGTCACCTTTGGGGCACCTTTGGCCACAAGGCACCTACTAGGCGTTCGGCCATCTGGATGCTTGCGATTGACAGGGGTCCAGGGCTGCTATGCCACAAGGGATGCCTGTACTTTCCCATGGCATTGTCAGCATTGGCCACATAGCTCCTGCTGAAAGATTCAAGGCCCGTGCTCATCAACCCTGCTTGACCATAGGCGACTTGGAAGGCAAACCCCCCTCCAAGTTACCATTTCATTCACACTGGCACAATATTGTTCCTTCCATTCTATACGAGATACATGGTTGCACTGAGGGCACTATATCCGAAAATATCAATTACGAGTCTAATCTGCGCGACAAACGAAACCTGGCAGCCTTATCTAGTATGTACCTCGCTGTTGGATTTCGTTTGAAGGATGTCCATCTTCGATTGCTCGCAATCGGCCCCAAAATCAGACACACCTCGAGAGACCATGGGCCGCCAAAGAGCCAAGCTACCTATCCATCCCCCCTCCCTCGCGAACGACTCTCGGTTACAACACAAGTCGAGAAGATTCTGTTAGCTTTTCAGACCTTTGAGCTGGCCATGCATAACCGGCTCTGGGTTTGCCTCACTGCTGATCCATCGTGCATGCACCCCTGAAAGTGCAATGGGGCTCGTGCAGGTGAACAGCGAATCTTTGGGCTGGAAGGTACCGTGGATCCAACCTATTTCGGATCCAACATCTCGGGCAGATGCAACTATAGCACGATGCTCCACCGCGATCCACCTACCACATTGGATCCAAGTGGCAAGAAGCGAACCATCGGGCCGTCCCATCATTGCATTTGTGACCCTCTGACGCGGCGGGTTTGCCTCCAAGGGGTACTCCTGGCTGATGCACGTGCTTTTCGACGGTTCCAGCCTTTCCGACAACAAGTTGTCCGGATTGATGCATCATAGGAGCAACAATGGAACACGAGAGAGAATGCAGCAGTTGTCGACATCTCTATCTCGATTGGAAGGTTTTATGGAACATCCAGAGCGGAGGAATTTTCTCCGGTACGTTACATGTTAGGTAGGGATCGTTGTCTATTCGAGCGGTGCCCAACAAGACTCAGGCTGTCGCAAAGCTGCTAGGCTTGGAAGGCATACCTTGGCTATACGTGATGATGCTGCTTCTTACTAGTGCAAACATCCGACACATTACCTCGCATCAACCAAAAGGGACAAGTCACCAAGGTGGCAATCCCATGTCGATATGCCTCATCTGTGTTGTCCATTTCCAGCATGATCGCGAACTGCTATCGGCACGGGACCGCACAATATGTCGGCAAGGACATGGAGAACGCGAGAATTTTGGCGGTCAACATTTCTGCTCAAGGGTACAGGGCGCGAATCATTGTCTGGAAGGATCGACTGGCACCGCTGAGTGGTCGCACTACTTGAACTCCCGGAGAATCGCATCGTCTCAAAACCTCGGTGCTTACGAAGATATCCAAGGGAGAGCATTGCCGTGTGACTTGTTGTCAAGTACTAGCACGGTCCAAGTACTGTCAAACCGGCCAATGTTAAATGTTTGAGACAGATTGTATTTTCTGGCAAGTTTGATCAGCCTCGAGTCCATTGGGCATGTCATGTATCTGTCCCACTGGGGGCCCATTGACTCATTGTCTCTCACTTCACGGCTCTCATATAACGCCCAGAATGGACCAGAGGCTCGGTTGCCCTTGGAGGAATTTTCGCTTGGCATGCATGAGCGACGAGTGTCTCACCACAACCAGCCAGTAGCCCAAAGATAGGTGCGGCTGACTTCTCCGCCATGGATCCGGTGTCGGTGTCTGTTGCCTAGACCTCTGCCGGCCAGCTCGCATGGTGGCTGTAACCTGAAGCGACCGTGGACCAGGGCCACGAGCGGGACCACGACTTGCATGACCTAGCGGTCACTTTCTGGCGAGATTCTTGTGCAAGACATGTTCTTTCATGGCCAAACCGACCACAAAAGCCAAGATGGCCAGACCCAGACCGGCGAAGAAGGCCCCTCGAAGGGCATGCATGTAGATTTCGAGGACCAGGTCACGGTCCCAGCCGGGAGGAAGATGGTTGAGGGCATCGAGACTGCGGCGAATGGCATCGATGGCCTCGTCACTGCCGGGCCAGCTGCCGTACTGAGCCTTGAGCTCATCTGTCAGGATATTTTGGAACACGGCGCCGGCAATAGTGATTCCAATGGTGGAGCCTGTGCTGCGGAAGGCGTAGCTGGCGGCGGTGATGACAGCCTGATATTCATGGTCCACGGCGCTGATCATGGCCACCAGCGTGATGGTGAGCATCGACCCGTACGCCATTCCCAACGGCGCAGGGTATAGGTACGTCTGCCACGCGGGCGATGTCAGCTGGAAGTTGGTGATGAGAGCGGACCCGGTGATGAAGATGGCCATGGTGACCACAGACTGTAGATAATACCGTCCTGTGGCCCGCATCAGGTATCCAGAGAAGAGAGATCCAACACTAGCGCCCACAGCAAATGGAATCACTCGCAGTCCCGCAGCGGTGCTGCTCAGACCTCGAATCTCCAAGTACAGCGGCACGTAGTACAGCGCAAGGAATGCCGCCATGGTGCTGAACCAGTTCATCAGACAAGCCGACCAGACGGTGCGAGTGCGAGCAACCAGCGAGACCGGGACGATGGGTTCAGGAATGAGCCAGGGCGTCGACTCAACGTAGAGAAACAGCGAGAGGGTGACGAAGCTGAGAACAAGCGATGTGATGATCAAAGGATGCGCCCAAGGCAACTGATTCCCACCAGTATTCAAACCAAGCAGAAGCAAAACCAGCGACGTCACCAGCAGGCCAGCACCCACGAAATCAATTCGACTCAACGTTGGCTTCGTCGACGGATTCACAGGGATATCCAGCAGATAGATCACCATAACCGTCGAAACGACAATAAACGGAACCTGTAGAAGAAAAGCCCATCGCCAGGAAAGTCGATCAGCCAGAACTCCTCCAACAACCCCACCGGATCCCATCCCCAGACCGTAGATGAGATTCCCGTAGCCCTGCCAAAGACCTCTCTTCCGGAGCGGAACCAGGTCTGAAGTGACAAAGGTAGCGATGCAAGTGAGACCGCCGCCACCGATTCCGGCCACGACGCGTCCAGCGATGATAGTACCGGCATTAGGTGCGAGGCCGCAGATCAGAGTACCGACGCCGAAGAAGATATTGCTGAAAATGAGACCCGTGCGCCGAGAGAATATGTCGGTTAATTTTCCGGACAGTGGTTGACATGCCGCATTGGCGATTAGATAGCCGGTGGCTAGCCAGGATAGGAGTGTAAAAGAATCAAATGATGATGATATAGGGCCGGTTAGGGTGGCGACAATGGTTGTGTCTAAGTATCAAATACATGGTGAAATGTTAGTGGACATGGAGACCTGGAGGATACTTGATGATCAAGACAGACAGATGTTTAGAAAGATGTTACATACCAAGAGCAGCAAAATAGACTCCAATCCATATCGCACCCATGATAGCGAAGAGTTTCTTGGTTGATGTCTCTTCAAGTAATGTTGCTGATTGGACGCCTGATTCGTTGGAATCATGGGTATGAGTAATATTGCCATTGGCCGTGCCATTTTGCTGTTGTTGTTGTCCTCCGAGTAGAGGACTAGTCTCATCAGAGACTTGTTCGAGATCCGAGGTCGTCATTGTGTATTTAAATCTAGAGATGGTTGTAGTGTTCGTGCTTTTGGGAGGTTGTTGAGGTGATGAAGTCGTGGGGTGTTGAATCGGTTGAAATGGCGTGCTTAAGATAATCAGTTGTGTGGAAGGGAAGGAAAAAGTCTCCTGCTCGCTCCGTATGTGTGTGCGACCTGCGCCTTTTATTGTATCACTCTTCTCGTCTAATGTAGTAACCCACGGAGTGCCTGGTATGTGGTATTTGTTGATAAGAACATGTGTGAAATTAATTGATGGTAGTGATTTACGGAGTACATTATTCAGACTTGAGGTGTCTACTTTGAGGGATTGGCCGATGGAAATCATTGCCTCTTCGGGCATCTCCGCTGACCATCGTGCAAATGTGTTAGAGTCGCTCTACGGGTCGATGATTGATTTAGTTGGTGATAAGAATGGTATACATATATATATTTGAGCATGTTTCCTCTCTCATGCTCGAAGGGCCTCAATATCTACAACTTCCTTGACCGCCTCGGTGGTCAAGACAAACGGTGTATCCTCTTGGATGCTCACGCTGTCTTCGATACGGATGCCCATGTTTCGGAAATGTTTAGGCCACCGTTCATCATCCGGAACATAGATGCCGGGTTCAATGGTGATACAATGTCCCTCCTGAAGTAGGACTTTTCTAGAATACCCCACAGTATCATGTACATCCATGCCAATATAATGGCTGAGGTGATGGGGAAATAGGCTCTCGATTGCCTTGAAGGACATGTCGAACCCAATCTGCCGGAGCTCATTGCTGAGTTGTTCTTCGGCGATGCTGTGGAGCTTGTCAAGTGAGACACTAGCGCTGCCGCGACAGAGTGAGATCAGAGTTCTTTGAACTTTGAGAACTGCTTCGTACAAGTCACGCTGAGCGTCGCTGAACTTGCCATTTACCGGCCAGGTCCTAGTGATGTCGGCAATGTACCCACCGTATTTTCCTCCGCCATCCACCAAGGCAAATTCGTCGTCGTGCAAAACATCATCATTGCGAATGTAATGGATGCTGAGAGCATTCTTACCTCCGGCCACGACTGGCTCGAACGCGAGGGTGTCACAACCATTCGCGGCAAAGCGATAGCGGATATAAGTGTCAAGTTCCTTCTCTCGTGTCCAGGTCTTTCTCATGGCGTCGGTGTGGGCCCGACCAGAGGCCTTACCCGCCTTCCGCATCAGCTCGATCTCCGCCGCACTCTTGAATGCGCGCAGGTCGTTCATGACGGGGCGCAGCCGATTAACCTTTGAATTTTTTAACAATTCGGCAAAGGTCGTAGATTTGCGTGATTGTCCGTATAGAAATCGCTGCAGCACGGATTGGTTGGCATTAGGAGAGGTGATGTCCGTGTAGACCTCAGACGCTTCGCCGAGTATGTTAGGGAGGAGTTGATTCAATTTTGTAATGTCACCCGTCTCATCAGCATTGAAGACATCTCTTGCAGCATTTGTACCGGATCTTGCGCCATCCCATATCTCAGCCTTGGGGTCTTTTTCTCGGACGAAGAGGTGAAATGTGTGGTCTTTTCCAGTGGAATCCTTGCCGATGATAGCCAGCGCCTCAGGCTCGTTGAAGCCAGTCAGGTAGAGAAAGTCCGGGTCTTGATGGAACTCGTAGAAGACGCTTCCAGTACGGAATTGGATGTCTGATGCGGCGATGATGGCGATAGCCTTGTCGGGCAACTTAGCAGCTAGGTTGGTGCGGCGGTCGGCATACTCTTGCGCGGTAATGCCTGGGGTCAATTCGCCCGGCTGCAGGAGGTGAGGGTGTGTTTCATGGACAGGCTGACCAAAGGAAAGATCGGCAGCATTGACGGTCAGAGTATTGTAGAGTCGTGGGAGGAGAGGTGTCTGTCTGGAGGAGACATGGGTTAACCTCCACGGATGAGGGTGGAGGACATCATTGGCACGCCTGAGAGTCTGCCATAATGTCCTCCGTGTCGACATGCTCTGGTTGCGATGGTCCGAGGAGGAGGACGACACCGAAACAAACCAAAGAGTAGCGATAGAGGTGAGGGGTTGATGGAAAAGCACGGGAGAGATGAATCTCTCGTCGTGACTTTCCAGTCGAGACGGCGCAGGAACCAAGATCTGCGCAAGAGTGGGAACACGTGCTGCACGTGCTGCACGTGTCCGGCTAGAATTACTCCAGAGGGAAGTTCTCCAAGTCCATCGCTCTTCCCCAAGCGGTGCACAGGGCCGGGGGCCGGATAGCCACTCACAAGGTTGGCATTGATAACACGACGACAACATTGGAATGAATGACTCACTTCTAATCGTTATATTGACGATGTATTGTAACTATTGTTGATATTCCAGTCAGTGGTAATATAGAGATTGTTGGAGATCGTTCGAACCCAGACAAATCCTCGACAAACAGCAAATATGGTGCGCAATCTCGAATACCCCAAGAAAGCCCAAAACACCGTCAAGCGGTATAACTCGCGAGGTAACAAGGTCTTAGGCCTCCTTGGTGTGCTATGACTGATCAAAACAGGGACATACGATCTAGGGGCCATTCATTCAATCATCAACACCACTTCAGTCCTCCATGTCTCATTTCCTCCGGCACCAGATAATCCGTTCCCCGCCATCTTACCCATGATTGGCGTCATGGGCTCTTTCGAGTACCCATCAGCCAGCCTCGATGAGCCTTTGGACTGCTACCTCCACGGCTATGTCAGTTCCAGGGTGATGCGACTGGCCCGAGACTCGCCCAACGGGCTTCCTGTTTCAGTGGCAGCGACAAAGGTTGACGGACTGGTCCTTTCGCTCACCCCAAACTCCCACAGTTATAACTACCGTTCCGCTGTCCTGCAAGGATACGGCAGGGTGGTGGACTCGGATGAAGAAAAGATCTACGCCATGCAGCTCATTACCAACAAAGTCGTCGCCAACCGATGGGAAAATACTCGAGTTCCCCCAGATAATGTCGAGATGACATCAACCACCATCCTCCGGGTCAAGATCGAGACTGGCAGCGGCAAGATCCGACAAGGGGGCCCTCATGATGAAGCCAAGGACGAGAAGAGAGACGAAATCACCGAAAAGGTGTGGACAGGGGTAATTCCAGTGTCCGAGGTGTTTGGCGAGCCCATTCCCAGTGCGACCAATCGCGTCAAGCAACTGCCTGCATACATTGACTCGTATGTCACTGAAACCAATCAAAGCAGCCGAGAGCTTTCGCTCAACGCGGTTAATGAACCTTGAAGAGGAGTATGGTACCAAACAACGCGATACTTGTACCTTTGGAGGTGATTCTTGTTGATTAGTCATCGCATTTGTCTGTCAAGATTTAGATCGATATTTAGCATACGGTAACCACAACATGTCTAATGATTATAGGTAGTAAGGGTGTTCTTGAAAGAGAACAGTTCAAAGGAGTGTGAAGTGGGTGTCAAAAGTCCAGCGGAGTATTAAGCCGGAACTGGCAACTAATACGGCGCACCTATTACTTCACCAAGTGCGGTTGCCCGGTCAACGACTTTGTATAGAAAACCTGCGCAGACGACCAAACCAAGACATCCAAGATCCCAAGCCTTGTCACAAATCAACTACAATAAAAGAGCTACGCCCTCGGTATACAACTAAATCACTGCGATACTAGGTGATATGACAATTATTTCCAAACACTTGAATGCCGACGCCTCGCCGCGAGTCCGCGGCAAGAGCCGACACACGCCCTGCATTTAACAGACCACCTGGCGCACGAGCCGCTCCTCAACCAACCCCAGATGAAGTCCCACGGACCGCAAGGAGAACCCACAAAGACAAAGCCAAGTCGTCACCTGCACCTTCCCCATCGCAAGACAGAAAAACTCGTGTCGTTAGCGAAAAACACAGACATGCTAGTGATGGCAGACCCAGTCCTAGACGAGACCGAGATCGAGATCGAGAACGTGACAGGGCCAAGTACAGCTCCGGTTCCTCTGCTGATAGTGGAAGCCATCTATTGAGTGCAGGTGCCCTTGCCAAGTTCAATTCCTCCAATGAAAAGGCTGAATTTCAAGAGAAATACGAAGCTCAGAAAAGAAAGAAGAAACAATACAAAAACCTTAAAGCTGCTGAGGTCTCAAATCGCAAGAAGAGAGGGAAGAATCGTAACGTCAGTGGTGCTATCTTGGAAGAGGGTAGAGCTGGTGAAAAGCGTGTGCATAGAAGAGGTGGTGGCGGCGGCGGTGGAGGACGAGGCCGCTATGAAGATGAAGAGCCTCCTCGCGGTCGACGCGGTGGTTGGAGGTCCAACAAGAAATTTTGGTGGCTTCTCGTCCTGATAATCGTCCTGCTGGCTATATTCATTCCTGTTGGTGTGGTAGTCTCAAATAACAACAGCAGGAGCGACTCCGACAACAACGATTCGTCCTCTTCATCAACCACTTCCTCAGGTTCAGGGTCAAGTGTCAGCAATGAGTGTGGTTCCACGGATGTCCCGACAAGCGCCAAAGGCACATACACTGACATTAGCACATGGTTGGACACGGCTGATTTCAACTGCACTTACACCGAAGAGACCATAGGAGGTCTCTCAGTCATGGGCCTATACTCAGAGTGGGATGACTCAGCAAGTGCCAACGAAAATGTTCCGCCTCTCAACCAGAAGTGGGAGTACGGAAAGATGCCCATCCGTGGCGTCAATGTTGGTGGATGGTTCTCCCTTGAACCGTTCATTACCCCTTCGTTGTTCAACTATCCAGCCTCACAGCATGTGGTGGATGAATACACTCTAACCGCGAAGCTCGGCCCATCCGCCCGACAAGTCCTTGAACAGCATTATGCCACCTTCATCAATAAGCAGAGCTTTGTCGATATCAAGAATGCCGGCTTGGATCACGTTCGAATCCCTTTCCCCTACTGGGCAGTTACCACTTACGATGGCGATCCTTATGTTCCCCAGGTGTGTTGGAGATATCTCCTCCGAGCCATCGAATATTGCCGTGAAAATGGCCTTCGTGTCAATCTTGACCTTCATGCTGCTCCTGGAAGTCAGAATGGTTGGGCCCACAGCGGCAGACAAGGAGACATCGGTTGGATTCTAGGCCCGGACGGTGCCACCAATGCCCAGCGAACGCTCGACGTCCATGAGCAATTATCAACGTTCTTCGCTCAAGATCGCTATAAAAATGTCATCACCATCTATGGCTTGGTCAACGAACCCAAAATGCTCGTCATACCAACAGATTCTGTTTTGGAATGGAACAAGAAAGCTATTGATATTGTCCGTAAGAATGGGATCGAGCAGCATATCATCTTCGGCGATGGGTTTCTCAGCCTCACCTCATGGAAAGACAGGTTTCAAGATGTCGATGACAAGCTCATCATGGACACTCATCAATATCAAATTTTCAACGTTGGGCAATTGAAGTTGCCTCACCAAGATAAAATCAACCTTGCCTGTTCCGGCTGGACCGGTATCATGGTCACGGCGACTAACCCTACCACTGGATGGGGCCCAACACTTGATGGAGAGTGGTCTCAAGCCGACACTGACTGCACGCTTAATCTCAATGATGTTGGACAAGGCTCTCGTTGGGCCGGCACTCTGAACACCGGCGACCCCGAGACTTCAGTCCTGACTCCAACCTGTGCCAGTCCCCCTTGTTCTTGTGCAATGGCAAATGCGTCTCCAGACCAATACTCCGACGATTACAAGGAGTTTCTGATGATGTATGCAGAGGCACAGATGCATAGTTTCGAACAGGCTTGGGGGTGGTTTTACTGGACCTGGAAGACAGAGAGTGCAGTCCAATGGAGCTGGATGTTGGGCAGAAACGCTGGCATTTTGCCTGACAAGGCCTACTCACCGAGCTTCAAGTGTGACAGTGCAGTCCCTGATTTCAGCGGCCTGGGCGACAGCTATTGACGACAGGCCAGATGGATTGAAGAGTTAAGTCAATCACGCATGCTGAATGGACATGAGTATTGGAATTGATGTTGTAATGATACCATAGTGTAGAGCATGGATACGGGTACATATATATTTGCAAGTACATTCAAGGGTCTGGTGGTATCACAATGCATGTGTACAACTGAGTAACACGTAGTCTTCTGTTTTGTGATATCATCAATCCTGAATCTTCATCAGCAGCTTTCTCATATGTGGAACCAAAAGGTAAACCCTGGGCCTGGCAGTCAAGTCAGAAATCAAGCATAGACCATCAAGCTTTTTAGGCTCCCCCACGTTCCTGGTATTCTCGAGGTACAAGATCGTCATAGAAACTTAAATGATGCAAGCCTGGCGTCATGTTGATGAAAACTGCTTGCGACAAACCCTTGCCCATGTAGCGACACATCATACATCTACTCCGTACATTCTGATTGCGGGTTACTAAGTTTCTGTTCCATGGTTCAATCGAAAACAGTCCGATGACCTGGCTCAAAGCAGCCAACCGGATGTGGCGCATGGACCTTGACCAAGGCCCATAGTTGCGTGTTCAAAGTCAATATCGCGGGTCTGTGCAACACCCCAGCACCCCATGACAATGGCAGGCGTTAGTAGTGTCCGTTAGAGTTCTATAAGCGACAATACCAGCCCTAATAGGTTGTGCCAGTTTGCTGGGCTGTTGTGTCACTGACCTGGTTTGACTCAAATATGTCTTGGAGCTGTGCTATATAAAGAGTGATCCATGGTGAGTGTTCTCACTCGAGAAATAGAAAGGTCTACTTGTACTCTCTGAGTTTGTTGAATTATTCTTGATATCCTGTCTACTTCTCTTGAGTTGAGAACTTCTCAAAGAGCCTCAGCCCCATTTACGAAATTCCTGGTCATTAAAACGTAACCACTTCGGTCCAGATTTGAAGCAAAAGTCATTCCATAGACCCCCTCAAGCAACATGCCTCTAGCTAAGCATATCGATCCTGATACCATCATCAATCAACTCCGTACCAGCAGTGCACATTCCCATCGCCATCATCTTCACAGCCAGAATATTAATGCAACTCTGACTCCATACTCATCACGGTACAATGCTCAAGATGAAATCTCCAAATTCAAGATTCCCCAAAACGGGGCTCCAGTTAGTCTCCACTCACTCACCCATCCCCCTTTTCCATAACGAAATGCAACTCGTCAAGCGAAGCAGAAACTTACTTTGATACACTTCTCTCCTCTAGGCAGAAGCCGTTCATCAAATGCTCAAGGATGAACTTGATTTGGACGGTCGACCAAATCTCAATCTGGCCTCCTTCGTCGGCACATACATGGAGCGTGAGGCCGAGGCACTGATGATTGAAAATATTAGCAAAAACATGTCGGACGCGGACGAGTACCCGGCCATGATGGCAATGCACCAAAGATGTGTCAGTATCATCGCACACCTCTGGGGTGTGCAGAAGGGAGAGACAGCGGTAGGAACCGCCACGACTGGGTCGTCTGAGGCCATTCATCTTGGTGGCCTGGCCATGAAACGTCGCTGGCAGGAAAAGAGGATTGCCGAGGGAAAGGACACCTCCAAACCCAACATCATCATGGGCGCCAATGCCCAAGTCGCCCTTGAAAAGTTTGCCCGCTACTTTGAAGTGGAGGCGAGGATCCTCCCCGTCAGCAAGAAAAGCAGCTATCGCTTGGATCCTGAATTGGTCAAGGAGAACATAGACGAGAACACAATTGGCGTCTTTGTGATCCTGGGCAGTACATATACTGGTAAGTCGTGCATGTCACAAACTTCCACTCTGTTTGTCGTTGATGCAAGAATTCTGACTCTTTTTTGGTATCTAGGCCATTATGAACCTGTCTGGGAAATCAACGACATCCTCGACGCCTATGAGAAGAAGACAGGCCACGACATCCCAATCCACGTTGATGCAGCTTCAGGTGGGTTCATTGCACCATTCACCAAAGCGCACGCAGGAGGCCACAAATGGGATTTCGAATGCAAGCGGGTGAAATCAATCAACACCAGCGGGCACAAATTTGGTCTGGTCTATGCTGGGGTTGGCTGGATCATCTGGCGAGACGAGAAGTACCTGCCAAAGCATCTTATCTTTGAATTGCATTACCTAGGTGGCACCGAGGAGTCTTACACACTCAACTTCTCCCGTCCTGGCGCCCAGATCATCGCACAGTACTACAACCTCATCCATCTTGGGTACAATGGGTTCCAGGCGATTATGGAGAATGCCTTGCGTAATGCCCGCCTCTTGAGCAAATCGCTGGAAGCTACTGGTTGGTACCAGTGTGTGAGCGACATACATCGACCAAAAGGCCAGTTTGAATACCAAGGCAAACTCGAGCATGAACCCGAAGGTGAAGGTGTCAGTTCAGCGGATTTCAACGCTGGATTACCCGTCGTCGCCTTTCATTTCACCCAGAAATTCAAGGACGAGTATCCCCATGTCAAGCAGGAGTCTGTCAGCACCTTACTCAGGGTTAAGCAGTATATCATCCCAAGTGAGTCAACCACGAGCGTTCCTTACGAACCTTTTCAATACTTTCTTGAATCTTTTGTTTGCCGAAAGCACTAGCTAACTAATTGCCTCGAAAGACTATCCCCTGCCGCCCAATGAAGAAAAACAAGAGATTCTGCGTGTGGTCGTTCGCGAGAGTATGAGCCTGGATCTTTTGGACCGTCTGATCAGCGATATCATCGCCGTGACTCAATCATTGATGGAATCGGATGTATTTGACCTCCAGGCGTTGCAGAACTCGGCCACATCTATCGAGCAGTCGCATGGCTCCAAGGGAGTTTCGGCAAAACATCGTCATAGGCATGGCAGCGCGAGACCAAGAGAGGAGGGTGTGTACAGGGCCGTATGTTAGACTAGTCGAGAGATGTCAGTGGTGTTGTATCCCATGCCAGTTCGAACATGTCTCACCGCTGTAACAACTCTCCCTCCTGCCGCAAAACGGGTCCTTCTGGAAAAGATAAAGAAGATGCACTGCGCCATCTGTCGTGGTGCTTAGATGACCAATGCATTGGCGGCAAAAGGAAAAAAGAGCAACTCAATGATTGGACTGCCGTTTGCCTTTGGCGAAAATGTCATGTCATGACCCCTGAAGAAATAATTAGCCAATGTGTTCATACAACCCATCTTTGTTCAACTCACTCTGTACGAGGTTGTCGTCAACACATCGCCTCAATGTTTGACTTAGTTCAGGCTCTGTCTCAATTGCCTCAGTTCATTATTGGGGGCAAGCATCTCTGCAATTTCGCCAGCAGCTCGAATCTGCGCGAGCCAGTTCTTCATTACATCCACTTGTTGCTGACCGCCTTCCTCAACACAGGTAGCTTTAACTAGAGCTGGGTCAATGACCTTAACTCGCTGAGTGGCGTGGCGTCCCGTCACGCTTGAGTCTCCTGGGGCTCTAGCTTGCGGGGGAGGATCGCCGTTATATTTGGCGTACAACAATCTCGCCCGAGCATTTTTAAACAGAGCAACTTTGTGAAGGTTGATATCGCCACCATAGTCTTCCACCGCATGTTCGAATGCTCGGACGAGAGTCATCTTACTCCACCCGAAGTGGTTAGCCTTCACCAGAAGATTCGCGACAAAAGCGTTGTCGTCGATGTTGTGTTCGAGTTGCAAGAGCTCCGAGGTGCCCTTGCGAATCATTTCGTTGATTCGTACTAGTGCTTCTTCCCGTCCACCGTTGCGCTTGATTTCAATCGATCTGATCATCTCCCAGGAGATCGATCGAGTGGGAACTCCAAGGAGAGCCAGGAAACATATCTTGCTGCTAGTATCGTCTCCAATGAGAGAAGCGAGTGTTGTATGGCCCTTGCCAGGGTATCCCTTGAGGAAGTCAATGATCTGCGGAACCGATACCTTTTTCGCAAGGTGGGCGGAAGACGACTCCATCGTTGAGATCTGTTCTAGATACAACTTTGACAGGGATTGAGAATGAATTGAAGGAAGGGATAGCAGTCGATCTATCTATGCGTGACAGAGACGAAAGTGTGAGAGTGGCACAAGAGAGACCATGAGCACGCCTGGAAGAATCCGAAACTGTGGTGTGAAAAGGTAGGAGAATTGTGGTTTGGCACAATAAGACGACCTTCGACATGTGACGAGGAACGGGGTGAGCGGTGTTGAACAGTGTGAAGGACCACAGAGCCACTCAGAGCATGAGATTCTTTGCGTTATGTTATGCGTGAGACGGCGCGACAATGTTGTCGTCGACTCATATTCACGGAGTCTCTTGAGACACTAATGTCTCCTTGGCGGTGACTTTATGGTGGTGTCGTCGAGGTCAAGTGAAGCGGTGCCAATTTTCGCGGCTCCCAGTTTTCTGCCATATATACTAGGTAACTAGACTCATGGTTCCTGAGTCCTTCCAGAGTCTTTCGGCTTGAATATCGGGCAAGGGTCATTGCTGTGCTGACGAGAGATAATGTCGTGAAATTCTCAAACGGTCTTCGATAGAGAGGGGAGAGAGATGTAGTGGTAGAGCGCGGCCCTGAGCATCGGCCAGGCAGCTCCTTTCCGTCCTGTTGGAACGCTCATCTCTCCCGCTAAGTGGAAGTAGCCTTCTCACAATGGATTCTTCACACAAAGCTGCGTGCGATAGGAGATTTTGATTCATGTGTTGAGTAACCCATTCACTTCTCTAGGACTGTTGGTGTGAAACTCGTCAGGTGGGTCCAACGTCTTCCCACAAGGCTCGCTGCGATAGGAATTGACCAATCACGTGAGTCATGCTCCACGTGACTGAGTATCCAGCCAAGTCAATGGGTGGTGTCTTTGGGTTTCTGTTGCTCACTGGTGACTGGAGTTTGGATTCTCTTGTCGTCATTGTGAGTGCTCTTGTTGATCTTTGCCGGCATTGCTCTACTTTCGTGAGGGTCTGACACTTGTCGTTTTCGGTTCTGAGGCGGGTCGGGTGCTGGCCCCTTTGGGGGTTCAGCATGGGCATGTTGATCTCGTAGCCCAGCGGCGGCATTGAGGTGGTGTTTGGTCGCGCGATCCATGCGGCAGCTGCGGCACGTGGGTCATGGATCACGCGACTGCATGAAAGAAATATATAGGGATATATATATATACACACAACAAAGAGAGTGGAAAACAGAAAACAGATCTTAAGAGGACATCCGACAGGATGGCCGTCAACATTGTTAAGTGGACAACAACCAAGTGTCACCACATTCGATGACTGTAACGTTATTCACCTTTCAAGAAGCATGACTCTCTCAAGTAGATACGACCAGTCACTTATCCATAAAAATGATAGTAGTGAATGAATGTTGGCATACCGAGACGAGGCTACAGATGAAAGGAGATGTCTTATCACGTGACCATTTGAACTGTTGACATATCACGTGGCTGAGGCCCGCTCATTTCAACTATCGTAGAACACTACGCTTCACTTCACGCATTTGTGTCCAGCATTCGCAACTCACCTGAGAACAGTACCTTTTCCATGACCGCTATCGACATTCAGACTTAAGTTGATGCCCCGCATATGGTCTGAAACTCGACGTTGGTTCTTCCTCGAAAAGTAATCAATGTTGTCATTTTGACGAAAGACACCCTAGTCTTGGATGGTGCCTTCCAGACTTGAACACTGGTAGCCGCTGCTTCTACCACCTACAGGACAAAGCCGCTATTGACATCTTATAAGTACGAGCATGACCTCGAAGCTTTGACACAATTTGCTCAAGATACCAATATTGGCTCTAGACGCTTCCCGACTAGCAGCAGAAATGTCATCCCAGTCATCGCTCCCGCAAAGACCGTCGTCTCGCCTCTCAGCCGCACAGGTAGACCAATCCGCAGTACGAAATGATACCTCAACGCCGGAGGAGGCGAATTCGAACGATGAAGAGGCTGAAGGCGACTTGCCGATGAGTATGACCGCAAGTGTCATCTTGACCAATCTGCCGAAAGACGCGAGCGAAGCATTAAGCCTTGTGGACGAGCTCGATAATTTCAAAGGTACGTTGGGATCTTGTTGCATTTTTCCATTCACGTATCTCAAATCGAGGCGCCGATGTGTCCGAAAAAACAGTAGCATAGTTCGGAGTGATGGCCAACCTGCTGACACCTGTTATTTTTCTCTGGGAACAGTATCGGTGCGCTTCCAACCAATCGGATCAGCGCCAATCTTAAAGCAGAAGGTCTTTAAGATTAGTGCATCATCACGATTCAGCGTGGTGTTGAACTTCTTACGCAAAAAGGTCGGGACCAAGGATGGTGATGGGCTGTTTCTGTATGTCAACAACGTGTTTGCTCCTGGGCTAGATGAGGGAGTCGGCAATTTATACAGGGTGAGGACTGATTCCTCCTACAGTGCCGCTAGGTAGCAACGGTCAGGCTAACATTGATGTATAATTTAGTGTTTCAAAGTCGACGACCAATTGATTGTGAGCTATGCTACAACGCCCGCTTTTGGTTGAGACTACACCGCATCCTGTGATGGACGACTCCCTGCAAATGCATCTAGCAATGCATAACACACGCTAAGGAACGCTATGACTGAGTTGATTGAATGGCCGCTCGGAACGCTTCCGTCACTTTCGCATCGCTCTTGTACACATGCTGGGGCCCAGGGTATGAGCGATCAGACACTTCATCCTTGTATTGTTTGATGGCAGCCAGACCGCTCTCCCACATGGAGCCATACTTTTTAACAAATTTTGGCATAAAAGCGTCAGGGGGTCGAATGCCAATCATGTCGATTTGCACCAAGACCTGACCACTGGTCTTGTTGCCAGCACCGATGCCAATGGTGGGGATCTTCAGAGCGTTGGTGACTTCCTCAGCAATCTCAGAGGGGACGCATTCGAGGACGACAGCAAAAGCACCAGCATCTTCCACAGCCTTGGCGTCCCTGAGTAGAGCCATGGCTTTGTCCAGAGTGTTGCCTTGAACCTTGAAACCGCCCAAAGCATGCTGCCTTTGTGGGGTGAGGCCGATATGTGCAACGAGGGGTATTCCTGCGGTGGTGATCTTCTTGATGGCGGGGGCCATCTCAGCGCCTCCTTCGAGCTTGACGCTCTGCATGCGACCCTCTTTTACCATACGAATGGCGCTAGTAAGAGCCTGTTCGGGAGATATCTCGTAGGAACCCATAGGGAGGTCACCGACGGTGAAGGACCGGTTGACGGCTCTGCTCACAGCCCGTGCGGACATGATCATCTCGTCGAGTGTCACCTCGGAGGTATCTGGCATACCAAGAGAGACCATGGCGAGCGAGTCACCAACCAAAATCATGTCCATGCCCGCTTCTTGAGCGATCAGAGCTGAGGGGAAATTATGGGCGGTCAACATGGTGATTGGGGACTTTTCTTGGTGCATTTTCTGCAGGGTCTGAATGGTGGTAGGCTTTTGGCCACGGGCGGCAAGGGACGGCGACGAGGGAGCATGTGAGCTGAACCTTGTCTGTTGCCGTTGTGAACGTGGTAATGAGGCTGTGAGGGAGGTAGTGATGGGGGAGGATCGGTGTAAACATGATCGTGTGAGGGAGGGTATCCGCGTGACGCAGGACGAATGTGCCATCTTGTTAGCCCGGACTGTTGTGAGATTTGGAGGAAAGGGAAGGTCGAGGAGAAAGGAAATTGGATTTGAGAAGTCTGTGAGGCATGTCTCTTTGTTATTTGGGCGATCAGACGAAGTTTTTAAATATCGTCGTGCTGTATTGTATATGCGTAGATCTGAGATACAAGATGGAGAAGCCGGGGTGCGGTAAGTAGAATGCAGTGCAGGTCAGATCACACCCCAGGCACGAACCTCGGTCTTTAGTCCAGCGCCAGCCTTGCTCGGAGTTGGGGAATAACCGCCGAAGCAGACTGGCTGGATTTCTTTTACAGGTCCGAGGGACTCCCTTGGCAGCCTAATAATGTCTAATCGTACGCATAGTCCCGGCTACCGGATCACATATTTCATTTGGCATTGCCGCCAGGGCGAGGGAAGGGCATGCCGAAACTATCGGCCGGAGGGGCAAATCTTTCTTACATAAGGACTGCCTGGAGACCTACGAGTGAACCGAGGCTGAGGGCTCCAACATATCATTAGGTGGAGGGGAGGACGTGCAGGTGTCTTGTGACTTGACCCTTTGTCACCCAATGTATGATAGGAACTCGCAGTCATGTCATGGTAAACGAAATGCAGTATAATGATGACAGCAGATCCTTTGTTTCCTAGATGAAGCAGCTTGGCCGACTTGTGGTATTCCATTGAGCCAAACTTCGGTCGTTATTGGTAGGGTGTATTAGTGGCAGTTGACCCAGACGAGTGGTGGGCGGCGAAGCGAATTGCGTTAGCAGGTGACTGGCCGCTCTCAACCGTGGTTCCAGCGGCTGGGATGCCTTGACCAGTTTCGGGTACGCGTCAAATTGTTTATGGTTAGATGCAGGAAGGGAGCTTGGTTGACGATAGACCTGTAAAAGGCTCCAAAGAATCAAACACAACTGACTGCTCCCGAGACGGTAGGGTTTGATGCCTAAAGTCAGCGTACGAGTACTCGGACTGGTGGGGGACCGGCCACACGGGGATACTACCGGTGCTCACATAAGGTACTCACTCGTACAAGGCAATAATAGTACTAACTTGGTAGTGACCCCGTGAGTCGCGGATCCAATGACTGCCCCACGGTAGTGTCTGCAATTGGTGTGAGATTAGAGGTAAAGTCTGGGGAGTAGTAATGATACGCCCGGATCATGCCCGAGAGGGTCATTATTCTCAAGCCCACCTGACGCCCGAGGGACTTGACGCTCCTCATAGACCAAGCAGCACCCACCCGTCAGACATCATTCCAGATTCACCAAAAGGCTTGCTTGCCCTGTCTCATTGACTAACCACCGCAGCAAACCGTCCATCTTCCAACGACATTTAACATAATAGTATCCTCTCCATCCTCAAACCTGACACATACTCAACCCTCGTTCAACTTCCTCCACATCATTATTAACCTATACAGGCTCCAGTCCTTCGATATCTCTTCCGACCGCCATCCAGCAAGCCCTCGTCACTCGGTCCCAACCCCACTACCCCCAACACATTCCGGATTTAGTTGAAGGGCACCACTCTGATCGTTAAATCACTCGCATACGATCTTTCCTAAACGTCCTTGGTCAGCGTCGCGGCCCAGATCGAACTTCTGCACTTTATTTTGCCAACGGGCTATCAGATATTGAAGAGCGGTTCACCATGAGTAGCCCCAAGCGGAGGATAGAGACAGATGTGATGAAGCTCATGATGAGCGATTATGAAGTGACACTAGTCAATGACAATATGCAAGAGTTCTATGTCATTTTCAAAGGACCCACGGAAAGTAAGAGCACAGAAGATTTTCCATAATGCCAATTCTCGGGAGAGAGAGAACCGTGGTGACTGACGAGACATGGTTTACAGCACCTTTCTCGGATGGCAAATGGAAGGTCCATGTCGAGTTGCCAGATCAATATCCTTACAAGTCACCGTCAATTGGCTTTGTCAACCGAATCTTCCACCCAAACATTGATGAGTTGTACGTTGGGGTCATGGCAAGTGCTCGGACGAGGAAAGAGTTGGCTGACATGGGATTTCAGGTCCGGATCGGTGTGTCTCGACGTCATCAATCAGACGTGGTCTCCCATGTTTGACATGATTAATATCTTCGAGGTCTTCCTTCCACAACTATTGAGGTACCCCAATCCCACCGATCCTCTCAACGGAGAGGCAGCCGCTCTACTAATGAGAGAGCCTCGGAGCTACGATGCACGGGTCAAAGGTAGGTGGTGCTCTAGTCTCGTAGACGAGTTTCCGTTATACTAAGGGGACAGAATACGTTCACCAGTACGCCACCAACATCCATGACGCAGCAGATGAGGAAGAAGGTGAGACGGACGGAGAATTGAGCGAAATCGAAGATTTCAACAGTGATGGCGAGGACGAACCTGCCGGCAAACTGGAAGATGTTTAAAGTTGGAGTTCTGGAGCTAGCTCAAGTCTGATTCAACATGTTTCGGCTGTGGACTTTGAGGCACGGCGCTGGGTGCTTTGGGCCTATACTTTCAGCGTCAGGTCAATGGAATCGGAACCATATCGATTGTTGGAGTCAATTTATCTCCAGAAGCTCGTGGAGGTCTGGATGCAGGTTTTAGGGCATATTAAGGCAGCAATCAGAATCTCAAGACTTTTACTACGAATTTGTGTTGTGTCGATGAGTGGACATGGCGTGTAGAAGTAGATGTGACAGTGTGGTGTGGGTGACTATTCTTCAATCTTCCAGAGAGTGCTCGGTGCCCGGACGATTGCTCGCAGGCTCTCCAGACGCCTAAACACGCCCGAAAGTCCCTTTGGACCCTGAAAGTGACTAGCTTGGCTAAGTAGGTAGGTATTATACAAGCATCTGAGATAATGACAGCATCAGACTCATTCCTCAGACCATCAACGGGTGAAAAGGTGAAGATGTAAAACATGTAGGTACTCTGTTTGCCCTACCTCAGGTAGCTGGCATAAGCGCAGGCTTCCATGAAACACTTGGTCAGTTGTCGACATCCATATTGGAATGGGTGACATGACCACCAGTGACCTTCGTCTGAGGGGCTCGAGGGGCACCATGTCTCGTGCCAGATCACGACCTGGTCCCTCCGCTTAACTCCTCCCCACTCCCTCCGTTACGCAATTCGCGTTCCAATCGTGCATCCATCCCACTCTGGCCACCATCTGATCTCTCTTTGGTGGCTTTTGCTATCTTTATTGAGGTTCCACAATTCAAGGATTCCCAGCCACGCCTCGACTCCAGTGTGTCACTCGACTGCCACATGATGCTCTTGCCCAAGCTCGCCATCCTTGCCACCATGTAGGCAACTCATTGATTCATTCTAACCTCATGCCTAGTTTCCCTTTCTCTCACCTTTAGAATTATCATGTTTAACATTGCAGACTCAATCTCCAGATCCTCCAACAGTTTTTCTCCGTCATCCATCCTTCCAGACCTGAAACGTCTGATACCTGATCGGTAGCTGGACTCCCTCACTCACCAGCTGGATGGTCGCTGCACTGCCCACCGCTGCCACATTGTGCGCACCTCACCTTCATCCAGCCAAGTCGTGGACTCCTTCCCCCTCCTTGAATCGACACAAATCTTAGTAGTTGACCTACCACTCCCATCGCAGTGCATCTCTCGTCAATATCTGCCGCACGGCATTAAAGCCTCATGGCCCGACTAGACTCAGAATCAGAATCAGCAGCACCTCAAAGTCCCCTTTCAATCCCCCAGCTCCCACCAGAAGTCATCCTTCTCGTCTTCTCCTTCTTAGAGGTTCCCGATCTTCTGCAAATTAGTCGCACTTGTCACACGCTTCGCGCACTAGCCTGTGACCCTCTCCTCCATGCAACTCGTCTACACCAAGCATCTCAAACCCTCTCCCGTGCGCTCTCTAGGCGACCTCCCAAATCCACACTCTCTCCTCCCAATTCATGGATCTGGCTTTCCAAGACCAATGTCCTCTCGCGCCAGATTTCCAAGTCTCTTATCCGCATCCGCCTGAGTCATAATCTCGAACATCGCCCGTCACCTATCTATCTAGTAGAGCGCGCCATCCTACCCAGCACGTGTTCTACCTATTCCAGCCTAGTCTCGCCAGCACTCATACAGTCGCAACAACGCGTGCAGCGGAGAAAGCTGATGGATGGCCTGGGAAGAAAACTCAACCGGAGACCGAGTGTCAACAGTCTGGTCTCACTGAATATCATGCCAGAGGAATGTGTAAGGAAGAGTGTCAGCCCAGCGATTGTCGCCACCAGGCGGAAGGTGATTCGCGAAGGCTTGAAGGATGGCTTAAGAGCTTGGGTCGAGGGGAGAGGGATACAAGCACAGAAAAGAAAAGCCGACGAATTGGACATGGTCGAGAGGGCGACGGTCAAGACTCTCGTCAGGAGGTTCGCAGCTCAGAAGTTGGCTGTGGATATGGAGCAGAACTTAAACCATATCTCACTGGACAGGAGAAAATCTCAGGCCCGTTGGGGCAGAGAAGCCGAACTCGCCAGGATAAATGATCAAAAGAGAGAAAAGAGCGGCGCTGGGGCTTGTCTCCACCCTACCAGGGCAAATGTGCTGGGCTTGAAGAAGTTTTGGGAGAGTGTTATCCGACCACCGACTTGAGATTGCTATGAAAACTACAACTTGGGTTTCTAGGATTTTGAGATTGATGCTGATTCAGGCTCAAAAGGACTATTTCGTTCAGACTACTGCTCAAAACTCAAGCCGTGCTCCAATTCGAATGCTTTCTGGCCATCCAATTCAACCAATGGCCATCACGACGCCGCCAACACATCCTCGATCCTTCATTCGTCAGCCAATACGGACAGTCTTGAGCATCGGCACCCCGGTGTGAACTTGTTCATAACCCGGACGCCACTCGTACATCTACACTCATGCTTCTTCTTCCCGTTCTTCTTTGCCATCTTCCATCTTGACCGCGTCATCAGTGGCCTCATCCTTCTGTCCCTCCACACCAGCATCACCCTTGGGCTCGCCTTTTGGCTCCTCGGAACTAGCAACGACCTTATCATTGTCTTCATTCTCATTCGTTGGTTTCTTTTTCGCCGCTTTGAGAGGCTGTTTCGTCTTCTTTGCACTTTTGGTAACACCAGCTGGCTTCTCAGGGGAACCTGCAGAAGGGGTACTGCCAATGCCTCCGGTCATATTCAGCTTCTTTCGAAGACCTGCCCACGAAGCCTTTGCCGAATTTCCGTCCTTCAGACCAGTTGCTCCAGCCATAGCTTCGTAATTGACCTATTCTCACGGTGGAGTCAGTGACCAGTGATAATGGACATTGAGGGTAGGTAGGGAGGAGGTCATGAGATCAATGGATCTCAAACCCATTGCCGATCTCAAAATCATCGAGACCAAACATCGCAACGTACCTGGATTCTAGCATCATCCTTGAGGTTGGTAAGAGCACCGACGAGGAGTTCCATCTCTCGAGGAGTAAGTCCGTCCGCGTCCTTGGACTTGGTTGGAGTTTTGGTGGGAGTCTTCGGCGCAGCCCTGGGCTTGGCCTTGGACTTGGGAGTGGCCTTGACATCAGGCTTGGGAGTGGTGGGAGTGGCAGCGGCCACAGGTTCAGGAGAGAAATCAGCCATGTTGTTATGTGTGGAGGGAAGACAACGACAAGAATAATGACGATGGCTAGCCGTGAGAGCTGACGAGGAAAGAGTGGTGTTCTTGATGTTGTGTGTGAAGGCAAGTCAACACACAAGGAAGACGAACAGGAAGATGATGATGAGCAGCAGCAGCGAATGCTGACAATGAAAGATTCCGGCTTGCTAATGTTGATCAGTCCAGAGGATCGGCCCTGAGGGAAGTGTCAATGGCTTAAAGAGAAGAAAGGTACTTGAAGATGATACTGGAAAGATTGACTGAGATGGATGAGTTCTGGGAGAAGAACGAGGATTATATACTTATAAGGAGGTCACAATACTGGTCTTTTGCACATGCTTCTGCGGTGAGTGGCAGAATTCACCCTGCTCATCTATGTAGGTGGCTGAACGGTTATATCACGAGGTTTGGCTATTCATCAGTCACAGACTTGGCTAGAGGAGACATTTGGTTGTAACGACTTGTTCTACTCACTTTTCCTGCCGGGCTAAACAAGGATGCGGCGACTTGGACAAGGCCATTCAGCTAATAAGACAAGTCCAGCGTGTGAGAATGCGACTACATTACATTGGAATATCAAGAGGTAAAGACGTCAATATACAGAACGATCTCCAGAGACGGGGAACAAAAGAGGCTATAGCCCAATCAACGTGCGACATGAAAACGACGTTGAACGAGGTCCAAAAATCGACGCTACAAGGTGCTAGTTTCGACTTCAAATGGTGACAGTTTTGTGAAGGGCATATACAATCAATGTGCGACTTCAAGGCCTGAGGTGCGGCTCGTGCAGTAGCAAATGTAGTCTCCGTCCATGCAGGTCCATGATTTTTAGCTAGAGACATCAGGCGAAGCAGAAACTTAGCCCATTCAGGAAGAGTTGTTGGTAAGATCTTCCCAGTGTGAACTGGTAGTGGCAGCCTAGCAAATTCTCAGCCTTGTCCATTTCGGTTGCAGGAAGACCTCCAAAGCGCTGTTGCAGCTAGGCACTACACAAGCGTTGCAGCGGTCAAATCATTTGCTCAAGCGCCTCGGTGGTCAATTCAGTTTTTCAAGCTGGCTTGCGGAAGACAGTCAGGCAAGGTCTTTCTAACATCATGCAGCATTCGTCCTATAGTATGATGTTTAGCAACTGCAGGCTCATGCCACATGCCCTGCTCAGAGGCAGTATTCGTGGCGCACGTGCTGTAGCCCTCACTGACATGTTGATGACCACACGCGAGGATCTGTCCAACATTCACCATTCAATATCCGGCATTGTCCTTCCTGGTCCATAGTTTGATCATTCAAACTGGAGTGCCAGCTTGAGTCTTGGACTCGACCTCGATCTGAGCCATGTCATCACCCAATTGCCCGTCCTGCTGGTCTTCCTCTACCATTGCCAAGACGTTTTCATTCTCTTCGGCTAGTGCTTTCTTTCCGCCTTGCTTCTTACTGGCCCGTTTCTTCACTCCTGCTGGCGAACTCGACCCCTTAGCAGTTGCCTTTTTGGCCGTTGGTCTGTCCCTGTTGAACAATTTGTTCTTGATTGGAGTCCAGACTGCACACGCGGTGTTTGCATTCTTCAATCCTGTAACGGTAGCCATCTTCTCGTAGTCGATCTAGGTTTCAGATCTGGTTAGCTGGTGTTTTCACAAGCATTGCAAGGTAGCTACTGCGAACCCAGGTTTGGGAACGCGAACGTGGCTCACCTCAAGCTTAGCATTGCCTCTCAGACTCTGAAGTGCTACCACAAGATACTCGAGGTCTCGGGCGGTGAGATCGGATTTCTTTGGCGAAGACATTATTGTGGATGTCTGATTTGGACGTCGACCGCTGTGGAAGTCGGCAAAAGTCGTGGAGTGAAGCTTTGGTGTAGACGTCTCTTGATGCCTGCACTGGCACTTGGTCTTGGGAAACAGATGAAATGAATCGGAACGATGGACGAAGGAGACAGGTGTTGGTACAGAGGAGATGAATTGTCTGAATAAATATCCTCGAGACTCTGATCTACATGTGATAGATCGGCCCAGTCTGAAGGCGCCTACCTGCACGTGGCTGGGCGCCGCCTAATGAAAAGACAGTCATAGTAGTACAGTTGAGACTATGTCGTTGTGAGAGCCCGTCATATCAAGTGATCAGGTTCGTACTTTTCATTATGGCGAAAAAGAGTCTGGCAGGGAATTGAGGCGGCATCATAGAAATATTCAACAAACCTTTTCACTAGGGTCAGGAGCATGATCCTCTAGTCGATCACTAAATAGAATAGCTGCGATCTATTTCAATTATAAGGTCATTCAGTACTATCCATTGGAACTTGATACATTTATAAATATAGGAGTGATAGGTAGTATCTTTCGACTAGAGAAGGTACGAAGTGGTTGTCCTGCCAACAGATTAACCCCACAGTTCTGCACCTTCCGGAGTTTTTGCGTCACTTCTCACTTTAGGAAGGCGCCACCAAGGAACCCATATCCTCTGGCGTCATTCATCCTCTGTGTTAACACCGCTTGACCAGTGTTACACCACGCAACCTATACGCGTGTCGCTGGATTACGGCACTAAACACCTCTTTTATTCTTTCCTTTGGCCTCAGCATCGACATGGTACGAGAGCGAGAGCCTGCCCGCCATCCTCTTGCGCCTTCAATGGGTAATTCCGCTCCGCCTGCGAAGCCTCTGGAACATGACAAGCAGAAGACTCAAGATCCTTTACCCGACCTCGCACCGCAGTTTGGTCAACCTAGTGCTCTTGGACTGTCGCCTCAACCGTATTCTAGGACGCAACCTCTTGTTCGACCCGGCCCCAACCCTTCTACGACCCGACAGGTCAGTGGAAACCATGGCGACAAATACTCAAACCTCTTCGTCCCTTCAAAGAAACCCGTTCACCGACCCGAGTTGCACAAGCCGCACCTAGTCGCGAATCCCCTTCAAGCCTTTCGAGACATCCGTCCAGGTCAACCCCAATCGACGAACCCAACGGCCTCTCGCCGGCAGCTTGATGATGACGAAGATGAAGTTTTCAAGATCGCAATACCTACAAACAACTACCCTTCCTGGCAGCACAAGCCTGTTCCTCACCAAAAATTTTCTGCCCCATTCTCGACAAACCCTTACATCAAACCTAAACCACCGGCGGATATGACAAGGGACACTTCAAACGAGCTTCCGGGATGGAAAGATTCTCGCCAAGACGATTTCTTCTCGTCCACAGATCCCTTTACTTACATGGACGCAGGCAAAGCCAATGAAAATATCAAAGCTCTTCTCGAGGGTGCATTCGAGGATGAAGACGACAAACCCCGGACAAGACGGAAAAAGAAAGCCTTGGACCAGAAGCTAGATGATTTAACCGCCAAGATGGAAGGCATGTCTGTTAAGAACCAAGTCCAGCCCAACAAAGAGGAAGAGGAGGAAGAAGAAGAAGAAGAAGAGGGGGAGGAGGATGTTGATGATGGTGCTATCCCCGGACTTACAGTCAAGCTACTCCCCCATCAGATTGACGGCGTCAACTGGATGCGAGACAAGGAAACTGGTACCAAGAAAACCCGTGGAGTCTTACCCAAGGGCGGTATTCTGGCCGATGACATGGGCCTCGGCAAGACTATACAGTCAATTGCATTGATTCTCTCAAATCGCAGACCCACGACCGAACAACTTGCCGAGACGAAGAAGAAGCTACCTGAAGGCATCAGTCATGGAACCTTGGTGGTGGCTCCCCTGGCCCTCATCAAGCAGTGGGAAGGGGAACTCAAAGATCGTGTTGAGACCACCCATGCCTTGAAAGTCTGCGTCCACCATGGACCCGGCAGAACGAAGAATTTCAATGACCTGAAAAAATATGATGTCGTCATCACCACATATCAGACATTGTCATCAGAACATGCCGGCTCGGAAGGGTCTCAAAAGGTCGGTTGTTTCGGTGTACACTGGTTCAGAGTGATTCTTGATGAAGCACATTCCATCAAGAACAGAAACGCCAAAGCTACAAAGGCCGCGTGTGCTCTGCGCTCTGAGTATAGATGGTGTCTCAGTGGCACACCTATGCAGAACAATCTGGACGAGCTGCAAAGTCTCATCCACTTCCTCCAAATCAAGCCATATGACGACCTCAACACTTGGCGTGAGCAGATCACAAAACCAATGAACAACGGCAAAGGCGGCCTTGCCCTTCGACGCTTGCAGGTCTACCTCAAGGCATTCATGAAGCGACGGACAAAAGACATTCTCAAACAGGATGGGGCCTTGAGGTCAGGCAAAGGCAGCGGATCCGCCGATAAGGGCAAGGACCCTGGGTTCAAGATTGTGGCTCGCACAGTGGAAAAGGTCGAGGCTGAATTTACCGAACAAGAGCGTGGATTTTACCAGCGCTTAGAGTCACGAACCGACAAGAGCCTTGAAATGATGATGGCAGGAAACAAAATGAGCTACGCCTCGGCCCTGGTTCTACTGATGCGACTCAGACAAGCTTGCAATCACCCCAAACTGACTGGCAGCGATCTGTCCAACGAGAAAGATGCGTTTACGGGGAGCCAGACACCAAGTCGCCGAAAGGGCAGCACGGATGACGACATGGACTCGATCGCCAATATGCTTGGTGGGCTTAGTGTTCAAACCAAGAGATGCGATGTGTGTCAGATTGAGCTTTCGGGTCTGGAAGCTGCAAATGGTGCTATTCGGTGCATGGAATGTGAGGAAGACCTCGACAAGCAGAGCGCTGATGTCAAAGCAAAGAAGTCCAATCGCCAGAAGCATGCGAAGAAAGAGAACAAGGGTATTTCTCATCAGCGTAAGCAAGCTCGTCGGATTGTCGTAGACAGCGACGACGATGAGGATGATGATGATGACGACACAAACGAGGTGACGAGCGACGAAGATGAGAACACATCGTCAGAAGATGAAGACGATTCATCAACTTCCGAACACAATCTCCTCCAGTCCACCAAGATCAGACACTTGATTCAAATTCTCAAATCGGACGCGCACAACAACAAATACATTGTCTTTTCATTCTTTACCTCGATGCTGGACCTGATCGAACCATTCCTTAGATCCAACCGCATTCGTTTCGTTCGGTATGACGGCAAGATGCGCAATGACGCCCGCGAGGCAAGCTTGAACTCTCTTCGATCCGACCCCTCAACCAGAGTTTTGCTTTGTTCGCTCCGGGCTGGATCTCTTGGTCTCAATCTGACGGCGGCATCTCGTGTTGTGATCCTCGAACCGTTTTGGAATCCGTTTGTGGAGGAGCAAGCGATCGATCGGGTCCATCGGTTGAACCAGACGACGGACGTCAAGGTGTACAAATTGACCATCAAAGATACAGTCGAAGCTCGGATTCTGGAGTTACAAGACAAGAAACGAGAGCTCGCGAATGCTACGATTGAGGGCCGCAAGGGAGCCATGAAGTTGACACTTCAAGACATGCTCAAATTGTTTGGACGTGACGCGGAGCGTGAACATCGTGTTGAAGTTCCTGCAGTTCAAAAGGTCAATGGCAGGCCACAAGAAATGTTCAGACATCAAAGTGCGGCTTCGGCTGCTGCGCAGGCTCCTGACAACCGATCCTCCACGCACTCAGCGTCGACATCTAGATCCTCGACAATTTCCGGTCAAGGGGCTAGTGGCCATAGTGGCTCGAATCGTCCCCGTGAAAAGATACGAATCAGCGATCCGAACAAGGTGGTGCGGAAGGAGCACGAAGTCTATGGACGAAGATGGTGAGGGTGACGTGGAAACGGGACGAAGGAAGGGTCTTGACGATGGGCATGAGCTACCATCCAAGGGCTCTTGTCACATTTCTCAGTTTTTTGGACGAGTACAAATGTAGAAGGCTATGTGGTGTTTTGAATAAGATGCTGGGGCTTCAGACGATGACGATAGACTGGGTCCAATGCCATGTGGTATAATAAAAGTCAAGGTATGCATGGTGGTTGTGGGGGAGTCAACTACTAGGTACTGTCAGTATCGATTGTTGTCACCTCCATTGCATGAGACGCTAAAGGTTGGATTTGAGGAGTGCAGGAAGGATGTTGGCTACGCGTCTGCTTCTACAGCTTGAATTAATACGGGATCTGGAAGTCATCAAGCTGACGAGTTGCATACGCATACGCATACTCGTAGACATAGATTGAAACCAGGCGACTCAGGTCCAGGTGGCTTTTGTGTTTTGTGTTCTGTGGCCAATCATGGTTGCTTGTTATGTGACTTAAAGTACCGGGTTGCACTTGCCCCCTGTGGAGTGGCAGGCACGAGGAATGAGGAAAGGAAGGAAGGAGAGACTACAGCCTCGGCCCTGGGCCCTGCAGCCGCAGGCAGCCATGGAGAAAAAAAACGTGGCAGCCACAAACCACGCGTCTTGCCGAAGGAACCCCATTCAACCAACCAAGCAACCAACCACCTAGCCCACCCTTGTTGAAGCCTATAACTGTACTTGGTCAACTCCGGGCTTGAGGTGGTTGGTGGGATTTTGGTTACGAGATAAGATGTCATAATTGAATGACGGGCCTTTCATCTTGAGCCAAACACTTGAAAGTTCCAACTAATGCGGAATCAAGAGACACAAGAGGATAGATAGGTAGGTTCAACCAATTTGCGGATCCAGTTTTCGGGAAAATGGACACGGGAGTTCGGGTTTCCATTTATAAAAGCAAACCAGCAGACCAGCACAGGACAAGCAACGACCCATCAACGATGCCGAGCATGCCTGATACCTGCATCATTGTGGAGGCGGTCTCGAGTTGATGGAGAGCGACCTACCTTGCAGGACGAGATGCCGAAGCCCCGAGTGCTGCAAGGAGGGACTCTCTGGTCTGTCACTTAATGGTCTACACCTGCATACATGATTGTGCACACAGCTCTGGGATCGCGATCGACTGCATGACGCGGAGCACCCAAGATGTACGTACTGTACGGAGTAGGTAACGATGAAGTGAGCTAAGCCCAACGAAGGACATTGGGTTTGCCTGTCACAGATGATTTACAAGTGATGGTTTGAGGCGGTGGTTGGAGGAATGGAGGTGCGCGCTGAATGCTGTTATTTTAAATTTAGTTTGAGCATATTTACATGCAATGTTCAGCAGCAAATGTATTGACATCATTGATTACCATGATAAAGAGGCTCGACTAGAGCATGACTGGGAATTTGAACTCGTGTAGGTTATCTGGATATTCGCGGTCCTCCTTCTACTCGGGTTGCGAGAACCTGACTGACCTGTGACTATGCATACGCATCCTCATCCCATACTGATGAGTTTCGAGTCAACTGGGTGGGTGTCAAAAGTGGGACGAACGACCTGAGTCAGCTCGGGCTACGTCGGCAAGACATAGGACATGTAATAATTGCCCAACTGTTCCTCTACAGAATAATAAAATATCAATGATGGTAATCACAATAATCATGCATCGTGAAATATTCAATCACCGCGCTTGTTAGCTAGCCATGTACATGGTACGTATGACGGACCTTGAAGTCCCAGGAGTCTGGCACGCCTAGGGAGTCGACGAGAACAAGAAGGGGGAAGCCACCTTTCTGAGTTTCAATGCACTCCACTGTAGTCCACAAGACGAGGATGAGTAGCAGTGCTACTGCATTGGTAGGATTTTTAGACTCGGACTAGTCCGCAACCAAAGGATGCAGATGACCAGAGGCAAGCCCCGTGCTCTTGAGCAGTGGGCATAGCATGCAAACGCATGTTTGTCTCCTTCCATGCTTTCGGTTAAAGACCTGCGCAATTAGGTATAGGTACCTAATATCAAGCACATTCTTTGAACTGGATCCGGGAGATGGAAGGGGGACTATGCGCACAAGAGGATGGTCATAAGGAGAGCATTGCAGAGAAAGGGGCATATTTTCCGTGTAATCATAACCAAAGATAGGTACCTTAGGCATGAATGGCATGGTATGGATGCCCCTCGGCCCCGTGGTTGCCCCCCTCGGCCCCAATCGCTCATGTCTCGACGCAGGTGAAACGTGGTCGCCCACGCTTTGCGGCTTTGGCGACTGGGCAGCTAACCCATTTGGGGGATCAGGTCCTGATTCGCGGTGGCCAACTAACTCCGTCAGTCATTTGCCCGGATGACCTGACCGTCGGTGCTTGGACCTTCTTTCACACTGGTCACCGAGTGACTCGGTTGGTCCAGAGGATGTCCCAAGTCCCCTAGCATGCCTAAATTTTAGTCAGTCGTGGTCCTTGGATGGTCGAGAAAATCAAGGGCCGCATGGGCCCCTAATCCACCCGAATCAGCCCTGCACCAACCCACGTTGTCGAAATCTGAAATCGGATGCTTAGCGGGGCTGCAGACCTGGCACATGGGCATTAGTGCCACTTGATCCAACCATGCAGTGGGCGCCATGCAAGGGTGCTTTGACTTCCCTCGCGGACCGGTCAACGGTAGCCTTGGGCCCCCTCGGGGTCTGAGGGAGCCACGCTTAATTGCCATGAGCTTGCCACCTGCCGCTGCAGCAATCCTTTCCTCCGGTTGTCCTTGAACTTATTCTGCAGCTTGGTCCAGTTGATCAATGAGTGCGTCGAAGTTGCAGCCAAGTTCGTGAACCAGATTGACCAGATTGACCGGATTGACGTGACATGTATCTGCGGAGTGCCGCATAAAGAGATCACTTCACCTCAGGGCTAATCGGGGTAATCTGGATGAAGCCACCCTGTCCGTGCAGGATTGGCATTCCAGAAGCCATTATCCAGACCAGGGTAGCCAGCATCAATCTCAAGCCCAATTATTAGACACTTGCCAATTGTAGCAACGTGTCACTGCTCCAACGGACGACATCATATGGGCCACGCCCCTCAAAGGTCCCAATTCACGCCAGGTCGAAGCATGAGACTGCCCCATTCCCCATCGAAGACCTGCATCGTTCTCGCTTTGTTGTCTCTCCCTAGCGTTCCCTCGTCCGTCCTTTATCGACCAGAGACCAACTTTTCATGCTCGGAGATGTTTAGTACATACAGTATGTGTAGCCCAGAGTCCAGGCCTGTCTGTCTGGCCCAATCGGGGTCTGAAATTTGCATCAAAGCGCGATGATCGTCTCGATTTCATAACCAAGACAACACTTGACCTTTCCCCTGGACCCAACTCAAGTTTCCAGCTTGATCGACATGCCACTCTCCCAAGGACATGACCAGGCAGGCGGGTAGTCCGTCAGTCAGTCGTCATATTAATTGTCATTATTCATCAGATTCACTCCTAGACCCATAGATTGCGGGTGACTGAGACTGAATTCTAGTCAGCAACCCTCCGAGTCTGACACACTGAGTTCGCCTGACGACCCAATCCCTGTAATTCGCCTCTCCGCCCGCTTCATCAAGGCTACCTGTAACCTAGCACACCTAACGACTTAGGTTTCTTTCCCAAAAGTCTAATCGGGAGCCTCCAGCTAAGAAGCCGTTTCAAGCTTGACTCTTGAGTGTTGCTCTTCTCTCTCTTGCTCATGTTCATCAGTAGTAGTATTGTCTCTCTTTCCTGACGATATTATTTATCCGGGATTCCCCCCTTGCTCGCTTTCCTTGCGCCCGGTCAAAGTCTGGCTTCCCAACTCTATCTCTCGTCACCTCCGTCACTCCTTCTTTGGCGACTTGCTCTGCTGTCAACTCTGGAACTACGCATAGTGGCATACGACTTGTGCTACTCGAACTCCCTGGCTTGCATCTGTATGCCTGCCTTTCTTTCAGGTCTCTCACCCCTGCGAAAATCCGACAAAACAAATCAGAGACCTTTTCGCCGCTCAACGCTCAACAACGCAACGGCCGAGTCGCCTCCCCAGATTTGAAAATTTCTTGCCCGAATCGAGCCCACCCCCACTACAAGGCTTCATCATTCCGATTTTGCACCACTTCACACCTGTCATGGTCCTTCCCTAACAGACTAGCATCGATCGAAAACACAACATCTGCCGTCAATCAAAGTTTGGACCAAGACTCACCGCCACCCTTGCTTGATTTACCTGACCATCGCCCGTCACACAGTTGGCTCTTGGTCAATCATTTCTCATTTCCTCCTCCTGGGATACCGGCTTGGTTCAGCCCTGGTCATCCATCAGCACACCGATGTTGATAATCTGGCAGCTCTCTATTGCCATCTGGAGTGTTTGAGCATCCTTCTACTGGCACCCAATGGGAAACTCCCAGGGCAAGCCCGTGGTTTTGACCGACGAAGGTAGGTGACTTTCCCTCATCTCACGCTCCCAACAACCGTGAATTGAATACATGCTCATGTGTTCCTACAGTCAACCTCAACCATTTCCGACTCCTGCGAGTGGTTGGAAAAGGCGCTTTTGGCAAAGTCCGCATCGTCGAACGCAAAGATTCTGGACTGACGTTTGCCCTCAAATATATTCGCAAGGATGAAGGTGAGTGGCCCCATGACCCATAATTCTTGCGTGCTGTCGTCCCCTGACATTTTCTCAGTCGTACGGTCCGAAAGTGTCCGGAACATTATCCGAGAACGACGCATGTTGGAGCATCTAAACCACCCATTTCTATGCAATCTGCGCTACAGCTTCCAGGATGTCGAGTACCTGTACCTGGTGGTGGATCTTATGAACGGTGGTGATCTGCGCTTTCACATTCAGCGCAAGGCTTTCACCGAGGAGGCGGTCCGGTTTTGGATGGCGCAATTGGCCTGCGCTTTACGATACATTCACAGCCAAGGCATCGTCCATCGTGACCTCAAACCTGACAATGTGCTTTTGGATTCTGACGGCCACGTGCATCTTGCTGATTTCAACGTCGCCTCAGATTTCAAGCCGGGGAAACCATTGACCAGCAAATCCGGCACATTAGCATACCTCGCACCTGAGGTCTTCCGAGGATCAGGATATTACAGCGAAGTGGACTGGTGGTCCCTTGGAGTCACCATGTTCGAATGTATCTACGGAAAGCGCCCCTTTGAAGGCAAGACACACGACGAGCTCGCCGAGTCCATCACCGCAGCCAATCCTCACTACTTCATCACCAAACCTCCCGTTAGCATGCCCTGCATGCACGCAATGACCAGTCTAATCGAAAGGGATCGAAGAAGGCGGATCGGCGCAACCGGGTTTGAGTCGTTTACTTCACACCCATTTTTCCAACCCATCAACTTTGAAGCGCTCGAGAGGAAACAGATTCCGCCCATATTTGTCCCATCTAGCGAGAAGACCAACTTTGATGCCACCTATGATCTAGAAGAGCTCCTCCTCGAAGAGGCCCCACTCGAGGCTCGAGCGCGGAAGCAGAAGCCTCGCGCAGAGCTGCGCAACGATGCAACGTCAAGAGAGATTCGTGAGGACGAATTGCACCGTATGATCGAAACCATGTTTGAGCCTTTTGATTATACACTTGCCAGTTACGATGTGTAGGTCCATGTCCCTCGAGCTTTGGCAATTCAACACTAACAGTGCGCAGGAGTGCCGCCGCAGCCGTCGAAGGCACGGTTCCCGATGAAGACCCACAACTCGTCGCGACCGCCGCGCAGCCTGCATCACTATCAAATCCTGTCTCACCGGAGGGATCACCGCCCCTTTCGCCCACTACCGCATCCATTCCTATCTCGAATGAAAACTACCCCCCACTAGAAGGATTGAAGGCATCAAACCACCCTGAAGCACGTCCAGCACCAGGAGCCTCGAAATCGTTCAGCCGACCGCTGCCACCACAACGACCGTCAGCAGCGACTAGGCAAACGAGCAAAGGCGGAGGAGTGCATATGGTGTTGGACGAATCAGGAAGCTGGACGAATCTCGCCGATCAATCTATGCCAGCAGGAATGGAAGGCGGAGACAGCAACACCAAATACGACAAGGCTGGAGGAAGTATGCTAGGGTTCCTTAGCCGGAAGAAGGGTCGAGACCGGAGCCCAAAGCCGAAAGAAGCTGGCGTTCTAGGCAAGATCGGAGCTCGACACATCATTAGTTGAGAAGGGCGTCACTTCCGAGTCGAGCGCGAATTCGACCCGCCTCACCAACCATGGATCGCACGCCTAGGCGGAGGACTTGATGTGGGATACATGAATAATGAATTGGGTTTTGGCTGGCGTGTTGCATTTCCTTTGCACATAGCGATACTCATCAACGGGGAGCATTTTATATGGCACAAGTGCACAAGCACGCGGGCATTACATCACACTTGACCCTAGATGGAGCTAGGTGTCTAAGTCGCGGTGTCCGTCGGCCAAGGGTGCATACAAATCCACGCGTGGTTATCCAACATGGGTATACCAGGCATTTTGATCCAAGGAGTCGAGTGGTACTATACATGGATGGGGATGGGATCAAATCATGAAGCGGTGAGAGAGAGATGATAATCTTGTAATTTTATAGTACTTTTAGTTGGTCAAAACAACGGCCCAACAGCAGTCACATGCATACCGCAACGAGTGGTGGGAAAGGACGAAAGATGGGGAATACGCGGTGTTCACATACCACACAACTCGGTTGACACTGACAGAATGAGGGAAAGAGAATAATAGACATTATTGATAATCTCGTACATGGACACGTCCTGGAGCGAATGCTCTGACGACTATCAACCGTTATCAGCTTGTTATTCTGTTTGTGGTTGTGATTGTGGGCCTGATGAAATGATTTGGTCTGCCGTGGAGATGGAATTGTTTGGTTGTTGCTAGGCGGCGGGTGGAGGGGAGCCTCGCCCGCCCAGTTGAGTGCCCGGAAGGACCCAGGATAAGCACCTCGGCCACTGCAGCCACCGCAGCTTAACCACTACTGGAGATCCCATAAACAACAAACCCGCACTAAACTCAACTGGGGCCAGCCACTAAACTCGACTCGCACTGGCGGTACACAGACAGACTGGAGAGTAGCACACACGACACAGTCTGACAGTCCACCCATCTGCAGTGCAGTCCCGTGTCTTTCAACACACGCACGCCAATTGCTCCTCCGCACGGGACCTGCCTCAACCTTAGCACCACCACTCATATTGTACTACCACTTGACTACTACTACTAACATCTTCTCCCACCACACCCTCACTTCATACCTTTCAACCTGCCCAAGTCTTTGGTTTTCTCTTTTCCCAGAATCACCATCGACACTCTTCTTCCTCCTTGCACATATCTCTACCACTATCCCTTCCAATTATGTGCGCCTTCTAGTTGCTCTCCGCTGTTGGGTCTCCAGTGGTCGACGCGTCGCGTTGGCAAATCATCAACCCATCGTCCTCGCCCTCGCCCTCGCCCTCGCCTCGCCTCACTGTGCCTCTGACCCTCCCATCCTGTCCGACCCCCTCTACCTCTATCCTCTCCATTCTAGTCTTTCTGGCTTCTGATCAAGCTGGTGAGGCCTATCTTTATGAATGGCAACTGCACTATTCGTACCGCCTTCGCCTCATGACCCGTTCTCGAACATGGCCACTTCCTCTCGCAGAATACCTTTGGCTAGCCTCACCAATGCCACAAACTCACCACACCGGCCTTTGACTAACAGTGGTTCCAAGAGACCAAGAAGCATAGCCAATGTCTCGCACCAGGAAAATGAACCTCCCCAGAAGCGTCTCGCCGTGGACAAGACAAACAAAGACTCCCACACTGCAACCCCACGGAGACAGACCAATTCACAGCACCCTACAATGCCAGAAGCGCGTGTCTTTGAACGTGGCAATGGCGAGTCAGCATCCAACGCTTTTCAGAGGAAACTTGTTGCTGCAAGAGATGGACCTAACCCTGGTATGAGGGTCACGAAGACTCTTGATCCCATCCACGCCTCCAAAGAAGAGTCCATTCGAACATGGCAGAAGCACTATCGCAAAATATTTCCTACCTTTAGCTTTTATTTTGATGGTCTTTCTGACGATGCTCGAACAAGGTTTGTTCGACAGATTTCCTCACTTGGAGCGGTATGTCATCGCGTGTCCCCGCCTTTTGTTTCTCTTTTCCGTGTCCTAACCGTGTCACTGTAGAAAGAGGAAAAGTTCTTCTCGAAAGCCGTCACACATATTGTCACCACTCGTCAAATCCCCTCACCAGCTAGATCGGTCGCGCCTGAGGCTGATGCCACCCATTCTACCCATCTTGACGACCATCAACCACAGACCATTGACCCCTCTCTCCTCAAGTTGCGAGTCCCCACGGCTTCGACCGCAAGACGCGATGGTACCAATCATATGGACATTCTAGTAAGAGGTCGTGACATGGGAATGAAGATTTGGGCAACAGAGAAGTTGCAACGAATCCTGGGCTCCATTTTTGAAGATGCCGCAAACCTGGGCCAACATACTCGTGGTGGTAATCATGCATCTCGAACTCAACACGAGGATCTTGGTCAAGTGCTCAAGAATGAAAAGTTGGGGGCCTCGTCTGAGCGTGAACAGCCGTTCATGTCTCTTGTGACTTTCAAAGGCCCATTTGTGTACATTCACGACATGGATGAAAAGTATCGTCCCACCATGGTGAGGGAGTATCCCAAGGTGGCCAAAAGGTCGGATGGCGAGTGGCCGCAGTTTCGCTCGGCGAGTATGGGAAAGTGTCCCTTTGTCGAGGATCCAGCCATGAAGAAGGAAGTGGAACAAGAGCGTAGTCGAGCAAAGGTGGCTGCTTCTCGACAACAACGTGAGACTGAACAACAGCAACAGGGTTCCAGGACCAGGTCCACCGCGTGTCTTGAGACAACAAAGGTTCTTCCTCCTCGTCGGACGAGCCCCCGAAAAGCTTTGCAGGTCGTTCACAACGGCGCCCATGCCAATATGGATGTTGGCGCGGACAGAGGGACCAAAAGACCTCAGCCAACTCAGCTCGAACGCCAGTCTTCATTTCCTCCCATGCCGGCACAGCCAGCATTCGAGTTCATCCGCCCCTCTCAGCTGACCATGTCTAAAGAACCTGCTGCTTCAGGTATCCAAAGATCAAACCTGACCTCTGCACTTCAATCCAATATGATCTCTTCCACCGCCGCGACTGGGGTCAAAGCCGCAACCAGCAAAGAGGTCCACCAATTAAAACGGCAAGTCTTTAAACAACCACAGGCTGGGAGCCTCTCGGTGGGGTCTATTCCTTCTTCACATCGGATGAACGACCTCGCTGTGGGTTTGAAGCATGCCCGTGCCCCCGCTCCTCAGAGAGCCGCCAAGAGCAAAGCCCAGGAAAAGCTTGGAGGGATCCAGGAGGAACATGATGCAATTGCTGATAACGGAGTGGCCGAACCAGCTGCTCAATCACAAGCAAGACGGAAGACGGTGAAAAGAGATCCTAAGCCAGGATATTGCGAGAACTGTCGTGACAAGTATGATGACTTTGAAGAGGTGAGTTGTTTGGACCTGATGATCCACATGATATCTGACGTGGGCAGCATATACTCTCCCGCAAACATCGCAAGTTTGCCATGACTCAGTCCAATTGGACAGAGCTCGATGCCCTCCTTGAAAAGTTGCAAAGTCCCTGATCTCTGCGGAGAGTTTTACGACGGAGTCACACTCCATGTGCTCGCATACGGTGTCATTCTGTCAGCGATGAGCGTTGATTGACCCCCGCAAAACAGCTGCCTGGATCAATCCATGACACGACCATGATGCTCAACATGATACTCGACTCCAGCATCTTTTGTGTCCTTTCAGTAAAGTTGAAGGCCGGCCTATTACTCGATCGCGAGTTTTCCTTTCTATTCTACCCCCCTTTATTATATTCTGATTACCAGCATCAGCATCAGCATCAGCATCAGCAATGCGAAGACAAAACAGCGTAAAAGCGATAAAGCAAGCGATGACATATTATAAGCCAATGCAACCTCTGTACCCCTGCTTTCAGGCAGCCCTGATTGCACCGAGAACAAGGCAGAAAATTGAAAAGACCCTATATAGGGCATCAAGCATTAATTTACAGTTTGTTTAGATCATGAGATACACTTTCGGTCAGTACGTTTCATGACGACTCTCCTTTTGAATTGTGTGATTGGGACTGGAGTCGAAGACATGAGCGAACTTTTCGAGTTGAACGGAGACAACGACGTGCATGAGCATGTATACGGGTTGATGTCGTACCAACACAGGGGCTGTCGGGCCTGGAGGACGATGGTGTCTGTCGATTGCCGCTCCTTGATTGGGGTGATGGGACCATGGATCAAGATTCAATGTCTTGGGTGTGAGCGTTCTTGTGGGGAAAACAATGTGTATATACTTGTTGATCATTATGGCATCCCCATCACGTCTATTCTGAACAGCATTAGCGTTGGCGTCTAGATTTGAGTTATCAGCCAGTTCGTATGAGAATTGGCAAATGGACAAGATTTCAAAACCACTGACTACAAGACTTTGACCTATGGATTGTTTTCTAACTACTTGCGCGTGGGTCAAACTATGGAGTTGAAATATAAGTTCTGCCAACACCAGCGACCGCTCTGGCTCGACTGTACTCTGGTGTGGGATGGAAAGAGGATGATTCGATTCATCACATCTTTACAGCAGGGGCGTCAGAATAGAATTGTCCGTGTTGAGGGTTCTGGGGATTGAAACCTATACCCGAACAGGCGAGTTTGGCGAGTACTGGGTCCAGATTCTCCAGGGCATAGGTGGCAATCATTTCGACTCCTATGGACAAACATCAGTAACGATTGCAGATGACGGAGTTTAGAAGAGGTGCATTCGCCATGCACACGGTGAGAAAACATACCACAATCCGCCGCGCCAGCAATCCAAAGCTGCGCCTTTCCCTTGTCAGCCTGATCCACCACCACCCATCGCTGATCCAACCACTCAACCTCCGGATGCATTTGTTTCGCCAACGGCAGAAAGGATCGATTCGTCGTCGCTTTATTCCCATCGAGTATCCCCGACGAGGCCAGCCACATCGACCCCGTACAAACCGAGAAAATAATCTTGGTCTTCTCTACCGCTTCACGGAAGAACTTGAGCGATGCTTCTGGCCTATGCGACGGAAGAGGACCTCCCACGACTATCATGTCGAGATCGCGTGGCGCAGTGTCGTATGTATGAGTCGGGACGATTTTGATGCTGGGTGTGGTTTTTGCGGGTGCCATGGTGGATGATATGTACAGCCATTCGAGATCGTAGGCTCGATCGATGAGGTGGGAGAACCCGTATGAACTCATGGAGGAGATTATGTCCTTGCCCATGCTGCCGATGATGTCGATTCCCATGATGTCACATAGTTGCACTTCTTCGTAGATGACGCCGATGCGGAGGGATGGCATTTTGATTGTGCTCGTGGGTTTGGTGGTTGAGTCTGGTTGGGACTGAAGGGTATTTCGATAGTTGAGAGTATAGGAAATAGAAGATGAAGGATTTGGAATGATTGGTATCGAAGAAAGACCTCCTCAAGACCTACCTACCTTTATATATACCATCTATGCCTGGCGCCTACCTTTCAACCATCGATCGTCTTTGCTTTGCCATGTTGATGAAACATGCTCAACCTCGAACCCCAACATCCACGTCTAACTATCCTAAACAAGTAATATCGCCAAAATGGCATATCTGAGCATGTTAGGATGCTCCGAGCCCGTGAAACAATCTCCACCAACGACAATCGAGAGGCTGGAACACACCGAACATGGAAATTTGACTGAACTTGAAGTCGACTTGACCTAACTTCCCCGTATTCTTGGGACCATCGAGTCGGAGTGATTCATCTCCGCTGGCAAGGCTGAACCGACGGTTAAGATAGAATTGGTAGGTGGTTCTTGGCTGGCATATGGAGCACGCTCGTCTAGTGGACATGGACATGGCTACTAAAATAAATCTCGGTGCCTGGGTGCTTGGGGTATGGAGAACGGCGAAGACGAAATGTCGATAGGGCTGTCGATTGATTGGTGTGCCTTGGTACTGGCGTAGTGGGTTTATTCTCAAAGAGGAAATATCGCCAGATGCGGTCAAACAACCAAAATAGGCGGAAGTATATATAGTACATTCACACCAATTTCCACTTTACCATCAGGAGTACTCCGTATGTGTGTTTGAGGAATAGACTGGGAAGCCCAGATGCAAGTGGCTTCGACCCTGTCTTGCTTCCTGATTATTCGTCTCATACTCTCACACTGTACAGTAATCGAGGTCATGTGATCATCACGTGAACAATCTATATCAAGCAACAATTTCCCACTCCTGTCTTCCTTTTCTTTGATCACACTGTAACAATGACCAACTGCACATCTCCTTCCTGACAATGGACATCATGTACAATGAGTCAGGCGCAAACAGATCCAACAAGAAGCTATCTAGGTTAAGAATCGCTTCTTGCGGCACCTCACTACACTCCTCTCGAGAGATAATGAAATCCCTAGCCTAAGGACCCTTCACACGTGTGCTTGATATATCGCCGCATGCGGCGGTATCCTCATATCCTTCATACAGGTTTGTTTTCGACTTTCAATTACCTACTTCTGTCGCATATCTTGCTTTGATTTTGTTGCCCATTCACCTCGCCCTACAATACCCCTGAACCCTTGTCCGTGAACCTGCCATGCGTGTATGGGTGGGAAAGGAGGTTAGACCTCTGTACGAACGAGCTTCTTGGACACGTGATACTGAGTTGAAGAAACATCGTGAGGCCAAATGGAAAGAAAAGAGATGGTATGATAAGGTTGCCCGCGACTTTGCACTTTCTAAAGCCAGGTTCGACCCTGATGAGGAAGACTTGTGGGAGGTATGCTACTTTTCTTTGAGCCTCTCCCCTTCTTCACTCCATCTCGGAGTCGTCATTGCTGACTTATAAGTGTGGAGCTCTTCTCGGACGAGGGAGTTTCGGCGTGGTTGGTCTCTGGCACAAGTATGGTAAGCGTGGAGAGGTTCTAGATGTAAGTCTCATTGGAGGTCATGACTCATAGCGAACTTGGCTAATCTAGGCACCATCAGTCTGTCGCGATCAAGCAAACCGAAGCGCCGCATTGGGAGGTCGACAAAGGTGGCCAGCCGACCGTTCCGTGGGAGGTCATTCTGATGAATGGACTCGAGGAAAGAGGTTGCAAGAATGTGACAGATCTTCGAAAGGTCAATTTCTTCAAACTGGAAAAGCCTCAAGTCTGGAGACTGTACATGGAAGTCTGTAAGATGGGAACTTTGAGATCACTGGTCAAGTATTACAAGCAGGAAAGATCGTCAGTGCCGCCCAAGTCGTATCCTCAAGATTAGACGTTTGATGCTGACTTTGGACGGCAGGGATCGAATTCCAGAACCATTTCTATGGCAGCTGTTACGAGACATGGCCAGAACCGTCGAACATATGAGTAAGATCCGATTCGACGGATTTGAAAACCTAGGAAAGCATCCATTTGTGCTACATCTGGACTTGAAAGATGAAAACAGTAAGACACGAGAATTCGAGCTTCTATCTCACCCCAGCTAATGTGATTCACAGTATTATTAGGCGATGCCCCGGACAAGAAGGATGGCATGAACTATCCTATGTTGAAAGTTGCAGACTGGGGCCTTGCAGAATATACAAGCATGTCGAGCAAAGACAACAGTGACTTGTTAAGAAAACATGGAACCATATGCTGGATGCCACCGGTAAGAGCTGCAACTGACTCCAATTTCGAGTCTGGTGACTCACCACAAGCCAACAGGAACAAAGGAGGAAGGGCCACTATGGACGCAAATGGCGAAATAACGTCTTTGGAGGAAGTGCTCATCCTTTCACCATGGCACATGCCATTTGGTCCGCGGGTGCCATCATCTACGGCCTGATGAGGCTCGATGTGGACAATCGAGACCTCAACACCAAGGTCAATGAGATGGAGGATCATGAGGATAGGCTGAGAAAGTGGGATTATTCGGTTCTGGGACCTCGTGGATCATACAAAAGCGGCTTTTACAGCAAGGCTCTGTGTGCTGTGGTCGAGCGTTGTCTACTTCTTGACCCCAAGTTACGGCCCTCTGTCAGCTCATTCCTGGAGTTGACTGAGCGAGGCTGGGAACCATATTACAAGGATTATGTCCGTCGAGGGTACCGCAATGCCGAGGCCTTGCATGTTCATCGAGACTCAAACATTGAGCGGTGAGCTTTAGGCATTCTGGACGGGCGAGATCGGCAATGATTTTCTAGAGATGATAGACAGGTTTTGAGTAACAAGAAAGATGTCGTTCAATCCCATATCCCGTGACCAAGAATATATCCCGCCGCTATTACGAAGATGGACAGCCAAGACGAGACCCTCGGGCTTTCATTAGGGCAGCAAGGGAAAGTACGTCCGTAAGGACCTTCTTACTAAAGATTTCTGCTGCCACTTTTCCTTTTTCACTTCATGAATACGTCAAGGCCGCCCAAACCATCCAGAACGATAACACAAGAGTTGTCTGTGTCGGCCTGAAGTCCTCATTTGTGTAAATCTTGCGAGCGTCGCGAGCGCTTCGTAATTGTGGGCTCTCATGGGCCAATCATATGTCCATCGGTCTTTGACTTTCAGGTCCCATGGCATTCCCCACGATGGGGCTCAACTCTTGGGTCTGCATATCCTCCATCAACACTTCGTTACTCTATTCGTACGATATCGCTAAGAACACACTTGTTTCATGACGCGTTATAACAGGCAGCACCAGTGCCGCTTCAAGATGGCAACGATAAAATCCGCACGTGCGAGCCCACAGGTAGGTTCTTCGACGTGTTGCCCATGATCATCAAACAACATCCTTTTGACTGTGATCAATTACCGACGTTCTCTTGTTGCCCTGTTGTGCGGTAGAAGCTAGAGTGCAATATGGGAAAGCCGTCCGAATTCACTTCCATTGACGACCAGGCTGAACAGGCCCACACAGGTCCTCCAAGCTACGATTCAATTCCTACTGACCACCATCCCAGCCCAAGCCTCCACCTATCGAATTCGCAAACTTCTAGGAGAGGCTCTCTTGATCTTGCACAGGAGTTAGATCGCGTCCTCTCTGCGGATCAAGTCTTAACCACAGAACCGGTCTTTCCTACAGGACAAGATGGCCGAATATCTCTGCACTTTGGCAAAGACACCGCAAAGCTTTATAAGCTTTTCGTCACCGACGTCAAGGCCGAGACCCCAAGCACACGTTCTTCGTCCTTCTCAGATGCACAATCCACGTTTCCCGAGTTCGATAATCTTCCACCTCACTTGAACATCGTCATTCAAGTCGTCGGCTCACGAGGCGATGTCCAGCCCTTTCTGGCTCTGGCAAAACGACTCCAGCTAGCGGGACATAGAGTCCGATTGGCAACACATCCCATCTTTCAGTCCCTTGCTGAATCCCATGGAATCGAATTCTTTAGTATTGGCGGTGATCCCGCAGAGCTCATGGCATATATGGTTCGCAACCCTGGACTTATGCCCAAATTCGAAACAGTAGCCCGAGGTGAGGTCTACAAACGAAGAAAGACTATTGGTGAGATGATGCTTGGATGCTGGAAATCTTGCTATGAACCATCATCGACTCAGTCTGCTGCAAAATACAAACCCTTCGGTCGCACTAAATCGACAAAGTCTGCTCCCCAACAATCAGATCCCATACCCTTCGTTGCCGATGCCATCATTGCCAATCCACCCTCCTTTGCACATATCCATTGTGCAGAGAAACTCGGTATACCACTCTACATCGTTTTCACGTAAGTCTGAACATGTTCCGCACTTTCTACATGCACTCACCAGCTTTGCTAGGATGCCTTGGTCTCCCACCAAGGAATTTCCTCATCCTCTTGTCGACATCAACATGTCGGGCGTGGACGTGAGGTTGGCTCGATTTTTATCTTACTTCCTAGTCGATGCTATCATCTGGCAAGGCCTGGGAAGTGTCATAAATCGTTTTCGATATCAGGTTCTAGGCCTCGAACCTATCAACCCAACTCTAGCACCCGGAATGCTGCACCGACTACGAATTCCCCATTATTATTGCTGGTCAGTGACCTAAGTTCATGTACAATCCATCAGACCAGACTGATTGACACATTGACTAGGTCACCCACTTTGATTCCTAAACCATCCGACTGGCGATCCTCTATCAGTGTCCCAGGCTACTTCTTGCTACCAAGTCCGACAAAGTACAACATGCCAGAAGCTCTGCAGCAATTCTTAGACAGTGGAAGTCGTCCAATTTTCATCGGATTCGGCTCGATCGTGATCGACGACCCAGACGGACTAACCTCCATCATCCTGAGAGCTCTCGAGCTCACTGGCGTTCGTGCAATCCTTGCACGTGGTTGGGGAAGTCTGAAAGTTGGCGAAGGCTTCAACTCCTCGAATCGAGACAACATATTCGTCCTCCATGGAGATATCCCCCATGATCAGCTCTTCCAGAAAGTATCCGTGGTCGTTCATCACGGAGGTGCAGGTACTACAGCCTCTAGCCTTACCGCTGGACGGCCCTCAATAGTCGTTCCTTTTTTCGGCGACCAATTCTTCTGGGGAAATATGGTCTTTCGAGCAGGAATCGGTCCGGCTCCGATTCCTTACTCGACTCTCAAGGCCGAGGACTTGGCTTCGGCAATTCAACAAGCCTTAGAACCTAGTTTGCAACTTCGTGCAAGGGATCTCGGAAGCAAAGTCCACGGCGAGAATGGCTTGGAGACCACTATTCAATTGATCAATGCCGACTTGCACAAAACCCGAATCCCACGGTGCATTTTGTTCCCAGACCACATCGCGACATATCACTATACCCCAAAGTCAAGGTCTAGTGCCAAGGGGAAGTCTAAGAACGGGAGCTCAATCAATCTCAGTCCGCTGGCTGCTGTGTTTCTCCGCAAACACAACCTTATTCCCACAGACTCGTTTGAACATTTAGCAATCCTACGATATACTGAACACAATGTGTCCTCGGGTCCGTTTGAGCCAGTGTCAGGAGCAGCGTGGGCGGTCCTGGATTTACTTTGGGACTCCATTCGAGGTATGGGAGAGATGTTGACCGAGGTCGGCCACATACCTTATCTAGGCGTCAAAGCGTTTGACAAAGGCAAGGTCGCCTCTCGAGCATCTAGTTCATCTGTAACTCAGGACATGTCCTGCGACCATTCGCCTCCATCCTCAACCGACAACGATGTTCGCCACTCGTTACCTGGAACGTATCTTGTCAGAGGCACGGCTCGAGTACTCAAAGCAGCAGCGCGCGCCCCTGGCGCCTTCACATCAGCCATGGCAACCGGCGCACATAACCTACCACTGTTATACCACGACCCGACGGTAAGGCCAACGCCTGTAGTTCGAGATATCAGCTCCGGCATCAAAGCCGGCACTTCCGGCCTAGCATATGGTGTCTACGATGGCATAGCCGGTATCTTCACCCAGCCCATCATGGGTGCTCTTGAGCCTTGGCGTAATGGTGACCAACGGTACATGGATACCAGATTCGAAAGCAGGGACATTTCTCAAGATACACGCAGCGAGAAGAACAAGACCAATGGAAATTTAGTCCAAGCCAGCGCACTCGGTTTCGCCAAGGGTTTGGTGAAAGGCGGCTTGGGATGTCCCGTCAAGTTTTTTGCTGGTATGTCAATGCTGTGAATTCTCCCTTTCCACTTTCCCCTTGGCGACAATTCGGCTTTTGTTGTATGTACATTATGGATGTACTCTCTGCTGACCAAGGAAATCAGCCGCCAGCGCTATCGTGGGGTATCCGCTTAAGGGTATTGATGCTTCAGTCAGTAAAGTTCTACGCAGAAACGACATTGCAAAGACAATTCGAAGCCAGAGAGCCATGCAGGGCGAAAGAGAGTACTACGCAGAGTCTTTCTCGCCAGAACGGGTCAGAGAAGTCCAGAAGCGGTGGCTGGAAATTGTTGATAAGACTGGTATGGATGAAACTAGAGTTTGATATTGTTGTGCATTGAGCTATCTTAGAGTCGATCAGAACTACGTCTGTTTACGAATACCCAAGATCGAAAGGGTGTTTATTTATTCAAAAAAGCGACTGCAAACCTCCAATGATTCCCTCCATATTGTCCAGTGTCTAGGATCTTCAAAGTCTGATGATTGGATCATGGCCTCCATATCGTTGCACAGACTAAAGTCCACCATGACGGGTTTATTGGCTTCCATGTTGCCAGCTTCAGAGTTCATGCCACAGCCATTCAAACGATAGCGCTCCGGGATCTTGCGGTTGAAATTCTTGTCTTCGGTATAATGACGGTGGGCTGTTCCGACCATATCAGAATCAGGATCAGGAAACGATGCTGATTCTTCGATCTCTACGGCCCGTCGAGCCACCTGGCAGAGGATGGCAGAGTTCCAGGGCCCCTCGATCCCAGTCTGAGAGAGTAATGAAATGGCGATGCGACGTTGACTGGGATTCCGGTGCTTCAGGCTGGTCAGAAACAGAGCTTGGCCAAGTCCAGGTTGCAGCCGAAATGGACAATGGGATCGTGTGGACAATTTGGTGGAAAGGCTCTGGAAGATTTGTGAAGCGCAGTCTATGATCTGTTCGAAATACACTGAATAGGAGTCGTACGCCATTTCATGAGGACTCAGGATGGTCGATAGATATATCAGCGTGCTCAGGCATTGAACCCGGAGAAGCAGGTAGAGATTGTGGGACTGGTTGTGTGCGGATTCTTTGGCCCACTTTTGCCTGTCCATGTCGCACTTGATGAGCCATTGGTTCAAATAGGCTATGCATCGCCTCTGTTGGTCAACGACCTGCGCAGGATGTTTGGAGGTAGATTGATACTTGAAAGGCGATGCTTGGTTCGCAACGTGGTAGCAGTGGTGGATCAATGTCTGCAGGGAGACAGAGGCATTCTGAGGATGACTGGTACAGGAAGGTTCATTCAGTATGTCTGCATTGAAAGAAGCCGGGAGTGTTGGAGCCCTGTGGAGAACGTAGCATGCTATTAGGACATCTAGAGACTGTGCGAAGATATAAAGTCTATCTTCGATGGTCTTGGACAGAGGGAGGCTCGCGATACCTCGAGAGCTGGCCCCGATGGCGCCTGGAGGAGATATAAAGTTGTTTAGTACTGTGAAAGCTCCCCTTATATGCGCCAAGGAGTCGGTATAATGTTGCACTAAAACCTGAGAAGCTGCCAAAATGATGCTGGCCAGGAATGCCGGCACTGGTCCATCTTTTCTTGCTGCTAAATCATCATACAATGAAGCAAGAGCTTTAGTGTAATGTGCAGACGCAGATAATAGGCCGCGCTGCGACCTCAAGATAAAAACAGCCTCATAGACGGCGCCGAAGGTAGCCACTGCTCGCGCGACAGCATCATTGAGTAGAGTAAACTGAGGCAAGACATCTAGGCAGACAGAATCTCCATTCAGCATCAACGTGCCGTACAGATCCCGCAGAAGCACTTGAGAGCCAAGACGAAGATGCTGCGACGATCCAGTATCTTTGTTTAGGTCGAGAAGAAGGCCGTTTGCCACACTTCCATTTGATGGTGGATGTTTGTTGATCAAGATGGCGGAGTCCTGAGAAGTAGACGAGCTGTAACCTTGGCAGAGTTTGCCTACTCTCTGGCACATTAGGCAGCTAGGTTTTGCTTCATCACACTTGACGCGACGTGCCCTGAAGATGTCAACATTTGGCCTATCTTCTGTTGAATGCGCTCGAGAGGACGCACTTGCAAGTGAAACAGCCTTTCTTGGATTGGCATACGTTGACCCTAGTCCGCTTAGGAAGCTTGAGGCGTGTGGTGATCAATGTAGATGACATTGAATCATGACCGTCAGATAATGCAATTTGCTTCTTCTCAGAGAACGATGCATACCGCCGTGTTCTTTTTTGAACGTCGTTGGCGAATGGCTGGTGCCTGAGTACTGAGGGGCGACCTGAAACTCAAACACCGAACACCGAGTGATTGGTTGCTGGGCCACTTAACTGACGGTATCGAGTAATTCTATGACACAGATGGAGATCAATATCGTGTTCAGTGCCCTTTGAGTAGGAAGATGCTGCAAGGAATTGGCTGCGAAGATCTGCCACCACTATTCAGCCATGTCTATGAACCGATGCAGTATAAGTAAAGTGCCGAATCCGCTCCAGCGACTACAAGATTGTGATACGCGTCGGTCCAAATGCAATGGATGCAATGAAAGTATTGACGGCGTTCATTATGGCTGGTGCACTCAAGGGGGGCAGCGCAACACTCTCTGAGACTGGGCCATTTCCAGCTTCATATGCCGCATTCTCTTCTGCATTCGTGCAGCCTCCGATACCAACCGTTGTGGCGGACTTCCGAGGGCATTTCATTCAGCACAAATGGTGACCTGCACTCGTGACCTGCAACAGAGAACAAATTGAATGCTAATGCTGTGAATTTCAGGGACATGAATGTGTCGCACATTGCCTCCGGGTATTGGTACAATTCGGCGACCCTGGGCAAGGTGCGGGTCGATGAGAGCTATGATAGCGCTTTTGCCTCATCGTTGTTTGACTACACCGATACAACGGCTGATGGGCAGGTCCTGAACAAGCTGTGGTCGGTGGGGCCAAGTGTCGGCAGCCGACCGTCATGTTTCGTGCAACACATTCCAGACCCGGGGTTTCCCTTGGTCACTGAGAGCTTCTTGAAGGATAACCAAGCGGTGTTTGGAGGGGTTGTCAATGATCCAGTCGTGGGATATGCACAAAGTGTAAGTCAAGAATAATTGTGATGTGATGCCTCGAAAGTTAGTGCTGATCAACACTTATCCAAGTGGAATTTCATCTACGGCAACAGTATTCCGGTCATTGCCTATCTTGACACAGAAAATTTGCTGGTTGGCTTTGATTTCTGGGGTGCGGATCGACGGACGAAGGTCCTGACTCGCTTCTTCAGTACTGCGATTGGTAGTATTGACAAGGTCGTGTTTGAGTCATTCCCGTGCGAATGAGGTCACTGTTAGGCGGCCCTCTCTAGGATTGTCCTGGGTTGACACTCCATTATTGACAACGCTCATTATGGCGGCCAGGGCAGTCCGGTATCAGCCAGGTGGAAGAGCCAGACACTTACCTTCGAGAGGATTGTTTATCCTCAAATACCTGTATATAGGGACGGGATGAAGTTGAGAGACATTAGCTCGACCACTACCTACCCTACCCAAGGAGCAATGTTACTCATGATGAGAAGAAAGACAAGTTCTGAAATGCGGACGAGGTCGTGGGTTGGAAGTTTTAGAGTTAGGCAGAAGTCCGAGAGGAATGGAAGTTGCTACCCACCAACCCCACTGTGTCCACTTGCCCATCCTGCGAGGATCTCCATTAAAGTGGGTAAGAGCCATCGACAAGGCTGCGCTTAACCGTACATGGCAACAGACGCCAAGACGTTCAACTGTAGTTCATCTCTGGTCCGCGTTCGTCGTTCGTCGTTCCTCTCCGCCCGCATTTAATTCATGCCATGTCGACTTGAGTCTCACTCCCCTCTTCATCTTTCCCACCCATCCTCTAACTTCTGAGGATCACCTTTCTACCGCCTCTTCCGCACAGCAATATCCGACCTTTCTACTGCTTGAGTGCTAGTCGAAGGTTTGGTATGGCTGCCCAGTTTAATTCGAAGCCTTGAGCAGGTTCTCAAGACCTTTTCCCAACCTTTATTGTCGCCAGTATTCGCCTAACATTGATAAGCGCCTAGAAAACACCTTTCCACAGCCATAATCTCGAAGCTCACCGCCAGCTTTGTATTCATCGTTGCCGCCTCTACCGCCTCTGCTGTCTCTTTGGACCTCTTCCTTATTCAAAATGGAAGAAGCCAAAACCCTCCTTCGCACAGCCGTGCGCACCTTCTTCTCCCACCCCAAACAAATCCTTTTGATTGATGCCCTCATGGTTCATTCAGTTCTCCACATCGACGACATGGCCATCATCTGCTCGTCTCAAGCAAAAGATATCCGCGCTCTCATCAACCCCCTCAAAGCCGCCCGTTTACTCACCACCCACTCTCGTGTCGAAGTCCGAGTCGGAACCCAACGGGGAGTCACAAGAGACTATTACTATTCGCCCTTTCACCCAGCCATCGACGCAATCAAGTATCGGATTGCGAAACTCCGCAAAAAGGTCAACGATTTGTACAAGGAAGACGAGACCAAGCGCAAGGACTGGCGATGTCCCCGGTGCAAGGCGGAATATGAAGAGTTGGAGATCCTAGACAAAATTGGTGATGAAGGTTTCTTCTGCGACCGATGCGGCGCCACTCTCGTGCAGAACAAACAGGCCGTCAAAGACAAGGGATCCCATGAAAAGATCCTGAGATTGAATTCTCAGTTGAAGAAGTTCGATGATATCCTCCTCAAGATCGACCACAAGGATATTCCCGAGAATGATTTCGTGTCAGCTTGGGAACGAAAGAAAGAAGTTCCTCGCGAGAGAGGTGGTCGCGAAGGCAATCAGTACATGGAGTTGAAGCGGGACGACAGAAACGCGAAGCGTGGGCCGGAGATGGTTAAGGTGGAGAATCTGGCGATCAATCTCACGAGTGGAGCCCAGGCCGACCGTGAAGAGCAGGAAAAGAAGGAGGAGCGGAAGAGGTTGCTGGCGAAGCAAAATCAACTACCCGTATGGCACACACAGAGCGCAATTGGTGCCAACGGAGGCGCCACTGTCGACACTATCAAAGGAGACTCCGCAGCCGACACCATCAAAGCAGAAACCGCAGCCGACGACGACAGCCCTATGCTGAAGCGCGAGGGCTCGGTCGACGAGAAAAAGCCTCTACCCGATGTTCCCAGTCCACTCAAACAAAATACGACATCAGCCATCACATCATCATCCTCGCTTGCAGCTCCAAATATGCAGGATGAAGTGGCCGCCTATATGGCGGAAATGGAACGGGAACGGCAAGAAGCCGAGCGGCGGGCAGAGGCGGAAGATGCCGAGGAAGACGAAGAAGACGATGACCTCCAATTCGAAGACGTTGTCGGTACAAGTGTCGCAGGTACTCCTGCGAGTTCATCACAGGGCTTGTCGTTCAGTCGCAATGGCCTCGCCGACCCCAAAGCCATCAACGGCATTAAGCGTGAATTTGAAGACGACGATTCGAGCGAAGCCAACACTCCAGCATCAAGCTTTGGTGATCGCGGGGAACCCAACAAACGAGTCAAATTCGAAAACGGTGGCCCTACATCAGGCGTCTCGTTTGGAGACGCAACTGGACTTGGAAATGGAGGAGATAGTGATGAAGATGAAGACTTTGAAGATGCTCTGTGAGGAGCGGAGGATCACACACATACACAAGGTGGATCGATCGAATTTCGAACACCTCGCTGGCTGGTAGATGGATGAATGCCACCAATCAAACAAGTCTCGAGAAAGAACTGATAAAACCAGGATATCGTATCCTGTGGATGGTACAGAATAGAAACATGTGAATGACGAGAATCTTAGATAATATGCCAAACCAAAAATAAAAGGAAATAGGAAAACGACAACAGAGGCCGTTTTGTAATAAATCGAAGCTTCCTGTGGTTCTTTTCGTGTTTCCATGTCATTCCTTCGCTATACACTTCATCTTACTTCGTCCTGGCATGATACACCACGAAAACAGAACAGACACTCTTGCGAGACGCCCAACGCCCGGCTGAATAAACGTACATAAACTTGCTGCTGCTGCTGCTCGATTGTCACCACATCCACCTAGTTTCGTCCCGAATCGTTCCTCGCCGATGACATGACGACCGACAAAAGTTCCAGGATATTCCATATTGATTGAATCAAATCAGCCAAACAACAACCCCCAGATCCAACCACCAACCCAATACAACAACAAAATCACCACCACCAGCCCTCCTGCCAACTTCAACACCGCCACTTTATCACCCTGCCTAGCCATTCTCGTGAGTCGTCCAGCACTGCCTCTGATAGTAGTGCTCATATTGCTAAACACCTCATTGGTGTTGTCGAGCGTATCCTGACTGCGCGCATTGTCGTAGATGTCGAGCGTGATGTGTTTGAGAGCAGAGGTTTTTTGTGACAGGGAGGCGAGGAGCGCGTTGTTTTGTCTAGATGGAGGGAGAAGAGTGTTAGAATTATGAGAGTGGAGATGGGGAAGGGGTTTAGTAGGTGGAAGAGAGGGGAGAGGGATTGTCTTACTCTTCGCGGGCATAGGCGTCCGACATGGTGGAGGATTGTCGGGTGGGATTGGAGGGGAGGAGAGACGAGACGGGGAGGCTGAAGATGAGGCGAGCGCGTAGAAGAATTTAGAGAGGTGGGCGTGACTGATTCTTTGCAACCGTGTTCTGGTAGAAGAGAGAATCGTGAGCGCGAGTGTGAGTGTGACGTTGATCTTGGTCCCGTCGATGATGAATGAGGACGGTAGTATGTCTGCAGGGTCGAATGAGCCGATAGGAGGGACGAGGGTAATCTGTCAAAGGTCCTGAAGCTGTTCTGAATGGTGAGTGATCTTGTATTTCCCTGCGTGGTGGTGTGCTTTGATTTAGATGCAAGGTCAAGGAATATAGGACGGGAGTGGCATCAATTGTCGTTTGTTGCAGACTGCGCTCAGCCACAGCGGCATGCCGGGGAAGGTGGAAGGTGGTAGGTCATACTCGTAGGTCGTTCCTTCCTTGCCGGGTGCAGTCAAGTGGCTGGAGCATTGCTTGGCCAATGTCATCGCATCAGACAAGACACTCGGACCTCACAACTACTCCGTAAGTTACAAACTACTGCAGCTCTCCCGGTTTTGAGATGAACTCCCAACCATCTACTGTCGGCCCATAAAGTTGATCTATTATGGCTAAATTAGGAAGTCGTCAGTCTGAATATGGATAATGTTTTACATGTGCCTTTGTCATGCGCGGACTTATCAGACGCTGATGAAGATAATGAAGATTTTGGAAGCCTGTATGTCTCTTATTCCACTATGCCATCTTGCCCATATCAAGTATTTGGTAATAGAGATATTAGACATTGCCGTTAAGTCGTATCACTAGAGGACTAGATTTCACGTCCTCCCTCACTGATTCAAGGTCAGGGCTTCTACTATGCCCGCCCTACTGCCCACACCCTCTCCTTATCCCGGCGACGTCTATGTACAAATGTTAAACCTAGATCAATCGAGTGTTGGAGCACTCCCAATCCTAGTATATTACATCGGTCTGTAATGAAAAGTAAACAGATCCACTCAAGCTGCCCTCGCCCTGAATTCACTTGCCTCCAATGAATCAACAACTCTGCTTTGGCCCGTGCTATCACAGCCGCAAGATACTGCCTTGATCTTGTGTGTCTGGCTTCCGGCACCTGGCCAGTCCATCATATCAGAACTTCAACAATGTTCGCTTGTGCCCATCTCATGTTCGTTTCATGTATCCATCCGCTATGCTCAAAGAAAATATGTCGACTCGGGCTGAAGATTCTGACTCTGTCCCTGTCATCCTTCTTTCAATGTTCTCCAAGTCAAGAGTCGTCTGAGAACCGCTTTCAGACTGCTTCGTAGAAAGATACAAATAACAAGACAAACTTTCGGTGAGAAAATCACCTGTGTGCAAAGGGAAATTCAAAATTGACAATGCAATCAACCCAGTCATCACCACATCTCGTCCGCATCATTATCTTGCCGAGACCTGTTATGCCCAAGCCCCTGCGACTGTTGTTGATGGTGGCTGTACGAGTGACCTCCAACTGTGTACGGCTGCTCATTGGCGTTCGTCGTGTAGTTGCTGTCTCGGGAGCTAGATGCTTGTCCCATTCGGTCATGCTCGTCGCCTCCCGCATCTTGTTGTGCAGGGCTTGTTTGTTGCCCAGACTGAAGCTGTTCCTGCTGCTGGGTCCTAGCGTTAGCAAATCTTCTATCGTGCTGGGTCCATTCAACTCACCTGCTGATAACGTTGATACTGGGTATACTCCTCTGGTTGCCGTTGCTGTGGTTGCTGGTCTTTCGTCGACTGTTGCTTGCGCTGTTGCTTTGCGCTGGTCGGCAGATTCATCTGCGGGTGCATCTGCTGGACCTTGGCCAGGTAACTATACATGAAATTGCTCAGCAATACCTGGGAATATAGCGCGCGCCGAGGGTTGGCCAATTTGATGTGTGCCATCCGATAAATCGCTCGCTCCTCCAAGATCGAAAATCTCGCCCAATTGTAATCCACGTCGGGCCTGAGTTCTCGGTACGGTGGTTCCGGCGAGAGTCCACGATCTCGGTACTTTCGCGATTTTTCTTCCTTGTCCCCTTTGGATTTTTTGCCACCAAAGAGTGATGCGAAAAGGCCCTCTTTTTCTTTCTTGCCGTCACTCCCTGCCGACTTGCGCTGGCTCTCCTTCTTGCGTTCCTCTTCCAGCCTCAAGCCCTCGCGATCGAGGACGATGCTTTCGCGGCCTTTGTTTCCTTCGATTGAAGTCTGCAGGACATCAAGTCGGGTATTGTCATGCTGCTGTGGAGGTTTCAATATTTTAGCCTTGGGCTTTTCACTCTTCTCCTTGTCACCCTCCTGCTTTCCCACAAGAGAACCCCAACTCCAGCCAGATTTCTTCGAAGCGTCTTCCTTTTTCTTATTGTCAGCTCGCTTGTCGACTGTCAAAGTAGGAATAAATGAAAGGTTGCTCGTGTTGGTGTCATTCCCAGGAAGAGGCGAGGGTTGCTCGAGTGTTTGTGAGGGTCGCGACTGAGGCGGAAGATTGTTGGAAATGATTTGTGTCTTATTGGTCAGCATGTGCATAGATTCGCGGGAAGGCATTCCCGGCCGTTGAGGAGAGGGGGTCTTGTTCCACTCCTCTCGAGACGAAACCCTTTCTGGATGTCGCAGTGGTTGTTGTTGTTGGACCGAAGGTGCTGACGATGGTCGAGCTGGCTGAACAGAGGAGTCCAAATCATCGGTCGGCGGTACTTCTACAATCTGCGGCACAGGCTTCCTCTCGAAGCCCATTGATGGTGGTGATTTGGACCTAGTCCGTGTGCGATATAACTCAGGGTTACTTGAGAAGCTGGATCTCCCCTTGTGTTCCTCGCCAAACATCGACTCAAAGGAGGAGGGTGTTTGTGAGGCGTGACCCACGGAGGAAGGAGGGGAGGGTTCTCTGCCCGCTGGTCGCGAAAAGTTGGTGGGCGCAGTCTTTGACGGAGATGTGGATTGGCCTCTCGATGGCTCTGGTGATTCCTCTGACGGCTCTGACCAGCCAAAGCTAGGGAGAGCAGGAATAGCTGGTACGGCTTCCTGTGTGTCTGATACAGGATCTAGGGAACCCATTGTAGCCGTTCTCCGAGCGGCCCTTTGAGCATAGGTCGCCCGATCCGAGCCCTTGCCCTTGAGACTCCCGCCACCGCCCCGACGATACGTAGTTCTTGTGGATCTCTTCAGGCTTGACCCGGGCACTGATGGGAGTATGACATCCGGTGTAGCCTCTTGGGGTGGACTCAGAGGCACCTCCGGCTTGGTCAAACCAACTGTGTGGGCCACAAGATTTTCCAACTCTTGTAGATTCGGATCGTTGGGGGCTGTTCGACGAGACTGCGACTTCTTCCTCTCCAAACGATCAGCCCCGTCCTGATAGCCAACTGAACTGTTGATTTGACGGGACAGCATTGATTTCTTGCGGCGGAGCCCACCACCACCCTCATCGACCTTTAGAGAGTTTGAGCGAGAGGAGTTAGGGCTGGACAGTGTGGATAACTCGCCAGATCTCCTCCTGATCTGCTCCACTTTGCTGTCGAGAAATGATTTGAACTCTTTGGGAGCAAGCTCTGGATGTAGCCTTGCAGGTACCCAAAAAAGCCGCGATGAGTCGTCTTCACTGGCCGAGGATGAAGGCATCCCAGGCATTGCTGCAGCGTTCAGCTGGGGAAGATCTGGATCGTCTGTAGCGCCAACACTCATGGACATCCTCCTCAAGGCTTGTAAATTGCTCAGCTCTTGCGCCACAGCCGCTGGGCTGGATTCATATTCAATATCATTGAGGGGGAAATGGGAGGTTGCGGTTTCGGAAGGAGACCTCTGCCGCGAGGAGGGCTTTGTTGAGGCAGAAGGGGCAGGCGAATCGGGGGGAGAATCAAGAGCAGGAAATGATTGTGAGCCTCCATTCTGGTGTTCAATGGACATGGCGTTTTGTGGGTCTCGAGGAGGGAGTTGTTTTCGAGGGATAGAGCGTCTTCTTGGGGTTATGTCTCGAGGCATGTGGTTACCATTAAGGGTGATTTCTGGTTGTTGCATGACATGGTGGTCGGGGTTAGAGGGTCGACGACGGTGATTGTGGTGTGGACGCCGTTGCTGCTGCTGTAGGGAATGGCTTCTCATATCTGTTTCGTTATCATCGCCATACATGAACCCAATGGCTTCAGTGACATGATGGGTTTCGTCGCTGATGGAGAGCTGAGGAAGATGTCCCTTACGCGCGGCGAAGCTTGCGCCCGGATCTCGAGATCGCGTGGAAGTCTGTAAGGCGTGAAGGTTGTCAGTGACAATGCGAAGCGATGAGAACGGGGAAAAGAGCGTTTGGGAAGGGCGAGTGGCAAGATATGATTAGTTTGCCGATCAAACAGGAGGATGTCGGTTATGGGAAGGCTCGATGCCCAGAAATGGGCCCAGAAGTACAACTGCCTGTCCACGTCTTGGGTCTTGGGAGACATGGCATCTAAAGCTGAGGGAGGAGGGAGGACCAACCTGCATGGAGCAGATAGAGTCTCGCGATATCTCCGAGACAAGAATATCAACGAATATGATGTCAAGCACTTGGCCTTCGCCTGATCTTCGATGATTTGGTCCAGGCTGTGGCCGATTGTGGCAGGTAGCTGCTCACGGTCGAAAGTCTTGTAATCATCGGACTCGGATGGGATGGAGGATGGGTACGTGAAGGGTTGACATGCAAGGCAGCTAGCACCTGGTTGTTGTTGCAGGTGAATCGGTGGGTAGAGGAGAGTATCGTAAGGAGGTGGTCGTCGTGCGGCGTTGGGGGATCGTCTGGGGGAGGATGCAAAGGGCGGCGCTACGAATTCAGCAACTAGGTTGATGACTGATCGGGGATGGCGTCGCGGACTCTGATAAGCCTGAAATACAACGACCAGGTTGGAAATCGTGGGGAGAGAGAGGTTGAGGCGTACTGGATGTGAGGAAACGACGTGTGCCACGGGCGACGGACGCGGACGTGGAATTTAGCTCAAACGGGATGTATTCTAGGTTCAGTCCTCCCGTCAGGTGCCATCAACCACGGACGTTCGGGAGAGATATGGGCAGGACAGCATGCGTATCATAACCCTAGCTGGCAGCGGCACCGCAGCTTCTATCCTACTACCCTACAATATGCACGCCAGTGCAACACAGTCAAGGATATAGAGCACTTTAGGTTGCACTACTCTGACTATCTAGGTATCTAGGGAGTGCTAACAGCCTAAGACGATGGTCTGGGTGCCTCTGGAGTTGCCACAAAAGTCCTGGTAACCTTTTCTAGCTAGAATGGCACAAGTGGGCACAACGGCAGCCTGAGGCGCCCGGATCTAAATTTCCTGAGTTGGCACGTTGGGCAAGAATCTGCCATTTTTCTCTATCCTTGACGGCGGAGATCTTGGTCTATGGGCGGCATTCGGACTCTGATTTTGGCGGTGACAACCTGACATGCACGTTCCGCGAATATCGAGAATTGACGTAAGCCCACAGACCCTAAGAACCTGCTGCGTAGTCCCCTTATCCCTCATTATCATATGTAAAGTACGGAGTAGTCTAAAAAGTAGAAGCGGCAAGCTTGGACGCCCCTGAGATCCTGGAAATCCCTGCCGCCCAGAGACCAGGACCGAGCCCTAACTGCCTACTCAGACTTGCTTATGTAGGGGACCCGACCCCCTTGCTCCTTGTAGGTTAGGCGTGGCTAGGCTAGTTTGGTGACGAGCCTCCGGTTCACTCTGATTTGGCCAGACATGTCTCCGCTAATCATCCTTGCCGCCAGATGAAGCCCCCACCCGATACATCGAGCCCAAACATATGCGAACGCTACAACCGACCTGGCGACTTGCAGTATGTTCACCAGCAATGCTGCTCCATCCAATGTCGAATTCCCCATCTAGCCAATTAATAATGATGGATCGTCAGAGTTCAGACACTGGGATTTGCGTACACATCTATATTTATAGAAGCTGCACAACTGCAAGGCGCCTCATTATCTAGATTCAGCGGGTAAAGAAGATTAGTCGTAGACGTAGGTTGTATCATGCTCATCATATTGTCTATCGAATCATACCTCGTCGGTCGTCTTGTTTTTCACCAAGTCAAGGTCACCGAGCAGGTCAGATTGCAGGCTAAATTGGTCTCTCCTGCTGCTATGGTCCCTCGAAATAGACCATGAAAACACCTCTTCTCGACGTCTTTCTAACCCCATGGATTATCAAATGGATCACTAGCCCCCCCAAAGCCTCCGTTGCCTTTAGGTGGCCCACTGATTGGTGTTTGTGTTGTTGATGCCGAGGTCCATCCTCCAAAATCCTCATCCGCTGTGACCGTAGGTTGTGTTGCCTTTGATTTGGAAGCTGACGAGATTGGTTCTCCCCAGCCGCCCGATACATCATTCGGAGTGATCCGCGCTGGTGGCCGACCGAGCTCAATCGTTGGACTCGATACTTTGGCCGGCACGGGATCCGGTGCGCCCCAAGCGGCACTGTCGTTTCCAGTGGAACCCCAAGGATCAAATAGGGCTGAAGTTTGAGGTACGGCTGTGGGCTTACTCGGTGCTGCTTGTGGTGTAGGTTGGGACGAAAGATTGAACGCAGATGTCATGTGACTTCCACTAGATAATGGCGAGACCACAGGTGGAGCAGCTGGCTTTGGGGGTGAGGCAGGAGTGGAACTTGCAAAGCCGCCAAAGTCGTCGTTGGCAAACAGGTCCACAGGCATTGACGACGATGACTTAGATGTGGGTTTGGTTGCTGGGGGTGCGGCTGCTGTCGTCGCAAAGGAAAAGTCAAGGCCGTTTGAATTTCCCGATGGTGCCGGGTTCGTTTTTTGAGTCGCAGGCTTGGAGGGGATGCTGTCGAAAAATCCTCCCCCACTGAGAGGCGGCGGTGATGTGATTTGTGGAGCAACAGGGGTCGCTTTTGCAGGGACGGAGGAGGTGAAGTTGCCGAAGCCAGAGAAAGCCGACGATGAAGAGGCCTGTGGTGGCGAGGGAGATTTTGCAGCCGAGCCCGAGCTGGGGAAGCTCAATCCACCAAATGCGTCAGCCAGCCCTCCAAAGGCATCAGGTTTGGATGTAACTGATGGTGCGCCGCCAAAGGAAGGCTCACGTGCATGCTGCTGTTGAGGGGCCGGTTGAGGCTTAGGTGCGCTCGCATACAAGGATAGAATAGAGCTCTTCAGATCACCTCGCGAATTCGTAGCTCCAAGAGGGTTTGACGCCGCACTTGACGGTCGAGCGGGACCAGATGGAGCATTGCCAAAAAAGTCCAGTCCAAGCAGGGAGTCTTGCGGTTTTGCTGCTGGTTTGGGGGCAGGAGGTGCCGTTTGGGACGGTCTCGGTTGGGCAATGTCGGCAGTATTTGGGCGTACAGGGGGCTGGCTTGGACCGAAATCATCGAACAGATTCACGTTGGACGCAGGAGCAGGGCGAGCCAGCGGTTGAGTGCCTCCCGAGGCGGAACTTGCTACTGTGGGCTGTCTTTGGGACGTAGAGCGCTCGATCGTGGCCTTTTCCTGCACAATAGATAGGGGAACGTTGTCATCACCATCGACATCCAGCGTAGAAGGATCCGGCATGGGGCCATCCATGACCCAGCGCTTTGAATCATACTTTGTCCTGATGAAGTTTTCGATTTTGGCCTCAGATGGCTGATGACCTGGAGCAAGCTTGGCCTCCCAGTATTTATTTGCTCTTGTATTGCCCCATTTTAACACACTTTGAAGTTGTTCGTCAGTCCAGGCATCGAGGTCGACAGATTTGACTCTGCTGATATGGGTACCCATGCCACGGTGGATGCCTGAGCATCGAATGCAGATAAAGACACCGAGGTTCCAGCTCGCCCATCGTGGATGTTTGTTACGCTTACAGTCTGCGCAGACTTTATTGCCTTCGAGTTTGACCAGAGCCTTTAAAGTTTGTGCATTTTGTGCGGCTCGGTCGGCGCCTGCAGCAGGCCGTCTGGACATGATCCGTGGTGTCGGCGTGGGCGTAAGGAGTGGACAAGTGGCAGGCCGCCGAACGGAAAGGGAGATGGACTCAGGACACCTTTGACCGTCGACGTCAGGAGAGGAGAGGACGTCGGGGAGACACGCAGGGCCTCTAGGAAGTTGAACGAAACAACTGCAGTGGAAGAGGGTTCTTGAGATGGTGCTGTCAATGACAAGATGGCAACTCGAGGGATTGATTGTAGTACACCGTACATACAAACGCGGCCAAGATGAACGGGCATAGCGGGTTGGAGACACGTCAATCATCGACTCCTAATTGTCTTCGCCACGATAGTCACGTGGGCGGGACATTGTGGCACGTGTGGCCAGCGATTGATCGCGTTTAGAGCAACACGCGACCGTAGCATGTCAACTGCGGATCACAGAGTCGATATGTCCTTCTTCGATCTTGAGCCACCAGAGGCATCAGATCGTAGAAGTGGAGGTCTAATTGCCGAGGGGCCCCTGGGCGGCTTCAGGGATACTACTTACCTAAGTTGCTGCATGTCCCTACTCCGTAGGGAGCTCCCGAACCCCAAGGCTTAACTGATGTGCTTAGTCTCGTTACCAGTCAGTGCATCTCTTAAAATTTATACCAACAATGACATGGCACGCATGGTTCTCATTCATGGCTTCTATCTCCGACGGATTAGCCGCTGCTCTGAAGATCGTGGCCCCCTTTCAAGGCCAAAGACCAGTGACAAATTGATAATCAGTTCGGTCATTGGCAGGGCTGTGCCATCATCAACAAGAGGTGTACACAAACAATCCGTCCGCTTGCCTCCCACTGGTTAGGCTCGGGTCTTCATGCAAGATTCGGCACATGATGAGCATGCAGTAATCAGTCTCAAGTTCTCAATATCTGACGCACTTGCTGCCGCTCTGAGAAGGTCTACCATCGTTGCCGAAACGTCACCACCGCCCTGTGGTGTTTTCTGCAGTCTTAGTTAATCAATGTCAGGGTGCCAAGGTGCAAGCCATGTATGCGAACAAGCGAAGAAAGCATCGGCCAAGCACGGATGTTGCACGGCAAGCATATTGCCAGTTATGTATGATGCTATAATACTGTATCTCACCCTCAGGTTCGGTGCCAATGATTGTCTCGACATTCTAGCCGGCCCTGAACCAGGATGCTGTTGCACAAAACGTGGGCTTGACTCGATCAGTGTCTGTGGGGTCCAAATGCACCTTCTCAATAAGTCTTCATTTCGCGAGATGAATCATACCCAAACCCTCAGCTGTGTAATTGATCTCGATTGATTGGTGTGTCCCCATGTTCCTGACTGGACATCTCTGGCGTACCTGGATCTAACCTTCTGCTTTTGGCTCCGTCCCACGAAATGAAATACTACAACGAGGCTGGGCGGCGAGCCTGAATTCAAGATCTTTGCGACACGATGCTTGATAGGAGAAGGGAGCTTCGAATGTGGACTCGAGCCCCTCTTTCCCCGATCGCCTTCTTCACAAGGGTTGTGCGAGGGAAGCTCAAGGGAGTCCCAAGTTACGATGGGTTTGGCTGGTGTCTCTATAAAGCTGCCCTCTACCCTCGTATGAAAGCCAGCACTCCCGCTCGATCAGCACCTCATACATCCATTACCTCGAGACTCTCCCAGACATCTCGGATCACGACACAGCTATGCTCCTCGAATCAGTGGTCCTCGTTGCTGCCTTGGGCATCGTCAACGCTCAGCGACCGGAGAATGTGTCCATCTGTGACTACTACACTCCAATTGCCATTGGGGAGAACACAGCAGAAAATCAACAGAGGCTAATGCAACTGATCACCCATACTTTCATCCTGGGCAACTACACGACTCCCAATGTTGGAATTGCGGTGGCAGGCATTGCTGGCCCTGGCAACTTCTCAGGCCATGAAGTCAACATCTTGAACTACTTCACGGGGGCATACTACTCATCCAACGGCTACGACGGTGGCGATGTCGGTATCGCAAAGAACTTCTTGGACGATGGCGGTGCCGAAGCACTGTTGTCCGACATCCCTGCAAACACCAACAGCTCAAATCAATTGTAAGTTGGCTCGCAGATCTTTCGGGTCTTGATGAGACTAATGTGGCGACAGCAACCTCCTCACCCACGTGTATCAATACTTTGGAGAATTCTACGGATGCAGCGAGCAAGGCAAGACTGGCTTCCCCAAGTACCTGGGCGTGGCCAGCATGTACGAAGTGCACAAGTACGAGAGCCTTGAAAAAGAAATGATAGTGACAGCTGTCTAACAAGGAACACAGATTCATGTTTTCAGACCCCTGGGAGTCGGGCTACTTCAATGAGCAGATCGTCCTTGCTGGGCGATCTGTTGGTTTCAGTGAAGCTGATGGCGACTTTACTCAGAAAGCACTCGACGCAACGTTTGGATTCCGCTGCTCACCAGAGGCAGCTGTGATTCCAGCCTCGGCAGGACCTCAGCTTCAAGCAATCTGTATCTCGGATGCTTGCCCACTGCACCCCAATGCCACCTGCTCCGCTTATCCAGACGATGGGGTTGCTGTTTTCCCCGAGATTGCCAACGCCACCCTTGCTGGATCGGTGGTCAAGGAGAACACCACCTCAACGGACGACGGTGATAGTTCGGGTGCTTCAGGCACTGCCTCTGGCACAGCCTCTGGAACTGTTTCTCCCACTGCTGCTTCCACTAACGCTGCCTCTGCACTGGACTTGTCCCCTACCGTGAAAGTGGGCAGCGTGGTTGCCCTTCTGGCTGCTGGATTTTATGCCAGTCTTTAAACTATCTCTGTGAATCTACATAGCAAAGCACTGGTGAACATATCGACTGGACCCAGCCAGGCAACATCTGACAGTTCTGCTGTAACTTTCAGGTACATTGCTAGCTAGAGGCTTTCGATGGTGAATGTGGTCAATCTAATTGAGCCAGGATCCCGGGTAGGGCAGGAGGAGGACTGGGGGAGAGTGGGAGGTATGAGCTGTAATGGCGGTGGTAGAGACTTCTCTTCAGTATGGAAAGAAAGTGAAGCACAGTAAGCCTGGGTTGATGCCTAAACCGAGGCGATGCATATTCATCTTTCCCCTTTTCAACAAGAGCTTACCAAAATACCTCCCACGCATATCAACATCGGCACGTGGTGGACCGAAACATGCCGTCGATCAAACCAGTAAACTTAGTACATACATAGTAGAAGTAAATGTCAAATACTTTTCTTGAGGCTGAAGTCCCTTGTTCTAAGCCCGCAAACTGATTCCCTAATCAATCTGTGGGTCCGTGTCTGGGTTTGCTGGATTTGCCAATCAGAACGTGACATCCCCCACTGTACGCGTCCCTTGCACCAGACATACTCCGTAGGTACCTATGTACGGAGTAGATGAGATCATCACAGGCATTACATCATAGATCTCCAGGAAGCTGCTCGCACGCTTAGAGGTACCTACGGAGTATTAGTTCTAGCCTAGAGACCATTTTCTAGGTGCGGGGCAGACCGCCGAGGGACCACTTCGCACCCATCCCCATCCCCATCCACGCCATCCCTAGGCACCTGTCTGCGCCTCAAGACAACCCAAAAAGAATCTCAAATCATTTCCTTCGACCCCATTCCATTCCATCCAATCGATCATCCAATTATCCATTTGTCCACCCAGTCTCAAGGCACACGCCTCATTATTGAAATATCTCATAGGTTTATCCTTCTGAGTTACTAGTATATAGATCTAGTCAATCATCGTTCCACCACATCACTCGATGCGAATCCGTCATATCCTTCGAACACTCTACACATTCGGCGTCACGACATCAGCGCTCCGCTCCTCATCGACTCACCTGCGGGGGACACGACTTCTCCAGCAAAGTCACACTACAAACAACCACCACTCCAATTTCTACTCCAAAAGCGTCTTTAAATCCATGCCATCGATCCCATTCCTAAGTTCATTTTTCAGTACATCGACTCCCGCATCCGAGAAAATGTCTTATCCAGACCAGAGATCTAACGATGAGTGGCGTACGGTGTTGAATAAAGGTACGTAATACTCCTCACCTCAACCTAGGTAACTTGGGAGACCTCACGCTCTCTGCCCCACCTCCCTCTGTATCCCTACTAACACATCACACCAGAACAATTCCGCATCCTACGAGAAAAAGGCACTGAAGCGCCTTTCACCGGCGAGTACGATAAACACCAACCGACCGAAGGCGTATACACATGCGCCGGCTGTAACGCCCCGCTATACAAGGCGAACCACAAGTTCAAGTCCGGATGTGGATGGCCCGCCTATTTCGACAGTCTGCCTGGCGCAGTCACCAGACATACCGATAGCAGTTTCGGCATGGAGAGAACTGAGATTGTCTGTTCCAATTGCGGTGGTCATCTCGGTCATGTCTTCAAGGGAGAGGGATATCCGACCCCGACAGATGAGAGACACTGTGTCAATTCTATCAGTTTGAAGTTCCACGAGAAAGAGGATGAGGTCCAGAAGCCGGCGGGGGGTGAGGCAAAGTGACATATGATATGATATAATATATGATATCTTTTTTTGATTTGGTGGGCTGGTGATGGTCAAGATATCGTGGTTGAAGATTGAATATCAATCATGTTGCCCTTGTTTAGGTTTCGGTTCTGGAAAGGAATCCAAATGATTCTTGGGCAATTCTAGACATATCTTCAGCAACTGCAATTGTTTGTTCACAATCCGTATCAATATGCACTTCCGATAGTATCCAATCTACCCACCAGTCTGCCAAATGAGTCCAGAAGAAACACCAGGTCGCTCATGCCCATGCCCCTTATGTATCATCACTTCTTGCGAGCCCTGCCCGTGACAGTCAACTCTCCATGGCCAATCTCAACCTTCCAGCCGTCCTTAAGCAACATCCTACTAACCGCCGGCCCAATCTTCGGAGCGTGATTCTTACTATGACTGCCCACCCCAGTCACAATCCTGAACCCCTTCCTCATGGCAGCGCCACCGGCTCCTCCCAACATGTACTTCGTATCCCCCAAACCATCCCACCAGCTTTGCACTCGATCACTAGTGATACGAAGTGCATCTGCGACGCTGACGCCGTGGAGATCCAGAACCGTAGAGGATGATTGCCCGCCGACCAGGGCATCAGCCTCTGCAGCTTGCATTTCTTTCGCTTTTCTCATTTGTTCGTGTCCAACTTGAGAATAATATGCTGCTGCTCCGCCCATGAGACGATCGGATTTGCTTTTCTTAAAGGCAACGCTGGCCTGGCCAAAGTGATGCGAAGCTGCGATCCGGTGGGCGGCGGCAGCTTGTCGTTGTCCTGACCCTGTTCCTGATGCCTTTGAGGCCCATGTTGAGGTCGAGGGCGATGAAAACTTGTGCACATTGCCATCTGTTTCATCGATTTCGACTGGCGCGTACTGTGGTGCAATACTCACGGATTTCGGCTCATCATAACGATTGTTGTCTGAAGACACCATAGCCTCAATAAGCTCACGAGCTGCAGAAGGAATATTTCGGGCCATTTTGAGTAGGCCAATAAGTTGGCTTTTCGGAACTTGCTCAAACTCGTCTTCGAATTCGGCGATTTGCATGTCCATGACTGCAGCGGTTTCATCTCCGCATTGATCGGTCGTGGTGCTTTCTCTAATTGCCAGCTCTCGTATCGTCGGACCAAGCCGGGCTCCATGTTGATGATAGGCTGACCGGACCGTCTGTTGTTGCAGCGTCGTTCTTGTGCAGATGAATTTAACATCTTCGGACATGGTAGACCATACATTGTAACTGCTTGTATCCTGGTCTGTCAAGTGTGAAGATGCTGAGCTTGCCCTCGATACATCAACTGGTCTGTTCTTCCGTTTCCGTCTTCCCTTTCTCGGAGCGATATTTTCTTCGGCAAAGGCTTCGATGCCTTTTGGTACTGGTTCATCTTCTGGGTACTGATCATTTCCAGCCTGCGCCAAGAATGAAAGATTGAGCAATTCGTCGGTTGCTTTGTCCAACGACCCATCGTGACTTCTGAGAACTTCGGCTAGCTCTCGTTTCGGAATGACGGGGAACATGTTCAGTAGCCAGTCGGTCTTTGCCTCGGCGGATGCATTGCTCAGGTCGGTTCCAAACCTGTCTGAGTCTGCACCTAACAGCTCCGAAATGCCAGTCGTGATGCTTGTTACTCCATTAAAGAGACTGTCCTCGGCGCTTGAACCTGAGGCGTCAGGGTTGTTGTCATCATTTTGGTTGATGAATCGACCCCCAGTGCCGGAAGGGTCAAAGTCTGTAGAGTCTTGGTCTAAAGCACCGGATCTGAGACTTTCCAGCACGCTTTCCAACGCATTCTGATCGCGAGGGAGTTCATATTCTGAAACAATCGCATAAAAGAGCGCATCGTCCAGAGGAGGGCAATATTTAAGTCGCAGCGCCTCGTGTTGGTCTGCGTCATCTTGTCCAAGCGCAGCACTGATCCCAGCGGAGGAGTTGGAACGCACCTCTACCTCTGAATCAGTAGGGTCAGTCATGGTGAGTCCTATCTCACTCTCATCTTTGACATGGGAGGGCTAATAGTATATATAATGTTGACGAGAGGGGCTTTTTATACAATGTTGATGAAAGTATAGCCAAGCTCAGAGATCACGGGACAAAGAGAGTGGTGTGAACTTGTTCTGCTTGCTGGCTCTAGCAACATTGTGACTGGTGTGGATTTACTGGTATCTTGTTGGTGGTGTGTAAAAGTGAGACCTGTGTGAAGAAATCATTGCAGGCATCAACTGACGAGGCGGAATGAAGTGACGACAAGTGAAGAGATGAAGATGTGTCATGGCCTGGGGTACATGATGGAATTCACATCGAAATAATCCAGAGATGTGATGAATCTTGACGAACTTAACATCGGATCTACCCGTGTTTAGTCGCGATTTAGTACCTTTTCATGCTCGACTAAACTGCACAACGTAGGTCTGCCGACCACCACATACTAGACACATTACAGTATTTCACCCTTAACAAAGCCATGGATAGGACTGAAGAGTGCCATCACTTCGCAACGACTGCATTACTCATTATTGTGACATCTCAAAGAAGAGTCCATTATCTGGATTCTTGGCCAGTAACTGTACAACCAGTTTGGAAAGGTATCACCAGATACATTCCGTGCTCATTCTGGTCTAATAACACTACGTCTATGACTTATGACGTGCATCAAGACAAGATGATGGCAATCATGGAAATGCGGTTTCCTTCCAGAACCTACAAGTACTTGGTATCGGTTGCCCACGTGACCATCTGTTCTTTCACACTGCGAACACTGAGAATCAAGCGGCCGTGCAACATGCCTCGTATCTTAAAGTTTAGATTGCAGATGACAGGAGATGGCAAATATCTGCTGCAGAAAGCGAGGAAACCCATGGCGACACCAACCTGGCCCACTCTTTTAATCCCAAAACCTTACTCCACCCACTTGTCTGGGACTAATCGATGCCTGAGTAATGATAGAAGACAGTGATGATTAAAATGAGCTATGCAGCCTTTTCATTGATGAAAAGGTAAGTATATGTAGATATATGAGCCCAGTTTAAAGTACAGAGTACCCGTACCTTTCACTGCCCCAAAAGGCCTTCCGAGTTTCAACTGAAGATGACCCTCAAGTATATGATCAAAAACGCCACAGTCGTTTCAATAGACCCTGACATTGGGACTGTGGCTGATTGTGATGTCTTGATCGAAGGAGACAGCATTGTCGCCGTCGGCCCTCATCTCTCTCAACCAGATAATTGCGTTCTCATCGATGCTTCGAACGCCATTGTCTCGCCTGGGTTTGTCGACACTCACCGTCATACCTGGCAGACTCAACTACGGACAGTCTGTTCAGACCATACTCTCGCAGATTACGCGATATGGATGCGCAATGTCTATGGGGCATCTTATACTGCTCGTGATGCATATCTCGGAAACTACTGCGGAGCCCTGGAGTCTATCGACAATGGCATCACCTGTCTCATCGACCATTCGCATATCGTGAACTCCCCTGCCCACGCAGATTCTGCTGTTCAAGGGCTCAAGGATGCAAGAATTCGAGGAACCTGGTGTTACGGCGTATGGAAAAATCCGTGCTGGGAGGGTTCCTGCTTGGATCCAGAGCGAGAAGCACAAGTCCCTGACTGGAGGTTTGCAGACGCCAAACGCATCAAGGATACCTATTTCAAATCTAATCATCCCACTGACCTCTTGAGATTTGGATTCGCTCCCGCCGAGCTGGACTTTCTCACAAAGGAACAGGCAAAAGAGGAGATCATGTACGGAAGGTCGCTCGGCTCTGCGATCATCACAGGCCACATCGGCTGTGGCAAATACGATGACGGTGCTCACACAGTGCGAATTCTGAGGGATGCAGGTCTCCTTGGTGCCGACCTTCTGTTCAGCCATGCCACGACACTTGAAGATGACGAGTTAGATGCGCTACGCGACCAATGTGCCGGGCTGTCCAGTACTCCCGGCACCGAACTACAGATGGAGATGGGCCATCCGATCGCATTCAAAGCACGCGCAGCTGGATGTCGAGCAAGTCTTGGAATTGACATGGCTTGCAGCAACCCAGTCGACATGTTTCAACAGATGCAACTACTCCTCCAAAGCGAGCGTCGGTTGCAATCAACCACGTCTCAAGCAAAATTGTCGAGCCTCCAGCAAAAATGTGCAGAAGTACTCGAAATGGCCACTATTGGTGGTGCGGAAGCCGCTGGTCTCAAGGATATTATTGGAAGCATTACGCCAGGCAAAAAGGCGGATCTGATCATCACAAGATGCGACTCCCCCAGGCTGACTCCAATCATTGATCCAGTCGCAGCTCTTGTTCTGTATGCGAACAGCTCAGACATTGACACAGTCTTTGTCAACGGAGTCGTTGTGAAGCAAGGTGGCAAGTTGACTCAGGTCGATTGGCCAAAGGTCCGTAGTGAACTTCGAGGGTCACTAGAATCTATTCTCCACCGCTCCAAACAAGCTCCGCTGGAATCGATTAAGAAAGAGATGGCGATCTTCATGAAGCAGGACTTGGGGACGGCACAAGGATAGAATACAACCTTTCCATGACCATCGATAACGACATATGCGTGTGTAAGGTGTCGCGTATATCACGAGCGCGATGGCGATTCCATTCATAGAGTCACTCCCTTTGATGAGCCACAAGGACATCAAGGCTTCCTTGCCACACGAACATCTGGCTGACCGTCGTAGTAAACCCTTCGCCGCAGAGTGAAGTGGTAGTCTATAGCGAGTATTTGAAGCGCCTCACGGAATGCCTGAAGCACATCACAGCCCTTCCGGACTTTTGTAGGCTGGAAATGAATATACTGCTCCAGTCGCACATCTTTGTCTGGTCGGTATTGCCGACACAAAATCATGATCATAGGAAGGTCCGCGAGGCTAAATAAGCTAAGTATCTTAAACTAGACCTCATCGACACCCGAGTTTTGTCCTTGATTCATCGAGTTCTTCTCTTCTTGGAGCATCCCCATCTTATCTCCGTAATGGACCTCGTATCTCGACTTAAACCCAGTTCTAAGTCCGTTTCACAACGTAGATGGCAGATTTAATCTTCCAAAGTCAATGATCCCAGGTATCCTGGCCGGCCTTCTGCTACCAAAACTTGAAATAGGCAAGTGCTCTGATCCATGGAGGACGAGAATAGTACTGCCTTAACATAGCAATCTCATCCGCTTGAAGGGTTCGCCGGCCCGTTGTCAGGTCCACACTCGTGGGATGCCGAATCTTGGAACGATAAATGAATTTGTGTGCAATGGTGAAGGTGACTACAACGACAACGCCAATGTTGTATTGGAAGAAATTCTCCGCAGATGCGTCCTGAGTTCCCTGTTTTTGTCAATTGGGTCAGCCAAAATCACACAATGTGTTCCCATATGACGAGGCAGGAGCGAGGCAAATCTTACCAGTGGGTATAGTCCACTATAAATGCAGCAGATGAACAATAATAGGCTCACAGTGAGCAGCCAAATTGTGGGCCCTGGCCAGTACCAGCACCGCCAGGCAAATACCTCAGTGAAGAGCTTGTCATTTTGCTTCTTCAGAGCTGAGTGGAACCGAAGCGAAGTAATCGAGATGACGATCCATACAATGAAGAAAGCTGAGGCAGTGATGGATGATAACCAGGTGAAGATGGTCACTCCAGTCCCTATGTTATGTTCAAGTTAGTCCTCTCTTCATGTATAAAGTCGATTTCATGACTTCTTACCGCTGAGGTTGATATATGTCAAAGCGATAGAAACAGCACCCGTGATAGCCAAAGACCAGAGAGGCCGACCTCGGGAATCCACTTTTGCCGCGAGGAAAGCTGGAATTAGCCTCTGATGAGACATGGCTCTCAGGATTCTCGAGGCAATGTAGATTCCTTCAGCACCAAATCCAAACACGGAGAGCAGGATGATGACGCGAAGGAATTGGTCGATTCCATAGATTCCAGCTGCCTCCATGGCAATTGTGTGCGGTGACTGGGCAATCGCTGATCCACCGAACAATTGCGGATCGTCCGAGTCGACCAAGATACCAGCAAAGATCACCGTAAGGAGGTAGATCGTGGCAACGCGGACAGGTACTGTCTTGGCTGCCCTCGCAATGGCGAGTCGTGGGGAGGTGGTCTCACCTCCCATTATCATGACAAATACTTGATCAGCCATTGCCCAGAGAGCAAGGAGAGAAGCGCTAGAGAAGCCCTGGAGAGAAAATCAGTCAATTCCAAGTAGTCGAATCAAGACATGTACTCACTCCAAACCCGTTCTTGAACAGAGGTCCTTCACGCCAGGTTTCGCCTGTATGTCTTCTTCCCTTGGGGCCCGCTCCGAGAATAATAGCAAAGTCTATCACGAGGAACATAATAACACCAAAGAGCTTGACCACCGAAGTAACATACTCATACCAAGCGAACCATTTGATCGGGAAGCTGAAGAGTACTGCTGTAGCTAGAATGAAGAGGGTGACTGCGCAAAGTTAGTCAAACAGAGGGTCACTAAGGATTAGACTGGTAATGTGTGGTCGTACTCCATACAGCCTCCGGGACCGCATCGGTCCACTGCTGGACTATCAAGCTGAAGAACACAGCTTCAGAACCCAGAACAGCACACCATCCTTTCAGTGGGTCAGTTATGGTATCTAAAACTAACAATTATATAGACTGACCTAGCCACTCAGCAAAGCCTGCGGCAAAGGCAAGGGAAGGGTGGACGAATCGATCCGCGTAGTCAATAAAGTTCCCGGAGGTTGGAAATGCGATGGTCATCTCCCCGAGGACTTGAAATACGGCAAATACTGCTGATGCTACCATTCCATAGGCAAAGATGGCACCAAGAGGACCAGCTGTGAGTTTTTGTCAGCCTTTGGCTTGCTAAGTCAGAAAGTTTCCCTGTACCATTGCTTAGACCTTTGCCAGTAGCAATGAGAACACCGCTTCCGATGTTGGCACCGAGAGAAATCACCTATTCCAACCGCGTCAGCATTTTTCCATTTCGTTGAACGAAGGTTCTTGCGGACATGAATTTGACGAGGCGAAATAGCTCGTTGATATTCCCCATGAGCATCAGGGGGATGAGTATTTTCACGCCCAAGCGCTTCTTCGGTCTGCCCTGGCTGAACATCCACCTCGTCCGCGGGTATCTCCTTCGTTGAGTGTATTTTCTCCATGGTCAGGTTGCTTGTGGAATTCAACTGTCGCTAGAGACATGGTTGGCGGAATGGTCATCGACTTTATATTCTCTGTCGTCGTTCGAAGTTGGTCAGCCCGTCACCAAGCCAGATCTCCAGGTCGTGAAGTAGGTACCTAGACTCCAATAATTCGAGGAAGTCGATGGCGAGAGGTTGGATGTCAGGTCACATCGGGGCATTCTAGACCGCTGATCTTCGACAACTATGAATAACGTGGAAACCTGGATCCTGATATTGAAGTTCACGATATCAAAATGCAGTTGGGATACGCCCTGGGGATCACTTGGCTGAAGGGGCTTGATGCTGATAAGGCTACGGAGACTTTCTTCCAATCATCACTCTGGGGTAGATATCTGGGGGAGGCAGGCCCAAGGTGATTGGTCTATGATAGGAAATCAATGGCGAGAACCATAACTATGCGCCCCCTGACGAAAATGGGTCTTTCATTATTCACATCTTTTGAGGATGCTGCTGGGTCATGCTGCACGTTTGAGTCGGGCTCCCCGGCGAAATCGTAGCAATCTTGCCTCTTCCCTGGAAGCTTATCATCAGAGTGGGCTCAGCCTGTGGAAGTGACTTGGTCAATCAGGAGACTGATATTCCTGTGTTGTGATAGCGAGACTGTTCTGGAGCTAAAGCTATGGATCATGCCGTCGCAATTCTCAGTGAAATTGTATATGAAGGAAATCAATAGCGACAATGAGCGGGAAGACAGCGGGCACGTGCACAAGTGCAACCGCAGCCGAGTGGAACTTGATATCCGTCTTCCGAATGACTCTGCCAATTACATAAAGATCTAGTTAGCTCGAGGCGCATCCAGAAGCCAGGCTCTCTTATCGGTTCAAAGCCAGCTTTAAACCATGTCGGTTGATATGTCGTGGTCGACTGCCAATGAAACTCGAAGCAACGAAGGCCTAGATCTGTTATGTAGATATTGGCAAGGTTTTTCACCATGAACCAAAAGTACGCCAGATGTAGTTGAACTATGCATGATCGTGGTGGTGCCTGAATCCACACTGAAAGGGTGAGACATGGTTTCCGATACCCAGCCAGTCCACGAGTCTCACTTCTCAAAAGAATTCTTGGAAATCAAGGTTGATGATCTGCTGCGAGAACCACTCCGCCGTGAGAGGATTTGGCATCAAGTCGTGAAAGCGTAAGGATCATTGCTGTCGAGTTGAAAGTCTTGGTCATGGTCGAGACTGGGTCGCGAATCAAGTTCTTGCGATTGCTGATTACTTTCACCTTGCATCCTCCGTTCGAGATTTGTCTGCAGTGAGATATCTTGTCAGATCATCATGGCTGGAGGTGAATCATACCTATATCAAACTGATTTGTCATGGATACCGCTTGCTGGAACGCAATGAGGACTTGGATAGCGTCCAGCGGAGGGTACATGAGGTGTACACCGCTTGAAGATAGAGTTCGCTAGCCATAGGGAAGATGAAAGACGAACACAATCTTCCGGAGGAATCAGTCGAGGCCGCAATTGTGCTGCTATGAGGTCGATCAATGCTCCGAAGGTGACTGTGACAATTAAATAGGCAAATGAACGCTAGTGGCAGCACTCCCGGTTCTTACAATAAATTGTGTATTCAGCGGAAGATCGATAAAGTGTCAAGGTCTTCATGAGATAATTCAATCAAATCATGGGCCGTTGAAGGCAGAGGATGAATATTCTCAAGGCTACATCATCTTCCAAACGCAGAAATGCAATCATCGGTGTTCATATCGTCGTAACACGGGTTGTTCGCTGTATGCCACAGTGAAAGAGACTTGGTCCATTCATTTCCCACACAAAAAGTTCCCATCCCACCAACTCACGCCAGGCCTTGTGCATCAAGACCCTAGACTTCTCGCCAAGTGTAACCCCCTTTCTTGCCCAGGGCGTCCGGATCTGGTGTCTTCATGGCGTTCTTGTCACCGAAAGGATCATCAGGATCGTCGTCGTCGAAATCGCTTTCACTCTCGGTCTCTGGGTCTGGCTGACGAGCCTTTGTATTGGCGGGGCTGCTAGCAAGTGGTCTTGGAGGAGGCATGGCAATCTGGGTGGGAGCTTGGACAGGCCGTGGTGGCTTTGGAGGAGCAGAAATGCTGAGATTTGCCACCATTCTCTCCGCGTCTCGTGCAGCTGCCTGCTCGCTCTTGGCTTGCTGCCTGCTGAGGTGTTGTGCTTCTTCAAGTTCGCTATCCGAGTCGTCATCAATAGACTTGTCCATAATCTCAAAGGCCATGAGAGCATTGACTAGCTCTTCGTTGGCATGAATCAATCCACCAAGAAACTCCTCCGTCTCGACTAGTTGGATATATCGTAGAATCTGACGGCGGAGTTGCTTACACGTCTCGAAACGCTTCATGACCTCTGCATTGCTAGATACCCGTTCCCGCTCTCGATTGACAATCTTCAAGGCGTTGCTCAAGCCAGTAGATGCGACCGAAGAGGCGGCAATGGCCTGTAGAATCTGTGGTTTCTCCCGTTCTAGGTTGAAGACTTGACCTTTGTTCTTCTTGTCCTTCTTGACTTTCTTTGAAGTGAAGGTGGAGGACGAGCCCAAGGCCACGGGAGTGCTTTGTTTCCGGAGAGTCGTCGGACTAGATGGCTCTCCTGCCCGGGCTGAGCTGTTGGATCGTTCCCTCGAGTAATCCTGCTCTTGCTCGCGTTGTACGTCTTCTTCCGTTTCCCGAAGGACTCTGCTTTGTTCCCGTCTTTGCTGAACGGGTTTGTGTGTCTTTGGTAGTTGGTTGTAAAGTGACTTGGCACCTTCCAAGCCCGGATTGGTCTTGGAACTCGCTACCTAATGTCCACTGTTAGAGAGGTCGACCATGTCGGCTGGACCAGAGATGGCATCAAGGCTGTGCCATCAGGAGTTGCGCTCTCCACTAACCCATTGACCAAAAAGGTCCTTGCACTTGGCCCGCACGTCTTGGTCGGAAAGAGGATCAACGGCGGCAATCCGGAGACGCTCGAGGAGTGGCCCGTCGGAGAGGAGAGCTCTCTGAACCCGAGATCCTCCATTCTGCAACAGACCGTCGAGAATGGCAAGAGCTCGGAGTTGGCGATGAGCATTTCCGTACTTCAACTTCTTTCTCAAGGCCCGAGCCACCTCTTGCGAGCCAGTGGCTTGGAGCTTCACCACCTCGAGCAGCTCCGGAATGCCGGCCAGATCATCCTCTTCGTACGTTTCGGACGTGAGTTGCTCGACGTGAACAGAGATGGCGGAAAAGGGCTTCTTCTGTTGGTGGTATTGATAACGAGTTAACAACTGATACTTCCTGCGCGACCGATAACAACAAGCAAAATGTAGCAATTCAATCAATAAGCGTTTAACACCTCGTACTTCCGGAGGCGGACGGCGTCGGGGAATGACTTCGGGTGGTTTGTAGTTTGGATATGCATCAAATGTGCGTTTGATCTTTCGGCCGCATTCATCGCAGCCTTGGAGGGAGCCTGGAGCCTCTGCTGCGTCGAGGAGACCTTCGAGTTCGCCGATGTCTGCTTTTTCATTGTCGTCTGGCTGAATGACACCGACCAGACCAGCGTCAGGCGTACACGTCGCTGTGTGGACGAGGAAAACCGAAAGGCCAGTCATGGTGTTGATAGTCTAGACTGAGGTGGAGGTGGAGGGGTTGGGCTTGGGGTTTGGGTTGATATTGAGGTTGTGATAGAGCGGTTCACGACATGGCAGATGTGAAGTGGAAGGAGCATGGACTGGAATGAGAGAAGATGACTTACCGAAGAGGCGAACATGACTATTCGAAATCCTATGTAGTCAGGGAGACGGGGGAGCCGGTGGTAGGGCTGTCTGTCGACTGGGAGGACTCAAGTTGTGCACGGAAGGAGGGCAAGTTGGCTGCGGAGCGGAAGCTGCAGGTGACTTTGCAACGCAGGACCCACGGACCAGGACGCTTCGTTTGCATCTCCACTCTACCGCCTCCTTCAGCGCGGTGGAGGGGCCGAGGGGCCGCCTCGGGCCAGTTGTTGGCACCTGGCGGGGCCTGAGCGCCCCAAGCACGCCCAAGGTCCAGGCACTACCTCCCCCCCCCATCCAAAGTTGCCAGGCTGCCAGAGCCCCAACGCCAAGAAGCTCGCTGGGTTTGGTTATGACTTTTTGTTGTTACAACATCCCTGTTTTATTCGTCTACAAAGCAAATTGCTGCTTGCACAGTTGATTAAAGTTACTCGCGTTTAAGAGGCTTCGCTTCATAAAGCAATATTCGACAAACGCCTCTCGTGTTGTTGATTATTCGACCTCACCCAACCATGGGTCTCACGCACCAGTATCATTAGATCTGATCTGACACGTTCTTTATCCTTGAAACTGAGAGTAGATGAGGCATGCCCAAGCTCAACGACTCAGCAAACGGGAGCCCATATTTGATGTAACGTGGTACACGAACCTCATCCACAGACAGCCATCACTTAATAATGGGGCTTCATCCGTCAGGATCGTTGGCACATTCCAAGCCTCTCAGCATCCATCGGTCAGATGGCTTGAGATGGCGTGGCGAAGGTTTGAACAACGCCTACATTCTGGAGTATTCGTGTTCAAGTGATCCAGGCGTTGGTTGCGGGTGCCACAGAGTGAGCCGGCATATCTCGTGAGAAAAAAGACCAACAAGCCAGTCCATAAGCGGACTGGTAAACAACGTTCCTGCATAACATGAGCTGCTTGGGCCCCAGGAACTCTCCATTCATCATCTGTCTTACTAAGTAGCCCCCGCATATCGGTTTGTTGGCATTTTTAAACGTTGACATTCTGCGTCGTCCCGCTTACGAAGCAAATAACACGGAACAAATGTCAAATATGCAGCAGTCTTGCTACAAAATCCGTTCATGGTCTTGCATACGCATCGATTCACTTTGCCACTTTGAGCTGACCCCGTTTGCAAAGCCTTTCTGGTGATGGAGACGCATACAACATCACCCGGCTCGGAAAGAAGATAAGGAAACATGAGGAGGGATCACGGTGAGGCCACCACGCGTTTAGCCCATGTCAGATTCCTTCGGCAGTGGTTGGTGCAGTAAGAATAAGTTGAATAACTTCATCAAGGTGGTCAGCAATGACTCCACAAATAGCTTCACGATGTGGCCAAAGGCCCAGGTGTGATCCTTGCCGTACTGGAACCTGCCAACAGACGGATGGCGTTTGTTGTCGTCATTGTTGATCGTGCAGATCTGTTGTTGTCAATGCACACATTCGACAGGCTAGTACATGTGTACGTGCTTAACTTTGGATGAAATTTTGTCACCGTTGGTATTTACAATGTTTCGCCATTGACAACATCGAGCCTACCAGTACTCCGTATGCACGCCGACTTAACTAACCCGAAGTGCAGGCACTTGAAGTGCAAGGCTTACTTGATATACCCGAACGTGGATGTTAATGCGGGGGGTGGCGGGTGCCTAAAAGACAGCGGAACCGTTATCGAAAGGAACTATCTATTCGTAGAGAGTCAAGGGCTCTTTTAGCTCTGTACCTCCACTTTCAGAGATGGAAATCTAGCAACGGAGTTCTATCCTAGACCTCAATACTCTCTCTCAATTGACAACCATTCAGTCTTTGAGATCAACTAAGCTGCAATTCTTGTTTTTACTTGACTAGTGTCAACCATATGTTCAAACCCACACTTTGTAACGGCTAGAGTATCCTCAAACACACAAGGCCACAAACAGGCCAATGGCAATCCATTCATGACCTTAGGTATGGGCCGTTGGAACAGAACCTTGGATTGATGTTGGCATCGGTGGCGAACAACATCCACAAAGACAATATGAGGTTATTGGAAGGATTGAATTGAATCTGCTTGATGGCGCCAAGCCCACGTGTCCATCAAACTTGGCAAGTCTCTATGTACTGAAAGTACCTGCAAGTTCGTCCCGCATCGCTCCTTCCCCCATATCCATGATCCTCGAGCTGGACAGCAAAAGTAAGGAATAAAGATATTCCGACAAATATCACAATTTTCTACGCTTCGTTCCATGAGAACTCTATCGACACTGCGCAATCCAGCACCTTTGACAACCATCTGCGCTGTTCTCATCTCAATTATCGCCCTCATTCTGGCACTCCCAAGCCAAGTCACAGCCCCAGCGTTTGGTCGCCTGAACGCAAGTTTCATTCGTTTATCCCCCGCTCGGATCAGACCGAATTTGGGCATCAGATATCTAATTAGCACTACTCCATTCCAAGGCCGACGGGCCATGGCGTACGAAAGCGAGCTCCGAGTTGCCCAGTTGGCGGTAGCACGAGCGGCCATCTTGACAAAGTCCGTTTTCCATGAGAAGGCCAAAGGGACAGTCTCCAAAGATGACAAGTCCCCAGTGACTATCGGCGATTTTGGCGCCCAAGCACTCATCATTGCCGCCATCAAACACAACTTTCCCCAGGACGAAGTCGTCGGCGAAGAGGATGCCGACACTCTCCGCGCGGATAAGAATTTGTCATCGAGCATCTGGAACCTGGTGCAAGCTGTTAAACTTTCCGATCCCGAGTCAGATGCTCTTTTGGGCGGCCCCATCAAGTCCGAGGCGGAAATGCTCGATGCCCTCGATAAGGGAAACAGCGCAGGAGGCTCCAAGGGCCGCATTTGGGCTCTCGATCCCATCGATGGCACAAAAGGATTCCTCAGAGGTGGTCAATATGCTGTTTGCTTGGCGTTGATGGTTGACGGTGACGTCAAAGTTGGCGTTCTAGGCTGTCCCAATCTTCCCGTCGATGATACAGAAGCGTTGACAGAAGATATCGGCTCGGCCGCAACTGATGCCGAAGGCAAAGGGGTCTTGTTCTCTGCCATTCAAGGCCAGGGCGCCACATCTCAACCTCTTACCACTGGAGCTGTGACCCCAGGTAAAGCTATTCACGTAAGCAAGATTGACAATGTAAGCCAGGCTGTGTTGTGTGAGTCTGTCGAACCAGGTCACTCCTCCAAAGGCGACAATGCCGCCATAGCCCAGAAGCTCGGCATTACCGGGAAGCCGGTGCAGATGGACAGTCAAGCCAAGTATGGAAGCGTGGCTAGGGGTGCTGGCGACCTCTATCTGCGCCTGCCCGTTCGCAAGGACTACATCGAAAAAATCTGGGATCATGCCGCGGGCGACTTGATCGTGAGAGAAGCCGGTGGCCAGGTCACGGATATCAAGGGAAACAGACTGGATTTCAGCAAGGGCAGGACGCTTACAGACAACAAGGGTGTCATCGCAAGTCCTGCCAATGTCCATAGTCAAGTCTTGAAAGCGGTACAGGAAGTTTTGGCTGCAAAGTTATAGAGTACATAGAAGCTGATGCTACAAAGATAACGACAAGAGTCGTCTTTTGCTCTTCTGCTCCGCTGCCGCAAAAAGGACCGAAAATATATCTTCAGTCCCTGCCGAAGCCATTGTCTACTCACTTCTCTATTTGTTCTTTCCCTTCAATCTGATAGTCTCGTCATTGACGAAAATACCCTTGCCTTTGTATGGCTCAGGCTTCCTCCATCGGCGAATCTCCGCAGCGAATTGCGTCACAACCTGCTTGTCACATCCCTCAAGCAATATTCTGGTTGGTTGTGGTGTGCTCGCCTTGACTCCCATGGGGACACCCATCTCCACGGGATGGGCGAATCCAAGTTTCAGGTTGACGAACTTTTGACCCGGGTACTCGGGCTTTTTGGTGGTTGCGCTGTCTTCCACAGTAGCACGATAACCGACGCCGACGAGACGTAGAATACAAGTGTGACCTTCCGACACCCCGGAAATGGTGTTTTGTATCAGAGCTCGCATGGTGCCTAGTCAAATTGGTTAGCTCACTGAAAGGCCAACATTATATGCGCAAAAGGCAGCCTCACCCCACATAGACCTCTGATGAGTTTCGTCAGACTCGAGAACGCTCACGTTGAGTTTCTTGCCATCTGAATCTTGCGACGTCGACAGATATTGTGGTATGGGTAGTGTCAATTGGCCTGTTCATCTTGCGTGTTAGCCAAGCGATCTTGCCAATGTACGCCCATCATCAAAATCTCACCCAAAGGCCCTGTAACTTCCAAGATGCTGACCGGTGCGTCAGGGTTCCTGCTTCTTGCAGTTGCTTTCGGTACATCGCAGAAGCGTAGCGACACATCAGGAGGGATCGCGATAGCTGTTTTCCCAATTCGGGAACGGTGGGCGGCTGTGGCAGAGAAACATCGTGACTGTGAGATCGAGGGCGCAAGGAACGAATGGATTTCGTGCGTTCGACTGGCTTCGAGGACCAGCCTTCGAAGAGAGGGTTGGAGACCAGTGCAGGTCATTGTATCCAAGGTGGAGGTCGAACGAGCGATTCCTTTCGCGAATTCCAAAGATACGACACGCGTATTCCGTCGACCGTCTCGATACAGGCGAATGATCCTACTCGGTGAAAGCCTTGTCCAGAGCGAAAGGTTCTGGGTTCGACCTGTCGTCCTTCATGTACTACTAGACAAAAGCGCAGGCATGAAGATTGAGAAAGTAGCTTCCGCCCTCGTGGAGAAAATTATTGTCACGTGAGAATACTATCCGAAGTTTTACCGCAATCTCACCAATACCTCATATCAAACCCTATCCTAGTGTCATTGTACACAACATCAATCGACACACTTATAACGATGGCAGAGGTTACAAGCAGCTGATACTAATGATCCCTGGGACACAATTGTCAGAATCTGACCACATGACATGGAATCATCAGAAGCACCTCACCAAGCATATTGCTCGCCATCGCCATCGGGAACAAATATGACTGTGATTCACGTTCTTGGAGACTATCAGCTTGTGGCTTCACAAAGACAGGTTAGAACTCACGCTGTAGCTACTACACAAGATGCATGCCATGAACTGTTGGTCATGAGGCGCATGGCCTCACATTCCCTTTAGTTACGACTGCCAATAGAGAGGTAACGTTTCCCCTTGGATTTTAAAGCCACGATCGCTCTTTCCCAGATCAATCATCTCGCCTACCTTTTGCCATTTCTGAGATCAACTGCGTTTGATTTTCTTTCCCTCTTCATGGTCGCTTTCATGTCCTCTCAGCCTCAAGTTGACACTTCCACCACGCACTTGAGCTGGTTCCGATGCACAAGCTAGAGACGAGCATCTTGTCTGGTCTGGTTTGCACTCACTGCTCCATTCACCTAGCTACCAACTTCCCGTTTGGAATCTTCAACAACATTTCCTGACTCAATCTTCCACCAACACCATTAGGCGGCCTGATCTATCGCTGTCGTTTGCCTGTTCTCTCTTTGCTTTGTCCTTTGTTTCACATCCTTTCGCACATCTCTGAGCACTTTCAACATGACGCAATTCTTATCACCTCGCAATCACCTGGCCATTTTCAATCTCATTCTCCTCCTCCTTCTGCACACGCCCTTTTGCGATGCGACATTCCTGAAAGGTTTGTTGACAGTCTTCTCCTCTTCAAAAAGAAGATACGCTGACGAGAAATGAAGATCTAACATGGGCTCGCCACTCAAGCTCAAAAACCGTCAGATCACATCTGGACCACGATCTCACCCACCTCCTCACCCGGCGTGATGTCGACGCAGATCCAATTTTTGAGAAAGCCATGCAAGTCATTGACAGTATCACTACCCAATCAACGTGCCATCAGGCCGCCACTGGTCAACTACTTGTTACCTGCAAAACTGTGGGCAATCAGATTGACACAGACCAAGGAAAACATGAATTGCTCGAGCGTGCGAAATCGGTGTACGCCGTGAGACTGGCGGTATGTGAGACTGGAGAAGGCAGGGCAGCCGTTCCGAAAACATGCAAAGCCATTTTGACATTGCCGCGTCACCATCATGGAGAACTGGAACTTGTCAACAGCAAATCTTTGGCGCTGTGTCTGGAAGCTTTAATGTCAGAGCACTATTACTGGACATCCTACAGTAACAGCCGACAAGATGCGACCACTCTATGCCAAGCTGTCACTCTGGAGGCCACCAAGCTGGAAGCGCTACAGTCTTACCAAAAGCTCGCGGAACTGATCCCAGAATTTCGCAATGACTTGCTTGCAAGTCGAACAAAGTGGCTGGAGTTTATGAGGTTACAGGAGCAATACACACATAAATTTCACGAGCTGCACAAGAACGGCCGAGAAGAGATGAGCAGACAATATAAGGAAGAGCTATTGGACTTCTCTTCTGCTATGGACACCGCCAAGATGAATCTGGAAAGTGCCTCGAAAGCAATGCAACAGTCTCTGGAGCATACTGCCTCTGACGTTGGCCGCAGCTATGAGGTAACATCGAAAAGAAACATTGACCAACATTTGTTCTAATCATGTCTAGGTTGTTGGGCACGTCTTGGACGATTTTGCAAGCCTCCGCACAATGCTTGAGGATGCATCAGATTCCATCAGCAGGCTCAGGACGGAAAACGCTAAAATGCAAACCAGAGACATGGCGGAAATTCATCAGCTAGCCATTCACACCTCCGAAGCGCTGCAGCACATCAACACACACGAATTTACGACGGTATGCCTTTTCATTGTTCATTCTACCATATTTTAGCTTTTCTCACACTCACAGAACATTGCCGACATTTTTGCTCATATGCAGGCAGAGATGCAGAACCTCGCTTCCTCCCAAGCAGCTCAATCGTCGAATATGGAACATAACTTGCGGCAGAGCCAAGAGCTTTCAGAAGTTCAGCAGACGAATCTGGACCTTGTTCAACGCCTTACCGCGACTTCTAGCGGCCTTGCTTCTGAACTCGAGACAGCCGGTGAAGCGGCCAGCCGCGTGGCCGACCAAATCGAGGCAGTCAATATTGCGTTGACATTGGTAGAGAATGCATCGTCCAAACTCAGTCTGATTTTTTCAGTCCTTGCGGTCCCAGCCCAACTTGGGGAGATTATCCATCTCCGATTGATGGGGCTGATGGCATTGCCAGCAGTATGGCTCTATCTCCTTGGTGCGAAAAGATGGTCGTACATTTTGACAACATCATATGGTTGGTTTGACCATCGTTTCCTGCTTTTTGAGTACTGACAATATGGTAGTGTTTATCGAGTGCAGTACCTCCTTGCTAGCGGAACATTCTGCCAAAATCTTGCGTGTCAGCCAGAGAGCCAGGAAGGTTTGCGCTTTGAGAGTTTCGTGGCCATGGCAGAATTTGACGAAAGGCCGCCTTATTCTTGGGTCTACGATTATTCTTTTGTTATCATTGAGTTACATCGTGGTGCAATGGCGGCAGGACAGGCAGAACCGCAAAGGTCAATCCATCAGTGGATCTGAAGCCTTCAGGCTACACGATGACAGACGAAGGAGCAACCGGTTGCGCAAGGGCCAACGATTTGAGCCTGTTGCAGACCGATTTCGTCGTGCTGCAACGGTATGCTGATCTTCTATTCCCTTTGCTACCACGGCTATGAATGGAGATGGGGTTTTGGAAGAGCTTGCTCCCATTTGGTGATGAAGTCTGAGTTTTAAGGTTGCATTGAGGCAAATCTTGTACCTACACCTTGGGTGACACTATTTAGATGATGACTGAGATGGTTTGAGAGTTCGCACGACGGACCTACGTCGACAATCTAATCAAAGCCCCTTTTGCTTGACTGGGTCGAACTAGATTTGGTGACAGTCCATGGGCCGTGATTGACGTCGAGGGCTTTGAATAGCCCCCTTTCTTGAAGACTCGAAGACTCGAGGGACTTTTGCGTCTAGAATTGAAGAGTTTGAATCACAACTCCGGTTTGACTGTGGGTGACACGAGTCATGGTCACCATCACAGCCTCTACCATAATAGTCGAGGGTGAGGTCGTGCTTCTGATTGGCTACTCCGCGACCTCGCCTAAGGCCTGAGCTGACAACTCAGCCCTTCTTTTCCTGCACGCAGGGTATTGCTCATGCAGCCCAAGCGATCCCTCGTCCCATTTTATAGCTTTGAGGCTAGTTTACGAGCGGTGAGGCCCTCAGCGCCTCTCTGCCCATACACCAAACCATCCCACTTGAGACTTTTGTCATTCGATTCTCTCGCCCGAATCATTCGCCTTCAGCCTTACTTCCTTGACATAATCACCAATTTTCACATGTTTGTATCTGTCATCCTTTCCCCTGGCTCCGAAACAACTTAGGCCGGTTTCATTTCCGCATCTAGTATCTTCCAATGAGACCTGGTATGACTTTTCCTCGACAGGGAACCGCGTAAACAAACGCTTTCTAGGTCAATCGAGACTATCAGCATAGCCGCCCTAGTGTTGGCGAGATGCACTCCGCTCCTGCGTCGGCATTCCCTATTGGTAGTTCAAGGTCGTATGGCATGTAGCTTCGCATTGGATGAAACCCAGGGACTAAAAGGACAATGCCATGTCGATGGAGGGACAGGGTGGGAGGGTCATGGCACTGAATCTACGTATTGGAATCACACCCGCTCGTGCGTCATGTCCAACGTCGAGACTATTTATACTTTGACTGATAACAAGGCACCATCAAGCATCTATTCCCCAGTAAACTCTGTTGTCAATGAAGGAATATTAACTTTGCATCATCATGTACACAATTCTACTTTCAAGAGTGCTTTTGGCCTCACTACTCTCGCAAATCTCCTTGACGCTTGCCGCGGACCCAGTCCCAAACATCATTCCTGGAGAAACAAATGATCATGGAAAGATTGCTCGATTCAAAAACATTATCGAGAACGAAGTCCAACAACCCACCGCTGATATAATCCTCGACGGTGACGCAGCATGGCGCGAACTATTCAAAGGTGGCCAAAAGTGGGGAAACCTCACCAATGGATTCGGAGGAGGAGAACCCCTGAACGTCGTCTGCTCTCAAGAATGTCGTGCTTGCGCTCAGGGTTGCAACCCCGCCTGTTGTTTGGTGGGAGGCTCCGTCATCACCGTCAGACCAAGACCGGAGGATGAGTCAGGTCGAAGAGGGAATCGTCCCTCAGGAAGCCCATCACGTCCATCACGTCCAGTGAAGCCATTACCACCTGGTATTCCTAGACCATTGCCCAATCCCGATGCGACATGTCCATGTCATTGCGAGAATACCTGTCCGGCTTGGATTCAGGCGATTTGCTGTTTCACACCAGATTTCGCAGATCCGGAGGATTCTGCTTCTATGGAGGCCGAGGCCGACAAATTGGAATTTCAACGCGTCGCCGCCGCCGTGGAACCCGATAATGATTCACAGACTCCTCTGGTGCCAGCACCTCCTCGGCCACTCATTCCTCGACTTCCATGGGTGCCCGAGGCATGTCCCTGTACATGTGAAGCCAGCTGCCCAGCACACGTTCAAGCGATCTGTTGTCTTACGGGAGGATCGCTGAGTAGGAACAGACCTAGCGAGGACAACCTAGTACCTCCGGAGAAAGAAGACGATCACACCACTGTTCCACCACCATCACCAGTAAATCCACACACCATACCCCTCATCGTCCAGACTAGCCCAACATCCCCTTCACCAGACTCCCCAGTGACGATTCTATCCCTGGCGAACCTGACAATCTTCCCCTCCTACATCACCATGGACATCGTCGTCGGGCTGTCACGCACATCCGAAATCAAACCCAACGTCGCAGGTGACGGGGCAGAGATCGCATTGACAGTATTAGTGGGGCCTGATGGGCAAGAAAAGGCGTATGAGCAGAGTTTCGTCGTCGTGGATGGTTCTAACCTTGCAGAGAAGGAGGGTGTGGTGGTAGGTGTTGGATTCTTGAGCCGTGTAGGTGCATTAGAGTTGGCTTCTGGATGGGGTGGAAAGGAGGAAATCGTGGGCGTGCCGCTTTTGACGGGGACAAAGGTTGAGGAGGAGGGAGAGGGAAAAGGTGGAAAGGGTGAATTTACCAACAAAAGAGTCAGAGATGAGTTGTGAAGTGAACTCGTTGTGTCGAGAGAGACGATTGGATATCTATTTGGATGGGAGTCACAAATAGATCGATCATAGCTGTTACGATAGGACTAAGATTTGAGATGGTCAAGTTGGTTTGGTTTGCTGCTGGATGGCATGTCATAATAAGAGCCAGAAACTATGAGTATCTGGATAAGAACATGATAAATTGAACAAAGTAAAGTCTCAACTTTCACTGATAAACCATGCATCTAGTTTCTCTGGTCTTTGACGGAAGTGTTCTTATCATGGCCAAATAAATTACTCCAAGTCATCAAGTCATGATTCTCATTACGCGTAAATGCGAGTCTATCTTCTATATAGGGGAAAGGGTTCCCTAGATACTACTACCTCGCTTAGGCTTACATGTGTGAACTTCAATAGGTTTGGTCAACAAGACCCCTGAAGTTAAGCTCAGAGACAATGGTGATATTGACGAGAACAAGGTCATACCAAGCTCTTCAAGCTGAATCCGTTACGTGGATCCCCCTCGACAGCCACCCTCATAGTCTCACTGGTGATCTTCTTCTCATCAAAGACCGGATGTCCACCATCGGCCGGCTTTAGTGCCGCCTCGTCGGTGGTGCGGTCTCGGAAAGCGTACAAGGCCAGGGCTGGAAGACTGAATCGGAACGCAACATCTCTCACATCCAGCTTTCCAAGAGCTCTGCAGGCAATTACAACAGATGTAATGCCCAAGACGACATATCCCAGACAACAAGCAACCAGGAACGCAAGAGGAAGTTTCGGGACCTTGGCCACCAGCAACGGCGTCCGATTTTGTTCCTGGAGATTCTCGCGTGCTGATAGGAATGGTCCGATGACTCCCAGGACACGTTTCGAATATCCGTTGGCGAACGAATCGGCTAGTTGTTGTGTGTTCTCAGACAAGACGGCCTGAAGAAACAAGTCCTGCACATCGTTGTCGAATGAACTGAAGCTCCCAGCCAGATTGTAACCGTGGAAAAGTTCGGCCAAGGTCCCGTTGGGGGATGGAGTAATCTCATTGATATAAGCGCTTGAATTGACCCAGCTGTAGTCCACCGAAGAGGTGATATATTGACATTTGAGGATGACATCGTAAGTGGCAGTGAGTCCTTGATGTACACCGGGATCTGAGCTCATGTTGACGCCGGCACGCTGTGACACCGCTGCAAAACGAGCAGCAAAGCCGAAGTATACAGGGTTGATCAGATCCGAGTCATCCATCATGGGACCAAGATCTCCAGCACTGTCATACGGGACATTCAAATCTGCGTCCAGGAAATAGGCATACTGCACAGCGGAACCTGGCTTGTACGCAAGGGGAGGCACATCGGGGTCTTCCACTGTCCTACCCGTCGTATCGATTTGGACCATCTTTCCGAGGATGCCCCAGAAGTGGTCGCTGCAGTTAAATTGGCTATAGTTGTCGTTGGAACCCCCGTCTGTCCATTCGCATTGATTCGTGATGGGCTCACAGGTCGTGACAATTCCGACAGTCTCGGCACGGTAATCTCGATAAGTGTTCAGAATAGCGTGTTGAGGAATGATGACAGCGGCCTGAATAGTGTCATTGCTGCCTGGTTGGTCAACTAGAAGAATTTCCGACTCATTGCTAGTGCCGTGATTGAGAAAGAAGATTTCGTTCTGTCCCCTGGCAAATGTATCGTAATCATTCATGGCAACGAGGCCGTTGCGGGAACAAGGGAGACCGAAATTTTCTGAGCGATTGAGAGTCAAACATGCTTCTGAGAGGCCACGGCCGTAAGCCAGCTTTTCGGAGGATACGGAGACACGGTCAAAGGCGATCGTGGAGGTCGTGTAGTGGACGGCAGAGTCGGCAGCGAATACGACACAGGCCAATAAGAGTGTCAAGAAGAGCATTCGAGCTGCTCGACGGAGTACTGGAGGGATGACCACGTCTTTTCCTGCCGAGTAGGAGAAGAAACGCCACAATCTCCCAATCGACGCCAGACACAGGCCTACAAGAAGACTGTACTGGTATGGGGTTGGCAAATCATGCTGGTCAAAGCCGGATGATGATCGAGTCATGACCAGGGCAGATTGAAAGCTGTGGAGATTCATGATGAAGCCTGCCAATAGAGGGGCCATGGTGGAAGCCCAAGAGGCGACGAAGACTATCCGAGTAGCCGAATAGTTAACGAGAAACACGCCCCGATTTTCGAGCAGGTGTGAATTCGAGACCTGGGTGAAAAGGCTCTTGTCAGACTTGACTCTGTAGCCAAGGATCAGCCCAAAGAGGGCCCCAATAAGGAGAGTCATGGGGACAATAATAATGATTGCTGGAAGAATGACAGCCTTTGTCAATGGGAATTTTGGACATGGCTCGTCTTGACATGAAGACGATAGAGAATACTTGGCGGCCGACGGCCATGATGAATATTCGTATTTCGGAGGAAGAGATCGTGCGGCTCTTGAACTGCTCCTGCTGGAGGATTTGGATGGGTTCTCCGTAAATATTGGGTCTCTAGTCCGCACAGACGGACCTGTGGCCCGAGGCAGAAATGCTTGATTCTGAAGATCATCATCGGAAGATGGAATCAGGTTGAAATTTCGGATCGGTCTGCCAGCAGATTGATAGGTAAAGTTGCGAGTTGGTGTTTCAGAGGCCGAGGTGAGGCTGGCACGGCTGGTGACAGGAGTGAGGTACTCCCAGAAAGGATTGAGAGATGACATGACGGAATATTATGACATTGAAATGAAAAACAAAGAACAGAAAGAACAGAAAGAACAGTCTATGTCGAGGATCAGACAGATGAAAAAACCATCCAGTCGTTGCATCAGAGGATTGAATACCAAAGCCTTTGTATACCAACCTGAAGGTATCGTAGTACTCGTATGATTTCATTGATAGTGGGTTGCCTTGCGGTGTGGCACTTGGTTCCGCTGCATCATAGGGTGGGTTCTCCATGACTATTGCGGGTCTTTTTTGATGCATGCTCGTCAAGGGAGTACTTGGGCCGTTGATCGAGGATTAGGGTGAATAGTCAATTCGAATGGACTGGCATGATTCAGCCTTACGAAATGGTATTGATGCTGATGGGTTGAGGGAGGTTTCGGGTGGAGGTGGAATGAAAGAATGCCGCTCGTACATGCATGCATGTGACACGGATTTGGCCGAGATAATCGAGGCCTAACAGCCCACCAGCAGAAGGTGGGTTTACGCATAGGTGTAGGATGCCTGGCGGATGCTTTACAGCCCCCAAAAGCTAAGCCAGGCAGGTTACCTGTGAAAGCCGCTAGGGGTTCCCGAGACCATTCAAGGCCTCTACTCACTGGTTCATCAGCCACAAGTCGATCCCTCACCGACTCCCGGTAGGTGAACACGATTAGTGGATCTAATAACCACCAAGGTCTTTTTGGCGACAAGAGAGGTGGAGCCTACAAGGAGGCGGCGAAATTGTCATCATATTCCGCAGTTTCTCCTATGACGCTTTTGAGAAGGTCAGGGACAATGACTGCTGCGTCGCCTTGGAAAAGCCAGTCTTGATTCGTCAGAGAAGTAGCATCAGCCGGGTCCATGTTGATGACTGCGACACGCGCGCCTTTTTGCCTCGCAACCTGGGTATAACCTGCTGCCGGGTATACCTTGGAACTCGTACCAATCACGAGGATAAGATCGACCTTGTCAGGCTGGTCGAACCAGGCTGAGACACTTTGTACCACATGCTGAGGCAGAGACTCACCAAACCACACGACCCCGGGACGCAGAAGATTCTTGTTGCACTGGGGGCATTGTGGGAGCTGTTGTCGTGAAATTTTAGGTATAGGGATTGCAATGTCTGAGATGTCAGCGCCTTTGAGCAGGGCATGCTTTTGCTTTACAGCATCTTTCAATTGAGCATCTGGAGCCTGGGCTGGATCGTCAGGTAGTGCCAAGGCAGGGACGATTGGATCGTTGAAATCGTTTTGTCGATGGTAACCGCAGCCATATTCGTCCCAGCACTTGACGTCAAATAGATTGCCATGCAGGAGCTTGAGTTGGTCTGGAGGATGGCCTGCACGGGGACTGAGACCATCAACGTTTTGACTGAGGGTAATGAATTGGGGATTGCGACGTGCCAATTCTGCAAGGGCCAGATGGGCTCTGTTGGGTTTGGCATTCAGGGCCATGTGCCTCCTGTAGCTGTAGAATTGCCATGATAAGGCAGGATCACTCTGAAAGGCCTCAGGAGTTGCCAAGTCGGTGGCATCATAAGTACGCCACAGACCACCAGCACCCCGGAATGTGGGAAGACCACTAGAAGCAGAAAGACCAGCACCGAGAAGTGCACAGATTCGCTTGGACGAGCGGAGGTGATTGACAAAGGAGGCAACGTCGGTGGAGGGCATTTTGTGGGTGTGAGTCGAGCTCATATTAGAACCTTGAGATATGAGGATATAAAGTGGCGGCCACCTGGCAAATTCGCTATTGGTCTCGAGTCAGCTTGAGTCTAAAGGCAAGTGATTGAGTTTCTTGCCTGGGATTTGCGTATGGTATGTGCTACGCTGGTTGCACTTAAGAACGGGGTAAACGTGACCCAAAGATTGGATGTTGTTTGATGCTGCATGATGCTTCTCAAGCGTTGGCCAGTGTAAAGGTGGGGGATTGAGTTTAAGAGGGAGTCTCCCAATAGGATGTAAAGCCGTTCAAGGGTGATCAGCATCATTCCACTGAATGGTGGAGGGGCGAGTAGCGAGTACTCCGTAGCGAGAGGGAGGGGGAAGGGAGAGGAGAGGGGAGGAAGACGAAGAAAAGTTGGCCCTGGCTGCGTTGGGTTCTGGGTTCCCGCATGCATGGAACAACGAGCGTAGGTGCCACTGTGGCAGTCGTGCCTGCCCTGTGAGTGCCCAAGCACCGTTGGTAGCCCGAGGCCGCACCTGCGTTAAAAACTCTTGCCATTGGCGCCTGCCACTCATACCACTTTATCCCCTCCTTCCGCATACCTTGACATTCCCTAAATCTTTTAATCGCCGAACAAACACCTTTTATCATCATTCTGCTATCTCTCTACTATCATCTTGTCCCACGCTCAACATAACACCATTGCCTACTTCATTAACGACTATCTCCCCTCAACCCAACTCCGTACCCAGGCTGTCCTATTACTACCTTCAGCCTTATCCTCCCGTGCCTTCTAACCTGCCACCACCACCTTTGCCCACGGTCCAGTGACTGCGGCAGCGATACCGCCCTTTTCGCCACCAATGTTCCTACCTATTTCACTCCATTTTCGACGATAACCCACCCTCTATTCCATGTCATCAGACACGACAATGTCTCTGACATCAAATTCCCGTCCTGGACGGCGGCGTGTCAATGTCCTTCTCTACCTCACCGACAAAATTGGTCCAGAAGTCCTCCCATATCTCATCCAGAATCCTGATGTCAATCTGCGCGTTGTCTCTGAGAGTTCTAAGCTTGACTTCCAACGACATGTCAGCCCTTTAGTCAACCTCGACGACGTTCAGTGGTATGAGAATACTCCTCAAGACCCTTATCGAAACCAAGCAAAGATGCTAGGGCACAGACTCGCCAGGTGGTCAGACTTACTTTGCGCCGTTATGGATGCTGGCATGATTTCTCTCATGCTCGCTGGCTTCACCTCCGATGTCATCCTCCATGTCCTCCGCTGCTGGGACGTTTCCAAGAGAATCACCCTCTTGCCTGAACTAAGCGTCGATCAATGGAATCACCCCATGTGGAAAAAGCAACTATCCAAGATCCATCGTAAATGGGACTGGGTCCATGTCTTGACCCCAGCCCTGTGGACTTATGCAGACGACCCATACAATCATTCTCAACCAGGCCCAAATCCTCTTGGCCCTGAAGCCGACCTCGAGATCCAGTGGCAGTGGGATGGTCCAGAGGAGATCCTCGAGTCCATCCAAACCGAAGCCCAGACCGTCCTCCGCTCTTCTCGCCCGAAACCCTTCTCATCCATTCCTCACCTGTCCCCCGTCAATTCGGAATCTTCCAAACCTCGCCTTCCCATCGAGATCTGGACCATGATCCTCGATCACCTCGGCGACTGGGAGTTGGCCACCGCCCTGGGCATCTTCACTCACATCCCCGTTCCTCACGAGTGGCGACCCTTAATTCCTTCTTCCCTCTCCACTCGCCGCTCCCTCGAATACACCATTCTCACCCAGCCCATCTCCCAATTCAAAACCTGGTTCACCGCCAACACTACTACCCAACCACCAACAACTCTCTCTCAAACCGCCACCAGACTCATCTTTCGCTTCAGCATGACTGAATTCCTCACCTATCTGGCAATGCACCAGAAAGACATTTTCTGGACCAGTTTCGGTGTCGCTCTCCTACCTCATAAAGCCTCTCTTATATATAACTCTCCCACCATACTGCAGTGGTGGCGTGACTGTCCAGCCGTCATCAAGAAAGAATACGGCCATGAAGCCATGGATGGCGCTTCCCGTGCCGGTTTCGTCGAAGTTCTCGATTGGTGGCTCAACTCTGGCCTTAAGCTCACCTATACCGAAAAAGCCCTCGAATCTGCTAGTGCAAAGGGCCACGTCCAAGTCTTGGAGTGGTGGCGTGTCAACTCGCTGAAGCTCGCCGGAACTCCATCCGAGATGCCCCTCAAAGTCGGCAAATCCATTCTCCTGGCTGCTCAATCGGGCCGCACCAATAGTATCGAATGGTGGGAGAATAGCGGGATCCCCTATGCCCATGAAGACGGTGTCGCCCGGCTCGCCTCACAACACGGCCACGTTCCCGTTTTGGAACTCTGGCACAGCTTCAAAGGCAGTAAAATGATTTTTGACAATCAAGTCCTTGTCGGTGCCACCAAGAATGGCCACGCCGACGTACTGCAGTGGTGGAAGGAAGTCAGCCGCCGCTCCGGTTTAAGAGTCGAGTACAAGACCTGTGATATTGAGGAAGCTATGGAAGATGCTGTGGGAGGCGGCGGCGAGTGTGAGGTCAGAGAGTGGTGGGGGCGCAACGGTCTCAATCTTGGAGTCGGCACTGGCGAATGGATGCGTGTCAAGACCTTGTAGATCGGGGGACTACTTCTACGAAGCATGAATGAACGAACCAACGATGACGGCGTATGTTTGTGTGATTGTTTAAATATGGAGTCGACACCTCAGGTTGTCGTGCAACACCCCTGTGCGATAAGTGAATTGAGTCATGATATTTAGCAGGCACAAATTGAACGGAGGGCAAGGACCTGGATATACCATACTGTATTGACTCGGATGTGATGGATGACGACAAAGGATCAGAATCTCCCTCTAGCTTCATAATTCGTCACTTATCGCGTCTTCCAATTGTATATGTAATTAATCAATTTGATTTCAATGTTTCCCTGTTCCCTTTACAGTCTCTGCTACTGCTCTCTTTCCACGTTTCGTTATTGCAATTGGAATTATCATTACTAACTTCACCACGCTCGCTTTGGTACTGTCATCTTTCTGTCGGTCGGTCTTTTTACCAATGCCAAAACACTCATAGCACAACCAACCCGCTTGCTTATTGACTAATTGCCTTGTAATGTCTTGCTTGGTCTTCAATTCATGAGCTCGTTCGTTGATTTTCAGGTTGATTTTCAGGTTTCGTCGGCGCCATCTTTGCGCGTGCAAATCACCTGGGTTCATTTCATTCATTCATACACATGCATCCCGTCGAATTCGATTCTTCGGAATGCAACCACCCACTTCCCTCATTGCCCCCCTCCCCTGAATTCCCTCGGGGAACAATCGATCTCCCAACACAAGAAGAGAAGGAGAAGAAAAGAAGTAAAAAACAAGCAGGAAAAAGATGAAAACCCCTCCTCGACGGGAGAAGACCCAAGTCCAACAACTCCCCCTAGAAACCCTTTCAGCCTCCCCAACGCCTTGCACTGGTCTAGTAGTACCGCTCATCCGTCCAAAACTCCACCTCCACCTCCAGCTGACTCTCACTTGTACTTGAATCGCCCTCCTAAGGGCTCGTCGAGACATAATCGTCCTCCTGTCCACTGACTTCGGCGAGATCACTGCTGTTTTCTTGCCATTCAGCTGTGCTCATCGCCTCGGCAGAATTCTCTGCTTTGCTTCGCAATGCCGCCATGGTTTGCTGAAGATCCACCAGTCTCTCTTCATCTGCTGGATCTTCCGCGTCGAAATGCAGAGAACATACATCCACCACTTCAATCATTTGATTGACCTGTCCTGGTTGAATGGTCAGATCATCCCGGCCTCGGTTGTTCAAAAAGGTTGTCTGCACAAAAGTGCAGCATCCTACCGCAAGCTCCCTTACCAGGTGCCGTAATCGTCTGTATTCCTGAACATCCTGACCATCCGCGCGTTGGAGAGGATTGAACAGGTATTGTCGCAAAAGGCCCACGGTCGCCAATTGCACATTGGCATGAGGATCCAGGGGTGCCGCGAGGAATGTTGGGGCCCAGCAGTGAACATGATTGACAACCACCTCAACCAAAAACCCTCGCTCGTGGCCGAGGTTGGCATTCTCGACCTGCAGCAAGGCCTCAACAAACTCGTGATAGTCCCGGCTATACTCCACTCCGACTGTCTGAATGCTGTCTAGAGTTCCTTGAACAAGGTCCATCGTCTGATCATCTGACGTGCAGTGTTGAACGAAGACCAGCGCCGGGCGGAGGAAGTTCACCGCCATGTTGATGAGTTTGTCGTTGAGACCTGCAAGGATCACTTCTTTGACAGGAACTGCAAGAAGTCGATCGCGTGAAAAACACTCAATGATATCATCAATGGCAATGATGTTGGTCCTTCCTGCAAGGAGACGTCTTAGCCACTCGAACTGTGATGGCACGTTGATAATCCCGAGGATCTCGAGCTCGTTTTTACTCAAACCAATCTTTGGGTCGACGATGCGCACCTCTCCGCTAGGCATGAGACTAAGATCAACTCTAGTCAAGAGATTGACCAACAGACGGAAGACGATAGAATGATTGAAGGTTCGGTTCTTGTCCCTTGCGTTGAGGTAAGCCGAATACCGAGCTTTGAGTTTCCTTGAGATGGGATAGTCCACCGGGCTGTTCAGGTGAACCATGGCCATCTCGTAGCATTTTTCGATGAATCCTCCGTTGAGAACCATTGCCAGTTCATCGTCACCCAGCTTTTGGATTCCATTGAGAATGAAGAAGTACTCGCCCCAGCATCGTCCATTTTTGCTCACCACATCCCAGAGTCTTGCCAATTGGCTAACGCAGCTCTCCAGCCAATTTAGGTGTTTCTCTGACAAGGAGTCCTCTTCGTCATCCTCATCGTCATCCTCATCGAACTTCACATTCATCCGAAGGTCATGCAAGCGGCTCGCTGTCGTGGTCATTAGACCCGCAAAAGCCTTTCTGACCACCAAATATGGGCTTCGCACGATAACGTCTTCGAGAATGCGGGGACCTTCGAGCCACTCGGCAACATACTGGGTACACCGAGGGCATTGTTCGACACAAGCCTGGATTGATTTCATCGTGTCTTCGACGAAAGGCAGATCTTTCCACCGAGAGGATACTTCTCGTATGTAATCCAACACCATTTCTAACATGTTTGTCTCCAAGGTGTGTTCTGCACTGCATTGCTCGCTGTGTGCTCTGAGACGTTCGAAGAGCTGGAAGATGAACTTGGCATGTGTCCCATCCTGAGCACAATACGACCGAAGATAAAGCTCATTTGTTTGTGCGATGTGTCGGTCCATCGAAGATGGGAGCGGTAGTCGGATCGGGTTGACGAAATCGTGGGTATGATAACGTTGCGCAATCTTGCTGATGCTCGATGTTCGCTGGTAGAAGAGCATGTACGCATTGTAAAACTTGGGTAGATTGTAGTACGACTCCGTAACACCACCAAAACATTGCTCCCGCATCTGCGTGGCATCGAACGTCGTCACGTCTTGATCATTGAACTGAACCCACGAGTCCGCCACATCTTTTGCGGACGGGCGCTGTCGGATGTATGAATAGTAATGACCGGAGTCTGCCGTTCCTGAATGGACAATGATGCCAGTCAACTCGAACTGATCTGGTTCTTCAGACTGATCGTCTTCACTGAGTCGAGCCAATGTGTATGGTGCCATGTCCAAAATGTCCGGGAACCGAAACTCGTCGTTCACCTTGGTGCGCATACCTGTCATGATGTCGTAGTCGAAGCGCTTGAGGTTGAAGATAAGATGGTCAGGAACCTCTTTGAGACAAGAGCGCTTGACGGCATCCACGTGTCGTCCACAAGAGGTGCACGAGTACTTGTTCTCTCCCTGTAGGACCTCACCTTCGACATAAGCGCGTAAACTGTCTTCCAGCTTGGCTTTGCCTTTGATCTCGACTTGAACAGCAGAAAATGGTTCGAGTCGTTCGGAAATGTGCTCGCACTCTCTTGATTTGATCTGCTGGACCAACTGCCCACCATATATGGACTTGAACACATCCCTGTATGGTCCATCGATTTGGCCCTCGAGCCGATCAAAGAGCAAGTTGAAGAACTCATCCACATCCATTTGTACAGATACATCGATTTGTTCTCCGTCATATGTTGTAATCGCTTCAACAGCAGTCACAGGATCGACACATTTCTCGTACGAGTTCTGCATAAAGGCAAATACCTTGGCAAGCTCGAGAACAAGTCCTGGTTTGGCGCGATCCAGGATGCGTGAGTTCAGGAAGATCTCGCGGAATTCAACGTTCATGAAGAGCTGCGAAAAAAGAGAATTCAGGTAGCAGGTGTTTGACAGGTTGCGCAAGCCAGCGTAACCAACCTCTGTCCGAAGTTGCTGTCGGTCGTTGCCCCATAAAGGTTCGAACAAATCCTGTGGCAGGAGATCATCCCCAAGTTTAGCGATGACCACCTGAAAATCATCAGCTTCTTGACACAATATCAACACTAGAGAGTATAGACTCTCTCTAACATTACTGTCAAGCATAGGTAGGTTTGTAGTGCCCTGGATGATTCCCTTGCTTCCAGAGAGTGGCGGAAACAAGAATCCAGTGATTATGTCTTCAATGAGCTTGGTACTGGGAGGGAGTTTGTGGACTGCATTTAGCAGCTTACAGCATTCCAGGAGGAGTTTCGCCAAACCTGCCACAACAAAGTCTGCCAGAGGTTGGCCAACGGTTTCGATATGCTGGTGATCCAGGAGTATAGAACTCCAAGTCTTGAGGTATTGACTCAAGGCATCAACGGCAAAGGATTTCCCGATTCTCTTGATGATGGAAAGCATAGATTCACACATTTCTCCACTGGTCTGGGGCTGGAGACATGCGACCGGAAGAATTTCGACCAGTGCAGTCCAAAGGTGTGATAGACACGCTTCAATTGAAGTGGCAGGGAATCGAGACCGAGGAGCTCGAGGATTGTTGACTTTGAGAAGAATCTTTGAACCAGCCCCGCCTGTCAACATGAGTATAACATCAAGCAGAGTATGCCGGACGTCTGGTCGTACGTCGTTCACAATGGTCATGAGAATGTTTTGAAGCTTGTTCTGAAGATCAACGCAGTTCCATACGCGGTCATCGTGCAAGCTTGCCTCGATAAATGTTTCTAGAACCAGCCTGGCCATTACAGAGGCCGATAAGTCAGGATCCACGCAATTGTTGTCCACTGCAAAGGAGCATAAGCGTGTGACCTGGGCCACAAAGTCCTGGTGGTTTTGAATGTATTGTAGAGAGTCTCCCGTGGGAACCTTGGCGCGAAAAGCCAGAAGAAGAGCTTCCAAAAGACTGTGCACAATCGAGTTACGTAAAGAATCCTGGGCAGGGCTTAAGTCGAGACTGGGAAGCGTACTGGTGATGACCTGTACACCATACACGAGAAACCTTGCGTCTGGGTCTGAACTGAAAGACTCGTATTCGATACAAGATCTTAGGGCGCGGGCGCAATAGAGCAGCTTGAATGGTTTCTCGGGAGGCAACACGTCGGCGGCGGAACGCGTCATCGAACGGACCATGCTCACTACCTCAGTTTGCGCAGAGAACAGGCTGAGAAAGCTGTAAACTTCCCTGGCTAGTCGTTCCTCGGAATCCAAAAGTCCGTACAACTCGTCGAAATGATGCATGACTTTGGAGTCAACAGGCGAAGACGCACGTGCCGAGCGCGTACGAATGACCTCAGTAGAGTTGGGGTCCTTTTTGACCATCAATAGACCAGTCCACATTTTCAGATCATGCAAGGTTGTGTTCTCCTGCTCGAGGATTATTTTTTGCCCGATGTGGAAGACGGTGAATTTCGAGAAGCCGCTGGCATCCGACAAATATTTGTGGAGTTCATCGCCCGTATTGTCGCGTCCAGTACTTATTTTCTGCATCCTTTCTGAGACATGCTTGCTGCCAAAAATCTGGATGTTGAGGTCAAGAGTTTCGCCCTTTTTGTTTGGGAATTCAGGGAAACTTGGGACCGGACTGGAGATAAGACCATAGTGTGGATGGCCTTTGATGGCCTCAAGGAACTTCCGAAGGAATAGTAGAGAGCGGTCAAAACAAAGCTCCTCGGCGCGGACTTCGGATTCAGAGGCGATGACGACGATGGGTTCATCCTCGCCTAGCACAGTTCCGTCAGTGAACGACTTGAGTCTAGATGCTGATGCAATCACTTGTTGTACACAGCGATCGACAAGCGAAGCATGGGTAGCATCAATGGTTGCTTTTGACTGTCTCATGATAAGATCATGGTCAAGGTACTGCTGGATGATGTAGTCGGTGGCTTCGTTCTCGATGGTGTTAGGGGGTGCCTCGAGCATGACCTTCCATAAACGATCCATTCCAGGTATAAAGACCACGCCGTCACTCGGGGGGTTCTGCTGGTGTGAGAGATTTCGCGAGAGGTGTCTCATCGACAACTTCATGAACTCCAGCAATGGCTCGCAGTAGTCCTGAGGCTGTAAATGTTGCATGTGAGTGTTTATGATCCGGTCCAAAACAATGTTGTGGTCATCAGGGGCTCTTTCCCGGAGTGCGTTGCATAGCGTGGTCCAGGATTTGGCGCGAACGGAGGGCAGGACTTGTTGAGATGTGAAGAAGGATTTCCAGAGGGCCTCGATCAACTCAGGAGTGAAAGTGCTTGGTAAGCGGAGAATAAGGCAATGCAAAGCCCGCGCCCTGATCTCGTATATCGTCTCGGTGACTAAGCTTGGGCATGTAGGATCTAAATTATTGCCGATTTGAACGATTTCTTCCACGAGAGCGGAGGTGAGGTCGAGATCTTTCACCAGGGCCGATAGGTCGTCTTTTGGAAGAGTCTGGACCAATGTACCGAGTACGAGCAGATCACCTCCCGCAAATCGGTTATGAGCCTTGACATCTGAAGCAATCTCACTGAAGATGTTGCGTACCTCGTCATCATCAATCGAGTTTCCGGCTTGTCCCAAATTGACCAAGAAGTTCAACTGTTGGGGAAACTCGCGGCGAATGATCAACGAGTAATCCAGCAGCAGGTTCTCCTCTACTGCAGCCTCTCGGAGAAGTCGAATGCATAGCTGTCTTGTGACCGCGCCTATTGGTAACATATTTGGGTTTGGTCTGAACCCGACATTCGCTCTGATGCTGTCAAAGAGCTGAATGATGAATGACACGATAGTTTCATCGAGACGCTCAAACGGGAACGCGCACAACTTTTGACAGATATAGTACTCTGCCGCAAGGCTGTAAACATTGAAACACGTCCGTAAGAGGTTAAAAACTTCATGAACAGTTCGGATGTCTTGGCCTTCAACAATGTGTTTCCAGATCTCGTCCGTCGTTGAATCAGAATATGTTCCAGACACACAGAGAAAGCCGACCACATTATGGGCGCGTCGAATGATCTGTGGATGAGAATCGACTCCGACTATGTATTCAACTAATCGGGTTTCTTTGATGAAATTGGCGAGGAAGCGGACCAATGGATTCGTTACCGCATTTGAGGGCGTTAGTTTTCCGTCGATGATGTGGTTGAAAACGTAGACGAGGTCAGCGGACATGATGTCGACGCCAAACACCCGAAGTTCCATTCGACCATTAGTGATGAACTTTCTCAAAGTCTTGAATTTCCATGCATATGGCATCGTACTAGGGAGATCTGTAAGATCAGAATCAGCAAAGCCGACACCTGCCGAAGACACGATGTCCTGGCCGATCTGCGGCACTTCGACCGCGATTATGATCATCATGGGGTTGATAAGCTCAATCAACTTGGGAGCAGTGTCGAGGTTGAGCCAAGAAAGCTGCTTGACAACCGCGTTTTGAAGAGCGGCGTCGGCATTTAGCAGTATCTTCTCAGACACTTTGCGAACATGGTCAATTTGAACAGGGCGCGGTAGCTGGACATCCAAAGGAGGAGTTATCGCGATTCGCATGACGTGCCATACTGCGTTCAAGACGTTGAGATACTGCCGGAACAGATCTTGGCGTTTAGCAAGCTTTGAGGACAGGACAAGGAGGAAGTTGGAGGCGGTCGTTAGCAAGTTAATGCCGGCGGGGTCGGTGACTTTGTCCACGATATTGATGTGGAATCGTGCAATATCAAAGGCATGGACACGATTAATGGCCTCGTAGAATGGAATCGGAGTCTGCAGAATCCATATCAGGGGCTGGAGGTATGGGGCACTGGCGGTATTCAAGGTGCGCAGGCGTGTAAGGTCCGAGTCGTCTTTCAGACGGCTCAGCATCTGGATATCGTGCTCCATGAGCAATTTAGTCAGATGTGCATATGCCACAAAGAAATCGACCAAGTCCTCAATACGAGCCCTTGCGGGTGGACCGGTTTGTCGTCGCAGAAGACCTTCCACTAGGCCAGGAACACGGTTCCAGAACTCTCGGTCGTCGTCAAGTAATATGGCAGGGAAGTGTGTACATTTCGACACAAAGTCGGTGAGCCAGTTTTTGACCAAGACAAAGATTTCACCTTCTTGGCCGCCAGCGTGTTGAAAGATATCCTGTATACGGATGACGGTACGACTGGCATTTCCAGGTGCCACATCAGCCGCATATGGAAAAGTGCGATAAACATGACCGGGTTGAATGGTCTGGGAGAAGAGAGGGATGGAAGCAGAACCGCCAATTCGGCTGGTCCATCTTGTGTGAGCTGGGTCTTGGTCATAGTCCTCGATTTCAGCAACCTCGATCTCGGGACTCTTGCTGGGAGATGATGAGATGGAGATGGTTTCAGGAATATCCGCAGGTTCATGGCTGGTCGATTGTGGGGTGTTGACATCTGGAGGAGTGTCGCTCGAGGCGCTGAGTTGATGGTCAGAAGATGAGCATTCCACGTTGGGCATGTCTCCGCCACCGGATTGCACTGCTTGAGTGAGAGACAAGGCTGATAAAGGACGGGTATTGATGGTGACTTTACTGGTTGGGGAGAGGACCGTAACGGAAGGTGGCGAGGATTCAGATTGAACAGGAGGAGTTTTGTCTCGTTGAGGTGTCTTGTTGGGTCTTGAGACAATTTCTGATGTGGAAGGTGCAGCTGGACCGGCAGACACGTGCAGATCAGACATGACTTGTGTCCCATCCAACTTGGAGTCACTCAGCCTTGGGCGTTTGTGCTCATGTTCAGGCATGCCTGAGTCTGCAGTGGAATCACTGCGATTCCGGACGGAAGAGTCGGAAAGTGTGTTGGGCATGTTAGATAAGTGACATCTGGGTGTTTGCCAGACAAACTGTCAGAACTCTCAGTCGATGGGGTTTGGCAGGGACACAGGTGAAGTCGTGGTTAAGATCCACGAGGCAGATCAATGGCTTGGCGCAGAGGCAGCAACAGTTGGATCTCTGGTTAGGCAAACAGGCTGAGAGAGGGAAAACGCCGACTTCTGCCGCGGCACAACGCGACGTTCGTAGCCAGGTAAAGAATGAGGAAGATGAAGAAGCGGCACAAGGGCTTCTTTGTAGTCTGATGGGATTGAGTTAGGTGGAGATGGAGTGGCTAGGTAGAGGAAGTCCGAAGCCCACAAAAGCCATGTTCCTAGTGTGGAAGTGTGGAGGGAGGCGAAGGGGGTTTAAAGGATGGGTGTAAGGCGGGGCAAAGGATGTCTGTGTTTGACACAGGATAGGCGCATCAAAATGATAAGATCAATCAAGATGAGGTGTTAAGGTAATGCAGGAGATTGAAGAGTTGCGGTACTGTGATAATGGACAGTTGAATCTGGGAGAATTGATGACGAGGAAAATGTTTGTGAGGCGTCAAGTGTCAAGTGTACCTTAACCTATACGTCCAGAGTACTGTGCAGTTTAGGAGTACTAAGGGAATAGGTAGTAACTACAGGCAGTAACTGTTGACCAGGCTGCAGTTTGACCTCTGGCAGCAAGTTAAACTTCAGGAAATCGGAGTTTAGGTACTCCGTACACCACGCAGTTCAGGGAGTTTGGCAAGCCTACTAAACTACTTCCGGGCTGGCGCCTAAAGCGAATGGCCCTGATGGTTCGAAAGCGCATACGAAAAAGCTACATGAGGTGCGCACCCAGGATCACGAGTCACGCACCTCCGTCGTCACGCGCTGGACGCGTTAACCTGTCGATCTCCAGTTAAGAAAAGGTTCAATAAATTTCCAGTTCTTATCAAAGATTTACTTACGGCTGTATTATGCCTTGGCTTGCCCATAATCACTGACCACTCTGCGTTACGCTCTTCCAAGTAGGCATCAAGACAAAGTGGCAACCATGGCTAAGTAGCTTGCACCGTAGGCATTCACCGCCAGCGAGACCAAAACTTGATCTCGAAAGTTTGGGGTTCGAGCAGATGCCCCGCCAAGCCAACGTCATTCAACACTGGAAACTTCCTGGCCACCTTGGCTCCCCATTCCATCAACCATAGACACGCCATGAGCAAGCAGAAACAGGCGTACGCTCTTTCGCTACCTTCTGACCAACCAACATGGTGGGCTTGAATCCTTAGACTCTGCACGGATTGGGAGACTTGAGACTGACTAAATTTAGGCCTGTTATCGACCCAGACGAGGAAGCTGCCATTCTTGCTCTGCTCCTCCCAATATTGCGAACTGTTGGTGATCATCGACGTCGCCACGTCGAGATTAAGGAGCAAAAGAGAAAGACAAGGAGTGCAGATTCCCAAGCACTGGCCGAAAGCCCTAGACGTTCTTCTGCGGTGTCAGCCAACATCCAAGACTACCTAACCATTGGTTTCAATAGTACCACTCAAAAGCTTCAGAGTTTTTCTGCGGCTCGTAGGCCACCTGGACTATGTAGGAGCCCCACAAATGGCGATGCCGCAAGATCTGCAGGTCAGATTGCCGCGGTCTTTGTTTGTCGTGGCTGTCTACCAGAGATCATGACTTCATCGCTGCCTGTATTGATCGCCACAGCTGCTCCTCGAGAAACTCGCGCCAGGTTGATCGAGATATCGCCTCAAGCTGAGGCCGAGATGGCGCAAGCCGTAGGCTTGCCACGTTTGGGGATGCTTGGCCTCGAGGCTGGTGCTCCTGGCGCTGAGGCCTTATTGCGGCGTGTAATGGAAAATATCCAGGTGATAGATCTGCCTTGGCTTGACTTGAACTCGACTCCCTCATATGTCGCAGTCCAGCTCGAAGACGTCCAGCGTTCGATGGATCGCAAGCAGCCAATTAAGAGAAAATAAGAGGCACGCCAGTCACGCATTGGAGAAGACGATTTTCCCGCAGATATCATGCCAGAAGAGCCGTGGCAAACATCAAGGAATAAACGGTATTCGCACAGGAGTCTTGTCGCGATAGTCAACATATTCTCTGCCGAAAAAGGACACCAGATGTCGTTCTTCATCTACGCCAAGAATTAGCTCAGCCTCATATCCCCAGTAGACAAACCTACAAGTGATTCTCCGCTTGAAGAACTTCCAGAGTATGACCGCATACAAGACCAAGCAGATCCGATTGCCCAGGATAGCCTGTGTGCCAATGCCCCACCAGAAGAATCCAAAGTAACTCGGATGTCGCAAGAAGGAATAGACGCCATCTTTGACCAAGACATGGTCTGGTCGTTTGTTCCATTGCACGACGTGGTTGAAGTTGGTCTTGGCTTGTCTCATGGCAGCACTTCGCACCAGCTGCCCACCAAGGACAAGTACGAATCCAATGCTCACAGGGACTACGGTCGGGACGTTCAAGAGCCTGAATTGAAGCCACTTTGGCGTCCAAGCCGAGCCCAGTGAGTATCTCAATAGCAGTTCAGCCATTGCAGTGGTATGAGCGGTGGTGTAGGCGTAGCCGTTTGATAGCAGGAGAAATGATGAAATGCGTGCCTCTGGAGGATTGTAACGGGCAGTGGAGTCGAATTCCATGTAGTGGAAAATTGCCAGAATGCCGATAAAACATGGGGCTCTCCAAAGGCCATGTTCATGAATGGCCAATTCCAAGGTGAGTAGAATTGAGAGCCCCAGCGCAATTCCTAGACCGAAGGCCCGAATAGAGATCCCTGACAGCGACCGCTTACCGCCTGGTAGGTAATATGGATGGACATATAAAGTCGATGTATATGCTTGCGTGGTTTGCGGAGGTGACCCGTTCTGGCGATTATTAGCACTGCGCCGATGAATCTCCTCGCGTGGGAATTCGTGAATGATGCCTGGGGAGCTGGCATCCGAAGCCGTGTCAGACATATGGGCAGTCACTTGTCCTATCAAACCAGAGACAATTAGGACAATCGAGAGAATGACAGAAAGAATGACATTTTCTGGCTTGTTTAATCGCAATCGCAGGAACTCAAGGTTGTCCAAGGCTAAAAGAGAGAGGGTGAAATATTCAGGAGAACAATCGTAAGCGTAAGCGAGTCACCAGTGTCTAAGTAGCCTTTGTTAAGGCTTGAGAAGCGCGAATGCAGCCTAGGCAGTTGGGCCGAGGGAGACTCATGCCTAACCCTAGGTACATACCTAAGTACCTACCTTAGGTACCTAAGGTAGGTAGGTATGCTCAGCCAGACCCCTGGACATACCTGTAGGTAAGGTAGGTAGGTAGTAACCTGTGTGCCTGGGTACTACCTAGGTAGGTAGGTACCTATGAGGTAGTTATGGCCATATCACCAAGGACACATCTTCATAATCAGAATTACTTAGTATGCAAAACCTCCCATTTTCTAAACGACTCCCGAGAATGTCGACTGGCAAGCCCATTCATGATATGGACTCCATCCGGTCTCGGGCGCGCCATTCATCAATGCAGTGACTTCGGAGAGGTCCATGCACTGTTGGACCTGAAGTTGTACGTGCCCTGAAACGCGCTACTTTAGCCAGGTACCCGGATCCAGAAAGCCAGAAGCTGAGAGCCAACGGCAGTCCCAAGACTCCCATGCCTCCAGCGCCTGATTTGCCTGTTGGCGGGGAAATTCTGATGCGCGCCTCGCTCTCAACAACGTTTCGAGAATTGGCGTCATGGAAGAATCTCTAACCTTCACCTTCTCTTACACACCTCCGCTTCCCACTCATAACACTTCCAACCTTGTCTTCTCCAGGCTGGCCAAATGCGCTGTGATTTTGGAGAGTGCATACAGGGAATCCCTCGTGCCCACCGACTGAATTCTCCTCAGACCTGCGAACGGCAATGAGACTGACGTTGATAGCAACCTCGAGTCACTGAAAGTGGTACGTGCACACCCTTTATCTGCTGCATACCGAGTCAATTTCCTCCCTCTGCCTACCGCTGAAGAAGTCTTCACTCCTCTGTTCAAAACATTTCCGCGAGATGCTATCGGGACTTGGTCGGACAAGTGCTTGTACAGGTGGGATAAAACACTCATGGGTTCACCCTATCGAAAGCTTCATACAGCTGAGCTTCTATACCATATCACACATATTTGTGGTCCTAGGCTAGGCTTCCAACCTTGTGCCATTCAAGAGATCTGCGTATCATTGACTGTTGGGCACACGTTATACTTGATCTGTTTGAAATGTGAAGATTCTGCACTGCCTTTGGTGTGGGCGCAGATGGTATGCTCTATGACTGGAGGAGTGATCTCGCCAGTTGTTTATCTTTCTTCGTACATATGCTCTATCCTTCGCACATGCACATGTCGGCCGCTTGCAATGTCACTTTCAGCCTGGGCTATGTTGAAGAATATTTTCGCTGACCGTCGTTCAGGCAACCACCACGTCCCCCAGGTGATGGATCCTCGACAATTCTGGGAGCAGGCCAAGTTGTCCTTTCCCACAGAGCCTTTCACTGGCTTTGTGTAGGTGATTAGATCAACGCCAAAATTGTATGCCAAATCAGTGAAGCCCTTGGACGAAGGTTATGCTAATCGATACGTCCCAGCAACACAAGTGATCCACGTGCACCTTACGCCGAGGATCTAGTGCTCCCACCTATCCGTTCCATTGATCGCGGTGTTTCCTCCGTGTTCATCATGGATAGGCTGTCCCAGCCGACGTTAAACGCGACACAACCAGTCGAAGACCCTCGCAGGCGAGGAACCAACCTGTCCAATGTCTCGGACGTCGATGCCACCGATGTGATCTGCCTGCTGCACCCAAATTCACCAGCAGCCTTTGACGGCGTCAAGGCCAACCTGGTCATAGCCCCGCAGCACATACTGCAAAACGATGATCTTGGTGGCATTACCGAAGATGATGTGGACTTCAATCCCAATTACCAGCAACCTCGGGATATTGCTTTGCGCATGTCCTCAGAGGTCAGGAATCCCAAAGACGGTTACCGATTTGGCCGATTACGCTCGACGTGTGACATAGTCCTAACTTCCAACCCCGAAGAGGCCTTGGTGAGCAAGACACACTTCAAGATTTTTGTCAACAGCCAAGGCAGTCTTATGCTACAAGACTTATCCACTAACGGCACCATTGTGGACGATATCCATCTTACCACGCGGAAGCGTAAAGAGGATAAAAAGGTGCAAACCGCCACCACTGTACTGAAGAACGGTTCCATCATATCGGTAGTTGCAGGGAGGAGCAGGGATGAGGTTAAGTTCATGGTGCGCATACCAAACCGGGGCGATAAAGAGGATGAATATGAGGAGAACCTGAGGAAATATCTGGCGGCGAGAGGCAGTGTTGCGCAGTTTGCGTCGATGCGAGAAAGCTCCTACGGGAACCACTGGAACGGTGGGAGCCTTTATAACTTCACCGGCATGCTCGGCAAAGGAGCATTTGCCACTGTCTATCGAGTGCAGACAAAGAAGGAAGGCGATGTCTATGCTGCGAAGGAGCTTGATAAACGTCGGTTCATCAAGAACGGCATTCTCGATATGAAGTTCGATAGTGAACTCAATATCATGAAGAATCTATCGCATCCCAACATTGTCAATTACGTCGACTGTCAGAACTATCAGCATTGGATTTACATTCTAATGGAGTATGTCCCTCATGGCGAGCTAGCGGAAGAACTGAGGCGAAGAGGAAGGATTGCAGAAAATGAGGTACAGCAAATCACCCGCCAAATCCTGCATGCCCTCGACTATCTCCACAAACAAAATATCACCCATCGTGATATCAAGCCCGACAATATTCTCATCGCCTCGCGAGAGCCTCTTGTGGTCAAGCTGTCAGATTTTGGATTATCTAAATGCGTCAACGACCAGGAAACATTTCTCAAGACATTCTGCGGCACCCTTCTCTATTGTGCACCAGAAGTGTATCCAGACTATGGACATTACGCCAACGGCCCGACAAAACGACGCCGACTCGGTGAACCGACTTCGAAACCTTTACCTTCACCCTATGACCAATCTGTTGATATGTGGTCTTTTGGAGCAGTCATCTTCCACATGCTTTGTGGAAAGCCCCCCATTTTGGGCAGAGGAGATGATCGTGGAGCACAGATGCTCAACAACATCATGACAAAGGACGTTGACTTCCTCCCTCTCAAACAGGTGGGCGTGTCTCCAGATGGGATAGATTTCATTGCCAGACTGCTACAACGGACTCCACACCTTCGGCCGAAAGAAGCTCAGTGCCTGCGCCACCCGTGGTTGCGTCACGTTGAGGACAACGTGGTATACGACAATGTTGAAGACAACATCGAAGAGATGTCGGTCGGTGCAGGACTGGCAGATGATGATCTAATCGACTCCGATCTGGTGGCAAATCTGGCGCAGTTGACTTCGCAGCCGACGTCTAGCCAATCTCCAGATCGTCCAAGCAAGAAGCCAAGACGAGATTTTGCGATGGAGACGGTGGCACGCGAAGTGGGATATCCTGCTCTTCCTTCTTTGTCACAAGGTTCTGGACCCGAACTGTCACATGCAATACAACCCATCCCCGAAGAGCGGCTCTTCGGTGAAGTGACACCGTCATTGCTTCGCAGTTCGGGAATTTTTGGTCACAATCTACAGCCGGTAACCGCAGCCAACGTGCCGGAATTTGGCGACCGGATTGAGCAGGTCAGCGTGAATGATTTTGTAACTCACGGAGACATCGAGTCGCTCCCACAAGATGCATTTGACAATGGACAACCGCGCCAACATACCCACGCAGTTGCGGATGCACACCCTCAAGACCAGACTGCTTCGGCGGCGAGGCTACTCGGGCAGCTCAACATGGCGTCACCTGATGCCGAACCATCCGATGGAGGAACAACAGACACCACTAATCCCGTCACACCCCACACACGAGAACTCACGCCTTCTAACGTTGATGACCATTCCGGCGCTGGTGGGGCGGCCAATGATACCTCGGAGCCTCTGTTCACACGACGAATCGATCTCGGTCTGGTAACGGATCCGGAGAATTTCGCTGCCGAAATCAGAGCTCGCGATGCATCAAGAGCCGAAAAAATGCGGACAAGCACCCAAACATTCCATGGGAACGCCGGTGGTCGGATCTACACATCTCCTGCTAATGTAGCTGTGACTCTCGATGCCAGGACAGGACTTCAAGCCCGTGTCATGAGCAGCACGAGTGAAGTTATTGAAGAATCACGCAAGGTTCCTGTCCAGGAAGAAGTAAAAGAAGGTACAGGACGGTTTTTGAAGCCTCCAAAACGCTTCGGAAAGCTGGTCAGCATGCCCGGCTCATTAGCAAACATTACGATCAATCTAGAAACCCGCCTGACCTCATGGGGGAGAGGCATCGATTGCACAGTACCTTATGCCGATCGAAAGGATACCCGCATTCCCAAATACGCTCTTAAGGTCACTTTTTGGGCTCCTGGGATGGAGAAACACCTCGAGGGAGGCGGCAACTGGATGGACCTTTCTGGAATCCGTACCCTTCTCTCGACGTCAGCGAGCAGAAACATCCTGGTGAACGGCGTAGAACTGCGCAAAGAGTCAGCGGATGGCCAAGCAGCCCTTTTCGGACAAGTTTTCACAGGCGATATCATCACCATCTTCGATGACCAGAATGGTCAATTTCTCAAGTTCAAAGTGGAGATCACGTTTGGTGATAGTGCTCGCCAGCGACCAAACGAGGAAGGTCCATTTCGCATCCAAGAAGAAAGACAACACCACCAGCGAGTGATGAAAGAACGCGAGAGTATGCGAATAAGTCGAATTGAAAATTGAAAATTGAACAGCGGTGAGAAGTCTTTGCCTAGCAGGACAAACGAATGGATGGCGCTGTTTCAACATGTTATGCTTGTTTCCCACAGGGCAGATTGGCCTATGTCTGCCATCGAATCCACCTTTAGGCTGGTGCTACATACGGGGCGATAACGATATGGAGGGCTACACGATGTTTAGAAAATACCACAGCGCTGCGAATCATCGTTGAAAGACCTGATTATCAATTGCATTAGGAATGAGAATGTTGGACAAGATGTCTGCAACCGGCGTTGGACCCCTGCTTCTGTAATGTGGGTGACTGCAACTTGATGATGGTAGCCACGGCAGATAAATGATGCAGGAGTGACCATGGAAGGTATGGAAGGCACGGCCCTTGAACTTTTCATCTTAACAAGTGGAAAGAAGGCACCTTCCGTATGATAGTCGACTTGAATCATGAAAATAGAATTTATGTGCACTGACGTTCGCACCCTGCCCGCATTTTTGCGTCCCGCCCTTTCCATCCTTCCAATCGCAGCCTCTTCGCCAGAACCTTCTCCAGACCCGACTTGCCTCCATTTTTAGTTCCCGACTTTCCGCAGCCGGACGCCGCAGTTGCCAAAACACGACCTCATAATCAACTTGAGGTCTGTTCTGCATAGGCCTCCATCGCACTTGATTGTCACAAATTCCTGTTCCTCCCTTGACGTCGACTTTGTTGCTTTCTTTCTTTCTTTGTCATCGCCGCTTTCAGGCTCTTTGTCTTACATTTGCCATCCTTCTACTAGTCGACCCTTTTCGACTCCCCCTGCGACAGCGTGAGCCACCGGAGCCCAGCAACTGGCCACATCTACAACTACTCCACGGCCCTCCCCCACGCCTGTTGGCCAGGCCTCGATTCCCACCCATTGATGACCCTACTCATGTCTGAGTCTCCCTGAAGTCTCAAGTCTTCTGGACTTGGTCTCCGCCATCCCTCATGTCCCTCTCCCGGTCTCCATCCCCGCTGCCCAATGGAGGTTGGACGTCCAAGAGCCATGCCGCCCGCTCCTCCACCCCCAATGGTCTCTATGCCGGTGTCAATGGCTACACCAATGGCGACAATCAGTGGGCCGCCGCAAAGGCTAGAAGTGCTCAAGTAAGAGGATATCCAAGCATTCAGACAAAGAACGAGGGGTTTTTCCAGCGTTCCAAGCGGAGGATTTCAACACTTCCCGTCTTCAACAGTCCTTATACTCCGCTGTCGGCAAACTGGAAGGATCCTGAAAAGTTAGGCCGTAGCCGGTGGACACCCAGAGGTGGTAGCAGTGTGTCCAAGCTGAAGACTTTTGTGGGAAATGTTCTGAGGAAGTTCAAGTTCTTCTTCATTATTTTGTCCATTGTCACGCTAACGACACTCCTCATGTCCCAAATCAGTATGTGAATCTTGTGCCTTTTCTGTCAGTCTCCCCTTTACTGACTATTAACAGATCTACGAGGTCGTTATCGGAGCAACTCCCGACTTGGTGGTGGCAGTAAATTCGTCATCGTTCTCGGGGCCAATGAAGGTGGCGGTGTCATGGAATGGAAAGGTCCCCGAGAATGGGCCATTGAGAGGGACAGCGTCAAGAACAAGAAACGTTATGCAGACCGTTGGGGCTATCATCTCGAGATCACCGATATGAGCACCAAAAAGAGATATGCTCACGAATGGAGGGAGAGCTGGGAGAAGGTTGACCTGGTCCGCAACGCCATGGCGAAATACCCAAATGCAGAATGGTTAGCTGACGACTCCTTTTTTCTTTGCTGTGGACACCCTTAACCCTGACTACAGGTTCTGGTGGCTCGACCTCAACACCTTCATCATGGAGCCTTCTTACTCCCTCCAATCCCACATCTTCAACAACCTCGCTACCACCGTCTACCGGGACATCAACCAGTACAACCCCCTCAATATTACCCATCCTCCCGAGACCAATTTTCTTGATCCCATCTCTCGATCTCCGACTGGCGACAACTTGACCTCCTCGATCGATGTCGTCATCCCACAAGACTGTGCCGGTTTTAACCTCGGCTCTTTCTTCTTAAAACGGTCTCCGTTCACAGACCGGCTTCTGGACATGTGGTGGGATCCAGTCTTGTATGAGCAAAAACACATGGAATGGGAGCACAAGGAACAGGACGCCCTTGAGCATCTATACGCCTCGCAACCTTACATGAGGACCCACTTCGGTTTCATTCCACAACGCAAAATCAATTCCTTTCCCCCAGGTGCCTGTGGTGGGGAAAAGCCAAAGGACAACTCCCCAATCACTAATGCTCTTCTGGATCCAAGGTTTCATTACAACGAAGAAGAACGAGATTTCGTTGTCAACATGGCCGGTTGCGAGTGGGGTCGTGACTGCTGGGCCGAGATGTACTCGTACCGGGAACTGAGCAACAAATTGAACATGTCATCCTGGGACAGAATCAAAGATTCGCTGCAACGCATGTGGGCCGGCGTCAGAGGCTCTGTCATTCGACCTAGTGACACAGTCCCGCCAAAATTGACCTAGCAGTCACTCATGTATTGATCCTTCTCTGTCACCACTATACGACCGTACGAAATTCGACCCCGGAGCGAAAGAAGCGCTACGATGACCTTTCAAACACCGACACTACTACATTAATTGCTCCATCCCGTCTCGTACCCGATTGACATATTATGGTGTTTCCTTTAGCATTGTTTTAACTTTGTACAACAGATGAATTTGCATGGTGCGGTTCCAATGGGAGGAATATTCGGCACTTGTTCAGGCGCAGGCGCAAAGAGGCTTACGATTATCAACGTCACGCGCGGGGCATTTGGCCTCGCTCTCCGCTTGAGCGAGGGTGGGCAATGATTTATCACAAAAGTAAAAGAGACAAGGGGGTTAGGATTTTCAGTCCGTCATGGGCGGCTTGCGTTGGACCTGAAGAACCAGAACTACAGCACGGAAGCGATAAGGAGAGGGTAGATGGTAGAAGCTAGACTGTCACGTATGAGATCGAGACAGACTTGGAAGCGACGCCACAATAGATTGATCGATGGGCGAGCTATCATGGCATCGCTCAAGAACTCTCGTGATTATTGATTGGCATAAGACAGGACAGGTGCAGAAATCGATGCAGACTACTGCTCCATTGCTGAGCTCCTTTTCTGGCATCTGGAGTATCATATTTATGAACTACAATGCTGCTTGAGCTCATTTGTAGAGCCCACCTATGTTAACCTTTTTCCAACGAGCTTCCGCCTGATACTACTTGTACTTTTGCCAAGGTCACGCCTCCATCTCCATGGCTTGTTGTGCCAATTGACTCCTACGCCTCAACTCGGCCTCTCGTGCTTTTCCGCGCGTCCGCGTTGCACGGGTCTGCTCCGGCTCTTTTGGAGGTTCTGCGGGCCCGATGCTCTCACCATTGAGTGTTCGAACAGTAGATCCACTGACGAATGCAGCAAGCAGTTGCTGGGCCTTGGCTTCAGACACGGGATCATTAGCCTCGTTGGTCTGGTTAACCTCGTTGACAGTATGGGTAGGCTGAGCGTCAGGGGCAGCTGACACGACTGGTGCTGGTTGCGGATGTTCCACTTCAGCACTCGGTTGGGGTTCCTCCTGAGGTAAATCCAATGGTGGTTCAGCTCCAGAGGAAGCTGGGTCAGACTGTGGTAGGCCATCAGAGGGCGGTGCTGGAGCGAATCCCAATTTCGCGAGCTTGGCCCTCTTGTTCTCTTCTCTTTTCTTTGCTCTGGCTGCAGTGATTACCTTGCGATATTCCGCATTATGTTGCTTGTTCTTTCCGATCCACGCCTCAAGACCTAGCTCCTTCAGCTCAATATTGAGGAGTTTCTCCGTGCTTTGAAGGACGGGAGTGGGCGACGCTTTGGGAACATCCTTCCGAGTCTCAGCCTCACGCCGCTCCTGTTCGACGGTCGCCGGAGTTAGGATGCGAGCGTGGTCGAGACCGATTTCTACCTGGGGAGAAGGTAATGTTCGTGGCAAAGTACGTCGCCGCTTGGTAGGTTCGGGGGCAAGACTTCGGGCCAAGCGCTCGGTTGCATTTTCTACGACCGTCCTGGCGCTTAACTGGGAATTTCGAGGTCTCTTTTTGGCATTTTCCGATCCCCCTTCGGCGTCACCCAAAGAGTTGTTCGCAATGGGTTCAGTTTGGGTATCGGGAGGTTCTTCCAAAGTCCCCAGATCAGGAGGACCCACGGCATCAACGGCGCCGGTTGAAGACTCCATGTCATTGTCGCTAAACTCAATATGACCCTCATTAGGTGTTTCTTCGAATGAGGTATGGTCTGTGATTGGGGCATTGGGGGGATGGTGCTCTTGGCCAGTGTTATCTAACCTGCTGGACTTCCTGGCAGACATCTGGGCTGGTCCAGGCGCATCCTTGTGGGAAGCCGCCCAAGTCTCAGTGTGAAAGTCGGTAGAGAGGAAAGATGTTCCTGTAGACTCTTCTTCCTGTGGGTTCTGATCATCCGAGGTCTGACTGGAGTCGGCGAATGATACTGATCTTGATGCGGTTTCGAGTCGCGCATTAGGCGACCCAAGATCATCTGGATGAGTGGCACGTGGTGGACCGGCCTGTCGAGTATCATTGCTGCCACGCTTGCGCTTGCCGAGCGAGGCCGGAGGTTCAGTATTCTGTTCTGGCATGGGTGAATGTGATGCTGAGTCGTACAAAGTGGTACTCGCGATATGCTCCCCGGAACCCTGGGAACGGGAATGGGCTTTCTTCATTGCGCTAACTAGATGCTCAAGTTTGCCAACAAAGTCGTTAGGATCTGGAGAGAGTGTAACCACATCGGTGCTTCCCGTTTGAAGTTTGGATACGGTGAACTGAAGGTCCTGCACGATTCGCTTGAAAAGGTCCAGTTGATTTGACAGCGTCTGAAGTTTGATGTCTTGCGCCTGTATTCTCTTCTCTTGTGCATCCATCAAGCCTTGTTGAAATCTGAGTTTGTGGTCATATATTTCCCAGTTACGTTCCGAGAATTCCTCCGATTCGTAATGTGATCCATTGCGGAGGAGTGAGCGCTCAGCTGGCGTGTAAGATCGTGGATACGGCTGTGTCGAGGCCCTTAAAGTGTTGACTTGAGAGGCTCTAGCACTGGGAGGAAGGAGGGAATAGTCTGACTGGGCAGGTGGATGAGTTGATCTAGCGGTTGGTTGTGACATCTCGGCGAAGGTGAAAACAGGGTCGACCTTGTCTTCGGTTCGGCTGTTGGTAAGGTGCGTTTTGGAAAGCTTATAGAAATACTGGTTCCTATGAAGGGTAAGCATCGGGGATGGTCGATGGAAGAATAGCGGTAGCTGGAGACTTACACCAAGTGTCGCTGGTCCACATGGGGAGCGGCGGTGCAATATCTGGCAACAGTTGCAGAACATTTCTGGCAGAACACTTCGGCCATGGTGCAACCGCGTGCAGCCTGTTGAGAGCTTCCTTCAGGAACAATTTGTGTCTTCTGGCCGACCTCGGTGCCAAAATGCTGACCTGGGCGAGCCGGGCGCATATAGCCTGCAGTGAGTCGGGTCCATTCGTTCTCGAAGATGCCCAAGTGACTAGAGCACTGGGTGCAGTAAAGGTCGACCGAGTCGCGACTAGAAGACGCCATGGCGACAAGAATGGCCGAAGAAGCGACGATGTCGTGGACAAGGGCGTGCGAAGGCAACGAGCAATGCCTCTAGGGCTGGCCGAAGTGAAAGGTGATGTCGCTGTGTCTTCAGAGTTGAAGGGGAAGATTTTGGGTGGAAACACGCGCTGGAGGCCAGGCCGAGCCCCGGAGTGCCCGCGCCTGTCGTCTGTCGTGCCTGCCTCGTTGCCTCGACTGCCTCGACCCCTCAACGCGACTGCCAAGGATCCTTGGTACTGTGAGCACTTTCACTCGCGCCTGCACTTTTAAGGCTCGACACGCGACCCACGCGACGCGTCTGCACCACCCAACAAAATGCCAAGATCCCCCTACACGTGACTCAGCGCTCTACTCCGACGCACAAGCGCACATACAGACATACTAGTATGTACTAAGTTGTATATTCGTAGGCACAAACGTTTAGGGGACTGGCTACTATAAGTGCGTACTTTAGGTAGATTATGCGCAGGTAGTGGGACAGTGCCATTGGAGACAGGTTCTGTAGTAGATTTCTCTCCATGTTACAAAATCCGAGTGAGGTTACTACATATCCGCTGATATCCTTGCGTATTGTTGGAGTCATTTCCGAACCTCCAACCACGATGACTTGATATCTGGAGCCCGCGCCCTGGAACATGAAATATCCCCCATCGACTACTCTATAAACACCCATCGGTATGTTTGCCGTCCGACAGCCCACCACTGTCACAATCAGATGTAAAACACCTAGACGACTACTTCTCGCCATCAAAAATCCATCCCTTTCATCTAAGACACGCAGAAACTTCTTCACCACCTCACCAGTCTTCAAAATGGCTGTGGGTGAATCCCTCGTCGGTAAACCCAATGCCTGGAAACAACCAGGTCCTGCGGCCTATGATTTCCGCAGCGATGTCATGACCGCCCCCACAGAGTCCATGCTCAACGCCATTATCAACACCACTTTACTCGACGATGTTTTCTCTGAGGACACCACAACCAATGACCTCGAGTCTCATATCGCTCAACTTTCTGGCCATGAAGCCGCTCTACTCGTCATGTCAGGCACCATGGGCAACCAGGTCGCTTTGCGGTCGCACCTCACTCAACCGCCCCATTCAGTTTTGTGCGACATTCGAGGACATATCGTCAATTACGAGGCCGGTGGAGTCTCTGCCTTGTCCAATGCCATGACCATCCCCATCCACCCATCAAACGACCACCACATCACTCTAGAAGATGTGCAAAAGTATGCCATCGTCTCCGACGACGTTCACGCCTGCCCCACCAGAGTCATCTCCCTCGAAAACACCCTCGACGGCACCATCATGCCCCTCTCTGAAATCAAACGTATCGCCGAGTTCGCGCGCCAGCATTCCATCAAATTACATCTCGACGGCGCCCGTATATGGGAAGCCGTCGCCGCCGGAGCTGGCTCCTTGTCAGATTTCACAACCCTCTTCGACAGCGTCAGTCTCTGCTTCTCTAAAGGTCTAGGCGCCCCGATTGGGAGTATCATCGTCGGTTCCCAATCCTTCATCAATCACGCTCGAAGAATCCGAAAAATGATTGGCGGTGGCACCCGCCAGGCTGGTGTCATCTCCGCTGCTGCACGTGTGGCCGTGGACGAAACCTTTGGCCATGGTCCCAACGGTGAAGGAGGAAAGCTTCGTGCCTCACATGCACGAGCACGCGAAATCGCCGCCCTCTGGACGTCCAAGGGCGGGAATCTGGCAAAACCTGTCGAAACGAACATGGTGTGGCTGGATATTAGCCGTGAAGGTCTCTCCCAAGACCAATTCGCCGAGATTGCTGCCTCAGAAGGCGTCAATGCCAGAGGTGGAAGATTGGTCGTTCATTATCAAATCAGCGACGATGCAGTCGATAGATTGGGGAGAGTGATGGATAAAGTACGGGCGAGGAGTGGGACTGGGACTGGGACACAGACAGCCAATGGTCATTAAACGAGGATTATAGACTAACTAGGTTGCTCGATACACCCTGAGCTTGGGTGTGGGCTGGCGCGATAGATGATCATTCCTGTTCAAACAGGTAGTTGCATTGTCGGCGCATCAAAATGTCAGGCTGACTCGTCTACCTCCATACACCTTGATAAATTCTTACTGGAATGCGATCAATCACTTATGATTCGGCCATCACTGACTGAACTGCCTTTGCGACTACCAAGTTGGCCCCTTTTGCACTTTCTACAGTACAGCACAATCCCGACACAAAAAGTGTCATCCTCTCCTCATAGGCTCGATCGGTGAGACGCAGCCCTGCCATCAACATGGTCACCCCACGGGCATCGAGTGCAAATCGGTCATGCCGTTCCTACAACTGCGAATGCCGTCCTGACGACCTTGACCGTGTCAATCTCAATCTCGGCATATCTGAGGATTGGAAAGAACTTGAAGAGAGAAATGTGGCAGCATTGCTCGAGAGGTAGGGGTACGAAGCCAACTCGTCCACCACTGCTCATATACACGCACAGGCTGAATGTTTTCCATCCTCTCACCCAATTCTCATGTCACTTTGCATCCATCCGTGATCGTCATCGAATTCTCTCCCCCTTTCTCTCTCCTTCACCGCTATTTTTTTGCTCGAGTTCCATGCAATCTGTGCACAACATGGTCTTATATCCAACATTTCGCCCAGCAGATAGCAGCCGTTGGAGGATCGATCTCAAGATCGGCAGCAGCCATGCCACAAAAGTGACCGTGTGACCGTGGTAGAGCTTTCGCGTTACTGTAGTAAACCGCCCAAGACAAGACGATGATGGCTTGGTTAATGCTGATTTAGAAGAAGAAATTCATGCCGGGAACTAAGTGATTGGCCCCTGAGTGGTGTCAATGCCTCTGCGCATGTGTTGCGACCTAGATGGTCAAAGCACGAGCCATGACAAACGTGGCGAAATCCTCGGGTGGTCCACAAGCATGGTGAGTCCGGCCACGATCGGCTGACAAAGATCGTCGAAGAAGGGAAAAGAGGCATTTGAAGGCCTCGAGAAATGTCCAGCATGAGACAAATGAGAAAAGTAAAGTTTTTTGGGATGGTCATAAGCTCATATCGTATGGGTTGTGAAAGCCCTCGCAAGAGATGATTTTTCGGCTATCCAGAGACATGTGCAGTGCGTCGTACACCTTGCCGGGGTGTAGCCCTAATCCGGGGGATTGCGATGCTATTAAACGCCCACTGTGGTGCTTGAGATGAGCCTCGCGTCTCGGTCAGAGGTCATGACATATTAACTGGCAATGCCCATTTGACCGGGTTTGTGTTGATAACTCTGTCGTCCGCCAGGTGTCCCGCTTTGGCTTCCAGCACTGCCCGAGCTCCCGGCCCGGTTTCTGGCGTAAGGGCTATTTGGTGCGCTGAAATTGAACTCCGTTTGAGGCCCAGCCAAATTCTGAGGGTGGACAGGTCTGACGGAACTTTGCTTCTGCCATGCATTGGCTTGATATGGATCCATATCAACCCTGGTAGCAACGGGGCCCCCGATTGAATTGGTCGCCGAGGACGGACTGTGAACGGGGGCATCCGCTCCTTGGACAGGCTGCTTCTGTATCTGGCCTTTAGCAATATGCCCATATCTAGAGAGGATCTCTTTCGTTGTAAGCTCGGCGGGGCCGTTGTGTAACCCTGTATCAGTCAAGATTGATTGCAAGTCTTCGGGTACCTGAGAAAATGTTAATCTTCCAGCCTCCCGTACATCAGCTTTCAGAGATCTTACCTGGCAGAAATAGTCATTGAATTCAATCAACAGATCTACTGCTTCGATCGCAAGGAAGCTTTCATCCACCTGCGGGAGGGGCTGTTTTGCATTTGGTGCTTTTTCTTTGGCGTAAAGAATGTTGGGAGCCATGACTGTAGCGAGATTGTGAATGTCCATCTTACTTCCAGACTCCTCATCCACCTGGGAAAACGAGGACGCCCATTTGAGGAACGCGAATAAAACTTCCATCGTATCTCGATGACTCTTTGGCATGAGACAACATGTCAAATGGAGAACTCTTCTGCGGCGCTCATCATTGGCGATTCTCTGTGAAGCAATGAATAATTTTTGTAATTTGAAAGTCAGGAGAGGCTCGGGCATCTCTCTCAGGAACTTTTTCAGCAATGCCGCCACCTGGACAGGGTTATCACGACTCAGATCCGGAGACTGATTCGAGTCGATTGCCTCTGCACATTCTCTGAGCCGCTTGATGTTGCCGTTCTTGCGAAAGACTCCTTCCACAGACATATCCATCTGTTTCATTGCCGAGATACAGTCGTCCACGATCGCGGGTACTCTGAGTGCTCCTGGTCCGACGCCATTTGTAGATTCAGCACCCTCACGTTCGACTAGTGTCTCAAGTGGAATCCCAAAGATCCCCTTCTTTTTCGATTTGCCGTCGTTTCGAAGCGCCCGACTGACTTTACCCCAGAAAGTGGGCTTTCTTGTCTCAATCAAGCCCAGTAAGTCTTCCAAGGTATACTCACCTTCTAACAGTGGTTGCATTGAGAGTACAGCGACATGACGGACGATGAAGTATTCCAAGGCTGACAGCTCGGAAAAGAATCGCTTCGTGCGCAAGGGACTAGGCTCACCGGCCAAAAAGTCGTTGCCCCCAGAGGTGACCCGCGAATGCCCGTTGATTAATCTTGGCTCGTTGCCACGATGGCCGATAAGGTTGGTGCCGGCATGACGGAAAGCATTTGGTCTTTGCTCCTTTGCTTGCTCGGCTGCTACAATTCGAGGGATGTCATCGAGAGTCAGACCGTCTTGGTTGCCAAAAGTGAGTTCAGGCCTCACTCGTCCGTCAAGATCTCGCTCCTCCACAATCTGGAATCCGCCGCGATTTCTGTTGTCTTGGCCTTCCGAGGAAGCTGGACGTGTGCCCCCGGAACCATAGAGCACAGTAGATTCGCGAGCTTTCTTGAATGTGGTTGATAAGGTGCGCTCATTGCGCGTCGATCTGAGCCGTTTCATCTCTCCCACAGTCTGTTCGAGAGAGGATTCTTGTTGGCTCGACGTACCAGCATACGAACGTGACCTTGAGCCCATCACATGATGTGGTGACATCTGATCACCAGCTGGGGATACTCTATGTCCCTCTGTTGTGTTATAAGGAGTTAGGTTTGGGTCATCAGAAGTATGCGGCAGTGTGCCACCAGATTTGAGAACCTCGAGAAGACGTGCCAGGGCGACCCGCAACAAAAAGACATATTGCTGTAATTTGGTGACGGGTGAGAACCCAGTGGCGGCGTCCTGAGAACGACGTCCATGTTCCATACAGTAGGCCTTTTCTTCGCGCTCGCTGTACAATGCATTGGGTAGCTCTGGGATCAGGTCACGTTGACATGCGTTGCATGCAAGATGTGAAGGCTTCGCGTGCCATCTGCGTCCATAGAACATCACGCATGCATCATCAATCGGTTCATAACATTGCGCGCAACAATCTGACTCCTGATTCGCCAGTCCTGCAACGCTGTCTGAGAGATCGAGAGATTTCATTTCTTGCTCCTTAATGGTTTCGAGGTCTGCTAGTTCGTCGAGAAAAGCGTGCAGACCTTCTGAAGATCCCCGTTCCCGTTCTAGCTTGAGTGCGCCTTGGAGGCCGATCCGTATGAGAAGCTTGAGGTAGTGAGCAAGGCCAGTCACTAAAGACAACAATTCTTGTGTGACCCCAAGCTTTCTTACACCGGTCTCCTGTGTCTTAGACAGAAGTGTGAAGAAAGCGACAACCTTTTTGCACAGCAGCTTAGCTTCTCGACCGTACGCAAGCTCTTTGAGGTTGGCATCAAGCACCAGACTGGCCAAAGTGTCGATGGCGCCGAAGAGAATGTCGACATGCCAAATGAACTTTCGAGCGACGATTACGCCATCGATATAGACACCGTTGCTGACATGAAGAAGCATGTCAGAGATGCACGAGGCTGAAGACTCTTCAAAGGTAGATAATGTGCTCCAGATTCGATATACTTTTTCTTCCATCTTCTCCTCATCTTCTTTGATGACCTCTCTCTGGTCAACAGAGACGGGGGCATTAATGTCGAGTTGTTCTGGTACTTGGCTACTTTGAGAGAGCCGGACATTCCAGAATTTATGAATCATGTAGCATTCGGGATGCCAATGTTGATTCTGGCCGTTGCGGAAGATTTCGACAAATTGTTTCAGAATGGCGGTTTGACAACCATTGCATCTCTGAGCGAATTGGGTCGAGTAATGGTAGTGGCAATATACCTTCCCATCGTGCTCATAATAACTGTCCTGGGCACCGAACACTGTGGGACACACCGAACAGGTAAAATGCTCGATGTGATATTTTCGATCAAGTGCTGTAATGTATGAGCCTCGCAGGGCACCACCACAATCAAAGCATAGTAGATCCAAGCGTCGAAAGTAGTCGGTTTCACAAAGCGGGAATTGCCCGGAGCCATCCTCGGCGTCGACAGGGAAGAATTTTGAAGCAACGATCTGACCGCAGTCGGCGCATTTGAAGCAGTCAAGATGAAAAGTGCCTCCCAGGGCGCGCACAAATTGTCCAGTCAACGACTCACCGCACTTCTTGCAGGTGCGCGTGCCGCTGTTGGACGACCTTCCATTGCTGCCGTTGGTTCTTGATCTGCTCCTCTCGCCCTGGCCTGGGCCTCCTTGCGACCGCTTCCTGCCTGTTCTGCTGTCTGAAGAATATCTTGCATCACTATCGTACTGGGTATCGTTGGGATTTCCATTGCTTTGGCTCTGGTGTGAATAAGGGTTGCTAGGGTGAGTGCCGTTTGGAGGAGGGCTCTGAACCAAGTCGTTGGGCGACCATTGTGGACCTGTAGGATATCTTGCAGAGCCAGGGTTACCTTGTCGCGGCTCTTCGTACGGACCCGCCATATTGGAGAGAGCGGAGGGATACTGGCATGTAGGGTTCTTCCTGTGGTAGCTGGAAGTCCGTCATCAGCAGGTCCAAGGCAAGGAGACTGAACAATGGTAAATGTTTGGTCTCCCGGACTGGGAATGCTAAGAAGACGTTGTTCAGCCCCAGACTAATCGAGACATGCAGATTTCAGGGAACGGAAGGGATGGGCAGGCTCGGAAGGGCCGTATTTCGGTTGTCTGGAGTGGGAGATACGGCGGAGGCTGAGATTTGGGCGGTGATTCGAACGCAGGGGAGGTCTCGCGTAGAACCCGGATAAAGTATGTGAGGGTGAATCGATGGAGGATGTGAAGTGCCGCGTGTTGACGACAAGGAGGGGTGACGGAGGGTGGAAGAGGGTCTGTTGATATTGAAGGAAGAGGAGAAGGGATCTGGCGCCGGGGACGTCAGAGGGATAGACGCGCGGTGTGTTTTCCAAACACGCGGAGAAAAACGAACTTTGCCGAGAGAACTCTTTGAGCTCTAAGAATGAAGGACAGGAAACGAGTTCAGAAACAACGATGAGTGTGATTACTAGAGGAATGGCTCTGACATGAGGTGAAAGTGTTTCTATTCTGGTTTGCGAGTGGCAGAGGCGCTCGTCCAAAGAGGGACTAGCGCCGGTTGGATGACTGGGTGGAGGTTGAAGCAAGAGGAGAGACACTTGACAAACATCCAGCCAGCCAGAAACACGCTGCTGTAGGCCAGGGCAAATCTTGGGCTGCAACGAAGAATGTATCCTGAAATGTTAGTCTGCCTTGCTGAAGGGATCCACCCGCCTTTGGGCTCTGAGATTCTTTATGGAGTTATTCAAAAACCTGAACAGTGCACGCAACACGGCCAACCGCTCAACAGCCTGAATAATGAATAACGAATGAGCACGGGTCAAAGGAAGTGTTCGCAAGGTGCATGATTGTTTTTGATCATGGCCATCACTCGACTTGAGGGTACATTGACAAGGGGACAGTTACAAACCTCCCACCTCTCACTGCCCCTCCTTCTCTGATTTCTAAATCAGGTGTGCCCCAAAATCCTGCTTCGGAGAGCGAAAGTGCGGAGAGTCACCCGCTTTAGCCTAGGACAGCCTCTCGAAACAGGATGTAAGCCTTGTGATCGGCACAGCCAGGTCCTCACTACGGAGGCCCTTAAAGTACAGATTTGAATGAGTTGCGATGGCTTCCTTGAAGAGGGGCAGAATTCTGTTATCAAGTGCAGGTGTTCTAGGGATTACGTTGAATGGATAATGCGGTGTCACTGCACACTGCATATTTGGGATCTGGACGCCACTCTACGCATGTTCCATATTCCATGGCGGAGACTGGGAGGAGGTCCGTAAACGCTACGGAGTATTCTTGACTCAACCCACGCTAACCTAGGGTAGGGACGTCGCGATCCCGCAGACCAGATGCCCTGTTAGGGTGTTTGGCGCCTAAAGTGAGGGACCCTAAGGACTGTGTACACGTGCGCAAACCCTAATTAACTGCCTAGGCATGTACCTGGAGCTCATCAGTGCCCCCCCCCCGCCCCCTCCCCACTCCTCACTGCGTCTATGCGAATTTAGTTCGTTTCTTTTTTGCCTGTGTTCTATTCTGCCTGACACCAGAGGCCCAATGAACCCGCAGAAGTGACTTCAATGTGTTTGATTCTCTCTCTATTGCCTGATGCAACAAGAGTGTCTTTCCTTCATGAAGGCAACAACCCAGGCAGCCGACCTCATCTCTGTCTCTAAGATCCGCAAAAGAGGTGAAGAAGCCAGTGAATCACTGTGGTGAAACCCAAGGGATTCACAGGGCTTCACTACTAAAGGGAAACATCGTTCTTGACTCCCCCCGTGTTGGTTCTGCATCCTGCCTTGTCTTTTTTATTTGCTGTGCGACCCTCAACACAGCCTCACGCCTTCTTCCCCTTGCCTTGCCGATCATTGATCATGCCTCTGGCTACCCTCGCGCCGCAACACCTAGTCATTGTGCCTCTTCTTTGTGGTTTCCCCAGATTTATTAAATCAAGCCAAACCGCCTGACTCCATCATGTCAAACCAACCCTTTCTACGAATAACGAGGGTATGCTGATGACGACTATCTATAAACACACCGCTTCATACTAACTGAGAGGCTTTAGGAGATCGCATCCATCCAGCGGGGAAGTGATTTATGTGAGGCCCCGAGTCTTTACACTCGTTGCACCAGATCTTGACTAATGAACCCCGCAGCCATCGCCGTCGCTTGTCAAGAGCATGACTTTCGGAAGGTCAGAGCCTTGATTATTGGTCCTCATGGAACTCCGTATGAGTACGGCTTCTTCGAATACTTGATTACCTTTGGCACCGAATATCCCAACAAGCCACCCAAAGTTGAAGCAAGAACTACGAACAACGGACGAACAAGGTTCAACCCCAATATATACGCTAGCGGCAAAGTATGCCTCTCGATACTTGGCACATGGCACGGTGAACAGCCTGGCGAAGAGTGGTCGTCTGCTCAAGGGCTGGAATCTGTCTTGTGGTCAATACAGAGCCTCCTATCTAATAATCCTTACGAGAACGAGCCAGGCTACGAAAATTTAAAGGGCTCAGAGGACAAGAGACTGGGTGCTTCATATTGTGCAAAGGTAAAATACCAAGGATTCTTTTCATACATGACTAACATCTGGAAAGATCAGACACGAGACCTTACGTGTCGCAGTCATTCAGCCCTTGGAAGAGTATCTTGGGATCCAATCTGACGGGTCGACAGCATCCCCGGAAGCCATACAGCCAGACGCCCTTGCGGAAGAGGAAATCTCTGTCAAGACGGAAGACGGCGACCTGGCCGAAAACAGAGTGACTTTCAATTTCCAACCATTCAAAGACCTGATCAAACGACGCTTTTTATGGTACTTCGAGCACTATCTATCGGCCATTGAGAAGCATGCGCCTGACCACAAAGATTGGAGCGACTTCCAAAAAATGCCCTTCGAAGCGTCGGGCAATACTATGGATGGGAAGTTCAGGTATGGCGAGTTGGGAAAGAGACTAGTCCGTGTCAAAGAAGTGATCAATGCGGAAACAAGCGACTGGGCAGCTGAGGGATTGGCACTTAAAACCCGCGAATCTTCCAAGGCTGTCACCGTGCAACGATCCTTTGAACAAACTATTACTCAGCTAAATCAAAAGGGCAAACATCACATCTCTATGGAGCTTGTCAAGGAGAACCCTTTTGTCTGGCGAATTATATATTTCGGAAAGCCTATGACTCACCTGGACGGAGGCATCTTCAAAATTCGCATGGACATCAGCCCTCGCTTCCCTGATGAGCAACCAAGAGTCAAGCTCGAAACTCCAATGTTCCACCATCGGGTTTCCAAGGACGGCGTATTGTGCTACTTTCCCAAGAGACCAGACGACCTTAAAGACCATGTCGAAAGCATCGCCGAGGCACTTGAGGAAGACTCACCTCCATACGACCCACGCACGATTGTGCATCCCGAAGCGACCATGTTGTTATGGGGATCTGACAGCGATAAGAAGAAGTATTATCGTCAACTAAGACGATCGGCTTCTAATACAACTGAGGGATGACCTCTATAAAGGGTCCGAGTTGAGTGTGGACCGGCATCAGGTAACACTTCAGGCTTCTCCTTACCGTGCCGTCAACGAAGCGGCGCACTGGAATGCGAACGATGACATGCAGCAATAAAGTATCTCCATGTCCACAGGAAAGAAGTCAAATGACAGTTAGCATCGGAGTCAGGAGTTTCAGCTATCATGACCGTCATTTATTGTCTTAGCTTTGCAGTTAAACATGATACCCATAGCTAGTAGGACCCAGCCAGATTAACCATATTTCCCTTCCACTTTCCTGCGTGTCTATGTGAAGAGTGCGAAGGACGTATTCAAGACTTTGTTCTGAGGTTGAGAACATTATTCCCAAATGAACGACAACTCCAACAAAATCCTATATACGCCCTGCAAGTGTTGATTCATCTCACGGGATAAGGGTCGTCATCCTTAAGCAGCCGAGCTCGTCATATGCGAAAGCATGCATGAAGGATTCGGAAGACGGTATTGGGCGATGAGCCTCTCAAATACGAGACGCGCCACAAGGAATAACCAGATCCGAGATGGATGAGACCCAGTCGTGTCGCCTGAGATCCACTTAGTATCCTGCAGGAACCGCCCGAGGGCCCCTCGGCCCATGGCCTGCTCCCCTTAGGCGAGATTCAAGATCGGCCACGGCCTAACCATGGGGGCTATAAAAGTGTTGGAGAGACATTTCTACTGTACAATTAACTAAAAGTTAGGTGGTGTGGGTTCGTGTATGGAGACTCCGCAGGCAGTAGTAGGACGATAGAACTTACTCCCTGCGATCTTGACTTCCTCAACGACACATCCTCCACCTTCAAAACGCCCCATACCAGGAAGTTCAACCGTGCACGACCTCTAACAGGCACCCCTTTCCATACAGTCAAACAATATACACACACCACCCTGACCTTATCTCGAAAATTCTAATGGCACCACCTAATCGCCCATCCGTGACCTACGGTACAGTTTTGATCGTAGGTGGTTGTGGCTTTTTGGGTTCACGACTAGTTGATCAACTCCTCAACTTCCCATCCGAAGACGATGCGACCTACCTAACGATAGCTTCCGACGGCGAGATCGAATCGCCAAAGTCCAAAGCCCAACTCCTTCGAACCACATTCCCCAGTCTACGCTCCCGATTTCCTACCACCTCCACCTCCACAAAAGTCCACGCTCTCGACCTCCATTGTACCCGCAATCTCTTCCCCAATTGCACCTACCACGATGCAGACATCACCTCCCCATCTGCGCTCCTGGAAGTCTTTAGAAAAGTGAAGCCAGATGTTGTGATCAACACCGCCTCACCCTCGTGGGAGGCTCCCCATGAAATCCTCCGCAAGGTCAATATCGAGGGCACGCGCACACTACTGGAGGTCGCTGGAGGAAAGCACGGCGACTGGGGAGCCAGGTGCAAAGTGTTTGTCCACACGAGCAGCGCCAGCGTTATACACGATGGCGAATCTGACCTTATCAATGCCGACGAAAGTTACCCTTACGTGTGTCCTAACCCAAGAGAGTACTATTCCGAGACCAAAGTTCACGCCGAGCAAATTGTCTTGGAAGCCAACGATAAGCCCGAGTATGGCCATATGTTGACCTGCGCTGTGCGACCCGCAGGAATCGTTGGTGAAGGTGACCTCGCTGGATTCACCGGTGGGATATTAAAGACAGCCAGTGTCGCTCCTGCATGGCAGCTCCACGTGCAACTAGGTGCAAACAACAACCTCTTCGACAATACATACGTCCACAACGTCGTCTACGGTTTACTATGTGCGACTCAAGCCCTCCTGGTGACTGTCCAGCGCAGATTGGATGGAAAGGCCGTTATCTTGGAGCATGAGAAAGTCGATGGCGAGGCCTTCAACGTGACCAACAATTCTCCCGCATACTTCTGGGATTCCTCGAGGTATCTCTGGACTCGCTACGGTCGTACCGTCAACATTGATAAGGTCTGGCAAGTTCCCACAGAGTTGGCCCAGTTTGTCGGCGCCGCTGCTGAGACCTTCAATTGGCTCACCGGCCGCCAGGGCAAATTGAACCGCCAAACTGTCAAGTATGCTTGCATCAACCGATATTACAGCTGCACAAAACTTCAGCGGCGGACTGGATACAAGCCCCTTGTTCCCATCGATGAGGGATTCGCTAGGTCGGTTTTATGGTATAGAGAGAACGAGGCGAAGGAAGCAAAATTAGCATCGGAGAAAAAAGGACAGTAAGATGGAGAGTGGTAGCTCGTCCCATTTTGATTTGGTGGTTGTGTTAGGAAGATTATGAGCAAAAGTCAACAGGTAATCATCAAGATGTACACACATAAGACAGTAAATTGCTGGCATGCGGCATGATGATCAAAATGGGCTCCTCGCGCTCCATCTTCGGAGGCACTTACGCACAACTAGAGCGACATTGGAGTTGCTGTCATTATTGCAAGAAATAATGAATAATGGATATAGGATGGCGGTCACGGCAAGACACTGCGCTAAATAGACAAATACGACCACATGCTTACCTGACTAGGAATGTTCTCGCACAATCTAAAATAGAAGCAGACGCGTTAGATTATCATCTCAATACCGAAAAAACACATGGGAGAGAATACTTGTCTTGAGCGGGACAATGATAGTGGAGCTTGCTCTGTGCAAATCGTGCAAATAACGAGAGGAGATGTGGGAAAAAGAAAGCCGGTCTCTCGGGCCAGGACAGACCACATATATCGCCTTCATAAGGAACGAATTGGGTCTTTGTACCTGGTGAGATCTGCATGTTTTCCAGACGGTCAGCATCTGGCTTGATTGATGAAGAGGGAAAATGTCATTATGAATCTCGCTTGAAAAGGAGATAGAAAAAAAGGGACGTGTGTTAATTGTGTGCGCTCGAAGAATCCCAGCCAGCCGCCTATTACTAGGCATCACCATCACCTTGCTGGTAAATATGCCGTGATCGTGAGGGGTCTTTTCGCATTTCATGTCCGCTGCCTGTGAAACCAACTGTACCACAGAACCGTTAGTCTTATACATAAATCAGATTTTGTGAAGGAAGGTAGGGTGCTTTACCTCTAGCGTTGACGCCGTCGCCTGTCCGGAACATGCTGTCCTTCTTCCCACCAAATTTCCCTCCCTTGGCCTTGGCCGCGAAATCTTGCCATTTGTTCTTGCCAGCTTCCAGTTCCTTGTTGGCTTTGACTTTACGCGGAATCTTCGCCGGTCGTGCTGGTCCGTCGCTCACCTTGCTGGGCTCCTTACGGGCTTGTTGTGCGAGGGTAGGGTCGACGCTTGCTGCTGCTGAGATGACATTAGGGTTGGTGGGAGTGGGGATGGGTGTCGAAGACCCTGAGATGCCATCGGCCTTGCGTTTTCTTGTATCGGAAGCGAGTGGTTTGATATCCTTCGCCTTCAAGGTTTCTGAGTTGCCGTAGTTCTTGAATGTGACGATGTAGACGGGGTTGCTGGAGGAGCCAGTGATGGATGTAATGCGCGCAGTGTAGAATCCACCATCACCGGACTTCCATCTTGCTGAGACAGTGTCATTGACGGCGAAGGTGGCTGGTGCATTTGTCTCTTCGGGCTCGGGCTCAGCTTTTCGGTATCCTGCTTGAAACGCAGGGTGGTTTTCTTTGGACCATTTCTCCTTTACCTGGGGTGTGGATGATGAATGTGGCGGGCTATGTGTGGATGGCGCTGGGACTGAAGAAGGCCTTAGTTCTGCAATGCTAGACTCGGTAAGGACTATAACTTGTTCAAGTTCTGCTTTGAGACTCTGAAGTTCGCTATTGTCTGGATCAGTCTGCAGACTTAGCTGAACCGTCTCAAGCTGTAGATTGTATTCTTTGACCTCGCTTTCGAGGGTTTCTATTTCGGCGGAGTTCATTGCCAGGACGTACGAGGCGGGCGTATTCGAGGATTGTCGATCACGGAAGTACCGGAGTGAAATCGAAAAGATATGTATGAGATGACGGATCGAGAAAAGCCACTACGCAAGTAGTGATGGATGAGTGAAAGGAATTATGGAAAGCGCAATTCTTGTGTAAAGCTGATGTCCATTCGAGTGGTCGTCATGGCGCAGTTCGAAGTGTCGAGGGTGGCACGTGAATGACTGAGAAGAGCGCAATATTGATCACGTGACTTTGATTCTACGTCGGAGTATCTGCTGGTATATGGAAGCATCATCCATGGATTTAAACGTCTTGGATGGCACAATGAGCAATAGTATGCCGCTCGAGGCCAAGGCTCTGTCAGCCTGATATGAAATATTGCTCCCGAGTTCTAGTGAACACATTTTGATCGATTGCGATCGCCGATTTCGAAGGAAAATCACAGGGTTTCAGAGGTGAGTCGTCGCCATATCCACCTGTAAAGATGACCCAACGTAGTGGTATTCTTTGTCGCAAAGGATATTCTCAGGCTAAATAAAGGAGAGACTGATGGGTCCGCTCCATTGGATGGTAACCGCGCATTCGCATTTTTGGGTGCCTCTTCATGGGAAATACTTCATAGGTAGGCAATGCCAGATGTTCGTTCGACATACAAAAGAGACCTACCGTGATCTTGGCCTCTTTATAGTGCGAAAAGGTACTTCAGGTTGAGCGGTTAGGTCAATGAATGTCACCTGCCATCAAATGCTATCATCATAGGTGTAGAGGACCTCTCCAGTTGGGTAAAAGACCATCCCGGTATCGGACAGGTATTCCATCCATACTCTTCAAGCATATAGATCTCTTGACTAGACCTCCACGTAGCCTTTCGATCGAAAAATGGTCTTTTAGTGAGTAAGTTCCAAGAATAAGCATGCCTGGCTAGGGAGATCATAGAAGTCTTGGGTGGAAATGCGGCAGGTCGCCATATACATATGGGTAAATGTTCCTTTGGTTCGCGGAAACTATGATGACATGTTTACAGCGTACCGGGGATTTAGACCGGTAAAACAACCCTTCGAGTGTTAAACCCGAAGATTACGGTCCCATGGCTTTGGAGCCAGATAAAAGCATGCTTCTCCCACAGTCGTATTCGCTCTAAAATAGGATTGGATTGGGATGTTGTGTCAAATAGCACAGTCAAGTTTCGAGGCAGAAAGCCAATGAGAGGATAGCAGGCAAGTGACGCGGGCAGGTTGCCTGAATCCCGTGGAAGATCTGCTAGTTTGGGATTGGCGTGGACGCTCACAGACGGGCATGGACCATCATCGACCTTGAGTCGGCTTAGAAATCAACCACAGTCCAAAGCGCATCTGGACATCGCGGACCCGCGATTGACGGTTTGCCACACCCGAACCTGGTTGTTCGAGGGGTTTTGCTCCACTCACAGCAGAGATACGGTACCCAGCTCTGGCCTTAAGCTTCTGCTGGCTTCTAGTACTGGGGCCCACCTGACACCCTCATCAAAGTGACTGAGAATTTCAAAGACGTGGGCGGCCGAAAGGTGAGAGTGGTCTCTGCCCTGATCTCGCATCGCCACAACCATCCTTTTAGTGTCTCGATGATAGATTTTTCTAGGGCAAGGGCTGCAATGGTGGGGTCTGGAAGTTGAGAAGAAGTTGTTATTGGGGTTCTCCCGTATGTAGAGCAAAGGGTTAAGGCATTGAGGGCAATTGCTGGCGGGGGAGCACGGCCTCTTGGCAGGGTCCGGCCAGCCTCCATGCCTAGGAGAACACATTAATTCGCATGCAAGATTACTACCGCGGGCGCCGAGGTGCCCGGGGCTCACAGCCGTCTTTTACCTGTGCAGAAGCCTATGGCCCCAGGACCCCTCCAGTCCTGCCGTTTCTTCCCTCCACCCTTTCTTGAGCCCCCCCCAGAACTGCGGCATTCCCTCTCAGCCTCTGATTCATCTTTCCTTCGTCCCTCTGACCTCATTATTGCCTGTCTTCCATTCTCACATCTTCCTCCCTATCACCACCACACCAAGCTCTCCAGCAGATTCCCCTCTCGCTCATGACCTCTCCTGGACTGTGGCTCATCATTGAGAAAGTTTGAACCAATCACAAGTGGCCCTGCTTCTGATACCTGTGTTCGACCACCCTCACCCACCCAGGCTTCACTACATTCCTCACCCGACTGTTCCCCCCACTCCAATCTTCTCCTCTATTCACTTTCTCACCTCTGTCCTACGACTTTCGTTTTCCTAAACTCCATTTCTTCCCTCCTGCTACGTCAAGGCCCTTCTCTGAGGCCTCTCGATACTGCTCTGCAGTGGAAAGAGGCAGACTTGCGTCATTGTTATCATTCTAGTCGTGGTGCTTCAATAATATTCCCACCACCACCGAACCGCCTTATCCGCCTATTGTGGTCAACCCAACAACCACACAACACCCTTCGAACGATACCCTATGTCGCTTCAAACTACAGACGACTTCTTCCTTCCCCCAGATCAACAAGATTTATTGATCGCCGCATTGAATTCGAATAAACCCCTCAACAACAAATCAGGTTCCAACACCGCCAAAACCACCCCTCAACCATCACTATTCACGCCCAACATGTCCAGTGCACCAGATTCAGGACATCTCGATTTTTCGGACGAAAGTCCTTTTCTTGACTTTGACCCAGAGGGTGATTTCGATGACTCGTTTACCTTTGATGGCTCATCTCGGATGATTGGCGACATCCCTGGCGATCTCCATGACAAGAGGAAGAGCATCGGCGGTGATGATGACGACGAGGAAGAAGGAGGTGGAAAGAGACGCGAAGGAGAAGATAAAACCGCCAAAAAGCCGGGTCGAAAACCCTTGACATCAGAACCCACAACTGTAAGTGAACCTCATTTTGAGGACTACCTCAGAGCTGACGCGCACAGAAACGCAAAGCACAGAATCGTGCTGCGCAACGAGCATTCCGCGAGCGCAAGGAAAAGCATCTTAAAGATCTAGAAACCAAGGTTGAAGACCTTGAAAAGTCGTCCGAATCGGCCAATCATGAAAATGGTCTCCTCCGTGCGCAAGTAGAACGACTACAGGTCGAGCTCAAAGAGTACCGGAAGCGACTTTCCTGGGTCAGCAGCAATGGCTTGAATAGATCACAATTCAGCCCCCAGAATCAAAATCGTCTTTCGTCTGTAAACGGCCAAAACGACTTCCAGTTCGAATTCCCCAAGTTTGGTGATCTGCCCTCTTTGCAGGGGGCCAACAAGCTCAATGACACCAAAGACCCAAGTCGGCAAAAGAGCAATGGAAACTTGCAGGGCAGCAATTCTTCTTCTCCTGCGGCACCTGCGCTCCAAAACGCTAATGCCACCCGGTCGAATTCCACAACGTCCCAGCGCAATTCGAGTGCCAGATTGGGGTCTGTAAGCCAGTCACCTGTCATGAACAACAACATCTCAGCCTCGCCCTCCCCAATGAACAGACAGAATAACAGTGGAAGCGTGGACAGTTTGACCGGACTCTTCAGTCCCTCTGTCCTTGAAGCTAGTCGGCATGCCTCACTGGGAAATTATTTCCCACAAAGTGCACAGCCAGGTTTCAACAACGTCTCTCAGCCCGCGCGGACTATTTTGGATGGTAACACTACCAGCAGAGTGACGGGAGTCTATTCCAACTCGACCGCCTCCACATCGGACTCGCCAGGATCATCTGCAGAGTCTCACAATGCGATCTCGTCCATTGGCACATCTCCTGAGCCAAGCTTGAATTCACCCGCTAATAAGTTGACCGAATTCAACCTGAACCCTATCTCTGAGGAGAACCAGTATAATTTCGGAGGTAAGGAACACCTCTGCAGAGAGATCTCACAAGCCTGCGGCTGCATTGACGATCCAATACCTCCAATGTGGAAGATGTCTAACGCTATACCCTCAGGCTTCAACGCCGACGGCGGACTTGACGGCAATGGATTCAACTGGCTTGCTCAACAGAACAACAACACCTTTGATCCAATACTGTTTGGAGATTATCGCGAGACCCAGGACAATATCTTATCACAAGATTTTGGATCCTTCTTCAATGATGCCTATCCTCTTCCCGATCTTGGCAGTCCTCTTCATAACTACAACGACGTCACAACGGAGACGCCCTTCAAAAACGACCTGATCAAACAGGTCGATCTTGCCAAGGACAGCGAACAGGTGGTACCGGACACGGACAAGCCCATGAGCTGCAACAAGATCTGGTATGTGACTGACTATGCAGAAGAAAGCGGAAACGATACTAACATTGGATAACAGGGACCGACTCCAGTCCATGGAAAAGTTCAGAAACGGCGAGATTGATATTGACAACCTCTGTAGCGAGCTCCGCGCCAAAGCCAAGTGCTCTGAAGGCGGTGCCGTGGTTGACAAGAAGGACGTGGATAAGATTTTGGGATCGACAAGATAGCACATGCGTGGCTAGATTGGTTGCAAAATTGCAAAATGAGGACCAGGCAAGGGACATAGTTTGAACAGGAACAGGATCTGGTCATCATCGTTGGTACTATACCAGGATGCATAAGCTGGTGTGTCCCAAGGGAATAAGCAACAGGCGAACGAGGGGAACGTCGATGTATTCGATGGGTCATGTCATGATACAACACGCAAAATTATTGTTTTGGGGGGTTGCAGAAGTACTTACCTTATAGTCAGGTGTATGATATTAAAGTTCTCACTAGATCATCGTTTCCCTTTAATGTGCCATGAAGGATGATGTTGGTTTGGCATGACTTGAGTGGGGTCAGCCGCAATAATGATCAACGATGTTATCGGCTTTTACTGAGCTGGTGATACATGTCCAGGTGCCTATCGCATAGCCGCCAGGCAGTACTATCATGGATGGGAGTACTATCTCCCTTACCATCCGCATGATCCAACACCACTTTCTGTATAAGAGGTGCATTGGTATATCATATAGCGATTGTGTCAGTGATGTATTTCAATTTGCCCAGGTCATGGAATCCTGCTGTGATATCGATTCAGCAAAAGCATTATGCAGTAGTTCCTAGTCTGCGTCCCTCATTCGAGCTTTGGAAAAGCAGGTAGCTTATACTTTCTATTATTGCCTATGTGCCAGCTCCTCCTAACATTGACTCTGAAGAGAATGTAGTAGTTGCTCTACATACTAGTTTACTGCCCAGTTGCGAGAGGACTGCGAGCGTGCCATGACCCGCGCAACCGCTTCGATATGTCCAATGGACACTACAGACAACGCATTAGGTCCGCAGGCCAGCACTCTTATTTTACTTGTTGTCTATCGAGCTCAACTCTGAGTTTAGTTTCGCAAGGCTGGACTTTGCCAGATGGGGAAACGACACGCCGCCCTTGGCATATGCTTAACATACTCGTCCTTGCATGAACGCCGCGAGGCGGACGGTTCCAGCGTCGGTCTTGAGCCAAAGCGCGAGAGATCCTTCAACAATTGCTGCGGAGATTGTGTACAACTGTCTCATATCACACTATGCTCTGCAGAATGACTGGGCTCGTGGCTGAGTTTGTTAGCTTCTGGGGAGAATGACGGTTTCTGCAACGAAGAATATACATGGAGATCACGACCTGTCACGGCAAGTTGTGCGCCCTCGATCTCGAAAATTCTCACCTGGTTCTTTGGTAGAGGGGCTGACTAGTGATGTCCAACTCTGCCGAGTTGCGCTCTGCCATGCCCGCATTGCTTTTCCGTACGACATGTGCACGACGCACGGCGGCGTTTTCTGACACCCTTAGAGAATGGTCATGATACGGCATTACACTCCAGCTCGACAGGCCACGTTTCTCCCAAACGATCGGTGTGATCAAACAGTGGGCAGCGGCATGGTCGACCACTATTGATGCAGCAAGCCTACCGCTTTTGAAGTAGATGCCTAGAAAACGACTTAGCCATGGATTCATTGAATCATACCACAGGCTAAGCAACAACTCCTTGAAAACGCTGTCATAGAGGCCATACAACAGCCCTCCATGTACGTCGGCGTGGATCTGTATGATACCAATTACAGGCTCTTTTGCATTGTTCCAGAATCATGACGTATGTGCGTCTGTGTCCGGGTGTCTTAGCGTCGCAGCGTTATAGAGACCTCCTCCAGGTATTTGTTTGTCTTTGCTCAAGCCTACAGATCATGTCTGATGGTAGCTTGCCTACCCATGAGGGGCAGGTATCACGGGAATGTAGCCCACGTGGAGACGAGGCAGCTAACGGAGTGGACAGTGGTGTTTGTTTGAGGAACTATTTCGAAATGCGGGCACAGACATGGCCTTGACCATAGATAGCAAGCCTGTAGGGGGGGGCTGAGTCTGTCCCTCCAAAATGTGAGTCGAGGGAGAGTCTTAGGTGGGCAGAAGGCGACCACAAGAGAGAGAGTCTCGTGTCAGGGCCTCGGGCATAGTGAGGAGGCATGCGAGGCTATAAAAGCAGCGCAGTTTAGTAAGGTAGTTTAGTGTGCTGGGTTACTTAGTTGGAGAGCTGGGGAGCTGCCTGGAAGTCACGCAGTTAAAGGATAACCACTCTGCCAGTGCCTACAGCGCCAAGGCCAGGTGGTGCTGCAGCTCCAGCGTCCAGAATCCAGTCCAAACTTTCTTCAGGTTCCGGGGTCAAAGGTCGAGTTGACCTTGTCTCGACATTATTATTCACATTATTGCAGCGCCAGCCGTCATTCTCACCACCACTCTTGATTCTATCTCACGCCTTCCTCTATCCTCTAAGCCATCGTCATCTTGTTCTTGCCTTTTTTGACCTTTCGACACGCTTTCAACCCTGTCGCTGTTCACCACCTGCCCTTGCCGCCCCCGTACCCGTCGTCTCAGTCGACCGCGCACTCCCATTTTCTGAGCTGCGCCTCTTCAGTTCCCACATCCATCTCCGCGATTGAATCGTTTCTCACTCACTCATGGCTTCTGTTAGTTCGATCCAAAAGCACTCATCAGTTTCCTGCCTCTCTTGTTCTTTCACTTTCCTCCATCCCATTTTCTACCGTTCCCACCGTTTCCAGCCTGGGACTAACCATGTTTGACCACCAGCCACGACCTCAATATCAAAATCAGCCATATCTACCCAATGGAACCGCCTCTGGTCCAGTCCCGGGAGCCCAAGCTCTTCTACCGAACAACGGCCGCATCATTCAGTCAGGTCCCATTCGCGTTCTATGCATCGCTGATGTCAGAGGTCAGCGAATCGGTCCCCTAAACCTCGATGCTAATTGATGCTAACTACATCTGGGGCAGGCAATCTGAAATCGTTGAACGAATTGGCCAGAACCGCCAAAGCAGACTACATCTTGCATACGGGTGATTTTGGCTTCTACGATCACACATCGCTGGAGAGAATAGCGGAGAAGTCAGAATCATTCCTTTTCCCCTCCTCTGTCTCTTAGGCTAACCTCTCAACCAGGACTCTGAAACATGTCGCACAGTACTCACCTCTTCTGAGCGAGAGTGTCAAGCGTACGATCGCACAGCCCAATTCATCTCGACCCATCAAACAGCTCTTTCCCCAAGAGCAGCTTCCTCTCTCTGAACTACCACTTCTCTTGAACAAGCAGATTACGCTTGATGTTCCCGTCTACACAGTGTGGGGTGCCTGTGAAGACGTCAGGGTGCTGGAAAGATTTCGCTCGGGCGAGTACAAAGTGGACAATCTCAATATCATTGATGAAGTCAACTCGAGACTGCTTGACATAGGAGGTGTCAAGCTGAGGCTACTGGGACTTGGTGGTGCGGTTGTCATTCACAAACTCTTTGACAATGGCGAGGGCAAGACATACATTGCAGGAGGACAAGGCACAATGTGGACGACGCTTCTTCAGATCGGTGCTCTAATTGACACGGCCAACCGTGTCTATGATCCCTCAGAAACCCGCATATTCTTGACCCACGCCTCCCCGGCACGAGATGGCATTCTGAATCAGCTCTCAGTCACCTTGAAGGCCGATTTCTCGGTGTCTGCAGGCCTACATTTCCGTTATGGCAGTTCTTACAATGAGTTTTCGGTCAATCCTTCCCTGGATCACTATCGTGGCAAGTTAGCCGCGTCGAAAGCCTCCTTCCAAGATGTCTGGGAGACGGTCAAACTTGATGTGGAGCAAGCCATTGAATCAAACTCAAGCCACAAGGCACTTCTGCACAGCGCATTGGAGATTGTAGAGAAGATGCCTAGCACCGCCAATGGAGGCAATCCGTTCGGTGGCCCAGTTGGGGGTGGTGGTGCTGCCGGCCAGGTGGACGAGAGTGCCTTCAAGAATATGTGGAATTTCAACCTTGCCGACGCAGCTTTTGGCTATCTGGTACTGGAGATTGATGGCGGCCGCATTGGAACAGAGATGCGAGCACAAGGCTTTAATTTTGCCCACCGTGGCAAGCCGGGTCTGGCCCAGAATATGCCTCCAACCACTTCGGGCGTGTCCGGGTCTATTCCTTCTGGTCCAGCACCGGTATCAGCACCGACTGGCCCTGCTCAAAACCGGACTCCTGCTTTCCAAGCCCCCGCCCAACCGTTTCCTCAAGCACCAAAGGCTCAACCGCAACAACAGCAACAAGCACGATCGACAGGGTCAGGACCAAACCCAGCGTCCAAGTCTGCAGGCCCTCCAACGGGAGCCTCGCCCGCACCACCCGCGACCCAAGGCAAATCCCTGACACCACAACCATCCTCAACGTCTGTTCCAACCGCATCTCCAATCCCAAACAAACCCCCTACGCCAGCCACGAACGGCTCTGGTGCGGCTGAAAAGGCTGGTGAATCGGATCCTGCCAAAGGGAAAGCGAATGCACCCGCCAGCGAGCGGCGGCCCCTCGCGACTGCACTCTACGTGAGCAACGCGGAGTCGGAGCAAGGGGCACGCGAATTGATCGCTGAGGAGGACCGTGACAAGATCAAGTCTGTCGTGAGACTCGGCAGCAAGTTCTTCAACTGGAAGATACAATTTGAGAACCACGAAATAGCGTCTGCGGCACTGACTCGAGCGGTAGCCGAGACACACAAGCACAAGGGAGCGACTGGGCGGACACCCAAGATTGCTTTCTTTGAAGAGAAGCCGCCAGCATTCCATCAACGTGACCAACCTAGTCATGGAGGGGCTGGCACATGGCAAAGCAGCACAAGAGGCGGCACTAACACAATGTCTGGTGCTCCCACTCCTCGAGGAGGATATCAGAGTGGAGGAGCCAGTGATAGCGAGGGCGGACGTGGCCGAGGAGGCTTCCGAGCGCGCGGGCGAGGACGAGGAGACGATCGTGGCGGCAGGGGAGGCCGGGGAGGAGGTCGAGGCAGCTACCAGAACAAGGGTGGTGATGGAACGTCAGATAGCAAACCAAGCGAGGACAAGGGTGGAGAAAGCAAGCCCGCACCAGCAGCTGGAGATTCTTAGGGATATGTGGCGGAGGAAGCAGCGATTGACTTCGGGGTTAGAGATGATTTACCTGTACTACGGAGGCGGAGATGGGGTGCTGCATCATGGGTGGCGCCAAATGGCCTGGCGAAGTCCACATGGTTTTCAAAACTTGGGCTGTTACTTCACGTTCCGAGAGCAGTTTGAACCACCAAAAGGACGGATATGGAGTCAAAGCCTTTTTCTCTATGGTGTTGCACGGGCCAGCGAGCACTCTCCTTTTGTAGTCGATGTATTCTATCACACCTGACTGAGCTAGAAAGATACAAAAGTACCTTGAACATAGTTCATCCGAATAATTGGTATGAAAGAAAGAGCAAGTGTGAGAAGTCCCTGAAGTTAAGGGTCTGTCTCGAGCCTGTACCTGCCTGGTACCTGAAGATTAGGCATCCCTATTGTGCAGCGGGTGTGGCTGGCTGGGGGAAAGGTCTGGGGGCTCCAAATACAGTTTCTAACCTGTAATAGTTAGTGCGTCTGGGCAACTCCTAGCCTGATGAGGGGATCGCAGTTACCTGGCGACCCGGGGACCTCGGGGGTTTTTGGTCGACCTTCGTGCCTGCGCCATGGAAGAGTGTTCCGTTCTGCACCTTTGAATGGTGACGTCGCAGTCCATTTGTTTGCCTGCCTTCTTCGGCTCTCCATGTTTCAGACGACCACCGACACTGACCTCCATCCTCAAATCCCAAGCAAAGACCCAGCATCATATCCCAAAACCACCGAATCAAGATCCTCTTCTTTCAACCATTGTCAGCTGTGATTCGGCCTCTTTCAGACTGGTTTGGTTGGGCGCCGTGACCTCGCATTCCTACCTGGCGACCACAGTCCTCGAACCTCTCCCGCAATGTCTTGACATCCTCACCTCGCACGCCAACAACAAACGAGAATCACTCAAACTTAGCAATCCTCTTTTCCAGTCCAACCTTCGCGATGCGCACCTTCACATCGGCCCTGACGGCGGCCACGACGCTCCTCTCACTTCTCTCCCTTCCCCTGCTCTCCGCGGCGTCTCTTGCCACTCCTCTCCATGAATCCGGCCGGTGCGCCATCCGCGGCTCTTGTGGCAAACAAGGACTCTTTGGGTCGAACTTACCTTGCCCCGACAACGAGAAAGCCAGCGCCCCTTCGGAGGTAGAGCGAAAGAAATTGGTCGACCTATGTGGTCCTCGCTGGGCCGAAACAGACGTCTGTTGTGACGAGTCGCAGCTTGATGCCTTGAGTGACAACCTCAAACTAGCGGAAAGAATCATAGCCTCGTGTCCTGCCTGCAAGGAGAACTTCTTCAACTTGTTCTGTACCTTCACTTGCTCTCCAGATCAGTCGCTGTTCGTCAATGTGACTGAGACAGGAAAGTCCACCGGCGGACTTACCGTGGTCACCGAGCTAGACAATCTATGGTCGAAAGACTACCAGAGTGGATTTTACGATAGCTGCAAAGAAGTCAAAAATGGCGCCAGTGGTGGTAAAGCCATGGCATTCATCGGCGGAGGAGCTACCAACTACACTGAATTCCTCAAATTCCTTGGGGACAAGAAATTCCTGGGCAGCCCATTTCAGATCAACTTCCTGGAAAAGGGCCGGTATTCTGATGATAAGGGCTTAGTCCCCAGCAACCCAAAGGTCTACGCTTGCAACGACACCGACGCCGCTTACCGCTGCAGCTGTGTCGACTGTCCAGCCGTTTGTCCGGTCCTGGGACCTGTCAACACAATCAGTTATTGCCATGTTGGAAAGCTTCCATGTCTATCATTCGCCATCATCATTGTATACTCCATCTGTTTGCTCCTGCTCGTGCTCGCCATCTCGGGCCATGTTGCCTATAGGAGGCACAAACGCAAGAAGAGCGAAAGGTTGCAATTGCTCCAGGACTCTGCTCCGAGTGACGATGAAGATGAAGGCTCACTGGTTTTCAACGCTGGCATGCTGGACCGACCGCGACGGAACTATTATCTCAATCATGTCTTTGATCGTGCGTTCAGCAAGTTAGGATGGTTTTCTGCCCACTATCCTGCATTGACCATCAGCACAAATATCCTCGTCATTGGACTCCTCAGTCTCGGCTGGTTGAGGTTTGAGGTGGAGAGGGACCCAGTCCGGCTGTGGGTCAGCCCAACATCGGATGCGGCTCAGGAAAAGGCCTTCTTCGACTCAAATTTCGGCCCCTTTTATCGCACAGAGCAAGCTTTCCTCGTGAATGACTCATCCTCCGCCGACAGCCCGGTCTTGAGCTTTGAAAATCTAGAGTGGTGGTTCGACATCGAAGAGCGAATCTCCCGTCTGCTGTCGCCAGAAAATGGCATTTCTCTCAGCGACGTCTGTTTCAAACCAGTGGGCGATGCGTGCGTGGTGCAATCCGTCAGTGGCTGGTTTGGAGTTGGCCTCTCTCGAGATTGGCGAGATCAGATTGAGCTCTGCGCTGCACACCCAGGCGATCAGATGTGTTTGCCTGAATTCATGGATCCGCTTCCACCAGGCCGAATTCTTGGGGGATACAGTAGCATTGAAAATATCACCGAAGCAAAGGCGATGGTGACCACATGGGTCATCAATAATGCTCAACCGGGTACCGAAACCGAAGCTCGAGCCGAGGAATGGGAACGCGCCCTCAAACATGAGCTCCTCATTGCCCAGCAGCAAGCCAATAACCGTGGCTTGAGACTTTCCTTCAATACTGAGATCAGCCTGGAAGAGGAACTCAACAAGTCAACTAACACGGACGCCAAAATAGTTGCCATAAGCTATCTGGTCATGTTCATCTATGCTTCGTTGGCACTTGGGTCTGCCAGCTTGTCCCTGAGAACGCTACTCAACAATCCGTCTAATGTGTTTGTACAGTCCAAATTCACCCTCGGGATTGTTGGCATTGTCATTGTCTTGATGTCGGTTTCAGGCTCCGTAGGCTTGTTCTCAGCCGCTGGGGTGAAGGTGACGCTGATCATTGCTGAGGTCATCCCTTTCTTGGTCCTCGCGGTTGGTGTTGACAACATTTTTCTCATTGTTCATGAATTCGAGCGAGTCAATGTCAGTCACCCCGACGAAGAGATTGATGAACGCATAGCAAAAGCACTGGGACGCATGGGACCAAGTATACTCCTCTCAGCTTCAACTGAGACCATTGCCTTTGCAATGGGCGCGTTTGTCGGAATGCCTGCCGTCAAGAATTTCGCCGCCTATGCCGCAGGCGCCGTCTTCATCAATGCCATTCTCCAAGTCACAATGTTCATCTCGGTGTTGGCGTTGAACCAACGCCGGGTGGAAAGTCTGCGGGCGGATTGCTTCCCATGTGTGACGGTGCGAAGGGCAAGTGCTGCCAATCTGCCAGGACACTTCTTCGGTAGCGACGAAGAAAGCTGGCTGCAACGCTTCATTCGAAAGAGTTTTGCTCCAACTTTGCTCGACAACAAGGTCAAGACCATTGTTGTGACAATCTTTGTCACCCTCTTCGCTGCAGGAATTGCATTGATTCCAAAGGTCCAACTCGGACTCGACCAGCGCATTGCGATCCCCTCCGACTCATATATGATACAGTACTTCAACGACCTCTATGCATACTTTGGTTCAGGACCGCCAGTCTATTTTGTGACACGCGATTTGAACATCACAGAAAGGCTACACCAGCAACAGGTGTGCGGAAGATTTACGACTTGTGACGAGTATTCCCTCGCATATGTCTTGGAACAAGAATCCAAGCGCCCGGATGTCAGTTATATGAATTCTGCCACTGCTAGCTGGCTCGATGACTTCTTTTACTGGCTAAATCCCATTTCAGACTGCTGTACGGACGAGGATGGCAATACCTGTTTCACCGAGGATGAGTGGAATATTACTCTCTCCGGAATGCCCACCGGTCACGACTTTGTCCACTACGCTCAGAAATGGGTTCACGCACCGACCGACGCCGATTGCCCCAATGGCGGCCAAGCTGCGTACTCCAATGCCGTGGTGATTGATCCGGAGAATACCAACATCCCTGCCAGTCATTTCAGAACATTCCACGTTCCTCTTCAAGGCCAGGAAGACTTCATCAATTCCTATGCTGCTGCGAGAAGAATTTCTGCTGATATTTCCAAACGGCACAATATTGACGTTTTCCCTTACAGCAAGCACTATATTTTCTTCGACCAGTACAGCACAATTGTTCGTCTGACCGCAACATTGCTTTCTGTGGCGGTGGCCATCATTTTTGTCCTGACATCGTCTCTCTTGGGATCTCTTCTCACCGGAGCTGTCGTTGCGTTGACGGTTGTCATGATTCTTGTCGACATTATTGGAGTCATGGCAATCGCTGGAGTTTCATTGAATGCAGTTTCCCTGGTCAACCTCGTCATTTGCGTGGGCATTGGTGTCGAGTTTTGCGCCCATCTCGCACGCGCTTTCATGTTTCCTAGTACATCAGTGATGGAACGGGCGAGACACAAGTTCCGAGGCAGAGATCTTCGAGCGTGGACTGCCTTGGTCAATGTTGGTGGGAGCGTCTTCAGCGGCATTACCGTTACCAAATTCCTTGGTGTTACTGTTTTGGCATTTACGCGGAGCAAGATATTTGAGGTCTACTACTTCCGCATCTGGTTGGCGCTTGTCATACTGGCGAGCTCCCATGCTTTGATCTTCTTACCAGTGGCTCTGAGCTTTATAGGCGGCGAGGGTATGTCATCTTGTGTGGCACCACATTAACATTCAATGCTGACATTGTTCTAGGCTACGTTGACCCAGAAAGCGAAGGTGGCCTGGAGGAAGACTTGGCCAGCCGCAGATATAGAAGTCTGCTGCCAGACGACGACTACGATTCGGACGAATGAGCGGTCCACAGATAACTGTTGATGTCATTAAATATATACCTTTCTAGTCCAACTGCTGGAAGTGAGGTGTGCGTCAAGTCGAGGATCCATCATCTACATCTATATCCGTGTTTCCTGACGCAAATGCACTGCCTGCATTGGATTTATATTGGGGATTGCAAAAGTATTCATATCTATCCTGACAATTGACACACCAATCTAAGAAACAAGTGATACAAGCGAGCTGCCAAGGTTTAGGAACGGCTTTTGCCGAGTTCGCTCTGAGCAGTGGCGGTAGGTCCGCCCTTGACTCTTTCACCGCCTGTGATCTTCTTCTCTCCAGTCGTGATATCATGTAGATTCTGACTATTCAGAGGTTCGTTCGCATGCCGTTGAGCCTGGGCAGTTGGTCCTCCAGCAACCGGTTCACGGCTACCCGTGATCTCGCTCTCAGCCTCATTGATGCGGGATATAGTTGAAGAATCCAACTTTCCACTATGTGATTGATTGTTTGTCCTAGAACTTCCTTGCCGCTCCTGCACCCTGTTAATCTTCCTTCCATTTAACATAGCCGAGTCTCCAACGAAAGACAATAAGAATAGACTCACCTGTCCGACAATACTTTGAGCTTCTGAGGTAGGACCTCCCTTGACTGGTCCTTCCTCACCAGTGATCTTGGTCTCTCCTTTGGTAATGTCGCGAAGACTATCAGAGTCGATGGGCTGACCAGCATGCTTCTGTGCTTGAGCCGTTGGACCACCTTTAACGGGCTGGTCTGATCCCGTAATCTCCTTCTCCTTTTGGGTAATCCTGGAGATGTTTTCAGAATTCAACTGCGAGGCCTTCTTGTAATGACTCTGCGTCTGGAAGGCTCTTCGGCACGGAGTGATCTGTGTATGGAGCACGCCTCTGATGGTTGAGATGCGTTGATACATGTTTAGTCCTACGAATCGTATACGGGAATAGTTGTTGTGAGTAAGAAATATATATTTGGATGAGGATCAAGAATATTGGATATTAAATGTGGATTGTGGAATCTAAACTCCTACCTGGATCCGAGATTGATCAAGTATTCACGATTTGAGAAAATGGGCATGAAAATTGTGGACTATGAGGTTAGAGTCTTTCGCATGATGATTTCATTCGAGGTTACAATTATACCGATCATTGACGACATGATGGAGACGGGAGGCTTTCTCATGATCAAGGTGGGTCGCGGTGTACACCACTGATGCCGTTGCAATTCCAGCCAATCAAAGCGATGCACTTCGCGAATGAGTCATCCACCCTATATAAAACTTGGCATCGCCTTACTAAAATTTCCCACAAGGCCTTCGGTCAATGGTTGCCACCAGACATTTCATTCAAGCAATTGAGAGATATTGGGCCCGAGATAACAAAATGTCAGATCCATCGCAGTCCAATGATGGCTCAATAAGGGGCATTGCTGATGGCATCGCTCCAACCCATACTTATGTCCCAAATGAGGGCTACGTCAATTCTGGCCAGTCGAGAAGATTGACTCCAGGGACTTTTATTCAAGATGAAGACGAAGAGGATGAAGAAGAGGACGATGAATACGATTACGGCAACGAAGGCGAAGATGTACTTGATGATCCAGAGTATCTTGGCTCCGGAAACGCCTCAGACTTGACCAAATCATACAACCGACAGAAACGACTCAACGAAGCGATTTCAGACTCGAACGTACCGCAATGGCAATACCCACGAGCCAATCCGCAGAAACCGCCGAAATTAAGAATGGGTGATCTCGAGTTTGACATGAAGAAGCTGAAGATCGAGGGCGTCGAATCAATACCTAGCGGTCATCGTGATAAGGATAAAAGCGACCGAGCGACCACCGAACAAGTTCTCGACCCCAACACCCGAAGAATCTTGTTCAAGATGATCAACTCTGGAATCGTGTCTGAAGTCAATGGAACAATCTCCACGGGGAAAGAAGCTAATGTTTACCACGGTCTCGCCGCTTCAGAAGACGATTCGAGTCCCGACGTCCATGTCGCCATCAAAGTGTACAAGACCAGTATTCTGGTATTCAAAGACCGTGAGAAATACGTCACTGGAGAATTCCGGTTCAGAAAGGGATTCAACAAGAGCGACAATCGCGCCATGGTGAAACTCTGGGCTGAAAAGGAAATGCGAAACTTAAAACGAATACACAGTGTCGGCATCCCGAGTCCCGAACCACTCTATCTCCGTCGCCATGTTCTGGGCATGACTTTCATCGGCGACTCAAGAGGTAAAGCAGCACCAAGATTGAAAGACGTGGAATTCATGGACGAAAACCCCGTGGCGAGATGGAGATCCGTGTATCTCGATGTCCTTGCTTACATGCGCATCATGCTCCAGCAATGTAAGCTCGTGCATGCGGATTTGAGCGAGTACAATATCTTGTTCCACAAGAACAAACCTTTTATCATCGATGTCAGCCAGAGTGTGGAAGGAGATCATCCACGCAGTCTGGATTTCCTACGCATGGATATCAAGAACGTCAATGACTTTTTCCGACGTCAAGGTGTATTGGTTTTGTCGGACAGAAGCACGTTTAATTTTATCACACGGCAAACGGGAAGTCTGGAGCTTGATGCCTTGAGGGCGGAGATCGATAAAATCATGTCTGAACGGACAGATGACGACGGTGAAGACGAGGTCGAGAACGAAGTGTTTCGCAAACAGTATATTCCACAAACCCTGGATGAAGTCTACGACGCTGAAAACGACGCTGAGAAGATCAGAGCTGGTGGTCGAGAAGCACTGGTCTACAAAGACCTCTTGGCTCCTTTACGGTCTGAAGGTCAGCTTCCAGATCCGTCCACATCACAGACCCTCGACCAAGAGGATAATGATGATAATGATGACGACGACGACAACGAAGAAGGTGGAACGACGTTGAAACCACGAACACCCTCCGACAGTGATCGGTCTAACGACCAAGACTCAAATTCCGAAGGCTACAGCGACTCCGAAACCGAATCTCGACCGCGAGGGAAGCGATTCCAGGATAAGGATGAGAAACGGGAACATAAGAAGAAAGTCAAGGAGGAGAAGAGGGAGAAAAGAGCCACGAAAATGCCCAAGGCGGTCAAGAAGAAACTGGTGTCGCAAAGTAGTCGACATAAGCATTGAAGATGATAAGGCTTTATTGTCTAGCATCGAGATGCAGATGGTTGAGATCGAAATAGGTTCCAATTCTAAGAGAAATTGTGAGTATTCACTGTCTTTCCCTCTTATTCCCTCCTTCGTCCCTACCCACCATTCTCCCCTCTTACGGAAAGGCAACCCTATATCGAATGATGATACCCCAACACTTGATATGATCAACAATGGCCTGTGAGAGATCAGGACGGGGTGTTAGAAATGTATGGCAATCTCAAGTTTTTGAAATAGCCTCTTTTCTCACCTCTCCCCTGGACCTCCCCTCGGGCCATTGAAGCAATGTTTCTGGCGCCCTCCAAATTAATGGCATTTGCTGTTGTTCGGAAGCGTCTCCAAACTCATGCTATGATTTACAAAGAGAGCGCTGATCGATTAGAGTCTTTCCAAATCCTCGACATGATGGATATATTGTATTTTTGTTTATTGTTGATTTCATGGCGGTCGTGAGACAAAATCGCGGGGTATCAAGTTTGAGGAACTTCCACAGAGAAGAACAAAAAGCTAACTATGACAAGCTCCTTAAGGAGATATAGGTTCGATTCGAACAATTTCGAACAATGCTCAAGGACTTGGGACGTTATCGATTGAGTTCATCAATTATCGTCCACTCGCTTTCAACCTCTTCAAAGCCTCCTCGACAGTTTTCCTCGGCAGATCCGGAATACTTTCAGCAGCACCAGCGGCGCCGACCCCCATGTCATTGTCATCGAGTCGGTCGATTGAATAGCGGGCAGGAAGATGGTTGATACCGGCCCAAATATCACTAGGCAAGAATTCGCCTTGTGTTTCACGGAAGTCTCCGCGTAGTTTAGCGTCTTGTTCATACAAGACGTCTAATCTCTCTCGTGCCTCGGCCACAACTCGTTCCATATGTTTCCTCACTGCCCTTCGTCGGGCGACTTCAACGATTAAGCCATCGTAGGCATGTAGAAAATTGGCGTAGTGGTCGCACAGTTGTTCCATTCCATTGATGCCGTCTTCGATTTGAGCGCGTTCCTGGTTCCAGCGACTTGAATGCCGGGCGGTATCGGCGACGTAGCTTTGAAGGCGGGATCCGATCTTATCGAGGAGTTTGAATGCTGTGATGACGTCGCCGTAGGCGGATTCCTGGCGTTCGCGCCACAGCGAGACTCGCTCGAGATGGGATTCCATATCGGCGTTGCGATCTTGGAGTTCTAGGACCACTTCATCGACTTGGGCGGCGTCAGACTCGACTACTTGAAGGAGTTCAAGTCTTTCTTCTTCCGTGATGGGGTTGGTAGAATCTCGCATCTGATCATCGAGCCCTTGGCTCATGGCTCCTCGGAGTGAGTCTTCGTCTGACATGGTCTGTAAGACTGCTTCTCCACCACCTTCGGTGTGCTTGAGGGCTTTGACGCATTGGTCAAAGTGGCGAGCTAAGGAGGTGAGACCTTGGGCCATCTCACGTGCATGGGTTTCGAGAATTTCCAGTGTCCTGGATATGGTTGGGGCTTGAAGCTCGCTTTCGGTACCAGAGGCGTCGATGCGGTTGTGGAGGACTTGGCTGACTGATTGAAGGTCTTCTTCCAAGGTATGAATGGATTGGTTGATATCATGATGGGCGGCTTGAGCGTTGTCAATGGCTATTTTCATGGCATTTTTGATGGTGTCGATACCCTTGTCATCGACAAAGTCGTGAAGGGTCTCTTTGGGTGCATGGGGGAAGAGGCCAGGTCCGGAAGAGGAAGTAGGGTTGAAGGCTTGCTCAATCTGAGTGTCTTTGAGGAGTTGAATGTATTGGTGGAGCCTTGAATCCGTGTCATCAAGCTCTCGAATGACGGCTTCGAAATCATGTTGGATGGCCTGGGCGGCAGCCTCTAATTCAAATTGAACACGGCGGAGGATTTTGACTTGGGCAGCCAATGATTTTCGAAGGTAGCAGGTCTTTGCTAGAAGAGCAGTGGTGGATTCTAGAGAGGTACGTGTTTCAAGGAGAATGGTTGTGGCACGGTGAACAAGATTGAAGCTCCCGAGTGATTTCTTTGCCGAGACCAGATATTCGACCAGGGTTTCGACTGAAGGAGGAGAGTGTGGTAAGTGAGCATGAGTGGACGAGATTGGTGATGGCGAAGATTGATAATCTGGAGATTGCGCCATCTTTGGGGAGGATGATCTAGATGTAAGGTTTGTTGGCCTGTGTTGGGGTACAGGTTGAATCGGTGATGATGGACGAGTAGGTCGTATTAGGCATAACCTTACCAGCACAATAGTTGGGTTCGTGACATCAGCCTTGCGGACTGGATTCAATCTTCGATTACTACCAGGAGACTTTTGAGGCGGTGGTGGTGACTGGGGTGCCTGGTGCAGGCTAGAGTGTCTTGACTCTGGAGAAAAGAAGCCAAGGCTGGCTGGACGGTACGGAGTTAGAGGTTGAAGTGGATCTGACGGAAGTCATCCCATGTGTTCCGTCTGGGGTACAGAAGTCAGGTTTGAAGTCGGTCAAGCACTCAGGAGATGCACTGCCGGAGGGACCGTGGCCCGGGTATACTGTATGTCGTTACGATTTGACGGGCGTGCCGCATTGGGCGAGGATGCAGTCGAAGATGGAGCTCAAGGCAGCAGGAATGGAGTCATACCCCTGCAGGAAAGGGAGATGGCGGAAGTAGATGGATGGAGTGTCGTTATTCGTTAGCAAAATTCAATCAAAGCAATACCTAATAATAAGTCTCCGGCAGCGGATCGAATGTTTGTGTTTGAAGAGGCACGGAGGCAAGAATTCTAGTTAGCAGACGAATGATGGAAAATGCAACAAGAAGCACGCAATCTTCCAAGACGGGCGTTGGTGGAGAAAGTCAAGATTCTAGCCCAGATTCTTTTATTGGGTCGGAAATCGGGGAAAGGCTTTTAGGCGTCTGCGTATCGCCCGACTCGCCCCCGAAAGAGAAATATGGGGGCGAGGTGTTACGCCTGTGAGTGCACTCCTGGGCAAACATAAATTCTGATGAGCAAATGACCAAAAGAAAAGTCACGTGTATGGAAATCTTGTGTAACAAAAAGAAACAAAAAAGCTCTAGTGGACAACGTGATATGAGATAAGATGACTTAGATGGAGACGTGGGATATGGATGGTTGCATGGTCTGATTGATCGACCTTTATCTATGCTTTTGGTGGTGATATCTCTAAGTACTACTTAGATATTGGGCGGGACATGACTTGTGATGCCGTGGAGGCGACCTTCTGATATGAACCTGACACGCCTTCATCAGCTGGTTCCTGCCCCTTTGAAACCAATAATGATCCTGATGATCTCAATCAGAAGCAGGAGCATCAAATCATAAACAGAGCAAGAACGCAAGAGCAAAATCAAGGAAGCTGTCAGGTCAGACTCAGGTCAGGCCGTTCTTTCCTCCCTCGTATGCTCTGCTAGTTATGGAGCGGGCCTGGAGGCAATCGCAAGTGTTCCCCCTCACAAAAGGGCCCGCCTTGGGCTCCACTTCTCACCTAAGAACCCTGCCATTCCTGCCATTGCTGCCAATTCTTGCCAACCGGCTATCCTCAAGACTTCCGTGCCTCCGTGATTCCGTGAGTGCCCGTGCCCCTCTGCAGCCCTCTGCAGCCCTCGTGTAACTCTCCCATCATCGCTCCATTACCTTCATCCACTCTATGACACATCCACCACATCCCATTCCTGGCCGGCCAAGACACTTCTCATTCGACTCCGCTCATTGTCCTCACCGACGGTCCCAAAACTCTGAACCTTGTCTGCGGGTCCTCGCCTCTCCTCGGTAGAAGCCCAACGTGTTTGCCATCTTGCACCATTCTGTGGCCATTCGTGCCATTCGTGCCATTCTTTGTCATTCACTTGAGCATTCTGTCACTCTCCCTCCCCTTCTTCTTCAACCCCTCGTCCCTGTTCCTGCAGCAATATACGCCTCTCAATCGATATCTACCTCGAATTCGCTCCTTCCTCCCGATTGTCCTACATTCGCCTGATCGCTCGCTCGCTCGCCTGATCGAGCATCCCCCACTGAGCATCGACCTTCCCAACATGTAACAGTGGGACTGCAACACAACAGCTCCCATCCTACAGCATCTCATAATGTTTGAAAAACACTCGAGGCAGCCGTCAATCTCAGAGGAACGAGTTGAGTCCGCCAGAAAACGATTGCGCGCAGGAACACTGGATGAAAACTTCTCCAATCCAATTTATTCGGACCAAGAGCAAGATTCCGACAATGATCCCAACTCCTCCAAGGACTTTTCGATTGCCTCAAATTCAAAGCATGCCAGACAAACCGTCGCTCCCTTCCTAGCCAAACATATACCCTCCCAATACGCTCCCCTCGGCAAAATCACCCCTTCCTCCTCCTTCAATCCGAACAATGACGCCAACTCAAAGTTTTGCTATCGACATAGACCCGACAAGCTGTGTCGGAGGCAGGTCGACGAACCCTCCATGGATAAGCTCCAGAAGGACCTTGACGCATTATCTCCTGAAGACCGTCAAGGAATCGTTCAAGTTTGGTCTCTCTTCTCCGCCGCTCCATCCAAATATCGGAAACTTATGCTGCAGGGCGTTCTCGCCCAATGTTGTTTCCCTCAACTCTCTTTCCTCTCAGCCAACGTACGAGACTTGATTCGCATCGATTTTCTGTCTGCCCTTCCCTCCGAAGTCTCGTTTCGAATCCTTTGCTTTTTGGATACAACCTCCCTGTGTAAGGCCGCCCAGGTTTCAAGAAAATGGAGACAACTTGCCGATGACGATGTGGTCTGGCACCGAATGTGCGAGCAGCACATTGATCGCAAGTGCACCGAATGCGGCTGGGGCTTACCAATGCTCGAGAGGAAACTTCTGCGGTCCTCCAAGCGTCAAATCGAGTTGCGCGCCGCAGGCATTGCTGCCGAAGGCTTTCCTCCCCTAGAACAGGTCCCCAGTGACGACAGCCTTCCAGCCTCTGCCACCTCCAATCATGATAGTCATGGCGATTCCTGTACTGACTCCCACCTCTCTCCACGCGCCGCCCGCCGCCCAGGTCTCTCGTCGTTCGATAGTGAGCTGCGTCGCACGCGACCCTGGAAAGACGTCTACAAGGATCGTTTCAAGGTCGGCACAAATTGGAAATATGGTCGATGCAGTACCAAAGTCCTCAAAGGTCATTCCAATGGAGTCATGGCCCTTCAACTTCTCGACAATATCCTGGCGACTGGTTCTTATGATTCGACCATTAAGCTGTGGAACATTGACACCGGCGAAGAACTGCGCACTCTACGAGGTCATACCATGGGCATCCGATGTCTTCAATTCGACGAAAATAAACTCATTAGTGGAAGTCTTGACAAGACTTTGAAAGTCTGGAACTGGAGGACGGGAGAATGCATCTCCACTTACAACGGCCACACCGCAGGGGTCATCGCTCTACACTTCGATAGCGATATCCTCGTCTCGGGCTCTGTCGACAACACCGCCCGAGTGTGGAACTTCAGAGACAAGTCGGTCTTCACCCTCCGAGGACACAGCGACTGGGTCAATTCGGTCAAAATCGACTCGGCCTCTAGGACCATCTTCACCGCCTCGGATGATTGCACCGTCAAGCTCTGGGACCTCGACAGCAAAAAATGTATCCACACCTTTGAAGGCCACGTTGGCCAAGTCCAATCAGTCCTTCCCCTCCCTGCCGAGTTTGAAGTCGATGAGGCCCAGCCAGGCGAGGGAGAGGACCAGCTAGACGATCCAGGCAGTCCTTCAAGCCAGTCTACAAATGAGTCTGTGTATGGTGGCTTCAAAGTCATGACTTATCGAGACCGACAAAAGACTCTTTTCGATGCCGATGTTCACCGCCCACAACCTCCCAGGTATATGCTGACCTCGGCCCTCGACTCGACCCTTCGGTTGTGGGATGTCCATTCTGGTCGATGCATCAAGAAGTTTTTTGGTCATGTCGAAGGAGTATGGGCTGTGGCCGCAGATACGCTGCGCATAGTCTCGGGTGCCGAGGATCGTATGGTCAAGGTTTGGGATCCAAGGACGGGCAAGTGTGAACGAACTTTTACTGGCCATGCTGGGCCAGTCACTTGTATCGATCTCTCCGACAGTCGTATGGTGTCGGGTGGCGAAGATGGCGAGGTCCGTGTCTACAATTTCGTGGATTGATCTTGTCACGAGTACAACACTCTGGTCGTTAGTGTCCTTCTTCCGTCATACACGCCGTGTTGTAGCGGAATGTCACGGGAGACTTGTTTTTTGTCTTTTCTTTTTACGATTTGCTCAGCGCCGGACGCCACATTGGAATATCTCACACCACTGTATTATGAATCTCGGTGGAATGGTGGGATGGTGTTCTGGCGCAGTGACGGCCCTCTGCGGATGAGAAGGTTTCTAGGTTTACCACCATCTTGTTCAGGTTTCTATTGTTCATTACCATCAGCGAAGGTCAGGGATTTAGGTAGCCTGCGTGGTTGCGATGGCGTTCGTCTTCAGGATGCTATCATGAATTGGAAATGGTCGATTTCCTACAAGTTTCGGCGTTGTCAGGATGTAGGAGCTAGATAAAATGTATCATGGGCTTGATGATGAGCATGGAAGGTTTTTTACATGACTGCATCTCAATTAAACAATCGTACTGCTGTAATGTGATCTTGCAACAAGATTTATATCCACACCAAACTCCGCACCCAGCCGCGTGAATCATTCTACTTTGTTTCTCGTATAGCCCCTGGCCATTCATCACCACAAGGGAAGACCGCCCATCTTATGAATCGTCCTCGTACATAGCAAGTTCCGGTGACCCTTCTCTTCTGAGTACTCCGTACCTCGTTCTGAATCCATGAGCGGGAGTGAGTGGGATATTGCATCTCACACATGTCATCGACCGTACTCATCTCGACCTCATTCATCGTCTAAACCCCCGTAATTCTTCGAATCGTCCTCCTCCCACCATCACCAATAATCTGCACCTTGCCTTCCTGTTCCAACGCCCTCACCGCCTCCTGGAACTCAACGCCCTCAATCTCCACCGAACTTCCATCGCCCACATTTCGATACACATCCGCATATCTTACGGGATTTCCACTCCTCACCACTGCATCACCATCAATCGCCGCCAAAACCGCTCTCTTCAAATCCTCTTTCCGTCGTCGATCACTCGCACTGCCACCTTCAGATAACAAGCCCATATCAATGAGACCAGTACGGGCATCGGTTGCTGAAGCTTTAATGGCGGATTTGATCAGTCGGACGGCTTCGTCGACGTCGGATGATTCGACGGTAGGTGACAAGCGCATTTTCGCGTGTGCTTCGGACAGTCGGATCATGGATTCGAGTTGTCGTGTTGTAGCGGTGATGCGTCGGTCGGATGCTTGGATGGAATTGCCGAGTGCGCGCATGGCGACGTACGCGCTGGTCAGGGCTTCGGCGGCCGGGGGTGTGATGGTTGGGTGGATGTTGGTTCGGGCGTAGGAGATGTAGGTGGTGAGGAATTCGATGGGCTGTGGTGCAGGGGAAGGTGTTAGTTGAGCTTGCTTTAATGATATGTTCCACAGTGCTTGAATGATGGAGGGATGGATGGTTAGGGGACGGAAAAGGAGAAACTTACCAAGATTTCATCCTGTGATGCATTCTCTGGTGTATCTTCAAGATACATGCCAACTAAATGTTGGGCCAAGCGTCGATCATTGCTTTCGTCGATGCGATCCAATACAAGATATACCAAATCGAATCTGGAGAGCAAAGTCGGAGGAAGGTCGATGTTCTGAGGAACAGGGAGGTTGGGGTTATATTTGCTGCCGATCGGGTTGGCTGATGCGAGGATACTGGTACGCGCATTGAGTGTCGTGATGATACCTGCCTTTGCGATAGAGACAGTCTGTTGTTCCATCACTTCATGCAGCACCGACCGTGTGGATTCGTTCATCTTGTCGAACTCATCGATACAACATACACCACCATCCGATAGGACAAGTGCACCGGATTCCAAGACCAGTTGCTTGGATTCTGGATCGCGAGTCACGTATGCGGTTAGACCGACGGCCGATGATCCCTTGCCGGATGTGTAGACACCTCGCGGTGCGATTTTGTGCACGTATTGCAACAATTGGGACTTTGCTGTTGACGGGTCACCGCACAGCAAGATGTTGACGTCGCCGCGATATTTGGGGCTGCCGCCCTTTTCAAAGGATTTGTTGGTGCCTCCGAACAATTGGAGAAGGATTCCCTTTTTGACGTCGTCGAGCTCGTGGATGCTGGGCGCGAGACTTCGTGAAAGGAGGTCGTAGATGTCGGCGCGGGCGGCTGTTTCTTTGATCTTGATTTCTTCCTCGGCGGTGATTCGACGGATTTGCTCTGCATCTCCTGCGACTTGTTCGGCGAGTTCCTGCTCGATGGTGGAGGCGTCAATGCCGACTTTCCGCTTGTCGACCTTTTGGACGTGGAGAACATCGATGTAGGTCTTGAAAAGCGATCTGATGGTTCGTTGGCGCGGATTGACGCGCACGGCGTTGCTTCTGAAAATGCCCGTGACTTCAATTCGGTCTCCGGCTTTGCAGACGTCGACCAGTTCGTCGTAACAGCAGAGAGAAACGCTGTGTGGCGTTTGCCCGTCAGGCACGGAGTCGGGGGTCTCTTGCAGTTTGATGACTTGCTTGTCGGCAAAGACGCATCGGTTGTGTACAATTTGCATTCCATCTTTGGATTTACAAGCCTGGCGAGGGCATTCTGTGGGTTCTGCGATCTTTCCACGGTCGATAGTAACGTACAGGGTGTGATCGCAGACGCTGCACTTGAAGAATGCCTCTTTCATGTCTGGGATGACTGGTGTGGTTCGAATGACAAGACCTTTGATGGAGACAAGCTTGTCGATATCGGCAGGATCCAGCTCCCGCATGTTGACGGTCTTGTCCAAACCGAACACAGCAACCTTCCAGTTACGGACTTCTGCCTCCTCGACGAGATCGGGAATATCATCTGGTTGATGGCTGGCGCTAGGTCCCGGAGTAGAGCCTAGATCTGAAGTGGGAAGAGGTGGAACCGAGCTTCCATTTCTGGCGCGTGAGGCGGATGTTGCATGATTTCTTTGCAGTTCTCGCATCTCCTTCTGTGCAAGCTCGACCATTACATCCTTGAGTGTCTGATCCATCAGGGGGATGATCTCTTGTGGGTAGCCTTGCAGTTGATGCCAAAGTTTCAGAGTTGCAGGATATGCCTTGAGATTTCTGGCGTCAAGGTTAAGACCATTGATACCAGCTGCGCGCATATTTTGCAACATATTGTAATACTCTTTCTCGTCTGCAGCAGCCCCGAGGCTCTTGGTCTCCTCTTCGCTGGCGCCGTCTGCCCACATTCTGTATTTGGTGGTGTAGTTGAAGAGAAAGCTCTTGAATGCAGCGATTGAGTCTACAATGGAGATATTTGTTCCCCAGATGACTCGTGTAGAATCGCCTCCCAGCACATCTGCCTCAGAAGTGTCTGGATTGATATTGGTGAAGGTTGCTTCGGAGCCAGGTTCTCCAGCATCTCGAACAGGCATACCATCTTCACCAACAAAGATTCGGCGCCGGTTTGCTGGCGAGGGAGCAAAGGCATCCGAATGAATATCACCTCTTCTCGATGAGATTCGTGGTGGTCTGTCTTGACGAACAAACAGGCCGCTGCTGCTGGTGGGAACATCGGACGCAAGGCGTTGGGAGCTTCGTACAGGGCTCGAACTTGGATCATAACGAACAGGAGACGATTCTCGACGGAGTTAGATCTATCGTGCAAATCGAGTTAGGGGATGGCATACCTTGGACTGGCCGATTGCTTGGGCGGGGCGTGGTCTCGCGATCTCCTGCATGAGACGAGTTTCTTGGTGGTGAACTAATGATCATCCCATCGCTCGGAAGATGAGATGGGCCTGCCCTTCCTGATCGAGCGGGCGAAGATTGGAAGAACAATGGTGATGATGATGCAACTGCGGCAGCATTGGCGGTCTGTCTTGAGCTTTTGGGAGTGGCTTGTGGCGGTTGGGCAGGTGAGGAAGATTGAGAATTACGTGAGGAGTGACCTCGACGGCGTGAAGACGGAGTCGACGACATCTTTGCGTTGTGCGCAAGGATGGCAAATTGATCGTGGTGACTGTTTGCGAAGTGCTGTAGCAACGGAAATCAATGTCGACTTTAAGGGGGGTTTCTTTCGAGCGCGTCGCGTTAACGCGTAAAGTGGTTTCAAGCTTTCTTGGCGCGTCGCGTTCTGTTCAACCTCAACCACCGGCTGATAGATTCTGAGAGAACATCATCTGGCCTGTGATCATTGGCGAATGCCTGGTAAGCTCATATCGCACGCTATGTACTCGGGGACAACAATCTCTCATCAAATCAGAAATGAGGCCTTTTCGTCTTTATTAGATGCCCTCCATACGTGGACTCCAAAAGTGCCTCCCACTAACCATCGAAAGGGGCACGGCACTGATGAAATCTGCATCTGACAAGACTTCTTCAATACGCCTTTCTCCGAATCAGACGCATTGAAGCAGATGTGAGGACCTTTGTGGTTACTGCAGCATTGTAACCTCCAGTTGTGAGAGCGAAAGTCCTCTGCAAGCTCTTCCAGCACCGAACCTGGGATCCAAGACCGGGAAGCATAGCATCAGCGTCGAACCGCAATATGTCGACCCCAATATGTCGGGTACGTGAATCAATCATGCAGGTAAGGAGCAATGCGTCTTACTGAGCCGCTGAAAGGGCTACACATAATCAATTCCTGTGGTGTGACAGCTTTTGTAGTCTTTCAGCCGACAATGATGTGCTTTCTCATGTCGCTGCCGCCATTATTGCTACCTGTAGCAGGAACTATGCTTCCGAATACTCCTACTTTTTTCACGCGGCCAAAACCCCACGACATTGGAAGAACTCAACTCGTTGACTTGTGAGCAGATACACATACTATAGTCGATTGACCTTTGCCCAGATATAGCCGGGCCTTGCCCAGAGCTTCGAGTGCCACCATTCGACTCCGTCAAGCATCCAAAGATTCTCGGCCTACTCATGTGCATCTTGGATATCCCATAAAGATTACGCAATCTCTCATATGCTGTCTTATCCGTCACGTGCGTCACTCCCCTTGTTTCTTGTACTTGCTTTGCGGGAGATGCTGATATCAAATACAGCGCATGCCATGCACGTTGGATGGGCCAGTTCAAACTCTAACTCTGTGAGAACCCGAGCTGTTTCGGCAGCCTTGTACAAGTGAGTTTCATTTCGAGTTCTTGTTCCTAGCTTTGAGGGGCTGATGTTTGTCATAGCATGATGGTTCAGCTCTCACGTGTCATTTATTCTAATTTCTACCGTCAAGATGACGCCCCAGAGTGTAAGTGATCCTTATAATCTGAGCTAGTACATCAATGATAATGGTCTCCGTTAGACCGGCGAGGAAATTGAGAATTGATAGCCGTCTGCTGTATGAACATTGTGGTTTATATCGGAGCCAAAGTGTACTACAATTGGCAAAATAGGACGAGGGCCAGGAAGTGGGATGCAATGAGCGAAGAGGAGCGACTTGAGTACCTGGACACAACAAAACACGCTGGGAACAAGCTCATCAACTTTCGCTTCACGCACTGATTCGGAAGCGATAGAAAGGCGAAATAACAGGAACAGAAGGTGGGGATCCGGAGAAAGTGTCCGGCTCAGTCTCTCTAGACGTCCTTGCCGAATGTCGGAAGGATTTAAATGCTGTCAGAAGTTAAGTATCATGTTTGTATATTATTGAGGATGCCCTGTCCAACTCGGTTGGCAACATTCGTCGTGTCTAGTTGTCGTTGGCCACTCGTCCACGATGCTCGTTCGTTCCTTTGGTAACTGGCTAAATTTCGAATGAAGCCGTCTCGGGTGATTGATCTCGCGAGGCAAGTTGTAAGGAATACATGATCGGTGTCCTCGGACGAGGTGCATGGTAAATCAAGTTTAATTGGTTTGCTAAAAGGTAGAGTGCCCGATAGTTAGATATTGCTCCGATTACTTTCGATCAAGCCAATGCACTTGAGGCCGATGAGCATGTTACCCCCACCGCGACTACCAACTCAATCACGATTTTCTAATGGGAGACATCAGTGTGTGTTGTACAGAAGCTTCACAACTAAGACTGGATCTCGGTCTTGCAGGTTGGAGGTTCTCTATCACGGCTGGCGGTGTGAGTCACTCGATCGATTCTCCATCACCTTCACCTGGCAGTGTCTGGAAGGGCCGGTGTGGCCAGGTGGCTTCACAAACACACTCACAGTACGACCAGTAAAGACTCTCGTGAGATGCAAAGTGGACTCACTCCCACAAATCTGTCTCGAAAACGATGTGCAGAGCCAGCAGCGACTTCGACCGCCTGGAGCAGTGGGGTTGGCAATCTCGAACAGGTCATGCGGTCGAGTATTTTGTAGACTGGGAAAAGGAACGAATGCGATTTGAGGGTCCAAGGGCGGGGCTGAGGCCCGAGGGGCCCAAGGTCTTTTTCTTAAGGGTCTCACTGGGTCTCCAGGGTCTTCAACAACATTGGGGAGTGCGGGTGGCTAAAGATCAAAGTACCTCGGCCGCGAAATTTGTACGTAGAGGTACAGGCGGTCAAGGAAGACTACGACCTAGGCTGCATGAGCAGGAACGAGTGGCCAATCACGTGGGCCTGGATGTAACTAAAAAGAATCAACCAGGCCTGTGGATCGACAGGCACCAAATCGGCTCCAGACCACGGGCCGCAAACAATCATCATCCGGGGGCTTCGATTGGCTTTTCCAGGCTGTCAGAGACGCCCATTTCGGCTCCCGCGCCGAAGATAATGCGGGTAGGAGAATTTCTGGTCACGCGTATCTCAAAGGCCCTTCAGCCGGGACCACGGTGCACTCGCCATAGACAGTTAGCCACCATTCACTGGGTGAGATTGACGAACTACGGAGACATTCGGTAGGCGGGAATTTCAATTCATTAATTAGCCATCTTACCATCCCGCACGAATTCCCCATCTCGAACGGACCGACGGTGGGACCCATCTTCGGAGCGAGTGTTGTTTGGTATTTAGGTAGACAAACTGCCCACACCTGCCCCAGTTTCACACGTTGGTTGTGCAGAACACGTATTTCTGGCACTGCTTGCTGCTTGCGCCACGCAAAGACAGACTACTACAGTAGGTCGGAGAAACTACTGTACTGTAGTAGTTGCTCAGGCTTGAGAGGATCCAATCTTGGGATTCAAAGGTGTGTGACAACGCTATGATTCTTACCTCAATTGGGTGAAATGGCGAGTGGCCACATCCCATGACCAACCCCAGAAAGGATTCGCATGTCCACTGTCACCACCACAAAACCGAGAACAACGAATCGACTCTGTCCACGCGACATGGAAACAAAGAGGATGGTGGGTGGTTGGAACATAAACACTATCCTCCATTTCACACGACGCCTTACTGGTCTCCTACCGAATTCATTGACACCACTTTATTTGACATACCCTGTTGGTGGTGGTCCAGGAGGAATGCAAGCCAGAAATGTTGTGACACCCAAGACACGTCGGCAATATTTAACACATAAACCATTATATTTGTTGTCTGGTCAGCCACTTTACTGGAATCCTAACCCAAATCAACTCTACCATATTTGCGACCCAATAGCTATGGATTATCTATGGTGGAAATGCCAGCAGCTGTCATGACAGCTGTCCTTGTTATCCGAAGTGGGCGAATTCCTCAGCCTGGATCTGATCAGCATTCATTTGAACCCTGAGCCTTGAGCATCTATGGCACCACATGGCTCACTCCTCTTGTGGCTTGCCCTCGAATCCATTCCATCCATCCTTTCTTGGACCATGACAGAAGGAACTGTCTCGAAAGGGGTAACTCACGACCAAACGACCAACGGGTAACGGGTAGAAAGGAAAGATCCGCGAGTGTGGCACCTTTCTACTGGCTAACCGGTGGAATGATCGGCCCCTCTCAAGCGATGCATCCCTGACATCCAGACGCCGTGACGCCTGACGCCTCAGCCTTTGGGCTTCCAGGGGCACTTTTCGGCCTCTAGCCTTACTGCCTTGGGGCCTGTCCGGATGGTACCTGGCTTCCCCCGGCCACTCACACCTCGCCTAAGCCTAAGCCTGACCCCCCCCCCCCAACCCTGGCAAAGAAAGACCCTTGGACAATCCCTGACCCTCTTTTTGCTCTTCCGACATTCTTCCCTTTCCCACGCGGTTCTCGTTAGGGGGTTCCTGGTTTCCTGGGTTTGCTCTCACACACACTCACACACCCTGACACCCTCGACCCTCTCGATAGTACGAGTTCCTACGAGTATAACACGGCATGCCTTTCACTACCCTGGATCTGCTCGACTTGTTCTTCTCTTCTCCTTTCTTTTCTATCCTGTTACTGGTGATGCTGCTATGGCAGTCATTCCTATACATATATACATTGCATACCTCTCACGACTCCGGTTCGGATTTGTATGCATGCTATATGTCGCTATCGACTGACTTTACCCAATAATGCACCAAACCATCCCCATTGCCAGGGTCCTGCGGTGCTCCTGACCTCGACGTCACAAGGTTACTCAATTCAAAGGTCATGCCTGCATCTTTTCAGGATCAAAGTATGGGAGCAGATCATTGCGATATAAGTCGCATCCATCTGCATCCAAAACAATTGATCAAGTCGAGGCTGCCACTTGCGCTGCCGCTACGGCTACGGACCGTCGCGAGATCTGGCCCCGCCAAGCACCCCCTCGTCTCCAACCATGGCCTCCCAACCACTTGAGCCTTGTGATTCTCGCAACACCACCTCGTCGGCACCCAACAGCCTTGTCTCTCCAGCTGATTGACATAGTTCAAGACATGCAGACGCATCAAGTATGAGTGCATCGGAATACAACCTCGTTGCCCATCCTACACCACGTTGCTGCATTGCAATGACATCACCTTGCCTTGTGCATCGCAAACCTATGGTACTCTGAGGTCGACATGCAGGCTTTTTCCAGACGCATTGCGACTTGGGTGGTTCAGCTTCAGCTTCAGCTTGAGCTTATAAAAACAACACCGTCTGCCTCTCAGCTTCCAGCTCCAACTTCCCTCCAGCTCTCTTCCCTCTCGTTTGCGAAGCCTGGCATCACCCATTTCCCCCCAAAGGCTCGATGCTTTGCCAATATTCAAAGAGCCATATTCCACTCCACACATTCCACACATTCCACACATCCCACACATATTATACCCCGACACACATACACATATACAATATGTGTTACCACGACCCACCGACAACCTCGACCATCGACCACCGTCTTGCTCATCAAGACCCACGCTTCTCTTCACTCTCTCGCTTGGACTTCGTCCCAACTAGACGCCGACCACACCCTACCACCAACCTCCTACATTTCACGAACAAAGAATGTATCTCACGACACATGAAGAACACAAAGATCGAAAAGGTTGGAATGAAATGTTCTCTCATTGCTAATTCTAGGTCTCGTATCGCACCCCCCACAAACTTCCATCCAACCCTGATTGATACCCAGAAGTCCAGCAACTCCTGATGATCGCAACCATATACCCAACCCAAGGAGCATTGGCATCCGCTCATCGACACATAAAAGGTCAAATCATGAGCGTTCGGCTGGTCATTCATTCGAAGCCCAAAGACGTTGAGTCGATCGATGATCCTCGGCCGATTCAGTCATAATTGCCCCCCTCGTTGATCATGGTGCTCTCAAAAACAACAACCCAAATCCCAGGAGAACTTTTTCACAAACACTCCTCCAATATCCACGTCCACGATGGATCATCCATTCACGTTTCAGTCCATCGTCAACCAATCCGCGGAGTCGAGAGTGACATATCCCCACCGTGAATCTCACGCAAAAATCGGAGAGCTATGTCTATTAACAATAATATTCCGGCCCCTCCCCCAAATTCGCCGCTTGGGGAAGACCAGAGCCCCCCATCCCAAAACTGTGGTGAAAACTGGAAACCCAATGTGGGTGCGCTAAAACAACAGCAGACGAAACAAGCCAAAGCCGCCTGCATAAGCAAATGCCGTCGATAAAACTCTCGCAACACATTGATAATGTGCTTGCTTTTGGAAGTGTAATGGACTGGCACCGATGACGAATGGTGAATGGTGGACCAAAGCCGAACCATCATAGGTGCGCGCAATATGTGCATGAGGCCTGAAAAGGCCAAAAAGACCAGGTGAGAGAATGGCTTCTCACCAGAGGATTTTCATCCTCGAATTGCAGTCGGTGTCAGCGTCTCGGACATCACTGAAGGTGAGTGATAAGGATATCCGAAAGTTACTGGCGAAGGAGATTTCGCGGTAAAATAAGAGCCTGCTGGAGGAAGTGGAGATGAGGCCCGAGCTGCGTGATGGCCAAACGCAGGCGACATACTTCGTGGTGGTGTTGGTGTCGACGACCCCGACGAATTCGTGGAATGGGCGCTTCCGCCTGTACTCAAATCCGAAGCAGATGTGTCGTCCCCAGCACCATCATACATGGTCAATGCAGATTTTGTCAGGGGTGCATTCTGCCGCGAAGTCCCAAACTGCGACAACAATTAGCACTTCAAAGTCGTCAACTCCTCGCTCTTTCCTCGGGCACCTACAAAGCAGTACTTGTCCACTAGTTCCTGATATGATTCGGAGGTGAGTGGTGGTTTTTCTGACATCAAAGCAGCAGGCTTCGAACCCAGTGGTGTCAGACCAGGAGTTGAGAATGAAACTCCGCCTGTGGCACCACTGGCGCCAACATTAAAGTTATGAGATGTGCTGGTGTTGCTCTTGGTGGGAGTGGTCGCAGGAACTTCGCGGGAAGACTGCTTTGCATCCTTCCTCAAAGACAAGCCGCTATCATCGCCCAACACAGCCATCGCATTGCTTTTGGCCGCCGAGAGCGACGAGTTAAAGTCATACCGGTTGCCGAAGGCCTGCGAGCCAGACTTCAGACGACGGTGTGGGGCATCGGGCAGTAGCTCTGCCTTTGAGCGAGGACTCCTCAGCTTCAGCTTAGGCTCGCCCATAAGGGAACCCGCTGATTGGCCGAAGCTGCCAAAGCTATCAAAGCCAGTCGAGAAGTCGTCGAACGAGGTTGGCATGGTTTTTGGTCTGCCACCAGTCGAGGTAGGTGGAGATGGGCGACTGCGAGGTAGGGCACTGAGTGGCCGAGCCCCGAGTCCAGGCATGCCGTTCTTCCCATGTTGAGGCTTTGCCTTCTTGCTAAAATCCACTTGGTAGTTAAAAGACCCATTGTTATCCCAGAACTCTTGAGCATTGGTGTTGTATCTAACGCAGAAGAAGAGTGTTTTGTTCTCGAGGTTGGCTTGATCGGCCAACCTTATACTGAAGTTGAATCGGTCAAGACCATCGTGTTGGTTCTTTCGTCGGATATCTTGATTGTAATCCGCCGACACTTCTGATGTGGTTTTCCAATAGTCAAGTGTGAACCGAGCGACAACTTGCTTCTGGAAAGAGATGTTTTGGACAGCGACCGTGCCGATCAAGTTCTTGCCATCAGAAGAGAGGAAGACCCTTTCGACAAAGACGGGTTGTGTCTTTCTTGATTCAGACTCTGGCGGGAAGTTTGCAAGACGCAATTCCCATTCGTACTGAACCGCACGAGGGCGAGCAGTTGATTCATCAGATCCGAAAGGGAATTCACTCTCGCTTTCGTAGTTCTCTACAGGAGAAGAGCCGGCACTGACTGCGAGTGGTCTGTCGACCTGCAGAAAGTGTCTGACGTGCTCAAGGTGTGAATCAAAATGGACGGCTTTGGAGTACGTGGGGGTGCCAGGCATGCTGGAGGGTCGACGGTGAGCAGAAGGTCGAAGTGCAGGACGAACCAGTTCGCCAGACTTCTTTCTGACCATTGGAGGACGACGTGTAAGAGCGCCGTCCTCATCGCTGGAATCACTGTCAGCTTGGAAGCGGACAGGGGGTGTGTGTATTTTTGGTGGCTCGAAAACAATGCTGGAATCTGTGTTGGATCTGGAATGCGAAATCTTGCGAGCCTCGTAAGACAACGGCGGCCGCACGATCTCTGGTTTCGGTTGCTGGGAAGTCCCATTGGCTTGCAGATCAATGTCTGTATTCTTCAGGTCATTGTGTCGATTGGGCGAGCCTTCTTTTCTTTGTTCTATGGACCTGATGGCTGCTTGCAACTCTTTCAGGTCTGCTCCAAGTTCAAAATCACGGGATCGTCCTCTGTCTGGGGCGTCTTCGTCGTCGCTGGAGTTGTGGGAGGAGTCGGGAGGGGAGATGGTCATTCCTGCAGGAATCAACGAATTGGTCACAGGCGGAGGCGACTTGCGGAGGCTACCGTGAGGATCAAAGCTTCCGTTCTCATCATATGCCTCGCCATTGTGGAGCACTTCGTTCCTGACGTCGTTTAATGATGGACTTCGTCGGTGCTTTGTGAGATATGAGGATGAGCCATTGGATCGAGGTGGGTTCGGCCGACCGGCCGAGCTCGGCAGCTCCGGAGACAAGAACTGTCCCTTGATATATGAGTGAGACCTGCTCACTGTAGGACTGGACTGTTTCGAAGCTGCAGGAGATAACTGGGCGGGGGGTGTGTAAGGCATTCGATCGGTTTTCAGGTGGATGGACCCAAACCCGGGAGCTGCGAAAGATAGCGCGCGTCGAGGCTCATCAAGAGCAGCCCGAGGAGGGCTGAAGAAGAATGCGGAGAGAGGATGCTCTGATATAGACAGACGAGGTCAGTTGTGAGGTCCCAACATGATGCAGGCTAAGGATAGGTAGGTGGTAGGGGCGTTGTAGGCGGAGAAACCAATGTCCAAACGTGTGTTGAGGAATCGGTAGACCGTGTCAGAGCGCAGCCACAGGTAATGGTCTGATGACGGATGTAGGTTTGAGAAATTGGGTGTAGGTCTTTGCGTTGGTAAAAGTTACGTGATAAGGAACTTACAAGGATTTGAGGGTTAGGAATTATGAGATGCAAATGCAGAACCCAAGCACAGAAAACCGGAAGACCTGGTCGTTGCGTCGTGGGTTAGGGCGTGAAGCGTCGTGATCAGTGCTTCTGTCACGCCTGGGGGAAGGTGCAGGCAGTGTTTGTAAGGTGCAAGTGCTACTCCAGCGACGAGAGGAGATTCAAGCCACGGGACCAGGGGTCAACCGTACGGCGAGAGAACTCGGACTGGTGCAATGATGATGTTTGACAGGACTGGAGTCGTCTGTAGAATGCTAGAAAGAGGGATGAAATCAACAATGGTAGATTTTTCTTCCTCTTTCTTTGTTGGAAGGGGCCTTGGTGTTCCCTGGCAAACGGAGCGGCGATGTCTCGTTCGGTGCCCGTCCCAGATGAAAAATTCGTAAGGCCCAAGAATATCGATGTCAAAGCCTATCCTCCTATTCTGTTGATATCAAATCGATACAGGCTGGCGGTGGCCTAGAGGATGAGGAGAGGATGAAGGGATAGAAGGGTGGATGGGTGTCGAAGAAGGGATGGGTTTTGGTGGATGGTGGATTAGTGGACAGGGAAAATCAGGCGAGGGAACCAAAGGCGTTGAGTCTGGAGTGACCAAAAGCAGGAAGCTCGGATCTGCGGTGGGAGAAGAGTGGGCGAGAGACAGGCTGCGAAGATCAAGTGGGCAAGGGAGTGCGAATGAGTGGATTCTGGAGGGCGCGGCTCGAGCACAGAGGCGAAGAGAGAGTTGACCAGGGTGTGCAACTCTGAAATGCAGAAAAGTGGGCAGCAGGTGGCGCAAGGATCCAGCGTCAAGAACAGACTCCAGGCCTTGGAGACCAGTGCTGCGGCTAAGGAAATGGGAGACGACACTAAGTGCGGGCGGGCATGGGTATGCAGGTCTTGCACTGGCCTCGCCAACCTTTTACCTGGAGGGCCGTGGATCAGGACGAGAGGCCAAGCTGGTGGATAGACGTGTCGCACTGCAGGAGACGAGACAAGGAGGATTCTCAATAATATGATGGAAAAGGCCGCACGGCCAGAAGCAGTGGCATGGAAGCACTTCACAACGGTGCATGTCAGAAGGATCAGCAAGTGAAACGAATATGAGAGATGGCGAATGTTGGGGCTTATGTCTACAAACTCCTCATCATGTAAACGTACATGAAATCCACTGCTCGCAGGCAGGTGAACCGTTGACATGAGGTGGGTGGCGGGAGCGTTCGGAGAAATTCAGTATAAGGCCTGGGTGAATGGCAAACGGGTGGAGGAACGCAGTGGAAATAACCGCATCAAGATGTCGACAGCTGGATGCCCCAGTTGCGTGATCCCATGCAAGAGTGCCCGTGGCCATCAGTGTGAAGATGATAGGAATTTACTGTTCCCAGTCCAATAAACTGAGGTGGTGGGAGTGCGAATATTGAGCGCTAGCTAGGTAGTCATCGATGGTAGCGTGGACGGAAATGGGTTGGCGTCCGGTTACGGTTGCGGGCCAGCAAATGGCAAGAATCGACGAGGGAATTGACCGTGGATCTCATGATAGTGAGATACTGGGCTGGGGGGACGCAACTGTGATGCTGAGAGCATTCTGCAAACAGAGCGCTGCCTGCTTATGCCGCAAAAGACTGTGCACGGGCGGCAGATCCAACGACAACCGGCGTCCGAGAGGAGCCTGCCGCGTCCGCGAAGCCTGCTATTCTGGGTACAAGCTTCGTTGCCCCGCCAGAACCAAGCCAGCCAAAAGAAAAACTGGCAGAAAACTCTCCTGGATCGTATTATTCACCCAGGCGTTGAGCTCGTAACGCTTATCAGGTCCCCATGCTCCTGTAGTATCCTCCCATCCCAAACTAGGTCCTTATCTGAGTAATAAAATGTGCTTCAACCATTGTGGTAATAACACCCACGCATGGATCTTGCTGCATTTCTGGCTACTTCCCTCAAAATTTGGTATGCTTTCAGCTACAGGTTTATTATCTACACACCCGGACCTCGCATTATTTGTTGGCCCAGACTTCTTCCCCGTCTTGACAGTCGGCCAGACAAGCAGTTCTTGCAATGGGCGCTACAGTGTCGTCATTATGTGCCCATAATGTTGTCGGCAAGTTCCAAGTTCTTGCTTGATGCCCCATGCAATACGATTCCAAGATCTTGGATGTGAGGTGAACGTGATTTGGTCCAAGTGGCACTGCAGCCAGAAACGCAGCAGAGCCCTGTCTCGCCCTACTAGTCATTGCACACCGGCACTCGGCATTATATTACTTGCCTAAAGTAAGAATCCAGAGTCCGGATTCAGGTCCCGGTGTTATGGAAGACTGCGGAAGTTTGTGTTCTTCGTTAGAGATATACGTGTAACTTATTGCGGCTCCCCTTTTCGAAAACATAATGAATGATCATGAGGACCTTTGCGTGCGGACGAACTACCTAGCTCTGCTGACTATCTGCTTGAAATTTATGTCGCAGGTCTTCATTCTTCTGAGGCTTCCATCTCCGCGGCTCGACCAGTAGACGACCTGCCTTGTTTGCGATCAGGCACTGCTAATGAAGAGAGACTTCGGACGGCATAGATGCCCTTGCCGACAGGCGGGTGCCTGGCAATCATTCGCATGGCTCGACCAGGTTTGGAGATCATGCATGGTCTTGAATCCATCCAAGACTGGGCCGAAGGGCTACTGCCCTGCTGCCGGGCCTAGCCAACGGGTGTGGTCGCTGCCGTTCTCAAGAGTCCCTCTCCCCCTCCTGCCCGCTCAACTTAAAGACAGGGACGCATTGGGTGCCTAGAAAAATAGGTGCTATGGTTGAAACGCATAGTTGGTTCACCTGCAAGATCGACGGTTTAATGCCTAAACCTAGCTTAGAGCCTCGCAATTCTCCGGCGTCTCCAGCCCTCGCAGGCCATGAATTTTGGTACGACGCCGTGTGTTTTGGCGCGTACTTGACATTGCCCCATCTGGAGAACATCGAATTATAGCCCAAAGTCCAAGCTGGCCTGGTGCAATGCAATTCACGTCTCCAACAGCGTATCAGGTCCAATGTGCACAACTTCCCAATGAGGCATGGGAGACCTCAGAGTGGACAGATAGGTACATGAGCAATTCGCACTGTCGACCCACCGTTTTAAGCTGAGAAAGTATTACTGTAGTACTTAGGAGGCTGACCAGTTGAGCCGAGAAATGAACGAATGCAAACAAGTGCTCATCACGAACCAACTGTCGTGCTGGTGTTCGTACCTCGGACCTAAAACTTTCGGGTGCACTTCTTCACTGCATCATCAATTCCAGGATATGGAATAGCGTGGTTTTGTAGTGGTCGACCGTCACGAGACCGATGTTGACATGCGGACTACTGTAGACGTTGGCGTCGAAACCTGGAGCTGCGTTCTTAAAAGCCATTAACACTTGTGCCGTGAGTGCTAGGGCCAGAATGTCAGAAAGGAGGTTTTGGATGGGAACCCGATCGAGATTGGACATGCCAAATGCTTCGACACTTCTACCCCGCGAAATTATGGCAAATGAAAACCTTGACTGGGCGAGTTATTGGTGGCATGGGCCTCAACTTCCAAGTAACCAAGGAAAGCCACATCCAAGTTTTGTAAGATCACTGGGCCGTGTGAAGGCGGTGACCAGGAACGGACATTCCATTTGCTGACGTCCATGTCAGAGGTGCTGACTCCAAGGCGGTGAGAGCTGAGGGGCGATCTAAGACTAGTGCATCCCCCAATCAAGCGAGGTCTCCGTGGGCGGGGGGAGTCTCTTAGTAAGTAGTGGGCCGAGAAGGCCTGGCTCCCACGCTGCTGGAGGCTTCATTGTGGCTAAGGGCGGCAGGCCGGCCTGTAGACTACAAAAGCACCGGCGCCTAGGGTGGTACGCATAATAAGCCTGCCGGATCACCCAAATGAGATTGGCCGTCGCTTATTTACCTCATGAGCATCCACAAGTCGCGATGAAATCCCATCGGATCTCACCGGAACTTCCGTTCATCTGGAATGATTAAAATCCAAACAGACCACCTCGTGCTATCTTTTACAGGAAACTGATCAACCAACGGTTCTTGGAGTACCTATGAAGCTGATGATCTGTCAAACCCTTCGGTCTTCTGCTCCGGCCTCCAGAGAAGCCCCGCTTCTACATATTCTGACGGCTTTGGTTATTATGACATAATGACGTATCCTACGTGCGAATTATTAGCCAACTTGTTCGATAATGTAGTGGATCTAGGAAAGGAGGTGGGAGGTGGAGGTTAGCGCGTCGCACACGCCAAGGGCATGGAGGGGCTTCTTCGGTGGAGCAGACACGCCTGGCGGCTCATGATGGTAGTCGCGTAACAGGTTGCATCGTTGCCAAAAGTCATCCATCATACCAAATCAGGAGACAGTCAAGAGCAATCAGGGGCAAGAAAAAGGTGCCACATTTTCTCGTTCCCTAATATTTGGTATTTTCCTTTTGTGGGATGCGTTGGGTTAGGGGAACACGGGTGGGAAAAGCCAGCAACGACTAATGGTTTATCTGAAAGGCACTCCACATAGAAAAAGGCGGTAAGGACGATGAAGAAACCAATCAGTGCCCCTCGTAGAGCATCAACCTTTGAACTTGAAATGTGGAGCCCAACCTTATTTTAAGAGTGCTTGGTGCCATGAGCGTGCCACAAAAGCCATTTCAAAAATCATGAGCGACGCAATGAATGATAATGGAGGTGCGGCTATCCTCTGAATTATGAAATTCTCATACCACTGATATCGATTGAAACAGCTTGAACCAGATAGTCAGGGTTGGCTGATCGTCCCAAGACAAGGCTTTGACCGGCATCGGACTGTTTGAGATAAAGAATGTCGAGTGGTGTGATTTCGTCCCAATTCGGTAGCGCAACCCGAATGCCATAAGTCTTGGCGACCCGTCTCAGACCACCGTCACTCACTCTCAAACAACAAGCCTTCTGTACACTTTTGTTCGTCATTAATGAGGAAGGCAAATTAACAATGGATGACATGTGGCCAGAGCCTCTTAGAGCGACTTGTTACAATGCAATGATATTGGTCCATGATTGAATGATGGTCCACGAGGCTATGATGGCTGCCCTAGGGATCCTCACCCTTTCCGGTCCATGTTTCACGATAGGACGATTCAGACCATTTGCGACGTCTGGCAGTTGATCTTTGAATCGATAAGGGAGTAAGTTGTCTTTCAAGTAACAGATATTGTCCGAGGTATTTCATTGGGTGGTGCAACCATACCTATATCGCGTCGAGGTCGTCAGCCCCTCGGTTCTCAATGTGAGGCCAAAGTCGACAGAGGCGCTTGCTAAAGTCTGTGGCAGGGAGAGAAATGTGGAGAGTGCGGAGCTTTCAGGAGAGCCTGCCATGTCTTGCAGACGGGGCGTCACTTTTCTCATGACATACTACAGACTTTACGAACGATCACGCATATCATAATCGATGGCTAGTTGGCGAGGCACTCTGTAGTCATGTAGAGTGGACTTGTCTGCCTTTCGACTTGCAGCTGTGAGCAGGCGTCTATCACGAAAGACTAACCCCCTTACATCACAATCATCGTCGTGTGTCAGGGCGCCTAGGGCATGCCTGAGAACAGGAGGTCAACTCTGAGTATCGGGTATTACACATCTGCCTCACAATGGCGCAACGAAGTACTGTCTAGAGCACCCGGGTGCGTGGGATAACGCCAAAATGCGCCACTCTTGTGCGTCATTGCCTCTTTGTTGCGCAGTCAGTGTCGCCGGTGGGAGATCCTCCATGCTGCTCAATTGCCAGTCATGTCCAGACTCAGATTGCAACGGCAAACTTCTTTGCCTCTCGACTTTGATGCATGCACCTTGATATCACGAATAGGTACTTTAGGGCCATGGATGGTCACTCAGGGTCTACGATCGGCAAGATGATGGGCAGGGCCAGCGCACAGCGCAAAGGTTATCGAGCGACCCTGCTGCGGGAGGTGGTCTTGGTGCCGGCGGTGTCCTAAGTGCCAGTGCCGCTCTCCCGTTCAACCATGCATTGGGCAGAACCCTACCATGAAACCCTGCGCTCAACCGCGCGGTCATCCTGGACAAGGTCCTCGATTGCTCGCCAGGGCTTACGAGTCCACCCTACAGGGGGCACGGCAGGTCTAGACAGTATGATTCTGCACCTAGCTAGAGGAGGAGTGGATTCAGTCGTTATCAACATTATTAACTGCTTCCTGGGTAGTCATGCACTGGCGAAATAATAACTCGCGTAATCTGCTACCGTCGCCTCTTGGTTCTCATTGCATTGTGACAGCATCCCGGATTCTCGCGAAGGCAACAAAGCCACTCCGACATGCCATGACAAACAGGCAGAACATGAGCATGGTGGCATTGCAGTATCAACATGTGAAAGTGGGGGTTGAGGGTGTATTATCACGTGACTCTCGGAGATTATCGCATGTCGTTGCATTGTTGGCAACTGTGGTTGACGCCTGGCAGAGTTTTCTCCTTGGTGCTTCCTTCCATGTCGCTGTGGCGTCTCAACACCAGCAAAACTGCAAATCGTAGCCCTTGGGTTTCTATCATCGTTGCTTCAGGCATGACTGCAGCAACCATAGCAGTATTACTGCTGACATATCCGCATAAGAATTCCAGGTCAGATCCCAGTATCTTGCCATTCGTAACGTCTATCACACTTGGTGAGCAATATAAGCCCGTTGATCACACTGTTGTCCTCCCACGAATCCTCTTCTCAGGGTTTGCGTCCGACGAGGTGGCAAAAACAACGATAATATCTGAGCAGCCACCGTATCCCAACATTCTTCTCACATCAACAAAACCGTAGCGAGCCTCTATCACATTCTCTCCACATTGTCCATCTCCGAACCCCAGGCTTCAATCTCCATAACCCACTCTCTGGCAACCGCCTGGTTGCATCTGTGTCACTTGAACCCCCATATCAATGCCTGCATGTTGGCCCAATCTCCACTGGTGGCTAGACCGCCTTCGCTGTCATGTCTTTCCCCTTCCTGGGTCCTTCTCGTCCCCGTCCCCGGACTCATCTCAGCGGCCAAGGAGGGTGATGCAAATGCATGCTGTGCTCCGCAAAATGAACGGTTTTCATATGCACATTGGTTCCATATCTCAAGTTTTTAAAGGCCGATATGGGCGCCTGGCCGCCTAAGCGATCTCACTACTTACCTGTACGTACATGCACTCGCTTACTTGCAAACCCAACCAGGGACCACCTCGATGCATTTGCATGCCCCCTACAGTCCAGTATACATTGCCACTCCTGGTTTGCATTTGCATCCCGCTGCCAGCGCCGTCCCGATTAAGTGTCCATTAGGCGCTGTTAACGCATCGACGGTCCCATATCGCATGGCATCCCCATCATGCCCAAGCCACTATGGCCGCCTATAAACCATCCACTTGTGCCACTCGTGGAGGCTTATGCAAGCCACCCTGTGCATCCATCAATATTACACTCCAATTTTTCCACCCATCATTGGCCCTGAAGTCTCGTTGCCACCACCATCTTTACTTGGCCCCTGCGGCCCCTTGGGCAACTCGTTGAAACAGTTGCACATGCTTTGTGTCAGTGTCACGGTGAAATGTGTCTCTTCAAGCCACCATGTTTTTTCATCCTTTAACAGAAGAAAACTGTTGGGATTCATAACCCCAAACCCTTGCTGATCTCTACAGACAATGGCGGGGTGCAGCCTTCCCTCCTTGACCCGCATTAACAGTCTCTGACCGCCTCAAGGTAAACAGAGACCATGGTGCCATGTCATGCATAGCATAGGTAATTTCGCTGCTTGCTTGTGACATGTGAAATCGTTCTCAGTCTTGGATTCGTTGCTCGCCATGTCGCTGTCAACAATGATCCACCCCCTGGGGACAAGTTATCCTGAAATTGCAACGGAGCGACGAGCGGCAACCTCCAGGTCCCGTATCCACGATTCACTTCTCCAGACTCTCAAACCTGCAGCAACCCCGACATCCCCTCTCCTCGACCTCGTCCATGTCCTGGATGGAACCTTGGCTTTGGGTATCCAGTTTGTACGAAGACATCCAGCGGCGCAATCATGGACCCCGCCAGATCATCAACGACCAACTGATGACACAAGCAGAGTTTGTTTCTGCCTGTCACTTGTTCCTCGATCGGCGTGCTCCGCAGGTTCATTCAATGCCTCCCCCACCATGCCCAGCCAGTCCCCTCCCTGAGGGACACCAGGGAAAGTCTTACACCATAGGCGAAATGATAGTCAAAGCGCTTTGACGATCATCTCCTCGGACTAACACGTCTTGCCATCCCTACCCAAGGTACAGCATATTGTTGATCAGTGGCGCGTTGATAGTTGATCAGTCTTGGATTGCCATGTCTTCACAGGTCAACTGCCAATGCCGCCACAACCTCTAACTCAACGTCAATATCCTTTTTCAAGGGACGGCGTCGTCACGCGCTGCACTGCACACGAGGACTCTCGAGCTCCTTTGAGCCTTGTGTTGCCAGAGCGTCTGATCGATTACTCAACAGCGTCAACATTTTCAACATGGTCGAAGACATCTGAGTTCTATCTTTTTACCTTTTGCAGCAGCTTATCAAACAGACTTAGCGGAGGATAGATGGTTGTTGATGCACCTAATACTCCTGCATCTCCCCAGAAAGGTAAGAAAAGAATGCACGTCACCTTACCGCAGATACGATCAATCCCATTACTCATGTTCTGCGCCGGCGGCCATCACGTCCAAATACCATGTTCGAGGCATACCCCAGACACCTCCCCCAGGACCAGCCTAGTTGGACTGGCGAGACTCCCCTACAAGGAGAATTGCATCCCCTGCGCGAGGAGTTTGGTGCAACCTTGGTCTTGGAAACCACTGGCTCAGCTGAATAAGGCAACAGCTCTCGCAGCAGGCCAAGTGTCGTTGCCCTGCCAGGATGGATCCGTTTGCAACCGCCGTCGTCATGCTCCCGGCTCCCGGCACGATCCTGCCATCTGTGACATCCGCCTTGTGATACCCAAGAAGTCTACGGGGATATTTGCTCCATCAAAGATGTCCAATTCGAGGATGATGGCGACAAATGGCCCAGACCTATTCCCCTCGTTGTGACCATCCCCCAGTGATCGTTTATGGGTAAGACCTTCGCTTCGCATTCGTCTCAAACACCTGTTGCATCAACAGAAGATAAGGTTTGGAAGGACACGAGGACATGTTACTTCTGAAGCAACTGTTACTGTGATCAGACACCATGGTTATTGATCTTCAGCTTTCTGTTATGGACGCAGGAGGCTCCCATGCCCATCACTTGCCGATCGCATCCAGACTCGTTTCTGCATTTGGAACTCCAGCATGTCAATGATCATCTCCCTGTTGGGAATCAGGCGCCCTCTCTGCTCAACTTATTGCAACCAAGAGGCCACCGACATTGTGCTCGTTGTGGCCCAAGTGCCCTCTGTGTCATGCAAGGTTGAAAATCCTCCTGAGGGTCGGTGCCAGAATCTCAACTCTCCCCTCTGGTCGATCATTAGATTCTCCAAACTCCAAGTCCACACACGTCACGTCTCGAGAATAGAGTTTAGAAAGTGAATGCAGTGACGCTTTCAATGTCTATTGTTACTATCCAATGCCTCGAATGTGACTAGTTCACGTCCAGCCGTATACCAAACGCTGGTAAAATGGTGACTCGAGTATGTATTCAATGCCTGCTGAACCGGCAAAATCTCTGTAAATCTCCATTCTATGACCGCTACTATCGTTACACCTACTTCCAAGTCTATTCCTGTATCTCATGCATCCTCAATTTGGTGGACCATAGACGTGATCCTTTCTCACCCAAATCTTGAAAGTCTCTCTGACTCTCTGCGGGGTTTGCAACTCTCCCCCATCGCCATCATTTTCTGGCACTTGTCCTGAATAAAACGAATCTTCCTTTGCAAAGAGACCAAAATCAGCCTTCATTTCCAGCTCGCGCTCAATCTCCTCTGCATCCAGGCGCCGCTGCTGTTCCATTTCTAGACCGGGGAAGTATCGAAAATACCAAGCTAGCCAGACGTCGGCCGCATGCCGATTGGCTTGTGCTGAAGTGGTGAAGGAAAGAATCTCATGTAGAGGTATTGTCGAGCGTTCCGGCGGACCCCAATTGATCTCTGCCTGCGCCTCTCCTTCCTCTTGTTCTTGTTGTTCTTCATACTCCGTAACTTTCTCCCATTCTACCTTGTAGAAGATTCTGCTGATGACTGGGTCCCGCGTCCTGGCAATGCGGTACGCGCTTCGAGCAACGCTGGCGATTTGTCTCTTCACGAAAAACCGTGCTTCACGAACCTCATCTTCACCAAGTGAGACATATCGTTCCACAAGCCCATTCTCCCAGGAACTGCGGTTACTGCGTCGACCGAAACGAAGTCCTTCTTCAGGGGGGTATTTCTTTTCGAACTCTGTTGCTAGCTTGTCCACCTTTTGATTCGCTTTCTTCACGTCCGTGGTCTTGAGGCAAATGTACTCGTCGCCGGAATCGTAGTCTTCGACTCCAGCGTAGATGCTAGATACCGTATATTCAAAGAGTTCGCTGGGACCTGAGGTTTCGCCGTCAGAGTCAGAATCTGCCTCGTCGTCATCTGATTCGGTTGTTGTCTCGGCTGAAGAGGAAGCAGCTTCGTCTTCTTCGCCGCTTTGGTTCTCCTCTGGCTGGGATTGTTTAGCAAGACTTTGCTTGCGCATGCGGTCCAACAAGCCTTGGTCAAATCCCTGGCTTCCGCGAATCCGAGGAGCAGCGACCGGAGTAGGAAGGGCCGGAGCAGCAGCAGCAGGAGGAGAAGAACGCGGAGAAGGGACGGTCAGCGCAAGCGGAGTCCCGAGAGTCTCAAGCTGTGGCGTACGACTATGTCGAGAAGCATTGACTGGTATATTGGCAGGTATATCAAGATTCTGTGAACCTTCAGATTCTCTGTTGTCTCGATTAGCCGTGACCTGAATACTCGGTAATGCTCTGTGTTTCGATATATTTTGTCGCTTCGCACCAAGTCTTTCGATCTTGGCTTTGAGGTCGGCCATTTGGTTTCGAGCATCTTGTATAGCTTCGATCGGGAACAAAAGCGCAATGTTCTGCTCTACCACATTCTGAGTGGGCAAAGACCCACCTGCGGCAGTCACTCGCTGTCTCATTCTGGACGATATTTTAGAAATATCTGGTCTTTGGCGCTTTCCGCTGAGTCTTCTGCGACCGACAAGGTCGAGGAATTGTTGGACGCTGCATAGTTCCTTCTCTTCAATCGCCTTCAAGAATCCGAAGGACCGAAGCTGAGCAATTCTGCCCACCGCTACAAAGAGAGCCTCCAAGTCCCGGTTGGCTTCTTTGGCGATCTCATGTTCTCGAATGATCTGTTGACCTTCCTCACTCCACGTGTCGAACCTGTGTGGAAGTGTCAACTCCACAGCATCTCTAGCAATTTCGATGGAAGATCCTCCAACTTCTCTGGGTCTGTCTTGGCTTGGACTATGCTCGCCTAACGTAATTCCTCTTGCTGGTCGATCAGGTACATCGGTTGCTCGAGTTGCCTGTCTTCCACCTCCATTGCGGTTCATCAACGGCAGTCTGTGATTCAGGCGCTGTTCGGTCTCTTTCACAGGCGAAGCATTCGGTAATACTTCAGTCAAGTTGTCAGCCACCTGAGTTGGTATTCTGGTTCCAAAAGGTTGCTTTTGTTTAGATGGTGTGTTTGCCTTGTCTTGATGGGTTACCGCGACAGGAGCCGGCGCTGCGCCTCTGTGATCATTGGTCGACCAAAAGTGATTCCCACGCCGTACAGCGAGCATTTCGAAGCCAGAAGGCCGGGGCGCAACATTGGGCGTGTTTGGCGAGATAGTAGTATGAACGTCGCTAGCTTCTCTTGTCGAGGTAGTAGGATGAATGTCATTGGCTTTCCCCGTCGCTGAGGTAGAATGAATGTCATTCAGAGGCCTTTCACGCTCTGTGACATCGCTTTGATGTGGGCGACGAATGTTGTTCAGGTGTGTTCCATGATCTACGGTATTGCTCATACGATGATGTTGCTGATTGTTGTTCAAAGGGGCGTCATTATTTGTAGCATGACTTTCTGAGCGACGAACGTCGTTCACTGGCGCATCACGATTGTTGGGATGGCTTCCTTGTGGGCGACGGATGTCATGGTTTGTGGCATGACTTTCGTGAGCGCGATCGTTTAGAGGCGCGGGATGATCTAAGGCATGGCCTTTGTGTGGGCGAGGCTGCAGAATGTCCTTTAGAGACGGCCCATGGTTTGTGGCATGACGCTCAGGTGGGCGAGGACGACGAATGTCATGGTTTGTAGCATGACTTTCAGGTGGGGGAGGGCGACGAATGTCGTTCATTGGCGCATCATGATTTTTAGGATGGCTTCCTTGTGGGCAATGAATGTCATTCAGATGTGTTTCGTTGTTTAGATGTGTTTGAGGATCTGCAGCGTTGTTGCTCTCGTGTGCGCGCTGAATATCGTTCAGAGGCCTTTCACCGTTTGTGGCATGACTCTCGTGTGGGCGACGAATATCCTTCAGATATGTTTCACGGGCTGCAGCGTTATTGCTCTTGTGTGCGGGCTGAATGTCGTTCAGTGGCCTTTCAAGGTTTGTGGAATTGCTCTCATGCGAACGACGAATGTCTTTCAAATGAGTTCCACGGGCCACAGCATTGCTTTCATGTAAGCGCTGAATATCGTTGAGATGTTTTTCAAGGTTTGTAGCATGGCTCTCGCGTGGGCGACGAATATCCTTCAGGTGTGTTCCACGGTCTGAAGCATTGCTCTCATGTGAGCGCTGAATATCGTTCAAATGTTTTTCAAGGTTTGTAGCATGACTCCCGTGTGGACGAGGGCGGGGGCGACGCATCTCGTTCAGAGGCGCATCATTGTTTGTGGGATGGCTTTCTTGTGAGTGACGAATGTCATTTAATAGCGTTTCGTTATCTGGGGCATTGCTTTTCTGTGGTTGACGAATGTCGTTCACTGGTGTTTCGTCGTTATGTGTGGCATCGCTTTCCTGTAGGTGACGGTCCACCTGGTTTTCACTGTGCCCTTCCTCCTCGACATGGCGAGTATCTCCGCCTATGCCAGGAGAGCTCGCTTGCGTTGTTGATTCATGAGCGTCTGAAGGAGGTTGATCGGGATGGGATTCCGGAGTTATGGAGTCATACGTAGACATTGCTACATTCAAGTTGGATGCACGTCCCAATGCCTTCTCTCTTAACATTCGGCTCTTCTGCGCGCTAGCCTCTTGTTCTTCAAGAGTAGGGCTAGTAGTAATAAGCCCGGGGTCAATACTTTCTTGAGAAGTTCCGAGAAAGTTGTATGGCATATCCAAATCAAAATTGAGGATCCCAGAATCGTCTCGGGTATTTTTGCTCGTTTGTGTATCCTGAGATTGCTCCTTGTCAGGCATTGTAGTTGCCGAATCTGGTCGACCGCTAATGCGAGTTGACAGGAATGGGGCAATACTAGACTGTCTCGCTCGAGTCCCATAATCCAAGAAATCATCATGCCTTGCTGACATGAGCGAATAAGGTTTGGCATCCAGATTATCAGTCAATGGGCTTGAGAGAATTTTCTGGGCTTGTTGCGTTACACGCAGTCTTCGTTTGTTTGCCACGAGTTCATTGGAAGATGCAGTGCGTTTGCCTAAGCAGCCCGCGGGATTAAGAATGGGAGACTGGATCGGTGATGGAGTTGTGAAAGCAACGTCAAATGCGGGATTAAGAATGGGAGTCTGGATTGGTGATGGAGTTGTGAAATCGACATCAGATGCGGGATTGAGGATGGGAGTCTGGACTGGTGATGGAGTTGTGAAATCGATATCAGAGGCTGGTCCACGAAAATAGTGATCGCGATCAGATGTTGGGTGTTGGACATCACTTAGTTGTTCATTTGCGGCGGTGTCTCCGGGCAAAATTGTCACATTGGAAAGATGGGGTATTTCTGTCAATTCGTAGATATCGTCATCAGCATCAATAAGTGACCACTGCGCATGTCCAGCTGATTGGGGCGCTGATTCATGTTGTTTTTGAACAGGTGCAAATCTCTCCCTAGACGCGGGCAATGGTTCGTCATCTGTGTCCACACGTGGGTTCTCTCGGGTGCTGCGAAATCGCGAGGTGTGTAAAGAGTCTGAAGGAGGATGATTTCTCGTGGGTTGCTGGTGGCCGAATCGGTGGCCGAATCGGGGGCTTCGTTTGTTAACTGCACTTCCAGCCTGCCGATCACGATCGCGGTGTTGATCGACATCTGTAGACGCTTCATCGGGCGCTGGGTACAACCCCCATCTGTCAATATCGGTCAACCGTACCATTTTGTGCTTGACTGGTAAATATTGCTAAGATGATGCTTCGCGGTCGTGATACTGCACTTTCAAGATCTTTTGGCGTTGTTCATAACTGACAGCCCGCGGCGACTTGTGATCTGATTAGAAGATAGGATTAGAACCAACGCGTTGTAGAGAGGGACAGAAGCAGGAGTAATTGGACTGTGGCCTACACGCTGCGCCGCTGCGCCGGATGATTCTTGGACGATTTGAGGACGATTTGAGGACGATTTGAGGACGACTCCAGTAAAAGAGCGAACAAAGTCAAGCGCAGTCAGTAGACGGAGCCTGTCCCACGGACTGTGGTTTCGTAGAAGAAATGTAGAGTAGACAATGATGAAAGATGCTGAGAGCCGCGTACAAGATGAAAGAGTGTAAGGAAGAGATCCTCTGTTTAAGTCAGGTCTTATGACTTAACTTTCATGTGATCAAAGCTGTGCCGATGTAAAGCAGAGTGATTGCTTTGATACTGAAAGACATGAAAGGACAGTAGGGAGAGGACGGGCCAAGATCAGGAAAGAGCATGATAGAAATGAGTGAAGTGACAAGGGTCTCAAGTTTCTGCGTGGTCTGCTTTTTATGATGGTGAACCGAGAGGTGAGGTCGAAAAGCAGATGACAAGCCAATAGACACTGACAGAACCAGCGAAGTCGCATGTTATGTTGACAGTCGAGAATGGGCATGTGTATATGTTGATATTCACACACATTTATGACGGTTTCCACGTGGGTGTACATAGTAATCTTCACAAATATGTAATGATTCCTATTAAGAGGTAAAGTGTCACAGTGGTGGAGGAGATTTTCCAATGCCACAAGGTCCGCGGAGTGCTGCTCATCATACCTTTAAACCTAAGATGCTCACCTGCTTAAGGGCTGCCAGCTAACTTTAGTATTATCATCATGGCCAGGACTCCTGTGACGTTGCAGTAGATACTTGAGTATTTAGTTGGCTTGCAACGTAGGTTCTGCAGTAGCATTGTCACCAAGATCTTGCGATATAGTATACCCATCTGTCAACTAGCATCAACGGGGTCTGGCTGTTGATAGCGGATTTTGTTGCAGATTATATCGAGGGCCTGTAATAAAATGGACTCATCGCCAAAAAGACTTTTGTTATGTTGACTGTACACTTTGCTTTGTGAGTTCATTGCAGGTAGCATGTGAATGTGCAATATGAAAATTCTGTAGGAGTCTGAATAGTCAACAAAGAAAGAATGTTGTTGATAGAAAACTGTTAAAAAGTTTTCGACCTTGTATTACTGATGGTGGATGACAGGCACAGAGGTTGAATTAAGGTTGGTTTGCGCTGGGAAGGAGCAGTGCCAAGCATCACCAGTGTAGTGTCATGTGATATCGGGTTTTGAATAAAGGGCTCTCGAGAGGCTCAAGTACTGTAGCCCAACTCTGCATACCACACACACTACAAATCGTCAAGGCGGAGAGAAGTAGCAATGTGACATGGATAGATGCAAATCCTACGTCAAAGCCTTGTGTCAGCCTCCAACACGTCCCAACTCTCCTTTGAGCAGCCTATGGCTCATAGACTATGTCGGTTCCTACGCATCTATTGCAGACAAACAGGTTTGTAGGGTCGAGTTTTCGCTTGATCTGCAAAAGACGGTCATAGTTGGATCCCCAAAAGGCATTCTCCCAATTGGGCTCATACCTAAAGAGGCGTTAGACCACGGTAGGTTTGACAGCATAATGGACAAATTTCACTCACGGATTGGCCTCGTTCATATACGTGCCCCCAGTTGCCCCAGCAATCTCATCCCAGCGCTGGCTGATCTTCACAAGCCAATCTCTCTTGGACTTCTTTTCATCCTCTGAGGCCGTGTCTTCCCAGTCGGTACCGAAGCTGAGGACGCCCCTGCCCTCGCGCCAGACTGGATGTACAGAGGTGGCTTCGCGCTGGTCCGAGTTGACGTGTCCAACTGTTGTGCATTGCATTAGCATATCTTCGCAAATCCAGGTGAAATTCAAAGAAAGGACTTACTGAAGTTGAAAAAGGGAGCATGCTCTTCGCCTACTTCCAAAATTAAATCAACAATTTCATTGGCCTTGTCGAATGCCATGCTTGGTGTCAAAAGCCTGGATGCGTCCATGACGTTATGCGCTACATTTGGATCCGACAGAAAGTCCACGGTATAATCGGTCCATCGGGGATAGGTTATGTTGAAAAACACTGGACTGGCGCCTTCGATTTGCGCCACTTCAGAAAACGAAGCGAAGCATTTTTCAAGGTCTTCTTCTGTACCACCAGGTCGAATCAAAATTGCAGAGATACCTCCAAGGAGAAATCCATATCCAGTGTAGCCAGCGTCGGTCACGTTGACGATCGCCCCTAGAGCCTTTTCGAGTACGGGTCTCAGACTTCCTTGATTGGTGGCGTTGATCTGAACAACAGCCACTTGGATCCCATTCGCTGGCTCAGGATGTGTCTTGTAAGTAACAGAAGTGATCACCTGTAGCATTGATAATGTCAGCGTCAGCGAATAATACGTCGATTGAGCAGGATCCTACCCCCCATGCACTCCCTCCTCCACCTCGAAGTGCCCAGAAATGATCGGGATCGGTGTATTGATTGATGGTAACGTGGTCACCGCATGAATTGACGAGCGTGGCCTGGAGGAGATCTACAACATTTGTAAATACAGTCGAGTGCTCAAGAGTATGAACTTACTATCAACACCGAGGCCGTAGAGGTTCGACCAGGCGGAGTGCCCACCTCCTGTGAGCCAGCCTCCTGCAGCGCCAACAGTTCGTGCATGGCCTCCAACCACGATAACACCTTGTTTCGCAGCAGCTTCATAGACATCTGGTTTGTAATATTAGTTAAAGGTTGATTTCAAGTCTGAATGGACACTGACCAAGCCACTGCTCTCCTGCTTGCAATGTAACTGCGGGGACCCCCTCTGTCCCTGGGGGTGCACCCTGAGCAGTAAAGGCGTTTGTCCATTCTCGTCCCTTCAGGTTGTGTGTCCATATAGAGAACGACCCTTGACCACTAGACCGGCCGAGGCTAAGCGACATATCAGTAAAGCTGGTGACATTGCAGCAGACGGACAACAGACTGATCATGACCTGTGTTTTTGACCGCGAGATACAAATCTTTCTTACTTGCAAACTTGACGGCCGCTTGGATATCTTCGACCGACTCAGCAGCGACCGAGAAGTATGGAACTAACTAGGAGATCAACAGATGGTAGTCTCCATGTAGAACGTTTCTCACCTAGACCTTGTTCACATGGATCTGTGTCAGAGCCATTGGTGAAGCACTGTTGGTCTCCAAGTTCCCATGCCATTGCCGTGTAAGCACCAGACTGGTTGGTTCTCCAGAAACTGTTGGACCAATCGGCCCTAGCTTCAGCACATCTGTCTGCATCATATTGGTCTTGGTGGCAGACAGCTGCTGAGGGGAACGTTCGCACGAGGCGACCAGAGATGGACTCGTTGAAGGCCTGCCATGTTCTATCATCTGGCCAGCCAGCATCACCATACCTGTATCGTTGTCGGGGTCTTGGGGCCGTGGCAAGACCGAGCTCAAGGAGGACAAAGAATAAGAAGGTTTGAAGGAGCATTATGGGTTGGACCGTTTTCTTTCCAGGGCTTTTGTTCAGATGAATGAATCATAACTAACCGCTCGATGGGTCTCGCTATATGCGCATTTATATTAGATGGCCGATCTCGTTACTATGCTCTCCATCCAGGATTTGTACGTCTTAGACACAATCCGAGTACAGGTTCAGACGTCAGTACGCCTACATGATGTAATTTCCAGCCATTACCTAACAATAGTAACAATAGTCGTATGGAGGGCTATCTCAAATGCAAGAGCAATAGCGATTGAGTTTAAGCCAAGCGATATATTCATCTGCCTGGAATATTTGGCTGGGGTAAAGTCAGCCTCATGACAGCCTTGCGGCTCAATCTGTCGATCATAGAAATATCGACTGGAACCCAAGAACTGGAGATACGAATACGTCGAAAATCATTGAAAGAATGTTGGAATGATTATGACGACCCCGGCAGACATTATGTACTGGTGGAAGGAGGGGTATTTGTTAGGCAGCCACATGGCCCAGATATTCGTTGGTCTGACAGCTCAATATCTATCGTTTGGCGGGAGTCTCGCGTCTTTCTGAGCGTCAGACGCCTGCATTCATGTTCCTCGAATGACGCGCAAAGTGTCACGCGTCGCCACATGTTATCAGACCTCATATTAATGTGTCTAATTATTTGTAGCCAACGATTGTGATACTTCTTGAATTCAAACCCTAGAAGCATCTTCGATCAGCAATGGCCACTACTGCGCGTCGACGGGTTCCATCAAGCACACCTTCTCGGAGCGGCGGGGCTTCTGCTAGGCCATCGTCGTCCTCAAGGTCTTCCGCTCCCTCCGACTTCGTCCCTCAACGTCTTGCCTTGCCTCTTAGCGACGCTGCCCAATTGGCTCTCGCTGACCTCCTCAAGACCCATGCAAAGTCTACCCAACTGACTGAACATCTGGCTCTCGCCGTCAAGGAGCTTACTGACGCTGCGGCTGTTCTCACCGAGGCAGCCTACGACCGCAAGAGACGATACGATCGGGAAGAGCGTCGAAGAAAACAAAATGGAGAACAATTGGACGAGCAGGACATTGCCAAACATGAGGCTTTCCAAACACAAGTGCAAGATTTGACACAAAAGATGGACATGAGCATCCGTGCAGTCATCGACGATCGCATTTGGCTGGAGGACCTGCCGGCCATCTCGAAAGATGTCTTGTCAGCCTCTTTAGATGAGCAGAGCACCCAGCGAACAGATGAGGTATACAACCAGAGTCCGACCCCGATAGCTTCCACCCGCGACACTGAAATAGGAATGGAATCTGGTGAACATGATTCTCGACTGAGCCAAACAACGAACGCCTCAATGGCAGGGACGGTACCAACCACGACACCTCACTCCATCCTACAGCAGAAGTTGCAACAGCAAGCGCGGGATTGGCAGAGCAAGACTTTGACAGAGAGATACGCCTATAACAACGACTATGCAGGTTGGAAACGTGAAGTCCATGACAATCAAGATCCCCAGGGAGAAGGAGCACCCTTAGCCGATGCAAAACAATGGTTCGCAGCGGAAGAGGGCCGTGGCCAGCCCGATTCTAAAGGACAACGAGTACATGGAGATGACAGCGACGACTCAGAAGACGAGATCGAGATTTCTCGTGAGCGACTGAGTTATAAATGCCCACTTACACTTCTTCCATTCGAGGATCCCCTGACATCCACAAAATGCAATCATTCGTACGAGAAAGAAGCGATTCTAGATATGCTTCGGACATCAGCCGACCATGTTCCCCTCAGTTCTGAGCAGGAGGCAGAGATCAGCGCAATCAGAGATAGCAAAGCCAGGAAAAGACGGAAGCAGCAGCTGGAGAGTCAGCAAGAACGTCGCATCCAATGCCCGGAATGTAGGGTGAGGCTGGTCAAGGGGGATTTACAGCCAAACCCTATCTTGAAGAGGCGTGTAGTGCGGTATCTGGCTGCGCAGCGTCGCGCAGAGACAGCAACCAGCGATGCGGAGGCCAGTGGGGACGAGGGTCGCGTCACGGGCACTCAGCGTCGACCTGTTGGCCTAGGCTCAAGTCCTGTGCCGTCAAGCTGGAGACAGAGTGGACGCCCTGTCAAGGCTGAGCGACACGGGTCGACTGTCCCTCAAACACAATTCTCTTCTGGGGAGCCTTCAACAACCAGACGTGCGGCCAGAACTAGAGTTGTTGACATGGACGATCTGTCGCTGGAGTTGGACGACGCGGAGGCGGTGGACACCGACGTGGTGGATCCAGAGTAATACTCCGTACATTCGGTACACCAGTGACGAGTAGAAATGATACAAATGGTCACGAGAAGCCTTATGGGCCCCTCAGCCCTCGTGGCCCTTCAAACTCTTATTGATAGGTACTCCGTACATACTCCGTATGTGGATCTGATCTCTGACTGTGCTGACTGGCCAAGAAGAAACCTGGGGCGGACAAGGCGGGACAAAGTCACAAAGATCCTTATCACGCGTGCGAAAAAGAACATAATATCAAAAGATGATTGGAGAGCCGGGGCCCAAGGGATCCAACAATCAAGTTGCCACCCTGGGTCGAGCTGTGCACTACCATCACTAGGCGTGCTAGGCTTAAGTGTTTTTGATATGTCCGCCTCCCAAGGCATCACCACAGGAGGTGATGCCCAATGATATGCGTTGTAAAGGTGGACTCATCGGAATTTGTCGTGAGCGCACCCCGTATTTCCCCACGCTGAGAAGATGCTCCAGGCCCCTTGGCCACGCACGCCCGGCTGGGAGCAGAGCCTAAGGAAGCCTAAACTCCACTGAGGGATGGGTCTCATTTCAGGGTTCAACCCCAGAGATCTTCTTCTCCAAGGAGAAGGAGGGAGCCATGGAGCTCTCAACAAACAAGATGGGTCTCTGTCTGTGCTGCCTGCCTGCTCCAGTTCAAATATAACACGAGAAGCAATTCACATCTTCTGGACAAAAGATCTTCTTCTCTTCTCTCCTGTTTCATTCATCCTTCTCCCTCTTGTCTCTCTACTAGACCCTTTTCCACTTGGTATTCGTCTTCTTGATCAGTCTCTCTATTTGCAGACCTAATACTATCTTCATTTATTTTTACTCAATTCTGCTTCAAGACCCTCCCAAGAGATCCTGTGCTCAAATCGTCTGACATTCGTTGTCTCGAACCCGACGTGACGAGACACGAGCCATTCCATCGGGACGACAAGGATGTCGTGTGCCACAAAACCATCCAACGTCCTCACCCCATACCCAAGCTAGGCCTTGAACCCCGATCCTATCTGCATCACTAGTCTCTAAGATACTCGCGTCAGTGTCTGTCCTGTACTCGTTAGTCGAATGCAAGGGAGCTAGGGATCAGAGAGAATCGAGGTGACTCGGCGTGAGCCAGCTTTGTTTCTTTCGAGAGATTCAGATTAGGAGACGGTCCTACGAACCCTGGGATTAAGGGGAAAGGGACAGGAAGTGGAAGTGAAAGAAAGAGAAGAGAAAAGGAAAGAGGACAACAAAACTCAAGATAAGGGGGGTTGGACCGTGTGCTTTGGCTTGGTAGCAGCTGTACATCCGTTGGCGGTTGTTGCAGGCTGGCTGGGTCTGGTATTGCGTCGCCACTGCCTGGAGTCATCACGGCGGTTTTTGCAAACGAGATGTTGTCTCTACCCTGTTGTGTGGGTCGGCCCCTGTTTTGGGGGGCCCTTCCTATCTTCTGGCGTTGACTTTTTTCATCATGTTGTGGTTACTGCACTGCTGTTCTTTTTTTTTCTTTGTCTCCTTCTTGTCCAACACCAAACCCACCTTCTCCCCTCCCAGTGGCCCTCAAGACCTTTTCAACAATGAACATAACCACATGCAAGTGCGTACCATCTGCCTGGACGACGGACCGGGTTGTGCTACGGCCTTTAGCTTCACGGCAGGCTTGTAGGAACTTGGTCTTAGGGCGAGTTTCAGTGCGAGGTTTTGTTTTCATTCTTCTCCTCCACCGAGACTCGTCTTAGGGGTGGATTCTGTTACTGCAGGGTTCCCTATGCCTGACTCGAAGATGCGAAGTGCTGAGAGTTGGCGAAAAAAAGGGATACCTAGCACTGACGGATCTTGACTTTGTCGTCACCCTCCTTTCAACAAAAGGAAAAAGGGCAGAAGGGAGCACTCGCAAGGGATATTACCAAACAAACAAACTCTGAAGGTTGCTTGCCAGACCATTTCCCAGCTTCCATACTATCCTGGATTTTGGAGACAGATGACGACGGCGCCTTTCACACAAAAGTCAAATATTGTTATGACACCCGATTTCGTGGCCCTACGAAAACCCTGATCCGGTAAACGTGGGATACATACATGGATCGAATGACTGAAAATTGGAAGGATTCTTTTCACAGAATCTAATCTAAAGATATACAAACCTCTTGAGATGCCTGCCAGCATGCCAGGTGGAGGTGGGATGTTGTTCGACGGGACCCATCACACCTGGATCACACATTCTACAGCCCTCAAAACAACCCAAAACTTCTTGGACACGCTATAACCAGAACACGATCCTTTTCTACCATCTGAAGCCTCTGAATTGGCGTGACAGGGTCGTTGATGGTTACGAGACTACCCCTCTTGGTGCATGGGTACTGTGCACTTTGAGTGGGTGCGTCTCATTTGGACTGGACTTGATTGTCCCACTCAAAAAAACTCTTGACTGAGATCCTTTTCAGGGAGACCATGTCTGTTGGTGTTGGCTTATCTCTCTGCTAGAGATTCTAGACTGTTATATTTCTGCCTTGACTGCAACCCACATCACCGTCCGTTCAAGGTCGGTGACGGGTGGTCGCACAACTCCAGATTGAATCATGTCTTGACTCTTGACAGCTTGGGAGTTGGGTCAATATCTTCAGAAACCGAATTTCTCATCTTGGTTGCCGAGTCCTTGGGTTGATTCCCACTGGACTCTCCAGCCCATCTCGAAAAGTGGTATCAGGCCAATTCCTGATGCTGCTTCATCTTTTTTCATCATGGCTCACAGCCTCGTGCGTGGTCCTGGAGAAGAAACGACAATCAGGAACGGATGTATACTTATAGTCTTGTCTATGTAAGATTCTACTTGGTCATCTCTCCATACATGTATTCTTCGATTAATACACCAATATGCCCATATGCCTCCCCATGCTTTTCATCTTTTGACCCCCTCGCGACAGTCGATGCTCGCACTTTTCTCCACCCCAATCAAATCAAAGCCTCCAACTGATCGAGGCCGCCATAAACCGTTATCCCTCACCACGTCCATTCCGTCCATGCTTTCTCTTCATCATTGCAAAAGTCTTTTGCATACACTGACGCTTCCACCAATCTTTGACCCGTTCCAGCATTTTCCGTTTTCTGTATTGGAAATCAGTCATGGGTACCGTTGTGCCGGGGATCGGATGGCTATACTCAAACGACTTCTGCCCTTTCAACTGCCATGATGCGCTTGCAATCAACCCTCGTCGGCTGTGGGGTGTGGGCTGCTGGCTTCTAGTACCTAGCACTCCTGTCGATTTGGTCATGCCACTCCTGAAACTGTGGAGGTCAAACCTCTTGCGAACCCCTGCTCTCTGGTTTTGTGCTGAACTGTCGTCAGAGAAGAAACTTTCCACCTCTCGTAGCGGTGGGCCAACCGAAGGAAGCTGAGACGAGCCAAAGAAGCGTAGAGACAAGTTGAGATCAGATGAAGTCAATGGTGGTCCCAGCTCGGGAGGGCCCAACTGGGGGACTGGTCCCACCCGTGGGAGCTGGGAGCTCTGGCGAGTGCTGTTCAGCGGCTCGATGATGCTCGTATTACTCCTGTGTGAATGTATTGTCCGAACCGATGCTTTACGAACAATTTCGACGCCTTTCTTGACGGGTTCTGGCATCGATGCAAGCACGCTAGCCCACCTCTTTGGCATTGAACTTGATAGCAACACACTTGCAGTAGGTTCGGCAGATCCAGGTTGAGCAATGATTGATTCGGCACTCAACTCTGCATAACCTAAAACAGGTGAGGTTATGGGAGCATCCTTGTTCGAGGATTCGGTCGTCCAACTTCCATCAGGCATACCCTCCTGTGCAAGGGTTCCTAGGCCATCATCTTCCTCAACAGAGGCCGGACATTGTTGGGCCTCACAAGACTTGCGTTGGGTCTTGAGCAAGATTCGCATTCTCCGTCGACGATGCGACTCCTGCCGCACAATGACCTCGCTTTTGGACCTACGATGTACTGAATTCTGGTGATCCATATCCTTGCTCAAGGAGTTGGAGCCAGCAACCGGACTTGGGAGCGAAGGACTGAAGCTTAATGTCTGAGCACATCGGACCTTGAATTTGATTATAGAAGGATCAGATTCCACATCACCGAGCTCACCAGAAGACAAGGTTGGTGCGATGTGTGTCGTTGACACAGGCTCTACCGTAGATGGAAGCGTCTGCCATCCAGAAGAACGCGGCATTCGCCTGAACGTTGTGGACGACGAGAAAGAACGAGAGGCAGGGATGTCACTGATTGACGCGGGCGCACGCACACGTGCATCCATACTTGCAAATAGTCGCCTAGGCACAAGTCCGCGTCGCTCTGAGCTTGCAAGGCTGGAGTGCTGACAAGAGCTTGAGGTGGAAGGACGAACTTTCAGCTGCGAAAATGAATTGGGTATAGTGGTCTTTGGCCGAAAAGAAGCGGCCGATGAATCTTCAAGGTGAGCATGCCTCCGATCTGAACTGTCATCAGCTCCTAGTAGATCATCGGTTTCTTGTAGACCAAGGCATTCAATATGCCTGTCAAGCAGAGACTCGACTGTAGATTTGTCGTGGATGGTGATTTGACTGGACGCGGTCTTCACAGGTGACATCACATGCCGATCTGGGTCGTTAGATTCGAGATCGTTGATATGGTCGCCGAGGAAAACCTGATCGCCTCCAAAGGGGCTCAAAATTCGTCCATCATCCGTTGGCTGAGTGTCCGAGGCTTCCTCAACGACAGTGAGTCTCGTAAAGGTCTGTCCAGGGAGAGACTGATATGTCATTTTGGCTTCTTTGGTATCGTATCCATCGTCTATCTCTAAGATTCTGCTGAATCGTTTCCGACTTTGGGAAGACATGGGCCGTTCAGGCATTGGGGATAAGATCTCTCGTGATTGTTTAGAAGGCGTGTCACCTGATGTCTTGGGTCGCTCCCCTGTATTTGAACAGTGAGACAGCAGGGACAGAGGACGAAAAGAGAGTGACGGGAGAGTCCATTCTGATTGCGAGTTGCGTTGAATTTGCGGATGCCCATCTTGCCTCTCTCTTTGGAAGTCTTCGCCATCGAGCAGGCCGGAAAGCGAGGCAGTGGAAGCTCGTTTGTCAAATATCGGTGAATGAACACGAGCAGCTAAGGTGGAAAGATCGCGAGGACTTCGGCTTGCATTCACAAAGAAGGCACTAGAGTGAGCATACGAAGAGACGGTTGCCCGGCGGGAGCTGTGCGATGGTTGATGACCTTCTTTTTCCTCACCGGAGACAGCCGCTGGAAAGATGCCCTAGGTTGGTTAAAGTTAGCAGAAAAGATGACTGTGGAGAACGAAATGCATACAAAGCTACTCTCGCGGGACTCTTGATGGGTCGATGTTGCTGCAAGGCTCGAAACTCTTCGCGGGATTACCCCTGAGAAGCTATGCTTCGACTGTTCACTTGCCCGTCGATTGTGATTAGTCGGCAATTCGGCGGGTTTGAAGGTTGAGCCAGGCAAAGTGCCAAACGGAGACTGGGCTTGACGACGTTCGACATCTGCTTGACGCTCGTGAACAGCGTGATTCATGATGTGAGAATGTTGAATATCACTTTCGTCTTGGCCGCCTGGTTGAAAGCACTCCTCCTCCAGGAAGGACTCCGAATAGTCATAGTAATGTGGAGCCGCTGAGTCTGTTGGAGATCTCGGAAGAGCTGTAACAGATGCTGCGCTGCGATTCAACATACTTCGGGTATGGTGCAATGAAGCAGACAATGGTGTGGCGGTCCTATTGGCTGGACATGCATTCATGGTAGCCAAGTTGAGAGAAGATCTGGCGGGAGAAGGAACATGGGCAAATGAAGAGCGAGAGTTGTTGAAGTCGGACCGGTAACCTGCGAGTCCAGGTGGTCCATTGTACAACAAGACTGGGGAAGAGGCGACTGTGAAAGCACTGCCAACGCGAGGATAGCCACGCCGGGGGCCGTGTCTATGCATATGAGCATCGGTGAACGCTGGTGAGGCTGCTCTATGCTGTCTTCCAGTCCCGAAACGGACCGATGGCGAAGCAGAATGCAGGCTATGATAGTCTCTGTGACTGCGTAACGTGATGAGAGAACGGTGAGCATAGAGACCATGGAAGCCATCACCAGGGCTTGATAAACCTGCTAGGGCTTGAGACCGGTATCTTGGGCCAGCTTTTTTAGATCTCAGACCAGGGTGGGCGGAGGAGGCATGAGTGCGGACAGTTTCATGGGCAGAGAGACCGGATGTTGACAGGGCTGGCCTCGGACCTCGATGTCGATGAGAACGGCGAGGCGGAGGGGAGCGTCGATGGCGCAGTTGATACGCGAGTGAGGTGTCAAATGAACCTGAACGTTGTCTCGTAGACTGGAGTCTTGAACCAGAGCGAGGAATTCGAGATGGTTTAACAGCAAAAGGGCCACTATCGCCAATCTCGGTGGTGGTTCTCAGCATACCTTGAAGCGCACTGGATCGTAAGGAAGTACTGGACGCGGCTGCAGGCAGGTCATCCACGGGGGTAGAGGCTGTCCTGACATCTCTTCTCTTGTTGGGAGATATCTCTTCCAAGGGCATGATGGGGTGGCCGGCGGCCCACACCTAGGAGTTAGTGCTAGAAACAGCACGGTTCAAACACTTAGGGGGCAGAGAGGGAGTCGGTCAGAAAACAGAGTACCCAGGACTAGAGGTCCAGGGCAGCAGGTGATGAAGTGAGATTGTCCTGGGTGTCATCAAGTGAAGTGAGGTAACGTTCAAGCTGAGATATCGAATCAGGAAGGAGTCAAGGAGGAAGGATGCTATGCTTCGAGGGAAGGAGCATCCAATGGATTCATTTCGAGGAAGGTATGTCTTTCGACCCAACTGGGAAACTTGTTTGTAGTCCCACTGAAGTATGGCCTCTGTCGAATGCAGCCATACATACCTGGGTACAACTTCAAATAAACCTCAACATCTCATGCAATATCTGCTTATAGAGCATCCATCAGCAGTTCTGGGTCAAATACGTTAAGTAGGCATCATCCCAATGCCACCACCACCTCGACCGGGTTTGTTCCCTTTGTCAAAGGCAAACCTTCCCAACCCTCCATGGCTTGTGCTTGCCGGTCTGCTGGAGGATGCTTTTCTCCGTTGACTACTTCCATTGGAGCCTTTGCCCCTGGCTTTGGACCCAAACCCACGAGATCCATATCCGCGTTTGGATCCTCGGGAGCTTCGATGGCTGCTTGGCCTACCTCTAGGGCGGTTGCTTGTCTTGCTCGTAGATTTCTTGTCCGTCTCAGCAGAGAAATTGGGCCTTTGAGACACTGTGAAAGAGTCAGTAATTGAGCTGTGGCAGATGGGGGGGACGGACTCATAGCGTTGAATTGGCTGACATCGTCATCGCCAACCCCGAAATAGTGGCTACTTTCCGTGGCATCTTCAGAAGCCCCGTCACTATCCGAGAAGTAGTCGGACTCGTCGACTTCGTCGTCGCTGATCTCTACCACGGTTCGATGGTTTGGGTCATCGTCCGCTTCCACTTCCACCATCGCCTTATACTCATTATACGCCGACTTGACCAGCCTCAGCAAGGCTGGTCCACATATCTTGTACATTTCTGCATTCATTCCAGTCATCTTTTTCAGTCCCGCCTCAGTACGTGGAAAATGGATGGCAATGTCTCGAAGCACTCTATCTGAGACTGGCTTCTGCTTCAGATTCTTGGCAATGAGAATCTTACCCAGCTCTAATCGAGCCTTCTCGACAAAATCTTCGAGGATGTATTGATGGATCTCATCCAGATCCATAATCTGTTCATCGTTTGTAATCGCTGGACCGATGCGAGATCTCTTAGCCGGACGCGGAGCTCCATATTCTCGAACAGGTGCAAATCCATCACTGTCTTCTCCCTCATCTTCATCGGAAGAATCGGGAACTTGCCTGCGAAGAGGTTGCTTCCCCAGTGCACGAGGTTGCACCGGTGAGGATACGTTGGTCGACGCAGGATAATCATCTTGTGCACTCTTGAGGGCGGCGGCATTCTTTCGGCCCTTCGCCTTGGTTGGTTTCTTGGCCTTGTCTTTCCCTCGAGGGGACACGAGGATGTCGAGTTCCCAAGGATCACGAGACTGTTCGAACCTGAGGGCTTTTGGGCCCACGGTGACATACTGGGTAGGGAAGCCACCATTATTCATCACATGCTTAGACCCCAGAGCGTCTTCACTCATGAGGCGATAGAAGAGACGCTCAACATCTCCCCTTCCCAGTGCGTCGCCCAATCCATACTGGCTGAGGCGATCGTGTCGCAGGTCGGTGATCTTTTTGCTCTTTCCCCCGCGGTAGACATCGACACAATGCAACAAGGTCACGTCTTCCTGCTGGACTTGTCTCACTAGCTGGATGATGTTCTTCGCATGGTCCCGGAAATCGCAGGTCTCGAATCGGTCCGTAGAGTTGCAATTGTCGCATGTTTTCCCGCAGCCTTGACGCTGAAAGTGTTCGTTGAAATACTCGAGGACCTGGACTCGACGGCAGTCACTGCGGTTCTCGCAAAACTGAATAACATTTCGAAGTAGGCGTTTTTGCCTTTCCTTTTGCTCGTAATTGCCGTCTTCGCCGTCTTCAATCATTTTCTTGAGAGTGATGGTGTCACGGTAGCTGTAGAAAAGATGACAGCCGGATCGTGCACCATCCCTCCCAGCTCGACCAGTCTCTTGGTAGTATCCTTCCAGGCTCTTGGGGATGGTCTGGTGGACGACAAAACGAACGTCCGGTTTGTCGATGCCCATACCAAAGGCAATGGTGGCTACAATGACTTTGAACTCTCCTGACTGCCATCGCTTTTGTGTGTCGATTCTTTCCGCCGATGCCATTCCAGCATGGTAGTGTCGGGCATTGATATGGAATTGATCTCTCAAAGCGGAGGCAAAAGTTTCACAATTCTTCTTGGACAGGCAGTAGATGATTCCCGCCTGCCCACTGTATGACTGGTCGATGAGCTGAGCGATCTCCTCTAGGACCTGTGCTTGTGTTCCCTTGGGTCGAACCTCATAGGACAAATTTGGACGGTTGAAACTTTGTTTGAAGACTTCCGCATTATCCATACCAAGGTTCTGGATAACATCCATCTTGACGTTTTCTGTTGCGGTAGCCGTTAGGGCCATGACTGGCACATTTTTGAATTGTTTGCGAATCTCTCCGAGTGCCTTGTAGTCAGGGCGAAAGTCGTGGCCCCACTGGCTGACGCAGTGAGCCTCGTCAATCACGATTCGGGCTAGAAGTCCTCGCTGATATAAATTCAGGAATCCGTCCACAATCGCCACGCTCTTATTCAGCATCTCCGGAGTCACGTACAACAATTGAATGAAGCGTTGAGGTTCAGAATGTTGGAAGGCTTGGAGCACATGCTTTCGGTGTTGCGCGCTTGTTTCTCCATTGATCAGGAACGCCTGAATGTGTAGCTTCTGCAGATGGTCCACTTGATCTTGCATGAGACTGAGCAAGGGAGACACGACAACTGTAACTCCATGTGTCTTACCGCTTTCGACTACTGAGGGGAGCTGATAGCAAAGCGACTTCCCCCCTCCGGTGGGCATGAGGACGAACGCATCTTTCCCACCAAGTGTCGCATTTATAGCTTCCAGTTGATTCTGGCGAAACCCATGTAGGTGGAACTTCTTCTTCAGCGCGGAACCCACATCTTTGGACCATGGAAACTGCATCAAAGATGAATTTGATGAACTCGCATGATTTGAAGGTCTCTTGACAGGAGACAGTCTCCGGATGTTGTCGCTGACCTCTGATAGAGCTGCGCGACCACTTCGCCCTGGTTGTACATCAGTAAGTACCGAGGCTGTACCGTGCTCCATTGCTTCAGTTAGTTTCAGCAATTCCTCCTCGTCATCCAACTCGAAATCGAAATCGTCGTCCTCGACGTCGTCGAAGAAGTTGTCACTCGGCGGCGACCCCATCATCCTGGAGTAACTTTTGCTCAATGCAGTGTCTTGATGAGAGCTCGTGTTTTTGCGGCTTGGTGACGCGCCGACGCCAGCTGCTAACTTTTTGATTGTCTTCGTGCGGGATGTTGTACTTTGATTGGGAGACATGGCTATTTGTCTTGAAGGCTGAGTTGATCGGGTCTGTTTGCGCCTCTCTGATCCTTCGAAATGCTTGCTGCTGGGGGTCTGGACGACAGACTGAGTTGAAACGTATTCAGCAGAAACATGATTGTCCTCCCGTATCGCTCTCCCGGCGTGCAGTCCTGGTCTTTGTGTAGACTCGACAAGGATCTGCTTAGCGGAGGACACTTTTGACGGCGATACCTGGAATTTCTCCGTCAGGCTTGAGTTTGTAGACACTCCTGCCTTCTCCAGGAGCTTGAAGATCGAAAGTTCGCGGGCTTTCATCTCCACCATTGAGCGGTTGATGTCCATGCATAAGGCCATGAGTACGTTCCCCTCCTCCATTGGGTTGAGAATATAACCCGATTCCTCAAGATCCTCCCGTTTCTTGGTCAATTGCTTTCTCTGCTGGAGTAGATGAGACATGGCGGTGTGCTCATCGACCAGCTGTCTAACTGAGACAAGCTTCTGCTCAATTGAAACTAGCATCTGCGGTAGGTGATCCGAATATGCACCATGGGCACAGACTTCGTCGCCAATTCTCTTCTGGATGTCTTTCTTCGACTTCTCCAGACGTTCCAACAGTCCCTGGCATTGGTCGAGTCCATCTGCGATAAAGCGGTTGACAATATGTTTCTGCTCCGTTGTGAGGCTGTCACTGACTCCGGTGAGACCAGAAGTTCTTTTGAGTGGAGAGGCTGCGACACGATCAAGGTTTCCTGGCCTCGAGTCCTTCTGCGGCTGGGAGCAGAGTTTCGATGGTGACGAAGCTTCAAGTTTTGTGTAAAGTCGAGTTGAGGTGTGCGACGGAGAACGCTCGTTTCGTGTTTTTAAGGGCGTTTCCGAGATCGAAGGCCACCGTTCCAGTCGAACGGGTGACTTTGTCGTCACATTGAAACGGCCGTGGTTGTCAGGACCGACCATCTTATTCGGTGACCTTGGTTGACTGGTGACTTGGCGTCGCACGTCGTCGAACCCTTGACTACCCTGTCGCTTTGGGGGTTCGAAGAGAACCTCGGCTTCGTGAAGAGCTTCGAGATCTGAGTTCATGGCGTTGTCAGAACACTCTTCAAAGACTGTCTCGGGAAGAGCATCAGTAGGCGGTCGACTGTCTAGATTATGCAAAGCCGGCGGTGTAGTACAATTGACGCTTGCCGAATGTTGCCTCCGCTTAGCCTTGCTGGGGGCAGACATAGGGGAACTGAGGTCCGCATGATACTCGTCGCTCTTTCTCTTCTTACTCTTTTTGCTGTGTATCGGCCCTGAACGTTTTGCGGCATCCTCCTCCCATAGTTGGACTGGATCTCCAAATTCCCCCAGAGAAGAAGTAGTTACATCGTCTCCAGTAAGGTCGATCTCGTCGATGTCAAGAATACTTTCGGAGCCGTCCCATTTCGCATCGCTGATTTGTGGAGTGCGGCGCGGGCGCGGCAGGGTTCGGGATTGCGATGGGGTTTCGACTTTCCGGGCTTTCGTGGATAGCAGGATTGATCCACGATCGTCGGAGGCTCTTGAGGGATCGGGAGTTGGCAGGACGTTATTGCGAGGTGTAGTTGTTGTCAACTTGGGTCGTGGTTGTATCTGTGGTGCTAATTGTAGTCTGGCCATTTCCTCGTCGGGACTTGAGGTAGCATCTTCTGGTGTCAATCCAGACACGATAGAGGTGACATGGTCCAAGTGATCAAACGAATGACGAGTACGCAAAAGCCAAGCAAGGGAATGCTGAAGGTTATGCTTGGTCATGAGGTCGTATCATCGTAGGGACTTGCGTTGCTCAGTTCATACAGCTTCTGCACTGCTCTAGAGACTCGAGTGGTGGTGCCCAAGATGAGATTGATGTGCTTGACAGTCAGCGATGTTGTCCGGAGAATCTTCGGTGGACTTGAAGACGCGTCGGCCTGCAAGAACGCGCCCCAAGATCCCCCACCAGATCACGTGAGAGATGTTTTCACGTGACTAGACCCTTTGTTGCTCGGGTCTCCACTAGCAGACCCATACTAAAAATTCCTGCCACCTGAATTGCGGCTTATCTTATCTTAGCGTGTGAAATTTTTCTGGAAGAAAGTCCTTGACCGACTCTCTTTCATTACCCTCTTCCATCTCTCAAGGTTTTACTACTCCACGCATTACTTTGCATCTTTTTGCACCAACATTTTATCGTGGGAATAAATATCGAGGGCTTCTATTGACGTCTATCGAGGGCTCTGTGGGTTTAGCACTGAGGGGTATTGCACATATCACTGAGGGTTGTCTCTGTCCTGTCCCGTCCCGTTGGTTGACCGATCTGTCCCATTGAAAGCTTCGAGGCATATTGCGCGCTTTGCAGAAACTTGTTACTTCGGTAATATTCAAGTTATCTGCCTGTCATTTGCGTCAAGCATCTGACTGTGAGATCTGAGGGCTCTTAAATTCACATTGTGGGTTGACGGGTTTGCCGCATCTAACTTAAGCACACTATTGCTAGCAGTGGTCCTGAGGAAATTGCCAGTCTTGCAAATAATTTTCACGAGGGTCTTGAGTAAATTTCTTCGCCCTCAATCCTATTTGACCTGCATATGCTAACCATCTTATTCAACAGAAACCATCCAACGACATCATGTCCAAAGCAGTGTCTAAATCTGGGGGCAAGGCGGCCAAAGCCTCCAAGGATATCCTGACCAAGGTCAAGGGCGCCGCTGTCACCAAGCCGGCCCAATCCGAAAAGGCCAAGAGCAAGGATATCGCAAAGCAGGTTGCCACCAAGGGGGCCAAGGATAAGAAGAGCAAGAAAGTTCCCGTCAAGGAACCCACCCCAGAGTCCAGCTCTGAGGAGGAAGAAGAAGAAGACTCGGAAGCCTCATCTGAGGAGTCCGAGAGTGAGAGTGAGAGCGAAAGTGAGGCTGAGGCCAAACCAGCGGCTAAGGCTCCTGTCACCAACGGAAAGAAAGCTGCCGCCAAAGATGATTCTAGCGACGAGTCAAGCGACGAGTCCGAGTCCGAGTCCGAGTCCGAATCTGATTCTGATGAATCCAGCTCCGGCAAGGAGGTGACTGCAGCCAAGGCCAAGCCAGCTTCTGACTCTGAATCGGACGAGTCTGAAAGTGACGAGGAAGAAGTCGCACCCAAGGCCAACGGCACCAAAGCTTCCGCCTCTGATGACGAGGGCAGTGACAGCGACAGCGACAGTGATAGCGAAGAGAGTGGAAGCGACAGCGAGGAGGAGGCCGAAGAGGAAAGCGCCGCTCCTGCCCCCAAACGCAAGGCTGAGGACGAAGAGGCTCCCGCAGCCAAGAAGACCAAGGTCGAAGAGCCTGCCAACGGAGCTAACCTCTTCGTCGGCAACCTGTCATGGAACGTCGACGAAGACTGGCTCCGACAGGAATTTGAGGAGTTTGGTGAATTGTCTGGAGTGCGACTGATCACTGATCGTGCTACTGGTCGTTCCAAGGGGTAAGTGATATATCAGACTATGTATACCTATACTTGATCTAACACAATGCAGGTTCGGCTACGTTGAGTTCGTCAATGCTGCAGACGCCGCAAAGGCTCATGCTGCCAAGCAAGGGTCTGAAATCGACGGTCGCGCCTTGAACCTCGACTTCGCCAACGCCAAACAAAACGCAGGAGAAAAGACCCAAGACCGTCGCAAGTCGTACGGAGACCAAACCGGCGAACCCAGTGACACATTGTTTGTGGGCAACATGGCATTTGAATGCAGCAACGAAGACCTCTCGGATGCTTTCAGCCCACACGGTACCATCTTGAGCGTTCGCATTCCCACCGACCGTGAGAGCGGCCAACCAAAGGGATTTGGCTATGTCACCTTCTCGACAGTAGAGGAAGCAACCGCTGCCCTCGAAGCGATGCAAGGAGGATACATTGCCCGTCGACCTGTTCGCCTTGACTACAGCCAACCGCGTCAGAACACCGGAGACTCACCAGCTCGTGGCCGAGGTGGATTTGGTGGACGAGGTGGCGGCCGTGGTGGCTTCGGCGATCGTGGTGGCCGTGGTGGTCGAGGTGGTTTCGGTGGCCGTGGAGGTGGCCGAGGCTTTGGAGATCGTGGCGGACGCGGTGGACGAGGTGGAAGCACCAACCGTGGCGGCTTCGGCGACTTTAGCGGCAAGAAGACTACCTTCTAAACCAACAACGTGGACGAAGGGAGGCTGTTGTTGCTGGATCATGTCGGTCGTTTCCTGGTTCTTTTGCTAAGTACTGTACGTCATGTTCAACCAAGGTAAGCACAGAGCCATCTCAAGCTGCTTATCACCATTGGTTTTCAGATGGTCGGCGGACTCGAGGGTCAAGCTGCTACGTGTGTGCAGGCGTTGAGTGGATAGAAAAGTTGTGCATTTGGGTGCTGTGTCTTTTGCTCGGTAACTCCTGTTCCGTAATACAATGGAATTTCAAATTACCCTTGTCTTGATCACCTGCAGATTGATTTTACGTGACTACACATAGAGTATGCGTACTAGAGTGTATGACTACGGCTCACTCTTGAGAGTGTTCACATGCCAAGCCAGAAGGATGACTGTGTAAGGAGAGTATTACGTTGTCGTAGTCGTCTGGCAATGCAGGAGCTGACCGGACCCTCCACGCCTTCCTGCACTCAGCTTAACTACTTGGGCCGAGGCGTCATCGTGTCCTGAGGGCAGCGTTGGGCCTGCAACTTGCAGTACGGAGTATGTAAGAATGGTGAGGAGGGGGATGAGAGGGGAGAGAAGAGGGGGTCACGGGTTCAAGATGCATGACGCTGCCACAAACCGAAGTCGGAGCTTGGACTTCAACTCTTGGGCCTCCACGGGCCTCTTATCGCCAGACATGGGCATGATTGGATATGGGAGTTGGCATCCTGACACACTGTCAACGGGCTGTGACTTGTTGAATCACGGCATGATTGGGGCGCGTGACGTTTCTGGTCCAACGCAGTCTTGTGCCTTGATTGCTGCGTACTCGTACTCGAGGAATCAAACATGGCTGGCCACAAGTTGTTTGCTGGGCTTGCGCTGTCCCTTGCATGTCAAACCCTTCTCTTTACTCTCTCTGTTGCGGACCGCTGGTGGTTGCATGCAGGAAATGATCCAGGCTCCCACTTGGCATCTTGTCCCCCCCCCAAACTTGTCTTGACTGAGCCTCGTTTCTTTCAGGTTGTCTGCACGCATCTATCTTGGTCTTGCATCTTACATTGGGCGCTTTGAGTCAATCTGAATCAACTTCAACTCTTCCTCTTCGATCCGAAGATACGATCCATCATCCATCGTTACAGAAACCTGCTCAGTACATACTCGCTCTTTCCGCACCATTTAGGGGACTGAATACAGTTTTTGAGGGTTGCTTAGCCCCCTCGGCCCCTAGCCTTTAGGCCCTTGGTCCCCCATCAACCTTTCCAGACCAGCCGTAGACCGGACCTGGTGCGCCGAAGTCGACATTCTTGTCCGCATTTAGGCTGTGGCACCCTTAGTCGCGTAATCTCCGGTTCCACTTCTGACTGCAATCAAGCCATTCCGCTCCTCTTGTCTCCAGTCCCACCCCTTCCCCCACCAAAGTTCACACGCCATCACCGCTATCACCGCCATTGCCAGCGGTGAGACCACTCGCTATCTCAATCTCGTCGACATTACTTCCATCATCTCATCATCTGAAGCTCGTGCGTTCGACCGATCCCTCATTTCATTCTCGAGTGTCAAAGAGATCGAGGATTCGGATTGCGGCCCAAGCGGAGACCGTTCTTATTGTCATCCCCTCGACCAACATACGAAATTCCCCCAGAGCCACCTCACACGCAGTACTGTCATCGAGTCGGCCATTCCGCTCATCCCTGAAAAAATGCGACCAGATCCAATGGAGCCTTTTGGCACCCAGTCAGACACACAATCTCCGACAGCATCTTCGAGTACCACAAGGGTATCGGCCAGCACTCGCCCAATTCGATCCTCGGAAGGTAGACAATGCCCCAGCCCGAACTTCAGTAGCAATATACTCACTTTAACAGATTCGTGGATCGAGATCTCCTCTCACCCATCCTCGTCTTCCTTATCGTCCACGTTGAACGATATTGTCACTACGGGCCTTCATGTTCGTTCTGACACCGAACGATTGTCCCGGCAATTCCGTTCCTCGGCTCATTCCATTCCTCAAGAGCCTCGAGCCATCAGCGCTGCAGGAAGTAGCCAAGACGAATATGAGGAGAGTGGAAGTGAGAGCGATCATGTCCTGAGCAGTTCCAACGAAGACATCACCCAGCAGGACGATGAAAATGCCGATGACGATGACACATCAACCGCTCTAGGTGTTGGCAGCCTAAAGCCCGTCTTCACACCGCAGCCTCACGCATTCTCACAACCCGTCTCGTCATCATCACACGATCGGCCCAACCTAGACTCGTATTTCCCTCCTGTATCGTCGTCCGCCCGATCCCGTGACCAAGGTCGTCATTCTGATCGAACAATCACTCAGAGGAGTTATCAACGACAGAGCCAGACGAGAACTCGTTCGGATATGTCTTCATATCAACCAGATCATGACGCTGCTCTCCGCGCATCTCTCACTACTCTTCTCTCCTGCGCTGCCGCAGTCCGACCAAAAACTTCACAGGAACCACGCGCTGGCGTGTCTTCTCAACCAACACGGCCTGTAACAAATCAGCCTGCAGTTCTACGACTAGTCCCTGAATCAGAATTAAATTCTCCTTCGCAAAGAAATACCGCTCCTAAAGCGACATCGTCTCCTAAGCAAGTCAAGCGGAAGTCACGAGAGTCGAGTAAAGACCGGCAGGCGAAGAAGTCCCGTGCTGCGGCGAGCCGAGCTGCCGCTCTCTCACAAGATGAATTTATCAGTCCGACGCTTGCATCTTGGATGATTTCGGCCGGTGTGGTACTCGTCTTTTCGGCCATCAGTTTCAGTGCTGGATATGCATGGGGTCGTGAAGTTGGCCGAATTGAAGGAGAAATGGGCATCACATCCGGCAGCATATCTGGCGCCAACGGCCTTGGTGGTGCCAGCTCTTGCGGACAAGAGACTCTGCGATCCACCGGCAGTGGATTAAGAAGACTCAGATGGGGCGCGGGCAGTAGCAGCGTCCGGGCTTGAGAAAATGGTGTGGAGCAGATGATTATTCTGATACCCTCCTCTTTCAAACAGCACGTCCAGGAGCCATCTTCGACCTGCGAGATTTATATCATCATGAATACTCGCATGTCATCAAAAGCAAGTCTGCATGTCTGAGGCCCTTGATGGATGAATGAGAATGGTGGATTTTGTCCATGGACATTCTTCCGGACTGCCTGGCACTATCCGCGGAGATGAGCAGAGACGTGGTATTACGCGGCAACGCCTTTGATTGATTACATCCAATGACGCATTGAATTTTGGGGGGCACACGACACCATACACGAAGCATGAATGAGGTCACGAGCATGAGCATTGAAATTGGGGGTTATTTAGTCATTTGGGGATGGAGGGTTAGGTCCATAAGATGACACCAGGTTTATTGAATTCTGATTCACAAGGTAGTTAGTTAGTCTAGGGATATACTGGTACCACACTGACGTCCATCGGCCTCGGTGTCTTTGGAATAAAATTTATGTTGGTGACCGAGATTCCACTTCCTCCAATGCTCTCGCTCTCTCGGGGAAGGACCCAGCATATCAGAACGACGACAATGAGATTGATAAACTACTATGTATCATCATACATAAGGATCACCACATTTATACATATGGTCTGCACGCTAGAAGAAAAGACTCTTTATACAATTCTTTGTTATACAAACATCTTTCTCTCAAACCGCCAACTCTTAAGCGGGATAGGGGCGGCTCTGGGTTACAGTCTATACAGTGGATAGTCCTCACCACCCTCAAACAACCTAACCTGATTCACCAGGTCGATACAATCCCAACAAACAATCACTCAACAACAGCACTGCACCACACCTCGAAAACTGCTGTTATCATACACTTCCCATCCTCCAAGACAACTCCCCCATCAACTAACTACCAAGTACCTCGTATTACATCGTCTTCAAGAAATTACTCTCCCTAATATCCTTCCTATTCGCAACCCTCTTACTCTTTGTAATTTCCTGTCTTCTCTTCAAACTAGTAATAGCATCATCACCAGGTTGAGTCAAATCCATGCTTTGTTCATGAAGAGGGATTTTCACCGGCATTTTGGCTCGGATTTTTTCTTGTGCTTTGTCCCATCGTGCGCGTTGTTTTTTCGTCATTGCTATTAAATTAAGAAGAGTGACAAATTAGCAAGAAGAAACGGGAAAAAAAAGAAAGGGAGTATATATCCTTTCGAATAGACGGAGGATATCGTAATAGATATTGGGATACGCATACCAGAAAGATCAACCTTTGTCTCTCCCGGAGCTTTATTTCCTTGTTCCAAAAGTCCCCACAACCAATCAGGATATTCATCATCTTCCATTGCTTTGATGACGGGTTGGGCTTTTGTGTAGCCGAGACCTTTGAGTTCGGCGCCGCCGGGGACGGAGGATTGGAGTTTTCGTGGTTTGATTGTAGTAGGAGGTTTGGTCTGGGGTGTAGATAGGGGTTGGGATGCGGCTGGGTGCGAGGAGGATTGGGTTGGGTTTGCGGTTGAAGTTGAGGTCGATGTGCTAGGTGGTGGTGTTGATGGAGCTGCGTTGGGAGTTGAGGGGACGGTTGATACGGAGCGAAGATGAGAGAGAGGTTGGAAGAGAGGGAAGGGAACTCGGCGGGAGGTGAATGGTGTTGAAGAGCATGATGTCGCGGAGGATTTTGCAACTGTTGCTGCTGTCTGCGAAGTTCGAATGCTTGCCTGTAACAGGGAGCGGCGGCAGCTGGAGCAAATCATGGTTGTTGGGGGGTTTGCGAGGATAGCTAGAGTAGGGGGAAGGTTTGGGAAACGAGAAGTCGACTTGCGACAGTGGTAAAGAATTCACCAGGGGCCGACGGTGAACAAGATGGTAACCTCGCTGTATTTCTGGTTTGAAGTGTAAAAACCTCTAGCAAAGAGTTGATGGTTGCAGTGAGTGGTTATGTTTGTCAAGTTTGCAGTGTTTGCAGTGTTTGCAGATTGTGCACGGGAAGTCTTGGCATAAAGTCGATGCAACAAGACAAGGCTCGAAACCCCCTGCCGACGATCTTAGAAACATTCAAGATCACCTAGGTATTTGATATCGACGTCTCCTGAACCGAAGATTTGCAGAATGTCCTTGTACGATCCCATTAATGCCTTCGGTGCTGTTTGGATATCACCACATAAGTCATTATTACCATGTATTCTATTCAGCTAATTCACAAAATGAAGTTCTCCTCTCACGAATATTTCTGTCCTCGTTCCTCTCCTCGGGTTTTGGTATAGCTATGATGTGTTATGACGTCGTCTTCGATGATAGAACAATGCTATGAGATGATCCGCTATAACCACTGAGCACAATTTATCAGTAGCCATCCTCACATGGTTTCACGCTTACTTACCAGTCAAATAACCAAACATGACCACCACTGTCGTCCAAGGACTCAGATAAAACGCCTCGCTGGCGTCCGTTCGCATCCAATTCGCAGTCAAGGGCACCAACAATAGAAAGCCAATCAAGACTTTAATTCCAACCGAAAGCCACATGTCCTTGGTGGGGATTTTCTTCGCAAATATCGTCATGAGCGACAGAACGAACAGTAGGCCGCCGGCGGCGAAGAAAAAATACAGGAAAACGGCTTCCATGATATGTTGAGGTGATGATGCAGCTTCTACAGGTGGAGGTCGGTGATCTTGAGTGACCAGACCATCGACACCGAAACTCGAGTATACTGCATCCTCTATCCCCTTCCACAGTTGGTCGATCACAACACTTGCTTCGACCTGCCATTCAGTGGTGTTGAAAGGATGGCCAATATTTTGGATTGCCATAATATCGCGAGTGTAGTTGTACATAGTGAGTAACGCCTCTTGGTCCCGGAAGGTGACATGAAACAATTGATGCAGGTCCCCAGAAATCGATCCGAGAACCCCATCAACGGAATCGTACTCGGAGAAGAAGTCGTTCCAATCGACAGAGTTCTGCAGAGGGTATAGAGAATCCCAGTAAGAAATAATGTGACTGATGACCCTCGATAAAATCAGAAAGTTCGACCCTTCTTGGGTCAAGAGGATGGCGACATGGAGTGGAAAATGCAAGATCATCCAGATTTGCTGGCGAATCGAGCCGAATTTGTCATGCTCAGCGTGACCGAAATATAACATAAAGATCAAGTACTGACAGCGGTTAGCATATTGAACTCCAACATCCATGTTACGTGGTACTTACAACCAAGACCATTGCGCAGATCAACTGACCAAAGTTTTCTGCTGTTGGCCGTCTCAAAGTCTGGAACAATCGATAAGTGGACCTGGCCAGACCAAGAACACCTTCACCCATGACGATCAGGGTCAACAGACCCAAACGTTCGATGAGATGAGTGCGCTTGAAACTGACGACTCTCCACTTACATGAGATGGCAATGACCGTAGCACCCTCAGCCACACTAAGGACATACCTATCCATGTTAACACTCACTCAACCCTAAGGAAATTACCACTCACCAAGCAATGTACGAGTCCGGAGCCGTGTCGAACCCCCAGAACAAGCCAAAATAAGCCAAGGAAGTGGAGCAGAGACATCCTATAGTAAACAAGAAGGGTGCTCTTGTCTTGTCGTACTGACGGACATACCAATATGTCACAGAGTATTGCATTGCGAGGACCAACCTCGAAACCATCAAGACTAGCGACATCGCGCGAAAGCCGTCGATCGTAGAACGGACATGGTTAGTGTTGTAGCATGCCGCACAGATGACGAAGCCAATCATGATGGCGTAAGAAATGGCTTTGTGGACATGCTGAAAAACAGACTCGGTAGAAAAGCGAACGTCGAAAAGTATGGTTTGCAGCCAGGTGAACCAGATGAGGGTGAAATAACCCAAATATCGTTTCAGAACTGGAGGATACAAGTCAATTTCTGTGAGAAGGAGGCATCGATTGGGACCATATGATACATACTTGCACCGTCCACGATTTCATTCTCAGCGGTGACACTGGCCAAATTGGCGACAAAGAAGAGGTCGTAGAACAATTCAATAGCACTCGCTTCACGTTGATGTCGAAATATGGGTCCCTTGGCCGTTGGTTTCTGGGGAGGAGCCGACGAGCCGACAGATTCATGTGCGGCTTCATGGTCATGGTCAGGGTCATGGTCATGGTCCGCGTGGGCAATATGCAATGGTGGTGACAACCAGGGAAGGGGTGTTTTCATTCTGGCAATGGTGCAAATGCGCACTCATCGTGGTGTTAGAAGTTAAGGTCGAGGAACCAACGATGAAGAATTCTTATCTGAAGATATGCAGATACGCGAAAGCCTTCGGAAGGAGCCATTGTTGCGCTTCCATCAGAACGGATCAGAATGGCTCTTTTCTTGACTATTGAACAACAATAAAACGTTTGTGGAACGGCAGCCAATCGTTTTGTGTCAATGCACATTTATCCTCCATTGATGCCGCAGGTGCAATGACCAGTGTGGGTTTCTCAGCCACGTCAGCGCAGCCGCATCTCGACTCGCAAGGACAAACTCAACCTATTACCCGTGCAGCGGAACTGATCTTGGAATTGTACACGAGGAAGACCACTGGGATGGTTGTAGGCAAGTCTTTCTGTATAGAACAAGGGCTTTGGTCCGACATTTGTACCCATGCTTAAAGTATCTGCTCACTTTCAAACAGCGCCATCATCTGCAATATATGTATATACCTAGCTATCCTACTATCGCCCTTCCGTCGAATGCCTCTGGCCTCCTACTTACACCTCAACTGGCTCCTTAAACAGGCCGAGCTCTTATGCTCGACATGGCCCAGCTCCAAACGCTACACATAGAATCAAAATCAAATAGTTGACTTGGAGCGGCATCCTCCACCGCCATTGATCGATAGCCAGGGAGTTTGGCCATCGTATCATACTTCAAGCTTCAGTACCATACTCACCTCTGTCTTGGTCTTTGGTCTCGGTACCCCCAAAAATGCTGTCGCTATGATCATCTCTGAAATTGCCCAGCGCGTCACATGAATGCCAACCCTAGACCCAGATGAGAAGCATTACTCTCAGAATCGGTAGGTCTCTCTTGCTAACTCCATCGGCAACTTTGGGGTCGTTCTTTGTCCAGCCCCGTTGAGTTTGCAATCCATATCTACCATGCATATTCATACCCGGAACCTCACCCTCGACATCGACAAGGCCCTCTTTCTTGTCTAGAAGCCAAACGGATTATTGGCAGCTATAATCATGTCAGAAGAATGTCCTACACGCGTGTGTTGTATCAGATACTTACTAGCATTGGCGAGATTGGCCCGTCTTCCAGTTGGCTGAGCCACGAGTTTCTTAGCGTCAGTAACGCCAAATTTGACTGGTGGTGCAGGGCCGGTCTTTTGTGGTTGAAGAGGAGCTGGTGTAGGCACCTGTTGAGGGATTGGAGGAACTGGTGGAGCTTGAAAGCCCCCGAAGCCATTCGATTGAGGCATTTGCCCGAAACCAGTTTGCATGGGTTGCATGGGTTGCATGGGTTGTGGGAAACCCGTCTGCTGCGGTTGGAGTGTCTGCTGTGGTGGGAAATTGCCCTGTGCTTGGAACGGCTGCTGAAATCCATTGGTCTGGCTTTGTTGTAATGGAGAAGAGAAGCTTGTCCTTTGTGGTTGGAGTGCAGGAGGGAGCACCGTATTGAGCCCACCGGGCGGCGGACTTTGCTGGAAAGGGATACCGGTCGGCTGCGGTTGGAATGACGTTCGTGGATCAGCAAATGGACTTCCAGCAGCGTTCCCATTAAGATACGGTTGTTGCTGGAACTGTCCAAACTGTTGCTGCTGCGGGAAACCAGTCTGCTGGGCTGCAAGGCCGTATTGGCCAAATTGGCTTTGGGGGACAAACCCAGTGGGTTGAGGCTGCAGTGACATCTGCTGATATTGCTGCTGCATCCGTTGCTGGTTCAAATCGTTCAGGCTTTGCCCAGGCGCGGTTTGAAGCGCAGCAGTGCGTGGAATGCCCGTGAGTTGGGGCTGGAGAGGTTGTTGGCCGAATTGGCTTGGGTTTTGTGGAGCAGACGTGGGACGAGGTGGAGGAGGTAGCAGGCCAGCCCCCGTAAAGCTTTGCTGAGGAGCTTGCGGTCTCTGTCGAGGCAAGTTCAGCTGCGGATTGGGATACCCTGTGGCTTGAGGTGGGATCTGGGCAAAGAATTGTGGATTTGCTCCAGTTTGTTGGGGCTGCTGCGCAAGACCTGGTCCAGGAGCGGGCGACGTGGCAGACTGCGGGGGAAGCTGGGTAGGCTGAGGCGGTTGAGGCGAGAGTTGTTGTTGTGGTGGTGGTGCCGGAGTTGGAATGAGCGGGGGATCGAGCAAGGAATTGAGATCGGCGGCAGCGCCAGTTAGGGGCTTGGGAGCTGGAGCAACCGCTGGTGGTGATTGAGGCTTTGCAGCTGCTGGAGCGTTGGCCGACGGTTTCACTGTCCAAGCATCGTCGTCAAAGCCAGATTGCGGCTCGCGGGCGGGAGCCTGGGTGAGCGGCGTCGCCTTTGCCCCTTCTGGTGGCTTATCTTCTGTGGGGGATTTCTGGTTGAGGGCATCAGCGTCTACAACATCTCCAACCTGGCGATTTGCATCAGGTCTACCCCGGCGGGTATTGTTGTGCAAAGCGCCACCTTCTCCTGAAAAGATGCCGGCGGCGGGGGCAGCGCCGTTGACTCCATTGGCAGCACCTTTGGTCCGGCCATGAAGTTGGTCAAGATACTTCATCACCCTCAGTGCGTCACCTTCTCTCAGACCGAGTGTTCTCAGGGTGTCGGTGGTAATGTCGGGCAGGATACTCTCGTCCATGGAATCTTTAATCATGGCCTGGGCATAACGCTCACACTGGTGCGGACCAACGCCGGCCTTCAAAAAGAAGTCGAACCAATCGTAATCGGGTGTCTTGGATTGTTCGGGTGCTCGCGGTTCTATCGTTGCTCCCGCGCGCGCGGATGATTGTCCCGACTGGCTCTTCCGTTTCATCTTTATCAAATCAGCGACTGGTATGTGATCCTCAATCGGTTCGTTGGTTACCTTCTCGACGTATGCAAGGTCTTCTGGCGACATTTTCGTCACAGGAACAGCAATCTTGATGCCGTTGACCTTGTGTAGATGAATCTTACCGTCGGCGACCCCTAGAAATTGAGCCTCGACTTTGAAGGTACCCGAATGATCCGTCCACGTCCTCACCTTGCTCAGGTCGGGTTTGGATCTGCTCTTCCTTCGATCATCCTTGTCTTTGCCATGCTTCCGCTGGGAAGACTCGTCGGCCAGACTGCTCCCTCGTTCGGGTAGCTGGACGCCTGGACCGACTTCGGAGCGAGAGCGAGCGCGACTGTGTTCTGCATCTTGTCGGGCTCGATCGGCTCTTGCAGCTTCTCTGGCTAGCCTCTCTTCCTCGAGGCGATTTTGCTCGACCGCTGATCGGCCAGCGTTGATTCCGGTTCTAGAAGGCGGCTCCGCGGCAACCACACCGGTGACTTCGATGTAGATACTGGGGACAACACCTTCAGCACCATTCTTCAGACGCCGCACGTTCCACCACTCTTCGGACTTGGTGTCGTCGAGAATCATGACTTCATCGCCCACACCGACGGTGACCTCATCGTCGCCTTGAGCCATGAAATCATAGAGAACCTGGCCCTTCTTGTGACCGCCGCCTGATGCGGCCTCGATGACTTCTCGAATGCCTTCTGCGCGATGAGCGCCGGCAATCTCGCCTAGAGCTCTCACAATCTCTTCTGCGGTGTCTTTGGCACCAGCATGAAGATCTAAACTTTTACTTGGACGGACTAATTCGATGAAAACGTGCTTACCCTCGATGGAATAATGTGTCATTTTATCGGCAGTCCATTCCTGAGACGGTCCATCTCTTGACTTTTCGGGTGACAGCATGATGACGCCGGTCGCAATGTTGACACCGAGGGTGGTTGGCATCTTTTTCCGCCGGCCCATGGCGGAGACCATCTCATTGATATTGTACAAATGATAGCCAGAAGGGGTCTGGAGGTGGAGCGGGTGGTCGTCGTCGCGATGGGACGTGGCGCGGTTATAGGGAGGGGAGGGCATGATGCCGGGTATGTCCTCATGGCGCGATGGAGGTTGGATTGGAGCAGGGGGAGAGACGAGGTCTGAATTTGGTCTGCGTGGGAGATCTGGTGGGGCACCCTCGTCGTCTGAGGCATCTGGGGTGTCTTGCTCCCGGGGCGGTGGATTGGCGGCTATTGCGCTGCGACTGCTGGTAGTAGCTCCAAGGACTCGTGCGAGGTCGGCAGCTGGGCCTGAGACGGATCTGGTTGGTGAAGTGGGACTCGTCGGGGTGCGGACTGCGGGAGCAGCGATATAGGATTGTGAAGGAGAGGCGTCATCGGGGGACTGAGGAGGGAGGGAGGATAGTTCGATGTAGTTGGCAGGGGCGAAGCCAAACTCGCCATTGACGCCGATCAGAGTCCAATCAGGATCTGAAGTATCGTAAACTGAGAGAGTGGCATCCTCGGTGAAAGAGACCTCTTCGTCAGTCTGGCGGGTGTAGTCGTAGAGAGCTTTGGCGGCATGGGAGGGTTTTGCATCCTGAACATAGTTGTTTGGAATTAGGCCCTCGGGCTCGTCATCGTCTTCTCCTTGGGCTTTTTTCTTGGCCTTCCACCAATCATCCTCTGTGCTTTTTTCCAAGATGTACAGAAGCTCTCCCTCGTGAATCTCGAGCTCTCCGGCGCTCTGGGGCTGGTATGCGTAGAGGGCGGTGCATATTGCGACGAAGCCCATTGTGGGGAGGGACGAGTAGAGTAGAACAGACGGGCAGAAGACTCAGAGGGCGTGGCGAAGAAGAATTGCCATCAAGTTGATGGGTGGGAGATGACGACGAGATAGAAATGGCGAGATTGAGGGAGGGAGAGAGAAAGTTGTGTTGTTGCCGGGATGGGATGGTAAGCGAACGGGTAAATCAACGACAGACGTAGATGGGGCGGGAGTGATGAGCCTTGGGGCCAGAGGTGGGTGACTGATGGTTGAGATGGCCAGAAGAATGGCAGAGCTGAGATGACTGATGAAGAGCGTGATGGTATGGCGGCTAAGTCGCAGCAAGTGTCGAAGATGGTGGCAGCAAGTTGGGTAGTGGCAGTGACGGGACAGTGGTTGCAGGTGAGGTGGTGAAGTTGGTATTGATGTGTCAGGATGGAGATGCAGACGCAGACGCAAGACGCAGCAGTAGCAGCAGCAGCAGCAGCAGTAGTGGAGGACCTCGCAGGTTGACTTCTGGTTGGCAGTGGGAGATTGTTAGGACGACGGGAGAGGAGAAACCTCGTGCAGTGACCAAGCACCAGAACGGCCTAATTACAGTAGCAGGTTACTACAACCACTACCACTACCACTACCACTCCTACTACGGAGTACCTTTGGTTACTATTTACCGATGCCCGAGAGGAGTTCGTTCGGCGTACCTTCTTCAAAATAGGCTTGGCTTAGAGCAGCTGCTTACTAGCGGAGTGCCGGAGTGCCTAACCAAAATATACAACACTTATTCTGGTGGGTGGTGCAGGTACGCAACCCTTACGTCGTTCTTGCCCAGAAACAGCTTGCATGCTTGCGTGTTGCACAACATCCACTGCAGTCACGGTCACGTCATTCATGGTTGCGCTTTCCACTGCTAGGGACAGACCCTCTCGACGTTTTCAAAAGATGAAATATGATATGGCCGAAGTCGTCCTCAAGTTAGGTACTTAATAACCTAAGTTGGGTATCTCTATAGTTTCAAGTTGGAATTTATCAATCGACTTGGGAGAGCATGATTCCCACGTGGCTCATCGATCGGCCATTCCATGTCACCGTGCCTGACAGATACTGGCAGGCCAACGACAGAATCAACAGGCATCACATGCAGATTTGCTTCAACCATCCTCTCCGTACTCTTCTTGACTTCCCAGAGTATCTTCTTCCTTCAATGCATCTCCTTCCTCTGCATTATCCTGCTTGCCCTGGTCTGTGGGCTCCTGTTCTTGTGCATCCTCCCCCTTCCTTTCTCCCCCATCATCATCATCTCTATCATTCGCATCATTCGACACCACCCCTCTCAATTGAGTCTGTCCATGGACATCATCCAATTTCTCAATCTTCCAATCCTTGTTTCCTGCCACCCTCTGCAACTCGTTCCGGAAAGCGTCAATTTCTTCAGGTGAAATCTTGAGCTTCTTCAACTGTTCTTTGGACAAGCTCGACACTTTTCCATCTTTCTGCATGATCACAATTTCCGCCCTTTCATCTCGCGTCAGCACAATCCGTCCTCTCTCTAATTTCTTCCCCTCTCTCCCGACATGCTTCATAGCTCCGACCTCAACCCTTCCCAGCACAATCTGTTGTCCCTCGCCTTGTCCAAGCGTTTGACGGTGTGAAGCCTGTTCATATCTATCCTCCCAGGCAGAGACCTCATCTTCCGACACAATCTCACGACAAGTGACAGGAAAGGCACGACTCTCCTTCGGCGGTTGAAATGCCACATCATTACACAACCTCGGAGTGTAGATGACCATGAGATATGCACACGTCGCCGTCTCCTTGATCCATCCGATCCGATCAGTCAACTGCGGATTACAGTGAAACTGCACCTCGATCTTGCGATCATTCCCCGTGAGATCACATGGAGTCCCCCCTTCTAATCGTTGGACCAGATAGTTAGTCTCTGCTTTCGTTTGCACCTCGGTTGACAACCCAAAAGGTTGCGTATTCCGTTTCTGCTCCTGTTTCGGCGCCTTCTGTAGATCATGCTGCTGCTGTTGCTGTTCCGCCCCCTTCTTATCCTGTTGTCTCTGATATTTCCCCAAAACATAACTCGGCGTCTCTGGATCCTCCTGCGGCGGCCACGATCTCCCATTCGCTCCCAATGGCAAAGCATGAAACTGTGTGATTTGCGAATCGTAACAAAACGAATACGTCCACCAGCCAGTCGAATAATACAGACACTGATTCGACGTCATATCTTGTAGTAATTCTGCCCCTCGTGCCACCGCACGATCTAGCTCTTTCTCTCGATCAGCCGCTGAAGGCATTTTTTCAGTCTCATTCGGCGAAATCGGGTCGACTGTAGGGATGTGGCAGAGGTGAGAGCGACCTTGGAGGACGAGTCTTTCGAAGGTTCCTGGTAAGTTGGAGGGGGAGTCGGTGTTGGGATTGGGATCGGTGTCGTCAGTTTCTAAAGAACCCGGATTCTGGTTCGAGAGGAAGGGCGACACGTCGCTGGACCATGGTGCAGATGTTCCCTGGGCGGCGGCATCTTGTTCTGTACGGCCATGGCCATGCCAATCGTTCGCGTCGCTGTCACCTTGGAGTAGACTCCTGGCGTCGGTTTCTAGGATGTATGACTTGAGGAATTCGACATTGTACTGTAAAAACTTAGTTAATGCGATTCGATAGGTGGAAGGTGTCCATGTGGTTTTGTGGTGCGCACCTGCGGAAATGCAAACACATCGTCGTTAACGCTGAATGAGGTCTCACTGGCCCGGCACAGTGTGACCGTCAGTGCAGGAAGCAGGAGATCACGGCCCCTCATGTCATCAGATTACAGACATGGATTGCAACAGTCGCGAGGTTCGAGGTTCGAGACTCGTATTAGACGAACAAAGTATGGATGATGTGTCTTGATGTGTCTTGATGTGGATGCAACAACGTCATTCGAATAAGGCCGAGGTGGCCCGACTCCTTTCGTAGTCACCAGCCAAACCTCCTTTTTAATATTCCCCGATCATATCCTATCTTTGGTCTTTTATGACTCTAGATTCAACCACCTTGAATACGCACAGGATGTTGAACGTCTCGAGGGATTTCAGATAGACAGCATTCATCCGTGGTTTCTACTTTGCACTCACTACACCATCTAATCTTCTTCACCCCAATATAACATTTCCAAAACCCTTGTCCGACCTCCCCCAAGAGACCCATCCTAGTCTGTGATCCAAGCCCATTCTATGAAATATCCATTTCATCATGCACCAGGCACTGGACATACTAGCATCGTCCAGCTCTTAGAGACACCAGTAACTCCTCCTTTCCACTTCCAAATCAGTTTCTTCCTTGACCGCTTGACAATACATTCATCAATACCGACGACAAAGACATCCCTGCCGATGTATCTTCCGACGCGTCAGCCATGGCAATCTCACTAAACGGGGGTACATTCCACCAGGCTTTCCCTGCGATCGCTTTCATCTCGTTCTCGCCCAGAACAGCCTTCCTCGCAGCATCAGTCGCCTCATTAAGCACTTCCTCCCTCCACTTGACCTGATCCCATTGCCTAAAACCACGTGCTGTAGCAAGATACTGTTCAACTTCATCCTTGGTCTTTTCGTCTGCGTCCACATCTTGCGCCGCAATCCCATTGTTCCCAGCCTGATTCCTCAACTCCTCTCTCCGCTGCTCTTCATCCTTTTTCGTTTGTTGAATCAGGGCAAGACGTTTGGCAACTTCATTCGCATCGTACAGAGATACGAGTTTTCTCTTTGCGGGATATTTCTGCTGTAATGAGACGATGAGATGCTGCATCTTCCACTCCGCTGTTGTATCCACTGCGGGATATGAAGCCCCAGCTGTTGGGACGGAGATATCGGTAACGTTGACAAAATCCTTGGCTGTCGTATCCTTGACGCTCCACTGCTCCCTTTCAGACAATTGAGGTGGATTTTCGATGAAGCTTCGCAGGTAGGCAGTAGATGCGACGTCAATTGGCGTCATTCCTGTTCCGTTCTCCCAGTGTAGGAGGCCCGGTCGGTATTCCACCAAAAACTCAACGAGCTCCACATTGTTAGCTCGAACAGCCACATGAAGAGGGTAATCGCCTGCTCCATTCAACTTTTCGAGGTCTTTCCCACCAGAGTACTGGAGTATCACCTCCACCGTCTTTTGCCAGTCCTTGGTACCTTTGTTGCACCGGTTCAAGAACAGTGCTAGTGGCGTCATAGCCTCAAAATCAGAGCCGCTGCACCGTTCGAGCAAAAGAGTGGGCACAAGCTTTGGCTCGAGGAGGGCGAAGAGCGACTCCAACAATCTATCCTCCTTTGTTCCACATGTTTCAAGAATGGAGTGCAGGATATTCCTGCCAGCGTTATCTTTAGTAGCTTGGTTCGCGCCCGCCGCTATCAGCTTCCGGGCTGCTTGATATCGACCGACTTCGAATGCAAGCTGCAAAGGCGTTTTCCCGTCAGCTGAACGGTTCTCAATTCCATGTGGTGTCTTTTCCAAGAGGTAGTCAAACACGGGCTGTAATCCATCCTCGTTTGGTGCTGATAGAACGCCCACGTGGAGAGCAAGGTGGTTTCGTGTTGAAAGCCATTCAGTCAACTTGCCTTCAAACCCACCCGGTGACTGTTTCAATGCTCGCAGATGCTTGTCGTCTTCAAATGTCTTTTCAAACTCCAGATATCGCCTCATTGGGGCGTCGGACAAGAAGTATTCCACTGATTCGAGGTTACCCATCAGCACCGATCCTAGCAAGGGAACTCCTATACTGCCGGTCTTCTGTGATGAGCGATGGCCTCGGCGTCCAGCTTCAGCCCAATCTTCGCGTTTTCGACCGTGAACCGTCAGACCTTGGTAGTATTGCGACTTCTGTTCAAGCTTCACACCTGATTGGAGGAAGATCTTGCGCAGAGGGAATCCGAAACCGGTGGATTTGAGAATTTCTCCAATCATCTCTAGCCGACCAAGACGGATTGCCAGCTCAAAATCCGCCGTAGAAATATTGAAAACCTTCAAAGTATGTCCATCATCTTCTTTCAGTGCAGCAAGTTCGTTGCCCGTCTTGATCATGAACTTTAGGAGCCGCATGTTATTGGTGAATATTGCATATCTCACCAAGTTGTCCCGTGATGACCGACTGTTGTGATCGTACGCGGCATTGAACCATTCCCAAGACTCGTCAGGATTCTTGCCAACATAGGCTTGAAGAGTGGTGGGATGACTGAAATATTCTCGGGCAGTGCGGCGATCCACCTTGTCGTCAAGCGCACGAGTCACCTGGCAAGACCAATTAATCATTGCCGCCGGCGGGATGATCGATTTGACGGTATCCGAAAGAGCCGCGACATTGTCAACAGTGAAGTCATCCTTGACCAGGTGCCTCAGCACGCCGAAGTCACTTGTCTGACTTTCATCGCTGTCATAGCTATCATCGCTGTCATACTCATCGTCGGCAACCCGTAGCGTATACTTGTATTTTTCCATGTTGTGCGTGGGGTGGTATTGGACTGTCGCAATCTCGACGATCAGGCGAGCCAAATCAAAATGACCTCGTATTGCGGCAATGGAAAAGGGACAAAAGCCACGAAGATCCACCGTGGCGATTTGAAGTGGTCGTGTGGGCGAGAGACAGAGAGATCTGACCGTCTCGCTGTCGCCTTTCCAGCATGCTTCGAAAAGTTTGGTGAAGTCCTCTCGCTTATCTGGGGTCAGACCAGGAATGCCAACGCCTATGTTCGTGGCATAAGGGCTGCTTTTATAGCCGGCGAAGTGGAAACCGCGAGGTTCCGACAGTCTGGCGTTCGGATGGAGTTCCTTAAAAGTTTTTGCCTTCTTCCTGACAAGTTTCTTCTCCAGGTCGTTGAGTTTCAACAGGGTCTGCTCCAATGCAGCCTCCCTCTGCACGCTACCATCTGTTGGAGGCGTGACTAGAGAGTCAAGTTTCTTTTGGTAAGACTCCAGCTGGAACTTTTTGACGGCTCTGGCATCATTGAAATCATGGTAAGCAGTCCAGTATGAATATGTACCCTTTGCGGCCTTGAGGTACTCGGCCGGCTTTCCAAGCTCCTCCGGTTTCTTGAGCTCCGTCTTTGGCTCTATGCTGTCTTGTATAACTTTTATGCGGGCACGAATGATATCAAGCAGGGAATAATCATGATTCGTTTGCCCGTAGGAATATTCAATTGCTTTCCAGCCGGCTGCGGAAATAGTATTGACATCCACTCCTGCGTCAATTGCTTGGTTAACGAGATCGATCATCTCCATCTTGGCAGCGAGAATGATAGGTTGTTCAACATTTCGCTGAAAGGTCCTGAGTACCTCGCTCTCAACGGAGCTAGGATAACGGACACCACGCTTGTAGGCTTCCACAAAAGCGCTGAAGTCGATTTCCATCTTTGCACCCAGAGAAATTAGCCTCTCGGCGAGATCCATCCTCCCAGAACGAATTGCCGTCAGAATGGGAGCTTGAACAGTCGGACTGCTTGAATAGCCCCAGGCGGCCACGAAGTTGCAGGCTTTGGCGACCGCAGCAGGGTCAGAGGCTTGCAAAGTGTCAATTATGAGTGTTTTGGTGCTGTTTATAGCGTAATGCAGTGCAGAAACGCAGTTCATGTCTGCTTGAGTAGGGGTTGCTCCACGGGCAAGAAGAGCTTTGACGGTTTGATTTGCTTCTTGAAGAGGTAATTCAAGAGCTAAGACAATTGTAAGGATTGCAGCTTTGGCGCTCTTTCGATCATAATCATCCATGATCTTGACAGGAAGGAGAACATCGGCGCTGTAGTTGTCAATCAGTAACTCCACAACCTCAACTTTCCCAGCCAAGATTGCAAGGTGAAGAGGTGACATCGGACTGTCCCAAGCTAGAACATCGACGTTGTATACGTCCGGCTCGTCTTTGCCTTCGAGTAGAGCATCTGTAGTATCGGTGCCACGACCGACCTTGACGAAAGAGCCTTCTGTCACAGCGTCTTCTTCGCTGTCGCCATCTGAATTGTGGTGGTCGCTGTCTTCCTCGTCCTCCCAGTCTTCGTTTCCGGAATCTGATACATCATCGATGGGGATGTTTGACGCAGCACCTGCGGAAGCGACGTCATCTACAGTAAGGACGTCCTTGGTAGTCTCTGGGTTTTTGGATGCTGTCCGTCTGGCTATCTTTCGCCCATCCTCCTTTCGGGACTCCTCCTCCTCGTTAGAAGCACTCTTGTCAAGAAGGTATTTGACCATCTGGAATTCACCACGGTGGGCAGCGATGTGTAGAGCAGTCATGCCATTGTAGAGCCTAGAGACAATTCGGGCACCGTGTTCGATCAGGGTGTGCACAATCTCCGGAGTAGAGCACATAGTGGCTAGATGTAGAGGAGTACGGCCGGTATGATCGCGTCTATCAACGTCGACGACCTCAGTTGAAGAGAACCAGTCTCTGACGGCTTCGAGATCTTGGTCAACAATGGCTTGGCAGAGTCTGGTGGTATTTCCGACATAGGCCATTTCTGTCCAGTCCACATCTGTGATGGGATTGAAGCTACCAATCGCTTGTCGACCGGGGTTGTCAGTGAGAAATGTCATGGGTCCTGAGATGAAGACCTTGCTCTCTTCCTCGAAGGCTGCAAGATCTGCGTCTGTGGTCGGCTTGGGACAAAACCCGCAGCAGTCATGAATGACATCGTTCATAGACCCAAAAAAGGTTGGGTGACGATGCAGAACGGTTTCTCTGTCCTTGGGCTTGTTCCATTCCGCATTGAGAAGCAGATCTTTGGAGAACAGAAGTTTTTCGATTCTCTTGGCCGTATAGGTGGGGCCGTAAGGGATGGTGACAGTGTGGTAGTTTGAAATATCATCCTCTTCTACCCATTCAGCAACGTCATCCGGTTGCCTGTCCTTTAAATTTCCAGGTAGCTGGTGGACGTTACGCTGAGACCAGTGAAGGGCTGGACGACCGCGTTCCTCTCGTCGTTTAGCAAGATACTGCTCTCTGTCGCTGGGAAGTGGCAGCTTCTCTAGTACGAGGAGGCGAGCGAGGCCTTGAACTCGGCCAAATGATCTTTCAAAGATGGTTGGATCGACACGGTCACGTTGGAGCAAGGGCCAGTAAGCCTCGAAGCCACGATGGGAGTATTTGGAGAGGCGATTTTCATAGGACGGCGAACGACGAGTTAAGTCAATGGTGTTGACTTGTGTCATGAAAGATGCAACGGCACGTGGTGATGCCCAGACTTGTTGACCATCATATGCCACACAAGAACAGTCGACGTCAAAGCCTGTGAGGATCTCTGAAATGGATTTGTACAGACGGAGAACGATCTGCACATGTCGGGTAGGGTATTGTGAGACGATGGTGATGGCGTTCTTGGTTCGGACAGTGGTGGTTTCAGAGAGGATGCTGTCCCGAATCTTTGATTCAATCTGTTTGATCTTCTCGATGGCCTGCTCCTCGGTCAAACCATACAAGAAAAGATCCACGTCGGAAGCAGGAGCCAGAACGTCGTGGTAGTAATGTCGGAGCGCTCGCTGAGCAATGTCAAAAGAAGAAAATAGCAGGAAAGCGAGAGACTAACCTTGGATTCGTTATGGGGTGCGTCGACAGGGAGGAGAGAGGTATTGACGGCACTTCCAGCAACAACGACGTTGGACCAGTCCAGATCAGCGAGTGATGATTCGGAGAAGATATTGAAGTTTGTTCTGAATGTCCTGAGGGAATCGACAGTCGCTGGGGCATTGTCTTTGCGGCGAAGACCGTCAGAAAGGGGTAGGAGGTAGCGGTTCTTCTCAGAGGGAGACTCATTTTTCACGTCTCTGGCCTTGGTCATGATCTGAGGGCCATTAAAAATCGGGACCATGTGGTTTTCTGAAGCTGCTGGGTGGTCTGGATACTGAGCATAAACCTCTCGAAGTTTGTTCTCGTAGTCGATGAAGGGGGTGACGGCTTCAGTGACAGCATTATGGCTTTTGAAGTTCTTGTGGATATACTCGACAAACTCAGAGATAGGAACTGGCAGTTTAGGAAGTTTGACCGCCATGGTGGATGATGATGTTGAACAAGGCTGAGGACAGATTGAAGAAAGAGGTAGATAGATGGTGGAAGACAAAAAGGAGGAAGCTGGTCTTTGATAAGTACTAGTACCTTGGGTAACTTGATCACAATCTATTGTGCGTCTCAGAATGGCATCCAGTCACGGCAGCCACAGGCAGCAACAACGGCAAGAGCAAAGGATTCAAGACTTAATACTTGCATGCCAGGCAGGAGCGACGTGCAAAGTGAGGAAGGAGCAATGTGATCGCTTCTTGCCGTACGTACATAGTTTGCCGGACAGCATTCCAAGAGAATCCGTCCCATTTGTATTAGGCAATGATTCTGAATATAGGAATTAATTGGCACGTTGGCTTACCGTGTGGTCTGAAGTCGTCTGTTGGGTTCACGAGATGGGGTTTAAGGCTTCAGGGGTAACCAAAGTGGGGTGTGCTGCCTGAGAGATCTATGGATGGACATCTGATAGGGTTGCTTGGGCTCGCTTAGCCCAGGCAGACGGCGCAGTTTCAGATTCTCCATGTCCCGTTTCCATCACGGCAGATTCAGCCTTGGGTGGGTGATATTGAGTTTCAAAGACCGAACAATCAACTTGTCCACTCGGCCAACGAATACGTACTCCGTATACCTGCCAGCAAGTACTATGCATGGTATCCAATTGCCCCTTGTGCAAGTTTGACTGGGCGTAGTCAATCACATTTACGGAGTATATTGTCACGTCACGCGTCGGTCACGTGCCACAGCCAGTCTGAAACTTCAATCACCAGAGACAACTTCATTTGCTTATAGTGGACGTGGCAGATATATTTTGTTACATACATAGTCTGCGGTAGATCTGGGGTGCTTCTCACTGGGCCAAGGCTCCCTTCCTATGTACTTCGTATGTACTGTATATGTCCTGAATCAAGCGAGCACCAGCCAGGTATCTTCGCACATGCCAGATCGTGATGGCGCGGAGTCATTGGAATGCTGTGTCTAGAAGTAATTGACATTTACCTGCTGTTGGCAACGACCCCAAGCGCCTTGCATGAGCAACAGACGCCGCGAGGGCAAGGCTCCGAGTATGTATGTCTTGTTAAAAGTTGTGGATGTTGACAGGTACTGTAGGTACCCTAGAGAGTCTGGCTACGAATGTTATTGTGGGTGCAAATGCAGGTACCAGAGATGAAGACGGCCAATCACGAATTCGAGTACCATGGCAGAATTTAGCCTGCGCTCCTCGACTATAGGTATGCACAAGTGCGGCATCTTTACCCGTAGACGCTAAAATAGGTGCCTATCGAGGTACTCTTCAGCCACCAAGCCATACTTGTGGTACCTAAATTCGAGGTACCGTTGAATCTGACCAACACCAGCCACGAACCATCAAAAAGTCAACTACAACAAATTCTGCTACCACTGAAACGGCCATCATCTTCTGCTTCAAAACCCTTACCACTCCTGGTAACCCAACAGGTCCAATGCTTCTTGGTCCTAGGATCGCAAGGCACGCAAGTCGACTACCCAACCATTTCAGAGCGACCAGGCCATTCCTATTAACCACTTGCATCAACCGCACCATCTCACCACTCACCAAACAATTCAGCACCAAAAAACCAAAAACCTCAACCACACTCAAAACCAACACCGACGCCCACCACAACAACCAACAACCACTAGAAACCAAAATGGCCAACGACCACTATCTAACTCTGTCCTGTCCCGACAAACCCGGCATTATCCACGCTGTAACAGGAATCTTCGCACAACATGACCTGAACATTCTTGACCTGCAACAATTCTCTGATCGGTCATCCGAAAAATTCTTCATGCGCGTGCATTTTGGACCAGCGCCTGAATCTGGCACCGATTTTCTCGTCCCTCACTTCTCCAAACTAGTCGAATCGCACCAGATAGACTATCAACTCCGACCCGTGGCATCCAAGCCTAAGGTCCTAATCATGGTATCCAAAATCGGACATTGTCTAAACGACCTACTCTTCCGACAAAAGACCGGCCAACTCGCCATCGACATCCCCGTCATCGTGTCGAACCACCCTGACTTTGAACAGCTGGCCAACTCCTATGGAATTGCTTTCCACCATCTCCCTGTCACCAAGGACACCAAGCTACAACAAGAATCTCAGATCCTGGATCTGATCAAGCAGCATAACGTCGACCTAATTGTCTTGGCACGGTATATGCAAGTGTTGTCGCCAAATCTCTGTTCCGTCATGTCTGGCAAGATCATCAATATTCATCATTCATTCTTACCCAGTTTCAAGGGTGCTAAACCCTATCATCAAGCTTATGACCGTGGCGTCAAGATCATTGGCGCCACTGCCCATTTCGTCACTGCTGATTTGGACGAGGGTCCTATCATTGAGCAGAGGGTCACTCGTGTTGATCACAACATGACTGCCAAAGAACTTGTCGATGAGGGAAGTAATGTCGAGAGCCAGGTATTGGGCGCAGCGGTTAAATGGTGGAGTGAGAACAGGGTGTTCATGAATGGGACGAAAACGGTGGTATTTAATTAGAACGAGACAAAATGAACAAACATTCATCCATATCTAGACAGCATCTTTGACGAATTTAACAGTTTAGACAGACGGGGATTATTTGATATGAAGTATCCAGCAATGATAGACATATATACATATATGCATACAGAAATATATATGAATCCGCAATCACAGTTACGTCCTATCATCATCCCATCATCAAGAATCTCTTTCCCAACAACACCATCACAACTCATCCTTACCACCACCTCCATTCCCTTTCCCTGTCCCAACCACCGAGTCCTTCACCATCAAAGCCATAATATCCACCAACAAATCACTCGCCGCAATACTCGTAACCTCGGCCACGGTATCATACGGCGGCGACACTTCGACTACATCCGCACCCACCAGCCTCACCCCCTCCAACCCACGTATAAACCTCTTTACCTCTCTGGTCGTCCAACCGCCCGATTCCGGTGTTCCCGTCGCCGGGGCAATACTCGGATCCAGAACATCAATATCAATACTCAAATAGACTGGCGTATCACCAACCGCCCGACGAACTCGATCCACAATACCCGACACACCAATATCATCAATCTCATGGGCTTCAATCAACGTAAACCCCACGACATCACGATCAATGACATAATCCTCCGGCGAGAACAATTTCGTCCGCAGACCCGCATGAACACTGGTACCGCGCGAAATCGCACCTTCACGTGCCGCGTGCCAGAAAAACGTGCCGTGCGTGATTGCACTCTGTTCACTCACGATCCCCGTATATCCCGCATAGGGGTCCCAGGTATCGAGATGTGAATCGAGATGAATCACGCTGATGGGACCATAGACCTGTTTCAGACTGCGGAGGATAGGCAAGACGATTGAATGGTCGCCTCCCAGACTCAGGATACGGGGATGTGGCCATGAAGCGCCCGATGCCGACGTGGTGTTATGGAACAAGATCTGTCGATATCCTTGCTCCATCTGGACAAATGCATGCTGTGCATCAAAGGGTGTGATGGGGATGTCGCCACAATCGACGATAGAGAGGTTTCCTGCTGTCAAGGGATCGACGTCCCATACTGTGTTGAATGAACGGCCTTTCTTCTCCCGTGAACTGGCGGACCGTATTCCTCGTGGTCCGAATCGAGCCCCGGGTCGGTATGAGGTTGAGGTGTCGTAGGGAAATCCTACAATTGCAATGTCGAGATCCTTTCTGTGTGACGGCGAGAAACAGCGTTGCCACGGTAGATGTGCGAATGTCACGGGTTGGGAAAATGGGAGGTCTTTGTCGAGATCTTCGAGAGGGTGGGCGTAGTTGGGTCCGATGTTGATGGTTTCAAGAGATGGTTCGGATTCGTGTTCGTGACTGTGGCTATGGCTATGGCCGTGGGCTATACAAATGTCTCCGAGGAGACATGAGAGGAGTGTAAGAACACCCCATCGTTGTTGGCAGACCATTTGCACCTAGATACGAGGTTTACTGGAATACTTGCACAGGTCGTTCGATTGGTCAAATCCCCTTCAAGGCGACGTCTGGTTCACAATATATAAGCAGCCCGATCAACGGAGAAGTACGGTATCTGGATTTGAAAAGGAAATCCGCGACTAATGACATCTTTATAGAACAAATCATCGCATTGAGCCATGTGCTCTCAAGTCCATGTTTGGCTTGTATTCTGGTGGTGGTTCTATGAAGCATTGACGGACATCTCCATGTTTATGCTTGTTCCCGTGGATCTCATGCATCTGAAAGTCAAGATCCTGACTCCCAACTCCGCTCCCCACATTTCTTCATACGAGCTAGGATTCCATGTCGAGGAACCTGCTGCGACTATTTGTCGAGTTTCCAAAGATCTTCAAACTGCTTGGTTTGCTTGTAATGACTTTTGCTTGGTGTGAGAATGACTCCATCTGCGCAAAAAAGTGCTAAAGGTACAGCTGGCTGTTCTTGACAGCCTCGAGTTGCGTTGTGCTAACTCTTTCAAAATCAATACTCAAATGGATGATGTAGACACATCATATGCATTTCTCGCATCGAGCCTCAGCAACGAGCAAAACAGCCACTTACATCATCCCCTCGTGAAAAGTGGCAATAAATGCGAGAAAGCAATTTGACTGTGGCCACCTTTCTCATGGACCGTTGATGTTTCGCTGAAGCTCCCATGGCGTGAGTCAAGCACGCTCGGTGATCCACGACCAGGTAATCATGATACCGTGCCATAGTGAAACGGCCCATGTTGTAACGGGTGTCGTTGCGGGCTCGAGTGCGTATACCCGGGAAAGGGCTCTGCACCAAAGGACGTCGATAAAGGGATGCCCATCTGAAGCGGCCATCCATCGAGAGTTAACTCTTCCATCATACAGGTATGGACAGACATTCGGCTAGGACCGAATTGAGAGCTGGTCTGGCTTGAGCTCCGGCCCCCTCCCAGCCATAGTTATCAGACCCGTCCACGTCCATAGGGTCATCTGACTGGTCAACCTCGCCGTTGGTGGTGACTTGACCGTGCTCGGCCACCCAGTCATCATAGTCGTAGCTAGCCGAAGCATTGGTGATGGAAAAGCCGATGAGAGGATTGGAGTTCCATGGCGAAGGTCCTACTTGGCTGGCAAGTTGAAGCTCGACCATGCCTATAGGCCGTCTGGAATAGGCTTCTTGCGCTTCACAGGGTAGAAGGTCATCCTCACGAGTCCGGCGCAGCTTGCCTGCCTTGACATCGGCTTCTTCTCGTGCAATGCGTTTTCTATACGCCGAAGTCAAGATACCTTCAGCAGGGCTATTGTCATACCGTGGTCCATTGGAGCGGGTGCGATTGAAAACCTCGGCCAGCATGGTTTTGAGAAAGATTTCGGCGGCGACTCCGACAAGCTCGGCACATTGTATGGAACAGCCAGATGCAATGGATTCTTCGTAACAGATTGGAACGATACGCGCGTGAATGGTGGCAGTATCAGGGAATTCCAGGGTGTCGGCAAACAATGGTTGGAGATATCGTTTCCTAATCTCAAGATCCCAATTTGTCTTGGTGAGTCCAGCCGCGGCACCCGTGGTCGTTTCTGGGGCTTTGATGCGCCCGGCGAGGTATTGGTCTTCGTAGGGGTTTCGACGCGCTGCTGCCTCCTCATCAGCTTTGTCGTTTGCCACCGTTTTGAGACGGCGCCGGTCTCTTGGTGGAAGGGCCATGACTTCGGCCTTTAGTCTCTGTTCGCTGGCATCGCTCGTGATTGCAGGTTTGGAGGTGGCAGCCAGGCTTGCTTTGTCGGTGGTGGCACTGACCCATGCTGCAAGACCTGGATCGGGGGCATCTCTAGAGGTGTTGTACAGGATTGCGACAATTAAGGAGTTGTGAGCATGCTCGCTCTGTGGGGTCGCATATATGAAGACGTCGCACTGGTCGCCAAACTCTCGAGCATTCAACTCTCCTGCAAATTGTGAGCAAGGCGATGGTTATGATATTGCACGGCCATGTGCGGACAACTTACCTCGAACAAAACGAGCCAGGGCATCGTAGTATGTGTCCCAGTTGTGGGCAATTAACGATTTCAACTCGGCGTAGAGGGGTTCCAGATCTATGCGCGGGTAACTCTGGGTGGTTTTTGTGGGCTTGGTCGCGGAGCCGGGGGTAGCCTTTGTGATGGCTGAGGTTGAAGTGATGGTATCGGAGCGAGTGAGACTGGCCGGGTTAAAGGTATCGTCGAAGGAGGCCATGGTGGGCGAAATGATCTAATGTCGAGTCGCGGGGGTTGATGCCTCACATTCAGAACACTGGAACCAGTGGTACGACTGTGAGAGAACTGGAGGGGTTCAGGGGGAGGACATTTCGATGGCTGGGAAACGTTTGATGACGATAGAGAAGAAGATGAGGATGTGATGAAGGCGATGATGATGATTACAGAAGTGGAGGGTGGTGCATCGTATGGTGTGTGTAGATGATGATCGTGTTGATGGTTGCAATGCGACAGTCAAAAGAGAAGCGCAGTTCAATTTGGAGGAAGAAAATCAGGCATCGAGTGAAGTGGAACTCCGGGGGTGGCTTTAGGTTGCTTAGTGAGGCTAAGAGGGGTTCAAGTACTCCGTGGGGAGGGCGTGGGAGGGCCACGAGGGTTCTTCGGGCGTGGCACCCTTGCTTAGTTGATGCCTGCACGCCCCAGGCTCATCACCCATGACCACCATAAGGCTGTTCCCCTTCCCCACCAGAGCATGAATGATGGTGAATTACAGTTGGATGCCTCAGGACTCAAGACGACAGTTTTCCAACAACGACTCGAGCTTCTTACATATAACAACTACAAGTTCGAGATAGCTTGCGCAATTGACTCTCCATATCCTTCAAGCACAGTGTCGCTCGGCAAGTCTCACGTGCCTTGATTGCGTACCAGTTTTTGTCCATTGTCCTCATTCTATTACTTGGTTCCATTCTTCTTGGTGTTCACCACCTCATCTTCCTCATTCAACTCCACATATTTGCGTTTCTTCTCATCCATATCTTTATCTTTCATTCCCTCCTCGAACTTGACCAATACGTTTTCATCGTCATCGATCATATCGCTTTTATTGTCCAACCCTTTCCACTTGACCACGCCATCCCCTCGAAACTCGGCCACTCGCTGGGTATAGAACATGTGACATGTAGGCTTGAATGCCTCCCGAGCCTTTTGAGTGTTGATCTTTTTGATTAGAGGAGGGAATAGCAGAATCATGTTTCGCCCTTCGTCCATAATGGGAGACCGACAAAATGCACACGACACCTTGCATGGAAGGTGGTGTGATGTGTCTTTGTTGGATGGATCATACCAGCCAAGGTCGTGGTGTCCTCGGACAAAGTTGATATCAGACTTGTGGAAGATAGCTGCCCACTGGAAAGGAGACTATTCCAGAGGTTAGTCAAGGTCTTGCTCGTCTGTCGCAACCCTACTTACCCCATGAAGTCTCTGGCACGTGGTACAGTGGCAGTATTTTGCTGCCAGCGGTTTATCGCGGCTGAGCTGATATTGAACCTTGCCGCAGTGGCAACCTCCTTCCCATTTGACGTCGAAGTCCTCCGCCTCGTCGTGAATCCGATATGGTTCTCGATGTTTCCACTCATCTTCTTTCCTGTGCGTGCTATCGCCAGCCTGGTATTGGTGAGCGTCTTGCTTGCCACCCATTGTGCTGTGATATCTGCCTTGGCTGCAGGACGAAGAAGAACCAGGCAATAGTGGTCTTATGGGGCCACGAGGGAGTAAATGAATATGAAAAACGCTCAACGGTCTGAGAGACTGGACAGTGACCCACCCTAGCGATGCTCGTGTGTTCATGAGGAAAGATCCACGAGGGAGCAAAATCCGCAGTCATCATGAAAAACGGCGACGCACCTTGTCTTGTAGTCCTTCCCCAGCCTGATCCATCGGTTTTTGCGCCATGGCGTATTCCTTTGCGCTAACAGGCGGTCAGAGTTTCCAGTGAATACTGGGATTGCACGTCAATGTCGGGTAGATCTCAAGGTTCGTGGAGCAACCTTCGTCAAAATTCTAGTATGTGACATCGCCCGGATCCATCCTGTGATGACAGACTCAAAAGAAGCATCATAGCATCATGTACTTCGAGTTTGTCTTGTAAGCGTCAATGCCATACCCCAGATTGTTGTCATCAGTCCATACGCCATGACATCAAGATTTGATATGCCGAGCGGAAGGCCAACCCCTGACCAATCATTTTGAGTCTGAGTACCCCTGACGACAGTTAGATCTGGCACTCAAGTAAGAATGTGGCACTCAATCGTAAAGGATATCTCAACCATCAGAGGGAGTGGGCACTTGGTCACTGGACCCGAAAAGTGTAGGTTGATCTAGTGATTATTGCTCGTTTAGATTCATAGTCATTTTTGGACGCTGCCCAACATTGATCGGCATGGACATCCAGCGGAAGATCCCAGACCCATCTCTTCGAACTCTCGTGTCTACTCCTATGCTGCATGCCGAAATGAGGTGTCGCCGAAATCTCGGTCACCCCGCGGGCCCTAGGCTTCCCATGGGAACCCTGCTATCGGCCGTCTTCAAATGTGCCCGAGACCCTCTAAACAGACTCTGCCATATAAACGCCTCGGACAAGAGGAGTTCAATGTCCTTTTCCGTCCAGTCCCGCGTAGGCAGTGCTTGCAGGAACATCAGGATCTCTTGGAATCCCATCTTCATAAGCTGTTCACTCCACTTGACCAAGAACGCGGCGCATACATATAAATGGAATTGAGAAAACCCGTTCTCTTCAGCCTGTCAGGAGTCAGAACCTTCAAGCAATAACAATTGAGGGGACAGTGGACTGCAGCGATACGTACCATGTATGTGTCCCACATCCTGATTACGTTCTTGATACTGAGTTCTCGCATCAACAGGCAATTCATCCATCGGAAACTGAACTGCATATACTCGACATGCTCGTCCTCAAAATGCTTGGCAAGTCCTGCGTCAATCCTCGTGGTCAGGTCCCGCAGCGCCGTTACCTGACGGTGTATCCCGGGTTGCGCCACAATATAATTATCCTGGATGCCATCCAATAGCTTGGTCAAACACCAAAAAGTGTCGGCCTCGACCGCGTCCAATACAGGTCGGGGTAACTGCCCAGGGTCCATTCCGGATTCAACGTTCAAGTCAGTAATGTAGGTGCCGAGGAAAACCTGGAAAAAAGGTGTTGCGAGGTCATTGATCCCTTGGACATAGCCACTCGCAGGGTGCCGAACTGCCCACACGTACAGGATACGCTCCAACGACCTCTGCGTCGCCTCAAAGGCGTAAAGGGGAATATGGGGGTTGGTACGTGGCACATCGATGCTCACCTGATGCCAGACCGCTTCGTCCAGACCCCGCCCTCTCCCTGGTGTATGGTTTGCCGCACCAATACTGGACCCATTTCGGCCTGTGCTAGCTCCGTTGAAGGCCGTCCGGACTGCGTCTAGGTACTCCTTCCTTTTGCGTTCGAGTGTAGTGACCCGTCGCTCGCTGTTGGTGGGTAGATGGCCCAGGAGAAGCTGCCATGTTATGGCCCGCACTTCCTCAGGAATCCCTGACCACGCTGCCGCTCGAAGATCTGGCAGGGACACCGAGCTGCTTTGAAGGATTCGTTTGAACTTGTTGATACGCGAAATCCTGGTGGAATGTGCCTCAGTCTGCTTAGGCGTAGAATTGGCTGGGAGGGAAGGATGGCCGATGAGGTGAAGAGAGTTTGCAGGATCTCTTAAAATGTCTTTATATTGCGGCCGGAGGATCTTGCCGTCACCTTTTCGGGCACTGGGATAGGAAAGAGGATTCCGCTCCTCAGCAATGTCGAAACTGTTCGACCTCACGTGGTCAAGTCCAGACGACGATGCTGGAGCCGACGTCGTGTGTGAGAGTGTGGGATAGTTCACTTGGTGACCCTTGACATTTTTATTCCTAATGCTCCGTTTCCGGCGCATGCTGGCGAGACTCGGCAGCCCAAACTCATCCTCATCGTCGTCGTAAACCAGGTCCTCCTCCTCGCCTTCGCCATCACTGTCTCCAAGCACATCCCAGCCGTTATTGCTTAAAGTAGATGAGGTATAAGTCGGGTGCGGTCTTCTTTCGGGGGATTGGAAACTCGTTCGTTCAGAAGGTGGGGTCTGAGCCTGTCTCGTGGACGATGTTGGGGGAGTTCGAGGTCTACTACCGGAATTGGAGCCCAAGGATCTAGTTGGTTAGCATTTAACGCTCAAGGTCGACGATGTGACTAACAATGAATCAAACATCAACATGTCTGCGTGAGAGTATGAGGCACCGATGACCTTGGTCGATTTACCAGAAGGCTGACGAGAGGAGTTGGAGGAACGACTTCGCCAGAAAGGGGACGAAGGCCGTCTGTGACAGTTAGATCGAGTCCATCTGCAGCATTCCGTATACATACTCTGTTCGATCTGCAGCAGACCACAATATCGAGTCAGTACAACGTAGTGGCGGCGACTGTGACCAGAAGTCTGAATGGGGAGACACGGTGAAGACTAACCGACCTGCACCATTTCCTAGGCCAAGTTAAAGTGTGATAAATAATTCGAAGGGGTCAATTACCTGCTGCTGATTCTTCTTGGGTGCCATGGTGGGAGCGAATGTTGTATTGAGATGAAGGATCGAGGTTCACCACCGTTCACAGGTGTGGTTCTGCGATTGAGTTGTTGAAGAATCATTCGGGTGAATTAAGGTGCACATGCTTGTGCATTGGATCAATCTGCGCAGGGCATGCGCGAGAAAGCTGTTTGAAACGAAATGACAAGGCTTGCGTTTGAATGCTGTTGACCCTGATGGTGTTGGGAAACCCTCGATTGAGTGCAAGTGGTTGTTTATGAACGTGTCACAAGTCAAGTTGTCGCTTACCGAGTCTTAAGTGGACTTGACTCAGCAGCGCGATGTTGAGGCAGACGGCACGCGTCAGATTACCCGACCCTAAGATGCCTTGAGACGCCTAATAGAACCGGCTATCTGCGCTGTAATTAGGCTTGACTGTAGTGCATGCATGGGCTGAGGGGGGCAGCATGCCCTATGACGAGGGGTAAAGCCAGGCCACAGAGCCCAGGACTACCGTACTTTGTATTAGGGTCAGTACGCCTGTCTGCTTCCCCGTGGCGCCCCATAACGCATGTATCTAAGGATGCCCGAGGCGCCGTCCCACCACCCACCCATAGAGAAAGTTGCTTGGGAGGTGCTAATCGCCGGACACCCAACCAGATGAAGCCAAGGGTGCCTGGACGCGGCCGAGGCGGCTTCTCAGGTTGTCAGTCCATGTCATAATAATTGCATGCGGCAAGTGATTTCGCGCCAAGCCTTTCACACCTCTCCTGTTCCAAGACTTGCGCCTCGAGTTTGCCCTCTTGACTGAGGCATCACTTCGACCTTTTGATTGTTCGCATCTCTACCCAAACCGCTATCTTCTTCTTCATCGCGACTCATTCCATTTCGCGCCCGAAGAACCGAACGAATTTTAGTAGAAGCTGCAGATTCGGCCCTACTACTGATTACTGTCGTCGCAGGAACCTCCTGTCTAGACACCTTGACTCTTCAACTCGATCTCCCTTACGCTTACGAACATCTCACCCAGTATTTGCCACAGTCTTCGCTTTGCTGCATCGATCCGCATTCAAATATCTCATTCCTTTGCTCTCGCCTTTTAATTGTCCTTGGAAATTGTGTTAGACAAGATGACGGAACCAGATGAAGTCGAAGAAGATCTCTTCGCTGACCTGTAAGTGGCCACCTCGCAGATGACTCTTGCCAGCAACATCGATCACATTCAACCTCATTTTGTCCAAATCAGTGCTCATTACTTTTAGGTACGATGGCGATGAGCCTGCACCTTCCTCCAACTCTCTGACCCAAAGCGCTACCACGACGGCGCCTGTGAACCCCGCAGCCAGCACTCAAAATGATGTTCCCGGCTACGGCGAAGAACCCGAGGTTGCTTATGATCCCAACTCGTTCGATGTTGATATCACCACAAACGACGATGCGATCAACGACCCACAAGCATCCAACTTCGAGCTTGACTCTGAGAAACCCCCTCCCGTTGAGTCGTCGGGGATTACTATGAAAGAAGATGGGTAAGCACAACTCTTTTCTCATTCCCTTGTTAAGTATCACTATTGTTTTGCATGCTGTGTGAGGACCTCGAGTTACTTGTCCAAGGCCACGGGCGATCAATGTGGGAGTATTTGAGATGGAACTCGTGGGATGATATGATGGGCGTGAATTCAGGACAAGCCTTTCAGGCAAAGGCAACCCAGGCAACAATGTTCCGGAGCTGCCTCAAAAATGGCTTCTGCCCACCCATCTATCGATCTTTGAGCCTGCCCAACCTATCAAAGTGTATGACGGACTGTCAAATGTTTTACATGTCAGCAAGAGAGGGTTTGTTGAGACAACTCGGCGATGGGCATGTCAACAATGCGTCAAATGGCATCCATATAACATCTCGTCCATTTTCTTGAGATTGGAAGCAGAAGCCGGGTGGTTGGCAAGGGCAGTCTGGTCTCAAGCCAATTCGAACAAAGTCGAATCAGGTGCGGTGCCGAAAGTCTATGGGGTTCGAAGATTAGCTATCACCCAGCAGCATAGCCGAATCATCTTTTGAAGATGTCACATCAGAGGCAAGGGAGAAGCATATTCAAACGACCATCTAGCTTGCATTACGCCGACAGTACATCAAGATACTTTACAGAGCAGAGTAACAATACCGCAAAACTCAGGCAGGAGATAGATGCTGTTGTATCTGTTGGTCTCAAGGATCAAGGAAGCACTCAAAAATCCATACTCAGCTAGCCGACAACGCGCGTATGTGCCAGACCAGAATTACCAGCCAAATTGAAACAGTACCATGTTGGACTGCGGAAGCATGTATTGACACACAGAGTGGCTAGCATGTGATAAAGCCACTCTGTTCAATGCATGGAGGACTGGAATAAACACTGCGATGAGCCCAACTCAGATAAGCTCTTGGTTACTGGAGCTTAGGACGTGCAGTATTGAGGCCGTTGAACCATTGAACTCGGGACAACCCCAAAATACTCCCGTTATTCCAAGCCATGGCCGATGCATACATCCTGCCTGGATTCACGACTATTGGAAACGTATTCGCTACGGAATGATCCTGGATCGTTGTATCTGTCTGGCCTCTCTGACAGCCACCTCCTGCGGCTGCCCTTTTCATATGTCTGCCCACCATCGTCTCCTACAGACAGCCTCCATGTCGCTGGGGATAGACACGAGCCAAGGTCCAATGCCACCATGCCATGAGCCTGGTCAAAGATACCACTGATTTTTATACATTGCCTTGTTCTGTTTGTGACTGCAGTTTAGCTCTCAATATGCGCCTGCGACTGACCTTGTCTGCAATAGGAAAATGTTCATTGGTGGACTCAATTGGGAAACCACAGATCGTAAGTGAGCCCAAGGCCTTTGTGCATGACCTCTACTCATTGCCATGGCCCTAATGTGTCGCTATCTGGGCGATGCATGATCACGTGCTGATCTCTATCAGAATCCCTTCACGATTACTTTTCACAATTTGGCGAGGTTCAAGAATGCACAGTTATGCGTGATAGCGCTACGGGACGATCACGAGGCTTTGGCTTTCTTACCTTTCGGGATCCCAAAACGGTCAACACGGTGATGGTGAAGGAGCATTTCCTTGACGGCAAGATTGTAAGGACTTCCCTTTTCGATGTCTCCCCTGATGGACAGAAGGCACTGGGGACTTTGTCTTCTCGGAGGAGAGTAACCCACGGTGTGAGCAATGACTTACTGTATGGAACCCAGATTGACCCTAAGCGAGCGATTCCTCGAGACGAACAAGAAAAGACGGCCAAAATTTTTGTGGGTGGTGTCAGCCAAGAAGCGACCGAAGAAGATTTCGAGGAGTTCTTTGCCAAGTTCGGGCGAGTGGTGGACGCAACCCTGATGATGGACAAGGATACTGGCAGGCCCCGTGGCTTTGGATTTGTGACCTTTGACAGTGATGCGGCGGTGGAGCGGTGCCTCGAGAATCAACCTCTTGCAATTCTTGGCAAACAAATCGAGGTGAAACGTGCTCAACCGAGAGGCAAGATGGGCGAAGAGGATGAGTCCGCTCGAGGAGGCCGTGGCCGAGGCAAGTTTGGTCGAGATGATCGCTTCGGCAATGATAACAATTCAGCTGGGCAAGGGAACCAGAACCCAGGCGCAAACATGGCTGGCGGTATGACTCCTCAGATGATGGCACAGTACTGGCAGCGAATGCAACAATACTTTGCCATGATGCAGCAGTCGATGGCGTCGAACATGATGGGAGGAATGGGCATGAACCCTCAGATGATGGCTCAAATGCAGATGCAACAGATGCAGCAGATGCAGAAGATGCAGGGCGGCAACAGCCCCAACCCGCAGAATGGGGGCAACATGGGCATGACGCCTCAAATGATGCAGCAGATGATGCAGATGCAACAGCAAGGAGGGATGAATGGAATGAACATGGGCAATGGCCGTGGCGGCATGGGACAGTCCAACAACGGCGGCCGGGGTTCGTTTTCGGCACAGGATCAGATGGCGTTTGAACAGCAAAAGTACGAACACCAATCGGGCGGACGACGTCAAGGAGCATTGCCAACAGGACCTCGGGGTGGTGGATTCCAGAACCAAAACCCTCAATCGTGGGAAGGCATGTATGATGATGTTCCACAACCGGATGGAAGAGGATCAGTAGGACCGGTCCGCAACAACACACCCAAACCACCCAAAGGACCCAGTGGAGGAAACCAGGCAGCTCCTGCAAACGCACCCACGGGGCCCAAGAATGCTGGGAAACCTGCTGGGAATTTCCGCGGAGGACGAGGCAGATTTCATCCATATGGACGATGAGTATGTTGGATGCGGGCGGCCAACGAGGGTGTAAGATCTTTGACGAAGGAACACGGTTTCGGGCGATTCTAACGCATCATCAGGCGTTGATGGAAAGCAGAGGATGGCATGGTCGCGGTCATAGTCGAAGGTGTTTTGTGAGAAACTGGCCTCAAGAGACTATGGGTCATTCAAGCTAAGTCATGGAGATTTACTGATGGAGAGGCCTTTTGTGATGACCACAGAGCTCACAATTGAAGCAAGCAGACGACAAATGCATGTACTATCAAAAAAATGGGATTAATTTCTTGCCAAAAAGAAAGACACGTGACCATCAATGTGTGTCAGTTGCCGTCCACCGATTCGCCTTATTGCAACTGTTGTACTGTAGATGCTCTGTATGCATGCCCCTGAATGCCTGGATGTGATACATGCACGTGGCTTTGAATCCTACGTGTGGTTGCTGCATCAGGGGCATTTGTTGGGTGAGGCTGTGCGATGTCAGATGCCGTTGATTCTCGGTTGACTATTAATAGATGTTGAAATGTGGGGGATCTGGGTCGATTGAGGGTCGGGGTTTGAGACTCGAGTCCTGATTCTGCTGAAAATAAAGGTGCAACATACTCCGTATAAGGGGGCTAGGCACCAGTCTCAATCTGACCAATAAGCCCAGGCCACATGGTGCGGGGTATTTTGTTCAAGTCGACAGCTTCGTGGAGAGTCGTTTGCCCATTGCCTCTCCGTCATCCGTCATTCGTCATCAGTCATCAGTTATCAGCGCCTTCTTCAATCATGGATAATCAGGTAATGCGTGACCCCACTGACATCGAATTATTTTATTGACAGGCGTTAGCAGAAGGATACAAAGCCAGATTCGCAGTATGGAACCCCCTTCCATTGTCCACATCATAGCCTGTTACCAACTCTTACAGCTACAAAATTGTCAAAGACGGTTGGGGTAGCCGCACCAACTTCCAATACTCTCACGGCTTGAAAATGGACCCAGAGGGTTTAGAGGAAGGCAAAGCTATTTTGAACGCTTACCAGAAGCTGGACGCTATGGAGAAAGCAGACAAAGGGCCAGAAAATCGTCGCAAGTGATAAGCTGTTGATTTGTGGGAGCAAGGGTTGAAATATGTGAAGCTCCAAAACCGGCGAAGCCTAGGACTGTGCTGCCACTGTAGAGAAACCAGAATACGACTTACCTGAAGATGCTCGCGGACATTACAGTAAGGCATTTACTACACAGGAATTGAGAATTGCAGTTGCAGAGTCTCGGTTCAGCGAGCTACAGACACTTTCGAAGCCAGTCTTGTCTATGTTGAATCCTGCAGACAGTGCTATACGAAATGTCTGTCCTTGTGATCTCCATATAGTGTACAAACACGGACATGAGGTGAGGGTGCTGAGTCGTTATTGACCTTGATATCATACTGTCATTATTATCGGGTCCACAGTCGTGAGACTTTGATCCTCCGGGGATGCTGATGGACTCCAAAACCCAGAGCTTAATACCAAACCTTGCCCTGAAAATAGGTCCAAGTGGCCCATCGGCCCCCGCTGCCCCTCGGGCTCGAGGCGCAGCTAGCCTGAGGGCCCGCCCAGCCCCTCAGCTTCGGGCCTTTATCCATCAAAATTCCGTCTCTTGGGCGTCTGGAGGGAAAAATGTCTTGCAGTTGACAGCCGCCCGTGGCGCTGGGTCGCTCGTGCTGGTTCTCTTTTGGCCTGTGTGGCCCAGCAGGAGCCAGACAGTTATGCCATTTTGGTAGTTCGCTGCGCCTCTGCAAAGCTCTTCCACTCGCATGGCTACTCACTACTCACCATAATTCAACTAATCAGACGTTGACTCGTGAGTGACATCTTGGGTAATGGTAGTGATCGTGCAATTGCTGAGAATCGTGGACTCGAGTATAGCACAACATAACATGCGAGGAAATGTCCATCATGTTGAACGAAAGATGAGCATCCTACGGTAAGAACTGGTGATGGGATGGACCCCAATCTTGTCATTTGTCTCCTCGTTGCCCGCGGCCATGTTGGACACATCAGAGGTTTCAACGAGTATGTGCGCAGAACCAGTCAATGGCGACCAATGCTCCCGTCAACGAATAGTGGAGGACAGACAGTGAAAACTGGTTGGCTATCAGATGGTTCATGCAACAGTAACAGTGGCAGAGTCGACAATTTAGTGTGAGAAGAAAAAGTATCCCTCAGTCCAAGCCACCACACCTCACCCGACCGAATTCTCTTCAGGTGGATGGAACAATGCATCCCTATCCAAAGAAGGCAGCCCTCGACCCATTCTCGACAACGGGCGAATCTATCAGGGCCTCCGGGTGTCCACTTAAGGTGTTGGGACTCCACTGATTTGTCCCTTAGGCTGCCCTAGGCTCCTGCAACGCCACTCGCTGACCCTGCTGCCCTGGACCCATGCGCCTACGAATACTCCACCACTCGGCTCACCCGCACATGCCTGTGGGTTTGACCCGGCACTCCTGGCATTGGTGCCCGTGGCCCGTGGCCGTACGTGGCACCTTTTGGCGTTGCGTAAGTCTGCAAAAACACATCTTGATTCTCTAGTATCAGATGCTTGGCCACCCAAAAACTTGGGTACCGATCCAACAAGAGTGCCATTACTTCAAGCGGGGGTTCCAGCTGAATTTCAGACATCAGCTCTTCAGTCTTTGCCCATCTCAACTACTGTACGTCCTCTTTAGTCATCCTTTTCACTCGTTTTCTTACACTCGTTCCTGAAGTCTTCAAACTGAGTGGCCTGGCCTGTCCATTCCATCCTCGATCGTTACTATCCTCATACCTTGACCCCGGCCGTCCAGAAGTCATCTTACCGCAGACATCTTTTCTCGGCCGACTCGTTGGTCTTCCTCTTTCATCGGTCGCTCAAATCAATTGAAATCCACTCATCAGTGGTGTACCACATCATACACAGTCAAAATGTGGAGGAGAACGGCATTGGCCGTTGCCTGTATAGGCCTCCTGCCCTCCGTCCTCGGAGCAGATATACTCAAGAATGACGGTTTCACAACTTGTGCCAATGGAACAGGCACAATCAAGGTCAACAATGTCGAGGTATCATTCGATCGAGACACCAACCGAGTCACCTTTGACTTCTCCGGCGAGAGTACAGTGGAACAAGAAGTCACTGCTGAACTCACCGTGACTGCATATGGAATTCAGGCTTTCAAGGAATCATTTGATCCCTGCGCCGAAGACACAAAGATTGATGAACTCTGCCCTGGTCAGTCTGCCAAATTGTGTCTCGCTCGTTCCAAACATACTGACTTGTGTATAGTTCCTGCTCGCGCATTCAGTGCCAAAGGATCCCTGACCATTCCTTCAGAATACGCCGACATGATCCCTTCCCTAGCATATTCAGTACCAGATCTCGAGGGTAGCGCCCAGGTCGTCTTGACGGCCAAGGACGGCACTGAAGTTGCTTGTCTCCAAACAGGTGTCAATAACGGCAAGACGGTACAAGTTCCTGCGGTTTCGTATGTTGCCGCTGCTGTAGCCGCTGCTGCATTGGCCGTGTCTCTGGTCGGAGCCGCAATGAGCGGTGGTAATCCCGGCACAACCACAGCCAGCCCAGGCTTCTGCGAAGTCATCTGGTGGTTTCAAGGAATGGCCATGAACGGCATGCATTCCGTACCGTACCCCGCCATCTACCGCAGCTTTTCCAAGAACTTTGCCTTTAGCACCGGCCTTGTTTCATGGGCTGGGTTGCAAAGGTCGATTGACAGCTTTCGTGCGAAGACTGGTGGAGACCTCACCGATTCCAACTACGACTTTCTTCGAAACAACGCCACTCTTATCTGGCCCGACAATTCAACTTCGACTGCATCCTCTTCCTTCAAGAAGCGTGCTTTGCTCGTAGTACGTCAAGCCATCGACATTGGCAATGACACAAGCTCGTCCTCGGAAAGCAACGAAAAGCAGGCGCATTTTGTCGACGGCATTCAAGGATATGTCGAACAACTGACCATTCCAGATGCCAATACTTTCATGACCGTCCTCTTGGTTTTTGCAATTGTCATCGCCGCCATCATTGTGTTCATTCTCCTTTTCAAAGTCATTCTTGAAGCCTGGGCATTGTTTGGCACATTCCCGAAATCCTTGACCACCTTCCGCAAGGAGTATTGGCGCGTCATTGCCCAGACTATCGTGTCCCTGATCCTGTTATTGTACGGAGTCTGGACACTGTACTGCATCTTCCAGTTCACCCACGGTGACTCATGGGCTGCCAAACTCCTCGCTGCGGTCACATTGGCGTTGTTTACCGCGATCCTGGCCTTCTATACGTGGAAGATCTGGAGTATTGTGTCCAAGCTTAAGAAATTGGAAGGCAATACGTACTCCCTGTACGAAAACAAGGAGACTTGGAAGAAGTACAAGATCTTCTACGAAAACTATAAGCGAGGATACTGGTGGCTCTTCATCCCTTTTATTGTCTACATGTTTGCCAAAGGTTGTGTGTTGGCGGCAGGTGACGGCCACGGCTTGGTTCAAACCATTGGCCAGCTGGTGATTGAAGCGATCATGCTCGTACTTCTTCTGTGGAGTCGCCCTTATGAACGGAAATCGGGCAACTGGATCAACATCATTATCCAGGTCGTTCGAGTCTTGTCGGTGGTGTGCATTCTCATTTTCGTCCAGGAGTTGGGTGTCGCTCAGACAACCAAGACCATCACCGGAGTGGTCCTGATTGCTGTGCAGTCAGGCCTGACTGCCATTCTGTTTCTTTTGATTGTCATTAACAGCATCATCACCTGTTGCAAAGAGAACCCTCACCGCAAACGACGCAAGGCTGCCGAGAAGCATTTGTCGCAAGACATGGAAGGCGATGCATTCCTCCTACAACCCAGTCCATATGCTGCCCCCCCTCAGCATACGAGACATCTGTCAAAATCCGGACATGGATACCAGCCCGTCCCAGATCCATACGCACAGTTCGACGACAGCCAAGAAACCCTGGTTAGGGGTGCCGCTGAGATGGGCACTTCAGGTTATTACAATTTGAACAATGGCCCAAGCCAACATTCTCACAGTCCACCACCACCATTCTCACGAGAGTCGCGATTACCTGATATGAGTTATGAATCGTATCGACATAAATGATCATTTGTCAGGAGAGTGTACAGAAAATTTTGTCTTATTAGCGAGCGTGGTTATTATACTTGTCATTGATTATGGCTGGTCTTGGTACATTTTGGAGGTAACAGGTCTACACAAGTAGCCTTTTGAATTTGCATAGCGAAATTTTGGTCGGAGGGCGAGGATACTCGCCATTAAACCTCGTATTGACATGATGAACCAAATGCGGTGTTAATGGGTATATATTCAAGGTATATGAGCATTTAAATAATACTTTTCTGATCATCAATATGAACAAGGGCGTATGTCTACAGTAATCGGACCAATGAAATCTCCAAATGAATATAGTTCGATCCCTGACCTGGCTGACTCTGTTAGTTGAAAGCGAGGTTGTCTATGTATTGCCTCGTGACTTTGAACCTCGGCCGATTCTTCATCTGTGGGGAAATTCCATCTCCATGAACCGAGCACCCCGACCGAGATCGACATAGTAATAATAATTAAAAGTTGGGAGGGGGGAATGGGTTGATGGTATATATTTGTATTACCGGTGCTGTGGTCTTTTCATTTTTCATTCAGTTTCGTGGATATCGTGTGATTTGAGGTGATTGTGTTGTTACCTGTCATCATTATTACTACCACCACCACTGCCACCGTCATTATACAATATCGTTCCATGTGGATGACCCCACACCTATACATTTTCGAATACTAGACTACAGTTAACCAACGACTCGTCTCTAAGACCGTTGCCCAATCTATACGAAGCGTCCATCCCTGAATAAACACCTACTCAACCATCCACAATGGCCGACAAAATCAACCTCGTCCCCTTCGGCGAACCCAGCTACCTACGTGGTTTACCATCCCCCTACTTCCAAGCCACACATCTCAACTTCCAAAAACGGGCACGCGCCTGGTTTGCCGAACACTTCCTCCCCTTCGCACTGGAATGGGAATCCGCCGGTACCGTACCCGAACATGTATGGCACACCTTCAACAAATACAACATGTTGATCCCCAACCTCAAATCACCTTTACCCGTGAAATGGCTACACCGTCTTGGTTTGAACGACATTCTCGGCGTCCCCGTCGAGGAATGGGATTACCTCCATACAGCAATCTGGGTGGATGAACGTGCGAGAACAGGGATTTCAGGTCCTGGATCGAGTTTGTCGCCTGGCTTTGCATATGCGATTCCTCCGATTTTGAATTTCGGGTCGCCGGAGCTGCAAGAAAGGTTTCTGCCGCAGTTGTTGCCGGGCAAAGTGAGGGCTTGTATTGCAATTACCGAGCCTCAGGCCGGTTCAGATGTGGCGAATATTCAGACCACGGCGGTGAAGAGTCCAGATGGGAAACATTATATTATCAATGGCGAGAAGAAGTGGATTACCAATGGGATTTGGAGTACGTTTGCCGTCATGGCGGTGAGGACTGGCGGGCCGGGTCCCACGGGGATTAGTGTCGTGGTCGTGCCGTTGAAAGATTATCCTGGTGTGAAGATGCGGCGGTTGCAGGTGAGCGGGCAGCAGGCTGGAGGGACGACGTATATCGAGTTGGATGACGTGAAGGTTCCAGTGGAGAATCTGGTGGGTGAGGAAGGTCAGGGGATGAGATATATCATGACTAACTTCAACCATGAACGGTTGTTGATCGCCATGGGAGTTACGCGACAGGCGCGTGTGGCTTTATCGACGGCGGCGGAATATGCTATGAAGAGAGAGGCGTTTGGAAAGACGTTGATGGATCAACCCGTGGTGAGGAATCGATTGGCTAGAGCTGGTGCTGACCTCGAGACTCTCCAGTCTTGGATCTTCGAGTTTGCTTATCAGCTGAATCATCTGTCCAAGGCTGAGGCTGATGATAAGTTGGGTGGCCCGACTGCTTTACTCAAGGCAAAGGCTGGTATGGTCTTCAATGATTGTGCTCAGACGGCGGTCTTGATCTTTGGTGGGAATGGTTATACCAGGACAGGTCAAGGTGAATTGGTTGAGAAGATCCTTCGCGATGTCATGGGTGCTCGCATTCCAGGTGGCAGTGAAGATGTCTTGCTTGACCTTGCTATTCGCCAGCTGGTCAAGAATTTCAAGAAGGATGCGAAGAAAGGGTTGAATCAGTCCAAAATATAAGTATAGCAAATGTGTAATTAGTGTAGTACCTGGTATCCGGATATATAAATAACTCCCTTTCAACGGAACAAAAAGGCCAAGTTTTGACGAACAAGGTCTAAATGATTTGATACTCCCATTCACCCTTTTAATGCCTTGTCTGTGAATTCTTCTCGGAGTCTGCTCGTACCTCGATTCTATCTGGATGTGTGCCGTGCTCTTCAATTTGCTCCTCTTCTTCTCCCTCCTCTTCGTCATCGCTTCGTTCGTCTCTCCGGTCGTTATTGAAGACATAGTTGCGAGCGACCCGAATGATATAGACCAGCCAGATGATGTTGATCACTTGCAAACAAGTCATGAGAACAAAAGTGATGATCTGACTGATCCAGCACTTGTATTGCTCTCTACTCCAGTCCAATTCATAAGGTCCCACGGTGCGAAATTGGGTCAAGACGGCCCAGAGAAAAGTCCAATTGAGATAATGGCGGAGATAAATCCAGATACATATAAACAGACCATAGAAGGGGCCGACAATGACAGAGTCGATGTAGTTTAGCGTTTTGGAAGTCTGTTATCGATGAGTACAAGGTGCGATCAAGGATTACCGACTCACTCACCGCCAGGAAAAGATCACTGATGTCGTGAGTAATGTATACAAGAAGTCCCATGTATGTGAAATGGAAGCGGTAGCTTAATGCGATCAACGTCAATGTTATAATGTGGTGCATGACGAGTTCTTTAAAGTCCTTTCGCGGCTTCTCCAGTAATAAAACCAAGACAATCGCCTGCTGAGCCCAGTAACTGAACTGAATTAGGTAATAGGCTTTGAAAAGAGCAGTGTGTGTCCGATGAGGGTAGTTCTCAAACATGGCCGTAGTGTTGAAGTACCAGAGAGGGCTCTCTGACATGATATAGAGACCGAGAGGACCCAAAATGCTGAAGTATAAAGCCGTGTACGCCTGTTCCATAAATCGGTATTGTCTTCCACGGCCTCTGATGCCAAAGCGGAAAGCCATAGGCTGAAGAAGTCTTTGCATGATGAACTCTCTCGTGAAACTGAGGACAATGGTGTAGAATGTCACGAATGTGGCATCGTGACCGCCTTTGCCATACATAATTGGTGTTCCTGGGGTCAAGGGTTCAAGTCGATATGAGAGGAAAAGTGCATGACGCAAAGGATTGTGATGACCTGGGCTGACGAGGTAACCACACACCACTGTCAAACTCGCCAACAGAGGTACGAGCCAGGTATGTCGCACGCATATCCGCTTGATCCGTCTGGAAAGAGAACGTGGTTTCTTGGGGCGGGCAGAATGGTTGGATTTCGAAGGAGACTTCTGTATAGGCCTTCAGCAGAAAGTCTATCCATATGTCAGTTCAACTCACATCGGATTCAGTTGCAAATCGTGACCGTAATCGTAAAGAGGTTGCCATAGCTGGAGCCCCCGTGTCTCCACGAGGGTCGGCTCCCAGCCTGCTTGAGGTTCTCCTCGAACGAGCCATGATGTGTGTTGATTCGTTTCAATCAAGCGGCCGAGATCACCGGAAATGATGTGAGCAGTATCTGGGTTGGCTCCCAGGTTATGTACTCCTAGAACTGGAAGGGCAGTTGGCGCGGATCTTGATGTCCCGCACGAAATTGGCGACCACTTGTTGTCCTTTTCATTGGTCTGTTGAAAAGCATATCCAGAGATTGTATCTGGCTGACCAATGATTCCTAGGACATCAAATTTAGTGATTATGTATATGGCATTATGCAGACAGTTGGGTGTGATGATGGTCTAAACGTATTTCGTATTTCGTACCCGCGACCGTATCTTGCCCCTGATAAGTGTGGAGACCCCACAAATACATACGTCTGTGCCTTTTATGCTCAAGGGAATACCAATCTTAACGTTGCTCAGGAAAATGATTCTGGTGTCTATGATAATATTGGCATGCCAGGCCAGTGAGAGGTGAAGTGTGGACATAAGATGAGCGTTCAACCACTTAACCAGAGGATCACAATCATATGGTCTTCTTTTCGTGTAATACAAGATCTCCACTCAGTGCCAATCAGATCCATGAGTCTGAATCACCATCTGATGCCTCCTTTCCTGGGTATTCAACATAAGGTGGATGTCGAGTATATCCTGGAGGCAAATTCAAAGGGGCTGGTTTTTTCCGGCCAGGAATATTCTCTCGTGGCGCCCTGACCTCCTGATTCACAGTATGAGTGCCTAGTTCACTCACGCTCAGAGATATTCTTGAATGACGCTTGCTGGCCCTTTCCACCCGTTGAGTTCGAGGTGGAATTTCGTGAAGAAACCTTATAGGTCGGGGAAGTGCCTGCGAAGATTTCCTCCGAATACTTAAATGGCGTGACTTCTTCTCATCTGTCAGATTTCCTGTGTCATTGAGGTCAAATATGCTAGATTCGCACGAGATGTCTTTCTCCGGTGGTTGGTTGGTTGTTTCTTTTTCGTCTTCTGCAAGCAGAAGCATATCATCCCATTCCCAGTCGCGCCGGACCACGGATCTTCTTATACACTTCCGGCATAGGCGTCCCAAAGCCTCTATGTTGAGGCCGCAAACAATGACCAGCACGCCGCTTAAAATGATCAGCAGAATTGACATGAGACTAAAGGACTCGAAATTTTGTGACGGAAGGATGAAGTTGTCACAGAACCAACGATCCTGTGCTTCCGAAGGTGCCAGAATGAATCGACTCTCAGACTCATCCTGGAACCTGGGTGCGACTTGGCCGGTTGCCCATTGAGCGATCGTTCGTTGCAGCTGAGCCATGGCAATAGAGTGCCAATAGCTCAACTCGATCTTCCATTGCTCGTCCGGCAGAGCGGGAGAGATGACAGCACCACTTTTCCCGCTCATTGTCATATTGCTTGCGATCAGAGGCACGTTATTGGTCACAAGGTTTTCGACAGTGGTGAAAATAGATGATGTAGCAACGGCACGAAGCATTCGGTCGAAAGTTGCATTTTGACGAGGTGTGAGTGCGAGGTTGAATTCGTCAACATTCTGCATTTGATCGAATCCGGACAAGCCAGTGCATATCCCGCCATGAGTGCAGAAGCTATGTTGTTCTGTGCATCCCATAGTGCTGATGGGATCATCGCGTGCGTACCTGTTTTGTAAGAATGGGAGAGGGTTCTCAAATTGCTGCTGTCTGTGTGCCGAGAACCATGGATCGTTAACTTGGCCAAGGTACATGCCAGGAAAGCTTAGAAAGAACAAGGTGAGGTCTGCATCGTCTTGTGCGATATCTGGGTCAGGTTCGAAATCGCTCAAGCTCCACGCGGGATCGGCTGGAGCCCAGGCATGCTCCACGTCAAGTTGATAAGGACTCATGACTTGGGCGGTAAAGTTATCGTAGAAGGAAGCAAAATTGGTATATGAGTAAGTCCACTCCGTCTGCTTGTAGAGTGAAGGGCCGAACCGAGCAAAAGCTGTTTCTTTTGATGGGCTCGTATTATTAGCGTCGTCGTTACTTGAGCCATCCCATCCGGTAATGCGGCCAGTGGTATTGAGAACTGCACATGTCGTGACACGCCTGTACTTGAGGCGATCTTTGGGGTTTGAGTTGATTCCCAGGTGTTCGTGGGAGTCGATATCACCCGTGTCGAGGACAAGGACATCAGGCTCATCTAGACACATTTGCTGACTGAATGGACAATTGCCGTCTCGACTAGCCCACTCGAGGCGAGGTACCTTGAGAGTGTTGCAAGTAGAAGATAGGTATGTATCAGCGGTGTGTGATTCAGGTAGATAACATGCCTGAGAGTATTCGAGGCTGAGTTGGACATTGTGGGCGACTTTGCCAATATGCTGGACGTAGAGATCTAGCTCTTCCATGGAAGAAAACGCCCCACTCTCGACGATCTCACGGTAAGTTTCATTCCATACGCCACAGTACCTGCTCCGAGAAAGGGTCGGGGGATTGCCATTTATGGTGCCAGCACTTATGGCTTGACTCGAGAAAATACCAGCGGTCATGATCAAGACTGCATAGGTGATGGCTGTGATTCCGATGGCATATGATCGGAGGGAGCGTTTTCCAGTGCTTCGACGTGACGACCACCCAAGGTTCAACATGAGCCAACCAGTAGCAAGATCAGATCCGGCATTCCGGAGAATGATTTGCTCTTTATTGAGGTGCGGGGTCCGCACTTGTGGTGTGGGCTTAGAACAGAATTGATGAAGAGCATAGCGTACAATGGCCCAGAGTTGGATACCCGAAAATGCGATGAAGAGAGTCAAGGAGTTTGTCAAGACAGTCGCTCGAGTTGGAGGGAGGGTCCAAGTCAGTCCCCATATCGGACCCTTTGACCAGTCTGTCCAGATTCCGACGTAGGTGTCGGCGACGGGGTCCAACGCGTCTGCCATAGGAGGTTACTGCCCAAGGGACTTGCTGACAGCTACTGGCTGTGTAACATGTTGCTTGAAAGGCAGTCAACGACTGAGATTGATCACGACAACAATGATCTGGTGAACAATCAAGAGATAAATGTCCTTGTAAGAGTGTCAGGTTTTTCGGCCACTGTGGAGAGAGGCATCATAAGAGGGACTCAACGCATGCTCCTGCGCATTATGGTTTTATGAAAACGACCTATGCTCAGGCCGTGTCAATGGCTGCATGTGCATAGCCAAAGGCATATCAGGGAAGGTGTGATCTAGCTTAGCGAGTGCGAGGTGTGCCCAGACGATATGCACCCACTGTTTCGCATGATTGGATCAAAGTGGAAAGGGAACGCTCTTGTGAACTGGGTTCCAACTGTCGGGACGCTTTTGTCCAGACATATCCAGTAATGATGGGGCTTCAGGCTAAGCGCCGTGATTCTGAGGATGAGGTGCTGCTTCACCACTTGGAGGCGCTGGTGTGAGCGCGAATGTAGGCGGCTGAGTCTGAGGTCGTGATTGGACCATTTGACAGATATAGGATATTCCACAGGGGTTGTATGGGTTACCAGAAGGTCGGGTTTCACTGAGAGTTCGCTCGTCTATTTTTCGATGGTCAAATTGGAAGGTGCAGGTTACTGCGAGGTGCATATGCATTAGCATGTGCCCATCAGAATCGAAAGAGGCCGTAGCTAGGACATCTCGATGGTGGCTTAGATATTTGTCGGAGAAGTGAGGGTGAAATGAAAATCCGGATGACTGCGTTTTTGTGTGATGTGCACGTGTCTCGGTTCCCAGGAAGGCACGTTACTGGGTACCTTACTTAGAGTAGGTGCGACCTATTGTTGACCAGCAGCTTCCTGCATTGCATTACAATCACGCCTCATGATTGATTTATATAGGAAGAGACATCCACAACTGTCATTGTTGTCTAGGATCTAGGGAGATGGGAATCACACCGCTTCAAGGCGAAATATCTTGAGGTCATCCATCCCAATTCGACGCCAGCCATTGCTAGAAGACAAACGTAGTCGTGCTCCAGCCGCTATCAGCCAGGGGAACAGTCCATGCCACACATCCAAGGGCTGATGACGGCCATCTTTCAATAGACTGTTGATGACAAGCCAACCATGAGACAGGCAATAAGAAAAAATATACTGCATCTGGACGATGATGCGCCACCTCCTTGTCCACGCTGTCCAGCCTCAAATCCCTGCTGGTCACCACCCATATACTCGGCGCCTAGATCAGATAACCCACCACGTCCATTCAACATACTGACGCCATCGCCCGTCCACTCATTTGCATCATTGGTCCTAAAGGTACCAAACCACGAATATCGCTCCACATAGTCCAGGTCGTCCAGATACGGCAAACTCTGATTCATAAACTCTCTGGTCTCATCATCATCAAGCTGAGGAATAGCAAACTCCGTCAACCAAATCGGTAAATCAGGATACAACTCATGAACCGTCCCCAACCAGGACGCCATACCCGCAAAATCACCATACCAATGCGTAGCCACAAAATCAAACTCACAACCCTTATCTGGATTCTGGTCCCAACACGACTCGTTGAAACCACGAAGCCACTCCAACCCCATCGGGGATCCCGTGGTCGCAGGAACCGACACCTTGAGATTATACGGTGCTTCGCGCAAGGGTGCAATATACTCCAGATACACCTCTGCAGAATGCTCCGGTGAGGAATCACTGCCGCCGCTAGCTCGATCGCCGTCGGGTTCATTGAACGACAGTACGTGAGTGAGCGTGTTGGCTCCCAATCTCTGTGATCCATTGACAAATGCTTGGATTCGACGAACTGCCTCTGGGGCGTCGCGTACACCGTGGATCATGGGTGCGAAATTGGCTTTCCATGACAAGAGGGTTGGCCATGGTGAGTACGAATAGTACCATGTCAGTGGTGATTGTTCGCTGGTGAAGACGTCGTAGTCTTCGGATCGGCCGTCGATGTATATCAGTCCTCGTTTGGGATATGTAGAGTCGGAGCCTTGGGCCTGGACTAGATGTGATATGGATGAAATGATGGAGAGGAGGAGGGTGAGGGTGGGTTTAAGGCCTGGTGGTGAGCCCATGGTCTGGGTAGTTCTGTATATATATTCAGCGACGATGCCGTAGTCGTAGTAATCGTGCTATTCAATATTTGTGATATTCTTGTCGTGATCTCTGGAATGACAATCAAGGATAAACGCTCAGTGCTCACGAGGGTATCAATCAATACATTCAAATCATCAACCCGCTTGAAAGGCAGCAGCAATTAGGAGTTCAGTTAGAAACATGAAGCCACCCACGGAGCAAGTGGCGATTATATCAAGAAAACCCTGGAATCCTGGATGGCCACGATAGCCTTCTGTCGTTGGCGACCCTCATCCTCGGCGAACCAGTGGTACGTACCACCCGCCACAGGTACAAGACGAGTCAGCAGTCGCAGTGCCAGGATAATCGATGCTGAAGATGGACGATCAGAGGATGGCACTGCACGTTGGAAAGCTAAGAGGAAACCAGGGTCTTTCTTGTCTGGCTTGGAGCCTTGGACGACATCATCGATTTTGGGCGCGGGATGGTCAATGTGGCAGGGCATGCCAGGGTAGATGATGCAGTTTGACGTATGGTCTATTAAGTGGCAATACGGATTGGTTAGGTACCTACGGAGTAGTCATTCACAGTTGTGCTGCCTGGTCAAGTACCTGAGTGGGAAATCTGGGAAATCTCTTGGAAAACAGGAAAACAGGAAAACAGGCCACGATCCGCTTCGTTCCGTAGGATAATCCCACAGGATCCCGAACTATCGCCCCGTCGGCACCTCTTCCGCCAACTCATCCCCCGTCGCTTTGCTCTCCCGCTAACGACTACTACCTACTAGGTACCTACGGAGTAAGGTATTTAGTCGAATCGCGCCCTTGTCCCACTCCCTTCCTCTCTTTCGCGCTCTCCCTCCACTCCGTTCTGCTCCCTTACAGCTCTGGCCCGCTCCTGCGGTACTCCTCTATATACCGGTGAGGCTCTCGTTGAGACTTTAGTCTTATACACGTTAACGCGATATATTTATAGCCTCGTAGTAACTTTACCTCCTCTTCTTGAGCTGCCAGTTTTACAGATCTCATCTCTAGGCTAGACTTTTCTATCATAGCTTGCCAGCTTAGGAGTGATAGTTTCACCCATCGATGAACCAAATAACATTCATGGACGTCAACACGATACCCAAAATCAGTCTACATGACCGACAGGCAAAGTCCTGGCTTCCAACCACGAGGTTTTCTTCATGAGGGTCTTGCTGAAAAGTCCCATGGGAATCACCAGGAGGTATGCTCCCCAGAGAATACCCGCCATTGTAGCCATCTGACTGACGGGACCCGTAGTCTGCATCCAGGTGATGGACGCGTACGAAACACCAAACCCAAGACAGTTCTTGATCAAATTGATCAACACTCCAATGTGTCCAGCTCGGGTCGGCAAGCAGTCAACAGCATAAGTGAGCAAGACGTTGGCAGAGCCCGTCAGTCCAAGTGAGAGCATGCACCACCCGGCACAGACACGGAACCATTCTTTTGCTGGATCTTTCAGGCCATATCCGATCAGTAGACAGCCCGCTGGGCTAACAAGGGCTCCCACAATAATGACGGGGAGACGAGTTGCGGGATTGTGCTCTGCGCCGGATCGCCTGCGAGAAATGCCAGAGAGAATATCTGCGAACGCCCCGCCAATTGGTAGGCCAATAATAATGCCTACCAGAGGTGCTATGCTGAGCAGACCAACTGACAGGGCACTCCAGAGGAGGGGTGGTGCCGCGTAAACGCTCGCAGTGAGAATCGAAGTCACCACGGTCCAACCAATGGTCAGCCCAAAGACAAGAATGGCGACCAGGACCTGGGGTGCCAGAAGGAGCTCGGCCGGCTGGATGAAGAGAAGCATTGCCGTTTTCCAGTTGAGGCTCACAAACTGTGTAGAGAAGGACTTGTTGATGTACTCTGTTCTGAGTGAATGGCTGATGACATGCGAACCAGTCTCCTTGCCAACGTCAGGCACCGACTCAATCCTTTGGTCCTTTTGGTCTTCCTCGTCACGATGCTCTTCTACCCGAGTCTCGGTGTCCTTCTTCGGTCGGATATGCTCTTCGTTCGGTGGTATCTCGTGGGTTGTCTCCGGCAGCATCAATATCACGCCGAGCAAGTTGCAGAAGATGGCAATCGACAGAATACGCATGTACCATCTCCAGTTTCCCAAGTTTTGGGCGACGGCACCGGCAACGATAGGGCCGACAGCAGATCCAGCCGCAAGAAAGCCCACGTAGACGACCATGGCGCTAGCCAGTCGTCGTTCAGGGAATATCTCGACGACAATCCGAGGGCCCAAGGCCTCGATCAATCCGCCGCCCAAGCCTCCGACGATGCGGGACGCCTTTAAAGATCCGTATGACCCAGCCTCGCCAGACCAGATGCATGAAGCCAGAAATACAGCCAGGGAGAGAATGACCGTGTATCTCTTTCCGATGAGAGCTGAGAGCGGAAGCGCAAAGATGTTCTGTAAGAACCAATGAGCCATGAGCCTGCGAGGTTCGGCCAAAGTGCCCAGATGAGACTCTTCACTTACCGAAAGTCCCAGCGCCAACAGAACGTATGTCGACAGATACGACGCCTCCTCCTGGGAAACATGGAAGTCTTCCATGATCAGCTGGAACAGAGGCGGCACTCCCGCTGCATAGGCGTTTCCCAAGAGATTGTAGAAGCTGACGTTGAGCAGGACGGTGGCCCGCCACCAAAAAGGCCATTGCTAAATCATGTCGTCAGTTACACCAGATCCCGCCGATTTTGATACGGGAAGGATTGCTTCATACCTGAGAATTCCAGGGACTGTCTGCCATTGTTCACTTTTTCTTTCTCTCTAGACCGCAGCCTTTACCCGCAAACAATAAGAGCCTATGTGGCGTGACTGTGGAAAAGTCCGGGGTACCAATCTCCCCTTTTATCATTCTCTTGACTTGATCTGAGGTCTAGATCAGACTGGCGGACGCGTCACGCTCTGTCCACAGCCTGGTGGTTTGGGCTTGGCGGGTATATCGGGTACATCGGGTACATCAGATATATCGGCAATTGTATACCACGCTCTTATAAATCCGGAGGAACTCTGGGGAAGGCCGCAAAGAACGTCGGAAGTGTTCGAATCACCGCACGGCAATTACTCATGGCAATTACCATCACTACGCACGTATAGCTAAAAGTTCTGAAAGTTCAGCCCGCGGGGTCATGATGGAAACAGAAGATGTATTGCGGGGCTTTGACAAAGCAGGAGGGAAATGGGCGGAATCGCTTCACCACTAGTAACAGTATATAGGTAGCTTTCAGCTTTCAGCTTGTTCCGCTTCCGCCAAATAAGCAACGAGTCATTCGTCACGAGCCACTGGCGAGGAACCATGGCAGAAGAAAAGACCTGCTACAATAACTATTTCATCACCGAGAACAACCTCAAATATGTTCCCCCATACCTTCGAGACACACCGGAAACACCACAAGAGGTTAGGTGTTCGACGAAAGGTACCTGGCCCGAATGGCTGGATGGATCGTTTGTGAGGTAGGTATTTCTACTCTGTTGCACTCCCCAAAAGCATTGCTGATACGCATGCCGCCGCCGCCAGAATCGGAGCTGGAAGGTTCACCATCCCCTTGTCCGAGGATGGGTCCAAGCCCAATGCGGTGCTGCAGCACTTTTTCGACGGTCTGGCTATTCTGCACAAGTTCCGCATGCACAAGGGTTCGGTTTACTACATGAGCCGTCACACCGCAGAAGGTGTCGTTCGCCGAGCCAAGAAGAACGGATATGTCGAGACGGTCATGTTTGGCGTGAATGCGAACACGCCGCTCAAGGATGCCCAAGATCCGTGCTCTGCTCTGCTGGGCAGCCTGGTAATGATTTCCCACTTGGCCCAGGGTTGGCCCAGGGTGGCATCGGAACTTCCGTTAACATGTCGTCCAGCAATCCATGTATTTCCCGCAAGGCCATGTCGAGCCTGACGCAGTCAACGTCAACGTGACGCCCCGAAGGGGAATGCACCTCCCGCCAGACCAAAACCCCTACTCGACTGGTCGGGCGGCTGAGAACCCAGAAACTGACGAGGTAAGTTGCCATCTGGCCCCCTTAACTGAGTATTGCTGAATGCCTTCAAGGTGCTCATCCATACCGACTTCAACATGCTTCAAGTCTGCGACGCAAAGACATTGATGCCGAAGCGCATGCTCAACTACGGGCACATCGACGAGCAGCTGTCTGGGTACGGCATCTGCGCACACCCTCCCAAAGACCGCGCCCGTGGCACGACTTATAACTATCTCATCTCGCAAGAAGGCACCATGTACGTCTTTGGCATGGACATCCGGTCCAACCCGGTCAAGGTGCTTTGGAAGACGCCGCTGCCTTGTCCTCCTTGCTATATCCACTCGCTCGCCATGACGGACAAATATGTCGTGTTTATTCGAAATGTGAGTCCGTCTCGTACTCGTCTGGCGTTTCTGAGGTGGAACAAGCTAACATCAGCAACAGCCTCTGCACATGGATGTCAGTGACGTGACTAAACAGCTCATGCACATGATCGAATACGAGCCAGATTCACCGACCCAGTTCTTCGTGCTAGACAAGTTTTCGGGCGAACTGTGGGTTTGATTGATCCCACCAAGGACAAGATACTGACGATTTCCTCTAGAGTCGCCACATACAACGGCAACGGCTTCATGTTTTTCCACTCGGTCAACGCGTACGACTACGTCGATCCCAAGACGAACGAGGTCAACATCCACGTCGACCTGTGCAGCTACGAGGGAACCTACGTGCCCTACCGAGAGTACAATCTCAGCAACGTCGTGGACCCGGCACGGCCGTTCCAGGACGGGACGCTGATACGGTACGAGCTTGCAAACATCAAGGGCGCCAACCCCACGGGCACACCAGGTCGAGTCACTGTCGCAGCCGCAATTCCAGGCGTTGCCGCTGAGTTACCGCGCATTGCCAAGCACGCGTCCACGAAGCCGGGCTATCGGTACGTTTACTTCACTGCCGGCAACGGCGGCGCTGCGCCCGGCACGGAAGTGCCCATCGGCCGACTGGGCAACGGTCTCAAAGTGGTGCAGGCCGCGTTCTTTGGCAGCCTGGCCAAGTCGGACTGGTCGACTGGGACATTTAAACGGTGGCAGCCGTCCGATGGCGCGAGCTGTCCTTGCGAGCCTATCTTCGTGGGCCGCCCCGGTGCGACAGAAGAAGACGACGGCGTGGTTTTGACCATCGTGATCAACAAGCAGGGGACGCACAGTATTCTGATTGCACTTGATGGGAAGACCTTTGAGGAGATTGCCCGGGCCGATATGCCTCAGGTGTACGGAATGGGACCGCACGGGTCGTTCATCGAAGGGTCCTTTGGCGCGTGATTCTGATAGCACTGACTCATAGCCTGGGCAGGTTGTAAAACTGAAGGAATGCGGCGTTATAGTGCAGTGCAAAAAAAGAGCCCCGAAAAGATTCATGCTTGCAAACCCCCATGTCATTCTTTCATTCTTGAGTATCTCCTGTACTCCGTACTCAGGCGTTGGAGACTTTCCTAAAGCGGCCAGCCGCATATTCCTTGTCAGGCCGATATCATCGATTTTCGGCGCAGGATGGTCAATGTGGCAGGGCACGCCAGGGTAGATCATGCAGTTCGACGTCTGGTCTATCTACTTAGCAATGCGGATTGGTTGGTCAGTCACAATGCCTCGTCACGTACCTGAGTGGGAGATCTCTTGGAAAAAAAAAGGCCACGAATGCAATGAATTCCCTGAATTTCTAGACCGCTTACCAATGAGTTCAAGCTGCATGCCTAGCAGGTTCAAGGCAGGTTGAGCCACGCCGTGGCTAGGTGGCTTTTTTCCGGTGATATGTATGTATGTCGTCGATCGTTATCTGATTCTGGTCTTTTGGTCTTTCTACACGTGTCTCTGCCACATCGGTGAATTGGTCTATGTATGTACTGCCTGCCGACCAAGGTAGACGCATGGCGATTCAGTTACATGTTAGGCGTGAGCCACCGCTTGTCAAGTTCGTGTGTTGATGTTGTCGTGGCTGTCGTCGATCAAACCCAGTCCACGTGCATCCATCCTGTGACGTCAACTACTGGATTGATCCAAGATTCTTGTCAGTCTACGAATCCCCATACACAGTTAGCCATAAAAACAAATCTGGGAATTCGATCATTTGGAGATGGCATCAACAAGGAGCCGCGATACACAATACGTATGTAACTACTTATTACAAGTGAGTCGATTGAACGCGTCCATCCATCGTGCCACGTGACATATGTACCGAGTTGGGCCCACGGATGCAGAATCTCGTTGTGATTTCAAGAGTGCAGTCACAGAATGCTTGGTTCTCAGATCTTGTTGCGACTTATTCTATTGAATACATGCTTCTACTCATGGCGAGTCTCTGATATCCGTACCCCGGCAGCACAGACACGTCTCCCTTATGTATCAGCACGAAGCAGCCTAGAAACAAAACACCTGATCTTCCAGTTTGCTCACTGGTCTGGCCTTTTGGAAGCCCAATCCCTCGGTCGCCTTCTTGAGCGCGCTGATCATAGGTGGAGGACCGCACATCAGGATCTTGACATCTGGTCCTGGAGCAGGTAATTTGGCCTTGATCATGTCGGGTGTCACGAAGCCCACTCCGCCCGTCCAACCTTCGGGTGGATTGTTGAGCACGTAGTACACACTGAAGTTGGGGTCCTCGCGGGCAAGTGCATCGATTTCGTCCTTGAGCAGAATGTCGTCGGGGTTGACGTTGGCAAAGATCAAATCCACTTTGGTTGTATCTTTACCTCCTTTGCTGGGTCTTCCACGGCTGATGGCTCGAGCAATCTGCAGCATCGGGGTGATACCAGTGCCGCCAGCGATCATGCCGATGTGCTTGGCCAGGTCGGGAGTGTAGACCATGGCACCCTTGGGTCCTCTGACTTTGATCGTGTCTCCCACCTTCAACGTCGTCATGTGGGCGCTGATGTTGCCTTGGGGATATGCCTTGATCAAGACATCCACGAAGCCCTTGTCCTCGTCAGACGAGATGGGAGTGTAGGACCGCACCACCTCTTTCTCGGCGCCTTTGGGAGTAGCAGCGAGGGAAATGTGCTGGCCGATGGGAAGACCAAGGATATCGGTGGGATTTGGAAGGCCGAGACGGTAGATGGAGACATTGTGGGAGGTCTTGGTGATCTTGGTGACTGGAAAGTGTTGGAATTGATCAGGGATCAGGGCCTTTCGTGATTTGGCTAAAAGTTTCATAGTCAGCAACACGAAGGACAATGGGAATCCCATGACACTCACGTGGTCCACTGAGAAAGACCTTGATACCGCTCACCACGGCAGCTAGGGCTGCTGCGTATGGAAGCCACTCCTTCTTGGTAATGGCAACAGCCACGAGCATCACCACTGAGGGGAGGTAGACACCCGTGACATTCTGTTGGGAAAGAGCCGAACTGCGCAACGAATTGTCAGTACAAAATCCTTGTCGCATTGGTGGGAGACATCTCACCTCATTTTTGCACTTGTCAAGTGAACACTCTCGTCAACTCAATGTTTGGGATAGACGAAGAGGGAGAGAGTGGTCTGAGTTGACGAGTGACTCGCAAGTGGCTGTCGGAGTAAAATGAAAGTCGGGAGCAACAGGCGGAAACTAATGTGGGGCAAGAGACACAATAGCAGCTCTCCACGAGGATGAAAATGAACCAAGACCTGGATCCTCTGGGATGCACAGTCCTCTTGATCACTGTTGAGAGGAGTAATCTATTGCAATACTGGCGACTACAAGAGACCTCCCCGGAGAAGAGACATGGGCACCAGGCTGCGTTTTGTTCCACCGGGAACAAAAATGTCCAAGGGCATCAGGCACATTTAAAAAGGTTAAGCATTGAATCTCCAGACAGGGTAAGTCCGAGCGGTGAGAAGGCAGGAAGGAGCGAGGGGCATCAGGAACCCCACGATCACCACAAATTCATCCACGCAGGGCTTCAATTCCGTTATTTTTTTTTTAATTCCAAGAGTGTCCCTCGCAGGCTATGAGAAAGGGGAGGTACTCGTATGCACAGTAGTAGCACCAAGTCCCTAACACGTCAACTGTACCTCCATCCCTCCCACTTCGACCTCCGAGCTACGGTACCAGTACTGTACCAGTACTATAGGTGTCATCTGAGCCTCTCTCCGCAACAAACTTCCTCACGCTGATAAAAAATCACAATCCCCGTACCCGTGCCGCCACTAACCCCCCAGTAACCACATCCTGACCCCCGAGAAACCTTTCCGACTTCATCCTGCCCTGCCATCCTGGGGCATCTTCTCCGGCTTCCACCCGCTCTCCTCCCATCCTTGTGCGTCCTTACACTTGACGAGACGGAAAGCCTCCGCCCCTGACATCTATGGCCTTTGAATGGACCGAAGATGAACTGCCATTCCCCTTGACTGATATCGATCGTGCTCATTTGAAACTCTCAGACGATAAATTCGAGCCACACACTTGGGACCAACTGAAAACAATCATTGGTGCGTTGCCTTGACTGGCCGCCCCCCACCAGTCAAGACCCCCTCGCTAGACTCCCTCTAACCTAAATAGCGGAGCACGACCTTAGTGCCTTGAAGCGCTGGCCTTCCGACCTGAGGCGCTATATCAAATGGTCCATTGAAATCAGAGAAAAATATGGCAGCGTCCCCAACTATGTCAGGCTAGTTCGTCTACAATGGACCGCTTTGCCGTCATCCAGCCCTAGCACCGGTCCACAATTCGCCGTCAAGAGCCCTGTCCCTTTTGCAGACGCTGCAGATTACAAGATCCTGGTAAATGACTGGCCTTATGGCTATGATGACCCGAGCATCAAGCATATTATTGTCTGGCTCAAGAACAGACTCGAGTCTGAGCCAGTTAGAGGTGACATGACCCCCAGATCACGGCAACAAGTCAACGATTTCATTCAGAAGACCTTTGTCGACCGTGTCAAGGAGTTACAAGGCCACTCCGACAAGGTCATGTGGTTCAGAAACTGGACTGCTCTTCAGTCCATCCCGGGAATTGAGCACGTTCACCTCTTCGTGCGTGATGTCCCTGACGATGTTATAGCAGAATGGACCGGTTCAGACACTCCGGTGAGCAGTCAGACTTGAATCGCGTGCCGCAAATAAATGTCGCCTCTGGTCTGAATTTATTCAGATCTACCATATGGTCCGTTCGGTGGGTGCCATGAATTAAATGCTCCCAATCCGCAATCACGGCGGCTGTCGCATTTCGTTCCAGATAGAGTCAAAGACTTGAAATACTGCCGTCACTCCTTGGAGTGTATCCTCATCAATCGCCATGAATCCATATCGTTGCTGAATCTTATCCGGATGCCAGCGCACTCTTTCCTTTTTGATTTTGCTCATGAAGTCGTCGGCAGTCTCTCCGTGGGTATCTTGACTACTATTACCCTGCCGAACAAACTTTTCAATCTCTTCCCTCGAGACATCCTTTCGCTTCCCTGTCTCTACCGGCCAGGCAATCTGGTGGCGGAGGGTAAATCGGTCGTCACCCTGATTCAAAACAGGTCGGTCGTTCGCCATGGTCTGGAGTTCTGTCCATCGTGTGAGGTAATCTTGCCACAGCTCTTGCCAGCGCTTCTGTTCCTTGCGCCTGCGCCCTCGCCGCAGGCTAGCTTCGATCTGACCCTCAAACGCGTTATCTTTGTGACCGTAAGTGTGGCGAGAACCCATTCGAGCCCTTTCCTCCCTAAGCCGCCGTCTCTCCTCTTCTTGTTCAGCCTTTCTCTGCTCCCTCGCAGCTTCTATGCCTTCCCAACTCTTCTCCCACATTTTTCGACGCACATATTGAGCGTATTCGTCTTCCGACATACGTTCCAGTTCTCCTGTATCTTGGTTGGTGTATGTATCGGCATATTGGTGGATTGGCTGCCCGTATACACCCTCCCAAAACGTCGCTCCTTCGTCGTCTCCAAGAGCATCGAAGAGGGATTCTCGAAACGCTTGCTCGGTTGACAGGTGTTCGGTCGAGTGTCCACGGTGTTGGCGACCATCCTCGAATGGTGGTGAAGGCCGCCGTCGCTTCCTTCTATGAGAGGATTCATGATGTCGCCGGTGGCGTTTGCGACCATTCAGGTCATTATGCGCTTGATCACTATCGTTCCTAGGCGTCTTGAAGCGGAAGCGCCCGGGATGGTGCCGGTCTGGATTTGTTTCGTCATTCGTCACAGTGTCAGGAGGAGTGTGCGATGCATTGGACATGACTTTGCGTTGCCCATTTTCCTGAGGCTGCGGTGACAACGAGGGAAGAATCTAGGATCTGGAATCTGGTGTGGTTGGCCCCACCCCATGTGAATTTCGGCGGAACCTTAATCCGAAAGATTCTTGCCAAGCTATCAACTTTTTGACTCAGATTCACTCTCGTCCTGAACAAAGGCAAGATACTTCAACTGCAAATGTTTGTTTCGTCTCATACCCTAAATTGCTCCTTTCTCTTCAAGTCTACCGGGCGTCTTCTCTCAGTACTGCTAAATCAATCTCAGAAACAGTCTTCTTCACAGAGCCACAGGACATACCTCACTACTTCAGCTTCGTCAGGTTGGTTTAAATTCGTTGAAAAACGATCTGGCCAGACCTTGGTTCATCGCAAATACTTTTCCTCGTCTCTGCAAACATCAAGACACAAAATGGCAGACGAGATCCAAAATTCTTTCGGCTCTCTCACCCTGCAAGAGATGGCGGCAGCTACGAATCCTGTTGATTTTTATCGAGAATACATTGCCGAGCGTCTGTCCCCCATCGTTGACCGGAAACCAAACGAGCTCATTCCCTTACTGCAATGGACCGCGACACTTGACAAGGGAGATCTTGCCCTCCCAGTTCCCGCCCTCCGGATAAAGGGCAAGAATCCACAGGAGCTGGCCGCTGAAATCGTCGACAAATTTCCCAAATCCGACGACACACCCATCACACTATATCAGGCCGGTCCTTTTGTGCAAATCTTCTTCAAACCACAGCACGTGATTACTACGGTTATTCCCGAAATCCTCAAATCTACAAAGGCATATGGTACCAACCCATTGTCCGGCCAAAAAGATCCCTCCGCGCCACTTTCCAAAGACAACCGAAAGAAGGTCATTGTAGAGTTTTCCTCGCCCAATATTGCCAAAGAATTCCACGCAGGTCACCTTCGAAGTACGATCATTGGTGGTTTCCTCGCCAAATTGTACACCATCATGGGCTGGGACGTAATCAAAATGAACTATCTCGGTGACTGGGGCAAGCAGTATGGTCTATTGGCCAACGGCTTCAAGCAGTTTGGAAGCCAAGAAGAGCTGGACAAGAACTCGATCGCGCATTTGTTCTACGTCTACGTCGAAATCAACAAGATCAAGAGCGAACAGGACGGCCCCATCAACGAATTAAAAAAGGAAATCAAGGAGAAGAAAGCCAAGGGTGAAGACGTCTCGGCACTAGAAGCACAACTTGAACCTCTGGTTGAGGTTAGTGAAGACGAGAAGGCACGAAAGTATTTCAAGAGTATGGAAGACGGAGATCCAGAGGCGTTGGCGCTGTGGCAGAAGTTCCGAGATCTCAGCATCCAAAAGTACCAGAAGACTTATGCCCGATTAAACATTGAATTCGACGTCTACTCGGGCGAGTCTCAGGTCAAGGCCGAGACCATCAAGTCGGTACTGGACAATCTGATGGCCAAGAAGATTGCTGAAGAGTCTGACGGTGCCATCTTAATCGACTTTGCTAAGCACGGAGCAAAGAAGCTCAACAAGGCCATCATTGTTCGTAAGGACGGGACGCCGTTGTACCTGACACGAGATCTGGCAGCCATCTTGGAACGTCACGAAAAGTACAATTTCGACAAGATGGTCTACGTCGTTGCCGATCAACAAAATGAGCATGTCGCCCAGCTCTTCAAAACCACCGATCTCAGTGGCCACAAAGACGTGTCGGACAAGTGTGAACATGTCTCTTTCGGCATGGTCAAGGGCATGAGCACACGAAAAGGAACCGTCAAATTCCTTGATGATGTGATCCAGTCAGTCAAAGATGTCATGTTGGATGTGATGAAGAAGAATGAGAAGAAGTACGAGCAGCTCGACGACCCAGAAGCGGTTGCCGACATCCTCGCAATTACGGCTATCATGGTGCAGGATTTGAGTGGAAAGGTCCGGAACGGATACGAGTTCAACATCAACCAGATGACGGCATTTGAAGGAGATACGGGTCCGTACTTGCAGTATGCTCACGCGCGTCTTTGCTCGATTGAGCGTAAGGCGAACGTGGACATTAGCACCTTGATCACTGCCGACCTCTCATTGCTCCAGGAATCACACGCCATCAACTTGGCCCGGTCGCTGGCGCAGTACCCAGATGTGGTATTGAACACACTCAAGACTCGCGAGCCAGCTACGATGCTCACGTATCTCTTCAAAATGGCGCATGCATTGAGCTCCAGCTATGACCATCTGCAAGTGGTGGGCAGTGAGCCTGAGCTGCAGAAGGCGCGGTTGGCACTGTACGAGGCTGCCCGACAAGTGCTATGGAATGGCATGACCATCCTCGGCTTAACTCCGGTGGAGCGGATGTAGTGGGGGTCTGGAGGATGATGTTAGTGATTCTGGTGAGAAATGATATCCGGAGTTTCTGGAGTCGAGTTGCGGGCGGAAGATGTCGGGGTTACCAAGGTCCTCTTGTGCATGATCGACGTTCAAAAAAGGAGAATGTACCATAATCCAGAGGGGCATGCCAGGGCACACGCAGGGGTTGGGTATGCGTGAGATGGCGCTGGGCACGGCATTCAAGTTAGAGAGAGTATAGCAGCCTCAAAGAATTGCATTACTCCGTACGTTCGTGACAATGCAGTTTTCTAGTGGCTTCAATGTGGGTCTAGTGGGCTTTGCCTGATGCAGACACTTGTTTATCACCAACGTCATCTTGGAGGGGCAACTACTTAGAATTCAGTCATGGAGAAATCCCTCGACTTTGCTGAAATGTCCCGCCTACAGCCCACCGCGCCGCCATTCCACCGTGCCACCAGGCTACTCTGACCATTAATACACGCCCCAACAACAGGCGAGGCTACCTAGATTCGCTAGTCAGGGCGAGAAAAACCGTGGGCCCCTCGTCCCATCGCGCTGAGTGGGCCTAGGGTTGGGCAGCCATGCCATCCGAATCACCAGGCTTGCACAGCTTGCCACTCGGTCCAAACGAATTGGATTCGGAGACCTTTGGGTACAACAAAGATATGCGCTTGTCCTAGAAATCTGGTACCTTTTCGGATGATCTTTTGTGGCAAAGTGATGAGAAGAAAAGGTAAGGCCAACCCTCAGGAAGGAGGCATATGTGTCCGGAAAGACGGCAGACAAGATATGGTGCAAACACAGAAAATCACAAGTTGACAAATCTGATGAGCAGCTGATATCAAGGTCTATCTGGATGAATTATATAATGGCAAAGGTTGAGAAAGAGATAAGATGCTAAAGCCTGACCACGGCGTTGATTACAAGCGCGGGACCTGGTGATGATTTTTCTCCGTTGTTGTCGATGTCCAATCACTGTACAGCGTTATGGTGATGGCATGGCCGTTTCTTCATCAACAACCAAGTGCTTAACTAGTTTTTATTAGGTCTCGACCTGGTGTTCTCAAGGCGAAAGCCACAAACTGGCCCGTCTGAGTAACCCAAATTTTCAGGCTGAAGCTTCAACTGGTCACCATCATGTCCACTTCCACGAGATTCTTCATCATCCAGCAACGGTCAAATGAGTCACCCGGTCCACGAGAGTACCAGGTTACAGGGTTCAATCGACAGGACAACATCTCTCCTGCACCATTACAGTACCCGTCATTCATGCAGGACCAAGACTTTTCGAATGGATGTTGCCTGCATCATGCTCCGAGTCTTGACCATGTCGATTGCAGACTTGCTGCCCGATTGGCTTCGGTATGGCCCAAGGTCCAGTCACAAAGTCGACGGCCACACGCCATCCGTCGTTCATCACGCAACTAACAAGGCGATCCCAGACATGGACGGGCGTGAATGCGGCGGTTTCCTGCCATACAAGCCCCGGTCTCTGCCCATTCCGTGACCGGTCTGTAATGGCATGGAAAAATTTGTCCAGACGCGCCTGCCTCTGGTTGACACGATTGCTCCTGCCTCCCGCTGCCTCCTGCCTGTGTCCCTGTCGCGCCTGCCTCTCCCTGGCTCTTGCCTTGACTTTGAGGATGCGAACCCCGTCCGTGCCATCTGTGCCATCGTGTCTGCAGCCTCTGTTGCTGCTTGTTGCTCTACGACTCTGCGGCTCATCAGTTATTCTTTGCCTGTCTTGCAAAAAAGAAACCCCTCGTACCCCTCCTCTGGCTTCCTGGATGCTTCATTGATGGTGTCTAGATAATCGATTGGTGGTCAGAAGATATCGAGGGCCCATAATCTGAGTCTGTCGTCTATCATCATTTCTCAAGATAGTCAGACTGGAGGGGCAGAGGGGCGCGTCCACATCCACTACCACCCCCCCTCAACCCCCCCTCCGCGCTCCTCAATTCTCGCTTGTCCACGACCAGAAATTCACCCGCCATCAAAAGAAACCCGATCACCAACACCTCAAAACCTTTCCTTGTCGTCCCATTCACTCCATGTTCCTTTCTCACCAGTGCATGCGCCAGGTCAATTGGTGCTTCTTTCATTACCTTGAGCACGCCTGCATGGTGCGGCCTTCCTCTCCTTTTCTTGCCCACCCGCACTGCCTTCTTCTTCAGCAAATCACCACTGCGCACGAAGTCTGGCGTCACCTGCACCACTGCACCATTCAACTCACTGCTGACTTGTTCCCAACGGCCGCCTTATTGCCAGCTGCTGTCTGACCAAATCCTCTTGTTTCCTACCATTGTCCTGTACCACCGGCTGCGTGCAGCTCCCAGGTCACAAAACCATCGCCACAGTAACGGACAGTGTTGCTCACGAGTCCAAATTCAAGAACGAGATACTCTCATGTCCCAACCCAACTCTCAACGTTAATCAAGGTCACACGTGGGTGAGTGGGAGTGCAGCTAGAAAGCATGGATCCCCACCGGCGTCAACCCGAGTGAAAATTCACATTCCAAAAGTCTCATTTTAAAAAGACCGACCTCCTCAGGTGTGCCAGTACAAATACAGTACAGTGAGTACGAGGACTCGTATACCCTGGGCTGTCTTATTAGCGTACGGAAACACCTGCGAGCACCATCCCTCCTAAGGAGGACCTGGACCTGGACCTGGACATTGAGTGGCCACCCTGCCCAAACCTTACCGGAAGGAGCCAGCAGCCTTTGGCCGCCTTCCCAGTTTTCCTTTGAAACCCGCGGGACCCATCAGCGGCGGCCAACTCCAACGAGCCCCCAGTCTCGGGTGCTGGCTTTAACTAATAAGAGTCCATCAGCCCTGTCAAGCATTCCCCCAAAGCCGCCCAGCTCCAACCCACCAGTGCCACCTCACGATATACCCACACGGACCGACTGTCGATCCCGCTTTGACAGCCACTGTGGGCCATTCCCGTCCCCTGTCACCCCACTATTTCCACCTCCATCTCGAACCATCCTCAACCCAAGCAGTCCAAGCAACGACATCTCGGACCATCATCACCTCATCTTCATCCCACCTACAACTCCTCGCCAATATTTATGTTAACCACGCCGCGTCCATGCCAGAACCTGACCATTCGCGTATTCGACATGCGACGGTAGAGGATTGTGTCGACGAAAGTGATGCTGCCTTCCTGGACTCCCGTCATAATGTCCATGTCCCATCAAGAAGCCCAGACCACACTGTGGTTTCTGAAAGAAGGCATGCCAGACCCTTGAGAGAAGGTCGTGACTCGAGATATGGCAGCCAAAGTGTCACCGTACCCGCCGAGCCACTGTCGACCAATCCAAAGCCCACTGCTTTTCCCATCGAGAGGGAGCGACAGCCTTATCACATCACGAAACAGCCATCTTCCAAACAACCTCCTCGCCAACAGACCTCTGTAAGAGCCAAGGACACCATCTCAGAGCCACAACCCGAGAGGCCTCACCCTAAAGCCGAGTGGGCCCATCCGAGGGGAATGTGTCGTCTTTGTGACCATTTTGGTTGTCATGATGAGTCAAAGGCCGACAAGCTACCTCCGCTTCAGATACAGCCTCATTCCCCTAAAGCATCGAGGAAGACCGCCGTCCGAGATCTACCTGAGTCCGAATCATCGGCTGTCCGTAAAACCAGGAGATCTTCCTCGGCGCAAAGAGCTTTGCCATTGACTCTGAACACGAGTTTTGCCTCACCGCCTCCACATCAACCCTACTACTCCCCTACCCCAGTTCTTCCACACCCAGGTTGGCAGACCCCAGTGCTTCCGCCCTTGCCGTATGGTCCTTCTCCGTATCCTTTCGTATCCCCGGACCCCGCCTCCGCCACGATCCAGTATTCCGCATATCAGCCTCCTGGCCCCTTCTACGAGCCGTTCCCCCAAATCCCCCAAGAGACCAGATCTGCCCAGCCAAGCCGCCGCCCAAGTCCGCACAAGAGGTCGTCAGTTTACGGACAGCCACTTATCAGGTATCCGTCGCATGAAGTCGAGTCAAATTATTACGAAGGGCCGTCTCGAGAATACATGTCCAACGCGCCGTCCCACCGGCCAAGACAAACTTTCGACGTTGACCGTCAAGCCATGCCACCACCTGCAAAGACACAATCGATTAGTACACCCTTTGCACAGAAGCCACGCAACACACGAGCGCAGACATATCATTCAGAAGACTCACTTCCCCGTCAGAGACCTTCACGGGCGCGCGAACAATATGAGGAAGACGATGGCTATCGGGAGATGCGTGCCACAACGTCGCATCGAGGGCGAAGGGAATCCCCCTCTCGACCGCCGACTTCGTACAAGCCCCCAAGCAACCTAGAGTCAAGACCAGGCCTGCCCAAAAAGGCAGTCTCGTACTCCACTCCAGAGACTGTTAGCAGGGTAGCGTCGTCCCAAAAGCTAGCACAGCGGAGTAATACGTTGCCTTCCATCTCTCTAGAACAACAAGAGGCCAACGTGGAAGCATATCAACGAAATAAAAAGAGAGAGAGTGCCAACTTGGGCCTGAGTTACGAGGCACTGAAAAGCCTGAGCAAAGGCACTTCAAGTTCCCGCTCAGAGACGGCGAGCAGTTACAGTCACAAGAGTCACCAGTCATCCAAGGATTCCTCACGGGGACTGAGCCACGCAAGTACTTCTGCCACCCAATTTACCATATCGGGAGGAGGCCTCAGCCTGAGTATTCCGGCGAATTATGGTGCAGATGGTCAGCCTTCCCTCAGTTTTAGCTATGGAGATGCCGTGGTGAACATTGGAGGGTCTGGCCGAGAGCCAGAAAGGGTTCGAGAGCAAAAGAGACTCGAGCGTGCTCCAAGTGTGACCAGCAAAACGTCAAAGGTGAGCATGGCGAGCAGTAACATGTCGATCGGCGACCCAGTCAAAAGGGCTCGACGCACGTCTCAATTGGAGGAGGCCGCCGCGAGGACCAATCGACAAAGTGGTCGAACTTCAAGCACTACACGACCTGCATACGACTATTCATACCAACAAAGGCGACAGAGCGTTGATCTAAGCTCATTTGAAGACCTGGATCTCAATGCTTGATTCAAGCTATCTAGTTGGTTTCGGCTGATTAGACTTCTGTCGACAACCACCCATTTCTTACCCTCACCCAATCCCTCGGAGGTTTTTCTATCGTGTCGTTCATGGCTTATTTCTCCAAAATTTGCAATTATTTCGGTTATTTCTTGTCTGTTACGACATCGTCGGGCTGGGTCACAATGCCGCTCCTGTCGCTGTCGACCTCGTGTTTGAGTCTGGATGCTTCTTTTTGTCGGCACGCACGAAAAGCAACTTCCTGTGTCTGAGTACAGTCTCAGACGTATACCAACGCCCAAACATCGGTGGTGAACTCTTTGTTGTTGTTGAGCAAGAAAAGCAATGCAACGCTGAGCACTCGAGCCTTGTGCCGCTTGTTATGTGTGGCCACACCAGTACAAAGGCTCGAATTGTCCGCTTTGACTCCGTTCAGCTCGTTGAAACGACAGTGTTCTTCTGACTGACGGTCATAGAAAAGCGGTATGAAAGGACAACTTTGGCTGGGGATTTTGGGGCTTCTATCGGTGCATCTCAGCATGAGGGGGGCATCAGCCCGCACAAGTGGTATGATGTATTCATGCTTTGTATCATGTAATGATGTGGCATGATTTATTACCACGCGTTTTGGGAGCCTCCCCGGCGGTATTTGTTTTTGTTGGCAGTTGGCACACTCGGCCTAATTGATGAATGAGTCTTGTTGGGTACTTGGTAGATCTTGCTGGCCAGGATCCAACCATGAAAAGCTTGCACCCAAGAAGGAGGTGAACGATGATTGTGGACGAACCAGGGGCATCCTTTTACGAGTGTTATGATGAATGAAGTCTTTGTGATGATTTATGACGTGCAATCGGTGGATCGATTGTCTGAATGTATGTATGTGTGGTGTTTAGATTGACGATTGCATCTGGAGTTGTTTCGATTGGATACCCAACAAGATTGTCGCCCTTTGGAAGAGCTTGGGTTAGAGCAGACACCGACGACTCTGGTCGCGGATTCCATCATTTATGCATTGAACCCATGTTTTGAGTATACAAATGCTGTCGTCGAGGCCACTTGTGATCATGAATGAGATGATTCTTTTTGCCAAACGTATATGGAAACATCGACATCTCCCAACTCAGTCCCCTTTGATGTAACATCATAGTGCTGGCACTTGTATTGGGGCTGGGAATAATGATCCCTCATGTCGAGGGAATAGTGTGATGTGGGTGTCGCATCCTGGTGGCGACTCATAGTGCCATAGGACCTCAGGGACTCCATCGAGAAGACATTTGAAGCACACTACCGTTCGTCCTCCACTCGCGTGCACTGTGCGCTGTGGCCCCTTTTCATCGTGATTTTCATCATCATCATAATAATCGTCATCATATTCGTCGTCATTGCTGTGGTTTCTCACTGAAAATGAATCCCCTCTTGATTGAAATTCCACAACAATTTCAAAAAATCACCTTGATCACACATCCGCGCCCGTTTATCGGCCAGTTGAGTTTTATCCTCCAAAACACTTCGAACCTTTTCACGCACCAATTCAGCGACTTGGCCTTTTTTCTTGCGACTTGACGATGATTTGGAGGTTTTGGAGGATTGGAGACTTTGTTTGAAGAATTCAGGGAGGTCGTCATCGTCGTTGTCGGAGTCGATGTCCATCATACCACCGTCACCATTCAACTCTTCTTCTTCATCTCCATTGGGGTTTGTAGCCATGGAATTTTCCACATCCATCAGATTCGACGACTCGTCAGCGACTGGCCCATCCTGGATAGGTATATCATTCTGAGCACACCAAGTCCGATAATTCGCCTCCAGCATATTCATGATACTCGTCGTCCCCAAGAAATTCGCGCGGAGGGTCTTGTTCTTCCTCACAAAACAAATCCTTAACAGCCCATCCCATTCCTCATATGAAATATTCGGCCTTGGATTCTTCGGCACCAGACGAACCACACTACTTTCCACCGCTGGCGGCGGCTTGAAATTATTCTTGCCCACTTTCATAATATGATCGATTTTCGCCCACATCTGGGCATTGACGGATAACCGACTGTAGAGTTTATCACCGGGTTTGGCGAACAATCGAAGTGCGAATTCGCGTTGAAACATCAATATACACACTCTGGGCGCGGGACTGACGGCGAGTAATTTGAATACCAGTGGACTGGAGATTTGATATGGTGTGTTGGAAATACAGACATCGAAGTACGGGAGTTGGGTTTTGATCACGTCGCCTAATACAACGTCGAGACGTTTGCCCATACTGGTTCCTTGTACTCGTTTGGTGACTTCGGCGGCCATGCGAGGATCGAGTTCGACGGCGACGCAGCGTTTGGCTTTTTCGAGGATTTTGACCGTCAAGTTGCCGCTTCCGGGGCCGACTTCTAATACGATGTCGGATTGTTTCAGGTCGGCTTTATCGACAATGGCTTGTGCGACACCGGGGTTCTTGAGAACGTGTTGACCGATGTCAGTGTTCATTTTGAATATTGCGTTGGATGTGCCGGTGGGTTTGGAGGTGGAGGAGGAGGACGGGCGGGCGTAGGGTGAAGATGAGGGTGCGCCGGCGTCACCGCCGCCGGAGCGGTGTTTTTTGTTGAATTTCGGCATGGTGGAGAGATTCAGATCATCTTAGGAAATAGAGGGCTGTTGGTAGGGCTATATGTATGGTAGAATGCTCGAGTGCTAGAGAGTCGTTTGGTGTCTGAATGTTCGTAATGGAAAAAAAGTGTCTTGCGCAGGAAACTTTTTGGCGGTGAAAGAAATTCTGCCATAGAAAGACAAAATTATTGGGCCTGATTGGGGGATCTCCTCCATCCCCACAACCCGATTGCCATGTCATCATTAGGCGCGAATTGGGCACTGGTAGCCTTGAAACCTTAAACAAAACAGCCTAAGGCGCCTAGAATCGGCGGCAAACCCCCTAAGCGCAGGCATCTGCACCTTGCAGCCTGATTCTGATAATCGGAGAAGTTCGAAAAAAACATTAACAGGGACAGAAATCTGACCTTCTTTGCGACAATTTCATTTCAACTTGGGCTTCAATCTTGCATTCTGCAAGTCGCGACGGGAAGACCCTCTACACCTAGTCCAGCTAGTCTCGCAGCCGACTTGGGACGCTCGAGGGTCTTGGTTCTCGCTCATTTAATCGTATCGATCCTCCACTTCTACGATAACAGTCAATGCCCGTCTAGTCCACCACTCAAGTCTGCAACCATGACTTCACGAAGAGATTTCCTCAATCAGCAAGCGCCTGAGAACTATGTTGCAGGTCTCGGTCGTGGTGCCACAGGATTTACCACACGATCTGATCTTGGCCCTGCGCGAGAAGGTCCCAGCACCGAGCAAATACAAGAAGCCCTTGCGAAACGAGCACAACAACTTGGTGCCGCTCCTCCAACAGCATATGGCGCGACAGATAAGAAGAAAACCGACCAGGAAGAACAGGACGATGAGAGATTCCAGGATCCAGAAAACGAGGTAGGATTGTTTGCGTATGGGCAGTATGACCGCGAAGACGATGAGGCGGATCGAATATATCAAGATGTCGATGAGAAGATGGAGCGGCGCAGAAAAGCTAGAAGGTTAGTCCACTCCTTGTCCCCATCCTCACCCCCTTCCACTCGTCTCCTCCTGTCAGCAGAAGCCCGTGGTTTATCTTTTCCACTTGTGTTTGCACAGATTACCGACGTGAAACCTCCATCAACTTTTAGGGAAGCCCGGGAGCAACAAGAACATGATGAATACGAACGAAACAACCCCAAGATATCACAACAATTTGCCGATTTGAAGAGATCGTTAGCCACCGTCTCCGATGAAGATTGGGCCAATCTCCCGGATCCTGGAGATCTTACAGGCAAAAATCGAAGATCCAAGCAAAATCTGCGACAACGGTTTTATGCTGTACCTGACAGTGTTTTGGCGGGCGCGAGAGACTCGACCGAGTTCCAAACTAGTGTGCAGGACGATGGATCACAAACATCGAGTGCCGACAACAAAGATGGTACCATGACCAATTTCGCCGACATTGGTGCTGCCAGAGACAAGGTGCTCAAAGCAAGATTAGATCGAGCAGCACAAGCGGATGCCGGCACTGGGTCAGCAACTACGATAGACCCTAAAGGATACTTAACCAGTCTTGCGACAAATGAAATCAAGGCGGGGGAGATTGAGGTTGGCGACATCAAACGTGTTAGGGTCTTGTTGGAGTCTGTCATCAAAACAAATCCCAAACATGCACCAGGCTGGATAGCCGTTGCAAGACTAGACGAGTTGGCCGGCAAGATTGTATCTGCCCGCAAGATGATTGCTCAGGGCTGCGAGCAGTGTCCCAAAAGTGAAGACGCGTGGCTGGAAAACATTCGACTCAACGATAATCACAACGCCAAAATCATTGCAGCGAACGCCATCAAGAATAATGAGAAATCAACTCGATTATGGATTGAAGCCATGAACCTCGAATCCGACCGAAGAGCGAAGAAAAGAGTCTTACGGCAAGCAATCGATCATATCCCCCAGTCCGTCGCCATCTGGAAGGAAGCCGTCAACCTGGAGGAGAACGAGGAGGATGCCCGTCTACTCCTTGCGAAAGCAACTGAGATCATTCCTCTATCGGTAGAACTATGGCTTGCCCTCGCTCGTCTTGAAAGCCCTCAGAATGCGCAAGCCGTCCTCAACAAAGCACGAAGAGCCGTTCCAACCAGTTACGAAATCTGGATCGCTGCCGCACGACTGCAAGAACAGATAGGAAACGCAAACAAACTCAATATAATGGGCCGTGCCGTCAAGACACTGGTTGATGTCGGTGCCATGCTGAAGCGCGAAGAATGGATCACCGAGGCCGAAAAGTGCGAAGAGGAAGGTGCCGTGCTTACGTGTGGTGCTATCATTCGAGAGACACTAGGCTGGGGTCTCGACGAGGATGATGATCGTAAGGAAATTTTCAAGGACGATGCAAAAGCCAGCATTGGTCGCGGGCGTTATGAAACCGCTCGGGCGATATATGCATACGCTTTGAGAGTATTCCCTACCAGCAAGTCATTGTGGCTAGCCGCCAGCGATCTGGAAAGAGCTCATGGAACCAAGACCGCACTATGGCAAGTCTTGGAGAAGGCTGTCGAGGCTTGTCCACAGTCAGAAGTTTTGTGGTTGCAGCTGGCTCGAGAGAAGTGGCATGCGGGTGAGGTTGACGACGCTCGACGTGTCCTGGCAAAAGCATTTAACCAAAATCCGAATAACGAGGACATTTGGCTGGCTGCCGTCAAGCTCGAAGCTGATGCCAACCAAGTTGATCAAGCGCGAGAGCTTTTAGCAACAGCACGACAGGAAGCCCCGACGGAACGAGTCTGGTACAAGAGTGTTGCTTATGAGCGGCAACTGGGAAATATCGACGTCGCCCTTGATCTCGTCCTTCAGGGTCTCACTTCAACGGTGGTCAACAAAAAGGAAACCAGATTCCCACGCAGTGCCAAGCTCTGGATGTTGAAGGGACAAATCTATGAAGATAAAGGAATGATTCCTCAAGCTCGGGAGGCATATTCTCAAGGCACGCGTGCGGTCCCCAAATCAGTTCCTCTCTGGCTTCTTGCCGCAAGGCTGGAAGAAAAGGCAGGTATCATCATCAAAGCACGATCCGTCTTGGATAGAGCGCGCCTTCAAAATCCTCGAAACGCCGAGTTATGGACGGAGAGCGTGCGGGTCGAGCTGAACGCAAACCCACCCAACGTGCAGCAGGCAAAGGTGCTCATGTCAAAGGGAATGCAAGAATGCCCCAAATCAGGATTGCTATGGTCCGAGAACATTTGGCGACTGCAACCACGAACGCAGAGAAAGCCTCTGAGTTTAGAAGCGATTAAGGCCGTGGACAATGACCCAACACTCTTTGTCACGGTGGCCCGGATTTTCTGGGGAGAACGAAAACTCGACAAGGCCATGAATTGGTTCGAAAAAGCGATTGTCGCGGACAGCGACCTGGGAGATGCTTGGGCGTGGTACTACAAATTCCTGCTGCAGCATGGGACAGATGTAAGTGTGATGAATTCATTAAAGTTGACAGGCAGAGAACTAACCGGTTGTGTTAAACAGGAGAAACGAGAGGATACTGTCAGTAAATGTGTTGCTAATGAGCCCAAGCACGGTGAAGTTTGGCAGAGGGTGAGAAAAAACCCGAAGAATTCAAGCATGACTACAGAGGAGGTGTTGAAGGAGGTTGCAAAGGAGTTGCAGTAAAAGCACGCTGTAGTGTCTAACCTCAAGTCAGCTCGGCAGCCCGGGTTTGATAATGAACAATGATAATGGCTCCATGGTCTGTACTGTGGTGATTCAACATCCTCTATTCGACTAACTCGTCGTTTGGCATGTGAACCATGAATGTATGTAAACCACTTTTATATCACGTGATGTGATGACGCTTTCCCACGTGACAATATGCCAAGGCTTCTGCGCTGTGACAAAGCAGTCAGTCGCAGCTGCGCCTTTTCAGGCTTCTAGACTTCGCCTCTTCCGCTTTCGACCTTTATTCTCTCAACCTCACCTCCTTCTCGAGTCTTCCACCAACTCACTCTCATCCATTTCATCTTTGTTCAACACTTTCCCCCCTTCAATCTAATCTCTACTTTCTCGTGATCGCAGCTCTACTGGTAATCAGGTGTTACTCCATCTCTTCCTCTTGAAGAACTGCGGTGTCAGTTTGGTTACGAGTGTCATTCGTCCACGCTTTCCCCGAACCCGTCTCGTGTCTTCTCCTGAACCAACTCGTGGTGAATATAACCTCGGTTTGTTGTCCCGTGGTGAGGGCTACGATACTCATTTTCGAGATTCTGGAACTTGGTCATTGATATTGGGGGAACAATTGCTTGTTGACTCGTCGCGGGATTGGCAATACTCGCATGGGTACGGGCGTTTTTGCTTGTTGAATGTACAAGATCAGCACAGTTCTTCTTGACCTCTGTGGCGGAAAGAGTCGAACCATTGTTACCATTTTCAATATCATTTTCCCTGATTTCCACTGTCATCAATATTAACTTGCCCTTGCCCTTTCAACTTGGACTTCTAAATACCTTCAAATCACGAATTTCGCCACCGATTTGCCCTTTTCAACAACAAATATCAGCTCACAGCACTGGGCGTATCCTGCCCGAGGTGTGATTCTCATCCGCCCTTCTTCCGACAAACACTGTTACGACCATGGCGTCTTACGTGTATTTCAAGTTCAAATCTCAGAAGGAACCCCAGCGTGTGACTATCGATGGCCCTCATACTGATGTTTGGAACCTCAAACGTGAAATCATCACCATATCTCGACTCGGAGATGGCACCGACTTTGACCTCAAGATCTACAAGGAAAACAGTGATGAAGGTAAGATACATGACGTGAGTGTCAGTAGACAGTACATGACTAACATCAAAGTAGAATATACCGACGACACCGAAATCATCCCCAAAGACTCAACTGTCCTAGCTCGACGGTTACCCGCATCAGCGCCTGGAAAAGGTCGTGCTGCTCGATATGTTTCTGGCAAACCGCCTGTCAGCGCCCGTCACAATGCCGCCATTGCTGGCAAGGCCGTCAAGGCTGTAGAGATGAACAGTAACATGACAGAAGCAGAAAAGTTGCAAGCCATGCTCAACTTTACCGATGCTCAGTGGCAGCAGAAACAAGAAGAGATGTCACACGAAACGCGAGTACCACTATCAGGCAAACCATTCAAAAAGGCAAATATTCCTGAAGGAGAGCCGCCACACGGATATATCTGCTACAGATGTGGCAAGAAAGGTGAGAAGTAATACCATATTTTTGTCGGACTTGTGTTAACATATTTCAATATAGGACATTGGATCCAAGCGTGTCCAACAAATGACGATGCAAACTACGACAACAGAAACCGCATCAAGAGAACGACAGGAATTCCACGGTCAATGCTGAAAAAGGTGGACCAAGCGGACGTCGACAAGCTCGACGATGCCCAGAGACAGAATCTCATGGTGAATGCCGAAGGAGATTATGTCTTTGCACAAGCAGATGAAAAAGCGTGGAAAAAGCATTTGGAACAAGTCAAGGCTTCGGAAGCTGCGCAAAAGAAAGTACAAGTTGGCAACAAGGAGCTACAAGATCGAGGCCTGGAATGCCCGATTGACAAGCGCTTGTTTGTAGATCCAATGAAGACACCCTGTTGTGGGAAGACATATTGTCACGAGTGTATTGAAAATGCATTGCTTGAGAACGATCTCACATGCCCTGGCTGTGAGACGGAGAATATCAGTCTCGAAGCTTTGCAAGCAGACGAGGAGATCCAGACCAAGATTAAGGAATATCAGGCCGAAAAGGAAAGGGACAAGGATGAGAACAAGGACAAGGGACGATCTAGAAGCGTTTCTGTGGCTGTTGAATCCCCCAAAGGCGAAAATGCGGAAGAGACATCTTCACGCGATGGATCGTACTCTCCACCGTCGGCTAGTGGACAATCTAAAAAGCGCAGTGCAAGTGACGCGGACGAATCTACCGCCTCGAACAAACTTGGAGCTCCAGCAATGAAACGACAAAAGTCTGGAGAGGTCGAATCTTCATCGACCCCAAAGCCGGAAGACGGCAGTAAAAAGGAGCTGTCGCCTAAGAAAAAGGATGCAGAGTCGAAGCAAGAAACACCAGCAGATGATGAAGAATCAGTCACTGAGGTGCTACCGGAAAACATGATGCCCCCCGATATGTCGCAAATGATGCAAGGGATGAATTTCCCCATGATGAATAACCTCAACCCTTTCGCCGCAAACCCAATGATGAATATGGGCATGGGCATGGGTATGGGCATGCCAATGGGGATGGGAATGGGAATGGGTATGGGTATGGGTATGGGAATGAATGGAATGCCAAACATGAATGGCATGAACGGCATGACTTTCCCTCCCAACATGAACATGATGAACGGTATGAATGGAATGGACGGGATGAACATCAATATGAACAACATGAACAACATGTTTGGCAATGGGAACGACCAAGGCTTTGGAAATCCCAACCAGAACTGGAACCGCAACAACAACTTCCGAGGGAACAACAATCGAGGAGGCCATGGCGGCGGCTTCAATCGACCATATCGAAATTTCCAAAACAACGCGAACAACCATCAATCATTCAATAACCGTCAACAGCAGCAACAAGGAGGAGGAGGAGGAGGACCTCCCACTCAACCATCAGGCATGACCGGCGTACCCACCGGACCCAAATCTCTACAAAATAATAACCCGGCGACAAAACAAAATTTCTACCCCGGCGGAGGAGCTCCAGATAATAAATTCTCCAATCAACATCGTCATGTCGGCAATGAAGAGGATAACGCTTATATGAGGCAGCCTGTCAATCCTAATCGACATCAGAATCGGAATCGAAAAGCCAGACAGGCGGATTATCGAGAATTGTGATGATTGACAGACAGGAAGACAATCCGCTGGAATGAACCCCCTGTTCAGTCCTCTTATTAGGGGTAGGGGGTTTAGCTACCGAGAAAGTCTGACCATAATATCCTTTTGATCACTATCATGGAATATGATTGAATGCCACGATGACGAGTATCCTTCTTACATGGTTCAACAAGACGGCACTTTGCTTGTTCTTTCATACAGTACATTCTGCTTCAGTGCTTTTGGTCGTTTCCTCAATGAAGTACCATAGGTATCAATCAACCTTGGAGGATTCAGGAAGCTCTGGATGGTGATCACTATTAGCAATAGGGAGTACCTACATAGGTACATAGGTGCTTTATGGGTACCTGTACTCATGCATGGTATACAATAACAAACAATGAAACTTAAACTGCACATCTTGTCTCTACCAAAAACGTAGTTCTCCTTTTCTAGTCATTACCTAGTAGTCAATCCTAACATATATATATTTCAAAAACTTCGATTTCTGTTCTTTTGTAGACGTAAAAAGTATTATTGTACTTACAAAGTTTATGACACTGTGATAAGAATGATAATAAGGAACGACGGTCTGGCGCAGTGATGTCTCGATTAGTATAATATATTGTTCAGCTGCCGAAGGACCCGAAGATTCCTCTGTGCTGGCTCGATTTTTATTTATATATATATACAAGGATGAATCAATCAATCAATTTAATCACCCATCCTTGGGTCTCTCCAAAGCCTCCTGCCACTCCTTGGCAATATAAGGCGTATATTCGCCCTTATCAAACAAGAGCTCGTCGTTCATATCAATGTCTCTGTTTCGATTCATTTTGAAATATCGAATCTCCCATTCCTCATCGATTTCGTCACCCCATGATTCCAATTCGGCCCATTCCTCCGGATACGCTTCTTTGGCCCACTTGGCGACTTCGTCTTTACGGTACTGCCATGGGATGGCGTTGTAGAATGTTCCAATCGTGAAAGCGTCTGGATGCTCGCCAATGTCTTGTAACATGTGATCGATCAAGTCGACGACATTCTCAAACTCTGACTGCCCTGCCAATGCGCCAATGTATAGATCATACACTTCCTTGGTGATGCGAAGGTTGAAACTCTGCATGAGAGCCATGATCTGTCGTGCTTCGTGGCCGCCTTGCGGAATCCATTTCTCACAGGCTCGAAGGGCCAGTTGGAATGAACTCAATGTCGGGCCTTCTTTGGATTCCATAATTTTCCAGAAATGGTCGATGATGGCTACGAATGGCTGTTGACACTCGACGTAGGCGGCCATCAAGCTGTTGTGGATGCGAGTGGTTTGGTCAACCTCCAAGTCTAACTTCAACATGTTGTATACCATTTGAAGGCCATCGATATCTTTACAATTGGCAATGCCCGCAAAACACTGGGCGTATGCTTCAGCTGTCGGTCGAACGTCGCGCTCATGCCGTTGCCGCATGTGACCAAAGACCAAGCAAGCGAGGTCAGGGCGTGAACGGTCGAAGAAGGATTGCATCAAAGGTAACCGATCGGCCACACGAGTTTCGGGGAACGCATGACGGAACAGCTCATAGGCGTTGAAGGCGTCTTGAGCCTTGACATCACTCTCGACGATGTAGGTGCGAAAGACTGCGGCAATCCGCGCTCGATCATCAGAAGGGAGAGAATCGACACGGTGGCGGAGCAGATTTGCGACTTCTTCGAGCTCGCCTTTTCTGATGAAGACGTGGCATAGTCCGGCGATGGCTTCGGCTGTAAGATCGGCATTGGTTTCAATGACGTGGTCGACTACTTTGATCAGGTGGTTGTACTCATGGTCAGCCGAAAAGCAAAGGTCGGCAATGTATCGATTGAGCACTGGTACATCGCAACGGTCCAAGGGAATATCCTCACGACACAGACTCTCAAACGCTTTGGCAGCACCTGACCGGTCACCTTGATGCAATGCATAGTCCAGCTCAAGGGATCGTGTTCGAGCATCGAGGGTCAAACCAAGGTGCTTGGCTAGGTTCATATACTCTTCCGCTTTTCCTGGATTGTGCTGCGAGTAAGCATACTCAATGATGCGGTTCAGTGTATTGATAGTGAGTGCATCAGGGACATCCGAATCAATCATTTCCTCCAGTCGTCGACGGATATGTCCGTAATTTGGATCATGGACAGCATACCATAGAAGTAAAGTTCCGGCAATGTCTCTGACATCGGTTCGCTCATAAAGCGACTTGACCAAGGGAGCAGCCCATTTGGTTTCATCGTTCTTGATGCAACAGTCGACAGCCTTGACGATAGACGATGTTGTAGGAACCTGACCCTCCTGCAGAGGAAGTTCAAAAACTCGTTTCAGCGTACTAATCTGATCATGCTGAGCGAAAAATGTGACAAGGACTTCATGTGAAATTGCATCGAGAGGGCCCACAAGGTCCTGAACTTCCTGGATGACATCCCAGAATTCGTCCATTCTTCCTTCCGCAGCGAGCCCTCTCAAGACTGCTGTCCACATAGGAAGACTGAGGCTGTCAGAGGCTTCGGTTGATTTTCTCAGAAGTTGCAATGCTTCTTGAGCGGATCCGGTCTTGGAGAGAACTGTGATATAGGTGACCAAAAGAGAGCCATGAGCAGGATGATGGTTTGGAGACGAAGACAAAGACAAGGCTTGAACATCGTCGACACGAGAGCGCAAAAGATTGAAGATGCTGGTGGCCAACGACCGAGCATCGGATCGGAATCGGTCCTTTCCAGTGGACGTCGCCAAAGCCAGGAGGATATTGTTTAAGTCTTCTTCTTGCAGAGTATTGTACGACTCATCGGACAAGATGCGTCCCCTCTCATGCAAATGGTCAAAGGCCTCAGTGATAATATGGACTTCATTGCTTGTGAGGAGTCTAGGGTTCTCCAATCGAGAGGCGAAAAGAAACCTCAACGATTCAACAGTCTGGTCATCGGGAGGGAATCTCAAGTGGGATCTCCTCGCCCTAACAACATCGACCAGGTTCCCTAAGGCACGCTCGATATTCTCTGCGGTAGGCTTCGCGTCTTGAAAGCCTTTCGAAGAGGAACCGAGGTTTAGGCCGAATATGGATCGGGTTTGTTGCCGACATGGCTGTAGTGGGACAAGAGGGGACCTATGAGCTCGTGGAGAAAAATGCTTGCAGCCAGCGGTTGTGTATGGTCGGTTATTGATGATGGCACGAATGACACGGCGGGTGAGGTATGAGGTCTTCATGTTGTTGGATATATAGGAAGAGGGTGAAGGTCTCCTGTCAAGGTGCTAAGGAGTGTGAGAACATGCTGGGGGGAAGAAGCAAGAGAGCGAATTTAGAGGCGGCAGGACTCGACAACGGTAGCTCGTATAGTACTGTAAAGACAGGCAGGGATGGAGACCTGAGGGTTAAAAGTTACCCCAAATAATGAAGCCCTGCCAATGGTGGTGGAAGATGTTCAATCGGCCGCACGAAACGGGATGAAGCAATTCCTGACGATGTTCAAATTCATGATGCACGCATCGTATGATGCAGTAGTAGTCGCAGTATTGGCCGTCGCATGCGGCAGACGTGCCTGGCTGTGGAGGCCGAATGCTCCGCCTTAGTTTTGATATACGGCAGAGTATACGCATCTCATCTGAGCAACTGGAACTGCGGAAATCGTAACCTTGCACAATCTTCAGGTATCAGACGACATTGAAGGCTCCCAGCACAACAACATCCAGCAAAGGACACAACCGGGCCAGTAACCCAAGATGAGTGCCTCATGGACCTCCAGTTGGGGGCTGAGATCACTTTCTTCGGCCTTGCCACGAGTATCGCAGCCATGCCGCTCATTAAAACTTACCCGTACGAAATCCAAGCCTGACATTCCAGTTTGACACGTTTCTAACCTGCTTCAAATATGTGCAGAACCGACATCGAGACATGTTTCGACCCCCAACATAGCTTCATTCAACCGACAAGTCGCCCTTGATGCGGAAAACACAGCCCTTAAGAGATTAATAACCCGGCGGTGGCAGGTTGGCGATGTCTATGCGCCTCACGACCTAAGTCCCGCAGAGACTCGCAAATGGGCTAGGAGAAATGCCCCGTCTTACGATCCTTTTGACAAGTTGAACATCAACCCTCTTTCTCTCTACAAGGTGGGTGGAATCAAATGGGGACGAGGACCAGATTCATTTGGACTAACAGTGGTGCAGAACTTCACCGTCATGTCAGACTTAATGACAACCGCTGGTCGAATCCTACACTCAAAGCGAACTGGCTTACGGCCTGTGAATCAGCGGAAGATCGCCAAAGCGATCCGAAGGGCGATCGCTCTTGGTCTTATGCCCTCGACCCATCAACATCCACAATATCTGGTACGCACGGCGAGAAACAACGTGATGAACGGACCGACAGATGCACGACCATACAGAAGGTGATGCGTTTGTGTGTTGATCTGGATTGCCCGGTTGTAAAAAAGGAACGAAGTGTATATTTTTGACTGCATGGCACTCGGTCCAAACGGGGTATTAGCTGTTGTAGAATAAGGGCATTGATTTGATGGCTTTTCTCCTTTCAATGAGGAAGGGACCAGTTACACGGGTGGTGAAATCCAAAGCGTAGACTTGACACTCAAGTTGCTTGATCATGGAGGACCAGTCCCTAGGCATACAGGCATGCCTGGTTAGGCGCCTTGGATAAAGATAGACTTACCTAAAGTTCCCTAACAATAATGGAGAAAGCCTTGTGTGGGGCCGAAAAGGTCATCATTACGCATTTGTAGGCATACACATCTTTTGACTGCGTTTCAAGCCTAACTTCGCCCAACGGCATATGACATCCTCTCACATGCAATCTACGTCCACCCAGGCCCATCTCATCAACGTCAATACCAACTGTACACGGCAACTATGTCGGTGACGGCGGGTGTGTAAGTCCTCATACCCAATACTAGAAACCTCGTTAACCATCTTACAGCTGGCATCTACGCCGCTCTACCCACTACCACTCGTGGCCAGCCTACCCCTCTATCCGCCGATTCCAAAGGTGAAAGAATAGCCTATGCCTCCAACAAGTCGATATTCCTTCGTTCGATTGACAATCCTTCCGTCTCTACGCAATACACTCAGCACACAGCCGCTACTTCGGTCGCTCGATTCTCCCCCTCGGGCTTCTACGTGGCTTCTGGAGATGCATCTGGCGTCGTCAGAGTCTGGGACTGTTCCCCCAACGGGTCGGGGGTGACCAAAGGAGAATATGCCATCATTTCTGGCCGGATCAATGACATTGCGTGGGACGGTGACAGCCAACGCATAATCGCTGTTGGGGATGGTAAGCAGCGGTATGGTCACTGCATCACAGCAGATTCAGGCAACACAGTGGGGGAGATCAGTGGCCATTCAGCCCAAGTCAATGCTGTCAGCATCAGACAACAAAGACCTCTCAGAGCAGCCACTGTTGGTGATGACAAGAATGTCGTCTTCTATCATGGTGCGCCCTTCAAGTTTAATACAATCCCTGGCAGAGGTAATCATACAAACTTCCTTTACGGCGTTGGCTTCTCCCCTGACGGCAACCACCTTGTGACTGTCGGTGGAGACAGAAAGATATATCTTTACGACGGCAAGACCGGAGAAGTGAAGAATGAAATCGCCGATCCCGCAGAAGGTCACAAAGGAAGCATCTTTGGCGTGTCTTGGGCCAAGGACTCGAGAAATTTTGTCACCTGTTCTGCTGACCGCACGGTGAAAACATGGGATGTGGAAGCTGGGAAAGTTACACAGACATGGACCTTTGACGACAACAACGTCTCAGATCAACAAGTTGGTGTCGTATGGCCTTCAGGTCGAACAGATGGTCTGATAATTTCACTTTCTCTGAGCGGTGAATTGAACTACCTGCACGCAAATTCACCCAAGCCATCCAAGATTATTTCTGGACATCAGAAGAACATCACAGCCTTGACGTCTGTGGGTGAAGGCAGCAGCGCCACTCTGTGGACCGGGAGTTCAGAGGGCCGAGTTGCTGCATGGGACGCCTTGAGTGGAACAGCAGAAGCAGTGGAAGGCGATGGTCATACCAACATCATCTCAGGGCTAGCGGCAGCCTCCGGTGGCAGTCATCCTCAGGTTTATTCGGTTGCCTGGGATGACTCTCTGAGAAAAGTGGATGTAGGTGCAAAGACATTCACTGGCACGCCTGTCAAGCTTTCATCCCAACCCAAAGCCCTGACTACCACATCGGATGGATTGGCCATTGTCGCTCAAGTTGAAAGTGTGATTGTATACAAGGATGGCGAGGAGGATGGTGAACTACCTCTCAAGTCAACACCCACCGCATTGGCATCCTCGGCCAGCACTGTCGCCATTGGTTCACAAGACTCGAGCCTCAGGCTTTTCTCGGTGGTTCCTAGCAAAGCCCCCAAGCAAATCGCCGTCGTTGACCAGGTGTCGGCTACTCCAGTGACTGCACTTGCCTTTTCTGCTGATGGGTCTCTCCTCGCTGCGGGCACTGCAGCAGGCAAAATTTATGTGTACAAGGTAACCAGCGGATTGACTGGCCTTGTGACTGGGAGTGCTTCACTGGAACTGGTCACGGACAGATGGAGTGCCCATTCCGGCAAAATCACAGCCATCGCTTGGAATCCTGAAGGTACAGGGGCAGTCTCGGGCAGTCTAGACACCAATATGTTCGCATGGAGTCTCAAGGAGCCTGGAAAACGAGTCAAAGAGACCAATGCGCACAAGGAGGGAGTGAATGGAATTGTCTGGCTCGGAGACACTGTCTATAGTACGGGAGCCGATGCTACCATCAAGAAATGGACTGTCAAGATCGATTAGATGGAGGAATATGAATAGGAAAATGACATGAGATGAATCCTGAAAGCATTACGAACTGTATTCTTTCAAAGAGCCTTGGATGGTGAAGGGGGTTATAGATATCACGTGACAAAATGAGCCTCAAATTCAGAGGACCCGAAATGTCGCCATGGCGCTAACCACAAAAAGCGAAGTGGGAGTGAAATAACCTTGGCAATAAAAGGCCGCCAGTTCCGTCCACCGCCTACCGTCTACCGTCTGCCGCTTATTCCCGCCTATAGAATTGTTGTCTTTCTTTTTCCAAGCCTCTGAATCAGCCTTCGTGCCTTCCAATAAACTGTGTGCGTTCCTGGTGAATTTCCCCACTTCTCAGGCCTTCTCACCACATCCCACTTCACAATTCTCGGCACAGCCTGAGATTATCACCTCTTGTACCGAGAGCAAGGAAGTCTGGGGAGTTCTTATCAACTTCCCTCCCATCACTCTCGCTGTCTCTTCTCGTCTGCAGAAGACTGACGAGATCTGACAAATCCACTCGCAACATGGGGAGATCACCGTCTCAAGGGCTGACCACCCATGATTTTCACCACCAACCATTTGTCAACCCGTTGGATGTTTTCCCGAGATCTCGGTTGGCAGGTCGACCTCAGGCTGTTCGAGATTCGATCAAAAGTGCAGCAACCTCGCGAAGCCCCGCACGGTTTCCCATCGATACAGGAAAATATCGCTGCTGTGATGATGACGAGGATGACGAGGATGACGACGACGGCGGTCTCTATGCACGACCCTCAAGCGCTCTCAATTGTTGCAATGATTACCATGGTTCAACCGATAACGACTCTTCTGAGGAGGTTCGGCATAATTCTCCCAGTGCGGTGGACTGTGAAGACTGTGTGGACGGTTGCGAGGATTGCGAGGAAGAACACGAGCAGTTCAACCAACAAAAAGTCGACGCTGGTCCGGAAGAGTTTCTAGACGACTGTGAACAATGTCATCACGACGAACACGACAAGGCATGCCATCAAGGTGAATGTGATTTCTCTTGCTTCGATTGCATTGACTGGAATGAGTTTGAACGCGACAAGTCTTTGGGCCTTTCGTACTCGGTCCCCCTATTGGGAGATACAGCCTTGCCGACACCAGAGCTGATGCCAGAAAATGAATCGACGGATTTCCAGATGACCGAGTTTCCCTACCTCCCAACAGATCCAATGGACCCAATGGCCCTGGCAGCGCCTTTGGATGTGCCTATGCATCATCAATGTTTTGGAGAGACGTTTCCATATTCCACTGGCCTTCCACTCAGTCCATTCTGCACGGGACCTCCTCTCCTCCCACAGACCACACCTCAATATCCACTTCCACAATTCAGCATGGGATATGGCTGTCATCCAGCTATCGCACATCAACAACAATCACTTCCGATGTATTCTTCACCTTCAACGCCCATTAACCTAGTTGCGCCTTCAACAAATATGGTCAAATCGGAATTCATCTCAACGCCAACACCACCACAACAGTTTCCCCCATCACCTAGCGTGAATGGCCCCCTTCTCGAAACCCAAGACCTGTTATCCGCCGTCTCAGCACCAAGTACCTCACGAGCATGTCAATGGATCATGCCATGCGGAACCGTGTGCGGCGCCTCATTCGCCTCCGCGACGGACCTGAAAAAACACCTCAAAGCGATCCACCTCGTCAAAGGCACCCTCAAATGCAGGTGGCAAGACTGCGACAGCGCCGTCTTCGCATCCGAAGCTGCATTGACAGGACACATGTCGAAAAAACATCTCGCTCCACTAATGTCCCTGCCCACCTCAACCAACGAAGTTGTCGTTCGCAACAGCGACGGCTCCTTAACCACCACGACCACGACCTCAAACTCCGACCAAGGTACATTCAAATGCACGTTTCCTGGATGTCCGAAATCATTCATGTATAAACAAGTCCGCGACGAACATGTCGCATCGTGTCACAACGGAAATAAAATGTACTGCCACATTTGTGGTCAGTTTCTCAACGGCGAAGGATCGAATTTCAAACGTCATATGGCTACGCATCGCCCGAAGCATCAACACATGTTGTGTAAATTTAATCAACTGGGTTGTAAGAGACGGTTTCCGAGGTTGGATAACTTGAGGAGACATGAGGCGTGTTGTAAGTTTGGAAAGAAGGCGGCTTTGTTGAATAGTCAGGGTGTCGGTGTTGGAACAGGGTCTGGTCCAGGCGCAAGTCTTGCTGACATGGCTCCTGGTCAACCTCATCATCACCATCACCATAAGACGTCGACTGTGTGAATGGGTAGGAGCAGTTTAAAATTAAAACACGGGAGACAGAAGAAGTTTATACTACAGATCAACTAGGGCGAGCAGAGCAAGTCATATCTCCCCGTTGACTCTATTTACTACTTAGTTAGTATGCTTCCCAAGTATTCCTAGACAAATAACCAAGAATGAAAATGAATTAAAATAGAGATTGCATTACTTCATTCATAACTACCTACTCATCAGACTAAACCTCGACGCTCGGGGAATATCTAAATCCCCTGGTACTCATCTGTATCGTATCCCATCCCTCATTACCTCATGTCCTAATGACCATCATAGAGAAGTACCACCTGTACAACTCTGCAGCAATGAAAACAGAAGAAAACTCCAACATGCTTCAACAAAAAGTCATCAATCAAAAACTGGGGTATCAAGATGCTGGGAGCCTGGGGTCGTCATGTCAGGCTGTATTTGTCTAAGTTAGTATGCTGGAATCAAAAGGTTGAAAGGTCGCAAGGGGAGGTTTATCAATCATTGTGGGTGTTTGGTTTGTGGAGGAAAGTCGACATCGATATAAAACCAAATCTAAGGTAGAAGATATCGGGTTATCAGGTCATGACAAAGTGTCAGTACTGCTGGTCCCGCCCAGATTCCTCACACTTGGCGAGATTGGTTTCTTCTTTCCGAACCGTTCGCGTTTTCTCTGACGACGTTTCGCGGCAAGTTGAGGACTCCAGACTCCGGCAAAAAGATCCTCACATTCGTCTTCATCCTGAGAATCAAACTGCAATTCTTGCGAGGATGAATTAGGTCGATCGACTAGTTTTCTCAAGTCGCGTGGTGCAAGAGGTACGACTTCATCATAACCCCGGTTCGGGTCGTCGTCGTCTTCATCCCCGCCTTCCCACACGACATTGACTCTAATCCGCTTTGTTTCGAGGATGAATTTGCCGACTTTGTATTTTTGACTGTCTTCACTGGCTTCGACGTATTTCCACCCTAGGGTGCTGCCGCAGATGGCACAGGAGATGTCACTGACGATGTGTTGGCCGGTGACTAGGTTTCGAGGGATATTCTTGTTTTGAAATGTATTGGGAAGGGCGGCTGCGGTGGTTTGAACGTGGCTGGCGTTTCCTTGGACTAAGAATGCTCGTCCGTGTCGTCCGGTGAAACCTTTGCTGATGATTTGGGATGTTAGGCAGAGATCGGTGGAGCATTTGGCACATTGGATGTGAGAACTGTGGCCGTGAAGGAATTTATCGTTGGGAGGGTCGATTGATGGGGATTCGTCAGGGAGAGGGATGGGAGTTGGAGTGAGGCATCTCGTGAAGGGGTTGGATGATGATGTGGCAGCCGAGGAGTTTGAGAAGGCAGAGGAGGTGGAGATGGCACTGTCGGTGCTGGATTGACGAGATTTACGGCGGAATGGAATGGACTGCGTTAGGTAGGTTGCGAATATGGCGGGAAAGGTGGCTGGATCGGATTGTTTGCGTAAAAAAGACATTGTTAGAGAGATCGTCGTCGATGAGCGACGTTACAGTGAGGAGTGGATGGTGATAGGGTTCAACATGGCATAGTGTAGAGAATGGCCTAACAGGCTAGACACGAGTGACTTGATAGAGAGAATAGTGGACCGGCCACAAGATCGACACGGGTTTCATGGAAGATGAGAATGAGCCTGCGGCGTGATTATCTTTATTATGTAGATGTGGTATGATAAGAATGATGATTAACGGGAGGATGGATAAGATGAATGAGTCGTTGTCGGATATGGCGGGATAGAGGGGAAAGAAGGTGAAGATCAAAGCGGACCCTTGGATGGCCTGGTTGACAAATGATCATGGCAGATGAGGTTGAGTTTGATGGCAGGAAATGATAGTGTTGGAATAGTGCCTGGTGGATGTCGTCACGCGACGCCTGATGACAGGCGAGGGAATGATACGAATGGACAGATGGGTAAAGGGCAAAATGCGGTAGAGAAGAGGGGAAGAGGGAGGGGAAGAGTTGAGACTGCGTGGACTGTCAAGGTCACATTGTCACTTTACATTGTGTCTGGATGGATAAATCATCATCTGGTCAGTCATCTGGTCAGTCATCTGGTCAGTCATCTGGTCAGTCATCTGGTCAGTCATCTGGTCAGTGGGCGGTGTGTCACTTTCCCCTCTTCTCAATGAGAAAGATACCTATCGTTGTCACTAGGTACCGTAGTTAAATGGACGCCTGTGCATAAATAATCGAAGAACTTGAGGGCCCGGGCTCTCGGGCATTGAACATGAGTCCGAGATATGCTCAATTATAATCAGGCTCTGTACATCGTAGGTAATCACAATTAACTCGGTGATGATTATGGACCATGGACAATAAATTGCAGGTACTTGAATACCTATCGTAGTACCTAAAATCGTGTCCCGGAATCACTCCACACCCCTAAGGAAGTGCACATGATACCCAGAAGGCCCCGAGTCTGATACCCGAGGCACCCAAGACTCATTACAGCCTTGAAAATTCCAGTCCATCCAATCCATTCCATATGTGATTTTTCCCTTTGACAGTTCATCGACTGCAGGATTCATCGATACTCATAAATAGTCTGAACACGTTTGACACGTTCAATGCCAGTCCCAGGTCGCGGTTTTCTTGGACCAACCAAGCCATACCCTGTTCGTTCATATCCCGCCTTGGGTGGCTCCAATGGCGGCGGATAGTCACATGACCATCCTCCTCCCTCAATGCATCCAACCAATCACCAATCAATCATTTCTCAGTCACGATATCTGCCGCTAGGCTCGACCGTCGAACATCATTTCCTCCCTTGCGTCTCTTGATTCCAATCAATTGTCCCATTTCTAGCCAGAATCCTGCTGGAGGATCCAAAAAGCTGTCTTCGTATGCATCAATCGTCGGTCGCTCCCAAACCAGATCTGCCTCGTGGGGTTTGACAATCTTGGTCTTCTTGAGGATCTTCCAGAATGGGTATAGCAAGGGGATGAAAAGCTGCATGGTGTAATTTGCGAAGAAGCTCGATGTCGACCATGGTAGATAAACCGTGTATCCGTAGATACAGCACACAGTGAACATCCATGCCAGGCCAAAGTATGCACAGTATGGTTGGAACCAACCTCTGTAAGGGAGAGTCCTGCGATCCAGTCCTTGCGCTTTACACGCCCGGTAGAAGAAGATGTAAGTGATCGACATGACAATGTAGCTGATGAGGCCTGTACGTTGTGTCAGCTTGAATTCCTCCAAAACCGAAATCAGCTCGTCTTCACATACCTCCTCCAGTAACCAGACTGGCAAACCAGGTAATCACCACCGACGAATTGTTGGAGCACTGCAAAAAGGCAAACATTGGGAATATCATGACCACGCAGAAGCAATAAATCGGAACACCCTTCCGAGAGCATTTCGTCAAGAACCTTGGCGCGCGACCTTCGAGCGCTAGACCGTACAGTGTTCGGACAGCTGCGTATGTGTACGTGTTGCCGGCAGAAAAGATGGATGTCAACATCAGCCTATACATACGATCAATACCAAATTCGATCTTTCTGGGATCTTTTCGAGTCTGAGACTTACGCGTTGACAATATGAGGGAACACAGTGACGCCGAGGTTCTCCATGGCAATCACATAGGGGGACGATCCAGCCGAGCCATCTCCACCTCCCTCGACGATGTTGGTCAATGCCGGATCGCGAGAATTGCAGACAATGCCCACGGCCAGGGCACCACCAATGAAGAAGATGCCGAACCGCACATACACCATCTTGAATGCAGCCTTGATATAGACGCGGGGGCGGGCGGCTTCGGCGGCGACAATAGAGATATACTCAGGCCCGACAACGGTGAAGACGGCCGAGGTAAGAGCGGCCAAGAAGCCTTGAAAGCGACCTAGGTCACCGGTGCCAATATATTCTCGAAACGCGCCGCCATGTTTCCAGTTGGTGAAACCATATGCTTCGTGCTTGGGGTTTCCTCCCACCATGGTGATAAAGGTGAAAAAGAATAGAGAGAAGATCAAAATCACCTTGCCTCCAGATAACCAAAACTCGGCTTCACCGTATGCGCGGACAGCCAGGAGGTTGATGGAGCTTTGGAAGTCGTTAGAATCCGGTGTGCCAAGCGGCAGAAAGGTGCTTTATGGGACGCGACTCACGCATAGCAGATGATAATTCCAGTCACGATACCGGCCACGGGACCTGGCTCGGTGATGGTGTCGCTCCAAAACGACAAGACCAAGGTGAAGGCAGAGATCTCAAAGGGGATGAGAAGGGCCTCATAAAAGCTGATATGAAGTTAGTCAAGTTTTCAAGTGCAGGAATGAAGGCGCAAGGGATGACGAGGTCACGGACAAGAAATTCCACCCAACCATGAAACCGAGGGCATCGTCTACCCATTTACCGGCCAGACGAATGAAACCTCCACTGACAGGGTATGCTGTTGACATTTCGGCAATCGAATTGTTCACCATAGCCAACACGCAAGACTGGATGGTATAGGCAATCAGGAGGTTGGCAGCGCCGCCATTGTACAGACCCGTACCGATACTGACAAAAAGGGCCGTTCCGATGGACCCTCCAATGGCAATGAGCTGGATCTGTCGATTGTTCAGATGCCGCTGGAGCTGGTCTACGTTCTCCGACAGAAAGCCTTCTTGGACTTCATTTGGATCGGGCGACCGTGACGGTGAACTCGCCGACTTTTCCTTGAAACGACCGAGGATGGCCATGGCGCATGTGGGTTGGAAAGGGCGATCCAAATGTTAGTACTCTACTAATTCAGATTGGACGGGAGACCACAGCATATAAACAGAAAGGACAGTGGCAGGAGAGAGCTTTGAAGAGCAAAAAGACAAGACAAGAATTGGCGAGGGCGCGGGGTATGGACAAAACCAAATAGATGATCCATTAGATGATCCTCTTGGACGGAATGAAACGATGGAAGTTGGCCAGCGACATGCTTTCTGCTAGTCCTTTCCGCCGTCAGATTTGATCCTAGAAAGCCTTGCTGTGTGATTCGATCTTCTCATCGCGATCAGCAATCGACCACGCTTCGCCCCACATGCAAAAAAACCTGGAGGGTGGGAAGCCACTGAAGCCCACCTTCGCCCCTGGGAACGTAAAAACTTGCACCCATCACGCGAGTCTGAGCAGAAGCTGAGGTGGAGGTGGATGCCGACACACCCAAGCTTCTCGACGAGTCGGGCTTGAGACGCTTGAGTGCGGGTCAAGCTTTGGTCAGCCAAGAGCGCCACCAACGTCAAGTCTCATCGTCTCAATGGATGGTCCATGGGGAAATCGTTTCAAAACCCGTTGTTCCCGTTCGCTCAGCACGTAGCTTGGCAAAAGGTTTACATTGCCTAAGTACGCGGGTAGACACGGCCGCGACGGCAAGCAAGTGGCAAGAAACTTGTCTCAGTAAAGACTATAAAACCTGAGTGGGGTTTCCGTTACAATTGTCGCATGAGAACGGCGCTCGGGTTACGTTAATATTTGTTGATAATACGGAGGCCCGTGGGCTTCCAAGAGGACATGTGGGTATGTACTATTGCTTCCCCCAGTAGGATGATTGTCTACTCCATACAGTAATTTGTGAACCGACCGACGTTGTGTTTGTTTTTAGCCCCAGCATAGACCTAAGCCTGGTCCAGTTAGATCCCTCTGTCCGCCACTCACTGCTCGCCTAAGTTACGTTATCACAATCGGACCAGTGTCACAGTTATGCGCCTCGATTACACAGTGCATAATTGCCTCTGTTTGACATCTACGAGGCCCAAATGAAGCGGATTTACACGACAGATTGATAGAAAGGCTGCCTTATCAAAGATACCTTCGTATCTATCCAGGGTCTGCAGAGACCGCGCACATGGCCAGGGTAACACAGACGACGCAATGTGCCTCACATTGCGCTAAACCAAAGGAAGTAGAAGAACGCTTGCAAGGTTCAAGGAATCAGCACGGGGGCAGTCTTCAGGGACATTTACGCGTGTCCTTATTGGGCCGAGGGCGCCCATCGGCTCATTACCCTCGCCCATCAATCCCGTGGATGTGAGTCTCTATGTGTGTATATGCCAGATCAGGTAGCACAGAGCGCCGAACACCTGTTGCTGGACTGTCAGACTATATCGAGTTTGACAATCCCTTCTGCATCCAGGTGACAATTTATTTGCTTCTGTTATCACTCCTAGTGCATCATCCCTTCCTGGTCGCCATGGTCCAGATGAGGATCTCGACTACAAGATAAGGGTTTTGAATTGGTGTTCTTCTGTCAACCTGTCGCTTTGGATAACACCTAACAGATACCTCTCGGGTACCCAGTCATGGTACTGAATTCCCTCCGACCATATCCGAGCCTGGTGTGAATGTACGTACACATCGCAATGCAAAAGCAATGCTGCTACCATATTTGTACGTCGCTCATTCCATATATACGGAGTAGAGTTGTGGACCTTCTTTCCAAAACGCTATGGGCGATGATCACCCGCGCTACTCCAAAGGTCCCTGAATCAAGACCTACATCGATGCTATTGTTATTGTTGTTATTGTCCTATACCTCTCATCGCTCAAGGATCCATCTTATGTTCTTTACGAGTTCCTCTTCCCAGCTTAAAGATACTGGGAGTAGAGGACATGTGGTCCAGAATCCATGAGGAAGCCCTGGATGGATTTTTATTTTGGTCTCCACACCCTCCGCTTGAAGCAGTTTCTCAAGGAGAATAGCCTCGTCTCGACGTGGATCCCATCCACATACTGAGAATAACGCCTTCTTTGCAAGATCCGCGTGAGAGTCGAACAAAAGGGGTGAATATCGCTTGTCTGAGAATGGAGCACCATACTTTTCTACATTGTTCTGTAAGTGTTTGACCGCAGCAAAGGAAAAGGATGAATCGTCTCACCTGCAAAATACTCGATACTCTTACGTGACAAGCCTGGCGCGTCATACACCTCATCAATACTCAGAATCCGATCCCTGTACTGAGCAGGGCGGACTTCAGGATGGCAGAAGCTAGATGCCAGAAACACCAACCCGGTCAATCGAGGGGCAATACCCTGATCTCGCGCGAGATGAGCTATTCCAGCTGTAAAGTTGCCTCCAGCAGATGTTCCCCCGAGGACGAATCCTTTGGTCAAATCAACTTGGAGCTGCTCTTGAGACTCGGGTCGAACCACCTAGTACCAGTCGAACAGTGTTAGTTATGAACTCAATGTTGGCATCCATGAAGACAGACGAGCGCTTACCCATTTCAATACATCAAAACAATCCTCGAACCCAGTTGGAAACTTGTGTTCCGGCGCTAGTCGATATTCGATGCTGAGAACCATGACATCGACTTCTGCCGCGATCTTGCGACAGTACCGATCGTCTGTCTCGAGACCTCCAGTGACAAATCCTCCGCCATGGATGTAGATGAAAAGGGGTAAAGCAGAAGCACCTGTCTTGCGATATGTGCGTACTCGAATTGGATAACCATCACGAGCGGTGACATTGGACTCTTCGATTTCTAGACCTTCTTGCGGTTGAATCGGTAGTCTATCTCGGTTCATGGGATCGATTCTTGTGCCCGCTGGTAGATTATTGGGGAACTGCTCGTGACGTTGGTTATTTGAGCCCGAATAGATCCGACAGACTCACATCATCCCATTCTTTATCTGGAATTGCATAGTGTCGATATTCAGCCATATTGCAATGCCCTCATTAGTTGCAGTTGAATTGATGGAACTATTTATGACTGATTGAGTGTCTAAACCCTGATTTATTTGAATCTCAAGCATGCGACCCTTTGTTCCGATACCGCAATGCTTGAATGTTGGAGAAGCTGTGGAGACCGAGGTTATTGTGCGTTAGCTATCGTGGCTATCCGCACCCAGATGATGTCGTTGTCGAGTCTATCATATCATATCAAATACTCGAATTTTTCTATCTGTCTATTCCATTTCCAATTCCATTCCTTCAAGATCCCCCTTCTCTCTCCACTGCCTCAACAACTCGAAAAAATGAATTGAACCACCCCCATAAGCCGCACTCTTCGCTGCCTTCAACTCCATCTTCCCTTCATTATTGAAATATCCAGGCGTACACTCCTTATAAAATGCCTCTTTGAACTTACTTGTCTCAACCACCGCATCCACCCAAGCATCTTCAGCCTTTTTCGTCGGTTGAAACGATTTAATCCCTCTCTTCTTCGCCTCACTAATGAGATACACAAAGTGAGCAATTGACTCTCCAGCTCCATGTGGCAAGTTCGGCGTTTGACCTGATTGAATCACCTGGACGAAGAAATGATTCGGAAATCCATTGGTGATATACCCATGTAATGTCGATGGACCATCGTCCCATTTCTTCGACAGAGTCAATCCATTAACGCCAACGAGATCGTATCCACTTCTCTGTGTGAAATCCGTCACGAGCTCGAATCCCGTCGCGTAGATCAGACAGTCGAGTTCATATTCTTTGCCGTTAGCGACAACCCCTTTCTCGGTGATTTCTTGTACTCCCAAACCGTCGGTATCAACCAGAGTGACATTCGGTCGGTTGAATGTTGGTAGATATTCGTCGTGGAAGCACGGCCTCTTGCAGAATTGATTGTAAAATGGCTTCAGCTTACTCGCTGTATCTTTATCCTTCACAATTGCATCAACACGAGCACGGATCTCTTCCATTTTCTCAAAATCGGCCAATTGCCGTCTCTGTTCCGCCAACATGGCAGCTTCTTGCGTTTCTTCTGAAACAGGCGCAGGCGCTAATCTTGAAAACGTATTCGTCCATCCATCATTCACTAGATCTTCATCTTGATGTACACCGCTGATGATATTGTTGAAATTGACCATTCGTTTCTGTTGCCAATTCTCACCGAGATTCTGTGCCCATGTGGGATCGGTCGGTTTGTTGTTCCTAACGTCAATGCTACTGGGTGTACGTTGGAAGACGTAGAGTTCTTTCGCCCATGCACCTAGTTTAGGAACGATTTGTACGGCTGTGGCGCCGGTTCCAATAATTCCAACTCTTTTGTTTGATAATTTCTGGAGATTGCCGCTACTGTCGCCGCCGGTATATTCATAATCCCATCGTGAGGAATGGAACGAGTGTCCTTTGAACGACTTGATTCCAGGAACGCCAGGAAGTTTAGGTTTATGCATAGGTCCAGAAGCTGAGATGACGAATCGTGCTCGAATCACATCTCCGCGATCAGTGTGTGCGAGCCAGGTCGACGTAGATTCATTCCATTCAAGGCTGTTGACTTCGGTTTGAAATAGTGTTTTTTCGTACAGTTGGAATTTGCGACCGATGTTTTGAGCGTGGCGAAACAGTTCGGCTGATCGAGCGTATTTCTCGCTGGGCATATACCCTGTCTCGCAGAGGAGAGGCATGTAGCAATAGCTCTCGATGTCGCATTGTGCGCCGGGATATCTGTTCCAGTACCTGGTACGATTAGCAATGCATGATTAGGTATCAAAAACTTCCTGGTGTGGAAATGAAAATTGGAGGAGGAAGGGTGACTTTATAACTCACCAAGTCCCTCCAAAATCACCTCCTTTCTCGATCAATTTTATATCCGTGATATCCTTCTCCATCAACCTCACAGCCGCTATTTGAGCACTATATCCACCTCCGATAATAAGGACTTCTGTCTGTTGATCGACAGGATCCCGAACAATCTTCTGTTCGATATATGGGTCATCAAGGTATTTACCGAAAAATGCGTCTTCGCGATCGATGAGATTATACTGAGCAAAGCCGGCAGTGTTTGCCGCCAGTCGTTTTTCTCGTTCAGTATCGTACTTGGCTTTGAGAGCAGCTGCATCTAGAATGCTTTTATCGGTGAGTGGTGCTTCGAATTCATGGTTTAATGGCTTTGATAGCTCCAAATTTTTGGCTATTGATGGATTGGATTGAGTGAGGATATCGATTGCCATTTTGATACAGTGTTAGCAGTCCAGTCACTATAATTCTTCAGGGACAAAGGTTCTCCTAGAGTATTCGCTTATTATCGCGTGCCTGTTACAGTCTTAAATAGAAAGGTTGCCCGACTTCGTACCTGATATTATCAGTCTATCTGTCATGTAGTTGTCGACGGATGTAATTTCATCCGCGAACAAATACATCAACACGAGCATAAAACCACCCACTTGAACCAAGATTTGTACCGGAATCAACCCGTGTTTTTTTCATTGACTGATCTACTGAGGAACGGCAGTTCGACCCAAGGCATCAAAGAGATAAGGGTCATCTTTCATCTATCCGGGAGAGATCCGGCCTAATTGACTCGTTTTAGAGGCCATCGTTCCGACATCGTAAACTTCTCGTTCTTCCAAAGAAGGCTGAAATGGGAGATGAGACCGACTATTACCAATCACTTGTAGTAGACGTCTGTGTGACCATGTGTCGTGTCGAGTGGAACTTGAAGGATTTTGATCCCGCTCCCAGTAAACTTTTGCTGATGGAGAAGAAGCACCCTCCAGGAGGAGTCAAAGATGAACTCAAGTCCCTCATTTAATCCTCCTCCCCGTAAAATGTACTACATCTCGATGTCTCAGCCCCTCCACCTCATCAATTAAATACCTATTCCTTTTGAACGCTTCCGTTTCCGTAAATTCTCTATGCTTCTCCACTGACTCCCACCCAAAAATCGCCAGAAACGCCATCCCTTTCTCGTCCGTTCCAGGAACCATTAAATCTTCAACTGCCCAACCGCCAGAATATCCCTTAATTGGACTTTGAGTAGCTCCTTCAGGTTTACCATTTGCCACCAACGTCTCCAGTCTCTTGACATACTGGCGCTGTTTGGCTTCAGAGTAGTCTTTAGGAAAATAAGCGGTGAAAAGTTCTGTTACTGGTGATGTTTCCTCGTGAAGGACTTGGTCGGCTGGATGTGGTAGAACGTGCGTATGGAATGCGTGGATTTGTGTCATGTCGGTGATTGTACTGAGTTTCTGGATGAAGGGGAGGTAATAACTGAAAGGAGGTGAGGAGGGTTGGATCAGTTGACTGGACGTAGATGTAGACACATATGTATACATATGTATAGATGCTTGCTAAGTGCCATGAAAGATTGGGACGTGAAGTACATACTCTTTCTTCTGTAATTCTTCATGAGCCTCAATCGAGTCCCAATAGACAAATATATGAGCTTTTCGCGGATTTTCAATCTCCATTCCCCAATACGCTTTCTGGACTCCCGACTCAGAGACGATGAAGTCGAGAATATAGTCTTTTAGAATTGGCTCAATTGACTCATTTGGAACGGTGTCTTTGAGCACGAATGCAATGACTTCGTAGGCCATGATGAAGTATGTCCTTTGATGCTGGATCCAGAAAGATGGAGCTTTGGGGAAATCCGGGGTTGGTGTGGGTGGCCGAAGATCCGTGTAGTTGCTAGTTAGTGGATTGAAACTTCTTATTCTGAAATTCGATTTCTCAAGTGTATATCATTTCCTTTCAATGTGGTGTTATTGTTAGTTTCTGGGTACTTAAGGTATATCATCTGGTGGCATATCCAGAACACCACAATTAACTCCGATCAAGATGCGGAAGAAAACCCTCTCCGGTTGTTTGAGGCCGTTGAGCTCCAGAACCTGGCCATTGCAGGCTCGGAGTTGAAACCACAATAAATTCATCGTAGACGACATAAGAAGAGTCAGGGCTGCCACAAATCATCACATCCTTCAGGACATACCCTATATAGAGGATGTCTAGATCTCAACGCTCTTCAGGCTCTCCGTGTTGTCTAGCAAGTTGGAAGATTATTGCAACTGCTGTAATGTATGCAGAGGCGAAGTATCCCAGGATCGATGAGTTATGTGGTGGTAATTCACTTGTGATTACTGAGTACTTGAGAATTCTACATACAAAGACGATGAGGGATAGTGTAGGGAATATTCTCGGGAACAGTAGATCGTCGATTTTCCTATAGAAAAAATTATTCCTATAGAAACAATCCCCATGGTAACTAAGGTAAATCCAAATACATCATGAATTGAGTGTACAACCATACTCCTCTTTTGGTCTTCCTAATCTTTGATCTAAGGCAAAGAACCAAATCGAAGCTCAACGAGAATGATTAACTTTTCACATTGAAACTCCTCTTGCCTAAACATGCATGCATACATGCATTCTCATCCGTCATTGACCAATCAATATACGCAACCACCTTCGATTGAACCCAGAAGAACGGTATATAGAAGTGGGTCACAGGCATCAGCCCTTCACCGTCGACTAGTCATGTTTCATTCCAGAACAACTAGAATTTTTCTTTGCATGATGAAGGGCGAATCTTGTGAATAAATCGATTGGGTCGCGGGTTTGATTCGTAGAGGGAGAAGGGAATTTGAAAACTCTGGAGAAATCAAGAGTTTTGAATCGTTAGGTCCATACTTAAAGTCAGCGTCTGCTGTAAATGTTTCCTTTGACTCCATGGTTACATTGATTGATTGTTTTGATGATGTGTGGAAGGAATAAAACGCTGGCGAAGGACTGGCATAACAGTGTCTTCTACCTTTTCGTCTCTTATCACGTATACTCTAGTACTCACTCATTCTGATTTTTGCTTGTACAAAAGCTACTTAGCTTCCCCCTGCTTCCACACGAGAACACTGTCCAGTGATCATCATGTTCGCTGGCTTCGAAGCCGCTTCGTTGCGGACCGGCAGTGCCTCGCGACCATCAACTCCTTTCCCAACACGGGCTCCTTCACCTGTTTTGACAGAACCAATCCCCGAACGAACCACGCCGCGACGACGTCGCAACACAGTCGGGGGATGTACTAGTACTAGTATCACCCGTCCAGACCAGGTCTTGTTGCTACGACCTCGACATGACAACGAGAGCGCTGGTCCTGTACACAACGTGGGCCCCTGGCCATTGAGACGCAATGGGTCTTCCAGCACCACTGTTGTCACGAGGAATGGACATTCTGACACACCAGAAACCTACACCAATAATCTCGAACAGACGAACTCGGAATTCTCGCAATTGATGCGTGATATCGACCGACAATATGACGAGATTCGAAAGCTCGTGCAGGAGAGGACATTCAATGATATGGGCCAAAATCCCGATCTTCATCTTCATCTTCCGAACCCGGACCTGAACCCATTCCATCCCTTTACCGTCCCGCGAGTGGTGACAGATGGACAAGGGCAATCAGGAACTGAATCTCGACGGTTTTCTGAGGATGGCGTCACTGTTTTCGATGAGAATCAAGACGAAAATAGATTGGAAGTGTCAATCGAAACAGGGGGCGACGGGGATCATATTCGCTGTCGCCAATGTGAGGCTACAGTCAAGATGTCGGGCCAATACGCGTCAGGTGGACTTGTTGTATTAGGACTGTGCTTCATCGTCGTCCTGGCCTTGATATTAATCATGTTGAAGATCTTCTGCCCACAAGGAAAAGTGGTGCTCGACAGTCTCAAAGGAGGTAATGGACAGACAAAGTCATTATTCTTGGGTTTGTTGATGGTCGCTGTTTTGGCAACAGCAACTCCTTTTGCTATTGCGACCACGCTGCTCCTGGAGTTGCAAAGGACCAAGAGAAGTAGAGCGAAGCGAAGTCGAAAGGTGTTGATTTTCAGGGGTGGATCGATCCTAGTTTGGTATGCTATCATGGTGTTCTGCTGGATGATTGCGTTCATGTCGTTTTCCGTCGTGAACACACGGTATGCTGACCCCGACAATGGGATGTGATGTCAGCCTGATTCTCAGAACATTTCGATAGGAGGGACCAAAGATGATGAAGCTTGAAGAGTTGGACAACCAAGAGATCGAAAATTGAAAATTCTAATTTCATGCAAATGCTCCTACTATGGCCATTAAAATGCCTCCCAGACCCACGGCGAGACTTGCCTCAAGCCGACGTTTGCCCTTTAACACCTCGTAACTGTGATCACTGAGAAAATCTTCGGCGAGAAGCTGGACCAGACCGGCAAATAATAAAAGGCCGCTGCTAATGGCATTCGTAATGCCTACGGTCAGCAACCCAACCTTGGAGGCCGGGTCATACATGCTATGCATCCAGATACCGATGGCTTGTCCAATAGGGGTGGTGGTGCCATAGGCCAGGGCCATCAACCATGGCTTCGGACTGCTTGCATCGAAGAGACGAGGGATGAGGGCTGCTATTCGAGATCCTAAAGCAAAGCCTTCGAACGTCTGATGGAAGCAGATTGCCACGAGTAGAACAACAAATTGGGTTCCCGTGGCGACTGAGACGGCCATACCAATGAAAATACTGTGGAAGAGAATGCCCGCCTCGAGGAGGAGACACTGAAGGAATAGTTTCCGTGGGTCTTGTCCGTCGTTATTGGAAATGGTACGATCTACCTCACTTGGTTTGCGTTGGTGTGGGTGATTGAGAGTGGCGGATTCTTCAGCTAAGGGGTCGAAATCATCAAGGTCGTCCAGGGAGTCTGTGGAGTTGCGCGGCTTGGGAGTGCCGTCAACATAAGGAATAACCGGGGTATGCAGCTCGATATGGCCATTGGACCCTTCTGGCCTGTCCCATCCACCATGGTGACCATTCGCAGCTTCCGGTCTATCCCATTCACTGGTATGAGTGTGCCCGGCTCCTCTGGTCGCGAAGAACATCTCCACCACGACAACGACAAACACAGCAATCATAGCAATAAAGCCAGCCATAGGAGGATAATCTTTGTTCCAGAAATCAGGAAGACATGGATCGGTCATGGATATGAAGGCGGTAGGGAGCAAGTGGATAAAGGCCGTGGCGATGAGAACCCCTGTACCGAAATGTCGCGACAGAAAAAGGAATCGATGGGGGATGGGAAGTTTCGGAAAGCGTCGAGCGATGACGGGAAAGGAACATGCTACACTGAATCAGCGGTGATACCCTCTGAGGAATCTCTCGACTCACCGAGGGTACTTAGGCCGAGGATGAGGAACAGGGCAAAGACATGAATGCCAGTGTTGTAAGATGTGGCCTGTCCTCGAGTACCGCATTCTGGCTTTTCCTGACGCCGCAGGAGTTCGGCATGGAGAGCCTCGAGGGAGAAGCCTGCCAGGTCATCTGAGATAAAGTTAGCGGGATGCAGGAATCCGAGGGCAGTGTTGTGTCTTACCTCTGGGCTTCATGGTTGGACGGGGCTGTACAAGACGAGAGGGACATGATCTGTTCGGATGGCACAGGATATTGAAATTCAAAAGTATGCCGGAGCGGAGCGCGGATGCGGCGCCTTCCCTGGCGCGCCTGGCCTGGGCTTTCGGTAAAGTTTCCTTTTCGGTGATTACTATAATGAGTACTACAAGTGTCCTCCGCAGTTGGCTTCTGAGTTGTGCTTGGAACTGGATGGATGACTTGATGTTGAGCGTGTACATTGGTGATATCACCTCGCGGGCGTCTTTATAGACCTGAGGATTGTTGATTGCGTTCCGAGTCATGAATGTCATGGGTTTGTAGATGTGTCGTCTCAAGAACGCCAGGCGTAAGCCTCGTAGCGCCAAGACCTAGCATTCGAGAAGGGAAGGCGCAAGACAAGATCCAACTACACATCAAAATCCATGCCAGGTTACTGATAATGACATCTAACTTCAACCTCCCAATCGACCTCTCGCGTCTACAGAATGATCGACTGAAGCTTGTCCCATTGGAGGTGCGCTCCAGCCTAAGGACGATCACGCTGGAGACAATCGAAACTCACCTTTGTCTCAGGACAACCTCGAAGAATGGGCAAATGCCTACGTCGATGATGCACACCGTCATCCTCACGTATATGACTGGCTGACCTACGGGCCTTTTGCCAACGGAGCCGAGTATGTCGCGTGGTACAACGGCAGCGTGCGGCAGAATCCCAGTGAACTCCTCTTGGCCATTCTGTTGAAAGCAGGGAGCATTACTCGGAAAGATATCAGCACAGGCGAAACCACGACGATCGAGGTTTCCGATGACACATTTGCGGGGATCGCGGGCATAGTTAGCCAGCCTGAGCGAGCAACTGTTGATCTAGGTGGTATGATACTCACCGGGTTCCAACGTACTTTTGTCTTTACCCACACGAATGCTTTGTTGCTTCATTATTGTTTGGACGGTGTCAAGGATGGAGGGCTGGGGTTGAGAAGGGTACAGTGGCAAGCGAATGCTAGTAATACCGCGAGTGTCAATGCTGCTAAGAGGTTGGGGTTTCAATGGGAAGGTTTGATTAGATGGCAGCAGGTTCTGCCGGTGACGAAGAAAGGAAGTGATGGGGCTGGACTGCACAGAGACGATTTACCAAGACGAGGATGGGATGGTAGAGAATTGGGTCCAGGGAGACATACTGCCATGTTGAGTCTGTGTTGGGATGATTGGGTTGGGGGTGGAAGACAGCATATTGATGCCCTCGTTCAGAGACGATGATATGAATGATGAGGCATGCTTACGTGAGAAACCATCATGTGCAATAAAAATAGTAACATTCATCCAGTTTTGGGTGAAAATCATTGCAGTAATGATATGCCCCTGATATCCTGGTATCCTGATACCCGACACCTATGCAAAACTCCCAACGCTATGCCAAAGTGGAAACAAACCACCAATGCACCCCTGAGACATTCCATGATTGAATGCCTTCCAGCTCAGGCGTGTCCTGTAGCCTCCAAAGTCTTGACATATCGCACAAATGCCTTTTTATGCAACATGCCCTTGTATTCCCCTTCTTCCAAAACGCAGATATATCTCAATCCCAATTTCACAAAACACTGATAAACCAGGTTCATAGGTGAATGCGAGTCGAGGGCCACGGGTGCCGGATCTATGTACGACGTCAAATCGACCGGATCCTCGTCAGGGCGATCGTCATCGTCAGAATCCTCCCGGCCAGAGTCATATCCGGTCTCATCAAAGGCAGCCCAGTAGTTGTGATGCGTGGCGTGGTTCCGATCGGCAGCAGATAAAATGCAAAGCGCTGTATCCTCATTTTCCACCCGATCCAGAGCAAATTCCAAGTCCGGTGCGGGAATCAGTCCTACGAGAATCTTTTCGCGAAGAATGGGTAAGCCGCCGTCGAGCTCCCCTAGATTTTGTAATCGACGAAGTTTGGACCGCAATTCGCTGGCTTTGACCGCCGGAGATATAGTAATATCAATCACCTTGTCTCGTCGGAACCGAGGAATGATGTCGCCCAATTCCGAGTCAAAGACGGGGCTACTTTTGTTGTCCAGGAAAGGATATGCATTCATGTCGGTGAGGAGGTCGTAGATGCTCAATGGTTCCACAGCATCAGCAGTCCACTTGGCACAAAGGACAGCAAGCGAGAATGGGAGAACATGATCCAGACTTCCCGTCAATTCAAATAAGATGACAGCTAGGGTGACTGAAAGTCGAGTGACACCACACATAGTAGCTCCAGCAGCCACGAGAGCATAAACGCCAGGGGTGACACAAGCTTCCATGTCATCCGACGATTGACAACCATTCCAGAGGAAGAACGTGGGGTATCTGACAACCATGAATTGAGTGATATGACCAACAATCCTGCCCATCAGACCCCCGACAACCATGGAAGGGACATAAATGCCTGCAGGAACTTTGATACCAAAAGTGATGGTAGTTAGAAATGCCTTGATCACGAATGCGACGCTCAAGTAACCAATGACGGAAACTATCTGGTCTTCAGTGGGGCAGAGGCCGTCATTCGTCTGATTGTTGCAAGGGCTGGCGAGCTCCAAGAGTAATTCGGTAACGGCAAGGCGGGTGTAACGATTCCAGAAGCTTATGATGCCCGTGACAAGTGCCACCAAGAGGACCTCTATTATGGGATATGATTTGATGAATTTGACACGGCGGAAGGTAGTGGCCCAAATCCTCGAGGCTTTGATGAACAAGGCACCTGCCAAACCACCGGCGAAACCTAGGAATGCAAAGTTGAAGAGCTCAAAGACCTGCCAATCGGTGACATAACGGACCTCAAAGAGGACAATTTTCGAAGTGCCATATGGATTGAGGAACTTGAGAGTCAGAGCTGCGGCAATGCAGCAGAAAAACGTGCGAAACAAGGTCTTGGGTGGAAAATAGTAGCTGACCTCTTCCAGGCTGAAGAGGACGCCCCCAAGGGGAGATCCAAAGGCGACGGCGACACCACTAGCAGCGCTGGCGGATAAAACTTCTCTCCGTTTACCGTCGTTGAGGTTATATTTGGAGAACAAACGGCATGCAATATTGCCAACACAGGTTGCAATGTGAACATACGGTCCTTCCTTCCCCAGGCTCATTCCAGAAGCCACACTGAGAATAAGAGCGACAGTCTTGAGGACTAACACCCGCAAACCGAGGTATCCATGGAGGACGAAACCACTCAGAATGACCTTGACCTCGGCCACTCCGCTGCCTGCCGCCGAGTAGTAAATATTTGCTGGAAGAAGTTCGTTTCCGGCAAGTGGTTGAACGGAATTGCCCTTGTCATCATCGGCTTCCGGAGTTATCGATGCCCTGATGGCAGCTAGATCTTCGTCAAAGGTGGCAGCGATTTGGGAAGGGACCACAGTTTTCGAGTAAAGGGTGAGAAAACAGGACAAAGCGGCAAAGACCATGGAGCCAATAATGAAGGCAAGATACTCGACCGAGACGCTCGATACCCCCGACGGGTGAATGGCTTCGGACCATGTCTGCCACCGATCACAGGTCCGCTCGCCGTTGCAACAGTCGGTGCGGCTTAAATACCAGCCATCTTGACAATAACCACGCTTGAGGTCGAAAATGGTCGATTCGGTGACATCCACGAAGTAGGCCATGAGAGCGGTAATGACACCGATAATTGCGACCAAGGTCCAGCCTTGAGCAGAGTCCAGCAGCAAGCCAACTCGGCCGCGAAAGCCCTTCTTCTTTCTCAATTCAAGAATTCTGTAACCATCCGCAATACTGTCGTGAACCCAATCTGTAGAAGTGAACTGATCGTACCACAGGCGATCCTCGGTGGACAGAGCGCCCAGTAAGGACTGTGACAATTTTGGTGTTCTTAACCCCGACTTGCGAGTCCACAGTGGGCTCAGTTGCCCAGACAGACGTCTGCTATGACTCCTCCGCCGGCGGAGGCTGCCTGAAGCACTGTTGACTCTTGAAAGTTGTCGAGAACGGGGTGACTCTGGCATACTATCCGTATATATTCGATGACGATATGATTGAGTAGGACTTAAGAGAGGGGTATGCTCGGTGGTATTCTGCGCTGGAGTCATCTTGAGCGAGGGTGGGAGTCTCGACCTGACTTCACTGGAGGACATCGAGGGTTGTTCTGCTCTTCTGTGGTAATCGGGGGAGGAGGAGGAGGAGGAATTGCGAGGATTCGAATGAGGGATGAACCCTGGGTCATCATGGTCGCTGACGTCTTGAAAAGAAACGTACGACTTGGGCATCGTGAGAGGAGTTGTAGGTTCAGTTGGTTGGGAAAGACGAGGACTTTTTGTAGAGGATGATGATCGAGAGGACCAGCTGATCGACGTAGGGAGGGTTCAACAAGGCTGAGTCAGGCAGATGCCGCCCGAGGTCGGGCGTCAACTGCCCATGAAACGTGCAAGAGTGCACTCGAAGTCGTGGGATGATGTGGTAGAGGAAGTGTTTTGGCGGTGTTTAGGCGTTTAGGGTTCAAGTCATGGGGAACGGGTCGGTAGGGGCGGGACAAAAAAACGGGATAAGAGGTGGGTGTGGAACGTGTATAAAAGTTAAAAGGCAAGGAGGGATGTCAAGCAAGGGAGAGCGAGGATGAGTAAAAGATGGAGCAGTTGATCATGTGCACCCAAGGACAAGAATATGACAGTAGGTTGACAACATCATCTGACGCGCCGCGTGGTTGGTGTCGTGTGCTGTGTGTGCGGGCGCAGTATGACCCGAGTGACTGAGTGGAGGGGAATGAATGGAGTACGGAGTAGTGTTCGTAAGTGCAACAAATAAACGACCGACCAGTGACCAGTGTGTGAGAGGATACGAGTAATGTCAAGGACTGTGGTTCTCTGCACGATTAGCTGCTTACAGTAGTGTCTTACCTTGCCCCGCCAAGTCTCCAAGAGGGTGGGAGTGATCCATGTTGTTGATCCTAACCAGGCAAAGGATAGTTATTGAGGGTCTTGGAGCAGCACCAAGTGTGAACCATAATGGAGATGAAGTTGATATGGGAATGGGTAAGAGAATCACAAGTAGCGAAGATTAACTAGCGGCAGCTTGGCGGCAAAGGAACGGGCTTGGGGAGTGAGTACAGGTATGGATGTGTGTGCAAGAGGATGAGGATAGAGTGAGGGGATAGGGTATGACTGATTTATGGAATCTGCTCAGATAGCTGATCATAATTTGGGGAGATTGATGATACTCCAATAAAAATGGTAGAGGTGTCACGGCGCTGACTATCAAGTGATCTATCTACCTCGTTGTGGCCCTGCTGTTTGATATCACAGATGAGACAACAATGACGACGATAAGTGATGACGGAGGGATGACGGTTAGGTGCATTAATACCGTTGACGGTTCAGTGTCATCCCTGCATTGCATGTCTTGTACGCAGGGAAAACCCGTAAGTACGGATATGCATCCTGTAGGCGCGCTGGCTGGCAGCTTTCACGGCAGTTCACAAGGATGCTACAGACATCCCTCAGTGTCAGTCTGGAGGACAAGTGGATGATGAGGCTGATGACTCGAGAGTGACTTGGTTCTGCCTGCTGATGACTTCACAGTACTGGAGAGAAGGCACCTGCTTGGACATTCTACTCCGTATTTTGGCCCCTCGGCCCTTCTCGCAGGCACCTGTCATGCCTGCCTAATGTCACTGTGTGTCAACACAAGTGCAGGTAAGTCACATGCCCCTCGGCCTTCACTACTGACTCAAGAGCCTCCTGTCTGTAGTCTCTCACATTCACGTGTAAAGTACGATAGAGAACACCAGATCTCATTGAGCAGTGCCTCAATTTCACTCAGCGGCTCTTCAAAACCTCCCGGGAGAAATAATTCTTCCCGTGTACCATAGGGAAAGACGATACGAGGTTCGCATGCATAAGCGAATGTGGGCCACAAGCCACCACCCCTTTCTGAGGCGGAGGTAGAAGCGGAGATGGAGGCCCGGGCAGAAACGACAACAACAAATCAGCGACGACCAACGCCAGCACCAGCAGCAACACGATAATCAACAACACCATTTCCTATCACGACAATTCTCAACCAACAGCCGTGATCAATTAAAGGGCATTCTTTCCTCACCACTCCCATTATTACTCCCACTACCACTAGCATTATTCCCACTCTCACAGCATCATTCTCTTTTCACACAACCATGTCTCATTCACCAAGCCAGAGCCAGAGCCAGAGCTCACCCACATCAGATGAACCAATACCATACGATCCCAGCACTCCCAAGACATATCCGCAATTCCTATTATTCGGTGACAGCATCACCCAAGGCGGCAGCCATGTCTTGCAAGCCACCTTATCAGACTGGTACCAGCGACGCCTCGACGTCATCAACCGTGGGTTCTCCGGCTACACAGCACCAGCCGCCTTCGAAACACTAAGACAGTTTTTTCCTGTCGTGCCGCCAACACCCGTGTCGCCACGCATACAATTAATGACAGTCTTCTTCGGCGCCAATGATGCATGTGTACCAGGCACGCCGCAACATGTGCCTTTGGAAGAATATGTTCAGAATCTCAAGAACATCATCGAGTATCCCCCGCTGAAAATGCATGGTACCAAGGTGATTCTGGTGGTGCCGCCGCCAGTGGATGAATGGCAATTGGGCAATGGGGAGCGAACGGCTGTTGTTACGGCGCAGTATGCTGATGCGTGTCGACAGTTGGGTCAGGAATTGGGGCTTCCGGTTCTGGATTTGTGGACGCTGTTCATGTCCAAGGCGGGCTGGACGCCAGGACAATCGGGGCCTTTGGTTGGGAGTAAGGATGCTCCTAAGAACCCCGTGCTGGATAGTTTGTTGTCCGATGGTCTTCATTTCACGGCTCCGGGTTATCAGTTGGTCGTGGATGAGTTGATTCAACTCATACAGACCCAATTGCCAGATTTCACTCCGGACAAATTGCCGCAGATATTTCCAGACTGGAGATTCATGATGCGTTCACGACCATGATGGGACAGGTCAACTCCAGGGTAGGAGTTTTCCCATTGGTTACACGCAACACCAATAAAAACAAATACAAACACAGCGATCAAGGTAAATGATTTGTGGGACTAGACGAGATTCTAGCTACATAGCCCCAAAGACGACGATTGTGATAGACCCAACTGGGAATGAATGAATTTTCCATTGTTACATGTTGGAGAAGAGAAACGATGGCAACAAGGCGATCAGGCAGAAAAACCGTATGGCGTAAGGAGTGGAGTGTACCGAGCATAGGATGCGGTCGTGTGCAGGAACGTGAATCAGAATGTTCTTGTTAAAAGAATCACTCGTCGTCACTGTCACTGTCCTCTTCCTCACTCGCCTGGTCAAGCCATTCCAAGAATTGTGTCGCGGCCTTGCGAACCTTTCGGCTCGTACTGATGTCGACATATTTCTTGCTGGCCTTGGCTCCCCATGCTTTGACCACCTCCTCACTCACCAAATCGTTCTGATAGTAGCTGAGAAGGATGCCCGACACTTGAGGGATCAATTCCGGATGGTCGTTGCCCACAAATCGTTCTGTGCCTCCCAAGAACGCCTTTTGATGCTTTTCGGATTCTCCGATCAGCTTCTGCAGCATCCCAGCACGCGGGGCAATCTGCTTGAGGACATTCTCGTCGAACAGCGTCTGAGCCAGCACAGTCAATGTCTTGTGCTTAGACTCGATGCCTAGATCCAAGGCCTTTTTGTAGATGTCGACATCGTCCACCTTGCTAACCGAGCCCTTTGCCTTGGTCTCCTCAATGAGCCACGTTCCGAGTTGGTCATAGGCACTGGCCCCTCCACCGTTCTCATCGCCGTCCTCTTCGTCGTCAAAGGCGAGCGACCGCTTTAGGTCTGAGGGGAGTTCCTTGGCACGAGCAGCCACGGCTTCGGCAGATGTATCGACGGCCCATTCCTCTTCTTCGAAGTTTCCATTGCTGTTGGCTCCGATGCCCTTTGCACTTTCGGTGATGTGCTTGGTGAACTCGTCGTCACTTCCGGCGGCAAGTTCTCCGTCATCCTCGTCAGCATCACCTTTGTCCGAGTTGGAGTCGTGTGGGCTGCCACCATTGGCAGAGCCCTTCTCCTCGCTCTCAGCTTTGGCACGATCGCGTCGAGACATCTTTTCCTTCTTTGTCTTTTTGCCTCCTTTGGGTTCGTTCTTGAGGATGAAGCCACTCAGTTTGTGGCGCAAGTCGACTTGACTGCGTTGCCCACAGGCCTTGCAATCCAGCAAGATTCGGCCGTCTTTGATGTTGATGTCGGTCTCGGGATTCTTGCAGTTCTTACAGAGGACAAACTTGGAAATGAAGCCGTCCAAGGAGTCTTGGAGCTTGGAGGCTTCGTGGGCGCCGTTGATGATCCATCGGTCGTCTTTCGGGTTGGTGTTGGTTTGAGCACCAAGTTCGAAGCCAAAGTATTTGATCACATAGGCAGGTGGACGGGCCAATGAGGCGGCAACGCTGGGAAGATTGGCGACCACGGTTCTGGAGAATGTTAGGACGGGGGAGATGAGCAAGACGAGACAGACACTCACTTGATTCCGTTTCCTTTGCCTTCAATCTTTGATTGCAAGCGTTCCATCTTGTAGCGATAGAAGGGATCAGAGACATCCCGGCGAATGTTGATAGTAGCCATGATGATGGACCTTGGTTTGTAATCTTGACAATCGTTTCTTTTGAATCTAGGTGGTCTGTGGTCTTTGGTCTAGGGGCGGAGGTAGAGGGAAAGACTGTTGGGAAATCTTTCGATCAAGCAGGACATGCGTGGATATTACCACTGAGGGAGAAGATATAACATCAAGGAAGGAGGACTGTTGGTCGTAGGATCAACCATATGAACACCCTGTATGACTACAAGGATGCCGTTGAACTGGATATATATCCAGCTTCTGCTTGGTTTTGGTTTTGGAGGAGTGAAAGACTGCCCGATACATGAACAATCCGGGTGCGATTCGATTCAGACGGGGGGTCAGTCCAAGGTAAAAGGGTGGATGGATGGATGGATGGATGAATTGATGGAGGTGGATGGATACTGGATCGAGGATACTGTATTTGATGGCTGGCAGGAGATGGCGATCAAGACAAATCCTGTGATGAAGGACGAGGTGATGGCTAAGTCAGACCTGGTCAGAAGTGAGACTGATGATGGTGATGGTAAGAATGAAAAGAGGAAAAGATTTGATTTTGGAGGAGGGCGAAAGACAAGACTTTGTTTAGCCTGCGCTACTCGGGTTGGTTGCTGGTTGGTGGATGGAGGGAGGAGAAAATCAAAGGTGGGAGCGAGTAGTGGGAACGGGCTGGACAAAGAGAGTGTGAGAGCGAGGGTGCAAGGTGAGTGGGTAGGCGGGAGGGAGAAGGCGAGGGGGCCACGGGGGGCAACTGACTACTGGGACTGAGACTGGGGGCAAATGCGAACGGGCAGTGGAGAAAGGCGGGCAGAATGGTCAGGCAGACACGCAGAACAGGCACAGGGCGAGTCATGTCGGGGATTGGGTGAGAATGACACGAAAAAGACAACGAAGAATCAAGACTCACAAAGGGTTGATGGGTGCCATGGGTGCCTGAGGAACCCGGAACGCCAATGGATGCCGCAGGTGTCAAACATCGAAAAAGGGTGCCAGAAAGTACCAGACATACAATACAATACGCATACAGCAAACAAGACATGATTGCTCGAATTTCGCCAGTGCAAGTTGTGCATGTTGCACGTGGCATATTGAAATTAGAGGTACCCAGGCACGGCGTTTTGTACTGGAGGTACCATAACCGGAAAATTCAATGCTGATGCCCAAAGCTCATCACGTGCTGGAGACGATTTTTAATGTCACCTACCGTCATGAAGAAAACTCAATTGAGAAGAAAAGCGGTAATTCGCTCCGGGGACGGGATTAAGATTGTCCCAGGCAGCCTTAGACATCCCTGTAGAGGCCGAGAGACCCGAAAGGCTCTTTTTTAGGGCCCAATTTGGTTATTATTAGGCGACAGCTGTGTGTATTCCTGTTGATTGCAGCCTTGAGGACAATTTACTGGTGACTCAATCTTGTCCTTTGGTATTCTGGGAGGAAATTATGATCATATATGTATATACAACTTGATAGTGAGGCCTTCTATGGAATCCAAATCACTACCTAGATGATACTTGGTGGTTATACTGTCATCAAGTCTAGGTCTTTGGCATCTGTACAAGGGGATGTGAGTCCCAGACGTCAACTCACTCAGAACAAAAACTCTGCCATATATGAAACGACAATAACCATAAAATCATTTATTCCATGCCCATCTTAGTAATCAGTGTGTCCTTCTCAAGTCTTGAATCAACTACCAGAAGAGAGTGATTGACCAGCTAGGTGGTTTGAGTGTGCCCATGATTTGCCCAGCAACCTCGTCAGCAAAAATGAAAATGACACAATCAATTCGCACACTCATCCAACAATTCTCCAGTCATGAGCTTGACGCTACTCTGTGCACTGTACACTCATTCCATCTAACTCCTAACCAAACTTCCATCCTCATCTTGGCCATCTTCTCCCCCAGGTGAATTATTGTTGTCGTCGTCATCAGCACTAGAAAGAAGATGTTATCTGTGTCATAAAACCGCTACACCCCACCTTGTCAAATCCCAGTCCGAGATCCAGCCCAACAAACCATGGCCAGCAGACAACTGGACTGGTCACTTTACCTAGTGACAGATTCCACTCCAGCCATCCTGGGTGACAAAGACATTGTTCATGTTGTGGAACAGGCTCTCCTCGGTGGCGTGACCATCGTCCAGTATCGCGACAAACATGCCGACACTGGGGTCATGATTGAAAATGCTTCTCGACTTCACGCCGTAACCCGCAAATACAATGTACCACTCCTTATCAACGACCGACTGGATGTAGCCCAGGCTATAGGTGCTGAGGGCGTTCACATCGGCCAAGATGATATTCCAATTAAGCTGGCAAGAAAACTCTTGGGTTCTGAAGCCATCATCGGCGTCACGGCCTCGTCGGTAGCAGAAGCTGAAAAAGCCATCCAAGACGGTGCAGACTATCTCGGCATAGGCACAACCTTTGCAACACCGACCAAGACAGACACAAAGTCTATTATAGGCACACGGGGTCTACAAGAGATCCTCGGCTCCACGTCGACAGGGACAGAAAAATCCATTCCGTGCGTCGCCATCGGCAGCATCAACTCTCGAAATGTGCAAAGAGTGCTTCATCAATCCGCCCACGGCACCAATCGACTGAATGGCGTAGCCGTTGTCAGTGCCATCATGGCATCCTCAGACCCCCGAGAATCTGCAAAGCAACTCGTCGACCTAATCAAATCCACGCCTCAGAAGTTCTACGCCAGCGTATCACCAACCTCGTCTACCAGGACCAACATCTCCGAAATCGTGGCCGAAATCCCCGACATTATCAAAACACACGTGACCTCGTCGACACTGACACACAATATGACCAACACGGTCGTACAAAACTTTGCAGCCAACGTGGCGATTGCGACAGGAGCGTCACCCATCATGTCGGACAACGGACCAGAAGCGCCTGATCTAGCGAGACTTGGAGGCGGACTAGTGATCAATATGGGCACGGCGACACCAGAGAAGATGAAATCATTCTTAGCGGGACTTCAAGCATATAATCAGGTCGGATCACCAGTTATACTAGATCCGGTAGGAGGCGGCGCAACAGCTCTACGACGCGAAGCCATCAAGACGCTACTAGCCGCAGGGTTCTTCAGCGTTATCAAAGGAAACGAAGGCGAGATCGGCGCCGTCGTCGGCGCATCTGGAGTCCAACAACGAGGTGTCGACTCCGGACCTTCGACGTCGACTCACGAGGAGAAAATCAAGATTGTTCAGGACCTCGCTCGTCGTGAACATAACATCATTGTTATGACCGGCGCCATCGACTATATCTCCGATGGTACGCGTACAATCACTCTTGGAAATGGGTCTCCTTATCTGGGCAGAATCACAGGTGCAGGATGTGCGCTCGGCGCTGTCATCGCCAGCTATAATGCCGCCTATCGTCATGATAAATTACTTGCCACTCTGGCGGCGCTGCTTCATTATGAGCTTGCCGCGGAACGTGCAGAGGCGAGAGTGGAAGTTCGAGGTCCAGGAACCTTTATTCCTGCCTTCCTTGACGAGTTGTATCTATTTGGTGAGGAGATGAAGCAAGGGGTTGGAACCGGCGACAAGACGAAGTTTCAAGAAAAGGTCAAGATTGAGCTCATCGAATCGAGCTGAAGTGTCAAGAGGTGAAACGTCTAAATGTTAGTATCGCAACTAAAGTTGAAGTCTATATCGAGAACCTAGTATATCAGCCCTTGTTCAGACACTCACATCTCCCTTCAGCGCACGGCATAATATCTCTTATAATGTCTAGCTTGACCCATTGTCCTTGTTTGATGCTGTCCTGCCTTGTCCCGGCATTGCTCGTGGGCGAGAATCCTGACGGGGTAAGCGTAAGCTGTCTTTGGCCAATCTCTTTCACTCCTCTCAAAGCCGTGGCGATGAGGAACTCATCATCATATGCCACAATCGACATTTCAACACCATGAATCTCTTCACCTCGAAACAATGTTTTCATTCCCTTCTCGGCCTTCTCTGGAACCGTCCATTTCGTCTCCTCGTCTGCATTGTCCAAGCCTGAGCGAGAAAGACGATCATCGATGGGACTCAACAGGGTGTTGATGTCTGGGAGAATAGGGCTTGCAGCACTTGAGACGCGACTGTGACCACCGCTGATGTCCGTGCTCCTCGACTCTCTGGCTCGACTTCTTGAACGGCTTCGACTCCGACTCCGACTGGAATAACCATTCAGGATGGACCAGGGCTTGGGAGCGACGACATTGATGAATTCCAGCTCTCTCAGCCAGCTCGCCAAGAGACCTTCGCCGACCATTTTGATGTAGGCTTCCTTCAATCCCCAATAGGCGTAGAAGCGACGCAATTTCAACTCAATAATGGTCGACTCTAGTTCCTTTTGTCGCTTTAGTTTGGCTGCTGTCGTATCTGAAGACTCTTCGTCGCTGCTGCCACCGCTGCTGTCACTAGGCCAAGCGCCCTCTTCGCGTTCGACCACAGGGAGATGGATGGGGGCGTGTTTCATATCTCTCCTTTCTCGGTCGGAGAACATCTCGCCAAAGATTTCAACCCACTCGTCAAACTTGGCTTGTGTGGTCATATCCTTTGGAGTTCGTTTGTCTTCGTCAGTGCAAGCGATGTCGACACCAAGGCGGACCTGGTTTGGTGGATGATGGTGATCAAACTCGGGTGAGTGGTAGTGGTGATGGTGGCCGGTCAGGTCAAGGCGATCGAGGCTTTCGGCTGTGGTCGCCTCAGGGGATGATGGGCCTGGGACTTGTGATGCGGGGGTATCACACCCGATGATGGCGACCAAGCCAGCCTGATGGCTAACGTTAAATTCGAGCCCACCCTTGAGTCCATCAGGATCCCAGAAAGAGGGAGGCGACCAATACGGCCGGCGGTGTGGAGCGGGTGTCCGAGAAACTTGAACTTTGGACCATGGTATACGGGCGGTCTTATGAATGAACGAGTATTTGAGCAAGGCGCTGGCGAGGGACATAAAGCGGTCAGCGGGACGAATGAAACGCGTGATGGCTTCCTGGTCTGGAAATTGGAGAGTAGATAGTAAAGGGAGATTGTATGGCTGTTTTGGGGTTGAAGGAACCAGGGGGCGAGTGTCGATGTAGTGGCGGGTGACGGTAGTTCGGTGTGGTTCAGGTAATGAAGCCATGATGACTGGTGGCTGAGGGCGACTTGGAGATGAGGCCAAGGATTCAACGAGCGGTCAAGGGGTATTTACACCAAGATACTCGGACACCAATAATGCCTCTATGGCCATCATCTCATTCTCAGACGGGGGCTCGCATAGTTGTGTTGTACAGCAGTGGTTGAGTTTGGTCGTTCGTCTCACGTTGTGAACGATGGTGGTTTGTTTCAAAAGACCACGTGATTTTGTCAGACCGGAATTGAAAGCACCACACGAGAGGCAGGAGCAACAAAGGAAGAGATGCGGGGCGACACGTGATCATAATTCCACGTGACAATCAATATCAGGACAACGTTCAATATCCCACCTCCCGTCCTTTCAACTCAATTCTACCACCAAGCAAATTATCATGTCCCAGCAGCGTCGCACGTCCAGGATCATTGAAGACAAACATTTATACACATAGGTTTTGACTCTGACTGCCCATTTTAGTTGGTATGCGACCCGACGGCTGATCAAAGGAACTTTATCATCATCTCATTCATTCGACACTCGAGACTAGGTCGGCGTCTTCAACCTGTGCCACCACTCACCGTAACCTTCTTATACCCGATCATGTAAGCACCGCGCTTGCTGGCTGACCCGGATTGTAATGTCACAAAAGATTGGAAGACAGCGAGTATCGTTGGCATGTACGACGTGCCGGAGTCGGAGGACTCGAGTGGGTACCATACCTTTGTGCACAAACTTGATCATTAACGGTCCACAGTGTGACGGCAATCTACCAGAGTGTGGAACCTGTTTACGCGCTGGGAAGCAATGCGAGTATCCACATGAAACCGAGAAGCGCAAGTATGTATCCTAGGCCATATCTCTATCACCCACAACTAATGGCTTAGGCCCCCGACAAAGCGCTATGTCGAGGCTCTGCATGCGCGCATCGAATCTCTCGAGCGACAATTGCAGGCTTATCAGCGTCAACGTCTCGACTCAGCTGCCTCAGGAGCGGTTGATCCCTCCATAAAACAAGACACAGACTCGTCCGACTTGAACCTCAACGTTGATGGGGATGATTTGGCGCCCCAAGACCGGGGTCCAGTAGACGACCTGGCAGAGATTGCTGGGCAACTGGACATTGCTGAGGATGGTCACTTGCGGTATTTTGGCGCTCCAAGTTATTTCAATCTACTTCGAAGGAACGCTTATGGTTCCACGTCCAATGCTGAGCAAGACCCCTATGGCGCAGGACTCGCTGTTTCGTATGGTCTCTTTGACATCGACCTTACTCTCGAGACACAAACACATCTGCTCGACCTATACTGGAAGTGGCAAAATCCATGGCAGTATCTAGTCCACCGAACAGCCTGCCAGAGGGCCGTGGATCGAGGAACCTATGACGACTACTGCACCCCCCTCCTTATCCGTTGCATCCTCGCCCTCGCAGCGCGATACTGCGACCATTCAGATGCTCGTCTCGACCCGCACGATGCCAACACTGCCGGTGACTTGCTGGCTGCTCAAGCCAAAGATATACTAAGCGTCGAGATCGAGCATCCATCTACCTCGACAGCCGCTGCTCTGGCTCTGCTGGCACTCCGGGAAATGTCGGTTAATAAGGAGAGCCTAGGATGGATTTATATTGGTAAATGGCCTCACACGCTTGATTGTCGACGTGACTGACCTTCTTTTCCAATCAAGGCATGGCTGTCCGCATCGCCTATAACTTAGGACTGAACCTCGATTGCCAGACTTGGGTCAACCAGCAAAAGATCTCTGAAGAAGAGGCAGAGATCCGTAGGATCACTTGGTGGGGATGCTACCTCTTGGACAAGTCCTTCACCCCATTCCCATCTTTGTGCTCTTAAACCTGCTAACGTGTCTAACAGGCTCTTCACCCTTGGGCTTGGGCGTCCAAGTATGATTCGCGAGAGAGACATCACTGCCGCGAAGCCGTCGTTGCTCAAGGAGGAAGAGTTTGTCCCTTGGCTATCCGATGATCTCGGCCTTTCTGCGGACATGTCGGCCTCTCGTTGTGTCTCGAACTTACGGTATATGACATCAATATTTCAGACGGCATGCCCCACCCTGGATGAAATGTAGGCCACTCCTTGACTTTTGGTGATGCCGCACTAACAGCGTAAAACAGATACAGCCCAAAAAGCGACCTGTCCCTTCAGGCCAAGGAAGAGATGACTGCTAAAGCCTATCTTGAGCTCACTGAGATTTACTCAAAGTTACCTGGCTTCTTGAAGTTTCCGCATTCTGCGAAAACCCCTCGCCCTGCTCACATATATTCGTTGCAGTAAGTGGGATAAACCGTCCCTATCATTGCACACCTTTGTTGACCCCATTTTAGCTTACAGTACCATACTGTTCTCATATTACTTCACCGGCCGTTCTTGCGTCAGCGAGAGCGTAGAGCGTCAAATCAAACCTCGTCTTCCTTTTCCCACAATCAAATATGCACTTCTTCAGCTGAAGCAATATCTAATATTCTCAGAGCTTACCGGGCCAACTTCACCCTAGTAAGGTCACAATTGCTCTGTCATTTGCTCCGTTAACATTTCATTCCTAGCGGAGAATCCCAATTTCCACCATACATGCTCTTGGAACAGCTTCGGTGATACTCTTGCTGGACGCCACTTCCAGCGATACCAAGACCAGCCGTGCAGCTATCCGTTTGCTTAAATTCAACCTAACCTGTCTGCAGGAGATGAGCATTGCTTGGACCTGGAGCCTTCGTGCCATTCGATCTTTACAGATCCTTGCCGAAGAATGGTCTGTCAACGAGAGACTGCATGCTCAAAATGACCATAAGGCGCTAGGTGGCGAACAGTCATCCGAACCAACAGGGCTAACAGCGTCAAACATGTCCTTCAATCCCGACCAGAATGTGCTCGGCAGTGAAGACGTGTTTGCCAATATGAGTCCGCCGGCGATGTACGAGACATCACCCGAGAATATCGACTGGTTGATGGCCTTTGACAGTGGATTTTCAGATGTGCCAATGGACTTGAGTTTTGTCGACCAGGATTTATGGGAGATGGGTGCCAGATGAGCTTACTCCCGCCACCTGTACGCTGTTCGGTTCTCGCGGTATCTTAACAATACAAGTCACAAGACTATACATTCACCATGAAATCAGTCAAATCTCTAGTATATAAAGCGGGCGCATCATCAGGATAAACGCGACACTCGACTTGACCGTCATAATAACCTCTATTAGTGGATCCAGGGAGAGTCGAACTTTGAATATGATAACGGCTTAAAAGACAATTACAATGATCACAATGTCAACCCTTTTGCTTCTAATTTGTGGCTATTCTCGAGATATCGCTATGGACTCAAGAGTGTCAGCGGAGGTCCAAGACCTGTACCTCCGCCCATCGGTCAAGGGTTATCATGTAAATACCGGTCAAACTAAAACTGCAGCTGCTCGCACCTTGGGGTCTCTCGGTGGCCGCTGTAAATGTTTATGAATTTACAATTAGAGACTTGTAAGCCCAAACAGACATACTTCTAGGGTATATACAGCTTGATACTGCAGCCTGTATCCGATGCTCAAGAGCCGTTCGCAAAATCTGCCAAAGTTTCACCAAGAGGCTTGAACGCTGACGTGAGTGTCTTTGGAGGCCCACCGTTCAACTTAGTTACGTAGTGCTTTGGCGTGTCGTCGACAACCAGACGCAGAAGATCTGGACGAGAATAGTGGCCGACAGGGTCGGCAAGTGTCTTTGCACGATCGATGAGATCGAGGTCGATGTCGCAATAAATCAAACCATCGTGGTAAGGATCCGACGGTTCAGTAAGTTGGCGACCGTCTGGTCCAAACACTCTGGCTGCACCACCGCCACCACCACCAACCGAGAAGGATTTTCCAGTGGCACTATGGCCCTCTGTATTCTTCCTCAATCCGTCGGCTGAGAGCATTTGGTTGGTGACGAGCACAAAAGCGCCTCCCTCCAGAGCATGCATGCGACTGGCAGTCACTTCGTTGGCTTCTGTGCACACTGACCAAGGCTCTTCACCCAAAGCCTCGCCGTGATAAGGCCATGCAGCGACATGAACTTGTTCATTCTGAGCATAAGTGTGGTATTTCAGCAATGGCTGAAAGTGCTCCCAGCAATTGAGCATGCCGATCTTCCCAAGCTTGGTGTCAGCAACTGTTTGTAGAGAGTCGCCGGTCGAATCGCCAAACATGGTGCGTTCGAGATGAGTCGGCTTGATTTTCCTCCTGTGGAGAAGGACGTCGCCTTTGTCGTCGATCAAGATCTGCGCCAGATAGAGGGTGCTGGCAACTCTCTCGCTAAAGCCCAGAACAACGTGCATCTTGTTCTTCGCTGCAGCCTGTCTGATCTCCAGCATCTCCGGCCCACGTGCCGTCATGCTGTTCTTCATATATGCTTGAACAAGAGGGATGTTCTCGCTGTATGTCCCTCCCCAGATGAAATTGGGATACCCAGGAATCCATAGCTCAGAGAAGGCGATCAACGATGCGCCATTGGCAGCTGCTTCCTCGATCAACTGGATTGTCCGTTTAATTCCGCCTTGCAAATCAAACCATACAGGCTCTGCCTGCGAGATGGCGGCTTTGTACTTGCGCACAGACATTTCAACTGTTGTACAGAAACAGAAACAGAAAATGGTGGTTAGAGTAGGGAAGTTGGTCTGGTACCCAAGCCATCATCCCTGGTATGCAAGACATCTAAGAATCTATATACACTTGAACATCTCCAACTTACCGGTCTGTTGCCCAGCGAATGGTCTAGCGTCCGTACACTGTACATAGGGCTCGTGGCAAATGTCTGGGGAAAATGGGAATGGAAGTGGAGATCGGATTCGCATTATCCGCCACTTGGTAACCAATCGATATCAGTTGAATCCGTCAAAGCGGAGCTCGAGGATCCGGATGAGCATTAACCTATCTGCCCTGACCCCATTAAATGTTTAACATCAGGCGATTGGGGAGCGCGCTAATGCTCTAGTCCGCAATCGGCAAATTAGGTGGTGAACAAGATGTTGGAAAAGGCTGATCTAGCCCGTGGAGCCAGTGAGACTACATCTGATATTGTGTAAATATCGTATCAACTCCTCATGTGCCATCTCATCTGTTACCAGTGTTTATGAGCCTTATCGACTTGGGTGTATCTTGGGGCATGGATAATGCCATCCCGGCTATAGACTCACGATAACAAGTGTCCAGAACCGTCCGCTTGTATTTGATCAGTTGTCTGTATATGTTTGAAGCGACACCCCTGTGAACTGGGAGTTTGGACAACTGACATCCAAGCTGAATACTACTCACGAATTGAGACACCGCAGTAGCTGAATACTACACACGAATTGAGACGCCGCAGTAGGGTCCTTTACTCAATATGGCGACCGACGCTCCCGTTAAGGAGCATCGCAGCAAGTTCAATGTCTTGGTTCGTGGTTCCAAACACTGGTTGTATTGTCAAATACAAATTCTAACCGAGGATTGCTTACACAGATCATTCTCCTTGCTACCTTAGGTAGTATCTCTTACGGTTACTCATCATGCATTATTGCAACGACCTTGGGTCAGCCCAGCTTCATCACTGCAATGAAATTGGATGTCTATGAGAACTCGGTTCAACTGATTGGTGCCATCAATGGCCTATATCAAGCTGGTGGATTGCTGGGAACGATTTATGTCGGTTTGACTGGCGATCGTTTGGGTCGTAGATGGGCCATCTTTTCCGCCTCGGCCATCACAGTCGTGGGCGGTGCTCTTCAAGCTGGTTCAGTCCATGTTGGAATGTTCATGGCCGCCCGCTTCATCACAGGTTTGGGCATTGGTAAGCCGCATATCTGCACACTTCTATCCAGTTTCGATTCAGTTTCTGACCTCAATCCCCTATAGGTGCACTCGTCACCCTTGTGCCGCTTTGGCAGAGCGAGGTCGCCCCACCCAGAACTCGAGGCTTCTTGGTCGGACTTCACGGTTAGTTGTCAACGCAAGCGTTCATTTGACTGCAGAGAACCTTCAATCTGATGGCAAGTAAACAGGTGTCTTCATTCTTGTCGGCTACAGCACCGCCAGCTGGGTTGGCGTCGGATTTTTCTTCGTCAATGCCGGTGGTGCTCAGTTCCGACCACCTTTGGCCCTACAGATTGTACCGCCGTTTCTGCTCGCGTGTGCTATCATTTGGATGCCAGAGTCGCCTCGTTGGTGTAAGCCTGCACTTGAACTTTGCTAGTCTATCTATACTAACAGACTCTACACAGTGATGGAGAGAGATCGAGGAGAGGAATGTCTTGCCATTCTTCGAAAAATCCACGCCGATGCCTCAGATCCCAACGGCGAGTTCGCTCAGCGAGAATACGCCCAGATCAGCAAGCAAATCACCTATGAGAAGTCACTCCCTTCATCATGGGGATCTATTTTCACTATTCCGTCCTATCGCAAACGTTTTATTGTTGGGTTCGGGTGCATGTTCTTTGCCCAGTGCACTGGCACACAGGTCATTAACAGTGAGTATAACCAGTATGCCTGAGTTCGAACCGTTGTAGCTGATATGTAACGTCTTCTCAGACTATGGACCTTTGCTGTACAGCAACCTTGGATTTAGTACTGCTGATTCCCTCATCATTCAAGCCGGGTGGATTACCTGGGGTATTATTGGCAATTTTATCAATGCTCTCCTTCTGGACAGGGTCGGACGAAAGTGGCTGATGAGTAAGTTGCCTTAGCCTCCAATATTTTGACTATGATGCAGTCACTAATTCGTGGTGTCAACAGCCATTGGAATGATTGGTTGTGCTATCGCACTTCTGCTCGAGATCATCATGCTTGCACTTTATCAAGATAGTGGCAATCACGGCGGTAACAGTGCTGCAGTATTCTTCTTGTTCCTGCATATCGGCTTGTAAGTCCTGTCCTAGCATGAACGACATGGTCTCAAGCACAAAGTCAACTAACCACACCACTAGTTATGCCTCTGCTCTCGATGCGTCCACATATGTGTATGCTTCTGAAATTTGGCCGACTCACTTGAGAGCTCGTGGCTGCGCCATCTCGGTTGCAGGTCTCTTCGTCTCTTCTTTGATCCTGCTCTGCGCCGCTTCCGATGCCTTTGCGGCAATCGGCTGGAAATACTATCTTGTCTTCCTGTGCATGACACTTATTGGAGCTGTGTTCTTTGCTCTGGTATTTCCCGAGGTACGCTGTCCAACCATTTCCAGTGTGCTGCTGACTTAACTAACATCTTGTTCCCTTATAGACGAGACACAAGCCTCTCGAAGAGATTGCTGCCGCCTTTGGGGATGATGTCGTGGACTACTCCCTTGCTACAACCGGGAGCAAGGATAGTGAGCTCGGCGAGGAAGTCCATGAACAACCCAAGGTTGACCTTGAAAAGGAAGCTAACAAGGCTTGAAACCTATAAGGAGGATTTGGATGAACAGGAGATTCGGTCGGCATACAAGTATGTGACCATGACTAGCCTGTTGATCAATTTTCGATTGTATCGTGTAGTTTGAACATTCGCAAACTGTTCTGCCACGCAGCATTGGCGATTGTATCCAGCGCAAGGTCCTTGATACCTGCAACGACGAGGGCAACTCGATCGATAGTACAACTCTCGTTTCGACCTTGTACCATATGACCCGAAACGTAATTCTTAGGTTTCTGACTTGGAGGTAGCGATGGAGCACTTTGGAGGAGTCCATTAATCTGTGGCGTGGAAGGGATTTCGCACCAGGGAGCATCGGTTTCTAGATGCAGTCGATCCAGTGGTATCTCTTTGACCATCTCTAGTTGCTCTCCAGTCGTGAAACCCATACCACATACGCTGATATCGAAGCCGAGGTCCAATAGTTCCTGCATCTGGTCCGTATTGCCGGTAAACGAGTGGACTACACCTCTTCGTGGTAAACGTGGAAGAAAGGGTTTGATGATCTCAACAAAGTCCTGGTGAGAGTCGCGAATGTGGAGGAACAGCGGTAGATCGAGAGTAGTGGCCAGCTCTAACTGTTCCTTGAAAGCTCTTTGCTGATCTTCTTTGCTGGCTTTGTTCAAGTAGAAGTAATCAAGGCCAATTTCACCAAAAGCGACAACACAACTCCCGTCTCTTGTTGGAAGAGTCTTAGCAAGGCTCACCAAGGTAGACCAGGCGTCAGGCTCAGCATAGAGTTCGGATGCATGATATGGATGTACGCCTAAGGTCATGTAACACTGTCCAGGGTAGGCTTTGCAAATTTCTAGATTCTGCTGGGCACCCTCAAGAGTCATCGTGGTCAGCAGGATCTTCTTACAGCCCACTGACGTTGCTCGAGACAGGACTGCATCAAAGTCTTCCTCGTGTTGTTTCTTGCCGCGATATATACCATGAAACTGGCTTGCAGTGTAAGTGACCGCTATCTGGAGCAGCCTGTCGTCAGCACTCTGATCTGTCCACTATCGGGTCATGCATTTATATTACATCTGCAAAAGAAAGATTTGAAGAGCCTAGATTGGACATGATTGGGTAGAAATACTAGTGACCTCCGTGACCAGCTTCCTCAATTAAAGAGTGCCTCGAGATAGGTGTTTCTTCACTTATGGAGATGATGTTGCTCGAGTCGTGTGCTACTGAGTATCAGAAGAGTATAGCCCATAAAGAAGTGCAAGTCCTCGCGAATCAGGAGAAAGCAAGGAGGACATATGTTGCCAAGTGCGCTAGACTCAATTAGATCTAGTCTCATCACGTGGATGGCTTGGCGCTTGTTGCGTCAAATTCCAAAATCTCCACCAGTGACACTTCAATCGTACTTTTCCATTAGACATCCATCACCTTCTCGACCCAACAGTATTCATAGATGTGTCCGGAATGGCCAAGACCAAGGTAAAGAGGTCACTTCGAGATGAACAGATTCATAACAACGTCAAAAAGATCAAATTGTTGCCATCTACACTGACTGCAGAGACCACCGAGCCAAAAACCTTGCAGGATGTGAAACTTACCCAGGATGACATCGATATCTGTATTGATGCCCTCGAGGTTCTAGCAGAAAATCCTAGTGTCATCAAGTCAAAAGCTTGCAAGGATTTACGCACTGCTGTATTCCATTTCCGACATGCCTGCACGACGGGGGCTATTGCTTCAGGTGGGCGCCATCATCGTGCGGACACAAGATGCCTTTCTAACCCATTCCAGTCGATTCGAATCTGACTTCCCGGATCAGTGGCGCCCTTGCGGACGAAAATCATGTCGAAGCAAGAGTTTTGCTGGCAGAAATGCGGATTCGTGGACAGTCGCCCAAATTAGGAGCCTTGTGTCGATGGGTTCGAGATTTGGATGTCGTCAGCGGGCTGGCGGAGCAACTCAGTGACATCGGTTCCAAGCGTACTTCAAGAGAAACTGAATCTCTGAAGGTCCTTGATGCTATCCTCAGAGTCGTTGGGCCCGTCGACCACACCGCATCATCCTTGAGCATTTCTGGTCAACCTCTGGCTCCTCAGAAGGCGTGGGATCTTCGAGACATGGCTACGAGAATGCCAACCTACTCTCGAGTTCTGGACCGCACAATCTTCCCGCCGTCCCCGGAGGCCATAAAATCTCAATTTCGTGCTATTGAGACCACTCCTGGAATCAATCGAAAACCGCCTAACCACCATCCAGCCATACTTTACACGTCCTCGCCTGACGCAATTCCACTCGCGATGAATGGACCCAATACGACCCATCACAGGCACCCAGTTGTGCCCAATCTTCATCTCCTCAAAGACGCATTGACCCCCGAAGAATGCACCAAGATTATCGCTGCGGCAGAACTGGTTGGGTTCACCCCCGACGCGCCAATACGCGCCCCTGGGGAAGAAATCAGTATCCTAGCGCACAATTTTTACTGGGTGGTAGACACTAGCTTTTGTGCTCGTTTGTGGGATAGGGTCGAAAGGTTTGTCCCGGAAAGAGTCAATGGCAAAAAGGTTCGTGGCTTGAACAGACGTTTTAGAGTCTATCGATACGTGCCTGGTGCCGAGTATCGGGCTCATATTGATGGGGCATGGCCCCCTTCCTCCGTCGATGCCAACGACAAATACGTGTATGACGCTTCGCCGCCCGAACAACGGCAAACGTCACTTTTCACATTCCTGATTTATCTCAATGATGAATTCGAGGCTGGCGAGACAACATTTTTCCTTCCTAGCTCGCAGGAGGGAACCTTAAATGCGTATCCCGTCAAGCCCTTACAAGGCAGCGTGGCTATGTTTCCTCACGGCGAAACCGAGGGCAGTCTTCTTCACGAAGGTACGGGAGTTCATCAAACATCACAGCCGTCCGCAAAATACGTCATCCGCACAGATGTATTATACGATACAACAGCAAGCGACTAACAGTATTTGGAGACGAGACGAGACTATACACCCATGATGTCCCTCAACTTATCCTTTGCGATTGTCCAGGATCTCTCACCGTTCAGATTCGGAGGCAAAGAGGGCGTGACGCAGGTCAAAATCCTCTAGATCTACTGCAAGGCGAAGTTGAACTCAGTGTTATCAGGGCGAATATCAACGGATTCAGCCATAAAGCATTTCCGAAGCTGTAACCCAAACCAAAGTCCAGCACAAGTCGATGGCACTTGTCCGATAAGCCAGCATAGCATGTTCATGGCATCACTTCAGCCTTCGAAAATCTTCAGGCTCTCTTCGACGGCGAACAACTTTGCAACAAGACTATATCACAGCCTCCCATGACTATGTCGAGCTACATAATGACCACCAATCAGGAGGGTCGGCCAGTTCAGCAACGCGAACATGTTGCACCTGTTCACCAAAGTCTAGATTCGTCTCGGGCTCGTACAAAGTCACCTCTCGCCAGGATTGCCATGTGGATGTCGCCACCGAGAGCCCACCCTCTAGCTTCTCTCCTGACATCCTTGCACACAGAAAGTACACATGGCTAACGAGAGTAGCCGGAGCAAGCCAAGATTCGCTTATTCTGCATGGCTTCCAAGATCCTTCCATTCTTGTACAATGCCCCGTTCAACATACGGAGTAGAGAGATGGCAACGGCAGGGATCCACTCTTATAAACGCATTGGAAATGGCGCCCCCAATCACCGGCGCTACAATGTGTGAAAAAGAAAATTCTATTCTAGAGTGGAGAAGAATTCGGGAACTATTCACTGTCGTTCCCGACCCATAGGGCCCGAGCCACTAGAAGGTAATTTTGTACATGCATCGTTGCCGATATAGAGGCTCAATAGAGACTGAGAGCGACATAGGACCAAAGAAAGGCCTCACCAATCATGAAACGATTGTCGAATGGCCAACCTAGACTCTGCTGCGATGTCGGAGGCATGGCATTCTCACACATGGCAGGGTATAGATTTGAAGATCTTCGTCGCTAGAACATTTGCAGCTTAGTCCTTGAGAAGAGGAGCGACTTGGTCTGAGAATATCACACTGTGGACACAATTGTCACGCCTACAATACCAGTGACAAGCCGTTCTAGATTTGTTCGACAGTCAGGAGGGCAATTATCTTGATCATCAGAGGTCAACTTCGATCTTGGAACCCTCTGCCAAGCAACGGAGATCCATGATCAAAAGAGTTCAGGGACCGAAAATCGTTCTCCACTGCGGCTTCATCATCCAACCATATTGTATGTTGCATTTCCCCAAGCACTTAGCGATGAAACCTCACAGGGTCTGTACGATAATCTCATCTTATCAGACTATCAGATAGCATAACAGTGACCCATATGCGAGAAAAAATGCCCATACTCGGTATGCGAACATGGAGTATAATAGGCCATTGAGGAATCCCCGATTGGGGACAGTATTGGATACTATACAACAATCACAGACAATTATTTCCTTGCTCACAAGTTTGGCCATACAGCCTTCACGGTAGCAACCATGACTTCCCTTGCGCCCAATTTGATTGAGCGTATCACCGAGAAGAAACCCGCGGCCAACACCGACGATGTGGAGAAAACAGCCAATTCTTCTGTGAATGAGGTTTCTTCTGTCGATCAAAAAAATGATTCAGACGCAGACTCGGCCAACTTTCAAGGTGGTGTTAAGCGTGTCAGAGCCATCACAACAGTATGGTCTAAGCAAACCCTATGGACCATGTTTGCATTGTACGTTGTTCGTGTCTCGCGGAATAATTGGGCCTGGACTTGAACCTCGCTGACTTACTGTAACAGGCTCTATCTTGTGTCGTTTGTCGATCTTCTCTTGACTTCAGTTCAAGGTGCTCTCAATCCTTACATTACTTCATCGTTCTCGAGACATGGTCTTCTCGCTAGCGTCAGCGTCGTATCAACTATTCTTGGAGGCTCTTCCCGCCTTACCCTTGCCAAAATCATCGATATCTGGGGTCGTATTGAAGGCTTCATCTGTATGGTTGCGATCGTCATCATTGGTATGATCATGAAGGCGACTTGCAAAAATATGGAGGCGTACGTCGCTGGAAATACTCTATATTGGGTTGGCCACCTTGGAATGATGTATGTCATCGACATCATGCTTGCCGATATGACAACTCTCAAGAATCGAATGATCATGTTCACCATCAACGGAACCCCAACAATTTGCAGTACTTTCGCTGGCCCACGGATTGCCTCTTTGTTCTACAACAACGTGAACTTCCGATGGGCCTTTGGAGCCTTTGCTATTATTACCTTCGGAGTTTGCATCCCTGTGGTGACTATCATGCTCTACATGCAACGCAAGGCCTACAGAACGGGAGCTCTGGAGAAGCCTGTTTCGAATCGAACATGGTGGCAGTCAGTCCGCCATTATTTCATCGAATTTGACGGTAAGCCTTTTCCTGAACCAGTTCTCTTGAGTAGTGTGCTAATTCCTTCAAAGTGGTTGGCATAATTCTCGTCACTGCCGCCTTCTCCTTGATCTTGCTTCCCTTCAGCATCGCCACATACGCTCCCAACGGATGGGCCAGTGGCTACATCATTGCCATGGAAGTATTGGGTGTTCTCTGCATCCCAGCATTCTACTTCTGGGAAAAGTATGCCCCCGTGCAGTTCCTTCCATGGGAGTACTTGAAAGAACGCACCATCATTGGTTCTTGCCTTCTCTATGGTGTTATGTTCATCTCCATCTTGTAAGTACAATGGACATTGTTTATGCAACTTCAATCTCACTAACAATCACAACAGCATCTGGAACGCATATTTCGGCTCATACCTTCAAGTTGTCCACAGACTCGACATTACGACTGCCGGCTACGTTCTCAACTCCTTTTCTTTGACATCATCAATCATCAGCCCATTTGTCGGCCTGTAAGTCACGCCAATCTACCCCTGAGTTCCCCAAAACTAACAACAAAATAGAATCATTAGCTGGACTGGTGACTTCAAGTGGACTGCTTACGCTGGAATTCCCTGTGTGCTCCTAGGGACAGCTCTCTTGATTCCCTTCCGACAGCCAGATACCCATGTCGGAATTCTCGTCATGACCCAAATCCTCAACGGCCTTGGAACAGGTATCTTTGCCACTTGCGCTCAACTTGGTGTCATGGCGCCAGTCACCCATCAAGAGGTTGCCGTCGTGATTGCAATCTGGGGCCTGTTCGGCTCGATCGGTGCCGCCATTGGCTTTGCTATTGCGGGCGCCATGTGGAATAACATCCTACCTCCACAGCTCCTCAGCAGACTACCAGAAGAGAGCAAAAGTCTGAGCTCAGCCATCTTTGGCGATATGGTCCTGCAAATGTCATATCCCGATGGCTCACCAGAGCGTGAGGCCATTGTTGGTGCTTATGCGGATGTTCAACGAAAGATGGTCATTGCTGGAGCTTGCTTTGTACCCCTATGTCTGGCTTCGATCTACATCTGGAAGAACATCAACGTCAAGAAGTTGGAAAAGGACAAGGGAGCCCAGACGACAGGAACCGTCCTATAATCTGGTGGATTTACGGTATTAGTGTTCAAGGCCCACCAACTTAGCCCAAAGACAAGGGTCATTTTCACTCATGAGTCACTGAATAGTAATAATCTCAAGAAATCTTATCTTAAGATCGAATACCTGCACAAGTTACTCAAACAGGAGTAGCAGCCCCACAGCCTGCCAGATCTAAATAGCTTTGTTTATGAGCAAAGCCCATTGTTTAGGATGTCGAAATCTAACCCTCTGAGACTTCTTAGGCCCGCTGGTTCAGATTCATCTTCTATTACTGCAAGACTAAAGATCCCACATTCCCTCGAGAGAATCTGTATGCGCAATCCAAATGAGTCCGTTTACCCCCTCACCCTTTTTTAGATCTGCTGTCTGACGGATGATCTCACGTGCCCCGTCCATGTCTTCATGGAACGTGTTCGTGGGAACGACCGAGACGCCTTTCCCAAACGGTGCCTCTGGGTGATGTGCGAAATGATGACAGTGAAAACAATCTCCACCGAGGAAGGCCCACTTGGTCTCTCCATGGCGGTTCTTAAATCTGGCCAAAGCAGCTATATTCCCCAGGCAATGACCTGGAGCGTCGACTATCCAAAAGCTTCCGTCTCCAAAGAAGTCGTAGCCATTCTTATACGGCCCGATCTTCGTCCACATTTCAGGAGCGTCTTGGGGTGACGGAAGCTCTTTAATTGGCAAGTCGGAATTCTCAGGATCCCAAACTCGACCGTCAAAGGTGCTATCTGGTGCTTTAGGCCATGACTCGGCCGCGTATTTGAAGCTTCCTGATCCGCACAGCAGCGTCGCATTCGGGTGATAATCCTTCGCTGGGAAAATATGGTCCCAGTGACCGTGACTAACGCGTAAGATTTAGTAATGCAAGTTGAAGGGAAGATTGAAACATCGAACCTGACAATGATATGCTTCACATCGTTAGGGTCGTCTCCAACAGACTTGACATCATCGGCTGGAGAATTGGAACCTGGGACCGTTTTGAAGACTTTGTGCTGAACTCTTTGAATACGAGGAGGATACATAGACAGATCCTGCCAACCAGTCAGCAAATTAAGTACTTTGCATCTTTCAAGTCAATAGATCAACGCGCACATGCGAAATTCCCAGATCAAACCACAGCTTGGTCCCTGTCGTTGGATGAGTGATGTAGAATCTCCATGAAGTTATTCTCATGCTACCCGTGAGGCCGTCGATGGTCATGGAAGCTGGAATTTCCATCCATGCCGTCTCAAAAGGGGTGATCTTGACGAATGCATCGTCGGTCTTGGCCTGGGGCAGAGGGGAAGTTTCCTTGTAAGACATGTTACTGATCTTTGGACTTCAGGTGTGCCTCAACCATAGTGGCATGTCGAATGGCTGCAAAGTGGTTTTCAATGTTTCTGACTTGTGCAACTCCGGATCAACAACCATGACCGTGTACGCCGAGGTAGGCAGCGGCGTGATCATCTGGTTGTTCGTCTGCCCTCGGAGCGCTTGTGCACCCACACGGACGGGCCGCCTCAGTCCATTCTATACGCCGTACAACCATCTTCGTACAAAACAACAATCTATACCTCTACTATGCAGTTATGAAAGCATATCGAATCAGTTGATCGCATTGAATTACAATCTGATTTGAGACGCAAAGAAAACATGGGACCAAGCTATCCTCTCCAAGTCGCGCAGGACTCTCCGTTTGGAATTCACAACATTCCATTCGGTATCATTAGCGAGGGCAGACACGGAGTTGTAAGTCTGCATGATTGATATGCTGGAGCATTCAAAGCTAATAATTCTATCGATATAGAAGAAGGCTGCAACAGTTGTTGGAGAATACGTTGTTGTACTTGATGCACTCCTGAAGTATGGAATCTTCGAAGCTGCACAACTTCCAGCGGACATTTTCCTCCAGGTAGAATTGATTGAAGAATACAGGGATCCAGCTTATTGAACTAATAAACTCTCATAGCCAACGTTGAACAAATTTGCTGCATTACCTATACAAGGCCGCCGTCTAGTGAGAAACACCATTATCGCCCATCTCGAGAACAAGGACTCCCCACTGTTCCAAGATGGCTCACTCAACTCCTCCGTCTTTGTGCCCATCGATCAGGTGAAGGTGCATATGCCAGTTTCTGTTACTGATTACACCGACTTCTTTAGCTCACTGGTACATGCGGAGAACGTAAGTCTCGGATGCGCCATCAAAGAAAAAATTGTTAACAAGGCTTTCGTATAGGCACTGCGACCGTTTGAGATTCCAGTCCCAGCAGCATTCTATGAGTATCCCATGGGCTACAACGGCAGAATCTCATCAATTGCGGTCTCTGGTACCGATTTTGCTCGACCATGTGGGATTTTCCGAACAACGCCCGATGCGCCGACAAGTTTCCAAGCATCTCGAAAACTCGACTTTGAGGTTGAGATGGCCGCCATAATCTCTACTCCGGTTGCAGATGGGAAGCGAATAAGCGCGAAAGAGGCACCTGAGCACATCTTCGGATATGTGCTGCTCAACGATTGGTCTTCGCGCGATATTCAGAAGCATGAAATGACACCATTTGGCCCGTTCCACTCAAAGAGCTTCCGAACCAGCATTTCTCCTTGGATTGTTACACTGGATGCCTTGTCGCACAGCCGCTGCTCTCTCCCAGCATCAATGCCAGTCGGCGCCACACCGCTATTGGATTGTGATGAACGAAACCATGGCCTCTACGACATCTCGCTATCAGCCAAGATAACCAGTAGGTGAATGATGACGTAAAGCTGCGTCGAACAGCATCACTGATAATTGTATTAGGGAATGGAGAAGAAGTGGAAATAGTGCGCAGCAATTTAGCTGATGCACATTGGAGCCCATTTCAAATGGCGGCCTACCAGTCGTCTTCTGGCTGCGGTCTGCACACTGGGGACATATTAGGCACTGGCACCCTGTCATCACCGGTAAGCCATCACTCACTCACGACACAAATTGGAGAGAACTTTGATTAAGTCTAATGTCCTTAGGATCTGAGAGCGTCTGGAAGTGACCCGAAAGGGTCTTGGTCGACATTCGGATGCCTGGCGGAGATCAATGCCACAGGACATGCACTTCCCACCGTTGGGGGTTCTAAGATTGAATGGTTAGAGGATGGTGACAAACTTCAATTCGAAGGGTGGTTTACTACAGCGAACGGGCAACGCGGTGGCTTCGGAGGTGTTACAGGAACGGTGAAACCTGCTTTGCTGCCCGGGATTCACAATACCTCCAAGCTTTAGAAATCCCAACAACGAGTTAGACATATGTTTCTGTAGCACAATGACAAGTGTCAGCCTCGATGAAGAGAAGATATGAACTGCTCTGAAGCCTCCATCTCTTCGTGGCTAAATCGACCCCATTCGTTCAATGAACTTGACAATTGTCAACAAAATGTAGGTTCACCCAATTTGGCGAAACATTGTGTATGACATTTCGCATATATCATATTGCACTACCACTTTAGCGATCTGGATTTGAATTATAGATGATCTACTATGTCTTAGATATTGCGAAACACGACCTCATTGTGGCCACTTCCATTCCCCATCCTCATAGACGCGGGCCACTTGCAACTGCCTGGATACGATACATTTCTCTAAGCTCTTTTCGCTGAATTTTCCCCGTAGGACTTTTGGGTATACGGTCGATGAAAATTACGCCGCCCTCAAGTCGCTTGTACTTGGCCACACGGCTGGAGAGCCAGTGCTGGATGTCAGTGTTGCTGAGACGGCCAACGAACGGAGACTTTAGCACTACATATGCCAGTGGTACCTCACCCTCAGATCTTACAAATGTTAGCAAAGACCAAATTCTGATGATTTTTGGGCGTCTCACCGAGGTACTCCAATAACTCCAGCATCTGCAATTGCCTCATGATCAAGGAGTAGGGCTTCCAATTCTGCAGGAGCAACTTGAAAGCCATTGACTTTGAGGATTTCTTTCATTCGGTCGACAACGTAGAACATCCCTCGATCGTCACAGACTACAACATCGCCAGTTCTGTAGAATCCATCGATGATAGCGTTGTTTGTTGCCTCTTCGTTTTTGAGATAGCCAAGGCAAACGTTTGGCCCTTTCAGGTAGGCTTCGCCCCGTTCGCCTACCCCAACTTCATTACCATCATCGCCGATGATTTTGCACTCCATATTTGGGAGAAGAACGCCAGTGCTACCACTATCATCGCTCATTGACCCAGGTGTTGTGGTTGCTGAACATGTCAGTTCTGTACCACCCCATGTCTGTCTGATGAGGACATTGAACCGGGTGGAGATTTCATTCTGGAGCTCGCGTGACAGTGGCGCGGCGCCACAGATAATATCCTTGAGACTGCTTAGATCATATGAAGCTACCTCGGGCCGCTTGCTGAGCATGACTAGTAGAGGTGGTGCCGTCTGGAGATGTGTAATTTTGTGGTCCTGTATACACTGGAGGAAAGTTTTGAGGTGGAAATGACTCATTATAAACACCGGAACACCGAGTTTGCAAGCCATGACGATGCTGAAAAGTTGCCCATACGCATGATATAAAGGGAGGAAGCCAAGCCACCGCTGCGGCTCTTTCCCAATGTAACTTGCACCTTGTCCTCGACTGTTGATGAAGATTCCTTGTTCGACGTTGGCTATAAGATTAGCCTGAGAGACGCATACCCCTTTCGGTCGTCCCGTTGTGCTGCTCTCTAATTACTATGGCCGCTTTAACCGCTCAGAAGAGATCATACTTACCCAGAAGAAAAGTTTATCACCGCTGGTTGCTTGTGCACCTTGGAATGGTCAAAAGAACGAAGCGGATGTTTGGATGCTTCGTCTGTAGGCACAAGGATAGATTGCCAGCCTTGAGGCTCATTCGAGACATTGTTTGAGTCTGAGAACCAGTAAAGAGAACTTTCAGGCAGTCCTGCAGATTTTGCTGCTGCTTTTGCAACGGATGAATACTCCGGATGATATAGAACCAGCTTGGCTTCGGTATGGGAGATTTGATATGCGAGGTCTTGAACACTCCGTTGTCAGAACATAAACGACCATGCGATGAGATGACTAACCAGAGACTGTTGCTGTCGTGCCAGCACCTGTAAAGGTAGCCCCATGGGCAATGGTGCCAAGGTATGCGATGGGAACGAAGATATGGTTTGGTGTGAACATCAACACTACATCCCCTTGACGAATACCCAATCGTTCCAGACCCAGGGCAAACCGTTCAATGTATGCCAAGGCATCTCGCTTTGATATCGAACGAGAAGGATTACCTGCATCAAGCCATATTGGTTGATCGGGAATTTCTTTCCCTTGTCGAGTTGAGGTTGAGGTTCCAAATAGGTAGCTGAGCAGGTCTGTCTCAGGTAGCTGAATCTTGAATTTGGATTTGTGAACCATATTGATGGCCAGCTGCTCATAGTAAATCTGAGCTGCAGAACTTGGTCAACTATTCGTATTATCATCAATGAGAGTATTACAGCATATAGTAATCGCCGCCAACGGCAGAGGATGGAATGGGATCGCACTTCGTACCGTGGCTCACGTGACCCGGGCCGCACCCAAGCCTTTTGTGTCGTACAGTGGCAGAGACATCTCGGGCCTCTAGGAGGGCGGACCAATGGAAATTCGACAATGCGGAGAGGTCATCTCTGGAGTAGTCGCTGAAGGGAAGGCTTTGGGGTTCTTCACGGGCCATCATCACCTGTAGAACAAGTTTGCATCTTGGTGGGTGTCGTGCAAACATAAGCTCAAGGCTCGGTCAAATTGGTATACCCTCCAGCCTCATGAGATATGTACTCGTAGACCATACCACTGAAGCCAAGAATCTTTGGTGTCGCGTGAGATGTCCACTCATAGTGGCTGTTACTGGCGGTGGCGTCCATTATTGCCCGCTCGTGTCGAACATCACGGACCTCTCTTGTACAAGATGATACCTTAGTGAACCGCTTCCCCCGCAGCCGCCAAGACCCTCGTCGATATCAAATCCTGCTTCCAATGAGACTTGATCCTGTCGCTCAATTATGTTCGTGGAGATGGTTAGAGACTGATCGAAAATACTCCCTTGACTAGAATTATACTTGACTTCCACCCATGTGAAACTTACTTCATGTTGTCTTCAACTGCCTGTACGAGATGTCGGGCCCGGAAAGTGAGTCAAAACAGAGAAATGGGGTTCATGTCGCGAACGTGGAAGCCTAAAGTTGGTATGGAGTTCAGAGATCCGCTGACTGCTGTTGTGAATACAGATACGATGTTCCAGAGAGTCTCCAGCGTGTGCCCGTTGCGTGCATCAGTACAGACATTGTCAGTATCCAGAACCTCCCAATCGCCGGCTGTTAGCCTCTCTTCGCGGAAGTCACCCTACACCCGCGGCGGCGGGTCAGCGACGTGCAATTCAGGATGGTACCGTATCTCTCCACGCACCAGGCATGGATTTCCCCTCCATAGCGCCGGTTACGCAGATCGAAATCCCCGAGCAATTCGACATTTTCGGCGAGAGGCCTCAGTTGGAGGACCTAGACAGACCCATCGATACAGAGCAGGATAGCGCCCTTGATCTATCGAGACTCCCTCTTTCCATAGAAGCTCCCCCAAATCGCAAAATGCCTTCTCAGGAAATCGGAATTCTGTTAATCGAAGTATACTTCACACGGTTTTTCGACGCACGGTTGCTCTACGATCCTGACTCTGTGACGCGATCTTATCGAAGTGGAGTCTTGCCAAAACATACGGCACTGAGCATATTCGCATTTGCATCCCTGTAAGTCGAACGACACTTTTCGATATTCTTGGCGACTCCATACTGACCTGAACCAAGGTTTTTCTCTGAACCTCCAGCCGAGTCGTTGGCACGAGAGAACGATCTGTCTGGTTTCTCCTCCATGGGTGAATCTGGAAGATCATGGGCAGAATGGGCCTCTGAGATTGTTGCAGCTGGAGGAGATAAACCTTCACAGTGTGAGATATGTTCTCACGACATCCTCAGTCTCTATTGGTTCGCGGTGGGCGAAATTCAGAAGTCGGTTCGCCACGCCAGTAAGTCGAAGCGTTCCGCTACAAGACAATTGATTCTAACACTACTAGCACTCGCACACAACTTCGGTCACATTCTCCAGAATCAATCAGAGCAAGAGGCACTCGCCGATGACCGACCAGTGATTATCCCACAACGAATGTCAGATCGTATAAGGCTTGCGTGCCTCATCAAGAGTTGTGTGATCGACATGAACCTTCACTGCGATACCTGTGAGGCAGCTTCGCAGGATCTTATCACGTTCGAATCAGTTAAATTGAGCTGTGGACAAGCTATCATGCAGCCACCAATATGGCTAAATAGGCCATCTGAAGATCAATTTGACACAAATTGGGAGTTTTGGAGTGACACCTCCTCTCATCCTTGTGCCTCGCACGCGATCAAACTTTTAAGCCTATGGTAAGAGATCTGGCTGATTCCTCCTATCTAATTTGCCTGCTTTCAGCACTGAAACATCCCCCCAGGAAGAATGTCAAAGAATTCGTCCGACTCAATGAAGAGGTTTCGACTTCGATGTATTTGGCAACTTTATTCGACTTGGATACAAGAGTACGACAGCAACACGACGCAGTACCTTCAGACTTTGGCGATGGTACTTCAATACAAACGCTACTCGGAGAAGGGCTACGCCGGAGTGCTTTTCACTTACATTCCATCTATTATGTCTGCATGATATTTCTCCACGCATCCGTGGTGCCTGTGTTGTCTGGCTCAGCCGCAAGTAAAGGCCTTTCCCCACTAGTCACCAAGCTATCCGCCACCACCGCGCTATCTAATGCCTTTGCTTTTGCTAAAATGGCAAAGGAGTATCTGAGAACGACACCCGACTTTACTAAATTGCCCCCATTCGTTGGCTATTGTGCATTTGTTGCTGGCTCAGTCCTGAACGCAGCTGGCGTTCATCTAGGGTCAAAATCAGCAAATCAAAATCATGAGGGCAGCCTTGTCTGCGCGACGGTCATCCAGGAGCTGAGTACATACTGGCCAGTCTTCAATTCATTCGTACGTTCTGCCTTTCTACGCTGGCATGGAGTGACTTGTACACCGACTCCACGCAGCATTCCTTACATAGTCCCTCTGATCTTTTGCTAATGACCTATCGACAAAATAGTGGAAAGATCTCGATCGTAACCAACGACGTTCGAGGACATCTAACTCGGTTCTTTCGGAAGCGAATCTCCGAAACTATCTGAATAGTCTGGCTGGCTCAGACCCCGATGTTGGCAGCCCCGACCCAGCAGTATCAATCATTGAAGGCCTTGATTTGCAGTCTACGGCAGAGACAGAGTTTATTCGACGACCATATGTTGGAGAGAAGAGCATGTCAGACTCCCACGAAAACACCGCGGGTCAGATTGACCCTGCAATTACAGTTCAAGATATGATCGTTCACCGGTCTGAGAGTCCAGCGAAGAGGCATGCCTCCGAAGGAGGTAGATTGTCCCCACTTAACAATGATGCCACTACTACCGATTTTTTGGCAGCATTTGAAGCTAGCTCTCCAGACTTCGGCCAATACCACAGTACCTGGCTTGGTCAGATTTACGGGTTAGGTTTCCTGGACTCATAAGGTCCCAAGGATGGTATTCAAAGGCCGCCAGTATCATGATGTATAATTACTTTTAAGAGCCTAATTAAACACGATTCAACTGATAGTCAGAAGTTCAACAATCAAAACAGGCAAGCCTATCGTCAGGAAGTGTATCTAAGCGCACGAATGGAACCTGATGGCATCACGCTTTGTACATGGTTTGTGCGGTGCAAAACCCGTGCACTTTGAGACCAGCGTTGTACGAAACACGAGTCGCAATTGGGTACAGTTATTATGATGTCCAGGCGTCTGTGTAACAAATCCCAAGCCCGAAGGCCTAGACTTCGCACATCCTTCGGCCCACATGACGGTCCGCCTCTAGGGGCCCTTTGAGCTCCCCAGTTCCCCATCCTCGGTACCAGACCTGGGAATACATGCCAAGAATGGCAGAATCTGCGTCTCCAAGGTCGGTGTTCTGACATCCGGGGGCCCCAGATTTCAAATGTTCTCTGTAGACATTCAGGGCGGACCGTCATCAACACCACCAGCTTCGCTTCGCCGGTCTTCGTAGACCAAACAACTTGTCCGCCAGCTTGCTTTAAGTACCTGTTGTCCCTGGATCGAGATGGCTGAGTATCCTCGTGAACAGTTCGACAGACAGAAGGTTCCGAACACATAATTACCAATTCATCTTTTGTGCTTCCTCTGAACCCAACATCAGATATGGGGACCGAGAACATTGAACAGGAAAATGTCGAAACAGTCGGAGCAGACGGATCGCCGCTCGTGAAAGGCGCAGTCGGCGAGGAAGTCCTTGACCCTCACATTCGCGATGATCATGGCGACCCTCACCAGGCAGCATTAGCAGATGCCGACTCAAGCGACAAAGTTAGCGCTTCGACATGGGCAGCAGTCTTCTTTCTTGGCCTGACCTTCCAGTCTTCCATCGCTTTCAGTTTGTACACCGTTGTGCCAGTGGGTGTTACCATCGCGAATCAACTCCAGGGATCTACCAACAATGTCAATTGGGTTGCTGCAGGTTGGTCTCTGGCAGGTAGCGTCGCATTCGCTATCGCAGGCCAATTGAGCGACTACTTTGGTCGCAAACAAATTTTGTTGGGAGGACAAATCGTTCTCTTGATCGGTCATACTGTTGGTGCGTCTGCACAGAGCCTCGGGCAAGTCATTGCAGCCATGGTCCTGCTTGGAGCTGGCACAGGGTCTACGTTTGTGTAAGTACAATCTTCGCAACCCTGAAGTACGCCAACGAATGTCTGAACTGATGGCTTGTCAAGGTTGTATGCCGGAATTTCTGAGCTTCTGCCAAACAAATGGCGATCTATTGGACTGGCCACTACCGAGATGAATCTCCTGCTTTTCAGCACCTTTGGTCCAATCACTGGTCGTGCACTGACACAGAATGCCACCTGGCGCTGGATCTTTGTTCTTGGAGCTATAAGTGGTGTCATTGCCATGACTGGTACTATTATATTCTACCACCCGCCACGCCGTGTCTTTTTGGATCGCACAAAGCTTCAGATTATGAAGGAGCTGGACTACGTGGGAATCTTTTTGTACTCATCTGGTGTCACCTTGTTCCTTCTTGCCCTAGGTTGGGCCGGTACTGCTTTCAGCTGGCAGAGTGCTGGCGTGATTGTGCCTTTGGTGCTTGGTGTGGTACTGTTTGTATGCACCTTTCCCTGGAGCTTCTACGGACCCGCTGCGAGACCTGTCTTTCCACTCCGACTGGTCAAGATGTTCAGAGCATATACGTCGCTCTTGATCATCATGTTTGTATGTGGCCTTGCCCATATTTCCCTTGGAGCTATTGTACCTCAAGAGATCAATTACGTTTTCACCTCGAATCCCATTACCGCTGGATGGTACAACGTTCCTTGCGGCTTTGGCGGAGCGATTGGCGGCGTTATCTTAGGCGGTTTGGTCCACAAAATGAAGCATGTCCACATCCAAATGCTTGTGGCGAATGCGATACAAACTCTTTTCTGTGGGCTTTTGGCGATCACCAACCCTGACCGCGTGGCAATGGGATTGGTGTTCCAATGCCTTGCTAACGTCCCTTTCGGTTGGATCCTAGTCATCAGCTATGTCACCGCCGGTCTTCATGTCCCTCAGAGGGACATGGGCTTAGCATACGGCCTCATTGGCGCCAGCCGGTTTCTAGGTGGAGCTGTCGGTACGACAATTTTTAACACGATTCTCAGAAACCAAGCGGCGAGCACCATTCCTGAAAGAGTCGCCGATGCAGTCATTCCACTTGGAGTTGCTCGAGATGAAGTCCAAGCCCTCGTTGCGGCCATATCTTCGCGAGTGCCTTCCGTGCTCGCGGAGATTCCATCGGATATCAGAGCTGCCGCCACACTGGCTGTCCGCTGGGGATACAGTGACGCATTCAGCTATGTCTGGTATGCCTCCATTCCCTTCGGAGTCTTGTCCTGTGTGGTATCTATCTTTGTTCTCGACCCATCTCCTTACTTTACCAATCACACAGCCGTGGTATCGGAGAAAGACGTCTTAGGAAAACGCAAGGAGAAGACTTCTGGACTAGCAGAGAAAGCTTTGGAAGCTTAGTGAGACTAAGGCCCTGCTCATGTATTGGAATGTTCCCTCGTACTATATCGAAACACTACTTGCAATTAGGACACCCGGGATTTCCTACGGCCGGCGGCTGAGCGGATACTCATCGTTGCATGTTGAGCATATCATGCCCTGCACAATAATGTATGGATATTGCTAGATCCTTCGCCTCAAATATTTCGAGCAATTTTCTGGGTATCTGCATAGTGATGCTCTTTCCTGTCTATCCTCAATGTCGTAACAGTCATAAGCTCTATCCTTTCTCGGTATCCGCGGCCTGTCCAATCATCATCTCCTTTCACAAGCAACCCGTAGACGTCCAACGTTCGAAAAACATCCTTTCAGACTCTTACTGGATGCAATACCACACCCTAACCTTCTCGCTGTGATTAGCTGCAATCAATTCTCTACTGCACTAGAACGGATCTGCGCACAGTTTAGTACTGGTACCGCTAGTGCTGATCTTCAATGAGTTCCAACAGTGGTGGAGGCATTATGGAACACTTCTGCACACCATAAGGGCTATCTAGCAACAGAGACCCTGCATAGCCCATTCGATGCTATCCCGCATATCTACAAGCCAAGGACCATGGCAGCTTTTGCCGGGTAGACATTGTTGGGGCATTGTCGTTGCGGCAGGGTAAATCACGGATCCACTTGGCAACACTCCCGAACCCCCCTAGCTTCCCCGGATTCCCCGACGTGGGCTGTGAACAACTCCACGAAACTATCCATTCGGCATACTACCCCGTGCTCGGCGTCAAGGACAAGTGATCATGAGTGATGCGTTGCTTATAACAATGAAAGAGAATCTCACCTACTTGCAGCTCTAGACTTTTGTCAGCAAGTCTTTCCACAACACAGTTCTTTCTGCCCCCCTTCTGAAGCCATGAAATCTGACACTATGTCGGTTGAAGACAAAGTGATGGAGTCGCAGGATACCGGAGATGTGGAAGATAGAATTGAGGACATTGAGCCAGAGTCCCTCAAAGATCAACATGATCCTCTTGTCTGGTCGACACCACGAAAGCTCACCATCATGCTCATCGTCGGTCTCTGGATTCTCCTGGGAACAACAAACATGATCATTATCGGACCCGCATTGCAGATTATCCCTGAAGAGTTTGGCTCATCGTTCGCCTCTTCGACCTACCTCATTGGTGGGCCCCTACTAGCGTATGGAGTGGCCTCGTTCTTCTGGGTGCCTCTCGCGAACCGGTATGGGGTGAGACTTATTTTCGTTGTCACGGCCATTGCAGCTGGATGTATGAATTGTTGGGCAGCAAAAGCAACAAGCTTTGGCTCACTTGTGGCTGCGAGGACGTTGGCCTCGGCGTTCTATGCACCACCCGAGACACTTGCGCCACAACTTATAGGAGATGTGTTCTACCTAAAAGATCGAGCCAAAGCAATGACGTGGGTTGGTATACTACAAGCCAGCGGGTTCACAGGAGGTCCTTTGATCGGGTCTTATATTATCGCGAATGAGTGAGTTAATCACCGAGTTGTCCAACATGTCACTGATTCCATAAAAGGTCACTAGGATGGCGGTGGGTCGAATGGGTTCTCGCCATTGTTACCTTTGCCACGGCGATTGGTCTTCTCGTACTCTTCCCCGAAACACAGTACACAGGACCTACAGACCATGTCACTACGAGGTCCTGGAAGGATGATCTCCGCTTCTGGCCAGCTAGCGGAGGTGGAAAGCCCAAGGATCATAGGTCAGTATATCTTAGGTGCCAGGAAACATATGAGACTGACAAGATATCACTAGCGTGGCTCATGGATTCAAGACGATCTTCCCCTACTTCGCCCACCCAATCGTGATGTTAAACATGGTGTTTTTCTCTCTCTGCTTGGTTGTGAACAGCTATCTCTTGGTAGGTGATGATATGTATGAGAACTATTTAGCAATCGTTCAGTCGCTGACAATGTCATTTCAGACTACCCAATCTTTAACATACTTGATCGTGTACCACTTTGGTATCGGCGCGTCCGGGCTTACTTTTCTAGCCCCTTGTATCGGAACTTGGTTGGCCATGCTTTTCTGTGGAGTCCTTGCGGACCGACTGTTCCTACGTGGAGTCAGAAAGGGGGACCCGAGACCGAAGCCAGAACGCCGACTGCCTCTTCTCTTGGTGACTGGAGCTATCGGGGTAGCTGGTTGTCTGATATTTGGGATCTGTACACAAGAGCATACCCACTGGATTGGACCACTGTTTGGGTCGGCTTTTGGTAAGTCTACATCCTCACTGTCTCTCTAGACACATGACTGATTTCGACAGTGAGCTTCTCGTTTATATGCTCATTGAGCATTTCATTTGCATACCTCCTTGACATTTATGAAGCAAGGATGGATATGGTCATGGTGATATACAATGGCATGAAAAATCTCGCCGCTTTTGGTATCAGCTATGCCATAGTGCCGTGGAATGAGTCCGCTGGCTACACCATTCCATTCGCCGTGATGGCAGTCGTCTTGTTTGTCGCTCATTTGCCAATGCTCCTGTTGTACATCAAAGGGGAGAGGATTAGGCAATGGAGCGTGAGAAAATACAGGACAGCGGAGACATCCCACCACGGAGACAACTTCTAAAGGCCGCAAGTCCTGGTTTCCCATGAACAGGTACTTATCATGGCTCTGGACTGGACATGACAGGGGGATATTGTTGGCCATTCAGTGGAAAAATATGTTTCAATTGTAAACTTCTGTGGTCTATGCAGTTCGAGTGAAAAAGTCAGATGTGTGGCTTGCTGATACCTCCTCGTTCGAATTAAACAAGGTGTTCATGAAACTTAGGTCACCATCTGTTATCAAATCTCCAACGTTTCTTCCTTGTGCCCAAGGGTCGTGCCACGTCATGTCGGCAAAATTGAGTTCAGGGACAGAGTCAAGTATCTGAGAACCTGAAATTGAAATGCCACCTGAGTTGTCAACTGCTCCATCTTCTGACCTTGCAGCTGTCCGGGCATGAGTCTTAGACTGGCTCACTTGTTCAACGCGAGAGGACTTACATAATGTTTCGATAGCCCGCAGAAGATAGTGCATGTAATCATGACATCGCTCGATGACATTGTTTGAACCGCTGAGTGAGTCGAATACTTTCACGGCATTTTGAATACCTTCCTTACACTCGCTCATAGGCGGTGCCGAGGGTATTCTAATTGTCGCTGCGTGGGAGGCAAAGGCTATTCCCGCAATCACCAGGCCCGCGTTGAAAGCTAGGAAGCAGTCAGAGTGTAAAATGAGTTGTAGGGAGAAGATACTTACTGTAATACAGTGTAAACCACCACGCGTTCAGCAGACGTCTGATTGGTCCTCCGGCCTCTATCAACAGTTTCACTATATTGATTAGCTCGATAGAAGAATTGAACAGAACATCGATGCTGTCACGACCCAGGCGACGAAGCAAGTCAATCTCCTCTGCGTCATAACTAGGGGTGCTGTTGACCTCTAAGTACTTTTCCAAGACTCGCCGATGGAGTAGAATTGTAGCATTGAGTGAACGCAGGGTGAGGACAACTTTGTAGCGTAGGGTTGACGACCCCGGGTCATTGAGATCATAGGAAGTCAGAATGTTGTGCATTTGAGACTCACGGACTGGCATTAAAGATGCAGGCAGTCCCCGGGCCCATGATCGAAGGTCGTTTCCGATCGGTACGAGTGGTGTTACAATGTCAACAACTGCTGGGGGAGTATTGAGTCCGCAATTCTGGCCATACTGTTGGTCGATAATCTTCCATAGGATTTGGTAAAGATCTCTACGAGCTGTTCAGCACAGAAGTAGACGGTAGGGAGCATGACTTACAAGGTTGCAGAGAAGACTCTAGCACTGCAATCTGACGTGTTCTCCCGAAGGCCTTCCAAATCCTGGATGCGGTCGACTCTCACATAGCTAGAGGGGATCAACGCCGGACGACCAAGTGTCATGCTTAAAGTTCTTTGTGATGTAAGTATCAATGACGACGACTTCGTGGGCATAACATACCTGTCAAACACGATACACAAGTACCACGTTCGATTGCGCAATTCTCGCTCGAGGAGGGGAAAGGCCTGAGTAGCCTGTGGTGAGTGTAAGCCAATACGTATTGCGGCATTGACTGCAAACGACAGTGCATTGCTCGTTTGGATTGAGTTATGGGTGCCTTGAAGATAAAGGACCACCAGAACCAGAAATTGGACTGTCAGTCAGCGTTGGGCACTCGATAAGCATTCACCATGGTTGCCTTACCAACCTCCAAGCTTGTACCATTCAGAACTGAAGAATCGCATAGCCTCATCGCTCGCCCATAATGTCTTTGTGCCTCAATCACATAAGCACCGCTGAGATCGTCGCTGTTGGCGAGAGTGACGTTGGCAATTGCGAGAACTATGTTCAAAAGCCCAAGCCACGATCTCCGCATTACCAGAGGACCTGACACTTTCAGCCGAGTCCAGTCATCAAGGAAGGCTGATTTGTGTAAAATGGGGAATAACTGTCCCATGTCGGTGAAGTATTGATCAATGAGTTGGCCAGTGCGGTGTTCGTTTGGAAGTGCGAAGGGATCAAAGCTTGTGCTCCCTTGCCTGTCGGGTTGACTCATTGTAGCTTGGGGTGAATTGACGGCATCGAGAACTCCAAGACCCAAAGAGTTGGTGTCCCCATGCGCGCCGCCTCTGGGTACATGATTTGCCCATGCAATGGCTCTAGTGATGGTCCTTGTGAATGTGATATTGGAAGATGGCCCTTCGAATAGTTAGTCACGATGCAGTCAACTCATTTCGTGGCTGTCGATTACCAAAAAAACTCAGGTTCTCTTTCTCCTGTGGTGGAATTGATCCCATTCCGTCAACTGTATGAGCCGGGGAACTTTCTGTAGCGGGATCACCGTGGACAGAAGTCCAAAGTCCTTGCGTGGACAAATCTGTAGGGCTGTGATGGAATTGGCCGCTCATAGGCGCACCAAACGTCGCTCCCCTCCCAGACGACAGTATAATATTCTCTAAGGCACGTAGCCTCTCCCGAAGGTTCTCATGGTCCCTAGACATGGTGAGTAATGAACCAAGGAGGAAACAGCAACAGTACCCTTCTCTGAGAGGCTGCGTGGCGCTGGAGTTCGCATGGCCTATGGACTTTCCGATGTAACTACACTCTATGCCATTTTGCTGGCACATTTCGCAATTGGGTTGACGGCCATCACACTGAAAGCCAAGTATGTCAGCTGGAGCGGCATGCTGTCCCGGTTAACACACTCACCCGTGACTTTCTCGCACGACAAGGAGTACAGGCGAGGGATATGCGAGCACGCTTCGCAGGCGGAAGTTTGCTGTTCTGAGACATGACCAGTGGTGTTGGGGATCCGTCACTTCACTAGACGTCGATGGATATGTGCATGTACCAGAGAAGACAATTAATCATCCTGCAACTCTACAAGCTGCTGTCCAGCTATAAAGTTGATTAGCTTCAGGTCTGGCCAAGGGTCTTGTGAGGTAAAAGGCAGATATCCGGGCGGGGATGCCTCGGGCTTCGGAAAACGAGTCCTGGGGTTGGTCCCACCTTAATTAAGGTCTGGGGGGCGGGGTACGATATTGTTATGGCATCGCGAATACTCTCGACGCTGCAGGGTCCCTAGACAGACATCGTAACTGGCGGCGCAGGAAAATCGTATTGCTCATGGATCACATTAATTTTGCGACAATTAGGCAACAGATGATGCAGAGTGATAGAGAATAAATGGAGGTGCCATCCACCTCAGGCTCCCTCCTGTCTTACCCCTACTCGTTGGTCAATTGTTCTGACCATTCAACACCTTGTCCAGTTCCTGTTTCCATTCACTTCCTTTCCAGCCCACTAGTGATGTGGGATACAGAGGCATTCTATCTATGAGATACCCATCATGTGCTAGCGCAACTAGTACATTGTCGTACAAATCGAGCTCTCGCACAGTGCCGATGGTTTTGATAGCCGTCGAAACATCTTTATGAAAGCTTGAGGTACCATTAGGTCCCATGGACACACTGACTGGTCGAGCTCCAGACAGTAGTGAACGGTGGTGACAGCAATCGCCTCCCATAAATACCCATTCACCCTTGCTCGTCTGTGCTAAGGCTCCTAGGTGTCCCGGCATATGGCCTGGCGTGTCTATCAGATAAAAACTCCCGTCACCAAAATAATCATATGCACGGGAAAAGGGGCCCATGGAGAACCAGGTGTGTTTTTCAAATGTCAACTCTTGGTAACCATTATGACTCAGAACGTCGGCAGAGAAGGGTGAGAGAGGCTCAATGGGATACCCTGGGGAGGTGGCGGCTCTGCTACCAGGGCCAGTTACCAATGACGCCCTTGGAAACCGTGTACAATCCCCAATGTGATCGAAATGTAGATGCGAGAGGACGATATCCGTGACGGTCTCTGCTTTATGAAGCCCCTTGTTCAATATATCACTTACATCCTCTTCAACTATTGGATCAAGAAGTGGATAGTCATTTCGAATCACTTTTGGGCTGTTCTCAAGGTCCTGTGCCTAGGTGAGCCAAAGCTTGCAATAAGAAGTATCAAGAGCTCAGTTCAGACTCACCTTGCGCATGCCCAGGTCGAAGAGCAATTTTCTCCCAGAGTTATGCACCACCAAGAAGCAGAAGTCCGGGGAATATTGGCGGAACTTCTGCGTATCACTGTCTCCGTCCTCAAAGAGCCAGCGGTCAGGGAGCTCGAGGGTGCCTGCTGAAAGAGCGAAGACCTCGACGGTATGAGATGACGAAGGCAATGTTAACATTCTGGCTATGTCTTGTGGATTCTCTCACATGAGTCAACGACCCCATCTTTATAGTACACATTGCGGGTGTCTGTTCAGTCTTCACCTGTTTGGAGTACCTCAGACAAGTAAAACGAGTGGTCAGCGGTTGATATCAAAAGACGGACATAGTGTGCATTTTGTTCCTCGGGGGTCATTTCAAGATCCCGAAGTGCCAGCCTCGAGTTGCCCCGGGGAAGCCCGATTGGCTCAAATCCAGCCACACCCTCAGTCCTAGAATCGGTCCTACAATCCTTTGTGGTCGAGCACTTTGAGAAGAACGCTTCCGGGTTCTCGGGCCGTGACAACATGTATACATCAAAGGCAACTTCAGCGAAGAATGAGACGCCTCAGGCGATAATGTATTCTAACTTAGGGTATACGTACCCACCCTGAGCACCCGGCTTATGGATTGCGGGGAATAGGGGACTATTACTTGACGAGGGGACTACAGAAGCGATCAACTAGAGTAGCATTAGTAATGTCTAATGGGATGGCTGGACCATGGGGCGTGCAAATGACAAAAGTGTTCTGTCAGTCTCAATCTGTATGGACTGCTGCTCCCCCTACCGGGTCAAGACTTCCGGGTTCACAGATCAACGAATGTCCTTCTAAACTTGCAATCTAAAAATGTTCGGATACCAATGCAAATAGCTAATCAGCCATTGTGTCGTCGCTCACAATTTTGGACTGCCAAGTTGTTCCTTCACTTCACCGGTGCCACGATGCGTAAGTGACATGTTCTTCCGAGGAGACCACCATCTGGCCTCGAGCATACCACTATCAATGGGCAGCCAAAATTTGAAAGGCATCTCTCCGAGGTGCAAACGCGGTCCATTATGGGTCCAATGTATTACCAATCACAAGTATGACAAAGCGTGTACGATGGGTCTTTTGATATTAATTGTATAGAAGGCCATGCTAGTGAAATTCGGTAGCATGAATGCATCTTCGAATATCAAACGCCTCGCACAAATCTCACCGTCATAATGGTAGATTTACCACAAGCTATTGCATCAAATGGCAGTCATCGGGCCATCCTTATAGTCTCACTAGCCAAATTCCTTTTCGGCTACGATATTAAAGAACTCATTCAGCAAGACTGGTCAACGAAAGCAACTCTGGAGCAACAGAAGACCTTTCAAAACGAAGGCTTTAATCTGGACCCAACCAGTATTGAAGATACGTTTCAAGAGCTTGAAAAAACATTATGTGAGAAAAGATGGGACGGAGTAATTGTTGGATAGTGTACTCGGGGCAATACAAAGTACACGCCCCTTTTCGAGAAAGTAGTTGCAGCATGTGTCCAGGCCGCTATACAGAGGGAAATTGAGGATAAGGGCCTGACAGTCGACAGAATGAAAATCATGTTTAGCGATAGTCCGCAGGATTTGGTGCACACCACTCTGCGAACTGTTGGTTGATATTGAGCCAGCATTGCATAATGCTAGTTGATAGCATGGGTTTTGGCCGAGAAAACATATTTCTCTAAGATCGTACATGCTGTACAATAAGGATCTGTTATGAAGTTGCCCACAGAGTATAATCGTAAGGAGCGGTGTCAGCGCTGATGATGGGTTGAAGAATAAGCTCCTAGCAATCGGCCAGGATCTCTATCACCTACCCGCCACTATCATCATGGGGCTCGGGATCCTTGAGCAGAGCCAGCTGGAACATGTGCCTGGGACGGCATTCCTAACGACCAAAGGGTCAAAGGGGAGAGAGACCACTTCCCAGTCACTACAGAGTACTACGAGTTTGGACGATTTGAAGCAGAGAAATGGAGTGGTTCTTGTACCCCAGGTAGCGCTCAAGGTGACCCATTGTTGACTTGAGCTGACATTTGGGCAATGTTCAGCCGTCTGACTCACCCAACGATCCCCTTAATTGGGCAACTTGGTCAGTCATCCTACCTTTATACTAGTATAGTATCCACTGACAATGAGTAGGAAAAAGGAAGCTTTTATGGTTACGTTTGCATTTGCCATGGGCTGCGTCGGGTGTAAGCTGATAGCCTTCCTGTGGTTTATCCTTACTTATCTTATTCTCTTCAACAGGTGTTGGGCCCCTCCTCTCGGCGGCTGCAGTACAGATGGCTGTTGGGTGGGATACAACCATCGCCGAGTTTGTACGAAACTACAACTCGGTGTACCTGGCTGGAGTGGCCATCAGCTCGATCGTCAATATTGCCTTCGCAGTGAAATACGGAAAGCGGCCTGTATTCATTGTGAATAGCCTTCTGCTTGCAGTAGGGAATTTTGGGGGAGCTGGAGCGACGAGTTTACCTTCCATGGCAGGATCACGGTTTATCGCAGGATGGGGAGTGTAAGTTCGGCCTCGAATTCTCTGAAAAAAGCTTGGATGAGATGCTAACAATGAGATCAGTGGATGTTGGCAGTCGTTAATTCCTGCAAATATAGCAGAAATATGGTTTGTCCACCAACGTGGCTTTCGTCTGGCTGTCTTCAACCTCGGCCTGATCGGCGGGCTGAACTCGTGCTACCCATCAGCGCCCTTATTCTGACCAGATGGGGATGGAGAACAGTCAATTACGGCATGGGTGGGGCCTTTGTTCTTGTTGCTTTCATGGTAATCGTCTTTATGCCTGAGACAACTTACTTCAGGTCGACACCTGTGGCCAGCGCCAGCGATTGCAGGGCCTTGAGTATTATCTGAGAAGAGTGGTACATGCGGAGGTACGGCGGACAGACAAAGTCATACTGGATGGCGACGCTAGGTGAGAGGTTGCCTCCTATGTCAGGCACGGCCGCCTAGACAACCATTCAATCCTAAGCTGTTAGATAGCATACTCTAAGAAGAGATACGAGACATCAACGCGGCTTTGGTAATTCACCCACTGAAGAGAAAAGCCCTTAGTTGTGATCAACGCGTCACCATGCACACTGTGGTATGAAAAAGACAGAGTAATTATCCAGAATAACTCCATCCAGATTTCAGCAAAACCTTGCATCAAGAATGAGGATACGAATCAAGCACTTCCTTTGGGGACAAAGTTGTACCGTTCTTTACGTGTCGAATAGAGGACACAGTTGACAGTGTGGGGCGATAGAACAGCACAACAAAGAAGAGGGCAAGCAGATTGAGATGGTGAGGGCTGACGTCGTGGTGGGCGGTCATGGCTTTATTATTGACAGGCAGTACCAACGACCTAATAGTCCGGAGTCGAACAGAATCGCCGTGAACTGAACCTGGTGCCTGAGTCCCTAGCACTGAGGCCGGCCTTTCAAGGATCACAGATCCGGAATGACTAAAGTTGCGAAAGAGTTCAAGGGAAAACGTGGCAACTACGATCAGTGACTCTACCGAAATTTTCTCCAGCAAATCAGAACGATTAGTACTTGAGTCAACTGTCGTCGTACCTAGTATTTGCGACGGAATAGGACCACGCGGCTCAAGACTGACGAAAGCTCTGATTCCAAATTTCAATAGAACGCTGCGAGACCTGAATAATACGTGTGATAAATCGCGTGGATTGATGATTGTCACTGTCGATGTCTTGACTAATACGTCCCCTTATCTGTAATGCAGGGGAATGGTGTGCCCTATGTCGGCTGAGAGTCATCAATCTGGAGATCTGAAAGAAAAAAGTCCCGTGTATTAAGTTTGATAAGCAATGATAAGCACGCTTGGAGAAAGCTTAAAGGTCAGCCATACCCAAAAGATCAGATAACCATTCCCAACTTCATTGGTCCCTAGCTCTAAAGAGATATGCTTTATGGCCGGCTACTGGTCGAACGCATTCCAGCGAGAGAAGTTTATCTTTAAGCTCTTTCGTATTCTAATTGCGTTTTATGATTGCTTCTGAATCTAGATCTATCTTTGTTCGCCGGGGATTCTCGGGCTACGGAGAGATGGCAAGTCTGTGCCCAGTGCTGTTTGCTCTGCTGAGCCCCGGTATCTGTCTCTTCAAATATCTGCATCTGCCTTCTCCTCAGTCTTAGATGGTAAACTCGACTCTGATTCTTTCACCCCTCGGTTCGAACATCCAGTGCTCAACATGGCGACCGCTCCACCTATTGTAAGTTGCAGGGAAATCTGCGTGGGAACAACTTCGAGCTAACATTCCTCATAGCCAGAATTCAACTCCAGCATCCCAAACGGCGGTAATCCGCAGGAAATCGACGTCAATGCTCCCTACGTCGGGCTTGAGTGGGAATATGTCTACCAAGTCATACTCGGTTGCTTGGTGTTTCTGATCGTCCCTGGCATTGGTCTCCTCTACGGCGGCATGTCGCGGCGAAAATCAGCGCTTGCTATGATCTTTCAAGCGTTCACTGTCATGGCAGTCTGTTCATTCCAATGGGCGTTCTGGGGGTTCTCTTTGGCCTTCTCTCGTACTGGAGGCCCATTTATTGGAGATCTTAGCAACTTTGGGATGAAAAACGTGGGAGAAAATGATTCGCATACCCAGACAAATCAGCTAACATGGACCAGGTTATGGCTGCACCTTCATGGGGATCTGCCGTCCTCCCGGATATTGTCTTTTGCTTCTACGAGTTGATGTTCTGCGCATGTGCAACCATGATCGTTGTCGGCGGTTCTTTCGAGCGCGGTCGGATTGTCCCTTCGATCATCTTCGGATTCTTCTGGGCGACCGTGTGCTACTGCCCTATTTCCTATTGGACATGGAACGCCAATGGCTGGCTCTTTACATTTGGTGCATTAGACTTCGCAGGTGGTGGGCCAGTTCATATATCCAGTGGCACTGCAGGGCTAGCTTATGCTTTGGTTCTTGGTCGACGCAAGCAATACCACGAGAAGCATATCTACAAGCCTCACAATGTTACTATCGTTTTTCTCGGAACAACACTCATCTGGTTCGGATGGTTCGGATTTAACGGAGGCTCAGCTCTCAATGCCAGCATCCGTGGAATGATCGCTGTTTGGAACACAAACTTCGCTGCCTCATGTGGAGTCGCGGGGTGGGTGATGATGGATTATATCAAGAAACGAAAATTCTCCGTCATCGGGGCTTGCGAGGGTGCTATTGCCGGGTTGGTGGGTATAACTCCAGCGGCTGGCTATGTCTCTGTTTGGTGTGGTGCTGCCATCGGTTTTCTCACTGCAGTCATTGTGAACCTTTTTGAAAACGTCAACGAATGGCTCAAAGTGGACGATGGTCTGGAGGTCTTCAAATTGCATGGCATTGGTGGAATGTGCGGTGCATTCTTGACTGGAGTTTTCGCGACTGCTTCAGTCTCCAGTCTCGACGGAGCTACTATTGTACACGGAGCTATTGATGGCGATGGTGTTCAAATCGCACGTCAGCTCGCCGAGATTGCTGCAATAGCAGGGTGGTCCTTCACGCTCTCGGCTATCATGCTCGTTATCCTCAAGTACATCCCTGGCCTCCATCTCAGAGTCACCGACGAGGTCGAGATAATTGGTCTTGACATCGACCAATTTTCCGACGAGCAGGTCGGCGAGTGGTCATTGTTTGCTGATGAAACTGGACATCGGCGATCAATTGAACAAATCACACATGGGGTAGAGGCATCTACACCTGTTGCAGCGACACCTCATGCAGATGATAAGTTGGAGATGCAAACTTCAGAGGCGAAAGAGGCAATTTCAACATAATGGTATAGGGCGATGCTCTCTGCCGTGGACTTTGGGGGAACTTTGGGGCCGTCAATGCCTGGATTCGTGCCATTTCTGCTACATGCGGATCGTCACATATGACGTTGAGGCAAAAGGCGGAAGAAGCATAAACATAGAAATGGCAAAATGTATAATCAGCTCAATCGACACTATTGGAATTACACGCTAAGTATGACGAATGCTATTGTCAAAATGCAGAGAAGGATATAGTCGGCCGCAAAAGCCTCGTGGAAGGTGACAGTTAGTACCTTGGTAGATGTGACATTTCGATTCGCCGTGGTGGCTTAGCAAGTTCGATTTCATGTATAGTAGCCAGATGGCTGACAATGCCAATGGCTACCACGCCAACAAGCTGCGCATTTAACGACATCATGCGAGCATAGAAGCACAGAACCGTGGTCTGGAACGAATTCTCACTGAAGAATTTAAGGTTGACTGGTATGCACGTGCAAGATGCCAGTCTGTGCGCCCTCGATGCGACCATACATTCTTAGCCCCCAAGGTACTACTGAATGGTAGCATGAGCAACATGTGCACGGTTACACTCAAATCTATTTTAGGCATCTTGAACATTTTACTCATACCATTGTCTTACAACTCAAGACTACACATATGACTAGTTACATATACGAGCAGCTCTGCTCGGCTTCGAGAATGAGATTCAACTTAATCTTTGCAGTATTTTAGCGTGCATTGTTACTCGATTGTTCTTCGCGATCACAAATTCAACAATATGGCGACATTAGCAGTCCTGATGGTATTGGCAACGAACGCCATGGCCCAGTCTATTGCCTCATCGACGGTTACCATCGTCGGTGGCGAATATGATGGTCAAACACTCGCAGGCTTGCACGTAGGCGCAGCGCAATCATACCAGGTCGCCATATCCGAACACGCAGGCAGTCTCATCTCAGCAGGAGGCGATCAGTGGTATTTCAACGAGACCAGCAACCTTTTCATGGACGAATCGATTGTGGAGGGGACGCCGTTGCCTTGTTATATTATCAACACACCACAGCTTTCCAACAACTCTGGTCCTCTTGAATGTGGAGCCGCAACCAATGATGGTTACCTAATGGAAGGCAATCTAGGGGACGATGGGACTGTTTTCATCACCGGCGTACAAAGCTGGTGGATTTGTGGTGTTAATGCCACACAACCTTATGGCATCATCGACGGCACTGTCGTCGGTGGGTTCACGACGTCTGAGCCAAGCGGCCCTGGCGTTGCGAATTGTTCGTCATTCGACTCTCTCAAGCTTGCGGTCAACAATGGGTCAACAACGACTTCGACAACGTCAACCCAATCCTCAACGACTTCGACCCCTACCCAATCCACCTCATCACCCCCATCGACCACACCCACGGAAAGTTCACAAACGACAACCACAACAGTCGATGGCAGGACAACATTGACAGCCACAGCCACTGTGACTAGTAGTAATGCTCCAACAAGCGCAACTACCGCACCAGCACAGCCCACGTTTACCGGAGCTGCAACCAAACACCACATGAGCCTAATGGGAAGTGGTCTTGTTGTCCTTTCGCTTCTGAATCTGTTTGCATAGGGATATTTCTAGATCGTTCGTCTGCATCTTTTATAATCCTAATGATTCCCATATTCTCCTTGTGTCATCATTTTGTGATCGTAGCAAGTGTAACGGCACGTTTGGTGGCAGACCGTTTGCAAGGGTAAAGGGACAGTCAGGCAGAGCCTTACTTCCATCTATGGTTCTTCGATACACAACTTGAATGGATCATGTGAACCACATGCCTCAGCTCTCTTCCACACGAGAACACATCGATACATTCAGCATACCATCTAACACCTGAGAAGGTAGATTTTGCAGCCGGACCAAGTCTGGATCAACTTCCGCATGGCGACCAGGGCGAGTAAAAGGTGATGCAGCGTAAGGCTTCTAGATTAGTGGTGACTAGGTCGGTAGCCGACTATAAGAGTAAACGCAACAGCGTCGCCCATTTTGCAAGGTTCGGATTTCTAACTTCCTGTCCTTATGTCTGCAACCTCGGCATTCACAGAACACACACGGTGTACCGGGACCGACGGTAGGAGTCTGCGCACCGTCGTTAAGCTTGAAGTGAGTGGGGGGCCATGTTATGACCATTCCAAGTGCGGAGGACACGAGGCCTGAGATCTTCACCAAGAAACCTCGAACTAGCCACTTGGAACAACCTATACGTAGTCCAACCGCAACGGTTCGCAACAACTTTAGCTCTCGCACTCCGCAAGGGCGCTTGCTCTCTCCATCTAGCTCTTCTCGAGGCCATTGCCCTTAGTAAACGTACACTTCGCGCAAAACTACCCAGATATATTCACGAAAATGGGTTTCTTGCTTGTCATCTCCCTGTTTTCCAAATGTTATTTGCTGTTGCCATCAGGTACTATGATGCCCTGTCCCTGTCCTGCAGGGTGCAGGAATTTCGATTCGGAGTATAACCCGAATTAGGGTCGCTTGCCTGTATAGACGAACCTGTGAAGATCGCAACGCTAAGTCTGAAATGGCTTGCAACGATAGGCCAGAACTCCAACAAAGGTTTTGCCTTCTTGGACACGAAAGCGTAGCAATGTCATATATTCGCCGTGAAATGGCTCCGTAGGGTTTGTGTCCCCTTCGCCCTGCTGTAACAAAGTCACTATGAGTATGCCGTCCAGAGCGATCACCTCCCGCGATTTCTCTTGCGTAACATGGCTTCCTAGCGGGCATCGTGTCGGCACTTGCTTCGGCAGGTTAGAGAAACAGACTGCTTTGCTGTACTGGCCGGTAGTTGCTACGACGTCCCGTTTACGAGGAAATAGTGTCAATAAGGAGATCCCAGCATCCTCCACACTTCCCCATCTTCTCCATTTTCAGATAACGGAGCCAATGGCACGTGGGGGTTGGGGTGTGCGGGGGTTAATAATCCGTGATCGTCGTCCTGGTCTGCACTCAGGCTGGCGTCCATCCCACTTGTTCACATCTTTTGGTTACATCCAGACTGGGCCTTGTGAACAACTCGACTCTAGCGGACCCCTAGATAGGCCCGAGGGCCATCTATTATTGACTATTAGGCTCATTGTGCTGTTACTCCATGGTTAGGCCATCTCGGCGGCGCGATCTTAGAAGGGAGAACTCCGCACCGTAGCCCAATACTCGTATTTAGCCAATTTGATGAGAGCCAAGTCACCTCTTTTGAGCTTGAACAGCTTGACAGGCTTGACCACAAACAGCCAGTGAAATGTGTTATTCCGTTTCGAATCCGGAAACCCAAATTGACCGGGCCATTCAACTCACCCCGCTGCCAAGTTTTCAAATGCGCCAACGCGTTGAATACAACCATACACTCTACCGGCATTGGGATGGGAGGTGGCCGAAACCCAACGGCTTCCTCGTCCTGGAAACTGGGGTAACATGTAAGGTCTCTCTTGCGGTCAGCGTTCTAGGGAATCGCGAGTCTGTCCTATAAAGACTACCCGAGTTTCGTTGGCCCCGACCTTGTCTTTCACACACCATCAAACCCCCCCGAGAGCAACGACTGTTACAATGGCAGGCGGCGGCGAAGAAAGTCCGATCATTAATGGCATCGTCAAAAACGACAAGGTGCCATGGTATCGCAAGAAGAACCTTCGCAACCTATATCTCTGGTTGGTTCCATTCGCCATGTTTATTGAGAGCACCAGTGGCTTCGATTCGTCAATGATGAATGTGAGACTTTCCCAATTTGCCGCCGTCTACTGCCCGTCTTCCATGAGGCGTGCAGTCAGCTTCAACTTGTCGTTCCAGGCCAGCTGCATCTTCCATCCTCTCGCCCCCGCTGCATCAGCCCTATCCCCCGACTTCCGCATACATACTGACCGAGAGCCATAGGGTCTTCAAGCACTCTCATATTGGCAAGAGCATTTCAACAAGCCAGAGGGTGCCATTCTCGGACTACTGGTTTCTTGCTATAGTCTTGGTGCTGTTTCAGCTATCCCTTTCGTCCCGCTGGTGTCAGACTGGGTCGGTCGTCGCTATTCAATTGTCTTTGGCTCAGTCGTGATGATTATTGGCGCAATTCTTCAGGGCTTTTCCACTAATAGTGTGTCAAAATATGTCCGTTTGGGGTTTTCATGCTGACAGGTATAGTTGCCATGTTCATCTTCGCACGAGTGTTCCTTGGCCACGGCATCGTGTACGCAATTGTTGCTGGTGCAGCTCTCCTCGGTGAACTTGGTCATCCAAAGGAGCGTCAGTTCCTGGGCTCTATGTTCAATGCTTTCTACTCCGTTGGCGCGCTCCTGGGTGCCGGTATCGTGTACCAAACTCTTCAGATCCAGAGCAACTGGAGCTGGCGATTACCATCGATACTGCAAGCTGCACCTTCGCTTATCCAGGCCCTCACTGTCTTTGCCATCCCGGAGTCGCCTCGTTGGCTTGTGTCCAAGGATCGCCAAGAGGAAGCGCTTGAGCTTCTTATCAAGTATCATGCTGAAGGCGACGCTTCCAACCCATTGCCTCACGCTGAATTTGCCGAGATCAAGAAAGCCCTAGAGATTGAGAACGAAGGCCGCAAGCGCGGATGGCTGGAGTTGTTCCAATCTCCTGCCATGCGCCGCCGGACTCTCGTTTCGGGTATGCTGGGAGTCTTCTGCCAGTTCAGTGGTAACGCACTTATCTCTCAATACCTGGTTCCGATACTCAGGATGATCGGCTACCAGGACTCAAAAATCCAACTGAAGTTCAGCGTCGGCCGAGAGGCTTGGGGGCTTATCGTTTGCTTCACGTTGGCTAGCATCACACCTCGCTTCCCACGGCGTCGAATGTACCTGCTCTGCACGGTGTGTCTTCTACTCTGTTATAGCTCCTGGACCGCATCCCAGGCTCGACAGATGATCACACAGTCACATGCTGCCGGCATTGCCACGATCTTCTTCATTTTCTTATACACGCCATGTTACAACATTGCCTACAACGCATTAACGTACGTTTACCTGGTCGAGCTCTGGCCGTATTACGCACGAACTAAAGGTATTACATGGTTCCAACTCTGCTCTCGCGCTGCCAGTACATTTGGAGCACAGGTGAACCCGATCGGGCTAAGGGGGATAGAATGGAAATACCTGCTTGTCTATGTGTGCTTCCTATGTTTTGAAATTGTCTTCATCTATTTCCTCTTTCCGGAAACATTCGGCAAAACTCTCGAAGAGTTGACTTTCTGTGAGTGTAAACATATTTTATATCGAATCATGTGACTAATGTCCGATAGTGTTCGAGTCCGAGGCCGAGAAAGGACGCGAGCTCGAGTCTGCGACCCAAAAGGCGCTTGGCAACTATATCGAAACCACCGAAATCCAAGAGGTGCATACAGCTACAGCTAAAGTAGAGGTCTCTGATAAGGGCACGTAACTCTACGACAGTGGTGGCATGGTCACATTATTTTGCCTCGACTGTGATGTCGACCTTTTGGCATCTAAGTCACGCAAGGTTATTCGGGGGCACCCGTTACTGGCACCAGCACAAGATTTACCATTGCCGAGCAGAAGAAATCGCAATTTATCACTAAGTGGTGCAATGATGTTGGGGTCCAGTGACCGCGGTGACACCAACGGGGTAGAAAGGGTCAAAGCTCGAAAGAATGGTTTTAAGACCAGGCACTCGGGGTCGAAGTCAGTGCCTATAGAATTCCGTTTCAAGTCCTCGGATGTCATAAAGGCATTGGCTTCCTCGACAACATCAAAATTGACAACCTGTATCTCAATTTAATTTCCATCTGGGTTGTTGTAGTAGATGCTCGTTGTGTAACCATGATTCGTACACCAAGAGGGATGCATTCCCAGGGCTTCCCGCTGCTGGTACGAGGTGACACAATCCGAGAAAGATTCGTAGGCAAAAGCAATGTGTTCAAGTCCAGCCGAAGTTGCGATTTTAGGGCTGTTCCGGCGACGCAACGCGGATGATTGCGATTCGAAGGTGGTGCTCGTCATCGTATCGCAAATAGGCTACGCTGGAGGCGACTTCGCAATACTCCACCATGGCGTCGTATTTGGATGTGCGAAAAATCACGTGAGTAAGCGAAGGCGGTGGCTCGACTTTGATCTTGTGTGTTGTTCCACTAAGCGTGTTTGGACTGTCATTGTGATCGAGAAGTGGCTCGAGAGTCCGAAACTAAACGAAACTAAACAAGTCTCAAGTCTTTGTGGGGTTCATAGGCAACTCCCGCGATGTAAAGGAGGCCAAGAATGTTAATCTAAATAGTATTGTGCACATCCTTTCAAGATGCGTTGCGGGCGCCATGTCATAAAATTGTCACCTTCGTAGCAAAGGATGATCATTTGGCAACCCGCCCATCAAGGACTCGTAGCTATAGATAATAATAGCGTCGCTATCTCGCTCTCAGCTCGAGTACCGGCACAACCGGACACTATTTTTATGGAGAATTAAAAAGCCAAGTCTTAGGCGAGATTTGAACAGGAGTGTTTGGTAGGTGGGCAAGGCAGGCTAAAAGAGCCACGAACGTGCCCAACACCCCATGGTCAGAAAGTTTGTTGATATGGGTGTGTAGGTTTTTTACTCCGGCTTTACGGAGTACACCTAGGTCCTTGAAAATCATGGGATTCTGAATATGTGACACGCAAATTTCTCATGGAAATGTCAGTAGATTCTAAAACTTGTCATTTTTCAGGTTCCAGTCTACAACGACCGACATCCAATTTGATGTCGGTACCACTCTCCTATCGGTGAGAAGCTGTGGACGCCTTGTACCCACAGGCATCATGAATTGTTCGACCTTTTGACCGGGATTGACTGCATGCTGGTTCAGGGAGAGTAAAACCTGTTGACTGAAAACTCGACGGGTGGCACTTTCGGCCTCTGGGCACGTCCTGACTTGTCACCTTGCTCCAGGCCGTTGACGCTGGGGCGCCCCGCTGGCCGACATTTTGTTGCTTCGGGAGCCAGTAACCACTCGAGATACCCGAATACCTGCGCCACGTCGGGTTGTCAGATGGGCGTCAACTGCACCGCCTTGTGATGATCGACCCCCTAAGCCCAACATTGATTAGGGGATCATGGGCCATCCCGTGGCTCCATAGTCCACGTACGCAAACACACATGTGCATCGTAGTGCATCGTAGTGCATCGTAGTGCATCGTAGTGCATCGAGGGCTTGCACACTGGCACTCGGTAAACGTTAAAATGTCCTTCTGTTAAACTTCGTCTGCACTTGTTATCTTGAACTTTCTTCTCATCCTCTATGCTTGCGTTGAATTGTTCTTGGGCCATACTTTCATTGATTCTCCTGCGTTACTTCTACCTCATTGTAATAGCATCTCTCGGGTCGTTCTTCTTTCGCATTGGTCTCTCCTCTCTTTCCTGTTCTACACTCGTTTTCCCACGTACCACGATAGCGACCCTCATTCAGATAACACAACCTCTAATTTTACGACTACACCGAGCACGAGGCCCAGGATAAGAGAAGAGACCAAAAAGAAGGACATGAGCGGTACCTGTCGAGCAGCGAGTTGGACAATCGGCCAAACTTCAGAGTCATCTTGTGGTTGGAAGTTGCAAAAGGACATCCAACACAGCCCAAGGACGCCGACATTGGCAATTGTCTGGAACAACGGGAAGAATGAACTTGTCATGGGCTAAAGCCCTCGCCATAGTGCTGATACTCAACCCTACTCCTACCCTATCGCAGGACGATACAAACACCGACGTCCAAGTCCCTGCACCAACTGCTATCCCAACCACTATTCCTGACGGCGACTCACCAGAAACTCCAGCTGCCGATACGATTGATCCAGCCGCACAACCAACAGCAGAACCAGCACCGGACGACTTTCCCGACCCGCAGCCAGATGCAGAAACCCCCGAAGGTGGCGGAGACCAAGATTATTTCAATGTGATACCTCATCTTCCTGAGGGCTGTGATGATATCCGCGTCTTTAGCATTCGAGGCTCTGATGAGCCATATCCTGGCCGTGGAGGTGCTATGCTGGGAGTAATGTGTTCCCTGTTTGAAAATGAAGGAGTGTCGTGTGACTATGAGGATGTTGTCTATCCCGCCAACATCTCATTTTCCGGCATCTTCTGCGAATCGGCAAATATTGGGGCGTTGGCCGGACAAGCTCAGATGACGGAATATGCGCAGCGATGTCCAGACTCGAAACTTGTCCTGATGGGATATTCTCAGGGTGCAGGCGTAGCTGGAGACATCCTCGGTGGAGGTGGAGGTCCGATATTTGGCTGCGAGCAAGCCCGAAACCCGCCATTGTCTCGAGATTCTGCACCGGGGTCAAAAGGTACGTTGTTTCTATCCTCTTTGCTCGGAGCCCATGTTTGTCACTGTCCCTCAACTACCCTACAAGGTTGTAGTCCTTCGATACCAGCTGCCGCCCCATGTCCCACCTCTTCCATGAATCACTACCTTGCCCAAGTACTAACAAAATGCAGTTGCGGCAGCTATCATGATGGGTGGCCCTCGTCACACCGCAAATCAGACATACAATATCGGCCGTGGGTACGCATTCGATGGAGTTGCAGGCCGTCACGGTCAACAACTTTCCGACCTCCACAAGTATGAGGATGTAGTCGCCGAGTGGTGCAATGAGGGCGATCCCGTTTGCGCTGTTGGAAGTGAGCCAGTCAACATCACCGCCCATTGGAGCTATTACGACGAGTACTCCGAGGTTGCCTCTCGCTGGGTCGTGGCCATCGCGCTAGGTCATACTGATGTTCGACTGGATTTAGATCTTTCCGGACAGGACCAGAGTGTCTTGTTGTCGGGTTCCAATTCTACTGACCAGAATGGAACTGGCTCCGGTACTTCTAACGATAGCCAGGAAGATGCAGCTGTCAGCCTTCTGAACCTCTCAATTGAAGTTATCCGTCCTCTCAGCATCATTGCTGTGATTGCAACGGCCTTCAATTTCATGCCGCTGCCCTAGGTGCTCAATGCTCCAGCTACACCATTCTTTTTATCGAGTGGCTCGGTCGTTGTACCGGGAGCGCTTCTGCCATTCCGATCTGGTTCCATCTTCGGAGGAACGATATAATTCATCGTCAATAGTATCAACCACTCAGTCTATTGCATATCATCAAGCGTCCCAATGAAACACGATATAAGCAATCACGGATTGGCTGCAGTGTCAAGGTAGCTTGATGAAAACAAAGCCTCGACACATCCAGACCTCGGTCTTACCTGCATTGAAGCAGGGACCCTACGAAGAGCTATGGGGCAGGCTCTGGTGGTGGGAAGTGGGTTAATCGAACCCGAGGACGGGTTGAAAGTGGTGGATCACAATCTTACCTGAAATGTCTCCGCAAATAAAGGGGAACACGGTCAGGTTCAGTGTGTCGTCTCACTTTGAGATCGCTTGTGGCCCGCCCACTCACTGAAACATCGGGGCATGGTCGGATAAATTACAATAGATAATCAAAATACATATACAGCAGGAATTAGACAACCTCAAAGGCATCTACCCCGGTCTTCGGAGAACGAGATCGGCGAAACCTATACCCAGGAAGAACTTGAGATGATGAGTGACAAGTCTCCTCTACTTAAATACACCCTTTAAGAGACTGAAGCTCGATCGAAGCGTGCTTCTTATAGCGGGCGACGGCAAGGGCAATGGCCCTTGCACATCCCATCTAGTCGTATCTTGAATGAAGGAAAATGGGATAGGAGGATCTCGCCATATTCGGGCAGGACAATTTATTTTATATGCCCGTGCGTAGAAGGCGTAGTCGGTACGTGACAGTTTCCAAATCATAAAGAATCTTCCCATCAATCAAGTATGCTGCCTATCGCTTGGTAGGCACACTGTATATCTACTAACAATGGTCGTTGTCTGGATTAGTAATTCCTTAGTCATTATTGTGGGTCTACGTACTCGTCCTTCGCCCCAGGCCAGGCTTGGTTCTACGAGTATGAAGATAAAGGTTAAGATGTACGACCTCAAGTGCAATACCTGACTGGTGGCCTAGCACGCCTAGACGATTGATGCAGAATACGCGGACAAGAGCGCGACGTGATATCAACAGTCCAGAAGCAATGGCCAATCACAAGGGTAGCAAGCGGGTCGATCAATGATTCTTGGTCGATGGCGTGATAAGGACCAAGTGAGAGGGTTCCTCGGCATCAGTCAAATATCCTCGTACGAGATAAAACTGGTAGAACCTCCATGGAAGACTAATGGTTGATTCTGTTCATCGCTTGGACTTGTTCCTGACGGTGGCCTAATCAGGTTTGGTAGGTACCTATTTCTGCTGTGCAAAGACGAAATCGCAATGGCTCCAGGGGTGTTGATAGACGATTGCAATCACAGTTACAGCCACAACCAGGGCCATGGTATGCCTTCCAGGGTTCTCCGGATCGGCATCATCGGTGGCGGTCTAGCCGGGGCTGCTGCTGCAGGGGCCTTTTCTCGATTGCCTAATGTGCAGGTCAAAGTCTACGAGCGGTCGCCAGTGATACGCGAGGCTGGCGCTCAGATTGCAGTCATGGTCACAGCGATCAAGGTGCTGCGCAGAATGCTGTCACCTGCCGCGTGGAATCATCTCGAACAAAACTTGTATCGAGGTAAAGACACCGATGGCATTCAGCATCGGCATTGGAGGACGGGAGAGGTACTCCTCAAAGCCATATCGCCACATACACCACGATACCTGCAGGAAGGGAGAACGTCACGAGTCTCGCTGCACCGGACGCTGATGATGGATGTCCCTGAGGGAGTGGTCGAGTATGGCCACGAAGTCGCCAAGGTTGAGACGCGCCGTAACGATGTTGGCAGGAGTGAAGCAGTGCTTCATTTCAAAGGCGGACATTCGACAACGGTGGATTTGGTGGTCGCTGCTGATGGATTGTACTCGGTGAGCAGAATGCGTCTGCGGAAAGATCTGGGATTGAGATACTGACTTTTCGGACGCAGAAAATCAGGCGGCAGTACCACCCGGAGACCGACGTCAAGTATAAAGGTTTGGTCGCATACCGAATCAACTTCCCTTCCTCGCTCGTAAGTCATATCAAGGATCTTCCCGATGATTCTTCGTCGTATCGAAGGGGACCCAACATTGTCATTTTGTCCCGCCTCGAGCCAGGGGTCTACTCCTTTGCGGCCTTCTTGCAGGAACCCGAGGAATTTGCCCAGACTCTTCGATGGGAACATGCGCTAGGTCAACCAGGGATAGAGAGATTGAAAGGAAAAGTAAAAGGATGGCACCGAATAGTTGAAGAGGTGGTGGCTGCTTTGCCAGCCGTTGATGCTTACCCACTGCATGCCGCTAAATGGCTGGAAAACCTGGTTCGAGACGATTGTGCTGCCTTTGTTGGCGATGCAGCACATCCCACCGCGGGCGGCTGGGGAACAGGCAGTGCTTTTTGTTTTTCTGATGTTTGGGCTCTTTACCGGTCTTTGCAGAGGACATATAATTTCAAATCGCCATCGAAGCCCCCAACTTGTTATGACATCCCTTATGCTCTCCACCTGTTCAACGAAACCCGTCGACATTTCCTGCTGAGGGTTGAGCGCCAATTTGAATATGACCGATTGGACGGTCTATACGTCACCGAGGCGCTGGATGACGATGAAGAGTTTGCCCGGAGGTATCGAGAAAGATACACCCTCATTTGGTGGATCTTGGAACATGATGTCGATATCAAGTGGCAGGAGATCGAGGCGGAGGAGAGACATCTTTATTACGGTCTGGCAAAGCAGAATGCCTTGCGGTAAATCTCAGCTGTTGCTGTGGTGGGACGAAACGGTACGCGCAAGCTGCCAGACCAGGCTTGTTTGAGCAATCAGAAAGCATTCGACGGTGTCACATAAGTCAGTCAAGCCTCGAAGAGGGAAAGGATATGAAGTGAGCACTTTCATGCATTTGAAAAATAACCGATGTAAACGTTATGGTCTTGTTCGCCAACAGCGCCTTGCTATGCAACATCAAAACAGATCCAAGTCTAGCAGAATGAACGGTAAGAGTCATTCTTGGGAAGGTTCCGACCCTTGTCGTACAGCCACTTGTAATTGACGCCCGGTACCAGCTGAGGACTTCTGGTCCCTGGAGTCGGCGAATTTGGTTCAACACTTTCACGTCGTGTTCTATCCCGAAGGCTCTGCGATCGAGACAAGCCACCACTTGTCCCAAACGAGCGTGTACTAGCGCTTAGATCGAGATCGGAGAGATTTTGCGGCGGCTGGTTGACAGCTTTATGGAATAGTGGGCTGGCAGATGGTGATTGAGAGAATGCCCCCCCTGACGATCTTCTCATCGACTGGGATGGCGTTGGAGAGAATCCTATGGTGTACCGCGATGTTGACAATGGCGAGGTGGAGTAGTTTGCAGAGGTGCTTCTGCGATCGGTGGAAGTGGTTGGAGTTGTATTCGAGGTTCCGGATAATCGTCGATACTTTGGAGGAGTGATGTAGCTCGAGTTGGGGACCGTGGAGAGTGGTGAGGACGGAGTGGAAGGATCGAGACCAAACAATGCACGTTGGGTGGGCGTCAAGGGTATATCGGTGATTTGGTCTTGTTTTGAGATGTATGGGATGGCTGGACGTAGGAGGAGAATAGCCTGGGAGAAGAGGACAGTACGGATGGTCCAGAGAAGCCACCACGTCAGCTCAGGAGAAAGGAAGAAGGTCAATCTAAAGAATATGTTAGTATCAAGATCAATGGAGCCTCAGGTTCAAACAACTTACACATCCTTGAGAATGCCACCTGCGAAAAAGGTCAGGAGTAGCACTGCTGCGTTGATACATGCATTGTTGATCCTCGTCTGCGTGAGAATGGTAGCAGACTGACGAGCGATGATTTCTGATGTTCTGGGATGTCTGAAACTTCCGGGAGAAGGTGTGTTGACGGTGGGAGATGCCGGTTTCGGCTTGGAAATGGGCGTTGATCCAATATCCTTTGTTTTCTGAACCAATGCACTTGGGCTGGAACCTGGATTAGAAAAACAACTGACGATCGGTGAAGGACAGACATACGTTGAAATAGCAGAGGATGGCATAAGAGAGGTTGAGGTCGCAGAAGAGGCCATGATGGGTTGCTGCGACGAGACAAGGTTGACTTGAGGTTGGTTAGCAATTTATGCCTTTAATTACAGAGACTGTGTGTGAACTTGCCCATGAGATCAGACAGTCAAAGGCCGACCTGTCTATCTTGGAGAGGCGCTAGTCTGAGAGCCACACAGACGAGATATTGAGTCGGTTTGAGTTGAACATGAAGACAATGTCCAAGACAAGCTGCTATGGGCGTGACTGAAAGAGAGAGAGGATGCGGAATTCTTTGTTGACATTCGAGGGAGCAGAAAGATCGTGGCGTGTTAAGATGTTACGCTCCGCCGTGTAAACCTCGAGCTTGTCGCGACGGTCACGTGGTTTGAAGTCTTTCAATCACGTGATGACGACCTCCCTCATCCTCCTTTGAGGAGCATCCATGTCATAGCATGACCATCCAGAGTGCTAGTCTTAGGGATACGGCGTTGAAACTCCTGTAAAAGACAAAATTAACCATATGAGGGTTCCAAATAAATATTCAGCGACAATAACGATTCAATAGTTTGGAAGTTACATCAAAGGCTTGATATACTGCAAACAATAGCCAGGCAACAACCTGACCAACTTCCTGCTCTATACAAATCAGAGGAATAGACTCGAACCCATGTCAGAGCAGAGTTTTTCACTTTTCACAGACTCTCGCCTCTAATCAAACAGGCTGTTACAGAAACCCAGTGTCGTTAGAGATCCTTCGCGAAAACAACAGCAAAGACCCCTCACAACATAGAGAAATCCTCCAATCAATGACAAAAGAAATCCTTTCTGCATTAATCCGTAGTCGACGTGATCATGCGGACCTGGTGTTGACATTCCATCAGCATCTCAATTCCTTCCGACCAGCCACGATCCCGGACAATGTCAATCACTTTCTTTCCTGACTCGGGGTCGATTGTCTGCAAATCAATCCCGTTGCCCTTGTCGATCAACAATCGCAATAGCTCGGGATTTCCCTTCTCAATTGCTTGCATCACGGCATTCCATCCTCGATACATCAAATTGACATCGGCACCAGACTCGAGAAGCAACTGAATCGTCTCTGTGTCGTTTGATCCAGAGCTCTGTCGAATGGCTTTGACGAGCGGCAAATGCTCGCCCGGTTCGTTGACATCGGCTCCTGCTTCTTCAAGCAGGAAACGAACGATCGCTTTGTGATTGTCCCGAACCGCCGAAGTCAGAGGTGAGAAGACTCCTCCAGATTTGTCCTCGACGCTGATTCCCGCCTTATATAAGAGCTTGACACTGTCCAGCTGCCCGGCTCGCACTGCCAGTTCCATAACTCCCTTAGTGACACGGCTGGTATCATTCAACTTTCGTAGCAGACACCTCAGAATGGCAGGTTTTGACACTGCCATGCACAACGGCCAGTCCTCTCCTCGAAGAAGCACATCAGCTCCGTGTTTCAGAAGTAGATCCACGCATCTGAGAAGGTTTTCCCGAATGGCTGTGGTTAGGGGTGTTTGGCCCTTGGCGTTGTGGGCGTTAACGTCAATTCCCTTCTCTAGAAGATAAGACATTGCTTCCAAGTTGTTGTGTGCGACTGCCAACTCCAAGATCCCTGCTGGCTCGAGGAGATTCGCTCCCTTGGCAACAATCGATGGTAGAAGATGGAAGCGCCCATGTGAGATGCATTTCCAGGCTGGATACTCTGAGGCCGCAAGGTTGGGATCGGCGTTGTGCTCCAACAACAGAGCCACAATATCGCCTCGGTTGTCACGTATAGCAGAGCACAATGGGGTGTAGAGCCCGTCCTTCCTCTGGTTAGGACTCTCTCCAGCTGCAAGGAGGATTTTAATGGACTCAATGTTGTTGATGCTGGCGGCTAGTTCCATGATTCCAGTTGCCATTTTTGGCTTTGCACCGCGAGAGAGCAGTAGTTTGAGGGCTGGTGGATAATATGTCGCTTGCCATAGCGGGTGCTTAGGACCGGCAAGGTTTGGAGATGCACCTTTGTCGAGCAGGGCAGTGACAATGTCCAATCGTCGCGATATAATTGCCTCAACTAGAGGCGTCTTGCCATCGCTTGTCTTGCCATCTGGTGCGGCTCCTGAATCCAAAATCGTCTTGACAATGTCTATGTTCACGCCACTCCGGATGCATGCGATGAAAGGAGTTTCGCCATCCGCGAGAAGTGCATTGGCATTGCTCCCGTGGCTCAACAGCAGTTCCACAATTGCATTTTGCCCGTTCAGTGCGGCTAGGACTAACGGTGACAATCGAGCGGATGTTGCCCCAAAGTCGGGCGACGCGCCATGGTCCAGTAATTGGCGAGTCAATTCAACAGATAAAGTCGCCGTGGCGAGGAGAATGATCGAAAATCCGTTCTGATCGATATGATCGACGGTGGCCCCGTGAGTCAGCAAAAGCTTGGTGCATAAAATATCTTCGCCCTGCACTGCTTGGGACAGCAGATCGAGTCGGTCAAGATCTGCGCTCAGAACACCCTTTTCAAGCGCATGTTTCAAGTTCTGGTGATCCTTTCGGCGGACTGCAGAGACTAGATCGACTCCGCCTAGGGTCATTGGCGACCCCGAATCTGTGATGAAGGCATGGCCGACGATAGGTTGAGCTGGTAACAGTTTGCCTCTCTCTGGGGTTAGTACAAGTCCATTCGGCTCTTGCACCGCTTGTCTTGGAGAGTGCGCTATCAGGCTGTGTTCACTCGCCGTTGCACCATCTCTTGAAGCCACAATCAGTTTATTGTCCTTTCCAGTGGCAAGTAACCCCGGAGGCAAGACTCCTTGTTCCCTGCGGATCGACCCAACGGATGACATATCGTTGAAGATTTGATCCGTTTGATGTGCATGTACCGCTTGGGTATCGTCCCGAGAGTATCTCAAAGTTGCAGGGCTAGAGACATTGCTCGCATTCGGTTTCCATTCCGTGACACTGCTCTGGACTGTGGGAAGCTTCTCCGTGCCTATAGGACCCGGTTGCTCCAGACTCTCGCTCAGCGCGAGCCAACCGATTCTCATTGCATCGTAGTCTTGCGAAAGGGACCTGCTCAATTTGGACATGTCGTTGTCAAATGAATTCGATTTAAGCCCCTGAATCATCTTTCGAATTCCTTTCTTCTTGCGGTGCATGATCAACTTTATGAGTGCCAGGTCTGCCGAGATCAGACTCTGGGCAGTGCGGTCCATTCTTGCCACCAGCTCCTCCACGAGCTGGCGGGGAAGTCTCCCTTCGTGAGCTGCCTCCCGAGACACTCCATCCTGAATTTCTCGCACAATCTTGCGGAGTCTGAGGAAGACGTCGACAAAATCACCAAAGGAAGGGTTCTTGTACAAATTGTCGCCGCTATATTCCGTCAAATGAGCCGAAGTGCTGTTTGCTAGGTTCAAGATCCTAAGGCAAGACTCCACGAGTATGCCCTCTGGGGTGAGGAGATGCATGATCCGTTGTATGGCGTAGGGAGGCAAAGCCCTCCTAGCAGTATTTCGAGGATCAGGCAAAGAGGGGGAAACGGGTAGGAAATAGGAGAGCTTCGGGCAAGGGCAATTGATTTGTACTACAACGAACCTGCAGCTCAACTGCTGGTCGTCGATAGGATGATAAGCAATTGCCCTCGTGGGATTGTCAAAATGCATCCCATGTCACCGGGGCAAAAGATGTGACAGGTCCGGCCTACCATCACATCCCTGTGGGACTCGCCCCCTCAGCGGTGGCTCGACGAGCAACCGGTGGCCGTGGCAATAATCCACGATCTCGAGCCATGCCATCCTCGGAGAGGCACATTGTCGCCATGAGAAATCCTTGATGGGACGGGCCATTTTCCACAATAATGCCCCGGCACGTCAAAGTGGGTGCATAGGAATGGTGGATGCCACATGGGCTCAGTCCATAGGCAGGGCCCAAAGCTTCCATGGTTTATCGACTGTTCACTTGCCTCTAATGCACATGATCCCCACGGTGCCCTTGCGATAAATGGGTCGCTGCTGCATTGCATGGCAAGAAAGAGCAGATGGACCTGACCGAGTGGATCGAACCAACCCCACTAGGATGCCATCCCGGGGAGCCTTGCAGACAAATAGACCGAGCCTAGCAAATGAGCAACGCTTCACCTGCAGGAGTGCCACTGAGGAGTCGGTATTCGGTTTCTTATCACATTTAAACCCCTGATTTACCAGACTGACGGGCGGAGGAGGTTGGAGAGTTGCGTACCCTATGGCCTTTAGCAAGAGCTTGCCGTATCTCTCGTTAAAGCGTCGATCTCAGGTCGTACGACAGCAACGACTCAGATGTTCGCCCCTACCACCCTTGAGTATTAGCTCATGGAGCCTAGAACATGTTATGGCATCAGAAAGCGAGGGATGTGATGCATCACATAGCGCAGGGTGCGTGATACACGAGATCTGGAGAGCCAGTGGCTACCCTTGCTTCTTCCTCGCAGCCTGGTCAAGGTCTGGTCTCATGAAGTCGAGCCCCATCCGACGTTTCGGCCAGCGAACGGTCCGCTGGAAGGCTTGAAGCTAGTCAATATTCCTCAACATTCGAGCTTTGGAGGACTTTGCCTGGTACGAGAGACTGTACAGGAGGTAATGCCAAAAACTTTGTCCCGTAAGTGCAGATGTCACGTTTACGGAGTGCAGGCCTCGTGGAACTTCGAGGACGAGCTAGTGAAAGCGAGATCGACAAAGCAACCGAGCAGTGTGTGGCGTACAAAACCCATGGCCTTGGCTGCCCCTCGATCCCGCTAGTCATTTAGAACGCTCATGGTAGCCGTAGCGGATCCAAGGATGTGTCGATCGTGGTGTAAACCACCAGATTGCTCCCCAATCTAACTACAGGATACCCCATATGCTTTGGCGAGCTCTCGTGAGAATTCTGGTTTACATCCGGGATCCATGTGATGGTAGACAAGTTCAGCTAGAAAATGAGCTTCCATGGAGACTTGAAGGTGAAAAGGCAAGATGGCCTGAAGTGTTCAGTGAAAGCATGTATGGCTGGCAACCGTGATCAGGCACTTACCGGGTTCGTATTGGTAGACAATACTTAGAAAGTGACAGGCTGGTCAGCCACGGAGCCTAAGCCCTTGTCGCTCTCTCGGTCTCGGCCTCTCCCTAGGCTCTGGATGTGAGTCTCTGTGGTCTCCCGGCGCCTTAACGACCAGGCTCTCGTTCAGTTTCCCTGTCTACGATATGCACAGCGTGTTGCAGGGAATTGGGATGTGATGAGCCTTGCTTTCCCCTGCCAGAGAAGTATCCGGCGTCTTCTCAGCAGTGAAAAGCTCGGATATAGCATCTGAAAGTTCGGATCGCCGAGACGGAACACTGGGGATGGGATCCATCGGAAAGTCTTATGCCAGGGACAAGCAGGACAATTCTGGGCGGAACCCGGATTTCTCTTTAACATACATATCTTGGCCGCAGTGGGATGCATCTTTGCCAAATGGTTGAGGGGGTTCCCCTTCAGCCCCCAAAAGTGAATGTACCTTGCATAGTGAATGTGCTCATACTACGCAGCACCTTCCAGACGAGGTGTACATAGTCCATGGTACCGTGTAGACTTTCATGAGTCACTCAGGGTCCAGATCTGGCTACAGTAGAGGACATGTCACAGTTGTGTTTTATGATGAAGTGTTTTATGATGAATTTAAGATGGAAGCCCTCGAGCCGGGGCTTGGATTTGCAACATTTGGATACCGATACTCCAGCTTCCTCCTGCCCCAGTAATTTGATCTTTTTCAACAAAACAAGATGCCAGCGCATCCTCCGAGGCGTCCAATACTACCAAATACTCTTTTGTGGTCCCTTGGTGCATTTGACTTTACGAGGCAAAAGCGCGCCGAGTCTATGGCATTCACGCCATTCCACGAGCGGGTTTGAAATGAAATTCGGATATCAGAGTTCGGTGGTTGCGTCATCCCACTTGTATACCCTGCTTGTCAGTGTCAGACACAAAACTAGACGAATAGACAGTCAATCGAAGAACTGCTAGCGCACCATTCGCTGGGAGGGTGTTGGGCTTGATGGTGGGTTGGAGTTTTCTCCGTTCTAACAGAGGACCTGAGGCCTTGGACAAGATTCCCAACGTCTTTTGTCCAGGAGCCTGCTCCTCCGAGTCATTTTGTGACTGCGTCCTCGTGGCAATATGAACAAAGTTGCACGCCGTTAAGCCATCTAAACTTTATTTCTGCAACTCGCCCAGAGAAATATTCTCACGCCAGGGACTTCCACAATTCCAGGGCTTGAAAGTTCGGCAAAGCCACTGCAATGGAAAATGTCTGACTTGTGGTGTGGAGAGGATGTAAATCTCCATCGTTCCACCGGCAACAGTAGAGGATAATGAACAATGATCACAGATTGGAACAGATCTTAGTCGGCTACACAATAGACTTGACCCATCAGCCTACAAAAGGTAGTACCGTTGCAACTGTGCAAAGCTATCTCAAGATTTGATACATGTTGACTGGCATCTCGTCGCAACTGTGTCCCCAGTGGCTGCAGCTTCATCGACTTCATTTTCATCATTTCATTCGTTGCTTCCATCTTATGATGAGGATTCAACACGCGCCATGAGGTGTTGATGTCTCAAGACGAGCACAACAATCTCCGATGTCCTCGAGAACTCATCATAGAAACGTCTCAGCTTTATCCTTGTGAACCCATCATGTGCATCGTCTCAGGTGATATGCTGTGCAATGTTCCTCCCTCACAATGGCACTCATCTGAGAACCTGTTTCTTTACCAGGTCGCCAAGGCCGAGCCTATCCACTTTACGCCCTTTGGCCATGAAACACCCATGGGAAAGGTTCCGTCCGTTACGGGGTCGGTTCGTTTCGCGAGCGCCCAACTTTACTATCCCGAAACCTGTTCAAACGTCTTGGCTGGTCTCACCCACTGAATTTTTTGCCTATTGTCCAGTCCATTGGAACATTCTAGTGGGCATAACCGCCCTTTTCAACGTCCTGAACGATATTGAAGAGAGGGTCTGGTTCATCCCCTACCCAGCACGTAACGGTTCCTATGGCGGAAGATCTCCCCGGCCCCAGGTCCAAACTATGAGTACAATCCCCAGCCGCCAGAAACCCCTGAGCAATATCTCCCATGTGCTTGTGGTTTGCTCATGGCCTGTCTTTTCTATCAGTTAACCAATGGCCAGCTTAGCCTCACGGCTCGACTTGCGTTTCCTCGCGTCCCCTTACGCTGTTGTTCTCGCGAATCACCGATATTCACACTTCTGGGCGTTAAGCGACTCCTTTTCAGCCTGGTCGCCCAGATCTTGGTCACAGCCTTGTGTCGGATCTCGAGTGCTAAACCATCCTTTGAACCAACCCCAGGCTCAATCCTCGATGGCCGTTTTGTATGGACTGATAATTGCAGATGATAAAGCATCCACTTGGAGAAACTATCATGTAATGTTTTGCTGGGGTTGCAGTCGTTCGTGTTTCTGTGTTCCAACTGGTGTTTTCAACGGCGTGTGTCAATCCAAACTTTGAGGGATTTCGATATATCCCAAATGATGTGCCACAAAAGGGGACGATGATCTCTTTGGACATTCTTCATTCACTGTTGATATTCTTCGAGCTGGCCTCGCAAGTACCCATTCCCATTTACGCGTCCTCTTACTAAATGCGTATCAACTTTTTCCTGTGATACCCCTTGAAGTTTTTCTGTGAGATTTTGTCGTTTACTGCAGCGTGTATTCTTCTTTTCAAGCAAGCGAGCGTTGTCTGAATTATTTCCCCATGTCCGAGGCATCCTGTCCGGTCAGTGGACACACGGCGAGAGGAGGATCAACATGTCCTGCCGGAAATCAGAGGGTCGGGCCACGAGGGTGTGCCTTTGCTGCATACCAAATGTCATCGCAGTCACAGTACACTCCCCAAGGCGTGAGTGTAGCAAGGCCAGACACCTACCAATTCTGACTCCTTCAGGTACCTCTTGACGGAAAATCGATCGATGAGCTCGTCACTCAGGAACGGAAGACAATCACAGAACTACTCATTCCCAATGCCCCCCCTCGATCTATTACCAATGGTCTAGCCAATGCAGATCACCTGAATCCGAGAGACCTAGACGTGTTGGCTTCTGCCCTAGGAGCCCCGGCAAGACAAGTACTCAATAGAGCTATGGAGTTGGGTCCACGCACAGGGTGGAGGGATGGCTATTTATCCAGCACTCATGGATTCTGTCCACCTGATCCATCAGTTGCCCCAGCAGCATTAGCCTTGTCCCCAGGTCGAGTCTGGTCTGACCTGTGCGAGCGCATGCCCGCTGTGGTGGCTAGAGGCAGAATGCGGGATAGCATTCTTCAGTTGCCACTCATCCACGGAACCGAAGATGTCATACCTGACGCTGCACTCTGGGCTGCTGTGGTATGTCTGGGAATTCTTGCAAGTGTCTACCGATATGAAGAAAGAAACGACGGTCATGAAGGCATCAGTGTCTCCGCCCCGCCTGGCACATTTCGAAATGCCATGGGCGAAGCTGATGACGAAGAGGAAGAAACAAAAGGTATCCCGAGAAACATTGCGATACCATTGCGACAGATCTGTACTCGGATGGGTCGTGTGCTTCCTCATCTGACCCAGTTCGACGTTTCCGTCTACAATTATAAACTACGAGACCCAACGAGTATCAACCCATATGTTGCTAGGTGTGAGAACATGGACCTACGATGGCCAGTGAGTACAGGTGATTATGACACGGGTATTTGATACTGAACAAGGGTTAGGTGTTCAATGATCGTGGCGAGGCCATGTTTCTGCTCTGTATGGCGGAAACACATGGCTGCTTCGTCGATGGTGTCGAAATCATGACTCGATGCCAGGAGCGTGTAATGCTCAAAGACAACCAAGGCCTTTTGAGAGAACTTCTCAAACTCAAAACAATCGTTGACCGATTTGTCCATGTTTTTCATAAGATCAGCGTCAACCCACATTCAGGAGAAAACTTTGCCAATCCAGTCGAGGTGAGGACATACCACAAAAGCAAGGCAAACAACCTGGTTCTGACTTGAATAGTGGGGTCAAAGATATGCCAAATTCTCTGCTCCATTGTCAAAGCGAGTTCCGGCTCTGTCTGGGCTGGCACTGCCTGTCTTCCTCCTGATGGATGCATTCATCGGACGGACCAACTATGACAGCTTTTTAGGAAAAGAAGCACTTCATCTCAGAGCATGGCTTCCACTCAACATTCGTGCATATATTGCCGCGATCGAATATCACTATCAGGTTCCAACCTACGTCAAAGAGTCTGGTGACCCAAGACTAATGGGGGTCATGGAAGGCATCTTGGAGGCCTACATCTCTGAAAGAGGATGGATGGGCACCCACAAGTACAAGGTTTATGGGTTCCTAGAAGTCGTCGCCAAAACCGGGCGAAGTGAAACCAATGGCAACTCCGGAGCCTCTGATAATGCCGGGAGACCTTGGGAAGAAGTCCACAAAACACTATCCGAATCGATGAAAGAACGATTGGAACCTTTCCGTGGAAAGACGAATCTCCAGCCCCACCAATTGCGAGGATCTTTCGAGGAATGCAGGTTCAAAGCTCGGATTCTTTCTCGCTCTTCGGTAGACGACGACCCCAGTCGTTCTTCGGGCATGATAACGCTTGCTCTGGAGGATACAGGCATCACCTATCAACCGGGAGATCGTTTGGTTATCATGCCGGTCAACAGCTGGACCGAAGTCAACAAGATGACAGCTGCTCTGGGACTGGATGATTTTCTTCAGACTCAAGTACCTCTCGCGGCGGGCTCCGACTGGGAAAGATTCGCAAGACACCTCAAGGTCATCGGACGGACCGAAGGTCACCCATCCTTGACCGTAAAGGATATCCTCCGACGAGGACATCTGTCTCCTCTCACCAAAGATTTTGTCATGGCATTGCACATGGCACTACGTGCGTCGTCATCAACAGTGGTCAAGGTCTTGGGGTCTGAGATGTGGCCGGTGCAAGGAACTGTAGGTGACCTGCTTCAACTTGCCATTAGCGAAGTCTCTCCAGCTATCTGGGACAACGCATTCGACTTGAACAATCTTTCCTGGCTGCCGAAACTCATTCCGATCGAGACGCCACGTACTTACAGTATCTCCAACTATTCGGACGAACTGCTCCCTAGCACGCTCGACCTCACAGTGTCTCGAAACGTCTCAGCTCTCTCGAAAGTTCTCCACAATGGGTCATCTTCAACTATTCGATATGGTGTTTCAAGTGGCTGCCTCAACCCCGATCCGTTACAAGGTGAGGACATTCTCGACGAAGAGGAATACCTGATCGGAGTGGGGCGGCCACTCAATTTCGAATTACCCGTGACCATGTCAGGTCCAATTGCCATGTTCGCTGGTGGATCTGGAATTGCCCCTTTCCGATCATTCTGGCAAGCCCGGGTTCATAACAGTATTGGGAGGAATATCTTGTTCTTCGGGACACAGTCACGGGCACGGTTCTCATACGAGCACGAACTTCGAGATTACGTCCGGGGCGGACAGATTGAATTGCACACGGCATTCTCGCGAGACACCAACGGGTTGACGTACGATCCAGTTTCTCGCGACCTGGTCGAGACGCTCATGAAGCCGCGATATCTCGACGCTGCCATTGTGGAACAAGGCCGCACAGTCTGCGACATGGTCATTTCCAAATCCCAAGGCGGGCTTGGTGGACATTTGTACATCTGTGGTTCATTGTCAATGTACGACACTATCATGTCGGGGATCAGACAAGCTCTTTACCAGAACTGGGCATCTACCAAAGAAACTGCCGACGGGTTGATTGCCAAAGCATTTGCCGAAAGAAGGTTCATGCTCGATATCTTCATGTCGCCAAAACCAGTGAGCTATTCAACACCAAGAATCCCTATTTCCAAACTCGCCCTCAACACCGGCCACCGAAAAGGCTCTAGAATGTGGATTGGCGTGCATGGAGGTGTCTACGACATCACGGATTTCCTCCCGATTCATCCTGGTGGAACGTTGATCGCTCAAGCTAGCGGCGGACTCGATGCTTCCAAGACCTTCGACGACCTCGCCCACACGACAAACCCTGAAGTCATGAGTCTGCTATCCAAGTATTTCATCGGTCATCTGGCCAGCAAACCGGGCTATCGATCTGCTGAAATCAGCAATCTCTACGACCTATGGTACCAATATCTCCGCAATTGCGTGGAAAGCCTCACAACTCTATTCTTCGAAGTCAATTACATCCAACAAGACGCTCGCACATGGTTCCAAGGCGACCTTTTCAATATGGGCGGAGTACGCAAATTCTACCAATTCCAATCGAGATTGATGCAGAATGGGTTTTCGACCTTATTCGGTGCCAAGTTGCAAGAATTATACCTCAAATTGACATTCGCGCTCGTCAACTCAGGTATGCCAGATACACGACTTTCAGACGTAATTGGAATAATCACGCGAGCACAGGCATCTCCTGAGGCGACTGTGGCGGCCAAGGAAATCGCTCAAATCGGCCAATTTGTCTGCAACAGTCATCACGCACAGTTTCAAGAGAACGGTATTTTGAGATACTCGCAAGCCGTGACGGAACTAGACGTCCAGTTCCTAGAAGAAATCCGTCAAGATGTCTGTTTGGGAATGGACGCCTTTGACGTGATCGAGAACGGCGAGGTCGGACTATCCGGAGAAAAGCAACGGCTCGTCCAACTTGCGAGCTATCTACTCTCGATTCTGGAACGAGTAGCACAGCGACTCGAGACCTTCTACTCTCGATTGGCACGTGAATCGATCTATCGCCCAGAAATTGAAAAGAACCCAGCCCGTACACGTTGGAATTTACTCAAACGCAAGATTCGAGATGGATCGCTGTTCATTCTAACTCAAGACTCTTCATTCAATGGTACAGTTGGGTCGCTGAAGAAACCATTCCGAGCGACTCGACATGCAGATCAAGATATTGCGTTTGCACAGGTCGTTTCGCAAGCAAAACAAGTCGTCAATGGTCATCACACCACCAACAAGACACGTTATGGATCAACGAGCTCTAACGGCAACAGCCACACCAATATCAACACCACCACCAGCAGAACCGACTCGTCCCAACGACAAACACTAGCCCATTCACACACGGCAAGAGCCACACCAGGAATTCACGCCCCCTCGTCACATGAAATACACGAATCACGCAATGCTGTGGAATCAATATCGCGATTCATCGAAACGAATGACCAATCCATCAAGCGATTGAGCATGTTACCGTCCAATCTGACATTTTCAAATGTCATGGCCGCTGGCAGTTCCGCATATGGGCCACCTTCAAACAATATGGTTCGAGAACTCGATATGAACATGAACCCAGACTCTGTCGACCGACCGAGCAGCAGATCTCATCTTGTTCGCCGAGGGACCAATACATCCACCGTTACCAGCGGCAGCGGCAGCAGCAGCGGGCAGGGCGATGGGGCCATTCGTGCACATGGTGGTAACGATTCTATAACCAGATCATTGATGCAGGCACGAGGTAGTACAGCTACTCCTCCAGCTTCGATGCCGCCGACAACTGCACTCCCATTAGCGCCGCCGTTTGAACAATCTCATCATGTTGTAGGAACTCGATCTCGATCCCACTCTCAATCACGATCGCGATCCCAAGCTGGAACCCCACCACCTGGTGTGCCTCACCTTCAAACACGCTCACGATCTCGCACTGGATCGGAATTCCGAGGAATAGTACCAATGTCAGAACCTGCTCCAATCCCAGCCTTGCCAACCCACCAGATGATGGGCATGCCAGACGTCAATGAACCAGGCTTACTCCGCCGTCAAATCTCAACTACATCGACATCATCCAAAATCTCGGCAATGTCACTATCAAGAGCCTTGTCATCAGTCTCATCATCATCATTATCTAGTGTCCGTCGCGGAGAAAGCGTCAGAGGCCGACGACAACAACAAGGGTCCATGACCATGACCGCGATGACGACAACAGCCATGATTCCAGGAATGAATGATAGTAATGAAATCATTCATGACCAGAAACAACATCATAATCACGGGTTGAGATCGTTCCGTCTAGCACAGTCGCCGCCTTCGTTGTCATCTTCGAGAACGGCGTCGACGTCGTCGACGGCTTCGGCTTCTTCAGCAGCGATGTTGGCAAAGGTTAATGGTGGGACCAGTGCTACACAACAACAGATGATGATGGGTGGGTTGAATGGTGCTGAGACAGAAGGGGGGTTGGGATTGGAGTCTGGGTCAAGTAATAGGACCAGGACCATGAGTATTGATAAACATCAGAGGTTTAGAATTCCACTGTTGCCGTTGGATGTTAGGTGAGGAAGGGGATTGGGATCAAGATGAGGCAAAAAGGTTTAGATAGAGTTGTTGGTTCCTTGACGCTTGGTGGCTGGTCTGTTGTTTGGCTTGTTACGTCGTTTGGTGAACTATTTTCTGGGGCTATCAAAGTTGATTCCTTTCATTCTGCATTTTAGAATTTCTGGAACGATAAAATTTACAGGTTCGAGGAGTCAAACATACTCATTACAGTACTTGCTTTACAGTTCAAACTACATTATGTAGGTATTTCCTCGGTGATTCTCCAGATATCCCGTCCTACACTCCAACGCATCAGGCTATTCAGGTCATCATCACAGCTTTTATTGGTATACCAATATCAACACGAGGGTCGCGTGGTTCTACTCATGCTCCTGGACAATCCAGCAAGCTCAATCTCATTGAGGATATCCACCCTGGTATTCCAAGATCAAGGTTCTTCCAACAATATCCTCCACAATTCGCCACCTTCACCTTGATGACCTTTGATGTAGTTTTGTCCAACCACATTAACCAAGACAGAGTCGGTTCTCAACTTATCCAACAACATCTCCTCATCACTCCCTCGTGGAAAACATCGTCTCCACTCGCTCCAGATGCTAAAAGCCTCTTCTCCCCAAGCCTTGAAACTCTCACTCTCAATGATGGTTGGTGAGATGATTTCCTTGCCACGGAAAACGCCCCAGGTTACGGCACTGACCCCGTGCACGCCTGGATTTCGCTTCGACGTCGGCTTATCGACGCTGTGACGGTGAAACTCCTCATCGCTGGATTCAAAAATGCCCTGCGCATCCGTCTTCATCCAGCCGAGCTTGTCCTCGCCGTGTTTAAGTAGAAGCGGGCGAAGACGTTGGTTCCACTCTTCTTGGGAACAGAAAAACTCAACAAAAGCCTTTTGAAAGACGAATCCTTCACCAGGAGGACCCCAGCCAAATGTTTCGTCTTCACTTTTGGCTCCGTCCACGGCAGGCTGGCTCGCCAGTGTCCAGTAACCCTTGCGTTCAATCAGCGCAAGGAGATCTTGTTGGATGACCTTTGTTTCGGCACGGAGTGCTCCGGGACCTGTGCCAGCCCCGTCGACGTCAACCTCGTCACTCCAAGGGACAGCCTCGAGGTCGCCAGTAACGACACGCCGGAATAGACTGGTCACGTCTTGAGATGATTTGGGGTGGCCCCACAATTTTCTGGCGGTGATGGGGCCGACCTTGAGACTCGGACCATAGCCATCAATCTCTCCGAATGCGGGAGAGTGAGAGGGACCCCAACGACCATTGGGAAAGTCATCCCAGGTTGCTTCTCTTCCCAGTGCGCCTTGTCCTTCGGAGATGAGGAGGTTGTGTTTACGAGTGGGAATGGATGCCGGGATGCCTGAGCCTCGACCAGCGGCTTCGTGTTGGGAGAGGAGCGGGCGGGAGTCGGTTGTGGGGCGGGAGTGCCCATTTTGGTGGGGCAAATCGTCGGTGATAACCCTATTGTGGGGTTGTGCATTCATTGAAGAGGCTCGTCTTTTCGAGAAATGAGCGACATGACCGTTCTGGCCACTGGGCAGACGCGCACTTGTGTAGTTTCGGACCTTATCGTCATCGACCAGAGCTTCCGAGTCGGACGAGTCAATGGGGCTCGAGTCTGAAATTGGAGGGATGAGGTTGGTGTTTTCAAGGATAAAGGCGACCGACTTTTCTAGGTTGAGAGTATAGAAATGGAAACCTCTGGGCATGCCATCGGGTTGGGGCAGTTCCTTAATTTGTTCCACGATTTCGCTCAAAACTTGGACGCCAACCTTCTTAACGGCTTCGTCGTCGGTCTTGACCTGTTCGATTCGTTGGAAAATGGCGTCGGGGATCCTGGCGTGACTGAGTTTGGTGATGCGTTTTATGATTTGATAACTTTGAATGGGCATGAGGCCGGGTATTATGGGGATGTTTGCAAAAAGCTTTCGTCCATCCTGGGTGACGTGGTTTCTCAATCTGGTTTCGTATGCTTGGTAGGCGACCACATCGTATGTGAGCTGAGTCATGATGAAATCGGCTCCTGCGGCGACCTTGTCTTCCAGATAGGGCATATCGTTGTCGACGGATTGCTTGCCTCTCTCCGGGTTACTTTCATCGGCATGGCCCTCGGGATATCCGGCGACACCAACAGAAAAGTAGTCCCCATATTGAGAGCGAATATGACGAACGAGGTCGACGGCTTGGGCAAATTCCTGGTTACTGTCGGTTCCGGCGCCACCACTGCCGTTCTCGTCTGTGTCGCGATACTCTTGTCGTGGAGGATCTCCTCGGAGAGCAAGAATATTCCGAATGCCCACTTCTTTTGCAGATTCCAGAGCCTCGTCAATAGCAGCGCGTTTCATGTTGGTACAAGTGAGATGAAGAACGGTAGTGATACCAAGCTGGCGTTGACATATTTCGGCTAGCTCAAGAGATTTTGTAGCAGTGGAACCTCCAGCACCCCATGTTACGGTGACAAAGAGCGGACGAAGAGCGGCGGTCATGCGAGCCAGGCGAGACTGGAGATTGGAGAAGCCAGAGGAGGTCTTTGGTGGGAAGAATTCGAGGGAGAAGTATTGGGAGGATGGAGGTAGAGAGGAGAGGAGGGTGGGAAGTCTGTCGTCGTCCATGATGGGATCGGTTTGGATGTAGTGTTGCTAGAGAAGAGGACGATGGAAGGTGTATGGGGGCATTGGAGGGAGGTGGATTGTCGAGGATGGCGATGAGCTGGGTCTCTAAGCAATGATAAAGATAGTTTCAGGGCAATGTTCCTGAACGAGGTCTTATCAATATGACGGCGAGAAGTGCCGTGGAACTGCGACCGTGGTGGTGGTGGTGGTTATTGTGAATGTGGATTTGAATTTGGACGATGATGCAGAAAGTGACTGAGGGTTTCGATGTGGAGGACAAAATGTCCCAAAAGAGTCAAAAGTTGCCCCGCGTCTTTGCTTGAATGGCAGTCACAGTCAGTCAGTCGCGTTCACCCATCGCACCTGCCATCGCACCTGCAGTCACTTGTGCCTGAAAATTGCATCAGTCGCTCTTGCCATTCAGTTTCACTTTGTGACTTCCATTTATTAGTATTCCTTATAACGCACCTACTCCGTGGTCGTTAATGTCTTAATAAGGGAATTGCCCGTCTTGGAAAGATTCTATATCACCACATTGGTGGGGTATTTCCATATTTTCATACTAATTCTAACCATGTAGATAAGGTAGGATATCCTATATTCATCCATTACCCTGCATCCCCAGACTCCCGTACGGAGTACTATCTGAAGCACCCCTCGATAAGCGAGATCAGCCACCACATCCATCACCCCATGATAGGGTCTATCTACGTCACAATCTCTATTATCATCCACATACACACATTTCAAGAAAATCCATAGCAATCACGTGCTCTCAGCCTCGTGCCTCTTTGTTCTCAAACAATTCTTAATACATATAACAATCAACTCAGGTACCTAGCAAATCATGTCGATAATTCATGCCACAAAAGTCATGGATCCAGCTCCCTTGTTGTCGCCTCTCTACTTGAACATTCATTCCCGCCTTGCCATGTCAATCAAAAACCACATGTCCTCACAGATACTCTTTTGCTCCTGCCCAGTCGTCAATAAAGCTTGTCCGTCAATTCTGTCCATCCCCATTGAGAAAATCATCAAAGTGCTTGTCCTCCATTTCTCCATGAGACCCCGGACTCATCACATCCAGCGCCTCGCTGGCGTGGCTCCGCTCATGCTCATGCTCTAGCCCTGCCACTCCCTCATTCGTACCCTCCCCATCTTGCCCGCTCATCCCAATGAACATGTTGTCATATTCTCCTCCAACAGCCGGCGATCCCTCTTGCGCCGAATTGACCTCGCTCGCGCTGACATTCGCCAGACCATTTCGGAGGTCGTCCTCCCCATCAAGTCCCAGGTCTGATCCACCTGGGCGGAACAGAGGAAACGATGCATCCAGGCTCCGCCCTTCACCAATATCAGTCTTGCTGAATGCCCCCATCATCGGGTCCCGCAATCCTTCTGACTGTTCCCCTGATGCGCCAAACATGGGCGATGGGGATCGTGCGGGGAACGAGGGTCCTCCTCCGCTGCTGAATCCGCCTCCATATGTTGGTCCGGACATATAACCGCCATCGAATCCGCCCGTTCCCGGTGCACCGCCGCCCGAGTTCTGCCTCTGCATCGATGGCGTCTCTCCGTTGCCGCCCTGGTGGCTCTGTGTCGGGCTAGCTGCTGATCCAGGTGCCGAAGGCGATTGTGTCGAAGGTTTCGGCAACAGTGGCCCCGTGACAAATGACTCCTGCGTCTTCCGCCGGACATAAGTCTTGGTCCGCAGATGAGGCGGGAGGTCTTCGGGTTTCTCCACGCCAAACTCCTTCATCAGCTTCTGCTGCTTGGTTGGTCGAGGTTTTCTCGTCGACAGACTCTGGTCCAGCACTGGAGGGGGCTGCGGCGCAATAGGTTGCCAGTCGTGAAGCGCCGATCGGAAGATGTTGGTCTCGTACGCCAACAGCACTTCTGCCCCTTCGATCTTCCTCAGGTAGAACAACATCTCGGGCATCTCCTCACTCGTCCGGCAAAGTTGATTCCCGTTGGTGTATTGTTGCAGAAAGGTACGGAAGTTCTGCGCCTTGTCCACGATCCGTCTCAACAGCTCCTCTTCCTCGGGTTGAAATGGCAGATCCGCAATCTCATTCTGCCACTCCAGTAGGTCTTCAAGCTTGGGTCGAGCCGCATCGCGTGGGATCTTGACTCGCCAATCACAGATCGGACAGGTAAATGTTTCCGTCTCCTTGACTTTGCCTCGTGCCAGCTTCAGGCATTTCGCATGGTACCTATCATTTCAGTCAGCTCTATCCCCGCATGGCATTTACTACCACTCATCACTCACCAGTCGTGGCAGATCTCACACTCGATCATCAGACCTGCTTCAGGCTGACGACAAATGCAAAACACTGGCTTCTCATCATCGCCGCCAAGAACATTCTTTTCCTGGCCTTCTGCCGGCGATGCTTCTCGTGATGCTGGCTCCACGGGCGGTCGGAATGTATCGTTCAAATCGAAGCAGAAGCTGTTCTTCTCCTCCACAAACTTCATGTGCTGTTCAAGAATATGAAGAGGCGCATTCGCCTTTCCAAACAGCTTCTTGCCTTTTCGCATCCAGTCCTCGTGTCGCCGAAGTTCTTTCTCCAGGTCGGCTGCACCATGAGGCTTCCCATTGAGGTCTTCCAATCCTTTGACTACGTCCCGCACATGGGCATACATGGGACGCTTGCGCAAATCCGGGTCGTGGCTGCGTTCAACCAGCGTAATGATTTGTCTCTTGGCCTCGCGGTTCTTGGCCAATATCGCATCCATCTGCTCCAGAGTGTCCTTGTTGACTGGGAAATTCTGGCTCTGCACTTGAGAATGGAGTGACTCGAGCTGGGGGTAGTGCACATCTTCAGCGGCCATGACTTCTTTGGCCTTGATCTCCCAGAACTCTCCTTGTCGCACCAGCTCGGTCAAGATAGCCACCTCCTGGGATCGAGGCGAGATTTCGATTTCATTCGCACGTTTGAGCAGATCTCTGCAGTCGTCCAAGGTCTTGAGATGCACATCCTTCTGGATCAGACGAGCTTCTTCTTGCCATTGCGTTTGAGCATGCAAATTTTCCAGGCTGGTCAATTCAGGCATTGCCGCCATGAAACCGCGACCTTCCTCAAGAAATACATCCAGCTCTTCTGTAGTAGCTTGAGCCATTCCGCTGAGAATTCGCTTAACATTTGCCCTCCATTCATCGATCGTGGTCACCTTGTCGGCAAGATGCTCCATCTGAGGCGCGGTGAATCCGAGTTGCTCTCCATCTTCAATCAACTCTTTCATGCGTTCGAGCGTCAGCTGGGGTTCATCCTTGTCGTCACCCTTGCCGTTTCGAATTGAGGAACGTCGCCAACTTTTGTCGTTCTTTCGCCGATTCTGCTGCTTTCGAGTCAAATACAGGTTGGCCTCTTCCACCCACTGGTCACATCGTTTGACAAATTCGGATAGATCATCCAAGCCATTCAAGGGGTGGGGAATCTTTTCTCCCTCGGTCAATAGCGTGTGTAACGCCTTCAGCGCAGGTCGGGCGTCATCGGCCAACAAAGCATCTAGCCTGGCTTCCCATGCTTCTGGAACATATGCCTTGTCCACGACCTTTTGAACGATATTCCTAAGCTCTTGGTTGGTGTAACGCAAGACAAGAGTGTGATTCTCGCCTCGCAGGCGCGCCGGCGCTCCCAGACCACAGCAATCAGCCACATCGGTATGCCGGAGGCAGGACACCTTCTTGCTCTCGTGGCATCGAAACTGAGCCAGGTACGAGAAGGATTTGCAGTAGCAACATTGATATTCCTCTTCCTCCAGTTCGACATTTTCAACTTTGATCGTCAGTCCGCATTGGCTAGGCGGCATTTCGGCGAGAAGATCCAGATTGCAGTCGTGATGAGGATTCAGGTTCTTGTGCATTGCAGCAAACCGAGCTCTCTCCCCAAGTTCACGGTTCAGAGTGCGTTCAAGGGCCGGACCCAACCACCTAGCAGTCTTGATCGTTGTGTCAGACGCAGCTGCGGTGAAGAGCAACTCGTCATGTGAAAAGCAGGGTTGGCGTCGGAATTCTTGAAGTCTTTGGATGCCGGTCTCGCCGAATGGTTCCCAGTCAGACGGTGCAAAGTTGACAGCTTCGTTGAAATTGAACCCATGATTGAACCCAGCGTGGTAGGCTTGAGGAAAGGTGATGACAAATTGGCCTGCGCGTTGATCACAAGCAAAGACGTCTACACCAGCTTTTCTCAATTGATTTGGGGGTAGAATGGTGACGAGTTGAAAGAGCAAATCAGGCTGTGTCTCGAAGAGTTCTGGAACAGCCTTTCGCATGGCATTCTCAAAGGCGTAGGCATCCTTACCGGGAATGCCGTACCACGTTTTGGTGGCACCGAAATGTTGATAATTTGCTGAATAGGCGTAATGATCTTCGTTGTGCCAGCAAAAGGTGGAAAAACACATGCCAACGTAGAGCCAGGGAACGGTCATTCCCGAGATATCACCCTTGATGTGCCTAAACAGGGACTCTTCTAGGAAAGGCATGACATTCAAGTTCCAGGGATCCTTGGCATATGGATTTAGCGGATTCTTTTCGACCGTGGGAAATCCGCTTCCATGGGTGGTGGAATGAATGTCGGCGCCATATTCAACCTCAACAGATTCCGTGATGTCTTCAACAAGTCGCCAGAACTCTCTTTCCACGTCGTCTTCGGTTGGACGTCGCTGGGTGTTTGTGACAGGATCAAAGGGCATTCTTGAGCTGAAATGCTCGTCCTTGAATCGGTTTGCCTTTTCCTGGAATTGTTTCAACGAGTAGATACTACCTTCCTCGAAGCCGTAGTCGTTGGTACCAACCAGACATCTTGAACAATGCCAATCGTAATCAGGAACACTAGCGAGACGAGGCTCGATGCAATTCATATGATAGCCCAAATCACAGCTGTCACAAACCAAGATAGTTTCTGCATTATCGGTCTTACCGCACTTGTCGCACCTATCACCGTGCTTTTTGAGACTGGACTTAGGTCGAACCTGAGGGGTGGATGGACGCATTGCTGGGATGTGATTCCCAGGAATGACTGGGTGGCCGTCTGGACCTGTAAGTGAGGGAGATGCGGGTGAAGGAGGGCTGATCTTACCTTTCTTGGGTCTTTTGCTTCGTCGGCCGTTTGCATCAACAGGCTCACCATCGAGAGCGTCTGATCCGGAATCGCCGTTGAGACTATCATGGCTCATAGTTCGCTTCAAAGGATTGGACACGCCGTTCGAGGTCATAGGAACCGTAGACATGGTGGGCCCATTGACTGGCATGAACGAAGAGCCGGGAGCTTGATGGTGGTGGTCATTCATGCCATTGAGCTCGTTTTTAACCTGGACTGGCGGAGCATGGTTGACTGCAGTAAACCCTCCACCATTGTTGACTGAAGCGAAGCCACTATTGACCGCAGTGAAACCAGAAGACGACACAGGTCTTGGTTGCGGGGAGGGGGCGGGAATTGAAGTGGGGGGCGGTGGTTGCGGCTGTGGTACAGGAGATGGTTGTGGAGGGTGTGACTGTGGTGAATGAGCTGATGCTTTTTGTAATATCGATGGAGGAGCTGGGGGAGAAGCGGCAGCGATGGGTGCTGGCGGTGCCGACTGCGAAGGTGGTGGACGACTTGCAGGTGATGCGTGAGGGCCGTTCGGCAGGAAAGCGCCGCCTTGCTCGGATTCGAGCTGCTGATGGACGCCAGGTTTGGCGTATTTCAAGTACTCCTCGTATGGATGCAGCCATCTTTGATATGAATTCTTGAGAGAAGTGGACAGTGATGACATGATTTTTCCACTGTATCCCAGATCCCGACCGATTTCAGCCCATTTCTTGTCTTTGCAAACACGTTCAAAGCCTCCTCGGACTTCGACGGCCTTTTTAAGTTTGTACAAGTCGAGAGGACGTTTGTCAACGCTAGGGAAACGATTGAGGTGAGCACCGTATTGCTTGTGGAACTTTGCGAGCTGATCGAGGTAGTTGAGGTTTGTTCGGTTCCCTGGTACATAGTATAAGCATTAATCACTCAAGCAAGGAAATCAGTCCTTACCTCCTTCAACCAAGTTGATTTCTTGACGGCGCGTGCGAAAGTGAAATCGCTGTGATGAAATTTAGTAATGGCGTGACTGAAATCAATGAACCATAAACATAAAACATACCTCTGTATCGATGGCAAAGTCGGGAGTCCAGCCTTCTGGTGGGATGATTTTGCAGATGCCAAATTTGCTAGCCTTCTCCGAGATGCTTCGAATATATTCCATGGGATCGCGGAATTCAGCTTCAGTTGGACGATAGGTCGGTGCTTCGGGTATTCCATTGGGTCTCGTTCTAACAGGAGGGTCGCGACTTGCAGGTTGGCCCTTTCGCTCAACAGTCCGCATGTCAAGGGGTGCTGAGCGTATAGCACTGTATGGAAAGGATGGAGTAGCCATGTTAGGGCCGATGCCGTTTGTCCTAGGGGTGGCAGATGCAATCTTTTGAGTTGCAGCCGCAGGTGCACCCCCAGTGGAGGGTGGAGCGACCATGGCTGCGACGAGAATGCGGACTTGCGGAGACTAGACGAAGAGGAAGAATGGTGTCGGTCTCGAATCGATCAACAATAGCCAATGACAAATGCTGTGCTGAAATGGCTGTAGGAATCAAGAAATGATATGATGGCTAGAGGTCGAATAACGAGCAGAATCGAGGAGGATGAAGGATGGGCGAGTGTAAGGTGGATGGTGGATAGGTGGAAAGAGTCAGTCGTGGTAGGAGCAGTCCGGTAGCCTCGTGTCAAGGCGCACTAAAGTCCGTGGTGGATGTGGGATGAACTGAGGCGTGATAGGTTGGATGAAAGGAAAGCCATAGCCGTGCTACAGCAGCAGCTTTAGTAGACTCAGTAAGTTCACATTCGTGAGGATGAGGTGGGCGAAAGGAAGAAGGAGAAATTCGAGGGTGTGAGACGAGAAGGAAAGACGGCGAGAGAAGAGAGAAAGAAGAGTCGGAAATGATATGGGTATGGGCAGAGCAACAGTTGTACTGAGTTGCCAATGGCAGAGGCAGTCAAAAGGATGGATAGAACAGAAGATTGGCGGAAGGTCGGCCTAGAGTTTACTAGGGGGAAAATAGAATATTGGCAGGCGCAGAACCAGAGAGAAATCACGTAGTAGGAAGGCACGAAGGGCAGTAGCAACCGCACTTACCACTCACTACTCCGTATGTGTATGTTATCCGTACTACACACCACCGCACCTTCCTTCTACGACCTGCCTGGAAACAAGCAGCACATGCAGCCCTTATGCTGTGCCGTAGTAATTGGTCGGAGTGCTTACCGTAAATGGCATATCTAACTATCTCCCTTTTCAGTTAGCTCATCACGGACTCCCCGCATGTCACGTGCCTGAATTCATTCCGTCAACATCACCGCGAGCATCAGCGCGATCATCAACATTAGCCATTTCGCCGCAAGGTGGCCAGACAACATTGACATCAATAGTACAATGCGTGAAGAACCATACCCTCACCCTTGATCAACATCTCTCCAACCGCATCTCCACTACATCGATCAACCCATTCACTATCTCATCCCATCGCCACAACGCGCTTCGTCTCAATCTCTCGCTCACAATGCAACCACCCTCATAACTCCTCCATCATGGACGTCAAACCAATCCCTGCATTCTACTGTTGCTATCTTCTTCGCTCGACCGTCCGCCACTCTAGCCTTTACATAGGGTCAAGTCCGGATCCCGCTAGACGACTCGCCCAACACAATGGCCGAGTACAAGGAGGAGCCGTTCGGACCTCCAGAGCATCACTCCGACCCTGGGAGATGGCTTGTATTGTTGCCGGGTTTCCCTCCAACATTGCCGCTTTACAGTTCGAGTGGGCGTGGCACAATGCCCATCTGACCCGACACATTACCCCCACTGACCGCATTTCGTTTGCCACCACACGTCTGAAGACTACAAAGTCCGGCAAAACCTCAAGGAGACCAGGGAGGCCACGCACTTCGCAGATCGACAGGTTGTCCAACCTGCATCTTCTCCTGCGAGTCCCGTATTTCTCCAGATGGCCCCTCCACGTTCGCTTCTTCAACAAGGACGTGTACCGGGCCTGGGTAACTTGGTGTGGGCGCGTCGATACCCAAATTCGGAGTGGTATCAACGTCATCTTTGACCCAGTGCAATCCGACACGGCATTAGCAGAAGGAGAGGAGGAGTTTACTTCTGCTCAGCCTGCTCGCAAGAAACGCAAAGCAGATTTGATCGGCAAAGGCGGTGTTGAAGGTGTGGATCCAACATATTCTCGACTTGGACATGTTCTTCAGAAGACGCAACTGCTTCTTGATGAGGATCACCGCTTCAAATGTTCGACATGTGCCACTGGTCTGGATCCACAAAAGGATTTGTTTATTCTCTGTCCTAATAACGCCTGTCAAAATGTGAACCATGTCACCTGTTTGGCAGACAGGTCACTGGCAGGCGCAGAGTCCAACACCATGGTGCCTCAGGAAGTGGCATGTCCATCGTGTCGGACCAATCATTCCTGGTTGGAGCTGATGCAACAAGTCACAGTCAAGACCAGAGGAGTCAAAGAAGTGGCCAAGCTGCTTAAGAAAAAAGGCAAGAGCCAAATAGCCACAGCAGCCGAGATCCTCGAGACAGAGGATGAAGATGAAGATGACGAGGGCGAGGATGAGATGGACGGTGAAGCCATAGACATGCAGGATGTGATAGATCAAGATGTCGTCCGTAGTGATGATGATCATGACAATGACCGTGATTCGGTGACGTCAATGGACTCTGAGTTCAGTCAGGCGTCGAACCTCGGACCTAGCCCAATCAAGGCGAAATCTGGCACGAGGCTCGAGATTGTGATAGAAGATAGCGAGGACGACTTATGACAAAGACTCTGGTTTCGAAGCGATCATCTCAGGCAGTAATGCTCCTAGCTTTTCACGGGTTCGCTCTTGCAAAACACTGCGCTTCTTGCCGTTGACCACGGCCAGGATATCATTTGTGACTTTGTCCATAGCTTGGCCAGCATCAATTATCTCGACCGCCACATTATCCAGTCTCGAGAACAGGTTCTTGAACAAAGTGCGAACGCGCAGTTGCATCATCTCCGTTTCATAGCGTTCCTCTCCGTAGTTGCCACGTTTGGCTGCGTCTTCGGGCGAAATGTCGAGGAATAGTAGCATATCGGGCTTCAACAAGCCAATTTCAGGAGACCAGGCCCATTCCAGTGACAAGTCGGGGTTAGCTTTGGCAGCTGAATAGACGGCTCCGGAGAAGGAGTATCGGTCGACAATCACATCCACTCCTGCGTCCAGGTCGCGTTCAATACCTTTGATGGCTTCCCATCGGTTGGCTGAGAAGAGGAGATGGATTGAATGGTCGTCTTGCTGGGTTTTGCTTGTGAGGTAGCTGTTGATCATCACTCCCGTTGGTGTTGTCCTATCTATCCATGGTCAGATGCATGATTCAGATCGATCGTCAAGGCCGAATGGTACCCGGGAATTTGACATAACGCGCCTCTCTGCCTTGTGCAGTGATATTCTCGTAGAGTCGTTGGCATTGGCTTGATTTGCCCGAGCGGTCTAGGCCTTCGACAACGAGGAGCAACCCCGGTCTACCGTCTTGTGGCGGAGGAAGAGTTTCAGAGGAACTCATCGTTATTAATTTCGACGATCCTCGCTTTCTAACACCGTTGGAATTGAAAAGCAAGATCAATTGGAGTCGATATGCTGGGTTGCTCGGAGGTTGTGGAAAAGACAACGTGGCAGAAGATGTCGTCGTTCGAATGTCACCAGCGCTAATAATAAAAATAATCATTTCCGTGCCTTCCTTCAAACACTTGAACCATTCAGTCCATGAATGTCTCTACATGTGTAGACTCCCACGCATATATGATAGTTCTCAACCTATGATGCTGGACGATATATTTGTCAAGGACCTTTCTGGATTCTCTGATGATGATATCGTCCATCGAAATCTCGATAAAATATTCCTACCCCTCCGCCTTCCTCTCCTGAAACTCCTCCCACTTCTTCCACACACTATCAGGAACCTGTACTACGGCTTTTCCATCCTTGATGATACTCTTAGTAATCCCCATGGTGCTGATGGCCCTAACCTCTCCCACATTGTACCCTTGTTCCCTATCACCAAATCTTCCAATCCCCTTGTCGACGAAATTCTCCTCATCTTTAGCTATCACCTCGAGGTAATAAGGATCCTGGAAAGCCTTCAGATAATCATTGTAGTCATCCACGTAGAAATCTGCACACGCCTCGAATCCACTACTCGATTTGAACTGGCCGTCTCGGCCTTTGCCCAATGCTTCACGCAGATTCTGTGGTGTCTGGAATTGGATATATCCCACAAAGTTGTAGTGTAGCGCCCATGGAACGCAGAGTGGGCCGTGGACTTCGTACCAGTGCTTGTAGAATTCTGTTTCCGACAGACCAGGTCGTGAGTGGAAGAGTGTCGAGATGCGGTATCTTTCTTGAGATGCTGGTGTTGACATTTCTAGTGGTGAATGTGGTTCGCGTGTGATTGTCTATGGTTGTCGCCTTGCTCTCTTTCTGACTTGGTTGTCTGGAAGAGATTCAGAGATTGGCCCATGGCGACAGCATCAGAGACTCGCACATCCCCCAAATCTATATCTGTGACTACTAGTGAGATGAGGTCAAGTCCAGGTGGGTTCCCGGAAAACGATAGCCAGGAGCCATGAAAGGTACAAGTCCAAACTCAAATGGTAATGATATTGCTTTGTGCCGAGTTTAAAACTGTCAGAATCCATCCAACAAGTCTATTTCAATGCCCTACAACCCATATCTTGATACAGCACGCAATCATATATCACATCCAAGTATGATCACTCCCACGAGTCACGGCGCTTCAACCTCAGGTGATCCCCATCCCCCTTTTCGGCTGTCACCGAGATGGCAAGCAAAATCTCCAACCCTGTTATTATATTTTCATTTCAAAGAGACTTTGCTTGCCCATCTTTGCCTTCCTGTCGAGTATTGCGTGAGACCTTTAAGACCGGGCGGCGATGGCCTTTCTACGAGCCTGGACTGTCAAATCGTACAAAACATCCTTAAAGGCAAACAAGAATGCTGCGGTCAAGACACTCTGGCTGACCTTGGGTACAATTCCTACAAGACTGTTAGTTCGCTGATGTACAATCATAGACGATCCATACCTCGGTAAAGTCCAGCGTAGCCCTCGTCCTTGACAATATTGTTCAAGCTAGACAACATGCCTCCGGCCTTGCTGCCCTTGCCCGCAACGTGTGCTCGGGACTTGACAGTGAGATATGGATATGTGATGGTTGTTGCCAAGAGTTTGGTGAGTGCACCGAGGTAGAAAGCGTCTCTTGGACCGACTTTTCGTCTCTTCTCGATGAAGTTACGTGCCTGTTCATATAGGCCGTATTGGATGATGGGGTTGCTGACCAGGATCAATGCTGGGAGCACACCCGAAAAGAGGGCACTGGGGCCCTCTTCACGAAGCAACTTTAACAGTGTCCCGATTGTGCTTGGCTTCTTTTGCACTTTCTTCTCTCCGCCGGGCAGCTCACCCTCGTCACTCTCATTCTTTCTAGCCGTCATTCTTGTGTTGACGACCCAGATAGGGTTGGTGAGCAGAACAGTGGCAGAACCTGCAATCGCACCAGCAACAATGCCCTCAACGGTGGTGAGTTTTTTGGACGGGCGTCCTGATTTCAAGGCCGCCTTCTCGAACGCCGACTTGGTCCACTCATACCAGTAGTAATAGACAAAGTTGGTCACTGAGATACCAAAGAGAGCGCTGTCAAGGCCGGCATATAGGCCGCTGATGCCTTCTCGATTGATGATGTGTTTAATCGCTGCCAACGTCGATGTGTCGGCGCGTTTTGATTCCACCTGAGCGCGAGTTGACAGCGTAATCAATGGATACGTAAGAGTCATGGCCAAAAGTCCACCACCGGCACCTGCCAGAGCATGTGCAATGTTGTCGCTTTGCTGCGCCGCGGCGCTGGGGGGTGCGCGCACAGTGGAGGTCTTCGAGTTGAGGTCGCCCTCGGTGGGGGAAGGTGCCACATCTTTGATTTGCGACATGATGGAAAAAGGAATAGATGCAGGCAAGCAGGTGGTTTTCTTTGATCGAGTCGAATCAAGTCTGAGGTTCGAAGACGTTGCAACAGGAGCGAGAAGAGAACAGAAGAAGAGAAAAAGAGATTATGTCAATAATAGGTGCCCGCACTATGTATGGCCCACCAGTTGACGCATGTGCCAGGGTGCCAGGATGCCAGGAACAGCGCGTTTCAAGTCACGGTCCCGAGTGTAAGGATGGAGGATGGAGGATATCGGAGGATGGTCTGGGTGATCAACCTGAAAGGGGAGAAAGTTGGAGATGGACGACAAACTCTGCGAACCAGACACAATTGACGTGCCAGAATTCCCCAGCATTGGCCGTTCTTGCCGTTAATCAAAAGTGACGCAAGGTCAGTCAGGTCGGCAGGAGCGATTACAACCTCGGCACGGCCTTCTTGGCAGTCACGTGATATCCTCGGCTCGCGGTCATTCGGCACGCTCTTCACATCGTCAACCAGGACACCTTTGCATTTGTCTGAAATCCTAACATTTCCGAGATCCTAGGGAACAAGAACCGTCACAGCCGGCTAGAAGCGTTCCCCGTCTACCTAGGCTTTCCTCCCAATGGAGATACTTATTATGATTGTTTTGGACCGTTTCCTGTTACATGGCCCGAGCACCTGGTCAGTCGACCATAATCGTGGTCTAAGTAGTCCTCAAAGCCTCCAGTCTCGAACCCCCTAATTGCTCTTCTTAACCGCCCGTGAAATTGGTGCTGGATTATTTCCTTGTCGCTGTTGGTAAAAAATGTAGCCAAAATATACCGCGACCAAGGTTCCAATGACGAAGAAGTTGCCTGGCAAAAGACACGTTAGTCCCAATCCTCACGTCTCAATAAGACCTCATCTTCTTACCGATGAGAAACCCAAGGACACCTTCTGTGATGTTGAAGACGCCTTTGAACAAACCAATGACCGCATTGAATGCTCCTTCAAATATGGAGAAGATGGTGGTGAAGATGCCTTTGATGATCTCTACCAATGAGGTGAAGATGCCACCGATTCCTTTGGCAATGTCGGACATAGTGGGGTCTGATATTTGATGTTTGGTGGGTACAATTATACACTCAGGTTTGCTGGATAAAGCATCGACAGCAAGTCGGGTGATATTTATGTTCTTTTCAACTCATTCTCTCCATTGTCAATTTCGAACACAACGTCACACCAGCAACAGAAAACTCCCTGATCGAGCGCATTGGGCTGAACCATTTCATCCTTTGTTTGTTCGTGACGTAATCTCATTATTTCCAGCATCTGAACTTGTTTTGTGGCTGGTATGACCCGTGCCCTGATCACGAGGGGGGACGATCTTGTGGCGTCAGTTGTCAGTTGTCTCCTATGGACGGCTTGACCATTCGTGCTCTTGCAAGTTGACAGTGTATTATTATTGGACATTGACTTGTCATCCTTTCACCACCCACCGTCCTGAGGACAAACGCAATTGTGTGTGAGGTGAGGCTTACACAGAGAAACCCAAAAGCTCCACCGTAGAAATTTGTAACAGTATACGGTGGAGTGAAGAGAACTTCCAGTGTATAATTTTTCCAAAAGTCAAAATGTTTTGCTGTGCAATATCAATCCAGGACATGACCACAACAATGACCCAGTATCTCTGTGTAAAACCTCAAATTATATCATGTCGCTCTCTGTGAGTTGATTCAACTTGTTCGGCGTGTCGGCACCGCCGCCATAAGCATGGCATTCCACCTCATTCAGCCGTACCAATATGCCACTATCCGGCTCCCGTCGAACCAAGTGAGGATCGATCAAATCATACCCAACACGTAGGTCTTCAAGCCAAATCTGTTCCCAAACAGATACAAGTCTGGTGTCCAGAGCTCTCACTGACTCTGTCACAAGGCTCATCAACCTCGGCAAGTATGGCTCATTTCATACCAATCAGATCCTGGGCCGCCCATATCATCTCACCTTTGAAATTCTGGATCGATCAGAAAATCGTGATGGGAGAGAATTGAGGATAATCCCAGCATCCGAACTACATGCAGTCGAGTTGATCGAGCAGGAGGAAGTTGAAGATGGATCGACCCCCAAGACAGAGGTGGACGACCTCTTGACTATTGCCTCCTCAAAGTCCAATGTCAATATTCACGACGATCCGCTAAATCAAAAATTGACTATGGAGGACATCGAAGCTCTCAAGCAAGAAAGTTTGGGTAGTGGAAGAGCAATCATCGAGAAGCTCATGCAGTCTCATTCGACCATTGACCAAAAGACGGCCTTTTCCTTGGCAAAGTATTCATTGCGCAAACGCCAGAAATTCATGAAACGGTTTACTATCCTCCCTCTGGACGTCTATGCTTTAACAGAGTGGCTCATGAACGAGCGCGATTTCAGTAAGGTTCTGGAGATGAGAAATGAATGTCTGGGTCTTGTTGGTTGTTGGGCAAACATACACGCCGATGGAGGCAATCCATTGAAAGTTGAAAAAGACTCGTCTCTCCGATACCTGGTTGTCGATGAGACCGGCGGACTGCTTGTGGCAGCAACCGCGGAAAGGATGGGAATCCTTCATCAGATCGATCTGGAGAAGCATGACGACGAAAGCCCCGCCGACGCCGATACCGACCAGGTCGGTGGAACGCAAAACGGAGTGTCAAAACCGCGCCAAAGACCATTGCGCACTACTCCAATGGGTGCTTCATCAAACTCCATCACCCTCATCCATGCCAATCAACAACCCAATTTAGGGCTCTTGCGATATTTCAACTTTGACTCGAACAACCCCACCCCATCGCATCCACTCTACACCCAGCTCAAATCTCTGTCGTGGCTTCAACTCCTCGAACCGGAATCTGACACAACCTATCAAGAACCCGAGGTTGTACCACCCGAAGTCCTGGCCAAATTCAAATCAAATAAACGAAGTGCCTACTTTCGAAAGAGGAGAAGGTGGGAACGAGTCAAGGGCGTAGTTGACGAAACACGAGCTGGAGAATTCAACGGGTTGGTAGTAGCCAGCTTAGCTGATCCCACTTCAGTTCTACGTCACGTTGTGCCTCTGCTCGCGGGAGGAAGTCAAGTTGTGGTGTATTCACCTAATCTAGAGCCTCTTGCTGAGTTGGTAGACCATTATTCCACGGCGAGAAGGACAGAGTGGCTGGGCAAGCCAGAAGAGGATCGCAAGGTACCGTCAGAGGAATTCCCTGTCGACCCCACGACACTTCTCGCTCCGTCAGTTCAAACTTCCAGAGTGAGGAGGTGGCAGGTCTTGCCTGGCCGAACGCATCCTGTGATGACGTCCAAGGGTGGTGCGGAGGGCTACGTCTTTTCAGCCACAAGAGTGTTACCCGCGGATGGCAAAGTGCAAGCCAGAGGAAGACCACCACGGGCAAGGAAAGGAAAACTTGCTGGCGAAGATAGTCCGAAGACTGTCGTTGACGAAACTCCTTCAGTTGCTCCTCCGACTAAGAAACAAAAGGTCGATGGGTCGGCAGCACAGATACCATTGGATCAACAATCGAACCATGTAGAGACTTGAGGCTGGGAGGAGGGATTGATTACCCTACAGCCTCCTTCATGAAATGCATTGTATTGTCCTAGTCATATCCTCCACCCATCTATGATCAATCCATTCATAATCCTTTACCCATGAATTTCCTCTTGGTAAAGCTAAGCCACCACTTGCTTGGGCCAACTCCATTTTCGTAGAGCCTGGCATGCAACCGTATAGCCAACTCTTGACGAACCTGACTCAGGTAACTCCGTAAAGCCTCAGCTTCAGTCCTGTCTCTTGGAGCTTCAAACGCTTGGTTCAGTGGAAAACCCGGCTCTCCGGGAATACTGAACTGTTCGAGTGCACCATTGATGAGGGCCTTTTCGGCAGATTTGGAATCCATGTTGGGTTTGACTTTTGTGAGGCAGTCGGAAATGAAGAGGATGCCGTAAATTAGCATGCGATCAGCAGGGCCTTTGATCTCGAAGTTTCGGAAGAAGGTGTTGGCGCGAAACAGAGAGAGAATCTCGTCTAAGCAGTCGTAGGATTCGGAGTCTGGGTCAACATCGATGGCATTGGTGCCTGGGGGAAGTTGTGGGAGAGCGTATGCTGGGCCTCTTGTTCTGGTCCGCAAGGGAAGGAGAGGGAAGTTTCCTGTAGGCGTCAGTCATGGGATGGAGGCTTGCTGAAGTCAAGAAACCGAACCTATTGTCTGCACTCCCTGGTCACCCAGGAAGATAGAGTGGTATGCCTAGGTGGGGTGTCAGCGAGGTATTCTTGCGGTTGGACAGTGCTTGGACGAACCGGCATGGTGATCTCGTGTGCCGACGGAGAGAGAAGCAGTCCTAGTGGTCGTGAGTCTTCTCTCTTTATATTTCCATTTCTTGGTGGAGCTGCCTGATGTTGCAATGAAGGTAGAATAGACGATACGCAGTACATTACGTGCAAGGCGTCGTCCCGCATTTACCAAATATAGGGGCTGGAAGTTGATATCCTCCACCCTAGTTTGACCTTGACATATGGTATAGTAATGATTCGCCCTAGAAAACCACTCAACGCGTCAGAGTGAGAGCGCGTTTTGTCGCCGTTGCTTGTCGCAGCGCATTTTGTCTTGATCGTTCAAGGCCGTTGCCTGTGGTTTCATTTCTCTCCGTCGTTCAGAATCATTCATCATGTCGGACTACGAAGATGACATGGACGTGGATCTGTCTATCTCTCGAGACAAATCAATACAATTCAGTTCAGACGCGACTGCTGGCAAGCAGAAGAGGATAGTTGCAGACCTGCCATTGGAAGCAGAAGACAATCTACCATGGTAAGAGAGTACTCTTGTGTGATATGTCGGCACCTCTGATCAGTATAGGGTTGAAAAGTATCGACCGAACACTCTCGACGACGTGAGTGGACATCAAGATATTCTAGCCACCATCAACAGATTCGTCGAACACAATCGGTTACCACATCTATTATTGTACGGTCCTCCTGGAACTGGCAAGACGTCCACGATTCTTGCATTGGCAAGGCAGATATATGGAGCCAAAAATATGCGGCAGATGGTGTTGGAGTTGAATGCCTCGGACGATCGAGGTATTGATGTTGTGAGGGAACAGATCAAGACCTTCGCTTCCACCAAACAGATTTTCAGTTCCACAACACAGACAGCTGGGGCAAAGTTTGGGCTGGGAGCATTCAAACTGATTGTTTTGGATGAAGCTGATGCTATGACTAGTGCTGCACAGATGGCTCTAAGACGGATCATGGAAAAATACACCGCCAACACCAGATTCTGCATTATTGCAAACTACACACATAAACTGTCGCCGGCACTGCTTTCCAGATGTACGAGATTCCGCTTTTCACCTCTTAAGGAAGCAGACATTCGAAAGTTGGTCGACCTGGTCATCTCACAAGAACACGTCAATATTGCACCAGAAGCGGTCGATTCATTGGTCAAATTGTCCAAAGGAGATATGCGAAGAGCGTTGAACGTCTTACAAGCATGCCATGCTGGCTCAAGACCCTTACCAATCCGCGGCCAACCTCCGATTAAAGAATCTGATATCAAGTACGAGCTCATCACAAATGACACAATCTACAATTGTATCGCTGCACCCCACCCTGACGACATTCGGCTCATCATGACCACGATGTTGAGCACACCCGACATGACGAGTTGCCTGACCACAATAAACGCATTAAAGAGTTCTCGGGGGCTAGCACTTGCGGACATCCTGACGGCACTAGCCGACGAGCTGCAGACTCTCGAGGTCAGTGCTGCAACAAGAGTTCTTTGGCTACAAGGACTCGCCGAGATTGAATATCGACTTGCTGGAGGAGGGAGCGAAGGGATCCAGACTGGCGGAATGATTGGAGTCATTAGATCTGGCTGCGAGTTATTGGGGTCCAAGGGGATTGGAGAAAAGATGTTGGTCGACGAGTGATCATTGGAAAGCCATCCTGAAAATCAGTTCCGTTTATTAACGGCTACGACCTACGAGCGTCTCACCTGCAACGAGTCATTCCATGGATAGGAAGCGTGGGATGTGGCAGAATTCCCAGGCGGCCAAACCACGAACTATCAGGGGTTTCATTCGACATGTACGTCGAGACTCAGACAATTCTCTATGAGGGAGAGGTTGTATTCGGCTACTCCTCTGGCAATATGGCCTCGAAGCCCTGATGGGAGCCAGTTGACCAGAAACATGCCATTTGCTGGTCGAGACAGGCACAGTGGTAATGAGACGAAAGACCATGCATTTTCTCACTCTTGTGGCAAGTCTTCGCCACTTGCAACATCTAGATAGGATGACGACTTGGGCAGTGGTGGTGATCCAAAAGTACTGCAGAGGAAGAAAGTGACCGACATGAAATACAGCGAAGTTTAGTCAAGCCGAAATGCATTTTTTGACTACGGTGAATGATTGTCCCATTTCGTCTACCGGCAGCTCGGTAGCCTGTCCTTCTTGGCACTTCATCTTTGAATCCAACTGCTTCAGGCCTCAGACTCCTCACTCCTAGCCGATTGTACACACCCATGAAACTAGACATCGTCATCAGCTGGGTTACTATATAGATTTCCCTGGGTAACAAGGCCTCAGCTCCACCCTCTGGTTTGGATCGAACACCGAGCAGCTCTGATTCAGCCGGCCTCTTATGGTTCTTTCCTTATCCACTGTCCCCCGCATCAGGCGGTCAGCAAACTGGTTATTGACAGAAGGAATCCCATGGACAAAACATCATTGCGCACACACAGAACCTGAACAGAAGCACATTAATGGGTCCGCAATGATGTGCCTCCTGGCTTTTCTGGAAACTCACTTGAGTCGAATCATGTAATCAACTGATCGGGCCACACTAGGTTGAGAGTGTCAACATCTTACCTCTGGATCCTTAAGGAGTTGATTAGATTGCGAGTTGCTCAATCTTTGATGCTCACTGCCATGGCTGAACGACGAGAAGATCGACTTGAAGAATGACGATAACCGGACAGGTGAACATGTTCGCCATTGAATTTCAAGGTAACTTTAATGGTCCCGTTAACATGAAGAACAGCTCCTTCTCGATTTGATCTTGAATCCACAGCACCGAACCCTTCGTTGTGGCCGCCCGCCCCCACAAAGAATCTCTTCTCAAAACGGCGTGAACATTTATGCCGAGTGTTAAGATGTTACATTCGATCATTGTAATGTCAACTTCACACAATGGCAGACAAAAGGCCTCCAGACCTCCCATCCCTCCCTTGAGTCCAGCCACACGGTCGACTTATCCTTGGCTTGGCGGCACACGAGTCACCGTGTCCCGCAGATGGGAAGTGAAGGGTTCAGAATGACCCTTCCAGCGTTGGTTTTCATATCACTTAGATAGCCCTTCGTGCCTTGACCTGTCCTTTTGCAACGTCAAATATCTGCGACTTGCAAAAGGACAGTTTGCTCTTGAAACTCGCCCTCGTCCTTGCACTCAACCCAACCTGTACTGCATCTTGCCACTCGACTGAAGTGGCCAAAGAAGTCACGTGCGCAATCACTTTTTGGTCATTGAACACCTTGACCTGTAGATGTTTGTCACCCGACCTTAGATCTACCGACTCAACTTTTAGGTCTTGATTGAGATCGACATACAACTCACAGGACAGACTTCTCACCGGCAAAAGCCATCATGGAAGATAGCACTGATGGTCAGGATTGGGACTCGAGGAAATGGGCACAGGCTGGCGATTCAGGTGAGTGTCTCCCGTGTCCCCCTCTCACCCACCAATCCACCCCAGTTCCCACCTAAACCTATGACAACTTGTGGCGGAATAGCCCTTGGGAGCCATGGGTTCCAGTGGCACCCGGGCGTCCGCAAGCCGCCACGGACCACTGGCCACTCACCACACCCAACCAAAGCGTCGACGCTTGAGGCTCTCAACACTCAGGCTCAAGTCCTCGGGGCGGATGTTTGGCTGCGTCCCCAACTCAGAAAGCAAATCATCCACATCCTGCCAAGTCCTTTCATCAACCCATTCCCATTCATGCACTGACTCTCCAGACTGCGCAGATCGAAATGATTTCCATCGCAACCACCATCCTCACCTTTCGCCGCCGACAATTCCAGATGACTCCCGAGAGTACATGGCTAGGTCTGGCCCAAGTCAACCAATGAAGCATTATTGGAGAGCTGAAGGGAATCCTCGCGAGAGACACCATCATCCACGCCCGCGAGCAAGAGACCGAGACCGAAGTCCGGGTTCAACGACATCTCCAAGGGAAGAGCCTTTCGATCGCCACAGACAGCGAGGTCGTTCAAATTGGGACAATTCTGTTTCATCGAGGAAGGGCCGTCACCACGAATATTTTGGGAAGTCGCATGGTAGACAACCATCATTTTCGCCTCCTCGTTATTCAAGACCAGCTTCACCTCCTCCATCAAGAAGCAGGCAATTCGAAGATTCGTCAAGATATCCTCGTGATTATTCTCCCGACCGATCCCCCAAGCGAAGGCGCACCAAGAGTTCCGTTTCAATAGAGCGAGACAGAGATTCGCTTGACGAGCGCGATCGAAACCAAGAAGATTCTAGAGGCGGCATTCCCGATTCTCGTCTTCCGCCGCCGCATTCGCACCAATCCGACGATCTCGACCCAGATTCTCGAAGTGCCCAAGCCGAACCCTTTGTGCACCCTGATCGAAGAAGAGGATTCACTCCTGACCCACGAGACCGCCGCTCTCCTTCCATAATTTCACACCCAGGCTCCAGAGCTCCCTCTAATCGAACACGAGAATCATCGATCGGATCGAATTTCCCGCCCAACAGACAGGACCGATTCAAGAATCGCCGCTCCAGAAAGAGAAGGGGCAATCGTCCCTCAAGATCTCCGTCCTTCTTCGATCATACAGAATATCATTCAATGGATGGCCAACATCCAAACCGCGGCAATCATGGATATAGAGGACAACCGCGTTACCTAGATTCCAGGCAACATGGATCACCCCCTTTCTCCTCGGCCTCTAATAGCTCTTATCATGGCTCGCCTCCTCCAAACCCCCAATACAACCAACGAGATGGTTGGGGTGGCGGTGGTGGGCGAGGACAATATGCGTAAGTCATCACCAACACATCAGCAATAAAGCTAACTGACTCTAGTCAAATGCAAAGTTCATCTCCTCCCTATAGACAAAACAGCTTTTCGGGGCCCAACAACATGAACAACCCCAATCCTTTTCCTGGAAATCAACATGGTTACCACGGCCAATCAGGTTATCGGGGTCGTGGCCGCGGGCATCACCAAGGTCCTGATCGAAGATTCAATCCCAATTATCGCGGGAGAGGAGGTAATTACCAAAATCTACAATGGACACCTCCACCCACCGGCGCACCAACCGGACCTGCAGCACAAAGCTTTCAACCCAGTTCGGCAAACTCGGTGCAACCATTATCGACCCCTTCACAAACACCACAGGATGACGGACCACCAGAGGAACAACATCCCTTTCGACCATCCAAGGACCCACAGGCGGAGGATCAAAGAGACAATACTCGTCCTACAGGACCCAAATATGGTAATGAGAATCAAGGCTCGGCTGCCTCCAAATTCAGCTTTGCATTCAAACCAAAACCGCCTCCGCAGGGACCCGCTAAGACCACAGCAGATTTTGCCAAACCCAAAGGGCCCTTTCAACCCGATAGTCGACCTCCTCAACATCCCAAAAACAAATTCCACGATCGAAGAGATGACAGACCTGGTCCTCCTCGAGGTCCTGCAGACCGGAGATTTCCAAATGATAGAAGATTTCCTCCCGATCGACCACCATACCCAGACCGAAGACCTGATCGATCTCGTTCACCGCCTCCAAAGAAATTCAAAAAGGAAATCAAGTCGAGACCTGTCCTACCTCCCGAGTTTGCTGAATCCGAGTCAATCTATTACCGAAAACCCGGAAATGAGTCTGTCGTCGGAGCTGGCACCTACGGAAAAGTTTTCAAAGCTATCCACATTTATACCAAAGACCAAGTTGCGCTCAAGAAGATTCGGATGGAGGCTGAACGAGATGGTTTCCCTGTCACCGCGGTTCGCGAGATTCGGTTGCTACAGCACCTGCGACATAAACACGTTGTTGCGCTGCAAGAAGTCATGGTGGAAAGAAATGAATGTTTCATGGTATTTGAGTACTTGTCTCACGACTTGACTGGTCTCATCAACCATCCAACCTTCAAATTGACACCCTCACACAAGAAAGATTTGGCTCGACAAATGTTTGATGGACTGGACTTTCTTCATCGCCGAGGTGTATTACATCGGGATATCAAGGCTGCCAATATCCTCATTTCCAACTCTGGACGGCTCAAGTATGCAGATTTTGGCTTGGCTCGATTCTACACCAAGTCCCACAAGCTGGATTACACTAACCGCGTCATCACTATTTGGTACCGACCGCCGGAGCTGTTACTTGGAGAAACACAGTATGGGCCTGAAGTGGACATATGGTCTGCTGCATGTGTGTTTGTCGAAATGTTTACCAAAAAGGCAATCTTTCCTGGCGAGGGAGGTGAATTGAGCCAACTTGACAAGGTGTACAATGTCTTGGGAACCCCGACTCGAAACGACTGGCCGGGCATCATCGATCTTCCATGGTTCGAACTCATGCAACCCAGTGATCGACGTAAGAGGGTCTTTGAGGCCATGTTCAAAGACATTTTCCCCGCTGCCGCACTTGATTTAGTGCAATGGATGTTCAAATATGACCCGAACAAACGTCCGAACGCGGCACAGGTCCTGGCGCATGACTATTTTGTGACAGAAGAACCTAAACCCGTTCAAGCAGTCGAGTTAGCAGACGTCGAGGGTGATTGGCATGAATTTGAGTCCAAAGCTCATCGCAGGGAGAACGACAAGCGTGAGAAAGAAAAGAAGAAAGAAGAGTACATGAGAGACCGTGAGAAACGAAAAGCCCGCGAAGCAGGACTATCAGAGTCTAGGGATGATACCGATGCTGCACCGGCAGAGAAGAAAAGCCGACAAAATCGTCATCCAGGATCTGGTCCACCTGATTCATCGAACGGTGGAGGTGATGTGGCTGAGGCCACGGCCGACATGGCCCGCGAGGATGAATCTGAGGGTGAAGGGAGTGCAAGAATGAGCATGTCTTGATATGAATAACTACTTAGACAACCATAGGAGCATGTTTTATTAGAGGAATTGGCCAGGACATGCCCGTATCACAGCTCCAGTCTGATGGAGGTTGTTTGTCTGAAGTTGCTCCTTTACATTTTTCACATCTTTAAGTTCTAGGTAGTGTACAACAAATGTGGTTTCTGAACAAGCTTGGTGATTGTGAATTGTGATTGTTATCGACGCTCATGATAACCTCCAACATACTTGTACATTTTCCTATTTTCCTATTCCTTTAATCATGAATGAATGCATGACAACAATATCAGCATTAAAGAAACATCAAGATCGAAGCCCCCTCCCTACCTCAATCCACGAACAAAATCCAACCCATGGTGCTTAGATGATCAAGTAACCTTACCGGTCCTCGACGCAGTGACCGTACCCAATCTTCACATCATAGATAGTCCATACTATATGCTCTACCCTCTGTCCTCTGCCCTGGGCTCTCCTCTTCTAAGCAGCAGTACTCTGCCTCCGAAACTGCGCCTGACTTTGTCTTCTTGAATTCGCGGTCCTCGACGCCGTTGTACTCGCACGCGATAAACGACGTGTATGTGACATTCCAGACGCAGATGGCAAATACGACAAACGACGGTCGTCGCCGCCTTTATCCATCACGGCGTTCTGTAAGGATTGCGCAAATGGTGATCTCTTCCGCAATACCGGTCCGTACCAGTAGATGACGTAGACGGCAATGACCAAGACGAATGAAATGCAGGCGAGGATTGTGGCGGCGTAGTTGAGGTGGTAGCGGCCGCCGATGTCTAGAGGGAAAAAGGAAAAGGAGGTTAGAAATTGGATGGTTGAAAGGGAAGAGGAGGGAAAAGACTCACTTTCGAAGAAAGGGGTTGCTGGAATCGTCAAAACACCAGCAAGAAAGTCTCTTGACCAACCATTTCCACCGGTCGCGGAAGCCGAATAAGGACCATATGCGCAAATCATGTAGTCGATAGTAGCCATATAGATGGAATAATTGGCTATACCGACCAAAGCAGCAAAGATCATAGATCCAATCCAATGAATTGGTGGACCTTGAATGGTCCACGCAAAGCCAAACAATCCAATCGGCAGACACGGGGCCGTGTAGAGCAAAAACCAGAGACGAGACTCATACTGAGCTTTTTCATCGCCTGGGCGAGTCCGACGTTCTCGGATATTGCGTTTAATGGCAGGAATGAAAGCCAGCCATGCCAATACGTAGCCAATGCCCAAGGGTAGAAACGCCAGTCCGACTTGATAGACCTGGAAATCCCACTGAGCGTAGACCAAAGCGAAAGATTGGATGAACATGAAAATCAAAGCGTCGCTGAATCCACTGAGTAAAGACAAGGTGAGGACGATTGGTTCCGTCAAAAACATTTTAAACGGTCGGATCCAAGTAATGAGGATTTCTCGTGCAGAAAAGCGATCGCGGAATGGTTCGAGTTCATTGGGTCCCCAAATGTTTTCTCCGGTGGCAGTACGGCGCTTTTTGGCGACTCGGTCCATGATGATGGTTGAGCGTGTTTCGGGAACCAGGAAGAAATGTGCTGCTTGCACGGCGCCGCCGAAGATGAGTTGGATCCAGATTGTCCAGCGCCAATTCGGGACGTATTGTTCGACGAATCCGCCGACGATGGGGCCCAACACACTGCCGAACACGGATGAGAATACCACGTATGCCACGGCGTATTGCTGAGCATCGGCATCCCACATGTCGGCTGGAATGGGAGAGGAGGAGGAGTTAGCCAGGTTTGGTACAATTCAGAATAAAGGCAGGGGAGGGAATGAATGAATCGTTCATCCATCGTGAAAAAAGGAACATACCAATCATGCCCAAAGTTACAGAACCACCAGCAGAACTAAGACCTCCCAGAGCCCTACCGACCATGATAGAAGCAAAATTCGGTGCCAAAGCAACCGGTAATTGCCAGATATTGACCAAAGTCAAAGACGCCTGGAGGATGGGCCATCGACCGAGTTCCTCGCTCCAAGGGGCCCAGAGTTCACATCCAAAAGCGTAAAGAACCAGAAAAATCATGGCACCGCAACGAGCCGCTTGAGCACTCACTCCAAACTCATCGGATATACCTCCTAGACCGTTGGAATACAAACTAGTGTTGAAATTCATGGAGAGTTGAACCAAGAAAATAACGGTTAGAATGGTCCATTTCTTCCATTCGGGAAATGCAAATCCGAGCTCGCTTTCGCAGTCGGCTTCGGTGATTTCGATCTTGTCGAATGTTTCGGGTTCGGGGGATGAAGAGTGGGTTTCAGGTTTGGTGGTGGTGGTGGTGGTGGTGTTCTCGTCGTCGTAGTGCGGTCCTCTCCCTCGTTGTCGTCCTGGATCGTCATTTCCGTGAACTGTTGATGCTTTTTCCCATTCGTCTGGCGAGGTTGATGTTTCACCGGCGCCGGGAGCTGGCGGGTCAAATGATGGGGTGTGGAAGGTGGGATGCTGGTCTGTTTTGTCGATTCCCGACATGTTGGGTGATGATTGGAACTGGCCTGAGTGCCAAAAAAGTTCTAAGGGGCCAACCTGGAGAGACTGCGGAAGGAAAATAAAGGATATAGACTGAGCAGTACATTATTTACCAACCTCGTCATAGTGGATTTGTGATTCATGTACGGTGATCTCAACAGTGCAGCCTTCCACCGGGGTATCCGCTGATGTCCCAGTGGGTCTGTGAGTGGGAAGACGGGCACAGAATGAAAAAGTAACCTTATGATGACATAGGCGGGATGCTGGCGGATGTAGATTCCTCGAGGGACAAGACAAATCAAGTGTATGATACTACCTGGAACCATAAAATTCCCCAGTGTTTCTTGTGCCCATGGGTCCAAGGATCAGGCTCTTTCTAACAGAGTTTGACTTTATCTTTGCACCTTGGGTGAATGATCACCATCATCACACTGGGGTATATAGAGAGATCTGACCTCTGAGATCTTTGTGGACACTGGAGAGAAGCGAGGCGAGGCAAGGACAAATGTCGGCGGCAACATTTGTCTCCATCATCTGTGCGTGGAAGATGACCGATGACGTCTATTGAATGTTGCGCTTAGTTTATTTCAGCAGCTCCATAAGGCGTGCCCGAGAGTAAAAAATCTACCTGAGGGAGGGCCAGTCGGCTTTCGGCATGGAACCCTGCTGAAGAGTAGCTAATGACGAGAGTTTTTCTTCACTGGGTGTGGAGACGTGGAGCATGGACGTAGTTTGGTTGAATAGCCACACGATACAATCGATTCAAAGTGATTTCCATTCAGTCAGATCGATATTGTACAAATCGTCGATATGGATGACTGTGGCCAATCCTTGTCGGCACAAGATTACTTGTCATTGGGCGCCACTTGATGCGTCAACAACTCAAACGAGATGTAGTGTCAAAGTTAAGGAAGCGTTAACATTGGTGTCATAAACTCTGCCGCGCCGGCTACATCATAGCTTAACATCTTAGGTCTGCATAAGCATGCCCAGACACTGCTTGAATCAATCTCACTTGGGCTTCGGGTGGCCTCAGTAGCCGATGTCACCCCCGCCCTGTTGTGCATTTTACGATACAATTGTGACCCCAATATCCCTAACCAAACAACGTCATCGACTTTTGCTGACCTCCAACGCCTGGCTCAAAAGTACAAAACGATTGTAATATGCAGCCTTACCAATCACAGGTAGATTGGGATGACGCCATGTTCATTCTCAGACCGTCGTCGATGCTTGGAGGAGGATCCGGGGGAACCGTCATCTGGAGAATTAGGTCGCGGAGGGCGGGGAGATGGAGTGTTGAACCCTTCGTTGCTGCCACCATCGTCTTGAAAGACCTGCAGTGTGTTGATGGACCAATAGGCCTCGACAAAAGCCGACGGATTGTTAGTCACATATTCTTCACAGGTTGGAGCCAAGGCTGCACATCCTGAGTCACTCCAGACTTGACCAGCCCACTAGGATTGAGATTAGTCTTTGAAGATCATCAACAAGCCAAGTTGTTGGGTAGTCGTCTTACCTGGCCACAAAAAGTGGTGTCGAAAATGATCTGCAGGTTTTTGAAATGGTCGTCCATGTTGAACTGACCTTGGAAGATGGAGGCGGGGGTACCCCAATTCTCTCCTGGTACCGGAGCGCTTTCGACAATGTCGGAGGGAAAAGTGCCTCGGGGAAAGAACCAGATCTTGATAAATTCGGAGGTCCATTCGGTTGCGAAGACTCCGCCGCCGGCACTGTTGAAGTCTGGGCCAAAGGTGAGGTTGGAAACATCGCCAATAGAGCAACCAGCATTGGTGGGTTGATCAGGAGCATTGATATCGCAATTGGAGGTGATGAGGTCGCCGCGGAAGGTGCCATTCTCAATGATAGGACCGACTGCGGTGTGCAGAGTCATGCTGTTGGTATACTGGTCATTGACTCCTTCAACGATATCAATTTCGCCGTTGTTTGGCCAGTCTTTGCCCAGCATCCAGAACGCTGGCCATGTACCACAGATGCCGCCGGGCATATGAACAATGTCTGCAATAACCAAGGCATGTTGAAATGTATCATCTGAGGAAACGCGAACACTGGCTCTTCCCTGAGGGGCTACCTCTTTGGTATCAACACCCATAAAGATGGCATATGAAGAATTCCCACCATCGAGGAATCCCGCAATACCAGTCGCGTTGGCCGACTCGAGAGGAATGTATTCGACGTGTCCATCTGTGGGATCTGGATCAGTGAAGAACTCGAAGCTTTGCCAGAAGGCATCTCCCGAATAGTCTTTGACCAAACGGTAATTCGCCGTGGTGAATGGGACGAGTTGGCTGACCAGCAGCATCAAAATAATAAAGAGGGATGTCATCGTTTGAATGAGTGTATTGGGTGAGCGTGCAAAACGAATGGGTACTAGGTAGGTATTGCAACAATGGAAATGAGTGGGAAGATGGGAGGTACGGACGACAGAAATGAGAACAAGACAAACGGAACAGTCACACCAGAGAGGGAAGGGTTACGAGTGAAGTGAAGGAGAGGGCCATTTGATAGTGAAGGGTGGCGGACTCGACTAGCGGTGCCATCCTAGATGGTGAATTCCAACATGAGGCGCAAGGAGTTTGCAAGTGAGGGTGAGGATTAATTTTTCTGCCAGTCTTACTCTGAAGGGGTATTTTCTTGGATCTATGCAGAGACAGCTAGGCATGCCTTGGAATGATGGATGGTTCTTAGACACGGGAAAGTAAGACTAGAAATATGAACAGATGGTCCTGATGGCGTGGCAATTAACTTGAACCCATTCAGGTGAGCAGACGGACGTTGAAAATGAAACAAGATGAGACTGTTAAGAGAGTTGGAAGACGAAGAAGAAGGAGAAGAATGTTGGGAGGAATGTCGAGTCTTGCAACTTCCTGAAGATTTATGTGGGCAAGTCGTGCCTTCCTCTTTGTTCAATTCTGAAACGCGTGTTTGGTTTGGTAGGCGCGACCGCTTGAACGCGAACCCTCGTGATTCAAGTCTCTGACTCCCCCACCTGCCCTTGGAACTCCCCGCTAAGCACTTGCACCTGCCTCTATTATTGCGTATTGCGTAAACCAAAACTCCACTTTGCACTTTCCACTCTCCACGCGTCTGGCCTGCACCTGCATCTCCATCTGCATCTCTTCTCTGGTCACGTTCCAATTCCACTTCCATTTCCACCGCATCCATAATCCAAACAATCTTCCTCCATTCTCCCTTGCCTCAAACACTCTCCCACCACGTCGCCATACACCCACACACCCTATCCTCTCAAGCCAATGCATCATGCTCACCACCACCACCACGTCTTGACCATGTTGCCCACGAGACAGACCACCCACCCTCGTTGCCCTCACCTTTTACCTCTCCCTCAACATGTCCGCCCTCCAATTAACAACCTTTGATTCCGCCGACCGTCTTCCCGTCCTAAACCTGTCCCCAGACAATTCCAACCCGAGTTCCTACCTGGAAGCAGACGTGGCTCTGGTCTGGCCCTATTCAAGTTCCTCCGCCACACTTGCATTATTACTGGTCGATACCGACACCAAACCTGGTCAAGTCCGAGGTCAAGTCAAGGTCGTCTTTCGACATGGCTGCGCGAGGCAAGTCGCAAACACAAAGGTTGGCATTGGCGATACTTTGCGCCTCGGTTTGAATGATTGCGCCTGGAAGGAAACAGGAGATGTCATTTCTACCCCAGGCAAGAAACTCGCCTGGGATCTCGAATACACCTCACGTGTTTGCGCTCAAATATCAAGAGATGGCCAGGACTCTATCAATGTAGATTACAAAAGATCCAACTCTGAAGAGCCAGTCGCAACCACCGTACCTCTACCTCTGCCTGCTCTATCACATGTCTCTACTCCAGTCTCTACTCCCACCTCTAATGGACTCCGCCGTCCCCCAACTGACACTATTTCCGTTCCTTATTTTTCTCCGGCAAAGTCAATCAGAAGATCTTCCGGCGCCACCTTCCTCGATGGCTTCCTCGAACCCTCGGCCGGAGAGGATGACTACATTACTGGGCGCGGACGAAAGCGAACAAAGTTTGCTCGTCAAAGTGGTACTTGGAATTTGATCGATTCGGATGATGATCAACCTCAGACTCAGACCACAGTCAATCACGACGACTCTAGCCGCAGAGAGGGCATTTCCACGCCAGAAGACGCCCATGTTCCTCTTTCCCAAGACCAAGTCTCGTCTGCTCATGTCTCTTCCCCTGTCCAGCAACCGCCCTCTATCATGGGACCGCCCCAGACACCCGCTAAGACATTACATCTCACTCCACCTCAACCACCCGAAGCCCCTTCACCCAGCAAAGATTCGGACAAAGCCACCACTCCTCGATTGATGCCTCTTGCCTCCCCTGGTCTACCCCTCGTCTCTCCACTCATTCACCGCACTGGTGTCGAGTTCGGATACTTTCCCACCTTCCAAGACAACATGTCACAATTGGACGCTTCTGCCAAAGAATCAGTTCCCTCCGCAGATGATTTGCCCGGAAACGAGCCTGTTTCTAAAGGTTCACCTGACCTGGAGCCGCACCTGGCGCAACCAGACGAGCAAGCATATATAGCACCAAGTTCCTCACTAGACAACATCCCTCCAAGCCCACATGATGCCCTTACTACCTCAAACTTGAACACCACTGAACCTGAAGCCGATCCCTATTTTGTTCCTGACCATTGGTTGTCTACTCTAGAAGCCAACATTGTTCAAGAGTTGCAGCAGAATGACCAAATGTCGCCCGCTCCCGTCACCCAAGAGGCTCCTGTCACCGTCGAAATAGAATCGGATGATCTCTATGGTCCTCCACCCTCACTACCAGACAAGGCCCCAGATGCTGACCAAGAACCTGTCCTTGAAGAGCAAATGACCAACCATGAAAACTCTCCTGTTCTATCCACTGTCTTACCCAAGAACGAGATTCCAGAAAAGACAACCTCTGTCCATGAAGATAGCTCAGATGCTGAGTCTCCTCCAGTCTTATCCGTGTCGGCTTCATCGACGCCAGAGCGCTCGCCTAGCCCTCAGACCGAGAAACTGTCCAAGTCTCCAGAGCCTGTACACGTGATCACGAGTGATGAAGATTCAGAGGCAGACACAGACACCGGCGAAAGTGACGAGCCAGCCACACCCGAATCCGAAGAAGCTGGCCAAGCTGATGCCCAACAAGAATCTGAACCTGCCTCTGAATCGGATGACGAGATTGAAGTGACGGCAGTAGTGAGACACGATGAACCAGACTACCCTGAGACCGAGTCTTCTCCACTTGCTTCTACTTCTCCAAAGGTGTCATTTATTGAGACCGTATTGACTGAACTTGATGAGCGCAGTGCTCAGGTGGATGCCTCTGATGCCGTTGACACCGCAGATACTTATGACGAGGCCGAAAATGACGCTGAGGTAGATTTGACCGTGCAAGATCTTCAAAAGGAAAGATCACCATCGAAAGAACCGACTCAACCTTTGTCCCCTGATGTGACTGCTCCTGGGATTCCAGATGAATCATCGCCAAAACCGCAATTGCCAGAAGTGTCAGATTCTGCCAGATCCCCGATGACCACCTCCATCTTGCCTACTCCCGATCAGACTCAGGACGACAAATCTCGATCTCATGAGGATCTCGTAAGCACAGCACTGCAACCAGAACAGGGCGTGCTATTGCCCTCTCCAATACCTACACAAGATACACAGGAGACTGTAACTGCCGCGAAAGATGCATCGCTTCCAGACAGTCTTCCAGATCAATCAGAACCAAATCTAGAGTCGACAGCCATGCAGCCCAATCCGCCTCAAAGGCCATTGCGTCACCCAATCAAACCCAAGAACATTTCTAGTCCATTCTTTACCCCAAGGCGATCAGCGCGGCTCTCATCACCCGAAGCACGCAGGGACAAAGGATCCCCTTCAAGCCCGCTTCAAACCACGTTCCCAACGTCTCCCGTCTTGGAGTCGCAAGAAAATGACGTTATAGCTGCATCGCCAGTCCTACCAACTACCGAGACCTTTCATAGCAGCGAAAAGGGCCTGATTACGCCAATTGCGTATTATGTCCATTTGATTTCTCTACAGGAACATTTTGGGCAAGTGATAGATGCTATCGTTGTGTGCTCCGATTCAGCCAAGGCAGACAGAGCAAAGTCAGGACCCAAAGATTACTTTCTGAATATTCACGTCGTCGATCAAACTTACAGCACTCCCGTTTTGGTACAGATCTTCAGACCGGTCAAGAATTCACTGCCATCACTCAATCCAGGAGACGCAATCATCTTGAGAAGTTTCAAGGTCCAAACAGTCAGGGGAAACTTTTCACTGCTAAGTACCGACACATCGGCATGGGCAGTGTCTCCAAAAGGCAGCTCTCAGCTCATCATTGCTGGTCCACCTATTGAGCATGGACTAGCTGAAGTTTCCTATGCGTCATCGCTGGTCGAGTGGTGGCAGAAGGATTCAGCACTCGAAGAGCCTGAACATATTCCGGCCTCGACTGGACCACAAACACGATCAAGTCGACGTGTGAACACATCACCAGAAACCCTTGCCAAACCCAAACCAACTCCTATCAGCGTCAGTCGTCGGAAAGCCAACATGACGGATAACTTTGGCAATAGTAGTGATCACGGTCACGAAGAAGCCGTGGAGAATGATCATGATGTCCAGTCTCCACTCCTGGAAAAACAGCATGATCATCGTGGGTCTACAACACCAACCACCGCCACAGTGGAGTTTGCTCCGAGAAGAAGTGCAAGGCATAGGAAATCGCCTAGCGTCGTGCATGAACTGAGAGACGGTACAAAATATGTGGATGACGAGAACTCAACCCCAGCCAAAAGGGGTGGGAGTGTTGTCCATGAGTTGAGGGATGGAGCGAGATATATCGATGAGTAAGAATAGCGTTCCAATTTTGATGTTAATACTTAATTGTGTATAATACCTTCCAATGGAATCCCACTACATGACACCCAATGATGCTCACTAACTTAGAGTGGTTCAAACCAAGCTTCTATTCATTCAGACGGAACAGCAGTCATATTGACCTAACCGGCAGTCTATCTACCAAGAACTCGTTGTACAGTCGGGTCGATCATTTAATCCACAACTGACCCCAGATCAAACTCTGGATGATGTCTTCGTTACACAAGATCGTCACACTGGGACCAATAGATCTGTTTTCACGAAGTTGACCAACCGACTTGGAAGTCCCTTTCCCCTTGCCCTTCCTCTTCCCTTTCTCCAACTGCTGTTGATGCTGTTGCTCCTGTTGTTGCAACATCTTCCTCGCCGCCCCAACAGCAGCACGATCCTGCACAAAACAATACTTGACCGGCGGATGTTGATAACCGTTGCGGTCTCCACCTACCAAACCAGCTTTAACCGCCGCCGCCTTGAGATCCGAATGGAGATGGACAACACCCGCACCCATGGCCCTGACAAAGAACAAATGATGTTGCTGGGCCGTCTCGACCGCTTTGGTAATCTTGCCGCTACCTCCATTGCCGGTAATAAACACCACATTCGCCCCGCCGAGGAGATTCGGTCGTGTGGCAACCATTTGTTCAACTGTCGCCGATCCAAAAGGTAGACTCCGTGATTTGATCGCATTATCCAAAGCGTCGCTTTTGCCCGCGGCGAGGAGATAGGGGTGCCAGTCGACGATAGTGGAGGAGGGATGAGGGGTTGTATTGCTGTCACCATCATCATCATCATCATCATCATCATCTTCTCTGACGTTGTCACTCCCATGTTCAATATGTTCAATACATGCATCAATCCACTTATCACTCAAACAAGGCAACCCCAATGCCAAAGCTTGCATGTACTTGACCTTACGCGAATGTTGGTCTGTCAATAGAGCGGCGAATTCTAGGTTTGCGTACTGAGATTGTAGTTCCATGGTGGTGGAGTCAACCAAGTCAGCAAACGATGTCGAGAGGACTTTTCCGCCGTGCTGTTCGATCAGAAGCTCTAATTGTTCTTTCCGCTCTTCTTCGTGTGAGATGGCGAATGCCATGTTGTGGAATAGACCTGGTGAGGTATGGGGTGTGGTGGAGGTTGTGGAGGTTGTGGAATAGAGGGTTGGAGGTGGATGAGGAACGGTTCCCGCTGTAGGAAGGAGAGTGGATCGACGGTGCCGTGATGTCGGTGTCGTGGGCGTGGATGACCGTTGCGCGGGTGTGGAAGTACCTCCGAGCAGCGGTAGTCCTGTGGACAGGTCGTCCTCAAGCTTATACTCATAAGGACGATCCTTCATTTGCCGCCACATATTACTGTCGAGATACAGAGCCGACACAGGGACTTCTTTGACAGAGTCGGTAGAGATATCGACCGGAAGACTCTTGCGTTGCTTTGGCGCGACCAGGACAGTATCATGGCCGTACACGTCGGTCATGGAGGGTGACATTTTCGTTCCGCTGGATGCTTTGCGTTCACCATGGTGGGTCTTCAACCCTCGTACCACGTGAGGTAGTTTGGGAAACCCTTCCAGGTTGATCTTGACTAGGTCGCCGGTCCGAACTTCCAGACTACAGAGGCCATATTCGTCAATATCCTGTGGATCATACCCTTCCCATTGGATTAGAAATCTTTTCGTGTCAGATCCGGCCATTCCTACGCATCGTGCGGGATAGTAGGCTTTGGTCTTGCCGTTGAAGCAGGCGAATACCATGTTTGGTGCTGCCCGGGCTGGTGCCGCTGCTGGTGCCGATGGTGTTGGCGTGGCTCCTGCTTCTGGAGGACCTGCAGTTGGTCTACCCGGATCAGTGCTGGTCTCAACTTGCGGCGTTTGAGGACGTCTATCTCGTGGGGATTCAGTATGTGATTCGATTTGTTTGTCCTGACTCCGTATTAGTGTATGATCAAGTGCCGCGCTTGGTCGACTATCAGGTTCGACGTTATCAGTTTCAATCCTGGAGCCTTTTATGGCCTTTGGCTCCAGTGCCGTGTTCGAGGCTTCGATTTGATGGGCGGATTCGTATGCTGCAGATGGAGGAGATGGAGTTGGAACAGTCTCGTGGGCAGGTTCGTCATGTACTTGCGTCGTATTTTGAGCGGCTTTGGTAGAGGTATCAATGACTTCTGGACCAGGTGTCCGTTTTTTCAACGATTTAACCTTGCGTAAGGATTTTGGATTCCCTGACTTGGGCGTCGAAGCGATAGACCTGAACACCGGAACTGCTTTTGGTGGAGGTGAAGCTCCTATTTCCCATCGCGAGGATTCAACCCTTTTCTCCGACACGGGTTTGTCCTTGAGTGCACTGAGAAGTTTTGTCGAGGGTTTGCGTGTCCTTCGAGAATATTTTGACGTTGCCACCATTAGTGGAGTCTCCAATACGGGCTCAGCCTGCTCCTGTGGAGTTTTCTGCCTTTCCGTCGAAACATCGTCCGCCTCGTCCAACTCAGCATAACCAGTTTGTTTTACCGACGGAGAGACTGGGGATGGTGGCGAAACAGCTGCGTGAAAGTCGTGCACACTAAGCTGGCTCCCCCCAAATTCACCTTGTTCATGATCACCTCCAAATAGATCACTTATGCTAAAAACACCTTGCGATTGAGATTTCTGGGGTGATTGTATCGCCTCAACATCCTGCAAACGCACCCTTTCGACACCAGGAGGAGTAGCTGAAGGTGGCGGACTGCTTAGATCAATGTCTCGTTGTGAGTTGTTCGTAGACGGACGCGGTCGTGATCGTGCGGTATCGAATTCAGTCGAACTGGTATTGACTCCACTTTGGTTGTGCTCCGAGCGGATGGTATGTTGTACATCCCTCTCATTGGAACTGGTTTCAGGGACGGTGCTTCTTCGTCCAAGTTGGAATCTTTGAGACGATGGCTGGATGACATGAGGGAGTGCAGAATCCATTTTCGGTAGCGCACGTGTGTTAACCTCCTCTTCTTCTGTTTGCGACATGGTTGGAGACTGTGAAACAAACTCAACCCCGTCCCGTCCACTCGATTTTGGATTCTGAGCATGTTCACTTTCTCTCTTCTTTGTCTGAGATGGCTGGGAATTAGCCACTGCAGACGGTTGCGAACTATCCCCAAATTGTCGGTTAGAGGTCCGATGATTCAAACGAGGTCTCGGTAAAGGACTATCTTGGATTCGTAGTGATGATCCAATGAGGGCATGTTGTAATCTTGCCGTGGTTTCTGGCACTTGACCCCCCACCTCTGACAAGTTTTCTTTGTCCTCGCCATCCAAAGCTTCATATCCCTGACTTGATCTCGTGACTGCAATGTCCGTGTTATCTTCCTGGTCTGTTTCGGCCTCGCTGTCATTTTCCAGCTCACTCTGTGGAGAACTCGGGTGTATCACTCGGTGAGAAGAGGCGGCAAGCATGGTCTTTGGTCTCTGTTCCGTCGGACGAATAGGGGAAGGTTTTTTCGCCGGCGTGGAATGCTTTTTCTTAGTCGGCGACGAAACAGTCTCAAAGGCAGCTTTGGTCTTTGTATTCTTTTCACGTGTTCTCCTATCCGCGGCTGAGATACTGTCATCAAATTCGTCGTCAGAACCGTCAGCGACGCTAGAAGAGTCTTTTAACAACTGTATTCTAGCTAGCTTTTCTCTTCTAGCCTGAGATTCTTTTGAAGATACATAGCGAGTCGCGGGTTCGGTAGAGGCTCTGGGGAAATCTGAGATCAATCTCATAGGAGACGAGGTGACGGTGACTGGTCTCGGTCGTAATTTAATGTTTGGAGATGGACGATCCGAGGGTAAAGCGATGTTGGTCGTGAAAGGGGAAGTATCTGCTTGAGTAGCGGCAAAAGCCTGACTGAGACCTATGACATGGCCCACATTTTGAAGAGGATTGCGTGGCAATTCTGGGCTGTCGACGAAATCTCCATTGTATCTTCTCTTTTTGCCCACCGTAACCGGTGTCTTAAAACGCTGTGATTCCGGGAATTGAGACAGGGGCTGTGGTGACTGGCTCGGAGAGAAGTCGACTTGAACAGGTTCGGTGTCGAGGTCTGGATCGTGTTGATTATGAGGTCGGTCGAAATAAGACAACAGGTCAACATGTCCATCGTCCCCCTCATTCAATGTCATCTGGGTCTCCTGCTGGCCATTAGGGAGTCTCGCGCTGCGGCTTCTATTGATGAGGGATTCGAAATGAGAAGGAGATAGCACCTGGGTCGCGTTATCTTCGACCTGACTCATGATTGTGTCGAGCACCTTATGCACGGCATTGGCGGGGACTTGAGAATCGGGGACCGTACTAGGTTGGGTGGGATTGGTATCGTCTTGGTTTTGGGGAAGAATGGGTGACATGTGTGACAAGGCAGTTTGGACGGCTTGCCGCGTTTGGGTGCCTGGCGGTAAGTATTCTGAACCAGGCTGTTCTAACCGTGACTAAAACAATGGAAAGGATGTGAGATGGCGCAACCATGCAACTAGCGTGGGTAGATATGACCAGGATTGGGAGTGAGGCTGAGTCTTACCTGGAGGCTAGAGAGCATTTCATTCTTGAGACTTGTGATATCGATACTCCCACTATCAGTCTCCATGATATCCAGGGTGGACTAGGGGATGTTCATCATAACCAAACACAGGTAAATTCGGTGCCAGCCGTAGTGGAAAATGTCAGAGCGTCTGTGTGTTGAACAAGTCAAAGCATGCGACGTTGGATGGCAAAACGCGTGCCACTTTTTAATTGGGAGACGCGACACGAAGAAGACGCGGGGCAACGTGATTTAATTGGTGGGGAGAGATGTGATTGGTGGATGTAAAGTGGTTCAGCCTTGTCATCCCACGTGACTCAGCCTTGCTCAATTTGGTCAATATCTTCATTTCACTGTACAAGATAACTTCTTTCGTTCTTCTGCTGTGTATACCATATACTAACCTCCACAAAGACATTCCACTCAAGAACATCGCATACGAATCTCTGTGTACCTGTTATTGAAAAGGTCTCAATAGCCTCAGCCCTACCACCAATACACCAACCGTTATCCCCCACCAATCTGATAGGCATATGACAGCTGCCAACCACATTCAACCCCCAAATCCTGAACCTTTGTTGCTCAAACAACCATCCTGAACTTGAACTTGTCGTCCTTCACAATCTCATCCTTTTTGGCCTCCAACTGATCGACATCCCAAGCAGCAGCCAGATACCTACCACCAAGCCACTCTCTCCTCTCCTTGGTCAACCAGGTCAAGAAACCCCCCGGAAGAGAGATGTCGTCTGTCAACACTACATCGCGCACCAAGTCAGCACACATTCTTTCATCCCACTGATCAAACATCCAAAGGACCATATAACTTACAGGTCGCCCAATCATCACCCTCCTTCGTCGAATGCAATTCCGTCTGCGGGGTAATGACAGCGCCTGGATGCAAGGCAAAAGCCTGAATCCCATCCTTGACGTGATCATTATGAATATGTTCAATGATACGATTCATAGCCAACTTGCTGACATTGTAGGCCGTTGGGATGAACTCAGACCTATCGACATGCGAAGCCAAACTCGTCACAGCGACAAACGCACGCACCTTAGACTGATTATTGCTCTTGTCCAAAAGCAACGGAGTCATGTATTTGGCCGTGTAATACGTTCCGAGCAGATTGATGTTGATCACACGTTGGAAATCATCATCCTCAATGATCCCAACAGGTAGGCGACGGTTAGTCTTTTCTCCAGTCTGTGGATCCTCGTCATATAGGTATTTGGAGATGATTCCTGCGTTGGCCACCACGACGTCCAAACGTCCGCCGAATGTTTCTCGTACTTGGTCGGCAAGTTTCTTCACATCTTCGGGTTTAGTCGTGTCGGTGATCTGAGCGAGGATCTGGATTTGTGGGTTGATTTGGAGGAGGTCTTTGGATAGTTTGTCCAGGTCGGATTGTGTTCGGCTGGAGATGGCGATTCCTGATACTCCGGCTCGTGCGTATGCGAGGGAGATGTTGTATCCAAGTCCCTTTCCTGCTCCGGTCACTACCACTACAAACGGGGTCGAGACTTTGTTGTTTTCTGGCAGTGTTGATCCTTCGGCTTTGGTGTGGATTGTCTCGGTGAAATCCACGCCCCAATGTGAGGGTGGTCTAGAAGCCATGTTTCTGGGAGAAGGGGTGAGGTGTATTCCTGGAGATGTCTTGGACAAATGATCATTTTAATGTCATCAATAGTAGAAGACCTCGATTTTACAAGCTATGGACTGAAATACTACATGTTCTACTTAAGTGGGGTCGTTTGTCAACATTGCGGTGTCAGTCGGTTTTGGCCTCGGCTATGTCGATTGCTCACAAGCTGCCCTGACTACGAACCGCGTGCCAACCCATCCTACCACAATCGCTTTATTTGATCTATGCATGCGTCTTCAATAGAGATGTGGAGGGTAACGCGGAGATCCTCGGACCTTGCCGATATTGATGACAAGCTCTAACTAAATACCTATCCGTAATATTGAAGACTTTCCCGAAGTCCTCGTGTAACTGGAGGTACCGGGACTACTAACCTCATCGGTCAGGGGGAAAATCCCTGATCACACTGCGGTTACACTCACAATGCTGGAGAAGCGTTTAAGTCGCATGTTGGCCTTTCTGTAAGGATCCGCTTGTTGCTCATTACTATCATTCGAGAGATGGTTGTTAAACCATCAGGTAGTATAGATGCTAATTGATTGTTCATACGGTTTAATTTCTAACCCTAAGGAACGAAAGCATACTAGAGAGAAATGGATGGAGAGGAATGCCTGCCCAAAATCACTGTCAATCTTCTAATTCAGCTTCTTGAGGATAGGGTATGTTCTAAGCTCTAGGTTGTCCTATGGCGTTTCAGCTCTAGCAAGTAATAGTCTTCCTCTCCTTTTCGACCGATTCGCCGCGTTCCAAGGCTCGTATCTCGTGAGGTCACATCGCTCGGCCCATCTCGCTCGCCTGTCAAGAGAGCGGCACGCTCGTCAGGTAGCATGATAGCACGGTCAAGGTTATATGGTAGCATGCGGTGGCGACCACGGATCATCATGGCACAGATGACGACCTTGCTGAACACAGTGAATTGTCCACTAAGACTGGTGTTGACGTCCGGATAGCCTAGGCTGAGTCCAACGTTACCGTAGGCGGAGACCACTTCAAAGAAGATCCCAAATACACTAAAAGCAGGGTCGTCTGGGTCGGAAAGCCGTGAGCTTTCTGCGATGCTGATACAGAAAATTCCCAAGAAGATATACCACAGATCGAAGGAGAGTTGGTTCTGTAGATGGGTGACGAGATACGACCGTGTGTCTTGTTCGTCAAGTTCGTGATCGTGAATTCCAGTATAGAGGCCCAACGAACGCTCTTCGTAGGTGTTTGAACTTCGGATGGACATGGCAATTGGAAAGACAGCGATGTACATCATCACGAGTAGCGAGATCTGAACGGCTGGGTTGACTTGAGCGAGATTGAAGGTGGCAGTGCCCGTGTGTCGCGAGGAGGCGGCTTGGAAGAGCGCGGCGAGGATGCGTGGGCCCATGGGTAAACCTTCAGTGACTTCACTGTTGTCGAGATCAAGGACGATGATGAGGATGACGTCCAGGGTGTTGAGTGCTATGAGAATGCCGAAGAGAATCCAGGTGGGTTTGCTAGGGAAGAGCAAGGTATAGCAGCGACGAGGGTGCTCGAGGAGAAACCTGAGTGGGTCGAGCAATTTGCTTCGTTTTGGGGCGAACTTGTACATGAGCCAAATTACCAGCCGCAGGAATATTGGATAGCAAGTATTACCAGCAAACGCTAAGAACGTCATTATCAGCATCGGCCAAGTGGCGTTTCTGAAGGAAATCATCGAGTCCGGGGTGAGAGTGAATCCTAGGTTGTTTATCATAGTTTGCGCCGAATAGAACGCCCACCATGTACGTGACTGGCCAATCTCAGCCAAATAGCCTTGGTACTGGGCTGCGGCGCTGTGAATCCAAGGAAGGATACAGATGATGCCGAGGAGATGCAGGCCAAAGAAATACGCTGTGACGGTGTCTGTTAGTAGAGGGGAGGACTCGAGATCATATAGGGCACGGACCGACGGTCACCCTCAGGAGTAACTTGAGTGCCACATACTCGACACCGCCCAGGACGTCTCGGTCCTCAGCGGACAAGTTGTAAAAGCGCGAATTTCTTCCGAGAGAGGCTTGGGTGGAGAGCTTTGGCATTTCCTTTGGCATGGGTCTTTCTCTCAATATGCTGGTTCTCGATCGCCTTGCGCTATTGGGCCCAATCGAGAACGCAGATGAAGCAACACGCTCGAGGGCATTGCCTTTCTTTCCTTCGTTGAGCTTGGGTGCGGATGTCTCCGTCGCAATCTCGCGGTCTTTATTCGTTGCAGTACCAGGGGTGCCACGACTGACCTCGACGAGGAGGTTAGGGTGACCCATATCTCTAAGATGAGGTGGGAGGATACGCAGTGCCTGTTCAGTCGGAACCTTTGACGAAGGGTCATCAAAAGTAATCGTGTTAGTCTTCCTGAAAGGCTGGCTCGCTGCCTCTTCATGGCTGTCGATCTTTATCTGTGCATTGGGTGCGCCGGATTCCACATCTTCTATGAATGTGATCTGTTTGACAGGAAAGACTTTTGGAGTAAGTGATTCGGCTGTCTTCCTGTTACTCATGGCGACAGCAGCATGGGGGGAATTCTAACCTCTTCGCTTGAAGTGTTCTCTGAACCAGTAGAGGCGAACGACAACAACGATGATGTTGATGAAAGCAAAATTGGTTATGACGGGTGCAACGTAAATGACTATCTGCTGGTAGAGTCTAAGATCCTTGACGTCCACACTGGCGGCATTAGGAACACTCTTGTTGAACCAGAGGGATTTCGACCAACGTGTTAAGACCACTTTCTGTACTTCCACTCACACCGAAGAAAAATGCATCTATGGCGGAGACGTTTCCTTTTCCAACGATGATAATGAAACTCAACAGCGAACAGGTGACGATGTAGAGATCTTTCGTAGTGTTAGCGATCCTCCCAATCTAAAGGATAGTGGGAGCGCACAATGGAGACTGAGGAACGTGACAGGAGGTTTCCACATCGCGAGGTAATCAGATACCTCGCGTGCGATGGCAGACACTTAAGAGAAGGGAGAGTTGTGGTATTTTGGAGGGGCAGAGGTATTCTGAAATACTATTTTATACTGAATCAATCCCATAGAGCTTCCATGGCCGACTTTTGACGCATATCTTCGGTAATGACAGCGGATCATTGCAAGTACGGCTATCGCATCACACGCACGATGGGTTAAGTTAAGATACTATACCAAACCGCTTAGCCTCAGCAAGCACTCCATGGCCAAGACGTTCACGTCCGTCTTGCCGGCGTTGCGCCAAAACAATTAATCTATTGGCTATACCTGACCCTACACATCTACTCGTCTACTTGCTCCGTAAAACTACCCATCGACGCAGATAATGCAGTGAAAAAGCCGCCCGATTACTAGTCAGTCTCACAATCTTTGCTTTGTCCTGGCCCACAGGTCCTATGCAATGCAAAGTCTACCTTGGATGCTGGCTGTGAAATACGCCTGTACATACTAGAAAGTGCTCCAGGATATCTGCAGCTTTTGGTTTTAGCGCCGGCTTCTTGCCCGGCTCGATCCTACGACACGCATCAAATGGCATTCATCTGCCACTCTTGGACACAGTACGCAGTAAAACACATCACTGCCTTTGAGACTAGACGAAGGTTGAGCATCCCAGCGTTTCTCTCACTGGGTGATTATCCAGGGGTTGGCTGAGCGCTTTCGTCGCGATCCGATTCTTAGCCGCAGGCTCCACAATCACCAGCAAATTCCACAGCGCAGAGGAGGCGCAGTCTGCATGTCCAGGTTGCAGATCTTACCTGTGCGTGCTGTGGACAAAGAACTCGAATCGACTCTCGCTTACCTGGGAATCTTCCCAGTAGTAGATGGGAAAGAATTTAAATTACGTCAGGTAAGCCTGCTCGACTTTGGTCACGCATAGACCATGCGTCCACGAGCATCGAGTGGTGAACACTAAACCCTGGATCGTTGTTGATATGTCCAGGGTATTTGCATGACCTCCGTCTTGCCGGTGTGGCTGAAGAACTGCTAGATTTGTAGGCTCTGCAGCACTCGCAGCCAACAGATTCATTCAAAGTCAGCTGCGTCTCACCACATTTCAAAACCTTCAATCTTCCCTTCTATGATCCTCACCCTTTCCCTTGCAAAGCTACCTTTACACACACTCAGTCACCCACGTGAACCTTCAGCTGACGCTCTCATTCGCCAAGACACATATATTCATCTCTTAATAGAGCCGACCAGCAGGTCTATGGCTGAAGAGACCATCTTTATTGTCTATAGCAACAGCACCACTCTCTGGGGCCAGCTGGCATACGGCATCCGTCGTATGAGTGCGACGGTTGCTGGCACCCCGTGTCCTGCACTTGAACTTACTCACGGCGGCCTCGGTTCCAGTGAGAGGCCTGAGTGGGCGCGGGCCAAGAAAGAAATTCCCGTCGATCTCAAGCAGCAACACTTTGATGAGATTCCGTCAGATGTTAGTCCCCCCTCCGCCTCGCCATGTCAATTTAGCCTTGCCACCTGGCATCACGGACGTATCGCTTACACTCACGCAGCTCAAGCACTACATCGAGGTGAACAAATATGAGTTTCCCTGCGTGGTAGGCAGGACAACCGACGGGCGCTTCCACATGCTTTTCGCCGACAGTGAGCTTCCGGATTTCGTGCACAATCCTGCCAAGTTCGTGAATACTTTACGGAAGAGGGCTGTTGACGCTGGTATGACTTGGAAATGATCGACCACGCTATAGAAGCAACACCTTGTCTCAGAAGTCTATACCTAGCTAGTAATGCTGATAATGGCGCTCAAATCTTCTCGTTCCCGGCAGGCAGGTTCGTGCCGCTGTTGTTCTCGCTCCAGTCAAAAAAGTCCCCATACGCCCTCTTCTCGAGATCATCGCTTGTCTGACCCATCTTCCTTGCGCGTCGGCGGAAGAATATTCGCTTGCCCCATTTCCACGCTTCGATGCCGCTGAAGAACAGCACCGCTTCTACGAAGACAATGCCCCACTCCCATGAAATTCCTGTCTGTTTGAAGACATCGTGATTTAGAACCTGTGATGAGAGATTAGTCGAATTGATGATTCCGATTCGAGAAACACTGTAAAACTGATTCGAGTTGGCAAGGGCATGGAGAAACTCACAGGAATATAGAGGGTAGGGAAAATTGTAACAAAGCCAGCAATAACCGCCCAGAACAGGAAAGGGTTCCTCCACACATCATACATCCACTGAGTGAAAGGCCTTTTGGTCTTGGGCTGCATACGGAAAAAGCTTCTCCGCATGTTGACCATCTCCCACGCAAGGAAAAGCGCGAACCAGGTGAGCGACACGAACGTCGTAGCACGAGCCCGAAAGACCGTATCACACTGTTCAGAATATGAGGTGTTACAACCCTCACCTAGGTTGCCATCACCAAAGGCGTAGACCACCAGAAGGAAGGAGGACAGGCAGAGTGAAGCCATCCATAATCCGTAGGCGAGCATATCACAGCAGACTTCCCACGTGAATATTCCCACTTTGAGTGGCATAGGAGGACGTTCAAGGATATCTGGTGCAGCAATTTCCAGGCCAAGACCCATGTCAGGCATGCCGGATGTGATCATGATGACCCACATGATCTGTACCGGGGCTAGTGGGAAGACCGAAAGCCCCGTGCTGTCCTTGAAGGCTAGCCCGATCAGAAGTGTACAAGCCTGTGCGATGTTCTCCGCGAGAAGGTGTAGAATGAACTTTTGAATGTTGTCGAACATCCGTCTACCTTCTTCGATAGCATTGAGAATCGAGGCGAAGTTGTCGTCAGTCAGGACGATGTCAGCTGCGTCCTTGGCTACGTCGGAGCCAGCCATACCCATGGCAATACCGACGTCTGCGATCTTTAGGGAAGGAGAATCATTCACGCCGTCACCAGTCTGTATAAGAACTCAGTATTTCTAACTCCACTTGGGTCAACTTCTCGTGGGACATACCATGGCCATGAAAGCGTCTCTCCGCCGAAGTGCCTCGATCATGCGGACCTTCGTGTTGGGAGCGCATCGAGCAATGACAAGAGGTAATACTGGCAATTGATCCAGTTCCGAATCGGAATATTTATCGAACTCTTTCGCCGTCATGACCATGCTCTTTGCAACTTTTGCAGAGACCTTGGACATATCAGGCAGAATGTTCACCTGCTTAGCGATAGCACTAGCAGTTTCGGGATGGTCGCCGGTAAGCATGTGGACTTTAATGCCTGCTCGGTGGCATCGTTTGACCGCAGTGGCGGATTCTGGACGAGGCGGGTCGTACAAGCCGATGAGGCCACGAAAGACGAGATCACGCTCAATCTCCTCCCTAGGGGGAGGTCCATCACGCGATGCACGTCGACCATTACGGGCATCATAGTCGCGGCTGGCAAGTGCAAGAACGCGAAGACCCTGAGATGCCAGAGCTTCCATGACTTCGAGGGTTTTTTCCTTCAAGGAGTCGGAATAATCGATCGTCTCGCCCTTATCCCAGACTATCGAGACACATGAGTCAATGACTCGCTCGACGGCACCTTTCGTGTAAATCGTCTGAGCTTGGCTCTGGCGGTCCTCGAAAATCACCGACATCTTTTTGACGTCAGAATCGAAAGGATATTCGCTCACTTGTTTGCTTGTTGCGCCCTCGCCCCCCGCGATATCATGACGGTTGTAGTCAAATCTAGATGCAAACACTTGAAGGGCAATTTCGGTAGGGTCTCCGACGGCGGTCCACTGTCCTTCGTTATTCTTGTGTACGCGAGCAACATTGCACAATGAGGCGACTTTCAGAAAGGCCTCGAAATCGGCGTTGTCTTTCAGCAACTCGCTAGCGGCGACAGAGTCGCTTTCGGATACTTCGTCGCTGTCGGCTGAGCCTTTGGCTGGAGGATTGGCTGAGTGCACAAGGGCACCAATTGTTGGGTCAAAAGGATTATTGGACACTCCTACCGAGTAGGTGCCTCTGCTAGGAATCCAGGCCTTTTTAGCCACCATTTTCCCTTGCGTTAAGGTGCCAGTCTTATCGGAGCAGATATCTGTTACAGCTCCTAGGGCCTCCAATGACTTAAGATTCCGCACGATGACATTTCTTTGAACCATGTGTTTAGTTCCCACCGCCATAGTGATAGTCAAAACCACGATTAAAGAAGCAGGAATCATACTGAGACCTGTAGCGACTGCGTAGATAATAACTTCCGTTCTGTCCGAAAACTCGTTTGCAGCCAGGACGATAATGGCGCAGACAACTGCAATCCAGAAAAGAAGTATTGCGAGGCGTGAGAGCTTTCTTTGTAAAGGTGTTCCGACATTGACGCCAAGGAAGTGTCCAATGAAGTCGCCGACTGTTAGGATCCATGCCTGCGCGTGAACTAGAGGAGATGCAGTACCATCATCACGACGCTTAACAGGTCGTCGTTTGGAGTCCTTTTTTCGCAGACTCTGGGCGATTGATCCAATTTCAGTGTACATGCCTGTAGCGTAGACAACACCCCGAGCGCGGCCCTTGGTCACGGTTGACGAACTATAGACAACGTTCAATCGATCACCAGGGCCGGTGTCTTCGTCAAAGACCGTCGACTCATCTTTGGCGACGGGAAGCGATTCCCCGGTCAGTAAGGCCTCGTCGGTTTCAAGATTGATCGACTCAATGAGTCTGGGCAATAGTCAGCACAGATTTCTGCAACGCCCAAGGGCCTAAGGACGTACCTCAGATCCGCTGGCACGGTGTCTCCAACTTTGAGCACGACCACGTCTCCTACCACAAGCTCAGCGGTGGGGACGTTGACGATGCTTCCATCACGAACCACATTGGCGGTGGGTGAGCTGAGCGATCGCAAGGAGTCCATAGTCTTTTCAGCCTGGAACTCCTGGAGAAATCCGACGATGATATTTAACACGATAACAGCAGTAACCACACCACCTTCGATCCAAGATTTGATGGCAAAGGAAACTACCATGGCCATGATGAGAACCAGCATCATAGCGTTGGCGACCTGACGAATCAAGATTTTGATGGGCTGAACGCCAGGGCCATCGTCGAGTTCATTGCGGCCAAACTCGTTTAGTTTGTGGCCTGCTTGCGTTTCTGAAAAGCCATTTTCAGGATCGGCTTCGAGTTCTCGAACCAAGGTATCGCAGTCCAAGGCATGAGCAGGCTTGCTCATTGGCTTATTGCTCTGGCCCGACACGTGATTTTCCATGACGTTAGACGGTCTAAGAATCAGAAGTTGGTCAAAGGATTGGATTGAAGAAAGAGTACACTTAAACCATCAAATATGATTTCACATTTCACCGAGCGTAGCATTTGATCTCCGGGTCGGCAGCAACTGCGATCCCCACAGGCATCCAAGACAAGTTTGAACGCCGCTACTGCCTGGGCAGACAAGCGCCGTGCACTGCAGCAAAGAATGCACGACTAATAGGGACAGCTTGCCCATCGTGCGCGTCCTCTGTAATTTGTTCAGGAGATAAGAAATGCGTCGGGTAACGGGTTACTCAATATTACAGCAACGGTTAGCATCGACCCACCGACCCACCGACCCACCGACCCACCCGGATTGCAAACTTTACTCGCGTCGATCACGAGAATGCCAAGACTTCCACCTCCGTCTTCCCGTAGCCATGACCCTCCACATCTCTTACTCTCGCCGCTTCACAATCGCCGCCGTGACGCAACAGCTGAAATCTTTGGTCATACCCTGATCCTGACCCTACTTGAATTTCGAGCCGTGGCCGAAGCCGAGAACCTCTGGCCGCGTCGCCAGTGCTTTGCAAGTCCCAGCCTTGCCTTTTGCCGCCCTGATCAACCACTACGACTATGAAGAGGGTACACGCACAGCAAGCCGAAGCCAACTCCGTCCGCAAAAGTCAACATGGTCATCCCAAACGAAAGAGTCACCGTCGCTCACCCTGGGCCTGTGACGAATGTCGACTCCGCAAACGCAAGTGCGATGGCTCACAGCCTTGTCAGCCTTGTGTAGCATCTGACCTAGGTCTTCCATATTGCTGTGCCACTAACAACCACCAGCTGACGGATATGCAGAATGCGCATATCAATTTCGTCGACCGGCCCCTCCGCCGACACAGAGAATACGGATGCTAGAACAACACCTTCGCCAAGCATATCTGCTTCTTCAGAGCCATGCTCAGCATCACCCGCGCTCAGATCAATTGAGCCTCAAACCAGTATTGGACATTTTGAACTTTGGGGTTGCCCCGTCAGGACCGTCGAACACGGTCGATTGGCAGGACGACCTCGGCCGGGGTTCAAACATCAATAGCATGCTGGCAGGCTGTCGACGCCTAATTTCATCACCACCGTGGAACACCTCCCTTTACGGACCCCTATCAGAAACCGCCTTTATTCTGCGTACACTAGAGATCTTCAATCTCGACAGAGCAGGTGTCCGCCAGGCTTTGCTGCCTATTCTCGGAATATTCGACCTGCCGTTACCTACGACTACAGAACCAAAGGGACACTTTAATCTTCCGCGACTTTCATTGCCTTGGACCCCAAACAATTTGCCCAACAGAGACGATGCTACGCGTCTGCTAGACTCGGTGTTCAAGCGCACGCATCCATGCCTCGATTTTCTCCATGAGGCATCTTTCTGCAGTATGGTCACTATACTTTACAGCCAGTCTCCGGAAGAAAACGATACCCGAACTCAGTTCTTACCCCTCTTCCACCAAGCGATTGCTCTAGGCTACCTTTGGGATCGTGACTGGCATCGACAACATGGATGTCAGGTTGCCATGGACAGTGCCATGTTCCACTTCAAGATTGGACAGAAACTCCTCGATACCACACAGTTGGACTCTCTGATGTCTTTGCAAGCACTCTTGTGCAGCGCAATCTTTCTCATCTCCACTTCACGAATCTCTCGCGCCTACACAATCCTCGGTCTGGCGTCTTCCACCGCCATTAGACTCGGCCTCCATTGCGACGTCACCGCAAAGCCAAACATTGCATGGCAGGAGCGCTCTATGCGCATAGCGGCCTTCATGAGCCTCGGAAGACTCGACCTATACGCCAGCCTCATGCTCGACCTGCCCGCTCTCCTGCCAGACACTGTTCTCGATACTGGTATCAACACAGTCTATGCCACACTTGGCCACTGCTCCACGCGTGAGCTTGACAAAAACATAGAGGCCTCCATCCAGCACTTGGAGCTATTGAGATTCACGAGCACAACCCGCCGAGCGGTCTTTACGGATGTCACGACTGGTGAGGCAGTAGAATCCATCGATTCAAACCTTCTGGCCGCCTTGGACGAAAGGCTTCGTCAGTGGACGCAGAAAATTTCTCATCTTCTTGCACAAGTCACCCAAAAAGAAAGAAACTCCGAGTATGTGACCATGCTTTCCTTTGACACTCTAGCTTCCATCGAGCAATTGACCGCGCTGCGCTGCTATATGATGTCCTCGCCAGGCGTCTCGCCGACCGATTGCCGGGCCATCGGCGCCGGAAGATGTCAGTAGATACCAGTCTTTCTTTTTTTGCTAACCGACAAGCACAGGATATCCCGTCACCTTGAAATGGCGTGCAACTTCGCACAACTCAGCTTTTACAGGCCATTCCTACCATATCTCCGTATCATGGCTGAAGGGAAAGCCATCCCTCTTTCGCATTCACGCCACGCGCTTGCTTGCATCAAGTTGGCTTCCACGACCATTACGCGTCTCGAGTCAAACGCGCTTGCGATGCCCGATGTCCTCCTATCATGGGACACAACGTATACACTGTTCCTGGCGATCATGTGTCTCGTTTTCCTGATATCTGCGCACAAGGGAACCTCTCGTCCCAGCGAGGCGTGGAAACGATGTGAAACTGGCATCCGACTCCTGACCAAAAACGCTTGCATGGAGAACTGTGCAACGACCTGTCTCAAGATGCTCAAAGAGGTGGTTCGGCAATTGAATCATACGGTTGATTTCGACTTTGACTCCATCCAAGACAGCACCGGCAGAATCTGTGCGCCGAAGCCTTCGCCACGTCGCTCCGTGGTCCGTCGTCATTCCCAGGATCTTGACGTGTGGTGGAATCGAGCCGAAGCCGAACGCACGACGAAACCTTCGGTGTTGACTGGGGTGACTGGGAGCCCGAGGATACCGGCAATACCCTCATCTTTGCTACAGGATCAGCCTATGGATGTTGATGCAATCTTAGCGCACGCTGAAGATCTCGCGGTTGGCATTGACCTTGAAGCAGTTTTGAACCATGGTCACGATGGGAGCAGCACTCCTCTCTTCTTGTTCGCCGGAACAAATGATTAAATATAGCGGAATGAAATCATGACGTCTTTGTTTTGCCTATAGTACATGATACCATACACAAAAGGCCACTTGATTTAGCCAAATACTACGCCGCAAGTAGCATATGCATGCCTCTGGCGGCGAAATCTTGGTAAACCAAGGGCTGGCGCGCGTGCTATTCCCTACTTTTTATTACGAAAATACATGCACAGGGTACTTCGGAATCCGGGCGGAGCTTGACATGAAGTATCCCGGAAGTGTGTCGCGAGACTGCTTGGCGTACATGTCATATTTTGGCCTTGGCGATCCGGCAAGACGGCGTTGAAGAAAATTAAAGTCTTTCTTGGAACCGCAACAAAGCTAAGGTTGGGTTGGCGTGAGTCTTGATCAGACGGCATCGGTTTGACCTGGAAGGCAAACCCAAGTCTCCAGACGACAGAGATCTTGCCTACTCATCCTCTCACGTCGCCATTGGATCTGTCTTGCCAGTTCTGTCGAGCTCTTGTCTTGTGTGGATGTGGGGCCAAGAGTTGATGAACCAGCGTCTAAAGTGCCCACATGACTTACGAGGTGTATGTCGCGAAAGGCCTCACAGCCGTCACCGGTATTCCTGCCACAGTACACCATTAATGGGCTCAGGAGACCCAGCGAAAGGAGAACTAGCGACACACGAGACTGATTATGTTGCCACATTGTAGGAAAGTGATATCCATCCTTCATCCAAGTCAACTCTACTGGCAGAAATTATACCTGGTCTTTTTGGTTCTCTGGGATAGCTTCTCTGGCGCGTGTGTCGAACCCCTGTGCACTTATTGCATGCACAGGTGCCGTTGTAGTGGACATGCTTGTGACTGTGCAAGTCGCCATCCTCGCGTCTGTCTATTGAGCCCCAATTAGGATTTCAAAAGACGACGCCGCCATCGAAACATTGCTATCTCGCTATACCTCTTGTTGCAGAACGCCGCGGCTCCTGTAGCACCAAGGCACCCCAAGCGCCGCCACGAACCTCACCGGCTTGTGGTACGCCCACTTCCAGGTCGCGCATCCCCTCGCTAGCTTCCGACGACTCTTCGGCGTCTTCGTCACTACTTGGCGCCCACAATGAGCTTTGACACAGCGGACATCTCGGTCGCCATTTCCGCTGCTGCTGGTGGTCAGACCGCCAGTACGAGTGGCCACGGGTATGGCGACATGGGCGGCAAATCCAAGTCTGCAGACAGTGGGCATGGAAAGCGTGCCCGCATTGAGTGATGACGCGGATGTAGTTGCGTTTATTTTGAAGATCTTTGTCGTTCAAAGAGGGAAACAGAGGGTCAAGACAAATGCTGCAGCTCGTGTCGTCGGCAAGGACGCGCCCTGGATGATTTGGCAAGGCAACTCCGGCTTGTGACGGTGATGGAGGTGGGCTGCGCTGCGTCCGTGCAGGAAGACAGATTAGCTCAGGGTCCGACTGTCGACGCCGAAACACGGAAAGGGGAGATTGGGTCACGCTCTTATTTGACGTTAGAGGCGACGACACCGTGGTCGCCATACTCCGAGCCCGGGTGATGCCAGGTGATTGAGACAACGGGGCGGACATCATCCTCGATTCTTTGAATGTAGAGACAAGGTACAGAACTCCTCGGAAGAAGACCAACTTTGGGGCGGCGTTTTCGAGTCGTTCGGTACGTGTGAGGATCGTTGTACGTCGCTGTCGACGACTGTGATCCGATCTCGAAGGACTGAAAGCCGTTCTGGGGATGCTAAGCACCACACGCCAGTTTTTGAGATTGGGGGTCGTTCTTAGACATTTGACTCTGTATGCTCGCGTAAAATCAGTATCATAGACACTATTACGTTGGCTGACCTGAGACACAGCTTCAATGGAGGGCCTAGCCTTTGGTCGAACGTATACTTGCGTACAAGATGTGGGAGACCAAGATCACCGCAGCGACAACCCCGAGCACGATGAATATATTTCGTGCACGTTCGCCGCTCGACAGGTCTTGTGTATTTGACCCTTCCGCTGATCGGACGACATACATGGTGCTGCTACACAAGGGTTGTGAGCTTTCCGCCGCAGCCCTGTGCTACAAGACTGTTACATATGTAGAGATTCGAATTCATGCGTACGGGGTATTTGATAGCAGGCTATCACACCACCTACAGATCGACCAGTTGGTAGCCAACCCAGCCATACTGATATCAAGAGACAACATAAAAGCGGCCACTCGCCTCCACCCCCGACTGACATTCGACGTTTACTAGGTCAGGCTGGAATGGATGCCAAGGATCCCGTTGCAGACACAACTCGCTCTTGCGGCAAGACGGACGTCAAAGACTTGGCGCGCTAACCCTGCACCAGGGCGGGGCCCGAGAGGTGGGGGGTACATCCGACTGTAGCTCGTCAAAGACTAAGAGCACTACGAGGCACATCGGTCCGGCAATCAAGATGCCACAAGGACGGGATCGTTGCGTCACACACCTATCAGATAACGGGATAGAACATGTGGATGAGTGGTTAGCAGAGACAAATCCGATCGGTTTGTTGCTCTTGATAAGAAAGAGCATCAAGGGCCATGACGCAGATCAAGCCGGCGATCAGACCAGCTGAAGGAAGAGTCAACACCCAACCCTTAAAGATCACCGCAATCTGGCACCGAGTAATGGCTGTAGGCTCATGATTCATGAGAGCTACACCAATGGCGACACCAGTCAGGCGTTGGGTAGTGGAGAATGGCAGACCGAGACGAGAAGACATGAGGACTGACAATTGTGGTGGCAGCGTCCAATTTAATCATTGTCAGTCATGAGCGACGCTAAAAGTGCACTGCGAGTGGTCCTACCCAAGAAATCTCATCCCATGATGATATCGTATCTCAAGCGTGTCTCATACATTCGTCATCTCATGTTCCATTATCATATTCAATCCCGACCCCTGTTGGGTGTCCAGCGTCGTAAATTCACATCACGAATTTTGTACCTGGAAAGGAGATTGCCAATATCAACACTCTTGCCTCTCTCGCCGTCATGCAGTGGCGGAGGCACGTCGACATAACACAATACCAGTTGTTTGTGGACTTGGGCCTGGACGCGATTCACTCCATGTAACCACCACCAGCCCTTTTTCTTTTCCATTTTCCTGTCAGCCCAATAGGGATCATTGTACGATGGTACAATCACCACGGCAAATTCTGCATGGGAGAATGCCGGACCTCGATTGTAAAGGAGATAATCAGTCGAAAATTTGACGCCTGATCTCACCACCCAACCGAGAGAGCGATAGTGATGATAGACCACGTAAGATAGCACAAAAGGATCATTTGGTTCTTCGGGCAGCGATAGTGACCGAGGCGGGTGATATGAACGTCGTCGAAAAAGTGACAATAGAGACGACGGCTGGAGAATAGCTTCACTGTCGTCACAGTACACATTCAAGGTGCCCAGTGCATATGACAAAAAGAAAGCTTCTTCCAACGACAGCGTCAAGTGTTCTTGATTTTCTTGGGTTGGTGTTTCTAACGGGACCGTGTCTTCAAGAGGCGAGATGCCTGGTTGTTTGATGGGAGACATTACTGGTGAACTCAGGTCAAATTCTCGAGCCTCGATTGTGGGCGAAAATCGCACAGTTTTGGTTCTTTGGAGTCGTTTTGTGGGTCGCATCTCCGGATGACTGGCGTCGGAAGAAGTCGAAGTAGGTGGCGGGGTTGGGATACCATTCGCTTCAATCTGTTTTTTCCATTCATCATACCCATGAATTGAGCCGTTCTCCTTATCGTCGACAGAAGGCGACTCCAGGACGCTGGCAATGTCACTTAGATCTCGCGCGTTCGTCTTGAGAACGTTTCCCTGAGCGATCCCCAGAATATTCCCATTTGGAACATTTTGAGACTCTTCCGACAAGGTTTGATCGATTTCCTGCTGTTCTTTTCTAGCTCGCTCCAACTTTTGTTGTCTTCGTTCTTGTCGACGTGAGGCAGTATTCTCTTCTGCCGTGGATCCCTTCTTCTTTCGATTTTCTAACCAAGTCGGCTCGCTTCGGCTTAGATTCCCCCGGCCGAAAAAGCCCATTTCCCATAGCTTCCGGATTGTGTTAGGGTCGGTGACATGTATTGACGAGGTGACTGAAGAAAAGTATCCATTGTATTTGGGTTGTGAGGGAGGGAGAAGGACTTGGCAGAGATAGGACAAGGCAATTGCGACCAAAGAGAGTGGATTGTGAGGTATGAGTACAGGTAATGGGTGAACCTCGACGGGTAGTAAGTTCCGGTGGATGTAGTTGTAATTAGGTCGGCGTGGGCGTGGGCGTTTGGGTGGCTTGGGAGGATTAGAAGCTTGAGCTTCAGCCGATGAAGCCGGAGAGGCAGACATCATCTATTCATGGTCTTTGAAGGTAGAGTCAGCAGAAGATCAAATCTGGTGATCCCAAAGTTTATGACTTGATCGTGTGTGCTCAGATACCGTTGTAGTCTAATACAAGTGCCCGCATTGGAGGATGCTGAAATCAAAATGCAACCTTCTAGGCAATAAAAGTGGTCATCATAGAGGAGTAAAGGCGAGAGTGGTGTGACTCGACGGGGTAAGCTAAGAGCGAGATACTTACTTGAGATTCCGAGAAGCCGCAGATGGACGGATGGAGAAAAGTCGTGGCCCAAGGAAGTAGACCAAAGAGAGAGTTGGAGGATTGAGGGGTGCAGGTTTGCGGGGGGCGTTGGGCGGTAGTCTGTGAATTGGGGCAATACTATAAAGGGCACAGGAGACGATAGGTTCAGAAGTGAAGAAAGAGGATGGTATTTTGTTGGTGTTGGTGGTGTTGGTATGACTGAAGATGGTTGAAGTTGATGTTTGATAGCGATATTGAGAAAAGGTTAAAAAACGCAGGCATGACTTGCTTTTAGTTAAGAGCTGCTCCTTCCGCAGGGTAAGTAACTTAGCGCGGGGAAATTTTCAGAGTAGGCAGGCACGCACAGGCACGCACAGGTATGGCAGGCACTGGTCCAACTACGGTTGCACTTGCTGAGTCCGATTTTCTCCAACCAAATTCTTCGCTTTTGATTTCTTCTGATTCGACCACCACCGCAATTACCATAACCACCACAACCGTTCAACTGCGCCATCTATATTCAACTGCACTAGACGCATACCCTCCATTCCAATCGAGCAGCAAAGAAATTCAGCTCATCCGACTCTCGCCGATCCTCCTGCAACCACCGCCAACATGCATTTGATGTATACCGAAGATGAATCGGGGAAAAGAGTTTACACCCTGAAAAAAGTTCTCGACGGCGTGGTGACAAAGTCTGCACACCCTGCAAGATTCTCTCCCGATGATAAATACTCAAGGTATGGATTGGCCTGATGGTTAGAGCCGAAACATGCTGACTGGGAATAGACATCGGGTGACTTTGAAGAAAAGATACGGGTTACTGCTCACCCAGAAAAGTGCGTCGAGTCCAGTGCGACATCTTCTCTACGATATACTAACTTGTAGCAGAGGAGGAATCCAAGTAAAAAACACACGACTGGAGGCGTTTGCGGAGTTGGGTGGCCCACAAGGCTGGAATTTGTTATGCGATCAAACGAGATACCCAATCTCTTCAAGACAGCCATACATTCATAATATACCATTGAAAATGGCATTTGTCTACAACCTCTACCGTTTTCTAGAGTTGATGTTTTTTCCACCGCCAATCCGTATTCTCCCTGCGCCATGGTCTCTGTTGCCCGTCAAAATGCTGGGCAGAGTGTCCTGATCCATCAAATCCTTTTCCTTTGTCCTCTTCATAGTCGACATTGCGCGAATGTATTCCTTCTGATCCTCAGCCAAAATCAAATCATTCCCCCATCCACCTTGTCCGCCACCTTGACGAGGACCCTTCCATTTCTGATTCGAGGTTCCTGGGGTCGCTTTGGGAATAGAATACACATTGCCCCGGTTATTCCATTGCATATTGGCCTTGAGATGTAGTTTGACCTCTCCTTTGTCGTTGGTGGTACAACTCACTCGCGTCAATGTCGGCTTTCCACACCGCGCACAAAACTGTTTCGACATGTCTTTGCTTGTGGCAAAACAGGCGTGGCATCTGAGGATGAACTGCTTGATCTGTGATATTCTCTTGCAGGTCTTGGTGGAGAGTAGATTGAGGTTCATCTGGAGTAGGACGTTTTGCATGGCAAAATCCCCCGTCATGGTCGCAACCTGAAGATGTTTGGTCTCGCCTCGTGACTTGTCGCTCCCATCTTCGTCCTTGGCTTGCTTTTTCTTGATGTTCGACGGTGTAATCCATCCGCCGTCCGAATCTGACTCCTCTTCGACGGTTTCCGTCACAATGACTTCATCAGGTGTACTCTCCTCTTGGGATAGCGATGGTACAGGCGCTTGATCGTCCTTTATCGTCACTTCTTCTGAGTCATTGGAAGTGGTGGCCTCTTGAAGTTTCAGCGTATCAACCTGATCCGCCAGCTCGGCTTCATCAACTCCTTCAATTGGTGATTGAACTTGTTCGACGAGATTCTTGTCCTCAGTAGTTGTCTCATTTGTCTTCTCCGGCGGACGCCCATTGACTCTTTTCTGACCGGGTGTTGACCTCAACCTCCAATCACCATGATTTCGCTCAACTTCTACTTCATATGCCAGAGCAAGAATCTCGTAATCCGTCGCGCTAAGCACAGCACCGTCACCGGTCTTTCTAGCGAATTCCTTGACAACCTTGATACTTTCGGGTTTGGGACTTCGTACGGTCAGGAAGGGTTTGTATAGTGTTTCAATTCTCGTCCGTGCTTCTTCGCCTCGCATTTCGGAAAGTACTGAAGGGGTAGTGAGTAGGACATGGCTGTTGACGAGGAGGGTGGAAATGCCAGGTGTGTTGAGAAGGAGCGGTGACGAGTCGAGGATGATGGTATGGATGGGTTTTTCGGCCTCAGTCGAAGCGACGGGAGCCACCTCTGTGGCCATGACTGAGTTTCTTGGTGGTAACAGCGAGGAAGTTGAGGGATATGTCGAGGTCATGAGTAAGGATCGAAGAGAGGACTAGTGATCAAATTTAATTTTTGACCGTCAGAAATAAATTTCAGTCTGACAATGCAACTGACCGCCACTTCACGGTTGGTTGCGCGGGAATGCGTACAGCTCGAATGAAATTCCAAACGTCAGACGTCAACATTTCAATCTTTATCTTATCGAGCGCATGCCCCACCATCATCGATGTCACTCTTCAATCTTCATTTATGATATCTTCGAACATGGTTCCTAGACATCATTTTAATGTACATCAATTGCCTAAACAAGCTTGCGGGCGCATGGTGATGTAATATAATGAAATGGAGAAGGCACTAATCATATCATAAACGATTCGTTCTTTTGGTTCATCCTCATCCTGTCTTGCTAATCTGGTATTGTCGCCCATGACTCCTAGTTTCATGGATCTTCAGACACTACCAACACGGCTCACAATGAAGCTAGCTGCTTCAGGGACACGGCGTGAATAGTCCAAATGAGGAGCTAGAATGACCAGAGTACCAGAGCATACAGCATCGCCGGCGTTACAAATGATCAGAGTCTTTGCAGGGTCAAAGTTGGGGATTCGACCACCGTCTTGTTGATTTTTGGTATCGCCAAATGTCACGGCTGCGGCAATGCGAGCCTTGACCGAGTCTGGAAGATCCTCAACAGCCCGATGGACTAGAGCTGCTCCTTGACTTTAGTGGAATCAGTCTCGGCATTTTCTTCGCGATCAGATGCTCTTAAGCAACTCACCTATATCCAGATGCCACTAGTGCCGAGTCGGGGCAACGACTTGCTGCGTCGGTGAGAAAGTTTCTCATGGTTCGAATGCCAGCTGGGTCTGCTCCCCCTGGTAGCAAATTGCCCGAGACGCTTGCAAGATAATCAATTCCCTGAGAGGCAACGTTGGCCGTTCCAAAAGCAGATCGTAATGCGTCTGCCAAAGGAGGTCCGACAATCGCGCCCTAGATACACGGTGGGATCAGTATAGGACTCGTGAATGATGCTGATTATGAGCAAATGGATACCATGTTTCCAATCTCCCCAGTGCCTCTGGCAAAGAACAAGATGACATTGCGGCACCCAAATCGTTCGAACTCGTTGTTTGTGGTGCGAAGGGCACTCTGACGTTTTTCGAGCTCAAATGTTTGTGATATATCAAAGGAGATATCAGGTTCGGCGGGCAGAGGCTCTGCAGCAGAATCAGCAACGGGCTTTGCGGCAGCCCAAGTAGCGAGCAAGAGGAGGAAAGCGGCAGTCTTCATGTTGATGGTGAAGGAGAGAATGCAAAGAGTATGGATTGTTCACTCGTCGACTATTCAACCGTGGGAATGGATATATTGACTGCCTGCCTGCAAACGTTGCTCTTTGATACTTTGAAATCCTGAGGAAAGAGTTGATTCCCAAGCCGTCCACAAGGAAGTTTATATAGAACTTGAGGATGTCCTCACATTCTCACGACACAGCTCAAGTCGTCGGTAACAAGGTCTATTTTGGTCAAAGACCCCGCCATCACCAGCCATCCTGTGCAAAAGTGACACGGCTTAGCATGTCCAAGGTTCCTGGAGGGGTAGTCCTTGAAGTGGCATGTACCTGTCCCAAATCAACAAGCCGGGCGCTTGTCGAAAGTGGTATATCGTCCGACATAGGAGAAGTCAAGAAACCGAGGTAAGGTGTATACAAGTGGTGACAATATCTGCCTCAAAGAATGAAGGTAGCTCCCGTCCACGAGCACCAGCGTCGGTTCGAGGGAGAAGTTGCATGGATGGCATATGAAGAGATTGTCAATGACTAGGATCAGGGTCTTGAAAGTCGCAGCACATGGTCGATCAAGACAATTTACTTGATGTTCTGGGCGTTTGTACCTAGGTACCCCGCAAAATCGAGAACCTGGTCACTAACCCAGCAAGGAAAGTGGCCGGGTCAATCGATGGAACTAAGAGTCTCAGCAGGGTAATTGTCCAGACGTGAGAGATACGTGAGAAAGTACTCAGGCACATAGGGTGTGGTGTACAGATTTCCTGAATCCGTGAAACACAACATGTTGTTCTGTGGTTTTGGATGAAGGGAGAATTTGGAATATTTCGAGACTTGCCATTGAGGAGGTCGGAGTTGGGGGCACAGGGGTAGTATTTCGTTAGAACCGGCACGACCCAGACAAGTTTCCCCTATGTGCTTTTGTTTGTGTGGAGAGAAACTCATCGATTTCCCTCGCTTAGATTGACGGGAATGCTTTTGCGAGAGCAAGCGGTGATCTGTTGTTCAATGTTACAGTCTGGGATGAATTAGAGTGCCGAGGTCCGCGTCGAGCCATCACCGCCCTTTTTACAGTATTCTGTGGATACACATCGTTTCGGCTTGTCTGTCCATTGTCAATAGAGTAGTCACCCAACCTATCAGGTCTTGGAGATTCATGTCAACAGGCTGTGAGCAATGTGATGAATCATGACGTGCCAATTGATCTACCATTTCAGCAGTAGAAGCCTTGCGGATAGAGTGACTGACAGATCGATTCTAGAGGACCACCACACTTACTCTTGATTCAGTCCAGATCATTTGATGGTCCATAGTTTCAGGGTCAATTTATCCAGGATCTACCCGTTCAAAGACTCCAAAGATAGACCAAATGAAGGGAGAAACAGCAAAAGTCCGACATGGAACCAGACGTGCCAGACCAGGTTGGGGCGCCAAGTCCGATGCCAAGTCTGACATCATTTGATACAGTTTTTGGGGCAAATGGGCAAGTACAGTCCATGCAATACGCATGCTCTAAAGGGCCATTGCACCTTCCTCAGGTTACCCTCCCACTCCATCCATGGATGTGAATATTTTGCTACCGAGGTAAGGGACCGAGGTACTGTATCTTGTCATGGACGCATAGGTACCTAGGTAGTTGTCACATCCTCAGCTAGATAAACATTAGGCGAGTATGGCCAAGTCGGACCGAAGGCTCTTTCTCGGCTGATCGCTGCCCATATGTATACATAGACACAGGAGATGGATGAACCTGGTATGGAACATCCATCACCCTAGATATTCGAGTCGAGCCTTGTCTTGTGATCTTCGTCATCCCTTTGAAACCCATTCTGCTGGGTCACGCGAGCTCGGTACCATTCATTTCCTGTGGTTTCCAGATTTCCGAAACGGATTTGACTGGCTAGCCTTACGGTAGTGGGGTTTCAGCTCGAGCTGTAACTTGGTTGACCAACGAAAGCAGCCTGCTTTGTGATCTGGGTTTCGTGAGCCCAAGGGGTGCCGTCAATGATCTAAAGCCACCACTTGGAATGCAGTCAGCAAGCCAGTCCATGTGACCCAGCAGGAAGCCACCATGATAATGATTCAATCATGTGGGTGGGGAGAAATGGGTTTGTCTAACTAGCGTTGGACCTATACATGGACTCTTGTTCAAGCTGCGATCTGGACAGATTTGGAGTGCCATTCATGGGAAACTACAAACTGGCTGAAGCGCAGGCCGAGTCTCTGTCAAACCAAAACCGGGCTATTTTCCAGTCTTCTGGGTTCCTCATTGTTGGTTGAATACCATCCATTCACCAAGTCCTTGATTCCACAGATTGGACTGACAACCTCTGTCTGATTCCCTCGGTTCCGTTGCTCCGCTGTCGTCTCTCTCCATACACGAGGAGCACCGAAACCTATGTTTTTGTATTTCAAAAGGTGAAACGCCCGTCTCAGTGGATAGGCGTGACATGCTGAATAGTCATGACTGTGATGATGTGTCGGAGCTCATAAAGGGTTGAAAAAATAACTGGGTAGTGCCGTCAACAAAGGAAATGAGATCTTAGCGAACGGAGATCGTGTGAGAAGAGTCCAACGTGCGAGCTCTCTTGACAAAGCAAGAAGAGTCGAAACCGTTGGATGAACGTTGGGCACTGTTTGGGATTAGCGGGTTCCATTGAGACCGCGCTCTGGAAGACTCGGGGGATTGGATGGGTCGTCATCTTCAAGGTCCATCTGTTCAGGGTGGCTGTAGGATAACAAGTCAATATTCCGTGTTCAATATTCCCCATCCGCGCATCCAAGTATTGGCACGTACCCGAGCAAACTTTTGATATCCTTCATTTCGTAATGCTTCTTTCGGTGTTCCTCAAACTGCCGATGCTTTTCTTGGTCTTCACTAGAAGGCATGCCAACTTGTTCGGTGAATGTCGAGCCACCATCCTCGCTAACACTAACGTGTTTTTCCTTGCTGCTCTCTCGAGAGAGATTTGAGGTGCTTCGTACAATTCGGTTGTCCTCAAGGCCATTGCCGAGACTCAAATCTTCCTCAGGTTCACCGAGCTCGAGGCCTGGAATCTCAGATTCGCGGGGTTTCCTGTCGGATTTCCGTTTGGCTAGATCGACTTCGTCAACGTTGACATAGCGGGGATCAATGGCAACATCTTCCTCGTCATCTTCCATGGCGTCGCCATATTGGAAAGGCGTTTTAGGTTCGGTGATCTTCATTCGGCCGCCAGATTCCTGTTCTGCAAGGTAGAGGTTTGCCTCGTCCCATTTTAAACGTTGCTGATCCGGATCGTGTGGCTGATTTGCGGCGACGGCAGAAGACTGACGGCGGGACGAAGCTGAGGCCCTTCTAGCTGCTGAGGATGACCGACGATGGCCGGCGTTTTGGAGGGTGTTTTGAAGAACCAGTTCTCGTTCTTCCTGGGGATCAAGCGGGGTGTGGTGCGGAAATTCTTCATGGGTGGGTGAATGTTGGCTGCCAGAGAAGGAGGGATTTTTGAGAATGCCTAACAACAAGATCAGTGATACTGGTTGGCGGGTGTGAGGGGTGACATAGGTAATGCATACCTCTGGGTCGAATGTTGCCAGAGCCAGGGTGGTGGAGGGGAGGAGGGGAGTGATGAACTTCGACAGTCATGTTGATGGAGTGGTCAGGGTTCGCGGGGATGGGGATGGTTGATGATGATGTGATGAGGATGTCGGGGGGTTAGATGCGACGTGATGATATATTGGAGGGGAAAGAAACGCTGGACTCCGGAGGATTGAATTATGACGGCGTGGACGGGTAGGGATGAATGACAGTGTGAGTTGGCAGGGTCACAGCCAGGGTCACGAGTCAGGTGGGATGAAACAACGGATCAAGGTGCCAGAATTGCTTGGATGCGGCAGTCGGTTGACAGACGGGGTTGGCGTCGAGGATGGTTACTCGGTGATGGAAATGACGAGCATGCTTGGGTTGTCGATCCTGAGTAGAGTTGAGCTGTGGTTGGGTTCAGGTGAAGACAAAGAGGAGAGGGAGTGGAAGTAGAAGGTTTGATCAGAGCAGATACGCAGATGGAGATGCAGATGCAGATGCAGACACGTACGGAGTAGAGCAGCACAGGGCAACATAAGGTAGGCAACACAGGCAACACAGGCATCACTACAGGTACTAAGTACCCCTAGTTAAGTACTCTACTTACTCGACTCACGGATACTCTCGCACTACTGCATCACAGCATCACAGCATCACAGCTTCACAGCTCACAGGGCATCAATCATCAACCCACCATCAACCCACGTCACCAGGTGGCAACCCACTTAGAATTCACCCACTCAGCTCATCCACCACCCAACATCCCTACCCATCCACCCATTTCCAGCCTACCACTATCCACCCAACGCCTGTCCCAAGGGAGGGGAGGGACGCATTGGACAGTGCTTCATGCTTCGTGCCTCGTGCCTCGCACGGACTCCCAGGGTCGCAGATTTCCCAAATTCCCACCCTTGGCGCCCCAGCTGGTTGGTACGCCATTCCCGACATGCCCCAATTTTCACGACTAAGTGCATGTGCCGAACATGTGTGAATTCGTTGAAGATGTGTCAAGAGACGATTTAATCATGATTTAATTTGTATGTGCACGTCGAGTTTAGAGACTTGGGTCATGGGACTTTGAGGGAGTGGGTAAGGAAGAGTCACGTGATATAGTATGCCCTTCTCAACGGGTGTAGTGGATAGAGATATAACATCAGGACATATACGAAAGATACCCGGCGATGCCTTTGTCAAAGCTGAGTCCCTCTATATCTTGTTTCACACGCAACAGGACGAAATGATCGAGACTACGTCTGAACATGAGCCGAACCAACCGTCCACCTCTTCTTGTATGCCAATGGGCGTGTATACACATATTCGAGACCGATAAAAGTGTGAAGTGGGGGGTGTTCCGCCTATATCCCCGTGGATGAACATCGTTTGAGCCGGGACTGAAGCCTCACCCGCTTGATCGCCCTAGAATGTACAGCTAACATATATCGAGATCAGGGGACCAAGGCCTAGATCAGACTGTAGAGTGCATGATATCCTCTTATCCTCTATTGACAACAAACCCGCTTCATTCTCTTTACTAAACAAAAAATACATCTTTCTCGACCTTGTCGTTCCTTCTCCTACCATATTCTCCTGCATCTCACCCCACGACCGGCCGCACGGTGCCACATCCCCTTGTCACACAGCATATCATGTTGTGAAACACCATGTCGACTCAGAACAGACAACCTACGCCGACTATCACAGTGCCTAATGTACATCCTCCCAGCCTCTCGGTAGCCCAAAGCCCCCCTCTCGGGCTCTGCCTTTACTTTTTGGCCGCCATGCTTCCCCAACCGCTCGAATCCCCATCCTGGTGGTACATTTCTCGTGCCTGACCCTGGTGCAGGAGGGCGACATCACCCAAGCATTTCGCAGCCAAACAAAACATGCCTTCTCTTCTAGACGAGCGCCCAACGGATCAGTTGGCAGCCAGGCACCAACCAACAAGTGTGCGACACCGCCTTGAAAACAACTTGGGCTCTTTCTTATGGCTCCGTTATTGGTCCACGTCCACGCCGGCGCCTTACATGATGATGATGCTGCTGCTGCTGCTGCTGCTGCTGATGCACATGCAGTGCGACATGATCTCGAAGCAGAGTTTTTCATTTCAACCGGGGGGCCCAGAGGGGGTCTTTGTGGTGAGATGCATTGTTGTACACCAGCCAGGCAAAGTTTTTCCGCGAGGCGAGATTCTTCTATGAGGCTTTATTGATTCGTGTGTTGCAATACCGATTCGTTCGTGGTCGTTGTTTGTTGTCGTCACGAGACAAGATAACGCAGGGAACTTGCAAGGCAAATGGGGAAAATCCTTCCCTCGTCCTTTGCCTTACAGTGCCGACTGCGGTAGTTACAAAGGATCTTGACGTTACCTGGTACCAAAAGCTCTATAGCGCGTTTATCACAATTCTAATTATCTCTTCTTCGGGTGGGTTGCATGTCTTGAGCAAGTGTGAGCCACTGGCTCAGGGACACATGGCTTCCCCCTCTGATTTATGCATAGGTAAGCATGTACTTAGATGTCGATCCATGTACAGATTGGCCTAGCGACACCTCTTCCTGGAAGGAATTCTTCCTTTCTTTTTCTTTTTTTCTTTGGCACGGGGTCTGTCTGAAAACGTCGACGCAATAACAGACCCAAGATGGACAAGACCTTGAGTAGCGAGAAGAGAAACCAAACCTCCCGAATTTGAGAATTCTGTGAATTATTGATGATTGATTGATTGCAAAAACTGTTAGCAATTTATGCCTCCCTAAGTCTTGGAATATCTGTCAAGAGAATCCATGTAATGAGTACACGTTGTGGTATCGTTGTTATATTGAGTGACATGTCCCAGAGAGACTGATGACCCTCCCTGTCCTTTGCCTTCTCCCTCCGTCCCCCTTCTCCTTCTCAATTGTCGCCTCCTCCAAAGGTCTTGTGTCAGTCAAATTGGTTGTTGTTCGTCCGTCAACACCACTTGACCCTGACGACCATGTCCGTCAGGCGCACAATCCAAAAGGAAACCCAAATAAACCACCCCTCTCAAGTCCGACAACGACGACAACGCCAGACCTCTCATGGGTCAAATTCGACGGTGATGGTGATCTTGCATCTTGGGGTGATGGTTCCCAAATACCCCTCCTCTCTCTTTCCAGGAACCTGTTCATCCAAGCATCATCCTTTAGTTGACCAGTCGCGAATGCAGCCGCCATCTCTTCATTCTTGCCGCGTGCTCTCCGCAATCCATGTGGCTCGACCAAGGGAATAAAAGTCTCGTTATACAATTCACAATCCTCAGACTGCGTCTTTGAGGTGACCAGCCGGAAGGAAAAGAAGAAAAGACCATGTTAAAAATCCAGCTTCGTGTCTCTCAGGGTATCGAACGGCCAGCCCGCCGTTCCTCCAGTCGTTTCTGTGCCACCACGTCTCCATTGTCAGCTGCCACTTGCATCCAATGCAGCGCCAGGTACAAGGCCTGTCGACGGTGCTGGCTTTGAGATTGTGGTTGATCTGGTTGATGCAGCTGCTGTGGCTCTGCATCTTGGTCCCATATCATGTCGGGCTTGAAGATGTCCGCGGCTAGTGCCCATGGCATGCTTACGATCGGCATCTCTTCGGCATGCGTCAAGTACAAAATCGCGAGCTCTCGTTGTGCCACCGCATGTCCTTCACGAGCGGCAATCATCCATAGGTCGGCTGCATTAATCACGGATGTACCCGGTCCGGGAGGTTTGCCCCCGGGCTTAGACTCGTTCGGAGACTCTCGGCCAGCCAGTCCATCTGCGATGTCAATCAGCCCTCGGCAGACTTCGTCTTTCCATGCTAATGCCGCCAATCCCACATGTAAGAATGATTTCGCCACGCCACTGGATTCCAGAGTCGGTGATGCCACAAAGCCTGATATGTACTGCAGATCTCGGAATATTGTTTTCGGGGCCAAGGTGAACATGATCTTCTTCAACACATGGACAGACTCGGCTTCATCATTTGTCGCCGTGGCACTTGCAGTGGAGGGAATCTTGGACTTTTGCTCATGCCGCAGTAAACTTGCTGAGAGAAGACTGGGGTTGAGACTGCAGCGGCGATTGACATCGTCTTCCATCTCCAAACCCCTATCTTGGGCCTTTGGCACACTTTTTCTGAATACTTGGGCCAACACAGCAAAATCGTCAACGGCCTTCAACTTCATAGTCGGGTTCACGTGATGGCTGATCCTCGCCAGTATATCCTTAAATGCGTTTCTGAAGGTAAATGCTCCTTGTACGGTCCCCTCAGGCTCTTCAGCTAGCGCCCGCTCGATGGGGTCCATCTCAAACAAATCTGGCGGACCCTGTGAAGCGCTGTGACTTCTTTGCCTCTGCTCCCCGGCTCGGGCAGGTTTCGCCTCATCTTTCGAGAGCAGGCGAGCCATTACGTCCCTTTTCTTCACGCTCTGACCCACTCCAGGCCAAAGACTTACCATGTTCATCCACAAGTCCGTCTCACTGCCCTTATTCCACACGAGACATCCCAGGTCTGAGAGAAGTAACGAGGTTAGATCCTGCTGGATGTCTGCCAAGAACGCCATCTTCTCCAGGATGCGATCAGCGCTGCGAGTTTCAAAGCTCGTCCCGAAATTCGACCTTGAGGACATGGACGTGTTTGACTTTCGGTTTGAGGGAGCTGGTGACCATAATTGATGGGAATCCGTTGTCGTTACCGTCGGTGCTCTGCCTGGGGAGCTGATCAATGAAGAGAGGTCACTTCCTAACGATGGACGACCCGTCTTGTTTGAACTTTGACTGTAGAAAGAGCCGCGGGAGCCTTGGAGTCCAAATCGAGGCACCAACAGACTTGAAGACACCGGTTCGCTCATCACGCTGGGCGGCCGCGTCGATGGACTGAGGAAGCTACTCGAGTGGGCTTCGTAAAGGTTCTTCTCCCTGGCAAAGAGCTCACTTGACCATAATACTGGGCTATCCGACAAAGTTTCGCCAACCAGTTTCCGCATGGCATATGTGACCTCCATACAGAAACGGTGGATTCGTTCTTCGCCCTTGCAGAAATTTTCTACTCGTTTCAGCCACTTTTTGGTTGCTTCAATCTGTTGGTCAGATAATTTTTGGGGCCCGCCATGCTTCTTTGGTGCTTTGAGGATCATTGTTGTGTCAATTTGATGTTGATCGAGATGCGATGAAATCGAGGCACTAGACATGCTTGATCGACTAGTGCCGTACGCTGATCCACCGAGGTTTTCAGGGCCTGCCCCTGGATGTGGCGGCGCTCTCATATTTTTCAGACCCATCGAAACATTTCTGGCACCCTCATACACGTCGGAGGTCAGAATATTGAGCGTGTACCACAGTTTGATGCGCAGCTTGTCTATTTGAGACACCACCTCCGTCAGCCTCGCCCTAGATGTAGCATAGATGCTTTCCAAATCAGCTAGCTCGTGGTCGAGTCGAGCACACGTATCAATCACTTCGCGCTGGAGGGTCTTTGTCTTTTGAATGAGGGGCGAGAGTATTTTGGTATCATCTGTGCTGAGAACGGCCATTGGATATTCGCGTTGCAGGCATTGATAAGCTTCATGCCAATAAAAGGATGTGACACCGTCGGCTTTTACTCGAGCTAAGTTGGCCTGTTTAAGAAACATTTCGTGCAAGCTAGACTCGTTTGCGGTGATTTTAGATGTCAAAGGCGGACGATACTCGTTTTCTGCATCCACCAGCCTTATCGCAGCATGTTCAACGGGATCGAGACTGCCGAACGACGACCAAGCTGTTTGAGATTCCGTTATGAACGGCACTTGGGGTGCCACTAGCCGTCCAGTGATTGAAATGTCCAATGTTGCCCAATCTTCTTCGCATACATGGACATTCTTGGAGGATTGGCCAGGCTCAATGACGCTCAAAATTGCCTGAAGGAGTTTGTCGTATTTTGAATCACGGTACTGGGTTCGAAAGGTGGAGTGAGATGCGCTCAGAAAAGAATTCCAGGGACTTGAGGTGTGAATGAATTGGGGACTCAACCCTTCCAAGAGGTGAGATATATCTGCGGCACATATTGAGAGAGACGTCAACACGGGCGATGAAGTTGAAGGGGAATTAGTCATATCCGAGACGTAAGGATCTGTGAATTCTCCTGGTTTGGAGAGCTTGTCCACCATTTCTTCGAAATAAAAGTGGACGGCAGGGTCGATAGGCTGCAAACGCCTGGAAAGCCGTCAGACACAGTTTAGTCTATCTTCTATTAGACTTACATTGGATTGTAAAGGTCATTTGCACGGTTGAAGGCATGTTCGTAAACTCGATAGAGCAGGTTGTGTCTACATTTTGTGCTGATATGAGCTTGTAACAACATGCCCTCGTCCTGCGTCAAGTCAGCGACATAATGTTGATGTAGTGTAGAGAGTAAGAACCCACCTCTGGGTAAACAATGGCAATATGGAGGAAGTCTCGCAAAAACCAACTGCTGAGGAAGTCGCCCCTGAACCTGGTCCTGGCCTGTTCCGACGGAAGCTTGGATATGATTGCTCGGCCAAATTCGAGTGCGCCGGAAGGGATGCCATCGTCTAGGGCTAGAAGGGCAAAAAGGGACCTGACTGACTCGTCCAAGAAGTCGCGAGCGTCCTGAGTATTGAGAGCACTATTATTGCCAAAGTGGACCTTGTCTTCTGAAACCGCGTCAAGAAACATGGCACCTTGCTGCAAGATTTTCATTAATAGCAATTCCAATCTTTGCTTGATGTGCCAGTCATACAGAGAGGGGAAGGTGGAAAGGATTCGGCCAAACATGGGTCTGTAGATTGCTTCAGCCTCAGTCATCAACTGAGCACAGACACTGGACCAGGTGGAAATCCTTAACCGGCTTTCTCGATCTCGTAGGTTCAACGAGGGGCCATAGACGTTGTGAAGCAGAAAAGGTAAAGGGTTCGATCGCTCAAATGACGAAGCGAACTCCTCTAGCTGCTTGGAGTAGCTAGTTAGTCGGCTCGATCTGGGGCTGCGGCCCCGAGTAGAAGGCAGAGATGACAAGACGGAATCCGAAACTTTGTGGTATTTGGGAGTTGCCGATAGTGCTAGACCTTTGATTTGGGCGGGGCCCATGGCTTTGAATCGATCGACCAGGAATTGGGGCTTCCTTCGAAGATGGTCTAGGAGTTCGAGGCAATCCTGCTGAGAGGAATCTGGAAGCTTTGACCAGAATGAGGGTTTGTCACGGTGAGGCGCCGTGGAGAGCACATCAACTTGAATTTCGTGGGACCATTGGGACGAACAAGAATCGATCAAATCATGCATATGTTGTCGGACACGCGCAAAGCCGGCGGCATCAGTATTTGTCGAGATCTCCACCAAACCCGCCCGAACCCATGAACAGACTCGATGGAGTCGAGCGGACAAGGCGATTGCTTTTGCGAGTTGCCTTCTCTGATGGGAAAGTATATGTTTCTTCTGCTCTTTATATTTGAGTTGCCTCAATTGGATGGCGAAATCATCGAAGGAGACAGGCATGTGAGCAAAAGGGAGCTCGCGGGGTCGTGTTTCGGCGGGCGGAACTCGTCCTGACTTGATGGCTCTCGGCCTGGCCGTGGATCGTCTGCGGGCAGACTCATCTTGAGCCGGATCTCTTGAACGACTGAGACTTCTGGAGGGTCTCGGTGACGGATGTGGGGAAGAACGGGGGCCCTGAAATGGGTGGTCTGGGAGATCGGGGCGGGACATAGGTTGGGCATCGTCCTGGGCATCGTGGTTCAACTTCGGAGATGAGGGAGCAGGAAGAGCTGCTGTTCCAAGAAGATGTGTTAGCGAGGAGAGCACAAGAGCAGAAGCAGTAGAACGGAAAGGTCGGACCTTGAGCATTCACGACACCGGCGTCCCTGGTCAGTGGCTCTGTCATACGCTGTCGAATTCCATTCCAAGCTGACGATGGGGTGAACCTCGATTGCGGGACGGCAGATCAATTGGGCCGGTTGAGAGAGCGAGATGTGGTCATTGATGGGCTCGACAGGTGGACCGTGGCTGTGGACTCTCTATTGATATTGGTGTCGGTTCGGTGATCTGGGAAAGGGTGTGATTGTGGTGATGTCGAAGCCACCAACAGGTGGAGCGGAATGGAGCGGTTCGCGTTAGCGGGATGTGATTGATGGAAGAAGGTGCAGTTGTAACGCAGCGTGCAAGGTCAGATCTGGGTCAGACGAGGCAGAGGCAGGCTTGGAGGGAAGCCTCAAGGATTCGAGGATTTCGCGGTTGGTTCTTAGCAGATTAGAATGAAACCGTCAGAGAAGTGTTCGGTGGCGTCAGTCCTGATGAGGTCGTCGGTTCGTCGCTGGTGATGGCCCCCGCCGAGTTGGGACGACCTCTTGCCTCGAATCTGTGGCGCGGCTTTGGGATAAAGGCCTCTGCGTCGGTGGGTGCGCCGATCAATGAAGATCTCTCTCCGCAGGTGCTATGCGACTCGAATAGTGGCCTGTTGCGCTTGTCGCCTCGTTTCGTCTCGATTAACAAGTGAAGCGACAAACTGCCTTGAGAAGTTGGCGAATGCGGGGGAAGAATGCTGAAACGCCTAGGCCTTTGTGGTTTGACCAGTGGTGGGATCGTGGCCGAGAACTACCACACCAGCACACTTCCTCTCGCCAGATGTGATGGTTGTAGTAGGTAGTGTTGGCAAAGGTCGGTCACCAACGGTGAGTTTCCTTGTCAAGAATGGTTCAATTCACACGGGCAAAAGAGGGATCAAGACTATGTTGATGATGGCGAGACACCTGAATCATGACGGCGTCGTGACATGGCATGGCATGGGCAGGGCCGTGGTCATGGTCATGTCAGCATAATTCAAGCCAAAGATGTCAATGACAAAAAGGCTTCGAAGAGACAAAAACTACGTCCACGTCCAAGATGGTCGGCAAACAACGCATACAGCAGGACATCAAACAATGGTGAAGTCAAGTCATTCCAGACGAGGTTTGCCAGCGAATTCCGCATGCATTAGCCTAGGCTAGGGATGTCTTGACATAACCTCTGGCCCAGTGGGAGCCACTCATTGTCCGCCCGGACCGTTGTCATCCTGTAACTTGACCATTGTGCGGGCCGGGGCGTGGACTTTGGTGACTTGCCATTAGACGAGGGTCAGGAAACTCTAGGTTTGACAGGGGACGATCATCACTACTATGAGACGTGGACCTGGTGGAGGGACAATACATGGCGGAGCTTGTGTACTTGTCTCTAGGGACTCGTGAGTTGTGAGTTGTGAGTTTGGCCACGAGAGCTATATTAGATCTGGTGGCAAAGGAACGAATGCCTTGCAGGGTGTGATGTCGACGTGGAGCAAACGAATTCTATCCACGGGGCAATATTGCGTACCGAATCGCCATGGCTGCCAGGGATCAACAGTAATATATGTACGTGTATGCGTATGCGTAGCCCAGGGTTGAACGATTCCCACTGGCGCCATGCCTCTTTTATTCAACCGCATGTCCGCTACTACGCCTCTACCGTAGCGCCGCGTGGTGCGTAGTGCGTGCTGCAGAACATGTAGTTAGTTTGGTGGTGCGCCATCAGCCTCGAAGAGGTGGCCACGTCAAAGACGGCGAAGCTGGAATCCCACTGGACCAACAGGCGAGGTGGCCGAGGGGGCCCCTCGACCATGGCCCAGGCATGCAGAGAGAAGAATACAAGTCTTGATATGACATGGAGACAAGAGCAAGTCATTTGTCTAGGTCCTGGTCTAGGTCCGAGATGAGGTCGAAGTAATCCAAGATCTCGTTGCCCGTCTGTGTTGAGTCACTCACCGACACGCCACCTGTGGACGCTTTGCCGCGCCAATGGATCCTCAAGAATTCGACTGATGCGTTGGCAAGTGTACATGCCATCCAAGTCAGAGGAATCTTGTTCTACAATGATTTGCTCTCATCTTTGAAACACAAGTGTCGCAATGGCGAGCTTGACGACTCCGACAGGTTCGCCACTGGACAATTTTCAGCTTGAAGCAGAACCCATTGATGGGATTGGGTGTGTTATCCTTGGACCTTGGACCTTGGACCCTGGACCCTTTACAGCGGCTTTGAGGACTGCGACTCTGCAGTGTATTTTAGATGTGGATCATCCATGGGCCCGTGGTGCCGGTTGCTGGATGAGTGCAGCTTTGAAGTTGAAAGCCTGCTGTCGACTGTCTTGGGACATTTTCCAAGCTGTAGCGGTCAACGGTCACGGTCACGCGCGGAAGGTGGGGTTATGTTTCAGAACAAGTCCATCGCTCCTACCCTGTCACCTGTGCAATAGTGATAAATCAAAAGCTCCTTCTCCTCCCATCAACTACGGTCGCTGACTCTCTTCTGTTTCTGCTCATGTTCTCATCCATGTCAGACTTGGTACTCAGTAGGTAGGAACTGACATTATAGGACGAACAACCTAGGTAATCGGTCATGGCGAGGTGCGATATACTGATGAGGAGGGAGACTAGGAAGAGCGGTGACTAAGGTTCATATTCATGCAAGATCATTAACTTCAATGTAGGACCAAAAAGTCCAAGATGGGACATGGTGCAGTCGACGTTGTACCGCGCTCGATCCGCATCTTTAGACATGCAATCTCTTGTGCACTTGACCATCTTATCAGCTGCAATAGTATTCTGGGATTTGCTGTCACCAACATCAAGTTTGTTGCAATGTAATCGTGACCCTTGCTTCGAGCAATTCTTTGTGTCAGATACCTAGGTACCTTGTAGAACCTGTCAAAGAAGACATGTACCACTGTGTCTCAGTCACTTGACACAGGTTATGAAGCCGTGAAAGACAAGGCTGAAGAATCAAGAGATACAAGCTACCTACTAGGTGTGTACTTTGTTTTTGGCTGTGTTGGGAATCTGACCTTGACAAAAGAGTGGGGGAGTTTTGTGGCGTAGATGTCTAGGTACCTAGGTACAGATCACTTAGCATACGCATACGAGAGGACTTCCTGCCTGTGGATTAAGCGCCCTTTGAGCAGCTACGCCACGTGTTCAACCTCGACCAACGCGAAGAATCTCATCACCAACATGCCCATCTCCACGCACAGAAAAGAATGGCCTCGGGCATTATTGCCCACTACACCTGCAAAACTATTGGTACATCAACTCGACTCGTTCGGCTTTACCTAGGGTCTCGGGCGATTAAGAAATCCCCACATTGGGAGGCCTTGTCAATAACAGATTCAGGGGACAACTATCTTGTGGCACTGTTGATCAGGTACCGGAAAGAAGGATAACCTCAAAATCTGACGGCAATCAATTATGTCAACAAAGTAGCGATATGCACTAGTCAGCGAGGCAGTAGTCGACAGATTTTGTGACATTCCCGGTGTGTTGGGGAGATGCGAGGAATTTTGTACTACAGCCGGATTTTCCAAGTGGAGGATAAGATACTGCCACAAGGGGGAAATCTATGCGTACGGGATCGTTTGTGGGACGCCAATGACGTACGTTAGTGGGTTCCCTTTCACATGCATCTCGATTTCTCGATTTCTGACAGCCAGGAGGGTTCAACATCCTTGCACCGTCGCTTTGAATTCCACCCAGGAACAGGTAGCCGCTAAAGGGGATCCGCCAGCAACACAGTAATCCTTCGTAGACGAGGTGGATTGCCAGTTTGCCATCATTATGGAGAGTCAGGCCACTTCCCCATCATGAGTAACCCAACCATTATTCGCGGTTTGTCATGGTTAATTGCGTACAGAAATTCTAGTGGGAGTGACATGAAGAAATTGTAGGCTTGAAGGTATGGAAGATGGAAACCCCTGAGTTCAAGGTGCATGCGTGGTACGTTCCCTTGCAGAGACCATATCTTAGAGGCCAAGGAGACGAAGAAATTCGATGGTACGGTGGCAGTCCAGATGAAGCTATATTATTGAATAGTTGAACGCCATAGTGTTGGCTTTTCACCAGGTGCTCGTGTTGGAGGTGCAAATTGGAACGCCATGGGTAACAGTTGAACAAGCAATTCGGAGCATCCTCGAATAAGATTCGTTCACAGGGCTGTCGTTCAGCTGGTGTCGAAACTCCTACGCGTTCCTACAAGCCCCTCGGCCCTACTTTTAGGTCATGGAAACCCTTAGCCTCGCGCTTGACACAAGGGTGCCCCAGTTTTGGCCTGAAAATAGCGATGGTGCCACTGATACTTGTAGGAATGCTGGGACCTGCTGCCCATTTGCAACTGTGTGCGTCCAGTCGCTGGACGCTCTTCAGGCTTCAGACGCCTTGAGGCCTGTGCTTGAGAAAACGGAAGGCTCCAAGTTCCAGGGCGTCACAAGGAGCAGCCTTCCGCTGTCGCCCGAGGTGGAGGCCCCTCGGGCCCAAGTTCCCCTCTCATAGCCTATCTACCTAGCTACCTTAGGTACCAAAGAGGGGTCTCTGGCGTGCTCCAGGTACCTCCACAGCTTGTTACTCTCATCACTGTATCTTTTGATCTCGTATTCTCTTCTCTGCTCGGCTTCCAACACTCTAATCGTTGAGATGGCACACCTGGACAGGTCAACATGTAACTACCTATGTAATTCCGTAACTCTATCCACCTAAAACTCTCTTCGTTCCCGCCAATATTGAGCCATTCACGACCTCATCCCAGCCGCAACAGCACTGGTTCCCCAGTACTATAGGGCAGAAGACCCCCGGAGATTTCCAGGCCTGCAACCTGTACCCTGTCACCCTGTCACTTAGAGCCACTTGTCATGGAAGGATTTCTTCAACGGTCCCTGCACATCATCTAGCCTTGGGTTGGTTGCTTCAGCAGTAGTACGTAGTCGCAGGAGCTGTTCATGATCCTTTCTACCATTCCAACTCTCGCTCCCTGGTCGCTTCAATCAAGTTTGCGACGCTTGGGCTCTCCGCTTTCATCAGCAGCTTCTCCGCCTCATAGAAAACTTGTTTGGTGGTCGGCCCACTTGACTCCATCCGTGACTTCACCTGTTGACTCTTCACTACTACCGTTGCAGAAGAGGGGCTGGGCAAGTCAAAAGTCCTGCCGACTGACTGACAGCTCCAAAGATATCTCACACACTGATTCATCAGAAGTTCATATTCATCTGACTCTCAACTCTCTTGCTGCGTCGTCAATCTCACTCAACTCTGAGCCTCAGTCCTGCCTTCTTTTTGCGTCAGAATCACAGGAGATTGTCTCCGGTCGATCAAATCTCCAACTTCCAAGCCCTGTTTTCAACCCCGAAACACCTTTGATCCTCCACTAAAACCAAGCCTCGCATCCCTACCTCTTCGGGCGCCGATTCTCCGATTCTCACCAAGCTCGATTCAGCCAAGGGCGACCCTCACTCAACCAAGCATATACGCCCTCTCTTTTAACTGATTCCCCCGTCGCCTGAGAATCACTACTTACCTCGCATCGCAATCCAGATTGCTATACCGTCACCCTTCACCCTCGCCATCGTCCTCCTCCGCCTCTGCTAGACCACGACAACGTCCTCTTCCGCGTCCTTGAACATATTTTGTCTTCTCCGTTTCAATGAGCGTTTTGACCGTGGCTGGGACCCAGATCCCAGACCCGAGTCTCTCCTACGGCTATTCAGCATCTGCCACCGCCGTTGCCTCTTTACCCATGCGGCCCACGCCTTCAGCGCCCCCGCCAGCAGGTTCTTTTACTCGATCAGAAAGACAATCAACCTACCACGATCCTCGGCAGCAGGCCTCCCATTATCCTCCAATTCAAAATCTCAGTCATCATCAACATACAAGAACCATCTCCTCTACAATTCTTCCTGCTCCTGCATTCCAATCTCCGTCCTCCTCACCCGCCAGACGACCCATCGACGCACATCCTCGAGTACCTTCAAACTCTTCGCCATCTGCCCGTCCTACCCAAGGATACGGTCGTGGGCCTTCTGCACCTTCACATTCTCGCCAGTCGTCGGGGTCCAACACGATCAACATGCATCGACAAGGGACCACCGCGTCCACGACGAGTGTCCCTCGCCGCTCAACCTCTGGCCGATCAGTCACTACAAACAATCCCACGTCATATGTCGCTTTGATGCGAAGACAAAAAGCAACCGTATGGTGTGATCGCTCTCAAAATATTGACCCTCGAATGGCGGCAGCACAAAAGATGGCTAAGCAGCGGGCTGCCATGGAAGTGGCTGGAATTTCCAGTTCAGGCCGCACCAACACTATCACATCGGGCGGCGTGGTGGGAAAGATTAGGCATGGCGGAGTCCCCAAAGCTCCAGGATATGTCCCCGCCAACCTCAACGGTGCCACGGTACCTCTACGACTCAGCGCCAACGAAATGATTGGTGATGAAGAAACAGGGTTGAGTCAGGGCGAGAACAGCATGGTTCATGGACGAACTGGAAGCGGCAAGAGCAGTACCAACAGCGCCAAATACCGAAGTGGATATCCTCGAGTGGACGGTGCCCGATTCAGCACTGGCACTCCTCCCAGCGGTGAAGGATCGTCTGGACGCAGTATCCCAGAACAAGCTGAAGATGGAAACCAGCAAGTCGATCATGAGCAAGACAGACGAGATTCTGAGGATTCTTTTGGAGAATTAAAAGACATGTCAGGACCCAGCGCGGTTAGACAAGCTCTCGAAAATGCCAAAAAGGCCGAAGACCTGCGGCGACGAGGTAGTGTGGACGAACGAACGATGAGCATGGGTACTGGAGTAAGGTTATTTGTGGCCAATCCGGATCTGGACGACTAGATGACGACTATTTTACTTTTCAGCGAGTTTTTACAGACAGGCTGTGCCTTCTGGGACTCGTGAGGCAAGACGTCTTTTTCACGGTTGGCATAGGAAACGGGACTGATCAAGGCATGGCCGAGCTTAATTCTAAGGCTGGGCTATTGAATGGGAGCACGGAGTTTCTTTAATGACAGGACCCAGGACAAGATTCTCTGGGGATAGCCGTTCAAGCCATGAGCGAGCATTGTTGAGGTTATTACGTCTTGGATCTGATTTGGTGGGCACAGGAGCAAGCTTTTTGTACCATAATACGGATAATAGGGTGATCCATCAGACTCTATCAACATGTTTACATTGAGATATCTTGGAAGGCATTCTTGAGCCGCTGGTCTTGACCAAAGTGAGAACTGCCGTGTATCTGATCAAGTATGAACCTGGCTGAGGATCACAGCCATGACGTTTGCTGTCGACTTGGCCCACTCTCGCTTAATCCTTCAATCAGGGAAAACCCCTCGGCGTTCATGAGGGAGTGGGAAGTGGGAAGTGGGAAGTGGGAAGTGGGCAGCAATGACTACGAAGTACGGGGAGCTCGATCCTTGGAAACACAAAAGGGAACCGTACGGAGTATTGCCCGGGGTCGTGTTATCGCCAAGTTCAGGCTACGCTAAACTAAGCACTCGGGTAGAGACAAAGTGCAGGACTCCATGCTATCTATAGAAAAGTCCTTATGGCGTAATAGTCGTAGATGCAGATATGCCATGTTGATGGGACAATTGCAATGTGAGACACTTCCTCCAAGTCTTGCCACGTGATTATGTCTCTAAACGAGTACTCCTCAGATCACCTCTAGAGTGATATCCTCCATGAGTGCGCACTGCACTCTCACACTCATTAATTTTCAAAGATACCTACCTGCTATGTTATGTGGGCATAACGTGACTCTCGGAAAAATGTCCTGTGAAAGTTTTCCGATACCCAAGTCACGGGATTTCAACTCCGCCATGTCCAATCATCTTGCTCACATTGTTGAGCCAATTAGATCACGAGAAAGCTTTCATCTGGAATCGCCGCACCAAGCGAACGTGCGCAGAAAGCCAACCTCATGAACAAGTCATCTCTGAGGAGACGAAGCTCAGCCTTGTTCGTACAGTGTCTGTGTCTTTAGGCAGTACAATGAGTAGGTCTCTTAGGTACCCATGTGCCTGGAATCTCGAAACTTCGTACGACAAGGCTGAAAGAAAGAGCCAAGGTACAACCCAACTTCACCCCCCTTCAGCGCTCGCTCGCTCGTTCACTCTCTACATACTATTCCTGTCCTTTTCATATCCTCAGTCTGGTTTGAACTGTCCACGCAGTGTCTCATCCCCCCTTACATCCTGACCTTTAACCGATTGAGGAAGCCATACAACGATGCGTACCTGTCTTTGCCACATACAGGTATTCAAGCTCTTTGCTTGACCGCTTGACCGGTCTAAAATGCATGGTATTCACTAGCGGCCTGAGATATTGGCGAATCTTGAGGCAGACCATAATACAAGATCGGGTTCCTGGGTTTAGACCTGTATAAATGCAGGCAATTTGCTGACATTGTGCCCTGCAGTCGCTGAGACCCTAGCATTCGGATCTGCGTACGGTAAAAATACATTCAGCCTAAGTGCGAGGTACCTAGGTACCTGCCTCTCAATCCGCCCCATACCGGCAACCGTAAGGCCGAAAGGGACAAATACCATAACACGACGACACGTTTCTTCATGTAATCGCACATAACCTCGTCTGAGACCAAGCGTTACGGTCACAGCACTAAAATCTGTCCATGTCAGCCGAGGCTGAGACCTTGACCAATAATGGACTTATCAAGTCCATCCCATTCGGGGAACCACGGTTGGAAAATGCAAATAAAGGCAAGGCTGCCCTGTGTCAGAATACCCTTGTATATAATCATCAAACCGCGCGCTTTGCCCTCGTCGCCAATGTCATTGACCTAGATCGAAAGACACACAAGCAACACGGCGCGGAAGAAGGGATGAAGTGCCTCTTCTTGATAATTCAACTCTATCTCATCGCGCTCTCATCGGCACAGGGCATTCAAGTCCAGGCCATCAACGATGAGAGTTGCGGAGGCAACGGCGGAACTGCACTCTTCAATGTCATTCCCAACCCCGCCGACAAGGTCTTCAGCAGTGGTTGTGTAACAGGAGGTGTTTTCTCGTCTGTCACCACCATTAATCAGGTCACCCCGGGCTTCCAATGCAACATCTACGCCGATTCATCATGCACCAGCTTTATCAAATCCCTCACAGAGGGTGTCTGTAGTCCTGGCATCGGCCAGGGCATTATTTGTTTTGCCCAGGCACTTTTTGACAATCCGCTCGCCCTATCTACAGCCGCAATGACCGTGGGCAGTCGACGAATCCTCGTCTCTGGGGGCCAATTTGAGAGGCCTGGGGGCATGGACCTTCAAGTCAATAACGCCGTCGCGGCCCTTTGTTCGGAGTTTGGCTGCGACCAAAGCAATCGATTTGAGACCAACTTCGACTTTCTACCAAACACCTTTGTGTTGAGTGGGAATAACTGCAAGCAGTCCATGAAACTTACTGGAAACTACGACGACGCCAGCCAGCGTGACTACATGGCAGGCCTCATCGGTCAATCCCTGAAGGAGACCTCTCAACCTCCTCCTTCGGGTACCTTCTCAAATAATGGCGACCAGCTTCAAACAACCCCATCCTTTGTTCAGGTCGTCATCAATGACCATATCGGGAGAAACCAAGCCGAAATGACTCTTGAAATCTCAGTGGATTGCAAAAATGCCTTGAACGAAGCCTTGGATTGCGATGGAGTCCGAGGCAAAATCACGTCAGAGTTCCTTGCGCGCATTCCTGCTGTAGGAGGTGCTTTTGCTACAGGTTTCGAAGTCACTTGTTCTGCGACGGGCTGAGATCCGATGCCAATACAAGTAGGACGTACAACCATTGATATGGCCAGCCATCTATTGGTGCCCGGTTGCTTTTGTTCAAGGAGGGAACTTTGTGATAAAAGGAGGAGGCGCTCATCAAGGACATGAATAAACTCGGATTGGAAAGGATTGGGGGCATGCAATTATTGTTTATACCTTGCAATAGCACACCAAATGGCGTTTATTTCATTCGAGGTATTCAATATGTGGCATCCAATCTTGAGATTATCTATCTGTGCAGAAGACACCACTTTTGCACTCTATGTCTCGCCATCAAAGCTTTCTAGCACAGGTGACAAGATGTGCTCAATTATCCTGGCTTCGTAATCATGGCAGGAGGGCACCCAAACAGGAGACACACGCCCACAGGATAGCACCTTTGGAAATGCAACCAATTCGCTCGCCCACTAGTAGTAAGTACGTATACATTTCAATCGCTCGCCCACTAGTAGTAAGTACGTATACATTTCAATTTCTCGTCAAGCGAAGGCGAGATTCGGACCACGATCGAGAAATACGCCGCTCTAATCATGCATAGTAAGCACATGGGTTACACAAAAGCACGCACGATACACTTGTTGGCCACGCTACAGTATTTGAGAGCACCCTGTAGTTTTCAAAACCCCCTTCTCATTTCCACCGAGATACTACCACACAAACTCCTACTGGATATAGTAGTTTTCATGAGTCAGTCAAGTGGGCCGGCTGCTGACACTGAAAATAGAGGGGCGGGGTGGTATCCGAACTATATGCTGCGTATAGGTATACCACATGATTCAGCCACGGTTTCCACGGCCGTAAGCACAGATTGAGATTAAGATCGGTGGCTGGTGTTTCAACACGTATTATACATGCGTAACCATGTTAGGTAGCGAGGCAAATCCACTCGGCTTATGCATTCTTTTGGCCCCCCGTCGTTCTTCGCGACATCTCGCCATGCATACGGAGCTACTTCCAAATTTGAGACTGGAGAGTGTGATTATGGTATTAGGGCTGATACTACTAACGACGACGAGGCTGGAGCAGAAGAACGAGTGATCACTTGGAGAAGGGAACATAATGTGTTCTAAGCTATTGGACATGGAGTTCTCATGATACACAAGATAACATTGTTGATGCTGAAATCCAGATACGATAGGGGATTGTAACAGTGAGGTTCTCAAAATGTCCCTTTATCATTCTCTTTTCGCAATCCCATACCATCTCGACCGAATTCCCAATATTGACATCAAATACTCCATGATCTATATCAAAATTCCAATCTGTTACGCCCCTAAGCCCACATACTCCCACCCACCCCAAATTCCGCTGCGACAATGGAGTCCGCGCTGTATATCATAGTGAAGTTCCCCGTTCCGCTTATGGGGTCGAAACCATCCGTGGCGTTGTGATTCCTCTGCCTCTAGAATGGGCTGTACCCTTTTCTCAGAGATCGAAACTTGTCATAGACATTGAACGAGGCTTTCTCAGCCTTGTGGCCTCTATATTGTCGAACGACAAAAATGACAAAGCTGAGAATTTCGATCAACAATATAACGACTGAAGCGTAGTAGGTGTAGGTCTGGCACAGCACGAGCATTAGCGTTTTGGAGACTTCTCGTGTATATAGGCAAAGATACGGTAAAGGAAAGGGTCGGTCATACATTCTCGACACACAGGCCTTTCCAGGGAATGTGGGCATCGCTAGTCTCCTTGGGGTGACAGGACCAGGTCCAAATATCCCAGTTCTTTTTGCTTTTGCCTGCATTTCCGACAACCTTGAAGTACACGACTGCGGCCAGCCATGCCATAATGAGCACGATGGAGCTCAGGTATGCGCCCCAGGTGTGGACCACGCTCTGGCGGATACTTATGCACTGCATTATTGAGAAAAGGGGACGAGATTAGCTGTGCTTTGGTGGCAATAGACACGAGAAGTTTGCAGCTTTGAAATGCTGGAATTGCACTTACGCAGGAACACAATGTCCCAATAGCAACAACTTGGATCAATGTAGCGAGGATGGCAGTCCCCATGATGGCCCAGTTCGGCCAGACGTCGAGAAAGGCCCAAAGTTCTGTCTTGAGGTTCGTGACACGGTTGATGGCCGTGTCGTTGCGAGTATCCAGATAGACGTAGAGTGTATGGGCCTGAATGCCGATGATGCTGACGGCAAAAGCGAAAGCAAGAGCTCGCAGCACAATTCGAGTATAGTTTGTCGTCGCTCTACGGACACGACGTTCTCGAGTAGGCTTTTGCCGTGGCGATTCTGATGGACCTTGAGGGACGAGAGGCTTTTCGGGGTCATAGGGCTCTGGGACCTGACTGTGTGTGAACGGCTCGTAGGCCGATGATGGGCGACTCGCCATAGTGATGAGGTAGGATCGGGACAGTTGGAGATGGATCAACGGCTTGCCAAAGTATTTGACAATGAACTCGCTCTCGTACCTTGTTGATGCGTAGATATATACACACCTAGGTGATGGGCATCACTTACCAGAATGAGCTGCAGGATCCAAGTCTGGGCTGGAGAGGCTTTCTGTTTTATTTCTGCTTAAACTACCCACCATGTTGGGCGGGCACTCCAGCATTGGCTGTCCAAATGCCAGGCTCGGAACCGCTGAAAGTAAGAGCTAGCATTAAAAAGAATCGATGAAGTAGCATTGGCCACGCTGGTCACTGCCTGGCGAGCTTGACCTTGGTTTGATGAGTGCGTGTATTGTCACAGGCACAGGAGGCCTCGAGGCAAGGATGTGCGCACAATATACGCCATGGGTGAGAACGATGCTGGCCACTCAGTATAGGAAGAAGGTGTTCCCCATCGGGCTATTAATGGGCTGGTTTATTCGCTTTAAGTAAGGGTGGTACGGTAGGTAAGAATACGCAAGTGTTACCGCACCCCTGTTGGTGGATCTGTGGTCCCCAATCGCCACCCCAGAGGAGATCAGTGAATACGGTATTTTATATGCGACGTGCATAAGAAGCTTAGTTGACAGGTACACATCCTCAATATGAACTCGGCCACATTCGTCATTTGGTCCTTTGGGAAGATTTACCGCCACCACCACCACCACCACCACCAGGTTACTTATGGAACCATGGAACCCCACTGTTCATAAGCTGGTCGAGGCTGAAGAGCAACTTGGGGCCAGTAAGTGTGAGTGAAATATGTAGAGGAGGGAGAGGGAGAGGGAGAGGGAGATGGAGATGGAATGCCCACGACACGTGACAGGTTGCCTCTTATTATCTAGTGATGCGCCTGAGATGACAACGGTCGGCCATAGAAACCACAAGAGCATGGACGGAAGACGTTATCCAGGCGCTCTTTGGTGATCCTGGAGTGCCTGGTTATCCTGGTTATCCTAGGGGCCGAGGGTCTGACAACAATTGCGAGACTGGTCTGTGGTTTGTCTGCCGCTTCTCCCGCTTCTGCCCCCTTCAAAGCCATCCCATCTTATCCCCGCAATACCAGCGGAGTTTCAAGCCTGGGAATACCGAGGTCATCTCGGTCAACAAAGGCTTTGTAGCCGTTGTCACCATGGTGCTTCGGCACGATTCGCATTTAACAAAACGAGGCTATGTCGGTGGTGTCAAAGTCTCTGCTCTATAGGCACATCGACTTTGGTCAGATATCCTCCTTTTCGTTTCCTTGAAATTGTTGGTATTGACTTAGACCACTACACACCATGTCGGCCAGCCCCCCGCTCACAGGCCTCAAGGTCCTTGAGCTTGCAGGTCTTGCCCCAGGTAAGTTGAAAAAAATCACTACTATACAATTTACTCGGGCTAAATCTGGCCAGGACCTTTCTGCGGAATCCTCCTCGCCAACTGGGGCGCCGATGTCCTTCGCGTCGACCGACCAGGTGGACCCCAGGCACCACCAACAAACGACCTCCTCACTTCACATAAAGCCTCTGTCGCTCTTGACCTGAAGACCGCAGCTTCAGTCGAAGTCTTCCTCAGCTTAATTGACAAGGCGGATGTCCTCATCGATCCTTTCCGACCCGGTGTCTTGGAGAAATTAGGCTTGGACCCAGAAAAGGTGCTGCTGAAGAGAAATCCCCGCCTCATCACAGTCCGTCTGACTGGGTTTCGACGAGATGGCAAATACTCGGCCATGGCAGGTCATGACATCAATTACCTGGCCGTCTCAGGCGTGTTGGGCATGCTAGGGGCAAAAGACACACCACCTCTGCCGCCGGCCAATATCCTCGCCGATTTTGCTGGTGGTGGACATGTTGCTTTTACTGGAGTGCTGCTCGCGCTGATCCATCGATCCACGTCAGGCAAGGGTCAGGTGGTCAACTCCAACATGGTGGACGGCGTCAGCTATCTGGGCATGTTCCCGCGACTGTTGACCAAGGAGGCGATGTGGTCTGGCCCTCGTGGCACCAACACTCTGGACGGAGGATGTCCGTACTATGGTTCATACGAGACCAAAGACGCGGGCAAATACATGTCTGTCGGTGCGCTGGAGCCACAATTCTACGTCGAATTCATCAAAGGTCTTGGCTTCAAACCCGAAGACGTTCTCGCCCACAAGGACCTCAAGCGTGACGATCCCAAGGCCTGGCCATACATGCGACAGGTTTTCACGCAACGATTCAAGACGAAGACGCGCAAGGAGTGGGAGGCCATCTTTGACGGCACCGATGCCTGCGTAGCTCCGATCCTCGAACACAAGGAGATGGAAGCTTCCAACTACGACCATCGACCCATTGTTGAATTGACTGTTTCACCAGGCCGCAAGGTCGATCGGCCTTGGAAAGGCCAGCCCATGCGGTCTGGCGAGGGAGGTGACGCGAGATTGGATCAATGGCTGGGTTGGAAGCAAGGTCGGGATTTTGATGTTCAAGGTAGATCTGGATCAGAATTCTTGGTCAAGAAGGCGAAGAGCAAACTATAGAGAGGATAATGGACAATGTTATTACTCATTCCACCTCATACAGTGGGGATGCTCATGCGAATCACTTTTCCAACTCGTGCGCTCTCTTTTGATGGTCTATGTATGATATCCTCCCCAGATAGGGTGAAGGGAGAAGTAGCAGAAAAGGAAAATGCTCGCTATATGCATGGCTGCTGTTCATCTACCAATACCCATTGATGCCGGCAAAGCCAGCAGCAGCCTTGAGGTCATCAGCATTAAGCAGGCCGACGCCCTCTTGGAGCAAGAGGCTCCAAAGCGCATTTCGCTTGACCAGAGGGAACGCAGGAGTGTCCCAGTATCTGGCCTTGATCCCCTTTGCAGAGGCAACATCGAGATGGGATCGAAGGGTATCGAGCTGTGTGTCGTTAAGCTGGGTGCCATTCATGGGCCCAATAGAACGACCAAAGGGGGTCGAAGCGATAGGCGAGATGTCACTAGTGATGTTGGCCTGGGTCGAGTCAAGGAGAGCCAGGTTGGCGTCGAAGAAATAGTCTCGCGGCGACACGCCCTGGACCTGGTCGAGCGGGGTGTTACCGGTACCTATGACGGTGACTGGGCCCATGGTGACAGCCGTGCCATTGTAGGTGGTCAGATAGCCGGCGTCTCGTAATGGTTTCAATGCCTCTATCACAACAGGCCAAGTTGTGCTCCCCTCAGTCTTGAGGTCGATGAACAGGTATAACGTCTGGTCTGCCGAGGCGTCAAAGACCCCGTGTTTCGTCGGTCCGTCCGTAACAAAGGCAGACGTTGGGTTCTGTTGTCGTACCACGTCCAGAATCGGCTGGACATATAGTGTATCCAGAGTACGTGTCTCGGTCAGCGCCGACTCCTCGTGTCCGACGTACAGCGTCCCGTTGATCAGCCAGACGTCCGCTTCCACTGAAATGGCTCCCACCGACAGGGCCGAGTAGAAGGGCACATCTCGCCAGTAGTCATTGTGTGAATGAATGGGTTTCTGTTCGTGGGCGGAAAATTAAGCATTGGGATTGTAGACGAGTAATCGAGGCTGGATCCATATCGGCTTACCGGAATAATTCCTCGTGTCAGATCCGTCGGATACGAATACGCATCACTATCATGGGTGTTCTCTAGAATATTCTGTAATGTCTGTGAGATATCCAAGTCATCCGATCGTGGGATTGCTGCTGCATTGACTCTGACGTGGAGCTGGGGGGCCAAGAATGGCAAGGCTAAAGATGCGAACAAGGCTGGGATCATGATGAAAGTGAGGAGGAGGAGAAGAAGCAGGAGATGACAATGATGAGGGACTAGGTGAGAGAAAAAGAATGATAGACGAAGATATACAAACAGCAAGTGGTAAGATCAAGACGACTTGGACTTGTTCATCTCAGAAATGGATTATTACATGAATTATCCTGGATTCTCGTCCATCCAATGTCGGCAAACTCGGAGGCACGTGTGTGAAGGATCATCCTCATATGTAGATCATCATATTCGGAGCCTTTTACCCATAAAACCGTCCAAGCATTTCAGTGTGTCATTGGCTCAGAAATGTAGACCAACCCATTTCAATCCTCGTCTTGAATGCTATTATACTGTTGCTATATGTACCTGAAGATCATTCTCGCTGTTGGCCCAATCATACCAGCATTTGTGTCACACGTGCAAGTTGAACATATGTATCTAAAGATGAGAATACAACACGATGCTACATCGTGCGAAATCGATAGGCTGAGGGGGCGCAGGGCGCCCAATGTTCACCTTTTAGGCGACATGGTGCCTATGGTATACACTCCCGAGTTCACCATAGGCCAATCCTCTTTTGCTATACATTAGTTATTTGTCCCCCGAAGAAACTCCTAGTCTGAACCCAATTAGGTACCTAGGCCTGTAGAGGTCCGTTATTCTAGAGCTTCATCTCCTTCGAAACTCCTGTACGTCAAGTCAGTGACGTTACTGGTCCTGTTCCAACCTGCTGTAAGTAGTATAGATACTGTGCTCATTCTTCTTTGAATATTCTAGGCCTTGACCTCCCTCTATCCCCATTATTTTGGATACGAGACTATAGAACACCTGTGATCAAAATGGACTCGTTCCACTCTCTTTCACCACCTCACCGGCGTCTGCCAAAAGAAGCGTCGAGACAACCTCCACCAGGTAGGAGCAAGCTAAAATGCTACAATTCTCCCAACTCCCAAGTCAAATACCTCTTCCCATATCTGGACAACAGACCAACTTTAAAATGTGGTCGATGGTATCGCAGTCCCTCATATGAAACCATATTTGCCCTGACCTTCCGCTTCAAAGGTAATTTGGACGAACTGCAATAAATTGTCGTTTCCAGACCTGATGCACTATGTGGCTCCCTCCTCAACACCTTCAGGGGAGATTTCGAGATTGCGGAGAACATCATTCCCAACATGCTGAATTGCCAATGCTGAAGGCGGGCTAAGCATCTTGGAACTTGACGACATTCCACTCCACAGTCTGTATACGTCACTTGATGTTCATCATCGAGCCGCCACACCATTTCTTCCATCCTCTGACGTAGTCAGATGCGTCGTCAAATCGGCCAATTCAACCCGTTTCATGATGAAGCGGTTCCATCTTATCTCTAGGCATCGATATTTCCAAGAAATCAAAGCTCCGCGTGAGTATCAAATCCTGATCTGATGGGCGGGGACTACTACCGAAACGTCTCCACTGCATCTTGATCTCGTCCACCTCATGGACTAACATTACGCGCGGTCATTCTGAAATCTGGATGGATAGATGGCCTCGCGTGCCTTGCCACCATTTACAGTGCCAATATTCCATTTCACAACTGGAGTCATGCTTGCCTTGGCTTTGCCTCTGATAATGATATTCGATCAGCCCGCTCCTACGACCTATATAAGAGGAGCGTCCAGTGGCTAACATGAGACTATTGTTTCATCCCCGTTATCCAGGTCTTTGTGCACCATCGCCCTCCTCGAACCATTCGTCGCCAGACATCCAACCATGCAACTCTCCAAGACCATCCTCCTATCCATACTGGCCGCCGTGCCGGTGTTGGCCCAAGATCCTACCGCCACCCTAGTGGATGTCCTACCGACCGAGATGCCTGATGCCACCAGCATCGTCTCTGACGTCACTTCCAGCGTGCAAGACATCGCCAGCAGCGTCTCCGAAAGCGTCGCCTCTGCCAGCGGAGCATTGGAAACCAGTCTTGCCGACCTCAGCTCTGCCGCCTCTACAAACGAAGCTGCTCAAAGCTCATTCGAATCTCTGAGTGCTGCCTCGAGTTCCATTGCCGCCAGCATTTCGGATGCGGCTAGCAGCGCAACTGCTTCTGCTGGTTCTGCCGCCACATCAGGCGTTTCCGAGACGGCTACCGGTACCGATGCCGCTGCCACTACCAATGCTGCAAACGCCCTTCCTACCGGTCTATCTGGTGTTGTCGGTGCAGGCCTCATGGGTCTTGCAGCCTTGTTGTAGATGTGGAACTTTGGATTGAATGGACAAGATTGGGGTTAGGGTAGATAGAGTGGTCAACAAACTATCGACCGCTTATGTCTACACTTGTACTTTGTGGTTACATGAGAATATTAATTTTCCCACCATCAATACTGGTGGGATCTGACATATATACTCGGAGTGTGATATGTGGGCATGATAGGATCTTGAGGCTGTGAGGCTGTGAAGCGTGACTAAGTGTCGCTTACCCCAGTCCTCCTTCCCCACATTGAATGGAACATACGCTTTAGGAGTCTGCAAATAAATTGACTACCTTCTAAACTCTTACAAACACTTCCTACAATCCAAAGTAGGCTTCAGCGGATTGAAATTCCGTGAAAACAGTACATCCACACTTGGTGTCTCGTGAAAATCAACTTCCACTTTCTCAAGCAAGATGTCACTCCCGACTACTCGACGAATCGTGACAGGTGAGATCCCAGACCGACAAGACCACTTGATCTTCCTGCACAACACTTGTATGTACCAAATATCACTAACATGATCAAATCTAGGACACAACGCCCAGGGGAGATCTATCATCGAGAGTGATCAGGTACTGACGCCAGCAAACCCTGTTGACCCTGAAGGCAAGCCTCCGACAGGCATCATCCCGGGCTTCACCAACTTATTCCGCACCGACGGTGTGCCCGCCAAGGTTCAAGGACCATGGAATGAAGTGCACGGCAAGAAGATTGGATTGGTGGCTCCTGACGGAGTGTACAGTCGTATTGTGGATTTCCCTCCGACAGGAGATGCAGACGACAAGGTCAACATCATGCACCGCACACAGAGCGTCGACTTTGGTGTGGTTCTTAAAGGTTCTATTCAGCTGGTGCTCGAGGATGGTATAGAGACGACGGTCGGTGAAGGTGAGGTAGTGGTCCAGCGGGGCACGAATCATGTGAGTTTGTCCAACGGCCAGCCTGGTTTTGAGGCGCAGGGGTTGAATCTCTCATGCTTACAACAAAGACCACGACTGACTCATACTTTTTCTGTGTGTCTAGGCTTGGAAGAACATCACAAACGAAAACGCACGTATGTTATTTGTCCTGGTTCCCTCAGTGCCCATCATAAACGAATCGACTGGTCAGGAATTTGAGTTGACTCCGACAACTCAACTGGAGGAGGATCCAAAGTAAGAGTTGTGGGCCACATGGAAGTGAATACAACACTTGCAACACGACAATACCAAGTCCTTGACGACAGATTATGATCATATCCCATCAACAAAAGCCCATCCTCAGTCACGTGTTTAATATCACGTGACTGTAGAACATGATTCGTGATAAATCCCGCAATTCCGCGATCCCACCCTTGTCACGTGCACTGCACAAGCATCTTTGCTTATCGTACTCGAGGTCGGCCACGTGCCTTTTTCGTACATTATATAATTCGACCAAGTCTGGTTTTTTCCGAATTCCGCCTTTTCCCACCTTTTCTCCGAGATCAGAATCGCGTACAAACCCCAGTCATTATCGGTCGAAGCTATCTGTTTAGGAAACTCTCAGTGTACGACGACGAACAAACGCCCATTACCCGACTGACTCAGGCCCTTTTGGAGGCGAGGCTGGTCAAACGATCGAAACGAGAAAGGGTGATTTATTATTGTCCCTTGACGCGGCGCATAAGTGTGGTTCCACAAGGCTGGGGCTTTATCCCCCCGCCTAAGGTATTGATTGATTGTGATTGATTATTGGACCCCTCTCATCGTCCTTGTCCTTTGTCATTGGGGGAATCGCGCTGTGTCGTGTGGTATTTGATCTAGGTGATCGGTGATCAGTGGTCACGATGCCAAAGGAAAGACAGACTTGGTAAGTTTGAGGAGATGATAAGAAGATATAGCGCCAAAGAGGGAAGAAAGGCCGTCCTGGACGATACAGAGCATTTTCCGACGATGTTCTTATTCGAGACAGGAAAAGCCACTAGACCCTATCCCTTCTCCTCCCTATTTCTCTGATGGAATCCCTTTTTCCGTGGTCCTAACTAATCTCCTCGCTATAGTACAGAATGTTCTATGCGAAGACAGAAATGCGACCGCAACGTACCATGCGGTCGCTGCGTCAAACGAGGTGACGCCGACAAATGTACTCGCGATTGGCCCGGTGGATATGATCCGAAACTACATCGGATCTATCCACGATCTATGGGAAGTGGAGGCAATCAAAGAGGCGATAGTCCTCACGGTAGTGGTACCAGTGGTGGCGGCGGAGCCCAGTCGCCTACAGCCACAGTGACGACGGATTCGATTCATCCTTCGTTGAGAACACCTGGATCGAATGCAACTTCTGGACCGAGTCCAAGGAATCCACCACCGCCATCGACGATTGGTCATGGTTCACCGGTGCGACAACCATCGAGTAGTCATTATCGATCTTCAATATCGATACCCAATCCTATATCCAACCCTATCTCGCAACCAACAAGCGCAAACATGAACCCAAACGCAAGTACAACCTCCAACACCGCCCCCACAACATCCACCAATTCCCATTCCAACCCCAACCCCAATGCCATCGACACATCCACCGAACTCGACTTCATCACATGGGGCCGAACCAAACTATCCGACTATGACCTCAAAGCGCTCGAACTGCTCAAAGAACCGCACCAAGCCGGCGGGGTTCCTAACCGCATCTCCGCCAAAGATACCAGCGCCGATTGGGAACTTCAAAACTGCCTTGGCGGAACCGGAGCCGCACAAGTTTCATTCTTACAACTTCTCCTCCCGTCACGACGCCAAGTATACCAATTAGTTGAATACCATGTATCCAACATCCTATGGTATCACGCCTGTTTCCACGCGCCGACATTCTATGAGGAATTGAACGAGGCGTATAAGAATGGACAGGGAGAGCTCCAGATTCGCGAGACGGATCTGCGCTGGACGGCCTTGTTGTTTGCGGTCATGTCGGCGAGTATGGTGTGTGCGAACGATCAGATCGCTCAGACTTGGGGGTTTCGAAAGAGTGAGAGGGCGAAACTCACCAGGCAGTGGTACAAGGCTACCGTGACGTGTTTGAACCTGTCGGATTATATGTGGCGGCATCATATTTACTCGGTCGAGGCCATCACTGTCTTGACTATGTCGGCTCATATCTTGGGTTTCAGCAATACGCAGAGCACATTGCTGGGTGCAGCGTTCAAGATCGCACAGGGTCTGGGTCTACAGCGACTCGGCCCCGAAGACGACGTTAACAGTGTCACTGGCAATGCCATCTCCGCCACCCCGGCACAGCGCGACAAGGCCATCAAGAGAGAGACGGGTCGTCGACTCTGGTCGCAGATCTGTCTGCAGGATTGGTTCTCTATCCCCTTTTCAGAAATGTATTCCATTCAGCGTTCACATTACACCACTCTCAAACCTCTCCATTGCGACGAACACACCATGCAACCTCTGCCCGACAATGTCCCTGCCATGACCAGTTTCCCCGTTTTCCTCAACGCCATCGCCGAATTTATGCCTCAAATACATGACGCCATTATCAGCTCTAATACACTATATACCAAATACGAGCAGGTCCTCGAATACGACTCACGCATGCGGAGGTTGGCCACTGAAGGTCTCCCCAAATTCTTCTCCACAAAGGAGCCCATCGACCCAGACTGGCCACCCTTTATCCCTTGGGCTCGGCGAGGCCTTACCATCTGTTTTGCCCACAAGATCATCATGATTCATCGGGCCTTTCTCGGCCGAAGCTTCACCGAATCCAGCTTCGATTTCACGCGACGAACATGTATGGTCGCAGCCAAGACCATCTTGAAGGAAGCCCGACAAGCTTACGATGAAGACGGCCCCATGCTGTGGATCGATCAAGCCTTTATGGTCGCTGCGGGCATTACTCTTGCCTTGGACATCTTTCACCGCACCAATTCGGAGTCCGAGTATGAAGAACACCGCAAGTTGGTCGAGAACACCATCAGTCTGCTGAGCAAGTTTGAGCACAGTATGATTGCTCTTCGGGGCATTCGTCTTCTGTCCTCCCTTCTCGCCGAACAAGCACGTCTTTCGGCTGACCAAACTCTGGAGAATTATCGGAAAAGGACGTATGACACGTTGGGCGATCGAGGGAGCCAGATGAAGAGGCAGAAATTCAATGTGCCCAAATTTGTCGAGTCATTTGTGGGAAATGACAATTTCACCAATTCCCTGCGCAACACCAATCGAGACACCCAGCCGAGCATGGACTTGTATGAACCCAACACCATGGAAACAAGAGCACCCATGGATGTGGGATCTCAAGAGACGTTCATCACCAGTGATTTGGGATATGAGACGTTTGAGCAATTATTCCCGCCCCACACGGGAATCAGCAACAACTTTTTGTTTGAAGACCTGCTCAATTTCGACATATAGAGTCGATTGGGGATGACATATGATGGCTGTTCTGTATAATACTTTTCCAGTGACATTGCTCAAGTAAATGACGATCATATGACTGTACCCAGGCAGAGGCAAGGCGGTGGGAGTAGGAAGGATTTGGATCCAAGGTGGTTCGCGATAGAACGGTGGTTCTGATCATCAGGATCGCTCACACAGGTTATAAGCTCAATAATAGATGTCGTTCAAAGGACACGGCCGTGAATTTGTATTCCGAGAGAGCTGTGGTTCGTCTTTAGTGCTGGTGGAGATAGAATGGCCAGAAACCGTGATTCTCAGAGTGGAGTGATGGCCGAGATCGAGCTTTGCTCTCGGTTGATAACACGGGCAGCCTTCGCGGGCAGCCTGTGGTGTGTATCAGGCCGCAGTTTGAGTGACAATAGTTGTATACTCTCGGCCATTTTCTCAACCTTCAACACCAGTCTTTGTGCTAAAGACATCCCTGGCCATCATGGTGTTGAGGACAGCACAGTTAAATGCAGCCTCTCCGGGTGGTGTGACAACGAAGATGTATGTATTTTCGGTGAATCTAGCAAGGAAACAGTTGAAGTTTGGCGACTGGACCTTGAATAGGAGGAATCCGGTGCTGGCAGCGGTGGTACGGGTGTTGCGAGCGACGGTATGCTTGTAGGTTTTCATAATGTTGGAGATGCGTTCGTGTCGATCGAGACTGGGATTTTGCTCACCAATGTCGTTGACAACATTGGTGACGGTGAGAAAAGTGGACCGCTCAAACAAGACGATCTCTTCTGCATGGAGTTGGTTTGCAAACGCGTGGAGGAATTTCTCAATGACAACTAGATTGGGGATCATCTTGTGGACGATGCCGGCCCAGGCTTTGTATAGTGATTGATCCCAAATGCTGCTGGCGAATGTTTCGAGGCTGAGACCTTCGGTGCGGGATACTATCATACGGACTCTTTCTTCATAGATTCTCTCGCGGTGTTCGTGTTGAACCAGGTCCATCTTGTGGATGAGGCAGAAGACGTGGGCAGAAGGACTGTAGTCTTTGAGGGCCTTGACAACTTGACTGTAGGTTTCCATGTCTTGATCGACGGCTCGAGACTCGATGTCGAAGACATAAATGAGGACTTCAGCGTCGGAGAATACATTCTCTCGTTGGGTGTTGAGGTAGGAATCCATGAATGCGTCTTGTCTGGGAAAGCAGGGCGGTTAGCAAACATGACAAGAGGAATGATTGTTCATGAGGGAACCCAGTTGAAACATACCCTCCACAATCCCACAAGTTCAAGGTCAAATTGCCCATGAACTTTGCATGGCTGTGCTCAACGTCAATGGTAGCACCTAAGCGACGAACATCCTTTGCGACGTAATTGCTGAAGATGATGCTCCTCATGGACGACTTGCCGGAGCCACTTTTGCCCATGAGGAGGACTTTCTTTTTTCTTTTGCGAGTATCCATGGAGAATACTGTTGTGTCGAGAATCGGTGAGTTCGGATGAGGTGAGAGGGATGTGGATGACAAGGGAGAAGAGATTGACGTTGATGGAGGTTATCGCATCATGTGGATGGCAGGTGCGGTGCAAGTGCGGTGCAGTTGAAGTCGCAGCTGCTGAGTTCGAGATGGGACGCAAAGTGTGGGGAAGGTGCAATGTCGAGGTGCCATGGAAGGTTCTGCATGACAGGCCAGTGCAGCCTCCTTTGGTTCCCCTCCCAGGCACGATTAGAGGCTGGAGGCGGCCGAGGGCGTTGATGTCCACCTACATACAGGCTTAAGGGCATATTGATTGGGGGAGCTTAGAGGCACAAAGCCCCGAGAGACTCTCGTTGGCTGAGAGCAGGAATGACAGGCTTCCAGGGCATGTGACGCAATGGGTGACGGAGATGTTTACTTCAAACTACGAATAAGCACAAGGAGCTCTTGGGGAGCCTGATGAGCTAAGAACTAGTTCCCTCGGGAGGTCAAAGGTTAGGCCTCCAGGCACCATTCCCGCCTGCAGTTGGGTTGAGTTTGGCGCAGTCTTGACGCAAGATCATCAAGAAGTACGCTCATATCAGGGGTATATTATTGTATGGCACGACGACACAGTCGTCCCATTCTCCAGGCAATCTTGTCCCACGGGCCTCGGTCATCCTCAGCTGGCAAACTCATCGTCTAGAGATTGGGTCCTGCGACAGTATCATCCATAATCAGGATCTATTCATCAACACAACAAATGACGAGAAAGGATCAGGTGGCCCCACTGAGAGTTGCTTCGGTCGTTGGCTTGACTTGAACGTCTGCATTATCGGTACTTCCGGAGCCTTTGCCAGCGGCAGCGCTTGCCTCGAAGCTTTGCTCGAAATCTTGAATAATATCATCGATGTGCTCGATGCCGACCGAAACTCGAATGGCGTCAGGAGTGACACCCGAGTCAATTCTCTCTTGCTCTTCGAGTTGTTCGTGGGTGGTGGACCAAGGATGGATGGCGAGTGTCTTTGCGTCTCCCACGCTGCAATTGTCATTGCGTCAGCCGGTGTCTCACATTTTTGATTTAGGGGAATAAACTTACTTTGCAAGGTTGGAAATCAGCTTGAAGCCATCGACGACTTGAGCACCGGCATCGGCACCGCCCTTGACACCGAAAGACAAAACACCGCCAAAGCCTCGGGGAAGATATTTCTTGGCCAGCTGGTGGCTGGGGTGGCTTTCCAGACCCGGGTATGAGACCCAAGCAACTTCAGGGCGGGACTGGAGCCATTTGGCGAGCTTGAGGGCATTCTCTCCGTGTCTCTCACTGCGCAAGCTCAAAGTCTCGAGACCCAAGAGGAATTGCTGGGCGTTGAAAGGGGACAGGCATGCACCGACGTCTCGGAGGATTTCGACACGGACTCGGATGATGAAGGCGATGGGGCCAAAGGTGTCGACGAATTTCAGACCATGGTAACCAGGAGCAGGATCGTTGAATTGAGGAAATCGCTTTGCGTTTGCTGCCCAGTCAAACTTGCCCGAGTCGACAATGACACCACCAATCGAGGTACCATGACCACCGATCCATTTGGTGGCTGAGTGAACAATAATGTCTGCGCCATGCTTGAAAGGCTGGGCAAAGTAGCCACCGGCTCCAAAGGTGTTGTCGACGACGAGAGGGACGCCATGCTCGTGGGCGACCTTGGCGATGGCCTCGAAATCGGGTACGTTGTATCTTGGGTTGCCGATGGTCTCGACATAGACGGCCTTTGTCTTGTCGTCAATGGCAGCAGCAATGTCTTTGGGGTCCTCTCCATTGACAAACTTTGTGTTAATTCCCAAACGGGGGAAGAAGACCTTGAACTGGTTGTAGGTGCCACCGTACAAGTTGGACGTGGAGACAATGTTGTCGCCGGCATGAGCAAGGGCACTGATGGCCAAGAATTGAGCAGCTTGTCCTGAGGCTGTGGCTACGGCGGCAGCACCGCCTTCGAGGGCTGCGATTCTCTTCTCAAAGACATCGACTGTAGGGTTCATGATCCGGCTGTAGATGTTTCCAAACTCTTTAAGGCCAAACAGCCGGGCTCCATGAGCCGAGTCATTGAAGGTGAAGGAGGTGGTTTGGTAGATGGGCACAGCTCGTGCCTTGGTCGTTGGATCTGGTTCTTGACCGGCGTGGATCTGAAGGGTTTCGAACTTCTGAACGTGGTCGTCGCCGGAAGCCATGGTGGGAGGTAGTTTTTGGTAGACGTGCGGAGCTGTGTGAGGGGGGGGAAGAGTCAAGTGAAGTATTCTCAAGTCAAGGGTTCAGGCGGTAGAAGGATGTGACAGGAGAAGGGAAATGTTTGTTGACACCACAAGAGAATATCAGGAGCAGAGGAAAAATGAAAGAGGGGCAGGACGGGTAAATAACTTGAGAGAAGAGAGAAAAGTAGAGGTTCGTGGTGTGTGTGTGTCCTTGGACCGTCGAGCAGCAAGAGCAAGAGGGCAAGACTCTGTTCCCCGCATTGATGGAGGTTCCTAAGATATTGCGTGATCGGCCATCGACCCACGGCGTCACGAGTCACGGCCCACGATACTCTCGAACGGACGCTTGGGGCCAGAGATAGCAGCCAATTCGACTGGAGGTTCGCGGACAAGAGAAAATGACGCTGCTGAGGTGGGATACGAGTGTTGATTGATGAACTTTCTTGCATGGCCATGTGAGTGGTATCACAACTGGGTGGCTCCTGGTCGATTTGGAGGGGTTGGTCATGATGGCAGTCACCAACGACGCTCATCAGACGAGGCAGGAGTAAGATTGCTGCCGGCCTTCTCGTTTAAACTCCCGTATAAGATGGCTTACCTGTTACATTGAATATATCGTACTGCTTGTGGCAGAGAAAAAGACGCAGAGTTCGTGATTACATTTTGGGGTCAAAGGGGCGGAAAGAGTGTGAGCCAGAGGAATCTCGTGTATTGTGACAGAAATGGCATCCCAATACGAGGGGGAGAAGAGGAGAGGGGGAGTGAAGGAGGGGCAGATTGACACTCGAGATTCTTGGAGACAGCCCGTGCAGGGTTACAAAAGTTATTCTCCAGGGGCCAAGAAAGCCTGTTATCTTATCGCCAGGTCTTCCTGGGCGGCATGGGTGGTGAGGTATTGGTGGTCCTGATGGGGTCTAGGCATCTAATGAACTAATTCAGGGCCAAATCCTCGTCTTCCAGTTAAGTCTGTGCTCCTCCCACGCCCCTAACCCTCTCTACGTTCGCCCTAAAAGCCCCCACGTGCCGAGGGAAGGACCACTCACACACTCTCTTTATCGCAAACTCCTCTGAGCAGCGCAGTTTTGTGATCATCTCATCTCTTCATCCTCCACCCAAGCTCCTGGAAGCGAAAACACCCTCGGCTCCGGTCCACCCATCCGGCCCGGACTTGAGGTTTTGATGACCGATAGACTGGGTACTGGATCCAATGGAGATTCCCGCCTTTAGTCAAAGACATCATGGATAACACCTGTCGAACTAATAAAAGACTTACCCCAGACACAATTTTACATTACTTGATCCCATCCAACATGGTCCTTTACACGACCTTTCACTGTAGAGCTCACTGCTGACGCCTCTCGCTGTATCCAGCTTGCAAGATGGGGCTCTGGACTGAGCGACATGCAGTTCTGGACAAGCTGATTCCCATGAGAGGACGTAAGCCACTGTACATACATATTCGCTCCTCCGAAGCCTTTCTCCTCATCACAATATGCTGGTCAGTGTTCACTGTAAGTCCATCGTCCGTCCAGCTTCATCCACAACTTCAAATCCAACAATTTCTCACCATATCCAGGATGTCTTCCTCTACGGTGTTGTCGTCCCTGTCATTCCATTCGCACTCCAGGACCGAGTCCACATTTCACATGACGAACTTCAGCACTGGGTCTCGGTGCTTCTCGCCGTCTATGCCGCCGCCCTTTTGCTCTGCGCTCCCCTATGTGGCATGTGGGCAGATCGTACCACCTCCCGTCGAGGTCCTTTGTTGATCGGTCTCCTCGTTCTCTTCGGCTCCACCTTGATGTTTTGTTTAGGGAGAACCATCCCACTCTTGGTCATTGGTCGAACTCTGCAAGGCGCCTCCGCTGCCGTTGTATGGACTGTCGCCCTCGCTCTCTTGGCTGATACAGTCAAAAAGGAAGAGTCTGCCAAAGCAATCGGCTATGTCTCAGTCGCCATGACCTTGGGTGTTCTCTTTGGTCCCATGATTGGTGGTGTCGTCTATGAGAGATCCGGCTATTATCCAGTCTTCGCTGTCACCTTCGCCGTTATCGGACTCGACATTATTCTTCGCTTGTTGATGATCGAGAAAAAGATTGCTGCAAAGTGGTTAGAACCTCCAGCTCATGCCCTCCACGATATCAGCATGCTGAACGTAGACCACCTTCAATCTCCCATCAATTCAACCACCATGACCGAGAAGAATTCCTCCATCGCCCACTCTCACCCATCTCCACCTCGGCCCAAACGAAAACTACCCCCAATCTTGTCCCTTCTCCGGTCTCGACGAGTTCTGGCTGCCTGGTGGGGAACCTTTGCAGCTGCTATAACAATGACTGCTCTTGATACCACCATCCCTCTCTATGTCAATCAGACGTTTGGATGGGGATCCTTGGGAGCTGGATTGGTCTTTCTAGCACTTCTCTTTCCCAATTTCTTCGGTCCTTTAATAGGATATTGGACCGATAAATACGGGCCTAGGTGGATTGCTGCTGCTGGTTTATTGCTGTCTATCCCATTCTGGGTTCTGCTCAGATTAGTGGACCACGATGGGATCCGTCAGCAAGTCCTGCTGTGTGCATTATTAGTCTTACTGGGGACCGCTGCTGCCCTAGTATTGACTCCGCTGATGGCTGAATTCAGCAAGGTGTGTGATGCCAAAGTCCGTCAACAGCCAGATTTCTTCGCTGGCAAGTCTGCCTATGCGCAAAGCTTTGGTATCTTCAATGTCGCATGGGCAGCCGGATCCCTGGTGGGCCCACTGGCCGCAGGTGGTATCGTCACTGCTTCAGGTTGGAAGACCATGACATGGGCAATGGCCATTTTCAACGCGGTGGGAGTGGTCCCTGCTCTATTGTATTCTGGAGGCATTATCACCAAAAGAAAACCTGGTGCCAGGGGTGAAGTCAGTTCCTCCTAGCATAGGTGATCTACCTTCAATCAGATGTTGGGCAACTGTCAACAATGGCTAATTCTGAAACACCGCCTCGGTAAATCTGTCAGACTTAGAGGTCCAATCGGACAATTCGATCAGACACCTGGAAAGTAATCTCGCGGTGCATACGCCATGATTCCAGAATCGGTCAAAGGCGAGGTCTGGATGGTGGTTGACGAGATTGGCAATTGTCCAATCAGCGTGCGTGGATGCATGCCATCATGAAACCAGCCTGACGACCAATTCCCACATTGGCTGCATCACCCAACCACATGTTTCATCTATTTGGTTTTGCTCGACATCAAACCACGAGCATGGATCTTGGACCTTGAAATCCTCAAGCACGTCATCGGCCTCTGTGGTGTTTCGGAAAGTGGTCTTTGTTGACTCTGTATCTGGTCATGTCTGGCCACAGCTGATCATGACCACAACCCACATCAACACAACACGCGGCAAGAGATTATCTGTCATGGCATATATACCTCGATCCTTGGGCGTACTTCTGTGGTCTTGCGGTGAGAACTCACTTAGTTGTTTGTCCAAATCTGAAATTCTGCGGATTGTATCTTTGTTCACATCTGTTTGATCTTTCCACGGTCGTGACAGGTTCACCGTCCAATTGTTCATTTCTTCTTGCATTATAATACAAACAACATAAGCCAGTATTATCCATAATCTACCAGAATCCAGGGCCCTAAACTGTTGCAACACAAAACGACTACCACCAATCTTCCAACCCACCCTGTCCACATCCAGAGAAAACAGCCAAGTCATCCACCACAAGACCAACACCCCACCCTGTCCAAGACCTCCCTTTCACCGCCAACATGATTGACATCAACCCTGTCCTGGTCGTCCGCGTGTTTCAAGGAATCCTGGCCTTCATCGCAATGGCCACCGGAGCCACCATCGCCAACGAATTCAACATCATCCGACCAGACGTCGACGTGCCACCGGCCATCATCTTCTTCATCTTCACCTCAGTCTTCACACTGCTGCTGTCAGTTCCATATACGATTATAGCGCCGCGATATTTCCCCATCGCCGCCCACCCATATGCCATGCTATCAGCCGAAGCCATCACTTCAATTCTCTGGCTCAGCGGCTTTGCTGTGGTTGCTGATTTGTTGCGAAAAGGTGATATCGTCCCTGGTGGTCGGCCGGCTGCAAGAGGTAGTGTCGTGGTTGGAGTTTTTGAATTGTGAGTGCCTAACCTAGCAACCTTGTTGTTCATTCAAGCGCCCTTGCAGGTCTCATGAGCAAGTTTCAAGGTTTATTCAGATACTAACTCTAACACTTCCCTACAGCATTCTATATACCGGCACCGCCTTTTTTGCCTTTTCACACATCTTCCTGGAAGGTCGTTACGCCGGAAATCGAAGAAAGAATAATAACTGTATCTCCAAACCGCAGATGCATCGGTCCTGGACTGGGGCTGAAGTCGTGTGAGACTTATTCTTCTATTGACAATGCGAAAATCAGAAAGTACTGCTTTTTCTTCTCTCAAACGTGCTGGTCGCTGAACTTATCATCTGGATCTAGAGCCAGAAGATATATCTATGAACATGATCCAAGTTGATCATCATGGGGTATTGCCAAACAATACACAAGGGGGATTATAGAGAATTGGATAGTCCAGAATAGATATATCCACCTGTGTCAAAATATTATACAACAAGCATAGCCCGCACCATTGACATGTTGGAAACTTAGACGTTGCAACACTACCGCTATTCCGGTATTTCCTCTGACTCGACTACTTCGGTCAGTAGAAACACATGACCTTTCTTTCAACCATTCGGACACTTAGCCCCGGCAACAGCGACGAATGGAGAAGTTTGTTTGACCGAGGATCGACAGATCTTTAGACAGCCTTGGTGCGATGCTTGTCCTGTCAATGGAAACTCGCAAAAGAGGGGTAAATGCCTGGCCTGGATTTTGGTACCTCAGCTACCTAGTTGTCCGGCCCGGGATATAAACTCAGCCCGAGCCTTTGTCACGACCGAAAGGGATGGATGTATTTAATTAGGTATTTTAAGATTGAGTTCTTGATTCATTGTTGACCTGGCTAAACCAGCTACGTGGTCAGTTCACGCTACATCAACTTTCAAGAACCCCCTTTCAGCACTAGGTGTCTACAGCCTCTGTCCCCTGCAAGTGAACTGTTCCATATATATATACAATGCCTCGATCCGAAGCACATGAAGCACGCAACGCAGCAGTCAGAGAGGGGTTTCGATCCGTCAAGGACGCACGCGCTGCGAGCGTACCGACAGCTGATGCGATTGTATCGACTTGTGAAACCTTGAAAGTCGCCCATAAAGTCGAGGACGTCCCTGATAGCCAAGGTGCAAGGCTGCATTGGATTGGGGATGCCAGTCCTCGTAACACGATCTTATATTTCCATGGTATGAGGTCCCCTGCTTGGATGCTTAGTACGAGTCATGACGCTTGGCCCCCTTACTCCTAACCTGTTCTTCCCTCGAATATACAATTCCCCGAAGGGTTCTATGATAGGTGGAAACGCAACAAATCCTGAATAATGACTACAGGCGGCGGACTCGGTCTGCCTGCGATCCCCGGCCATATCATCTTTCTCGTGCAGTCTCAGCAAAAGCTTGCTGCCGATGGAAAGACATTCTCCATTGCGTTTCTCGAATACGGTAAGAATTGGCAAAACTCACGTGGAATGTATGCGCGTCTGACCAGATCTCAGGGTTGACTCCGGAGATCAAGTTTCCTATCCAGCACATGCAGGCGGTACAGTCTCTCAAATATCTAATTCAGTCAGGTCGAAAGGCTTCAGAGGTGAGCGGCGCGAAATTCCTGAGATTTATATTTCTAAGCAACAAGGTCAATAGATCATCATTTCTGGAGACTCTGCCGGAGGAAATCTGGCACTCGGAGTGCTATCCGCCACCCGACATAGTCGAGAAGGGATCCCCAGTTTGAATCTCGACACCAACCTTAGAGGCGCGGCTCTGATCAGCCCATGGGTTTGTTTGAACTCGAAGAGCGCATCGGTACAGCAAAACCAGGACAAGGACATCGTGACGGCAGCGATCCAAGATGGATTGCGAGAAGAACTCATCACACCGAGCGAAATGGACGAGTTCGCTGAAGCGATCCGAGCACCAACGGAGTGGTGGACCGGCATCCCTGTCGACTCGATCCTGTCTCTGGCTGGAAGTGATGAGATTTTCCGCGACGACATCGTCACCACCGCCGGAGTATTGCGCAAGGCTGGCTTGAGGGTGGAGTCCATAGTGTGTCGTGATCAGGTCCACATCGATTGTGTTCTAGATGCTCAGTCAGGCTTGGAAGTCGGTGATATGTCCTACGCTTACTGGGGTTGGTTGAAAACGACATTATAGTCGAATTACAATATAACAATTGATCTGGTTGAACACGAGATATTGACCCTAATCTATGTAGTATAGGGGATCCCAGTCCCGAGTTATCTAGGACACCGTAGCCGAGGGAGTTGCAGAAAGGGATATTTGAGAGGTTGACAACCCATGCCCCAGCTGAGGTAACATTGACTAAGGCAAGAATATCACCCGTTTTAAAAGAACACGAAAACTCACTCTTCGGGTTTACGATTTTCTCTTTGAGTTCTTTCGAGTATACACAGATACAACGCGTGTATACTTGTCACCTTACCAACAGCCCTCTTCAAAAAGAGATCTCGATCCATGACCACAACAGGTGATATCCTGAGCATCATCTCACAACGAAACAGTCCAACACACACCCATTATGACCAAATCAAGGCAACCAGAATTTGAGCATGACTGTACATCAGTGAATTGAACGGCCAGGGATCAAAATCGGCTCTCGCCTGGCTAAAAGCGTCGGTGTCTTGGGCCATGTTCAACATCCAGTCAAACCCAAGGTTAATAAATACCCAGTGCCGGAAACATGGATAATCGAAACAAAGTTTCCAGGGAACTGAACGAGCTTACGAAAGCATGCATGTTCAAGCGAAAGCCCAAGGCCACGCCGAGCGCACGGGTAGGGCATCCAGGTACAAGAGATACTCCAGGCACATGTTCAGGTGCAAGCACTAGTAAGTTATAGTGAAGAGACGATGCCGGGCTCGGCCTGGTCCCCTGGACTCAGTTGCCGTAAGTGGTACCAGTTTCTGAGGTCAAGGTTCGACCATGTCTTGCGCCATGGCGTTCAAGCGTGTCAAGCAACTACAGACGACAGCCAGTGCCCACCCACCTAGAGATGGAGGAGGCTCAATGTATGGCGCATTTGAAATTCCGAGGGCCGAGAAATTCCTTTTTGGAGACAATACGATACTAGTGTACGATCTATGAGTCGAGAAATTACAAACTGCCATGTCGGAGCGTTTCTCTGTTTTTTCGGTTCTCGAAGTTGGACCTGAACTGCTGCTGCGAGTGGGACCTGTTGCGAGATGATGTGCCAGTGATGGTGAAGATGGTGTCTCCTGAGCCATGATCAATCAAGCACTGGCTCTTGCATTGCGAGATGAAAGAGCAAGAAGAGGACGAGGACCAGGTCAAGGTCGAGGACGAGGAGGAGGGCGTGGGGGTCCGGTTGCATCACTTCGTCAACGCAACGACAGCATCAGCAGCCCTAGCAGTAGCAGCACAACGACCAGAAGCAGCAGCAACAGCAACAGCAACAGCAACAACAATGTCCAGGGCCCAACCACCGATGATGACTCGGATTTCAGTCGCTGTCCGTCACCTTTGTTGACCATCAGCGGGGGATATCGAGTGGACCCATTCGCCAGGTATCCTGTTGAACGGCCATCTCGAGGTGTCCGCCATATGATCGACTACTGTAAGAGATTCAACCCCGACCACACCCCTTCTTCACCCTTTATGCGCGGCGCGAATGTGACAATCAGAGACTAAGATGGTGTTCACCCCAATCTAGATGTCCACATCTGGGCCCCACAACAGGTATCGGCAGCGACTTTTCGAAGCGGCAAAAATGCTCTTGTGGCTCTAGTGATGCCGTTGGCCTCAGAAAGTCGAATGCTCTTTGAGGCGACAATTGCCTTGACTCGAGCCTCCTGGGTCATTAGGAGAGGCTTGGATCCTCTGCAAGATATGATGATGCTTCGCCATCGTTCTATGGCCTCTGAGGATTTGCGCACAAGCTTCGACTGTCCCCAGCCTGTCTTGACTGATACTGTCTTACTGACTATGGCGACTCTGTTGACTATGAATGTAATTACATTATGCCTTTGATGGATCTCCCCAACCCATATCTGTTCCCGGAGAGATGCACTTGGCTAACGCTGGCTCATTACCATCTAGTACATGATCAACGACGCGGTGGCATTCCAAGTCCATCTCCGCGCCTTGGAACAACTACTTCGTCATGTCTCACACTCAGAAGATGAAGAAGGTGGCGAAACGCGAGCTTTTGTACGCGGTCGCGTACTTGCGTAAGAAACCTAAAGCCACGATCCATAGTGAAGAAAATCCACGGACACCTTGAGCTGACCTACTATGATGGAATGCAGATTCAGCGTTCTCGCCTCCTTTCTCCAAGCAGATCAACCCGCGTATGCAACCAGGAGCCAAGTCGGCCACCGCATCAGCACTTTGACCTATCCAGACCACCCTTTTCTTCCTGAGATCAGTGAAATGGTCGCAAAACTCCCTGAGGGGATTGCGGAGGTTGTCTTGAGTCAGAGTATTGCAATCGAGTTTATTAGTTTCCTGGTCAGCTTGAATGAGTTGTTTGTATCTATGTCGACACCCCATCGTCATCATCACCATCATCATCAGCAAGAACACGAAGTATCGCCAACGTCATCATTCCCTCAACGAGCACCACCACCCTTAACGATACAACGTGCGATTTACGATCTTCAGTGCCTGTCGGCATTACCTCTGACGATGATTGAAAGGCAATTGGTGAGAGGACTACTAGCGTTCTCGCTGCATTTATACAACGAGACATCATTCCGAATCCCACTGGGCCGACCCCTGCAGCCGATTGTGGAAGGTTTCAACCAAGAAGTGGACTTGACGCGCCATCAATGGATTCAACGCTGTCTCCTCTGGTGTGGGATAGTGATTGCCAGTGCCTGGGATCGACAAGAGGATGCGGCGCCGCAGCAACATGCACTGCTGGCGCGTATTCTGTCTGAGGTGCCTGAAGCACGCTCTTGGGACGAGACCAGGGATTTGCTGCGTCGGTTCTGGTGGGCCGATTCGCTACAGGACGACTGGGAATTGTGTTGGAGGGCTGCATCGTTCAAACAGTACCGTCAGAGGCGAGGGGCTTCCTCGGCTGAATCAATGGCTGAGTTGATCCAAACCACGGAACCGGGTCATGTCTCGGAGACGACTTCCTCTGCTGGTGATACAACTGATCATGGCCCTTCTGGTCGTCTCTTGCGATGGAGTTCGGGATCTTAACGCCTTTCTCGAGCGAGGGAGAAGTCAATAGGGGAAATAGATCGGCGGGAAAAAGAGGCTTGGTCACAACGATCCCTCATGAGGGCAGATGGATGATGATCGACTCGATAGGGGTCGATTTTGCCTGCCAGTGCCATGTTATATGCATCAACATCGTGCCATTACCTATACTGGACAGCATCTACTGGGGAGACATTTGTATCTGCAGCTGCATCTGACTCATGGCCTAGTCTGACTCAGGTCCATGCACGAAAACAACGATTGACAAGCCAACGCCTGGGCTATGATTCTCACAGAAGTCATGTGTTGAGGTGACTTGATGACCTGATCGTGTTCAGGTGGTGAATGGTGGATATCCTTGGGATACAGGCCCCAGTTAAGCATGCGTCATCTATCATGGCTCATATCAGCCACGAGTTCATGCATGCTATTGGACTTTGCTGGTTGGATTTAACTGCGGGAGAACACCTTGACGGCACCGTCGCCTCCACAGCTAATCACCCATCGACCATCAGGACTCCATATCACACTGCATACTCCTTCACCTCTCATGATCCGGTGACTGGAGATCTCTTGTGTACAACTTCGCTTTTCCAGCGACCAAAACCGTAAACTGGCGTCATGTCCGCCCGACACTAACTCTTTGCCATCTGGACTCAATGACAGCGACGAGATAGCCGCGGGATGAGCGAGCATGTCATATGTGCATTGCCCTGCCTTCCTATTAGTTATCAGGCACCTCAAGATGACTGCCACCAAGACTTACCACTATTAGCATCAAAGAATCGAATAAACCGGTCCTCGTAGCCAGCAATCACAACACCTTCCACTCCGCCTTCTGACCCAGTAGCCCCGTGAACAACATCATCTTCACCCATGGACCCTCTTCGACCCGGTGCAAGGGAGTCTCGAGTGTCGAAGCCTGTGCTGCTAGCAACGACTGCATTGATACCCGTGTTAGGTGTACCGTCGTATGTCTCTTGACTTGCCATGCCCACCACTTCCTCGCCCGTCCTCGTGTCAAATACTAAGACGCTGGCATCCGTGTAACCAACAATGAACGTCTCTCCGTGAAGACCAAGAGGCGATATCGATGTAGGTGCGGGTTTATCCCTCCGTTCGATTCGATGTACTAGGCTGTAGTGGAAAGGAATGGTGCTGGCGACACTGGGTTGTGGTGAGCTGGGGAAATTGGATCCTGCCGAGATTGAATTTGCCCTTCTACTACCCCTGACAGACCGGTTTCCTGCATGTGGTGAACTCAATTGAGGGGGGGTGCTGACAGCCCAAATCAAGATGGTACCGTCGGCTCCTCCAGCAACCAAGAGAACTCGATCTGGTCCACCATATTGTGCACATCGATCTCCCAATATGGAGCCTGAAGATCCGGGAAGGCAACATAATGCCCAAACAGCATCGGTGAGGCCTTCTAATGTTGCTTTTGCGTCAACTCGACCACGTTCCCAAACCTTGACCGTGGCATCTTCGCCACCAGAAAAGATCCAACCATCACCAGCTGCTCGACCTCCGCTTGAGAAATTGAGCGAAGCAGGACACGCTGCCAATGAGCAAACAGCCCCGATGTGACCGCGATGAGTGAAGTGGGCAATACGATCCAAGTCGTCTCCTAATGCCACATTATGAGCATAGGAGGCTGGTATATGCCACCTTTTGACGCCGCCATCATCACTGGCGGTACAGAACTCAGGCTCCGAAGGACTTCCACCTCCTGTGAAGATGACGGCCCGAACCACATCCAAATGCCCCCTCATTGCAAAGCGGACTTTGAATTGCGTATTATCCACTTTGGCTGCGGCCAAATCTCGTGTGTCATCCACACTTCGACGTCGCGCACCCGAACTCTTGCGTCGATATGAACCTGGGGCCCGTGGAGGAGACTTGGAAGGAATCAGGTTGGCGCTAGGGAACAGCTCCGTATCTGGTCGATGTTGAGCTACCGGATCTAAGGATGCCTCGGCGGAGGCAGGTGCATCATCGAAATCCCACGCATCGGCCGACTCTTGCTTGGGCTCCTGAACGGCGACGGAGTCGACCTGATCTTTGACAGGCACCTCTCTCCCATACGCGTCAAAGGTGTGTGTTATTGACTCAACCTGATCGTCGTTGATTATAATTTGTTCATTGTAGAAATTCTTGCGCGGATCCGCCAATGGAACCGTTTGAGTCATTGCTTCGGGCGTTCGTTGATCGAGCTGGTTCTTCTGAAGGTCATTATGGTTGATTTGAGTGTCAATTCGTGTGAGAGGAGACGGCTCGGAATATTGTGGTGGTTGTTGAACAGCGTTCTCGCGAACCATGGCAACGTTAGGATGATGCGGCTGCTGTTGGCGCTGCAGTTCCTGTTGATGTTTGATTTGTTGAAGTTGCAGGTAAGCATCGTGGAGCTCCTGCTGTGACGGAGGATTTCCAGGATATGTATGGTTGACAAGTTGTATTTGTACCTGATCATTGACGTCTGGAGGAATGTGGGCAGTAGGGAGGACGTGGTAAGTGATTTCCGAAGCACATTTTGAGAGGTAGGTTTTTGATTTGTCGCGTTCTTTCTCCTGACGGATGCCCTGAGAAAGGTGGTTTACAGGGTCGATCTCTTCGTCGAGGCGACTGATGGCCTTGGAAGTAGGGTCTGAATCGTGTCAGAGCAGTCCGATTAGGGGGATGGGTAAGAGAAATTTAGTCACCTTTGCCAATGGCCTTTAACTCCTCCTTAGCCAGCTCTTTGGGATCTTTTCGCTTGTCATTATGTTGAGCATTGTCGAGACCTTTTGATTTGTCGCGTTCCTTTTTCAATGCCAGTTCCAGCAACTTGACGTGCCGTTCGAGTGAAGTTCGGAGACCTTTGCTTGTTCGAGTTTCACCCTCGAGGGCGGCTATACGATTCTTCATCTCTTCACGTTCGATCTCCCAGGAATTCCTATCTCTTTCATGTCGGTGCCATTCAGTCTGAAGAAATCGCATAACACCTGTTCAAAGGTCAGCCGGGATAGGGTTCGAATGGTGGAAAGGGACTGAGTAATACCTTGCAAGGTGTATGCTTGGACACCATTCTGTTCTCCTGCGGGCATTCCTCCTGCGCCGCTGCCAGCAGCCCCGGACTGCCACGCCATGATGCGCTATCTGGCGCCCTTCTTGTGCTGAATCAGTCATCTAGCCATGTCGGGAATCTGCGGGCAGTGATCGACGAGGAGCGCGGTAGGTTCGTGATGCAGCTTGGGAGATGACAGATTGGAAGGCTCAAAGAGTGGGAGGAGGCTCCAAGGTGCAGGGCCCGGCTGAGGATTGATCGAGCGATTGAGGTGCAAGGAGACAGTGAGGGTCGTCCTGATGAATAGAGAGATGGGTCGGTTGGAAGTGTTAATGAGCTGGTGTCTTGTGTTCTCTTGCCAATTCTCTGGTCCCCTGGGAAGATTGAGAAGCGCGAGAGCGACGTACCGAGTTCGACCAAGTAGCCAATTAAATTAGTGCCTGGGCAGTTTGGAGCATAGGGCCGATGGGGGAGGATGGAGAGGATGGAAAGATGGAGAGGCCGCGGAAAGGGGGGCGGCACGGGCGGTTACAGGTGCTGGTGGAGGTGCTGGAGCTTGCCTTAGCCGTCACTGGTAGGTGCATTGGGAGGTAGGCATAGGCTAGCCTATGGGTAAAACCCTTCTGCCGCAGTCCGCAGGCTCGAGCCGCCCATCCGGCATGCCCAGACGCCCGCTGCAGAGACAATTGGACCTTGGAGTTGGGGTTGGAGAACCACTGCCACGGCTTCTTTGTCTGTTACAGGTCTAAGTAGATAAAAGGTAAGGTACCTACCTGGCATAGGTGCTATGGCAAAAGTGGTTGGCTGTAGCAGCTCAGAACAGAGGGATAACACAGTCAAGAAACCCTGTCAAACTACGCAACCATTTCAGCAACAGAAGAATCCTGAGGGCGAGATTGATACGTAGGTACCGAGGTAGGTACCTAGGTCACTTGGATGTTTCTCTGGGGAGCTGGAGAAGACGCCTGTAGTACTGAGAGTACAATCGCGTAAGCCCGAGGCGCCCACTGATCAGTTACCACACAGGCGTTATAGGTAGTTTGTATGGGTGACTGCTACCCCAAACCCTCTCAGTCGTAGCCTATAACTCGTTAATGGTCTCGCTCGACAAACAACCCTGCAATCAACCACCATGCCTCAAATCATCCATCCACCGCCCAAACAACATGACCACTCTGCATCCGTGAATCATAACCTCATCGTGACTGTGCTTTATTCATTCCCCAACGACAGAACTGACTTGGGTGTGACTGTGTATTATGCTAGGTAGCCCTTCATGAGTCAAACAATGGTTGAAACTGGTTCATCCTCCGAGCCCCCTCAATGCCCTGGTCATTGCTCCCTAAGGAAACCTCCATTGCACTCTGACTAGGGAGGTATGCGCTTGATGACTGCATCGTCATGGATGATCGCCGGTATTAAGTAGTAGTATTAGTAGAGTACTACCAAGTCCGACTCCAACACCAACAACCACACTCTACCATTTTATTCATACTCTCAACTTCATCCTCACTTTCATCTATCTTTAATTACTGATTCCTCATCCTTAATCCTCTCTCAATTCCATTATTACACATCTTTCTCATCACCTGCAGTCCTTTGCCTGCGGCCCTCAACGCTCGTGCCTTCCGTCGCTCCAACCCCGCCACCAATCATTGGCATCCATTCCTCTCAGAATCTTGTGCCTGCGCCTTCCCTGCGTCCATCCCACCACACCTCGATTTCCATTTCTGTTTCGCACCTGCCAAATCCACGACTTTCCACGACTTCCTGCAGAAAATTACCATCGTTTTGGAGGAAACAGCAGGCACTGCTTCCCCGTCGAAGCTTCCTCCTTTCCTGAAATTCTCTCAGCATGGAAAACGTGAGTCTGCCTCTCTGCTTCTCATCCTTGCATTGCCACATGCTTCCGCGTCTCCGTTCCTTGTTCCTTGTTTCTTGTTTCTTGTCGTTGCTCTTTCCATTCATTAGAAAATGGACGCTGACATCTCTTCGTCGTTGGAATGTATACAGTTGGCGGGCCCCGATATGCTGATTGACTCCTACGATCAGTACAATTCTCAAGAGAATGACGTGGTCAACATCACTCCCGATGACGCTGCTCAAGAACCCGCAGAGGCCCTGCCCCGGGCTGATGATTGTATGCTACAAATTTCCCTTGTCCTCCATCGTCCCACTCACTCACTTTGGAATAGTCGAGGCCATGAAAAAGCATGTCCTTGTAGATCTACCCGACACCGAAACCGAAGCCGAAACCTACCACACCTGGCACATTGAGAAGTGGCGCACCCTGCCCAGAAAAGAACATGGCCCGGTATTTGAATGCGGCGGTCATCCATGGCGGGCATTGTTCTTTCCCTATGGCAATCAGGTCGATAATGCCTCATTCTACCTCGAACATGGATTTGATGGTGAACCTCCAGCCGATTGGTACGCCTGTGTCCAGTTCGCCCTCGTCCTCTGGAACCCTCAAGACCCCACATTGTTCCGCTCTCATTCCGCCACACATCGATTCAACGCGAAAGAAGGTGACTGGGGTTTCACGCGGTTCGTCGAACTTCGAAAGGCATTTCACCAGCCCTGGGAAGACTCTACCCGACATTTGATTGAGAATGACGAGGCGAACTTGACCGCCTATGTGCGCATTATTAAAGATCCTACCGGAGTTTTGTGGCACAACTTTGAGGGTTATGATTCCAAGAAAGAAACAGGCATGGTTGGTTTGAAGAACCAAGGCGCAACCTGCTACCTCAACTCTTTAATTCAGTCCCTGTATTTCACCGATGCTTTCCGGAAAGCAGTGTATCAAATCCCAACCGCCGAAGATGCCAACAGAAGCAACAGTGCCTGGACCTTGCAGCGGTTGTTTTTCAGGTTGCAAAAGGATCGCTTTGCCGTCTCCACCAACGAATTGACCGCCTCCTTTGGCTGGGACACTCGCCAAATTTTCGAGCAGCAGGACGTCCAGGAATTGTCCCGAATCCTGATGGAAAACTTGGAGAAGAAAATGAAAGGCACCCCGGCAGAACGCACTCTCCCCGAGCTATTCGTGGGAAAGACAAAGACCTACATCTCATGCATTAATGTTGACTTTGAGTCATCTCGAATCGAAGAATTTTGGGACATCCAACTCAACGTCAGAGGCAACAAAAATCTTCATGAGAGTTTCATGGACTATATCCAAGTCGAGACCCTTGAAGGAGAGAACAAATACGATGCCGGAGATCCGTACAAGTTGCAAGATGCCAAAAAGGGCGTCATTTTTGAGAGTTTTCCACCTGTCCTACATTTACAGTTAAAACGATTTGAATACGACATCAATCGAGACGCCATGATGAAGGTCAACGACCGACACGAATTCCCCGACGAGTTTGATGCGTCCTTGTATCTTTCAGACGAGGCTAGATCAAAGTCCTCAGAGCCATGGGTGTATCAACTGCATGGAGTCCTGGTCCACAGTGGCGATTTCAACGCTGGTCACTACTACGCATTTCTCAAACCTACCAAAGACGGTCATTTCTACAAGTTTGACGATGATAGAGTAACGAGGTCGACGATGAAAGAGGTGCTCGAAGAAAATTATGGCGGAGAATATGCTAATGTGGCCAACGGAGGACTGGGGCAGCGACAGCCCTACATGAGAGGCTACTCAACTAAGCGATCTATGAACGCCTACATGTTGGTCTACATTCGAAAGAGCAGACTCGATAATGTTCTCCTCGAGGTCACCGAGTCAGATATCCCATCCCACATTGAAACGCGAATCATCGAAGAACAAGCAGAATTAGCTCGGCGGAAGAAAGAAAGAGAGGAGGCACATCTCTACATGAGCGTCGGGGTGATCACCGAAAAGACATTCCAGGCACACCACTCATTTGATCTGACAAATTATGATCTCGAGACCAACGATCCCGCTGCAGCTCAAGTCCATCGCCCCCTAAAAGCGACCAAGGTTAGTGAGTTTGCCGCCGCCATCGCGGAAGATCTCAGTGTGGGACCAGAACAGGTCCGCTTTTGGGCGATGGTGGGTAGGCAAAACAAGACAAACCGGCCCGATCAACCGATCAAGGATGTGGATATCACTATGGAAGAAGCCATGACCAAGTACGGATCCAGAGGGCGGCCGTTTTACCTTTGGGCCGAAACCGCATCGATAGATGAGGATGGGAAGCCAGGTTTCCCAGATACGTCCCAAGCTGCAGGAGGAAATAGTCCGATCCTCATCTTCCTCAAGTACTTTGATGTCAAAGCGCAAACCCTCCGTGGCGTTGGACATGCTTACGTCAAGAAATTGGACAAGGTGCAGGAAGTCGCACCTCTCATCAACCAGTTGATGCAGTGGGACCCTAATACACCGATTCTCTTGTTCGAAGAGATCAAATTTTCTATGATCGAAGCCATGAAACCGAAACAGACGTTTCAACAGTCCGAAATCCAGGATGGAGATATCATCTGCTTCCAACAAAACATTGCCGACCTCGATCCCTCTACCGTTACCTACACAGATGCCCGACAGTACTACGACTACTTACTGAATCGGATACCAGTCAACTTCTTCCCCAAACCCGGGGTCGATGGCCCAGCATTTATGCTCAATCTGAGTAGGAAGATGACGTATGAGCAGTTTTCTGCCAAAGTTGGCGACCATTTGAAGGTCGATCCCACTCATATCAGATTTGCCACCATCAGCGCAAGCAACAACAAAGTCAAGGCGTGGATCAAGCGATCTCAAAACTACAACCTACAGCAGATTCTGGTGTCTCAGTTCTCGTCGTATGGGGGATATGCAACTCATCGAAATGACGCCCTATTTTATGAAGTGTTGGAGACGAGTCTGGCTGACTACGAGACCAAGAAGATTATGAAAGTGATTTGGCTTTCCGAGGGCATCGGCAAAGAGGTGAGTAGAGCAGATTGAGACAGAGGGTGTTTTTTGACTGACCGACGATTAGGAGCAACTCGAAATCCTCATCGCCAAGAACGGAATCATTGGCGATCTCGTGAATGGGATAGCCAAAAAGCTCAACCTCGATGAGCAGGCGGCAAAGGAAGTTCGGGTTCTCGAGGTCCAAGGCGGCAAGATATATAAAGAATTGATCGACGACTTCAATGTTGCCGGCGTCAACGAGTTTACAGCCTTGTACGCGGAGAGAATTCCGGAAGAAGAAGCCAATGCCCCAGATGACGCTCGTTTCATCTACTGCTATCACTTTGACAAAGAGGCCAGCAAACCTCACGGTGTACCATTCAAGTTTATGCTGCAACCAGGAGAGGCTTTGAAGGACACCAAAGAGCGAATCAGCAAACGAACAGGGATCAAGGGAAAGCTACTGCAAAACATCAAATTTGCCCTCGTTACCCGATCAGCGTATGCCAGACCGAGATATCTCGAGGATGACGATGTGATTGTCGACCTGATTCAGGACGGGGACGAGATGCTGGGGCTGGACCATGTGAACAAGGCGCGAAATTTCTGGGGCAAGGCCGAAGGCATGTTCATCCGGTAAGGTCATGTCTCAGGTGTCAGCAACTTTACTGGGCACCACTCGTAAATCGATCAGATCACCACGTTTCCTGAGCGACAACACTGGATCAAGGATGCGGACACTTGCTGTAATGTTGTTGAACGCTATGCATGACAGCCATATTTTGGGAGATGTATTAAAAAGGCAAATTTGAGTGCCCTTGCTAGGTGTTTCTCCACCGGGAAGCTTTCAACAGAGCCATCAGTGGCGAAAGGGAGTCACCCTTCATGGATCCAGAGTGTCATGCATGGTGCAGCAGGGTCAAAGTGAATACAATCCTAACCTAGACGATCCAATCTAGGTATCGGCAACATGGACACCAGATGACAGATTCGGAAAGAATGTGGTGACTGTGACAGAGACCTAGTCGTGCTATACTATACGTGTGACTTTATACATACCTAGATACTTTTGTGTTATGAGTGAAACAGTGGCCCGCCAGAAGCTGGTCAAGAAGTGAACCGGGGTTGGCGCACTTGGACATGAGTATTGACTTGCTGTATTGTTGGGGGTTGGGGCAACGATGGTGGACGGAACTACAATGTATCATGGTGCATATGAACTGTATCTCGAATTGATCATTGATCATGTGGTGTATATCTGATTGTGCAGAGTTGGTGTCGTTGGTTGACAAGGGTATCAGGTATTAGAAATTACAGGTAAGCACGTAAGGTACTTTAGGTAATCAGCGATATACACGAAACATGTCATCTTACAGAGTAGTTGTTGAGATGAAGTTCAATAATTGTTTCCTTTTCAAGAACGGCAGTCTATAAAACATACTCCATATTCCTATCTCTGTATTCATAAGGATACTGGTTTCATAAGCACTCCACTTGTGCAATGCCCACTGGAACATACTATATGTATGGTTAACAACGCATGTAGACGGTGAGTAGTCTTATGAAGCTCCTTCATCCTTACCCCAATGTCTATAACATGCATATGCACGCACTTGGCCAATCACATCCATCCCCCTTGTCCGTTCCTCCGTCTCTTCGGCCGAGGAAATGAATTTCCTATACAACAGCAATAATTTATGCATTCACAAGGCTACTTTATAAATACTAGAAAACTCTCTAGCAGCGTCCAAGGTAGGATCAGCTTCAATACTGGCTTATGTTCACTTCATTCGTGTAATGCTATCAGCTTCTTACATCAAAAATCAGGCTTCTCTGACTTGACTACTCACCAATGTCGAAGCCAATCCGGGTAGGGCTGATAGGCCTGAGCTCGACTCAAACTTCGTGGGCTGGACGTTGGGCTGAATCTGCTCATCTACCATATCTCGTCAAATCGCCCGACTACACCATCATCGCCTTGTGCAATTCATCTGTAGCCTCGGCACAGAAAGCCATCGCCCGCCACAACCTTGATCCCAGCAAAGTCAAAGTATATGGCGACCCCGTTTCTCTTGCTAATGACGCAGACGTAGATCTGGTGGTATGTTGCGTCAATGTTGAGAAGCACTATGACCTGGTCAAACCAGCACTCCAGGCTGGGAAGGATGTCTACTGCGAGTGGCCACTGGCTGCCAACCTGGCACAGATGAGCGAGTTGGCATCCCTCGCCAAAGCAAACAATGTCAGAACTGTGGTTGGACTCCAAGAACGTCTCGGCGCCTACGTACCTGCAATCCGCTCTCTCCTGGGTGACGGACCAGGGCAGATTGGCTCATTGCTAAGTACCAACATGTCCATGCATATGGGCCATGCCTTCATGGGCGGCATACTACCCCATGACATAGTTTATATTGCCGACGTCGAATCTGGAGGCAATCTTGTTACAATTCCCGCCATCCATAGTTTCGATGCGCTCGTTTTTGCTCTTGGGGAGATTGCGACTTCCTCAACTGTGATCAAAAACACGCGGCCTACGGTGGACCTTGTGGATGGCTCTTTCACAACCATTGTTGAGCCACAGCACAAGAAGACTGCCCATGACCATATGTTTGTCAATGGAACTTTGGCAGGGGATGTCCCGTTTTCATTCACGATTCGTGGAGGAGCGCCGTTCAAGGACACACCGGGCCTTGACTGGAGGATCTATGGCACCAAAGGTGAAATTCGACTCACGACTAATTATGGTGTGTTGCATGGTGCTGGCATCGAGGTCAAGGTACAGGCGTTCTGGGAAGGGACCGGAGAGGTCAAAGATGTGGATTTGGCAGTCGGATCTACCGACGCAGGGTTTGGCCTTGATTCACCAGCGGATGATATTGCAAGGCTGTATGATGCCTTTGCCAAGAGGAGAACCGATCAGTATCTTGACTTTGAGGGTTGCTTGAAATGGGCCAGGTTTATTCAGAAGGCGTATGACGATGAAAAGCAGTAAATTGGACAGAAGATGCGTCAGAGGACGAGGGAGAAGAATTTGTGCAATTCAGTGGCGGACCTGGTGCGCAGTTTGAAGAATTCAAAAGTGCAGAGGCAGAGAAAATAAGGCAGTCACGGCCCTAGTTTGCGTGGCAGGAGCGTCTTGAGACTCATTATTCAGTCGCAACTTCCTTGAATATTCAGTCGCAACTTCCTTGAATACTGTGTATATAAATACCACGTGAGTGCCCTGGAGAGAGTATATAGTAGTGATTTTCAGAGCTCTGTAGGCGACTTAGCGTTAGCTGCAGCTGCTACTCGCTACGTACCTATATCTTAGAGTTTGATTGGGCAATATGAAGGTCAAAGGTGTACACCCTGGATGATTGTCGCAGTGAGCCTTGATCTCGGAAGCGATCAAGTCAACCCTTTGTTTTGGTATGGTGGAAATATGAAACAAAGCCCGTACACTCGAGTACCTTGATGGTACCTTGATGGTTGAGCTGCCACATGGCCGTCAATCCGAGGAGTACCTTGGTGGGATATTCCCACACCCACCGAAAGTTGACCTCGCCGAGGTCAACTTTCGGATCCGAAAACCCCACGCCAATACGCAGAGTTACCATGGGGTTCGTGCCAACATCAACCTTGGTGGTTTGGAGACGCAAGTTGAGATCAACCTCCTTTGAATCATTCTTTCACAAGGGTTGACGAGTTTTGACTTTTAATCTTGCAGATTGTGTTGTCCGTCGTATATGTTGCTAATGGTGATTTAATTGTTGCTAATTGCTCCCCAAACAACATCCGAGAGATAGACTTGTCAGCCAATCATGGGTCTTCAAATTGCTGGTAGGGCTGTGGCCATGCTAGGTGCAGGTACGCAAGGACGACGACTGGCGTATATGGTATGATCAATCTCACATTCAGCATGTACCTTGGCTATGTGTAGGAGTTGCTGCTAACCTCAAGAATTAACTCATAGTGGTCGAGCAAGGGCCGCGACGTCAATGTCATCGACGCTCAAGAACGGCAATTAACTGATGCCGTCAAGTACATCGATGAGCTCCGCGCTGGATCGGGACGCTCAGGTGTCAAGTGGGGAAACATCAAGACATTCAAGGCTGAGAATCTCAAGTCTGCCCTTCAGAATGTCTGGCTGGTTGTCGAGGTACTGGCCGTTGGTCCTGAGAGGAGAGAGTGTTCGATGCTGACATGTCATGGGATCAGTGTGTGCCGGAACGAGTGGAGCTGAAGCGAAAAGTCATCACCCAGCTGAATGAACTGGCACCAGAGGATGCCATCATCGCGTCAAATTCAAGCAGTCACTCCATATCTGAGATTCTCGAGGGCCTGAACCTCCCCAACGATCGACGGATTCTCAGTGCTCATAGCTGTAAGTACGCAAAGACCATATTTGATGCCTGGTACTGACTAGAGATGACAGACTGGCCTCCAGAGACAGATGGTGAGTCTGACAAATGAGCATGTCCAGTATCATATGGGACTAATCACGGATATAGCCATTGAAATCATGGGCCACTCAAAAACCGACCCTGAACTCGTGGACTTCATGCTTAGAGAATCAGGAGAACACGGATTCAGTCCGTTCCACGTGAAGCAGGATTCTATGGGGTACATTTACAACAGGTGCGTTGTCGAATTATCGAACTAACTTGGTGCATCAAGCCCCATGCTGACACGGAAACTTGCTAGAATCTGGGCTGCCATCAAAAGAGAAGCATTGTTCACCGCGGCCGAAGGAGTGGCAACGCCGGCAGAGATTGACGACATCTTCAAGAACATCTTGAAAACACCAAAGGGACCTTTTGAACAGATGGATGTGGTAGGACTTGATGTCGTCCTTGACATTGAGAATCACTACGCAGAGAAGCGAAAGGATATCCCGGCCACCCCACGGGAATATCTCAAAGACTATATCAAGAACGGGGACCTGGGAGTCAAGTCAGGGCGTGGATTTTATGATTATGGTCAGAACGGGACTAAATAAAAGAAGGGCGGTATCTACATTGTTTCCATCAGAAAGGAGGTTACGCATGGATGAAATCCAGTAGGTGAATACATGTTCAGCCTCGTCATGTCAGGTGACCAAATTTTTGTCCTCGGCTACAAGGCTCCCTCTGCACTACTTAGAATGGGATTATCTCGGGCCTAGCCGTCCCCGCAGCCGCGTCTCAGATGGCCCTCACACCCCAAAGAGTCTTTAAACGTCGCCTAAGTCCAACCCCAGAACCCCCATAATCAAAGCCCACCACCCCTCATGTCTTGGCCAACCCTTGCCTGTCAGTTCTTGCCTCTTTTTATCAAACCTTGCACCCACCACGACGACAACAAGAATAATACACATCTTCATCTTATTGCATGCCAGTGATGGTATCCTCGCATTCTGATCATGTCCCAAGGAGACACAGCCCCTCGCCGGATCCAATTCTCTAGTTGCGATGAATGTCGAAAATCTCGCGTCGCTTGTGATGCTGGTCGAGCTCGTCGGAACCGACAGGATCCCCAGGAATTACTCTACTGTACACGTTGTACAAACCGGAAGCTACAATGTACTTTCGAGGTGGGCCCATCCATTCTTCCCCGTTGACAATCACTCTCTCTCTCTCTCTCTCTCCACATGTTCATCTCTGATCTCACCCGTAGTGGATGAAATCTGGCCCTTCTCGTTCCTCCACAGCCCACGCGGAGCCCCGGAGGAGATCCAAAAAGGCACGACTTCGCACCTCCTCCATAACCGATCCACCCACAGACTCCGTCCAGAGCTCTGGTCCAAGTGATGTCGAGAGAAGGTATGGGTCCTTCTAGACTCAACGTCAACCATCTGACTAACAGTTCAGCTATGATTGGGCCTGGCCTGGCGATGCCCAGGAGCCTCTTGCTTCTCAGCTGACCTCCACTACCGAAGAAATCATATCTCACCCCGAAATCGAATGGCTTCAAACCGTCTATGAACGAGGATGGGAAGCCGTCTTTGGATCCTGGATTGGCAGGAACAGCAATCCCTTTGCGTATGACCCATACCATGACCCCGTCGTGCTGCCATCACTAACCAACATCAGGTTTGGCGACCAGAGTCTGCTAGACGTGGTTCATGTTTGCCGACTCTGTGGCCAACTTGACAAATGGATTGCTAATGGCGATGACCCTTCTGCCGGCGCCATTATAGACTTTGGAGCCTCGCCCACCTCTTCCAAGCACGATACCGACTTGCAGATTGATCGTTACCTCGAGTACACTATCCAGGCCTTTGCTGCAAGATGGCTGCCGTTGGCATCCAACACAACAACCCCTTCCACAGCCTGTTCCGAAGCTGTGAGATCTCTCTGGAGACGCGCACACCGAAATCTTCTCAAGATCATCAACCGCCCCTGCTACAGATCCATGTTGACCTTGCTTCTGTTCGCCCTTACCCCGATCCCAGTTGGAATTTCTGAAGATGAAGAACTTGACGGCGTTTCTGGCCAAGTCTGCGTCCACGCCGCCTTGCAACAAATCCAGACATTGAGAGCTCGTTCTAGGAGCCTTCAATTCAACGGTACACGCGTCAACCTCGCCGCCCCGGTCCGCAACACTGCGACCAGCCCTTCCTCAATAGGCTCTTCCAATTTTATCATTGCCGAAAGTGCTGCCTACTGGGCTGCCTTGACTTTCGACACTTCTGCTTCCCTGACACTCAGTTGCAGGCCCCTCTTATCCTCAGGTCTCTTTGGATACGAATGCGAACCGTCGTGGCGCATGATTAGGACCTGTAGAGAGATCTTTCGAGACATGACAAAGACCTGGCACGATTCAGCCTTTGAACTTACTACTGAAAAGGCAAATCAAATCGTTGCGGCCGGTGCGGCATGGAAACTTCTTGTTTGGAAGTTGACCGCCAATCTAAAAGAGTCTCTCCGTGATGGCCACACGGAGATCGAGGTCAGCAAGGCTTTCAATGCTGTGTCCGATGCCATCGACCAATTCAACGATACATATCGAGATTTGCTCACGGCTTGCCAAACTCGAATCCAATTCTTTAGTCAAGAGACGAAATTACGCTGGTGTAAGTACTTTCGTGTCCTTTTTCTGTGGGTCTGAGGTGTCTAACATCTGGATAGATGGTCTCATGCTGCATCTGAACCTGTGTATTTTGATGGTATCAGATATGCTAATAGCAACCAACCGAGACGATCTCTTGCTACTGTTCTCAGCCAAGAGTGTCAATGCCGAAAGTTGGGTTATGAACTGTTTGGTATTTGGTTTGAGCAACAAGTACACCTTGCAGCTCCCGGCGGGATTCACTGCGACAGCTTCCAAGTCTGACACTGTCACCGTCCCATTGGTTGCCATTGATCCCTATGCTCACCATGTGGTGGCAGCAGTCAAGCTTATGCAACAAGCGATCGACAGGGATCTTCGAGCAGGGAAAATCGGTTCCGATGCGTATAGCGACATGCTCACGACTTTGATGCAGACCTTGGAACATCTACCCCAATGCTCCAAGTCGGTGCAATCGGCTCGAGCAGACTTTGCAACTGCTGGTGTACCTCCTTTGGCACCTTACCCTTAAGGTGGTCGTGTCCAAACCTGAAATGGTGTATCCGCTTTGCCACCATAAACAGCTCCGTGTTAAAGATCCGAGGGCATGTCTAGGCATTTGACGCCCTATGACTTTGATTACTATTCCCCTGTTTCAGCGCCGAAGAATGTTAATGTCAACACTCAGGACCAGTCATATCTCACCAACGGCGGATAATCTCCATCCTACACAATTTGATCCCGCCGGAAGTCTGAACAGACATTGCCACTAGGAAAAACCTTTGTGCGGTCGCCTCCCAAATACGAGTCATGCAGAGAAGCCCATCAAAGAATCTTCCAACAATGATTCCATCCATTGGTCGTCCTGCACTGACGGAATAGACTCCGAATCCACCGCCCCGTACGTCATGTCGCACCCGGTTCCGAAAAACCCTGTCGATCATCCACCAATCGCACAAGTCAGCAAACTTGGAACATGGTATCTTTTGGTAATAGCGGCCTATCATGTTGAGAGAAGCTTTGATCCTAAGCGAAATCCTTAGATGAGCTTCTCCATCACTCGGCAATTGCTTCGTTACGAGGCCAGCATGGCGACCCCAAACCTGATGAATCTGGGGCTGCGGGAGCTCCAACCATTTGTGGTCCTGCGTCCTGAGGATGTGCAAAACTACTACTCAACAAGGACTGATACCAACAGCCTCCGCTTATTGCGTCCCCCACACTGTCGCGCATGGTCAACAAGGTTCCTCGCTTCCGTCGTCGAAGTCTGGGCGCATGTCACAACGACAATGTGTGTGTGGGTGACAGGAGGCACTTGGTGAAGTGTCTCTTCTTTCATGGCACGCATGGTTTAAATTGTTGCAAGGTGCCCAGATCAACGTCTTCACCTACCAAGTCACGATCATCGCTTTTTCCTCCCAGCTTTCAACTTGGCCACACTGTGCCTGCGTTCAACATGGCTGATTCACCAGCTTCCACCATCCATGAGCCTGTCTCCAAAGACATTGGTGTCAACCACAATGAAAAGTCAGGAGTGGTTGAGCAAGATTTAGCAGCCATTGCCGTGAGTGCTTGGATCTTCTTGTCTGGCTTGGCCATCTTGGTATACTGACCAAGCCTCTCTTTAGAACAACAAGCATCATGATCCCAACTGGACCGGTGAGGGAGTCGATACCTCCAATGTCGACCCAGCCAAAACACTACGAAAAATGGATCTTCGCCTCATTCCCATGTTGGCCCTCCTGTAAGTCATCTGACCATACTGTTGTCACAGTCTTGAAGCATCCTCGACTGACATCAACAGGTATTTGCTGTCATTCTTGGATAGAAGCAACATCGGCAATGCCAAAATCCAAGGCATGCAGGAAGATCTCAACTTGTCTGGGCCCCAATACAACTTGTGTGCGACGGTGTTTGTGAGTTTATATCTCGCGGATTTGGGCAGATAAAGCCCTCACTTTGCCATGATGGAAACTAACTCGTCCCTCCAGTTCTTCACATACTGTCTCTTCGAGGTCCCCTCCAATCTACTTCTCAAACGCTTGAGCCCTTCGATCTGGCTTCCTGGAATCATGGTGGCGTGGGGAACAGTCATGACTCTGATGGGTCTCGTTCAAAGTTACCATGGTCTCTTGATCGCCCGTATCTTTCTCGGCATCGCTGAAGCTGGATTATATCCTGGTGTCTCATTCTATCTCACCATGTGGTATTGCACCAACGAGCTAGCCTTTCGACAGGCCCTTTTCTTCAGCGCTGCCAGTGTCGCAGGTGCTTTCTCTGGGCTTCTTGCTTATGCAATTGTGAAAATGGACGGAGTTGGTGGATTGGAAGGATGGAGATGGATCTTCATCCTCGAAGGTCTGCTGACTGTGGCGGTCGCTCTCTTTGCCTTTTGGGCACTCTATGATTTCCCCGACACCGCGGGATTCTTGACTCTGGAAGAAAAGGCCTGGGTGGTCCACCGACTCAAGTATCAGGGCAGCAAGAAGAGTGGACGAAATGTCGCCGAAAGTGACCATTTTGAATGGAAATATGTGTTTCGAGGTAAGCATCTTTGCAGATGAATTTTGTGTGCAAATGAGCCACGACTGACATTGAAAATAGCATTCAAAGATTGGCAGATCTGGCTGTCGCTCTTCATGTACTGGGGAATTGTGAATCCGCTGTACTCGATCTCGTTGTTCTTGCCTACCATCATCAATCAATTGGGATACAAAGCAACCACTGCCCAGCTCCTGACGATCCCAATCTACATCACTGCGGCCATACTCGCGGTCATTGTGGGATATATGTCTGATAAAGCCACCAAACGAGGTGCTTCGCGCTGGCCCTATGTTTTTGTACCAGTAAGTTGGCCAGAAATCGAACAAATGGAAGACATTCTAAGCAGTGACAGATGTGTGCCATCCTTATTGGGTTTATCATGGCCATTTCAGCCTCAGCAGCAGGAGGTGTGCCAGGCGTTGTGTACGCTGGTGTTTTCATTGCGACGTGCGGCATCTACCCTGCCTTCCCAGGCAACATCACATGGATTAGCAACAATCTCGCCGGAAGTTACAAGCGGGCGGCTGGTATGGCGTTGATGATCTCAGGTGGTAACCTGGGCGGTGCTATGGCAAGCAACTTTTATCGCGCGGTTGATGCCCCGAAATACCTGCTTGGTCACGGATTGGACATTGGGTTCGTGGTGCTCGGTCTTGCGGCCGTGATTACCTTGAGAATTACATACGGACGAATCAATGCCAAGAGGGAGAGGAGTGGTGCTATTGAAGGAATGACGGACGAAGAGTTGTCGGATCTGGGTGACAAGAGTCCATCCTTTAGGTATACCCTTTAGAGTGATCAAGAGGGGGACAGATCTATTTGCCAGTGCCATCGTGATAAGATTTGGGTAAGGAGATGTGTTGAGATATGATGAATATATCATGTGACTCATCCTCACAATCATGAAGAGGATTTTGCAACACTCGATCCCTGTTACCCCTGTGATGAATTCGGTGTTTTTAGTGTGATCAATCTCGGTTAGGTGATGGTGGACAAGTGATAACAAAGATAGGGTAAGCCATGAGTTGCTGTGATCTTGATACTAGCATGTCTTTATCCGCAGGATTGAAGCTAGAGAATTTGCTCTCGAAATCGTAAAAGCAGGAATATTCGTAGATATCGAAGCAAGGAAGGAGTGAGTACAATTGACACTTCAGAGGGAAGGCGCTCTGATCTCGGCGGAAATTTGATCCGGTCCCTGATCACGTTTCCCCCAAAAAGGAAATGCGAATCATCAGGCAGGAACCAACATCTCACGCTACCTACCATTCAGAATCAAGTTTTGGAATTGAAACAACAACAATAATGTGAACAACTGTTGTTTCGACTGCTTTGGCAGTCTCATGCTCTCTTCCTCATCTTCACCATGCCGTCGACAGCAGAGTGGGTCGCTGGTCTCAGCTCGACCATCACCAGAATTTCGGCTTACAGTTTCCTGAGATGGGTCAGTGACAACTTCGTGATGTTCATGATGCAGTCTTGTCGATTGTGAAATACTGAATTGTATCTCCAGATCCCCGGACATCACTTTCCCCCGATTATACTCTCCTCCCTCATCGTATATCTATTCTGTGTCTTTGGAAATTCTGAAGCATTTGGTGCACACAGACCAACTCTACATCAAGCATTCCCCAGACTGTTTCCGCACCCCGAACCAGAAACGAAAGAACCAGTGACAGGCCAGGAACTACAAGACCACCAGGAACCCATCCTGTACGAGGATGAAAAGTCGTTCTTCAAGATCCTTGTGTTGGGTATTCCAAAATGGAGAGATGCACAGTGGAGTTACATCACAATCGCAGTCAATGTTCTGCTTGCTGGGTTCACTCTGGATCTCGTCTTCCGTGCCCCATTACTTTATCCGTCCAGAGATCTGACATTCTCTCGTGTGGGTTACGTGCATTCCGACTATGCCAAAGTCTTGATCAGGGAACCAAACTCCACCCAGCTTCCACTACATGTCTATCTATCTCTTGCGGATAAGACCAACTGGAAGACTGTCGACACCATCCATACTCTCGACCAGGACACCGACTATACATATCCCATCACTTTCCGATCTCTCCAACCGTCGACCAAATACATCTATTCACTCTCGAATGATCTGTCTGGCGTCTTTACCACAGCTCCAGCCCCTAAATCTGAAGCGGCTAGAAGTCTGACCTTTGTCACCTCATCATGCATCAAGGCCAACTTCCCGTATCAAGCAAAAGCTCATGCCTTGGCCATCCATGGATTCGAGCATCTGTCGAGTGTCATTCAAGCACTACCATCTCCCGCTGCCTTTATGATGTTCTTGGGCGACTTTATTTACATTGACGTCCCACAACGCTTGTCCTCATCTGTTCGCCATTATCGATCCGAGTATCGACGGGTATATGCCTCTCCGTCGTGGAAGTTGCCTGGCTTAGATACTCTCCCATGGATTCATACGCTTGATGATCACGAAATCGCCAATGACTGGTCTGGAGGCAATGAGACAGACCCGTTCCCGGCAGCCGCTGACCCATTCATCCAATATCATGTCTCGGTCAATCCACCGGTTCCAAAAGGGGCGTCAAGTGGTCCAGACACAAACACAACATACTTTCAATTCACCAATGGTCCTGCATCATTCTTCATGCTTGATACCCGCCGTTATAGGACAGACCCGGAGTCGTCAAAGTCAACAACGTCATCTACCATGCTAGGAGATGTGCAACTAGCTTCTCTTTTGAAATATCTGGCAGATCCAGAACCACGCCATGTCCATTGGAAAATCATCGCTTCTTCCGTTCCTTTCACCAAGAATTGGCGGTTTGGTACACCAGATACATGGGGTGGCTTCCTCACTGAGCGATCGCAGATTTTGGCTGCAATGCACAAGGCAGAAAGGGACTTGGGGGTGCGTGTTATCGTCCTCTCCGGAGATCGTCATGAGTTTGCCGCCATTCGTTACCCACCACCAGTCAGCTCGATTGCACAGGGCTCGAACGATACCCAAGTCTTTGACCAGACACCATCTTCTGGACCTCATGAATTTTCGGTAGGACCTCTGAGCATGTTCTACCTCCCATTCCGAACATTCAAGCAAATCGATGATGAAGATGTGGCCATTCAGTATTTGCCGGATGGCAATAGTAAATTGGGAGTAGTCGAAATTCACCCTTTGGTTGGAGGAGTTCAACGCAGTTCGCTCAAGTACAAACTGTTTGTGGATGGAAAGTTGACTTGGGAGTATAACCTCACCAGTCCCGCGGCGGGCTACCAAGGAGGAAGAGGAGCAAGGTGGTGGTTGTGGGAATGAACAGGAAGACGGTCGGTCCAGAGATGCATATTATGATGTTGTAGACGAATATAGAAGGACCAATGCAATATGAGGGATTTGGCGACGCTTGAGAATGCTTGAGCATGCTTGAAGAATCAGTTGTCATCTCTGCAACTGAAGACCAGCCATTCTTCTCCCCATGGTGACAATCACAGCTGCATCCCTGAACTTTTTCATGCCCATACACAAACACATACAAAAGGACCACATCCAACAATTTTCCTCCTGGGGTAACGCATCCCAATACTCCCAACCCATGACACCACCGAAATCAGGATACTTTTCCACCAAGAGACTCAAAACCGCCGCCGACAACTCCAAAGGCACATAACCACTTCCACCATGTTTCGGATGCGTCAGCATGCCCGCCACCACCTTCCTGGGACTCCAACCATTCCTCACAATCTCATCATACGCCGCCGTATCATTCATTCCTCCCCAGCCATTATAAAACTGGGCATTATACCAAGCGATCTGATTTCCCCTCGCCGCCTCCAACAACCGATGATCAAACCCGGATAAATGTCTCCTTCCGGCCATCAGCGCCGTGGCCACGGGTGCCAACGTGATAATAAATCCATCTCCGAAATCCGCCTTTAATCGATCAATCAAGTGAATGACACCCGCCAGGGACATTTCTTCTTCAATATCCAAATCCAATCCATCCAACCCATACTGTCGAATCATATCCCGTAAGGGACCGTAATACGCTTCAAACCGAGCCAATGGCACATCGGTGCGTGATTCCGAGTAGTCGAGGCGCGCAAACGTGCCTCTCGCGGCTCCCCCGATCATGCCCATGACTTTGATGCCGCTGTCTTGTAACACGACCACTTCGTCCCATAGTTGAGTGTATTTGGGATGTGAGGGTGGGTCGTCGTTGAGGGTTAGATTGTTTGGATCCCAGTTGATGTGGATGGCAGCGAGGATGACATGTGTGGTTCCACAGGGATGGGTTATTAAAGGTAATAGCGAGATGTATTCTCCATTGTGGTGATAGGTTTGGAAATAGTTGATCACTCGTGGTGTCCATGTCGATAGTCCTCCTGTGGACGGGGGTGGGAGTGGTGGCATGGATGATGGATGATGATTAAGGGGTTATACAGTATGTTATATGTGTCTGTGCATATAATCGGGTGTTTGGAGGTTTTTTTTGGATGGTAGAGATCTGGAGCTAGGTCTGATTCCACTCCAGGGACAAGACCAGGGAGTGAAATTGGTTAAGAGTGAGAGATTGGGAGAGGGAAGATTGATCTTATAAGCTATTTATTAGAAGGAGAAGTGTAGCAATCGGCAAACGACTCCATCTGTACATCGCTACATCGTCCTGCGCATCAAATTCATGTGGCCCACTGTACCAATACTTGGCTATGTTCTTGCGAAATCACTCTGCCAGTCCAGTCCATTTTATATTTGTAGAACATCGAGCAGAGAGAGACGCATAATTACAAGTAGTATTATTATTAAGGCCTTTGGAGTTTTGTTTTGATATGGTCTAGAATGATGGTTGGTGATAATTGTCCAGTCCCTGGAGAATGAAGTATCGTAGTATATATTCACGTATGCAAGATATACTCTACATAAAGTATACGCTCTCTTATACTCAAATCATCCTCGACCCCATGAGTCAAGCCCATCATTTCATAAATACATGTATATCATATTTTGAATCTCCCTCCACCCATCCCATCTATATCTTCGCTTTCTCCCCCTTCTGCTGTATCACCGATCTCTTTGCCCCCGGCCTCCCACCCATCCAGTCCTTCCAAGTCGAATCCAGACTCTGTTTCTCCTTCAACGACTTCGCTTTCCACATGCTATTCCACTCCTCCTGACTGTCCTTCCACCTCCCCACTTCGATTCCAACCCACTCGGCCACCAATCTCGCCGTCTGAGTCGGCCGCTCCAAAGGAATCATATGTCCTGTATTCTTCATCTCCACTGCTTTGACCCGTCCTTGTTCCACACCGCCTGATCCACCGACACCAGTTCCCGTACTTTGGATCTTCTGCCGATCGAAGGTTGGGTCCACTCCGGAGACGTAACTATCTGTCGCTAACAGGTATAACGCACTCGGTCGGAGATGCGGTAATGATTTGAATATTCGTGCTGGTTCGGGTCGGTAGAAGGGGTAGTTGATGGGTGCGTCTGGATGGACGTCGGCGTGGGTGATGCGGTTGATGGGATGGCCTTTTTCACCGGAGCCACCGTAGTTGGGACGCAGGAAAACCCAGACTTCTTGCGCGATTGATGTTGATAGTGTGACTGGTTTGGGTTTGGGTTTGGGTTTGGGAGTTGGAGATGATTCCTTTTCTGACTTCTGGTGATGGTTCTCCTCCTCCTCTTCAACTTCACGCAACCCATGTTTAATCCATAAATCCAATACCCTGCAATCCCAAGCTTGATAAAATTTACTCTTTCGAAACGACGCGGCCGCCACTTCTCGACTTTCCCAAACATCTCTCCTCCAGGTAGATGAAACCACTGGACCTTGTAAGGCATTGGGATCGATTTCTGACGTGCGCATTTGAATCACTGGATCTAGTAGAATCACAGTGGATAGTAAACGTGGGTGAATGAGTGACAGGTCGACCATTTGAGCGCCACCGAAGCTGTGGCCGATGCCCACTAGAGGAGGTGGCATTTCACTTCGTTTCAAGTTGATCATATGTAATAGATCCCTCGCATGGTCGCTCCATGATGGATCGTTGCCGAGAAGGGCTTGGTTGATGTGGCTTGACTCGCCTTGACTAGCTACGTCGGCGATCCAGATGCTTCGAATTCGGAAACGATTTCCTGCCCTGTCGTTCTGCTTCGCCTCGCTTTCGGCTAATAGGTCGTCCCATAGAGGCTCGTATAGTTCTTTGGGAATCCCATTGGCGTGTGCGGCAACGATGGTCACATCACCAGGCTGTGGATTGGGATTATTGCGAGGAACGTATTGATTGACTGACAGATATAATGTGTCTTGTTCGGACTCGGCCAGTGCATGTGGGTATTCTCGTATATATTGACACGGGATCTTGTGTTTGACGATCGAGAATTTGCAACTCGACATGATGGACTATACTACACCTGTCAGGCCAGCATCAATGTATCATACTCTGTCGACTATATTACAGGAAAGACTTTAGGATAAAAAAATAGAATCTAGATATTGTTCAAGAGAGATCCGTGCCTTTATTCATAGGTTGTCGGTTGGAGGTATATATGAGGAGATGTATTGTATACCTCGGCTCTACGGCAATGGAAATAAGACACGTACACATATTGATAGCCTATCCATAACCAACCTCGTATTGACATATCTACTGAGAAGGACACTCTCAAACCCAATGGGAGTCTAGACAAGACTCTAAAGGAAATCCATTATCCAATTCAAATTGGAACCCCTTTTAATCTCGCCGAACACTCATACCCTGTCTCTCATAAAACCATTAAACATCCTCTGACGTATTCCTCGTTGTAGATCATGGCAGCTGGTTTGCCTTGCTGGACAAGTCCAAGGCCATTGAATCGTGCAACGCACTACATGGCACACAGAACCCTCATCTCCTCCAGAAAAGAGAACCATCCAACCCAAACCAATCCTGTGCAGAACCGCTATATACATTCAAGGTTTCGCAACTCATGTTCTATTTTTGAATCATCCTCTCATCCCTCCCAGATATGGTGAGGTATCTCGTCGTAGTCCATCCCGCTTTCTTGGGAGCCAAAGCTCAACCTGAAAGCAGCCACAGCGGCAGTCTTTGGTCTCTCGTAGATTGAGACACGACCGCCCGGGCATGGTTTCAAAGGATGTCTCGCCAAAGAGACAAACACTTCGAGTGGGATGTTGCCTAGATGAGGGGCTGGTAAATAGCTCTCGCTCAAATGGGCACTACGCGGTGCTTGTTGGAGGACTGTCTCAGCACGCAGGACAAAGTCTTGTGACCTGGCGGATGTGGCACCAGTCAGACATGTTCATCGCGGCAGACAAGATTCTCTTTTTTTCATTGGAACAAAACTGTCCAATGTCGGTCCTTGGACTTGTGTTTTATTGATAATTTTAACATTCAAGATTTTTGACTTCATTTGTTCTGGCCGAATCGTCGATCAAAATCTTTCAGCACAGCCATGACATTTGCAGCATCGATTTCCAATGCAGGTCGTCCCACAGTGGCAGGTGCAGCATCGCTAGCATGTAGCTTGGGCAACCATTTCGCAATGTCACCACTGGCACGCTCATATGCAGGATGCCTGCTTAGGGTCGTGTAAGCATCGGCACATGTCAAGGTGACCCCGGCTTTTGGTGGGGCTGGAGCTGGAGCTGGCAGCCTGGTATGACCTGCAGCCCGAGAGCGAGTGTTCCGAGCAGGGAGAGGAACAGTATCAGCTTGGACAGGAGGCAGAGTGCGACTCTGACAGCATCCACCGCCTGAGGTTGATCCACCACAGCACCCGCCAGCTGCTCCCCCTAGGGCCGACTGAGCACGAGAAGCAGCTAGAGACTTGCAAAAGAGGGTGCTGTTTGGGTCTGCACGACACTGTGCACACGTGCCAGGGCCAGATGCACAACCCTCGGATGGAGAGGCGGTGGAAGTTATCGAGATGGCAACATCACCCTCAGAAGGAGGAGGGGTGAATTGACTGAGCTGACGGTGTGGGTCCATGATCCTAGGAAGGATGATTGGAGCTGAAGCAGCTTGTTCCTGTTCGGCAGCCATCTCAGCACAGATGCATGGAGTGCCGTCAGAACAGAAACCACAACGGTCAGCTACGGCCGAAGTGGTGGGCGAGCGATCTTCTGGTCGAATTGGCATGTGGATGCTTTTAGTAGAATAGAGCTCGGTGAAGTCGATTTCTAGGGTTTCCTTTGGTTCCGGCTTGATCCTTTTCTCACTGTAGTCAGGAACCGGGGAGTGAGGTCTCTTCTCATGCTGATGAGAGTGGGTGGCGGCTTCTCCCCCCATGGCATCAAAAGCGTCATCGATACATTGACACCGAGTGTCTAATGTGCAGTTGCCGCAGCCCACTGTGGTGTCGTCGACAGCGGTGTCAGTTTGCTTTGGTGGTTGAGCATCTCGGGAATGTGGTTGTGGAGCGGAGGGTTGCTTGGACTTGGCGTGGTTCAATTCAGACTCTAATTTGCGACATCGGTCAGACCAAGCGGCAATATCAAGCTTGTGTTGCTCGATCTCGGCTTGGAGTTTCTCGATTGTTGCTCTCAAGACGTCTTGCTCGTGCTCGTGTTCCTCCTCGACCTGCTTCATCTGTTCCTCAAGCTCACCGACGCGAGCGGCACGTCTTTCACGGAATGCACGTTGAGCGGCACGATTCTGAGCCTTGCGTTTGGTGGGAGGAGTGTCGGTGGCGGGCTTGCGACCAGGCTTTGGTCGTGGGGGAATGACCCATTCTTTGCTGGTCAAGGAAAGTGGTGGTTGTTGAGAGGGAGCGGGGGAAGTGGCGGGGGGAGTAATTGCAGGTTTGGCGCAGAGGGAGGGCTGACGAGAGAGAAGTGGTTTGATGTCGGTAGAGGATGTTGGAGTGGTAGCTGGTGGTGAGCCAGCAGTGGAAGCCATGATGGAGGGACAATGGCCGAAATTGGCCGAGGACAATGGTTGATTCGAGAGCCAAAACACTCCGAAAGAGCTGAGAAAAAGCGTGTACAAGCTATGTTGTGGTCATCAATGGTTGCAAGACCAAAGCAAGACCAAAAAGGTCTTGTGGCCTCTTGCTGGAGGCGGGCAGTGAAGGTCACAAAGTTGCTTCATCCAAGTCACGCAACCTGGAGTTGAGGTTGAAGCGAAGCGAAGCGAAGCAGACGAGTGGCGGAGGGACGAAGTTGGGGTGAACGAGGAAGGAAGGAACGGCGGGAGAGATCAGGGCTTTGATCATATCTGATAAGATTTCAAGCAGGAGCGAGAACTCTGACATTGGGGGCAAGAGTGAAAAAGCCTTGACAGAAGGTGCGACCGATTATCGGAACGGCACTTGGCAGGCGGGGTCCGTTCTGGCCCGGAAAAATATCCAATCCGGATGACCCAATCAAATGCGTTATAGACTGGCTAGTCACCACGAGTTCATTACTATCATTCATCACACCACCAGGGATCTTCTCCTTCCAGCCGGGTGGTGACACAATCCAAATATTCGCAAAGATCCTGTGTTCTGTGTTCTGGTGCCAAAGACCCTGATCGTCCACGGAGTAAGTGTAGGGGTCTTTACATTTATCAGTCCAATAGCGACAATGATTTGTTGTTAACAACAAATGTCTTGAGCCTCGTTGTTGCCAAGTCTTGCCGAGGTACCTAGTAAGGACCTCGAACCACGCCGCGGGAGGCAATTTACTCACTGGTGGTTGTTGTACATCTACGGAGTATCTCATGGCATTTTCCTCAGTTTGATGATGGTCACATGTCCCAGACATCTGGAAGAGAGATGTTGTGGACATTCTGACCGGTATCTCAGAACGTACAGATCGTACCGAAACAGGCAAGACACTGACCCAAAAGGCAACCCAATCGAGACAAATTGTGAGAACCTCTCTAATTCACAACCTTGATTCAACATACAATTCAGCCTTGTCTCAACCCAGCCACCCGTTGTCACTTCAACATATCTAGATAACATAATGAGCTCTATGTTAAACCAATGTCAAGTCAAACCGTATCTTGATTTATGACACCTTTGCAATGTCTGCCTCAAAACATGCTTCATCCACCACAAATGAAACTCCATCCGACCAAGCTCAAGCTGAAGATATCTACCGCAATTTATATAATGAGAAGCCCGATGTGAACCTCCTCATGGGCAAAAGCCATTTCCAAGACCTCTTGGGAAAGGTTCGAACCTATGATTCCAATTTGATCCATCGCTTGAAAGTGCTTGATGGAGTCACGTGTCAGCAACTTCCCCCTCCCCCATATGCAAATCTGGGACCACGGTCTAAACTGATCAATATAACACGCATTTACAGCTCAAGAAGACATTACATGTGAACGTCTACTACAAGAAGAACAGTCTCCAGGGGTAAGACTCTTCCAAAACCTCCAGATATACATCTGTCAGAAAGAATGATTGATTTGTTCAAGGGCACCTTTCACAACAACAACAACAACAACAACATCTTTCAAGCCTTGTATGAGCCTTCCCCCTCTCCTTTCTCTCACACGAATCCTTTTCGTCACCACCAAACATGTTGATAAATTGCCCCAGTTTCTTGAGGTACATCGGCCGAGGTGACATAAACCTTACCAAAGCGTCACTTTGTCAACTTCTCCAAGCAACCAAAATACCTCCATCATTCCTCGAGATCTTGACCAACAACAATGGCTTCTACACCTCATATCTTGTGAATAACAGTACCGGTTCTCCTACAGATTACTGTTTGTAAAGCCCTTCAATCCTCTTGACTGGCCCCGAATACAAACTCATACATATACTACTGTCTTAGACCTTTTGATAACCCTACCATTTGGACCCTTTGCGAATGGAACACTGATTCTCCATCACAACATCTCCCAGAACAACACAAAAACCATCATCTCCGCGGCTAACACTCAGATCCTGGTTGAACGATGCCTCGAAATCTTGAATCGACACCCACCTACCACTTCTACTCCCCACCCCATGACCATCGTCGCCGTGTTCCTGACCCATATCCTCCACCAGAACGAATCTCACCGAAAGGACATTGACACACAGCTTTGCCGTCTAGAGTCTCTCTCCGGCTTTGCCTTGCACAACTTTGGATCCCGCACCCGTGCCAAAGTCTCACAATATGCGCTTTTGAAAAGCGATGTTCACATGCAAGAGGCCAAGATGGCTATGGCTAGACATTGTTTCTCCTTCCAGGATCGGTTGTCCAGTTGGATCGTGTCCGAGATGGACAAATTGACTAGTTTCATCACCACCACACCTACCATTCAAAGCCAGAGCGACCATATTCGCGCTTCCCTCGGCTTGAACGCCAGTGTTGCATTATGGACGTTGGAGCAGTTACAGTCCTTAGAAAGGAGACTCACCGTGCAGAGTCGAGTGGTGAGTTTCTCTTCCTCCTTTTTGAAACCGCATGGCCAAATCAACCGACTGATGACACTCATATATCAGATCGATTCCACCATATCAACCGCCGACACATTGACCATGATCCGACTAGCTCGCTCATCACGATCCGACAGCAATACCATGAAAGCCATTACTATTTTGACCATGGTATTCCTACCGGCCACATTTATCTGCTCGTTATTTGGGATGGGGTTTTTCGGCTTCGATTTCGGATCCGACTCGGACCCGGATTCCCAGTCCACCACTGTCGTCGACCGCCAGGACAATAACCACCATATACGCATTGCGGATCAATTTTGGGTTTACTTTGCAATCACTGTCCCCTTGACTATTCTCGTCCTCGCTGTTTTTGCCGCTTGGTTGCGTTGGGGTGACACTGACGGACATGAAGATGATGGCTACGAAGAACCGCGAAGCGGCCTGTCGAAGCTCTTGCGTGATACAAGGGACCGAATTTTGGGTACGTAGATGCACATGTTCGGTACTCTTCATTCTTCAATGTCTTAGCGCGAATGAAATTGGGACAATTCTTAATTCGTCCATGCTCAATTATGTGAGACAAAACGTGTGGCTGGTTGGCTGGTAGCCTTGTAGTGGTTCATACCACTGTCCATACCCAAGCTATGTACACCCCGCCAACACCAACGTTGTAGGGGGATTCGATGCTGACCGCCTGTCTATGACCATGACCATACCTATGTTGTGCCTAATCCCACAATAGTACAATAACAAACCCCTGGTTTGTTTTGTTTATACAAAGACAGACCTCCGGGGAGTTGGCTGGTTAGTTGCTTCATGCTTTGGCCAATCCTTCTCTCCATCGTCCAATGTCTTTACTTTTCTTGTTCCACAACTTCTCCACCTTTTCCATCTCCTTGCGCGCCGCTTCGAGTTCTTTTTGTTTCTCAGCCACTCGTTTGGTGAGAACTTCACTATCGAGAGCTCGTAGATTGATAGGATGATTGTGAGACCGACCGTGGTTGCCCATCCCGCTTCTGGCCGGTCGAGACCCAATGAGTGCGCTCGATTGACCCTGGCCTGATGTTGAAGGTTGGTCCTGGTTGTCACCTTGGGCTGCACCTCCAGGACCCGATGCCGAAGATCGTCCTCGTGTGAAGGCACTTGACTTGGAATGTGGCACCAATCCAGGGAGGCGGTGTTCAGAAGCAGGTGCAGGAGGGGGGATATCCCATGCTCCAGGCATGTTAACGTTGGCGTTGTCGAATGATGCAGCCTGTCCGTCAGCCGCACTTTCGAATTCTCCTCCCTCGGGGTGCCCGCTGTCTACTTCCATGTCGCCTTCTTCATCGTCGTAGATCTCGAATTCGTCATCATCTTCCTCGGGCATGTCGTCTTCGTGCTCGCCTTCTCCAACCACCCAGACGACACCGTGACGCTCACCATATCTGCTGAGATGGTCCATCCCTCCAGCAAGATTGGAATAGTCATCGGCTTCCAGAGCTCCCAGACCTTCCATCAAGCCAACCTCTCCGAATTCTTCAAGGTACATGTGACGGCGTTCATCAAGCTCGAGCAACTTCTCACTTTCAGAACCACTCAAGTGTCTCAACACCCAACCACTTGAAGTTACGAGGCATTTCTTAAGTAGGTCCTCTTTCTTGTCACCCACATCCGCAACACTAACAGCGTGTCCGTCCTTCAATGCTTGTTTCTCCTTCATGGGCAAGTAGACGTATCCGAATGCGTCATTAGCACTGTACCCATTTCCCTCAAGGTAGTCTTGTCCTCGACGTGTATCAGGCTGGAGTTTGTACCCGGGAGAATTGAAAGATGTTGGATTCAGCCAAGGATGGTCTTTTGGCAGGTCACCACTCTGAATCATCGCATTAAGAATTTTAGACATCGGCGACACATGTCCATTAAGCAGTTTCTGGATAACTGCGCTCGATGCGGCTCCATCTGAGCCAGCCAGACGGTCTGCCTCCATGTACAGATCGCGAAGTGTATAAGGGAGGCCCGAGATCTCTTCATCCTTGACGGATACGGGTTCAACCTCTGGCGTAGCAGATGCAGGAGGCGTTGGTGCGTCTTGAGTAGTCGCTGGTTTGGCCGCTTTGACAGGACTGGCTTTATTCTTTTCTTGGGACTTGACGCCTTGTTGTTTCTTGGATGCACTTTCTTTCTCGGCTTGTCGGGACTGACTTGGCGCAGGCGCAGGCGTAGGAATGCTGTGTTTCTCTTCAGCAGGAGTTTTGGATGCTGAGGCGCTGGATTCTCCGGCGGTAGGGCCTGGTCCACTCTCAGGTCGCTTCTTCTGCTTCTTCTGTCGAGCGATCACCGGGGCGACTGCTTCAACTGGAGGTGGAACTGGAGGAGCAGCGACAGCTTCTGTAGGTTCTGACTGTTTCTTTGCTTTTTCCCGTCGCTCTTTTTTCAGTTGACTCTTGCTCTTGCCACGATCTGGAGCTGACCCCACGATACTCGGCGGAGGGGAGCTGGCTCGTGATACATCATGGGACGGCCGTTCTGAAAAACCCGGCGTTGAAGGTCGGCTTTCTTGGGCAGCGGAAGACACCACAGAAGGCCTCCTAGACCCTTTCTTCGCGCCCAAAATTGACGGCAGAATACCTGATCTTTCAGTCACTGCTGACGATGGCCCTGCTTCGGATCCATTCTTTGCACTCGTTCCAGTCGTCAATCTCAGTAATCGTGGTCGAGCGATAGATGCCTTGGATGTCTCTGACGGGGTTGTCGCTGCTGGTGTGGCAGGGAGGGAGTTTTGTGTTTTGGGAGTACCCACAACACCTGAGTCATCGACTGGTGTGCCAGACTCTCCCATGGCCTCGTTTACCGAACCGACCGGACCGGGAATCTCGATTTGGCCAGGCCCTGCCTTGCTAATCGTTTCCTTTCGGGACATTGGCGCTGACTTTGAAGGTCCTTGACTTAATTCTACTTCTTTCGACTTGGATTTTCCTAGGGCCCGTGGCTTTGGCGAACCAAAACTCACATCGAGATTGTTATTCTTGCTGATGTTTTCATCCGGCCCAACTTTTTCATCGTGGGGAACGGAACTCAAGCTCTCTTTCGGCGTTTCGGTTGATTTGGGTTTGGGGGTCGGGATTCGTTGAGCACTAGGAAGAAACGGAACAGCTGGTGCCACCGTACCAGATGCAGATGAAATGCTTCGCGGGCCAGCGCCCAGTGACTTGGCGGGTGAAGCGACACGAGAGCCTGGAGCGGCAGGATGAGCATGACTCAACTCGAAGCCAGGAGGGATTTTCGGTGTTGAAGATCGCAACCCAGAACTGTTGAGACTGTGAAAAGAAGACACACGAGAGTGCAGGGCCGAGTTCTGGGTGTCTGAACGAAATGGTAAGGGGGGGAAGTTCTTCTCATCTACTGTGAAATTAACAGTGTCAGCACAAGGTTTGGAAGTATGACGGTCTGTCACAGATCAATCGACGTCGACAGCAGCAGGTACATAAGACGGCGGCCAGTACATGATGAAGTACAAAGTGTTTTTGTATCCAACCCATCCGACCGGTACAAATCGTTTCACAAGCATGGATCAAACTCCTGAATGATGTGTAAGATGTTTGTTTTGATCTGCCTGCCTTTTTTCAGATATGGCCAGGAAGGGGTGACTAACATACATGAAATCGTAGCCATGAAATGAACCGAATGATGCTGCGGGAAATGAGAAAGAAGCCGGATGCCGACGAAGGTGAGAGAAGAAGCATTCCCGCTTGCCAAGGAGTAGGCCTGTAACCTTGAAGCTCAACCAGCCCGCACCAGTCGAACTGTGCATAGTCACACAGCTCGAGTAGGGCTCAAGAAGAATTTTGAAGCCGACCAACGCCATACAAAAAGTTCCGTCACGTTAAAAACGTGCCATGCAAGGAGTTTTCGAAACACTGGTCGAGAGATGGTCATGACCACCGATTGTACCCGCCGCCGCCATACATCAAATTGGATTGCTGGTACCCACCTTGATTACCACCAAACAGCCCCTGCCCAGTGGTGTTGCCCTGGTGTCTCGATTGGACGATGCTCGGGTCCGCAAGATGCTCTACACCGCCTCCTGAAGAGGAAGTGTTAGCATGTCTGTGCTTCTTCCCCTTTTTTCTTTGCTTGACGAGTCCAGGATCTTGATACGCTCCTTGGGTTTGTCCATAAAGCGTATTAAGACCACCAGAGGCAGAGGCTGACAATGGAGGTGATCGAAGGGGGTTATTCTGCAAGGAAAGGAGTAACTCACGCTTTGAGGCATCATGACCTTGATTGGTCCCACTTCGAGTCCTAGAATAGGCATCCGCACCTGTGTCTTTGGAAGTACCAAAGCCTGGATTGGTGAAGTTTTGTCCATGAGCAAACATTCCACCCCCGCTGACTGGGGGCGTTCCGGCTGTTGGAAGACCAGGTGGAGGACCTTGAACGCCGCTGGTGTAGTAGCCTGCTTGCTGGGTTGGGAATCGAGTCGTCGGGTTGGACTTTGTGTCGTTGTTGAAATATCTGGACCCGTGACGTTGATGACTACTAATCTGCTCAAACTGCGCTTGACTGTATTGAGGTTCGCGTCTATCAAAGTCGGACATTTCGAAAGCAGTGTTCCGAGTGGAAGAATGCTGCGACAAAGTTTGTCGTTGCTGTGGCGTCAAACTGCGGTTGCCCATGCTGAGACTTGAGAATTGGTCGGAAATGGTTTGTGAAGGTCGACCAATTGCACTTCGTGAAGACAAGCTCCTGGGATCATCCTCAGGTTCACCTCCTAATGCAAGGCTTCCGGCAGCCATATCATCTTCCTCCAAGGTTTCCTCGGCAGAAGCAATTGCCTGAGCCTCGAGTTTTGACTTTGCTTCACTCTCTAGCTTTGCTCGTTCGGCCTCTTCACGCTCTCGCATTGCACGACGTTTTGCGCCACCATAAGGGTCGATGAACTGAGGCATCAGATCAACTTCAGCGCGTTGTTCGGAAGTGAGACACGAATCGTCATAAATAAATGGGATATTTCTGGACAATGCCTGTAAAACAAAGTCGTATTGTGCTTGAATAGGATCGACAGGTTTCGTGACAGCCTTTGGTGGTGGTCCTTGTGAAGGAGGGGCGTTGTCTCTGGAAGGCTGGGCAGCAGGAGTCTGGGACGTAGCAACTTCTTCGGATTTGGGCTCCATCGGCTTCGGAACAGAGAGAGATGCGTGAGTTAATGCTGGACTTGGTGTAGCTCTGCTGTTTGCTTGGCTCGCTCTTCTTGTTCGGGCGATGGGAGCGTTCGCGTTGGCCCAACTTGCAGTCGACGGCAAGGCTGACCCATCATGGCTTTCCTTCCTCCTCAACTCATCGTCTTTGCTTGCAGACGACGACAAGGGGTGTGTATTGGTGGTTGAGGATAGAGGTCTTGGAGGTACAGAAATGGGGTTGGTCATAGCAGACACCGTGGGTTTAGTTGATAACCGGGCGCCATGAGGTTCGTTTTGCAAAGAGGTATGCTGTCCGTCTTCACCGGTCTCATGAAGGAAGCTGCAGCTTTTGTTGTTGCAAACCTCGCCCCGCAAATAGGCAGAGCAATATTTGGTGGTGCCAAACTGCGCGCGAAGTACTCGATCGCCATTCAGCGAACCATCAACGCTGTTAATACAAAGGGCGGCATCTTCCTTTCTGGCATATGTGACGTAGACGCCGATACCCTGGTTAGCAGCACCTGGTTTGGTTTTGCTCACAACAATTTTATCGATCTCGCCATATTGACCAAAGTATTCGGGCCCGCGGAGGGTCTGTAGCAGAGCCTGCTCATCTTTGATTGATGGTATCAAACCAATGACATAGACGAGATTCTGCTGCTTGACGCGAACGCCGGCCAGATTACGGCGGGAAGAAGACTCGACTTCACGCTTTTCGGTTTCTTTACGCTTGGCAGCAGCTTGTTTCTTGTTCTTGTTCATTTGGTCCAACTTGAATTCTTCGGCGGTTGGGATCTTATACTGAATTGTCTTTTCATCGTATGGACGTCGACAGTTGGGACAAGTGCTCTTCTCGTAGGTGTTCTTGAGACTGTTGAAGCAGAATTGGCATATCTAAAAAGCGGGTAGGTTAGTACGTGAATCGAAGATCAGATCCACTCGGGTGAGCGAGGGGTGAACGCACCTGGTAGCCGCAGGGGCATGGTCTGAAGTTTTTGTCGGACAAATCGAACTCCTCGATACATAGAGGGCTGAATAACGTTAACATAAAAGACAAAGCAGTGGATGTGGATTGGAGTGGGCATACCATGTTTCCTCGTCATCGTCGATGACGGTGTCTTGGCCTTTGTTCATGATGGCGAGTATCTGATGAGACTGTGAACCACCTCTATCGACTCCTTCACCAAGCTAAGAGAGAATAGAGTGGTCTCCATGCACTGCTTGTAGTGTTTGTGATTGTCAAGTGATGATCTGCGCTGGAAAAGTGGACGTAGATGACGGTCCTAGGTTTGAGGGAATTAGGGACGGAGGGTGGGCGCGAAAAGGACCGCAAGGTTGGAGAAGATTGTGGAAAAGTGTTTGATGTGTGAGAAGGAATATGTGGACGCGGAAGGATGAGGATCCTGAAGAGGTAAAGAAGTAAAATCGAGGGTTGATTGTTGATTCGGATGGCAAAAAGTTGAAAGTGAAGCGGCGCAAAAGGTCTTGTAGACAGCGAACCGGATGGAAATCTGAAGGCAGGCGCGGCAAGCAGGCTGGCAGGTCAAGACGCTAGCAGACAGTGGCGGTTGGAGGTTTCTATGATCCACCGTGACAAAGCAGCCCGTGAAGCCAGCTAAATCGAGCTATTCCAATATGGGACTAGATCATTTCTAAACTCTTGGCAGCGAGGAGCTCCCAATGAGCAAGCGTCGAGTCTGGATGACCTCCATTACCTCACGACCTCTCAGACTCTATTGACATCGCAGAGAGAAGAAGGGGATACTGGGGAATGAGATAAGAACAACATCAATCGTGAGGCACCTATCGAGACTCTTTCACCGCTTTTGGCCTCATCCTCAGTCGCCATGGCATCCGCGAAATCGTTACTTCGCCTGGCCCCTCGGCGATGCATGACAGCGATTTCGCAGTCGTCGTCCAAATCCCTCCAACGAGCAGCAGCACCATTCTCACAATGCGCGAAACAACAAGATGCAGCCAAGGACAAAAATGCAGAATTGAGAACCGCACCGCCAGATCTACTTTCAGAGCTTCGCAAAGCTCCCCGACCACGTAAGGGCCTTGCTCGCGTTGAGAAACAAATTCTATCTAACCAACGATGATGATTCTAGCGCAGGGAAAACTCACCGCACCCATCATTAACGAAGCGGATAAGTACGCAGACAAAGCTCTCCCTTTGCATCAATATGGCCAATACCTCATGTCCGCACTTCCTAAATACATCCAACAATTCTCCGTGTGGAAAGACGAACTATGTATCTACATCTGTCCCGAAGGTGTCATTCCCGTATTCACATTCCTTAAATACCACACTGCCGCCGAATACACCATGGTCGCCGACATCACAGCGGTTGATTTCCCGACCAAGAATTACCGTTTCGAAGTCGTGTACAATCTCCTGAGTGTACGACACAATTCACGAATACGGGTCAAGACCTATGCGGATGAAGCCACACCTGTCCCATCAATCACATCTCTCTATGACGGAGCAAACTGGTACGAGCGAGAAGTATACGACATGTTCGGCGTGTTTTTCACCGGCCATCCTGATCTGCGACGAATCATGACCGATTATGGTTTCGATGGACATCCACTACGAAAGGATTTCCCTTTGACTGGATACACGGAGATTCGGTATGATGAGGAAAAGAAGAGAATTGTGGTTGAGCCTTTGGAGATGACTCAAGCGTATCGTAACTTTGAAGGTGGTACTAGTGCTTGGGAACAGGTTGGTGTGGGTGTCGATCGCAAACCTGATCAGTTCAAGTTGCCTACGCCTAAGCCGGAGGAGAAGAAGGAAGAAAAGAAATAGAGAGACATACATGATGTGGCAGGGGATGATTTTCGCCCTGGCTTTGGTGTCCATATGAGCACTGATTGGGCTTGGTGCTGGGGTGAATTGCGATTAACTCTGCTGGGGTCCAATGGAGTGTGTCAGGGACCTGCTGGTCACTTCAGCTGTGACCAAAGGAACCACAACGTTGTACATATAAAGACAAAGAAGAAACAAGAGCGCTAAAGTCTATTCTACCTACCGAATGACCCTACCTGCCAGTGGACAATTCCAGTGATATTTCCTGTTCCGGACCAACTTTCGGCGATCAAGTGAAATATACCTGGGTGCCCGGCCGCCTAAGGATCTATATTGGTTGACAAGCTATACGATGTGCGATGTGCGATGTGCGATTTGCGAGAACATCGGTATCATTGGAGATTCCTTTCATATTTCATAGCTACCTAGGTAGGTAGGTACCTTACGTAGTTTCAAGTTTCCCGGCTTGGATTGCATCCAGAATCCCACTCCCTTCCTGCTCCCTCCCTATTCCCATTCCCCATAGACGCGTGTCATTCACCAGACTGGGAATCCGTTTCATTGCAAACAACAAAACATGATCTATCGCTGGCTAGTAGAAGTAGTAACGGTAACAGTAACGGTGGCCAAATGCCCACTCAATCCACACGGTGAGTGTGTGTGTGTGTGCACGCAATACAAAAAATGGGTTCAAGTACACGCAGAACAAGAAAACTGTCAAAGATCCGGTAGACGCCTGTCACTCCCGAGGCGCAAAGGCCAAGGTTCTTGAAAATAAATGCAGATTCCATCGTTTAATGCGAATCCCACATGGTCTTTCGACCGTATCATCATCATCATCATCATCATCGCTCACTGATGCCTGAATCATCATGTCGATCGGTGTTGATTCTGTTGCCGGCACTGGTCGTGGCAGGCGTGGTGTGGAAATCACTCTTTTCCATGGCAAATGGCAAGTCGTCTTCATCGAAGCGAGTGTCGGGCCGGCTCCCTCTTCGGATGCCACCGCGACCCCATGAACCACTCGTGCTACTGTCACCACGTTCGATGCTTCCCCCATTGGCACCAAAGCTAGATATTGAAGTTTGTGGTGGGGTGAGTCCTCTGCCTGCGCCACCTCGCGTCGAGCGTTGTCGGTAAGGCGTGGCGGAAGAACGGCCAGATCCAGACTCAGACCCAGCTCCATCCGTCGCAATTCGGCCAGACATTCGGTGAGCTTGAAGAGGCCTTCGAGAAATGGTGCTGGTGCGCTCTGTTGAATGCTCGGCCGGTTCTGTACCGTTCTCGGTGGCATCATCAACTTCATCCCGCGAGTTGGGGTCTTTCTGAAGCGCTCGTCTGTCTTGTGCGCCGGTGCTGGCACTTCGCATACCGTACAGGTCTGCAATATCCTCGTCCGCGGACAAAGGCCGGCGCTGTGCCGAACTTGATCTTTGGTAACCCGGTAAAAAGATCCTTGGCGAGTTGGGAATGTCTATTGGACCATGCGCACTTGATCTCGCCTGTGCAGTTTGCTCAGTCTCGGCCTCCGAGGGGGGTGCAGGCTCTTGAGTGGCTAGACTATGAGGGGTGTTGGCTGCGTCGTCGTGACTATAGGCAGCGCTAAGACGAGATGGGGCAAATGGCGTGTGGGGTGTGTGAGGCGAGATGGGCTTTCCCGGAGACGAGGATGTAGAGACAGAGGTTGGCGCGACCATGGGTGGAACGCCGGACAACTGGCGACTGGAGGATGCTGACGACCTCTGAGCAAGGAACGATGACGACATGGAATCGGAGAGGGCAGTATTCGAATCACGCATCCTGTGAAAGCGATTCAGGGCAGCTGCAGTTCTCTTGGTAGATGCTTCCGCCGAAGCACGCGAAGAGGGGGCTAAGAGATCTTTCTGAAGTTCCAGCATCTTCAAGAAGCCCGAGATATTATCGTCGTCGTCGTCGCCAACCGAGGCTGAACTGCCGGCCCTATCAGGGGCTTCGGTCATCAACCCAGATCCAGGTTGTGCAGAAGAGGTTGTACTTCCCCTTCCACTACTTGTTTGGTCCTCATCGGTGCGCAATGTGGTACCTCCCGACGATAATCGAGCTCGTCTGTGGCTGAAGCTGCTGCTGTATCTTGTCCCGGAGGTGGGCTTGGGGGAGATTGATGCCGACGAGGCGACGGCATTGTCTGACGCCAAAGAGCCAGCCCGCCTACTGGACACGGTTCGGGCGTTTGGAGGTGGAATGCCCCCTTCTTCGGTCAAGGATCCCAAGGTAGGGATTCGTGCATGAGTTCGGGGTGAGCTTGCAAGCGGAGATGAGCCATACGGCGAGGCGGATAGTGGCGGTGCTTTGAATGGCTGAACAGAGAAAGAACTTCTGCGTGCGGTTGCCGCAGCTCGAAGAGAATTGCGGGATGGTTGGGATGTGATGTAAGGATTGATAGAGGGTCTCGCTGGCTCCGGTGTTGGAGGTGAGCTAGCATCGTAATCCTGAGCATTGCGAAGTGCGGAAAGGGGGCTAGTGCCCGGAGCGATGCCGGCCTGGTGAAAAGTAGATAGACTCCCATAGGCATGACCAAGCTCCGGACGTTCCAGAAGGGTTCGCCGACGGTCAATGGGTAACGAGCCTACTTCCGTGTGAGAAGGCCTACCTGCTACAGAAGGTTGGAACAAGTTGTCGTCGGTACCGAGAAATCTCGAGCTGAGGAGTTCTTCCGAGTCGTCTATCCGAAAGTCACAGTTGGTTCGATGGAGGACACTGACAGAGAAGGGGCCAGCAGGCGAGTCGGTCGTACCAAACTCATACTTTGTCACAACTTCGGCACTGGAATCGAAGAGGGGAAGACTTAGATTGTCTGGTCGCGACAGGGACCCCATGTCTGAACCATCGATTAATCGATAGCCGATCTTCAAGCCCATAGTAGACCGACTCTTTCCAAGTTTCCTCGACAACTTCCATGCGGGAAGGAAGTTGGAGTAGGTCCAGAGGGAGCGGAACAAGACAATACTCTTTTTGTAGACCAGAGGTAATAGATTGGCTAGATCTGGTGGGATGGGAGCCGAGGGTCGACCCAACTCGATGGTCCATCTTTCCAAGAGGATCTCATTGGAGTCAGCAGGCCATCTCTGGTTTCCGCGGGTTTTGGCATAGAGCGAGTCGAGGATGGTTTGGACATCCCATCTCTTCCCGTCGTCATCGAGGATGACCAAACGTTGGCCTTGTTGTAGGACATCTGCAGTGAGAAAGGTCTCTATGATGAGTGGAGGAGGTCGGTCATGGACAACATCGCATGTCTTCCACCTCTTGATATCATCCTTGTATTCGTCGGTTTCGTCGATATGAAGATTGAACCAACGATTGATACGCTTGGAATCTTGGTTTTTATGATAAGCAGGAGGCAAATCGACTCGGGAGTGGAGGATGATCAGAGCGGATTTGGTATGAAAGTTTTGGACGACTTGATTCAGTCGTTGCATTTGAGTGTTTGGGTTTTCTGGAGGTTGATCTTGTCTAGCATTTGCAAACTCTTCTGAAGAACCGGAGCCCTGAGTGATGGGGGAGGTGGCTCGACGGATCTGAGGGTCTTGATCCCTAGGATTGTTGGTTCGTGTGGGGTTGGTTTGTTCAGAGGCTGCGGGGGATGCTGTCACCGGTGGCGGACGTGGGTGTTGATGCATGACGAGAGGAGGACGGAGATGGGGTGTGTTGGTGGGCAACGTATGGTTGTTGAAGGGGAGCAGTGAATGTTGCCTGGCCTATGTTTGGCTGAGTGGATCGAGGATGTGATGTATCCGATAGCCGTCCATGATTTTACAGTGAATTGCACAGATGAAGAGGCACTGGATCCGCATGGGAGGCAGTGTAGAGGTGCAGCGGTCAGGACATTTGCTAGGCTGGGGAGATGACTCGAGGATTTGGTCCCGGCACTGCAAGGAAGGAGGGCTAGGGAAGAATCAGGTGGAAGAGAGAGTTGATTCCAAGCCTGGATGGGAGGTAAGGTATTGGGACGGAGGTGGAACAAAGGAGGGTGATGGTGTTGAGGAGCAGGCTTGTGACGACAACCGCATGTGATTGGGATGGAGAGGACTCGGCGGGTCAGGCGACGGAAGATGAAAGTAACAGACGGAGCAAATGGCGGGTGGGTTGGAGATGGTGGAACCCAGGCAACGATGGAGAGCGAGAGATGTATCTGGTAGTTCGAAAGAGAGGTGATGGATGGAAGTGAATGATGGTGTATGTAGTGACAGTGGTTGGCGGCAAAGGCAGACAAGAGAGACCTGCAGTGACGGATTGAGGGTCTAAGGGTCTGATTGATGAGAGAGCGAGACAGAGAGAGAGTCACGGCTCTGACTGATGGCATCAGACTCTCACTATTCCCACTACTGTTGTCCTCGACCATCAACTAACACATACACTAATAACGCCTAAGACACTTATCAAGAGCCCCTCGGCCGCTAATCCGCTCCACAAGCTCGGTACTAACCGAGAGAGGAAGATAAAGTCGTGATTTATTGAGCTCGCATGGCTCCCCACAGCTTCCCCGAGCAAGCAATGCGGTTCTTAAACGCTTAGACCATGCTAGCCTCGTCTATTTGAGACCTCAACCATTCCTCAATCATTTTTTCTGTATGATGTGTGATGTATGGTTTGATGTTTGTCTGTCGATACAGATGAACTGGCAATCTAGGATTAGTCAACGATTTGAACAGCAAGCCAGGGTAACACAGCTTGCTTATCGCAGGAAGGAGCAGGTGAGAGGTGGTAAACTCCGGCTTGGCTGATTTCTTTGATCAGTACCTGGGGATACATTGGTAGGTACCTCCCTAAGTTACCTAGATACCTGAGGTATCTAGGCGAGTTGATTTGGCGAGGGGGGCGTTGGGTACTTAAGTGAGTACCTAGATACCTACCGTACCTTAGGTAGTGCTAGGTACCTTTAGCCATAGACCTCGAGGCAGACTGGCTGTATTGGGCCTCAATCAATTCCACTCATTGCACAAGGACATTTCGTTAAAGCTGGCCGGTGAACCTGGAAATCAACCACTGACCAGTACCCAGTGACCATCCACTTGTTTGCATGAGGCGTACAGAACAGGAATGCTTGAATATTCGCTGCCGCTTTAGGTGGGGTGAAAGGTTGAGGAGGGGCCGAGGGGCCTTGGGGCCTCACTGGGGGCAAGCGACTGAAGTTCACTGCATGACCTCAATTCTCACTAAGTACTGATGACTTGTCCTCACGACATGATCCACTACCAATTATCCCAGTCACCAAGCCAGCCAGGGAGGGCTGAGATGCTGAGGATCCTCGCCTGGTGTGCGTGTGCCGTATTTCCTGTGGCCCATCATGCCCCATCTCTCAGCCTGCATCTCGCGTAACCAGATACATGCAGGATGAAGGGGATCTGCCGGACAATGTCACTGGCTCTCGGGGGGCCACAGGTACACACTACAGGCATGGTACAGGCACAAGTACAGGCACAGGCAGACTTTCCAGCTGGACCAGCCCCCGGAGTGCCGTGCAAACCATCATAGGTTGCCTTTTTTTCCTTTTGTTTTCTTTAAGAAACATGCCACTGCACATCTGTGAGCCCACAATGCCTGCATGGCATGGCATGACATGGCATGGTAGATGGTGATCGTGGTCAACGCACAATAGAGGACAATATCAATGCACATGCACATACTTGACTTAATTGATCTTGAAGAACACGGTTGACTCATTGTTTCGAGCCAGCAAGTCATGATGCTGGTCATGTTGACTATAACTCCACCATTGTGAACCATCACCACCATAGTACATGCATCTTACTGACGAGTGACTCTTGACGTCTATCTACGTGGCTTCATCAGGGTCTTCTATTCCCCTTTTGTGCAACATTACCCTCGTATATACAAGCCTGTGCCTGTGACCTGGTATGCATCTCAGATGGAGTCTACTACTAAATCTCCCCCACGTCGCCAACTCTCTATGCACGAGCAAAGACCTTGACTACTTTCAGATTTGACGATCCTGGTCATGTATGTACTACAGTAACCGAACGTCTGCCTACCACGGCCTGCCACTCTCCATCTTGCTGCTACTTTGTCTACCATTCCCACCCCTCGATCCCGCCATCCCCGCGTTCGCCCCATGTTCCCCCTTGCCCATTTATGCCAGGCAGATTCAGTGGAGTGTGAGAGATGAAGACAAGGGACTACGATTCGAGAGATATTCATGGTCGAGACCCATCTTGTTTTATTTGTACCACGTTCCCAATTCCTCACCATCCAGACCTACTCGCGGCAGCTGAAGCCCCATACAGTACACTCCCCATACAGTACACTCATCACCTCAGCCTGATGATTTGATTGGAACTATTTTCCTGTCTGGCTTTGCTTTCAGGCTCCCGTTTCGCTCGGCTCTCTGCCTGAATCCGTCACGGCTGATGCTACCTGGTCGAGCTGAACTGGTTGGGAAGAGGTCCACGGAACGAAAAGAAGAGATCTATGATTGTGTCTCACAATACTGTAGTTCAAATATTACAAAGTTTGTTGCCTTGATCCTCGATTGTGTCCGCCCATATGGCCCCGGCCCCGACCCCGAGTGTGACCTCGTGCTCCATTATTGTTTCGCCCCTCGCCTGGACCACGCTCTGTGGTCGCTGTCTGAATATAGGTTTCTTGCCCTTCAGAAGTGGGTTTGACCCCTTTCCCACCTCGTCCACCACCACGTCGAGGCCCAGATGAGCCTCGTGCGCCTTTGCCGCGACGAGATCCTCGACGTTCATCGTTCGCGTCTTGTTCCTGTACTCGTCGACTTTCATTGTCCCACCATTCTTGGAACTCTTGCTCCTGTTGAATATCTTGAAGAGACCGTTTTGCCGCAGCTTCCTTAACCACCGACTTCTCGATCTGTTGTTGGGCGAGAATTTCGCTCATTGACGTCCGAGCATCAAATGCTGATGAACGTCGTGGAGGCAGCGGTGTGTGCCGAATGGACTGTATCTGCGGTGGTGTGCTTTGAGACGTCGATGCAAGTTCTATAGACGGAGGTGCCCGCTTTGGAGTAACTGCCGAATCTGTTGAGCTCGCCTGACCGCCAGCGATCGTTTGTCGCATAGTCATAGATTGTTTCAGCGGTCTCGGCCCAGAGCCGTTCTGCATTGGTTGTACGGGTGGCGAAGAAGCCGCCGGTTTGGCCTTGCTTATCATCTGCCATGGACTTGGTGCAGGCTCCGCCCCTGAGCCGCTTGCATTCCGAGTGAGGCCAACGGGTCTGCTTTCCATGTCTTTGGCTATCTGCTGTTGCTGTCTCTTGCGCTCTTTCTGCGACAATTTCGATGTGCCTTTAGATGACGTTGTCAGATTCTGCATTGCTTGGGTTAGATTCGACACTCGCGACGCCGAGGCTTGTGCCATGATGTCCTTGAGATCGGTTTTGGGGGAAGCTTGGTCAGGCTTCTGCCATGGCACCTTTGCAAGCGCAGAAAATCCACTGACAGGGACTGTAGCCATCACAGGCGACCTAGATATGCCCAGTCCTGATGTCCGTGGGCTCGCAGGTAGCGTCGGTTGCTCGTCGCCTCGGTACGAACTTCCGACCTTGGCCAGGGAAGGCCGAGACTCTGCCTTAGACAACGCGTTCCCTGATCCCGACTTGACGCCAGGAGCAGTCGTATGGCTGTCCATGACCCCTGGGAGCCGTATGTTGTCCTCGTCCATGTTGAAAGGCAAATCATCTCCTTCATCTTGTGCGAAAATTGCTGGGCTGGGGCTGGGTGTAAGGTCCGGAGACTCGTCTATTTCTGGAGAGAGAGGACCTCGGATCAGCGGCGATGACGATTGTCGCTCAAGGCTCCCAACCCGGTGTTTAGTAGTCGCAAAACGATCCTCATCGTCAACCAGCCTTGACCTGAGTCTCATAGAATCTATTCGTCTCCGCTTGCTGATCTCAATCTGCATTGGCAATTCAGGGTAGATGTCCATCAGTTCGTCTTCAGCTCGGCCACTGCGTGCAAAAGGTGAGTACGAGAGCTGATTAGCTTGAACAACGTCGTCCAGCTCAATAAGAAGGTCCTCATCCAATTCGTCCAGAAGCTTCAGCTCCAGCATGCATTCGAGATTGAGACATATGTACTCCAAAGCAGCAAGCTTGAAGTTGTCCACGGAGCACTCTGAAATGGTATTGAGCAGAGAGCACACGTTGCGTACCGTCACGTATTTCCCCACAACTTCCTGACAAATTTGTGTCAAGCGATCCAGCATCAGTTCATTAGCAGCTGACATGACTTCAATCACCACGTCAAGGAATTCGTCAATGGTGCTGGTGGATATATCATCAAACAATTCTGCTCCCGTGTCGGCGTAGAGATGCCTCAACAACAAGGAGAAGACACTCCTGTCGAGGTGTTTCAGGTCGACTCTGACGGCCTCGACATCTTCGTCGGCGGCTTCCTTGCGCGAAGACACCCACCTGCCACGCGCTCGACCGTGGAAAAGTCCGTTGAAGAAAGGACACCGGGTGCAAAGGAGCACGCTGTGGGCCGGTAGCTCAGCACCTCCTGCTAACTCTATCACAACATCGGCATCAGAGTAAAAGTCGGGATCAAGAATAGCGAGTTCCATGTCTTGATTCAAGCACCGAGCTGGTGGAGTCATTACCCGGACAGCACGTTCCAAATGGCGCAATTCCAGCTGACTGGAAATCTTCATCAGTTCCAGACGGACAGATCGATATCGTGGAGCACTCTGAAGAGCCTGTGATGTGTAATGCCAAACATCAATCACGCTTTCTGTGTAGAGATAGAACACAAAGTTGGCCAAGGTCAAGAAATCCGCCCCTTGGAACTTGATTTGAATGTCGCCATCGTGGTCATACTCGATTGACATCAGCTCTGGGATCGAGTAGTAGTAATTCTCCGAGAATTCAGTCAGTGCAGAGCGAAGCACTGGGCTTCTTGCTTTCAGCAGAAAGGAGTGCACGGGAAATCTCGCGTCTGTGACATTTGAGGTAATCCACAAGTCATACTGGCTTTGTGATAATGGCTTTTGACGCTGACAGATGGTGATGATGTCGGACTCTGCATCAGGATGGGCGATAATGGCTCTGGCAATTTGGGCTGCGTTGTAATCGCCACGATTCGGCCCGGATGAATGGCCATAGTTATGAAATGGGAGGTGCGGGAAGAGGTCTTCCCAGAGAGATGCTGGAGCAGGAATGATCTGCTGACGAGTCACCATGCTGTCTTTTCGGACTGCGGCAAAAGCTCCATACGCATTGCTTCGAACAGCAACAGCATTGGTCAAGTGTGGAATCCGTACAAACTTGTAATCTTTCTGGCGCGTCTTGCCGAGGCTTTTGTCATTCACTGCCTTTATATTGGCCCGCTTTTCCTTGCGCCAAACAGAGCCAGCGGCCGTGCAGAGAATCACAGAACCATACTGGCCCACGGCGACATCAATTGCCGACATGTGGTCTTTGCGAATAGACCAGACCTTGGTTGGCTTGGGCAATGCGTTGCGGGCTTTGGTTGGATTTGTGGTCGACATGTTTGAAGGTGCTGTTTCCGAGACTTGAGGGACATCGATAGTGTAGACCTCACCATAAGAAGACATGGCGCAAAGTGTATGCCCTCCTCCACTTATTTGCTTGATATAATTCGTCTCTCTGTTGTGCATAGCAGAAAGATTGTCAGCCATGTAGTAATTGGTGAAACTCTCGAGGTCGAAAGAAACCTTGGTGAATCCGTAATGAGTAAAGACAACAACATCATGATTCTCCATCAAGACAGCAGTGGCACGGTCAATAGCAGACACAGATTTAATCGAATGCTGCAGGATTGACACCCCTATTCGCCGCGGTATAAACTGAGCTTCTAGTGAGCGGGCATCGGCATCCATGAAACCCAGCTGTCCCTCATTTTTCCCAAAGGTATACACCGCATTGGAAGTATAAATCGCTGAATGGATCGCAGAAGCGGCGGCACCTATAACGAGCTCTTTCTTAATATAACCGAATAGCTGGCGGGGAATCAGCTGTATTGGGGCTTCAGTTTTGGTTGACTCCGGGAGGGCATAGCCTAGCTGGCCAAAGCGATTGCTGCCCCAGCTGAAGACTTCACCCTCGGAAGTGACTGCGATGGAGTGGTCCTGTCCTAGAGCCACACAACATATTCGACGCTTAGCTAGCCCGCCTCCTTGAATGCATTGGTAGGTAAAACGGGTAACTTCATCGCCTGTGCCTAGGCGCCCTCCCGGGCCATAACCACACATATGAAGATTAGAGAAGGGGTCATCTGTCAATATTGCGGTATGGAGCTTTGCCATAACAACATTTTGTATCGTGATTGGTTTATGACGAACGACAGCCGGAAGGTCCAGGAAAGATAAGGTATCAGCGCCAGCTGTGTGTTGATCATCCTGTCCCAAAAAAGCCCGTCGGATCGAGACAAGGTCTTCATGTAGGCGCTGGGCGAGATGCTCAGGGCGCGTCAGTTGAACACGGCCTGGAAACTGCCGATCGTCTTCATCTCCAAGTCCTAGAGACAAGTTCTTGTTACTGCCGAAGGCATAGACATCATCCCCTTCAAGATTGACAGTCGGGATGACACCACGATAAACTCGATCGTTGTCGTTGCCATCGTCATTATAGTCAACTCCGTTGACACTGTCGTCGTCTGCGATGCCCGACGGGAGCGCCGAGGTGTCACTGTCGATTGACCGAGGAGCAATGGTCAGGCCAAACACCTCGAACGGGCTGTTTCCTTCGTGGTCTTTGATCTTGACCAAACCACCCGCATGCGTATGCACGGTATTGATTGTAAAGTCTGTGGCGGCCTGTAGATCGCGTACCATGATTGCCTTTGCAATGGCGATGTTGCCATGATAGAGTGCGCGATGCAGGGCGGTCCACCCACTCTCTGCATCTTGAGCATAGAGATCCAAGAAGGGAATCTCTAGTAGGGCTTTGACGAATTCGAGGGCGTTCTCTGACTGGGACGAGGCTGCATGATGTAGGATGGACCTTCCAAAGATGTCTCTGGCGTTGACCTCGGCTCTTGTCAGGACAATGCCAGCATTCTTGCTCGAACTTGCGCCAGGCGTTGTATGACCATGGCTCTTCCTTGACCTGAATGGCGTCTTTGGAGACGTTGCCAAAGACCCTGGGCTGCCGAGTTTCAGACCAGTTGCGCCGGTGTGGGAGTTGGAGGGAAGACGTTGGGGGCCGGTGGAATACGTGGCGCTGGCCAGGTATTGTCGAAATGTATCGACATCATCTTGAAAGAGGGATTGCCAGAGACTGTGGCTCATGTGGAGAGATGGACGATGGTGTCTCCGTGAATCCTGCCAGTCGCCTCGCTGTGATCTCGCGGGATCACGGCGTGTTTAAAGGCGTGGGGAGGAACGGAGAGTGTTGGGAGAGTGGTGTTCTGAAGGTGGCGAAATCGCTATGCGGCAGTCATGGTCGATGGGTGACTTGAGTTATCTCTCGAGATGGTTGATGTTCTCTTGTTGGCTTAGGTGTGAAAAGAGAACTAAGTGGCGAGAGCAGGTTTGCGCATGGAGAGCCTGAAGATATCGCTACCCCGGCATCGATAAATATGCGGAGCGGGACAAGCACATGGTGTGTGTGTGTGGCATTGATGGTGATGATGGGTTGGTGGGGGAAGGGAAATGATGACTGCGGAACAGCTTGCAGCCAATCACACCTGCTCGTGCTGATACGAACCGTGTGAAGCGTGTCTGAGGCATTAGACTTCAATCTCCCACAAACTCTGGCAGCTGTATCATTTATCATTTGACGCGTTATTGAACGTGGAGATTGCTCTGTGTTATCGCAGTTGTGATATTATGAAAAGCGTCAGTGCACGTGGAGTGCTTCTAATCTTGTATCGTTAGTCGCGAATCGACGCGTTTACGAGAGTAAAGAGCAAGCATATGCATGTGACGCGATGTCGAGTAGCGGTGTAGCCGAGACTCGCCCATCAATGGCCCAGAGAGCATCATGATTCTTGGAGGAAAGGTCCCAACTATCTAGACATTCTACACGGCATCAAGGGTCTTCTTTCAAAACACTTGACTCTTTGCCTTGTTTTCCACCGCCGTGTTCCCCCAGATGATTGTTCTGTCTTCAGCTCTGGCTACTGATGCTTCTTGCCGACCGCAGTTGAACTCCGAAACACCAGCTCATCTCGAGACCAAAGCGAAAAGGCAACCGCAGCACTGGGTCCTAGGACAAGAGTGGTTATGACGGTTTGACCCAATCCAATCAATGTCTGAGCGATAGTCGACCGTTGCTCTCTGCCACTAGCTCCCACCGACATCCCCCAAACCAGATTGGCTGCTACTGTTACGATCAAATCCCATTGCAAGAACCAGAGGGCGCCCTCGGGGAGAGTCCTGACTTCCTGTGACGAGAAGGGATTGACTGGCCAGTAGATCTGTTGAGGCTGCAATTGCGGGAGGTACGTCGGGCTGAACAAAACCGGAAATGCATATGCTAACAAAGACAGGCTTAGTCCTGCAAGGTGTGGCACTGAAGAGGACAGGATACTGAAAAGGTAGACCCCACGCAGGTATTTGATCGTTTTCACTCGCTTCTCTTCCTCATCTAACACCGATGCTGCTGGGTCGAATATCATCGCAAGTGTCGAGAGACTAAATTGAGATATTCCAATCCACAAAGCCCATCCTTGCTGAATGGCAGCGAAGATCTGCTTGGTCTCAAAGGTGATGAAGCTTGGTGCGGGTAGAGTCATCAAGACTGATGGGAGGCCAAATCCAAGCGATATGCTGACCGGTATGATGGCTAGCATGATGGGGATATTGACAAGAAGGTGATCAGCCTTGGGCCTGACGACTGTTGGCGATGTCCATAGATGGAGAATGAACCACAACGGAGTGACACAGGCATAACCGATGATGGCGACACCGAGACCCAACAACGTTGTACTGTATGGGGTTAGCTCCACCTCTATGGTCAAGGATGATACTTACGCGGTCAAGAAGAACATGCCGCGGTGAGCGTTTCTGAGAGATTCCACCATGATCAACACCCACAGACCGAGGACTTGACCTCCCAGTGCTAAGAACGAGAGTGAGATATCGGCCCGGTTGCCATCAATCGCGGTATAGAAGAAGCTGACCAGCACCGTCAGCTGATTGTCAACCGGACGAATACCTGTATAGGTCTGCTTCATGGGTGCGATAGTGGGACCTGGAATGACTGCTCCAGGTTCTGTCTGATGGCCCAGTATCTTGAGCAAGCCATTTTTGTATGGAAAGACCCAAAGAGTGTAGAAACCAAGGAGAGCCAACACAAGCAGAGAGACCTTAGACAATGTCATTGCCATGAGTCGCGCAATTAATATACAATAGTCAGAAACGAGCTGAGAGGGTTGACAAGATAGAAATGAATTAGGACCTGGTTACAGGCTCATGAGGCTCTTCTTTAATGCACGTAGAAATTAGAAACGGAAACCGCGGAGGGAAGTTTTTGCTTATGGCAGGAGGCCCAAAGGTCTGAAGGAAGGCGCAAGGCAACCTGGGAGTGGGCGCCTCAGGCCCTGCCTTCAGCTCTCAGCCCTCAGCCCCGGATCACATTCAAGACAATGAAATCTCATTGACAAATAGCGTGTACGAAGCAGGCTGAGATGACATAGGATGGCAACACAAGCCCATGTCTATTCAGGCCCGACAGGAACTGAAAGGCGTCACCCTACCACAAGATCAATGTAATTGATTCGTCGATGAATGCCGATTGAGTAATGATACACGAACTCATGAAGAGAAGGATTGAAATAGTTAGGCCAATCACTGCCCACATCTTTGGAATTCTGACTGACAGATGATAAAGGCTCGATCCTGCAGGCTGACCCCGCAGCCACCCGTGCCACCCACGCCAACGTAGGTGCTGATGACTTTGAGGCTACTGTCATTACAACCTTCTAATATTTCGGCGGAGCATTCAGGCCTTTTACCATCATGCCAAGGCTGCGGTGAAACTCTAGATCGTCTGGCGACAGTGTTCCGCTGCATCGTCAAAAACTCGAGTCTATGAATCGATTCTCTATCACAAGGTACATAAGTCCTCTTTCGGGCGTACCAGTCACAGGCTGACTTTTCAACACGCCACAGTTTACGACATGTCAAAACGAAAGCGCCAAGAAGCCGTCGACGCCGATGAGTCTGGAATTTTGGATCAAGCGCTTCGAATCAGAGTTTCGAGACTCAAAGCGCGGCTGGAGCAATCACAGAAAAGCCTCGTGGCGGCGTTGAAACTCGCTCGCGGCATCGAACGACAAAAATTAGGCCGACGGCAGAAGACCGCAAGCAGCGATCCTCATACTTTACTAAGGCTCCGTGAAGAGGTAATATGCCTCAAGCAGTTGGATCTCACCCACACGGCCAAGAGTCAACTTTTCAGACATTTATTCAAAACCAAAAGAATCAGGGAGCACCCTGCTTTCATTGAAATCTATGGACCCAACCCGTCGGTCGATTCAACGGGTACAAGGGCTGGTGCAGAAGCCAATGTCCTTGCAAGGCTGTTCAGCGCTGCGCCAGTCAGAACAGCCATGCGGGAGATCGTCACAACCGTTTTTGGTATTTTAGGTCTATCCGCCAACCCTAAGGATGATACTCAGAAAGGTCCAAGTGACCATACTCAGCCATCAGAAAAAGTTGCAGTCGAAGACCATGACTTCGACGGCTTTTCAAATTCAGGTTCCGATCAAGATGAAACAGAAGTTTATATCGACTCTAAAAATGGCCCGGCTGAACCAAGGTCATCCCACAATGGACTGACAGCTGAAATGCCGTCACCCTCGCTTTCTGAAGCCGACTTGAGCGATGACAGCTCCGATACTCTTGACGGCCAACTCACACGGTCGACAAATATGAAGCCGGTCTCTAAAACGGCGTTTCTTCCATCCTTGAGTATGGGTGGATACTATTCTGGCTCCGACTCAGATGAGCCGCCCGCCTTTGACGACGAGACAGCAGGAACTATCCAAGTACGTAAAAATCGGCGTGGGCAAAAAGCCAGACAGCAAATCGCAGAAAAGAAGTATGGCGCAAAGGCGAAACATCTTCAGAAACAGAAAGACAACCATGATAGAAACGCCGGGTGGGACGCGAAAAGAGGGGCCATCACAGGTCGAGGGGATGCTAAGCGAGGCTTTGCTACCAGAGACAGAGGTAAAGCCTCTCATTCACATGCACGAGGAGCACAAAGACATGTTGAGACAGCACCACAGAAGAAACGTGACGATCAGGGCCCAATCCATCCATCCTGGGAAGCCGCCAAAAAGCGAAAGATGCAGTCTCAAGCTCCGGCCCAGTTCAGTGGGAAGAAAATCACATTTGATTGATTCACGCCACACTACATTTGCACAATCGTCCTCAGGACATATTGGACTCACTCTAAATTAGCCAGAGATCTTAATCACAAGCTTGAAGCAGTTATGGACTGTAATCTCGAGTGGTGAAGTCCTTGTACAATTCACCCCATTGCTGTATCCTTAATATTGGCCTGAACTTCACGTCTGACCTGATCGAACGTATATATACCGTACTGAGCGATCTCGTTTGGGCGGAAATGAAACTACGTGAATTGTCCTCGGATCCACCTTAATTTTTCTCCGCCGAAACACAGTCACGCGTAATGCCAACCTGTCACTACGACTTCAACCTGGACGATATTAACTTGAATGAAGCATACTATGACCTCACCCTAGTCACTAATCCGACGATATTGTGTCGTTGGATTCTTTTATTAACGACAGTCAATCCATGGTTGATCGCCCTTAAAACCAGAGCTACGCCATCCTCCATCCTCCATGCATCTGCGTCAGAGTTTTGAGATCCCTCCATCGCCTTGAAACCTAGCACTCCCCCTCCGCGGCCATGCCTGTTCAACAGCAGACAAATGCCCCTCGCAGACGTTCTTCCGTCGCCTATGATCCAGCCAGGGACATTTTCAAGCAGCTACCAGAGACCATACCAGAAGATGCTATCACGGAAGCAGAAGATGTCCCAAAACAAAGCGCAGCCACCTCATCAAGTCCCCTAGTAGACGCAGAACAAACGCGCAAGAGAAGACGTTCAACTTCAGGTGACAGACAAGTGAAAGAGAGTAATGGAGCTGAAGCCCCTAATGGACCAGGATCGCCCAATTCAAAGAAGCCAAGGTCTTCTCCATCTCCTTATGAACAACGTGATCAACCCAAAAAGCCAGAAAATAATGGGACACAAGGACATAAACTCCCTCCACGAGTACCGTCGGATCTACCGCGAATTCCGCGCAAGCCTAGAGAAGACGGTGAAGTCTCTTCATCCAGGCCAGTTTCGTCCGCATACAGTCGAAGACCTGATCTAGACGGACGTCGAGATGACCGACGCAGAAACGGGGACTCATTTCGCCGAAGATCCAGGTCTCCCCGACGACATGGTCTCCCAGACGCTTACAAACGACGCTCGCCTCCTCGCCGTCCAAGATCTCCTTCGCCTATCCGTGACTCACCACCTCGAGAGATCATCCGCCCAGGTGGTGGAAGAGGACGAGGTCGTAATGTTCTTGCTGAACAACAACGCCTAGCTGCCGAGCGAGAGGCAAAACAAGCTGCAGCTCCCAAACGTGGAGTACAGGAAGTTTCCAATCAGTTTTACAATGCTCGACCAGAATGGGTCAAAGAGCGTGGCCGAGACTGGCGAAGGAATGAGTCTCAGATCAAGGGATTGCGGAGTTTCAACAATTGGATCAAATCCTGCATCATTCACAAATTCAGTCCTGACGAAAAGGCCGAAGTCGAGGAATTAGGCTGGGGTGAAGAGGCCAAGGAGCCAGAAATGCAGAAGCCATTGTTAGTTCTAGACATTGGCTGCGGCAAAGGAGGCGATCTGGGCAAGTGGCAGCTTGCACCACAAGTGGTCGGACTGTATGTTGGCCTTGATCCAGCCGAAACCAGCATCAATCAAGCACGCGACCGATACCAGCAAATGCGGCGAGGTCGAAAGCCCATTTTCGATGCTCACTTCATTCCTCAAGACTGCTTCGGTGCGTGGATCGGCCAAGTTCCTATCGTGAGCGAAGTTGGAATTGACCCGAATGCGGGAAATGGTCCAACGTCTCGTTTCTCCGGCGGTGGCTTCGATGTGGTCACGGCCATGTTCACCATGCATTATGCCTTTGAGTCGGAGGAGAAAGTGCAGATGATGCTACGCAATGTCGCCGGCAGTCTGAAGAAAGGTGGCCGGTTCATTGGTGTTGTGCCAAACAGTGATGTCTCTGCCGAACATATCCGCGAATGGCACGCCAAAAGAGCTCCGCCTCCGTCTACCGAAGCAACCACAGATGTGGACAAGACTGCGGACACTGAACCGACTTCAACAGCCAGTAATAGCAACAACGACACATCGCCTTCTGCAAAACCCAAGGCCGACGGCGAAGGCGACGACACCGACGACGGCCCATCATGGGGCAACTCGATCTACAAAGTCCGGTTCCCACTCGATCCAGCACAACCACTCGCCAGCGACGGCAGCTTCCGACCCCCATTTGCATGGAAATACACCTACTGGATGGCCGAAGCGGTTGACGTCCCTGAATTTGTGGTGCCGTGGGAAGCCTTCCGCGCTATGGCTGAAGGGTTCAACCTCGAGCAACGGTATCGTAAGCCATTCCCAGCCGTCTTCGAGTCTGAGAGGGGCAATCGGGAGTTGATGCAATTGGCGGTCAGGATGGGAGTTACTAGGTATGAGGGTGGAGAGACTGTATTGACAGATGAGGAAATGGAGGCTGTGTCCTTTTATCATGCTTTTTGCTTCGTCAAGGTCTAGACTGCATGACTAGATTGAGGAACGGGTATTGTAACAACGAAAAATGGGAAAGGGGACATGGGTTCTTTGTTGCACCCATATCTTGCCTTTTATCGCCTCAGCGCAACACACCAGAGAGGATAGTTTTAGCAGATGCAGAAGCTCGTTCTAAGTAGTTGATACCAGGCTAGACGAAGAACTTGAGTGTTTTACATCCTAATTCTTTTTTGGGGGATTCGAATATTATTCTTCTAGGATCTGACATTTATTCAATCAATCAACCATTAAACCAGTACTATCCCTTGATCCCGCAGCTTTGACCAACTCTAATGTCAGTTCGCGTATCCTGCTGAACCGTATGGTGTTTGTCTGCATGAAAACCAAGATGAAGGAAAGTAGACTCCATCATTCGCAAAAAGCAGTACAATTTCCCTTTGGGCAAAAAAATCCCCATTCCCATGGTCAAGTCATCAGATCCTTCTGACGGACACACATACAAAACAATGCATAATCAAACACACAGTCTGGCCGCACAAACCGTGCCGAATCATCCGAAAGGGGAAGCCCAATCATCTCCACGATCGGAAATATCTCTGTCAAGCACATATCTAGAGAAAGGCACAATTACCCTCGGTGGGATGCGGAAGGTCTGATAAGCCATCATGTCGTATCTCCCGACTTCGTGAGGCGGAGGCGGCCAGCCCCCGGTCGTTGGGTCCTTCTGATCCGAACGCTGATTGTCGGTTGGCTGAATAGAGGCCTTCGGGATGGCACGGACGATGGCTCTGATGATGTTCTTGTTGTGGTGTTCTTTACTCAAAAGTAATTCGCATTCTGCCATTTGTCTTAGCGTACTAATGTCCAAAGGGGATTCAGCACGGCAAAAGTTGCTGGGGACCACTCTGAGGGATTCAGGGTACTGAGGGAAGAATAGATCAGCGATCTCGATGAAGGCGGGTGGAGAGGCTGGACCCCAGTGTCCCTGTGGTTCGCGAACAATTCCAAAGATTTCGAAAATCATGTCCGCTCGTGCATCGTGGCTGACTAAAATCGTCTTGGGCAGCGGAATTCGGAAGCATGTTGGGATGCTATGGCGTGTACGCAGATAGGCGGCGAATGGGAATTCACCACGACCCTTGTCTGCCAGTAGCATTCTTTTCGAGGAGTCCGTATGTTGGTACTTTGCTTTAGACTTCAGGTATCTCTGCTTTGTCAGGAGCTCGAGATCTTTCGCCCCGTCCCACGTCGATTTTGAAGTGTATCGTTCCACAAGACTTGCTCCAGTTAGAAGGAATTCTGAACGGGCATCGGCGTCAGAACTATCGAGGTAGGGGCCTCGAAAAGGCGATGGGCTCACATTAGTGGAGGGAGGTGCTGGATGGGTGAGGTCGTTCATAGCCTCATTTCCAATCTCGGGTGCGAATGAGAATCTGGGCATGAAGAAGGGATCCTTTCGGAAGGGTGAGTCTAATGGAAGTCTCTTTCTAGATTTCAATTGCCAAATCAAGGAATCTTTGATCATGCCAGGAACTTGGTCAAGATTCACACACCAGGTAGGAGGTGGCTCTTTTAGCCAAGACCAATCGGTAACGACTACTTTGACTGGCAGAGCAGCTGAAGGATCGCGGGGCGCATCGATCTTGGTAGGAGGTAATAGATCTAAGGGTCGGCGGACGGGTCGGTGGTGGACGGTTTGTTGGTGGACAGGTTGCTGGTGGACAGGTTGCTGGTGGACAGGTTGCTGGTGGACAGGTTGCTGGTGGACAGGTTGCTGGTGGACAGGTTGCTGGTG